CTACACGGCTACCGTCACTGCATCTGAGGTCGAAGCAACGGGCTACTACACTGGGTACACCGGCTACAGTGGGTACACTGCGACGGTGGAGGCAGTACCAGAGGGAACAGCTTCAGTCAAATACCGCTTTACCCTCGGTGGTAACATCGTGTAAGTCCAGACTTCGAATACCTTAGTCTGAGCTAACTGTGAGCAGCTTGGAGCAGGTAGAGAAGGAGTAAGGTTGCTATCGATCGTGCGGGGCGGCGAAACGCTTCGACAACATCGTAGGTAGCGACGTGCGAAAGATCTGATCCAAGTAGCATGTTAATGCTATGGTTTTGACGAAGCGTTTCGGTGAAGTTGCGACCCAGGAGGCAATTCAAGAGTGGCAGTAACTAGTGCAGAGTTAATATTGTGGTACAACAGTCACTCATTTAATCCATATACTTGACAGAAATGACAGCTCCTTCGTGTGGTCAGTGATCCATTAACTAAACCTCCAAGCAGTGAATTCGAACCTTACATTGACCGGTGGGGACCTCTCTGTATATCGTCGTACTACTACTATACGTGCCACACGTTGAGCTACCATGGGTGTGTGTTGGAAATGCGCGAGGTTCGACATGCGCGCAACTGCTGCTTGGCTCAAGAGCGATAGATTGCAAACTCGTCGTTTTAGTGCGGAGTGCTGTTCATGTTGATGGCGTAGAAGATGATAAATGACCACGGCCGCGATAAGGCGAACATGGGGAGGCCGTCCCAGCGCATCGTGCGGGCCAATCGGAGGTATGCTCGAGCTCAGATGCGAACTTAGGTACAGGCTGATCGAAGAATCAACATTTCGGAATGAAGAAACGCGCTTTTCGATCGAATGTAGTTGTCGCAGGTCCGTAGGCCGTCGCGCAACACGAAGTCAAGTCCAATCACACCTTGCGTGTCATTGGCCAGCCTCATCCCTACGATCTGATCGCGACCCGCACCCGATAACCACGAAAACGTCATCCTCCGGTCAGTCTACAAGCTTTCGACTTGGTTATAATGATAGATAAAGGATGGAGTACTTGATTATATTACAAACGTCTATGCGCGCCTAGTCACGTGTGCTCTTATCCCCCGCAATCGAACGTCATCGGGCCGTGCCAGCCAACACCATGGCCGCAACTTACGATCTGCAGTTCACGCGCGGCAGGGTCCATCCGAAAAGCAAAACAGGACAACCTGCGCGCTCTATAACCGCTCCAAATTTGCCTAGTGGAGTGGCCCTTCTGCTCTACTTGACAAATATAAAATCTCGTGCCCGGTATTTTCAGAAGGACGGAACGAAGTGTCACTTAAATACAAAATCTACCAGCAGGCACGCGACATGGAGGAACAAGTTGATCGTCTCGTGAAGAAGACGTGGGGTGGGTCATTATCCCTCGAGCTTTACATTCCAAGTTGTACTGATCCAGCAAAGAATCGTACCAGAATGTCCCGCCCTCGAAGCGTCTCCTCATCGCCGTGTCAGGGATACCAGGCTCAGGTACTCCACCTTCTTCTCTCATCTCTAACACTAATTCTCAACCATTGCCGCAGGGAAGACCACCCTCGCAGCTATAGTGTCGAATCGTCTGAATGAGCTGCATGCTCAACAATCTCCAGGTACTTACAGCAGTAATCCGCTTTCGGCCTTCTTGCCTATGGATGGTTACCATCTCTCGAGGCGTCAGCTCGACGCCCTACCTGACCCTGTCTCTGCGCACGCTCGTCGTGGAGCCGAGTTCACGTTTGATGGCGAGTCGTTCTTGAAACTCGTCAAGAAATTACGGGAGCCATTGTGCCCCGAAACACAGACGCTCTTCGCCCCGTCTTTTGACCATGCTATGAAAGATCCAGGCAAGTACATCTCCATAAGTTGGAAAGTTGTCTACTGACATCCTGCTTTGCTGTACAATAGTTGTTGACGACATTGCCATCGCACCTTCAATCCGGATTATCATATTCGAGGGCAACTATCTTTCCCTTGACAAGCCGCCTTGGAAGGATGCTGCGGCCATGATGCATGAGTTGTGGTTTGTGGATGTGGATAGAGAAGTAGCTAGGAAGCGTCTGATCTATCGACACGTCAGAGCAGGCATCGCGGACACTGAGGAAAGCGCTGCGAGGAGAGCAGATGAGAACGATCTTGTGAATGGCAAGGAGATCATCGAGAATAGGCTGGATGTGCATGAAATTGTAACCAGTAAGGATGATGATGGCTGGAAGCCGGAATAACATGATCGGTGAAACTGGATTACCTGGCTGGTATGCGTGAGCATGTGAATGGGTGCACAATGTCTGCCAGGGTTGCAGGATATAGAGAAAGGCAGCGTTACAAAGCTTTTCCGCAACACTACTGGTAGAGAGCAGTCGTTCGGCTTCACCTGTCGTCCCGTAATACGAGGTGTTCTCAGCTTCAGCCTCATCAGATCATCAATCATTTACACGTCGACTGGTTAACAATGCACGCAATAGCCTGGCTAGGCTTCGGGGGGCAACCTGGCTCTTTTCCCTGGAAATCTAAAACCTAAAAGGTTATTCAAAACCAGGTAAACATCATCTGTTGGGAGCAACTGATTGAGGATTCAGGCGCGGCTGAAGTCGGCAATCCTGGCGCATACATCTTCTGCACCAATCCCATTAAAGTCAATTCTAGCCCCCAGTGGCGCATCCGGGTACATCACCACCAATCGAAGGTTCGAGGCTATACTTTACGATATTGATAGACACGGCTGACCTTCCGGTTCCGGTTCTATTAACAAGGCTGAAACTCAGCCTTGCGCCTGGAATGCGACCCACATATCCTGCCTGCTCCCTGGCCAGGTACATGAGATCCATACATTTCATGACAGCCTGTTTCCTTAGGTTACGACAGCCTGCTTGTTGAGGTTGACAGCGCGTTTCTAAAGATGTCGCACACTGCGCGCAGAAAAGCCCAAGACGGCCAGTTTTCCTCGCGACCTCCTCCTTACACTGGACGACCACCACCTGAGATCCCAGTCAGCAGGAACTCGAAGACAGATGGCTTTGAGAAGCCTGGTCAGCATCGCAGCTCAGTATCCAGAGCAAGCGAGAGACACACAACAAAGTCGTTCTCACATGCTGAATCCGCCTCACACGACCAGAACGAACTACCCGCACAAGATACCCACCCAAAGACATGCGGATTTTGCGATGAACAGAGATCACCGCTATGGAATTGTTCTTACTGCGATACAAGCTTTTGCGATCCCTGTTGGGATTTGCAACTTCCACATCGACCTGGAAAGAAAGGGCCAGATGGTCTGCCACACGAAAAGGCCAACCCTACGATCGTGAAGAGACTGAAAGATATCCTGACCCCAAGCCAGGATCATTACGAGCAACATGCGCTACACATGGAGGATGAGGACACTACATGGTTCGGTCTAGACCGAGACAGTCAAAACCGACCCATTTTCCAAGACTACGGCCGCTACTCGGCCATCATGGTCGAGAGCAATAACGGAGATTACAGATCCCGATATCCGCAGCTAGTCTCGTTCATCGGGCAGACCGGTGCAGGGAAAAGCACTCTCATAAAGATGTTGATTGACCAGCAAGAGAGAAAGTCTGCTACTCAGAATTGGGGCTTCCCTTCACCAGTAGCGGGGTCCTTGGCCAACGGTGGCAGTGTACCGACCTCCGGCGACGTACATTTGTATAGCGATCCCAAAACCCACGCCTCCGGGTACCCTATGCTCTATGCTGACTGTGAAGGCCTTGAGGGCGGGGAAAACACACCAATGGCTGCACAATATCGTAGTGGTGCACCTGTCCTGCACAAAGAGAAGAAGAGAGACGAGCACGCCCCCCGAGAACATCGCAAGCGCAATAAAATCACTAAACCACTCCATTGTACGCAACGGGAAATCAAGTGGGCCAATTCACCAGAGACATTGAAGCGGCAATACGCAGTCACGGAGCTCTACCCTCGCCTTCTGTACACCTTCTCAGATGTGATAGTTTTCGTGCTTCGAAACCCCAAGTATGTACTTGTGTACCCTATGTACATTCTACTAATCACGTAATTCTAGAGTTTTTGAATCCACAGTCATATCCTTGCTGATCAATTGGGCATCAACCTCGCTCGAAAAATCATTGAACCAGCCCACGCTGCCTCACGCCATAATTGCGCTGAACGCGACTGACACGAAAGTGAACCAAGGAGAGTGGGACCCAGAGTATGCGACGGAGCTCCTCATGTCCAGCGTATCGGGGGCTATTAAACGAGACCCTGACTTACGGGCATTGAAGGAGCACTGGTCAGAGCGAGGTAAACAAATTCATACCACAAAGGATCTTCTCGAGTGCTACTACTCGTCCATAACTGTAGTACGTATTCCTGGAGAAGGTCGTTACATGATGATCGACGATCAGGTCGAGAAACTCCATGACGAGATCACCAGACGATGTAGCGAATCCTTCAATGCGAAACGTAGATCCCGCATGCTGTCCAACTCTGAGACGTTGAATACTTATCTGCAATGCGCCTTCGACCACTTTGCGCAGGACCTCCATCAGCCTTTCGATTTTATGGATATATCCTTCAAGATCAATCCGATACCTTCGCATTTTGGCGGTAACATCCTGAGGTTAGCTGTCGCTATGCAATCCAGATACCGGGACGACTCGCGAAACATGTTCAAAGACTTGAGTTATATGGTCGCCTCGTGCATCCTGTTAGATTGTGCTCGCCACAATTTGCAAGGTGCGCACTCCCCACAGCGCTCAATAGATCGTCTCTAATTATCATATAGGGCCTGCTGAACAAATACTGGAAAATCACTACCTTCCACACTGTGACTACGCACTCGAAGATTATTGTGCAATCTTTTGTCCATGCACATATCGCAACAAGCGAGGCGAACAATGCGTGAATGTCAAGGAGCGGCATCCAAAGGGCCATCAGAACAAACGCGGCCACATCATTGGCACTGGTCCATACGAAGCATATTGTACGTGATACCGGGGTGCAAGTGGTTGATCCGACTGCCGTCAAGGTCTCAATTTTTCAGGCCTATGACGCGCTAGAAGACCTGCTTATACCCTATCCCCCGTCTTCCACCGTTTCACTGACCTGAAACCTCTGCATCTAGTCACCTTCGACAACTTCATGGAAGATTGGGCGCACCACCTGAGAGCCTCCCTTACTGAATTCCAGAATACCCTTAGTTCTAGAAGGTTGATGTCACCTTCGGTTGATGAAATACACATCGTTAGCAAGATACATCACGGTAATCTGAACAAATTCTACAGTCGCCTGGGAGGGGCTCAGCGCTTCATCAGTCACACTACATGCTTCTGTTGCCTAAGAGAGCTAGCCGAGCATGCGCTTCCTTGTGGACACGTGCTATGCACACCTTGCATCAAGGGGTACGGCAAACCACATAGCGATCTTTCTGGATCTTATACCATTGCATCCTGCCCTCTACACGAGATTGAAACTATATTTGCGGAGCCTTGGGACGTACACTTTAAACCGCCACTTGCGGGTGTCCGCGTTCTTTCATTGGATGGGTATGAATCTCCACAGATCAATGAGCTACCTCTGACATCAACAGTGGCGGAATGAGAGGGATTGTCATTCTCGAGGTCCTCAACCAGCTCCAGATGGAATTGCGCGGGATGCCTGTCCAAGATTTCTTCGATCTTATCGTGGGTACAAGGTATGTTACCGTAGACGTGCGGATGTCTCGGACCCCATGTCTCTCAACAGTGCGAGATTGTCTCTGATCGTTTCTTAGCACGGGAGGTATCTTAGCACTGGGCCTCGGCATCAAGAACTGGAGCGTATCACACTGCATCAACCTTTTCAAGAAGATGGTAGACAAAGCCTTCACTCCCAGATTCCTGGGAGGGGTCAGCTTTGGCAAGCCAACGTACCGCGCTACTCCCTTTGAAGACTCTTTGGCAGAATGTTTCGGAGAAGAGTCAATGTTTGGAGGCGCACCCGAAACGTTGATCGCTTGCTCAAGGAAGGTGGCGGTAACATCTGCTACCGAAACTGGCGAGCAAGCCGTGATATTCACGAACTACAATCGTGCAGATGACGACGAAGGTAACTATGGTGCCCCATCTAATTATTTTTTCTGACCATGTTCAAGTCGGTTACCAACTAATAAGGCCCGACGATCCGAAAAATGACCTTCTTGTACGCGAAGCGTGAGTGTTCTGTACCCACTAGAGCATACCACATATGCTAAGACGTGCCCAAGTGCTCGAGCAACCTCGGCTGCCCCCACATTCTTCAAACCTTTCAAAAACCCACGTACCACGGAAGGATTCGTTGACGGTGCGATCTTCCACAACAATCCAGTGAGAATTGCGAACTACGAAAGCAAACTGCTTTGGCCGGACGTCGAAGACCGTCATGCCGATATTCTGCTTTCTTTGGGCACTGCTCATTACTGGTCCGACAAGGATCCGTCTCTCCAGGCAACTCATTTCGATCGCCGGCGCATGCATATTCGCAGAGTCTTTAGCTCAGTCAAGCCTTCAATTGAAGAGAAGCGCTCCATGCCTGCATTGAGAGCTTTTGGCGAGATGGAAAGCTGGGTTACCATCTTCAAAAAGCGCATTGAAAGTGTCCTTGATGCTGAGTTGACATGGAAAGAGTTTAGAAAAGAGATACGCGGAAGTTACTCCGACATTGCGGTCGAAAGGTACATACGCATCAATCCAAAGACTAAAGATCGGACTCCGAAAATGGACGATAAGGACAAAATTAACATCTTGCATGACGAGATCAAAGGATTTTTGGCGAGAAATGATATGCAAATCAAGGTCAAATCGATAGCCTACCGTTTGGTGGCTAGCTCGTTCTACTTCGAAAAATCTGGACCCTGCAGGGAGGCAGGCGGTCACATCACTATTTCCGGTAAGTAATGCACGAGTTTATCTTGAGGGTAGATTCTGACATAGGCAAGGCACGATCCGTTGTAGATTTGCAGCTGGGTCCGGGAACCTACGCAAGCTGGGAGAATACATGCGAAATCATCAAGGAGGCGAAAAATTCCAACCCTTCTTCCACGTTCAAGAAGTCAACCACGACGAGAGCGCTCACAACATCCCAATCACTGCTCAAGCCATACGAGATATGATTGAGAGGGGACGGTTCGAGCTGGGAAAGCTCGCAATACCCGTCACTTCTGAGATGTCTACCATATCGATCGATCTGCATCTCACCGACGAGAAAGCAAGATATTTTGTGAAGTCGGGTTTCCCAATCAGCGGCTTTCCAAGAAGTCTTGCAGATGGAGAGGTTCTCAAAAGAATTCGTAAGTACAATCAAACGCATGGCCGCGCGTGTCTGACCGAGTCAGCTTCCGACACGTCATCCATTCTCGAGCGGCCAAGCATGGCCTCCAAAAGACAGTCTCTGCGTGAGAAGCGTCACAACCGCAGCCGCATATCTTTGGAGCGGCCCTCCAGCGATAGTAACATTTCCTACGAACTTCAAGGCTCTTCAAAAAACAGCAACAGTTCGAAATCCAACCTGAACTTGAGCTTCCCCGAAACGCCCGACGATGTTTCGAGTTGGTCTCAACGTCGAACGGAGGCAAGCCGCCCCCCGTTGACGCCTGTGCAGCAGATGACGAGTGGGGGATATTATCATATGGCTTTGCCAGGTCCACCTCAGAGTGACGGGCTCTTCGAACTCGCCTCCGAGCCGGTCGCACGGCTTAGCGAGCTCGGCCAACCGAATGACAACGACGAGGCATTGGCACAGGTGCTGGAGCGCAGTCGCTATGAGGCGCAACCATTGCAGAGAACCAACACGGGAACGGACGAGGAAGAGTTGGCGAAAGCCTTGTCATTGTCTATGCAATTCCAATAGGTCTCATAGTTCTTGTTTCTTGGGTTTTGGTGTCCTCTTCGTCATACTCTCTTGCGCATGACATGTTGAGCTCACTGGCTCGTCACGGCATGCGGTACTTTCAATAACGGCCAATCTCCATTTGCGCTTACATGATCCTTAAGATGACTGCCTGACATGTTATCGTTATCGGAGAGATACGCCCTGGTGACCACCTAGCATGGACGTGAGGGACGGCACCATGATTCTGGTCGATCAGGCCGAGATTGTACCAAGGTCCGGCGCGTATCAACGACCATGAAACCACTTCTTACAATATTCCACTCTTCGTCTGTTGATAGACACGTGATTTTTTCCCCAAACGATTCCGTACCATATCTAGCTTATTGGAACGGTAATCGACTCGGCTTATCCACCACCAGATGAACATTCACCAAAACCGTTCTTGTATGCAATGGCTCGGGCTATCGTTTGAATTACAACACTAACAATTGATCCGTTCACTCATCAGCACTACAACTCCCCTCTTTACGCTCTCAACATGTCGAGTCGCGATCATGAAAGTCCACGTGACTTAGATGCCTAGCTGGTATGACCTGACTCAAAGCAGCTCGCACTTACCATCCTCCGTCACTTCTACACATCCTTCAACGATCGGCTTGTATACGGAAGAGCTCCAGCTAGATTGTCGCCCGCCTCAGCATGTCCTTTTCAATCCTGCCACGGCTAAACATTCCATCTCCATAGCTATGATCGCCGCGTTTCGGCCTACCCCGCGAGCTCCGCGATGGAATCTTCTCCTTTTACGCATATCATTTCGACGGCTTTCTCTTCGATCACTCCACTGGCACGCTGCCCTTCTCTAGCGGTCGCCCCTCGAAGTTCATGTACAAATGTAAGGCGAGGACCAACACTGACCTCCGGCTAGAGTACTCGAATCCTGCAAACTGTAAGGACGGAGGATATCGCGGACTTCGTTCGCGAGCGGGCAGGTTTGCTGCGCTTCTGCCTCAAGTTGGGCGAAAGTACTGATGCTTGCACATGCGGCGATTTGTGTAGATGAGGCCATCATCGGAACAGTGATGGAGAAGACCCCTGGAATTGACGATTACTTCCGCAGAGCCTGGATGATAATCGTCAACATTCAAAATGGGCCAATTAGCTACAGGTTCTGGCTTGGGAGATTGGTGGAAGAGCCGCACGTGAAGGTCTATATACACAGCAAACCGTTTTGTGGCGCTTTGTCGACCTAACTCTCAGACTCGCCTCGATCCATCGCGACTTCGACTCATCCATATGGAAAGCGTGCGGACAGTTTCAGAGCCGTTTAGGACGAGACCCTTTCAAAGCCGTCGCACGTTGGCAGGTCCTGAGCTAGAAAACGGACCCATGGTCTATGTCGGAAGAGACGGAACTCCTTCACATGAAGAGTCTACTGAGGTCCTGAAAACGATCCACCTATTATTGCCTCACGGGGTGCTTTCCGCGATCGACACTTCTGTGGCCATCGCTTTTCTCAAGAAGTTCGATCCCGGACAGCAAGTCCATGCGGTCTGTAGTCCCTGACGCGAATTGCAAGAGTCGCCAGTCCAGAATGCCACGCAGAAGGTCTCACCCCGCTCTGTCTCGAAAACCATCAAGTGCGCATTGCAATGCGCTCGAGTCTGCTCATAAACCTCACGTCTTCCCAGCACACCCGCCTCCAATCAGAATGCGGCGTGTGGGATCTGCCCAGTCCCAGAAACAAGGAAATGCTCCAATTGTGAGCTTTTCGCGCCTGGAGTTGAATGGCTAGTACAGGTGAGAATGTTGAGTACGCGTGGGATGCCTCGGAGGGCATTCTCAATGCGCATGAGCGACGAACCGCCAGAAGCTAAAGAAGTGTGGATGCTTCCCAACAAGATGGCTATACAGAAAGATGCCAACGACACCGCTACGCATAGTAACCTACCGCTGCCCGTGGGAGAGCGCTTGGATCTGTTGATCGGAACGGAACTCTCGTTCGTCGACATCTTCATATGAATACCGCATGTTCCGTCGTGCGTGCTATTACTTCAGAGCGTAATTACGGGCACCCTGCTCTTGTTGTTCTGCTTTGGTATCATCGGATTGTCTCACCTCAGCCCCCGCAGAAGATCCTGAATGCCATCAACGCGAAACACACCTTTCCTCACCGTCAGTCACCCAGCACACATATATAGTCGAACGCACAATAAAAGGCAATTTGAAATCTGATTCATTACAAGGTGTATATAACGGCTCACTCACAAGCAGCGCGACTTTCCCAATCTACTTTCTTTCTTTCTCTCTCTCTCTCTCGCATATCCCGGCTCCTCATCCCGAAATACCCAGTCCCATGACAATAAGAAAAGTCTCCGGCCCAAGTGAATGCCGCACTTTTGTGTACCACCCTCTCCACACGAGTGTAAATATATACGTGATCTTATCCGCCCTCGCACAAAGGCGGGGTCTGCCGCCTTGCGTTGCACCCGTCTCCGTGTGCATCGCAGCACAACATGCTGTTGTCCAACAACCATTCAATGCCGATACCCGCGCTCGATGCAGGTGAGGGGGAAATATAGAAGCAAAATGACCAAACTTGTCTCGAACGAAGTGCTGCAGAATCGCCGACGAACGCCACTGTGGATATATAATCGAGATGCTGGTGAGATAAATGAGAAAGACATCAAAAGGTCTCGGGATGAATGAGTGACCTAGAAGTTCTGCGCGATGCCGCTATTGCCCTGTTGGGGAAACACGGAAGGATTTTCAATCCTCGTGTTCCGCCGTGCGGACACGTCTCTTATGATAGGTTGCTGGCCTCCACCATACGAGTTGTCGTAAGGTCCGGACGAGGGATAGTATCCGTTGTTGTCATAGTACTCCTGGGGGTGGTTCATAGGAAGAGGGTAGTCGCCCGAGTGGTCTGATCTTTCAGCAGCAGAGTAGGACGAAGACGCGTTGGAGGGACCACGGGCAACACCCGCTTGGTTCTGGCCAGCGACAGGAGCGGCACCAAGGGCGCCAATGCCATCAGAGTCCAAGGTCTCTCGTCGACCGTTGACAAGGGGGTCGGCGGAGTGGGCATCGGAGTAGGCGTGAGTAGGGGAGCCAGGGTTAGCGTAGACGTCGCCAGGGTTGCTGTTGCTGTCGGAGTAGGTCATGCCGCTGGTGAGGGTGGTAGAGGCCTTGCGGTTGGAGCTGGTGGCGGTGTTGCCCCATCCTCGGTATCCGCTCTGGTCCTCGGCCATTTCCGACTGCATGCCGACAGCGGGGAGGGTAGGGTCCTCGTTGGGGTTGAATCCATACTCCTCGACCTCTTTCCTGCGCGCCTCCTCGGCACTCTTCTTCGACTTGCGCTTGCGCCAGAACCAAAGGCCGGCGAGCAGCAGCAGTGCAACGGCAACAACAGGAATTACGACGGCGATGGCCGTCTTTCCAGCAGGGCTTAGCCCGCCAGTTTCATGCTTGTTCTGGGGGTTCTGGAGCGATGCTGGGTCTGTCGAACTGGCCGCCGAGCTTGTCGGGGATGCGGCGCTGTTGGTGGGGTTTGCTGTGTTCGACTGGGTGATGGTATGGATGACGGTGATGGGGGTCGGGGTCTCATCGGCCCTCGTCGCACTGGGCGTCACCACCGAAGTGAAGATCAGGGTCGATGTGGGTGTGGGCTGGGCGGTGACGGTGGCAGTTGTGTCGGGGTTGGTCGAGGGTGCAGCGCTCGAGGGTGCGGCGGAGGATGATGGTGCTTGGCTGCTTGACGGCCCGGGTGACGACGACGAGGGGGCTGCAGTCGATGAGGGCTGCTCAGTCGTCGGTGCCGGGTCACTCGTGGAGAGCGACACGGGCGCCGAGGACGGCGGCTCGCTGGTGGGCGCTGGAGAAGGCTCAGTATCGGGCGCGGACGAAGCTGGCGGGTCTGCCGAGGGCTGCGAGGGCGCGGGCGAAGGCTCTGGGGTCGCCGAGGGCGAGCCCGTAGGCGGCTCTGCAGAAGGCGATGTTGGCACGACGCTCGGGGGCGATGGGGAGGGGGCAGGCTGTGAGGGAGACGACTGCGCGGCAGAAGGAGAGGCAGGAGAAGGAGAAGGAGAGTCAACGAGCGACGTACCGGCCGTGCCGTTGGTGGTCATGGCGAGAGAGGTGAGGAAGCGGAGGCTGCGAGGCCGACGGCGAAGCAGTGAGATGCACTTGCACGGTGCAAGGCAACTGAGGCTGGGCAGGCTTGCTGTGTCAGAGAGGTGATGCGATACGGGCGGCTTCCTAGTCGTGGAACGTGTCAGGCAGGAGCGGCAGGCAGCGCTGCTCGGCACACGAGTGGACGGCTGCGCGGAGAGTCGACTGTTGACGACTTATTTGTGGAGAAGGCGGCGAATCCAGCTGCGCGAACTGGGACGACTGAGCAGCGCGCAGAGGAGTGGAGAAGCAGCGAGGAGGCGGCGATCCCAGCAGCAGCCAGTAGTGCCTGGATGTTCGTGTTGACCCTGCGCGGCTTGGAACTCGCGGGACCGGGACCCGGCACGCAGGCGGCGCAAATCAAGGCACGCACCGCAGTGGGCGCGACGGGCAGACAGACGAGGACGCACAATGCACAATGCAAGCGACGATGCGAGCGCACCGCACCGAGGGCAAGGCGGTGGTTTTGATCCCAGCCGACCGCTGAGCCGCCAAGCCAGTGGCCCAGCAGCGCTCGATGGGCGACGCCTCCGGGCCAACAAAGAGCGGAGTCGCTGCATTCTGCTCGAGCGTTCCTCGTTCGGGCAGCTGCACCTCTGCTGACGGCGCCGACCAGCGCTGCATCGCCTGGGGCGGTGCCGTGCGCTCTGCTCCCGACCGTCGCGTCCACGCCGTTCACGCCATCGCGCTCTTGCAACATCGACCGCCGGCGCTCGCAGCACCATCCCAGCCTGCGTCAACCATCGCATCTCTGCAATTGCATCATGTCGCGCTCGCTGGCCCGCGTCCAGGGCATCATCCCGGCCTCCTGGCGTCATTCCCCCATGTTTCGGCGTCGAGAAGGGCAGTCCCCCCTCATTGGCTGCTATACTGGCCCTGCTATTAATACCAGCGTTTCCTCGGCACGTTGCACGCACGCAGCTGGGCGCGCTGCAACTGCACCAGCGCAGCATCGTCTTTGTTCTCCCCATGCTGACTACGACTGACTACTCCTCAACGTCTTGCACTCGCTGCAATCGTCTGTCTGCAGGCGCCGTTCCCTGCAGCATGCTAGAACTCACCTGACGCATCCTTCCATGGTCTCGCATCCCCCATCAGCAATTGAGCGTCAGGGTCCAGCGTGCGAGCTTGTTCAATAGCGCCGATCTATCCGAGCGTTTCAGCATTGCCTTTTCCATCGTGAATCCCGCGCCGAACTTTATTGAGGCAGATCACTTGCAACACTTTGCAACATTGCCTCCACGACAATGCTTCCGTCGCATTGAATGATGTCGCTGCTCCACCGCGTCATCGGCAATCTGGGTTCTTAGCTCGACGGACCCGAGTTTGGTTCAAGAGCGGCACGCCACAGCCCTCGCGCGATTGGGACCGAGCAGTAGTGCACCAAACACCAACATCGGTCCACCTGGTTGCGAGCCTCGGCGCAGCTGGCCACGAAGTGTAATGTAGAACAGTGACGCTTATACATCGTCGGAACACTGAGTCGATAATCATGACCAGACAACCATGGGCATTGTGTAAGGACCAAGAGGAAGCATGTCTACCACGAGATATGAGACCAAAGTCAAGCATATTCATTCGTCACTCGTCTTCAATCTCGCACGTTGCTCTGGGTTTATCATCCGAACATCAAGATTTACATCCTAGTCTACATTCCACTCAATGTCAAATCGCTTCTCTCCGCTCCGCTCTTCAAACACTTCGGAATCCTACGCTCTTGTCTCAACGTAGAAACATGCACTCTCATCGACCCTCCCGTCCGGCTTGTGACTTTGCGCATGACACATCTTCCCATAAAGGTCGACTTTGTTGGTTGTTCCCCACTTCGCTCTTGTCTGCTTCGAGGCCTATTGGGGTGCGGGCCTACTGTTTGCACGGGTTCGACCGCTGCGGACGCGAACCCGCGGTACGCTGTTGATGGCGGCGTCTCTAGTCTCGTTGGGTAAGACTTCCACCTTGGACGTAGTTACACCTCGTCGGTCGTTGGGTATGACATCGACTTTGGATGTCGTGATGCCTCTCTTATCGTTGGGTATAACGTCGACCTTGGAAGTAATAACGCCTCTTCTGTCGTTGGGGATGACGTCGACCTTGGACGTTGTCACGCCTCGTTTGTCGTTGGGTATCACGTCCACTTTAGACGTGGTAATGCCCCTGGGAAGCGAGGCTTCCACAGCTCCAAGGCTATCGCCTTGCTGAAACGGGATAGCGGATGCGTTGAGAAAGAGCGCGCCCAGCGCGATGACGCTAGCGGTGCTTGGGAATCGCATATTGTCGCGACAAGAATTCCGTGCAAAAATGTGAAGATATCGAAAACGCTCACTTGGAGCTAGAAATGAATGACAGTGAAATGAGAGGATAGCGGCTATGACGCGCGCGAGAAGTGCGATTGGAACAGAGGTGGATGACAGGACACTGCGACAGAAGACATCTTAGGAAAGCAGCAGCAAGCCGGGCATATTTCCCTCAGAGCTTTGCGGCAATGCCGTTGGCTCGAAGTCCGCTCTGCTGGGATTTTCATGCCAATAGGTGGCACAGGCTGATGTATGGTGGCTGACGTTGAAACAAACCGTTGACGAGGTCCGGCTGACGTCCGACAAGGGTAAGGTGGATGTTCCGACCCCAGGGCTCGCCTGGCCCAAACATGTCAGTTCCCTACCATTGAAAAGGTACTGGCACTGTCCTTTCATTGGCTGCTCTCAAGCAGTAAGGGGATCTTTTGGGAGTTGTAACTGAGTTAGTGTGTGCTGAATGGGGTACACAGGTAAACAATTGTTCCCCTCGCGTGCAGACCGATGGTCACGCCCAAGGATAACCTCGATGGGAACGGATGCTTTCCTACCGTTCCTTAAGATACACTCCGAGTCTTCATTGAGAAACATCATGCGGTATTCCTTCCTGCGGGCACCAGCAAAAGAGATGCCTGCAAGCTAAGTCTGCCATTTAATTCTGAAAGTGCGTTTGCAACAATAAGGGGATCAGCATGACCAGAAAGCCGATGACCTTCAGAACGTGTATGTCGTGTCCAGACCCGTCCTTCTACAAAGACGGTCGCATCACGAGACTTGAGCCGTCCATAGCACATGCCTTGCCTGTATAACAACAACCACCACAAGCCAACCAGCCAGTCTCTCCACAAGCATGCATATTACCGCGCTCTGTTACATCTTCACCATCCAGATACTTCAAAGCGCATTTATCCAATATGACACAACTCTACAGGAAAAGCACATCACTCCTACCTAATTGAACACGTCAAAAAAAACCCCACCCCCTCTTCCCACAAGAACCCATATATACACCAAGCCCGACCGCAACGAGGTTCTTGTCTTCTAATCAGCACCCCATCCACCCCGCACCCGCCTCAACCCTGACGCCGACCACTTCACACCCGGCCTTTCCAACCGGACTCTCAACAACAACCCATCAAGCACCGATACGATCCCTAGCCCCCAAAGAACCCACACTCGCCCTGATCCCGATCGCGGCTGGGTTTCGGAGCTGGACCACATCTACAACCCTCGGCCCCTGAGAAACCCTCCCCACCTTAACCCTCACACCTCCCCTTTCCGGCCTTATGGCCCAGTGACCGGCCCTCTCCCCATTCCCTCCCCACCCCAGAGACGCCGCACGCGCGCACGCATCATCGACCCCTTCCGCCTGCCTCCCCGTCCTGTATCTGCGCACCACCCTCCCCTCCCCTGCTTACCTCATCCGCTGCGCCTACTCCTCGGGTGGCGCCTCCCGGGAGACTTCAGCCTCGTCACCGCCGATGTGCGCGGCGCGTATGCGGTTGTCCTCGCCGCTTTCGCATCGGTGGGTGGCGCGCTGGGGTGTATCGCTGCGGAGAGGCTGAGTTGCAGGGGCAGTGTGCTGCCATTGCAGAGTTATGTGATGAGTGCGGCGGAGGCGGGGCTACCGGGGCATGAGTGGTGGACCTTGGTGAGGGGCGTGGATGGGGGTGGGGGAGAGGGGGAGGGGTGATGTTGCGATGTTTTCTGGATCGAGGAGAAGGTGGTGCATCCGTAGATTGATGCTACTTGTACGTTCTTGGGCTGGTGCTGGAGAAGGTTTAATCGACGAAGCAGTTGAGCACGTGGTGTGTAGGGTAAATGATAGGTTTTTGTAGTTTTTGGTGTGAAGTGGACTCTTGTCGTATTAGAACATGATTATGTATATGTTGATATGTCGAACGTGCTCCGGCTTCCGAAGCGATACTTCTGATAGCCCAAGTATGCATCTTGACAATGGCGTGCAGCGCGAGGTGGTGCGCGTCTTCTCGACTGGCCAGAGACTGTAGGCACTTATATCAGCCCGGGTATGACCGCCTTCCTATCTCCCACTTTATCCTTTCCAAACTTTGCCTCGTACCACCGCTTGCCCTGCAATGCCCTGGGCAACATGGTCGCAATCTCGTTGACCAAAAAAGTCCTCGCCGGGTGACACTTCCAACCACCAATGGCCCAAAAGCCCGCCCACTCAACCCACTCGCAAAAATAATGCGCATATAGCACATATCTAAACAGCCCGTTCTTCGGAATCATATACACCTTGTCCACGCCTTCAATCGGCTTGCCCGTCTTCTCCGCTTCCTTGCGCTGTTTGCGGTCTGCGGATCTGCGAATCTCGCGGAGGTCGTCGTCGTGGAAGGCATTCCCGAGGAGGCCCCAGGCCCAGATTATGAGGCCCACTTCCATAGAGAAGTAGCGGCCTGCCCAGTCTTGATCAGTGACAGGCCCGTAGCCGGCGAGCCAGCCGCCAATGGAAACGGCATTGAAGATCTGGAACAGGGCCATACCGAGGCAGAGGATTGGATTTATAGGGGACATGCTTGGGTTGAGGAAGAGCGGGGAGAGGACTGCGCGGTATAGGTAGTGTATTACCTATAGACAGCGGTGTTAGCAGGCGGTGAGGAGGTGGGTAGGCGTAGGGGACGTACGAAACAGCCCGCCATTGTCCAGTTGCCCCACGGCAGCGTCTTGATGCCCTGTTGTTCAGGCAAGGTATACATTATGTACAGCAGCGTGACGAAACCTGTGGACTCGGTGATAGCCCAACCCCACTTCCCGGAGACGTTGAATCGCGATGTATCGGACGTCTTGCCCATAGGATACCAGTCGAGCACCCATTGTAGTGATGTTACCTGCGCAAAATGTGAGCCATGGGTTCGCGGCTGTCCCGCGAACGATATGCGCGCAAACAAACCTACCAGAGGGAAGTACTGAAACAGTGTGCACGCAGCTTGCCAGGTGCTGTGCGACGGTGGCAGGACGCCCGGTATGAGTACCATGGCTTGTCACAAGCGTCGAGGGAGTGAAGGCAATGGTATACGATGTTTGTTGTCGTTCAATTAATCGCAGAAGACCAGCTGTCTAGGAAGTCGCTTGAAGCCCGTGGATGGATGCTGCCGGCAGAATGATGAGGTCATGCCACAAACACCCTCGCAGGCCGCGCCAAGCCGACTGGGGGAGTATTGGCTCGCTATGAAGCGCAGTGCTGGCTTGGTCACCGTAACGGTCATCGCATGCGTACCTTCTCGAAGAAAATAAACGTGGTCATTATTGCAAACGAAAACGACGAGACGATGCCAGGAGGATGAACAGATGCCTGCATGTATGGGCGCCTTCCAGCTGTAAGCGTCTTGGCCGCTAATTAGTTGTCCGACCGAGGTCGCCGCCCACCCCAAGCACAATCCGAGATAATGCTGTATATCGTCTTCACAAGTAGTTGTGCATCTCGATAAGCACTTCGATACCAGAGAAAATACCGCACATCGGTCCGACACTAAGATCTCGCGACCATGCGTGTAGGTGAAGTCTCACAGCTGCTTTCGGTAAGAGGTACAACCATTGCGTGGCCTCCTACTGCTGCTGGACTTAGCAAAGCAACACCACGATGCGTTGCGATCCTGAATCTGGAGATGAGGGATGTGGGGTGCCACGGCTTCGATCAGCTCTCTGGCCAGTGCACGATATGACAGGACCACCTAGGTACAGCTCGTCAGCTGAACCGTCGCACAGCCTTGCTTAGACGCGCATATTCATCCCTACAATCCTCTCAGCCTTATATTCTACTTTCTTCTCTTCAATGACTTCGGCTAAGATCTTCCTTCCGAACATCTACGAGCAGCCGTCTTTGAGACGCGATGGGTATGGCTCCATTTTCCGACCTGGGTGTCGCTGCGAACGTAGTGCATTTCATCGATTTTAGCAGCAGGCTGATCTCAGAGTCACGAAATCTACAAGTCCGCCATAGGAATATCTACAGGAATGGTCGAGCTGGAGATGAAGTTTGCGCCAACTAGCAGCCTCCTGCCTGGCCGATGCCTACGAGCTCCTCAGTATCATCAGCGCCTTGAAGGTCGATGCAGATAGGCATTCTCGCAAGTGGAAACCTTTTCGGCAGGCTATGAAATATACATAGAAGCAGACCGATATAGACCGATATAGACAATCTCCAGAAGAGACTTGCTGATTTTAAAGAACAATTGGCTGTCCGCCTTCTAGCTATTCTTAGGTAGGCGTTTCCAGCATGTGTACCTCTCCCAAGAGAAGAGCTATGTTGATCTCTACCAAGAGACTGGCAGTCGAACATCGTGCATATATTGCAAGTCTTGGCCAGTGAGAACAGACGGATAAATGTAAACCAAACGGAATCGACGGGTTGGCCGGTGCCCTAGAGTCGCCGCGATGAGCTGTACAGGACACTGCATTGCCTGCTCCTACTGAACTTGATCTGTAGTTCCTTGCCGTCAAAATCACCGAGTTGACTGACCGTGCATCCCTGTATAACGAAGGAACAGTACATACTTGAAATTCTCCGTTTTAGGACTATGTCTACACTTCTGCCAAGAATTCAGGAAGTGCATGGCCTTTAATCCCGATTGCGATGCTGGCTTTACTAGTTGGCTGCGTAATGATTGAGAAATCTATTGGATTTCCGGCAAACAGGCTCGGGAAAGTCAACTCTGATGAAGTAACTATACGAAGGGCAACGGACAAGAGAAGCTCTCCACGTATGAGCAGACGGTTCCAAGCTCGTCGTGGCTGCATTCTCTTCCTGCGTTGGAACTCCAATGCAGAGATGTCAAGGTTTACTCCGAGTCTCCTATTCGAAACCTTACGACAATGCCCAGATCTTACCAAAGCGGTGTGCCCTGAACGATGCAATGCAGATAATGCTTCGATACATCGTGAAGGTTGGGATCTGACCGAACTCAGCCAAGCAATCTTCCGAATTTTTAGTCAACAACATGTATTCACCAGTGTTTGTTTGTTCGTCGATAGACCTGACGAATACGAAGGCCGATACCTCGATGTTGTTCGGATTCTGATGCGTTAGCGTCGTCCACACAGTTTTTCAACGTTTGTGTATCTAGTAGACAGTGGAATGTGTTAGAGGATGCCTACGGAAGGGACGCTTTTCGTCTACTATATCTGGAGGATTTGATATGTGGCAACATCGAAGACTACGTTCGTAGCAACTTGTTCTGTGTCATTGCTGAGTCACAAGCGTTAACATGCTGGAATGGGACGCAATTGTACACAGTGCAGGTTAGCCTCGGCAGCAGACACTTGGTTGTGTCAACTTTCTAAATGTAAACTGTAACATTAATCGATCATGCATTAGGAAATGAACGCTCGACAGGCAGATTCCCTCCGACAAACCACGATCTCAACATCACAACAATTAGAAGATTCTCTGAACTCTCTTCCACAATCACGGACCAGTCAATATATCCCAAAGGCTCGGCAAAACATCACGTGGAGTTCATATTTGATTCGCTGCTGCGAATCGATTGACATGAGAAACAATCAACTTTAGTCTTCGAAACGTTCGTAGCACGATCGTGATAGTATTGTCGCCATCACTCATTGATCCACGAAAGTAGCGCCAAACTAACCAGTGATAACCTTGAATTTCGCGAAAGAGATAGCATTGAAGCGTCGAGGTCTACGGAAAGATAAAGAGAAAATGGAACCCTAAGCATCGAAGGAATGTGCCCAAGCAAAGAAAAGGCGGGCACCAGGAAGAAATGCATTGCTCCTGTATCAACAGCATGTGCGCATCTGTCCTAGGGTGATCAGTTCTAGTCCAAATGCGCTTCCAGCAAACCCAAAAGGACTCGACTAGCACTGTCCACCTAGTACATCAAGACCCATTGGCTTGAGAACCGTCGAGAGATTGACGGTAGGGTTTGTCGGGTCTTTGCAGTAGACGCTCTTATCGTCGTGGTACTCAATATTGAATACTGCCTTGCCGGCTTGGGTGAAGTTTGCATACTCGGGGCAGTCCCAAGTGCTCCCCGCTTCCTCGCCCACCTCGTGGCACTGTTCATTGACAGCAAATTCAATCACATCGAGCACTTTGCTGGATATCTCCAGCGCGTTCTTCAGCCCTGTGACCATTTTGTACTTAGTCGCAGTTGCGGAGAGCCACCTAACGTAGTCGATGTACACTTGGTTGTCGTACTTGAAGCCATCCTGGTGTGCTTTCCCTTTGCTGTCGTTGCTCTGCACGCAATCAGCACTGCACCCTCAATGATGGGATAAATCACTTACGTATCCGTCGATGTTGTCAGGATCAATCGCGTGACACCCAGCTTCAGCCGCTCTCTTGATCCTGGCCTCCATGATGCTCTTCACGTTGGAGCTCTTGAGGTCAAGCCAATACTCATCCCATTCTTCCATCTTCTTCCCTTTGTCAGCCGGCAGGAACAACCCCTTGTCTTCTCGCCAAGGCTCATAGGTTCCGGCGCTGAAGTAGCAGACAACGGTCTTCTTCGCCGCAAGTTCCTTGATCCAGCCCTTCGTGTTCTTCAGCGCAGAGTCGTTGTCTTCAAGATCGATATCTAGAACAGTTCCGGCTGCGGCCTTTAAGTCCGCCAATGGAATGACTGTGCCTTTCCCATTATTGTCTTTGCCTTGCAGAACAATGTCCCAAACAGTGCCCGGCTTAAATCGGTCGTCTTTGCGGCGGGCTAGAGGTGTTGTGCTGGCCAAAGTAGCGAGTGCCAAGATCATGGAGTAACGCATATTGATGAAGAACGTGTCTAGAAGACACAAATTGAGACTAGAAGATGTTGAAGCCTTGTGACTAAGTGTTGAGAAGGTTGAAATGAGTGTGTCGATTGTTGTAAACTGGGTGCGTACACGCTCACTTTATAGATCACATTGTGAGCTTCGAGCGTTAACAAGTTACAGGCTATGATCGAATGGAGAATACGCATTGCGTGGGGCGAAGCATAGAAGGATTGAAACAACCACGCGCATCAGGGCAAGACCATTTTGCGATCTGTCTGCGTAGGATGTATATCGAAGCTAACCGCAATGTAGGTTCCGCCTACCCGGCTCAGTAATATTCGAGAACTCGTTCTCCACGTGCGTGCTGCATGATCGGCACTCGACTAAGCTTCCCCTTGCTCATCTTGTTTTGTAGCGTGGCTGCTTATGGGGCGGTGGCTGAAGCCTATCAGTCGCTGTTGAAGGTGATAGGGCTGATGTTTCTATAGCCCGCGTACTATAGTATATACAAGGGCTGTTCTCTAAAAGTCTTGTAGCTCTTACAGAAGTACGCGAAGTGTCTAATTCTTTAGACATGCGTGCTTTGTTGGGCCAAGTTTCTTGTGTAGGGTTCGAGAGGACCTACACATGGCATCTTTCGGTCTGACATCGGAAGAGCGAATCCTCAGTGAACTCATTCCGCACCGTAGACTAGCAAATTTACGTGTCCATGTGTTTTGGTTCTCAGCAATAAAGTCTCCTTTCAGGATTCTGGGCGAGCTTCTGATGGCTTGCGGTGATAGAGGATGTCAGAGATGGAATTCTACTCGTGCGATAAGATGTGTAGGACCGTGCTCGTTGGTCAGATATTCACAAAATGTGCCCGTGCGATGCGGGACCGTTATGCCTACTAGTCAATGCCGTCAGCACTTGTACCGATATTGGCAAAATGGATTCTTTCCGCAACGCAACGACCTCGTCGAGGCCCAGTGAAAACAACGTTTATTTAGGGACAATGCAACCGTATCTCTGATTTGCTGAGAGGCTTGACGTCTGAGCCACCAAACAAGGTAACGCCTGGACACTTGAATAAATCTAAAATCCCTCCACTCCTGTCGCCCAACAGTCTCGTACCCGGAAGGACAACTCAATGTTGCAACGTATCCGCGCCTCTTGGCTACCTAGCCTATGGCCGGCGTGCGTAGTCGCGCTGCTGACTGCGCAATGCGCGGGATGCCTATTCTAAGAGAGTTCAGCGTCATGACTGGTCAATGTTGATGGACGAGCCGGGAGCTATGGTAAATCTTGTTCCATTACTTTGACCCAGATGAGCATTGACGACGACATGGCGACACCGAACGTAGTTGACCGATTTCCAAAATGTTTTGATTCCTCTGACGTGCTTGAGGATGTCATGTTCATATGTCGTTGAGGAGTTGTTCAATCTGTTGAGTATTCTAACCTCAAACAATTCAGTAGATATGATGTCATTCTTTGTAAGCCCGCTTCGATTCGGCTCCAGAAAGCTCCGGACAGGAAGGACGCAGCATCATTTACGACTACATCCCATCATTACAACCAAATACATTGCGATGTCTTCCAATGATAGATTTCTAGACCGTGTCTTTGCAGCCAAAAGCAAGGATGAGTCGCGCCAGCTCTACGACCAATGGGCATCCAGCTACGATGCAGATATGCAAACCTACAGCTTCACTGCGCCACAAATCGTTGCCGAAATGGTGCCAAAGTATCTCAAAGTATCTCCGAAGGACGCAGTCGTAGTCGACGCAGGTTGTGGTAGCGGCCTTGTTGGCGTCACACTTCACCAGTCTGGCTTCAAAACGATTGACGGACTGGATCTCAGTGAAGGCATGCTTAAGGTAGCGGAGAAGACTGGTGCGTATCGGAAGCTGGAAGTCACAGACTTGACACAAAGGCTCAACATTGAGGATGGTACTTACGATGGGCTAACGTGCAGTGGGACTTTCACCCACGGGCACGTAGGACCAGAGCCCTTACCAGAGCTCGTACGAATTGTAAAAGCTGGTGGTATACTCGTAGCCACTATTCTGGAGAGCTTCTGGAAAGAATTTGATTTCGAAATGGTAGTGAAGGGACTAGAAGAACGCGGGATGGTCGAGATGTTGGAGAACAATTTGCACAGTTATAGGAAGTTCGGAGATGAAGAAAGTGGAGGCCTGGTGTTGGTGTTGAGGAAGTTATGATATGGTCTTTGTGCACGATGGTCTCAGCATAGTCAAGTAGTGTATCTGATCGAGCTTCAGAAAAGGGCGCACTGAACAGTCATTCTGTCGCCAAATGTGCCTCTACAGTCACTGTGCGAAGCACTACTTTGACCGGAATCTCCAAGTATATCAGACCTCTAGTTGCTAAACCACCCCTAATCGTTTTCCTATCCATCCAATGCTTGCAAATGACGCGGTGATACCCGAGAAGATTATCATGTACCCGTATCCACTGCCATACGCGAACCCTACTTGGCCCTTCCATGTGTCGGCTTCGACCAATGCTCCGCTAACTGGACCAGAAATCACGGAGGCTATCCCTTTGCCTGCTGTAAACAGTGCCACAATCATGCCATTCTCGACAGGGTACTTCCGGCGTACCGGATTGGCGCAGCCCGACCACGTGGCAGGGAAGCCGCCGGCAAAGACTCCGTAGGTTATTGCGAAAATAAACAACATAGGCTGGTAAATCGAGAAACTCCAAAAGATGAAAACAGCCATCATGGTTCCCACACAAGAGATCATGATGGCCGTAGTAACATGGTATCGATCAACGATCCATCCAGTCGCGGTGGCGCCAACAACAATGGATATGTTGCACAGAGAGACAGCGATAGTACCGGTGATGCTAGACCAACCCCGGGCAGCAGCAAAGGAGGGCATATACAGGATCGGCATGAAGTAACCCAGCCCTTGACAAATGTTTCCGGCCTGGAGAATCCAGAAAGCGGAACTCCTGAGAAAACGCATGTCGAAGCCTCGGGAAACTGGTGCGGCAGTATTTCGAGCGTTTGGGTGAGGCTTCAAATAGATCAGCGACGCAGAGACGAAGAGGAAGCTGATAATGGACCACGCGCGCATCGCCGTTCGGAAACCCCATCTGTCAAGCATCCACTGTGTTATCAAGGGAATGACCACACCCCCGGTTCCATCGCCCGCAATCATTACGCCGAATGCTAAGCCGCGGCGCTTGACGAACCAATCGTCGAGGTAAGAATAGACCGGGAAGAATAGCAGTGAGCCTCCCAGGCCATATAGAACTCCTTGCGTAACGAGCAATTGTGCAACCGAATTTGCGAATGAAGCGCCCACCATGCCGGACAGCATAATAGCAAAGCCAATCAGGCTGACGGTCCTACGCCATTCTGGATAACACTGGAAGAAGCCATACACAAGCGGCGATGTGAGATACATGATGCCCTGTGAATGCATTAATCCGACGATCTGGTAGTTTCTTAAACAGGGCAACTAACCGATCCTGTAGTGCCAATAGCAGCAAGGCCCGACACGTTACCGGCGAACTGCGGCTGTCGCGAATAGTATTCTTGGAAAACACCGAATCCGTACACAAAGCCTATTGAAGGTTGGTTCGATGACTTAACCAGATCGTTCAGGTTGTCTTCTTACCCCAGATCAAGGCTCCCTGTACAAAGACAGATGCCAGGACCAGATATGCATCTTTGCCACCATCTACCCTTGGAAGGTTTTGTTCGTTTGGGTCAGAGTCGACTTCAACCTCGCGAGGATTGATCGCTTGCAGTTCGTGGTCATCCATGACGGGGCTATCAGCTCAATTAGTCCGACGTGGTGACACAGGTTGAGTGGGAGCGAGATATCGAATCAGTACTTGCTCGCGTCGTAGAACTTTTGTCAGAAGACGTGGAATACAGATATATACCACTGTGGTGTGCGTCTCCAATTCCGTGGCCGTCAGGAGCGGTTTCGGAATAAAAATGTGACAACGGAGAAATCGGCCTTGAAGTCGAGACCCACCATAACATCTTGTAATTTGTGTGTGTGTGTTGTGGGTCAACCCGAAGTGGGGGTCCGGGGCGGCATACTAAAGTAGCTCCCGTCGAGGGAAATGAGACGGTCAGCCCTTTCGCTTTCCCTTTGCATCGGTTGCGCAACAAGACCTGCTCTGAACGACGCCAAGTCTATCCGAACGTCACATATCGAAAGAAAAGTCTCAGATGTCTCAGAAGCTGGACGCAAAAAGTGACCAGGCTATCACTTGTATTTTGACAATTATCCCTCCTCCTGGCGTAATTTTGCTAGAGGACATAGCCTTATAAGACTTTGAAATAAATCCAACTTTCTAGCACACTCGATCCTTGACCGTCATAGTGAGCGCGTTGTCGTATATAGCAATGATGTCATACTGACCACCACCCAGATACTACATTTCAATCGCGCAGTCGGGCTTGGAGACGATAGGAGTCATTTTATTGCGCACTGCATTGGAAGAGCAAAAATAGGTATACAAATGTAGTGGTCTTCACTTCAGACTGTTGAAACATTTGTGTTGTGGCTCCGTACTGAGTTCATGTACTGGATTTTGCCGTGGCTTGCAAAACTGCGCGAAATATCTTAATCGCTAGTCATATTTACAACGGCGTTAATAAACACGAATCGGTTGCGCATTCAAGATGACAGATCGTAGTGCTTTCAAATCGGGTGAGTGTAGTATAGATGTCCATCATTGGCGACACTGTTTGTGGATACATAGTCGCAGCGGCAACGACGGATATGGAGGTGGTAACAAATTGGTCTGAGAGTATAGCATCGACCCATCACAAAACGCATAGCATCTATAGTAAGTTGTCCTGCGGAGAGCTGGTAGTAACGGTTGCTCTGAGTCGATGTACCTCTGATGTAAGTTGTCGTGGAGTATGATTGGTGTAGTGATTTTCAAGACATCCACAGCTAAGCAGTCCCTCAAGGACTGTCCACATTCAACTAACCGTCGAGCCAATATCGACAATAGTCGTGGAAGCTGAGGTCTAAAGAGCTGCCCCGTTGTACGAACAGAAGCTGCACCGATGTGTCTAACATTTTTATTCATCCAGAGCCTGTGCCGAAAACTGCAATGCCGAAGACATTGCCGCACGTTTGTAGGAGTGACAATCATATGGTCTAAATTTAATCTCAGCTCGGACAATTAGAGTACGCGGCCATGTCGCCGCATACTCACCGCCCGGAAAGCAGTGGTGACTAAGGTGTGCCGGTGAGATGGCATCGAGTCAGATCCACGTGGTGGCGACGGGACCACGGGAGCCCGGGAGGAGCTGACGCCTTAGACGCCTTTCCCCAGATTCCCAATGACTTCGCACTCGCCGCCATCGCATGCCTAGTTCGTCTTATCCATTTCCAGTTCCAGCTCCAGCTCGCGTTGCGAGGACAGGGCTAGAAGCTTGGCGACGCGAAAAGTCTGCGATTAGTGGTCAGCTTAGCTCAGCCCCGTGCAAAGCCCCCCTCGTGCTATTGGCTGCTTGCAATGGGAGCTGCTTTGGACGAAAACTCGGAATCGGAGGGGTGGCCATAGGCTGTGGGTGTCTGGACTCGTGCAGAAGCAAGCAGAAGGGACTTACGAGTAAGGCTGTGCTTCCGCGGGGGCCGCGGGCCGAGCTTTCTCCTACAGCCCTACCCGGTGCCAATGAAATTTTAGACAAGTGGGCGCTAAGGCATTTACAAAGATAGGCTACACTCAACAACCGAGCTTGCGCCGCGTATGCGCCGTATATGCGCCGCATAGTACCTCTACGGAGTTAGGCGGGTATACAAAGGTAACGCTGTAGTCTGCCGGCTGATGCATGGCGCCGAGTTGTTGATTTCTAAACAATCTCTACGCTGAGCGACAGGAAATGCTTCGCAGTTTTACTGCTGGGTATTGCGATGCTTACTAGGTGCTGAGAGATGCAACCAGATGCGGCAGTTGCGCTGTCTATCGGCACAACACCGGCTGTACGTATGCACCGGCACGAGTGTTGACGTCGGGATGGAACAGCCATGCAGAAGCCACGCAGCGCGTTGAATTGGGTTGCAAGATTTTCCTGTTTCCCTGCATATGCGGACCGCCGGCACCAGCGCACGGCAGCCCTGCATTCCCATACTGCACCAGAGAAGGGAACCGTGGACGAGTGAGCACCGAACGGTCATTGGTCACGATTGACAAATGCACGCGACGTGATGTACCGACTGCAGGACGATTCGAGGAATGAGGCAGCGACTCGTCATGATCGGCGTTCCACATTCCCAAATCAACATCGAAGCGGAAAGAGGGTTCGAGTAGTTGACGCAGGGCACGCCCACTTTCATGCTTTGGGTTTTCCTGCCCCGCACTGCCCTGGTATACCTTCCAACCCGTGTTCTCGGATTGGGGGGCTATGACGCTAGGACACCTGGCGCCCGATAGAGGACCCACAGCCGTTGACGATCTTCAATATTGATATGCGAAGACGTTACAAGAAGAGACGGTTGTTCCAGCATCAGGGAAAGTGATAAAGTGTGGCCTGCTTAGAGTCCAAGCTACGAAAATAGAATGAGAGACGAGCCGGAATGGAAGATTCTGCATTTGAAGCGTGGCTTGTAGCATGCGATTATTCCCGAAGAATGTAGGACCAAGATGATGTCATAGGCTTTTAACCGAAGCTCACCACGACCTTGGCAGGTTTGAGCACCGCACGAGAACCTGCGACTGTGCAATGATGTCTTTGGAAGTTTTTCTTCATGTTGTATCGGTAGCAATACACCCGTAGCACTGGTGCGGTTAGTCAGTCGCTCGTTGCAGTGCATCTAAGACCAAATATGTGGCTTGATCGTCTGCACTGCCACAAGACCCTGCCAAGACGGCCTTTCCGGGCCAATCAATACTCACAATCCTCGTGGTTGTAGGTAGTAAAAATTGCTCCACCACGTTATTGACACCAACTTTGTTTTGACGACGGCTAAACGGCGGCCACATTCGGCACCCCCTTGTGATATGACTGTCGTTTTTCCGAATGCAGAGTTTTCTGTGCTTCCCGGCGGGCGCAACGACCGTTACAGGCCCGGGGACACCGCAGGACGCAGGTTCTCACAGTGCCATCTTGCACTACAAATGCATCTTTGGCGGGGTATCATGGCCGTTCCGTGCTGGCGAGCTGGAATCCCAGTTGACTGGTCTAAGGCGATGATCTTTAGTTTCACCAACTATGCTAGTGGAGATTTGGTGCGTGTCCAGTAAGCAGGTAGATGGTAGTCTATGTGCTTCTATGGTTGGCCACCAGCCTCAGCTAATGCACGTGGACACTCCATCTCTGACTTTGCAGTGCATTGTATTGCGCGTCCCGATAGTAGACGAGCTGAAAGGAACGTGTCCGGTACCACGAGGCCTCGCACCACAGAGGTACAGGTCACGCGCCATGACAGGTGACTGTGGAGGTCCAGAGCTGTGGCGCTGCATCTCGCAAGAGACTCCTTCCCTGAGGGCCTGTGGCCGTGCAATATTGTCGAGTGCGCTATGCCAGACACTGTGGAGGAGTTACCGACAAAGTCGCGCCCACGGCTCGCCTATCTTGCCGAAGTACTGGCAGTGTCCGTCTGCTGTAACATCTCGTGGCTTCTCCGGGTCTGACCGAATCCGTGCAGCACGGCCTCCGCAGACCGTTCGCTTGCTGTTCGATGCAGCAATACAGCGATCAGTACAGGGCTGCATCGCAGTGCTCCACGCCTATTGCTCGTTATATTTGGTGCAGCGCAACGATTTGTTGTCGGATGCAGTATCAAGAATTCGGATGGCAGCCGAAGACGTGCACAGCCCGCTTCGATTTTTACCGGGTTCTTATGCAGGGCCATTAGCGCGTATGCAGGCTTGTGGGCGTATCGTTCCAGAAGGGTTGGGCTGGTTGCCGAGCGCCGATCGTCCCTCCAATGGCGGCTGACCCCGGTTGTGGTTGCGTCATATGCTGTGGTATGAAAGAAGTCATGGTCCGCGCAAATTCAGCAGCAAGAAAGGCCGAACACGTTCGCTCAGCATTTTACAATCGTTCCGGCCCAAGCTACAAATCTTCCTAGCTCCGAGTCTCCGAACGTAGCCGGCTTCTTAGCATTCCACTGCGTTCCATACTAGATCACCTCATCAAGGACCGGCCTACTCTCGCCGAGTCATCAGTTGGTCATTCGTCCCCGGTATAAAGCATCTTGCCACCCGCCGCGGTCCCTTACTTTTTCTCCGACATTATGTTAGCACTACCACAAAGACGTCAACACCTCCCACAGACCCACTCTTCCGCTACGCTTCCTTCACCTACATCACCACAACAGCTTTCCTTCGACCAACTATCGCAACAACTATCCGCGCAACAACTTTACGACCAGAAGCTGCTCAACGACTACATCGAATCACAGCGGACGTTTGCAGACTCTAACATCACCGTCGACGGGGTCTCAAATTCGTTCATGACGGGCGCATACGACTTCAACCCGTCTATCAGGATCCAGCAATCGACACCAACGCCGCAGCTGCCTGCGGCATACCCCCCGTCAATGAACGCCACTGGCGCAACCATCAACAACAACTGGAACGCCTTCCAGAATATGTCTGGTAACACCCAGTCGTTGCAGGCACCCGCACAGAGCCGGACAGGCAAGACGCACCAGCGCGCGTCCTCTTCTTCGTCGGTAGGCTCAGCAGGCTCACAGTACCAGACTGTTGGTCCGACTGCCAGTTATCCGTACGTCGCGCTCTCCGAGAATTTGCCATCGAGCTCAGCTCTACTTGACTCATCAAACAAAGCTGACGAATACCTAAGAGCCTTCTCGACCGTCTCGAACCACCTTCCAACACCGACACATACTCCCACACAAGATTCCTTCATGGGATCTCATAGCTTCAACAATTACACACCGACGTCGACTGGCATGGACTCCACCATGGCAGCGCATATGTCCATGAAGCAAGCACTCATGGACCAACACGTTCCTGATGAGGATGTCCCAGGCTTCGCACACTCGGCGAGACAGTCAGTGTCGAGTTATGGTCACGACTCTCCAGCTACACCGCACACGAGCCATGGCGATGATTTGGACTTCAAGATCCCCCCCAACGGTGAGCCTCTCCGCAAGGTGGACTCGTGGCTATTCAATCAGTTCATTGCTTACGATGACGACGTAGACTTGCGACCAGTCCCAAAGTTCGAAAGGACGTACACAGATGTTGCTGCCGATTACTCGTTTGATCCGACTAGTGTAACGCAAACACAGTCGATACCTCAGGCTAAGCCAGTGGCAAACGCACTGCTCTCGCCCTGGCGCAACAGCAACCCCAACGACATTGTCCAGCGTAGCCTCCAGGCAGCACAGATGGCACGGTCACAGTCTCCTTCCAGTACGGCGTCACGCGGTGACTCACCATTCCGGAGAGGATCACCTTACAGGCAACCTACCAACTCATTCAACTCACCTCGCGGCGGTGTCGGCACGGCAGCAGCGGCACGCGAGCAAAAGGTTGAGGCTGATGCAGCTTACGCAATGAAGTCGCGAATACAGTCAAACGAGGAAGCCGTTAAGACAATCTCACCAAAGGATGCATTACTAGACTATCGAGAGGCCGACGATGAGTCCAAGGTACCATTGTTCCCAGATGGTGGCGCAAGCGAGTACGACCACCAATACAACGGTGGCGACCAATATAGAAACGCCACCCAATCCACCTTTGACACAACATCTGGACAGTCTTACCGGAGAGACAGCTGGGCGACACCTCAGTTTTCAGCAAATTTCCCGGCGTCTTCTGCTGGCACTTCGCAACCCTCTTCGACATTTGCATTTGCAGCGCCGTCGTTGCAAACCAACTATACCGACATGTCGACTTTCGCACCCACATCTCAATATCGCACGGCATCCAGCATGCAAGGCCCACCGGATTCCACTCCTGAGTTTCCGGCGCATCTCACATCTATGGAGTCCAGCGCCAGCGAAGCGGGCCTCGAGCCGGGAAGCCAGTCAAGTGACCGCTTGGTCAAGCCCGCAGATTCTAGCGCCGATAGTGGTACCTACACTTGCACCTATCACGGGTGCACGCAGCGCTTTGAAACTCCGCAGAAGCTGCAAAAGCACAAGCGCGAGGGTCATCGCAGTTCTGCGACGACAATGGGCTCTAGCATGACATCAGCGGCTTTGCTGGAACGCAACTCACAAGCGGGGCCTCACAAGTGCGAGCGAATCAACCCCACGACGGGCAAGCCTTGCAACACAATCTTCTCAAGGCCTTACGATCTTACCCGGCACGAGGACACGATCCACAACGCGCGCAAGCAAAAGGTTCGATGCGCACTATGTGTCGAGGAGAAGACCTTCTCCCGCAATGACGCGTTGACCCGCCATATGGTAAGAGTCCACCAATACAGCACTCGTCACTAGCGCAACGCATACTGACTTCCAGCAGCGCGTCGTCCATCCTGAAGTCGACTTTCCCGGCAAGCACAGGCGCCGCGGAGGTAATCACGATTAATCGCGTTGTCCGTCGGACGTGTTTAGCCCGCACTTTTTACAGAACCTGCCCGCCGAGCCCCGCGGCCCAGCCCGATGACGTTTCCAGAACGCGTCGATTCCTTCGACCCAGCAACCACCTCGCACCGCACGAACGGGCGGTTTTCCTCGGGCAATGCAAAGGCCGCCTTTGCACGAAGGCGATCTGTGTGATCCTATCTTTTACGACAAGTCGGAGGAACTCATTGCATAGTCGCGTTGGCCGTGGATAGTTTTTTCACCGATCCATCGTATCACTTTCTGACCTTGGCCGTGCGACACTTATGGCTCCGCCCAGCAGTCTCGTCCGTAGGCGTTCACCGTCGGTTTTCGCAGGTCGGAACCGAACGTGGTCTAGCTACCATTCGGACTATAGTCCGTTAGACCTCATCTTTTGTAATGCCGTTTCTAAGATTTGGCAAAATCATTTTTGGCTCAATTTATTTTCGCGTTCAGCGACGGAGTAATGATTTATGAGTACGAAAAGAGTCGGACATTGACTGGACGCGAAATGCTACGACCATTTAGACGGTACAGCGGCCGATGTTGCCTGCTTTGGTTTGGGGGCGTGATTTGAGCCCTTTCCATGTTTTTGTTACTTCTTCGTAATACCTCGCCAGTCGCGACTTTCCATTGTACATTTACTCTGTTCCATCAAAAGTCACTCTCCCGTCACTTTTCGATCGATCAAATTGCCCATCTGCCTCATGTACAACGTTCTCGGTTCCAAATACATGTCTACATCGTCCCCAAAATTTGTCTGTACAACTAAGCACATCGTCCTTTACCCATGTATCACACCCTGTACGTCCCTCACGCACGTATGATACCCCCGAAAGCAAGGGAAAGCTTGGTTGCACCATAGGTAGATAGTCTTTCGTCTCGAACGCTCTAGAATCATCCCTCAGCTTGCTACCACACATGCACTATCATGAACTTGATCGTAGCAACATCGCGCACTCCGTGAATAGCATCGTACGACACAAGATTAGAAGCTGCTGATGAACCCACGATCGCGATGCAACACAATCTAGACTCTCGCAAGGCTACGCTATGCAGTGTACAAACCCTACCCGTCGTATACCAATATTTTCTTACTTGCATCTGTGCGACGGCAAGCTCCAACAGCACGGCTGACCTAGCCTAATCCTCTCCTCCCTACGCTGTACACTGCTGCCCACCCTCCTACTCGGCGCACAGCGCAACGTACACTAACGCTATACACGCCCGCCTTGGAGCACCGCGACCCTACGCAGCTGAGCCTCGCAGCCGCATCTGGCCCCAGGGGCTCGCATGCTCATGCCGCATCGGTGGGATATGGCATTCTGGTGTCGTACCAAGGCCTTGACGGTCAGCACCTTATTCAACGATCTGGATCTAGACGGTTGAGGCGCGCGTAGGGCAGATGGATGGGTGTGGAACCACCGGGCACAGCCTCAGCCACAGCCAAGCACGTATCCTACGGTGGGAGATTTACGCGGTTTTCCTCGGATGGCACGCTGCGAGTCCACCCTCTGCCTAGGCACTCTGAGACACAAACACAGACACAGACACTATTGTCTTCCCGTCGTTCAAGCGTCAGGTGCCGCAGCTGCCGGCTGAGGTGGCATGAGGGTGAGATGGAAGTTGTGTGTCGGCCACCTTCGGCGCGATGCATGGCGTCACCACAAGACGGGCTTATCGATACCTTACCACACCCTCCCTGTCACCAATATAATTATCTCTTGTTCGTAAGGGTTTTGCCGGTGGAACTTCCATCTCCGCGGTCGCTGGGATGTATGTCTTCGTCCTCCTGCAAACAACGCAGCGCAGTATGAAGCAGGCAGGATGTTGCTTGTGCGGACGCGCGCAAGACGTCAGTATCGCGCGCACACGATACGATATGGGTAAATCAAGCGCACGCCGGTGCCATTGTCATGTGTTCATGCCCATACCATATGACCGGCCCAATACTCCGCCAATACGAACACTTGGCGCACGTATCCCACCCACTCCGCTCGTTTCATCGCAGTCCGCGATCCTGGGCGCTCAAGGACAGCGCGCTACATCACCGGTCACGCACGATCGTCACAGTACGAGGCCGCCGGATGATGTCGTATCATGATAGCATCGACAGGTTTTCAAGGGAACCCACACGCGGGGGGAGACACCCTGTGCTGATCGTGACGCTATCGTCGCGTGACTGCGGGATCCTCGGAGGGCAAGTATCACGACCCTGTCGCATGATCTAGCCCTTGGGCAGAGTGGATCGAGTGCATCGAGATAGGGCCTTTACGTTGCAAAGTGTCGGGCGGGCTGGTTGGTGCAATGAGTGGAACTTGAAATGATGTGTAGTTGGGATACACGTGAGTCAGAAAGCGTATTGGGAGCACTAGATGAATCTCAATACAACGGTCGTCGCGATACCGACCTGCCTCGCCTCGAAGTGCACGGTAAGTAGGTATATCCATGCGTCTTCCTCATAGATTATTCGTGGGACTGGGGTGCTTCCGTATCTGTATTGGTGAAATGTCATGATGTGAACGTTGAACTGCCTGGGCAGGCGGGGTGGCCTTCTTTGGATTATAGTAGAAGTATAAGATATAGGATGCATCGGGTTTTGAAGCTTTTGTATGAATAGGAGCTACATACATGCTGCAAAGGTCATGTCGTTGCAATTTGTTGATGCGATTTTTTCCCCCCAGAAATCTTCCAAGTATGATAATCTCTCCGCTTGATATGGTCTAGAAAACTTGATCAATAAACTTGAAAGTCACATTCTCGCAAGCTTAGACTTGTAGCAGTACCGTGGTTCACCGCTTCCCCGGGCTTGGTTCCGTTGAACTCCAGGGCGCTGTTGATTCCCCCGTAATCTGGCACTCAACATACAAGTCGGTGTTGCCTAAAGCAAGCGAGTTTGAATCTCACCAAGCATACCTGTTTGAGGCATACTTGGCTGTTTACGCTCACACATCTCGAGTCACTACACCAACGCTATTCTTTCAAACAATCGAGAGTGACCACTGTAGCAGTAGCAGGCGCTCCAGACTACCGAACAGGGCGGATCAACAGAAGTTGCGACCACCAGGTCAGAAACATGGTATACACGGAGCTTTGGAGAGAAACACAAGTCTGCGCTTCGATCATGTCAGCCGTCAAGCGTCTCGAAGTGTCAACCCGGCTGGTCCGCCACGCTCTGTGAACAGAATACGCTGACTGATAACCAGCAACTACTGAACGACTCTGCACAATTGATCAATGTCAGTCACGGATTTCGAGCAGAATTCTTGCAGCGATACTACGACTGTATTCATTTCGATCTGTCGAACGTTTTCATCACGAAATACGGCTACTCAGCCTGTGCCCATAAACTTTTGGGTCTCAGCCTATTCACACGCGCTGGCATTCAAGTCATACCCTACTATAGCATTCATTTGTTTCTGGGATTCCTTCTCTGGCATCAGCGCCGCATGTTAGGATACAAACTCCACTGTTCATGTCACGCGTGCTGGTCGAAGGCCCGGGTTAGTTCGGGTTCGCCCGTGCTTTACTGTAATGCCGGAATAGTATTGAAAGCTTAGAGATCAACCTGAACAATACACTTTCTGTCTTGTTTGCCTACGTAGCTTAGCAGAAGCCTCACTACCGACAGCGATTCCTAATCATCTTCGAAGATACGTGTTCAAGCTGTGCAGTCCGACTCTGCTTCCAGTACAAGGGTTGTTCGAGAAACGGCCTCAGGCCCCGGCCACAGCTGTGCGAGGGCAAAACGAGAAGATGTCTGTATATGAAGACGAGCGCAGGGCGAAGTGTTACAGGGTTTCCTGTTACGATCCTGCCCGGTTTGAAGCATCATGTTACAAGAGGCTGAGTAGAGAAAGCGAATGATAGAAGAGGTTCCCACGCCGCTACGGAGATTGTCAGGACGTACTTTCGATCTTTTGGCATTGAGAGCATTTGTGTTTTTGCACCTTGCGGAGTTCATGCGTGCGTTTTGCCGCGTGATGAAATAGTGCGCGACGTAGCAGAATCTGGAGCTAAGGTCTACCAAAAGCTGGTGCAGCGAATTTTGTCACTGACTGCAGGAAATTCATGTAAGCAACAGACGTCCAATACAGAGTTTCCTTAATCATTCCAATGACCAACGTGAACTGGTGTAACAGGAATAGCTTGCAACCTCATGTTCAATTCGTGATTGCGCAAGAAGTGTTTTTTTTGTGGTGCTTGAAGCTGTCGCAATATCTTGATTCATCGCCGCAGGAATAATCGATCGATGTGATTCTTCAACAGAGGGCAGGGAATGCTAGATACTGCGCATGGTAATCCAGTCTGTAACACTCGTGGAGAGCGAGCATCCTACTGTTCAGAAACTCAACATAAAGACGACAAGGCGTTTCCAGCCTCAAGCTGTCTAACTGACGAAGGTACTAACTCGAAACCGAAGTAAACAGGTACGTATGATAGTTTCCCAAGCTTGTTCTCATCCGCTGGCCATTGCTTCGCACACCAACTCACGCTATAGATCCAGCAGAACAAGACCCTGATACCAATCACACCCACCGACATATACCACTTCCTTAGTATCCTTGAAGAAGCAGCATTTCACACGAGAAAATTCCGATCTACCGCGAGAAACCAGAGGCATGATATATCACCACGCTTGGGATCACTGCGCTTTCCGGCATCAATGACATTGTTCTTCCAAACCAACAATCCATATCGACATGCATGTGGAGTATGGCGAGCCCAAGCCCAAACATACTTCAGAGCTCGAGCACCCTCATCTCTCGATGCGGATTCGTGCCAACTCGAGGCTTGGCCCTGAGGCACTCGAATAGTTTGATCGCTGCGCAAAATTGACGGTCACATTCCCACCTGCATGGACGTCCAACACGCATCACCTGGTATCGGTCTATTTCCGCTACTCAGAGAAAATCGTGCTGGAAATTCCGAACATACATTGCGCACAGAACCTAACGTTACCGGTCGAATGTGTGCATGTTCACTATGTATAACATATCTATCTTGGAGAACCTCAGGGCAGCAATCAACTCTCATCTGCATTGCGTTTGCTCCGGATCCTCCATCCGCTAAGAGACCTTCACATGCAGTTCTGGTGGAGAATCCTTACTCGTCTTACCTCAGCTATGCAAGGAATAGCAGGGGCTGGTGCTCGATGAGTGGAAGCAAATGGTCGGAGCGATCTCCGCGCACAAGCTGCTTCACTACATGATCACGGTGATGGAGGCCGGGATGTTCTGTATTGCAACTCGGTACATCGAGCAACGTTCCACGTTGAGTCTTCCAGCCGGGGGACCATGTTTCCACTCACGTTCGTGGCATTTAAACAGGATGCTAAAGGGCCCTGACTCAGCGGTGGCATTTGACGCAGGCCAGGCTGATACGCACTCCTGGACGGAGTCGGGGACGGCTGGCCAGGCTGGTACGAACACTTGGCATCGTGAAGTGGTTCGCAGGCGTCCGAGATATATGGCCTAGCTTGGCTCTGTAAGGGATCAAGTGTGGGAATGCGCGTTATATGTACTTCGGCCGAGGCGGACGAATTAGTTGTACTCCTTAAACTAATTTTGTACCTTTACTGCTTTTGTGTTAACACATGTACACTGCATATGTGAGCACACAGGTAAGCTTGTAAGGCTTACCGAAAGTGTTGCGCTGCGTTTGCTTGAGGAACAGGTGTATCTTGCAATGTTCACAAGTCGGGAAAATCGAACAATTGTTGAAACAATCGAACGAATTGTCACCACGATATTTTGAATCATAATCGATGTCGATATGCGGATATGAAAGGTGGAGTATGGTGAAACAACGATAAGTTGTTCGTTCAGCCCTCAACAAACAGTGGTTGCATCAACGAATGAACCGGGCCGGCTGCTCATCGTCTTCGTTGCGATCTCCGTGCAAAAGCTTCGGTGAGACTGCGTGCAAAAGCGCGACTTTCATTCATCAAAGAGTAGAACGCACGCTGAAGGATGTTGCAAGATAACCTCCAATTCGTTGATCGTAATTTTAGCGTGCTGCCAAGAGCTCACGTGAAAGATTTGATCGGACAGCGCGGAAGCTACGACGGAGCGATGACGATCCTGCCAGCCCCCGGAACATTATCAGCAGAACAAAAACCTATTCATGGCGACTCTTAGACACCCTTGATTCCATTGATTCATTCCTAACACCAGACCTGTCGCTCCACAGCCCTCGTTAGCGCGGAGTTTAACCGATTGTTGAGTGGCGACTGGAACAACCATCATGGCGGACCTTGCCCCAAAGCCATCGGGCTTCCGATCAAAGTTCGGATTTGGGCGAAATAAAGATGCAGCGCCCCGTGGGAAGCTTAGAAAGAAGAATTCTGCCCAAGCAGAATTTGATGTCAACAGTGTACATTCACGCGACACTGCAAGAGACGACGGGAAACTACTACTCAACCCCCAGGAAGCTCGGCGTTCCGGTAGTATCACAACAACGCTATCCAGATTAAGCACCGATTTTACGCCATGGAGGAACAGCTCGGAAGGTCGTTCACAGTCTGTTATCTCGAAGAAAGATCCGCGAAAACTCCAGAAGGCATCCCACCAAGCGCCCGCGCGCTTTGAATTGGACAAAGATACTGGTGAGCGCAAAGATTTGACAGAGATGATGCATGCATTTGGTTTCAGCGAGAATGCCGAGGACACCGAGGAGCATGTATATGTGGAAGAGTGGAAATACGATCCTTCGCAGCCTGACGGCGCCACTTTGCTTTCAAAGTTCTGCCCTGAGTTATGGGGCTTGGTCAGTGACTATCTCACCCCTCTCGACATTGCTTATTTAGCTTCCACATGTCGTGCCATGCACGCTCGACTGGGTGAAGTGGCCTACGAACTGCTGCGCCATCCGACACACCTACCGTATCGCATAGAGTTCCTACTCTCTATGGACAAGAAACTCCCAAACCATCTCTTCTGCTTCCCTTGCGCGAAGTGGCATGTGCGCACGACTCCAGGTCTGGAGAAACTCAAACCACCAAGAGTACTGAACCCCGTCTACGACTGTCCAAATAGCACGAACAATCTAATGCCACCACCCCGATTGCGGATCTGCGACTCTCGCTGGCTACCATTTACTTTCGTCCAACTCTACAAGCGTGCTTGGGAACATGGTCCAGGCTACGGCATAAATGTCCACTCGCTAGCCCGGAGATTCAAAGACGTTGAATTAGGCTGGAGTCACGAAACCATGTTCCACATACACCCAGCTAACGGTCACGTTTTGATGCGAGTCAAGTCGCAAGTCTTTGTGGAGGGCGGAATGCAGCCAGCAGCGAAGCGCCTGCTCCTCTTCACTAGGAGTGACTACACTCCATATTTCAGCGTTTGCGCACACTGGCGCAAAGGACTCTTGACATCAATACCCAAGTGCGCTCTAGATCACATACCAACCCCGGAAGAGAACGTTTACATGGCCACATTTAACAAGATGAGACACGCCAAACTCGTTGGTCCTACTGCGTTATGTGGTCATTGCCAGCCCATGCGTCGATGTGCCGAATGCCCCACGGAGTATCTTTTCGAACTGAAGCTTGTCGAAGATAAAACAGTGCAGAAGATGAGTCCAGAAAGGTTCAGGCAGGTACTCCTTGTGACGCGGTGGAGCGACTTAGGTCCAGCGCGCAGCCCTCGGGACCCTGAGTGGGCTTCTGTGGTCGGCGAAGGCGACGGCTATGATAGTTTCCGAGAGATCGGGAAGCGGGCTGTAAGTGGCATTTTTGAGAGTGCATTCACAGACACGACCCCTAGGGCGCGCATTCTGAGTCTCAACCCGGCGGGGCTTCAAGATGGCGGGGATGATGGCGATTGGTATTAAAAAAACATTCAACGATGCATTGGAGCGTCTCCTATCCAATCGTTTCAAGCCTCGGTACAACAACAGGCATATCAGTCGTAGTGACACTCGCGATAATGATCTACCGCGGATGAATTTTTATCAACGCACGTTAACCACCTTAGTTTAGTCGGTTCATCTCTACAAGCTCAAGTCCATAGCTAGTCTTCCTGCTCGTCCTCCCCAAATCCCTTCTCAATGGCCAGCACCATATCGATATGATCTTTCGTCAAAGAGTTCCTATCCTCGAGCGCCAACAATTGCGCCGTCTTCACTAGATTCTTGATCTGCCTCCCATTCAACGGCACCTCGGCGAGTTGATCGAGCTCTTCCGCCTCGAAACGCGACCCCGTCTGGCCAACAAACGTACTCCAGATCCGGCGTCTCGACCTGCTTGTCAAGTTTGCATACTTCATGTGCACGTGTATCCGAGACTGGAATGCCGCATCGATGTTGTCGACGCGGTTCGTCGTCAAGAAAAGCGTCCCCTTGTAGTATTCCAACAGGCGCAGGAATATGGAAACTAGTCTGTTCCTAGCCAGATCGTGTACGGAGCGTGCTTCGAGGAAGACGTCGCACTCGTCGATTAACAGGATGGCTTTCCACTTGGCCACGATTTCCAAGACGTTGTTCAAGTTATACTCTACGTCGTTGGGACTGGTGCCGAGGTCTCCGGCTGATAGCATGTACAGCGGCACCTTCATGTTTTCGGACACGGCCTCAGCCGTCAACGTTTTACCCACTCCTGGTGGGCCGGAAAGTAGCAGAATCATGCCTTTACCTTTGCCAGCAATCACGTCATCGAAGTCGTTAGCTGTAGCAGCCTGAGTCTTGGACAGCGCCAATACGAGCTTCTTCTGGGCTGCTGGGAGGACGAGGTTGTCGAAGGCCTCAGTGTTCCACTTGATGGACTGGACATAGTCGACGTAGAACGAAAGCCACTTCTTGACTGTCAACGAGTATCCCCGCAATATCGGCGTGCAGAGCATGCACTGGTAGTCTGTGAGCTTCGCTGGTCCTACTCCGGACTCTTTCTTCAACGACAAAGCTGTGTTTAACTCTGCGGGCGGGCTCCAGAAAGGATCGTCTTCGGGATCATAGTCGTCCTTGTCGTCGCCATCATCGTGTGTGGTGGTCTTGGCCTTTACTTTGCTGTTCAGAGGTGCGGTGTAGACCTTGCACTGGTATGGCTGCTTGCAGAAACTGTCTGTGTCGATGATTATGCGACCTTTGTTATGCACGAGGATGTTGCCGTCGTCCGTTCTTTCGATCGCCGGGCCGTCGTAGCTTCTGTAATGATAGCCGGACAAAGCCGCAAAGCGTTTACCGCGTTCAGTTAGGGCATGCTTCAGATACTCTTTCTTGGGGTGGAAATCCAGCGGAAGGATGCACAGCTCGGCGATCCGTTGGATGCCCTCAAACTCTGGCAGCTTCACAGACTCTGTTACCCAGCCAAAAGACTTGCCATTCCAGTCTACAGACTGGCACTTCAGGTTGAAGAAGTTTCCTTCGTCCGTTTCTTGGTAGGACCCACTCTTCAGCCTGAATGCGATCTGTTCTTCAATCCCAGTGGACGATACCACAACGGCATCCGGCTGGAATATAGTCCATGCGTGCTCATATGTCACGACGCCATGGTCGACGTAGTTTTCTAGCGCTTTGATCGTCTCGGCACATTCCTTCTGCAAGATGTCGCGCAGCAAGGTTGTGTGATCTCTCGTGACCTGATCAAGTCTGTCGTTTTCCAGATACTTGAGAATGGCCCCCCATCGGTGGATGAACGGCGCGAAAGGAGCCTTGAAAACTAGCCGATCCAGATTACAATAGACGCCTGGATATCCGTCCAGAATATCTGCCAATGCGGTCTTCAGAGCTTGGGATTGAATCACAATCGAATGGATCTCGTATCCTTTGCGGCTGTCTTTGCTCTTCTGTTGGCGGAGGACGACCGCATGCCCTATCGTGTCCTTGCCTTCTGCCGGCTCCGTATCTTCAGGTTGTTTCGCCGTCCAGCTATCATCAGGCGAGCCGCGATATATGTTGGCCGACGAAGTCAAAGATCCTGGTCGAACATTGCTTTTCGTTGCGTCTTCTTTGGCCTCTTGATTTTCGTCTTTCTTGACTGAACTTGCGTCCGGCTTATCGACTTTTGCAGTTGACTCATCGACCACGCTGCTTGCGGACGAGGAAGATTCTTTCCTCACGAAAGTGTAGCCTAGGTGATTTGCGAGAGCTTCAAGCCCAGGTGGAGTCTCTGTGGTTTGTGACATTATGATCCGCTAGGAATGTCGGAGGTTCAGCAGCTGGGCCACAAAATCACTTTAAATAGACATCGTCTCACGTACACAAGTCAATTATGCTTTCAGCTTGACTTGACTACCCGTCTTTGGATCTTGGCAAGCGTCGTGGTTGCCTGTGGTTTGTTGCCTGTACTCTCGCCCAAAGAGGGAAAGTGTCGCTTCTCATGTAGCTTCCCTGGTGTACACGCCACCGCTCTGCCAAACCCCGTAACGACAGCCGCCGAATCAAATGATTTGCGACAGGGATGCCTAGCACGTAAGAGATCATTCGGATAGAGGTTGCCTGTACCGGTGAGATTCTCGTTGAGTACCAGGGCTCTTTGCCCCCATTCTAGAAGCTGGTGCCTTGAAAGCCTCAACTTATAGACTGCTCGGTTACGAGTCGCGTAGCATTCCTGCCGATAACGTTACAGTAAGTGTTATCGTTGGCCCATCACAGGGCTACCTGGATTTATACGGGTTGATCACTCGTAAAGCCCGGACCCAGTATTACTTGGCATACTGTCGACACTGACACTGGCCCAGGGATCGGTGCATGTGGATTTCGCTGCCGCTGGGAGCAGAATGGATCGTGAGAACGAAGGATGAAAGGAAGAATCTGCTCCGAACGCGACGTCCTACACCACGCCTGCGTGCTTGTGTCTTCGCTTTATAAAAGAAGATGGTGTGAGCCAAGTCGCAGCATATATCAATACAATCAGGTAATGAAGTTCGCCAGACTCGCATCTGTTTTGAGACAGCCTCAAAAATGTCTAGTTTCCTTAGTTTGGTCGTACGGCCGCATATCGCATCAAAAAATCCTCGAACGTTCATACATGCGATAGTTGCGCATGTTGCATGCCCATGTCACTACGTGGTAGAGGGAATCCATAAGTGTGATTCGTCAACTTCAAAAAGCTGGAGCAAAATGTCCTTCCATGGTAATGAGGCTCTCATGCATTGCCGGCCGGCCGAAGATGACACCGATGCCGTATCTGCGATCGACGTCGAACACTTCGAATATGGCTCGATGACAGTCTTTATCAAAGTCTTCCTCTTTGGAGTATTGTGCTTTAGTGTCAGAGTATCTGGCGGTAAAGGTTCCTTCCGTGGTCGCCGTCCCTTCAGGCGTTTCCATGTAGCGACGGCGTCTCACATCATCATACTCAATGCAGTATTTCTGAGCCAGAGTTCGACTGAACAGGTTGCAAGGATAGTTGTGATCGACCCAAGCTTCGACCTGTACAAACTCAAAGCTCCCGCCTTCAAGTGGGACCGCTAGGGTGATGGTTCGCCCGAGGAATGCTCCCTTGATATTCATAGCGATGTATATCAACTCTTCTGATCTTCGCCAATGGAGCGGCACTGGGAGACCTCCAAAATCTTCATATCTGAAGAAGATTCCCCCATTCCCTTTCATCAGAGATATGCTGAGTAGTGTGTTGGAATCTTGGCTCAGAACACAATTTAAAGGCATGAAGATTTTTCCATTTGAACTGTAGAGCAAAGTCTTGATCTTGAGTCCTTTGTTCGTGACCTTAAATTCTGGATTGCCACCAATGGATGTTTGCGGTCTGATGTATTGCGAACGTGAAAAGTATCTCGGGTGCGGAGCAAGAACACTCGTGATGCCATTCATCCGAGGTCCCGGATTCATCCAGGCCAATATTGTCAAATCATTGGTCTTCTTAATGATCTCCTCTTGAAGTCTTTCGAAAGCGCACATACCACCTTCTCCATATAGCAGGGGTGCATTGATCTGGAAGAGACCAAACAAACAATACGCCGTGTCTTCTTCTCGGGTCGTTTGGCGTTTGGCAGCCCAAGCCATCTTCTGTGCTACACAGAACTCTTCTACTTCTTTCCTACCGTCTAAAACTTCGGTAGGCACACCGGTAATGCTTGATAAGGTGGAGGCCAGTTCTTTGCGAGTGCCGAAATAGGACCATGTCTTGTCGTAGAAGTGGACGTCCTGGGGGGCGAGCATCTCCTGGAGGGTCCAACCCCTAGAAAACCATCGACACTCTGGGAGGCTGCAAGCAACTAAAGTTTCTACCGAAGATCTGCTTACATCGCTTGCCAGATAATCATTCAGAAAAGCATAACAGACCTGCGCTTTCGAATACCAACTGTACATGCTGTTAATTGCCTCACTAAGTTCCGCTGAGCTACTCTTGTCGATGCAACAGCTATCAATCCACACGTAATCCAGCTCGTCTTCAAGCGCGCGGTCACAAGTGTCGTAGATCTTCTGGGAAGCCTGAGGATACTCCTCGTGCACGTGTAGACTGTAAAAGTCCTTGAATGGAATCTCATAGGCGTCCCACGTATGCGAGAGTATAGCGTACGGTGGTATCTCGCCCAAAAACTCCTCGAAACGTTTTGTGTGGGCGTTTATCAGCCTCATCTCTGGGGTGGAATCGTGGTACTGCCAGTGCCGAAAGCTTGTGGGACGTAATGAACCCTGGGGCCGTTTAAAAAAGGTGAAGAATGCGCTTTCAAAAGTCGTGCGCTTTATTGTGCTGCGTCTGAATGTAAGTACAAGGTCTGGCGGGCACTCGGCTGCTGAAGAGAAGTGAGCTGCGCAGTAGGAGCTGAGCGGCGGCCAACCCGTGTAGGAAGCGCTAGCCAGATTGGGCCACTCGATGAAGCTGCCAGTTGTTCCTGTCAGTCGCGACTCAGACTATGAGGGGCTTACTCTACCCGACAGTCTACCGATGACCCAATGTGGCCTGGGTACTTGTCACAAACATCGCCAGACCTTCATATCCACACTCAACCGCCGAGCACTCAACATGGACAAAGAGGACAATGATTCTTATTCTTAGGAATATTTGCACACCAGTCTTTTTCTGGTTTCCCAAACCACATGCCAAACTCAAATTCCGGGTATCTGAAAGTCGTGCTCGAAGCTGTTAAAACAAATGGGAAAAAGCACAAACGACGCCTCCACACCCCTGGGCTGGTTTCTCCCGCCTGTTTCCGTTCTTTTCCCACCGCAAGCCTGCCTTCTATGTACCGCCGCAGCCTTCTCGATTGATCTTTGTCGTCGAGGGTTTCTCCTTGCTCAGTCTGTCTTCCAATGCTGCGTGAGCCGACCATCGTCGTCTTCCTTGCTCATCTTCAACTCGATGGCATACATGGCCATGGTAATTCCGAGGTTGATCCACCGCCAGAGATTACCTCCTGTTTCGCCGCCTTGGCTCTTCCACCACTCGCCTTGCACAGCGCTTCCATTGGCGTCTCCATTTCCGCTTGCAAAATGCTGCATGAGTAAACTCGTGTAAACTGCTATTATGATACTTGGGCTGAACCAAGTAAGGAATCCCAAGATTTTGGTGGTGTCGTCTTCATCATCGAGACTGGGTTCTTCTGAAAGAGCCCTGGCGCCCGACTCGCGTATCGCAGGGATGATGCGAGCGGCGGCATAGAAAACGAAGACGCGGTAGGCGAGCGAGATGATGACGGATAGAGAGATGGTCATTATGGCGCCGACCATGAGGTTGTAGGCGGTGTGCATGATGGTTGGTAGCGAGCCTAAGGCATGGAGAAGTGTGGTGTACGACGCCATTATGATTGGAGGTAGCGGAGGTAAGGCAGGGTCTGATGGTGCATCCGCAGCGACCGAGCCCGGTGCCGGCTGGTAGTCTGTGAAGATCTGGTAGATGCATAGGGTGACGTAGGCGAACTGCAGACGTTAGCTGGACTCTACAGAGGATGTAGAGGAAACGTACGAGTAGGGATGATTCCACTGGGTTGCCCTTTCCGCTGACAATCCCCCATGCGCATAAGAATATAGCGGTGGTAATGGCCACGCCAATGAGAATGGCATCTACGTTGCTAATCTCTGGGAATGTGGTGATTCGCCAGAGGAAATAGACCGAAGATGAGATGATGGAGGCGGAGGTAATCAGGAGGCCGATCTATGCGTGGTCAGAGAAGCTTCCAAGTAGTCGCAAAGTCCTCCTTACCATCCAGCTGTCGCCCCGCTCTCCGTTCACAACCCATCGCGTGACCTGGCCCGAGGCCTGTATGACCAACAAGCTGCAGAAGCCTTCGAGGATCTGGAATACTGGCGTGCTGTATCTCAGGACACTATCCCAAGCGCCGATTGTTGCGGATTGCAACAACCCCTCTGCGCCGAATATCCATTCGTAGACACTGGTGTCGTCGGATCTCTTCCCGCCAAACGTCCGCTCCACCCATCCCGAGCTGTTGTCTGCGTCGATGGAAAACTTGTTCAGGCTCCAGATCAACAGCGTCCCGATCATCAACCACTGTGTCCACGCAAAGAGTTGACCCAGCGCCCATCTGAACCTTGAGTTGGCCGGGGTTGCCAGGCGCAAGACTGAATACACAAAGTAGTATGCGCTAAGAGACAGCGAGAAGGCGAGCCCGCATGTCCGGCCGCCAATGTCGAAAGCCAGCGGTATGGTGAATATTATGGCGCCGAGGAAACATGTCGAGGAGAGGACGCGGGTGAGCCACATCTGCACGTCTTCCTCGCCAAGCTCGTGCAGAACGAGCTTGGTCTCTGACGTGCACTACGGCGTCGTGGGGGAGGAACGCGCGCGGACGACGCGCAGCCTGCGCGGGAGAGTGCGGACGAGGTCGAGCGGAGCAGCGTGAGAGCTGTCGGGCGGTGGTCGAGGCAGTCGAGGCAGGACACGGCGTGTCGGGATGCTGGCGACTGCTCGTGCTTGGCGGCCTCGGTGGCTATCTTCACGTGTCAGAAGGCGGTCAACGCAACGGAAGCTCCACACGGCCTCGCGGGCTGGGAGGCTGCGGGGAAGCGGCGGGACGTGGTCGGGCACAGGTGACGGGGAGAATCGGTGCTCGAGGCGTCGCAGGCAGGCAGCGTGCTCCGCGACAGGAACAGCAGGGCGATTGGCTCAACCTGCTGGGTGGATGTCGCGTGCAGGCCGGGATCGCTGAGCGCGACCGCAACGCGCGCCGGGGCTGGAGTGGAGATGGGGATGGCCGGCGGGATCACTCACGGAACGACGCAGGGCGTGAAATGGTCACAGACGTGCACTGGTCCTCGCAGCACTCGCACCGCGGGCAGCAAATTCAAAAGGACAAGTTTCTGGTGTCGACATGGCGTGGGTGGAGAGCTCGCTTGCCTGATCCTGCATAGCGCCTGCCGCTGGCGATGCACGCCGACGCCACAGCTGGGCCCGCTCCGCCCGACGCTGCTGCTGGCCGCCGCCCGTGGATTTTCCGCCCTCGAGTCCTGCACCTGGTGAATGTCTGCCCTGCGAACCGCCTTCACCCGCGCACGACAGCCTGCCCTCCGAGCCCGTCCCCGCGCCGCCACAGCACCCCGAGCCCTGCCCAGCCGTGCCATAGCAGCCTCAATCGCTCCCCTCCTGCGCTCCATGGCAACCGGGAGCCCCGCCAAAAGGCAGAAGATGGACGGCCCGTTGATTGGCACCCACAGGTACGTCTGAACACACCAACGGGTACGCACTGGCCGTGCTAATCGATCCACCCAGCGGCCACTTCCACGCCGACGAGGCCCTCGCAGTCTCCATGCTCCGGCTCCTGCCCACGTACAAGAACTCGCCCCTCGTCCGCACGCGCGACCCCGAGATCCTGAAGACATGCCACACCGTCGTCGACGTGGGCGCTGCGTACGACGAGAACGCAAGGCATTTCGACCACCACCAGCGCGAGTTCACCACCGTCTTCCCCGGCCACTCGACCAAGCTTTCCTCGGCTGGCCTGGTGTACATGCACTTTGGCAAGGACATCATCTCCGAGGTGACCGGGCTCCAGCCTGGTGCTGACCTCGACATCCTCTACGAGAAGATCTACACGGATTTCATCGAGGCGTTTGACGCCAATGACAACGGTGTCAATGTATTCGACCCCAAAGCCGTCGAGTCCGCGGGGCTCGCCAAGAAGTTCGAGGACCGTGGCTTCAGCATTGCCAGCGTTGTCAACCGCTACAACTACTCTACCTCCAAGGGAGATGACGCCTCCAAGAGCAAGGAGCAGCTGCAGCAGGAAGAGGACGATCGCTTCAGCAGAGCGTCCCAGTTCGTCGGCGAACAGTTCTACATCGAGCTGACCGACCGCGCCTCTGCGTGGCTTCCTGCCCGCAACAATGTCAAGAGAGCATATGAAGAACGCCTCCAGTATGACTCCCAAGGTCGCATCTTGGTTCTTCCTGAGGGCATGCCCTGGGCGGACCACCTCTACACTCTCGAGAAGGAGTCATCCATCCCCGAAGGTGTCGCACCGCAAGTGCTCTACGTCCTTTTCCCCGAGTCCACCGAGCCAGACACCAAGTGGCGCATCCGCGCCGTCAGCAAAGAGAATGGCGGCTTCCAAAACCGCAAAGACCTGCCCGACCCATGGAAGGGCGTCCGCGACGACCAGCTCTCCGAGGTGTCTGGCGTTCCCGGTGGTGTCTTCGTCCACGCTGCTGGTTTCATTGGCGGCAACAAGACTTTTGACGGCGCCTTGGCCATGGCCAAGAAGGCTTGCGACTTTTAGATGACTTGAAGTCGAACTTTTGGGGAAGAGAGGGGGCAATATGGACTGGCCACATCATCAAAAAGTTCTTTTGGTTACCTGCATACAGCATGGTCTGGCGTTTGGGCATGGCATGGCTGGCACGATACCACATGAATGTCATGGTTAGATACCACCTTTTGAAATAAAACGTCATCGTCGTGTCGACGATTGTTCCTTTTGCGTGTTTCAGGCCGGCGGTGTCACTCCCTGAATGCTTTGTGTTCCTCCTAACCTGGCCTGAGTCGCTCTTTGAATGCTTCGAGTCTTTGTTGTCTGACCAAGGTCCCTCTTTAGTACCAGAATGACGCGCATGGAAGGCGATGAGTATGTCAGCGTCGATCGAATTTGAGCCGCTTCACCAATAGCAATACAAGAATACTCGCTCCCCATTACGAAAACAAAACGAGTGAATTCAGCAAGCAGTCTACACCTCCCACCTTGCCCCGAACCCAACCTAGACGAAACGCCCTCCAAAGCACCCACCTCGACTCGTCCCGCACACGTGCACGTGTCTACCTAAGCAGTCATTCCCGGCAGCGCCTTCAGCCACCCATCGTGGCTCTCGTTCACAATCTCCTTGGCCTTGCACGCGTTCATCTGGCTGACGCTCTGGCTCTTGAGCGGCTTCCCGTTCTCGCACGCGGTGAACATGCACGAGGAGTCCATGGCGCGCTGGAGGGCGTCGCCTTTCCAGCCAAACATGTCTGTGTGGATCCCCCGCGTTAGCACAGTTTCGAGGCAAAAGGTAGGGCAGAAGGCGAAGGGAGGGGGGCTCACAGTCAGCATGCGTGCCGTACGCGTGGCCGTCTTGCCCGCCGTAGCTGAAGACGAAAGGGTTCGAGCCGTCCTTGGGCCACATGTCTTTGAACTCTGCCGTGTCCTGGGCACCGTCAGTGTGCTGGTCCTTGATAGAGGAGGCGGGGACAACATACCCAGAGTGTCTCGTACGCCAGCTGCGGCACTCTCACGGGGTGGCTGCTCGGGCAGGCAGCGCCCGCGGCGAAGCCTGTGGGCTGCGTGTCGTACATGTGCGCTGTGTCTCGTCAGCACGTAGCTTGATTACCTAGTCTCCGGTAATGCTCACCTTGGTGGTCGGGGCTGTCGAGGTTCTTGCCGTCCCAGCACGCAGGGAAGTGGTGCTCAGTCATGATGCCGCCCTTGCAGGGCTTCTTGGGGAAGTCATCGATTTCGGGGAAGCGCGTCGACTTGGTGTCGAGGCAGGTGAAGCGCAGGCCTTTGTGCTTGGTCATGCCGTCTTTGCCTTGGGTTGGGCTGCCGACAGTCATGCGGAAGCCCTAGTACGCAAGTCTCGTTAGTGACTTTCCATCAGAAGATACCCGACATATTTGTTAGGAAAGGAGTGCCACGTACGGGCGGGAACGCGGTGATCTTCTGGTTCCCGTTGGAGTTGAAGTCCTTCTGCGTGTAGTAGATTGTCATGCCGCCGTTGATGCCTGCGGGGAGAGCGTCGTTCTCCATAATCTTGACGCGCTTGTAGCTGCCGTTGGTGTGCTTGAAGAAGAGCACCGCGGTCCAGTAGTTGCTGAAGTCCTCGCTGAAGGTGCACGTCGTGCAAGTCCCTTGGTTGCCAATGTCTCCAGTCATATTGGGTCCAAAGGCATTGCCACCGACGACCTTTGCTGTGGTTAGCATGGGAAGATATGGTCTGGAGATGACGGGTACGCACCTGGTGCAGATGCGCTGACGGAGTGTTTCCTGGCTCAACAACCGGATCGAGGCGCTGGATAGTCACCGTGCCGCATCCGAAGCGGAGCGCAGCCTGCGACCGCTGGAGCAGCGCGACAAGAGCAAATGCAGACAACTTCATCGTGTCTTTGACCAAACCCTAAACCTCAGCAAGGAGTTTCAACGTAGTGACAGGAAGAGATGCCAAGGGAGGGTAGGGGGAGCTTATAGGAAAGCTTCGGCGCAGGAGCATGCAACGAAGCAACGCGAAGAACGGGTGCGTAATTGCCATGCTTCTCGCCCATCATGGTTTGGAAGCTTGATGTTGGGAGGATTGCTGGGATGTCGTGGTGCCGGGTATTTGAGCATCATCTAAACAGAGTGCGGATGAAGCTTCACCCCGCAATTCATCCTTGATCGCCCATGTGGGTCTGGGAAACTTGATACGTCAGGCGAGTTCCAATATGAAAATGGGGGTTTCTGTACGGTCAACGGTTGGTTGCGCAGGCAAGATCCAGATATCGATGCACGTTGAAGTGCGTTGATAGGCTCGCGGTGAGATGAATGCCGAACCTTGTCACTGCCGGACGCGATCTGCCGAAGCTTCTAAGGGGCTGAAAGTTCATCTATACATATTGGGTAGTGTGGTTAGACATCTACATCGTTGGTACTGTGCGATTCTTCCATTAGCACGAGCGCAGCGGCAGCTGAAGTTCGGTACTTCCTAGATAAGGTGGATGCCTTCGAGAAAATCCCTACTCCACTCGCAGGCGAATGGCGCTTGTTCCACTGGAAGCCGTGTATCCCGCGAACTGACGTTGCTTTGTACTGGATACTGGTGTATGGCAGCAACCGCAGCGTAGGTCTGTCATGCTTCTTCTCTGAGTGACCGAGTGGAGGCGATATCTAGAGACTTTTGATAACCATTCTTGATGCGTGGTTGAAGTCGTATTAGCACGTTTCTCGGCATTGCGCAAGTCCATTATCGACATCAACTCAGGACCAGTCAATTCGAGGCCCGATAAACCTGTGAAGCAGACAGCCACACCTTTACTGCTTAGATCACAGCTCGTGGTCCGGGGCATGCCTATGCATAGATGTGATCGATCGAGACATTTCGTCGGGCATTAATGACGTGACCATTCTCCAGCCGTCGGGGTTATCAGCCCGCTTCTGTCGCCCTTATTCAATTCCCCACGATTAACAAATCAGCATATACAGTGCACCCGCTAGTGATAGCGGTCGGTCGTGGGGAAACGTGTTGAAAGTTGCATTCCTCGCGCTGGGGTGATGTGGTATCTTCGAAGCTTTCATATCCGGGCTGACCAGCTGACCTTACGTTCATGCAAGAATGCCTGCGGCCTGCCTTTCCGTCGTTCCTTGTCATTTCACCTGAAGTCCCAGGCCGTTTTCGCGGCCTAGATTCCGAACTGCCTCTCCACCTCTCTTCTCTTTTGCTCTCGCTCCAACTCCTGTCTCCGCTTCTCAGCCTCCTCGGTGATCCCCTTCTCGCCTTTGAGACGCTGCCTCTCTTCGTATGCTGCTCTACTTTTCATAATTCGCTGAACAATTTCGCCTGCGTTGACATGCTGGAAGTTGTGGTTCGCGATCTCGCGGTAGATGTTGAGGTGCTTAGCTGGGGCATACGTGTCGTAGGACAGCGGCATGAAGGATGTTATCCCATGGTAGACGGCGGCAGGTGTGCCGTAGGGCATGGTGGTTAAGAAAGCTTTCGATAGCGAAAACGGCGAACCAAAGACAACTGCGTTAATGTACTGCGTCGTTATTAGTCGCATGTCACGCCGCCGAGTGATTGTTACGCACCTTGCATTGCAGGACACACAACCCGCGCTCGAAGATGTTCATGATGGGGTAGTTGATTCCTTTCCAGGTGTTGATGACCTCGTCGTCGTGGATGCCAGCAACCAGGAAACTTGGACCGTAGTCTCCTCCGTGCTGATCTATGCGTTGCTGTCGGGCTTCATCGGTGTACCATCCTCGCTCCTTGGCAAGCTCTTCCTCCGTCTGCGTAACGATGCGCAGGAATTCGATGTGTCCCGAGGAAAACAGATCCCAGCCACCATCGACGTATACGATTCTCTGCCCCGGGCGGACGCCCTTTCCTTCCACGAGCTGACGGAATTTCCCCTTCTCTTCCTTCACAGCATGATGGTGCGAGCCCACGTTTGAGTCTGCACGAGACTCACCCGGCCGCTGGGGGTCTGCGGACGAGCTCTGGGTCGTCCGTCTGTACTTGGCGGGCCGAGAAGCATGCCAGTACCACACATCGCATCCCGGTGCCAGACCCGTGGCGTCGGTCGCATAGTCCTTGATTCGCTGCAGCATCGCCGCTCCCGTCTCCTTCCGCTCGTCTTCTCCACCAGGGCCTTCTTCGCCAGCCAGCATCTTCTCTAGCGACTGTATAAAGTGCGTCTTGGTGCAGAGCAGCATGCGGCCGACAAGATCAGTCGTCGAGATACCGGGCGTCCGCTTGACGACCTTGAAGCGCCCGGCTGCCTTGACATAGCGGTAGCAGTCTTGGCCGCTGCTGTCGGACGTAATGTCATCGCCGTGGACGACGTCCCAGCAGCCGTAGTGGGTGATCCAGGGCAGAGAGGTGACGTAGGGAGCTTTGGGGATGGCGCGCGTGGCCCAGCGGCAGGCTTCGACAGCCGTGATGCTGTGCGCAAGTCAGCCAACGTGGACGGATTTGTTCATGGTATCGCGGGGCTCACCGCTCGTCCAGACGCATCACGGTAGGACCCTTGTTCTCGAGGATGGCTTCGTCTGAATGGACGCCGACAAGGAGCTCGGTGCCCAGTTGGCGGGCCTGCAGCATGGCACCAGCATGGCCTGGAGTCGTGTTTAGCTATGTCTAGTCGCAGGCGCGGGTTGCGCACCGTGATGGGTGAAGTCGAAGCAGCCGTCGACCCAGATGCGGCCCTTGTCAACCTCGACGTCTTCCTGGGGATCCACGGGCCAATGCCCCTCAGAGGGAATCCATTCGCCCTACACATCTGAATCAGAAACCATGCGCAGTGAGAAGCCTGTGGCGTGCGGACCTTTGCGCTCTGTCTGCGCATCATGGTGGGGTCGGTGTGCGGGGTAATGCGCGACGAAACACTGGACGGCAGCACTGGGGAGCACTGTGAATTCGTGCAGCGCCGTGAGGTCGCAGGAGCAGAGTGAGCCCCGGTCCCGAGGTTGGATGGAGCGTACGCGCACGCGCACCGCTGGGGCTGCTAGCGATGCTGCACGTGGAGATGAATGTCTTGGTACGGCCCTAGGAGCGATACGTAATGCCTCCGCGAGTGAGGATGAGAGCGAGCGACAGGGTCCCCAGCCCAAGCCGTCGCGGACCGGCTCAGCGCTTGTTCCTGCATCCGACCGGGGCCGCGGTGTCCCTGAGCAGCCCGTACTGGCGTGCAGCAGCCCTGGAGCCGTCGCGCGCCCGTAGTCGCGCGCGTGGGGGACGGGGACTCGAGTGCGGTGCCTGAGGCGGCCTTCGCAGACGCGGTACCCCGTGTGCATGTCCGACGGCTCCCTGCTATAGCGAACGTCGCCTCGCATCGCCGCACACCGCCCTCTCCGTCCTCTCCATAGCCCTCCCTCTCTGCAGTCCCCCGCCGCGTCCAAGCCAGCGGCCAGTTCAATGGTGCTGTCGGCGGCACCCAACATTTAGCATTAGCCCCTGATTGATCGTCTCCCGCCGGCTGGGTCTAGGAGGAGCGCAGGAAGCTAAAGCCCACGTCTAAGAGCCATGGCCGAAGAGCCGCTCCCCAGCGCTGCCGCTGCCCAGCAGAGCATCTTTTCTCGCAGGCCCTCCTTTTTTGGGGGACGGCACAGGCACAACCCGCCCAAGACTCCCACTGCGTCCCAGCAGCTGCCTCCGCCCACGCGCACCGCCGCCTCCCCGCCCACTATCAATCTCCCGCCCGTGTCTCCCATCGGCAACGCGGACGCCCTGCTACCCAGCCAATACGAGTTCCCCCAGAAACCCCCCTCGACACCGCCCCGCCGCAAGCACGCTTCGCGCCACAGCATCTCGTCGACACTAGGAGATATTGGTACCACGCTGCAGCGGTCACGCAGCGCGAGCCTGCGGACAAACGACTCGAGCGGCACCACCAGCAACGCTTCCACGTCGCGCACGTCCTCGCACAAGAGGACGCCCTCCGCCAACCTGGCCACCTCCCTGTCCCCCGAGAAGCCCTCCTCCCAGCCTACCAATGCTGCCGCCTCGCGCCCGGCCTTGTCCATTTCGACCTTCGCGCGCAGTACTAAGCAGCGCTCGGCGGAGAATGTAAGGCCAGACACTGCTGTGGGGGCCGGCAGCCGCCAGGGGTACGACAAGGAGCCTCTGTCAGCAGTGGACAAGCCCAAGACGCCCTTTGGCCGCGCCAGGTTTCCCTCAAACAACAACGATCCTCCGCCCTTGCGCCGCCAGGACACCGGCACCTATGGGGGCAGCACCATGAACTACAATGCGGGTGGACTGGGCCCCGCGGCGCCGATACCGCTACCCACGGGCGCGAACCCGAACATCATATTCCAACACATACAGGAGATGGCTTCGAAGCGCATCTCGACATTAGACTACCTCCGAAAAGCGTATGCTGCCCCTCCTACCATCAAGCTCACGGCTAACCCATGTCAGGCACGAGGGCCGCATATACTGGTTCAACACGCTCCTCTTCTCCCGCACCGACCTCACGCGCCTTCCCTCCTTCACGCCACGCAACCTCGCCCGCCGCGCAACACACTACCTCCTCCTCGGCTTCTCCCTCCCCACCATCCTCGACCTCAACTCCTCCAATCCCACCGACTACCTCAAAGCTCTGCTTTCCTTACTCATGGAATTTGAACAATACCAGAGCATACACCCAGCCGACGGTTCTGCACCCAGTCTTGGCCGGGGGAGAATACCGGGCATGCAGATGTTCAAGCGGGTAAATGCTAGCGTAGGTGGCAAGGGCAGGAGAAGCAGCTCCGCAGCTGGTACCGATTTTGCCGGCCTCAACTTCAACGAACCGACAGCGGGCATGGATTCGCCCCCTGACAACGACCTGCTGTTGCCTAACGAATCGTATTTGTACCTCCAGACGCCGAGTCTGCCCTTCGATCCAGACTTCTTCAGCACGTTCGCGACCCTCTGCGACGTGCTGATCGACTGCTACACAAAAATCTTGAGCCTACTCAGCACGCCCGAAAGTATCGTACTTGCGGGCGGCGGCGTCCCCAGTACCGTGGGTGAGCTGTTCAATAAGGCAGACGCAAAGGTGCGGAAAGTGATACTAGCAGGCGTAGTAAGGGAATTTGAGGAAGGCTGCCGCGGCGGCGTGCGTGCCGAGGTCGGGGGTGTGGGTAAAGTGGTGCTCGGAGGGCTGATGTGAGCGCTTTTCCTAGGCGAAGCATTTGTGATGATGGTTATGAACAGCATGATATCCGGGTGTGCATTGTACAAGGCGTTTATACTTTCGATTCTACATACGCGGAATCGGCATGTTCGGCTAGCGCTCTTGCGAGCAAGTGAGCGAGCTGTAATCGATTGAGTTATCTTTCAAAGTCAGAACTGAGGAGTTGAGCTGTAAAAACGGCGTATTCTACATGGCTAAAGAGTGATGCATAGAAGCTGCGGAACTTCCTCATCCTGGATTTGACAAGGATTGATTCTTGTCATGATTAGGAGATTTAGGGAACAGACGATTGAGTCTTTTGATTAGGTGCAGAAGAGGACCAGATAGCTTAATAAACTCTGACCTTGTATGCTGACCAAAGTTGCCTATTCAGGCAATCCCGCGTACCCATCTAACGCTGCGACTGAGGTTGATGTCTTGCACTGCTTTCGCTAGCGTCGTGATATTGGCGACGCCAGGGGTGCTCTTACCTAATTGGCCAACCGCACGAGCCACCTTTTTCTCTCGAAAGCTCATCCACAATCGATTGCGGCATGCGCCCTCCACCCCACGTCTAACGCCAAAACCACCCTCCCGACGCCAATCCTTCATTAATCGACCAAACAAGAAATCAGACTAATTGTACCAAAGTTCTCGTTAACTTCGAAACTTCAAGGTACAAAGAAAGAGCTAGAAAAGATGGATATTCGCGTGTTGAGGCCGGACGACATCCCGCACGTGCAGTTGGCGAACATCACGAACCTGCCCGAAAACTACTTCTGCAAATACTACTTGTACCATGCTATGAGCTGGCCGCAACTGAGCTATGTGGCTGTAGATGTAAGTTGCATCTTGCTCTTCTCAGCTGGACTGCCTCTTCTTTCAACAATCGTTGGCAGCAAATATGAATGTGGAAGACACAATTTTACTCATTATGCTTTTAGCTGACAAAAACAGGTTTCTCGTGCTCCAAAAACACCTTACGACCCACCAAAGATCGTCGGCTACGTGCTGGCCAAGATGGAGGAGGACCCCGCCGATGGTATTCCCCACGGTCACATCACATCCCTCTCCGTGATGCGTACGCACAGGCGCCTCGGACTCGCCGAAAAGCTGATGCGTCAATCCCAGCGCGCCATGGCAGAGACGTTTGCTGCGCACTACGTCTCCCTGCACGTACGTGTCTCCAACCAGGCGGCGCTCCACCTGTACCGGGACACGCTGGGCTTCAAGGTCGACAAGATTGAGGAAAAGTACTATGCGGATGGTGAGAACGCTTACAGCATGCGGATGGACTTGGGCGATCTTAAGGCGCAGCTAAGGTTGAAGGAGGATGGCGAGGAGAGCGCTGGAAAAGATGAAGGTGAGGCGGTGGGCGATGAGAAGGGCGAGCCCGAGAAGGAGAAGAAGAGACTGGTCAAGGTGGGGAGGCAATTAGGTGTGGGAGATTTGGTGGAGAGAAACGAGGCTGCGGCTGCTTGAGGCAGTGGTTCTACGGGATAGAGTTGAGATGAGCTCAGGCGTTCCCCTAAAGATTTCGATTGAGCAGGCATGCCTGATGGACACGATTCACATTTAACAAGTGTCAAGTGCACTCAGGGTTATGCAGTAACAGCGGCATCGTCACCAATCAACAGCATCGTGAATATATGACTGACACAGTCTATTGCTTATGAGGGGCAGATCTAAGGGAAATTTGTGGAGATCAATAATCATAAGTCATTTAAAGTTAAAGAGTCTGCTCCAATGCTACATACCTGTGGTATACGGCCACTTCGTGCCCTTGCGCTGGTTGAGCCACGTGATACGGCGTTTAGGCTCACGCGCCCTTAGCTCCGTTCTTGCGACCCCAAATTTCGACGCGTCGCTCCACCTCATCACACATATATTATAACCAACGGCTACACTTGCGAGAACCTTGGGTCTTCTGCCGGATCTTGCAGCTATCCAATACCTCTTTTCATAATCATCTTTAATACAACTGATCTTAATCTTGGCAATCTCGTCCATCACCTGTCAGTGCGATGAGCTCCGCACTTTCCTCGTCAGCCGCAGACGGCGTAGGCGACACGACCCTCTTTATTGCCACGGCAGATTCCTACACCAGTGATGGACCCACGCTGCCGATCATTGGAGGCGCAGGAGAGCATTCAGATTGGGTGGCGCCTGACCCAGAAGATCGACAGACAGAGAAAGACGCGCTTCCAAGGCCAGCGAAGAAGCAACGAGCCAAGGATGACCTGTCAAAAGACTCAACCAATCCGGAAGCTACTTCCAAAAAGTCAAAGGTTCAGGTCGAGGGATTGTACCAACCCTGGACATTGCTGCCTGTAGAAGTATTGCAACAGGTCGAAAAGAGAGTGGGTCGAGAATGGAGAGCAAAGGCCGAGGTGGTGGTGTGGACAAAGAACCAGAATGTCAAGAGCGGAATCAATCGCCTCAAGAGCCTACTTGGTTTCGAAGAAGCTCCTGAGACGGGCGAGAAGAGTGGGCGTGAGGTTACAGGAAATAGGAAAGACAAGTTGATCGCGGTCTCAGCGTATGGCGAGGGTACTACAAAACTAGTGGGCATTGTTGAGATGACGAAACGAGTTGTCGATGGGGCCACGAAGGACTCGAGTGGGGTGACGTGGTTCATGTACACGGTCCTCAGCAGCACGACCGAGAAAGACGTCAAGAATAAGGCACCGGTGCTTACTGTATGGCTCAGTCCTACGCGTATCCCGGAGCTGAATGTTACTTTCGGGGAGCAGACATTCAAGGTTAAACGCACGACCGGCGTAGATTGATGATATATTACTTCCAACGCTTCCGGGGGACTATCTACGCAACCATCTGCATCTCCTCAACCCACCAAAAGTACCAGCTTTGATAGCCCTTACTCTTGGCCATCTGCGATGTCGAGACGAGCAATCCGAAGGTTAGTCGCCCGCTCGCTACCAACTGTGGGTATTTGACACGCGCTTCGGATCCGATTCGGACACCCCATCCGACCCTGAGATACAGCCCATGCAACGCGCGTGACTCTATTTCGCATACCATTTCGGGGTTGTCCGTTGGTGTGTAGTATTTATGGTGGTTCGTTGTCTCAGGAAATGGCGGCTCGTTTCCGCATGCAAACATAAAAGCGTACAGTATGCGACTTAATGATACTGGGAGGCGCTCTTGCGGCTATGCATATATACTTCGGGGATATCTTCCGACATAGTGATATGATCTCCCGAAGAGATTCGTAAGCGGTGGGTTGGTCTGCAATTGGCGAAGAGCTGGTTCGCCGTATGTAGAAGGAGCCTGCGACGTAGCTGGATTTGTTTGGGCCGTGGAAGAAGTGTCGTAAGAAGAAATCTGCACGCAGGAGAGCCGAGACTGCTGTTCCTCCATCACGAAATATAAAGTCGCAGGTGCGTGTACCGCTTGTAGCGTGGGCAGGAATTTGAGTCTAAGTCTTACGGGAGGAAGAGTATCCACGTTTGCCAGCACGAGTCACGAGATCGTCTCGGACACAGAAAGCGGCACACCGCATCTACGTATGACCGATGTCGTTTTACAAGGCCAATCATGGAGAATGTAAACCATCCGCGGATAGGAACCGTTTTCACGTACCTGGACAATTAACCCCCCACGCATGCTTCCACCTCAAACCACCTATACCTTCCTGCTACCTCCAAACCCGTCCCTCTTCCCTCTACCACTCTAATGTCCCCACTCTACCTCACCACCATCACCCTCTCCACTCAATAATATACGACCCTCTCCCTCCCGCTTCCTCTCAACCTAACACCATCATACTCTCCCAACACCACCGCCGTCGTCTCGTCTACCGCACTCGAAGTCCGCACCCGCGACGCTATACTTACCCTCTCTTTTAACAATGGGCTCACGGCTTTGCACTCCAGTGCGTCGCGCGCGAGGGTCTCGGAGGCGTACGCCATTATCATGTTGCCTTTGAGGAGACCGATGGGCGGTTGGAATGGTGGGAAGGTTGCGCTCATGAGTGCGAAGGCTTGCGTTTGAGGAGGGCAGGGAACGGAAGGGGGTGCAGAGGGGCAGAGCGGGGTTGAGGCCTCGGTTGGAGTATTGAATGAACTGAGGAGGCTTTCCGTAATTTGTTGTGGGTTTCTGGGTTTGAGTATGCGCGTTTGGGCGAGTGGGATGAGGCAATTTATAGGGCATGCCTGAGCAGAAGGTTTTGAAAGTTGATGCTTAGGGGATGTATTTACTCAAGAATAAATGCCTGCTTCCGTATTGAAACTTTCTTTCTTCATTGTGGCCTGAGGATGTCGGGTGCATTCAACAGAGCTCGACCAAATGAAAGGCGGGAATTTTGTACTTTTCGTGATTTGGTACCCCACTGAGTTCCTTTCCTGCGTTTTGCCGCGACTTCCAGAAGTACGCGAAGTACCACACACAAGGAACAATAATATCTAATTGACCTAGTAAGTACCTAGGCATCTTTTTTTTTAGCATACTTGCCGACATGAAAGTCAACCGCCATTGAACACAAGTGGCCTCTACACTGGTTCTTTGTGGGTTTCAATCATGCCAGGCATGTTGACGTGGGTTTGGTGAAGAATACCTGGACAGCGAGGTCCGCTGACGAAGGAGTCCGAGCCACGCTAGTTCTCTTTCAGGAACCCTAGGCGTACCAGGGTCCTCTCTTCCGCACTTGTACAGCCCCTTCATCCTCACCTATCGCGTTGCGAGCTTCATTTGGACAGTACTTTGTGTTCCGATAGGCGCCTCCTGAGGCAATTCACACCGATGAGGATTATGGTTCCGTTGGCCTCCGCCATCTGCGTCAGCTGCATGCGTCAACACACTACATTTGGGGGCAGCTGGCCCTCGGCCGAGCAATGTTCAGGGACGTCGAGTACCATGGTGCTCCTTGAAGGCTACAGCTTTACGTCTTTATGGAACACTAAAGAGGCGATCTGCTGCAGCCTCGTATGAACCCTGGCGAGGCTACACCTAGCTCGCTCTAGCTCGCTTCGACGGTACCTACGAGCCCCCATCCTTTGCGTCAACCGAATCTTGATAAAGTATATCTAGCATACGCAGGTGAATATACTCTCTGGTTGAATTAACTACTTTTCGTATCTTCTTATTCAATCTCGTATCTATCAACCTTTCCACGTTTTTATCATTGAGCATCCCCACAATGACCACTCCTATTCCAAGCCCACCAGCGCTGCCGCTTGTCGGCAATCTTCTCAACGTGACCGGTGCACAACCTGGAGAAAGTGCACTGAAACCATTTGAGCGACTTGCAGACGAATACGGTCCGATCTACTGCCTATGGCTCGGCGGGAGCGAACGCATCGTCGTGGCAAACTATGCACTTTTCGAAGAACTGTGCGACGAAACTCGCTTTCTCAAAACGGCGGGACAGGCACTGGAAGGACTCAATGAGCTACGCAACACCGGGGCGAGAGGCATGTTCACTTCTCCAAGCGAGAAAGACCCGGATTGGGGACAGGCGCATAGGATCTTGATGCCGGCATTTGGGCCTTTGGCCATACGGGATATGTTTGATGGTACGAAAGATAACACTGGTCCTAGTCTCAAGAAGATACTGACGTGATATACTATAGAGATGCACGATATCGCTAGTCAGCTTGCGCTGAAGTGGGCGCGTCTTGGCTCTGAATATAAGATCCCAGTGACCGAAGACTTTACGCGTAGGTCTCACGCTCGACATGTAAGGTTCCAGTGACTGAATACTTTACTTGTAGGTCTAACCTTAGATACTATCGCCATATGTGCAATGGACTACCGGTTCAATTCCTTCTACCAAGATGAGATGCATCCCTTCGTGCAAGCCATGATAGGTGTGCTGTCCGAGGGCGCCTCACGACTGAAAACGCCAAAGTTGGTGCAAAAGTTCATGTACAGGAGGAACGAGCAGTTGAGAATCGACTCCAAGTACCAGATGGACGTCGCAATAGATCTGGTGAAGAGGAGGCGAGAGCATCCGTCCGAGAAGAAGGACCTTCTCAACGCGATGATCCATGGCAAAGATCCAAAAACTGGAGAAGGGATGCGCGATGACTTGATTGCCGCGAACATGATCACATTCCTGGTTGCTGGTAGATTACTTGCTGTCTCTAGAGGAATTGCTGCTTATCTACTGCAGGACATGAGACTACGTCAGGCCTACTCTCGTTCGCGTTCTACTACCTACTCAAGAACCCTGCGACATACTTCAAAGCTCAACGAGAAGTTGACAATGTGGTCGGCCAAGGTAAAGTCACAGTCGACCACATGAAGCAGTTACACTACATCGAGGCTGTTCTGCGGGAAACGCTTCGGCTTGAACCTACAGCGCCTGCCTTCGTTAGAGGACCGCGACCCGAGAATACGGACCCATTTCCTACCATAGGAGGTGGAAAGTACGCATTGAAGAAAGATTCGCAGGTTATGTGTTTGCTTGGCAAGATACAGCGCGATCCCGCCGTTTATGGAGAGGATGCGAACGAGTTCCGACCGGAGAGGATGCTAGATGAGCATTTCAATAGACTGCCAAAGCATGCATGGAAGGTGAGTTGAATCTTGAGATTGCTCCGACACTCCGGCTTGAATACTGACCCTCGTTTGGCCATTCGGAACTGGGATGCGTGGCTGCATCGGACGACCATTTGCCTGGCAGGAAGCGCTTCTGGTCATGGCTATCCTGCTTCAAAACTTCGACTTCAGGCTGGACGATCCACGATATGACTTGAAAGTCAAGTCCGCATTGACAGTGAAGCCGGACGGACTGTTTATCAGGTCTTCGATGAGAGCTGGAATCACAGCTTCCGGACTGCAAGAGCGACTATCGGGCTCATCAGGTATGATATTAGAAAATCACTCTTGCTGAATATTGCTAATTGTCGTTGCGACTCAGACGGATCAAAACCTTCGCCTTCCCCTGACGACATATCTAAGTCTTTGAGAGGGATGCATGTCAGTGCTTGTTCGAGACGGAAGATGACCATCCTTTACGGTTCCAATACCGGGACGTGTCAAGCATTTGCGCAGAAGCTCGCCTCTGATGCCCATGCGCGCGGTTTCGATGCCAAAGTAGCCGACATGGACTCCGGCGTCAATTCTCTGCCAAGTAGTGAGCCAGTGGTGATCATTACAGCGTCTTACGAAGGCCTAGCTCCTGACAACGCTACTCAATTCGTGAGCTGGCTGGAGTTTCTGGATGATGTATCAGCATTAAGCGGTGTCCAATACTCTGTCTTTGGTTGCGGCCACAAAGACTGGAGCTCCACATTCCACCGGATACCCAAGCTGGTTGATTCAGAACTAGAAAAGTTAGGTGCAACAAGAATAGCTGAGCGTGGGTCATCCGATGCTTCTCAAGGAGATATGTTCACCGACTTCGAAACTTGGGAAGAGAACACCTTCTGGCCTGCGGTCACTGCCAATTTTGGCGCTGCTCCCGCATCTGCGCAACCTATAAGAAAAGGTCTCGACATAGAGATATCAACATGTGCCCGCGCAGTACAGCTGCAGCAGAACGTGAAGAACGGCAGCGTACTCAAAGCGTGGGTATTGACAGCCCCGGGGGAATCCGAGAAGCGCCACCTCGATATCAAGCTTCCGGAAGGGATGACGTACAGCACTGGTGACTACCTTACTGTGCTGCCATTGAACCCCGATGCTAGTGTTCACCGGGTACTCAAAAGATTCTCGATTCCTGGAGATGCAGTGATAACCATCAAGGACGGTGGTCCGGTTACATTGCCTACAGACAAACCTGTTTCTGCGTACGATCTTCTGAAGGGCTTTGTTGAGCTCTTACAGCCTGCCACGAAGAAGGTAAACTTCAATTTTTTTTTATCCCCTGCACTTCCGAGGCTAATAAAAAGATACAGGATCTACAAATATGCATCGAGCAGACAACAGACCCACAAGCCATCAAAAGTCTCGACATGCTCCACACATCCCTCTATCATGCAGAAGTACTAGCGAAGCGCATCTCCCTTCTCGACCTTTTGGAGGCTCATCCTGCGATTTCTCTTCCATTTGCCACCTTCCTTTCGCAGATGCCTCCGATGCGCTCGCGACACTACTCCATCTCTTCGTCTCCTCTACGGGACCCTTCTGTCTGCAGCATAACGTATGGTGTTCTCAACACCACTTCGCTAGCCGGAACGTCACATTTTCAAGGCGTGGCAGGCACCTACCTCTCCTCTTTGGGGCCAGGCGACGCTATCCAAATCAATGTTCGACCTGCGCCACCAGCATTCCACCTGCCGGCAAGCCCGACGATCCCGATTTTGATGTTCTGTAATGGGACAGGCTTAGCACCATTCCGCGGATTCATACAGGAGCGCGCAACCATGCTCTCGGCAAATCCAGATGCACGTCTCGCGCCTGCACTGTTGTTCATCGGGTGTCGGTCTCCGACAACAGACGCGTTGTACTATTCTGAGTTCGCCCAGTGGGCAAAGATGGGCGCTGTAGACGTGCGATACGCATACAGTCGTGAGTGGGGACACACCGACGCCCAGGGTTGTAAGTATGTTCAAGACCGCATGTGGAAGGACAGTAATGATGTGAGTGAGATGTGGAGGGCTGGTGCGAAAGTGTTTCTTTGTGGCGGTCCAGGAATGGTAGAAGGTATCAAAGTGAGTGCAAAACGAATCGTGGAGAACAGCATGGGCAGTGTAGATGATGAGGAGGTGGAGAACTGGTTCAAGGGACTTAGGAACGAGAGGATCGTGGTGGACGTCTTTGCTTGAGAGGTATGGTCAATGGCGATTTTCTCCCTGAATGATTGTCTCGCCAGCTTGAGCGTGCACACCACCTGCCTGAATCGCTCTACAAGATGGCGGACGTAAACATGAACACGTCAGATCCTTCAAATTTGGATCAAACACGACGTCAACGCAACGTACATTCTCTACTAATTGTGGAATCGACAGCATATAAATATTTGTGGTGGGATACAATGTATATCTTTCCTACCTACCAAACAGCTGGCACTCGCCAGGGGCTTCCATCATGGCGCTTAGTACAATCGTTGAGCTTTCGGATTTCATTGCGATGAATACAGGCAAGGTGGACGTGTACTCTTGAAAGAATGGCCGCCCATCGCTGTCCTTCGAGCCGTTTGCCTCGCCAGATCTACCATTGCTGTCGGAAGTCACACAGGCGGAGGCTGTGCTCGAAGCTTTGGACGAGCGGCAGGCCCTACTGATGGGTCCGATGCCTAAGATATTCCATGAACTGATACATACCGTACGCATCGACCCACATTCCCAAGAAGATATGGTGTTCTGGCTGGAAGGACAGCCCACAAGCTTGACGAGCCTTCACGAAATTATCCATCTCAGAATCGCGAACTTATTTGGTCTGACAGAAGTCCCTACATTCTCTAGTCTAACAGAAACATCACAATTGGATCTCGCAGAGACCGAAAGATTGGTTCGACACGCCGTGGCATCGCGTGCGCTGCTCGAACCCTCTCCGGGCGTTATTGCGCACTCAGCAGAGCAACGCCATCGCCAACATGGTAGTGGCCCGGCTCTGAAGAGCCAAATCAGACAGTATGGAATCCACCTTACCGTCGACAGTTTCTTTGCTAACTTGGGAAAGAATGAGGCAGCGGCGAAGCGCTTTGCAGACTCCATGAGCTTCTTTCGAGTGGAACCCGGAATTCAGGCCAATCTCATAGTAGACAACTATATCTGGGGACAGTACAAGTCTATCGTCGAGTTGGAGGTTGTAATGGTGCAATTGCCCTGTAGTTCACCATGCGCCATCTTGACATGACAGCTGTTGTCCTGGATTTACCCAAAATCATATTTGCTGCACCTAAGTCATCGGAGCGAGTCACCTTCGAAGCGAACGACTTCTTTGCACAAGAATCGGTGCAAAAGGCCGACTTATATCTTTCCCGGATGATCTTTCACAACTGGGGAGACAAATACTACTCCCAAATACTTCAAAACCTGATCTCTGCATTGAGGAAGGGGTCCAGGATTGCTATCAACGACCATGTAATCCCATCGCCGGGTGTACTCAGTCCTTACAAGGATTGGACAACGCGAGTCGTTGACCTCGTGATGAAGGAGTACTTCAATGCGAAGGAGCGTGATATCAGTGTTTGGATTAAGCTATTGAAGAAAGCGGACGGGCGATGTGAGATTCGAAATGTGATTAGGCTAGAAGGATCATAGTTCTAGATTATTGATGTGGAGTGTACTCGAACCGTGCTCGGAACTTACAATTCCAGTAGGAATTTGTTTTTAAAAAAGAAAATTACGAATACTGCTTCTAAGCTGGAAAATTGCAGCTGCTATCATATATCGAAGGATAAGCAACGCTGGTAGTACTTGAATTCCCATACGCCAGTCTCACTAAGCTCTCTGTACTTGAGCTATAGGCGGGCCAGCCATACTTTTCTAGACCATGAATAGGATCTGCGACAAAATTTGCCCAAGCTCCCCTCATATATCTTCCAAACTTCAGCTCCTCTTGCGTGCTGCCTGGTATCCCGTGACCATGCGGCACCGTATCAAACAAGACATTGACTTCTGCCCCATGATAAGCTCCAGTAGGAACTATTTTGGAAAGACGCATGTCTGCCCAATCGCCAAAATATCTGTAGCGCCATGTCGGTATGTTATACTGGGTGCTTATTTTCGCACGTGCGGCCACGGGACAGAAGAAGCGTGCACTTTGGAAGTCGCTCCAAAAGCTAGGAAGCACAACGCCTTTAAGTCGCTGGATCAGGTCGAATAGTGAAGCTTCAAAGTCGTTGTGCCCGATAAGCAAAGGTCGCTTGGTGAAGTTTCCGACCGCTGCCCGGGCTGGATAGTCTTTGAATACGGTAACTTCATCGACAAAGGGAGTGAATAAAACGGACCCAATAGAGACTTGAGTAGTTGCTCCCATTATCTCGCTGACGTTCTTTAGGCGCATGCATCTTAAAACCTCGTCTCGATTGCTCGTTGCATTACCACAGCCCAGCAGCCCAGTCGTGTTGAACCAGTTCTCAGCGGCGAGGTCCTCGGGGAGCGGTTCTACGAGCTGGACGGTCCCAGATTCCGCGATGAATCCAGCAACGATCGGGTCTCCGGTCCACGCGTAGGAATAGTAATCGACTGAGCCCCCACCCGCAGACTGTCCAGCGATGGTGATGCGCGAAGGGTCACCACCAAATTTCGCGATGTTATCGCGAACCCATTCAACAGCGAGGCGTTGGTCAAGCAAACCCAGATTCCCAGTGCCCGGAGCGCCAGGAAACCCAAGAATATTAACACGGTAGCTCATGCGGTCAGCATCTTCTCGACAGCGCCGTGGGAGTGAATCCATACTTGAACGTAACAACGACAATATCCTCTTGGTCAACAAACTTTGCACCATCGTAAGTCTTCGCATTGGCGCTCCCAGCCACGTACCCACCGCCAGGAACGAAAAGGAGTACTCCAGTCCGCCGGCCCTGTCCGACATTCTTGCTCCATATGTTCAGTGTAAGGCAGTCTTCACTGAATGTCTCATTGACTTGAGCGATTGCGTTGAAATACTCTACACCGGCCTCTGTAAAGTTCAGACCTGCATTAGGATCGGGAAGAAGATCGCTTGTGTATGTAGAATAAATTGGACATGAATTCCCCTAGCTTCCGTGTGAGTATGTCATGGAATGTAAGATTCGATGAGAGCACATACGAGCTTGTCGCCAAAAAACTTGTTCCCAGTTGATTCGTATCGTAGAGGAGGCGCGAAACGCAAATTGCTGATGGGCGGTTGCGCGTACGGAATTCCCAGGTAAGCAGTCACATTTGGCGCCCGTGGAGCTTTATGGCCTCGGACAAGGCCACTAGTGGTATGAAGTACCCCCGACAGATCAGCATATCCAGCTCCGACCAAGGTCACAGGTAGAGCCGAAAGAAATGCAATGACCTTCATAGTCGAATCCCGCAGAAAGGCTTCGAAGAGCCCGATCTTGTTAGACTGCGATTGCGTGGATGCGACAGGTGAGCAGAAAGGATTACGGAATTTGCAATGCTTCGAGTTTCTGAGCGACTTTTATGGGGGCCGTTCGCAATCTATTCACCCTTAAACGGCTAGTACGTTCCAAAGGCAAGGGCCTTCTCTACCCCGCTCGAATCCTGGCTGCGGTACGCAGCTGACAGGGGTACACAAGAAAGCAGGACTCATGGCTAAAACAAAGCTGGAGGCTGTTCACCCATTGAACACGGTATAAGTTCTAAGAGCAGTGTCTTACAAAGGGTAATATATAGGCCGAGTGAACTTAGCTCTTGTCCTGGTATTGTATTTCTTCCAGGGTAAGGAGTACTGAAACATATAGAGCTGTTCCGGTCAGGCTGACAAACTTGTTGGTAGTATCGATTGGTCGCTAGCTAAATTTCTCAATTACTATGTCAGCATTGCATGTCTGCCGTCTTTCGTTTCTTCCACCCTCGGTTGGACATCATATCATCGCGCTGGATGTACACTCGAACAGCATCCCAATACCTCCAAATTATGGCTGCACAGAACAGAAATTGAAAGAGAATGGCCATGAAGGTAATCCATGGAGCAACATGCCGAGTGTAGTGCATGAGCTCATGCTTGACGTCCAACATCTGCGGCAAGTGAAGGCCTCTCATACCCCACATAGACCAGCAGGCGCATGAGTTCATGATTCCCCATTGTGTGATGACTATCGTACCAACATTCATAAGTGCAGCAATCATGTCTTTGCAATATACGGCCCAAAAGAGACCTTGGGGCAACCATAGCTCGAAGCCACATTCGAGTAAGAAGCTGACGAGCCAGATGGTGAGCCTACCGTTCTTAATTAGTGATAAGCAATCCGACTCAGAAATCATGTCTTACATGACCGTTTGCGGGATGTGACGACAATTCATGCCATGTGGAGGAACGAAGTTGGACAAGACAATTGCCGTGAGGAAGCTAGCGCCAAGAGCTATTAACGCTACCATAACATAAGATACCATCTGCCAGTTGCTGATGTCCAGGGACCGCTGGCGACTGCTCCACTTTCTTGGTCTCCAATTGTTCAGGCCTCCGTGGATGGCACGCTCAATTCCTGTCTTGCACCATCCACTTTCTTCCCGGTGGGTTGCGGAGGGGCGTCGAGACAGCTGTCCATGGACCTGTGTAAGTTGGTATTCGAAAGCTTGTAACAAGCGCGGAATCGAACCCTCAGTCTGTGAGGCGCCAATCAGGGAACCAAGTACTACTGCCGAGGTGATCCAAAGGTACATTCCCGAAAACGCGATTGAATGGACCTCTACATTCGGCCAATTGTTCGAGCTCGGTTCAGACAAAGCCGCTTTCAGGAGTGCGATGAGCCAACCTCCAATAAAAAAACTTTCGGCCACAAACACTGGAAGAGACTTGGTGGCTCTGTCGGCTGCTAAACAATTCGCCGTTTCCTCGTAGATGTGGCGAATCTCGCTCTCATACTCGGGATGTCTCCGTGAAGTTACACTACGGGTTGTGTTAGCATATCATAGTAGTGATAGACTACTCTACTTACTAATCCCTACAAAAGCCTTGCACCTGGTATGACTTGCCGCACTCGTCGTATGATACCATTACGAGCGCCAAAGCTTTCCAAGTGAATACGTAGTCCCGGTCGTCCTCTTTTAGCCCAGATTCTTTGCAGATCTCCTTGGCTAGACAGGCTCTAGAATGACATGTAGCCAGCGTAAAAAGAACGCTTATCAGGGAATCAACTGGATCTCCAAGCAAGTGAATTACGGTCGCTGTCTCAACGTTGAAGCCCAATGGAACACGTGGGAATTGAACAGCGAGTTGGAATAGGGGAAGCTTCCATGTCACGATTCGAGTCCAGATATCTTCGATTGGGTATGGCGTCCAACCAGTCCAAATGGAGTTGGGAGTACCAGTCATGATCCGGCATGATTCAACAGTCAGCATTCCAGTTTCCTTGAAGAAAATGGTACTGTTCTTTGGACATGTTGAATTGAGATGTGTGTATTCTGCGAACAGTCCTTCGAAGCTGAAACCCTGCAGGGGCCGTCCGATCGTTGAGAGGGAGCAATTCATCTTGAAAGAGACGAAAAAGTCGAATTTCAGTCCTACATGTCCTTTTGCATCTTCGCTCACAGTATAAATATCTACATACTGTTTCAGCCTCGTGTTCATTCGAAGAGGTGATCGCGTAGAACGTACGTGGACACCGCCTCCATAAAGCAATCAACAAGAGGCTGTCAAGGGCAACGAGCGTGGCCAAAATCTGACCAATAGCTAAATCGTTTGCCGGAACTAAGTTTAGAGAACCTAAGCAGACAGCTTCGACAGCTGACCAGGTGCACGAGCATGAAACAACGATATACGGCCACACTAGTCCAGCATAGTGAATGACATACCTCAACTCTTCATCTTTTGTGGTGATTAGGGCCACAATCTCATTTCAGCTTACATGGAAAAAGTGTGGGATGCAGACCATGTGGCACACAGACAAGGCTGAAGCACGATCAGTCCTCACGCCCTCATGCGCCGCTCAGTGGCTGTGCACAGCACACCCGCACTCTATACCACAACGAAGATGGTCGCTTTTACTCTGATGGAAAGGTCAGCAGTTTTGCGCTCTTCTGCATATATCTTTTGCCAATACGATGGTCAGAATGTTGCGCTATTTTTTCATGCCTTCCCAATTGGCCGTGCTGGATGAGTCTAGCATTCTCAAGCAGTCTGCATCGTATTCTCACAGCTCGTCTCGCGGCCGTGCCCTACGCTCCGCCTCCGCCTCCGCCTCCGCGTCGACGAACTTTGGTGCATCACTTCCGAAAACCTGTCCTGAAGTCGCTTCCCCTTGCAGGACTGTAAGCAGCATATTTTCAACCACTTCAGCAACAATTTTTCTGCCTTGTAGATAAGTAAAGACATTGTCATTCATTGGCGCATGAACAGCTAATGCTGGAAACATGCCGTTTGCAAGTCCGAAGTTTGTCGCCATAGGTGCGTATTCGATTGCATCCGCGACACCGAATGTCACATACTGCTCGTATTTTCTTGCGAGAGGCGTGAGCTCATGACGCACAGACGTAGCTTCGCCCACTGTGGCGGCGAAGATATACGCGGAAAGTTTGCCCGGCTGATTGGGTCAGAGATATCTCAACGTGAGTATGAAGGTGTTACTGCTAACTCACCGCCATGTAGGCTTCTATGTTCCGCTCGCTGAAGTCGCGTATCACCATTTTCGGGGCCGTTGCTAAGAAAACCTCCACGTCTTCTTCTGTGAAGTGTCCTTTGAGGATTTTGTGGTCGCCATCAGTATTCTTATAGCATACAATAGACGGTATTGTAATGCCCTCTTGGCCCGCAATGTCTTCGCCTTGAGTATATCCGAAGACGAATTTCGCGTAGTATTTCTCCGCGATAGAGTAAAACACTCGGGTTAGTTCGCTCCACTCTCTTGACAGATATGCGACTATCGCAACATCATCAACCTTCTTGAAATTGCTCAACTGTTCGCCATTCCCTATAGCCGATAAAATAGCGTACTCATGCTTGATCAGAAACGATCTGATTGCATGCTCCGTTCTCCGACCGCGATATCTTATCAATGTTGCCTCCTCGCCAGTGAAACGATCTTCGGCTTTGCCTCTCTGAAATAAACGTATTGCTGGGTATTCATTCACATCGTACTGTCTGCAGAGGTTCACTTCGATATCGCAGTCTATCATGATGACTCTTGTTTGCAGCGGTCGGTCCTTGTGCAAGTTTTCGAGGAAACCGTAGTAGTCCTGGACCGATTCAGACGTCCGCGACGCGAAAACCAATAGAGCCCGACGGCTCTCCTTAATCACATAGTCGAGATCATTGCCGTTGAAATCTGCCCAAAGACTTCTGTTGGAGGCGAGTGCACATCGGATGGTAGCGGCAATCAACAGAAGACGTGAGACGATCAGCATCATTAATGCAACGAAGCCAGAGGAAACTGAGTTGGGGAACAGTGGGTTAAGGCAGAATGATTCCTGGCGATATTGAGGAAGATCTGAAGTTGTCGAGTTACGGAAGCTCCACGCCAAGTGGGGATCAAGCACATCCTCCCACATCGCGAGACGCTGGAACCCACTGCGTTTCAGAGTTGTGACGAGCATCAACCTGAGGATTATTTCCCCAACACGCCACGTTCGCAATCATTGTCATAATTGCGACATTTCAACTCCTTCTGTATTGAGTTTTGATCGGTCCATCACATTAGAATCTCTCCTACGCGCGCCTACTTGATTGACTGCCACATTCACTATGCTCAAATCATTTCTTACACTATCTCTCGTAGTTCTTCTCGCAACAGCGGCCTTAACTGAGAACTACACATGTCCCCAACATCTTTACAGCGTTCAGATCTTCTCCGAAGACCCACTCATCATTTACATACCTGACTTCCTGACTACAAGCGAAGCCCAACACCTCGAGTCCGTATCCGCGGGACGCTTCACCTCCTCACAAATCGCCGATCAATCCGGCCAACAGCAACTTGCGTCGACTCGCACATCAAGATCGACATCACTACATAGCGATGAAGTAGTAAGATGCATCGAAGAGCGCGCGCTGCAATTCCAAGGTTATGATATCCCGCGCACGCATCTGGAGCCTCTACAAGCAGTCCAGTATAGCCTCGGAGAGAAATATGCGCCGCACACGGATTGGTTCACTTCACCGCTCCAGACAACCTCGGAGTATGGCGGCAATCGGCTTTCGTCCTTCTTCGTGTACATCAGCACATCTGATGATATCGTTGGCGGTGGGACACAGTTTCCACTGCTCGATGCACCGAACGACGAGCGATGGTGCAAATACGTGAATTGCGATGCTGGCTGGGAGGACGGCGTAACTTTTCGACCGATTTCTCGAAACGCAGTGTACTGGCGCAACCTTCGAGGCGGGAAGGCTGGCAAAGGGAGGATGGGTGACCGGAGGACATTGCACTCTGGACAGCCGGTGCAGAGAGGGAAGAAGCTCGGTATGAATATATGGACGAGAGAGACTGAGTTGCACAGAATGTATAGAAGTGAGGTAATTTGAAAGATGGAAGGAAGAAACCGAGATGGCGTAACAAGGTGAGATCTCAGGAAATATAATGAGCTTAGCAGATAGATAATAATAGATTCATCATATATGTCGGCTCTCATAGCATGATCATTGCAAACCCAACACCAACAGCACCAGTGATTATAGCCCAAATGGAAATCACGGAAGGTATAGTAGCTGCTGCACTAGGCGCCATTTTGTCTGCGACACTTGAGCCAGCTGTCGCTGTGCATTGGTCCCCGCAAGAGTAGCCATTTGGACAGCAATTTCCACCCAGACTTGCGGCACAGCTGTACCATGCACTTGGGCAACTTCCGCCCTGCGAAGCAACACTTGCACCGCTCGGCGCCACAATCACGACTCCATTGGTATTAACAACAGTCGTGCTTGCGGTGGGCATGCATGCACCGGTTGTTTGGCAATCGGAACCGACGCGACAGCAGCCGGAAGGATAATACGCGCTGCACACGTAGAAGCCTGTAGGGCAAACGGAGTCATTTGGTGAAGACGAGGCTGGCGGTGCAGATGTGGAGCCAGAATCGCTTGTCGGGCGGACGGGAGCAGAGGGAGCCATGGTACTAGAAGTGTCGTCACCGAGACAAGAAGCACCTGCTGCACAGGTCCTTCCGTTCTGGCAGCAACCTCCTCCAACAGATGCTGGACACGAGAACCAGCCGGTGCTACATGTGCTGGATGTTGACGGTGTCGGTGTTGGTGAAGGCGAAGAGGATGCAGAGGACGATTGTGTAGTCGGGATTACAATGACACCGGTTGATGAGGCAGCACTAGTTGCTGATGTGGATGAAGGCTGGACGTATGTGACGGACGTTTCGACTGCAACGCCTATTAAAAGGTTAATTCCAATTGCTGCATTAATAAACGTTCGCCACTTACACCCAACACCCGAACAGCTGTATCCTGGCAGGCAACAACCTCCGTTCGGGGACTCTGGGCAGCTGGTATAACCTTCACCAGTGTTACAACTTATGCCTCCACTGCAACTTTCTCCGCTCGGACAACAACCCACAGGACCGAATCCCTGATCAGATATCTTTATGCATGTACTCCCTGTGCTGCAGCAACTATTCGCTTGCCCGATCGACGAGCAATCGTTTGTACCGGTGGGACACTTAAAGCCGCGCTTCAAGAGCATGTCTCTTGCCCGAAATCGTAGGTACGAGTCGAGGTGTAAGCCTTCCTCAACAGGTCGTAATGCTGCCTCAAATTGTCCCGTTATATTCGCCAGCTCTCTGCGATTGGTATTTGAGCGCTCGGCTGCCTCATTGTTTTCTATATCCGACGCAAATATCCAGTTGTCAAACATAAACATCTCGCCCGCATCGCTGCTCATCTTCTTCACACCAATGGGTTTCTCTCTTCTTATTTTCTCCTGTATGTCCAAACTGCGCTTTACATGGACCTTGTCCTCCGGAAAATACTTCATGTGCTTCGGCAGGTTGTGTGGCCATTGTGGTTCGGCGGTGGCAGACGTAGCGCAGATGAGTAGGATGGTAGGTGGAAGCGCGAGCAGGCTGGGTAACATCATGACTGTTCGTAAGGGCTGCAACGCGACAATGGTAGTACGAATATTTTAAAGGTCTAGATGTGATATATGCAGGAGGTCAAAAGGCGGTGGTAGGAACGCGGCTTGGTCCCGCTGCGATATGAGATCACTTGTGAGGTGGCTGGTCAGCCTCGAGTAATTGGCGAGGCTGGGATGCGTTGGCCGCTTGATGTCTGTGCCGTGGCAACGTGTACAAGGTACATCCTGAGAGCTTCAATTTAGTTACAGGCACAAAGAACGAAGGGTTTCGAAGCAAATCAGCGATGGACCAAAGTGATAGAAGTGGACGTAAGGATACTGTTCCGTTCCGTTCATTCCGAATCCTTGGCATGCGAGGACAGTAACGCAGCTAGCCAACTCAAGTTATACACCCGCAAAGCAAGGATCTATCGTAGGTACTGAAAAATAGCATGGCATAATGTATGTTTTAAGATTGATGATAACTGTGCTACCGTTTGCGCATTTGCATACCTACTCAAGTCTCAAGGCAGTAAGATATTACCGAAAGGTCGTCAGCTTGATGATAGCGTCGCTGTACTAGTCTTCGACGACGCGACCCATGATTAAGCTGAAATAAAATCGAATGCATTGGAGAGCAGCCGCATTCAAAATACAGGCTCTCTGGTGGAATGGTTCGTCGCTGGATGGATAACTACCCTTTCTCGCTTGCTCTTTCCCTGAGAAAAAGAACTATTCCAAATGAAGCTAGCCATCCTAAACTTTCCCCTCCATGGTCGTTCTACTTGTCAATGTATCAATCGTTCACCGCAATCAATTCGACGACCTAGCCATGTCCGATAGCGAAGAAAACAGCGTCTTCGGGGTGAGCGAGGACCTAGTTCCGCCTGCCTTGATTAAGTCTGCCGGGGTTTCAGAAGTAGACTTCGACGGCCTGCTGTCGCCACCACTGAAACTTCAGGAAGATCTGAAGAATGGCTGTGGTGGACAGTTGTGGCCAGCGGGCATGGTGCTAAGCAAATATATGCTGAGAAAGCATAAAAGTGATCTGAATGGAAAAGAAATGTAATCTTCCCTGTGAATCGTGATGATCTGCAGCTGACCTGGTTTAGTATTGAGCTTGGTGCTGGTGGTGGTCTTGTTGGGTGCGTGTCCAACCAACCTTACTGACTCTAAACACACCATAAGTGGTCTGAAAGTTCAAGGTCAAGTTCTGACGTGGCACAGCCTCGCCGTAGCCCTTGGCTGTGGGACCGATACAATCCTCCACATCACGGATCAAGAACCCATGTTCGAGTTGATGAAGCAGAACATCGTCCTCAACAACCTCACGTCAAAAGTCTCCGCCAAAATCTATGACTGGGGTCAGCCTACCCCATCTGGCCTGCCGAAGTACCCAGACATCATCCTAGCCGCCGACTGTGTTTACTTCGAGCCAGCGTTTCCACTGCTGCAGGAGACGCTCAAGGATTTGATTGGAGAAAAGACTGTTTGCTACTTCTGTTTCAAGAAGAGGAGGAGAGCAGATCTGCAGTTTATGAAAGTAGCGAGGAAGATGTTCGATGTGAAGGAAGTGGAGGATGATCCAGACAAGAAGATATACTCAAGACAAAGCTTGTTCCTGTAAGTTAATTTGTATCTCATCTTCAAGTCGAAAATTTTTGCTGATATTTCTTAGGTACCGCGTCACGAAGAAGGCTTGAAGTAGCCCTAGCATTAGAGATTCGATATGATCAGCAAAACCAACCTCAAAAAGAACCCGTCGTTGTGGCGTGGACTATTCCCTCGTCTCGCCATATTTGCTCTATCTGAAATACATCGTGTTACCACAGATATCTATACGTTCTCTAGTGACACTCTAATGAAGATCTCTGGGTGCGGGTCATGCTGTCGAATCACATCATACTCATTTTCATCTGAATGACAAGCGAAGCAGTGCCTGAGTACGAGCCTTGTGATACACCTACTGCCTACCGCTGCTCGTGGTGGCAGAGAGATGCCATAGCTACATCATGCCGACATTTTCTACTTTGTTTACTCTTTAGAGCGTGTCGATCCAATTGTTGACGTTGACTTCATGGATGACCCGAGTTCAGCATTGAAAGGTTGTATACAGGGTATTGAAGTCTACTATGAAGACAGTATAGTACAGAGGATGCAGCTCTAAGCTGACTGAAGAGCTTTGGGCTGTTTCTGTTGTTTCTTTTGTGCCTTCTCGGCCTCCAAACGCGCACCTTCCTTGGACTTGTTCTTTTGACGTTCCACGATATCCCGTACATTCCAAATCTTTGTGCCTTTCTGAAGCACTCCACCGTGTAACATCTTGACGGGATTCGGCAGCTCGCCATCGTTGACAGGTTCGGGCAGATGCCTATCCCTCACCTGCCTCTCTTCCAGTAGGTACACCCTCCTCGGCCCTAGCAGCGTTCTGGTGTCCCACCTCTTCTTCTTGCCCTCCCTCATCTTCTCGACCATGTTCCGCAGATGCTCAACTCCATCCTGCCGAAATTGCGTGACCTTCTTCACATTCTTCGCTGTAAGTTCGTTCATGCGCGTAGTTTCTGGTAGGTTTGATAGCGTCTTCGCGGTCATGGCAAAGCGCATGTCTTTCGGTCCGTCAACCAATTCGAGAATGGCAGATTCGGCTTGGTCTTCCTTTGTAGGCTCGATGCGGAGCACGCGCGTGTAGCCACCTGGGCGCTCGAGGTAGCGCTCTCTTATGGGACCAAAGAGCTTTGGGACCAGTTCATTGGGCTCCTGGAGATTGTTAGCTTACGGCAGGGGGGCTACAACAATAGCCGTACAAAGAATATCTGATGCGCTCTCCGTCGCGTCGCTTCCGTGTTCTTCTTTCCCAATGTAACAAGTTTCTCTGCCAGTCTCTGCGCCTCCTTCGCCTTGTGCCATGTTGTCGTTATCGATTCCTGCTTGAAGAGCGAGGTGACGAGGTTTCGGAGAAGCGCTTGTCGATGCGACGACGACCGGCTCAAATGGCGGTATTTCATGTGCCCGCCCGCCATGGTGGGCAGCGAAGAGGATCAGCGGCGGGAAAAGAAAGGAATTGAGTCGAATAGTCCCAGCTGCAGATGACGCGGAGCTCCCCAATCGCTTGCCGTCCGTTCATTGCCATCGCGCGGTCCTGAAAAGTATCGGCGAAACGTGTTGCCGCGCCCGCCTAGCGTGATGGCACGTGCGCTGACCAAGCAACCACTTTCCACTTTAAGTGGCAAGGAAGGCGCGTCCTGACCGTGCGTGTCCCGCGCGTGTTTTGCTTCGACGCGTCTTGATTTAAAAGCCTCCCACCCCTCTTCCCAGGCCGCTTTCACACCCATTCTTCACGCGTCGAGATACCCACATCCACCTAATTACTTTACGCTTCCAAGATGTTTGTTCACAAGCGCGGTATGTACGACCTGCATGCATGATCCCATTGTGATTTCTACCCCTGCTGCCACCTGCATGCTGTCGACAAAACTGACATGGTGCTTCAGATGGACGTAAAGAGCGCGTTCAGTTCGACAAGATCACAGCCCGAGTGTCGAGGCTATGTTACGGCCTCGACCCGGACCATGTCGACCCTGCTGCCATCACAATGAAGGTCATCTCGGGTGTCTATCATGGTGTCACGACGGTCGAGCTGGATAACTTGGTACGTGCATGCTGTCTCGATGTGTAGTAACAGGACTAACCATCCCAAGGCCGCTGAGACAGCAGCATACATGACTGTCACACATCCCGACTATGCAATTCTCGCCGCGCGTATTGCCGTGTCCAACCTCCACAAGCAGACTAAGAAGCAATTCTCGTCTGTGGTACAAGACCTGCACGATTATATCAACCCAAAGAATAACAAGCACCAACCGATGATATCGGATGAGGTCTACAACATCATACAAAAGCACGCCGAAGAGCTCAACTCGGCTATTGTATACGACCGCGACTTCAACTACCAATTCTTTGGGTTCAAGACCCTGGAGCGATCATACCTTCTCCGCATCAATGGCAAGGTAGCCGAGCGTCCACAGCACATGCTGATGCGTGTAGCTGTGGGCATCCACGGCGAGGATATTGAGAAGGCTATCGAGACCTACGACATGATGTCGCAGAAGTTCTTCACGCACGCTTCGCCAACACTTTTCAATGCGGGTACACCGTCTCCTCAAATGTCGTCTTGCTTCCTGATCGACATGAAGGAAGACAGCATCGAGGGTATCTACGACACGTTGAAGACGTGCGCCATGATCTCCAAGACTGCTGGCGGTATTGGTCTGAACGTGCACTGCATTCGTGCCACCGGCTCATACATCGGAGGAACCAACGGTACCTCCAACGGTCTCATTCCTATGCTTCGTGTCTACAACAACACTGCTAGGTACGTTGACCAGGGTGGCAACAAGCGTCCGGGTGCCTTCGCCATCTACCTGGAGCCGTGGCACGCAGACGTGTTTAGCTTCCTTGACTTGCGAAAGAACCACGGCAAGGAGGAGGTACGTGCGCGTGACCTGTTCTATGCTCTTTGGGTACCGGACCTGTTCATGAAGCGTGTCCAAGAGAATGGCGAGTGGACTCTGTTTTGTCCCAGCGAGGCCCCTGGTCTCGCAGATGTCTACGGTGAGGAGTTCGAGGCTCTGTACGCCAGGTACGAAGCTGAGGGCCGTGGACGTGAGACCATCCGTGCCCAGAAGCTGTGGTATGCTATCCTCGAGGCTCAGACTGAGACCGGAAACCCCTACATGCTCTACAAGGACGCTTGCAACCGCAAGAGTAACCAGAAGAACCTCGGAACTATCCGCAGCTCCAACCTCTGCACTGAGATCATCGAGTACACCGCCCCTGACGAGGTCGCCGTATGCAATCTTGCCTCTCTCGCCCTCCCTAGGTTTGTCGACGAGAAGAATGGCGTGTTTGACTTCCAGAAGCTTCACGAAGTCACTCAGATTGTCACTCGCAACTTGAACAAGATCATCGAGGTCAACCACTACCCCGTCCCGGAGGCTCGTAAGAGCAACTTCAGGCACCGGCCCGTCGGTCTCGGTGTACAAGGTCTTGCTGATACCTTCCTGTCTCTTCGTATGCCTTTCGAATCTCCCGAGGCTAAGAAACTCAACATCCAGATCTTTGAGACCATCTACCACGCAGCTTTGACTTCGTCCTGCGACCTGGCCAAGGAGCTCGGACCGTACGAGACATATGAAGGGTCTCCTGTTTCTCAGGGCATTCTCCAATACGACATGTGGAACGTCACCCCCACCGACTTGTGGGACTGGGCGTCTTTGAAGGAGAAGATTGCCCAGCACGGTGTCCGCAACTCTTTGCTCGTGGCACCCATGCCGACAGCCTCTACTTCGCAGATCCTCGGGTACAACGAGTGCTTCGAGCCCTACACTTCCAACATCTACTCTCGTCGCGTGTTGGCTGGTGAGTTCCAGGTCGTCAACCCTTGGTTGCTCAAGGATCTTGTCGACATGGGCCTCTGGTCAGACAACATGAAGAACCGAATCATCGCCGATGGTGGTTCCATCCAGCGCATCCCCAACATTCCCGATGAGATCAAGGCCCTGTACAAGACCGTTTGGGAAATCTCGCAGCGTAACATCATTCAGATGTCCGCTGACCGTGGTGCCTTCATCGATCAGTCTCAGTCGCTGAACATTCATATGAAGGAGCCTACCATGGGCAAGATCACGTCCATGCACTTTGCCGGTTGGAAGCTTGGGCTGAAGACTGGATTGTACTACCTACGAACCATGGCTGCCTCTGCTCCTATCCAGTTCACTGTAGACCAGGAGGCGTTGTTGGTCCAAGACACCAACGTCGCTAAGTCCCTTGCGGGCAAGCGACGACTCCTTGGTGCTAGCACCTCACCGTCACCGACTCCTATTCCTCAGCCAATGTTCGCCTCCAAGACTGCCAATGGCGCTGCCAACGGAGTTGCGTCGCCCAACGGTGTCCCAACCCCATCAGCAACACCGCCTATCAGCTCAGAGAATAAGCAGTTGAACGGCACAGCTAAGGACGCGCTCGCCAACAAGCCTTTCAAAGCTGACGTGCCTGAGGGGGAGAGCCCCAAGGTCATTGCAGCCGAGTCTACTGGCAAGCTTCCCGATGACGAGGCTCTGCCGGAAGCAGCGTCCACGCAGGAGGAAGATGGCAAGGAGAGCACCGATCGCGAGGGAGACATATACTCCGACGCTGTTCTCGCTTGCTCAATAGAGAACAAGGAGGCTTGCATCATGTGCAGTGGTTAGAGGCGAGAGTTTATGATGCGACGTGTACAGGTAGATATTTCACGGAGATGGACAGGCGACTGTCTTGTACTATTTCCACGTGTTCATGGCTATGGCGTTCATGGGTACCGACTTGGTTAACGCGGAGGAAATGATTGATTTACGATGTTGGCATGTTATTTAGCTTGAGCACAACTTAATTCAGACAGTAACATTATTCGTTCCGTTATTGAACCTCTTCGAAAAAGGCGAAATTCGTCCTCTATGCAATGCAACGCACCTCCTTCTCTCAGCCTACAAGGCCTTCCTCAACGCGCTCTTGAACGGAATAATCTGCACTTTACTCCAATCCCACACCTCCCCCTTGACGTAAACATCCTTCTTAAGCCTCTCCACAACCTCCTCCCGCGAGCTCGCCCCAATCAGCATCGCAGACCCCTTCATCTTCGGTGCCTGGCCCTCTGTGATCGGCTCTTCTAGCATCGCGCCTGCAAAAAGGACTATCAGCATCTATGAACCCCAACCAAGCTTCCACTGAGGAGCATGACACAAAGAGACATGCGGGAGAGAGCAGGGTATGTAAACGTACCACCCCACAGCCAGAAACTCTCATCATCCTTCTTCAACCCGGCAAGATGCTCCCCGCGGACGGCAAGCCGCTTCTCGAGCGCGCCCTCAAAGTCCGGCGCAATGACGAGCCACTCCTGCAGCGGCGCAGCGGAAGATGCCATTGTCCTGCTGAGCCCAAAGCGGGGACGTGTGTTTGTCGGTCGTGGTGCGAAGCGCGTGCAGGTGAGAGGTCGGCGTGGTGTAGCTACGGATGTTGGGAGGCGGGTGCAGAGTCGGAGGAGGGAGGGAGGTGGCATGCGGGCGGAAGGGCGAGGGGGTGTGGGGTCGTGGTGGTGGGGAGCGTGGAGCGTGGAGCTTGGAGCTTGAAGCGCTGCTGATGCTGTGCTGTGCGGGTCAGCGACGGACGATACGATGCATGTGGAGATCAATTAGACTTACATGTATGGGAGGCTAGGGCGCTGAAAGCGAATTGAAAGCTATGTGCGGGACGTCTGTCAAAGTTGTCACCCGAAAGGCGTGGGCGCGTGCGACAGGGCGTGGGCCCCGCGGAGGTACGATGCCGGGTGACGGATTAAGAAGTTCCGAGGTTGCAAGTCCTCCCAGTCTGAAAAAGCGACGTTTGAACATGAAGACTTATTCACTGCATTTTTCGAGCCTGTAGGAGCTTTCAATGTATCGAATTTGAGTCTATATTAGCATTGCAGCTTGTTGCTACGTATGCGTACCAGGGATATGCGGGTGGGTATGCGTTGCATATGGTATTGGGTCTCATTGAAACCTCGTCGCTAAGTTAGTTCTAGTTAGGCGTAACTAGACAGGAGGTGTCCATCTCCAAGTAATCCGGTGAGAGGCAAATGCGCACTCTGCTTCCACACGCCCGTCATCCAGCAGGCCGAAACTCCCAACTTTCGATGGATCTCGAAATGTAGCGGCTGATCACCTTCTCAGGTGGCAGGCCTCGAGCCAATCTCGGGCGAAGGTGTGCTCTCCCCAACCGAATCGCATCGACCTCTGATACCCTTCCGACAAAATTTAATACCAGCGATACCTCCTCTTCAGTCTATAATTATCCTCGCCTGGAACTCACTCTCCGCCTGCTCCAACAAATCCGAAACAGTCGTAATCCTCCAACCCCTTCTCTTCATCTCCGGCACCACCTTCCTCAACATCGGCACCGTCCAACTCCTCCTATCATGGCAAATGATAATCCCACCAGGCTTCAGCATACTCAGTATATGCTTTGCATTGACCCTCCAGTACGGAATCTGCGGATCATGCGGGTAGATGTCGCCCAGCACCAAACGGTAACCCAAGTCCTTGACCAACGCGCGCATCCGCGCAGAGAAGAAGCCCGACCCAGGGCGGAAGTAGCGTGCTGGCTCGCCGGAGACGCTGGACTGAGCATATGCGTTGGCAATCATACTCTCCACATCCTTGATCTGGGCTTTCAATTCCTCATCGGTGAGAGACCTTGACGCCTCATCATGCATAGCGTGATTCCCCAGTTCCATGCCCGCCTCCACCAACTTTGTCAGCTCCCCCTCCCTCCCATCAACTTGCCCGCCTATAACAAAAAACGTAGCTTTCGCATCGTTCTCCTTTAGAATCTCCAGAATTTGGTTGGTGTAGTAGCTCGGCGCATCATCGATCGTGAGCGCGATGACCTTCTCTTTTACATTGTCCGCGTGAAACAGTACGTCTGGCCAACGCGTCTGAAAGTAATGAATTAGGAAAGATGGCGGCTTGTAGATGATGTAAAAGGGAGTGACGAAGGTGAGCAGGGTGAGCAGGGCGATGAGCATGGTTAGGAGGCGGGAGCGGCGAGCACGCCGGGAAAGGCCGGTGGGGTAGCGGAAAAGCCGGATGGAGGGGCGCGGCATGGTGGGTGGGACATTTTAAGGAGAATTGTTCATTGTTTTGTAGATCGTGTCATGTGGATGGCTGTTGTGAAGCGGTGGTGATAGTCAGTGGAGCCCTGGCTCGGGGGTTTAGCTGCATGGGGCGTAGCCTCGCACGTGACCGTAGCTGTGCTTAAATATTCTCCGATGTTGGATCTTCAGACGGGAATCGCAAAACCTCGAGTTTTCATCTCCTTTCAATCTCTAGGCGTACAGATAAGGCTTTATCGATCCTCGTCATCGCCTTCTCAGATGTTTAGACGTGAATGTAGATGATTTGTGACCGCCTGTTGTGTACGCTATAGGAAATACGCAGAGTTTTGCCCTCAGGCCAAAGGCTCCATGCTAGGCGTTGCTTGCGCCCAGCTAATGATCTTGTTGAGGCTATCGATCTCAATGTAAACGGAATAAAATTGTCACGCTTGTTCGAACTCTCCCACTTCGAAACAGGCCCTCTATGGACGTTCCAAGAGCAAAGTGAGCGTTTTAATTGACCTGACAGCCTTCACCACATGGCTATTCAGGTCTCATGGCGTTCATACATGATAGATTTTTTGATTGTATATATGTGTCATTGTATGCAAGACTTGCGTTTGCGTATCCTACTTTGTCTGCCATCGCTTCCACGCCTTGACGAAGCTGCCTCCTGTTGTCTGTTGTGCCGATGTTTCGGAGCTCAAAACCGTTCCAATGTCAACCAACGGAATCATGCTGGGCCGGCCGTGCGCACACATAAACGGGAACACACACTTGCACAACTCCCGGACGAGTGCTCTGCATTCTTCCATACTAAGCTCGTCGTTGAACATGATAGCCGAACGGCACGCACGCGAATTGATCAGCTCAATTAGACCATCTGGGCAACTGGATATGCGTCTGACCCAGGCTGCTGAATTGCTTGAGGATACATCCCGGGTCTCCAGCTCATCCACGGGATGGGGTAGGTAGTCGGCGTCCGCGTACTTCCAGACAGCGGTACGGAGAAAGGCGATGAGAATTTGCGGATCTGCTTTGCAACGTTCGGCTATCACGGGTGGTAAGGCCGTTACAGAAAGAAGCGGTTGAAGCTTTGGCGATGAAGACGATACATTTCCCACATCGAACAGAATTCCCCATGCTGCGAATCTTGAAGCATGTGACGTGAACTGCTGTTGCTCTTGGACAGTCAACGTGAATTGAATCGGCTTGTCCAGGATAGACACAGCTACGCGCGACTCATAGCCCAGCTTAGAACGGTAGCTCCTGGTGTCGTTCGGCAATGGCGTACACAACTCTGCGAGCAAAGCCTCCACACGCAAGCGTTCGTCCGCCGCGTGCTGGTCAATCAGGACAAGGACCTCTCCATCTGTATTCGACCTTTTGACATCATCCTTGAGAGTCCTCATCTTTATAAGAATGAACTTTCTATCAAGTTGGGCCATTACTTCGGCTTTCTCAAGCCCCTCTTTGGACAGTTTGCTCGCATTCAATGTCGACACGGTATCGAAGGCTCCGTCACTGTAGCCTCGTCCGGTGTCCAAATGGTGGCAATGCGCGCAATGCTGGACGTTTTGGTCCTGGGAAGGGACAGCTTGCTGAATCCTCGCTTCTGAAGGCAGGAATACTGGATTTTGCCATGCTCTCAGCATATCATTGAGCCATGCGTTTGGCTCTTTTTTTGGTGTGGTAAGCTTTTGTAGTCGCAGAGACTGGTTAGAGTCTCTGAGCGTGTTAACACGGACCTTGGGTAAAGGGTCGGTCTGAGGCCTAGCTGGAGGGCACGGCAGCACGCAGCCAGTCCGAGCATTTAGAAAGTACGTTTGCTTAGTTTTTAGGTCGGTCCAGGGGATCGCTTCATCATAATTTCCGTCTCCACAGCACGTATCTGTTGGTGGAGAATTTGGATCACCACCGCCATCCAAAGCCCCCGCGAGCACAGGTGGAGCACTGAACTTGCCAAAGTACGAAGCGGCGGGAATTCCAGCAAACGACGCTGCGTCATCTGACGTCCGAACATCTCTCTTCGTGCCCAAGCTGTCCAGAAAAGTAGGGTTGCCGCTTTTTATGCGCGACCACGTAGAGAAAGCCAAGTGGTGGCTTCGATCTGAGTCTTTTCTCGACAGAGCGCCTTGTGATATTTTTCTCTTACTACTGTCAGTCTCTGGCGGATTAAGGGTTGGCGGTGCCGACGCAACTCGAGGTTGGAAAAGAGGTCTAAGCGACCGGTCTTGGCGTGCCGATAATGCAGTTTTGTTGCTCTCAGTGTTGCTGGAGGATGCAGTTGAACTTGATGGATGAACCTGCTTGGACAACGTCTGGTGAGGTCGAAAATAATGGACGGCTAGCCACTGTGTGATCATAGCCTTTAAAACATCCATAACCGTGCTGAGGTTGGCATTGTCTGCACTGAAGAGGGTCTCTGCTCGATTGAGCTTGTCTTCTTGTGTCAAGGATAAGCGCAAATAGAACATGGGGTATCGGTCAACGCCCTTTCGAGTTTTCAGTTGCTTGGTGGTAAATCCATTCGGTTTGCAACGATTGTCGCCAAGTCTTCGGACCTTCTCCTCATTATCGATTGCCGCGTCATGTTCGACGGTACCAAAGCTAGACAACGCAAACAAACGGTTGATCTCATCATACAATTCATTGTGCCCGGTGTTGGTACTTAGAGGCGTAACACCCACAGACATGAACTGGACGCGCTTGCTGGGCGCAGGATCCAGGGAGATAGCACCCTTTATGCATATGGTAGATGTGGATGCGGACACAGGCACCCATGAGGGCCAATCGGCATGTAGAATGTAGCTCGCCTGCGTGAGGACGTTGAGCGGAGACTGAAACCCTGAAGAGCGTTTCGTCGAGCTGTCATCGCTCTGTGATAGATTGGAGAGACTGATGGATGTTTTTCCGTCGGAATCACGGACTCTCACAGATACCGGCTCGCCCCAGCTAAGCATCAGTCCTGTAACTTCGCCCTTTAGGACCTCCCACAAGCGATCGTGCTCTGTTTTGTGTTCCGCCACGATGCCTCTCTGCTTGACCCTCACTGGAAGATTCCCGAACAGGTTGCGGACTGTCACGCGGGTGCCATGCTTGCCGTGAATCTCGTGCTGGGACGATGCTGGCAGCTGCCGATCGACGACCTTGGCGTGGTGCAGCGTCAATAGGTTATGGGACCGGTACTCGTGGTGGTGCGAGGTAACGATCAGGAGGCACATGGCACCGAGCGAAGCGAGAAAGGTGCCATTGCGGCCGAGGCACTCATCTTTGGAGAGGTACTTGGAGGTGCCTGGGGTGGGTCAGTGCATGTTCGCTTCTTTGGAGCCGCGAGGAGACTCACAGTATAGCTTGCCCAGGCCCCCTTCCTCACGAAAGTCGAAGGGGGCGATTCCGAGACCATTGTCCTCGACGGTGCAGCCTCCACGAGCAAAGTCAACCGATGCCTCCACTTTGGAAGCTTTAGCGTCCAGGGCATTCTTCAGCAGCTCGAGCAACACGCCAGTCAGAGAGACGATGGCGGTCGACGACTTGATCTGGGCGACCACGTCCTCTGGCAGCGGTAGGATGGCACTGCGGCGGGCAGACGTGCCAGGAGCTCTTTTGGAAGCGTCCTCAAGCGCATGGCGTTGCATGGAGCTCATCCCCCTCCGAGCTGGAACCCTGAGCCAGACGAGGCCATGAGCTTCATGAAGATGGGATGTGCAGGCCGGGGGAGGGGCGTGGATCGCGTTCGCGCACCAAATCAAGATATCGGCACGCCGCGGGCTCGCGACGGTGGGTGGATGGCTGGGTGGGGGGGTATGATCGCTGGTGCATGAGTGGAGCTGCACCTTCGTCAGCGGCCCGCGCTTCAAAGGACCCTGCCCCAACGCATGCGGCATAGTCGATCGCCGCCTCCGCAATCCAGTGCTCCCCAAGCCTCAACACCACCAGCCCCAAACACGCTCCCAGTACATCCGCGTAGCCTCGGAACGCACTGGCTCCCTCGCCCGCAGCAGCATCCCCACGCCGCACGCAGGTCCTTGCAGCTAACGCGCATCGGCCCTACTTTCGTTGCGCCAGTACCTTCGGTACTCTACAGCCCGTCGCCGCCTCGTCATTGCCCAATATACCACACGTGGAGCGGCCCAGCCTGTGAATTATTACCCGCCTACACCCGCCGGCTCGCGATCCAGCAGCGGCGCAGAACACTCAACCCTAGTCTACCGCGCTGCGCCTAGTGGAGCGGCATGGCCACCGCCGAACCGACCTCGAGGCCGAATGGTAAGTGGACTAGCTTGGACTCGAGCACAGCCATTGCCATAACAATGGCCCCCAGCCTGGCCGGTTCCCCCCCTCCTCACCGCAGCCGCATTTGCATAGGACTGACATACATGTGTAAAGAACGTCAAGCACGTAAGCGGCCCTTCGCGGGCTTCATGAAACGCCTGGCGAACCTCAACAAGTCCTCCTCCGACTCGCCGAGCGCCTCGAGCAAGAAGAACCAGGCCAGTACGCCGTCGAAGTCAAAGAAATCCGCAGGCAAGAACAATCCATACCCAGAGTCGGGCCACGTCAGCGGCAATGGAAACACGAATGGCAATCGCCTCTCCTTTTCCAGTCCCGTCACCCCTCGCTCGGCCGAGAGCTTCACATCCGTCGAGGAGGCCCACGACGCTGACCAGCATCGCGCGCTTGCCAAGAGCAACAAATCTACCGCTCCGACCGTAGCCACCAATCCCGAGACAGTCCACTCAGGAAGGTCCAAGGCAGATACTGGCTTCAGTAACTTGGGCAACAACAGCACCTTCTCGTCGCCGAACCACTCGGAGCGCTCGCTCACCACAACTCTAACGACGATACAGTCGACCGCACCTTCGAATGCGCTTGGTGCCGGCAATGCACAGACAACGCAGCCTGCAAATGGACCGCCTGTGCAGTTCTCACATCAATTCCCAACATCGCCTCCTCCGTCTGCTATTCCTCCGCATCTTGTCCCGCAACAGTCGCACCCGCACTCGTACCAGGCTGCAACAGCGAACAACATCCTTACGGATAACGCATCTATCCTGACGCTGGCATCTTCGTCTAAGCGCCGTCGTCGAAATTCCCTCGACACAAATGCTTCGGTCCGTGCGCTGGCACCGTCTTCAGTGTGGGGAGGAAGTCGCGAGTCGCTCCCGTTGAGTGTTTTGTCTGGTACGGCCGACACAATCTATAGTCCAGCCAGCAGGCCTGGTGGTGTTACCGGCTTCGCCAACGCAGAACGTGCAAGCGTGTATTCATCATCCGGCGTCGCGGCCCCCGCTTTGCCCAGCGAGCGTAACAGCTATTATGCAAACAAGCAGAACACGGATGGGATGAGCGTTCGCAGCGGATTGTTAGGTCATGGCCGCACGGATAGTATCAGCGGCAGCATTGGACCGAACCCCGCAAGCCCGCTTGCCAGCCCCAGAGAGACACCGGGGCCGGCAAAACTGAGTCGACGAAGCTCAGATTGGCAGGATGGCGTTGAGGGAAGCGTTGGGGGAGATGAGGCAGATGTTCCAGCAAGTCCTGTCTCAACCGAGCACAACGATAAAGGCAATGGAAATGCGGCCTGATGAGTATAGTCTAAGAACACAGTTGGTGAGGGATTTCTATTTGTGATGATACCAGGTGGGTGGGTTGGAATAGGAAGGTGCAACAGGAACTAGGCAATGAGGGTGGTACAGGGCCGGCATCGACAGGCGTTATAGGGAACTTACGAGGACTGGGGTTGACTTTTTTATCCATGCTATTATACCCTGAGTGCTGTGAGCGCTTGGTTTTGTCTCTGGTGGGACTTATACTGATCGAGTGCTCTGAGCAGCGCTGCAAATTTTTTGACCCTGTCGCTCATAGTTCCTTAGATTTCTTCGTTTCACTTCCTCACCGTCTGTTCAGCACACACTACAGAAGAAAGAGTTGTTGCGTTACTAATGCCGACAGGACTGGAAAGTTGACATGGTCCTACATTCGCTCGTTCTGCCATACCACTGAAAATGCCGGTGCCAGATATTGCACGAACGGCAAACATGACACGTTGAAGACCACTAGCTCGACATTTCGTCTTCACCTTCACTGCTCTCAGTCCGACTCGCAAGCTAGACCATGCTTTGTCGTAGCCACGTGGTGCACCTTCCTCGCGCTCTCGACACTTTCTAATTCTCGTTTGTCTGACCTCGCCTCTACGTGCACACTCCTTTGCCCTGCACGTACAGGAACCTAACCTCGCCACAGCCATGGACGTCTCCGCTTGTGCACCCGCGACCCCCGTCGCCGGCGGCTTACTTCAGATCACTGTCGTCGCTGACGGTGACTTCGTAATCCAACTCACGCCAGCTGCCAAAGCGATTACAGAGAAGACCACCAACGCCACGCCCAAGCGCGCTAGGGTGGTCCAGTTTCGCGTATCGAGGAATGTACTCATCAAATCTTCGAGTTTCTTCCAGACGATCTTGGGAAATCGCCCTAACTTGGTATGTGCCACGGGTCCATGTATGAGCACAACCACTGACCATGACAAGGCCAACGTCACCTTTGAGAACAAGGGCAACGGATTTGGCTACGCTCTCGAGATTTGGCTTCGCGCTCTCCACAATGGAGTTCACACGCTCCCCAACAATCTCAAGGCGACTCACATCGAGCGTGCTTGGGTCGCCATCGGTGTCGGAGAGCAATTCGGTTTTGCTCCTCACCAAATTGACAAGATCAAGCCTTGGTTCCTAGAGTGCTACCAAATTGCGCTCAACGGCGGCCTCTCACCATTTGTGGCTTGTTGCCTCGCCTTCCCCTGCAACGTGTTCGACCACGCCGAGGGGTTCATGAAGCTCACGAAATACCTTGCTTATCACACGAATGGCACGATCTTCACACACAACCCATCTAGCTTTCAAGCGCTCAACCAGGACGCACGCATTCTCGATGGTAAGATTTCCGCGCAACGCGAGATACGGAGAAGACTAAAGGATACCAGGGCCCCTCACTACTGCCCGAGCCCATATTCAGTCCATCCTCGACAAGGAGCTCAACTTTGCTCTTGACAAGCTTCACCAGGCCACTTGCTCTTGCCGCAAGGAAACTGCATTCGATTACGAGGACGCCTTGAGGGCACTCGACTGTTGGCCGATCGATCGCGCAGTGCAGAAGTACCCTCTTGCAGAGATCATTGACGAGCTCGACAAATTCGAGTTCACTCCGAAGAACATCAACTGCGAGTCCGGCGCCTGCGCTCATGATTTCAAAAACTCCGTCAACATTGCCATGCGCAAGGCGAAGTTCGCTTTCGACGGACTTTGCCTCGACTGCATGGAACGTAGCGGCATTGACCACGTGGAAGGCCAGACGCGCCAGGCTTTTGTTGCGAAGAACTCACCGTTCAAGGGCTGCTGGGATATCGACTGCCGCTATGGCCACGGCCGTGCTTCTTGGTGAGTCCAAGCACGCTACAGTACTAGGGCAAAAGTTTAGACCCTGCACTGCTCCTCCTGAGGTGACAAAGTGTACTAAAACGTTTGCCCAAGCACTGTATATATGATTTCACGCTCACTGTTCACAGGTATTACTCTTGGATGGGACCTTCTTCAGTGCGCCGCGACATTCTTATTAAGTATCGCGAGGAGAAGAAGGCACTTGGGATCACCAAGGGCGGCCGACGTACCAGGCGCGGTGGCCGCGTTGCTAAAGACAGTAAGTCCCCTCACCTCAACCTAAGATATAGTATAGTCTAATTAAAGCAGACGCAGCTCCAGCCCCTGCTCGCCTCATATCCATGTCCATCAAGACACAGGGCTCCGGGAACAATAATGGTGGTCTGGAGAACGATGACCGCGATGCGGATGACGATGATGAGTTCTTCGACGCCGAGGACGCTTCTCTTGGAGGCCTTATCGCCACGGACAACGCCGACATGCTTGATCACGATGCCGTGAACTGAGCACCACGATGCGCGACCGTTTTACGAAATCGTCTGCTTCTACTGCTGCTCTCTTGATGCTCGCGCCCAACGTTGCTTGGAGTATTGCCGAACAACTCTCATGGACTTTGTTGGAATTAGCAGTGGATCGGGATTCGGACGATATCAAGGACTGACCATGTAACGCGCTTAATGTGAGACTTACTTCTCACTATGAGCTTCTCTATTGGGCAGATGAAGCAGCATATCATGTATACAGCTCGATATGCGAGTCCCGAACATGCAGATCTAAAATCTCGCTTCATCGTGACGTCTCGGCGGTTAGCCTCTCATACCACTCAAGAATGGAACACAGTTTCAGTCAACACTCGCGCGCACATCTCGTTCTATAAAATCCAAATGATGCTTATAGACAATAATGTGGTGGCTTGATGAATTCAACAATCATGTTTCGCATTTGAGACGACAGTAGCCTACATACATGTGTCCTACGCCCATCTCTGACCCAACGCCAACGCTAACGCGTCAGAAAGCCAAACCCACTTGAGCATTCTATGTGGAAAATCTCCACCTATCCACCTCCTTGATCTCAAGTCCCCCCTTCCATCTCCCTATGCTGCATGAAGCGATGTACAACTGCCTGAACTTCACTCACATCACCACACAGCGTGACTGAGACTCGATCCCGGCATCCTCGGCTGCTTCCACCCCGTCGTTAGGTTGCGGGGTTCAGGAGGCTTGGGTAGGACCGCGAGGAGGCCGGCGACGAGGATTTTCCACGGACGATTGGAGCCGTCGAAGGATATTGTTCTGTTGGGGATTCTGGATGGGCTCGTTTTCTTGTGCAGCATCTTCTGCATGGTTGGCCTCGTTGTTAGCGTCAGTAACTTGAGGACCACTGCCATTGGCACGCTGAAGCCGAATTCTATTCACAGCGGCTGGGGGCGGTTGAAGAGCCTTGCTCGGGCAGGGGTTCTGGCCACGGATAGGCTCGTCGTCGTCCAAGATCGGAGCAGACCGGTACCGACTATCGGGGGTCTTCTTTGCTGGACGTAGGCGCTTTGGGATCGCGTCCTTCCCTGTCCTCTGTCGTGGCTTCTTGCGAGCACGAGTCCTTTCGTCCACAGTGCTCTCTTGAGGGTTGCCTTTGTAGGTTGCGTCTTGCTTGAGAGAGTCGTGGGGGTCTGCCTCGCCGGCGTAGTTTTTGAAACGGGGGGTGCGCCGGGCGAAGTAGGTGTATGGGGATGTATCCGTGTCTGATGAGCCTGGGGAGCTCATATTAACGGGTAGTGTTGGTGGGATGAGAAGATGAATGGAAGGGTGCGTGAATGCAATGATGGACTTGGGATGGGCAATCAGTGGGGGGCTCAGAGAGTACCTGCTGCGGTATTGTGTTGTCTGATCGGCCTGTACGCGCAGGCTTCCAAAGGCTTATAAAGGAAGTGTGGTGGGATATGAAGAGGTGTCTTAGGAGATAAGATGACTGTATCATGAGACATATGGATTGAGTTTAGTTATTTCCCAGTGGTCTGTCCCCCCCGCGGTGGCTTGGTGCCTGTCTCGAAATGGCTGGTCCTGTCCAGTGGTTGTCACTGTGATTCCCCAGCTTGGGCTCTAGGATGGGAAAATTGGGTATGCAGCAGACTGAAGGCTGCAAGTGATGGTCATTCGATATTCGATCATTTACGAACGTCGGAGAGAATTTGGATTTACGTGGTCGCAGCATCCACGGAAGATGCTCTTCAGCATTTATATGTAACTCACTCCTTATAATTCTCGATCCACGGCGCTGCAGAACATGGCACCAGAAAAAAGCGTTGAACGACGGTCTATGATTTCCTCAGGCAAATGTAAAGAACGACTGTCCTGCAAAAGGAAAAACTAAACCACCCAACGCCAACATACCACTACCCGTCTCTGCATCTCCATATAATAAAGCTCCAAACTGACGGTCTCTTCCCGGGTTCTAGATCCTCCACAGCTTCGTAGTCAGCCCTCAGCGTGGATTCTGGAGATATTACCTGGTCTCGTAGTCTGAGGCGTCGGGGGCGGATTAGTCGCCTGGCGTGTCCTCGCTGTAATTGATTCTTCCGGACACTGTTAGATAGTTGAAGGATTTGGTAGAGAGAGATTCCTACTTATGGTCTCGCTTGGGTCGCCCGACATCGCTGTCTTCGGCGATGGGTAGGGTCCTTGAAGGGTTGGGCGTACGGTAATCGGCGTCACTCTCAGGGCTGAAACTCGAGCTTTGCGCTTTTTATTGGTCATTATGGGAGAGGATAACAGGCTGGGTCGGCTTCTTGTCTGTAAACGGATGCGCTTGATGGCATTGATCGATGTGACAACTGGTACTTGTTTTAACTTTGATTTGGTGGTTGCCAATAATATGACAGCGGAAAAGCAGTATATTTATCCCTGGTCATGGGCAAACCATCTGCGTCAAGTCTTGGAAGATGGTGGTGTTTGTTTAAGCAAGCACGGTTCTCTGATTCGTTAAGCTACCCATGAATACAACTCCTGACCATTGTTTCGAAAAGTATAGCGAAGTTGTCATACAATTGCGGAGAGAACCTCTGAGGACATGTTGGTAGAGACAGGCATGCAGGATGCCCAAACTTAGACATTCAGCTCTGCGGTCTCTCCAAGCTTCAATTGTCCAGCATCCACATACTTCTTCAACGCCACCTTGACCTCGCGCTCGTAGAACGCCTCGACCTGCTGAGGACTCCGTCCGATGAACGTGCTTGGGTCCAACAAGCTTTCGAGCTCGCCCAGAATAGGCTTGAAGAACTCTGTCCTTTTGATCCTCTCGATGAGATCGTTGTCTCTGCCATGTTGTTTTACTTCGGCGCCGGCCTCGTGGGACAGCACGCGGATCTCCTCGTGGGCATCTTGGCGGGAGACGCCCTTCTTGACGAGGGCCATGATGACGTTCTCGGTGGCCATGAAGGGAAGCTCGGCATCGACGCGCTTGCGGATCATGGCAGGGTAAACAACGAGACCGGAGGCGATGTTGTTAAGGAGGATGAGGGAGGCATCGGCCGAGAGGAAAGATTGCGGGAGGGCCATTCGCCGGATTGCACCTGGAAGGGTCAGTGTGTCTTGTTCAAAAGATCTGTCTAGACAGCGAAGCTTACTGTCGTCCAAGGTCCGCTCCATCCACTGTGCCGCATACGTCGCGCTCGCGTCCGCGTTCAAGTTCCTCAGCTTGCGGCCAAGCGAGCACAAGCGCTCACTGCGCATGGGATTCCGCTTGTAGGCCATAGCGGAGGAACCAATTTGTGTAGATTCAAAGGGCTCCTCGAGCTCCTTGAAGGATGCAAGCAGGCGGATGGCCTGGCCAATGTTCTCGCAAGTGGATCCGAAAGAGGAAAGTGCATTGAGCACATCAACGTCGACTTTACGGGTGTATGTTTGGCTGGAGATGATGTAGGCAGAGGAGAAGCCAGCTTTCTCGGTGACGAGCTCATCGAGCTTCTCGACCTTGTCGTGGTCGCCTTCGAAGATTTGGAGGAAAGATGCCTGGTGCCTGGTCAATTCTATACTTCAGAGTCTAGGCAGTGCAAAGACACAAATCCCCAAATCGGTCTTCCAGCTGCGCTGTCTCGCAAGACATGAACATACCTGTGTACCAGTCGTTCCCTTCACACCGCGGAACCTCAAATCATCCCTCGCACGCTCCAGGTTCTTCAAGTCCTTCAGAAGGTCCTGGATCCACAGACACGCTCGCTTGCCCACAGTCGTCAACTGGGCCGGCTGCAAGTGCGTGTATCCCAAACAGGGCAAGCTCTTATATTCCTTCGCGAACGTTGACAGCTTCTCAATAACCGTCGCCAGCTTCGGCAGAAGGATGTCCAGTCCATCCCGGAGGAAGATGAGATCCGCATTGTCCGTGCAGTAGCAGCTGGTAGCTCCCCAGTGAATGATACCCCTTGCGGCTGGTGCCTTCTCTCCAAACGCAAACACGTGTGCCATAACATCATGTCTCCGCTTCTTTTCTTCCTCCGCCGCAATCTTGAACTCCTCATCCTGGATGACTTTGTGCTCCTTCATCTGGGTGATCGCTTCGTCGCTGATGTCGAGCCCAAGCTCCTTCTCAGCCTCGGCGAGCCAGATCCAGAGACTCCGCCATGTGCTGAAGCGGTTGCGCGGGCTGAAGAGGTACTTCATCTCCTGCGAGGAGTAGCGCGAATTGAGGGGATCTTGGTAGGTATCGTTGGAAGACATGATTGCTGGAAAGGATGAGTCAGTGATATGGCTTCAGAATGTATATCAGGTATCACGCCAGGTTGGGTGTCCTGACTGTTTCGTGCAATACAGAAGACAACGCGAATGCCGGCTGTTCTGAAGCTTGCGTTACTGGTTCCAAAAGAGGAGGGGTAAAAGACGAAGCTTTCGTGAGGGAGGATGAAAGCAAGACTGGCGAACTTAGCTGCCCCAACAGCTTCACATGCTTCTCACTGGACTCGAAGAAATGCGCAACAGACGTCCCATCACCCGGGATCTTCGGCCGTAGGAATCTAGAGCCAAGCAAGCGACGCGCATACAATACAAGCACGCAAGCACATCAGGCAGACCCTCACCGCGGGGAAGTCGCGTAGTACGGAAACAGAAATGAAACACACCTCGGCGACCTTCTGCGGTCGAATTGGTCCTCTAGAACGTTTTCTCGGGGATGATGATGGATGCGCAAATGGCGAGCCGTGCAATTGAGTGTTTATGAACGGGTGGAGCTCCGTCTGGGGAAAGATTGGGCGTGTTGGGCTTTGACGAGGTTCCCCACCAGCCCACCTTCACGCGTCGCGCAGAAAAAGTTGTGCGGTCGGGCGGGACAAAAGCCGCCGACAACCGGAGCCAAGAACGTGCAGATCGTCTGATTGAGAAGTTCGAGATCAACGGTGCATACACAGTGTCCGGCGGAAGCAGACCTTGGGGGCTGCAAAGCTTTTTGTGAATAATTGCAACGAATAACTCTGGCTTTTGGCGGGCAGGGGCAGTTACGTCATCGGGAAGCTGTCTTGGTGGGATGTTGGGAAGAGACTACTGCGAACTCGACGAGCACCATCATGTATATTCTACAATTCAACAACAGCGTCTAATTATTGGGGTATGCTCGATACCTCTCTCATAGTCTCAAGATGCCGCAAGTATTGGAGCTTTGTTCGCCAAAGCCCCCAGAACGGCAATCCAAAAGGCGTCGATTGCAGTTGCAGTGGAATGTGCCCTAAATATTGATGGCGGCAGCTTTTAGTCTGTCTCTAGCTCATTGAACTCAACCCAACATATTGGTTTGGGCGTTGGGTTTTTGCTTTCATGTGATAGACTTTCCTTTCCAGGAATCTTAAATGGTGTAAGTGAGCACGCAATACAAGACCGCAGGGTGGTCGCTAAAATCGTACATGCATACGTAGAAGGGTGAGTTTGCTATACTCAACATGCCAGATTGCATCGCTACTTCTCTTCCTCGTTATCCTCCTTACTATTGAACAAGAACATCACACTGACAACGGTCTTAATGCCTCCAGATACCAGCACACCTACACCGAGGTTCGCTGCCTTACCTATTCCTGCGCCCACAAAGCTCCCCAATACGAGCATAAGCAAGAAAACCACCCTCCTGTTCCTGCCCCGGTTCTCAGTAAAACCCGCAAACAACCTCGGGTCGATGAAAATGTCAATGTAAGCCGCTGTCGCCATGGCGGTCGTAATGTCCGTAATCTTAAGTCCTCGCACAACGGCCACCTGTGAGCCCGACGAGAATGCCAGAAGCCCAATAATGATGCGACCGAGTTTAGTGTTTGGACCGACGAGTTCGGAATACCGCAACTGGAGTGCGCCAGCGATGATGACCAGTACTGTCTGACCTAATCCGGAGAAGAAGAGCCAACCGCGTGTTTGGCTGATAGCGAGCCGATTTGCAATTTGGCCAGTGACGAAGACGCCGATGATGAAGAAAGATAGCGAGACTGCGAGCGTGGATATTGCAAACATGGGGGGCTCGCCGCCGCTAGGATCATCGAGTAAGACGCCCACCGCGAATAGGACTGTGTTGCCGGTCTGATTCGAGGCAAAGCAATGAAAGTCCGGGAAGGAGATAGCGTCCTGGATTCCGATGGCAAGTGCAAGGAGAAAAAGCTCCAGCTCGAGAAGCCGGGAAGCTAGGCACAAAGACTCTTCGAGATATGTACTTAATCGGTGATGGGTCGCAGTCGTTCTGACTTGATCGGAAGAGTTGTTTGCCTGAGGCAGAATAGTGGCTCCACTCATATTGGTGTATGGCTGGGACGAAGCACTTGCGGAAATTGACCGGACCAAACTGAGGCAGAGGTATTAGAGACAGAGGCATGATTGCACCTACACATCTCGTTAATAAGCTGATGTTTGTTTGTGGAGCTATCGGGCTCTACGGGTTCTGTGACAGAAGTTCGGCGATTCCCCTTGATATAGACGCCGACGCGCTAATGTATCATAGCTATGCTTGGGCCGCACGGTACTCATCTCCGAATAGACATCGATTGATTTCAAAAGTTGCGTTCGTATCGCTACAATACCTCCTCTATTTTAAACACACCCGCGTCGTCACCAGGTAAAACCCTTCGGCCCCGCCCAGGTGCCGTTCACATGGAAGTTCCCATACACCCAGGGAAAGAAGTCCTTTTTCAAGTGGTAAAATGCCCGGCGCGGAACAGCTTGATCGATACCCAACAATCGACCAAATGTTTCTTTTGGCTGTCCACCGTACTTGAACTCTGCGAGGAGAACTTCCTTGTTACCTACCAGAAGCGGACACGATGTGTATCCGTCGTAAGTTGACACCGGGGCTTTTCCTTGCAGCGCTTGCATAAGATTTGAAACTAGAACTGGCGCCTGCGACGTGATGGCAGCCACAGTCTTAGAAGTCGGCAGACTCGATGCGTCACCAATAGACCACACGTTTGGGTAGAATTTGTGACGCGTAGTTGCATCGTCAACGTCAACGAAGCCCGCCTCGTTTGCGAGAGGACTGTTCTTGACAAATGCGTGTGGTCGATTCTTCGGCGCAACGTGCAGAAAATCGAAGTGCTTCTTGAGCTCTGCTTGCTCAGGCCGAGCAAATATCGCCGTGTTGCCCTCTATGGCTACGAGATCATGTTCGAACAGCCCTTCCACACCTCTTTCTACCCGGAGCTCATCAAGCTTCGCAGCATATTTGGGTACACCGAACATGGCAGGCAAGCCAGTGGCAAAGGAAACGTTGATCGCTGATTTCCCACTCGCGTGGTAGAGGCCAGCTCGTTTCCAGTGGTCGAGTGCGAGCCACATGATTTTCTGGGGTGCGCCAGCGCATTTGACGATGCCAGCGGGCTGTGTAAAAAGCGCGGAGCCTCGATTGAACTTTTTGATGGTGCGAAAGGTCTTGTCGCAATACTCGTACTGGTAAATTGACGATACAGCTGCATCTGGGTCGGCAAGCGCTTCAGACAAGCCCTTCACACTGTCGGTATCAACCTTGATACCTGGTACGACCACAAGTTGTTCGTAGCTGATCCTATCGCCGTCTGCGAGGGTGACGTAGTTTTGCGTAGGGGCAAATTCGCTGACTGTGGTATTGTAGAATTTGAACTTCCGGTGCATCAAGCTTTCCATCGGTCGACGTAATTCTTCCTTCTTCTTGAGGCCCCCGCCAACGAGTGTCCAGCCTGGTTGATAATGATGCCAGGTTGCTGGGTCGATAATGGCAATGTCGTCTTGCGCGAAGTTGCCTTTTCGGAGGAATTGATGGCTCAAAGCTATACCGGAGGATCCACCGCCGACCACCACGATCTTGTGGCTGCGAGTAGCATTTCTCACAGCGTGTGTGGTAGCGAGACTTCGAATAGATTGTAAAGTGGGATGCATAGGAAGTGATTGTATAAGACTGGCTCCCATGCAATGTGGTTGCTAATTATGATCAAGGTATTTAGCAGTAGATACTTACAGGATAGTCAGACACCTCGCGTTTTGGTTTTATTAATGGGTTGGTACAGGTCGCCGACAATATCTTACTCGGTTGACCTCCAAATTATTGACCAATCACATCGATCCCGAATCGGCGAAGGCCAGTATGCTTATAATTGAGCTTCAAAGCAACAATTCTGCAAAACCATGAATACGCAAGTCATCAACAGAGCCATAAATCCGACGAGAAACTACATTCGAGCACTAACAACTACTTCTCGAATTCCGTTTTCCGCCAGTACTAGAGCTTATCGACTGTGCTCTCCATCACAAGCACGCTACAAGATCTCGAACACGCCACCTACCATTCAATCTCGGTCTGCCGTATTTATGGCCGCGTCTGCATCCACTCGACACAGCCAAATTTGTCCAGTTCCCACCAAGGCCAACATGGACGCACAGCCAGCCCCCATCACTTTGCAAAATCCTACTATCCACAGCTTGTTCGAAGCAAGAACCGGGACATGGCAGTATGTGGTTGCCGACCCGTCAACATTACAAGCTGTTATTATCGATTCAGTACTGGACTACGACTCAGCCACGCAAAGCATAAGCACCCAGACTGCCGACGCCGTACTCTACCTCATCTCAGAGATGGGTTACAAGATCGACAAGATCCTGGAGACGCATGCGCACGCAGACCACCTAACAGCTGCATCCTATCTTCAGCAGCAGATTGCAAAACAGCAGGGTAACAAACCGTCAATATGCATTGGAAAGCGTATTAGGCAAGTCCAGGAGTTGTTTGGGAAAAGATATGGGATCCCGGCCGAGGAGTACGATGGCGTTTTTGATGAGTTGTTTGATGATAATTATGTGTTCTCGCTAGGCGCACTAGATGTTACTGTACTCCATCTCCCTGGGCATACACCTGATCATGTCGGCTACAAGATTGGAGGTGAGAGTCATCACACAGCGGCTATGCCGACTCTTGCTAACACACCTGCAGACAACGTTTTCTGCGGCGATTCCCTCTTTCATACAGACATTGGCACCGCCAGGTGCGACTTTCCGGGTGGTAGTGCCATAAGCCTGTACGAGTCGGCGCATAAACTTTTCGAGCTGCCTGAGCATACCAAGATCTGGACCGGCCACGACTACCCGTCGGGTGACAGAAGTGCACCAGTGCCGTACTTGACTGTGCGGGACCACAAGGAGCGAAACAAGCATGTATCTCAGAATGTGACGATGGATGAGTTCGTTTCGCGACGGAGAGAAAGGGATGCGACTTTGGCCGAGCCCAAATTGTTGAATCCTTCCTTGCAAATCAACATCCGCGCAGGACGGCTTCCATGGCCGACGCCGCTGGGCCACAGATTCGTTCATCTGCCATTGAAGGTAACAAGTTCGAAGTGGTGAGCTGAAAGACCAATTTCGATACGATACTTGCTGTGCATCATCAAGAAATATGGTTTAAATGATTTCCGCTGTGCAACCGGATAGGCTTGCAACATCATCTCACAGAGAGCGAAAGGTCTTCATTTAGTAAACACTCGAGGAATTCTGAGTGAGGCCTCAGTGCTTTGAAATTGTAATTTAGCTCGAGCAGAATCTATGTCCATGTTCCCTTGCGATTTGCACAGGTGGTGTCCAGGTATGTTCACGTGATCTGTGAGAACACTACCTCCTGGGCTATCCTGAGCACAGCAAGTGAACTGTAGTGAATTTTCTTAATAGCGCGAAGAGCATTCTCAAGGGCGCGCTGACGTCATCGCATTGGCAGTTCGGTGAGTCCTGTGTCTACGCAGAGTTATATCGTAAGGCCGAAGTATTGTCCAGACCGTGGTGTGATAATTGTCATTAGACTCGGCGACTCGAGGTTCGGGGTCTCCTGCATTCGGCGACTGAGTGGGCTTTTCCATTTTTGGCCTCCGCTCGCTTCCGATAGCCAATGGCTGTAATCGCCGCAGGGTCCAATTACAATGCTTTCAGCATGACGTTGCGCGAGTGATCTACGAGTATTTCACAGCGAAGACATCGGGGTCTCAGTCCCTTCCCTTTAAATCGGGCTCTTGCCTGTGCAAAGTTTACACTTTCCATGCCTCCATCACGTGCAGCTACGCTAGGGCGACCAACGTCGTTAGCATGTCTAGGTTGCCGGGAATCGCACCTCAAGTGTGATGGCGGCAGGCCTGCTTGCGCGCGTTGCGCATCACGTGGTGCTCCCTGCGCCTATACACCTTCCCGACGTGGTCGAAGACCTGGATGTGAGAAGCCTCTGCTCAACGCCGAGCCCACTAACACTAGAACGTCGCCATACTACGTCCCCGACTTATCCAGGTGGACGCCAACCAGTATATCGAGCCCTGGAGAATCTCTTGAAGCCGTCCATGCACTCCACGAGCAAATACCAGACACTCAGACAACGCTGCCAGTATCGCTCGATGGTGTTCTACCACAAGAACGCGAGCAGCTTCTGCAGTGGTCCGATAACGAGCACTTGGTCAACTTGTACTACCTTAATTTCCACGCCGGCCATCCGCTTCTCGTACCGAAGAATCTTTACTGGAATCGCGGCTACCCACGGTTCTTAAAGGCCATGGTCGAATTTGTAGGGAGTCACTTCTCGTCTGTCATCGAGAGCGACACATTAAGAGAAGCTGTGGCAAGTGAGCTCGAGCGAGGAGACCAGAGCACCCCAGAGATGGTTCAAGCGTTAGTCCTGTACACCATTACGCTTCTTGGTCGGAACGAGATTGATGAGGGCCAAAAGATGCTCGAACTGGCCATCACAAAGGCCGTGGAAATGGGCATGCATCGACGGGAATATGCTGGCTTGCATGCGGACAACAACCAAGTAGAAGAGGAGAGCCTACGGAGAACTTGGTACGAGTTATACATATCCGATGGATGCAATGCTGCGTTTCAGCGCAAGTCTTCCTTCAAGACACATACTATCAACGCAGACGTCCTGTTGCCTTGCGAGGAAGCTGTCTACGGCAACGAAGTCCAGCCCATCCCAGCATCCAAGAGGGATTTTCAAGCTAGCGTATTCGCGGACGGCGAAGTCACGTTCTCATCGTTCAGCTACCGAATCGAGGCCGTCCGTCTACTGGGTCGAGTGCTGACCATCACAAGAGCGCACGGCGTGCAGAGGGACCAGGTTCAGGCGGTGGACAATGCCCTTGCTGCATTTTTACTTCATTTGCCATTCTCAAAATCAGAGCCAGAAATCGTCGACACCTACGGCGAGCTGGACGAACTCATGTTCCAGGCGCATGTGGTGATCCAGTATGCCACCATTATCCTACACTTTCCCAGGGGCGACCTGGCATTTCCCGATACTTCAACCACGACGATACCCGGAGCCAGCAGCGCGTTTTTGTGTTCCTGCACGCGACAACATGTACATTCCATCAAAGCGGTCGATGCGTCAAAAATCCTCTCGATGCTCGCTGCCTTCCGGCTTCCAGTCCAAAGACACAGCCCCTTCTTGATCTATCCGTTAGCTCTCGCTGCCATTGTCCAGCTTTCGATTAGCGCGGCTCATGTCAGAAGTTCCAGGCAGTGCATAGAACAGCACAGCGATCGCGTCAAGTTGATCCTAGGGGTTCTGAGGTCGTTTAGTCGGCACTGGCCTATTGCTGGGGTGGTGCTTCGCGCGCTGAACAAAATGGCTCTGGTAGTGTTTCAGCCGCCTCGTAACGGACGCTCCAGCCCCACAGAGCTAGACACTCTTATAGGCAATGGCATTGACTCTGGTCAGAATGCTACGGTAGCGCCAGGTAGTCCGTGGATGGAAAGCTTTGATGTTCAGGACTTGCAGGAGCTTTTTGGACTGGATTTTGGTAACTTTTGCCTCGAATGTTGATACCCCTTCCTATCCTACGATATTTGTCTGTACTGCAAAATATACACGTCAGTCCCTGCTACCACTTATCCCATAACCCACGCCGCCCCCATTCCCCCGGCAAACATACACGCCACTGTAATGAAACTTGAAATCCCCAGCATACTCATCCCACTAATTCCATGACCCGACGTGCAACCACCAGCTAGCCTCGCCCCCAACACCATCACCAAACCCCCAATGACCCCACTCGAAGCCGTGACATCCACCCCGGCAGCAACTCCAGCGAGCGGCCCATTACCCGAATAGTTATACGCCAACGCACCGGCGATGATCCCGCCAGCGAAGAACAGCGACCTCAGCGGCGGTGCGGGACCGCTCTTCGACTTGGAGGAAGGGTTAAGGAGCCGCCAGAAGTACTGGCCAGCGACTTCGTACCCTGTGGACACGCCCACTGCATTCCCCGTAAGAAGCAGCGTCGCAGCCTGCGCGGCACCAATGGCCAAGCCACCGAGGAGTGGAGGAAGGCCCAATGGACTCCGCGTGGGATCCACCGCTGTGGCGACGCCCAGGACGCTCAGACAGAGCGCCACGTAGCCGGCGACACCGGCCGGCGTGCTCACTCCCAGGCGACTCTGAACAGTGAGCTTCTGGTTCGCTTCCTCTTGACCTTGGGCTTTGTCTTTCCTTCTTGCTGCCTCTGTCCTTGTCTTGACGAAAGCAGAGACCGGCCAGGCGTAGACAATCCCACCCAGCACGCCCCCTGCTAACACATACCACCCTGACCTTACGCCGCTCGCGAGCTGCACAAGTACGGTGCCAGGACACGCACCCGTGAGCGCCATGCCAACCCCGACCATCAAACCGCCCACTATATTCCCGTCATAGCGACCGAAGAAGCCGAGGGGGGAGGGAGAGCGCGGGCAGCTTTTCGATATGGCGAGGCGGTCGAAGACGGATATTATGACGCTGGAAAGGTGGGAGTGTTAGTGGGTTTCTATTAGGGTCTAGGGGAGCGGTTTGGGTATAGATTGTGACGGATTCTGGGGCATACGTACGCACTGCTTGCGCTGGCGGTGATGAAGACTTTGAGCATGTGAAAGGTGGAGAGGTGCATTTGCGAGATTATGACCGAGGGAGCGTAGACGCCTGAGGAGGCGAGGGCGGCGCCGAAGAGGGCGCCAGATGTGGTGGAGGTGAAGAGGGTGCCGGACATTGTGCCTTGAACCCGTGTTGGAATTGTCAAGAGATTGGATTTTCTTGAGTGGAACACGTGAGAGAATTTGGTTGAAATGGATCAAGGGAGAGTGTATCTTAATCTTTTAACGTGGATCACGGACGAGATTTAGAATCCGCCGTTTTCCACCTGGACCCCGACCTCGCCGCCATGATGGAGTCGCCGAGGTGAAGCGGCGCGGAGCGTCTAGCGCCACAAACATCGCCGAGATACTCGTAACGTGAAGGGTCAATCGTCACAGAGGCTTCGGATCTGAAAATTGACAAACCCTCCTTGTAGTAATTGATTTACAGTGGGACTCTTACATTTCACTGCAGTCATGTAGGAATGTCCTTGCATCAGTGTCGCTGTAGGTTTACCTGTTCTGTACAGCATAAGCCCGGCGAGTACACTAGCCCAGATTAGCCTTGTTGTATACTAGCGCCCGTTGTTCGGTTTCATATACTGCGCGTAGTGTGTACCTACGTTCCAAGAACATGGTACTGGGCGTTGCAGTATTGACTGTCAAGAGTCCACTGGAACGTCATTCACTGCAAGTTGTAGGACGAGGAAACATGCGACTCCTCGTACGTTACTAGGACTACGTTACGTACTATGGGTTAGGGTCAAGGCGTGTCTAGTTGGTAGTAAGACATGGCGTGACAAAAGCTAATTATCGCCTGCATACAATGCCAGAGTACCAAACGCTGAGCATTCTAGGCTACGTGGTGAGCAGCACCATGACCTAGGCGCTGGACGTCAGTGAGTCGAGTTTCTTAGGCGCCCAACTGGATCTATCGATGCCATGCCATTACTCTGATCGTTAATGATACTACTAAGCCGTTCATAACCATCATATCAAAACAGGTGATCGTAACAATGCAATCCGTTCCACGCAATGCGAAATCCTAATGCAAATGCTAAACCCAAATGCTTCCCATATGTACACCACCCTATTTACCCAGCGCAGAAAGCTCGACGAGCTCCACAGAAGCCTGCGGTTTGTACAGCTCCGGCCTCAACGCCAGGCGAGTACGTAGCCACTGCAGGCGTGGCAGCCGCCAACTCGTCCGCACCGCCCCAGCAGGGAAGTCCGACTCGGAGTGCGATAGCCAGATTCTCAAGGGGTGATCAGCGACCCACGGGTCGACTAAATTACTCTGCTCGCGGCGCAGTCTCCGCTGTACGCGACTAAAGAAGCCTACTCCTTGCGTCTTCCGAATCTGAATTTGCGCTTCTCGGCCAACTTCTCCTGCGACGCACCGTTAGCACCTCTCATCGCAACCCTGTTTGTCGGGGTATCGCCGGCCATTTGGTAGGCCTTCTCGCTGCCCTTCTTGCGTCCCGTCTTCACGTCTCGGCGACTCGCACAGCAGCAGCACAAACCTGTTTGAACGAGCCATGCGAAGATGGAGAATGCGGACGCAGTCCACATGAATCCAAACAGGTAGTTGCCGATATCGGCGGAGATGTTAAGCTCGGAGACGCCAGAGATGATGTTGCGGAAGATGACAAACATGACGGTTGCGACAACGGAGGCGGCGGTGCAGAGGAGCGCGTTGATGAAGGTGAGGATGGCGATGGGAAGGGTCCACCAGCGGGAGAAGACCGAGATGGGCATTAGGAACATGAGCACGAAGGAGAGACAGGCGGAGGTGAGGAAGAAGCCAAACATGACTTGGGAGGCGATTTTAATGAGGTCGAGGATGTTGTTGATGTTGGAGGGGAGATTAACTGGGAAACCATGTTAGCGTGTTTGCTCTCACGCCACACGAAGTGTGATGATTCCAAAGACGTACTCGAAGCTCCAGCAATTAACTCGCTGCTCAGAATCTCCACAGGGTTGAACCAGTACAGTGTCTGCGGTGGACTACAGTATGTGACCCCTTCGTTCACGTAGCCCTCGCAGAATCCCCATAGCCCAACCTGGTAGAAATCGTGTAGACCCAGTGTTTGCGCAATTGTGTTGATGAGTGCAAAGTTGGGCACGCTGGCCGGGATGATGTTACTAACATCGATGCGAATAAAGTACCAATCTTGAATTATTTTCTGGTTCTTGATGCCGCCGATCTCGACGAGGATGAGGAAGATGACCGTGACAAAGAGGAAGAAGGACGTGAGGAGGGCCCATATCTTACGTGTACGGGTGGCACGCTTGATCTGGGCTTTCGAGAGTTCGGGGACGACTGTAGGAGTAGAATCGGGGGACCCGGCGGTGGACCTGCGGCGGCGACCCAAGATGCCCATTGTGTTGCCCTGACGAACTCCGGGTTCGGGCTTGAGACTCCAGATTAGTAGGATAGAACAGAAAGAAGATGAGCACAGAATGAATGGCAAATAGCGAATGGACACCGAGCCTGGCGTCTGTGGCCTACGCCTTCGTAACGCGCGGCCGTCAGAGTGGTCGATGTTTTTATGGAGACGTCCCCAGGCTCCATGGGCCAATGACATCATCATCATTAGCTTAGCCGTTCCTTCCCTTCTGCGCGGCGTCATCCCAGCAAACGACCCACCGAAGACGCACAAGAAAAGGACCAGACGCTGCTCGAGGACGATCAATTGGTAGGATATAGGCCGGCGCTGCTGCTGGCTCTGTTGTTCGATGGACCCTGCGTCTGGGCTGGCAAAGCTTCGTCAACCATTGTGGCTGAGGATGACGTTCCTCTTCGTCGCCGAGTGCCCTGTGTTGAATTTCTTGGTGTTTTGTGGACATGTTCTGGGCGCTGGCTCGCAAGTGGTTAGAGCGGGCGGAAGATCGATGGATGATCTGCCATGCAGCACGTTGTAGTCTCATCAGCCGCAGGAGGTTTCGCTACTGTCTGCAACGCCAAGCGCACGACCAGCTCGGATCTCGTCGGAACCCGTACCAAGGCCTCACTGTTGCTGTTCACCACTCCACACATTCTCACAAGATGGAGAGACCATTGCACAGATAATGCCTCTATTTTGCCCTACTCGCTGCCAAGCTCCTCCTATCTCTTTCATATACAAGACCGCAACTGCCACCACTCCTTCCACGAGGCTCTCCATCGCGGACACCCGCCGTCCACCGATGCTTTCCGCTCAAAGTAGAATAATATAAATTACAGATAGTGAACGCCTTCGATCGCCGTCCTCCGCTGTATAAACCCTAAAGTCGCTGTCGGTCGTGTACACTACGGAACCGCTCGCAAATGAGAAATGAGATCAAGGATATGTACCGACGAAGTGAATATCGGTGTTGCTGTCGCTGTGAGGTCAAAGAGAAGCCGCGCTGTCTATGCCATTGAGGTCGTCATGTCCACGAGAAGGAAATCGATGAGCTTCTGTGTGAGCTGAAACAGAATAACTCAGCCAGTGAGGCAGATGTCTGTCATTAAGGCGCATGGGTCACAGTAGTCTACCGTTGACTATGCACGTTGGACCATGTTCAGAGTGGGCCTCAGCGTGGTGGCCATGTCGTCCTGAGTGCCAACCATTTCCTTGGGTATCCTGCTGACGCGGTAGGCGCCGTTACGCACCGCCATCCTCGCCGTGTTCGACATGCCTGAGCGGTTCGAACGGATCGAACCAGCATCAGACCCGTTCGAGGGGCCGTACGGGTCGTGGAACTTGGGAGGAGGAGCAAAGTCCAATGCAGTGAACGTGCTTGAGTTGCGGAGCATGTGTCTAGGACAGTTAGCGAGAGGGAAATGACAACGGCGAGGATATACTTACGGGCTGGGCATAGGTGCAAGCTCGTCGAAACTGGTTGCCAGCGGGGTATGGGGCCTCACTGTAGGGCTGAACGGCCTGGGGGCTCCAAGAGGGCTGTCTGGCCTCCTGCCATTCTGGAGATCCCTGATTGAGACAGGCGGCGCGAAGTCAGCGGCGTTGAAGATACCGAAGTCATCCTGGAGCTTTCCGGGCGTGGGCAGGGAAGTAAGGGGTGTGGGTGGTGCCAAGGGCTTCCTGGCTGCTGGGAGACGACCACTCATGGAACTCATGTTGCGAGGCGGGAGGAATCCAGAGCCCATTGAGCCTTGAGACATATGGGGTCCAGGGCCGCGAGCAGAGCCGTTCGTGTTGCTACGGAACCGTGGTGGTGCTCGCGGAGGGGGGGTCATTGCACGACGAGTAACGGGCTGAGCGAACGGAGCTGTGGGCTGGGCGACGATGAAGTTGCCGGTCTGCGGGTCAAAGACACTGCCGTCGAGATACTCTGAAGTGTAGTCCTCGTAGTAGTCGTTGTAGATCTGGGTACCAGCGGGCTCGGGCTTCGAGTCATCGAAGTACTCCTTGTAGAAAGACCGGATACGGTTCGCACGTTGCTCAGGGTCTTCGTTGGGGTCATCGTTGGCCGGGGGCAGGGGTCGAAGGCTCATTGACAGACGGTTAGTGTTGTGTCCGAAATCGTCAACAGCAAGGGCACTGTTTCCACCATTTTGCACGATCGACACGGGACGACGCGGCTGCGGGGCCAATGGAGCGGGCGGCTCAGTTTGAGACTCACGAGGCGAAGGTGGAGTAATCTGGAAGCCTTCACCGTAGCTGGAGTCACTCAACATGCTCATCGTGTTGCTCTCCATGACCAAGGCGTTCTGCGACTGAACTCGTGGAGGTGGGCTGGGCGTAGTGGTTGCGCGGGCCTTGTTATCTTGGACGGGAGGAGCTGGAGGCGGAGGCGGATTTGCGGCGGACGGAGGCGCATACGCGACGTAGGCATTGGTAGGCTGCTCGACGACATTATCGGCCTGGACCGGGGGCGCAGGAGCAGGTGGAAGTGGGTCAGCGAAGCGCGGGTTCAACGGGCTCAATGGCGTGGCAGCTTGCTCAGGGTATCTGATCTCGGGAATGGACTTTTCGGTAGCACGTTCAGGCGATGGCGAGGTGCGCAGAGGCACGGACTGAGACATCCTCTGTGCGTTCTTGAGCAGGCTGTTCTTCATCTTGTCGCTGGTGCGGGTCGAAGCCGAGTAGACTGACTCGTTGCCGTCACGGCCGGCGCGGCTGCCGCTGCGGACACTGGCATTATCACCACCAAAAGATACAGGGCCGTAGGGGTCATACGAGTCCTTGGTCGAGCGGGAGAGTGAGTGGAAAGATTCGCGCGAGCCATGCAGGCCGGCAGGGAGCAGGTAGGGGCTGGAGAGATCCGGCTCCAGAGACAATCCTCTTCCATGGGACTTTTCAACATCGCTCAGCTTCATCTCAGGTCCCTTCTTTCCCCTGCCGGGAGTAGGCACGCCGAAGTCCAATGACTTGTACTTGTCGTCCTTGTCTTCGGCCGCCAACTTCTTGACATTTCTTCGGTGGAGAAAGACGAGCACGACTGTAGCAATCACAATGGGCAGACTGAGAACTGTTAGCATGTACGTCAGGCCGACCAAGAGGCTAAACCTACGTCACGGCTAGTACGATGAACAAGGTCGGAGTCTGGGTGGGCTTGACGCAGCCTTCGTCGGTATCGTTGGTGCACGAAGCACGCGGCACCAGCCTGGCGCGCGTGGCTTCTTGAATCGTTTCCGTGGTCCTCTGGGCCAGCTGTGCAATGTCGATGCCTCCCTCCCTCTTCGTATGGCGGTGCACGTGCATGTGGTTGTGGTGGACCATGGTCACGATCCTCGTCTGCGATGAGTCGCCTACTGCCTCGGGGCTTCCAGCTGGGAGGTGGTCTGCTTCGGTCGTGCGGAATTCGAGTTTGGTCCGAGTTATTGATTATCAGCGTCAGGTCGTTATGCGGTCGTAAAGCGATGGGCTACGTGTATATGGTTTCGGGGTTGGTTTTGGTTTTGGTTTGTATTGGGTAGCATGCGGTGGTAAGGAGTGACGGGGACTGCAACACACAACGCTCTCGAGAACCCAAAAAGAATGACTGGGGTAAGATACAGATGGTGGGCTCGCGAGGACGAAGGGCAGAATTAGTAAAGAGCGGCTCTCACGAGTGAGGTGAGGAGGAGGAGCACAGCCGGGCACGAGGAGAAGAAGAGGCGCCCCAGGCAGCTCGTCCCGCGACGGCGTTTGATTGGACAGGGGGTCCGTGGGCAGCAAGGTGCGACCTTGCTCGGGAACTAGAACGCCTCTCCGTTTGACGTTGGGGTGTTTGTTTGGAGGCGCCTGACTCGGCTGCATTCCTCGCCGCTATCCCCTCGGTGCAAGTGCTTTCTGTGCGCGCTGCTCGTGGGCATCGGCGGCCATGCACTCGCGATGCTCCTTGTGCGCATCTCGACGCCTTCACAATCGATTGCGCTCAGGAGGAAGGCTGCTAGCCTGTTCGCGCACGGCGGGTTATTCTTGCACGGTGCCCTGGCGCATCCCGGCAGCCTATGCAAGGTACGCCCGCGCTGGGGCTGCTGATTGGCGGCTCCGACACAGCCATGCGCATCCCCATGTTGCCCGCACAAGCGCCTGCCCGAGGACAATCGCCATTAGCCAGCGAGGCCACCTCCTCACCATCGCCCGCCGCGCCGACGAGGCCTGCGACAGCGCTGCTACGGCTGTCTCGCGCTGCCTGCGCTGGCTGCTCGTCCCCCTTTTATCATCCACGCCCCACCGGCGGGAGCGCTTCTGTGCTCCCTCTCCCGAACAGCGCTGCAACCGCGCCTGGGCCGCGCAGGCCTCATTTCCCGTGGCCACTGTGCCATAGCCTCGCCCAGAATTGTGCAGGCCCCGGAGCGGAAATGCCTTGCCCCATCCAGAGCCGCTGCGGGCCCTCATTCGTCCTGCGCCTTATCCACGGCCTGCCAGCCTTGCCGACTCCTATCGTGCAGGTCTCGCCCACGGCCTCGCGCCAATTTCAGCAAATTGTGCACTCCGCCATCCACCAGAGCTGATGTCATTCCCTCCGAGTCCGCGTTCAAGGCGTGTGCAAGCACAGTGGAGCCTACATTCAACACGCCAGCGCGCTGACCAAGCTCACCACACCGCTTGTCCTTCCGAAGCTTCCACGGCCCGTCCTTGTATTTTTGGAGCAGAGCCCAGGCCGTTCGCCGTGGCACTCGATTCACGAGCCTGCCAGACGCGGCTCGCTTGATGAGTCGCTTTCGCATCCAATCTGCACTGCAGATGAAGGGGGCATCTGGGGCAATGGCTGGACCCGAGAGATTACTTGCTGATCCTTCGCTTCGACCGCGGGAACCAAATTCCCTCGCGACCTTGACTGTGGCTGTGTTTCAGATTGAGATCGTTGCTCCTATCGATTAACGGTCGCCTGTCGGAAAAATCATGGCTTGCTTCCAGGACATGGCCTCACATAGTGGCACGTGATCTTTCTTATTTCACTACGCCCTCACAGTTCACGATAGTACTTTTGACTCACGTCTCCATTAGATTAGAAGTCATTAACATCGAATGCATAACTGCAATAGAGGAAAACCAACGCAGAAAGCCCGCCTGTGAAAAACGAAAACAGTCTGCTCGAGAAAAGCAGTCATATTAATTATGCAGAGATCTCAGTCCAAAGGCGACTACACCACCGTCCATCTTGCAAATGTCACGCTTCTCTCCGGCCACCCAGCTGCGACTGGGTCGGCCATCCAGTCTCGCTCGATGCCACAGACTGGGTCGGCCATTGTGGGTCGTTCGCCGGCTCTGACTGTCCAGAACTCATCTTTCCAGCTTTGACGGGCGCAGATGTGGCTCGCGAGCTGTATCCCAGCGTATCGAAGCTCGGCTGGCGCCATGCTTGCGCAATCACGGGAGGACTGGGAGCAAAATAGAAGTGTCTGAAATACGCGGGCGAACGAGGCACTCTTCCATCTTCTTGTCGATCCTGACTGATTGCTGTTCTTACGGTCGTGGACCGCGATGGACGTGATCTGGTCGCCTTCGTTGTGTTCCTCTGAAGCCCCGACGAAGCCAGATTGGAGTATTGAACTCCACGTTTGCGGCTGGACCATGTTTTCAGCTCCGGATCGTCCGGCACTGCCAGGATCCACTTCATGATCTTGTTGGCTTTCCTCAAGATCGATGGCGTTCTTGACAATTTTGATTGTATTCCAAACGCATTCCGCAGAACCTCGTCTTTCTGCCAGGGCTCATGCAGTTTCTACGTCCAGTCAGTGAGCCGACCTCGGTCAAGTATTAAACCTACTTGCCTCAAACCCGGTATCAGTCGATGCCTGACCAATCAACAGTTCTAGGACCCTATGCTCTTCTTTGATTGCCTGCGAGCATCTCAGTCAGCGAACACGTAGAATTGAAGGGTTTGTAGCTTCTCACCCTGGCCTTCTCCTGGGGCGTTTTCTCCATGTCTTCATTAATGATCCTCATCCTGGTCTGGTAATGACTCCACATCCTTCGAACCTCGTCTCGGAACCGCTCTTCCGTCCTGTCTTTTGCCTCCCCTTCACTCTCGTATCCCTCTCCGACCTCCCGAAGTGCTTCCTTAATTTGCAGCTCCGTCTTCCTGTCGCGATGCTGTTTCAACTCCGTCGGTGCCCGCACGGCCTTCAGTACCTGCAGATGCTTCCTTTCCAAGACTTCACTGTGTGAGTCTTCTGGAGCTACCGACACATGGCTTCCGCCCTGCCACACGGAACCATCTGATGGATCTACTTGCGTCGTCTCTGTTGCCGTTGGATTGTGCAGCGGTAGAGCACTATCTGAAGAAAGCGCGCTATCCGGGGGAAACAGCCACGGCATTGAGTCCTGCTCGTCAACTGATGGAAGTGGGGGCTTGGCCATTTGGCTCTGTCGGAAGGGCCGCCTATTCCTCCGCATCGATCCGACAGTACTCCTTTCAGGGCTGGTAGGCGATTGTGATGCGAAGAAGGTCGTCTGTGGGTCCTTTACGTATCCAGATGATGGGGGATGTGATCCGCTTTGATAGCTCGGAGTACTGGGTGATTTGTCAAATCTACTCCAGCTATCACTGGTATCACGGATCGGTGACTGTATTGGAGACCCCAGTTTGCGTACGGTAGAAGCCTCCCATCCTTCCTCGGCAACCGCTGAGGACTCGTCGAAACCCTTTCGGCGTGATCCTTTGATAGATGGCTCGCGGTAAATGTTTGCATTGCTCCGCTGTTCTTGCAGCTCAGCCGTCGATAACTCCACGGGGGAAGGTAGTTTGCGAACCGTGCTTTTGCATTGATCCGACCTGGTCGGGGAAAGCTTCTGAGGAAGTGTGTCACTCGAAGGAGTAAATGTTGGAAAGCTACTAAGCGACACCAGCGAGTCACGTAAATCCGAGGACGCACGCAATGTTCCAGGACGCGATCGATCGCCCATGTAAAAGCTTGCAATCGTACCTTCGGGAACAATCGAAGCCGTCTTCCCTGAGCCAGCCAGCGAGCTCAGCCGCCCATCATTCGAATAGAGAGACTGCGGTGTCACTCTCCCTATCTGCCGTACGCGTAGCAATCGCGAGTCCTGCGGTCCGGGCGCACCAGCTTGAATCTCCTCGAAGCGTCGGCCAGGAATTACGACGCCCAATTTGGCCTTTCCGGTGTGACTGAAGGCATCTGAAGGCCTGCTGATGCTTTCTGGCCGTCCACGCCCGCTTTTCGCATCAGTCGTTCTTCTCTTCGATTCAAAGAAGTCATGTAACCCTCCACCACGCATCTGCACGACCGTCCGACTGCTGGTCACGCTCTCACTCCTACCCCTTTTCTTCTCTTCCTGTTTCACATCCATCTCCTCCCTCCCGTACACCCTCATTAAATCATCTCCAGAAGGACTCCACCTATACCTTCCCTCCCCCTTCTCACCATCGTCTCCCTGCCCCTCTTTGATCTCTCCTTCTAACCCATCCGACGCATACAAACACCTCAGCAACGCGTCATGCGTCTCCCTCAACTCCCCGCTCCCGTCCACCAAGACCTCTCTCGCAATCAGACTGTGCGAAGCGAGTCTCAAATCGTACAACCGTCGTGGGAACGCGCGCTTGCTAGCTGCGGTTGCACAGCGAGCGAGGGTGCTATTGAAGATGTCGGCACTGGGCTGGCACGCAGTCTGGCTTTCGACAGGCGGCGCGGTGGAAGGCCGGGTAGGCGGACGATCCACAATGTGCGGTGAAGACAGGAAATCTGAAAGACTGAGATACGCGCTGGTATCGTCAGGGGGTAAATATGAAGGGAGAGATGGGAGAGAGGGCGAGGGTAAGAGAATTGGCGGACGGTTGCGGGTGCAAGGGGCCATGATAAGTAAGTGTGGTTTGCCACGGTGCTGGCCACGGTGCTGACCACGAAAAGAAGGAATAGGGAAAGAAGTATAACGTGTCAAGGCGGCCGTGTATCAGCGCGGATGGAGGCGCAGGCACTTTGTTTGCGGGACGCGACACTGTGAAGGGCGTACCTTGGGGCGTGTAGGCTGAGTGTTTGGTTAGCCGGGAGAGTGTTTGCTCGCGGGTATGTGGCTCTGGGGCTGCAAGGTTGGATATTGATGCGAACGGAGGTAGAAGAATAAGGATGTGCAGGCTACCTGGGGTTTCGACGGGACTATGCATCAGGGGTTTGGGACAGGTCTATGGCCATCCCCCGGGTGAGAGAAGGGCATAAAGACATGCGTGGCAACTGCATACTGACGTTAGTAAACGCCGACGAATACAGTGGTGGTGGTCGTGATAATGACTATCAGTATCAGTTGGCAAGCGGCTGTGCTGTAATGCAGTACACACTTCTTCTCCTGTCTTCTTTTTTTTTTTTTTTTTTTTTTCATTGAAACCCCAGCTTCTTCCTCGCGCAGCTTTACCATCATGCTCCGATCACCATACTCCGCTCGTCTCCTCCCACGATCTAAAAATACTCAAATTGCGCTACAGACCACACCCTCGACCCTAAGAGCATTCTATACGCAAGACTCTCCTAATCAAAGGGTTCAACTCCACCGTTCATAGTCCTCACAATAAGAAAAGACAGCATTTGGGGACCCCAGCTTTCAAGAGTTTACGGATAGGAAAGAACGAGCAGAAGACGCTCATGCTTTTGCATGCCGACTTGCAGATCTTTTGTCAAGAACGACGTCGGGCAAGAAGTGCACATGCAGAAGGGCCATCCATGCTGTCGACCAAAGTACGGGAAGACCCCGTGATGGGAACAAGATGGAGTCGATTAGAGTACCAGATCCAGCGTTACCTCATGTAGCCTCCATTATGTCGATTTGGGGAGCTTTGCGGAGCGCGGGGTGGCTTGGCCTGTAATACGCCACGCATGCGGATGGAGAGTCAAACAGCCTAGCTTGACTTGCTGAGGCTTACTTTGCCCGTGCAGACGGAACATTGGGTATGCTAGAGTGACTCGCTGACGAACCCATTTGACGGAACACAGCACCCCTAATGTGCTCTAGGCAGATGTACAATACGGCCCAGCTTCCACGTAGAGTTCCGCCCAACTGTCGCATGAGGCCACACGAATCACAACAGCACTCTTACACTCCAAGGCAGAGAGCAAATGTCAAGATAGAAACCAAGATTGGTATATATTGCCGTACAACGTGCCCCCAGAAAAGAGAAGGGTACTCGAGCCGATAGATGCCCTTGAACGCCGATGCCATCGATCCGCCAAAATGCTGTATGCACAAAGAGACATGGAACGTAAAAACGAAAAGAGGGCAGACAATGCTCACTCGGGTTATCGCGCTCACAAACACAACGCCTCAGAATAGGCCCAGGGTAGGTGGTGCTAGTGGTAGACTTTGAGGGTCAATTGTTACCTTTTGCAGTCATTGGGGCTTCTGCCCCTGGGTGGGAAGCGGTCAGGCCTCACCCTGCATTTCGAGACCTTCCTGCTTCAGCTTTTGGTGCATCGATCGCAGCGTCTCGTACGTCATCATCGTAGTGACGGCTGCCGGTACCGCGCGGACCATGTTGGTGCCCATGCCGTTGTAGAACGCTCTCCAGCCTTCCTCGTGTAGTATGGTGGCGCAGGTTCGCAGCATACCGCGATAGCGAGGGATGTTGATCATGCCATCGGATGAAGCGGTGCCTGGACCTCGTGTTAGGTATCGAGCTTCTTGATGGCTTCCTCGAAAGGCTACATCCTCGTGTGAGGCGGAAGGAATCGTACGTTGTTGCGTCTGAAGTCTGGTGCGAAGGACCTCATGTGGATAAGTAGCGGACGTAGCGCAGATTTTACTTAGAATTGTCGCGCCAAGTATGCCCGCCAGATGCATATTGCTGTCGGTTGACGTTGTTTGACCCATCTCCAGACCAGTAAACTTCATCTTGAAGAACTCGTATAGCGGAAACTGGATAGCGACGTGGGTGAGGCCAAGCAGCGCGGGGGTTAGACCCGAGTAGAAGGCGCGCATGCCTTCATTGGCGTACATTTTGCGGAAGGCATCCAACGTATTCTTGTAGTGCCATGGCGGACGGTGCTCCTCAGAGGCGCGCGCGCTCACTTGCGACATGAGCCTCGTTTTGATGACCCAGATAGGGTTTGTTGCTAGCGTGGAGCAAGCACCAGCGGCAACCGAAGCCGATATCCTCGACAGCCACTTGTTCTCTGCACACTGTCAACATGTGTCCACGCCTTGCAGATGCATACACAGACCCATTCGCGTGTAGAAGAAGTCCTTGGACCAGTCGTACACGCTCATGTAGACGGCCCAGGTGGGCACGTAGCCGAGCAGCATCGGCCCGAGCCCTCTGTACATGCCCCGAACGCCATCCTGAGTCCAGATGACTCGTGCAGTGCCCAGCAGGCCCTGGTATACGACACGCGTGGCTCGTCCCTGGTGCCGTGGGCGCCAGGAACCCTGGGCCTGCAGACGAGTTTTTATGACGTCGAGCGGGCAGGTGACGATGCCAGACGCGATGCCGGCGACGGCACCGCAGGCAGCGTTGACCGAGGAGTTGGGGAGGGAGGCGCACTTGAGGGCCAAGCTAGAGTAGGGTGAGCTCCAGTTCTTCGCGGGCATCGAGGTTGGGTCGGTGGGAGAAAGAGCGGGCGGCGGCGCATACCGTTCTCGCGCACGGTTGGGGGACGGCGGCGGCGCGGGATCGTCGGCAGACATTGCAAGGGCTGGCCATGGGGAGCAGTTAGAAGACAGTCAGTCGCGGCGCGTATTGGAGAGCGCCTACATGCCGTCGTCCCCGTCGCGGTGCCTCAGTGTGCGGAAGCCCCGCAGCACTCGGTGACACAATAGCTAGCGATTGACCAGCTCCATTGACCGCCGGATCCCGGGAGAACGTCGTTGTGCGGGCGGTCGGACGGGCGCGCTGCCGAGAGAGAGGCAAGGAAGCTGCGCAGCGGGCGGGGGCGGTCGCGGGAGTAGGAGGGGAGCGCGGCGTGGTGCTGAGCGTCGCAGCTCGTGTGAAGGGCGGACGGGTGGGGGCGTGATGGAGCAGCAGCTTGCTTGCTGCGAGCAAAAGCTTCCGGGCCTTGGCGCGCCGGGTCCAATTCGCTTCCTCGCCTGAAGACCTCACCACTGCAACTCGCACCCCCATTGAACCGCCGCCACCGCTCGCAGCACCCGCACCGGAATCAAACCACACGCGCCCGCCATGTCTGCGCCGTCTCTCGCCCCTTATATTGTCAAGCGCCCGTGGCTGCAGCGCTGGGTGGCGCCGCTCGCCAAGTGGTACGGCAACGCCGCTGGCTACAGGCAGCTCGGCCTGAGGTACGCACGCCCCTCCCGCGAGCCAATTCGCCGGGGAGGTCTGGAGGAAGGCGAATTGGGCTCTGTCTGAGTTGGAGCGATGCGCTGACGCTGCTTGTTCCGCAGGGCCGATGACATCCTCCCCGAGGAGAACGACGTAGTCCAGCTCGCCCTCAAGCGTCTCCCGCCCAATGAGGCCTACGACCGCGTCTTCCGCATCCGCCGAGCTTTCCAGGTACCTTAGAGCCACCCAGCAACCGCTCCCGGATGTCAGCTAAATACCCTAGTGCTCCGTATCCCACCAGCTCCTGCCCAAGAACGAGTGGACTAAGCCAGAGGAGGTGAGGAACACGAACAAAAACAACAGCGGAAACCTCGCTAATATGAACAGGACACTCCCTACCTGAGCAAGATCATCGAGGAGATCGAGGTCGAGATGAGCGAGCGTGAGGACTTGGAGGCCATGGTCGTGCAGAAGAGAAAGGCGAACGCCAGCGCCAGCCACTAGACGGGAAGGAATGTAAATACGACAAATGGCACTGACACGGGCTTGGAGGGATCTGGAGGGATTGAGCTGTGCATTAGAGTGTACTATCAAGAAATTTCCTATCGTCATGTATTGAACGCTCTCAAAACATCTCCCCCGCTACCGCAGTAACAGGGTTCACCGCCATCTTCTGCCGCTGTGAATCACCCATGAAGTGAGCTATTGCATGTACAACTGCTATATGGGAGCACATGTAAGAAAAGCTACGGTACTGCGAAATGTATGGAGCTCTTGGCCAATCACATCGAAAGCAAAGGTCAGGAACCTTCATTCAATTCATGACATTCCAACCACGCTCAGACCAGTAAGTATATCATTGATATGTCAACAATCTGGCATTGTAAGTAAATACAGCAGGATGATCAGGTACGTTGGGGAGTATGAACGATGCAAGGGTTGTGAAGGCAATCAAGTCTCTAAACAATCACGCTCAAGGAATGAAGTCCAGAGATAATTAATTTCACAGTATGAAAGCATGTCTGCCTTTCCGTTGAGCGTGTGTCAGGATGCACTACAATGCTTTGTTTGTTGGATAGTAATTCTACAAGTGCTTGGTATACACCTCGGCTTCACTTGATTTCTTGCCGCCGCGAAAAGGAAGTGAAGGCACCTGTTGTCGAACAAAGGCAGGTACCAGTTTACGGCAGTATCAGAATAACGAGGGGCATCAGCACACGAACGTTCATCAACCCGTCATGTGTTTGTAATGGCCGACAAAAGAAAAGGGAATCCTTGAACTGGACCCGACCACACCTCCGGTAGGTCTTGTCCACATTCACGCTGACTGATTGCACTGAAAGTTTGAGAGCTTAGAGTATTGAAAGTTCACATAGGATGAGGCGCGCCAGCAGCTGCCGTTTCTGGTGTTAGCTACCATGGTTGTTCAGGCTCCAGCGAGTGATCAATCCCGAGGCTGCATTAGTTATTGGTCAGCACGGAGTCATGTGCTCTCGCGATCGACCAATTTCCAAGACCCTGCGACCGCGTCAGACATCTCGCACCCCGATAGTTCATGCTCAGCCGCGCAATACTCCGCAGGAATCTTTCATATCAAGACGTGTTTTTGGTCTTTTCATCCCATATTGCGAAATTTAGTGCCTTGAACTCATATCTCCCACCGCTTGCGCACCAACATCAGTGTTTCACGATGTCTCTAAGACGCTCAGCCCGCATCTCCACCACCACATCCACCGTGCAAGAGCCAGCAGCCTACAAAAAGGTAACCCCCAAACCATCCCCTGCCAACAACAAGCGGAAAAGCCGCGCCTCAACCACAACTACGTCGCCGCCGAAGCTCTCAAAGGAAGAAGCCGCAGAGTCGATCTTCGCCCCAGGTGCCCCGCCCGTCTTCGCCGTCCCAGAGCTACCCGCAACACCCCTCCCCAAGCGCCGGAAAGCAGCGGGGGAGTCGCCATTCAAACCCCCGCCGTTCACGCCGACGCCGTCTGGCGTAGGATTGCTGTCTCATACGCATCCCGAGGATGGAAAGCATCCCTTGGAAAGCCCGATCAACAGCAAGCCTCGTCCGGCAGAGCCACACGCCACCAATGCGCCCCTGTCGACGCCAGGCGGGTCGCGAGTGACAGCATACACGTCCTCGCCCTCGAAACCATCAACGCCTTCAGCGTCGCAGGAAGCGCCTGGTGCGTCTCCAGCGAAGAAGCGCAAGGCGAAGGAGGTAGCACCGGACGTTGGCGTGTTGAACAAGCCGACGGCGACGATTGACACGCTGCTGAAGGATGCGGAGGAGTTTCTGTGTAAGGTGGATCCGAAGTTGAGGCCGTTGGTGGAGAAGCATAAGTGTAACGTGTTTAGTCCGGAGGGGCTGAGGGAGGTGGTGGATCCGTTCACGGCGTTGTCGAGTGGGATTATAGGACAGCAGGTATGTATGTGCGACGTAGATGTGAGCGTGGGTGAGGTGATGCTAATATTCTACTCACAGGTGTCGGGACAGGCTGCTGCTTCAATACGCAAGAAGTTCACCGCATGTAAGTCAAGCCCAGCGCAACTGGCACATCATTATCATTATCTATTCCACAATCGAAGATATGCAACAAGTGAGAAGACCCTGATTGACCGTCCACTAATCACACCCAGTGTTCCCCGAAACCCACCCCTCCTTCCCCAGCCCATCCCAAGTCCTCGTCAAAGACCTCCCCACCCTCCGCACAGCTGGCCTCTCCCAGCGCAAAGCCGAGTACATCAGCGGCCTAGCCGAGAAATTTGTCTCGGGCGAGCTAAGCGCCAGCATGCTCATCAGCGCGTCCGACGAAGAGCTGATCGAGAAGCTCGTCGCCGTGCGAGGCCTTGGGCGGTGGTCGGTCGAGATGTTCGCCTGCTTTGGGCTCAAGCGCATGGATGTTTTTAGCACGGGCGATCTGGGCGTGCAGTAAGTACCTAACTACGTACCCCTACCGTTTCTCCGCGGGAGATGCTAGCACTTTGTTGGCATGAAACACACCGCGAAAACATATAGGCGTTTACTGACGATGGCGATCAACACAGGCGCGGGATGGCCACGTACATGGGCCGCGACACGTCGAAGCTCAAGGCCAAGGGCGGCAAATGGAAATACATGAGTGAGGCTGAGATGCTGTCCATAGCGTCTGGCTTCGCGCCCTACCGGTGCGTCCATCTCCGCTTCCCGTTCCCGCTCGTCTGCAGCGATTCGTGCTACTCGGGTGATTTTGCTAGCGGCCGCGATGCTGATGCAGTTTAGGTCGCTGTTCATGTGGTATATGTGGAGAATCGAGGATGTCGACATCAGCGTCATGGATACGACTTGAGTCGAGCGCGCAAGTAGGGTTGCAGTACATGACATAGGCGAGGATGCATAAGCGGTGGCCGTGTAGAGGGCCAGTGTGTGTTGTGACTTATGGGGGTGGAGTGTAATCCTTGAACCGAACGAATGAGTGAAGGACGGCGTGTGGAGAGCGCGGGTGGGGAACGGACGGCCAAGTACGAGTGCAAGTACGTCCCGACCGCAACTGTCAATATGTTGTGTGCGAAGTGTCATCTGCAGCGCTTACGGATTGGTCGTTTTGTGTCATGGCGTCGGGAGTCGGTGCACATAGGACGTCTTCAGGTGGTACAAATCCGCTTCGAGATCAGTCGTCGAGGAGCGAAGACTAACGCGGATAGTCATTTCGTTCCTCGTGGTCGAGTGCCACATTTTTCATTGGTATACACTGAAGCCTACGCAGCGAGCGATGTGACGTCCGATGAGTGCAAGTATCGGAGCAGTACGCGCAGCAACATTTGGCGTGATACAGACAAGACCTTCTTTGAGCTAACGCGGAAGGATTGGTGTTTTCGCGGATGTCGGCTATCGTTCCTTGGGTAAGGCCATTGGAGCGATGCATTACCGATGCACGCACGAGTTGCTGGGGGTGTTGTTTTCGTTTTGTAGTCGTGTTGTCGCGGGAATTGCTACATTGAACTCTGCCCAATTTGATGATGTACCACAAGACATGATCTGGAATGGGCCGAACTTCGCGTTGTCTAAGGAGAGAAGCAAAGGTCGCGCGTTGCAAGGTTACTTCGCACAGTTAGCAGACGCGAGCGCTATTATTGGCAGGCAGCCTCATGCAAACCTGTGAGAGACGAACTCGATCACGGTGGTTATACTCATAGCTCGTCAACATTCCATACAGCTCAAGCGTGCCGCCGTCCTGCGGGGAGCTCGGTGCGCATGGCACAAGCCAAGCGAGACTGGACATCGTGAGTCTGGAATTGACCTTTTACGTCATACCGTTCAGACCATGTTCGTCTCGTATGCATCTCACCGCGGCTGCACGTCTGATCCGATCGTTTTCTATCCGAGATGGTACTGGCACCTGTTGCAAAAGACCATGTTCCTGAGGGCTTGTCAATAATTTTTCTCAGGGCAATGAGTGGTAGCGAGTGTTTTGGATGTGAGATGTGGATGTGACCAGGGTAGCAACTGTGGTTCGAGCAACGTAGGGGAGCGGCGGCTGTGGCACTGTGCGACTTTGACTTGACAGAACGGGAATAACGTGTGAGGTGAAGGATTGCTTGCATCTTGCCACAGTCCATTTGATAATTCATAAGGAGAACAGCGCGGCTGGCTGGGTCTGGTAGGCTGGACTGCAGTAATGGTCGTACGATCAGCGGTGCTGCCAAAGGTTGAGATGCTACAAAGTCTGAAGAGTCGCAGCTCAATGGCATGCGCGGTGATCGATGGTTACACCGGGATATTGACATTTCCTTCCCCGAACGCACCCCACCTCTCCCATGGCAAGTGCGACCATGTGCAAGGCTGGTGTAATCATCTGCTCGGGTGTCTGGCAAGGTCTTACAACGTTGCCGAGGAAAGTACTGCAGTGCATGGGCAAAAGTGGTCAACGTAATATTATACTGAGGTTCTCAATCAGACACTCAGGATTTTGAGGCCACGAGTCTCCGATGTTCGGTGAATCTGCGCACTCGTCGTTATTTTTCCTCACGTTGTCCGGCGTGGGGAAGGTTTCCGGCAGAGGGGTCGTCCCGAGGACTCAAGTTGCGATTGGTAGATCCGAAGTGGGTTGAAAGTCCACAATGACGAACCGTCTAGGGCTTTCGATATCGATGCCAATTTCCTTGACCGTGGCGAACTGCTCGACAAGCTTGTAGCGTGCGGAAAGTAGGAAGCTCGACACTGTGAGATTGCATCCAATATTAGCCCCAAGATTGTGTCCTATGCACAGCGCGAAAGTGCCGGCGACTAGTTCGGAGAATTTCTGTATGAGTAGCGCCTCGTGCAAAGTGTTGAGTGTTGAATGGTAGGCCATGAAGCCCTGGCCAAGCAGGGACAGACACTGGCAGCGGGTAATGAGACAGCAGCTCTTCCTTGGTCTCATCGTTGTTGGAAGGCGTCATCACATGAAGGTGACTGCAAGCGACATGGGTTTACCAGCTGGCGACAATCACAATGAGATTACGCCAGTATATCTGTCTAGCGGCCTTCCTTCGCTACGGGCGATCTCAGGATGTGAATCACGTGATGTTCTGAGCAAGGGGCGCACCGTGCTTGATTGGATGGCGAGGCGAGGCGGGACAGGGCGATCCTCGAGGGCAGATAGCACCCTGGCTCCCATTTCATAACTGTTTTCGATGACGGCACGAAGGACAACAACAGGCCCACCCGGGAACGGGCTGAAACGCGGACGGGGTGGAAGTTGTCGACAGCTGCTGACGTCCGACACAAACAAACGTCAGACTTTGCACTGTAGATGCCCGACGGACCGCCTCAGCACGCTCTCACGACGCGATAAGCCTAGACTTGCGACCCCATGGGCGTGCAAGGTGGCGGAAAGTTCGGCTCCTGTCGCAGGGGCCGGCGTGGCATGGTCACGAATCCAGATCGGGGAGGACAGGCACGGCTCGTGGAGCGTTGAATAGTGCAATCAGCCGGCGCATGATGGGATTTGTGGTCGATTGCCAGCTTTTCGCTGGCGGGCTGCGGGATGGCGCCGCGCTGTCGCTGTCGCAAGCAGTCGCCGGCTCAATCATGGCAGCAGCTGCTATGGCCCAGATATGGCTGGACGTGCTCGAGCAAAATCAGGATTTGCACACGCCGAGTGGAGCGTCGCACGCCCCAGGCGTCTCATCCCGTCGCAGGCTCCATTCCTGGGTCGGAGTCCACGTAAACAGGCACCGCCGGCGATGGTCCACCACGGAGCCCACTCGCTGTGAATGGGAGCCAGTGTGTGTGCAAGCTGCGCGCGCCCGTTGCCGCAGCAAGCAGCACCAGCGCGCGTCTCGCCGGCGAACTAAGTGCAAACGGACTGAGCGAGGACGAGTCTATCGGCGGCGCGAGACGAGATGACCGCTGGAGGCCGGGCGGTGCGCCAGCCGGCTAGTCGCGACGCCTCGATGCGGCTAGCCAGAGCATGGTCCGCGCCTCCTTTTCAAACACGACTCTCTCCTGCCTTCAGTCCCGTTGTCGCTCCTCATCCACATTCGCTTTCTTGCGACTTCCCCTGCGAACAGTCCTGTGGGGTCTTTATTAATTGTTGCAGTTTCTTCCTTTCCTCGCCAATCGCTCAGCATCTTCACTTTTTGGATTTGGACCATCTATCCGTCCTCCACAGAGCAGTCTTAATATCATCGCACAAGCCGCTTCGCTTTTCGTCCCGTCGACATGTCTCTCTTCAGAGTTGCCCTGCCCGCGCTGGCAGTTGTTGGCTCCGCCTACGGTGCGTATCCGCTGCCTCAGTGTTGTCGCGCCTCCTACTGACCTGCCCACCAGCCGCCTCGTGCAGCAACTCCGCTACTTCCACCATCCAGAACGGCGGCGACGCCACCGCCATCGCCTCGTGCACAACCTACTCTGGTAGCATTGCCGTTGCGACCGGCCTTGCCGACGACATTGCCCTTGATGGCAACCTCAAGAAGATCGATGGCGACTTGGTCCTCGAAAGCAACTCCGACATCAAGCGCTTCGGATCTTCCAGCCTTCAGTCCATCTCTGGCAAGCTCACCCTGAACGATGTATCGCAGCTCGCAGCCTTGTCTTTCCCCGCCCTGACTGAGGTTGATGAGCTCACGCTCAAGGGTCTGCCCAACCTCCGCGCTCTGGAGTTCAACCTCACCAAGGCCGACAAGCTCGACATTGAGAACACGAAGCTCCAGAACTTGGACGGCATTGATCTGGATGAAGTCTCTTCCATCTTCATTGCCAACAACGACGATATCGCCAGCATCGAGATGCAGGTTACCAACATCACCGAGTTCATCACCCTTTCTTTCAACAACGCTATGGTCAACGTCTCGTTCCCCAAGCTTGAGTCTGCCAACAACATCTCTTTCCGTGCCATTGGTTCTTTGAACATTCCCGTGTTGTCTAAGATCAACAGCGGCAGCTTCGGCGTCTTCGAGTCCGACAACCTTGAGAGCGTTTCCGCTCCCAATCTCACCAAGATCGATGGTGCTCTCGTCATTGATAACAACAAGGGCTTGAAGAACATCTCCTTCGCCTCACTCACTGACGTCGGCGCCAACCTGCAGATCGCCAACAACACCAACCTGCACCAGATTGACGGCTTGCCTAAGCTCAAGAACGTCCAGGCTGCTCTTGACATGAGCGGTAACTTCTCCAAGTGAGTCCATCCGAGCACCAGACTGTTGATGCGTTCCTAACAACAAACAGGGTCGAGACCCCTTCTCTGGACTACGTGAAGGGTGTGTTCAACCTCCAGTCTACTGGTGACATCGGCACTGTCTGCGACGACTTCTACAACCCCCTCAAGGCCAAGGGCAAGCTCCAGAAGGGCAAGTATGTCTGCCAGGGCAAGCTCGAGGAGGCCAACACTGCTGGTAGCTCTCCCAAGAGCGGCTCGGGCAGCGGCAGCGGCGGCGACAAGGGCGCCGCCGTTGGCCTGGCCGTTCCCAGCATCTCTCTCGGACTTGTTGGCCTCGCTGCCGTCCTCCTCTTGTAAACCAGCTAGTTTCTGGGACGATCCCACCACAAAACCGTTCTGAAACCAATATATCATCCATGTTTCCTCGACAGCATGTCATCATCCAGCGCGCGAGCGCTCTGGTGGACGACCTGACGCTGAGTCGTGGATGCCATCGGAGAGGGGGGTAATGGACAACATGCATCAGGTCTTGGACTTGATGGCGAGAGCTTACTAGATTTTAATACGTCACGCACTTCTGACATGACTTCGAGACCGATATTGTGGAGTGTGCAGTTGATGGTTTGGGTGCGAATGGCACCCCACGAAAAGTGCACTCCTTTTCTTTCGTGTGTATAGGTTATGGCGTCTCACTGTTGTATGCTACCGCGGGAATACATGGCATGGTCATTTTGTCTACTACTCGCTTGATGATTTGAACACCCCGTACTAAAAGTCGCTGTGCTCAGCATATTCTCCTCGTCACTTCTCTCTTAGTTTCGCGCTCACCTTTTCGTGCATCATTGCTCGAGCCATCGGGGAACCGGCGTGCATCCCATGCGTCTGTTGTCGCTGTCGAAGCGCCTGCATGTATGGTGTCACTATGCACCTGCTTGGTTCTAGGCCGCTTCTGTATCCAGGCTACCGCCCATGTCTCTCACCACCCTGGTCAATTTCAGCAGTTCACACCCCGTACCAGAGATGTGCTGGACATACATGCATCTCAAACGGGGTGCGTGCAGCCGTCCGCGAGCCTGGCGAGAGGAATCTGGGCCCAGGTTTCTTTCTGTCTGATCGATTCAGCCACGATCCTACCCAACGCTCGAATCGAGACCAGCTAGCAGCCTGCATGCCTACAAACAGCCTACAAATGGTCCAAACGGGAGGCTGCATCAAGACAAGCTGAATAGGATACAGCATAGCTGCAAATGCACGTTCTGGTTTGTCAATGTCGCTCTACGTCCCATCGCATGACGGTGCCCGTTTACTGTCAAATGTAGCGCCGTTACCGGAACAGCAGACTGAAGTACATCTGGCGGTGAAAGAATCCTTGCGTTTCTTTGGCTCGCCAGAACATTGTTCCCGATGTCTCAATCAAGGGATTCCCGGCTTGCAGGGCGCCCGTTGTTTCAATCGCTGCGGCTTCGGGTCCTGCAAGGGAGAAGCAGTGGCGCTCCTGCGAGATCCACGCCTCTCCGCATTCGGTGACGTTCTTGGCAGTCCGTTCTTGATGGCTGTGAGCACTCATCTCTATGTTCGTATGCAGGCTGCGCGGGGAAAGCTGCCCATGGTACCGCAACCGCGCAATCTACCCTGAGGGTTGCAATGACCTGGTCAACTCCCGGCTTCCGCGCAATGCAGCTAATCTTGCTGCATGAGGTTGGAGCAATGGCCTCTTTGGAGTGTATATAAGGCACAGTGTCCAGCATCATCCCCTCATTGTACTCCATCTTTCTGGCATCTCGTCGGCGGCTACTTTTGTTCCCTAAACTCATTGCTTCTATCTCTAGCACACTCGAGCTTTAGATATCACGATGGGTTACCAAATGCAGAACCCGGCCCCACACCACTTCAAGCTGGAGAATGACACGATCAAATTGGAGCCGTCTCCAATCGATTCTCCGCTATCCTCTCTTTCTCAGTAAGTTCATCTGTATTCATAACGCGCCCTCGCTTACCATAGCAGAACCCTACCAGGACCATTGCCTTCAATCAGCGCTTGGTACGACGACAACAACAGCACCAGGCGGTCTTCAACAAGTTCACTCTCATCTTGCACATTAATCAGCGAACTGCCATCTCCAGTTAACCCTATTGGCGACCTTGCTCTTAACGAACGAGCCTCGCGCAGGCTGAGCCAATTGTTCGGGCAACTGCAACCTCCTGCCGCAGCTCCCAGCACCGCGCGCTCCACATGTGACTTCATCTCACCTTACTCTTCCCCAGGCTCGACTCCTGGACCTGAGAATCATGTTGTCCGGAAGTCCAAAGCCAAGGCCAAGACCAGAGCCGTAAGGGGAGTGGCCAAAGCTGCCGACGACCTAGAGCCCAAGCCGGTGGAGCTGGCTCAGAAGGAGGCCAAGGCCTTACGCGAACAGGACGCCAGATTTGATCAGAGCGTGTCGCATGCGGACCTTTGGCAAGAGTGCAAGAAAACCAACCCCAACTTCATCCGCGAAGGCGTAACCAGGGATGGCAGAAGGGGTCTCCGTCAGTTGAAAAAGAACAATATCGATCACCGGATCGATAGACCCAACGAGATCAACAAAGAGCATCTGATAGATCTCTCAACCATCTGTCACCGACAATTCCGCGAGATCATTATTGGCGAGATGAACAACCACCGCTTCAACGGCCGGTACGCTGAGGCCAAAGTGCTCGAGGAGAAGTTCAGGGAGGTCGGTACCCGTCTTTGAATTCATGGAAGACGATTATGAAATGTTTTCTTTTGTCAACTCAGCGGCATTGGTGGTTCTCTTGTTGGTCGTATCGTGTTCGCACATTCATGACGACAGCTTGGTGCGGCTTGCTTTCTCGCAGCGTCCTCAGTGTCCACCTTTGGCTCTGCAAGTGGGTGGTATTCTGTCTCAAAAGCTTTCCTTCATTCTTATGACAACATACACCAGTCTTGTACATCTCCCACGCTTCGTTTTCTCCATTGTTACGACTGACATGATTTGGCGAGCATACTGTCTGTCTTTTTTGACACACTCCTCTCTGTTAAGTGCGAGCATCACTGCAGCGTTTTGTAACGGCCATCGTTCGCTTTCGGTTGAACCATTCTATACCTTATCGTCTAGTATGTAGTGTACGCTCATTCCTTGGGAGGAGCATAAATCACGACTGCCCTGCAAACCACTCATGTTGACGCAGTTGCACCGGAATCCAGTCTGTCCACGTGAAGCATCGTCACTGGATTCGATTTCGCCCGATGATCGTCTATAACACTCCCTTGCCACAAGCCTCCATTTCAGACTTGAGCACATGACATCAATTTCCGTAGATCCAAATATTCTGCCGTGACATCCGAGCACAAAGCTCCTCTATCTGAGCAATCTCGCTGAAGAACCGCCGGCTCAGAGATATCATCTTCTCTGCCAGTTTTGAACCCCAGCGCTGCCGCTCGCTTATCGCTCACCATCGCCAACAGGAGCTGCAATAGCGTGGTATTTGCTTTTGGCGGCCAAGGCGGAGCACCTGCAAGACCGACCTCATTTGTAATACACGCCGAGAGGAAAACGGCGCTGACTCGTGCACCGCGAGCTCTGACCGATGATGAAGGGCGAGGCTGGCGTATGCGGGTCATGCGTGGGTCGGTGGGATACACGGGCCTTGCGAGCATTGAGGGGATGTGGGTACTTCTCCCGTTAGGAAGGATGAGGGGATGTATGATGAGGTGCCCCGGCCAATCGGGGGCTGAGAGGGAAAGGGCAGTGTGACCTCGCTTTGCGTCGGAGACGGCGAAATTCGACCTTCTCTACAGAGATTGTTTGGTTCTGACTTGAATGCTACTCCAGCTCCGATCGTTCTGGGCGAGACATTCGATTGTGCGTAAACTGCGTTTCCGGTGATTCCAAAATAGATTCGAGCCACTTCAGTCAGGTCTCCCGTCTTGGACATGTGCAGACCGAAGAGGAGAACGATGGGAGAGCATGCAAGCAAAAGCGCTACGCCTTTGCTACACTAACATGTGCGGACCCCGCGCGCCTTTCTCGCAAAGCAGACGTGGCTGCAGCTCCTCTCGACTCTCAAGTCTCGATCCCTCTCCTCCATATCCACCCACTCTAACCGCTTCGTAAACTTGCTACAGGCCCCCGGTGCACGTATTCGCTCTTCCACCAGTACGCACGCCAGTGCTGTCCTTGCGAACGGTGAGTGTCCATTGGTGGCCTGGTTGTGCCGCCGCGGAGCTGTCCCTGTCCAGTCATTTTGCAGCAGGCGCGCCGGTTCAGCTGGTACCGACCAGCACAGACACTCAGCTTTTTTGGGATGAACGTTGGAAGTCGAGCTTCCTTGCTACACATGTCACACAGCCTCTGAAGCTGCGCGGGATGCGATAAGGACACTGCCGCTGGGTGAATGCTAGTCCCTGACTCGCTACCGCTCGCTGATGGGATACTGCTTGCGGGTCATGAGAGCACAATTATGGGCCTGGGAGCTTTGTATGGGTCGAGGGGGTACAGAGAGTCGAGGACAGAGTGGCAAATCCTTCTGCGCTGCGTCACTTTCGAAGTATTTGGGCGGCTACTGCGCGAAGGAAACAGTTGTACACAGCACGGACAGCGGACATGCGCGCGCGCTGAAGTGAAGTGTGGTGGCAATGGGGTTCGTGGAACAGACCACGGCAGCGGGCCGTTGTGACTTCGAGAGACAGTCTGTGCTCGTAGATAGGATGAGCGGGTGTTGATCTTTTGGGTGAAACAGGGACAGAGACTTCATCTGCAACGGGCCAGCCATGTACGCATTTGCGTGCTTGTTGTTTTGTCGCATTCGTGAATCCGGCATACGCATCGAACGGAGTTTTGGAGGCTGGCAATGATCTCGTTGATACATGGAGCCGAATCAACCTCGTCCGAGGTAACACAAAGGACAATCCGCTTGTCCTGACGTACTGAGCCGATATAAGCACATTTCTACTTGTTTTGAGTCGAGTGCTTGGATCTCAAGAAAGTTCCCACCTGTGGTTATCATTGTGGTGCGTTGAGTTCATGAGATCTTGTACGCCAGGGTCTTGTGCACGGCAACGGGCAGCGGCAGCGAGGCCTGTCCCGGCCCGTCTTGTACTCAAAGTAGCCGAATGCTCAAAATTTCGGCTACGCTTGTAAGCCGTAGTGCTTCGCAACGTGAGCTTGATTTGACGACCATGATGGAGATGTCTGCAGCTGCTTGCTGCTCCTTCAAACCAGATTGCTATATATAGACAATGACGAGTTCCACTGCGCAGTTCTGTGCTATCGAGCCTCCTCACGTTAACTCTATAACTCTGTCGTAGAGATAAAAACGACCTCTCTCGGAATGACATGAGTGTCGCCTAATAGCACGTGTAGACATATTTACCTTGGGAGGCAAACGAGGTATCATAGGTAGTCAGGACCTTGAACTCGAACTCAAACTCAAGTTAATCATTAACACCTGTGGTTGATTTGTATGGCAGTTTCAGGGCCCGTCAGCCGAAAGATCGGCGCGGGTGTGGCGTCCCGTATCGTACCTGATTTGCCGACCGAAGTAGGAGCAGATGAACGTGCCGAGGGTCACGTGAACTCGCGTGCCTACGGAATCTGATAGCGTGTGTGACACATTGACACTGACAAAAGATACATCGAGAATGGACCCCAGGATATTCGACTGGGACGGACCACGATGTGGATTGTGCGTGCAAGATGGAGCACCGTGGAGCATCGTCGTCATAGGTGGGCCAGGGGACGGATCCTTTAGCGCGCCAGCGGTTCATTGAGATACGATGTAAACACGCTCGCGACAGCAGCACTCACGCATTCGCTCCACACATTCGCTACTTATTGCTTCACGAGTCGATCGTTCTTTTCCTCGCGACCCCAGAGCGGTATTTGACATCCGCTCGTTCCTTCCCTGCGCTGCACGGCACTTTCCGCGCAAACGGCCGCCCTCCTACCCCATTCACTGTTCTAGCTCTTTCCCGTTGCGACTACGCAAGTCGCGCCTGCAGTCACGCTGGATTCACTTCACCTTGCACCCGTTCGCAAAAAGCGCGACGGTGACCAGACGAACAACAACGTGCGGCCACGCATCAGTTCGGTGCGCATATCACAGAGCAGAGGCGGCGACGACGAGGACAAAAGCGCTGCGAGCCACGAGGGGGTAGGTAGAATGCTCATGCCCAAGAGCTATTCGTGGAAGGCTGCTAGAGCGAGGTTGCCGCCGAGCAGGCAGGTATTGCATACCTTACGGAGTCCAAGGACATGGGCGCTGTTTGGGGTGGTCGCGGTGTTGGCATTGTTATGGCGGTCAATGGGGTCTGCCGCAGGGGAGATGCAAAGGTATGGCACCACTCGAGTGGACTTAGCCCCAACATAGCTGACAAGAAATCAGGTTCTACTGCTGGGGACCCGCGAAATCGCCCTTGCATATGACAGCAAACGAAAACGAGGAGTGGTATAGACACCGCCAGACACCCGTCATATTCAATCCACACAAGTCCATCGCAATCAACGATAGCTCGATCAATTACGTGAATCTGAACGAGATACAGTCAACAGTCGATGCGGTCAAGAAGCGGGAGCGCGTGCTCATCCTTACGCCGATACGCGAGGCGTCCAAACACCTCCCGCAACATTTCGATCTACTCAGTTCGCTGACGTACCCGCATGAACTCATAGATCTCGCATTTCTGGTTGGCGATAGCGAAGATGACACCATGGCGGCTCTGGCAAAAGAGCTGGAGAGAGTACAGGGCAATCCTGAGGTTGCTTTCCACTCTACCATGATCGTGGAGAAGGACTTTGGCGTGACGTTGTCACAAGAGGTGCATGACAGGCACAGCTTTGAGGCACAAGGCCCGCGAAGGAAAGCTTTAGCACGGGCGAGAAACTACCTTCTTGCCACAGCGTTGAGGCCCGAGCATAGCTGGGTGTACTGGAGAGATGTGGACATTCACGACAGCCCGCCCGAGATTATCGAGGACTTTATTCTCCACGACAGAGACATTCTCGTGCCGAATGTCTGGTTCCATAGGTACAGGGAAGTCAACGGAAAGATGGTCGATATCGAGGGCCGATTCGATTACAACTCTTGGCAGGAAACCCCTGAATCGCTCAAGGTCGTTGCCAATGTCGAGAAAGACAAGGACCTGGTCCTCGCAGAAGGCTACAAGAACCTGAAGATCTTTGGCCTCCGGAACCACATGGCTCTTCAAGGCGACTGGCGCGAAGACAAAGATGCTGAGATTCCACTTGACGGTATCGGTGGCGTTAACATCATCGTCAAAGCAGATGTTCACCGGTCCGGCATCAACTTTCCCTGCTACGCGTTCGAGAACCAGGCAGAGACGGAGGGCTTCGCCAAGATGGCAAAAAGGGCGGGATATGGTGTGTATGGGCTGCCAAACTACGTGGTGTGGCACGTTGATACAGACGAAAGGCCGGGAAACGCGTAGACGTCCGATGCCTAAGATCTATGTGTGGATGAAGCATTGGATATCTTGGGGTCGAGAAGGCCGGCGAGAGATGGGTGAGATGAACATATATCCACGGAAGCGCTCCAGGATATTGCATTTAGAGGGCGTTTATTGTCATGCATTCACAGGGTTATGGAGAGGCAGTCTAAATGTGCATTTGCATAGGAGCGCCAAGCGTGGACCTCCCAGGTCTAGCGTGCATATGAGCGATGGTATGGTTGTAGCACTGGTTACCCTTTCATATGACGAATGATCACTATGCTTGTCTGATGATGAGCCTCACATTGGCGTTCATAGTCGTAAAGCCTATACTGAATGACGTAAAGAGCAGAATAAAGTTGAACCACTGGTGTACCAACGGTAATTTCTCATACGGTATGGAGCAGCCTGAAGAACACGTACGACCCTGCGGGAAAGCTCGAGCTATCACAGTCTCGCTACTCAGCGCTATGAGTTCTTAGTGGCCTGCGAACATGCTGAATTACTGTCTCTCGCCGACGCGCATTACTTGATTGAAATTGACCTGCAAACAGTCACCAAGCTTCTGACACTGACTAAAATATCGCAGCTTCTCTACTTCCCACGACGCCACTTTATACACATCGTCGATATCACCATCCGCATCATGCATATGAGAATGCTTCTCTGTCCTGTCATGGCCCTCGTACTGTGCGTCATGGTCGCCGGTGCGCTCTCCGCCCCTCAGTTGGTGCCCAACTCCCACCTCGACGCCATCCCGCCGCACGTCCGCAGTCTCAACGTCCGCGAAGAACGCGGCGGCGTCTTCCTCTGTCTCTATGAGAACTGGACCCCGCCCTGCGTCTATCACCCCCCCTCATTCTATCCAAACTACCCCATCTGCTGGACGTCTAAAGGATGCGTCGACGAGGAGAACCCTGTTGCCCCTTTCACATCCATCGCGTTAGTGACTCCACATACTGTTATATGTGTCTCGGACCGTTCACTGAGGATAAGATAGGTCGATCGGTCCAAACGTGGGCACCGCATGCTTCGCCTTCTTTGACGAACACAACTTCAGTTGCACGCCGGCAGAGAAGTTTGTGGACAACTGGATCGAGGTGTGGTTCCCTGGGATTGCGATTGATAATACATCTTTGAAAATTTGGAGTGTGAAGTGTGTGTGGGACGATGGGAAGCTGGATACGGCGAATGTGACACGGAAGAGCTTTAGGCAGTATGCACCGAAGCCAAAGGGTCAAGTGTAGGATAAGAGCTGCAAGGTGCTGCTTTGCAGTGTGATTCGGGACACCTGTAGATTTTCAAGTCGTCATAAAGCGATGGTTGAGTCTCAAAGGAGCAAACGATCAATCCATGGCTTTGTTGTTCGTCGGTGATGCTGTGGTTCATACGGGTAATATGGGAGAAGCGTTCGTGGATATGGAAGAAAGGAAGGATTTTCTGTTTACAAAGGGTTATCATTCATACCAAGAAGCCCTAACAAGCCGCACATATGTCCAACCATCACCTAAAGACCAACACCCTTCACCACGCGCTGAGAAAAACCCCCATGCCAAGAAGACACAGGGTTGTAATTTGAAATCTGCATCCCTGCTCCTTGCATGCTCCGACTTTCTGGTTCTCGAACCCTCCCGCCGTACACGTGCTGGGAAAGGTCTCGCTGTTCTGACCACCACGCACTGAAATCTACATCTGCCCCAGACTCAATGAGAAATCTGACTGCACATTCATGTCCCGATTTCGTCGCCACAGCCAATGGCGTTATGCCACACATTAAGTCGGAGGGGCGTTCGAGAAAGAGTTGGGCAAACGGGTGTATCCGGACATTTCCGCCAGCGACCGCAAGCTTGACCCGTGAGTGACACGATCGGACGTGTGAAATTCGGCGTCGACCTCTACTCCTCTCCTGACCAGCAATTCGACTACATCCACATGCCCTGATTCTGCTGCGGAATGCAATGGTGTCCAGCCATGGCTCATGTGCTTGCCAATTGGATCGTTATATAATGCCATGCTCACATTCACTCCGGCATCGAGCAGAAGCTTGACGTAATCCTTTCGATCTCCCTAGGTAACGTTCCAGAGATCCGTGGGTGCCGATCGCATACTGTTGGGACCCTGTTCCGATGCTGACAAGACATTGGATCCTGGACAGCACATCGGGCCAGATTGTAAGTGCTTCTTCGAAAACGATCTCGACGGGATTGTTGAACCCGGTAGCTCCGTCAACAAAGCTTTGTATGCCAATCTAAATTGTATCGAAGAAAGTCGCAGCAGCTGAGGTGGCTGGTGCTGCCTCCCAAATTGTATAATTCGAGGTGCTGAGTGCATCTACTGAATCATCCGTAACGTAAAACAGGAGACGCACTGGGGTGCTAAGAGCCTTGGTGAACGCACAAACAAAATTATCACCAAGAGTCAGCCAGGTAGCTAGAGAATTCATCTCAGTCATTGCTCACACTTTGCAAGGACCCTCCGGCTCGATTAGTTTGGCATCTGCATCATCTTTCAGTTGCTCCGATACCGTTTTGAACTCGATGACGAAGCGATCCCCGCGATAGGCACCGTCGGTCTTCCATGCGTCCCCTGGCTTTGCCCAAAAGGTTGCCCTTGGCTCTTCTGGGCTCAAAAGCTGCTGCGGACAATTCGACGTACTTTCCAATGCAGTCATCCATAGTCATCTGGAATCGGCTGAGAACATCTTCAAGGACCTATGAAAACCTCAACCCGGTGCGCCCACGCCTGGAAACGCTGAAGTTGGTCGTGGCTCGTGGGCATGGCTGTGCAGGGCAGTCAACCATGCAGTACTACATGTGGGCCATAAAGTCCTGCGGCACGCTTGCTCGTTGCCGGCAAGGAAATATCTATTAGGTGCAGTCGGAAAATGGGCGAAGAAGTGTCCTGTGAATCCGTTTCATTTCTCGCACCAATATAACGCCTAGAAATGCTACCAAGCGCTCACATCGAGACTACAAGACTCCAGGAATGGGTCCCTTCTTCTCATTGTGGCCCAGGTCTTCCTCGTTCCATCCGCTGCCACCACCAACCCTCCTTCCACCCTCTTCTCTCTTTACACGAGACCACAGACTGACATCCTTGTCCCAGATAAACTGCCAAATGACATTCACCCAGCTCTTGTGCACGGGCAGATCATCGTAAAACTCGTGCGCGATCTTGTTCAGCTTCGGGAGGCGCGTCCACGGCACAGCAGGGAAATCGTGGTGCTCGTTGTGCAGTCCAACGTTGTACGTGAAAAAGTTGAGCACGCCATAGTAGGAGTATGTCTCCGGGATTGGGATCTTGTTTGCTGCGTTCATGGCGTCCTTGTTGGGCTTCTCGAAGACGTAATGCTCCGCGATGAAATGGCCTGCGCATGGGTGTAGAGAGCCGGCCAAGAAGCTGCTCAAGATCATGTATCCGAGCGCCTTTCCGCCGATAATGTGTACAAGTGCGTAATCGAAGACGAGCTGGGCGACGACGTTGAAGAGGTGGATCTTGGTCAGCGGGAGCTGGTAGACGAACATTGGCCGGAGGGCGTAGAAGAGGATCTGGAAGGTGCAAAAGAATGCTTTACCGCCGACCGAGTCAAGAAAGAGGGCTTCGAATGCGGTGGGGAGATCGGTGTCCAGGCCGTTCACGCCAAGTGATTTGTGGTGCGTAAGATGATATGGCTACACCGGGTCAGTCTCTGTATCGATAGGTCACGAATTGAGGCGCTTCGTACCCTGAACGACGCGCTATATGGTATTCCAATTGGGAGATTGGCAAACACGGCAAAGACCCTGTTCGCTAGCGGGCTCCTGAAGGCCAGGTTGTGTGAGATCTCGTGGATTGCAAGGAAGAGGTTCTGGTTCGCCGTGGCGCCGATTATGTATGCGGTGAGGAAAGTCGACCATGACAAAAACGGCTTGTCACGGAGGAGGTATGCACAGAAGACCTGCAGGGAGACGACGAATGCAACGACATATTTGGTGAGGGGCTCTGGTCCGCAGAGTTTCGTTACCTGCAGGTGCTTAGCAAAGGTAGATCACAAATCCGTAGAGCGCGACATACTTCCGGATGGGCCTTGATAATTGCCTGTCGCCGTGTCCGGTGCGGCTCTTCGGTGTAAGTCCAGAAAAAGTGGTCGTGTTCGTTCTGAGGGGCGGTTTGCTCTGTTTTCTGCGCCTCGCCCTTGACGGTCAAGCTCCTCTTGGCCGGCTGCTTGGGCTGCTGGGTCGCTGTAGTGACTGACGACTTCATTGTGCCTCCAAAAAGAATGTGGTGGGTTTAGGAGAAGAGAGTGCGTTGAAAAGCGCGTCTTGTAGAGGCATCGCCAGGTGTGGTCCCTGAGCCGCGAACCGAGCGTAGGGATCAGCAGCGGTGTGGGTTGACAGTCGCGCCATGATTGGATGACGGTATCGCCACTCCGCTGCGCCCCACGCTAGGGCCGGAGCTTCTTGAGACGGGCTACGTTCTCCCACTTAATCTTATCTGATCATCTACGAATGGACTGTGTCTTCGAAAGTACCATTGTAGAATGTACAGGATAAGCCTACACAATGGCCTTGCACTCGAGGCGCACATATCAATTGCGACTCGGTATAGCAAGAGCAGTATGGATACCATCATGTAATTACTCCATAATGCGCTGCATGCCTCAACCAGCTCCATGTATTTCCAGAGGAGATGGATTCCTCCATCTCTGGGCTCATACTGAATATGGGTAAACTCACGTGGTTGGAAATTCACTTCGTCTTCGCGCATGTCTTGTGCACTGACCTAGCTCAACTTCACACTTCACAATGTTTCGACGCGGAGTTCCTATATATCGACTCGTGAGTCCTCTTTCGACTCGGCAACACCTAAGTGCTCACCTCGCACACCCTTCTCAACGTGCAGAAGTAAACAACAAGATAGGGTCTCAAAACTCCGTCTCCAGTCTGGATGGCGAGTCAACCCGACCCGGCAAGCGCTCAAGCCATTCCAAGGCTGTCGTCGAGATTGGCCCAAACGTCAAGCCATATCGAGTCTCCAAAGACCTCATCACTAAAAACTCCGAATTCTTCCGCAATATATTTCGAAAAAGTTGGGCCGAAGAGCAGGATCAAAAGGTTTCTCTCCCTTATGTCGAACTTGATGTGTGGGAAATCTTTCTAACATGGATCAAGACGCATAGGTTGCCCGTCGCCAAATGGGAAGTTCTCGAAGCAGTCGGGTATCCGCGTCACAAGCTCCCGCATGCTGGACCGCTGCATCTGGATTCTTACGAAACCCGCGAGACAGTCGAGATCTACTTCGTCAAGATGATTGAGCTGGGCAGCTATTTTGGCGCGGAAGAGTTGATCAAGAAATTGCACAACGGTTTGTCGATCGGACCATCAAGGCACAGAAGCGTGCTACCTACGGCGCAATAATCGTCGCTTTCGAAGCCCTGCCAGAGGGACACCTAGTGCGAGTGATGCAGAGGTTTGCGGCATTGCGAGGAGTTCGGAAAAGAAAGTACGAGCTACTTGATCCATCTAGGTACTATCTCCATCCTCGCAAGGAAAAGGACGACCGGGACGGTGCGAGTGCAGCAGGAGGCAAAGATAATTAATGAAGCGTCTATGTGACTCAGGGTGTGATCATTGCGAAGCGTGGATCATTTCTGGGAAAGTCGAATGATTCGTCGAGATGGGCCAACATTTAGATCGAAAAGCGATGTGGTGGACGGCAGGTGTGTTGAGAAAAAAAATTACAAAGCGACGCGGAGTATGAATCGAGCAGCAACAACATGAATTCGAAGAAACAAGCCATGGTGTGGACGTTTCGCAGCCTAATCTCCAACGGCCTGTCTAACCAACACTGCATGTAATCCTCAGAAGGCCCTCATCGCGCCAATATGCTGGTAATGCTAATTAAAAAACTCCATGATGCCTCACCACCATCCACAGCGAAGTCGCACTCACCACAGCTCCCGTGCTAACTCCCGCTCCGATCCCACCCGACCTCCGATATCGTCCACAGCAGCCCTCTCCACCGCGTCGCCTTTCGCCTCACCTCAACCATGTTCCCCACTACCATAGTGCCCGCGCCCTAGCACGCGTCCCTTATCGCCCCACCAGCGCACCCGCCTGTTACTCGATGCGCGCACGCGATCAGATGTCCGCAAGCGGAAACTTAGGCGCTGGGCTGCAGCAAAAGTGCTGTCATGGCGTGGGGCGTTGGCGAGCCTCGGCAGGGAGCTTGGGATTCGGGGTGTGTTTCTCCGAGGGCATACATACATAGGATTCAGGCAAAGAAGAAAAGTATGGGGAATAGACAATGTGGGAGAGGGGTGACGCGTCTTGGAGGTTTGCTTTTTTGCTGCTGCCTGCGATGGGTTTGGTGAGGATTGCGGGGCGGGGTTGATCGGGTGGGGGTTCAGATTTGGTTTTTCTCCTCGGGATGCATTTGGAAGGCATGAAGATGTCCTGAGGCATGGATGCATCATTGGTTAGCAAAACATTCCTCACAACTTGAAACCCAGAGAATCCAAATATTCATGTTCATGCCGTAAATTCATCAATGGTATCTAACATAAACAAAAGCCGTGATCCTTTGTTTCTTCCCCCGCTGATAACGCCTCAATATGATACAAGGAAAGCCCGACTGCTCATGCTCTAAGCAGTGCCCCACCAGTCGCCCTGGTCGTGCATGGCAGCAGCGACCTTCTTGAAACCGGCAACGTTGGCACCAGCCACGAGCGACGGGAACTCGCCCTCCTTGGGGGTGATGTACTCCTTGGCGGTCTGGAGGCAGTTCTCGAAGCAGTCCTTCATGATGCCAGCGAGCTTGGCGTCAACCTCCTCGGTAGTCCAGGATAGGCGCTGGGAGTTCTGAGCCATCTCAAGACCAGAGACAGCGACACCACCAGCGTTGGCGGCCTTTCCGGGGGCGTACCAGATGGCGTTGCCTCCAGAGGACTTGCGGTGAGACTCGAAGGCGTCGATGGCCTCCTGGGTGCAGCCCATGTTGGAGCCTTCAGCAATGAACTTGCAGCCCGCGGCGATGAGAGCCTCGGCCTCATCCTGAGAGACCTCATTCTGGGTTGCCGAGGGGAGGGCAACGTCGACGTTGCCGACGTGCTTCCAAGGGCGGGCACCCTCGATGTAGTTGAAAGAGTGGCCCTCGTAGGCAGTAAGAGCCTGGCGCTTGAGCTTCAGGGAAGCAATCTTAGAGATATCTTCGGGGGCGAAGCCCTTGCCCTCGGTAGCGATCAAGGAGCCCTTGCTGTCGGAGAGCGAGACGACGGTACCGCCAAGCTCGATGACCTTGAGAGCGGCGTACTGGGCAACGTTGCCGGAGCCGGAGATGGCGACCTTCTTGCCCTTGAACGACTCCTTGCCGCCAGAGGCGTAATTGATCATGTGCTCGACGTAGTAGACAAGACCGTATCCGGTGGCCTCTGGGCGGATCAAGCTACCACCCCAGTTGAGGCCCTTGCCGGTCAAGACACCCTCCCACTGGTTGCGAAGGCGGCGGTACTGGCCGAACATGTAGCCGATCTCGCGACCACCAACGTTGATGTCGCCGGCGGGGACGTCGGTGTCGGCACCGATGTGCTTGGAGAGCTCGGTCATGAAGGCAACGCAGAACTTGCGGATCTCGTTGTCGCTCTTGCCCTTGGGATCGAAGTCGGCTCCACCCTTGCCACCGCCCATGTTCAGGCCGGTAAGAGCATTCTTGAAGATCTGCTCGAAACCGAGGAACTTGAGGATGGAAAGGTTGACGGTGGGGTGAAGACGGAGACCGCCCTTGTAGGGGCCGAGGGCGGAGTTGAACTGCACACGGTAGCCCTTGTTGACCTGGCACTTGCCGGAGTCGTCCTCCCAGACAACGCGGAACTGGATGACACGCTCGGGGATGGAGACAACCTCGAGGGCCTTCTTGTACTCGGGGTTCTTCTCGAAGAGGGTGGAGGCCTCAAGAGTGGAGACGAGCTCTAGACGTACGTCAGAATAGTGTTCACGCGCTATTGTTATGCGGGCTGATGATCGTTCGTCCTCACTGCTAAAGCAAACATGCAATGCTTGTGAGGACGTCGTGACAGTCAACCGAACGGGGGGCGTCGAGTACTCACCCTTGTACGCTTGCTCAAACTCGGGCTCAGCCATTGTGTATGTGGAGTGGTGAAGTGGGTGTGTTAGAAAGGGAAGTGAGTGAATGAGTAAGTCGAGTTTGACAAGAGAAGTAGCTATGGGAGGAGCGACGGACGCGCCGTATATATACACTTTCAACAGCCCAGACGCAAGCCTCCGTCCTTTACCTAGCCTGCCCGCTGGCGGAGCATGCTCTTGGTGACGGCAGGAAATCACTGTGGTCAAAGCAGCGTCAGCGGCCTGGGCGATCCAAACACGGCGCGTTCTCTCAGTGGTCAATTGCCGGGAGTGTAGTGGCGTCACATTTTTGGTATGCAAACCATGGTGTACATGCAAAAGATAAGGACGCGGCGGGCCAATGAGAACGGGGCGGCGGCGAAGGCACGTGACGCTCGCCGCGTCTGGGCGAGGCCGGCGCTGTCATTCTGGACCGTCAACAGTTGCCGTTCTCGGCGCCGCAAACGAATCTTTACGTGTCGGATTCAGGGTCCATGGGACGTGGTGGGAGGGCTCACAGACGGCCGCGGGGTCGCAACGCGCCGCAGTCATCCGACAACGGCGCGCGCTGCGGCCAATTACACCCGGAAGCGGCTGAAGTTGCTACGAACGCTTGATCCCTGCCACGGGTATTCCAGCCTCCTCACCATCCCCAAACCCCCGCTCGCAGCAGCAAATACAATGCCCACGCATCCCGCGCCCGACTTCGCGACTGCGCGTGTGCCCTGCCGACCTCACGCCGTGTCGGTGGGGTCCCAGTCTCGGAGTGGTCAGCAGCCGCATATATTGGGGAGATACTGAGCACCGAAATCGGTTTTCCTCGCTCGCGTGGGCGCAGCTCGGAGAAGGGGACTTAACTTACCAGTAACTAGATACTCGTCCAGTGCATCCATCTTCTTGATATCGCTGTCATCGATGGAGAACCCCCCAACCTCACCATTCTCGACGATTCTCGCCTTGTTCACGCTCTTGGGCAGCGGCACGTAACCATGCTGCAGGCTCCAACTGACAAGCAGCTGGCCTGGCGTGCACGAATACTTTTTGGAAAGAGACGCGATGACGGGATGCTTCATCTTCAGCGCTCTGACCAGCGGGGCATAAGCTTCCACCACAATGTCATGCTCCTGGCAGAAGTCGGCGATGTCGAAGCGTGTATTAAACGGATGAATCTCAATCTGATTCACAGCCGGGAGGATTCTGGGCTTGGAATCTAGAAGCTCTTGCAGCTGTAGATGGTCAGTGAGCCGCTCGTGTATCCACATCATGTGTGTGTAATTCCAACATGACTACTTTGCAACCGAGCCTTGCTTGCAGCCGGAGAAACGCGATCCCGGAGCTACCAACCACTCATGAGCTACCCGCGATAAGGAAGGTAGGTATTGTTAGCAGCTGGGGTTCTCCATTGCTCGGTTTCTTGGGACCATGTCAAGAGGCTGCATCGGTAGGCTCTGCAAGCTCGTGTCTCATATGCAGAAGATCAAGGAGAACATTGCGGAAGAGTACTGACATGCTTGACTCCGTAATTTGAGACGCCACCAATTCTGATCTCGCCGTCGTCAATTGCGTCCTCGACTGCTCTCCAGCTTTCGAGCCTAGCCTTCTTGCCTCCATGGGGAGAGTGCAGCAGAAACAGATCGATATAGCCAAGCCCACATCCTTTTACTGATCGCGTGATCGATTTGCGGGCGGCATCGTATGATGAGTTGGATGCTAGCTTGGAGGTAAAATGGATGTCCTCGCGCTTGAGCGAATCTGTATTGTCACTGCTGGAGAGGAAGTCGGATACTGCCTTTCCACTTTCCTTCTCATTGTGGTACATTTGGGCACTGTCAATGCTGCGCACGTCATTGGTCAACTAGTTCACAGTGGCTTGTGGTTGCACGTTGACCTACCCTCGATACCCGGCCTAGAAGCATAGGTGAGCACATGACACAGGCGCTACATCGACCCGGGACAGGAAGGTGAAGCCATACCTCCAAAGCCCACCGACACGCCTGATAGGTTTCAGAACCGGAAGTCAGGTAGACGCCGAGATGGATGGTTGGCATGGATAGCCCATTGGCGAGCTGCTACAGAGTCAATAGGGTGTTTTGTGCAACCACGGATGATGGAATGACTCTCCTTGGTGCGCGAGGCCAACGAGTAGGACATGGTGAAGGGGCTGACTAGGAACAGGCAAGATAGACGAATATGCAGATGGACGCCACGATGCTGCGGCTGTGTGATGGATCGTGAACGAGTCGCAGATGTTCGGATTGCGTGCAGGCCAGCGTAGCACTGAGATCGCGGTTCCCAGGCTGTCGGGAGCATCCCCACGCGCTGGAAAAACTCGCCTCCGTCGATGACGCGGGCCGCGGAGGCATTGCGAGCCCCAGTGCAGGCCCGCCTAGGATGCTATTGGATGGGAGCGCCTGGACGAAACTCTCGTCACTGTCGTCTGAGCTGGCGAGCGGGCGCGGTATGGCTGTGCAACCTCCCGTTTCGACTGCTCGAGACTCCAGACCAGCAAAGCAAAGCGCACGTTTCGCGCCTGGCAGCAGGCAAGCCTCAGGGTAAGCCACGGAGGCTGCGTGACGTACAGTTTGACACTATAGCTGGCAGCGAATATTGCCTTCCGCATTCAGGCTGCGCTGAGCAGCAGGCCGCATTGGTCGGCGACGAAGACAGCCAGAGGGTTAGATGGCAGCTCGCTTGGCGTGGCTGCAATGAGAAAGCCTGCAGGAGGGACTGCACACGCGCGCGCGGTGCTGTGGAAATCCTCCGAAAAGCACGGAGCAGCAGAGCTTGCAACGTCTGGCTGTGTAGCGGTGGCCGCCGCGGTGGAGCTTCAGGCGCATGAACGAGGCCTACCAGCGCAGCGAGGCGTTTGGCGGCGCATTGTCAATTCCAGTCGGTCGGCGACTGTTAACGGACCAGCTCGCACGCATTCGTGTGCTCCTGGGCGATGTGATGACAAAAGCAGAAGACGACGTTGCGCCGTGGTGAACGCTGCGTAGGCGATGTGCATCCAGAACTCGGCGGCGCCGACCGCACTCCTCGCCAGCGACCAGCACGGCCAGGAGCGTCTCCAGCGGCACGGAGGCATCGCAGCGAGCATAGCGGGCGCAGACATGCTGGGCGCGACGGCAGCACGACGAGCTGTTGGCCTGCAGCCGGGCGCATGGTGTTGAGTTGCAACCCACACAACCCGCGCCGCCCAGGCATCGCCTCTGCCGCACCGCACCGCACACGCACGCGCGGCGGCATCTCCGCCGCCCGGCGTCCATGACCCGCTGCGATTGGGGCCGGGTCCCAGACGCAAGATCCGCCGCATCAGATCGCAGCCAGGGTCAGCAGAGCCGAGCACGCCTCGACTGGATTCGACTTGGATGCCCACCAGGGATCATTTTGGAATAGAGTGAACCGCACCGGGGCTTCAATACTCGACTATAGGAGGCGCCCGAAGCCACACCTTATTCAGTCTTGACCCTCTCTGACTTCACGGCCGAGGTCGAGATATAAGGATCCATGGTTCGCCAGGCATGCTTGGTTCCCGTCAACGCCTGACAACGCCTCTCTCGATTCTCGTCTCGCCCCAAGCACCAGTGCTGCAAGCGCAACGCCTGTCGTCATCGCCAGGCCGCCGACTCTAGACCCTCAGGTCCCTTCTCGCTCCCGCGCCGTAGGGCCCTCTGCCACCGGCCGTCCGCTGTGTGTTTTGGGTGAGTGCTGAAACACATATACTGGTGTTCCCGCCCGCTGGCCAACCAGACGTGCTGATTCCTCTCGTCCCTGCAGTAGTCCCATATACTGTGAACCATCACCACCATGTCCAACCTCCACGGGTTTGCAACGCACTTCCCGGCCGGCTATCCATCCTTTCCTCCACGAGGTGGACCTTTTCCCGGCGGTGCAAGCTCGTCATCTGGAGAGTCAGGGTCCGGCAATGCGGGGCAACCCCAGTTCGACATCTTCGAGTGGCATCCCGCCTACCAAAGCTGCCAGCGTTACTTCCTCGACCACGCCCAGCACGACAATGGCGTCCAGGCCGTCGCCGCTCTCGTCAACATCTGCTTGCCATTCCAATGGACGTCAACACCCATCGTCAACTCGGCCGGTCCCATGCCGAACGCATCAGGTCCTGGCGCTTACAACCACCCCTGGCCCCGACAAGGTCCCGTGAGCAACGCCCGTGGTGGTCAACCAGTACCAACGTGGGTTTCTCTCGTTCCCTACATCCGCCGACTTGTCATTACTGGCATGGACAAAGACGGCATTATGCATGGCTTCTTCGGAGAGGACTGGCGGAAGGGGGTTGGCCCGGTCCACGAATGTGAGCGTCGCAACTATCTTTTCACGGCCAAGAGCACCGAGTGGGCGGAAGTCAAGCACCATTACGACATGTCTCCGCATGAATCAGTTCCGTTCCTCAAGCCACTACAGGACGCTCACCTAGCAGAAATTGAGGGTGCCGAACAGACGTGGAGTCAGTGGCTGGCAATGCAGGATTGGATGGTGGGTCCCCGGGCGCCCAACCTCGATGGAGAAGCCAAAAACGAGGCTTGATCGCGAACCGACCTCACGGCGCTGGATGGCGGCTGTCACTTCGGCCTAGTTTGCGATCGGGTGCGGGTCCGGATACGAAGCATGGCATTGTGTGGGATCTAATTGCATGGCGTTGGACAAGGATTTGGGCAGGCATAGCGGCCATCCCGTCTCGCAGGGACCGCTTTCGGTTTCGTTACATGTACGACAGCTTCATTTCGAAATGACAAGACATCAGATCAGATCTGCAGATCTGCGATATGCCGCGTGCCAGTGATGTGCTCGTGTAGGACGAAGAGTGAGGCAAGGATCTGCATGTCCACGCTTTGGTGCTACCAGTACAGCCACAACCGTTTCGAGCGCCCGCGGAAGCTGCGTGGCAGACGCGCAACGACAAAGGAGGCGGCAACAGTGACTACTTCCTCCTATTCGACGTCGCCCACTACACCCTCATTTCTCCTTTCAACATTATCAAGTATAATTGGCCCACGCTGACAACCATACCTACGCGAACTTGTTGAACTGACTCGCGTCGTACCGCGGTTCGCTTGTGCCAAGGTCGGCGTGCAGTGGACCCTGGCAGCGATCTGCGCTCTCAAGCTCTCTATTGTCGCCAGGCTTGTCCTTATTTCTACAACACACCACGCCTCAATATTCCTAGTACACCAGCCGAAAGCCCGGCGCCCCGTCCCGTCGCCCCCCTCATGGACGATGGATTCCTTGGTCAAGGAGTGGGCTTTGTTTCTTGACAGGTGCCTGGAAAACCGGATTGACATCGACCTGTTCGCTGCCGCTGCGACTCAGCTGCACACGCGGTCGCCCCTCCCCGGACACAAGCTTGCAGCATTATTAGTGAAGCCACGAGCTGCTGGGTTGAACAGCGTTGATCCCCGTGTAATTGTGTATGCTGAGCGCCTGCTCGCCCTGAAGAAAGTCGATGCATCCGACATTCTTGCCGCCGCTTTCCAATTTTCGAAAGATCGGCCTATCCAGTCGAGCGACAATACAAACCCAAAAGACCCATCTCGATGGCAGAATCCCTCAGAGCTAGATGAGATCTTATTCCATCGTTTACATAAGGCCTTTTCGGGCGAACGGCCCGAAAGACCAGCCAGCAATGCGGAAGGCACCCGAACGGTGAAAGCCGCCATTAGATGGATGTCAGCGATGGTCGCGTCGCATACAAACGATTCGATGCTACAGGCAATGGCCGGCATCCAGCAGCAGCCTCAGCAACAGTCAATCAATGTTCGCGAAGGACTTGGCATGCTCGTTGTGGGGCTGATCGAGAATGTCAAAATCCTGCAGTTGCTGAACAGGGATGAGTTGAAGGGTGGGTCATTTCCTCAGCTGAACACAGGTCATGGCAGCTATCCATAACACCGCTAGTTGATCGACTTGGTTGCATGCAGACCAGCTGACGGAAGGCACAGATATCCGGAAAGCCTTTGCACGGGCGCTTACAACTTTCATTCCGTTCCTGTCACAAACTTCCATTCAGATTGCGAATCGCCTCGAGATTTACCAAAAAGAACATGACTTCCATGACAAGTCAAGTGCTGGGCAAACGAACGAGAATGCGGGACTCGAAGTTGCGGCGCTGCAGCTTGAGGCTGTGATTGATCTTCCACAAATAAACACAAGAGCAGGTCTCTACATATTCCTTAATGCATTGGTAAGCCAATTGCCTGTAAGATATTCCATAGTATTGACTTCGAAAAGCTTATCGCACGTCCCCTAACAGACGACATTATCATCAACAACTACTTGCATTCGTTCTACAAGGTAATTCCGGCTGCTTTTGCAGGCGAACGCAGCTGACGATACAAGATGGACGCTCAAAATATGGCGACAGATTTGGTTACCGCTTCCTTCGACATACTGGCAAACGCTATGTACAGGAGTGAATCAACACAAACAATGACTTCTCTGAAGTCGTTCCTTGTTAACAAAGTGCCCACACTTTTGACCCAGCTCACAGCTCCGCTGTACGCCATGAACCCGGAGCTATGCATAACACAGGCTTTCAGTCGAATTGACCCGAACGCTTTTCCTGCATTCTCCCAGGGATTTGATGATATGCTTGGTAACAACAGCTCTCTCGCAGATGTGAGACAAGACTTTCTGAATGCGTGCGCTTTGCACAATCTTATTCCAGCGAATACTGTAGAGCGTCTACTTGGGGAAGCTCCGATGCAAGGTCCACCAGCAACGAGATACGTAAAACAAGATCTCTTGAAGCAGTGCAAGGACAATATCGACAAGGCGACCGCATACATTGAAGAATTGGAAAACCTGGATGGGAATGCCGGTGCCATTGTAGCCGCTCTTGTAGATGTAGGTCCAGTTGGCACAGGACACAAAGCATCTACTGACTACGTCCCAGTTCGTCGCGCACCTCTGCGAAACGCAAATGACCATGTACCTGAAGACACTATGCAACACGCTTTCGAAGAAAACAACAGCACTCGATGTAATCTTGCAGTTTACATCACCGGCCAGCATACTGCGACCGCTATGTCAGTTCCTGGATGAGTGGCATTATGAGACCGATCAAGGTAGGTTTGTCTGTTCGAATCAATACAAGCAGGTGGCTGACATCGGACAGAGTACCAACCAGTATACGATGAATTCAGTGCCATCCTTGTCCTTGTTCTGGCCTTCGTATATCGATACGAGCTCACCTATAACGATCTAGGCATCGGACACGACTCGTTCGTCGCCCGGTTACTGGAGCGTGGACACCGGAGCATCTCTTCTAATGATTTGACCGAAGAGCAAGGCAACCACCTGGGTGGGTGGCTGAAGGGCTTATTTGACGCCGACAAAGAAGGCCTCAGTAACGATGTGTTCGCATCATGCCGACCTCAAGAATTCTACCTCATAGTGCCCACACTCTTTAATCAGACAGCGATGGCCTGTTCCGTAGATGTCCTATCTTTGGACTCGGTGAAGGGCGGCTTAGAGTGTGAGTGATTGGCTGCGCAATACGAACATGGAGGGTCGCTAATTGCTTTTTAGATCTCCACGAGACATTTCTTCTGCCATCCCTGGTAGGAGGCCTGACATGGATGGCCTCGCATGCGCTTACGCAGACACACCAAGACCACGATGTGATGGTGCAGATATTCCACAAATTGATTAGATCGGCCCCCACATCGGGTGACGCACAGGCTATGCATTCCACGATTCTCTCGATCGTATCGGCTCGGCTCGAGACATGCTTCCGCACCCTGAAGCGGCGCTACTCCGGGTATAGCACGGACATGGACCAGCTCCTGGAGGCCATCAAACCTAGTCTGCATTATGTTCGTTCAGTGTCTTCTCCCACTTCTGAGCTCGAACAGTGGACTACAGCGACGAACAACACGCTCGCCTCCTCGCTGCGCCACACTGTGCAGCAGCTTTCCCAGTGGGCTACGAATGCTTCTATCCAACCTAACCCGCCTAGCTACACGCACCGCCAGCTGTACACCTGTATAGACCTTCTCGGTACCCAACAAACGCTTCGAGCAATCATCGACGAGGTCAAGGCTCAAACCGACGCGGGAAATGGTGCAGCAGCACTCGACATCGGCGTATCTCTCATCTGCGCACCTATGATCACGGATAGTGTATTGCCCGTTGAGTGGGCAGGCTGCTCTGCTCCTGCACCTCAGCCTCCTCGGACACAGTCAAACCTCCGCGAAATGCTCAAAGATGAGTTTGACAACGCGGCAAGCTTTGTGTCTACGGATCCATCAGCTGCCGAAGCCGTCGTGCGACTGCATCGTCGTGTTGAAGCTCAACTCGCTGTCATCGCGCAAGCAGGTCTCTCAACTGCCAACGTAGATCTATCCAACGTCGGCATGGTGCAAGCACCAAGTCTGACCACCGATCTTGACAAGGCCATGAATGATGCGGCCGCAGCCTCGATCGCGGCAGTGGGTGCAGACTTGACTGATCTCAACAAACAGTTACAACAGAACATCGACCAGGAATTGGACCTTGGCGATGCCGGTGCGGGCTTGGACTTGAGCGGCATGGTAGTGGATGGGAACACAGGTGGCATAAGCGCCGATATGGGTAATCTGCCAGGCTTAGATCTGGACATGGGCGACATGAGTATGAACATGGACATGGAAGGAGATGACGACTGGGGTCTGGATTTCGGCGGCATGTAGTATGCGCTGATAGATTTCGAGCCGGACGAATACCGCCCGGAAACAGATACCGAAACGATTGGTGATTGTGATGATGAGGAGCAGATACAGGCTGGGATCCGGCCTTGATGTTGCAAGTTGGCGTTGTGTAGTGCTTTTACTTGGAGGTAGACATCGATAGATAGGGCGTTGCCGCCATTGGACAACTGTCGGCAACGAAAATTGCTACACAGCCCTCCTACCCGTAACTTTGCCAGCTCTCGTCGGGAGAGCGGATTTCCTCGGGCCGCCCGACGTAAACTGTGATGTTGCATGGTCATGACCGGAAGTCCCTACCTAGGATGGAACATTGCATCAGGACAGGGGAACAGTCCTCGAATTAGTAATTCATCATGGTAGATGACATCTGGAGGGTGCTACATTGCCGAGGTAACTTTTGCTACTTTCAGTGCGGCTCGCGGAAGGTAGCACACCCCCGCCATCCATAGTACGCTGTAAGCTATGCCCCACATCGACTTTACTGTCGACAACAACACACGACCACCGCATCTTGCCTCGAGATAATACAAGATTTCCCATCTTCGATACTCCCACTTTCCTTGCAGCATCCATCCTCCGCAACCTCTCTCATAGACTCACAGACTAGTAATGCCGTACAGCCTCAAGGGCAGAAATGTGCTCGTCACGGGCGGCTCAGCGTAAGCTCCATACTGATCACCATGACCACCTTATCGGACCTCGTCACGTTGATTCAAAGGTCTGGTGACCCGATCCGCTAACTGATTCAACCGTCCCGCAGCGGGCTCGGCGAGACCATAAGCATCTCCTTCGCCAAGGAAGGCGCCAATGTCGCAGTCAACTACTTCAACCGGGTCGAGCCCGCGCAGAATGTAGTCCAGGCGTGCGAGAAGCAGGGTGTCAAGGCGGTGGCGATCAAGGGTGTACGTGCCCCTCACGCTTGCACTTCTCCCTTCGGCGGCTTTTCGGACGCATCGAGGGGAGGTGACAAGAGCTGTAGTGGGCTGGGCTGAGCTGACAGAAATAGGACATGTGCGACACGTCCGAGTGCAGGAGAGTGGTGGAGGAGACGATCAAGCAGCTTGGTGGGATTGACGTTGTGATTTCGAACGCGGTGGGTCTAGGTATTGGAAGAGGGCGAGCACGTACTAAGAGCATAGGGATGGACACGCTTCAGTGACTTTGCAGATCTGGATAGCATGTCTGAAGACGAGTGGGACAAGGCAAGTGCCTTCTGCTCTATCTCTCTCTAATCCACTTTCACAGACACCACCCTCGAATATCTTACAGAACACGACTAACACCCCCCAGTGCTGGGCCGCCAACGTCAAAGCGCCCCTCGCCCTCCTCAAAGCCGCCAAGCCCACGTTTGAATCCAATCCCGACGGCGGCGCTTTCATCAGCAGCGGCTCCATCGCCGCCGTGTCGCAGGCCGGCTCCTCGATGCCCTACGCCGTGACCAAGGCGGCGCAGCTGCAGCTCATCAAATGCCTTGGTGCGACACAGGGCCCCAAAATACGCGTCAACACCGTATTGCCCGGGCTGTTGCTTACGGAATGGGTGCGTCTTTGTCTTCTTGGTTCTTGCAAAGGGAGCTAACGCGCGGGTACAGGGTAGAAAGTACTCGGATGAGAAGATCCAATGGGCGAAGAATACGGCTGCGCTCAAGCATGAAACGGATCTCCAGGACTGCGCGGATGCCTTTATCATGTTGGCGAAGAATACTAGTATTACGGGTGCAAGGATCCAGGTCGATGCGGGACTCAACGTGCAGGGCACATAGTATCTTTCTCCTGACGAGACCGCAGTGTGTCGCCTGTATGGTGTATATCGGGTGTAGCAGATACACACGTGTAAAGTACACCATCCTGGACGCGATCTGTTATCAATGTTGCCTTCTTTCGAGCCAGTCTGCATAGCCGCGGACTGCTGCCAACCCAATCCTTCACTCATCTTCGCATATCTCCGTGTCGTCTAATGCTTTTACCACCTCTTCCATGTCTTGTGGGGTCGTGATGCCCCAAACGCCACCGCCCTTGACGGCACCCTTCATACCGACCTCTTTTCCAACCAAGTTTCTGCCAACCTTGCCAGGCCCGATGCCAATGTATCTCTTCACCTTCTCCTCTTCGTGCAAGTACTTGATGGAGCGCCACCACTGCACCGTCTCAACGCAACTTCTTGACAACAGGTCTTTCAGCTGATCCTTGCTCTGGAACGGCCTGCCGGAGACATTGGAGATGCAGGGCATGATGCCCGGCCACGTCACAATGTCGCTACCGTCCGATTTCTCTCTGTGAAGTATTCGCTTCATCGTCTCTTGTGCAGGCTTCATCAACGGGCTATGAAACGGCGAGTCGCTTTTCAGGCGTACTGCTCGCGGATCGTGCCCTCCAAACTGGCGCAGATTCGTTAACAGCGTCTGCATCCGCTCAATGCTACCACTCAGCACAATCTGGTTCTTGCTGTTGATGTTGGCGATGAGGACCTGCTCGACAGCGGGTACGTCGTCGTTGGAGTCGTTCTGGTAGTTGGGCGACGACAGTTCGAGGAACTCGCGGAGGCCGGCGACCAGGGCCTTCATGTGGGCTTCCGACTCGCAGACGAGTGCAATCATGCCAAACTCGCCGCCCTCTTGCTCGACGGCCTCCTTGGTGCAGCGCAGCATGACCTCTGCGCGCTTCCGCACCATGCGCAGCGCATCCTGGAATGTGAGGTAGCCGCCAGCTACCAAGGCGGCGAACTCGCCGAGCGAGTGGCCCAGTGTGATGTCCACCCGGTCGCTAGTCTTGAAGCCGAATTCCTGCTCGAGGACGCGCAGGATGAGGATCGAGGTGGCCATGATGGCGGGCTGCGAATTGTGAGTGAGGTTCAGCTCGGCGTTGGTGCCGCTCTCAATGATCTTGGTGAGGGGCACGCCGAGGGTGGCATCGATCTCCTCGAGGATGGGCTTTGCGGTGCGAGGGAAGGCTTCGAGCCAGGGCTTGATCATTCCGACGCGCTGGACGCCTTGACCTGGTGCCTGTTAGCACGTTGGAAAGGTAGATCACACTGCATGTACAGAAGCATACCAGGGAAGAAGATGGCCGTCTTGGGCCTCTTGGTGGGAGTCTGCGTGCTGCTCATCCATCGCCGCGCTCTTCCGCCTGCGCGCAGTCCTCCGCAATGCGAACATCGCGTCGCAGCCAAGGAGACCCTGTTGGCGGGGCCAAATGTTCCAGACATTGTGCGCGCGGTTGGATGCTATGAGAAATCGGGCGGCATTGTTTGGGTCTGAGTAATGGAAGCTCTGGCAGGCGGAGGGGATGAGTGGGGCAGGCGTGGGTGCTGGGGAAGCTGAGCTGGGGTAGCACGCCGCCGCCGCCGCCGCCAGGGGTGACCTCACTGCCGAGGTCACGCTTTTCCGAGACGCCCTTGTATGCCTGAGTTGATATTCCGCACCACGCAATTTTCCGCAGTTCGGGAGCAGATTCACCGAAACAGTCAGTGGAATCCAAGACTTTCGAACGTGCGTAAGTCCGGAACGTAGCCACAGTAAAGAGTATGACGGCTCGCGTGGTGGACACTGCGCGACCTTTCAAAGCTTTCTCCGGAATTGCTCCTAGTTATGTAAAGGCACCAGCTTGGAGATTCTGGTTAGCTGAAGCGCCTTGGACCGTGATCCATACGAACTTAACGCGAATGGCTCCAACCAGCGTGAGCGCCTTTTGAGATCGTCCCAAGCAGCCACGAAGCGGCCATCACCTTAGTCATGTGAGCGAGTGAAGCACTTTAGGAGCGTGATACTTACTGGTCGTGATTCCAGAGAAAAGGAGCTTTCTTGAGAAGTGCCCGGCTCTCTCTTATACCTTCGAACGTACATCTGAGGCCAGTGGTTCGATAGATGCTGGCTGCTCTAATGACGTGCCCACCAGGACCAAGCTTGTATTTGATTCCTGTGTAGAGCTTGGGGGAGGCGGTACAAACTCTTCCACAGTTTCTAACAAAATCACGGAGCCAAACATTCCAAAGGCTAGTCCAGCAGTGGGTTTGAAGAAGAGCAAACACGGGGAAAATGTGAAGCGTACAGTAGGAGCGCAAGCAAGTCTATTCACAGATCGGGAGAGCAACCACGCCTCCCAGAAAACTAAACTAGATATCAACCGAAAACCCGTGCCTCAACTTGTACTAAAGATAGACATTACGCTGCCGCGGCAAGCGAATCGCAGATGAAGCCCAGCCTAGTGACGCCATGAAACAAATGAAAGACAGAAAACGGACCTTGCCGTGTGCCGTGTGTATAAAAGCAGACAAGAGCCCATGCAGACGCTATGCAGATGCCAAGTCGTTATCGTGAACCTTCCCCCTACAGTATTGACCAGCTACATCATCCCTGAACCCCCAGAATATGCGCTTCTTGCGCGGCTTTGGTCGCAGTGACAACGGTGGTGTTGGTGCCAACGTCGTGTCTTGCAACGCAGGGTATCGTAGATCGACAGACTAAAGAAACCAGAAACAGTGCCCGTATCCATGGCTGAGCATCTACCAGGCACCTACGCGAGCGGACGCCCCCATGCCGTATGTTCCGTTGAAGAGCTGATCCCTAACAGACATGTTACCATGTTGGCCTGCAGCAGGTTGTTGCACTTCGTTACCCATCCAGCCTAGGCTGGAGCGAAGCTCGTTGACCGCCTCTTGCATGCGACCGCCAGACATCTCGTTGTGCTTGGCGATTTTCTCATCCCAGCCACCGTACTGAAGCTGTATGCCGCCTGCCTTTTTTGCGGCCTCGCGGAACACGGCAGCCCACGCTTTAGCCATCTCTTCGTACGCTTCCTCTTTATGTCGGTTGTGCTGATATGTATCCCAGTCAGGAAGGCGATGGATGTACTGGGTGGCGCCGTCCAGGAAGGCAAGCGACGTGGCGGGTTGGGTTTCGTTAGGGGGGAGGAAGTGGGGCGTAAAGTCTTTCAAGGCTTCGAGGAGCTCGATAAGCTGGTGCCGCACACGGTTGTATGCGTAGTCGGACGAAGGCTTTCCGCCAAAGGGGAAGGCTGCCTGGAACTGTGACTCGTACCTGGCCAGGACTTCGAGTGTTGACTGTATGTTCGGCCGGGGCGCGGTTGACAGGACCTTGTTTCCGATGTCTGGGTGCTGGTCGCAGATTGCCTGTAGCACGTTTCGCATATCGTCGGCGCTCAGAGTCTCGAGCAGTCGTTGCAGCGGCAGGGGTCTGCCCGAGATATTGGTCCGCATGCGCTTGGTCGAGTGCTTTGCGAGGGGTCGGTTCAAGATGGCGGGCGAGCCAGAGGGCGATGCAGACATGCGGTCGTCATCGCCGCCACTGCCTTCGTCGTCGGCTTTGCGTTTTCGGTTCGACATGGAGGGAGAGAGGACTGCGAAGGGCGAAGCGTTAGCGGCGCTGTGCGGCTGAGGGCGCAGCATAGTGCGAGGGCCGGCAGACTCACTGTTGCGGGTGGGTGACAGGCGGTTGGGTAGCAGATGCGGAGGGGGTGCGAAGCTGCTGTTGATGACATTCATAGCTGTGGCAGACGGCGGCGTCGGGGGCGGGTGCCTGAGGAGCTCGCTCGGAGCGGCTTCACAGTGCGAGGTGAAGAACAGGCGGGCGCTCGGCTGCCGCGCTTTGAAAGAGCAGCTGGGTTGGTTGCTGTGGTGGTCTGGTCGACCGTGGAGAGCGGCCGACATGGCAGGAGCTAGCCGTCAAATGGGCAAGCACGGGCCGCTCTTAGCGCCGCGCAGGCCCGCCGCACACGTCGCAGTAAACAAAAAATCATCGTGCGGGTGCTTTCACCGCAGAATCACTGCGAGGTTCTTATTCCTCCGTCCCAACCATTGGAGGTGCATACAGATCCACGATCAAGGAGGGGGATTCTCCAGATGACGCTTCACACTCGCTGTACCGCCTAGCGTGACCTTGAACATGTGACCACAATCATCGATCAATCCGACTAGGTAATAACAGCGACACGTGAACATACGCTAGCCCTGGACTAGGCACAGCCATTGCATTCAGTCCAAGTGATAGACTAGGGAAAGGGTGGTCTGCAGAGAGCCGCGATCAGACGTCCAGTCGATTTGATGGGCGTGCAACGAGATGGCATCCCAATCAAAGGCGGACATGATGAAGAGGGTTTTTCCAGTTCCATCATTAACGTACAATTGCAAAGCATGTTACCAACCGTGAAATTGATTTCTCTGCAGAGATTGCTAGCCAGCATCTGCCTGCAAACTCCTCCAGCACCTACGTGGCGAACAACGCACTGACGTCTCATACCCACAAAACGAAGCAGACTCAGTCGTAAAACACATATACACATCATACCGCTCCTCAATGCCAGTTCTGTTTTCCATCGCTGCTGACTGCACATCTGTCCACGCCGAGCTGTCGACCCCTGATACATAGTACACTGGGATTGCACATTGCGCCACCTTGATGAGTGGCCATAAATACTGCAGTCACAATTATTCTATGGCAGAGCTGATGTAGAATTGGACTCGCGAGATCGAGCCTAGGCTTCTATCTGTCTCATGGGTGGCTACTCCTAATTAGTATAATTCTGCTTGGATGAAGGGAATGGTAGGTACACTAGTCGAGTGGACGATATACGAATAGAGAGGTGGCTACGCTATCTACCCTCTGAATTGAGCAAGAGAAGCGTCAGGAGCAAGTGGAAGAGAGGATTAGATTCTTTTGACTCCGATCGTGATCAATATTCACTTACGGTCAAAGAACAAGACAATATCCCGTGATGCAGGGTTGGATTCTGGCCCTGGATCAGACATGACCAATCTATCCTTGCTCGTACGGGACACTGTAGTTGCAAGTTGCCCGGTGACTTGCATGGATTCTTCGGTATATGCTTGCCGTTACTCGTCCCACTTCTTACCTGGACAATTGCCTTTCCCATCTCAAAACCTCTCGTGCGCAACCGAACCGTTTGCTCATCCGATCGGCGGAATGCACTTCTTGCTTGGCCCATACCGACAACAATCTCCACTCGGCGCACACTCGTATACATCCGTCCTCTTCCCACCCATCCCCAGATCCGTCACATCGTAAGTCCAAATACCATCATTACCACAATACTGCCCCTGCTTGGTGCCTTTCTTGCATTTGCAGCCATTTCTGGTGCACGTCCGCGGGACGAGTTCACGCGGTAGATGGTCGACGCCGATGTTGCGGGATGAGTGTTCAATGTCATGGGTTCGGTGATTGGCGGATAAAGGCGTAAGGTCGACAGTTTTGTCGTTGGTTGGTAGAGCGCAAGCAGAAACCAGGACGAGGGAGACACCAAGGACAACGGAGTGGGTTCGCATCGTTGTCAGCTTCCGCGAGACTTAATGATCTGGAGGATCAATGTGTACAATGCATACGCCGAGATTGGGAGCGCTAGTTCATTTGTGCTCAACGCAGTCTCCTAAGAAGACGATGGCAGCATTTTATATGTTTTGGTCCCTCAAAAGCGGCTAGGGTTGGCTAAGTTTAAGGTGGCTACATTTGTTCCACAAGCAAGGTATTCCCGTCTTTAGATTGTCAGACATTCCTGTAAGACGAGGCTGATAGGCTCACCGGTCCCTAGCTTTCATGTCCAGCCCGTTTAATAAACGCTAACATATAGCCAAGAGACCGCTTAAGGGAGCTTTCCACAACAATACGATGAATGCGACCTATCAATACGAATTGGGTGATACCAGCCCCCAAATGTCGCGTAAAGCAAATATACTTAGCTTTGTAGGACGAGAAAAGCAGGTAACGAGTACGCAGAGGATTGTCTTAGCCGGAATCGCTAATGACTGGCAGACGCTACCTGGTCGATGACAGTACCATGTTCAGCAACTATCAAGTTTGTATCGTCAAACATGAGATCTATTCTAGGGTGAATGTATGCCCGCGTGAGGTACGTCACAGTGGGAAACACTAGCATGCGAAAAAGAGTATAAATCCGGGGGATCTTTGGTGTAGCGCAAGCAATGCCACCCACAACCGCAGATCTAGTGAATTTCTATCCAGGACGCAGTCCGGCCGTGGCTCTCCATGAACCCGAACGCCGATGCTTCCCCATTTCCATGCATGCTGACGTCGTGCACAAGACACGATGTCACAAGCTTGGCCATGAAGTAGCGCCAACCCATTGTTTTCCTAACAACTCCTAAGATGATGCTGACTTACCTGAAGCTAGAGATACAAGGATTGCGCGGCGACGAGATCTCTCCTCACCAGCTCGAGCGCTGCCGTAAACTTCTGCTCAAGCTCTTCGCTGCCCATGACCTTGGCGGCCTGTGCTACTTGTCGGAGTAGTTCTTCCAGGCGTCTGAAGAGACGGATGAGACTGCCCTCGTAGACATCTGTCATTTTGCTGCGGCCATGTAAGTCACGAATCACATCGGAGAGTAAGTTCAATCATACCAGATCTCAGCAAACGATGCACCCTTGCACCATTGGTATACAACCTCCATGAGTTCACACTTGAACGACTGGACGTATTCATCCTCGTTCAAAGGCATCTTGGCGTCCTGCGAGACTTTGACAATATCCCGGGCTTTCTTTTGGATTTTTCGGAACGGTTCGGCGAGATCCTCTCTCAGGGATGGCGACTCTTTGCTCTTCTCTTCGAAGATGAAACAGCTCAGACAGGCTGCGCATTGTTCGGGAGTCAGCTTGTTGAATTCCTTTTCAAAGAGCAACTCGCTCAACACAATCTCGTCGCCAGTGCTGATTTCGCATGCAACTCGCGCTTTAAGCTGAACGACATCTCCGTCCTTGATAAAACCCAAACGACGTAGAACGCGTTTGCGGGCGTTCAACTCATCCATGTGAATGATAGAAAGGGCAGCCGAAATTTCCTTCTTGAGCGCTTTAATCTTGTCACCGATCGCAATCTTTTTTGCGTATTGATTGTAAAGCTCTAGCAACCGTGGTGAGTTGTGCAGCGGGTTGGAGAGCAATCGCGATTCTAGGACTTCGATTTTCTGAATATGTTAGGTAGTGTTTTGAAGAACTTTGCGCGCTGGACATACCCGCAGTGTTCGCTTGAAAACTTCGTCAGTGATCTTCATGTTTTCAATGGGATCCAAAATTGCGATACCGTCGGGGAAGCGCTTCTTGACTTCATCCAACGCTTTTTGAACATGGACCTTGTTCTCGGTAGTTTTGATCTCCTTCGGGAGGAACAAGCGAAGGTGGCCGATGGACTCCATTGCCGATAAGAGCACTGGTACAGATTCGACCTTTCCTTTGTCGCCAACAGGGGGCGGCAAGACGCCAGGAGGCAGGCCATTGTTGCTGTATGGCACATATTTTGTATCGCTGGCTACAACGAGCGCGCAGTCCAAGACATATGACTCCTGGTCGCGGAACTTCTCGCCCCTTTCAGGTTTGCGGGCTGTGACATTAACAACGGCTCCCCACCCGAAATCATGCTGGTTGTACTTAATCCTAACAAGACGTCCAGGTTGCAGGAATTGCAAGCAATTTTTAGGATGCTGTATGACGTCCCGCATTTCCTTGGTCAGATTGTCGAGCTGTTCTCGCAGGTTGTAGTAATCGCGAATGGCGGTCTCATCAGTGATGGCCATGTTCTCGCGCTCGTTCTCAAGCTCTCGCAACTTCTTTTCCAAGTTGCTGACGCTCGCAGTGTTCTGGAACTGTGAGAAGCAACGCTCCAACATGAACTCTGGAGAAATGCCCTCGACTCTAAGTAAGTTGAGAACCATGTTGTAGCCAAGGTGGAAAGCCGAGTTGAGATTATCCTGCTGACCGCGGACAATTTCTTTGGCAACGGCGGGCTCCATTTGCTCGTTTATCATCATAATGACGATACCACGTTCATCGAGACCACGGCGACCAGCACGACCAGACATCTGGATGAACTCGGACGGCGTGACCCACCGCTGTGAGACACCGTCGAATTTTCGCACACTGGTGAAGACAACAGTCTTGGCCGGCATGTTCAAGCCGATTGAAAAGGTCTCTGTCGCGAAGAGTACTTTGATCAATCCTTCCTGGAATAGAATCTCGATGGTCTCCTTCAGGATAGGCAACAATCCAGAATGATGAACACCAATGCCGCGCCTCAAGAGTGGGAGAATGTTCTGAATCTGTGCAAGGGAGCGGTCTTCTTCAGAAAGCATCTCAATAGCGCTGTTGAAGACCTTGGACACCATTGCTTTTTCTGATTCGTCATTGAAGGCAAGCTGGCTCATAGCCAGAGCATAGTTTTCGCATTCTCGCTTGCTGAAGCTGAACACAATGACTGGGTTGTAGTTCTTCAGCATGATCATCTTGACGATCTTGTAGATATCAGACTGGTCCTTGTTGCCGCCTTTGTTCGTCTTTTTGTCCTTGCCTTTTCCTTTCCTCTTGGCCAGGAAGTCATCTGCAGCGGTGCCAGCCTTATCCGCAATGGAAGCCATGGCTTTCTGGAAATTCTCCTCGCGGAAAGCTCCCTTTTCATCGACGATCAAATGTATGCCATCGGCGCCTTCTGGGAAAAAGTAGTGCTGCAGCGGGGTCGGGCGGAAATCGGTATAAACAACGTGACACGGTTGTTTGTGAGTCTTGGTGATCCATTCCGCGAATTGCATAGCGTTAGGGATGGTGGCGGACAGAAAGACGTAGCGAACTTTGTCCGGGAGCAGAATGATGGTCTCCTCCCACACCACACCGCGCGACTTGTCGCGCAGGTAATGCACCTCGTCGAAAACGACCCATGCCACCTCGCGCATGATTTCCGAGCCTCTGTACAACATGGAACGAAGAATCTGTGCATGTTAGACTTTTCTCGTTCGGGCTCAGTGTACGGTACCTACCTCAGTAGTCATGACCAGACAGGTTGCGGTGGGGTTGATGGTGACATCGCCCGTCATCAAACCGACATCGCCAAACTCGGCTGTGAACTCTCGATATTTCTGGTTGCTCAGGGCCTTGATTGGACTCGTGTAAATGACACGCTGGTTATTCTTGAGGCACTGTGCGATGGCATACTCTGCCACTACGGTCTTTCCCGCGGACGTATGCGCCGAGACCAAGACACTCTCGCCTCGTTGTATCGACGCGATAGAGACCTGCTGGAAAGGATCGAGAGTGAAAGGCCATGTCCGTGCAGGCTCCTCGGGCGGCTTGTGCTCGGATATGGGAACGTAGTCGTAGTCGGGCGGTAGGGCGACCTGATGGCGAACCTGATGTGAGAGCACGACGGCCTGTCCGTCCTGCTGTGTCTGGCCCTGGAGGCCTGCCGAGGCTGCGACCTCGCGCGACTGCTCCGTCTCGAAGGCATCAGTCACGACGGGCTCGGGCTCGAGGTCGCGCTTCAGACGTTTCTGGTAGGTAGCTTGTTCGTCTGCAGGCGCGGGCGCGTCTTGCATGGACGCGTCGGGCACGGGCGATTTGACCTCGCCATTTGCCTGGCGCTTCTTCGTCTGCTTGGGCTTGGACTTGGGCGCAGTGGCCTTTGCCGCCTGCGGGCCGTCTTCGAAGACGTCGAACAGCTCGTCCATGGCTGCGGGGCGCGTCGACGCCGACGACAACTGGTGTGTGGTGGTGCACCCGTCGAGCGGTGGAGACTCGGGTGTGAATGTGCAAAGGCGCGCAGGCAGCTGTTCTGATCGGGGCAGGAATGCGCGCTCGATTGCGGGCTCAAATGTTGCGCGAGAAGTCGCAAAAAGTTGGCTGCGCGATCGGGTCTAGCTCTCAAATGTTCTGCCCATTGCCCTTCCTACGAGTGGTCTTGGCGCTGCAGGCTTACCTCAGCGTGCCTGCGTGCCGAGCTCTCGCAGTCGCAGTGTCACCCGATCGAAGCTCCAGCAAGCACCACCGACCAACACACCTCTCCGCTCCTCACCACACGCACCGTACGCCTGCAACGCCGCCAATTGAGTGCTTCGCTGACGTCCCAAGATGCTCGCCCGCTCAGCCTTCCGCGCCACCGCGGCCCCATCCCTCGTCGCCCGTCGCGGCTTCCAGAGCACGCGCGCCCAGCTCGCCAGCCCCTACCACTACCCCGAGGGTCCCCGCAGCAACTTGCCCTTCGACCCGCTGAAGAAGGGCTTTGCCTTCAAGTACTGGGGCTTCATGGGTGAGCTTGCCCGGCCTGCAATGGCACCACAGCGCGCTAACAGCTGCAGCGACCGGCTTCCTCCTTCCCTTCGGCCTTGCCGGTGAGCACTTGACGCACCCACCCATTTCCCTACGTACATATCTGACTTTCACCGCGCAGTCTGGCAGACGAAGAAGAACAAGCCTTAAGCGGGCTGGCTTGCATAGGTTTATAGATGGCTCTCGGGCAACGACACCGGAGGAATATGGCACTTGTAGAATAAGTGGGCGTTCCCAGGAACGACTGTACACCATGACGAGCATCAATTTCATTGCCTGTGTTGATTTACATGAGCATTGCCTCTGCCTGCGTGATTCTGCGTGACGTTGGCTCCCCTCGATAATCAGTCTGTAGGTTTCTGATTGGGGCCCTATCGGCCAAAGCTCGGCTTATCTAACCTCCAAAATTTCGACCATTTCGCCCGCATCTCATTCGCCGTCACCACCCATGAGAGGACCGCCAAAAACTCATACTTTAATTCTGCCATGCGCAATCTGAGAATCGTGGGGAGGTCGCTCCTGCGGTTTTCCGGCGAGGATCCGCTCCCTCTCGCAGCTACCGCCTGGGATGCCGCCTCAAATGCTTCCATATGTGCTTTTGGGCCTTCCGAATCACGTGCAACTATCGAGCTCAAAAGACTACATGACGGCAGCGATGGTGCAGAAAAGAGGCTGGAGACCATCGCATCGTGGGATGCACCGTGCCCGCTACCCTCGCTTACCCATGACTCAGTATTGAGTCTCCATCATTTCGCCGACTCGTCGACCTCATGTCTGGTGTTAGCCGGAGGAGACATCATATTGGTACGAGAGCAACCCGAGGATGGTCAAGATCTTGTTGAGATTGTCGGGTCGGTAGATGCGGGAATTTCGGCTGCTGCGTGGTCGCCTGACGAGGAACTTCTGGCGATTGTTACACAGGCCGAGACATTGCTGCTGATGAGCCGCGACATTGACAACATCGCCAGTGTCACGCTCTTGCCTGAAGATGTCAACGCCTCGAACCATGTGTCTGTGGGGTGGGGCAAGAAAGAGACCCAGTTCAAGGGCAAAAGAGCAAGGGCTCTGCAGGATCCCACCGTGCCGGAGACTGTCGACGAAGGTGTGCTCAGTCCGTTGGAGACTCACTCCGTGGCCATCAGTTGGCGTGGTGACGGCGCCTACTTCGCCGTCAATACCGTCGAGCAAAAACGACGCAGGATGATCCGAGTGTATTCCCGGGAAGGCCAGCTCGACAGCGTGAGTGAGCCCGTCGATGGTCTTCTAGGCACCCTCAGCTGGCGACCATCTGGCAACCTTATTACTAGTATTCGCCATACTATCGAAAAATTCGAGGTAGTCTTCTTTGAGAGGAACGGTCTTCGTCACGGCCAATTTGATCTTCGGTTGAGACCCGAGGAGCTGCAGAACCTATCGATACCATTGACTCTATCGTGGAACAGCGATTCCAGCGTGTTAGCAGTGTCCTATCCCGAAAAAGTGCAACTATGGACCATGAGCAACTACCACTATTATCTGAAACAGGAGTTGCCTTTCCCAGAACAGGCTGCGGCAACCGTTCACTGCTCTTGGGACCCCGAGCGGCCTCTATCTGTGGCATTTTACACTGCGGGTAAGTCAAAGTTGCAGTCATGGTTGCCCACTAAACTAATCACCCTACATAGGCTCACTCCAGATCCTAGAGTATGCATCAACAGTTGCTGCTGGATCTGTAGCACCGCCGCATGATTTCGGAGTTGTCGCTTCAATCGATGGTCGTAAGTCATCTCTCAGCTCAGTAATGCCTCGAATGCGTCCTAACAGCACAAAGTGAGCCTGAAAATAACACCTTTACGTATTGCCAATGTCCCTCCTCCAATGTCAATGCTCCAGCTTCCGCTGGATCGTAATGTTGTTGACGTTGCATTTTCCCGCTCAGGCACGCGTCTGGCGGTCTTGTCCGACAAGGACGTTGCGTTATTCGCATTTGACTTGCAGAAACGACCAGTCACTCGACCGAGTTTCCTTTGGAGCGGTGATTTCTCGGAGGGTCATTCTCCCCGTCAAGTCACTTTTGTTGGCGAAGATCAACTGTGCGTTCTAACGGACGTGTGGGACGAGGATGAGACTTTTGTGTGGACAAACGAGGACGAACAACTCGTGAACAGGGGCCCAATCTTAGAACCCGGCAGATTTTCTTCAATAGCCTCTGACGTGGAATCTTCGAAACTACTTGTCAGCCTGCGCAATGGCGAGTACACATCGGTAGTTGAGATGAGGACGGACGAAACAGTAAAAACCACGCCCCTAACAAACCTGCCTTCTTTCGCCCCCGAAATCAAGACTGCAACACTAGAAGGAGAGGTGAGTCTGCCTGTCCCTTTCTGAGTAAAGCTGATCAGGTTATAGCCCGTGGCTTTCGGACTGGCAAAGAGTGGTGCCCTGTACGCCAACGAGCGAGTTCTAGTGAGGAACTGCACGTCATTCGTCGTGACCCCCGCCCATCTGATCCTCACCACTACGCAACATCTGTTGAAGTTTGTTCACCTAACAAGCTTGAATGGTGAGTCACAAATCCACATTTACAGGACGGTTTCTTATAACAACAGAACTCGAAGTACCTGGGGATGAGCCCCAAACGGATGAACGATGTCGGAGTATCGAGCGCGGGGCAAAACTTGTCACAGTCATGCCAACTACTTACTCCGTAGTTCTCCAGATGCCGAGAGGCAATCTCGAGACAGTCTACCCCCGAGCTCTTGTGCTTGCTGCGATCAGGAGATTTATAGAAGCTGAGAAATATGATGAGGCATTTTTGGCCTGTCGCAATCAGCGCGTTGACATGAACATACTGCACGATCATGATCCAGAACGATTCTTGACGAGCGTCGAGAAGATCGTTACGCAGATCAACAGGGTGGATCATATTGATCTTCTCCTCGCGCAGCTAAGGTTTGTAAATTTACCTGATGTGCCCGGCGGTTTTGGCTGACGATTGTAGGAATGAGGATGTGTCGGAGACGATGTATCGTGAGACCTTGAAAGCCAAGGATCTTACGACCAAGAAGAAGTTGTCCAGTGAACAGGTAGAGTCAAAGGTCAATCGAATCTGTGACGCTCTTCTAGCAGTGTTGGAGCAGGAGAGGTACAAGAATGATCATCTGCAGAATATCATTACCTCTCACGTATGCAAGACTCCTGCAGACTTGGAAACAGGGTTGCAGTTGATAGGTCGCTTGCAAAGTAAGTCCAGTGATCGCTCCGAACTCAACGTAGCTGATATGACGAAGGTACCCAAGATCCTCTCACTGACAGGGCTGCGGAACACATATGCTTCCTTGCAGACGTCAATCAACTGTACGACACGTCCCTCGGGATCTATAACCTCGAGCTTGCACTACTTATCGCGCAACAGTCACAGAAGGTATGCATTTTCCTTGCCACCGCTTGTCGACTAATCTGACTTTGATAGGACCCGCGCGAGTACCTTCCTCATCTCCAATCTCTCCAAGAACTTTCTCCTCTTCGTCGAAAATATCAGATCGACGACCAACTGGGCCGCCGCACCAAGGCGCTCTACCATCTTAAAGATCTAGAAGCCCACGATGAAGTCCAAGATTATGCCCAGAAGCACGGTCTTTATCCTGCAGCACTCAGCATGTATCAATACGAACCTGCCCATTACAAGAATATCATGCGTCTGTACGCAGACTACCTCTCAACAACCAACAAGAACAAAGAGGCTGCCATTGCCTACGAATACCTCTCCGATCACACCTCTGCCTGGCCCTGCTATTTATCCGCCAACCTCTGGCGCGAAGCTCTCTCCTCTGCCATTCTCGCTGGCATATCCCCTAGCGAACTCGAACAACTTGCCACGGACCTCGTCGACGGCCTTACAGAGTCAAAAGACTACTTTTCCGCGAGTACCATCACCTTAGACTATCTCTCCGACCTTCAAGGCGCAGCCCGGCTCCTCTGCCGGGGCGCATACTTCGCCGAGGCAATACGCATTGTTACTTTACGCCAACAATCATCTCTCATCACCGAAGTTATCGACCCCGGTCTCGTAGAGAGGTCTGCAGACATGACCGAGTTCCTCGCAGAAATGAAATCCCAACTCCTGGCTCAGGTCCCGCGTCTGCGCGACTTGCGTACGAAGAAAGCAGAGGACCCGCTCGCTTTCTACGAAGGGACAGAAGATGCCAACATTCCCGACAATATATCACTCGCACCCACGAATACTACCTCGGGAGGCACATTTATGACAAGATACACCAATCAGACCGGCACGGTCAATACGCAAACTACGCGCAAGACGTCTAAGAACAAGCGGAGAGAAGAGCGGAAGAGAGCGAGGGGAAAGAAGGGCACTGTCTACGAGGAAGAGTATCTCGTTAATTCAATCGAGCGCTTGATTGAACGAATCAATGGTATGCAGGACGAGATCCAGAGACTTGTCGAGGGCTTAATGAGAAGGGGCATGAGGGAGAGGGCAGTCGCTGTGGAGGCGGCTGTGATGGATGTTGAGGAGAGGTGTAGAGAAGCAGTCAAGGAGATCTATCCGCCGACGGAAGGGCTTGGTGCAGTCGGCGAGAGTCTGATAACGAGTGGTGTCGCTGCGGACAGTGGAAATCCTGCTGAACCGGCGATCAGGCCTAGTGGAGGGGATGCGACGCTTTGGGACAGCTTGGCAGAAGTGGGTAAAAGGAGGGAGGCCCCGCCTGTCAAGACATTTGAGAGGTTGAGCTTGCTAGGGTAAGGTGGCGGAGGCGATCGCTCTGATCCGACAGACCACAGCAAGCTGCAAGTTCAGCATTGTCTCGAATGACTCGATGTAGGCATACAGCCTTTAACCCTTAAAAACTCAGGCAGTAAGACCATCAGACGTCCATCGATGCTATTTGTGCTGGGAGGCAAACTGACCCATTAAGACAACCATAATCTCGACAGTAAGTGTTGAGTCATGTAGGCCGGCCTAAAGCTGAGAAAAAAGAGAGCCCATGTGATCCGAATGATGGAAACCGAAACCCCTCAGTCACTTGCACACATTCACGACTTGGCTCATGGCTCTAGAATACGGAAAACAGGCCGAAAGCGGGGATAAAAAGGCACCGGCTCACTGGGCACGCCACACTGTTGACGTACGAGAAGACAGTCATGAGTGTGAATTGGGCTGAGCCGAGAGGCGAGCTAGATAATGCACAAAAGATGTACAGATACCGCGCTTGCGTACTATTCAAACCTGAGGATGAGATATGGGACGCGTGCTGACAAGGTCAGGGAAGAGCAAAACCCTACTTGGCATGGAGGCATGAATGGCATGAATGGCAGTATTGGCAAACGAGCAGAATATGTCTACATCAGAGTTTGGGTGGGAACAGTCATTAAGATCACTGCACATTTTGACATCGTGATGAATGCTTTGGTCTCTTCGTCGCGAGTCGCGCCGCGGTTGCAATGGATGGGTGTCATTGTCATTGTGACAGGTGTGGCTATGCCGTAGCGCATGGTTCTGTACCTGCAGACTGGTAATTTCGACGGCCGTGAGACTACCTTTAACTGTGTCCACTGGCTGACCACTCTCATCTTCTAGAAAACGACGCTTTCCCTCGTAGCTGCTAGTTAGACTTCGCTGCAATAAGCGTGCCCGGCATCTCGCCAACCTCGACGGTGAGAACATGCACTCCAATCTCGCTAACTGTCGATTGAACACACGCTGCAGCCATCAAACATCCCACCTACAAACCTGGTCGTACACATCAGTGCATGACGCGCACGGATCTCCAATGACGTTAGGGGATCTCGCGTAGAAGAGCAGCGCAAGGATGTTAATCCGGATTTGGCGATGACGGCGCATTATCTCGAGAGTTATAGCTATGTGACCTTGAAAAGGGAGAACTCTAGCATGGGCTCGAACGTACCTTGCAGCCGTGAATTCCGATATCCTCGGTGCGATTGGAGGCGAATGTGCAGGCATTTTGTCCAATTGACGAATCGCTCTGCCGTTACAATCACATACTGGTACAGTTCTCTATCGGTCTGCTTAGATCGATGCGGCTGCTCTCAGACAGTGTGGTCGAATCCATCGGACGTTGTATACAAACAAATTGGCGCTCTACTTATGGAATAGTTAATACCTGACACCTTGCGAAACTACTGTACGTCTGCCAACTGAAAGACTACCATGCGACGTTCCTAAATACGCTTCCCCTACTAGCAGGGTTATCGGTTCGCCCAAGGGTGGCGCTCACCAAGGCTTTCCGCTTGCCCATGAGACTGGACGTGCAACTTTAGCGATCGTTGCCCTTTGCATTGTCGATCCGTCGTTAGTTTATTCAACGGGACTCTTGCCTCTCTGAGCCTCAAATTTCCATTCATGACGACAACGGCTTGGGTTAAGGGATAGAATACCAGTATCGACCGACAAAGCGTCTTCCACGGAGTTCGACACGCCTGAGTACAAAAAGTCTGCCTTCACCCAATTCAAATACGTTATCCATCAAATTGTGTTTGCATTTGTTCAATCCTCTCTACTTCGGTCTCCGCATTCTTCATATTTTCCCTTCCACAAAGTGATAGTCATGCGTTTCTCCGTTGCTACTACAGTAGCCCTCGCTGGCCTATCCGCTGCCAGTCCCTTGGGCGATCTTAATAGGCGCGCCGATGTCGTCAGTGTTCTCAGCGATCTCTACGCCAACGTGCAGGTTTACACTGGTGCTATCAGTACGTCTTTAAGCCCCCAATTGGCTCGAAAGTTGCACAAATTGACAACCCTGCAGATGCCACCCTGGCCACCCTTACCCCTTCATCGTCCCTTCTCGAAAAGACCGCCGCTGTCCCCAAGGTCGGCGAGTCATTGAACTCCATCACCAAAGCCATCACGGACGCCACGGGCTCCATCAACGATCTCGCTGCCTCGAAGAGCACCACCGAAGCGGAAAAGCGAGGCGTTGAAGCGGCCAGCCACCCTGTTGAGAAACGCCAGGTCGATACAGCTACCGTTCTCCTCACGCTTATCATTGTTGAGATCTTCGCGACAATTGCCGGTGCCATTGCTATTTTGGGACTCGCTGCGCTACTTATCTACATCAACCCTTTGACGGGGGCGATTGCGGCGCTCATCCTTGCAGTGCAGCTGTTGCTCAATGTTGTATTGGCATCGGTGACATTATTGCTGAACACGCTTTTGGCTGGACTGGCTTTGACGATTGGTGGGCTGTAGAGAGACGTGCGCGCTTCAATGGACAGGAAAACTATCTTATCAGATTAATGTTATTATATGCCTGAAGTCTTTGATATGACCTTCTTATGTGTATATATAAGGCTATACACCATAGGTCTACGCTTACCTTGGGAGTATAGTTCCCAGATTTGATATAGCAACTCCATTTCCTTACACTGTAGACTATATGCATTTACTTCTATACTTGCAAGAAAAGGCAAATTCAACACTAGTACAGGAATAGGGTTTTAGGAAGACCAAGTACATATAGAAATTATTATTTATATTTCGAGTGTATAGTCCTGCTATGTATGTAGAACAAGTGCTAATCGATATGTAGTAAATGCTAGAGCCTGAAAGGCTCCCAGACGCCCAAGAAATTCGCTCAGAACCTTCATGCTGCACCGATGTAAGGAAAAACCTAATGGCTGCCTCCGAACAAACCTGAGAACCAGCCACCCAGACTGCCACCACCACCGACCTTTGCGTTCACTCCTGCGTTTCCGTTGACAACAGCCCCTGCACTAACTCCGGCTTGACCATTTCCGCTGACTCCTGCGTCAAGTCCTGCGTGACCCGATCCTTCACCAGAAACGCTGCCGCCAAGAGATGCGTGTCCACCGACTCCGGCTTCAGCTCCAGCTCCAGCCCCAACTCCGACACCAGCACCGACTGATCCCGAGCCTGAAGCACCGCCGCTGACACTTCCTCCGGCTCCAACACTACCGCTCAGTCCAGCGCCAAGTCCGGGAATGAGACCAAGAAGACCATTCAGGTCGAGAGATCCTTGACCAAGGAGAGAACCACCAGCGCTCACAGATCCGCTAGCAACACCACTCAGAACGCCAGTGAGCTGCGCAAGTATGCCATGCAAGTCAAGACCAAGGCCTCCAAGGATGCCGTAGAGCTGGTTGCACAGATCGATGAAATCAGATCCGCCAGTGAGTCCAACGCATCCAGAGATGAAGCCGTTCAGGTCAATAGATCCGCTAAGGAAGCTAGTGAGAAGGTCAAGAAGGCCGTTGATGTCAAGCTGAGCAGATCCGGAACCAGTAAGAAGACCCTTGAGTCCATCAATGCAGCCTTTCAGCTCGGCGCTGATCGAGCCACCCAAGGTAGCGGACAGGTAGGCCTCGAGCTGATCAAGAGTAGCGCCGATATCGATGTGAGCCTCCCCAGTGAGGAGACCCTTGAGACCAGCAATGAGAGTGTCGACATTGATACCAAGGGATGCGCCTAGATCGAGCTTGCCAGATCCAGAAAGAAGGCCTTCGAGACCAGCAACCAAGCCATTCAGGTCGACGTGGCCCGAACCGCTGAGAGCTCCCTTGAGTTCGTCGCAGATCTTTCCGAGGTCTGCACCGCCGGGAAGGCCAGAAATAACGCCCTTGATGCTGTCAATGGCGCCGCCGATGTCGAGATGTCCAGAGCTATCGAGATGTCCGCCTCCGGAAAGGAAGCCGGTAAGGTCGCCGATGAGACCAGCTCCTAGTCCTGCACCTGCACCAACACCAGCGCCGGCGTGTCCACCGAGGAGACCGCTGATGAGACCACCGAGGTCAAGACCACCTCCTACAGCACCTCCAATGGAGCCGGAAGCGTCTCCACCGGCACCACCGCCAACGGATCCTCCAGCACCTGCTTCACCGCCAGCACCACCGCCAACGGATCCTCCAGCACCAACACCACCGCCGACAGAGCCTCCTGCACCCGCTCCACCGCCGATTGAACCGGAACCTCCAGCTCCACCGCCGACAGGCGAGGAAGTGGTTTCTGGATAATCAGGTGTGGCGGATGTTGCATCACCACCGCTACCATATTCGGGAGAAGAGTCCTCAGGAGCGTCGGGCGAGTCAGATGTATCATCACCGCTGCCATACTCGGGAGAATTCTCCTCAGGAGCATCGGGCGAGCTGGTGGACTCGGCAGGTGGCGTAGTAGGCTGGCCAGACTGGCCACCTCCTGCTGAGTAACCGGTACCTGGGCTGGACTGGCCCAAAGGCGCCACTACAGTTGCAGTAACGGTCGAGGCAGAAGCACAAGCGTTGATTGCCGGGGATGGGGCAACGCCGTATTGAGGCAGAGCATTGCTCACACCGATAAGAGCGACGACAGCATGGCCAGCGGTAAACCTCATTGTGACTTTCCGGTGAAGAGTACGGAAAAAGAAAGATAATTGATGTAGAGATTTGTGTGTTGAAACGAATGTGAGTGCGTAGCACTAACGAAAGACTTGAGTCGAGAAATTAATGAGTAGGAAACGAATGAAGCTGGAACGAATGTTGATGCTGGATGTAGGACGTTCAGCTGGATGCAATATATACACAAAAATACATCCCTTTTCTGGATGTCCTTGCCAGCTTGGACATCACCTGCGAGCACCACAGTGGACCGGAGTATCGAAAAACACATGCCAGTGTTTCTACTGACTCTGTAAGTCGCCTGTCAGTGTCTCTACTAACATCTGTGAGCCACACGTCAATTGGCTCGACAAACCCTCGGGAGCACGAAGCAAAGAAACATGCGAACGTGCGCTCTACCTTTGCAGCGGTGAAACATGCTCTAGCGTGCGCCCCACACTAGGCGAGTATTTTGGCGAGAGCTTTTTGTATGGGACGATTTTGGGCAGTCGCGCAAGTAGGTTTAGTCGAGGTGGTGTTTATGGTGGCCTTGACTTGAATGAACACTGGGAGATAAAAAGGGTGGCGGTAGATCGACGCTAAGCGAGCGATCAGAACGCTAATCCCCATCGACATGGAGTGCACGTGGCGGTGGCCCATTTGAGGCTTGGTCGATTGTTTCATACCTCCACGTTTGGATCATCACCATACCAGATTAAGATCCAGCCTCATAAATATAGTTCATTGGTCAGGATGGCATAACAAGTAGTTGTGCAATGGCTAAAAATACATTTTCTTATGCCAAACAGTCCGCCGCGGTCGAACAGTAAAGCGAAGTGTATGTGTCATAGAAACGGGAATACACGGTCGATAGCATCTAGGTGCTATACTTGTTTGAAGGCGCAAAGATTCAAAAAACAGGTGTGTATGGTAGCTTGAAGTCTTGCTCTGCTTACGAAATTAAGAGGCTAGCACCCGGGTCGGACACCACAGGTAGACACTCAGGATGGAAAACCACCGGGTGTTCATACAATCGAAAGACAACTCCCGAGGCATCCAACCGATGCGGCGCGTCCACGGCCAAGTGCCACGACATGCGCTCCAGATTCTCAAAGTTTTGTCTACTGTCGACGCCGTCCAGGTGACGCTACCGCAGTAGTCTGGGAATGCTGCCGAGTCGTGTGAGAAAGCTCCGGTACCTGCGGTATAGAGGAGATGTGCAGGCAGCACCAGCTTCAGCAAACATATACTCTTCCGATGCTCATACTTAATAACTGCATGGAATGGTTTTCAAACGTTGACGTCAGCCTTCGCGAGTCGCGCGAGAAGGTTAAACGGCATGGTTATCCGCTTTAGTTGAGTCGTGCGAGAAAGCTACGAGATGAGTCGCATGGGGAAGATCAATATGCCGCGAACGTACAAGTCACAAATGCGTCGTTGTTTAGCCGGGCAGTCTCGAGCAGACGCTACATACATGTCTCAGGCATCGTTATTAGTTTAGTGTCTAGCTCGGTTCGCTGCACATGTGGATATGGTATGTACCGCAATGGGAACATTTACGTTATCTTCTTAACCTGTTTCCTCGCAGCACGGCTTTGCTTCCGAAGATTTTCATCGAATACAACAGTTCGCCCCTACGTAGGAAGGAGATGTGACGTCGACAACTCCTGTAAGGGGGCCAGAATATCACCATACCGCACGAGAAGTGAGCGAAACCAATTCTGTGGCTTGCCGACCTGATAGGACAGGCATAAGACCTCCCCATCGTGACTTACGTTTCATTGTCGATAGCTGATAATCTTAGAAAAAACACTGAACTGGAAACCATCAACCCCTGAAGAATCCAACAATGTAAACTATCGCTATACTAAGTTACGTACCTAAGTTCGAGAGTAAATTGCGCAACAGCAAGGAGAAGACGACGTGGCTGAAGTCGTTCACTCAGCATCTGTGACATCAGAGCTTCCCACGATCGGCCCGCGGATCGATCGCTGGGTCAAGTTCATGTTGATCAACGCCGATTATGGAAATTTTTTGAACAAGCTCCTCTATAGTAGGATCTGGTAATACCCACATAGGATTCTCTGAGGCTACCGAACGGATAAATGCCTAGAGTGGCTACACCACATGCAGCACTACGGTAAAGTCTTGTTTGAGCGTAGATTTGTTACCTTTTTCGAACTTCAGGATGGCTCGCAGAAGCGTATAAAAGGCCACTGATTCTGTCCTCTAAATCTCATCATTCAACAGACAAAACACGCAATCCAAACAGCCTTCCGCAAATCTTTCAGGCCTCAGACCTCAAACCAACAACAACCATCAATATGAAGTTCAGCATTATCGCCAGCATCTTTGCCCTCGCCAGCGTTGGCATGGCTGCTCCAACTCAAGGTACGTGACATTGAGAGAGGCATCACCTCGGGGTCATCTGGCTGACTCCTACGCCCTACAGACGGCGCAGTTAAGACCCTGAACAAGAGGGGTCCTTGCCCCGAGGCTGGATCCGGCAACATTGACCCTTGCTGCTTTGACGGTGGCCCAGACGAGAACTGCAAGTCTCAGTCCAACTGCTATGAGCGTTGCGGCCCCAGCGGACCCAATGATCAGGGAGGTGTTTTGGGGTGCATCGCTGGTAAGTTGCCCTTACTTTGAGAAATGCTCAAGACCCTTGCGCTTACAATTCTTTTTCTTAGGCTGTGCCTCAGTCTGCCCAAGCACCCCAGAGTGCTAAACAGTTGAGGGCTCTTGCACTCCCTCGACCCGCTACGGTGAACGGTGCTGGAATTTTAAGAGATCGACGATCAGATCAAGATAGCAGTACGCTCCCCAATTCTCATCGCAGCTGTTAGGCAAGGGGTCGTAGTTTTGGGTCGGTTCCCGATTGCACATGCCGCCGATGGCTGAACATCCTATACTCAGTCTTTTGTATTTAGGTGAAATTACTTATGCTACTTCATAAAAGTCTTTCTTGGCCACGTGCTCCCTGAAACAGTTTGAAGTACATTCCTATGCATAAACTCTATAGCCGCTATGCCCGAGATGAAATCGCTTGCTGCTTATTTGGCATAATATGCGTCACTCATGCCCATTCCTCGTGTGGAGCCGCTTGTGGGCCTTGTCTTTCACGGACACCTGATTTGCTTCGTCCTCACAAACATTTGAATATAGCGCAAAGGATACCATGGCCTCTAGCAATACAACTGCATCGGGACATCACGGAGATGGCTTTAACATGTGTTGGGATATATATATCTGAAGTATGTCATAGCAAGATTCAGCTGCATCCCTGAGGTCTGTACCGAGAATCTGTTTGAGAGATGACACGTCAAGACGCCGGAGAATGCGACGGTTTTTCCAGTACGCAACTGCGTTGTGATGTTTATCGTAACGATATGTAACCATTGAGGCTCGACTTTCTGAATAAGGTAGAACAGGACAGAGATGATGTGGCGTACTCGTGTCAGAGAATCTGTAGAGCCGTTGGCGACCCAGCGAAGTCACATTCGGGATAGCCGAGGCACGCGTCCAAGGAATGCCCCGATGGCGCGCTATGTTCTGCCCGTCGGAGAACTCGCAGCGGAGCACGCTAATCTTGCATAGGAAAGCGTTTGCCCGCAACGCAACGTCACCAGCGCATATATACTGACTTCTTAGCACAGAAGTGTGTATTCGCTCTCCTTATCACGATGTCGTCCTCAATCTCCGACCTCTTAGCTTCGAAAACACTTGATTTAGAACCATACGAGCAATTGTACAAGCACTATCACTCACATCCTGAATTGTCCAATCAGGAGAAGGAGACTGCAGCAACCACAGCAAAGCACCTCTCCAAACTCGCGGATTTCAAGATCACGACAGGCATTGGCGGCCATGGATTCGCAGGCGTTCTGCACAACGGCTCCGGCCCGACTGTTCTCCTTCGCGCCGACATGGATGCTCTACCTGTCAAGGAGCTAACAAATCTACCTTACGCCTCTACCGTAACGCAGGTTAGCGAGCGCACTGGCGAGGAATCTCCTGTGATGCACGCCTGTGGTCATGACATGCACATCACCTGTCTACTGGCTGCCGCCGAACATCTCTATGCGCTGCGTTCATCGTGGTCAGGTACGCTGGTCGTCCTCTTCCAGCCAGCCGAGGAGCGCGGCACTGGGGCGCAAGCAATGGTGGACGACGGCCTTTATGACAAGGAAAAGCACAATATCCCAGTGCCTGACTATGTCCTAGGCCAGCACGTGATGGCCCTACCAGCAGGCAAGATCGGCAGCAGAGTAGGCACCATCATGGCTGCCGCAGACAGTTTCAAAGTGACTGTCTTCGGCCGCGGCGGCCACGGCAGCATGCCGCACCGGACCATCGATCCCGTTATGATGGCCTCGAACATTGTGGTCCGATTGCAGAACATTGTAAGCAGGGAGACAGACCCCAGCGACATGGCCGTAGTAACTGTCGGATACCTGCGCGGCGGCCACACGGAGAACATCATCGTTGACCACGCCGAGCTCGGCATCGACATCCGAACCATCAACACGGCGACGCGCGAGAGGGTTATTGCGTCGCTGAAGCGCATCGTTCACGCGGAGTACATTGCGTCCGGCGCGGAAAAGGAGCCCACGATCGAGGAAACGCGGTTCTTCCCGCAGACGTACAACGACGAGGACATGGAGGGTAAGCTTGCGGGGAGCTTTGGAGAATTCTTTGGCGAGGCGTTCGATCCGCAGATTGCACGGACGAATGCGAGCGAAGATGTATCGATCCTCGCGAGCAGCCAGGGGAAGCCAAGCTTGTTTTGGTTCTTTGGTGGAACGGAGCCGGAGTTTTATGCGCAGAAGGAGAGGGAGGGGCGGCTGATTGAGGATATTCCGCAAAACCATTCGAGTGGGTTTGCGCCGGTGATTCAGCCGACGTTGAAGATTGGCGTTGATGCGCTCTGTGTGGCTGCGTTGACTTTTCTCACGAGGAAGTAGTCACCGTGGGTGACAGTAAGCCCTGGACTTTGTGGCCCTGGAATGTCGGGATCGACTATCAGATAACACTTTTGTGACCGTTTTATATAGTGAGTTCCTACAGGACCAGGTGTGCTAGACTCCAGTTTTGGGGACTGTAAAGGAGCTGGACGACGTGACGATGACAAATTTTGTATGTACTACTTTACTCATATATCGACATTACAATAAGACAGGCCAATGCACCTCCTACAAAGTCGCGAAACCGAGCTCCACCACCCACCCAACTACTAACCTCGCATGCTCCAGCGCATGAGTGAAGTCAATGCGATCAATTGTATCTTGCGCAGTGTGGATATACGGGTTCTCATACGCCATCTCACTCTCATAAATCATAACGCTAGGGAACCCAGCACGCGTCGCACTCGCATGGTCGCTGCACGCATACCCGCACTTATCATCCGCGTACGCGGTGCTCGTGTACGCCGTAATAACCTTTTTCGTGAAAGCAGTAAGAGATGCGGAGACGTTGTCGGTGATGACGCCGAACTTTGGGCTGAGACCCTTGGAGGTGTAGCCCGCGGTATAGCCGGTCATGTCCTGGTTAAGCATGGCGTTGACGGTGCGGCCGGCGGAGGAGTACGAGTTGAAGATTGCTTGGGAGCCGAGGAGGCCGGCCTCTTCACCGGCGTACCAGTGGAACTCGATTGTTTGGGCCGCGCCGCCGGCGGCGATGGTGCTGTTGGTTAGGAGGGCGCGGAAGGCCTCCAGGATGGTGGTGCTGCCGGACCCGTTGTCATCTGGAAATGACATTAGCACCAGACTTCGGATTTTCGGTCTACGGAAGGAAGTCATGAAGTCTATGCAAGCTTTTGCAAGACAGAGGAAAGAAATCGCATCACATGAAGGATGAACTTACCAGCACCTGGCGCGCGTCCACTTGTCGGGCTCTGACCGTTGATGCTGTCCAGATGCGCACCCACGACAATTGTCTTCGAGCTCTTTCCCGGAATCGTCGCGATGATGCTGCTCTGCGTCCAAGAATGCGAGAACGCCTTCGCGCTCGCTTTCGATCCTGAAGGAATATAGCTCTGCACCTTGGACAGGAGCCAGGCGGAGGACTGCTGTCCTGTGGTAGCGCGGTAGTACCTGTTGTTGTAGTTGCTGAAGGTCTGCAGGTTAGTCTGGATGTTGGTGCTGCTAAGTTTTGCAGTGAGGGCCTTGACAGAGGTGCCCTGGGTCAGGGTGGTGGGGTAGGTGACGGCCTGGCGCTTCTGGATGTCGCTGGATGCCGGTGTGAACTCGGGCCAGTAGGTTACGTCGAAGAAGTTTGTACCTTCCTATGGTATTGTGAGTCTTGGAGCAGGAGGAATTTGGACAGGGAGCTCGCACGGCTTTGAGGGCGAACTTCTCTATTTCGGTGACCTCGCGACGTTCTCCGCCCTCGAGCTCGATGGTGAAAAGCTCCTCCTGGGGTGGCGCCGGGAGAGCAAGTGCTGTGGCCGCGAAAGCGACGAGGTAGTTGGCGTAGCGCATGATGGATACCGGTACCGATTTGTGACTTTCACAAGAACCTTGACTAGACACGAGTGTGGAAGAGAAGCTTTACCCCAAGACACTTCATCCTCTCTTATAGAGAGCCATTGCTAAATGATCACATTGTAAACGCCATACTCGCATACAAGAGCACGCATTTGCTCGCGTCGACAAAGTGCCGGAAGAGGAAGAAGCCAAGCTTTCCATAGTAACAAAGTCTTGAGTCCTTCCAGAAAGACGTTGCTAATCCGCGCCTCGCGTGGAGCGGGTGATCTTCGTGGAGCCGGCAACCTCTAGACGGAAGTTAGACTCGATTTCACAAGCATATGCACGTGTCCCGAATGGGCAGGTGCTTCGCCTAGTATCGTGAGTTAAATGACTGCGTAGGAATATCTTACGATAACGTTGGTTGCTAGACAGCTGCCAGATCTAGACAAATGTTCTCTATGTGAAACACGACGATCAAACACGCAAAAATGCTTCCAATGTACTAAGGATCAAGTCTATTTTGTTATACACTTCCTGTTCTATTTGCGGCTTTTCATGCCTTGCCAATCTCAGCAAGCGACTCTTTCAGTGACTTGATGGCCAGGGTCAGATCGCCCCGGTTCGGATCTGTGACGCTGACGCCCATGTGACCAAATCGGATGTACTTGGTGGCAATCTCCTTGTGCAGACCGCCCGCGAAAACAACGCCCCTTTTTAGGAGGCTAGGAACGACGTCTGGTGGCGTAACACCCTCGGGAAGGTAAATGGCCGTCATGGTGTTGGCTTGGTTCTCAGGCTTGGAGGCAAGCTGCTTCAAGCCAAGGTCGGCAATTGCCTTCTTGACCTTCTGGGATGCCTCCCTGTGGGCGGCAAAGCGCTCCTCGAGGGGTCGCGAAAGGATTTGCTTGAGGGCGGTGTCGAGAGCGTGAATGAGCTGAGGGGAGGGTGTGGCGAAGTAAGAGGGCTTCTTGGCTTCGTAGTTTTGCATGACTGCATGATGGTCAGGAATTGTCTGGTACATGTCACATCGGATTCGACTTACTAGGCAGCCAATTCTTCCATGATCCGAAGTAGGAAGCAGGCTTCGTCTTCCTCGCCTTGAAAGCGTCGATAGCACGGCCAGAAGCCATGAGCACGCTGAGACCGGCGGGGCAGCCAATGGCCTTCTGCGTAGCTGTGAGAACGACATCGAGCTTCCACTCGTCGAACTTGATCTCCTCGCCGCCGACACTGCACACACCGTCCACGACGACCAAGGTTTCCGGGCTGACCTTGTGCACGAGTTCGCTAAGCGCCTTGATCTCGCTCAGCACGCCAGTGCTGGTATCGACGTGGGTGACGGTCAGGACCTTGTACTTCTTCTCTTTGAGTGCCTTCTCAACCTCAGCGAGCTGCGGCCGGTCGCCGATGGGTGCCTTGAGCTGTGTTGCCTTGACGCCATACGTCTCGAAGCAGTCGGCGAACGAGTCGGCAAAGTATCCGGTGTGTAGGACGAGCGCCTCCTCGCCGGGCTCGGTGAGGTTCGCGGCGACCTGGTCCCAGCCAAGCGTGCCGGAACCGGAGAGAACGAAGGGTTGTGAGGCGGGGTCGGTGGTCTGGAAGAGCTTGCGCAGGTTGGACAGAACATCGCCGAATGTGCTTACGAATGGGGCGCCGACGTGGGATTCACTGGAGAGGTCAGTATATGCATGACGTAATCTGGACCCTATCGGCGGACGTACCTGTAGTGGCTCATGGACTGGAGCACAGCATCGTCGAACTCAATTGGGCCTGGAATGAGCAGGGCGGGGTGCGGTGGCTGGCTAGACATCTTCTTGGGTGGCTCCTGTTGAATCGCTTCCTCAGGCCGTGGTGGATGTTGTGCTGGATTGCCCTGGTCGTCTTCGAGATGTGCACTGCGCTCGGTGGAGAAGGGCGTGTTGAGCTCGAGGAATGGTCTGGAGTCGAGGTGTCCAGAAAAGAGATTCAGACGAGAGGTTGGGCGTGAGGGAGCCACGGTGACGAATGCGGAGTTAAAGGCCCGGGAATGGGAGCGAGAGGGGTAGAGACGGGAATTCAAGGCTCCCAGGACACGGCGCGGGGCAGCCAGTTTGGCGGTGCGTGAGGGGCAATGCGGCGAATGTTCGGAGTCGGGCGAGATGCGATAGGTCAGAACGGGCGACTGCGATGGAAGTCGTGGCCGGCGGTCGGGATGCTTCGCGGCGATGCCAGAATCGCCAGGTGTCTACGAATTGTCTATCTAGTTGGCGACGAGGGTGAGCGAGCGTTGCCGTGGGGGGTGTCTCTGAGCAAAAGGAGTCGATGGCTGCTCCTGCACGCGTCTGAGGTGCCGCCGAATTTTCCGTAGCGCAAGATGCTGCCAAATGCCGTCCCTTCGACATGCAGTGGGGCTCCGCATTGCCTCCGGGCGCGGGTGCTTGTTGCGAGCACGGAGCCGCGAGGGCACGTGACCGGCGCCAGTCCTCCCAAATGCGACGAGTGCTGATTGGCCGCGCTCTGTTTACGGACTTGCAGGCATGTAAACACGCACCACCACCTCGCTGAGCGGCACCATTGCGCCCGCACCACCGTCTCAACCCTGCGTCCCAGTATTGCTGTCGCTGCATCCGCCGACTGCTAGCTTCGTTGACTCCAAACACATCCGCAATGCGCGTCACGCGAGCGGCGTCGCGCGCGGAGCATGTGCACCACGCCGACGACGACGCCAACGACGCGTCTATCCCGCATGCCGACCAAGACCGCGTTCCATTGGGTGAGGTCTCCGCTAATACCGTCTTCGACCCCGACAACACAGACGCCCCGGCTAAGAAGATAGCAGCAAAGAAGGGGAAAGCTAAGAGCACTGCGAAGAAGGGCGCAAAGGGGAAGAAGGCCAAGACTACGCAAGAGGAGGAAGCCGAGGACGTAGACACGGCGCCAGCTGACGAGGATCAGTCTCAACCCGCAGAGAGACCCGTGAGCGATGCCGGAGTCGATGAGCGAGCAGAGGATGCCACCGCTGGTGCGTGCTCACAACACTTGCGACTCCCCTTAAGATGCGCTGCTAACTGTGGGGTATAGATGCGGCCCAAGCTCCCGTCATCGAGGAGCCGCCTGCGACCTCTCCTTCGCGACCTGTGCGCATGACCCGTCGGCAATTGGCCAAGCAGGAGGAAGACTTCTCCAAGTCGCTTCGAGCGCGCGATCCTCCCGAGCTCGAAGCAGTCGAAGAAGACACAGTTGCCGCTGCGCAGGAAATCTCATCATTCAAAGTACGCGAAGCGCTCAAGGACAAGCCTGAAGAAAATATCGCTCTGTCGTCGCAAGAGCAGACCGAAGCAGGCGAAGAGCAAGTCGTTGAGCCACAAGATGCCGTCCTCGAGCCACCACAGGAATTCACTGAGCAACTCACACAAGTCCAAGAACAACCCGCCACAATCCCTCAAGAGAATGATCAAGATCCTGCAACCCCTACGGTGGAAGAGCAAGCGCTTACGAACGCCGATGTCCCCGAACAAGACGTGGGAACGCCCTCTCTGGAAGTAACTGAGCCTGAGCCCAAAGTTTTAGCATCCGAAAAGCCCGTTGATGAAGCTGCAACCCCAGCAACCAGTGTTACACCCAGCCGAGCCATCTCTCGAAGCTCCACGAGGTCTGCCTCCAGGACACCTATGCGCTTGGAAGAATCGATTAGTGCGATCGACGACCTTGAGGAGGCTCTGGAGAATGTCGGAAGGTCAATGCCATCCTTTGATCAACTGGCCGATGACAAGTCCCCTAGAAAGGCAAGATTCAGCCGAACTGCAAGTCCAGGCAAGCCCCCACGGCAGACGGGTCCACGGACTTCAATGTCTCCCAAGGTCTCAAGGAACCCAAGCTTAGGACCAAGGTCAATGAAGTCGACTGGTCTTTCCAGGGCGTCTAGTGTACGCGCACCTCTCAAAGAAAGAACCGGATCTGGAGAGACCACGGACTATTTGGCGTCAAAACGTAGGCCCATCAGCATGACCTTTGCGCCTCCGCCACCCCCAGCCAAGTCGAACAAAGCACCCACGACCTCAGACTTCCAGCTTCCTGGCGAGAGGATAGCTGCAGAATTGAAGGCCAAGAAAGAAGAACGAGTGAAGCGTATGGCGGAAGTAGGACCGGCGAAAGCGCGACCTATCAGCATGCCCCCACCCCCTAAGTCAACCAAACCACCGACAAAATCAGATTTCCAACTTCCTGGTGAAAGGATAGCAGCAGAGCTTAAAGCGAAGAAGGAGGAACGTCTCAAGCGAATGGCCGAAGGGGATGCATCCGCACCTCGTCAGGTCAGCCTTCCTCCGCCGCCGAAGTCATCGAAACCTCCCACCGTGTAAGTAAACGACTGGGTACACATTGAATGTTTGTTTCTTGCAAAAGGGAAAACTAAACCTATTGAGACATGTACCACCCTCTCCTAACTCACACTGACTTTGTATCCGTACTTTAGGCCAAAATTCCAGCTGCCAGGCGAGAAGTTCGCAGCAGAGATGAAAGCACGGAAGGAGGAGCGCCTCAAGCGCGAGGCAGAGGAGGCCGAAGCTGCAAAGAAGACTGCCTTCAAAGCACGCCCAGCACCGGCACGGAAACCAGTCGCCGCTCCTGTGCGTCAGACCGCAGCAAGTCAGGCCCGAGAACGTATAATGAGCAAAGAGAACACGTCTGGTCCGACTATCCAGCCTCTACAGCGATCAAGCTCCGTCACTACGAACAAGCGTGCCAGCATTGTGCAGGCACGCTCCGTGTCAACGTCGTCATCGAACCGCAACAGCGTCATTGGCAATCCCGGTGCGGCGAAGCTGGCCCCTGCAGATGCTGTAGTGTTCAAGAACAAAGGCCGTGAAGTCTTCAACAGGGACAGGCTTGAGAAAGAGGCACGGGAGAACGAGCGTAGAGAGAAGGAGGAGGCGGCGAAGCGGGCGCGTCTTGAGGCGGCGGAGCGCGGACGTATCGCGAGTCGCGAGTGGGCGAAGAAGCAGCTGGAAAAGAGGCAGGGGGAGGCTAGGCGGGCGAGGGAGACTACGTCGTAGGCACACACTGGGAGTATTTGCGTAAGAGCTGGTGTTTATTCTTGCTGGAAGACTGAGACAGACTTTGGTATATATTTTTGGTTTGGAACCTGGTCAAGCGTTTCTTGGGCTGGCGTTGCTGCGTGTTTGGATACCGCATGGTGCTGGGTGCACTTGAATTACTTTAACCGCACCTTTCTGCGCGGTCTCCTAGCTTCTCTGGTCGCTATTGAGACCCAGGAGTGATAAATTGAATAGTTTGCTCGAATTCTCGCGTAGTCGCAGGATGCTGGTTCGTTCATGTGCGGTCGCGTAATGGTAAGTGTTGGGGCTGACTGATTCATCGTTTGCACAGGCTGTGCGGATGCAATACGCTGGGTAATGCAATACGCCCAAGCATGGCAGATACTGTGTGCAGGTATCGATAGTCACTTTTTGCAGTGGCTTTCGCGTAGTACGAACTTGCAAATGAAATGCATACTCGTCTTTCTATCGGCGCGGTTCAAACGTCATTCTATCTGTTTGGTGGCAAAGTACTGGGTGATTGACTAAAAACCCAGGGCGTGTGATCTGTCCAAGCGCAAACCAAGTGATGATGATGATGCGCGTTTAGAAAAGTAGCTCATATCGTATCACTTTCACCCTCACTTTCCGCCTGCGCTTTCTCTGGGGACGGTTAACGGCAAATGCCCCACTTAAGTTGCGCAACAGCGTCTCTTACCACTAAAAAAGTCTCCTATCTTGACAGAGTGGACCGCAAACCCACAAAGCCAGAAGGTCCCCTCCCTTTTCTAACTGACCGCACCTCCCCCACAAGATTGGCACGGGCAGCTCGGAAGTCACACAAGACATCGCCATGGCGGTCATTGAAAGCGCGCCTGGCGTTCAGGTGCAGGTCGTCGTGGACGGCAACCCGCTCGAAGAATATGACGACCCCGACTCGTCCCGCGCTCCAGATGCCGTAACCGTGTACATCGAACCAATATCAGGGAAGAATTTCGAGATCCGAACCATATTGGACAAGCACCTCCCCACAGGCCATGATGTTTCTGTCTTGGTATCGGTAGATAGTGTCCACGTCACAGGAAAACACATTCCCAGACACAAGATTGAATCGTCTCGTATATCCACCGTCAAGGGTATTATCGATATCATCGGAGGGGCCGCGATTCAGTCTTCCTTTCGCTTTTCAGATGTCCAAACCTGTGAGTAAGAAGGTTGTTTCGGTGTGCGTCACTGACAGCACCTGCAGTCGAGGGCGCCGCCTCCGCTAGGAAAGATGCCTACAAGGTTCTTGGTCAAATCGAGGTCCAACTTCACTTCTCCAAAAATGCAAGGAAATTCTGGAACAGACTTGACAGAATACGATCATCTGGGATTTCTCAAGCGGCGATATCGGCGAAGCATGCTGGCAGGGAGTCACTGTCTCATCGTACAAGGTCAAGCTGTCATCTTCCATTCGTCATGTCAATTTTGATGACTGACCTTTTCTAGCCTGGATGAGCCAACAAAAACCAAATGCTCTTATTGGAAAACGGAGCGTGTTGACGAGAAGGCCTTTTCTACCTTCATCTTCAGGTACCGTTCCGTTCGTAAGTCAATACGGATCTTGAGAAGCTGGGGATGGCAGGATCTAACGATATCAAAGAGTCCCTAAGAAGCCTCCAAGTGATTTCTCGCTCGCCTCCACCGACGAAGGCCCCTGCAATCGAAATGCCGAAGTCGGAGCATATAGACGGAACTTCGTCTGATCGAAGCCCCGACCCAACGTCTCGACCTGCAGACCCCAGTAGGAGCCCCCAAGGCGTATGGAAAGCTCTGTCCGACGAGGACATCAAGGCTCTTCTCAACCACCATACCGGTCAAACAAGCACACGGGATGGCCTGCGTCGTACAGAGCTCGAGGCTCTGTTGAATCACCATAGGGTATGTACATGCAGACTTCTCGATTCAATCCCATTGACTGTATCGCAGTCTACAGACGAGGTAATCGAAAGCGGAACTACCAAGATCAAGCGCGAGCTTGATCAGGGTGTAGATAACGACGATTTCAAAGTGATCGGCGAGAGGAAGAAGAAGCGCAAGGACGTTCCGGGCAAGGACCATAGAATCATCGAGCTGGATTGAGGAGGCTGCAGTTGCTGTGTACATATTTCCTTGGCTAGATGGATATCCTGAGGCACATTCCATCTTTTCATGCCTCTTCTGGGATGAATAGAACATGGAGACCGTGGGACCGATACTGGAGGCGGTGCCACATCACAATGACGTTCCCAGGGCTATCCTGACAAAAATGCTAGACACGAGGGCTTGTTTGATTCTCATACTGTACGAATCTCTGCATACGCGAGATGATGGAAACTATAGTTGCACTCCAGCATTGGCGTTTGCGCATGAGGAACACATACATGTCGGTCAAAGTCTCCAAAGACTCAGGAACCAGGTTTACATATCAGTCGAATCAAGGAACGGTTTCAATCTCGCAATTGTCAGAGCCATATGGGGTAAAGAACCAAGCTATTGATTGAATCGTGCCTGTACATCCACGCCTCCCGGAACACCCACCGTACCGGAACAATCTATCGGTACTTAGACTTCAAGATGAAGTAAAGCTGCTACCAAAGATATCAAGAAGCAAAAATCTCAAGTCACGTACTTAGACGTCTTCACTCCGCGTTGCATTTCAGTGGTCATAAAATTGCCGTCGCTCAGATGTATCCCGTCTTTCTTTACAACAGTATGTCTATCCAAGCCAGATCGAGCACGGTCATCTATAGGGCCAAGACCAAGTTTCTATAATTTCCTCCTGCCTATAACACTTCCCTATTAACCTAAGAACCTATTGTCAGTTATGTAAGGTTGATACGGGCATTAAGGCTATAGAAAGCGCCAAATTAATGCATAGTGCCACCCCTGCTTAGTACATCAGAGAACTACCAGCCAGTCACATACTAATTATAGTACACGCAAGAGCGTGCATTAGCATCCTATTATATCTTGTCTAAGCATTGCTAGTGACTTACGGCACGTCATTTCCAGCTTCCTCAGCTACTAGTCATGTCTGGCGGAACAATGACTTAACAATAACTTACGTCAGAATTCCAGCTATGCCTTGTACGGTCTGGACAACGGTACCTCCATAATGTTTAGCACACTCCATCTTACCTGCCTAGAGAAAACAGCACCTCTGGCTCTTGTACTGTGAGATGGAGAATCCTCCAGGTGTATACAAGAGAGAGTCAAGTCGACCCGTAACATGCTTGAGCTGGAGTTATAAGGTTTGCCCCTTCAAATGAGGCGGCGGGGTAAGCTTGCACAACTCTGAAGGGTTCACCCGCCCCCATCAGCACCGCAGGCGAAAAAATTTGTTCAGCTGATATAACTAACCACTGGTGTGATGACGATGATGATGATAAGGGTGGTGGGACTACGTGTTGCACGGCTCTGTACTCCAAATACCTAAGGCTGGGGTTATCTTGCAGCGAGGCAGAGGCAGATCAGCTGAAGCAATTCTGCAACCTAACGTGCCAATAGCATGGGGGCTGACCCGTACAGAGCTGTGAGACTTTGCTCAGCCCCGTAGACTTACGATATGCTAGGAGCTAGATTAGGCCTCAACCCAACTCCAGATCAAGCATGTCACCGGTCAATTTGACTCTCTCTTATACAAACCTGCAGGATCTACCATCTCACAGTACAAGAGCCAGAGGTGCTGTTTTCTCTGGGCAGGTAAGATGGAGTGTGCAGAGATCTTTACATAGGCACAAAAACTAGACCCGATTCTAAACCTACTCGCTTAATTCGCGGCTTTAACTATGTAACAGACCAGTCTAGGCGCACAGCTAGCCGTATCTAATCCAGTTTCTGTAGGTCTCGTGCTAAGTAATTCCCGCTGTAGAGCTGTTCTATTCAGTTCGAGACCCTAGCTCTAATCTACCCCACCATAGGGTCGCCCGTATCGCGTGCACCCTAGTGGCGATTGGAATTCCGTGCAGCATCCATTCCTCACCTACGCACCAAGAGTTGACCGCCTCCAGGGCAAGGTTATAGCCAGAGCGGGTCGGCCACCTCCCTGTCAGTGGTGGCGAAATCAAGCGTCAAGTTACTTTCATTGCTGTACCTCTTGTATAGAACATTGAATTGGTGACGTGAAATCGACTCATTGAAGCTTAGCTACTTTGCCCCATAACCAAACAACCCATCGTGAGACAGGGGTAGTCAGATGCTGTTCCGAGCGTCCAGGGCGCTACTTGAGCTAGGAGCGCGGTTGCCCACAGGATGTCGCAGGTCTTCTCTGGGCAATGGGAACGTGTGCCCGTGTTGCGAAGCCTCCGTTACTGTGCCACATAAGTCGCGAACACCCTGTTCTCTTACCCAGTGGACAATAGATCTTTTATTTGAACTTTGTCTCGTTATCCATTTGTCTTTTCTAAGTCTCACGGTAATTAGTTAGAGACTAGCTGCGGCTGAGCCTGCGGGGGTGCAAGCGTGGCATGGCTTTGCTTTTTATCAGCTTCGAGACTCTTGAAATTCCCCTCCCCTGCTCAAATTGTCTTCAACGCGCGATATCCAACTACGAGCCTTCACGGCACTGTGAACTTTCCGTCAGCATATTTCTTATATGATCATGACCAAAAGTAACGCCGATCCGTTCTCATACGCAGCTGTGTCCTGGAAATCCGGGGTGCCGAGCTCAGACCCCTGCATCCGCGTTCTTGAGCTTGCTCCAGGAGTGGATTCCATGAACAAAAACCCATCGCAGAGCCCTCTGCACTGCAGTCTCTTCTGGACACCGCTCCAATCCCCAGCAACAGTCCCTTTCAAAGCCCTCTCTTACACATGGGGCACTGGGGGCTTTACGTCCACGTTGTGTATCAATGGACGTGGATTCAAAATCACCAGCTCTTTGGAGCAAGCACTCAGACATCTCCAGCACCCCTCTGAGTACGTCACACTTTGGGTCGACCAGATCTGTATCAACCAGCAAGACAACAAAGAGAAGAGCAAACAGGTTGCTCTTATGGGTGCAATTTATCAAGCTGCCGAAGAAACACTTGTTTGGCTAGGGCCAACGGAGTCCAACTCAACTCTCTTCATGCGTGTGTGGAGAGAAGTGGGAGAAGACGCTGAAGGCTTTGGAATGATGGATTATTACACAACGGACCTGTTTCCTATCTTAACACGCATAACGAACAACATTGATCCGGACGATCCTCAGACTATTGAATTCAATGCGATTCGTCATCGAGCAACCTCAAGATTCACATTAGAATTCTTAAAGGCTATGGTAGAGTGGCACAAGAGGCCGTGGTTCACAAGAGTCTGGGTGGTCCAAGAGTTCAGCCTGACAAGTAAAGCCACCTTTGTCTGTGGTCACCAGAGAATCAGCGCCGAGCAAGCACTTCTTGCTCGCCAGATATTCGATCACTGCACTCGAAATATGTTGGAAAAAGTACATGATGTGGATAGACCCGCACTGTTGAATGCATTTAGCGCTCTGCGGAACAATCCTACGCAAGCATTTTTTGCGACCCGGCAACAGAAAAAAAAATTCGTCGCTGAGAACAATGCTGGTACTACGCTATACCGGTTACTATGTAACCTTCATGTGGACAACAAATTACAAGCAACCGAACCGTGTGATTTCATCTGGGGCATACTAGGATTAGCGGTGGACGCTAAGCAACTTCAAATAAGGCCGGACTATGAGATGAAAGATCGAATAGAACTCATATACACTGAAACAGCAAAGGCCATCATAAAAAAGGACGGCCTGGATCTTATTGCTTTATCTCAATTCCCAAAAGTTATTATGAATCTCCCATCCTGGGTTCCCGATTGGACGGCCAATCCAAGGCAATCATTTGCTGCACCACTGGACGATTGCGTGAATCAATTCACTGCATTCAAAGACAGTCCGTTCAGGCTCCTAAGCGCGACTGATGTCGGGATTCTGGGTCTGACGGGCTTTTATGTCGATAGGATAGAGAGACTTGGGGATGAGTGGCACATTGAGATTACCGAGGTCGAGCACACTTCCTACCAGGAAAAGTGGCTCGCCCTACTAACCGAAGTGGAATATTTGTGCTGGCGTTCCGATATAATGAATCACGACATTTACCCTTCGAATGCGAGACGTGCGGAGGCTAAATGGCGGGTACCAATCGGAGACATTCAGTACACAGAAGTATTTGATCCGACTCGTGCTGACCCCTCTTATGTACAGGCTTACAAAGATTGCATGTTTGAGTTAAATTTCCTCAAGCATGGTGGGTCAATGGGCTCGGATGATTTCCATAGACAGCAAAGAGCATATTATGAGTCCACGACTCGTAACAGGGGAGGACGCTATCGCGTAAGCATGCAAGGGGTCAGAAACAAGCGACCCTTCCTTTCCAACTTAGGATACGTTGGTATGGGCCCGCTGCATATGCGACCGGGGGATCATATTGTTGTCTTCAAAGGGGCGAAGATTCCATACATTGTTCGTCATCTAGAAGATGGGAAGTATTCGCTCGTAGGGGAGTGCTATTGCGACGGAATTATGGACGGGGAGATTGTGGAAAGGCGACATGAAGAGGATTTCTATCTTCTGTAGGACGTTTCAATTGTTTTCTTTTTTAGACTTCAGGGGCTAAACTTACGGGAGGACAGAGCCATTTAACCCGGTCACGACGGACGTGAGCTGTCGAAACTGGGAAGAACGTATGTATACACTCATGATAATAGAGTGGCCTGGCTTCCCTCCATAGTTGTAGTAGAAAGTTATGTAGTTCAATCTTTTTATAACTGTTTCCTATCATTCTGGCTATAGTTTTTGACAAGAATAAAAAAATTACGGGACGGCGTTCTAAGTAACTGTTCCTAATTAAGTCTCACACGTTCTATACCATGAAATAAACTGCCTTGGCCCTTATTATAAACATGGCCAGATTAGAGTACAACTGTGACGATTTTAGGACCGTAGGTATCGTGCAATGGAAAATATTGAAGGTTCACTGAAGTTGTATTACTGTGATTCTAACTGAACTATATAGCCGTAGTGAGGCGATCGTCAGGGGAGTTAGCCTATTCGGAGTTTCCTGATTCAGTAGCTGAATTATAACGATTGTCGCGATCCTCAGGAGTCCATGAGGACTCGGTCCGAATACGATCGATAGTAACGTAGATTGAACTGCGACAACAACTCTAGGATTTAATGTCCTAAACAAATAATCTCTGCATAGGAGATATAATATTAATGCGCCAAGGAATTAAAGTAATAATCTCACACTCCTGTTATTCGGGCGAGGCGTTTGCTCTGGATCATCTCGCAGGTCTCATTCCTCAAAGAAAAGGTCCTCCACAACTGCTCCAAGGCTCTTAGCCCCTTGCCTGCGGTGATATGTAGACTTTCGAAACTCAATACTTCCCAATGAGAAAATCTAAGCTAGTGTGAGTGCAAACTAGGCTTAGTTTAGGCATGCTTATGTGTGATATATAACAGGAATTGAAGTGAACTGGCACAGACAGATTGCCACCACAGCCGGGAGGGCGGCCGACCCGCTCTGGCCATGACCTTGCCATGAACGTCCGCACTGGATGGCATTGCGAAGAGATAGAAGGTCATCATTGATGATAGGACGGCATGTAGCCTTAGGTAGCGTAGTATCTTACTAAGTATAGCTACTGTCACATCTCTGCTCTACCTTACCCAGCGCTCATACGTATTGACGATCCAAATTCCTTATCACCCTTAGAGATCTAACTAAAGCACCTTACTACGCCCCTCATAATTGCAGTGCCTATGTAAGGAGCCATTTGTTGTATAACCGTACGACAGCTGTATCGCTAAGATATGTAGACCCTTTCCCCCTTTGAGCGTGCGTGCAACGACGACGTCTTTCTAGTAGCACTCAATCTGCTTGCCGAAGCCTAGACTCGGATCTTGGTATTCTGTATTATGCCAGCTAGGCTCTATCTCCTTGTGTGAGACCTACCTATCCTGTTCTTAAGGCGCCACCTAACTTACGATTTTCTCCTTCAACAAGCTGAAGCGATATCTGGCCATTGTTTAGTATATGTATTGATTACGATATGCTCGAGAAGTACGAGGACGTGGTGGGTTAGACGAGGGATTAATGGCGGGTCTACAGAGCTAGAGGGTGGCGCGATGGCCTATCTCCATGGCACGTAAACTTTTTCATTAGCTATAGTCATGCATTACACTGCGTCTCGAAGTTGCACGATGGCTCTATTAGAAGCTGATTATGGTTTCGATGCTGGGTGTATTCATTAACATGAGCCATGCGCTAGGGCCTTCAAACCTATACTCTTAATCTGAGCTGGCTTTCGGGTGTCCTAGAGCGCATGAAACATCATCTTTCCCTATACCAACCGGTGTAGAGTAGAAGGTGCGAGCACTCTAAGTTAATACTTAGATCGAAATAAACTGAACTTCTACTAGCGCGTAGAGTCTCTCACAAACGCTTCAGTAGAGAATTTTGTTCCGGTACGTAGGGTGTTCCCGCAGACGTGGATGCACATTACGCGAGATGATGGAAACTATAACTAGTTGCACTCCAGCATTGGCGTTTGCGCATGAGGAACATATACATGTCGGTCAAAGTCTCCAAAGACTCAGGAACCAGGTTTACGTATCAGTCGAATCAAAGAACGGTTTCAAGCTCGCAATTGTCAGAGCCATATGGGGTAAAGAACCATGCTATTGATTGAATCGTGCAAGGCCTATCTCAGCAAGTTGTTCCAAGCGACAACGAAGATCTCTTTAAAAATGACAGGAAGAAGCGAAAACATGTTGGTGTATGTTACAGAAAATTGGTACTGGGCAAGTGTTGTGCTCCCCCAGGGTTGTGGTCTTCCGGGACCAGTTTACTCGTCGTACTCGTCACGCTTGCCGATGGGCTGACCTGGGAGACGCTTGAATCCGGATCCCCAAGCTTCGGCCTCACGCTTGCCAATGGGTTGTCCAGGGAGACGCTTGAAGCCAGAGCCCCAAGCTTCAGCCTCGGGTTCGGCCTCGGCCTCGCGCTTTCCAATGGGTTGTCCTGGAAGCCGCCTGAATCCGGATCCCCATGCTTCAGCTTCGCGTTTGCCGATCGGTTGTCCAGGAAGGCGCTTGAAGCCAGAGCCCCAAGGCTCAGCCTCGGCTTCGGCGTCGCGTTTGCCGATGGGCTGACCTGGGAGACGCTTGAATCCAGAGTTCCAGCCTGCCTCGGCCTCAGCAACGGGGGCGGCCACCGCGACGGCGGACGCGATGGCAGCAAGTGCCAGAATGGTAGTAGGGAAACGCATTTTGAGCGACTTCGAATGAGTGTCTTTTCAAGCCCTCAGATGAAGAAATGAGAGTTGGTGGCGGGTGATCGACATGGACCGGCTCGCATGGCATCTTATATACAGTAGGGCGAAAATTATGACAGAGCCTCAATAGATCTCGGGCACCAAGCGGAACAGGCGTCATTGCCTGGCTCTATTGCATGTTGTGAGCTGTTTTGCGAAATGTTTGGTTGACGCCCTATTGAGGTGCGTTTTGGGAGGTGAATGGGGTATTGTGTTTGTCTTGAGCGACTTGGCGTACTTCGCTATTCAGACACATTTTGGGTGGATGTCGCCTCGACACATCAAAGGAAATGGGCTTCGATAATGTTTTGGAAGTAATTGTTTTCGTCCGCCAAGGGATTATGCCGCACGAGAGCCTGTCACATGGGGTTGCCGTTCGCGATTCCAGAAGTTCTAGTGTTGCAAGCGCACTAGCCATGGTGGAGATGAAATGGCAAACCGGTCTTTGTGGAGGTATGCCATTGCTCGGCCTTAGCGCAGGAAGGTCAAATCCTCAATACGTCTGAGTGTTGTTTCCGTAAAATGCTACGCAAGGTACCATGTAAGGATGGGGTCTTACAGCTATACGCATGCTGAGTATAGTTACGCTCTGCAATGACAGACTCCCATACGTCAACTCGTAACACAGATACGAATGTAACCAACGATATGATGATGGCTCTAGGCGCATTGCCGACTCCATGGCACTGGGAGGCGTCAATCAATGGCGTTTTGTCGCCATGTGGCCCAGTAGCTGAGACGTTCGAGAATGTCTTGGAAGAAGTGGAAAACGTTGCGACACCGGATACGCGGAATTTGTAATGGAATAATAGGCGACTCGAGGTCACGCTCCATCGTGAATTTGACGTCTAGAGCGTGTATAACTGACAGGCTGCTCCGCGGACCGCTGAGGGTCCTGTCGCATGACCGTGAGTGAGCTAGCTATCATTGCCCAAATCAGGTGGGCGTGGCGATTAGTTCAATATTGACTGTCAAGGCTTATACCTGAAGATAAAAAGAGTCAGTGTACGCTCTGGAGCGGAACCGGGGTACTGATCGACTGTTGATGGAGATGATAAGAGTGCCAATTTAAGACGCCCGCGCAGCTATAAGTGAGATGCGGAACATTTGAATAGAAGCAAATGCATGCGTGCTTGTTGAGCCAACGTACTTGTTGAAGTCCGCAAGGTCGTCGTTAGGCTTATTTTATAGGTACTGTTAGCAGCGCCTCGTGCGAAACAATGTGTTTCAACGGAACATGATCATCTGAGTGTCCATAGAGCTGATCATATTGCAGCGCATCGATGGCTGAGTTCTCTCCGGGTTAGTAGAGTGAGAGTTGTGGCATTCATCTGGCAGACTTGTAGGTACGATATCTACCAAATCGAGCGGCTCCCTTGGGTCTCAGGGATACCTTCGTCTGCCCCCGCCTGTTCAGCCTGATGAAAGCGATTTGGGGTCGTAAACAGCACATATCCTGGTGATCCAGTAGCCCTTGCTCTTTGCGGAAGACACGGTCGTTCAGATCCCCCAAGCTCTTGAGTAATATGGAAAGCGCAGCAACTCGCGTGCATCAAGAGATCGTGCGCTTCAAGCGGGAGGTAGTGGGTAACGACTTACAGGGCCATTTGTGCCCGCATTGCAACCTCGCCACGTCTCTTGGCGGGGTTATGGAGAAGGAGTTCCACCATCTTCGCAGTAGTCTTGTTAATTGAGGTTTTCAAGGGGAGCGAATCATGAAATCGAGTTCGCTGTCACTCCCGCAGAGTTCGTTCGTGTACTCATTTGATACACGTCCATGAACGACTTTAAGCCTAGGAGCGTGGACGCAGAGATAGCCTTAATTCTCCCCGCGAGACTACCCTTCCCGAGGTTTGAAGCGGACCTTCACTTGGTGAAACGTTGGGCTTCTTTTGGGCTAAATCAGCTCCATGTGAGAGCTCTTATCCATATTGCCCAAAGGGGACTTGTGTGCGATCACCGATCAACTTGAAGTCGGGAAGCACTTTAAGCGATGGACATGTACCGAAATTGGTTACAATAGCGCACCGCCGCTCACGATTGTGGAATTGACGATTTGCCAGTTTCATTACCTTCATTGGCTCTTGATGTATCCGACAAGCACTGAGCCAGATTAGTACAAGTCGCTGCACAGTTAAAAGAGCGGTATTTCGCCTTGTCATCCTGCTGGGGAATAGATGCGGAAACGGATCATGCTGACGCGGTGTAACGAAATTGATCTCCTCTGTGAAATTAGCCCGCAGGAACTAGATCCCACCAGCAAAGATAGTATCACAATTGCAAGGGAACTTGGATTTCGGTTGCTCTGGATCGATGCACTGTGCACCTATCAAGATGATGAGAAATGGAAGGTGAAAGAATTAGGTGATATTGGCAAGATTTATCGAAATGCAACACTCACCATTATATTTTCTGCGGCAAGGAATGTCGAGGAATGGATGTTGCACCGCATAAGCTCGACCCTGGGCCGAGTTGGCCTTGTCGATGGGCAACCTCGACTGGTCTTCAGTTTTCGAGTAGCAGAGGATAGATGAGGGATATGAGGAACATCTCGTCATACTCAGGCCGCATATCCTAGACGAGATTGAATATGAAGTTTCGGGTGCATCTCGGAAGATGTGAACCTGGAAATAGCAATCGTGAAGAAGACTTGCAATCATATGCCTGGTATCTAGAAATGCGAACTTGTGGACGAGGGTGAGGTATAAAGTGTGAGGAGCACTTACTAAGCAGCACATTCTGCCGCGCCGTACCGCCCTAGGTTGACCGCGTAGCTCGCCCCACGCATCTCTCCGCAGCCATCTGGACCCAAAACCCCGGTTTCCTAGCAGTCGTATACTCGGCTTGTAATCTTGAACTCACTCTCCTTCAATTCCTTCTAAGCGCCGCGCATACTCAGCGGGGCCGCCGCAATGGCTTCGCGACTCGTCCTCGTTCTAGGCGACCTCTTCATACCAGACAGAGCTCCAGTAAGCTCGCCCGCATGCGCGCGCATGTCGCTAGACCTCACAAGCTCACAGGATGCATAGGACATACCCGCCAAGGTACGCTGAAGACCTCCTCCACCTACATAGCCATGATATAGACCTGCAATCCCGCGCCGCGCCGACGACCACACGCTGATAGCTCCACCCGCAGTTCAAGAAGCTCCTCGCGCCCGGAAAGATAGGCCAGATCCTCTGCCTCGGCAACATTACCGACAAAGAGACGTACGAGTTCCTCCGCGCCATCGCGCCGGACTTGCAAATCGTTAAGGGCGACTTCGATGTCGAGGCGCCCAACCTCGCCCTTTCAAAAGTAGTCACACATGGCAGCCTGCGCATAGGCTTCACGCACGGGCACACGATAGTGCCGCCGGGAGATGGCGACAGTCTACTCATAGCGGCGCGGCAGATGGACGTGGATATTCTCCTGTGGGGCGGCACGCATAAGTTCGAGGCATATGAGATGGAGGGCAAATTCTTCGTGAATCCGGGGAGCGCGACGGGTGCCATGACGACGGGGTGGTGGGAGGGCGAGGAGGAGCCCGTGCCGAGCTTCGTGCTGATGGATGTGGGTGTCCCGAGTGCTGAGAAGTGGCATTACTGACAGCGGAGCAGGTGCAAGGGGACGTCCTCGTGCTGTACGTGTACCAGCTGCGCACAGATGCCAATGGTGCGGAGAACGTTGCGGTGGAGAAGGTCTCGTTCCGCAAGAATGGCGGTGGGGTGTCATGATCGTTTACTAGATCGAGCTTCTTGCGGCTCTGGCTGTGCATAGCACATGTATGCTGCACGGGAAGGAATGATGAACTGATGGTCAACTTCGTCAGTTGTGAAGGCGGTTCACAGGGATTCCGGCGGCTAGAAGCAGCATCTATGCGGAACGATACCGCATGTTTGCGTTTCATCTAATTACCAAGTTACACAACTCGGTTGCGGCTGATATCTACTGGGATCTGGTGAGCATGACATGACATCGGAGGGCCTGTCACGAGTATGCACGACGCCGAAATGGCTCAATTCCTCGTGGACATGCTCGTCCCGCTCCTTTACCCCACATTCTTTCCGTCTTATGCGCATGAGTTGTGCAATCCGCCGGGGAGGCTCTGTTACACAGTCATCAGGCTCGCCTTGCACCACATCCACGGCCCAAGGCAAAACGTCGGCCTACCTATCCTGGGTATGACAGATTCCAAGCTAGGTCCTCCGAGCTAGCACAGCCTTTACAGCCTCGTTCACCTTTTCGAAGACTCCAGGCTGCGTGGCGATCATGCCATAATTGTTGTCGCCCAATATGCGCCTCCCATGAGAGAAATCTATAGATCCCCCATCAATGTCCTGAATGATGCCCCCTACTTCCTGAAACAGAAGCTGCCCGCCAGCATGATCCCAGACATGCGTGTACCTGGCCTTGTCTAGAGGCAATCGCAGCATAACATCTGTTGCACCCAGCGTCAGGGCAATATACTTCATCTGTTGGCTCCAGATGACTGTGCCAGGCCACTTCGCACCAACTTCTTCGGCGACAGCCTTGTGCTCGGCCTGTGACAGGGACGTCGAGCCGAGTGCGCTTTCGATCAAGTCTAGGTCTTTGATTTCCTTGCCGCCAGTGCTTGACCGGACTTCGATCTTGCAGGGCTCTCCGAGGCCGTCGCTAAGCATAGTTCGGACGGACGTGCCCTCGCCCCGGATGGCAGAAAGGATGACCCCGAAGCCGGACTCGTCCACAAGCTCCTCATGCACTTTGACATTGACCGGATTCTGAGGGTTCACACGTAGGTTGGGGCACCCAATTGCAGTCACCTGCTGCACGCCGTCCACGAGCAAACACAGACAGACTGCATACTGATTCCCCGTCATAAACGTCGCGGTGCCATCCACGGGGTCCATGACCCAGACGCGCCCCTTCAACTGCGCGTTAGTGCCGCGGTCAATAACATCCAGCATCTCCTCCTTTGTGGCGGGAAACACCAGACGCGCATGAGCGTTCTCGCGCTGCTGCACGTCGCTGAATTGGGCCTGTTGCACGAGCTGCCAAACGCGTTCTGCGAGGCCTTCATTCTTCCTGAGCTGATCGGCGCTCTCTTCGCCAAGAAAGGCGTCGGCTGGGTACACAGCGTGCAGGGCGGAGATGATGAGGGCTTGGGCCGCAAAGTCGGCGATGGTGACGGGTGAGTCGTCGGCTTTCGTCTCGGCTGAGACGCTGTTTTTCAGGGACCGCAGCACCGACTTCGTGAGGACCGACGCGGCATGCACCACGCGCAATGCATGCGCAAGCTCTTCACGGTACGGCGTGTCTGCAGACATTGCGAGTTTGGCGGCTGGCGCGGGGCGAGCAGAGATGGAAGCGTGTTAGCTGGTATCGTGACCTTGAGCTAGGGTTCTCAATTGATGCAGTTGGTGTGAGGTGACTTTTTGGTTTGCATCGGTAACCGAGCTTTGGTGTTGAAGCCATTGTCGGAGCGGGAAGGCCCGACCCTGATGCACCTGCCAGCAGTTCATTCTCCACATCTCTCCGAGCGACGAGTGCTGTGGGACATCACCACACCTTGTCGGCGGAGAGCCTGTTTTATGATGCTGCCATGGGATGTCGGAGTCCGAGTGGAGTCTACTTGCACCAAGGGCGTCTCCGCATCCAACACTGGCGGAGGATACTCATTTGTCGCCATCACCCGTGGCGAATCAGACCGACAACACAAAGTTACCGAGCGATCCCGTCGTCAACGGGCCGACTCGGGAGACAGACAAAAGCAATGGAGCTGCCTCGCCTCAGGCTGGCCCGAGCACAGTTCACGATTGATTGCCCATGTTACACGGCATCGCCAAAGCCTCCGGGCGCTTGCATTCACGGCGGAGGACTGCGGCGCGGGCGCATATGTGCTATTGTTCAATATCCAAGCCGTGCTCGACGACCCCTTTGCAGTAAGAAGGCACTGTAGAGGCATACTGCGGGCGGCACGCAACACAGCCCCAGTATTGAACATTCCGCGTTGCTATGGGGTCTTCCAAGTCGTGCTTACGACTCTTTCCCCGCACCATGGAAGCTCGTCCTCGGAATACGGCATCGCGACATCCCGCACGGATCGCAGTTACGAGAGGCTCCTCCAATCCTTGAGGTTCCTCTGCGTGCACTATATTAATTGAAGCGTGTATGCATGTTTGAAGCATGCAAGATGCTGTCGCTGTGGGATAGCACTGTATCCCGCTCCTCTGGATAGTGCTACGATATCAGCGCTAATTCGGACACGGGCTCAAGAACGAGGCTGGCCTGAGGTTTCGCAAAGATTGTTTGTCGACGCTCTGTCCTCCTGCTGGCGCTGGCCTCCGCATAGGGGCGAGATGTAAATGTGGGGAAGGCAAGCCTCCGGACCCCATTATTGATATGCTCCGCCCTTCATTGGCCCACGACTCGCGCAGGACATAACAAGTCTCTAGGCGTCACACAACGACTCCTCTGGTGCGTCTACGGTGCAATCAGCGTACTAGACGGCAGTCTCCGCAAAAGAGGGGTAGGCAGCACGCTGAGATAAGGCATATTGCACGTCATGTTCCTGCGCATCCAAGGCCAGTTCTAGCTCTCCACCACAGCTGCTGGGAACTCTGGAAAAGGCAGCGTGGGGGTCAGCAATGAGTGGTCTGTGCCACCGTGCAGGAAGAGTCCGACTGCCATTCGCCAGCGATATGCAAGTCACTTGAGGGGCGTCCTTCCCCAGAGCAACCTGCAGCATTGGCATGGGCTGCGACTATAGCGAGCTGGCATGCTCTCATTTCGCTTGTTCGATGCAGAATCGCGTCTTGCGCCAGAATCCACCGTATCCACCACAGCGCTCGGCCCTGGGCGATACGGGAACGAACAGTGGTTCTGTGCGCTGCCAATAGTTGCTCGGGCCAGCTGCAAAAAGAGGTCGCTTGCCAGGCTCCAGATTTGATGTCGTCTGTCCCGAAAGAGGGAACAGCTCGGCTGGAGAGCTGCTGGGTCCGAAGCGAGCCACTGAGCGCGTCCGTATGCTATGCATTCACTCTTGCAACTCGAGGGGGACCGACTGCAAGTGCCTCTTCGGTGCAGAGATACCCAGTAGCCACGCTATATGTTGCTCTGTTGACTGATAGCACGAAAGGAGACAGCTACGATCGCCACGGGTGCCGCGGGTATCTGGTATATGATAGCTCGCGAATAACACGCAAATAACACCCGCACGCCGGATGGCGTATGGAGACGGCCGTGGAGCTAGATAACGTCGCTTGTGGTGCACGATACAGTTCGCGGCCTTGCTGGTTCGGGTTACGACAGTCATGTGGGCCTGGTGAGGGTGTTCGCGAAGATACCTTCTGGTGATGCATGACACTAAGCGCACGAGGCGGGAACCGCGCATCACTCAGCAGAGCGCACCGCGCCTGATGATGATGATGGGAATGTGTCTTTTGGCGTTAGTCTGGTGAGAGTCGGACTTGGTACGTACCCTTTTGGCGCAGCTGCAGGGCTGACACCGTGTAGCACAGTACAGTAATCAGAGCGCGAGCCCCTGCGCTCAGCGCTTGGTGGCATGGCGTGGGCAGTGTACGGCGATTGGCCTCAGGAATGGGGCAGCGGTGGCGACGCTCTTCTCGGTGGAGCGTTGCCTGGTGGTCGCATTGCGTGTGTGGTTTGGCTGCCCACTCAGCTGTCTCTTCTCGGACACGGCAGCAGCGGGGCCTTTGGAATTGCGCAAGTGCAAGCTATCGGTTTGGTGCTCATGACCGATGAAACCAATGCCTTGCTCCCTTTCTCGTTCGGGTCACTCGCCATGGCAGCTAGGCTCGTACCTACATTGGCCATGGTGTCATCTGCAATTGTGTCCGGCGCAGGGCAGGCCTGGTGACTAGTGGCGCGCTTCCTGCTTCCCTCCTGGACATCTTGTCACGATGGGCAAGGCGTGAGGCCGCGCAGCTGGCGGGGCCTGTCCTGTGTCACAAGGAAAGTCTCCTCGTCGTCGATCGGCTGATGCTGCCATGACGGTCCCCCCACGGCGCGCTGGGCAACATTCTGCCGCCCGTCTGCACGGTGCATCGCAGTCGCAGTCGCAGTCGCAGCCACTCTGCGGGCGAATGGGCAGCCAGCACTTGGCGGCCTCCCGGTGGGCAGACCAAGAGCAGCGCGGGCGGCAGGCGAAGGGCTGGCGCTGGCTCGTTCACCGGCAGCGAGCGCGCGTTCGACAGACTGCACGCTGCACAGCGATGCGTCTGTTGGAGAGCGTAGCGCGGGTACAGCAAAAGGCGGCGCTCGGGGCACCCTGCGCTCCAGTGCGGAGATCCTGGCACACCTGCATCCTGCTCGAACAGGGCCTGTCCTGGTCCTCGCACTGATAGGCCCACTTCCAGCTCTGTGTGCCTGAGGGTCCGGCATAAAACTATCTCCATCGCCCGCTCCCGTTCTCCACCGAGCGACACTTCATCCGTGCATCCTCCCGCTGAGCTCTTTATATGCTCTGACTCCTGCTTAAAATCTCTCATCCACACCCGGAACAGTCACCGTCAACCCACATTCAATCTCACCCAAGCGCCCTGCCGCCTGACCACAGCCTGCCAGCCGCCGTATAAGTACAGCCGGCCTCTGCGTTAATCACGCAACCACCTCAGCACCTCACAAATCTCACAAATGGCTTCCAACATGGAGTGGTCTCCCGACTTCTGCCTCTCCTGCGACCGGCAAATAGCTGAGGGCGGCGCCTACTGCTCGCAAGCATGCCGTCTAGCAGACCTCGAGAAGGCCAAATCCCCCTCACAGCTGTCGTCGTCAGCCTCGTCGACGGGCTCGTCGACAAACGGCTTCTACCTTCCGCCCGCCGTCAACTTTTCCGCGTATAAGACACCCTCACCTTCCCGCGGCTTCGATACATACCACTATTACCCCACCAACAACGGCTCATATTTTGCTCCCGCAGCGTCAGCGTCCCAATCGTCACAGCAGCAACGCAGCCTCACGCCCTCGTCGTCAAGGTCCTCACTGGCGTCCGCCCACTCGCAGACGACGACGGGCATCTCCGCACAGGCGGCGAGCCAGCTGAACTACTACGCCCGCAACTTCGACCAGGTCCGCGAGATCAAGAGGAGGATGACCTAAGCGGGACCGTCAATTCACTCTACGCTCGCACGACTTTCTCCTATCTACTCATCTCTCACGACAACGAACTCTACTCACCCTTCTCTGGACGGCGACCTACCTCACGGTGATCCCTCCAACTAAACTCTGCATATCCATCTTCCCTCATTTCACTGTTACGACTCGGCATATCCACATCGGCGCCTGAACTACGCTGGAACCCGGCATTTCCTGCTTTTTACTCTCGGCGTTCTGCGACAGACCTCAGCACATCGGCCACGGCCATGTATGCAGCACAGCATCACCAAACATGACTGTTTCCCTTTGGGTGCGGCGTTTGCGTTTCTCATTTGTTCATCTATCAATCTGCATACCCACGCAGTGTACCAAAAGCATTATTCCCGGTGTCACCTTTTTTCAATTTTCAATCTCTTTGTTTGCGGCGGCTCGCGGCCCTTTTCTCGGCGCGCAATGTGCAAGTGCAATGCAAGGCAAATAGGAGGATAGTATGGAGTTGTCTGGCCTCTGTGTTATTAAGCGTGTGGGATAGTGCGTCCGAGTCTCAGGGTCTCGTCCGGCGGTGCGGTGGCTGTATGTAAACGACGCTTCGTGGGCCGGTCTGCGGGCGACGGACAGCACTCCGACACGGCGCAATGGACTCGACTGACTGCTTGAAATTTTCCTTCTGTCTAGTTTGTACGGATGGATGGGGTTGACGGGTCGGTCAACAAGCGACGGCGTTGTCCCCTACTTTCCATATGCACTCCATACCCCATACCTAGCCCGCCCCTCAGGTAGTCTTCTTCGCCACGGCGGAAATTCAAGGCCCGGCCATGACTGTAGTCATGGCAAACCACCACGTCTAGCTCCTCGATCGTCTGCGCTCTCGTGACACAGTGACGTGCGTATTACGGCACTGCGCGACCCCGAAGCCTCCGCATGTCATGGTGTCAAACGGTAGTGTTTGCACGGCGGATTCACGATTCGAAACGGCCTCGTACACTACGCTGGGCGTGGGAAGGGGCCCGCGAAAGGTCTTCCGCTCCCCTGCCGTCCGCAGCTAATCTATGCAGGTGTCGCAATGGCGATAACGCAGGCAATCTTGACGCACTTCAGGGTGCCCGTGTCGCAGGGCCCAGGCCCGCAGACGTTTGCGAGGGCGGGCGCTCGCGCAAAGGCGTCAACTGTGGCGTCTCCAGACTGCTCTGCTGCGACGCTCGCTACCCAAAGGGGCCAAATCTGGCGCACGCACCGGTGCGGCGCAGGGCGTCAGACCCTTCTTCTGGCTGGGTGTTGAGCCGAGCGCAGAGTTTTCAGCAGCGTCTGGCCCTCAACGGTCAAGCAGGGCGCGAGGTGGTGTGGTGAGGGCGGCATGCAAGACATTGGGGGGCAAATTGTGGTCGCAGCAGACTGATAGGCAACTGCTCAACGGAAACGAGGGCGCATCAGTGACTGCGACCGACGCCGGCTGCATGGCCCGCCGCCAGCAAACGGGAGCCCTCTACGGCGGGCTCGTGGTGCAGCACGCCCCTGTGCGCGTTCGTCTTTGCTGCTGCGCCTGCGCTCTGCTGCATTGGCTGCGTGCGCTCTCGTGCAGCGTGTGCGACGCCATGAGAGAGGCCATTCGTCGTCGAGTGCATGGGCTCCAGAAGAATCCTTCGCGACCCATGGCCTTCCCCGCACCAGAGAACGGGCCGAAACGAATGACGAGGGGCCGCGGAGCAGGGTGCAAGCAAGCGACCGCCCGATGCACACAAGCAGCAGAAGCAACGCACGCGCGGTGCCTCTCGACACTGCGGCATTTGTGAGGGGATCGTCGCGACGTTGCTGGTGATGCTCGCTGATGCTCGCCCGCCACAACACCACGTTTCGCGTCCCCACACGGTGGCGTGTATCGTGGCCGCTGGGCGACTGCGCATCCCTGGGTCGCAGCGGAAGAGTTTTCTGTGACTCTGATGCCAGGTCAGACAGCTCCACCGCGTCGCCAGCATCATGCCCGGCTTCGTCCGCAATTAGAGCAGCTGGTGACAGCACGCCAGCGTCGCTTAGCTCAGCATGGGCCCTCGGAGCTCGCGGTCGGAGACGTATCGAGCTCCGCGAGCACACCCGACTCACACAAGCAGCCCAGCTCGGAACCCGACCAAGGCATGGTACCAGAGGCCACCACGTCCAAGCCTGATTCCATCAGGTCACCCCTTGGCGCCGGACTCGACGCCAAGTGCTGTGCGACAAAGCACCGGCAACTTGATCACAATCGTCTCCACGCACCTCTGGCCATGCTGGCGTGATGCGCAGCGCGTCTGGTGCAAAGTGAGGTGCTCAGTCCGCTGGCACGGCATTTGGACGACTGGTCTCTCCGAGATCGCGCCATCAGAGACGCTGACAGCGATCCGCAGGCGGTCCGCTCCACAGAGAATAGGGGACAAGAAGGGCCGACGAGCGGGTCTGCCCGTCACTTGCCATTCCACTTGCAATTCAACCCGGGCCAGGGTCCGCTACTCACGGCTGGTGCCCAGCACACGTGTTCGTGCTTCACACCGGACCTGGGACATCGACCACAATCTCCAGCGTTGGCGTCACTGTCTGCGAGCACCGTGGCACGAGAAAATTTTCACGGAACACGTCAGAGGCGTTGAGGCTCTGCACGCTCTGTGCGGCTGCACGGATCCTTCTTCAGCTGAGTCAATCTTCAGCACTGGCCGAGCGTTGCGGGCGCCCGTATGGGGCAATTCGCGCTCCGGTCGCGCTTCATCCTTCTTCTAAAAACGTGTGTGGATCCAACATGCGCTTGTCCGATGCATCAGCTTTGCATGCTAAGCGATCGGGGCATCGGCTGTGTTGTTTGCAACAAGGGACCCCCTTCCCGCCCATATGCATTGAAGCAACTGGTACCGCCATGGCGGTGCCGTTGCCATTGAGCGTGCACCTTGCTGCCTGCAGTGTGCTGATCCTCTCCGGAGCATGCCATGTGCAACGAGCATCACTATCGAACCGTGCCGGCTGTACAGGAGCAGCAATTGGGAAGCGGCTGGCAATATAACATCATTGTAATGCTCTTGTACATTATCGGAGCATTGTATCGTCATCGGCGGTCGAGAGCCCCTAGATGGCCTAGTCGGCGCCATTCTATTGGCCAGTTCTCGATCCTCCCGTCCGATCGATGCTCCCGCAGGCTGCAGGAACGGAAACGTCAGGTCGTAGGAATTGCTTCTTCAGCGATCGGACCGTGTGCCGGATCGCCAGGTTTCGACCCTTTGTAGAGAATGACAGTGGCTCAATGTGACTCGATAACATGCGCAGAGACCCGAGGACGTGCGGATTGACAGGTGTGGCAGGAGGTAAGTGCTGGCCTAACAGGGTCTGTGTTGGCATTACACTTCGAAGTCGTTCGCTTCTTGGCTGGTTACTGGTAGTTCTTGGGGGCTGAGTATTGATTCGGGCAGAGTCATCACAATGCATGGGTTTGGTTTGTTATTTGACGCGAAGGAAGTCGATGGCGAAGCGAGAGAGGCAGATCTGACTGGTGGATGTCAGATCGCAGAGGAAAGCACGAGTCAACACAAGTGGCTTCCCTCAATTCGGGCACGTACGAGGCAAGCATGACAAGGGGCAAGCGCAAAATGCCTGCAGATATTGGTGGCTGGAGGAAGAGACGGCTCTGTCCTCTTCTGAGCTATCCTTTGCGACAGATATGAGCGGTACAGATATGATCATCACACATACCGCGTGAAAGGCACGGAATGAGGTTCCCGCAATGCCAAAGACATTGACAACTAACAAATGATCTAGGCGAACGACTCGAGTCCTCGTTCCATCCTGTCATGTTTACACACGGCCGTCGTCCAACGATCAATCAGCCTCGTGGCTGAAACACCGCGTAGATTTCCATCCGACGGGTAGCATGTCCGATTCCACGCCTGGACAGATGATTTTACTGCACATCCACATTAGCCTTTCCGTACTGCCACAGCATGATACTGGCCGAAAGGATCGACACTTACTTCTTGAACACAAGCGGGAGCCCCTCCGGATTATCCAAAGGCATGCCTGTCTGGTCCGCGCAGTCGTCTGAATGGAAGACCATGCAGTGTCCCCCTCTATCGGGGCCGATCACGTAGATGGAGCTGTCGGGCGCCCTCTCGGTTCCGACTACTTTCTGCAACAAATCGTCTTTCTTGACGCACTTCGTTCCTTGCTCGGCGCTGTACCACTCGCCATGGTAAGATACGTGGAGACCGTCTTTGCCGATCTGAGCCTCTATGTATACGCCGCCAGGCTCGCCGGTGTCGGGGCAGGTTCGGGCGTTGTGAGGCTCCGCGCTAGGACTCCTCCACCTCCGCTGGACTGTGCCCGACAGAGAGACAAAGGTGAGGCTCGAGCCAAGGATGATGTAGGTGAGGGCGCGCATCGTAGTGCTCGTGGTGTGGTATGTATGAGCTGGGAGATTATGTTGAACTGACGTATCGCGCTCGTAGGTGGACTTGGAGAGTATTGTGGTGTGGATGCATCGGACGCGGTGCGCTTGCCGGTATTTGTAGGTGGCCACGTATTGGAAGTGCTGGCGCTGGTTGAATGCTGGAGGAGAGAAGTCGATGAGGACATATTAGGTGAAGTGTACAAGAATATCACAGAAACATGCCTGCCGCCAGCTGACAGCTCAAAAATAGACCTGCATAGGTTAAACGTAGTGAAGGTGGCGTGGGTTGAAGGATGGACACTGTGGCTAAGCTATGCCTTTACACACTGTTAATGATAATTGTGACTCTTTGTTCATATACCAGTCCACAGGTCGATGAGTGACTAACTTAAACAAAGCAAACAAAGACTACACAGCGTTGCTGATAGACAAGTCTCTGGCCGAGATCGAGCCTCAACTCAGACACGTGTCATATTCCTTCTAGCCATTCACTATACCATCAATTCACCTCTGGGCCATGGCTAGAACACCTCATGGATTTCCAGTCGGACAACATCTCGCTACCCACGCCTGGCCAAATAATTTTACTAACATATTAGTTTTCAATTTCTTCAGACTTCAGCGCCATCATCTTTGTACTTACTTCTTATGCTTGAGCCCGACATAATTCGGATCCAGGAGATCCATGCCCGATTTTTGGCCACAGTCCTCTGAATGGAAGACCATGCAATGGCCCCCTGCGTCGGGCCCAATCAGGGTGATAGGGTTGTGTTTTGTGATGTAACTTACCGTTCGTTGACTTCTCTCAACAAGTCTACTTTCAAGATGCAGGACGTGGCCTCGCTTGCGTTTCGCCATTTCCCCTTCGTCTTGCCGTGACCCGTCGTTTCTATGTATACGCCGCCAGGCTCGCCAGTCCCTGGACAGTCGGTGCTCCATGCAAAAGGACTGCTCGGGAGATTAGATCGGATGGCGAGGGAGTGGGAGAGACCAACCAAGCCTGAGAGGGAAAGGGCGCAGACAAGCAATCGCATCGTGTTTAGTGGGCGGTATCAGTGGGTAAATTTTGGTGCAAACTGGAGCCGGTCAGATCTGAATAATTGTGTGCGTTGGCGTTGCTGTATTCGACGATTGGAGGTCGAGGTTGTGCTGTAATAAAACTTGATATGCGTTATACGGCGCTGCTTATAGAACTGCTGGTGTCAAGTGAAGGTCGCGGGTACATTGTGTTGCAGGGCGGAGTAATTCCATGTTACAGGACTGTTTTCTGAGAATAGACAGAGCCCTCACTCCCCCTTTGTTCCTCGGTGGCTAAACGTACTTGAAGTCTCAAGTCACCGTATATTCTTGGAATTTTGACGAAAATCATCATAACCCTTCCTTCAACATTTAAACTGTCTCTTTTCAATGTCTCAACAAACTTTACATTCACGCCTTTGCGCTTGCACGTATTACAGCCACGCTCACTGAAGTCTCCATGATAGCTGGAGTACAGCTGTGGTGGGACTAGCGTGCGAGCTTGAAGTCAATCAGGTCACAGATCAGAGCATGAAGCCGAGTACGTGCAGTGAAGAAATAAAATTCAATCACATGTTCGAAATACTTTCAAGATTACTCTCTTCCACCATGCTTCAAGTCACACACGAAGCGCCAGCTGACGAGATCAGTCGAGCCCTTTACTACCGCTACAGCATAGTCACTTCTGCCATATCCATATTGATATAGACTTCGTCGACGACTAGATGGGTGATTATGAGTCGAGGTTTTGCACAAGGAGAAGAAAGGTTGAAAGTCACCGCGAAGTCCAACCCGAAGCCGCAACAGGCCGGGCGATAAGAAGACACGAGCCACAAAAGCGCGTGGTGGACGAATGATTGCATTCAAAGCCAAATTGAAACCAGTCATGTTTCCATAGCATAACATCTTGAGATCCAAATACTAAAGCCAAGCATGGTAGCCCAACAAAACGTATCATCCTATTCTATGTTGTGTTCTTGACTCACTCAAGGCATATTACGGAAACACTTCATAGAGACTATGCCGTGCTTACCGGCAGCCTGCCACAAATTGGCCGGAATCATGTCCTGCCCCACCCCAGGGCAGATGATTTTACTGAATTTCCGATTAGCACGCCACTTTTACACTCGCTCACACCATTCAACTTAACTTACTCGGGGTATTTTAATTCCCAGTTTTTGGGGTTCGGCAGCTTCATGGCTTCCCCGGTGCAGTCGTTCGACTCATACAACTGGCAGTATCCGCCGGCGATGGGACTGATGTTGGTGATGCGTTGGGACTTCTTCTGACTGCCCGCCAGATCATCCAGGATTGTGTCCATCTTCAGACATGTGCTCTCGCCAGAAGCTTCGCTCGCGGTGTATGTTCTATTACTGTTCACTTCAGGATACCACGGTCCTTGTCCGGGTTCAACGGTGTTGATGAAGAAGCCTCCGGCTTCTCCGCTGCGACATTCTTCACGCGAAGTCAGGCCGCCGTTCTGGACAGCGCGAGCCTGAGCTAAGCCGACGATGATCGAAGAGGCAAGTAAGTAGAGTTTGGTGTACATGTTGTGTGGTCGTTGTGTACTGGATAGTTTCGAAGGTTGAAGGCGTGGTAGAGTCGGGGGAGCTGATAGATATACAGTAGGTGTCAACAGTTGACAGGTTGTTATCAAAGAAAGCCTTGTGACCAAAGCATGGGTTATGACTGGACTACAGGAGGCTTTCTGGACAGATAAAGGTATGCAGCAAAAGAGTCATCGTGCTGGGCGGACTACTTATACTGGTGCGGCAACGTCATATTACCATAAGTGAAGTTGTTAAAGACAGATGGTCCCACCGCGCCGCAGTGGCATTGCGTTTCACGTATCAGCTCGCCGCCCAAGCATGCAGAGCTCGAACTTCGACCTCTTCGCTTGACCACGCAAAACTCTTGAATATATTTTCATAACAGTTTTGTGTTGTGTTGTGACTTGGAAGCAAAAAGTTTGACTGCAACCTCGGAGAGGCAAATCTCGTAGAGTCACTGCATCAAAGACACGGTATTTCGTGCGCGACGAACAACGTTTCCGTAGCACAGACCTGTCTGGCTGGGCTTCAATCTTTGTCAGGCACATTACATACTTTTTACTTTCACTATCCAACCAAGTTGTCTGGCCCAGCCTTGGTAGTGAGAACTTCAAGCACACTTTCATATTTGCTTCCAATGTCGATGCAAGCACTTCTCAGCTTTTGCGAAAGTCAAGAATCCCATCGACGGATACTGTGGCGCCTGAGATGCCCAGTATCACACCATAGACGTGCCCAAATCTCGTCATCTGACCTCATCTCCCGCGGGCGTTGCCCAACGGCACGTGCAATCCAAGCTTGAAACTCGATCCCAATACTCGACACCGTGCCACGTACCTCGTTCACGCAAAGAACACATTTACCGCACGCTTTTGCCGCGCTAGGATAAGGCACGGCACAGCACCAGTGGCAACCACGTCTCAACCTTCCTGCATGAAAGCAACAGCGTCCTCCAACAGGATCTTGCACAAGAGGTTGTTACTCAAGGAGAGACTCTTCATGTGGTGTACCCACGGTACAGAAGTTTGTCATAGTCCAAGTTGATATTTATCGCTCGCAGATGTGCGTGGACATCGCATCAGCAAAGCAATTCTCACGCGCCGCGAACACCGAGTCACCCTGCGCTTCACCACGCTCATCATACCACTATACACGCATGTGAACCACGCCCCCATATCCGATTCCAATGCATGCCATGTACATTCTAGTCCAGTAAATTACCTCCCCTATCCCGGTATCCGTCCCTCAATCCCAACCCAGAACCCAGAGCACCCATCTTCCCAATATACAGAACCTCCGTCGATCACATGGAAAAATACCAGTCAACACGATTACCAACCTCCGTGCATAACTGCCGTTGAACAACGCCATGCAATAACGCTCGCAGACAAAATGGAACTACAATATGTATAGTATGCATCGCCAAACGCAAGCCACAATCTGAATGGCGACATTGATAAGAAAGGAAGATACAAAAGTACAGGAGACAACAAGGTGGATGATGCACGGGGAAGTATACACATCCAACACCAATCTCAGGCTCTATCAGGCAAAGGCTTTATCCTAAGTCAACACCTGACACGACGTTTCTACTCAGCGCCCTAGCAGCCCAGAAAACCAACTCGCAAGGTGCTTCGAGCTCGTGCTCGGCGTCCAGCTCAGCGCGCTGTCCGCCCTGCTACCGCTCTCAGGTGTCCGCGGACTGCCTCCCAGCAGCGGGACAGTCTTGCCTCGCGCACGGCTCGTCGACGGCGTGTGCGGGCTGGGTTGGCTCTGGTTCTGGTCCTCAGCCTGATCGCGGGGCCCAAAGACCACAGCGCGAGGCGTGTGGCGCTCGGGTGTGAACGTGTCTTCAGCTGACCTCGGGCGGGACGCTGAAGTGGACGCAGAGATATGCAGGGGCGCGGATGGTGTAGGGGTTGAGCGGGAGTTAGGTGCGGAGCTAGGCCGCGAAGTGTGCGGTGTGTCGGCTTCGAGACAATTTGGCGAGTCCACGAGGGGAATCGTCGCGCTCGGTTTCTCTTTTGATGGATCTGCGAGGACATGACTAGGTAGGCCGTGGAGAGACAAGCCAGTCTTCACCCAAGGACGGACCGTGAACGTGAGCTGAGGACAGTCTGGCGAGCACGAAATTAGCACGAACCAATTCTGTTCAGTGCGAAGATCATGCGGCACCACCTTCAGGGGTAGATGCCCGCTCTTCTTTTGCTTCTTGGTCCGCCTCCTCGGGTGCAACCTCTGCCTCTTTCTCTTCCGTGCCGTCGCCGTTCGTTGCAGCCGCGGCAGCCGCAGCAGCCTCTGCGGCTTGCTTCTCAGCCCTGGCTTGAGCTCGTGCGACTTGCAACTCTGCATTCTCCTTGCGAGCGCGCTCATCCTTTGCCTTGCGGAGGCGCTCCACTTCCTCGACTCCACCGCTCTTCTTGAGCTTGCCTTCGCTGACGAACTCGCCAAGCTCCTTCTTAAACTCTCCTCCATCGCGGTTGGCAAGTTCGCGTTGTCGGGCCTTCTCGGCGCGTTCGATAGCTTCCAGTCGGCTCTCGTGATTTGGCTGCAGAGCCTTGACCTCACCCAGCACACCATCTCGGGCCTGGCGGGGATCGACGGCCTTATCAAGAACGACAGCATGAAGCAGATTACGCCCAGATGCCGAGCGCGTACCTTGCCCCTTCCCGTCTTCAGTCTGCAAGTTCTGCTGCTTGGTTGCTTGCTCCACAAGCTCAAGAGTCTCGGCAGCTTTCTCAAGGTCATCTTGTAAGTCAGCGGCCAGATCTTCCTGCATAGAGAGAAGATCTCTTTCTTCGCAGACGGTCTGAAGTTCTTGTTCCCAGATCTTGGTCCACAGCGGCTTCTCTTTCGAAAGAAGCTCTTGCAGCCTCTTGAGGTCGGATGTGGCCTTGGAGAGATCCTTGGCCGCGATTTCGAGCTGACGAGGCAATGGCCTGACACCTCGAGTAACGACATCTTTCCGCAAGTCCTCGATCAGGTCCTGAATGTCATCGACGCGGGTAACCATCTTCTCCGAATCTTCTTGCAACGTCTTCTTGCCATCATTGATATACGCCCGACCAGTATCGCCTTCAAGAGTGGGCAATGATGCCTTGACAGCGGTAGACTTCACGGCGGCAGCTTTAGTTCGGATGGTAGACATGCTTGCTTCGATATCAGCCACCATAGACGAGTAAGTCTGTTTGACAACGGCGAGATCTCTACGCAGTGACTGTACTTCGCTAAGCTGGGCAGCGGACGAGAATGATACTTCAGAGGAGCCACCGGTCGGCATTGGTGAGCTAGGAGTTAGTAAGGCGGAAGCACGAGCTGAAGATAGTGTGGGAGCAGCAGCGATGCCCGCCAATTCCTTGGATGTCTGCTGTTGGCGTTCGGCAACGCGCTGGATAGCGGATTGCTGATCCTCAACAACGCTCTTGATGCTCTCCACGAGACGATTCAGACCGTTGAATTTGTCGTCGATATGATTCTTTACCTCGTCGAGCTGTTCGACGTTCAATACGAGGACTGATCTATCTTTGATGTCGTTCATGTCCTCGAGTTCATATCTCACGCCAGAGACGGGATCTTGTATATGAATTTCCGGGAGCTCGCCGTTACGATGCGTATCCCATGCAAACTTCTCAATGAAGGCAAGCTGCAATCTCCCGGGGTTTAGATCTGCGCCATCCGAGAAGACGTACTTTCGGATCTTGCTCTTATACTGCAAGAATATCGTGAGTTCCTTGCCAGCTTGCGGCGATTGCTCAGGTACGAATTGTTCAGGTTGTGGTGACGGGGACGGAGTTTTCATCCTGCGCGAGTTCATTCGAGCGGGGATGCTAGAAGGTTTTCGGGGCTCTTTGATTGGCGATTCCGAGGGTATGCCTGCGGGCTCTACCAAGGGGCCATTAAGCGTGGCTCCAAGCTCGGGAGTATCGCCTTCAGGATATGTGGAAGCACCAAGTTTGTCCTCGGGGGTCTTTGCCATAGGACTGTCGTCAGGAGCAGGTTCCTGTGATGGTTGGAAGCTCGGTGCAGAGCTCTGAGAGCTTTCCTCGGAGATGCGCCGGGGCACATCGTTGGGCTTCTCGAACTGAGTCTCAACAGCAGGTCGAACGTTTGACCGCTGGCGATTGTGGAGCACTGATCCCCTAACGCGAACCGCATTCATAGATTCCCGAACGTCCCTTCCTCGGTTCGGTATAGGAGAGTTTTGTACGGGCGGCATGGGTATCCCGTTCGTACCCAGGTGTTTCTGGATCTGGTACGCAGAAAACCGCCGCGAGGCCCGTCTTTCCAGTTCTCCACCTCGTTGTAGAGCTGCCAGGGCATCTTGCTGCTGTGGAGGTGGCGGCGGTGGAGGAGGGAAATTGGCAGGCCAATCTTGCTGATTACGGGGTTCAGGAGACTTTGGCATCGGATCTTCTGACGGGTACGGCGCAATCACAGGTATCTGTTGCGCGGTAGTGCTAGACATGGAGGAGTCGGTCGACAGTTGGCTGGCGTTGGTAGAGCGATTTGCTCTTGGATTCGAGGGCAATGCATCGTATTTGCTCGGCGAGGCTCTTCCAGGTACGGAAGATGACCGCGGAGGAAGGTCTGGGCCATCTGAAATCAAGTCGCTCTCTTGACGCGGTGGAAGACGTGTGCTGGCGGCGCGTGCCTGCTGAGGTTCCTCCACTTCTCCCACACTGCCGACGCTTCCCTGCCGAGGACTACCTCCATTCGCCGCACCATTCCGCTGGCGAAGACGCTGCTGCTTCTTCTTCAGGCCATGGAGCAGATTAATGATGATGTCTCGTATGCGAGGGAGGAAGTTGTCGAGGCTGGCCTGGGACGCTTCTTGGCTGAGTGTCTCCTCCAAGATGCCGCGCAGCAGTTCTGGGACGTTTCCAAGGTCTTGCGTGTCGACTCCAATAGCGTTGAACGCTCGGGAGGCGATGTTGAATTCATAGCCCAGACGTACGTACACGTCGGAGACCTCGCTCTCGGTGGCGGTTCCGCGGGACCATAGGGTGAGAGTTTCGAGCAGTTGCTTGGTTGCGACGAGCAGATGGGTGACTGAAAGAAGTCAGCCGCAATACGAAGCAGGCAGGATGGGTTCGAGTTACCTGACTTTTCGATCTGGCTAAGCTGCTGCTGGGGCTGCATTACGGGGGAGAGTTAGCTGTTGGAGTCCTGCAGCGTGCGGGTACGTGGCAGGAACGTCGGCGCAGTCGGGCGCATCGCAGGAGGACTCACGGTCTGTTGGGCGTTGCGCCGGGCATGTGCTCCGCGTGACGAGCCCTTACTCGAGCCCTGGGAAGGCGCATACTCGTCGCTGAGGGTCATGCTGGAGGCGGTTGGCGGCGGGTAGGGCAAGGCGATGGGGTCGCGCGAGGGAGGTCGTCTGCTCGCGGTGGACGAGGCGTGCGGCATGGGCGATGTGGCGTGCCGTGTTGGGAAGCATGGACGCGAGGGTGGTTGGTGAGGTGGATGTGAATGCCAAGCAGCGGGTGAATTTAGCGGGAGACCCCTACGCTCCAAGTCCCGGAAAGAGAGTTGCAGCACGCACGTCCGCTCTGCCCGGGGCCTGGAGGCCGTTTTGGGACGCCGTTTCACGCTGCTGCGTCATGCTTTGCCGCGCTGCCGAAGGAAGCTGGTGCGCGCCGCCAGAGAGAAAGGCGCGCCAGCGACGACGTGCTCGGAGAATATCTGCGCGGCGGCACTTGGGCACTGTAGCCTCGCTTGCTATTTCGGCGGCTGAAAGCGTAGGGATGTGAGGTTATGAAACGTTAGGTTGTTGCGCGGGTGCTTCAGCAGCTCGCGTGTTCTCGCGGGCAGCGGAAACGTCTGTTTGTTATTGTCGGGTCAGGGTACCCTCCGGCACTTTAGCACTCCAGGTCAATACGGCCATGCGGGAGATTTGTAGAACCAACTTGATCACTGACAGGATGTCACCAGCTGGCTGGTCTAGGGCACCTGGACCAGCGCGAACGCCTACCAAACGGGCTGGTGAAGCTAGCCATGCTAGTGTGCTGTGTAGGAAACATATCGGGCGGAGCGGCCCCAGGTGCGGACACGAACACTGCTCGTTTGCGTGACGGGCGACGCGGTGGCTACTAAGCAATTCAGCCCACAGTCAGCAGGGCTGTGCGGGCGATGCTCGTCATCCACGGGGCTGCAGCAATGTTTAGTGCTCTGTTGCAGCGGTGATGCACTTCCAAGGGGGGTCTACACAGTACGAGTCGGCCGCCCAGCGTTCACAAGCTGCGCGGACGCACCGATCCGAGCTTGTATGCAGTGTCCAGCTGCGCCCGCGCCTACAGAGCAGGCGAAAACGCACAATAGCTGGAGGCCAAAATCGCCTTCACCCGGGATTCCAGGCAGGAGCCATCTTCACTGAGCAAGCACGCACTGTGCGAGGCAGAAGCGTGGCGTGGTCTGCTAGCTTCCGAGCTCTACGTTTGTTGTGTATAGCTATCGCGAACTCCTCAATTGCCCCGCTAGCCTCCTCACTTCCATAAACGTCTTCCACCGCCGCGCGCGATCCACGCCCCTGCTGCAGCACGCAATTGCTTCTCGCGCTCTCATCGCCGCCACGAGTGCTTGGCCTAGCTCCGCTCCCGCTCCGCCGCGTCGCATCAGTCTTGGGGGCCGTGCCGTTTCACTACTGGGCGATCCACGCACTACAGAAGCCTCCGCCATTTCGAAAGCGCCAAGGACCGCGCCTTCCCCTACAACTGCAACTCACATCACCCGTGCTTTGTACACACACCCTCTCCTCGCCCGCCCAGCAGCCCGACCGCGTCCATCGCACGCAGGCACTCGGCGTCTCGACTCTCCCGCCGCCGCCCCTCTTTGCATTGGGCCATCCGCGTTGCCTCGCGCCTTCTGACCCTGTCCGGAGAGAGAGGCACGCCCTCACGCCAGCACGCCCATGTCCAGCACCGCCGCGGCCACGTCCCCCAACGCCGCCCATGTCAACGGTCCTCTGAACCCCGCAAACTCAAATCCCTCCGCAAGCCGAGCACAACTGAAGATGAGCACCGCCGCCAGAGGCCAGGACGGCGCGCGCAAGCAGGCTGGCAGTCCTGTTGATGCTGCGCAAAAGTAAGCTCCCCTTGTATTCACCCCCGACCGCGGACCCGCTGCGAGCTTTGTCCTGCTCCCCTTTTGCTTCCGCGCACCAGCGGGTCGTGCCGCTTCCCCAGCCACGCCTCGAGAGCTCGTTGGTTCACCACCGCGTCCAGCGGTACTTTCTCGTGCGACGTACAATCAGTCACATGGAGCCACGGTGCAACGCTCTCGTCCCGCACATAGAATACCCTCGCACTGCCGCTGTCCTCTTCGCCATTGCAACCCTCTGTTCTCCCATCTCAATCCCTGTACCCTGCTCGTGGACACGCCGCTGACTCGAGACCCCCCTTCTAGAAAACCCTCACAGCCCAGAGCATGGCAGGGTACCAACCCCATTACGCAACGCTCTGCCAACCAGAACACCAACGGCGTGGTCAACTCCCCTAGACCATCGCAACCCGCCTCCGCCCTCTCCGGCGAGTCCATCGCACCCATGAGACATCTCAATGACAGGATGATGTACCTGCTCGCGAATCTTTCGGTGGGTTTCACACAGGCGGCAATAGTGCCAGAGGCAGCAACTAACGTCGTGTATCCAGGGGCTTCCGGGTAACATCACACTGAAGAACGGCGAGAAGTACACCGGCGTGCTCTCGGGCACCAATCTTGATCCGACCGAGATGCGCTACGTTTTCAAGATGGTCAAGAAAGTCCAAGCAGCCAATGACACGCATGTGAACGGCAACAGCGAGCCTTCGGACGACTATATTGGCTCAGGCGATGACCATGTAATGATTTTCGACATGGGTGACGTAGCAGATTTCCACGTCAACGGCGTTGTCCTCGACAAGACACACTCCAAAGGTCAGAACGGTATGTGAACAACTGCCTATCAGCAAATAGCTACTAACTCTTGAACCAGGCGCATCTAGCTTCCGCACTGACACAGATATTTCTGGTAACATGGCCTTTCGGGAGAGGACTCTTCAGAAATGGGAGCCATCTACAGATGCCAGTGCAAATCTATCCCTTGATTCCTCGGGCCAATCGAGTGGCTGGGATCAGTTTGCGACCAACGAACGCCTTTTCGGCGTTCGAAGCGATTATGATGAGAATCTATACACCACTACCATCGATCGTAGCCACCCGCAATACGCTGAAAGGGCAGCACTTGCGGAGAAGAAGGCTCGGGAGATCGAGGGCAGCTCTGCACTGAATGCGCACGTCCGTGAAGAACGTAGCCAGAATGTGGCTGGCGGCGACAAAGATGTAGATGAAGAAGACTTGTACAGTGGAGTGTTCAGGCCCAGTGGACAGCCAAACAAGTATACCCCGCCCGCGCGTCGGCCTCCGTCCAGTCAGCCTACGATTTCTGGGGCTCCTGTTGATCCCGCCATCATATCATCTCAGCTGGCGCGCCCCGACTCGTCCGCTGCAAAATCAGCTCAACGAACGGCAAGCCCTGCAACTGAGAAGCCTGTCGTCGCTGAACCCCCAAAGGCTGCAGAGCTCAAGGTTGCTGAAGCACCTACTGCGCCCAAGGCAGAGCCCTCTAGCGGTTCAACATCCAAGGCAGAAACAACAGCCGTGCCTGCAACTAAGCCTGCCGCTGACCAGGCCCAAAAGCCGAGTACTACCCTGAAGCCTGCCACGGGTGGGGCTGCGCGTAGGCCTCAGAATGCGACAGCAAACGTCGAGCATGAAGTACTAGACTCGTTCAAGCAGTTCTCTGCTGCTGAGAAGCTGCGCATGTCCGAGCGTCAACGGAACATTCAGCGCGAGTCCAAGGCTGTGAAGCTTAACGATCTCAAGAAGTTCTCCCAAAACTTCAAGCTGAACACCCCTGTTCCTTCGGATCTCGTCCCTATCCTTGCCAAGGACGAGGCGAAACAGGCACAAATCGTTGAAAAGGCCCTAAAGACAGTGCAGGAAATCAAAGCGACTCCTCCCAAACCTGCGGCCGCTAGTGTTGATCCTAAATCAGTACCTCGACCTGCGAACGCCAAAGCTGATGCACCACAGCCAACGGCAAATACTTCCGTTGATCGCCAGCAAAATCAGAGGCCTCGACCAGGACAGGCGCCTTTTGGATCGGCGACGATGCGTGAGCGAACTGGACACAACCAGAACATGAACCAGATGGCGCCGCGTAACCACGGCATGTTAAGCACCCGCTTGCAGATGAACCAACAGCAGCACAAGCAACAAGGCAACATGCCATACAACGGCATCCCTCAGCCCATCCCAGTTCAAGATCCGCGCATACCCCCTCCCACTGGCCCATCAGCATCGCCGAGCGGTGTGCCAACGCCGACGTCAAGTGCAACCCCAAAGTTCAATGTTCGCGCGATGGAATTCAGGCCCACTGCAAATGCGTTCCAGCCTGGTGGGCAGCCGAGCAACCACTCGAGCCCCAGGCCAGACTCTGCCTCACGACAGGAGCCGCCACGCAAAGTGCAACTCACGAGCTTCTTCAGTGGCAAGCGTCCGACTGTGCAGCCACTGGATCTAGCCGAATCATTCAATCCCATCTTGCGTCTACGCAAGGAGTCCGCTGAGGACCCACAGAAAGCCCGCCAGTACGCCACCAACGGCGGCATCCAGCCCACGTACCACACTCCGCCTACTTGGGACTTCCCTACTGCGAACACCGACAAGGGTTACAAAGACATGTTTGAGCGCCCCGCAAGCCAGCCGCTATCTACTCCACACATGATTGGCAATGGTCCAGTACCTCACCAGCATCAACTGCCCCCACAATTCCAAGGACCTCAGGGTGTTCCTCAAGGTCAAACACCGCACCACACCCCTCGCCATCCGCCTGTCCAGCCACATCACGGACCAGGCCCACACCAGTTCGAGGCTCAACACATGCAATTCTCTCACTCTACTTCGTCGGTACACCCATCACCTCGTCCCATGCCGGGATATATGTACGGCTCTCAACCTCAGCCTATGCCAGGTTATCCGCAGCAAGTGCCTATGCAGCCCTACGGTATGAGCCCTGGTGTTCAGCACGTTCAGCTCAGGGCTGGGCACGGAGGTCCTCAATTCGTCACTCCTCCGGGCCCTGGCATGGGTGGACAGATGATGACGAACCAGCCCTCAAATGGACCGTACATGGGCATGCCGACCAACCCGCAGATGCAGATGTATCCAGGAGCTCCGCCTACTGGGTTCAACCAATATCCCGGCCAGATGCCCACAGGGCCCGGTGCCAACGGCTACCCCAATAGCCCAAGGGTAGGAGCTCCCATGATGGCTCACCAGGGGTCTCAGCAAGGTCACAATGGGCAGCAAATGATGTACATGCAACATGGCGCGCAGGGACCACCGATGTTCACTCAAGTCCCGCCTGGCTCTAGTACGTGATGAAACGCTTTGCGCTCTGACGAAGCACTAACAGAATCGCAGTGACACCGATGCGAGGTCCCTACCCCCAACCTCATCAGCCTCACTATGGATCGCCACATCAGCACCATCAGTTCCCCCAGCAACCTCATCGTGTTACAGCAAGTGGTAGCTACTCCCAGCCGATGATTCCTCAACATTCTTTGCCTCCGCAAGGTCCTCCCACCGGGCCTGCCAACCATGGCCCAGAGGGAAGCGAGGAGGTCAAGTGAACAGCAATCTAATCTGTCGGGCTTCCACCTGAAGAGTTGCGCTTCGTAACAGCTCGAAAGGGCTCGCGGCTTCAGCGTTGTCCTATCTAGTCCGTTTACGACGGCTCTTTTACTGGGTTTTTGGATCTGCATTAGCGTAGGCGATACGGCATCCACCTTTTCTGCTACAGAATCAAGCATAAGCGATCGGCGTTAGGTGCATTTGGCAGCGTCTAAAGAAAGCCTATGACACCGATGGGTAAGCAAGGGAGGTATCTGGACGACGCCAGTTGTTGATAAAGGCAACAGCATCGTGCTCATCTAACTGCGACTGCACTGGCCACGGGAGGGCGGGTCAAAGAATCGCTTTGGCGTTTTCGAATGGAGATGGCAGCTCAGTGCGCACCTCAGCAGGACGTGGGAGTTTGCAGTCAGCTGGGTGTTATGCTCATGAATCATGTCGTAGATACCCAAGCTCTGCTATACAAATATAATTACCAAACCCAATCTTGTGCGATATACTAGAGTGACTTTTGCTTTATTCCTCGCAATATGAGCTACATATGCCTGAAATCCATGACCCTGTATAGTGTAAAGATTGACCACACCGGTGAAATTGACATGTCCAAGATAAGCAGCCGTGGTCGAAGTTTCGGGGCGGCTTTGACTGCCATTCTAGAACACTCGGGGCCGTGCATGAGACCCTGGCCACGCGGTTCCGAGATGCTCGCGTTCCGACGTCCAACCCACGCGACCGCAGCACGAGTCCTCCTGGTACCCTCCATTTGGATGCAGTCGCCCCGCTTCTTCACTCCCAGCGCTGGCTTTCACGGAGGATCTCGAGCTGCAAAGTATGGCTGATGCCGCCGCTGAGCCGCTCATCGCCGGCAGCCCCGGCGTTCCGAGAGAATACGACGAAGATGTCGATGTCGATGTCGATGAGAGCAAGCTGGTGAAGGCGGGGCGGTTCATCTGGGTGCTTACGTTCTGCGCGGGCGTATCGGGGCTGTTGTTTGGATACGAGTACGTACGCCCATCTCATCTGGTTGCCTCTCTTGACGACGGACGGTGTTGGCTGCTACATACACCTTTTACCACGACCTGACTGGACGGTGAAGCTGATACTAGCTGCAACCACAGCACCGGCGTCATCTCCTCGACCCTCGTCTCCATCAACTCGGACCTCTCCTCGCGCCCGCTCACCACCCTCGACAAGTCCCTCATCACGTCCGCAACCTCCTTCTTCGCGCTCCTCGTCTCCCCGCTCTCGGGGGTGCTCGCCGACGCGCTCGGCCGCAAGACTGTCATCCTCGTCGCTGATGTTCTCTTCGTCGTCGGCGCGCTGTGGCAGGCTTGGACGACCAGCGTATGGGGCATGATTGCGGGACGCGGCGTCGTCGGTGCCGCCGTCGGGAGCGCGAGCTTCGTGGTGCCGCTGTATATTGGGGAGTTATCGCCGGGACCGTGGCGAGGGCGGATGGTCACCATCTCGAGTCTGCTCATCACAGGAGGCCAGGTCGTGGCGTATATCGTGGGCTGGCTGTTTTCGACGAGATTGCATGGGTGGCGGTGGATAGTAGGGTTGGGGGCTCTACCCGCGGCGGTGCAGTTTGGGTTGTTGTTTCTTATGCCGGAGACGCCGAGGTATCTTGCTAGAGTTGGGCAGAAAGAGAAGGCGAGGCGGGTCTTGATGAGGGTGTACGAGGGGAGTGAGGGGGTGGATGCGGAGAGGCTGGTGAGCAGTGTGCTTAGGCGGGTGGAGAGAGAGATTAGGGAGGAGGAGGATGCTGCGGGGGGGAGGGTGATTGGGCCTGCTAAGCACGGCTGGGCTGCGAGGATCGAGAGGGTGCAGGATAATTTGGGGCAGTTGATTGGGATCGGGGGGAATAGGAGGGCGCTCATCATTGCGTGCATGTTGCAAGGCGCGCAGCAACTTTGTGGCTTTGTACGTCTGCTGCTCCTCCTGGCATGTCCTTCTTTCAAAACCCAGCCACTAACTTTCCTAGAACTCCCTCATGTACTTCTCCGCGACCATCTTCTCCCTCGTCGGCTTCCGCTCGCCCACCCTAACCTCCCTCTCCATCGCCCTCACTAACTTCGTCTCGACCCTTGCCGCCTTCGCCCTCATCGACCGTCTCGGCCGCCGCCGCATCCTCCTCCTCTCTATCCCCGTCATGGCCGCTGGCCTCGCCCTCTGCGCCGTCGCTTTCGCCTTCCTCGATCTCCCCATCGAGTCCAACTCCCACGACCACCGCCTCACCATTCGAGAAGGAGAAGAAGCGGGAGCAAGCATGTTCTTCCCCCTCCTCATCCTCGCCTCCATGCTCCTCTACGTCTCCTCCTACGCCCTTGGCCTCGGCTGCGTCCCCTGGCAGCAGTCCGAGCTCTTCCCCCTCTCCGTGCGCTCCCTCGGCTCGGCGCTCGCGACCGCCACAAACTGGGGCTCCAACACGCTCGTCGGGCTTACTTTCTTGCCGATGATGCAGGCATTCACACCGACGGGGACGTTTGCGGTGTACACGGGGGTCTGCGTCGGTGCGTGGTGGGTGGTGAGGGGAATTTATCCCGAGACTGCGGGGCTGGGGTTGGAGGATGTTGGGAAATTACTCGAAAATGACTGGGGTGTGCAGGAGAGTCTTAGGAGGTTCAAGAGGGGAAGGACGAGTAGTAGAAGAAGAAGCGGATAGAATGTTAGATAGAAAGGAGATAGTATTTGACAATGCACTGGCTTTGTCTGATCTGCTAGCGTGCCGACTAAACCAAAGCATGTCCGATTTGTCGAGCATGTATCAATTGTTCACCACACGCGCAGCACCGGATCGTCGTAAAAGGCGTCGTTGAACTTGATCATGCTCATCTCTCGTGAGTGTCTCGCTTACTAAAGTACAGCTATCATCCCCAGTACCATCACATCAAATGCTGCTATCGCTCAGGTTCCAAGATATCCGAAATCTAGTCGACCCCGACCCCCTTCCAATATCTAAACAAATGGCTTCCTCCCACCCAGGGTTCTCTCGTCCGGGCCCGGGCGGTTCGCAAGGTTGCTGTGGAACCCGCAGCAAAAGATGCGCCCGCCCTGGACGCCAGGCCAGACACAGTCGTTTGTGAACTTGGTCGTGTCAAACTCGAGATTCTGGTCGAAGACGCAGCACCAGAGGAGGCGCGAGTGTGTGGTGTGAATGCCACGCCATTCGACTGTCTCGGCGCGCATGACCGTCCTGCGTCTAAAATAAGCCACAAGACTGGGTAGTGCTGGGAACCACTTACACTCCGTGAACGTCCACTTGCTGTTCGTCCTCCTAGTTACCAACAGCAGTGTCGTTCAGCGCGACGCACACGGCACCGCGGTGGTGTCCGTTGTATTGCCTTATGATACTCTGGCTGTTCAGCTCCCATAACCGCGCATAGTGATCGGAGCATGCAGTCACCAGGTACGCCGAGTCGGCGGAGAAGGCGCAGTCCCAGACCCAACGCTGGTGGCCGTGGAGGGTAGTCTCGAGGGGGAAGGCGTTGGCGTCGCGATCGGCGGGACCGGGCAGATTGTCCTGAACCGTCACGTTGTGCGGCTGCGACGTGTCGATGGACCAGATGCGGGCGGTGTGATCGGCGCTGCAGGTCGCGAGGTGGCGCACGTCGGGGGAGAGCAGCACGCGGGTGATGTAGGTCTGGTGGGCGACGAAGGTGCAGACGGGCACGAGCGAGGTGACTTCGCCGCGCTGGACCATGCGCCAGACGTAGACCTTGCCCTGGGAAAGTCAGCATATAGTTGCGATGTACGGGAGGAAGAAGCGCACGCTGTTGTTGCCGGCGACCAGCATCGAGCCGTCGCTCGCAACGGTGACGCTGGCGACGGATACATCGTCCTCGGGTATCAGCTGGTGCGAGCACTTGTTCTCGCCGAGGTCCCAGATGCGCACGTTGCCGCCGCGGTCGCAGCTAATGAGCTCGCCCTGGTTCGGATGGATGACGACATCATTAACAGGGACTCCGTGTGTGTAGTTGCGCTGGACGCTGCCCGAGCGCGTGTCCCAGATCTTGACTGTGCCGTCCTCGGAGCTCGTCACCATCCACTTGCCCTCACAGTGGAAAGCAACGCCCGTGATGTTTGATGTGTGGCCCTCAAAGGTGAGCACGGGATTCGGGTTCGTCGACTTGATCTCGTATAGCTTGACCGTGTGGTGGCCCGCTGCGGCGAGGAAGCGCTTGTCTGGTGAAATGCATAGGCGGTTGACTTGCGAGTCGGGGTGCGGGATCGTCCGAGAGCAGATGCCGGAGAGCGCCTCCCAGAAGCTGGCAGGTCAGTCATTGTAACGCGCGCGCAGCCAGGCGACATGTATGCGTACCGAATTGTGTGGTCATAGCCCGCTGCGAACTGTCAACTCGGCGCTGACTTAAGGCATGCACGGGTGGAAGGAGCTACTCACCAGTACACAGAATGACCGACATACTAGGCAACCTGACGGAAGGTGCGCGCGCAACGGCGGAGGAATTTTGGGCGCAGCGTTGGTGTATCTAAGCCGACATGGCGCACTGGGACAAGAGGAAGTTGTCTGTACGGTGGTTGCGGTACGCTGGTGCAGCTGTACTGGCTTGGCGGGGTCTTGGAGCTTAGAAGTGCTCCGATTCGCCAATCACGTTCACACGCGGTCAGTCAATTCGGGATTTCGGGCGTTTGATGGTCGGAATCTTGCTGTGCGGCCAGACTGCGGCCGAATTACTGTGCGCAAGCCATGCGTGGTCGCAGCTGCCGGTCAACATTCCTGGCTTGTGTAACACACAAGCTTTCTACGCCCCACTCTAGCCGTTAGCTTGGGCCTCCCCCCAGTCCACGTTGGGGCCCGCCTTCGAACGACTCCTCCACTGTGGTGCGCCAGTCTCTTGTTCTTCGCCATATCGCACTTCGATCGAATGGTTTCGATTTGCATCTTGACATTCTAGGCCATGCTGTGCCTCTTGAGAAATTTCAGACACTCGTCACGGTTCCGCGGCACGACTGGCGGATAATGACGCATGCTCCATAGCTCTGACGAAGTATCGTAGCGTCGCAATTGCTCTATGCGCACCTGATGAATGCAGAAACATCATGCGGCAGCTACCAAGTCACTGTTCCTACTTGCTGAAGCGTATGCTATCCAATTGCTTGATGATTTCCTGTTGTCAAATCATCGGACGCCGGTCAATTGCAGAATCCTCGTAAAGTCCTTCCAGATTAATGTGTTCATCTTTCAAAAGAATCATCGAAGAACAAGATGAATTGCCATCCATCCTAGAGACTTCACGTCCTACCACTCACAATGGACCCCCACAACCCCAACCGCGAGTCTCGCTCTACACCCCAATACGGCCTCTACCAGCGCGAGAACTTCTGGAAGTCGAGCGACGAGGTAAGATGATATATGAGTGGTGATGTTACACGCATGATATTGATGCTATCCAACTAGGTACCACCATTCAACGCAGAGCCAGGCAAGCTCGAGGAACTCGCCCAGAAAAAGCCCACACAGACTAGGTGGTACTATGCTTCAAGCACTGCTGGTTATGTTAAGTAACTTATTAGTCCACTCCGTTGCATCTTTCAACCCCAGCCAATCCCGCACCCACACCGCCAACCGCCAGTTCTTCTGCCGACAGCGCATCATCCCCCGGATGCTAGGTACGGGGTCATTTTGGCCTAGCCATTCAACCACTAACAGCAATAGTCGACACAAACACCCGCGAGACCGCGCACACCGTCTGGCTGGGGGGACGCGGCCTCCGCCCCCATCGGGATCAACAAAACCTGCAACGAAGCCGGTGAATCCCCCGTCGCCCGCGTCGCGGGTGATCTCAACCTATCCTACTGCCTTTCCACGGCGGGATCCCAGCCCATCGAGGACGTTGGGGCTGCCAACGACGCCCTCGCTCCAAATGGAAAGGGGGGAGTGAGGTTCTTCCAACTCTATATGCCGCACGACAACGCTCTGACGCGCTTTCTCCTCAAGCGAGCCATTAACCCCAGCTTCACAGCATGCATCCTCGCTCGACACGTGGCAGCTGGGCTGGCCTGCTCGCAGACTTGGACATCCTCTTCAGCGTAGCCGGGTACAGGAACGTGGCTGAGATCATGAGGAACAGAGCCGCGTTGGAGAGCGGGCCAAAGGACTGGACGCTACAGCCGAGGACATCCAAGGTGTAGACTGATCTAGGTAGTAGCATTGTGTTAGCATGAATGACAACTGTGGTAATCATCTGAAATGAAAGTAATTCATTGCACCCGACCCGCCCTCCAACGTACAGCACCCACCCCTTCCCTCCGCGATCTATGAAAAAAGTGCATCGCTAACAGAGCCCTCAGAGCAGGGCCTGTAAATCTCAAAGCGTAGGATTAAGAAAGCGGACGACGACTTGCGACGCCAGGTATCAATTCGTGTCGAGGCCCTGTTTGGATGAGGTTGTTCGTTCTCTCATATCTCATGCACCAGGGACCCTCTTTTCGGATAAGAAGACCCCGTTAGTGACTTTGCCTTGTCCATGCCCGCGTATGCTTGCCAAATCAAGCCCAAGCCCCGGCCGAGAAAAGCTGACAACATCCAGTCCATCACCCACCGCATTAAAGTCATAACATGAACAATGTTACCGGAAGCCGAAGCTGTTCCTGGCCCAACCCATCTTGAAGCCAGTATGACCAAGACCACGGGCGGGTACAGTGCGTGCTCAAGAGCTTCTCGATCAAGACAAGAAACTCGTGCCAGACTGTACAGATTTCGTTGGTTACTTTTCACTTGCACCAGTAACCTTCTCTGGCACAGTCGTGTCCTTCTTGGCTGTAGACGACTCCTCTGACTTTTCTGTCTTGACGGAAGAAGGTGATTCGGTGGTCTCTTTCGCGCCTTGTGGCCCAGGCGTCTCTTCGCGAGCGTTCTGCGCGGAACCGTTGGACCGGTCGACCTGGGCATCGAGGTCCTTATCCTCGTCATCGTTGTCAAACATGTCGGCATCGGCAGCTTCAGTGGTAATTTCCGTCCCGTCACCGAGGAGAATGATGCGGTTGCCTCCGCCTGACAGGTCAACATACAGCCTCAGAATCGATTATAGGTCTACTCACCACCCATGCCACGGCTGCCCTGGAAGCGACCGTCAAGGTCCATATCGATGTCATCAGGGCTATCATCAATTCGGTGATGCACACCCGGTCCGCGGAACTCGGCTATAACTTTGCATTAGAGATATGCTAATCGCTGCCTGCTGAGGCAGGAGAGGCTGGATCTTCAGACTTGCCATATTCTGGCGGAGCGCAAGGTCCCTCTCCATTTGCCACTCTCTTCGCAATATCTTCGTACCACTGCTCCTTCGTCCGCCCGTGCAGGAGACCAATGATAACCATGGTCATGTTATCGCAACCGACACCACCAGTGTCACTGTTGCTTGCCAGACAGTTGTCCATCATGTTCTCACATATAGATGCAAGATCCTGCTTTGCAACGATACCGCGTCTAACGAACTCGATGACTGCTTGAGACGACTGGCAATCCCAGATACCTAGGTGAGTGTAAGCAGATGAACCATAAGGTCGATTTGTATTTCTCACCATCGCAAGCAACGACCAGGAACTCGTCGTCTTCGCTGATTTCATGAATCTCAACGTCAGGGAAGGCGGTGACTATCTGTTGTTCCGGGGGGAGTTCAGCGCTCTTCTTGAACTCGAAGTCTCCGATAGCTCTCGACAGAGCAAGGTTGCCGTTGACTCGACCGAAGTCGACGAAGCCTCCAGCGGCCTGGATACGTGCTTTCTCGGCTGCAGATCGTTAGTCAAATCTACTTGTCAAGCAGCGCAGTGTGTATACCTTCGTTTTGGGGCTTGTGGTCGTAGGAGAGGGGCTTCGCGCGGCCTTTGATTCCGAGTACACTTCGCGAATCACCAGAGTTGGCCTGAAGATGTTAGTTGATCCTGTGCATGAGTTCTGCAAAGATTACGTACCACGTAAATCTTGTCTTTGGAGATGATACCGACGGAAGCGGTACATCCCGAGACTTCTTCCTCATACTTGGGGTCTGTTGCCGCGAGTTAGCACAACGCTGCGCGGCTGACGCAAATATTCCAACATACCGCTCAGTATCGCCCGGTCGGTCGCGAGGAAACCATCCTGCAGAGCTTTCTTCAAATCGCCCTCCTTGAAAGCCTCCTGCTTCGCTACGATCTCGTGAAGGTGCTCGCCTGTGTATATCGCTACCTTGTCGCCGCCGTGGCCGTCATAAACACCGAAGAAACTCAGTCGCTTGTCTGCAGGCGTGGGCTTGCCGCCCTCGACGAGGGCTTGCAGGTCTAGGATGCACGCATGGGCGTCCTCCATGCTGATTCGCCATCCCTGCATCGAGGAGACGCCGAAAATCAAGTCTTCACCATCGCTGCTTTGAGATTTCTAGCAGAAAGCATGCGTCAGTCGGGCATATGACAGAAGAGCACCCTCCGCGCGTGCGCAGTCGCGCCCACGGCCGTTGCCAAGGCAGACGACAGGGTCACAGTGCGCAGTGCGGGGGCGGGGAGGGGCATTGGGCAGACGTACCTTCTCGACGACGGGCTCGGAGAGGGTCTGACCCATTCTGTCCGCGGCCTACAAGAACGTGGGAGAGCGAAGGAGGGAGATGTCGAGGTGGAGCGCGAAAGGCTTCCCGGGCATAGAATTGTGTAGCGTCACTGGTGTGGGGTATCGCGACGGGCAGAATATGGCGGTTGCGGAGATGTGTTAGGCCAGCGAGCGGACCAGGCAGGGAAGACGGAGGCGGCAGGTGTGAGGGAGGGAAACAACGGTTCTTGCAGACCAGGCGGGGTGGTGATTGTAGAGTGTCGTGTGTGATGGAGCAGTCTTGCTCTCCGAGAACGAGACCGCGCGACTAGTCCGCCTTAGGCTGTGCAGAGTGTGGCTTGTTCGTCACTCGTCACTCGTCACTGCTGCACGCTGGTGCCTCCAACTATGCGCAAGCCCCAAGCCGCAACTCGTCGGCCCAACATTGTCCCACCGCAAACCATTGCAGGAATACCTGTAGCTATTGCGAAACCGCGATAGTCCAGAACAATTCACAGGTCGCCACGGGTGTGCTGAATTGGAATGGCAGCTTGCAGCGGGCACACATGGGTTCGGCTGTTGCCTGAGACCGCCGCTCATTGCTTTCATTCACTCGTGCCTCAGGCAGTGTGCTTTCTCGCGTGCTTCCGGTCAGATGGGTTTCACAGCGAGGCGCCCTGGCGGCGGTTGCGGCTGCGGCTGACAGATGCGCAGAGATTTCTGCACGGCACGAATGCCCTGGCCTTGAGCTGCTCGCCCGAGCTAGTCGTTGTAGCGAGTGTAGTGAGATTTGAATTGGCGCCAGTAAGCTATCCCGCGTCGCGCTGCGGCCGCCGGCACCCCCAATAGTGTATGGAGCGAGTAGAAGATGCTCGCGTGCTTTGGCATTGCCGCTCCCAACGATTGGACAATTTCACGCTTATTTGTGAGACATGGGCGGGCGAGGCCGTGGCTCTGGGGCGCGGGGAGCTGCATGCGTCCTGAGACTCCTTCAACCGTCTGTCTCACCGAAACTGCATATACTATAGCTGAGTACGAGTCGTTTGATTGTATCAAGGCTTCCAGGCACAACACGCGACGAGATGCAGCTTATCCACTAACCATCCCGCGGAGCTCTCGTAGTTGTTGACTCGACATAGCTACATAGTCATCTCAGCTCAACACGGCCACGTGGGTCATCAAACCAGACAATGTCGCCAAAGAGCCGAGGATCGTTGCAGTGGTGGTTTGCGAAGTCGGCACAATTCCAAGCCTCGCGGTTCTCGACGTGTTGTAGGCGTCAGTGCGTGCCTCGGGACATTCACTAGCGTGGATCTGCGCCGCATCATTGGTAAGAGCGACCGAGGCAATGCTATCATAGATCTACTTGAGCCTCCGGAGCTTTCCATCTTGTCCATCTCCCCATTCCCCTCTACCCATCAGCAGATCACAATGGCACCAACACCAGACTGGGTGAAGCAACTGAAGCCTTCGGGCCCACAGGGGTCTGAGCTGCTTGCCGCCGAACGCGGCCAGAGCGATATACACGTAGAGAAGCTACAGGAGCTGCTGCTCACGAAAGATGTCATTGAGAGGAGGAATAAGATTCTCGACATCCTCAAGTCAGAGCCGGTCTTTGACAAGTCCTCCAACTACTTCAATGGCCGTATGGAACGCTTTGAGCGAGCCCTCGCCCGGGAGAAGAAGCTCCAGCTCTTGCGACGAAAGCACAACTGGACTACAGACGAACTCCGGACTGCATCTGAAGCAGTCGGAGAACCTGGACCATATGCACTTCATGAGAGCATGTTCAAGGTAGGCAATGCATATCCTTGACCTCATCATGGAGCTAACCAATCAGATCACCATTGGCGAGCAAGGTACACCAGAACAACAGGAGAAGTTCCTGAAGCCTGCTACAGACTACAAGATTATTGGTTGCTACGCCCAGACAGAACTTGGACACGGATCCAACGTCCGTGGGCTTGAGACGACTGCCACCTGGAATCCTGAGGACAAGACTTTCACCATCCACTCGCCGCATCTCACCGCTTCCAAATGGTGGATCGGATCCCTGGGGCGAACTGCCAACTTCGCTTGTGTCATGGCACAGCTCTACATTGGCGGCAAGAGCTTTGGTCCTCATCCGTTCATTGTTCAGGTCCGTGACCTGAAGACACATCAGCCGCTTGAGAACATTCATGTGGGTGACATCGGACCCAAGTTCGGCTACAACACCATGGACAATGGCTTTCTGCTCTTCAACAAGGTCAAGGTGCCGCACTTCAACATGCTGGGTCGCTTCTCCAGGATTGACCCGCAGACCAACAAATATGTTCGCCAGGGTAGCCCTTCGCTTATCTACGGAACTCTCACGTGGGTTCGCTCTAACATCGTCATGCAAGCTGGTTCTGTTCTTGCTCGCGGTGTAACAATCGCAACCCGCTACTGTGCGGTCAGACGCCAATTCCAGGACCGTGATGCCCCTCCAGGCGAGAAGGGCGAGAACCCCGTCCTCAACTACACGATGGTCCAGATCCGCCTACTTCCGCTCCTCGCTGCCACCTTCGCTTTGCACTTCACTGGAAAGGGTATGATGCATATGTATCAAGAGAACCAAAAGCGGATGAACGGGAGCGGCAAGGGTCGCGAGTCGGAAACGAGAGGAGCTGGGCCTGAAGAGACACAGGCAGGTAGCGATATCCTTGCGGATTTGCATGCTACTTCCTGCGGACTCAAGTCTCTATCAAGCAGCATTGCTGCTGAGGGTCTTGAAGTTTGCCGCCGAGCTTGTGGTGGTCACGGATACTCCAGCTTCAGTGGTATCGGCTCATGGTACGCTGATTACTTGCCCACCGTTACATGGGAGGGCGACAACTTCATGTTGACTCAACAAGTGGCCCGTTATCTCCTGAAGTCTGCCCGCTCCGTCCTCTCTGGTGCGAAGCCATCCAACGAGACTACCAGGATCTTGTCCGACTTCCGTTCTCGCTCTGAGATCGGGTGTGCGTTCGATATCCTGGGCTCTGACGAAGACCTCGTCTCCGCCTTTGCCTGGCGCGCCTCGTTCCTCACCTTCGAAGCCCTCAAGCACCGTGACGACAATAAGAAGCCCTGGAACGATCTCCTAGTCGACTTCTACCGCCTTTCCAAAGCCCATTCGCAGTATCTGGTGGTTAGAAACTTTTACGACGCCCTCAAGCACGGTAACATTGGCAGGGAGGTTGACGCCACAACTCATGATGTCCTCTGGAAGCTATTCCGTCTCTGGGCGCTGCACACCCTCGAGCAGGAAGGCTCCGAATTCTTCGCCTCTGGAGCGGCATCCCGCCACCAGATCAGCCTGGCCAGGACGAACGCCGTGATGAAGCTATTGAAGGAGATCAGGCCGCACGCGGTGAGCTTGGTGGATGGTTGGGGTTTCGATGACTGGGTATTGGATTCGTCGCTTGGACGCTTCGATGGCAAGGTTTATGAGGATATGTTCCACCGGGCGAGCGAGTTGAATCCGTTGAACGGGGTGACTGTGGACCCGTATCCTGAGAACGAAGTGTTGTTCAAGAAGGTGGAGCCTTTGGCAAAGAGCAAGTTGTAAAGGCAAGTGGGTCGTGTTGAGACGAAGGGCGACAATGACGGCAAGACTGGAGCATACACAGTAGATTGTACTATATGGCCCAAAACCATTGCATTTAGAATTATTAGATTTAGGCAGATTTTTTTTTGGTCTGAACCAAGTACCATGTCCCATTGAATGTGCCGTGCATGCTTCACTCGAATTCAGATTTGCAATGTGAGTGATGGAAGTAGGAGCGGAGCCGTTGTAGTAGCGCGGGCACAGACCACTGAAATCCCGGCCACTTTCCTTCAGCACCAAAAAAGTTTGCCCGTATTCCCAGCCCGGCGCAAGACAATCCTCGAGCCTGAGCGGAACCCAGAGCCCAGCTGCCGACCCGAAAAGCATGGCGCCCGTGTCCTTTTCATCCGACAACTCAATCTCCTCGCACACTCTCTCCGCAGGCTCCGCCCAACCGTCACCAATGGACCTTAACGCGACTGCGACCGCAAACCCCGCCGCGAAGCTCCTTGCAAGTCCGCTTGCATTCCTCCAACCCACCACGCAACTGAATGGTGCTTTTCTGGCTGCTGCAAAGCAGTTCCTGGACCCGATCGCGGCGGGCGTCAGCGAAGAACAGGCGCAGCGGCAGCAAGAGCTTAGGAAGAAGAGGAAGCGGGGCGAGGGCTACGATGGCGACATCAGAGTTCTGCACCTTAAAAAGGTCCACCTGCAGGGCTTCGGCGTGAACCAGGTCTTCGAGCAGACCAGGAAGATTGTGGATGCTGCGGCTGAGGAAATCGAATTGGCGCTGCCTCAGGGCGACGAGGACGACACCCTGGCAATCGGAGAGGCCGACGACGACGAAATTTCTGAGGGCAGTGGCGCAGAGGTGGACGAGGACGAGGATAGTTCAGACATTGGCGAGGAGGGTGTAGACTGGGAGTATGACGGCGAGGATGTATCGGGTGAAGAAGGACTAGAGGGTGAGGATGACGAGGACGAAGATGCGTCAGATGGTGAGGACGTCGACGTGGAAGACGACGCGGAGGGCATCTTCTCCGACGGCGGCTCCGATTTGGACGAGCCGGCCGAGACGTATCGTCCAGACCCTAATGGCTTGAACGATGGCTTCTTCGAGATCGACCAGTTCAACAAGGTCACAGACTTCCTTGTACGGCTTCCCCGAAACTCATCCATAAGCGATCACGTATGCTAACAGATGACAGGAGCAACGAGACAACCAAGGCGAGGCTGCAGACAGTGATGAAGACGAGATCAACTGGGAAGCCGATCCATACTCTGCAACAGCTAGCAAGAAAGGGGCTACTGGTGACGACGAAGACATGGACGACGAGTCAGACGACGAAGCCGGTCCTACCTTTGGCAATGTTGACCTGAACGCACCGGAAGGCGAAAGCGACGACGAAGAGCTCCAGGACGGCGAGATGGACGGCATGGACGAGGGCGCGAATGCAAACAATATCATGTACGCGGACTTCTTCGCGCCGCCAGCAAGCAAAGTAGGCAAGAACAAGAAGAAGCGAGGACGTCCCAATCCGCACAACTTTCCCGGCGCAGAGGACCCTCAAAACACAAAACCAGATGAGGACGACATACAGAATGTCATTTCAAGAGTTCACGGTGATCTGTTCTCAGACGAGGACGACGTAGGGTCCGACGACGACCTCAGCGACGCCGACCCTTCAGACCCGAAATCACGACGAAGTACGCACGAACGCCGGCAAGCCAAGCTCGCAGAGCAAATCCGCAAGCTTGAAGCCGCCAACGTTGCGAAGCGTGGTTGGCAGCTCGCCGGAGAAGCGCGCGCGTCTGACCGTCCCGTCAACTCCCTACTAGAAGAAGACCTCGAGTACGAGCGCGCGGGCAAACCCGTCCCGGTAATCACACAAGAACTTTCAGAGGACATCGAAGCGCTCATCAAGCGGCGCATCCTCGCGGGCGAATTCGACGAAGTGCGGCGGCGGCGCCCCGATGACCTCGCCACGGGCCCCCGCGAGCGCCGCGGCCTCTTCGAGCTCGACGACACGAAGAACACAAAGGGACTCGCCGAGATCTATGAGGAGGAGCACCTCAAAGCCGTGGATCCCAACTTCGTCGATGCCCGCGATGAGAAGCTTAAGAAGGAGCACGCCGAGATCAGCGAGCTGTGGCGTAGTGTATCTGCAAAACTGGACGCGCTTGCCAGCAGCAACTTCAAGCCCAAGCCTGTGGCTGCGAACCTGGAGATCCGCGTTGACGCGCCGGCGATCACGATGGAGGACGCGCGACCCACGGCCGGCGGCGACGTCGCAGGCGCCAGCATGCTTGCGCCGCAGGAGCTGTACCGCCCCGGCGAGGACAAGGACGGCAAGAAGAACAATGCCGAGATTGTGACCAAGAGCGGGCTGCCCATTGCGCGAGAGGAGATGACGCGGGAGCAGAAGCTGCGGCGGCGCCGTAGGGAGAAGGAGCGCATCAAGAAGGCGGGCTTACACGCGGTGGAGAAGAAGGATGAGGAGGCTACCGGCCGCGAGAAGAAGGCCAAGGAGAGGAAGCAGCTACTGGGTGATTTGAAGAAGGGCGGGGTGCAGGTTATTGGGAAGAAGGGAGTTGTTACTGATGTTGAGGGGAGGGAGGTCAAGGAGGGAGCGAGTAGAGGCGCCGGGAGCTATAAGTTGTAAGGCCTTAGCGTGGATGGGGATTGCATTTGAGGCGCGTCATGTTGAGCATATTGCATTCGTGAAGAATTCCACTTGGAGCTTATGATTGTGATGTGGGAGTTTGATTTTGTTCCAATGATCTGATACATGGTGTGAAAAACATGAAGTGATCCTGACTATCCGTATGTTTTCAATGGACGTTGTATCCTTTGAACCCGATGCTCTCTTGCACCGTGGGACACCTGAAGATAGTATGCAAAGCCAGACTCGGACTCATACGCGCAAGCGAAACTGAACTCATCCACCCCAACCCTCAACACTCCCAGGCCATCGCCTCTACAACACATACACCTCTCGTTGCGGGTTCATGATTCATTGTCTTATCTCATCTCATCTTCTGAAATAGCTCAGTATACATTTCCAAGAATTTTAGTTCTTTGCCAGCCCAAGCCCCGGGCAACCAACCCAGCCAGCCAGCCAGTCAGTCTTAGCCACATGCAAATCTCTCCATGCGTTTCCGAATCGGCCCAATGCGAACGAAAATGCCATTTTCTATCATGATACCGTGGGGATGCGGTTAGTAGTCGTCGCCGCGAGACACAATCTCCTTGCACGTTGGGCGGAGGATGAACGTCTGTTGCCAATTAGCCTCGATTCAATCCCGCATTACTTTCTCTGGTATTGAGAACGAGGAAAAGTCTTACATGCTCGCTTTGCGCGGTATAACTCCCCTTGATGTCGACCAGCGGAGGATACGACTCCACGATACCCGCGGAAACGAGGTTGTTGAGGCCGAGCAGGTACTTGTCGTGGCCGAGACGGTCGAGGTAGCGGCGGCAGAACGGGAGCGTGCCGAAGTTCTTGGTAATGGATGCGAGGAGGGTGCGCGCCGAGTTGACGCGGAGAGGCACGTTGGGCGCGTCCTCGCGCATGGCGTAGTGCGATGTTTCCATCTAGCAGTCAAAGTCAGCATATCTTAGACTGGAAGGAGAGAGGGAGGAAACTCACATCATCCCGGACATAGCCCTTGCCGGTGCTGCCAAACGTCTCAATGGCAAAGGTTTCACCCTCCTCCATCTTAGTTTGGTCGCCGCCCTTGACAATCGGCACCGTCTTGCCGCCGTGGATGCTATACCGCCCGATGCTGTGCCCGTTGAGGTTGCGGATGCACTTGACCGGATACGTCGTGCCCTTGATTTCGCACTCGTAGCTCTCCATGACCTCCTGGATCGCGGCGCCAATGTCCGACATGCGCACGTCGATGCCGGCCTCCTTGATGCCTGCGTTGGTCGCATCCTTGCATGCGTTGACGAGGTTGTCGTAGGTGGGGTCGAAGTGCATGGTGAAGGCTGAGTCGACGATGCGCCCGTTGATGTGCACGCCGAAGTCGACCTTCATGACGTCCTCCTGCTGCAGCACCATCTTGTTGCCGGCGTTGGGCGTGTAGTGCGCGGCGCAGTGGTTGATGCTGAGGCCCGTGGGGAAGCCCATGCCGGCCTTGAGCGCATCGCCCTCCTCGAGGCCCTGGTGTCCTGTGAGCGCCCGCACCGAGTCCTCGATGCCCTCGGCGATCTCGGTCAGCGTCATGCCTGGCTTGATCCACTTCTGTGCCCATTGCCGCACCTCGCGGTGCACCTCGGCGCCCCGCCGGTAGTCGGTCAGGAAGTCCTGGTTCATGCGGTCGAGGTGGCGCTTCTCCTCGCTGGTGGTGCGGTAGGCATTCTCGTCGAGGTACTCGTGCGTCTCGCCCTCGGGGTAGCTGTCGTTGAGGAAGATTTCGTGGACGGGCACGCGCGGCGGGGCCGTCTGCACCTTGGGGCCTGACGATGCGCCGGCCTTCTTCTTCTTGCGCGGCTTGCGCTTCTTCTTCTTCTTTGCGGCGCCCTCTGCGGTGGTCTCGGGCGCGCCGTCGTCGGCCTCGGCGTCGTCGTCCGAGTCGCCGTTGTCTACGTCGCCGTTCTGCGTGCCGTTCTTGGGGGCGCCGTTCACGGCCTTTGTGCTGGACTCGTCCACTGCATGTCAATCAGTCGCGGCCCTGCCAGTGCGTGTGCGCGGGGTGGGTTGGGGGCGGGGTGGATAGCACGCACAGTTGAGACTGTCGAGAGCCTCCGCTGCCTTGGCCGCCATGGTGTCGTGTGCTTGAGATCGCGGGCGAGGGCAGAGGGCAAAAAGAAGTCGTGCCCCGGCCTCTATATGCAGTGAAAAAGCGCCCCGCTTCTATTGGCGGGCGCTCGCCGCAGGTGGCCCAGCATTTCGGCCTCGCCTCCAGTTGCCCTAAGCTAAACTGACACAAGCCTTTTGCGCCGTCTGCGATCCCTGCCGCTCAATGACGTCTCGAGATATCAACCTTCAAACACCCACAAAACACAACCCTTCCCCACACAGCCATGGACAATGCCTCTGCATCCGCGCACCTTCCTCCCTCGCCCCCAAACTAGCGCTCTTTGGACCTGCGCTTCATGCCTTGCGCGCACCTCGTGCACCGCGTACGCGCTCCCTCCACTTTGCCGTCGCAGCAACCGCCTACTCCTTCCATCTGCCCTCCAGATCGCCTCATTCCATGCCTCTGCGTGCCGCCTGGCCCCCGAACCGCCCACCCACTATCAGGTGCTAGAGCTCCGGCATGATGCCTCCGCCGGCGAGATCAAACGCCAGTTCTACACGCTCTCCAAGAAACACCACCCCGACCACAACGCCTCCGACCCGGACGCATCCACGCGTTTCGTCGCCATAAGCGAGGCCTACCACGTGCTCTCCATCCCGGAGAAGCGTGCCCAGTACGATGCCCAGCTGTCGCACGCCCACTCCCGCTCCTCGCGCTGGGGGTCCCACGCCGCGACGCCGCGTGGCAGCTACAGCTCGGCCTCGTACGCTGGATCACGCCCCGCCAGCGGCCTGAACAAGAAGCGCAGCACCTTCCGGGGGCCGCCGCCGTCCTTCTACAAGGCTGGGGGGTATGGCCGCCACGGCGCGAAGCGCGCAGAGCACGCCCAGCACCACCACGCGGGGCATCAAACGGAACAAAACGCCAACACCAGCGGCGGCGCTGACTCGTACGGCCGGTTCGGCGAAGGGATGGGACCCGGCCAAGCAGCCTACGGAAACGAGGTCCCGCACTTCGACGACAGGAAACACAAACAGACCCACGACACAGTTTACGAGCACATCTACGCGAGGAAGCGGCGCGAGCGCGATGCCGAGATCCCCCAAGAGTTTGACAGAGGCGGCATGCTAGCCAACTTTGTCATAGTATCGGGCATCGTGGCCATTGCGGCCGCTGCCACCAAGATGTTCTCGAACAGCACCGAAGGAAACAAGAAGGCGAATGCATGATTCTAGAATACCAAGGTGCGGAAGTCAAGCCCTCGTGTGCATAGAGAGAATCCAGAGGCAACTCGACCCGCACGCTTACCTGTAAATATCGCATCACATGTTGAACCAATAGCGCACACATAGACATACAGTGGCAGAGCCAGATGGGTATGAACAAATTTAGAGCTGCATTGAGACAAGTAGTTTTACATGCTAAAAGCCGCAGTACATCGCTCATGTCTGCACGGCGAGCGAGAGAAGCCACCCGCTGTAGAACCACTCAAACATCTTCGTCTAACCCAAACTCCGCACTTTTACTATCCAACGCGAGGCGCTTAACCCTCAAAAGTGAAGCTGGTGCCAAGCTTGTGGCCCGACTCGTTGAGCTTCTGGGTATCGAAAGAGCCACCAACGCCGAAGGTCAGACCGCTGTTAACCTTGGTGTTGTAGGCAAGGGACGCAATGCCAAGGTTGTTGATCTTGGCCTGCCAAAATCGTTAGCCGGCTTACGTGCAACATTTAATGTTTTACTAACCTTGGCGAACGAGGCAGGGTCGATCTTGTACTTGGCGGCAAGCTCAAGACCAACGGCACCCTGAGACTTGGAGTCCCAGGTGGCGCGGGCACCAGCCTCAACAGCGGTGTTGACCTTCTGGTAGTAGGCAGCGGAGAACACGCTGAGGGAGTTGGTGGCGGTGATGGCGGCGTTGTAGATGGGGGTGGTGTATCCGACGGCAGCAGAGTACTTGGTGATGGCAGCCTTCTGGACGTCGTAGCCGACCTCACCACCAACGAGGAAGCCCTCGTGGCTCAGGACAGCATCGGCGATGGCGCTGACGGCGCCAGAGGCCTTGAGGTCACCGAAGACGCGACCGTGGAAGTTGTTCTGCTTGAAGAAGAAGTTGACCTTCTGGCCCTGGTTTCCGGCATCGGGCTTGAAGTTGCTGAGGACTTCAGCCTTCAGGCCGGCGGCGAGGGTGTCGTTGAGCTCAACCTTGGTGGAGAGAAGGTTGGCAGTGTTCCACGACTGGGTGATGCTGATGCCTGTCCGGCGCTTCGTCAGCATTGTTATTGAGTAGCCTGTGTTTGACATTGCTTCTGGCGGGCGACACGAATGGAACATATACATGTGTATGCGTCCGGAAAGAGCGACAGGTACGCTGATAGTATAAAATGGGAGGTCTATACCGTTGGAAAGCGCCTTCTTGCCCTCAAGCTGTTCACAAAGTTAGCATTGGCCTCCTAAACTGCTGATAGGTTGAACATACCGAGGAGGAGACAGGTCCATCATGCGCCGAGGTGCCCTTGGCGGTGAAGTTGACACCGTTGGGAGCCTTGAGCTTAACCTCGAGCTGGGCTGCGCGGCTGTTAGCATGCGCCATGCGCTTCTGGTTGATGCGCCTGACCTGCAGCAGCGTGGTAGAAGTCCTTGTTGATGAGCTGTGGAGTCACGGTCAGCCATTGTGTCATTTGCGAGCTGTCCTCAGCGCGAACTCACGTCGTTGGAGGACTTCGCAATGTCGCTGAACGCGGGCGGGGGGAGGATCGCAGCGATCTTCTTTGCAACGTAGATGTCGGCCATGATGAATGTGTGGTGGAGAGAGGAGGGGGTGCTGTGGTGTGGATGTGTTGATGAGGGTAAAGTTTTGCGGAGATGGGAAAACAACGCAGGATGAGGTAGGCCCTGGGACACTAGGGGGGCGCACGCGGATAATTCCGGTCACTGCTCGGGCAAGCGCGACCAGACAACCGACAACGTGGAGGGCCGGCTTGGCGAACCCTCACCCTCACCTTCTCTTACTTTGCCCGTATCATGGGGTAATAAGCATATTGACAATTTTGTTTGCTGCCTGTCAAGCTGTCCTTCTCTGTGAAATCACACTCTATCTTCTAGAATCAGACAACTACCATTGTACCACAGCATAATTCTCACGATGCAAGCTGCTCGACTGTGCCCATGAAACAGCCGACCCCTTTTCGGACCTACTCGCCTACCGCGTGACGCGCCTGGCTTTTCGCCTAGTTGGTCTTCTTGCAGCCATCTGTTGTCGCGAAACGTGGGTGAAGATGAGTTCTGCAGTCAACCTAGTCGCCTATCCAATTTTGTTTCTGTCAAACCGCATATTGTCTAAAGTTAGTATCAGCAGGTAGTAGTGTACCCCGCAAGTCATGTCCTTCGTCAGATTACAGCCGGCGAGCATCAAGAATGAGCGCGATGTTATCTCAGAAGATGTTTCAAGTGATTGACAGATAGTCTAATGCTAAGAAATTCAGAAGGAACGAACGAACGGCCAGATGACAAGTAAACAACCGAAAGGAAAGAACACGAACCCAACACGTCTATGATGCCCATCCGCACAAATACACCCAAAACATCCAATATCCTCCAACACCTCCTCACCCACCTCACCCACCTCATATTCACCTTCCACATCTACTCCGGGCACTGCAAATTGAAACCATTCAAGTATACAGGAATGGCCTTGCTCCTATCCCCATCCAGATCCACATAACTCTTTTCCCTCCCATTCATGTCGATAATATGGTTGTAGTTTTGGAAGAAGCACCGCGTCCCATCGGTGAACTGCGTCAACATTGCCGAGGTGCCCACGATGGCGCCGTGATTGTCGATGGCGCTGCCGCCGAAGAGGTCGGTGAGATTGCGTGCGAGACCATCGCTGAGGACTGTCGCGGAGGCATGGGCTCCGGTGATGTCGTTGGCGATTTGGACGGTGATTTCGTGGAAAGGGTTTGGGATTGGGGCTGGCACGGCGGTGGTGAGGGCTGCCAGGATGGCCGTGATTGACATGAGAGTGAGCTGCATTCTTGCTTGGTGGATGGCTGATAGAGAAGCAATCTCAAAGATGTTATTGATGAGAGGTGTAGAAATCAGTTTGTTAGTCTGATGGATGTGAAGATTTGATGCTGATGATGGATTGTCGCATCCGTCGACGGCGACTTTATACATCCTTTTCAACGAGCGAGAGCACCGAGTTCAATGAAGAGGCGGTGCTCATATGGTGAGCACCAGCATCAGACTGCTCAGGTAGGTGGAGTGCTGCTACGACTGACTGCGTGATCCAGCTTTCCTGCCAGCTCAGCCATCGTATGATCTGTTGGTCTGCTATCCTGGGCAAGTCCATACAAAGCAGACGCGATCGCTCAACCTCGTCGCCAGCCATAGCAAGTCAGCTTCTCTAGCTTGACTAGGTCGCGCCTCTATAACTCGGCGCTCGAGAAGAAGCTGTTCACGTTGTGGGGCTATCCTACTGCTGTGGCGGTGAAAGCGTTGCTTCAGCTGTGCTTGGCGCGCTCAGCTGCACCACTTCCCTCAGCCTTTCGGCCATCGGCGACTATATTTGAGAGCTATATATTTCTCACTCCATCAAAGTAACATGTCGGAATTGCGTCCAGATCTCGCGAAGCCACAAGGTCGGTGTATGGGCTGGAAGGTGACCAGTGTTCTGACCTTCGGAATCGCCGGAGCAAGGTTCTGAAAATGATACGGAAGGACTATGACACAGTCTTTCTGCCTCTACTTATGATCGTTAGACCCCCCTCATATCCTCAAATAAGTCTAGCAAGGTATATCGAGGCGAAGAAGCGGAGAGGAATGTTGTTGTTCCACACGAAGGCCGTGGTCAACGTGATACTATCATGTTTGGCGCTGAGGAATTGACTAGATGAAGAGGAAATTGACATGGCTTGAAATTACACTGTCACACCAGCCACAGAAACCCAGAGTCGAAATGGAGAATTAATTGAAGTTGCAACCCCAGCACTGCTTTACAGCACGGTTGTCCAGTCTCTCAACAACGTATCCACTTCCTTGTCCAACTCGTCGCTTTCATAGCGTGATTTCTGTCTGAACTTCGATGTATCCGAGTAGGAGCTGGGCAATCTAGTCTTGATTTCTCCACGCGAGTCTAGCTCGGCCATAGTGCGACTATCTCCCGCTGGTTCTGCCAAGGCGATAGAGTGTTCCGGCCGTGCCACCGAAAGCATATCTCCCATATCTATATCACTGAGATGCCTCTTTGCATTAGGTCTCGAGGAATTCTGATTCTTTCTAGAACATGGATCGATGTCCTCCGGTTTTCTTTTCTCGGCAATTTCCTCAGAGCTGGAATAACTCCATGGAGTACATTTGTTGGTGAATAGGAAATCGTTCATAATTGGTCTGTTAGAGCTGAGGTCGCCTGGTTGAGTGTCGATGGCTTGGGGCGACTGTTGCGCGGCCGCCAACTGCGGATAGAAGCGCTCTATGGGAGCTAGCTGCGGCATGTGCGGGAGTAAAGGTGGAGAATAATAGCTGTCCGGCTTAGAGAGAAAGGGGCTCGCGCTGCCTCTTATCGTCCTCTCCCGGTTCTCATCCTTGTAGTCCTGCCTGGCCAGCTGTGGGCTCGGAGGAGCTTGAATGTCGCTACGTCCTAAATCATTCGGCCAGTCCTCAGTGGGAGGCTTCAAGACAACGCGCTGGTTATAGCCATAGCACTGGCGTTTTGACTGAATGCAGTTGGCGCAGGTCGGTCTCTCTTCACCGCACTTGATTCTCCTTTTACGGCAGGTGAGGCATCCGGTCTTGGTCCTTTTCCTCGCCTTTGGGATGCTTTCGGCAGCCTCATCCTTTTCTCTCCATTCGTTTTCACGGGTGTCGCTTCTGCCCGGAGACCTGGAGTACGGTCTGCGTTCACGTTCCAAAACCAGACTAGGGTTCGGAGACTGGGTCTGTGTGTTCTTATCAAAGTCAAAGAGAGCATCGTCAACCTGACTCTCGCATGGGTCCACATGGTCGAAGATGTTGTGAAAGTCATCGGTGGGCGTGCTGTGGAAATTCACCCCTGCGGATACTGGATCTGACAAAAACCCCTTGGAAGATACCGAACGAGCACTGCGCGTCGAAGTGCTACGTTGGAGGGATGGCGGAAGAGGGGGCCGGAGTTTCGGAGTGGAGTGGGAAGTATTCCGGTATGGTACTTGTAGATCGGATGTCGATGGATCATCTGCTAGTGCTTCTGAGTACGGTCTACGCTCGTCGAACTTCTGCTCGTCCGGTTCCAGTCGCTTCGCTGCAGCGTTACCAGCACGAGTCATAAAACCGCCGGCATTGAAGGCGCCTGCAGCTTTGGCTTTCTTGCGGAAAGCATACGCCGTGCCAACTTTGTCCAGTTCGCTCTCCACAAGACTCCCTCGTTCGATCAACCCAAGTTTCACTGGGATAGGATCGTGAACACTCTTACGGTCTCCCCATAATGGCCTGTCAGTTTGACGTTCCAAAAGGTCACTTGCTTGTGGAGCAAGACGATTCGGTGACTCTGCGGCGACGACTTTATCTCGTGCAGCAGCCTTATTTTTCTCATTATTACATTCCTTAACTCGTGAAAGCTGCGAGATGTACGAAGCTCGCTCCAAGGTCTTCTCATCAAGTGTAAAGTGGCGAAGAGGCTCACGCTCGTCAAATGCCCTCTCGAGTTCCATACCCACTTCGATCCTATTTCTATTCACCTCGTGCTTCAGTTCACTATCCTCCTTCACACGGAGCCGGTCGATCTTCAATTTCTCGTGTTCGCCTTCAGTCTCATGATGGTATCCTGGACGGAGTGGAGCACTATCGATCTCACACCTAGCATTGGGAATCGGCTGATCCTGGGGATTTCCCAAGAAAGCGCTGTCGAGGTGTTGCCGGGCATGAAAATAAGTACCAATAAGGCGCTGCTGATGCTCTGAGTGATTTTCTCCGTGTTTCTGTGTTTCTAATGCCACCTGCAATGCCTCAATATTGCTCAATAAGCTACGGACATGTTGAACGCATGTGTTTAGCGTCTCCACTGTAATGGTCGACTTGATCGCCGCTGTGGCCATCATGATGCTTGTTGCTGAGATCGGATCTTGGTTCGTATTTTCGGTGTCCTCTTCTTCATCAAGAACAGTACTATCCTCACTAAGGCTATAGTTCTTTACTGACTCTTCGTACCGCTGTGTCGACCTCTTTCTGTGCTGTAGCAATTCTTTGATCTCCTCTCGGTGAGATGCCAACATCTTTCGATCATGTTCACGAGCAGCAGTCTGATGTGCGAATATCAAGACTGACGTGAGCAGCTGCAAAGTGATCTTCAGCTTATCAACATGGCTCCTGAAAAGCTCGATCTTTGGCTCTCGAAATGGGAGAATCATGCGCCCCAGCGTGTTCTTCTTGGATTTATTGAGAAGGATGCTAATCTCCTCGAATACCTTCGAACACTCACGCACTGTCTCGTTCGCAGTGTGTAATGCGCTGTTCGACAGCAGCTTTGACGTCGCATCTTGCTGGAAAAGAGAGCCCAATTCTTTGATAGTAGAAGCAGTAACTGTGATATGGCTTAGCCACTCGGTAGCTAGCTGTACAGGTGTTCTCAGGATGCACTCACGCTTTATCTCCGTGGCGATGTCTTTGATCCGTCGATCTGCTGAAGCTACACTCTCAGCATATTGATAAAGTGTCTCTGAGAGCTTCAGGCCAGCGCCGGCAACCTGTATGACCGACGCGACGAGTCCAACTACCTCGGCCATTGCGATACGTCAGTGACTAGGTGCCGCAGGTGCAAGACCAGCCTGGAGGAACACCAGAGCACAGCAAAGTTCAGGGCAAAACGCTTAAATTACATTAATGGTGAAGAGAGCACAATGGGGGACATGATGGGGTGATTAAGCTTCTTGAGGGAACTGAGGGTGGGTGCCCTGTGGGAAGGCTTGGTGGAGTGAGGTGAAGAACGAAGTGGGGCTGAGTTGGGGCTGAAGCCCGCAGCTTCGCGTGGGTCCGGATCTACTGGGGGGCCACTTGTTTCACGAAGTTGTCAGCCATTACAGTAGCAACCATTCCGCCAGAACTAGTTTCGTCTAGTCCTGGAGGATGTGATTTCAAATTGTTTCAGAAGCTGCGACATCGTGTTGACAGTGCTCCATTTATACTGCCTTCCGACAATTTTGTGGGCCGCGCGAAGTCATATAGTCTGGCGTGATTAAAAGCGTACAGCAATGCTAGAGTTGCTGTATATGTGAGCCAATCAACACGATATGGCTGCTGCGAACGGCTGAGGTGAAATTCGAAAGCCACAACGAGGAAGTAAACAATCAACACTGTGCAGAACAAGCATACTTTACAACGATCGCTATGCATGTCTTTACAAAAGGATCAGACCAATAAGTTTCCTTCCGCTTGATTCTGCCACGGTTTCCCATGACCCAGATCCGAGTGAGAGCAGACTTGCCTGGGCACTGGGCGCAAGACACTAGCTAGCTGAAGCGTCTTCTACAGCCCTGCCGTGGGCGGCAATTCATAATCGTGGAGATGAGCAGTCTCGAACAGAATTGAGGACTTTGACTGCACTATAGAACACATGCTGTAATCAAAATCGAGAATAGACCCTGAGTGGCGCACGGCACTGTTGGATGTTCTCAAAGACGCGACTGACTGGGTACCTGGTCTAACCGCAATACGTTAGGGCAGTTCTAGAAACAAGTTCGCCGGACGATCCTTCCACCGACGTCAAGCCTCACAAACCCCTGTTTTCTTCGTACGTTTGGGATCGACGTGATAGCGGGTCTTCATTGGATGACGACCTTATGCCGGCGCCAATCAGCCACATAAAGCGGTTCAGTGTGGCTGACCCCAACCATGATGTCATTCGTGGTAGCTGTGGTGGGAGGCCTGTTTATGATGCTTTCCCCTCGTTGTTCTCACTACAATTGACGCAATCTGAAACTATCGATACTATCTGCAGTATTATTATAGAAACATGGCAGAAGCTCCACGACCAGGAGGAAGAAAACTAGTCAAAAGAAGAACCGGCAGTGCCTCTCCTAGCCGCAATCGTGCACAGTCCGGAAACCGACATTCGCAACAGGATACACCCGCCGTCCCACCGATTGATTTGGAAGCTACTCCGATGCCACAAGAAAGAGGTACTTCGCCCAGCGGGAAGGAGAAGCGATCGAAATGGCGGCTCTCAAACCCATTCCATGCGAAGGACAAAGACCGCAAAGATTCAGTAGCGGTCACAGCTGGCGAACCCGCCTCTGCCCCAGTCCAAGGCCTGGATACCGCGGAGAGGCCACCGCCTGCACGAAATTCAGCCACGGCGGGAGACTCCGCCTACTTCAGCAGCGAGCACGCCAATAGCTCGAATGACACAAGTGGACACCCGAGTTTCTCAAGCGACGTGAGACGACATTCGCGCGGTGAACAATTACAAGCGCCGTCTGCGACTTTGCAGCCTCCAACCACTAGTGTTACTCCACCCACGCCTTCTGCATCTTTGAGCCAGGGCCACGCGACGCAACTACCGCCGCAGCCTTCGCCGTCGGTGCAAGCTCAAACAGACGACGTACACAGAGAGTCGTATACCGACCAGAGAACGGGGAACGTAGTGACCACGACTACGACCGTCAGTATACCCAAAATTAGACAGCCTAAAAGTGCGATCTCTGACATTGTTGCTAGACCACAACTACGACGACTACAACGACCGGACCAGGCGGCTCTACAACCGTGCAGCAACCTGCAGGGCATGATGACGCTATATCAACTCAGGCCAGTGTGACTGGCACTTCTGGACCTAGCCCACCATCTCCAGCTCCTCCCTTACCACAGGAACGGATCAGCACTCCTCCCAAGCAATCTGGGCCAGCCGTGCCTGGGTCAAGCTCCTCGCCACCCATCCCTAACAGGAACAATATGCGTAATCGCGTAGAGTTGGATTCAGTCTCGCCCGGGATCGAAAGACCCAATCCCTTGGTCAGCCCGATCACACCTTCAAGTCCGTCAGGCCACAATTTCTCTTATCCTGCACGAGCACCACCGGCCGGCGTCCCTCGTCAAGCCACATCACAGGAGTTCAACTCTCAGCATCCATTCGATCACTCCCACTCGCCGTTTGGGCCTCCCCAGCAATCGTTGGACCATTCTCAACATATACCTGTGCCTCCTCCACAGCAATATGATCATTTGCAACAACATAACGCTCACCAGCAGGCGGGATTAGGAGACCGAGGTCACCCCGCACCCCTTCGAACGGGACACCAACACCAGCCTCAACAGAAGCAGTCAACTCTGGCGAACTTGAAAACGGCAGCTGCTGGCATTCATGTAAGTTCACCTCTTATCGAGTGGCTTCTTAGCTTACAATTTGTCAGGGCGCCGGCGAAGCACTACGCGGCACGCTCAATCAAACCGTCGACAAACGCTTTGCGAAACCCGACTCGGCTGTTCACGCCAAGAACCAAGCTGTAATTGAAAAAGGACGATCGGAAGTGGAAACCTTGTCTTTCCGTCCCCAGCAGCAGCATCCTCTATCCCAGCCGCCGCCACAGTTTCAGCAGCCACAGTTTCAGCAGCCACAGTTTCAGCAGCCACAGTTTCAGCAGCCCGAGGTTCAGCATCCCCAGGTTCAGCAGCCCGTACCGCAAGTACCACCGAAAGTCAGTCACGGCAGCGTCGGTCCGCAAAACGAGTGGAAGACACCATACAATGGTCCTCCAATTTCCGGTTCGCAGATAGAAGGAAAGAGCGGAAAGCTAAGCGGACTGATGAAGAAGATGAAGAGTGGTCCGATGGCATCAGACAAGGGAAATTAAAGGCTTGCCAATCTAAACACATACGCGATGATTTTGATAAGACACTATAGTTTTGAGGGATGTATGATAATGACGCATTGATGGGAGCTTCGTATGGTAGCATGTTCTCGAGTACACAGCGATTTAGGACTTCCGCCGATGACTTTCTGGGTTTTGCTTTTCACTCTGCAGTCCCATCCTCAAGATAAACGACCTGGGGAGGTCCCTGAATTACACCCTTCGCGAACGCCTTCAATGCCGCATGCGCCGCGCATTCCTCGTCGTAGTACGCCATGTCCTCCTTGCTCTTGAACTTGCTGATTGCCGCAAAGTTGAAGCCCTGGCTCCTTGGATCTTCGAACGTAGGGCCAGCTGTCACAGAGAGGAGGTAGGGTTTTCCGTCTTTGATTGCGTTCGTGGGCATGCCGCGGTAGTGCGAGAGGAGGATTTCGGCATCCGAAGAGGAAGCGATCTTGAAGAGGGTCACGCGCGTGATGGGTTTGGGGGTTGCCATGTCGTTTGCAAAGGAAACAATTTGAGGTGTCTAGCTGTGCTCTTGAAGTGTTGTACGAAGTGGTCCTGTAGAAGTCGGAAGGAAAGTGGGAGCTGTACAGGTAAGTAGAACTGCTTCGGAAACCAACGGCAATCAACCCGCATACGGCAATCGCGTCGGCTCGGGGGTGTTGCGCTAGACCGGCTACCCCAAGCTACGGTACAAGGAATCCTGCAAGTGACGAAGCTGTTACTTCATGTGGATGCAGCGAAAACAAAACGATCACGTTCAAACATTAGACTGGCGATGCAATGTGCTGCGCTGGAGGGCTGGTCTGAAACGCGGCGCAGCATGGAGGCCGCCGTTAACCAGTCAGCAGCGTCTCAGCCTTGCATACAGGCTGAGCATCACTGCCTGAACGCGAGAAGCCTTTAAAGTCCCACGGAAACACCTCTACGTCTTTTAAAAAATAATAATAAAAGCCCAAATTACTATTAGTATGGCGTCACACAAGCTACCAGAGGGCTTCCTCTCCGGCCCAGCGCCCGCCCTCAAAAAGACGACCATCGACTTCGCCAAAGAAGGAATCCCCGCATACGCCGGCATGTACGCCGTCGTACTCGATGGCTTGCTATCCTCTGAAGAGTGCAGTCAACTAATCTCCCTCGCCGAAGCCACGACCGCCGGCCGGTGGGAACGCGCGATGATCAACGTCGGCGACGGGCAGCAAGAGCTGTACGAAGAAGTGCGCAAGTGCGGCCGTATCATCTGGGACAGCAGGGAGCTTATGGAGAAGCTCTGGGCCAGGATTCTGCGTGATGTGCCCGAGATTCTGGAGATCAAGGACTGGCCGGATGTCACGGGGTGGGGGAGGAGGGATGTTACGTGGGTTGCTACGAGGCTGAATGAGCGTGCTCGATTCCTGAAGTACGTTGGTGGAGAGTATTTTAAAGGTATGTATGCGACGGGACGAGCGATTGCGTGTGGGGTGCTGAGCATTTGGTAGCGCATGAAGATGGCATGTACATCACGCCAATTGGGACTGAGCGGTCGTTCTTCACGCTTCATTTGTACCTGAATGACGCTGTTGGAAAAGACGGTAAGGCGCAGCTGAAAGGCGGCGCGACGACGTTTCACAATCGGTTTATGGACCCGGAACTGGATTTGCACGTCCTGCCGAAGTGTGGGCGTGTGCTGATCTTTCAGCATGAAGGGCTTCTTCACTCTGGACAGGACGTTGAACGGGGAACGAAATACACTATGAGGACCGACATCATGTATGCTGTAGAAGGTGAGCTTGGAGAGGGACCTGAGGGAGGATGGTGAAGAGGTGTGTCAGTGTCGCCGACTGCACGTGAATTATATCTTGTACGGAGCGGTCTATCTACTTTTGATCTTCCCTAAGTCAGATAACCTATGCTTCCAGTCGCATCTGAAAGACTCGGTGGTCTATCCTCCATCTTGGTACCCCACTCACTTTCCTCACTCCCGAGAACTAGTTCGAGCGTCCACCCCTCGGTGAAGAACTCGTGTCCTATCCAGTTCTTGCTGTAGTCCTCACCGTTCAGCTTAGCGCTCTGAATATAGATATTCTGGTACTCCTTGTCGAAGTTGGTATTCTTTATCGTTGAGGTCTTATTGGTAGCCGGTGAAGTAATGCTGACAGATTCGAAGAAAGGCGGAATGATGAAGTACACGTTCTGGCCAGGATTAGGGAAAAGGCCGATCGTGGAGAACAGGGTGAAGGATGCCATGGCACCAGAATCGTCGTTGCCGGGAAGACCAGCGAGAGAGGAGTTGAAGCGAGAGGGTATGTCTAGACGGCGTCAATAAACGAAATGCTACACGCACAAGCAGGCCAATCAACGTACAGTAATGGACCCTCTTCGCACTGAGCCCGGGGCGGCCTGCATAGTGCGGCATATAGACCGTTAGAAACACAGGTTCGTTACCGATATCTGCAAGTCCAGAGGTGTGGAAGAAATCAAGGCGCTTGAGGAACGTTTCTTCACCGCCGAGTAGCTCGATGATCTTAGCAATGTCGTGTGGTACGAACTACGCCGGCAGGTTAGAACGCAGTGGTGGGGTATGCCCTAGATTACTCACAAACATATATTCCCATGCACTGCTCTCAAACGTCTCGCTCGGATTGCTTGTCAGTGAGCAAAAGTCTGCCAGCGGACTGCAAGCGACCGGGTCCTGGTAGCCCTATATGCGCGAATGAAGTCAGTGTCAATCGCTGCAGCGAAGCTACTCACTCACCCATGTCCCATTCAGATACTTTGGCTATCGCAAAGTTAGCGGTCTTACTTGGCGTATTGTGAAGAATTTTACCTGGAAGAAACCCGTGAATCCTGTATCAGTCCCATTTATATCCGATGTCTGATCAGCCTTGAACAAGTTCTGCCAATTTTGCGCACGACCAATATATTTCGCGTACGTATCTTTGCCCAAGCCCTTCGCCAGAGTCGCAAGGGCGAAGTCATTGTACGAGTACTCCAGTGTCCGCGATATGCTCCTAGAATTTGTGCCAAAACCGTTGGGATCGAAGTCTAGGTACGGTATATAATTTAGCCGCTTCCACGACGCAAGCCCACCGCGGCCCTCTATGCTCCACTCAAGTGGCTCGTTTTCCGCGTCGTTGACTATCGCATCGTAGGCAAGGTCCCAGTCAATGTTGGTAAGGTTCTTGACGTACGCGTCAACAAGCACGTTGTCCGCGTCGGATCCGCCTTGTGTCCACCCCTTGCATGTGCTCATGCTGCAGTCGGGGAGCCAGCCGCGGTGCTTGTAGATATCCAGAAGGCTTCTGACAATGCGCGACTGTTGCAAAGGATCCATGATAGTTAGAAAAGGTAGTTGCACCCGCCACATATCCCATAGGCAGTAGAAGCTGTCGAAATATGGCTCTGATGAAGTCCAATGCGGGTTCTCGCCGGTGTAGTCTTGCGGCGAGATCATGGTACGGTAGACAGCGCTCCAAAAACTAGCGAGCATGCTTTCGTCGGCTCCACCGGACTCGATCGAGATTGGGGAGAGCTTTCTTCTCCATGCGTCTTGTGCTTTGCTCACGAGGCCATCGAAATCAAAGTCTGGACCTGGAATTTCTTCCTCTGCGTTTCTGCAGGCCTGTTCAGTGCTGATGAAACTGATGCCCATTCTTGCAGATATCGGCCCTGACAGTGGTCCTTTGAACCGGACAAAGCCTCCAGCTTCGAGGTAAAACAAATTGAAACCACGCGTGACGTGTAGATCCTTCGGTTCAGTACCGGCCCTATTGTTCACCCATACACCAGAATCTTTGACGGTACCACCACTCAGGTCCAGACAGAAGTACGCGACGTACGATCCCGCGCCAAAGCTGGGCAAGAACGTTCCGTGTCCTTTTACTCTTCCTCCTTCATTTCCATCCTCTGCCTCCACGCTGATTGATGCATTTTGTCTACTAGCCCAGAGGTCGGTGAGGTCCAGCATGATCAACGGATCACCGCTCCCGTTCCCATTTGAGTTCCCGGAGAAATCAAATTCAAAGAGTGCAGCATGCTCAGACACGGTCATATCAGCCTTGATACCATTTTCAAGCGTAACACCAAAGTGGCCGGGTTTCGCAATGATGGAGCCATTGGTGTAATTGATGGCCCTCGCTCCTATGGGAAACTTGCAGGTGTTGACATCGTCGCTGGAGCAAATTTGAGGAAAGATTGGGAAGTTGCCGAGACTAGGATTGCCGCCTGTCCCTGAGTCGTGGAGTGCTGAAAAACCAGTGATTTGCGATCCGTCTGTTGAGAATCCTCCTGTGTTTTCGCCGTTGACGTCCGGGGAAACTGGGAAAGGCATTAGTAATTATAAGTAGCCTGGTCTAAGTGGCTCAAGTGCAAAAGCAAAGTGCATATCCCATCTTATCGATACATGTACAGTCCCCGAAAATAGTCATTTCGTTCTCAAGCATTCGTAAGTATGGGAAAGCATCCTCCTGCCAATCTATGCTACTGGATTGTTTACTTACCTTTCACCATGCCATAAGGTAACGTTGCACCAGCAAAAACATTCCCCCCCGCCTGACTCCCGATCAACGGATTGACATATTCCAGCACATCGGAGCTATGCGTACGTTTCGGAAAGCTCCTTGCCTCTACGGGAATAAAGACACACAAGAGCGCCAGTGTGTTCCAGAGCCAGCGACGAAACATGGTGACCGTGCTGTTGCGAAAGGCAAAAGCGAAAGAGTGACCGGACTAGAGTATCAAGAACCATCGGTGCTTTATCAGAGATGTTCACTGGGGATCGCAGGTACCGTAGGACGTCACACCTGATATGGCTCCTGCCTGATTGAGTGGTACGATGCGGGGTCGTGTTACTACTGGCTGAATTGACCCTGTCGATCCTGCAACTCCAACGTTACCTACCGTTGCGATCCTCCGACCAAGTTTTCAAACCCGTGACCAACTCTCGAGCACAATCCCGCTAAATCGCCATATCGTGGAAGCGTCACTGGGTGGACGTATGGTAGACCAGATGCCGCTGAATACACAGCATGAAAGAGCCACAGAACAACAACGCCGGTTTCGGCAGGTACGATTCTGACGCGACTGGAATACGACATCATACAATTCGCATCGTCTTCGTCACCGTCCCTTGATCCAAACACTTGCCCTCACGATCCATAAGCTCAACATACCCAACACGTCTCCACGTCTCTGCATCCTGCCTTGTGAGAAGTAACCCACACGTAGCGTTGTAACCCTCACTTCCACCACTTGTAAGGAACATCGCTGTAAGAGTCTCGTCGTTGTGTTGTTGCATTGATTTCTCTTTCCTATATGTGTTGTTCTGGCTTTGGTTACGAAGGTGGTCCTGCCACGCCGATGCATCGATTTCCGATGTCGGACCCGTCAAGGTAATCTCTGCAGCCGCGACTTGGCCGTACGGATCGTCAGGATTAGCAAGCTCGACGCTTATGTCGTCTATTCGAGCGAGATCATAGGTGTATGGATAGCCTGCGATGGAAATTTCGCAGTTTAGGCTTGCCCAGCTCCTACATGATTGTGTTATTGAGGGATTCTGAACTGGAGTTCAAATATTGCTCTGGACTTACCAAGACGGGCTCTGTATCAGTGAGTAGGGTCCAGTGTCGATGAATACAGACTCCCACGTTTCGTCGTCCTCGCGATACCTCTTACTTGTCTCTGAAAGCGTGTGCCAGGCAAGTCGAAAAAGAGGTGTAGACCGGTAGTCATAGCGAGGCCCACCAGGAGAAATAGCGCGATCATAATCAACTGGGTGCGGGTCGGGAAGTTGCGATGACGACGATGACGGCAAGAGGAACAGGCCAGCCACGTACCGATCCGGCAGAAACTGACCAAATCGCTTTGCAATAGCAGCGATTGCCGCTAATTTATCCTTGGTCGGATACGTCAAGTCAGTCTTGCTGTACGCTTCGACAAGCTTGTTCCATCTGTAATGCATAGAATCGAACTCGTCTTCATCCCAATAAATGGACGGCCCCGATTTGAGGATCAGCCTGGCAAGCGAGGGTTTGTGGACTTCTCGGCCAGGAAAAGTATAACGGTAGTTAGGGACGCCCGTGGGAAAATACTCATTGCAAGCCTTGTCAAGACACTCCCAAATGACTCGGTCCATGCCGAAGTGTAATGTACGCGGTGACATCAGTCGTTCTTGAAAGACCCACCCACGTCTGTTAAGTGGATGATGCGACGAAGGACCCGCGAAGCCATCATTCTCAGCATCATAGACCACAGTGAGGCTGGCCTCGACACGTGTCTCCTGCGACGCTTGAATCCATGCATCTAAAGGGTCCTTGGTGTCAGGCAAGACTCCACTCCTTTCGTAGATGTAAGCCGTCTGCAGGAAATGTGCGTCTCGATCAACGTAACAACCTTGGCTTGCATCAGAAGCGCGAGCGACGGCAATATTAAGCTCGCAATTTGCGTAGACCTCGCCCATGAGGGTAGTATGGTATTGCCAATCTTCATTCGAGCCAGAGCCAGATTGCAGAATACATAAGCTGTCAATCCATATGTAGTAAATCCCAAGTCGCTTGCACGTCTGGATGGCCTCGCGAAAGCTTTTGGGTAGGTCTGCCATTGAAATGCACTGTCGCAGCTGGGCCTCGTTGGACGCAGTCAGATTCAGGAAAGACGGATTTTTGCCCCAGCAATGACTTCTGAGGTTCCAATATGGTAAGTATTCCTTTTTTACATAGTGGGGTCATTGCTTACAAGGCGACATATTTGTAGGCACCTACCTCTGGCTTCGTATCAACCAGACGACAACCTGACAGCTCGTCCTGAGGAATCTCAATCAGTCTTGGTGGCAGAAAATTCTGTTCTCGTACGCTCTCTACTTGCTGGCAAAACGAGTGTTCATTTTTGCATTTGTCAAGCCAGTCCAGCGCCTGTCTGGAGACCTCCACGTCTCCAGTATTGGGTGCGATATTTCTTCCGAGAAACTGATCCGGTCGAACACGCCATGGCTCATCGTTCAGATCCGTTTTGACATCTTTCAATAGGTCTATCCACCAAGGTGGTGTCTCCTGGGGACATTGTGACTCTAATCTTTGTAAAACAATAGTGCCCTTGCCCAGCCACGAAGCCTGTCCTTGGAAAGTGATGTTGTCCATGCCAGAGCAGTTGTACGTGTTGAAGCTCTCTGTTTCTTTCTCACCCGCCTCGTCTGGGCCAAATTGTTCGCGCCACAGTAGCAAGCTTTTGCAAATCTTGCATCCGGCTTGCGCAGCTTTTACCACAACGTCAAAGCTAGCATGGTGTGGTTGGGGTTCGAAAGATGGCTTCAGAACCATTCCAATGCAGGTAGCACAAAGCATGGCGAACTAGATCTCCGTCCAGAGATCCTTGCTTTTCCCAGTTTGTTTCCACGTGCTGCAGGCAGCAGTGCTATAGTGGAAGAAGTAAATTGACAGAGTTACCACGGATTGTTGTTCAATACATCCATATTATCAAAGGTTGAGGAATGTTTGCCAAATCACGACAGGAGTAATTATAGGAATTGTTGACTGCGGATGCGGGGGCGCTGGAAGATATTGTGGAGAAGACAAGACATAGTAGTGACCCACCTTCTACAAGAGGGAAGGCGCATACGCAGCTTCAGTCGAGACACCGTGACCAGACCTTCTGAGACGTCTCCAGTATTGATGCAGATCCGCAACGCGGAAATTGGATTGTACGTTGCTTCTTCGCTCAGTGAACTGCGAAGCAATCACGCCGACGATGTTGGAGTGAAACAGCAGCAAGAGCTCCCGTATGCATCGACCCCACCCCGATTCTAGACCTTCTCTCCCCCTGCCGTCGTGCAACCACCGCTCACCCAACGCATGCAACCCATAGCAGGGTTGCGGATCCTGCGATATGCAACCCCACCGCATGCGTTTTTTCTCAAGTGCATGCCCAGCCTCAGGTATGACCCGATGGCTTGAAAGTTCACAAGCAATCCACGATGAAAAGACAAATTAATGCCGTGAGGAAAATGCTGTAGGGCTTGCGGGTACGGAGACCCTTCAACGCGCATGTGACTCGTGATTGCGCGTTCCGTGTCGTGGCCAAAAATGTCTACCGGTTCACCGTTAGAAACGGCGAGAATGCATACAATAGGCAGCCGCTGCGTCACCCTTCTAGAAAAGACGACCATCCATACGTGCATAATTTCTGCATAACGTTGGTGTCACGCCAGGTCCCATGCATTTCGAATGGCAAAGTTCTCGTATCGCGGCGGCCGTCTTCACCGTGCTCCGACTGCCCTGCATTGGAGACAAAAGCAGCTCTTGCCGATGCCTACTCCGCCGTATCGAGGCAGTGTTTGCTTGGTCGTTTGTCCAGTCACGAAAGGGCTTGTGACTCGATGTGACTCGATGTTATTGATGTCAGTAATGGCGCGTCCCAAATTTCATTTTGCGCGTCCAGGTCATCGTTAGAATTCGCCTAGCCAGGCGCACAGTTGGTGTTCGAGGTATCCTACTAGAAATGCTAGTGCATCGTGGGAGCTCAGAAGGACCCTGACGATCCCATGGGTGAGCGACTCCTGCTGCAACAGAAGATGCCCTGGAAATCCTGAATGTTTCTAATCTCGACCAGAACCTAGAATAAAGATCAAGCCGTGTTTCTTCCGCAGGTGCTGGAAACGAGTAGTGGCATTCTGATATACCTCGGATGAACGATAGGCTCTTGTGCAACAACAGCATCAAAGGGTCTCGTAGCTGGTACTGTTCAAGACGGCGAGGTCGGACAAGGAACTGGTAATAGTAACAGCTCGTATCGAAGCCAGATATAGCAGCAACAACGGCAGCACGTGTGATCGCGTACACCCGGCAGTCGGGGAGCGTTCCGCCAATCCTGTCAAGAACGGTCTAGTTCACTTGGCCCTGTCCAAGATCGCCCGGTTGCCTTGAAATTAATTGAATCCGATGGACAGCGTGCCTGCGACCGCATCACCGACGCGTACCGATGCAGCGGATGCGCCGTCTTTGCTTTTCAGCTCGAGATATTATTACTTCGTGCTGGTTGTCTTCAAGTCCACGAATGACCTCATATGCTCGTTGCGCGCCCTTTTGGGGATGCGGAGTCGTGCTCCTAGGCCTATCATCGCACATCTCCCAGAGCTTGGCGAGGCTTGTCTTTTCAGCAGCGCAAAAATAGCCTGCGACAGTCGGACGTGAGGGGCGCGTACTGAAACTGCTGTTTTGTTGCACAGTGCCATTTTCAACAGCAGGAATACGAAAGAAGCAGAAGACGCGTCGAATGGCAGCCTTGAGTTCTGCCTCTCACGTGGTGTACGCCGGCGTGCTGCAAGTTGACGCAGTGTCGGCTCAGCCTTCAACCCGCTACGTCGGCTGCGTTCCGGTGAGCTGTATCTTGCCGTGCTAAAAACCCCAGGCCCGTCGCGCGGCCGACAGATCGGTGGCAGAAAGACTCCTATTCGTCGGAATACGAGCAAGGCTGTGACTCAGCTGGGCATTCCACCTCATCTCCCCTGGGTCCCAAAGAGAGCTACCCACCCCCTCGTGGAGGTGCTCCACATCTCCGGTCTAAGCCCCCAAATTTTCTCGCAAGTTGGTGCGTGCCAGTCGTGCGGGCTGTATATATCGCGCAGGGGAAGGCTGTTTGCAGCCTTACGCATGTTGAGATCTCCCATGTCGCTGCCATCGCTGCCTGATCGCCAACCCATGGACCATTCCGACGGCTCTTCGAACAGTTCGCCAGATACTTGCCCTGAGATTCGCAGTCGAAGCAACAGCCGAGAAGAGAGCCAACAACCGCCTCCTCAGCCTCGCAAACCGATCCCGAGGAAGGGCCACACCAAGTCTAGACGAGGCTGCTACAACTGCAAGCGACGTAGAATCAAGTGTAATGAGAAACATCCGGAATGCAACCACTGCATCAAGGCAGGGTTACGCTGCGAGTATCCAGCAAATATCATTCAGACAACGCAGCGATCACAGCTGTCTCCAAATCCCCAGGAGATGGTGAATTTGCGCTCAACGCCTGGCGTGTTCGTGAGTGATCCAGATGTCTTGCGTTGCGCGGCAGCATCTGACGTGTAAGGTAGACTATGGCGGATATGCGCCTGTTCCACCACTTTTTGATCACGGCGTATCCTCATCTGCCGGTAGGAGCGGACAAGATATGGATCACCGTGATACCAAGCTTCGCACACAATGTAAGTCATGTCTGCTTCAAGACCCCTAGGGTTGCCTCCTGCGTCATGATGATATTCGACGCAACAGTGGTGCACGCAGATATTCAGTCCTCCATTGAATCAGTGCTGATATCTGCAGTATGAGTACCTGATTCATTCGATTCTCGCACTGGCGGCATCGCACCTGGACGCAGTGTCAAGTGCCAATGTTGCTGAAGAGGCTATATCGCATCGGATACTGGCAGTCAAGGCATTGAACGAAGCGCTGTCAGTGCCGCCGAAGACGAGGAACGAGCGTGATGCGAGAATGGCGGCGGCGTTGGCACTCGCATTCCAGTCAAGCCATCTTCAGGATGGTCTCCTAGAGTTCCTGACCATGGTGAGGGGTTGCAATCTAATCGCCTTGGAGGGCACGCTGGACACCGTCGATTCGGCCTTTCACGTGAGTCCTTATTTCGTGTGCAATTCCATTCTCGGGCAGGTATTGTAGCAGACAGAAGCTGACCAATCCAGGCATTTCGGGAAGATGGGCATCTTGCGACGATGCGAACACGTATGTGCGCGTCGCAGCAGAATTTTGTGGACCGAGATGACCTGGATCTTGCCGCTTTATCGATCCACGATATCGAGTTGCTCAATATGACCGACTGGGAGAGGATGTTCTGGGATGCGTTGATCCGAACAGTGGAGAACGCCTACGACAGACCGATCCAAGCGTATACTACTTTTGTCCAACTGTATAACATCCCATCGCGATGGACGCACGACGAGTTTCAGTCTTTCATCGATCCAAATAATAGTGTCGCTCAGATTCTGTTAGGCCATTTTATCGCGCTGCAAGCTGTGTTGACGCCGATTTTGATGCTCGAAAGGGTAGGATTCCAGGGTATCGATGCACCAACCTCCGTGCTAGGATGGGTCGACGGAATTTACAAGAACGTGCCTCCTGGGTTGAGACATTATATGGAGTGGCCCAGGCAGGTGACGCGGTATCCAATGATGAGGTTCTATGGGCAGAAGCACCTAGGTTACTACGAGTGAGCATGGGACTCGGAGATTCTCACTTGATAGCGAAACCGATCCTGAGGTGGAACCGTCGAAGAAGGAAGTTCTGGGCGACAGTTGGAGGTACGTGTCATGATACCCTGGCGGTCTTCGCACCTGCCAATGCACTCGCTTTGTTGCTTTGAGACATTCGCTCCTAGCAGTCATCTATCAATCCTGTATAATTAGAAGTAATCCGTTCGTCAAGAAGAGATTATAAAAATTGAATGTGAAGGTGCTGAAGTGAACACGTTGTGAGAGTGTTGGAACCAGTCAGCAGTGACGATTGCGAAGATGGAGCTGGTGTACACTCTGCAGGAAAGCGCCGATCCGCTTCAATCTAATCCGCGTATTGAGTGACGGGTATAAGTTGAAAATGATGGCTGGTTCAGAATGCATGTTATTCATTCGGTCAAGAGTCTGGGTTGGTCTTACTCAAGGGCATGCATACACAACCAAGGCAGGATAAGACAAATCACAGAACGGCATATATACAGCTGAACCCAGTCCACTTCGTCTCATCTCATCATTATGCATCTCACCCCACCATCAAAGTAGAGAGTTTCGTCCGTCCCATCCCATGATATATCTAACACGCGCAACCCCCGGTTGCCCAACCTCGCCATTTATCCCTCATCAAAGGTATACAAAGCACACGTCGTCCCGACATCATGAAACAACACGCGCCAATCCATATGCACATGCAAAGCCAAAAGAAACAAGAAAGGAAAAATCAGACATTACAAAGACCGCCGGAAATGAAGGGCAAGAAAGCGCGCAGATGGAGATACGATGTGTCGAAAAGTGCGCCGCCCCATGTTGTTCTGTAAGAAACCCTTGCGGTTGCACCTCGCAGAGGCACGGCGACCCGCGACCGCCATGGTTGGGGGGAATACATGTTATAAACGTGTTTTTTTTGGTACATGCGACGACTGCTGACTCCTGGTATATGCGATAACAATGTGGAAACCGAACTCGACGGGTATATGTGTTTGTGACCAGGATAGTATGAGACGGTAGTCGTACATGTGGATCAGTAACTGGAAATAAGTATGGGTAGTAACGCAGCAGCCCAAGTGGATCGGCATGGGTGGGTGGACCAAGTGGATCAGTCGATGCCCGGCGGTGGAACCTTCTTCACCGTGCCGTTACTCCCGCTGCGGTTCGAGCGACGTCGATATCCGAGTTCTTTACGAACATTTGCCCGGGCAAGCTCGGCATTGGTAATGGATTCGCTTCGTGAAGGCTTAGGCGCAGGCTTCTTTTTCCCCATGACTAGAAACTCCTCCTCTGAGTCTTCGTCTTCGCTCTCGACAGCATGGTCTCCGTCATAGCCAGCTGGGTCGTCAGTTGGCGTGTTGAATTGGTTGATATGAATGGAGCTGCCAGAAGCTGCAGGTGTCATCTTAGACATTGCATGTTCATCCAAGGCCAGCGACGACGTTGCCGAAGCCACTGAAGGGACCGACGGGTTTGAAGTAGACTGCGATATGCAGGTGAACTGCTCTTCTGACGAGCTTGATGCGATTGGTCTCATCTGGGCTGGAGTCATGACTGGTCTGGTGACGGGACTAGTTGCGTATGGCGGCTGCTGCACATGCTGCTGGCTGAGGAACTCTTCGACTTTGTGGTGGCGTTGAAGGAAAATTTCATCATCAGGGCTTGGAGGACACTCGATCTGGCTCTGAGCAGATGGAGGTCGTTGAGAGGAATTTAAGTTGGCTCTTTGCCGTTCAAGCTCCGCCTCTCTGAGCCTTCGGCGAAGAAATTCGTCTTTGGCCCTGTTGAACCTGTCTTCCGATGTTTCTTGAGTCGCAGGCGGGGCTGCAATAATTGGCGCAAGATCTAGGGAAGGTCCAACTTCTAGCTCATTGTTGGCAGCCCAGGACTTGTGCAGACGTGACGACATTGACGACAATGAAGACTGTCGCGATGAAGCCCTTTCCGCACGGCTAGCAGTATACAAGTCCGACAGTTGAGGAGACGTGCCCAAAATAGTAGGCGAGAGTTCCTTGAGCAGATCCGGCTGGTCAACCGTCCCAGAAGCAAAGTCAGTGCTTACCGCCAGACTGGCCATCCCATGAGGGTCGTCGCTCGAACCAAACATCCTGTCGATAGACTTTGCGCGACTGACCTCCCGGGGAGGTATCAGTCGCCTCTCCTCAGGTCTTGTATCATGTACTACACGTTTCGGCATGCCGCCGTAGATGCCACTAAGGTTTGAGCCACCTGGTGTATCAAGAGCCGTCGGGGTCCCCGGCAGCGCTGGTGGAATGCCCGGTGATGATGGAAAGCCCTGCGCAGACCACTCCCCCAGGCGGACAGTGCGAATGGAAGCAGCCGACGACAATGTGGAATGCGCACGGTCGGGGAGACGCGGGCGCCCACCAAAAGTCAACGGAGACGGATGCTCACGGCTTTCGGCGCTGTGAGCCGGCGACGCGGTCCGAGAATTTGCGCCGTCGAAATACCGCGACCGAATGCTCGTATCAGGGCTTGCTGTTACGCTATGGGAAAGCGGATGTTCAGATTCTCTCGACTTGCTAAGCGCTTCGTATATAGACATGCCTGGACCTAGACTTGGTCGGCGTCCTTCCTGGCTGATAGTGCTGCTCGACGAGTTTGCACTGAGGCTAGGAGGACCATCTTGCCCGCTAGTCGTGCTCTGAGCTCTGTTTCGTGGTTTGGACTCTCGACGGGTCAGACTGCGGGTGATGTCTTTGAGTTTGGTGACAGTGTATCGCATCTTCTCAAATAGAGCGCCGAAAGGAACGACGGCCTTTTCGATATCTTCCTTGGAAATTTCGATCTTGTTACCCTCAAGTTGCTTCTCGGTCTCCTTGACCCATTTGTCTGCATTGTCGATGCCTTGCATAAGCCAGGGGTGACGCTTAATATCGGGTATCGTTATTCGCTTTCGTGGATCCTTGATCAATAGTCTCTGCAATAGGTCTCGCAAGTCCTCATTGACAGCTTCGTAGTCGAGATCGTGGTCCATCCTCTTGTCGCCGGAACTCAAAAACATGCGCCCATGCGAGTTCGGTCGAGAGTTAGGACTATCATCTACAGGCTTGAGCCGATATGTGGGGATGTACGGCTCGTCATCGGTAATGCGCTTCATCAGGAAGAATTGATTCTGATCGTGGAACGGAACACGTCCGTAGATGAGGCAATACAATGTTACACCAAGCGCCCAAACATCGATGGCTTTGTCGATTTTGTAAGGCTCGGCGTCAAGCTCAGTGTTGCAGAGTTCGGGTGCATAGAAAGCCGGCGTCCCAACTGTCTTAGCCAACTCGATGGCCTCGTCGACCTCTGGTGCATCAGATTCGGACTGGTCGCCGGTGCTGTCCTGACGAGGCGCACTCCCCAGGTACGAGACACCAAAGTCGGAGATCTTGACCCGTCCAAGGGATGTCATGAGTAGGTTCGCAGGCTTGATGTCGCGGTGAATGACATTCTGGAAGTGGAGATACTCCAGCCCGAGGACGGTGTCTCGAAACGCCGCGCGAGCTTTCTCAATCGTCATGACGGGGACGTAATGGAAATGCTCAGGAACTTCTTCCTCGGCATTAGTAAGGTGCGATGAGCTGCTGCCAGCGATGCTTGGGGTGCGACCACGGAACGCTTCTGTGTCGTATGCCCCATACATTGTCCCTTCTAAACCAGTCGGGGAAGAGGACTCCTCCCGCGCGTTAGCCGAAGGCGTCCCAGCGCGGAAGGCAGTCTCCATGGCAGCATCCTGGCTGATGCTCGATCCCTGGCGATCAGAACAGGCCAACCGACTAGCAGGTCTCTCGCCTTCACGTGCTGACGCTCGAGGGCTGTATTCGTTGTCCGAGTAGTCGTCTTCCGAGTCACCACCAAGCTCAAGACTCCAAGCCTCATTCCCGGTCTCTTGCATCTTCAAGAGCCTACGTTTTCTGGCCTGGCGCCGCTGTTGCCGTTGTAGTTTCTGGTGTGCTAGCTTGATGATAGCATCATCCTCCATCTTAGCGCTCTCGTTGTCGAAGATGCCTTCGGACTCCCGCTGGATGCGGCGCCATTCTACAAGACAGATTTCTTTAGCACCTTCCTTTCTCCACTTTACCTCACCCAGTGAGACGTGTTCCAAGATGATGTAGACCTTCTTTTTAGAGGGATCATCGATGACTTCGAGAAGGCCAACGATGTTTTCGTGACGAGCCTTCTTGAGAATGGCGATCTCCCGCTTGATCTTGTCTTCATGGCTCGTGTTCTTCCCTAGGCGACGGCGTTTTGAGTAGCGGTCGATGATCTTGATTGCGACTGTAGCACCGCTCTGAAGATCGCGCCCCAACTTGACCTTGCCGTGCATGCCGCGGCCTAATTCGTCGAGGATCTCATAGTGGTTGATAATCTTGCGTCCGGACATAGGGTCCACATCCACATCGGCCACGTGCGTTTCCTTTGGTGCTTGTCTGTGCGTATAATGGAGCCAGGGGCCCGAGTAGAGGTTGTCGTCGGATTGTTCATTGTGCCGGAGTCGAGGCTCGTTTGGGCTGAAGAGGCCAGGGCTGCTCGCCGGAGAGTTTCCAACGGTGCGAGAGCCAGTGTCCATGAGGCCGCCGCGATAATGCTCGCCAGGCAGCCCAAAAGTGGAGATATGCGACATGGAATATCCCGAATGGTGGGAAGGCTGCGAGCTTTTAGCGCGCAGGATGTACGGGGTCTGGTTCGGGTGCTGTTGCAACTGGAGGGCGGCATAGGATTGATTGGGATAGACGGGACCGTCCCGGGGCTCTGGAGGGAGGTAGGCGTGGGACGCGTCTACCGAGTTCGCACGGACCGTGGCAGCGCTGGCTGTCGATGCGCTCGAGAGGTCGCGTTGAAACGGTGGACGGTCAGTTTCCGAGGAAGGTGCAGGCGACGGCCTACTTGCCCGCCACGAGGACGCAAAGCTGCTCGAGCGCGGCGGGTTTAGGGCAGCATCCTCACCTGTAGGCGACGGCTCGGTGGAGGGATTCGTGTGCGGTATTTTGGAGGGCAGCACCCGCAGCGGCTGGGGCGAGAAGTAGCTGGGCTCTGCGGTGAGCGAAGAGGTGTGGTGCCGCAGCGTCTCGTTGACGGCATCCGAGACCGAGGGAACCTCTGAGCGCGGCGTGCTGTCGGCCTCGCCTCCCTCTGCCGGCCTGTCCCCATGCTCTACCGTGGTGTTTTGTTGAGCGTTGGCGTGGAAGGGCGCAAAGTCGTGGACGGCAAGCGCAGACGCCTCGTTTGCGTCCATGTAACACACGGCGGACGAGGGCGAGTGGGATTGCGGAACGTCTGCCCTCGGTTCCACCTCTTCCGCTGTCAAGCTCGTACTCGGGTCGTCGGCCATGGCAGCCGCAAGGTGGGCGTCCTGCAGGTTTGGATTCATTCGGACTCAGGCGCCAGATCGCGCCGACGTGGCCTCGCACCCTTAGGTAGATGGCACAACCATGTCTTGCCGCGGTCGTTTATGCGTTATCGGAGGGGCGCGAGGGCGATGGCCGTAGCATGCTGGTGCGGGCTGGGAGTCGGGGTGCAGCGATGCCCTCGAGCGGGCTGGGCGGGCGCTGTTCTGTGCAGGCGCCGTGTCTGGCAGTGGGGTGTGGAGGGGCGTTGGGTGTCTTTGACGGGCCGTGGTGGTTGAGACAGGCACTGACAGGCACTGGCAGGCACTTTCGAGTGGCCCGACGTCGCGGAGGACTAGCAGCTCAACCGAGCGGGCAGACAGCACAAGGTAGCCGTTAGGGGCAATGATGGACGCAGGGCAGATGATTTGGCGCAAGTGTAGGGACGGCGGTATATGACGCTGAGGCGGGCAGAGACGTAAGGTGGGTCGCCCTCGGAGCAGTGACGGAGTGACGGACGGACAGTGCGCCAGAGCTTGAGGCCGGGACCGAAAACAAAGCCTCGCAGCTACGTACAATGCATGCAGTCGACACGGGCAGGGCGCGAACAAAAGGGCCCGGCAGGCAGCCCGGCCAGTGCTGCTCTCTGGCAGGAAGTGGGCCTGGCGGTCTTGCGGACGCTGCTGGGGATCTGCCAGTGCGCGACGACGTCCGCGCAGAGAGCGAGCAGATGGCTCGAGCGATGCCAATGCGCCGCAGCGTTTCACGCCCCACCAGCGCAATTCCAGTCTACCCGTATCGCCGCACAGAGCCAATGACGTCTACTGCGGCCGTCGCGAACAGGTGATTCCATACGCGGGCGTCGGTAATGATGCAGCATGGCGTGCACGCTTGCGAAAGCTCCCTGGCGCGCTGCGCAGCCGCTAGCCCGCCGCAGCCAAGCGCAGCCTGGGCGTGATGCACCATCCCGGACGCGCTCTTTGCAGGGCGCGTCAAGGTCCCAACACGATGCGTGTGGCGTTCTCAATGCCTCGAGAGGGTGTTCGCTGCTGATCGTTGGGCCTGCCTGCGTGCGCGCCCTCGATGCTGCTGTCTTGGGCGCCGCAGCGATGCCATGTTGACGAGAACAATGGCCTCTCCACCACGACGGCCGTGCCTCTCGTCGCCGTGGCCCTCGCCCCGCTGGCGATGCACGCCGACTCCGCACTGCCAACGCAGGTCGACGGGGCAAGAGTACGTACAGGAAAGCGTGCTGGGGCGCGCTGCGCTAGGCACACTGTACGGTATCATTTCAATAATGGGGATCGGATCCAACAGGCCACAGCACCCAGGGCCTCCTCATGCGCCCGCAGCTACGGTCTTTTCTCTAGCCGCGATAAGCAATACCTGACCAATGTCATGTTGCAGCAGCCGCAACCCCAGATTTTCGCCCTCGCCCCTCGTCTGTTTTGCTTCTTCGCTCCCGCCTCCTGCACCTGTCCCAGAGAGCGACGACAGCCGCCGAACCCGAGCGACCGAGAGACCCGAGTGGAGCACCAGCGACCCTCCGCCGCCCATCGTGTTTTCACGGCCAGCAGCCTCAGCAGCGCACACGCATAGTAGCCCACGAGAAAATACTGACGTGGCCGCTGCCAGCCGCGCTTTTTCCCAAGCGCTGCGCTGCTGCGGCCACGACTCGGCGCCGGCCACCTCACGATGCCTAGTCTGGCGTTGTGCCGGGCGAGCGCGAGCGGACTGCGACTGCAGCACGCATGAGCTATCGTGAAATACCCTTTTGCGTTAGACTGCGACCTCATTTTCCGTCACGGTGCCTGGTCAGAGCGCCCGCAATTCCTCGCTTGCAGTTACACCCTGCGCCGCGCCAGCTCACGGACCGCCCATCGACGTTCCAGGCCGGCCCGCACTTTCTGCTCTCCATCCTCGCCATTCCCAATCCTCGTCATCGTGCTCGATTGCGCCGCCGCTTGATTGCTCCATGCCCGCCAGCGACACCCACACGGCCACGCAAGAGGCCAAGACTGGCCATGCACCTCCATCCCGATCCTCCACCAGCTATCGTGACTTCGCGCTAGGCCCATTCGCCCTGCTGCTGGCCTTCCGCATCGTCAACGCTTTGACGCTGCGCACCTTCTTCCAGCCCGACGAGTTCTTCCAATCCCTTGAGCCAGCATGGCAGCTTGCCTTTGGCCAGCCCGCCCGCGCCTGGATTACCTGGGTAAAGCCCCCTCGTGCCGTGCCCACCACCATGCCCTCGCTCGTCTCGCACACAGTCCCATCGTATCTCACACTTTGTTCAGGAGTGGACCGCCCAGCTGCGGTCGTCCTTGCATCCCGAGCTGTTCGCCGTCGTCTACAAGGTGGCGGCAGAGCTGGCTGAACTCTGTGGCTTGGGCCCTCCTGCAAAAGCCGAGCTGCTCCTGGCTGCGCCGAAACTTACCCAAGCGGTATTTGCGGCACTGCTAGATTGCTACACCTGGAAGATTGCTGAGAAAGCCTACGGTCGTGGTTGTCGCACTGCATATACTACTGTGCGTAGCCCGCCCGTCATATTGCCAACGTCCTCGTAGATTCTGATGCTCCGCGACCGTAGCTTGCATTGTCCGTATGCAGTCCCTGGCAGTGGTTTTGCTCGACCAGGACCTTGTCCAACTGTCTTGAGACGTCCATCACAGCTGTTGCAGTTTATTACTGGCCTTGGCACGCGCCGGGGCCTGCATCGCATGATAAGAAGCAACCCCAAATTGCCGGCCAAGACTCGCCCCTACACTCCAGCGCTCAGTAAGTGTGAAGTGGAACATGGAAACGTCGTCCGCGCAACCCTCTCTAGCGCCGGCACTGATACACTTGCTGCAGGCTGCGTCTGTCGCTGCTACTAGCAGCCTTCGCCTGCATTCTACGCCCAACCAATGCCCTCGTATGGATCGTTCTATTGCTCCCAACATGGTGGCACGCCTCAACCCGGCAGCGATATATTCTGATCCGTGAAATTTCGCTCTGCGGGTAAGTTTTGCATACATCCGCTTGCCCTGGTCCCATTCCATATCATCAACCCCAATCGGCGATCGACTGACACCATCAGTGTTGTCACCATCGCCTGTTCTGTCCTTTCCGACAGGTTCTACTACCAGGCATGGACCTTCCCGCCCCTACGGTTCCTCTACTTCAACATCGTCCAGTCATTGGCCGTCTTCTATGGTAAAAACCGCCCCGACTACTACCTGACCGAAGGGCTGCCCCTTCTGCTCACGACGGCCTTGCCCTTTGCCCTCGTCGGGCTCTGGCACGGCCTATCTGGGAAGCTGTCACCTCACTCCGGACACACCCGGGACGCTGAAGCCCAAACGCTGCTCTCCCGACTGGCGTGGATATCGCTACTCGTTACCGCTTTCCTGAGCCTGATCGCCCATAAAGAAGTCCGCTTCCTATACCCTATCCTGCCCTTCCTACACGTGCTCGCCGCCAAGCCCCTCGACACCTTCTTCCCTTCCCACACGTCGATCCCCCGCAAAGCCCTTCTTGTCTTTCTCCTCACTACCAATCTCCTCATCGCCGGGTACGCCAGCCAGGTCCACCAGCGCGGCGTCATCGACGTCCTCGCCCACCTCCGTCATGAACATGAAGCACGCAATTACCCTGCATCCGGTACCGGTGCCGTAACGCGCCCAACCAATTCCACTACTGCCTTTCTCATGCCCTGTCACTCCACGCCCTGGCGCAGCCACCTCGTCCATGCCTCCCTCTCCGCCTGGGCCCTGACCTGCGAGCCCCCACTCTCGATCCCGCCTTCGGACCGAGCCGCGTACCTTGACGAGGCGGACCAGTTCTTCGTCTCCCCCGGACCCGCTGGTTGGCTGGCGGAGCACATGGAATACGTCGACACGGTGAGGGCGAGCGGCAGCCGGTCGAGCCGCCACTGGGGCCGCGTCGACCCCAACGTGCAGCGCGCGAACAGACGAAGCTGGCCGCAGCACCTGGTTTTCTTCGCGCAGCTGGAGCCTGTGCTCAAGGAGTACTTGAAGGAGAGCAGGTACAGGGAGTGTTGGCGGGGATTCAATTCGCACTGGCACGATGATTGGCGTAGGCGGGGGGATGTGTTGGTATGGTGCTTGGACTGAGGGACGCAGGCGGGACGGCGGAGAGATCTGTGCCTCGCATGGCGCGGAGCCGGGGGCGGAGCCGCGGCCGCGGCCGCTGCTGCGTGGTGTGCTGGATGTATCTATGTAATTACCGTATGTATTTTGTGTGTCGTTGGTTGGCAATTATCCCAAGACCAGGGTCGGACGGCGCCCCGATTCCGAACGGGCCGGTCCTTTGAAGGATCGAGCTTGGATCAACGCATCTGCCACGCCACCCAACAGCTCACCGCGTGCGTCGATCCCGCGAGAAAAAAAGAAAAAAAGCATGATAGAAAAAAAAATCTTCCACATCCTTGTACCTGCAGATGTACTGTGGGATCGGGCCGGACCCAATCGCTTGGTGAACGCCGTAGTGTTTCAGGGCTTCGGGGACAGGTTGGATGGTCGCAACAGGGCCGTGTGTTTAGGCACCGGATGCTGGAGCTCTTGATTGTGGCATAGATTGCTAGAGACACAAGGTTACAATTTCATCCATTCTCTTCTGTTCAGGGTCTTACATCCTCCCTCGGTGGAGCGAAGGCAGATATGTGGACGAATTGCGCGTAGCCAGTCCGTCGCCCTACCGTACGCATTCCGATACGTACCTACATCGATGGAGATGTATTTGCCCATATACAGTATCACCGCACCGTTGAACAGATAGGCGTCCTCGTTTTTGCTATCCGCGGTGCATACACTGCCTGTCTGTCGGTGTGCATCTCCACTGCGCAAGCGTTCGCAAGCGTAGACTGAACCTGCAGTTGCGCATTCACACACACACACACACACACACACACACACACACACACACACACACACACACACACACACACACAGTGTCTCCAGCTCGAATGTGCAGCAGTGCACTCCAGGATTCCATCGCACTGCTGTCCATATCCTGCTCGGCCTTTCCACACGACACAGACAAAGCATGGCGCTTCCCTTGCATCTCTACCGCTACCTCCATCTTGTCCAAGACCAGTCTGCTTTCTTGTCGCGTCGTTCCCGGAACTATCAGACAGCAGACATCTCAGCTTGATCATGCAGAGGGAGAAGGAACTGTGCGTGCACGCTACCAATGCTCATATAAATGTAGACGTTCCTCTACGGCTGGTGGCCAGGGGCCTGAAACGTTTCGCTCTTTGCGTACATGTAGACCAGAGGAAGTCACTGTTTGGTCCGATCGGAGGTGAAGGAGGTGAAAGGTCAGGCTGGGAGAGTTCTGTCGGATCATCCTTGTAAGAAGACATGTCATATGGAGAGATCTGACGTCGGTTGTTCGAACAAGCATGAATTATTCGTGCACGAATTCTAAGCCGTGGGTCGACCGATTGGATGGACCAGGGAGACATCACTGGTGCAGAGGTGAGCAGTGAACAAGAGTTCGGCAGTTAAAATGGAGACGTTTCTCCGAGCAAAGTATCGCTTCCACAATGATGGAGCGAAATGGGGTGGACTACAAACGATCTATTCCCCAAATTAGGATGCACGTGCTCACTAATGACACACGTAGGACATGACGCCAACTAGTGCCCATAACTCTACAACAAGACCTTCGCGGCAACACTGACGAGCCAGGCTGCGTCCGCCCAGCCCCCGCCTTCTTCACCCGGAGGGAGCTTATCCCCAGCAGCATCAGTCTCCTCACCGGCATTATTCTTGCTATTCGGTGCCTGGACCGCGGCCGCAGCAATAATGGCCTCGCGCTCAAGCTTCCGCCGCTTCGCGTCGACCTCGCGCCGCAGCTTCAGCTCCTCCTTCGTCATGTTCTCCGGTCTGGGCGTCTCATCCTCGTCCTCATCATCCGAGGATGACTCCTCGCCGTCTTCGTCCACGCTGAACAGCGTCCACCCCATCAGCCGGTCCACCCACGTGCCTAGGCCGAACCCGCGCTCGCGCGCCAGCCTCGCAATCTCTTCCTCGTCGCCTTCATTCTCCTCGTCCGCCTCCACGAAGTCCGCCTCTATGGGACTTTCTTCAAACATGCTATCATCATCGAGCTCAAGGCTACGACGCCCGCCGGGAGTCCTCATACCGCTAGCGGTCATCACCAGGTCGGCACGGCTGCCAACCCGGGAACCCCTTCGGCTTGTGCGCGCGCTGGGGACGCGACTGACGACGCGGCTCTGAGCGCGGCTGCCAGCCCGCGAATAGCGCGGCGTGAAAGTGCTGTACTCGAAATCGGCCAGGTGCTCGCCGGAGAGTAGCGCCATGTGCCGGCCGTCGTGCGAGGGGTGCTCCTCATAGTCGTCGCTCTGGTGGACGAGGCTCGTGGAGCTCTCCCGCCGCACCAGCCACCCCTGGCCCTTGGAGTCTCTCGTCTCCCCGGCTATCACCATGCCGGCGCGGTGGAACCATTCGTTGGCCGACTCGCTGGTATGATGGCGGACATGGGGGGGACGCAGAGGCAGGGGCGCGGTACCCTTGCGCGCATGATGGCGGCCTTTGGGCTGGTCGACGAAGCTCACGCCTGGAAGGAGTGCGGTGGTGCTCTTCGCCTTGGGCACGTCGCCAGCATCCCGCACAGGGACATCCGGGTTCATGAAGTAGCCATCATAGGCGTATGCCTTTGTCTTGCGCCGGCCATTGCGGGAGTTGCTGCGGCTCTGGCTCAGGCTGAGAATGCCGGGGGTGGTGGGGGCGCTCTTTTGGGCAATGTACGAGGTGCGCGGGGTGTAGATGCGGTCCTCGTCTGGGGATGGCGGAGCGGAGGCATCGAGTGGATACTGCTTGCTTAGCGGGGCCAGCGAGAGGTTGTTCAGGTTGAGGTTGGGGTAGGAGCGGCGCGTGGACCGTGAGCGGGGAGGGTCCATGGCGCTTCACGGGAAGATGGGAATTCGACGGGGCTATTAGGCCTGAGACGTTGAAATGTCCATGGGGCGATGGACTGATTCAAAAGGCAAGCCAGCGTGCTTGCTGCTGCCCCGAGGTCCAGCAGCTTTCAGAAGCTCGTGCACTGCGCACGGCCGCGAACGCGGGAGCGCCAGGCTGGAACGGGCATGGGCGATGGCCTTCACATGTCTCCCCACCATGACTGGACGATTCTGCATCGTTCGACTGGAACCCGTCCGCGGCCAGTCACCGCCGTGACAATCACCCCATTAGCACCAGCAAGCAGGTCTGGCGTCCTCGGAGCGGGCGTCGGCGGAGACGGCGCTCAACGACGGCGCCAAGGAGCTGGTAAGCGGACGAGACGGGCGAGACTGGCGAGACTGGCAGGGAGGCACCGGCTGGCTAGTTAGGCCGTACCAGCGAACACGACGGGGGCGTCTCCGATAAAAACCAAACCGCGTCGTTGTGGGAGGGGCGATGAGGACGCAGCGGTCGCGTGCGACGGACGGCGGAGTGCGAGGGCGAGCAGAGACGGCACCACACGCCGCAAACCTCGCCGGTCGCAGGGCGCTGAGCAGGGTGCTCTGATGCGGCTCTGCGACAGACAAGCAGCGTCGCGTCGCGGGCCAATGCCCGGGCGCGGTGACGTCGTGGCCTGCTGCGGGGGAAGTTCGGCGGCGCCGTTGCGACTCGTTCCGAGCTGTCCCCTGACTAAGCCTCCAATTTGTCGTCGGACGACTGTGTGCTCGCGGCTTGCTCTTCAACACGACCACTGCCAGTTTGCACCTCGCCTACTCTAGCCTGGCCTCCGTCATTCGCGTCCCCACCACACATTCACACGCCCACTACCCAAACGTCTGCGCCTGCCCTTCCACACCCAACTCTCCACCACCCTCCACCCTTTGACGACTATGCACATCGCCAACTCCACGGTCTGCACCCACAATACACCATGCATCCTTTAAACCACCGGTAACCGCGAAGTAAGTCAACCGCCCAGCACCCTCCTCCCTCGCAGAACCACGGAACCGCGCCGCCTCCACGGCTCGCCTGTGGACACGCGACATTGTGACAACCATGGCTGCATAATGCAATTTTACGTTCAACGCTCACAGCGTCCTAGGCCTCGCTCCGCAGGTGGCTGCACTCTTCTTCATAAGAAGAACGCCTCCATAGCATCCCCAACCCCCAGATTCCCGCCAACTCTCTCGCGCCTTAGAGTTTCCACCACTCGAGCCTTAACACCGACGCGAAACGCGAAGCTCCGGGTGCGGGTATAAGCTGACTTGCCTCTGGTGACGTCCGTCCTAGCGACGAGTACAGGCCTACAGCAGCCCCAACGGTCGTTCGCCTACCGGCTCCGTAGACCGCAGCCCTGTCCAATCTCAACGTCACGCACCGCCATCATGTCCACCAGCACAGTCGAGCAGCCTACTGCCAGGAGCAGCCTGTTCACGAGCGTCAAGAGTTACTTTGCTAGCCTGGGCCTTTCTACCAACACCCTCTTGACCGAACACGCGGAGTGCACGCACCACGAGGATCTAGTCGATGGTGATGAGAACGCAGACGTTGCTACAACACGCACCCCATCTCCCATCACAGAAACGATCGCCCCCGGGCGGTTGCGCTCCTTGTTCCCACCCAGCAACTACGGCGCTGTTGTCCCAGGCAGTGTGTACCGAAGCAGCTATCCCCAGGCAAAAAACTTCGACTTCCTGCGAAGCTTGAAGCTCAAGACCATCATCACCCTGGTTCCCGAGGAGATCTCGGAGGAATATCGCGAGTTCATGAAGTCGGCCGGCATCCAGCACTTTCAGGTGCATATCAACGCCAACAAGGGCGCCGTCCGAGTCCAGAGCTGCGATATCAACCGCGCTCTGAACATCGTGTTGGACCGCTCGAATCACCCCATCCTTATCCACTGCAATAAGGGCAAGCACCGGACTGGGTGTCTCGTTGCTACCGTGCGGCGCATCCAGGGTCTCGACATTGACGCCACCCGCCACGAGTACCACACGTATGCGGACCCGAAGGCTCGCTTCTGGGACGAAGTCTTCTTCGAGCATTTTGACGTCAACACGGTGATGTGGCTTGCGCGCAAGGAGAATTGGGTGCTACCCGAGGTCGATGGGACGCCCATCTCGCCTCCGCCATCGCCAGTCCCGTCGCTGGCGGTCGCGAAGCCGCTGGCTTAGCAGCTAACAACCCCGGACGGGCAATTTCCTATGTTGTTGTTTTCTTACCTTCACACCGGACAAAAGGTGGAAATATCATCTTGCATCAGCGGCGGCGTCGGAAGGGTTAAAAAATAACTACCAAGTCCAAAAGAACTGGGCTCTGGCATTTTTCACAGAGGTGCCTGTCTACCCATCTGACGGGTTCTTCCATCGGGTTCTGCGCATCTTTTCTGGCGTTCTTTTCCTTTGTATGGTCAGCCCCCATCAGTGGCAGCAAAGGTCTATTAATCTGGCCTGGGATATATTGTGCGTTCCTGCTTCTTCGAAGTATTGTATTTTGTACTGCTACTGCATTTAGGAATATACCGGCACACACGCCTGACGTGCACTACTTCGCCACCATCATCCCTTCTCTGAATGCTTCCAAATGACGTGAAGCATCAAAAAAGACAGGTGTGACTCAGGTAAACCTTGTTCTCTTCATCCCAATCGGTGCTGTGACGAGAGTTTGCGTAGCCCGTATGACAGAAGCTGTATGGACACGGAAGTATAACAACTGTGCGAAGCATATGCCGGAAGCGTGAGGCCCGTCGTTTGTGATGACATTTCTCGCAGAAGAATGGAATTATCTTGGAGAGGGGCGCGTGGTAATCGTGTCGACTTTGGGGAACTACCGAAAATGTACGAGGAGGCGGTTGAAAGTTGAAACAAAAAAGGCTGTCGGTCAGTCTCACAAGTCTGAATGAGTATGAGAAGATCGAATATGAGTGACGATGGATGATGGTGCTCTGCACGTTGTCGGCCGGCGGAATGGAAGTGATCATTCACGATGAGTGGCCGCGAGAAAATTGGGACTGCGAGTGCGCGGTCGAGAGGTGGGTGAGTTGGAATGGGCGTTGCTGGTGCTGAAGGCAGCCTGGAGGGCTAAACAGATCTCGAGTACTAGGGAGACGGGATCCACTCCATGGTTTTTTCAGAGACCGACCAACAACGTCAGCCGTGCATGCTTGTACGCCCTTCTCGCGAAGGAGACTGCCACCCTGCCATATGCTACGTGTAGGGATCTTGTGAATGGCCAGGGATTGTCAACTGTACGATAGCAATGGCAGGTACTTGGGACCTTGTCGCCGAGGTTTCCTCGTTTTCGGCTTACTCCGAACTACTTCGCCTGTCTTGTTGATTAGTCTACATTGCATGACATGTGCGTCTCTTTGCTACTGATACAGTTTGTTAAGAAATGACCGCGCGCAACAGCTCAGTTCCGCGCTCACTTTGCCAGCTACTAATGGCAAGATATATTGCTTGTAGCGAGTCGGTCCACGTTTTATGTATCGTCGATTTCCTTCGCCGTCACAAATACAAACTTTCAGTCGCCTGCAACTCCCGCAAAATAATAGCTGACGACGGCGTTGCGCTTGAAAGGCCTGATGTCTCACTCGCACCTTCCCAACGATGAATTGCCATGCAATATCTCGCTATCTCAAATCACGCCTTCCCTTCCAAGAACCCACGAATCATGCCTACATACTATTTTGCAGCCCCCGACTCGCCGGTGATGCGGAATTGATATCCAGAATCGAAGTGCCTTGAAACAGCATACATGGTGACGAGGATTAAACAAACACCATGGCTTTGCTCCACCAATCATTTGCCACAGCCCGCAGTCAAGCACAGCGGTAAGCACCTGGCATAAGCTTCGTCCTCGTATCGAACTCTTACCGCTTGCACGCTACTCGAAACATAGTCCAGATGAACTCTAGTCTCCGCCAAGCACACAACACAGCACTGTCGAAACGGTTCTCGTGCTTGGCTCTCCAAACGCCTCTTCCTCAAACAAGCACGCGTAAGACTTCCAGCAGCCCATGCGACCGTAGCGTGCGAGATACAAACAAAGGCGTCGTGGCCCCGCCGGGGCCCAACCCCAGAGCGGCAATTCTCGTTCCCTGCACCCACGAAACAAGCATAGCGCCACGAAAGGACGCGCAATAGCTCCAAGCGCATCACCGCGACTACGCCCAGGGTGCGGCCCGCAGGCTTCACTTCACAGATCTTGGCGGTCGATCTGCGTTGTCAAGCGAACGCTTCTATTCGTCGAGCTGCGGTTTCGGTCGATGCCGCCAGCGCTGCCGCCGTCCGATGAGGCAGCTCAGGCACGCTGGCCTGAGGCGCACAGCGGGGGCGAAGTGTCGTAGTAATTGCTGCTGCTGATTGGACCACAGCAACGTTGACATGGTTTGGAAATATCCGAGAGGCATGGGGCGAAGGGCGTGGATCCTGGATGTTGCTCCCGGCTATGTGGGCGCGAAACGAGACCATGGTGGACAAGATGCTGTTCTTGAGAGATGGCATGTTGTTTGCAAATGAAATGGGTCCTGCCAAGTCGGGGGAACGATCGGTTGGGGAGATTCTGTTGCGCGTCCTGGGTGATGCGGTGCTTGGTGTGATGTCGATGTTGGCTATGGAACAGGCCAGGTGCAGGACTCCCTGATAGACGTCTTACAACGTGGTGTATAAAGAGTGCTCGGAGGCTCTACGTTGGAGCACCACCACTCAGTCTCTGCGGTTCACTCACTTTCGTCTTCCAGTCGTTACGCGTCAAGATGAAGTTCGCTGCGGTCATCAGTGCTGCGTTGCTCGCTCAGCAGGGCCTGTCCCATCCAGGACAAAGCCATGCTGAGATGCAGAAGGAGATCCAGGAGCGTCGAGAGTATTTGCGCACACACAAAAGGACTCTGGCCGACTGTGCAGAACAGCTCAAGGCTCGTGGCAACGATGCCCTCCTGCAGGCTCGCCGTTCTGCTAAGCTTGACGCTATGCGCAAGAAGCGTTCAATCAGTACAGGTATGCAGAGAACTGCTGCATGGCAGGTTCATGGCTCACAAGTTCCAGACAAGCCTCTGCTCAAGGCTCGCACTTTCGAGGATGTCCTGAACACCGACCACCACTCCAACCTGACCGTCACTCCCGAGACTGCCACCCCGGATATTCTTTTCACTGGCAATGCTAGCTGCACCCTTACTCCCGAGACGACTGAGGGCCCGTACTGGGTGGCAGGCGAGCTCGTCCGAGAGAACATCGTCGAAGGCCAGGCCGGTATACCACTAACACTCGACATCCAGGTCGTCGACGTGAACACCTGCGAGGTGGTTCCTCAGGCCTACACCGAGATTTGGCACTGCAATTCCACAGGTGTATACGGTGGTGTTGTTGCCGGCGGAAATGGCAACCAGGAAGACCTTTCCAATATCAACAACACGGCGCTTCGTGGTATCCAATTGACTGACGATGACGGAGTGGTTGCATTCGAGACATTGTTCCCCGGCCACTGTGAGTTCCTCCAACGCATGATGAGCGATTGACATCTAACAATATACAGACACCGGCCGCGCCACGCACATCCACGTCTTGACCCACGTCGGAGCGACCCTCAACGACAACAACACCGTCACCGGCGGTAACATCACGCACGTTGGCCAATTCTTCTTCGACCAGGCCCTCATCACCGAGGCTGACAAAGAGGCGCCCTACAACACCAACACGAAGCCGCTCACAGCCAACGTGGATGACTTCATCTTCGCCGAGGAGGCTGCCAACGTTGACCCAGTCGTCGAGTACGTCTACCTCGGCGACACCGTCGCTGAGGGTCTGTTCGGCTGGATTGCTTTCGGCATCGACACCGCTGCTGCCCGTAACGTCACCCCTGCCGTGTACCTGACCGAGAACGGCGGCGTGAAGAACCCCAACGCTGGTGCTGGCGGACCCCCTGGAGGTGGACCTCCTCCTACCGGACCCCGTCCGACCAACTTTCCCACTGCTACTGCGTCGGCGTCGGCTGCGTAAATAGCTGAAGGTTACATAGTAGGCGTAGGCGGCGGTGAATAGAAAAGAGACATGACAAGCACGAGAATCTAGCCGACATTAGCCACTCGTTCCGAATGAAATAGCCTGACAATTACCTGTATTCCGTACCCTAAGTCCTTCTCGATTATCCCTGTTCACACTCCTTCAACCCCTCTAACAGCGCCCCAAATGCCTTCTTCCGACCCTCGACCCTCTCTTTTCCATCTCTTCTCTTCATACCCTCCACCTCCCTTATACTCCTCCTCTCCGTCTCCTCCATCATAAGCACCGCCCTCGCCTCTTCAAACCCCCCAATATCCCTCACATTCACGTACCCCAGCGCCCTCAACTCCTGTAGCGCGATATCCGATCTTCGCCCTGACCGGCAGTACAGCGTAATATTATCTGTCTTGGCTACTTGCGTGCCGAGCGCGGCGTAGACGGCGGGGAGGCTCGCGATGGAGGTGTATTCGATGTTTGTGGCCGAGTAAAGATCGTTGGCGAGAGCGCCGGTGGAGAACTCGAGCGGGGATCGGACGTCGATGAGGAGGTTGTTTGGCGGGGCCATTGTGGTTGTGGGTGGTGTATTGTGATGGGTTGGAGGGGTGTGGTTTAGCGTCCGAGGCTCGGAGTTAGTGTGCAGGTTGGACGACCTCCTTCCTCCTCGTAACCTACGTACGTCAACGACCAAAAGACTCTAGATGGCGTGTCGAACTCACTGCTTCAGAGCGAATCGCTCACGTATGCTTTATCACTCCGGCTTTTCTGTTCCTGGGTCTATCGCACCCGGATTCTAACAATTATATTCCTACATGCTGCTCGAGGACTAACGTCTTATCCAGCAAGCTGCTTCAGGTGCATCGTCGCTAATGAAAGGTAGAAACCATAACCGCTTCATTTACTTTTTGTTGACACTAGCTGCGCGCGAGCGGCATCAACTCTTAGACCCTCAACCATGGCCAGTGCTTCAAGATACGCCGGATGATCCACCCCAAGACACGCCTTTTCGAGCTCTAATCCAGCTTCCGCGCTGGCCATCGCTTGCTCATCCGAACCGGTACTCCGCTGCAGCCGTGCGATTGCATAATGCATACTGGAAACCTCGCGTCCGACAATGCCTTGGGTCTGGTACATGGCGAGCATCTTATTGAGCACCTTGAGCTCGCGTTCTCGGAGCCAGGTCTGGCGGTCCTCCTCGGGCATCGCCCTCAACGCATCTATCTGCCGTTGCTCCTTGTCGGACACGGTGCTGGACAAAGACTCCGGCATACCATCTGCACCGTATCCCGCGTCGCGCGATTCCGCCACACCTGTGCTATCCGTGAAAAGCGCTCTGGTCCTCTTCATAGTTTGCTGCATCTCTCTCCTGCTCTGCTCGCCCTTCTGGCCTGCTTTGGTATCGAGGTCGCATACGGGGCAGTTGCAGGTAAAGCCGTAGCCGTCTTCTAGCTTGGCGACGCGTTGAGCACGCAACTGGCCATGCTCGGGGAGGTAATTGATGCTGACTTCCTCACCGGCTGGTATATCTCTGGTCGCGTGTACGTTGAAGGTTTGATGCAGGGGGTGGTAATTTGCCTGGGCGTTCGGGTTGCAGGAGTGGTTGATTCGAGCGATGGACGGGAAGAGGGCAAGTTCGATTGCTGGTCTTGATGGTGGCGAGATTTCTTCGACGCGCAGGTTATTGTTGCCAATTACCTTCTTCAGTGCGTTCGGCGGATTTGAGGTTTTTGGCGATGATGTACTTGATGGCTGCACACCCGAAGACAAGATTTCTGACGCAGCTAGGTTGAACGAATTACTCCGAAAGATGCTCAGAATCTGGACAGCCTCTCCCAGACTTTCTACCAGCTCACTTAAGCGCTCAGTGACAGTCGCTGATATTTTTCCGGTATCGTTACCTTGTGCTCTTGCACTCTTTCCATCCGTGGCCCGATTCCTCACCGCCCAACACAACGCTTCGACCCATCTCCCCATTCTCTTGACTCCATTTCCAGGATGCCAGCTCAGCCCCAACAGCCGCTTTTTCTCCTCTAAATCCAGTCTTTTGGCATAGCCAAGGACGTCAGTTGGTCGCTGTCCCAACCGCAGCGCGATGAGCGGTTTCTCAGCAAGAATGCGCGTCCCGCGCGGTATGGTGTTCTTAGCAAAGAGTCCAAGGCCTTTATTGGCAGCGACCCGGACCTCGTACAGCATTCGAGCGCGTTTGTGGGTCGATTCCTGGGGCGGCAGAGATCGAGGAAGGGGCGTGTGAGGTCATGCCTGATGCGGGTTAGGGCGATGGGCTTTTTGTTTGGGGCTAGCCTTTATGGGGTGGGTGGGTGGCTGTTGGTAAGTATCGCGTGCCTCGAACACTGATCATTACTTCTACATGTGAGATACGATGCATTCTCAGCTTGCATTCTCAGCTTGGATTGGCTGACCACAACCGACTGCGATGAAGCAGGGTTGGGAGCGCAGAAGCTGTTACGATTGATCTTCACGTACAGTGCAAACCGAGATACATCTCGGTCTTCAGCCTCTCTGCTGCTGAACAAGAGGACCGTCGAGTTATACGAAACTGAGAATCCAGTACATGCGGTACCATGAATTGAGATCATATAGCATCGTATGTCGAGCTTGGCAACATTCAGCTTCGAACCACTCCATGCAGTTAAACCACCGCTAGTCACGGATACAACAGCCCTCACAATCTTCAGCATTTCTTGGCCGACGAAATACCACAGCGAGTATTACCCGCTAGTTGTTAGAGTTATTTTAATGAATCAGCATAGAGCTGTCTCTTTGTTCAAATCTCGCCTACTCTCTTTCACATAGCAGAAAGCGCGCCGGATCCGGGCAACTCTTCTCTGCCAAGCGCACTTCTTTGACATGATCGCAATGCAATCTAGCAGACGCTGTCTTTGTGAAGAACTAATCTGCACCGTAGCATCAAAGCCACAGTGTGGTTTTCGAGCTGTGGCTGCTTCTGGCCAGCTTCGCGCGTCACTTTGGATGTCATCGACATTCACTTCTATCTGTTAGCCAGTTGTATAGACTAAACTCTGCGCACTTTCGTCTTAAGTCAGTGTGGATCTGCCGGCATCCAGCAACTTTGTGGCGCATGGTTGCGCTGCGAACTCGTTGCTAAACCTTGAAAGGATGCTTTAGGCGATCCGCTAGAAATGCTCGAACATCGTCGGCAGGTGTAGACTAAGTGATGACGCAGAGCATGCGATGCAACATTTTCGTGTCACATCAGGCAAGTTAAATGGGTGATTGATGGATACTTGAGAGGACGTGATGGGCGGTTTCGAACATGTCACATAAGTACGACTTCAAGTTTCTACGTCAAGCACACATGAGGATTAACCTCTAAATATACTCTTCTGTTCTCACCAAATCTTCTATTTCCTAGATCAAGAACATTACAAGCTCAATCACAGAGTCTGATCCTCTAATCCCGGCCATTAATCTTCCCAGTCCACCCGCACCGATCATGTCCTCTGAAGGCAAAATTATCATTCTTTGCACTATCGGCCCCCTATTATCCTTTGTCGCCGCACCTCTTCCTCCCAGCTCCAAATTCACCACGACAGTAGCGGTGCCCACCATGCCCGTCGCGAGCCCATTTTACTATGATCCTTATAACCACGACGAGGAAGATAGCTGCGAGGTACGCGACAGGAGTCGAAAGCGCTGCCAATCTACGTAGAAGGTGTAAAGTGCTCTACCAAGCGGCGCATCATGCTATTCTGGGCATATGTGAAGATGGATTGCGGCTGCCTCGTCATGTATGCTACACAATCTTCGTGGTCAAGGAACGCTTGGACTCTGCGAGGCTTTCCTCGTGGTACTCCTCAAGATGATTTGCGGGCATCGTGTTTGCTAGCTAGCGCAAAATGAAACGCAGGGCCCAAAGGAAGATGTTTGCAGAGTATGTGTGCAGCAAAGGCGCTGCGCTGTGTGTTGGGAATAGCTCTGGAGCTTGAACTGACGTTGTGAATAAGAGGTGAACGGCACGACCCATGAAGTCTTCATGGTGAAAGTTTTAGCCGCGTTTAGTGGATCTGAAGGGCAGCGCTTCGGTCGCAGGCTCTCGTTTGCTCCACGTCATGCGACTTTCACGACTCGTGTCTCGCTCGGTGTGGGACAAAGCCCTCAGAATGTCGGTATGAAACACCACCACCCCACGACTGAGACCAGTCCCCACCACGTACCACCCACCATCACATGAACCAGTGGAAGCCGGATACACATATTCAAATACCAAACGCAACCCTCCTCAGAAGAACATGGACGTGCGCCACTACATCTATGTCATAGCCATCAGTGTTGTCTTCTTCGCTGCCACATCCGCAATGCTCGATTTTGGCGCTATGACAATCTTGTGGCAATGTTACCAGACATGGCGATTCGTAATCGTCAAGCCAACGAAATCTTGCATACTTCTCTGTTTGCACTTCTCTTTCCTGTTAGCTTGCTCTATGTTATCCTAAAAGATGCCCAGAGAGACAGGAGGGACTAAGCAACCAACTGTACAGAACAGGAGGATTGGGTGGTGCACGGCCACGAGGTTTGAAGCGTACCAAGTCAAAGGGTACAAGGGTCTGTGGGCGAGTAGATAGGCGTCGCTCGAGGTAATCTGTAACCAAGTACCAAGTATGCAGAAGAGTAGGAATTAAGTTTAACTCAGCTTTTGTACTCGTTGCAAAGAAAAAAGAGTTTGATTTTGTTCTACTAAACAGGCTGTGGCACAGTTGGTTGTAGGGTCGAGTTTACAGGATCAAAAAAAAAGGTCAAGTTCGTAAGAACTTAAGAGCGGGCTCAACCGGGATTCGAACCCGGGGCCTGTCACATTTAGATTCACTGAATCCAGGCGTAAAATCCCGAAGCGACAATCATACCACTAGACCATTGAGCCGGTCGAACCATCTGAGATGATTTGATGTCGGTTTGGGGCGGCGAGGCACATATATACCTAATGAGTGCAACAACACGAACATGCTGAGAGAACGCCTTTGCCGAATCGAGAGGGCCTTGCGAACACCCCAGCTAGCAAACACAAAACCGCGACGGCGCCTCTGGTACCCACCAAGTCTGTCCAACAGTACCACATGACGCCCAAGGCCGCAAGCTTATCGCAGTCAGAAAATCTCCGTGTCATGTTTTCGGACTCTGATCTGTGCATGCACATGCAGATATCCACGTATGCGGAGAGCCGTTCAGGCACAACGCATCCCGATATCGCTAAGGTTCGAGAGGAACAGCGGGAGCCAATGCGCGAGTGCATGACTGCAGCCGCGTGCGTGCGACACACCCACTCTGGGCTCCCTTGGAGGAACATCAGATGGTGAGGTGTTCGTCACTCCATCAAAGTCCGCACGAGCTCCGCAACGGCGTGCGTCTGGTCGCAGTTATGCAGACGCGAAAACAACTCGGGAGCAACACATATGCTCCCAACACATTGTCACGCGACGAGCGTTTCCAGTGCGGGGGAGCATCTATGTGCATGCGTGCACAGGGATGCCATCAGCCCGATGCAGCCTAGGCGGACGACCCGTGGCTGGGACTGTCAGAGCGTCTCCTCCCGCGGCAGGGCAATTGTTGTATATCCTTCCCGCGGGAGGGTCCCAATCTGGCCGCCGTGCGATGGTTGAACTGCGCGACACGCAGCCAGGCCCCTTACGGCCCCAATCGTCTGAGAACAAGCGCGGGCTGCTTCGAATTGTGCATGCCGCGCCTCAGCACGGATTCTCTGCAGAGTTCAATCGCTTGACCGCCTTCCGGAGTCACTCTTATATATCCGGGAGCTCTAGCTGAGCTGCATCCTCCTTCCACACCATTCACATTCCTCTCCATCGATCAGTGACCAGCGGACTCCGGGCTCTGCCGAAGCAAGCAATCGTCCAGAACTTACATCCACCCATTCCTCGCTACATTGTATTTAATCTCGTAGAAATCGCCGAGCTTGCTTCTCTAGTTCCACCCAGCTTCCCCTCACGTCGATCCACCCGTTCGACAGCTTCAACATGCAGGCCACACGTGTCTCATCTCGCGCCTTCAAGGCCGTTGCTGCTGGCAGCAGGCAGAGCCGCAGCCTCCACATGACTGGTCCTGCGACCTTCTCAAATCTGCTCACCTCCGAGCGTCCCGCCATGAACCATCCTCAGAGCCTTGCTGGCCTGCGCTACGAGTGCCAGGTGCTCAAGCTCCCCACCACCGGCTCAAAGGAAGAGGTATGCTTAGCACTTGATCAATCCACGCGTGCACCCTCCTGACGCTACATTACCAGCTGCAATCCCGCCTCTCCGCCCACGAGCTCACAAACGGCGCCCGCACCTTCAGCACCGCTGTCGACGACTCCAAGCGCCCGCTCGTCGGCGCGCCCGTCACCGGCCGCTCTTTCCGCCACTTCAACACTAGCCGCGAGCTCAAGTCGCCCAACGACAGCTCCACCATCGACTTCGCCTTCATCCCCGACTTCGATCCTGACCTCGGCGCCGCCCCCGTCAACATCCGGGTCCCCATCCTCCCCACCACCATCACCCCGAACCCGAGCTACACGTTTGCGTCCGCAATCGAGGCCGCTGAGGCCGAGGAAGAGGTAAGCAAACTCTGTAGCACCTCATACCATGACACTGGAAATGCTAACGAACACCAGTACTCTGCACGCCTGCCCAGGATTCACACCGTGTCCAGTCACCACGTCCACGCCCCGGCCGCCATGTCCGAAGTCCACGACAACAACACCATCGACTTCCAGGGCATGGCCTTCGAGGCTGTGAACAAGCTCAAGCGTCCCGTCGAGGAGGGTGCTTCAATGGCGAAGCAGATCTGGGGTGGTCTTGTGGATGATGTTCTCGGCCCCAAGGGCAAGCCCGCCTAAGCATCGCGTAACTTTTCTTTGTGGGTCTGTGCCGAGGGGTTCTCCACCGTACCCTTGTCGGCGATAACGCGTATCGGAGATGCCTGGATGGTGTCAACGTCGAGCGCATGCGTATATATACTGTTGTAATCTTCTTCTCTTTCCTACGATATCTAGCGGGTCTGTGGGAACGCGGATAAGCTGCTTGCTTGAAGTGCTCAAGCTCATGAGAAATGAAATTATTTTATCCACGTTACATGTCATTCGAAGTTATTACATGGAGTACGCGCGGTGTCGTTTGGTTCCAGCATAGCCTTTCCAGTCGCGATGCTTTCGCTGGTATCGATATCAGTCAGGTAGCCCTCTTCAGGTGCGCCAGAGCCTGCTTTGCATTGACAGTTCCGCTAAGGGCGTTTCAGGAAATGTCCAAGCTCCGTCTTGTCATTCCGTTTCATGTGTAGGCGTCCACATTGCTCCTCCTCGCTATCGGTATGAGCGTTGTAGCATCGCCTGATTCCATTCCCTGTCTTGCTGCTCTCAACTAGTTCTTGGTAGCGACGCACAACCTTGCGAGTGAATGCAACGGGAAGTTTGGTCTCAACCTCTACCAGCTTTTCGATATCCTCCGGTTTCCGCTTCATGCCGCAAAACCTATCGCCTAGGTGTTGGAGAATGGGCCTCGTAGGCGGGATATGTTCGAATGCGTAGGGCACCATCATGTACAAATTGGACAGTGTGAACATTCTGGAATTGAGGAGGTTATTGGCCAGCTCGCCAGCGTCGCGTCGGAAGCTGTAGGCGACCAGCCTGTTTGCGAGAACATATGCCTGGATGGACGGAAGACATTTGCTGGGGTTTTGATAATGTTCCTCGTCGTCGCCACAACAGCCGCAGTCGTAGTAGTAGTGATCTGGCTTACCGCGTTCGAATAGCTACTTGGTGTAAAGTCAATGGACGAAAACCTCGACTAAATGGTCTGTCAGTACGTGTTCAACACTCGGACAGTTGTAGAGCTGGAAGTCAATTCTTACAGGGCCCAGTCTCCAGGTCACCGAGTCGCACAATGCCTTCCTGTGCCTCTTTCCAGTTTCCGGTCAAGGCCTTCTTGAAGTACTCCAAGTGGTGCATCAAGAGCACTTTTGGACGTAGTACTTCTTCGCATCTTTACCGATCTCAACAATGATCATGCCGTCAATTGCAACATTTCTATGAGTGTTAGGGTCATCACCTTCGAACTTCACAAGCGTTTGTCCACTTACTCTAGTGCTGGCGCCTTCGTAGTTACGTCGTTGCCATGGCTGCGCCGGACAAGCTGAAGCAGTGCACAAGGAGATGCTTTCGGCGAGGCGGGTGGAAAAGTATCGCAATGGAGAGGTTTGAAGGAAGAGAAAGAGAGGGTGTCACGTTATGAGCGAGAGGAAAGAGCGGCTTCGCACGCGCAATCAGCACGCAAAAGAAAGAGCGCAAAGCATATGTATCTTGGAACCCAGTGCATCACGACTCGTCGAGGATATGGAACTCCTCAATGACTTTTATTGTGGTATCAAGCATCGAGCTAAAATGTCACAGGTGCAGCTTCCATAAGCAAATACCTCCGTGTAAACAACCCTCGTACCGCCCTTTGCTACCCAAAATACCTACAACAACCATATATGTATCCTGGCAAACTTGAGCAGACCTCCAAATACGCAAACTTTGTTGTATAATGCCTTTCAAGAAATCGTGTCGGTTGCCGCTCGTAAACGGGGGAACCAACCCTCCATGGTGCTTGTGAACTCATCTTGACTGAGAGATGACGCCAGGCTCAAAATTACTTCCTGTGGTAACCATAGGGCCGTTTTGAGCTCTTCTGAGATGGGGTCGAGATCAGGCCATGGGACTGGCGATCTCGCGCTCGAGTGTACTCGTGGAGCTCAACGTGGTCATTCTTATCAACAACAATGAACGCAAAGATTCCCTGTTGCGACCTAGAGACAGGGGAATTCTTCTCATTTGTTGCAGACCTGCTGCGGAATCCGCAGTATTAGATTGGGCGGGGATGATTACTGCGCAAGAGTTAGCAGGAATAGCCGACTTCGAACTTGGAAAGACGTACCTCATTCACCGCCTAATCGACGAGAAGTTGCCCATTGTTGAAATTGGCCGGGACTGTTACCAACTGTGCCACGCGGAAGACAGCATCCGCGAGGCCATGCGTGGTCTTCTGGCGCGTCTCAGCAAGAGCCTTGACGACCGCATCCCCGAGAAGGCGGAAGGGTGTATCCTTGATGTCGAGGATGTATGATGGGCATTCATTCCTCTCTTCATCACTGGGATGGATGTGGTAAGCACATGCATACATGACACCAGCAAAAGTTCCCTGCGCCATCTCCTGCGTCTTCTGCATCACACGCACAAGGAAGTCCTTAGGCAAGTCCTTGGGCGTCATGGCCTTGGCAAAAGTCTGAGACCGAGTCGCAGAATGGGTTCCAGTGTACTTGTCGTTGCTGGTGCCGCTGCTGCCACCCGAAGCCTGAGATCGGGTCACCCGCGTGTGAAACACGTACATATCTACGAGGAAGGATAGTAGATTGTCGTTCTTCGAAATATTTTCGAAGGCGTATGCAATGGCCTCGTACGACGGCGGTAGCTTGGAGATTCGAGCTGCGGTCACGTAGGAGTTGTAGCACGCATTCGCGAATGCGTGCATACCCATCTCGCGACCAAACACGCAGGCTTGTAGTCGCTCGAGGAGGCAGAGCTCCCCGATCTTGTGGTCTTGAAGCATTACGTGCCACCACTCGCGGTGGTCCTCTGGAAGGCGCTTCGAGAACGCCCAGTGTGCGTAGATGCGGAAGCTGCCTACGCTCCACTTCTTCATGTCTATGACACAGTCTATGCCACCTTCACCCTGGTCAATCAGGGACGCTAGCACGGGAGAGTGTGCACAGAGGACGTTCTTGAAGAATCGATACGGCTTTGCCTCAGATCCGATCACTAGATGCACCATGTTCTCCCAGAGGTTGTCACAAGCCAAGGCACTGTCAAGCATTAGCGTATGTCGATGGAGAAGGAGGGCAGCACCTACTCTACAACTGTAATACTGCCATGGTCTGCAGGGGCCATTGACACGTAGGGTGACGTAGGGCGAGGTGTGGGCGGGGTGTGTGACGGCGCGCGGGTGAATCCACCCAGGTGGTGTAGTGCAGTAGCAGGCTATGTAAGACTGGAGAGGGGTGAGCAAGATGTATGTCGAGGTTCCGGGCGCGTATCTTACGTTCTCTAGGCGATTGACTTGAGCGGGCTCGAAGTTAGTATCGCGCGTGCGAGGGCGAGGCGCGCAAGGTGCTGTATAAGAGTCCCGACGAAACGCGGCAAGAGCGCCGCACGGCGAGCAGGGTTCAAGCCACAGACGCCTCAAGAGATTCTTGTCATCTGAGACGGATAGGTAAGAGGGACAAGTTGAAGGTCTGTGAGCTAGGATCTTTACCAGGTGAAAAACTTCGCCAAGTCTTCGGAACGTGTATGCGGTCTCACACATTCCCGAATGGTGAGTACTCAGCTTCACTTCCCGTCGTCCCCGCAGGGACATCGCCATACTTTAGCAAGACAGCACAGCAGCATATCGTCATGGACAACCTTCCGTACAATATACCCTGGATACACCCGCTTCTTCGAACTCTATTACCAACGCCACACGAGAGACCTATCTCAGAGGCCACCACCACTTCAGCGAGCAAATCATTAACCGTCTCCGATCCCAAGGAAGAGCATGCTTCTTGTGAAAAACGGTTTGGAGTCTGGAATTTGTGAAGGAAGATTTCATGACATGTAGGATTGATAGTGTGAGAACATCATCAAAGTGAGATGCCGCGGCCTCCCTGCTAAAATTTCGCCAAACGGTTCTTCTTTCATCGCTTATTTATGGCATGGAGGGCTGAAAGAAGCTCTAATGACCCAAAGGCTAGAAGATAGATGCCCTACTTCCTCAATCACACGTCCACTCTACATTGCGCCTGGCATGGCGAATCGATGGGGATTTTACACATTTCCGTCAATCAACCTTATCTTAGTAGTCCCACTTGCTGACTTCCCGTTGCTACTTCTTATCCGCATCATACTTAATAACGCGCGCCCAGAAGTCATCCGGTAGATCACCATCCTTCTTTCCCCACCCGAAGGTTTGCTTCCTCTTCTCCTCACGCGAGTAGACCAGCGATAATTCGGCATCCATGATCAATTGGAGGATCGAGGTTGGCTCAGGGAGCATGTTAAATGCATAATTGACATCATAGCGGTCCACGATTCGGTCAGTGCATGTTCCACGATTTAGTCCACGAGCGGAATGCCGTTGGCGAAGATGTTAAAGGCGTAGGTTTCTACATCGTCCACCACTACGCAGAGATCATCGGTTTCTTTCCATGCTATATCCTAGCTCTTGACGCAGGTGGCAAGATACGCCCATTGGTGTGAGCAGCTCCTGTAGACGATGAGATCAAGATTCCGACTCTCTCTTCCTCCGATAACCTGTATCACTCAGACTATATCCGGTCCCGAAACCAACACCCTCGATTTCCGTGCGGCACAGCCCTGAAACTCGGCTTGCGTGGCATGGCCGTGGTAATCGCATGCTATCAGCTCATCCCCCGGGGCTCCAGCTCCCTGATTCAATAAGCCTCCACGAAAAATCAGATGTCGGGTAAACTTTTTCGGCAGGTCATCAATCAACTGCACGTCATCTTCAGATGAATCGACTCGCCAGGACTTGCAGTGCGCGTCAGCCAAGAGATCCAAGACTGGGCCTGAACCGGGAAGCAGTCCCTTTTTATCGGCGAAGATGATGAATTTGAAGGAAGCTGGGGGCATAGCGATTATCTCGTCGACGAAGGCGTAGAGTAGGGCGTCCTTGAAGTCTGACATCAGAAACCGATCGGCGAAGATGGACCCTTGGAGAAGGAGGACGAGGTCGATGTCGAACGGAGAGAGACCGAACAAGTCGTCGTGCTCGATTGATTCCGGTGTGGTAGAATTATTGTCCTCTTCCTCGTCGTCCTCATCATCTTCGTGCGCCGGTGCCGTGGACCAGTCATCCTTCGTGTTCTTTAGTGAGGCTCTAGCAAAATCCAGGTGTATCTTTTGCTGCTGCTTCCAGTTCACAAAGAGCTCGAAGATCACGGAATCGACGTCTCCTAGGACTACCGCCCCACCCTGGGCTTCCTTCCACTCTCCTTTTAGAGCCTTTTTGAAGTATTTTGAGTAGTGGGTGAGCATATCCTTGTAAAGGGTGTACGACTTTTCGTCCGAGGCGATCTTGACGGTCACAAGACCAGATGTGCCTTGGGTGGCCAACTCGCTGTGGTAGGTTCGCAAAAGCTTGAAGTAAAACTTGAATATCCTGATAATATGCATGCATATATCAAGCATCGAATAAGGCCGGAACTTTTCATGAACATACCTGAGTAGAGGCGCTGACATCTAGTAGAAGTGTACGTATAAGATCGATGGGGTTATGACGGGGTATTAGTGCCTGAGAGACTGTGGAATTTCTGCTCGACGCTCGAAGCTAGGTCGGGTATTTAGGGGGCAATTGTTCGAGGTTATGTTTGATACGTAGGTGTGGTCGAGGGTGTCTATATAAGGCTGTACCTTCTCATGATAGGGTCTGGTCCAAGTGTTGACTACTAGCGGTACAGCATTGACCGTCATTTGGTGAAATGGCCGGAGCATTCGACCCGGGAGCCTTGACTAGGACTATTTCAACTTCGTCCATTCTTCTTTACACGATTAAGGACTCGAAAAGAAGCGGGAGATACAGGCAAGGATGGCCAAGGTACCCTACGCATTTAATATACATCGATGGATTGGCCATTTCTAACACACAGTCACTAATCGATTGCCCGTTGTCGCCGTATAACAATCCGTACAGATTATTACGCCATAATCAAACCAGACTCACCACAAATTACGGAAGCTGCTCGAACTGAGCGCGGCCATCGCAGATAGGCAAGCTTTGCGGTCCGAAGAGATGAGATTTTCCAAGGAATACTATGAGCAATTCACACCATAGTCCCCACGGACATGAGACCGATGGCAGCCTCCGGGTCGCAGAAAACAACCAAAAAGGTGTACACCGCAAGGACAATCTAAAAAAGGTTTGTTCTGGAAGATGCGGTGGCCTGTGGTATATGGCTCGAGATGAATACCAACATGTTTGGCGAGTTTCAGAGGACTTTGAAATGAATCGATCCTCAAAACTAATGTCACGTATCCATGCTGACCCAAAGCATTCTCAATTCACAGAAAGCCGTCCTCTGACCGAGCTATGAGTCTCGTCACTTTGTTCTCCATTTCTTCAACTTCTAGTGTCAGCCGCGAGTCTTCCCATATAATCGACATCACCAAGTCTTGATACATGAATTTATCTCCCGCGAGGGCCGCCTAGCACGTGTATCACAGTTTCAACAGTGAGACCGCGGCCCAGGATACCTCTCAATTAGTCATTGCTACTCACAATACTCTAATCACAATACCCGCTTGCCCCCGAACACACATCACTTCCACACCAAAGCCGACGCTTCAAAATCTTCAATTACAAGTGATCACTCTTCCACTCTCCCTTTCAGACTGGATTCGTTTCATCCTACATACACCCCTCGCCTATGCCGGCCACACCACACTTCCCCACTCACTCCCTTGCTCCCTCAACCTCGCGTCCACCGTGTCCCTACCCTGCCCCACATACAGCACCTTCGAGAACGCCGCCTCGCCCCAGAAACTCCACGTCGTCTCCGCCGGAACAAACACCACATCGCCCACACTCAGATTCAATTCCTCTTCATATCCGTCCACCTTCACGCCTACAAGCCCGTCCACGACTTCCAGCGCCGTATGCCCCGGCAATTTCCACGCCTGGGGCTGAGACGATGACGGTAGGCGGGATAAAGTGATTGTACCCTCGGTGAAATTGCCCTCGGATTGGGTGGCTGTGATGAAGGGCTCTACGACGGCGTACGAGGCGTTGTCCGCGGAGGCAGGGGTCAGCGTCTTGCGGCCGTACCCGTTGGCAACGAAGAACGGGGTCGCGCTGTCGGATGCAAGTTCGTTGATGCCATTGTGCCACACTGCGCCTTCATCCCCGCTCGTCCCGTTGGCATCGAAGTCCATCGGCGGGCTGAACTGCAGCTGCGCCCAGACATCGAATTTCTGGAGCTTGCTAATCGTCTCCGCGTCGCCGCCGGGACTTGTGAAGTTGCCCTGTGGAAATGGCGCGTACGTCTGAGAGCTGTAATTTGCACTGGCGAGGAAATAGAAGAGGTCTTCGAAGCCGCCGGGCTGGATGACGCCGACCATTTCGGTGAATGGCTCCAGAATCTGGAAACTGTGCGTCGTGTTGGGGGGCACGGCGCCGTAGTCGCCAGGCGTGAAAATGCGACCGGCCGTGGTGTTGTCCTTGGATGCCCAGAGGGCGAAGCGGCCGCGGAGGGCGTAGAAGTTCTCATAGTGGGCTTGGTGGATCTGTGGGGTTGGTTAGTATGGGTGTATATATTGAGGGTGAGAAAGGCATACGTGGGGCAGGACGCCCAGCTCGCTGCTCGCCGGCGCGGCGGTGCTGATCAGCGTAAAGGCATTGTCTGAGGATGGCCCTGTGACGGGGAAGCGATAGACTTGGGAGCCGATGCGAACGCCGTCAAGGGTGTAGGCGCGCACGACGTAGGGACGGACGTAGTCTGGGACTTTGGTGACCACAAGGCTGCTGTTGTCGCGTTTGGCAGTGCCTCGGGCAGCAGCGACGGCTCCAAGCAAAATAAAGACGGGAATAAACAGCATCTCTGTAGTCCACTCGAGCAGCAAAGCTGGTCATCGATACTATGGGTCGATCCGTCCATTATACATACTTTGAGATCATCGTTTTCCTCGATCTGGCTCGCAGCAATATTGGCCGAAACGTCCCGAATGCAGGTACCGACGACGTACGCAACGCGTCAAACAGATTGAATGGGAGATCATCGTAGGAGCGGAGTGGGTCGGATGCCCAAAAGGTCTACATTACCGGCGCGAACCCTGTCGTCGACCAGGGTCGGCCCGCTCGACAGTTCGGCGCGTGTTTGGATGCTCGGAAATCCCGAACTCGATCGGGATTTCCGGGTCGGTTCTTCACAGCACCATGCGATGTTGGATGTCATGGGCGAACCGAGGAAGGTGTCCCTGCGCTAAAGGTGATGTAGGTAATACACAAGGTGGAAACAAGACAGTTTGCAACCCAATGGGGTTGCGCGTTCAAGGTCTGTGCTGATATGGCGATCCAATGCATCTGTGCAACAACCAAGGACGGGCGAGAAATGTACCGGATGCTTGACTATCGTAAGTGTGGATTGTTCTTGCTGCTCCTTGAAAGTGACAATGGTCGAAATCCTGGGACTTTTGGAGCTAGACGCTTGACCTGCTCCTTACGGAAATTTGAAGGCTGCTATAACCATTTCCAAACCCTGCGCTGTACAGAATGCTTCATTTCTGCCGTCATCTGATACGCTATGTCAGTATTTAAAATAATCTTTATAATGTTCCCCCAATGTCGCCAAGTTGATTGGAGATGCACCACCCACTGCGCCGATGCTATGCTGCGAATACCCAACTCTACACGTACAATCCTTATATGGGCATCTCAAAACGAGTCCGCGCGCCTTCGTCGGCGTCTAGACTTGCCGCTGGCTCCATCTGCCTGCAACTCAGCCTCTCTTACTATCTGATCCCAGGCTAATGTGGCTTCAGTAGAATCCTTCACCGGATTGAATTGCTCCTCTGCATCTTTTATCATCTGATCCAGAGACCTGTGAGGATCCTTCTTGTCCGCATTGGCAAACTTTCGAATCTTGAGTGGTGTTGCTTCTCTGATTGGCGCATCGCCAACGGGTTTGAACCGGCGTTCTTTTGGCTTCTCTGTGATTTCGGCGAAGTCGAATCCTTTCTGCCACGGGAGATGTTCCACTTGAGGATCTTTCCTTGGCCGAAAGTCCTCTGCTTGAGCGCGAAAGTCCCCAAAGTCTTGGAAGAACTTGTCCTTCTCTGGCGGGGTGCTGGGGGCACTCTTGGAATTGACAACCTGGAAGGACTGCATCTCCCTTTCCAGCTGTGCAATTTCAATCCGCAGTTTTCTAAGGTTTTCAGATTCGCCCTGCATGGGCGAAGATGAGACTGACGTTGCTGGCGAGCTGTGTACTTCGTTCACTTTTTGAAGATTCGTTCCAAAAGGGCTCCATCTTCTCTCCTCGCTAAGCTCATTCAAACGGGCACTCCCAGCTCCAGGTGCGCCCCGTGCGACGTCTTCGAGAAATTCATTCACACGGGCCTTCTCATCCAGATCAATCTCCCGTATGGCTGGGAAGCCCTTCTCATACTTGAAAGACTGCCGTCCAACTTCGTGGTCGCGAAAAAAATCGCCAACAAGGTACAGGCTGCCTGTTAGGACGATTTGTTCACGTTTCGTTAATCTCGCCAGGTATTTTGCGGTGCACAACGCCCGATATGCGCCGCGCTTCGGTACGGCTAAACCTGTGATGCGAGGACAGACCTCTCGCGCGATACTCAGCAATTCGTTCGGGTCCATAGATCTTACCCAAGGCATGCCATCAACGGGGTCAAATGCAGTGGTGACGACGTAGTCGCCGGGCTTGAGGAGGATTTGAAGAACTTGACGAGGATCCTTCCCCTCTGTCATGGCCAGGACCCACGTTATCGGGGCATCCCGATCGTCTTGTTTGTGTCTCATCTTCTGATCCACATATGCTTTGAGGCTCTGGGCAGCATCTGGATTATGAGCACCATCGACCAGGACCCCCTGCCTTTTCGCAAAAACGACAGGGACGTACACCATCTGCATGCGTCCCGGAAGAGTCACTTTGTTCCGCATCTTATCAAGCATCTTCAGGGTGTTGATTGTTTTCACGTTCAGCCCAAGGCTTTTGAGTACTTCGAAATATGCAAGCAAAGCCAGGATAGCGTTGTCGCGCTGGAAGGGAAGCAGGCTTTCGGAGAATTGTTTCCAGTATTTGGTTTTGTAAATTTCGTTCCTGAGTTCCTCGGTATCTACCAGAATTCGCGGCCCGGCTCCTATCTCTTTCGCATAATTTTCGATAACTTCGTGCACACGAAACTCGTTCATGGGATTCACGATGAACGGAACATTGGGTCGCAGGATGCCGGCCTTGTGCGACGCAATTTCCTCGAGCGTGTTGCCTAAGAAGCCCTGGTGGTCTTGAGCAATCTTGGACACGACGGAGACAACTTGGTTGTTTAAGATGTTGGTAGCATCGAGCTTGCCGCCCATGCCCACCTCTATGATGCCGACCTCGACCTGTTTCTCGTTGAACAGGGTGAACGCGGTTGCGGTGAGGAGCTCGAACTCGGAGGCTTCGATATTCTCCCGCTCGCTCAGCTGCTTATAATGATTCTCGATTCTGAGGAACTCCTGTTCTTCAACCGGTTCATTGTTAATGTTGATGCAGTCCCATCTAGCCATAGTCAGAGAATGGTCGACGATGAGCGAGACACGTGACGAACATACCTGTTGACCAAGTGAGGGGACGTGAAGCGGCCGTTTGCGAGTTGTCTGCGCGTCAACAGATTGCTCGTGTAGGCACATATAGAGCCCTTGCCGTTGGTCCCGGCGACGTGTACGGCTTTCCAGGGAAACTGGACGTTCTGGAGCAGACGGCCAATCCGCTCAAGCCCCGGCTGGATCATCGCACGGGCTTGGACTACTGGAGGAGCATGGATGGTCGCAGGCAATTGCGGTGTGTTTCGGACGTTTTGAAACGAAGAGTCACAGTGTTCCGCAGATGGCGATGAGTCGAGGACTTCGGTGGACGAGAAGATAGCTTGGCATTTTCGGGGATTAACATGTAGGCGGTGCACGGCCCCTGGGGCTTTGCCACGTGATCGGCCGCAGCCCTAGGCCGTCAGCGAGCATCAAACAAGAGGATACCACAACACAGCGCGCAGCCTGCGACGAGCCTGTCCCTCGTGCCGATCTGCTGCGCTGTCGTGCTCACCCATCGCCCACTGCTGCCGGCCCGCTGCGCGCGAGATACATAGCCGGCGCGCGCAGAGCTCGTTGCGGCATTGCATTCCTGCGCAGCCAGCCCGTTCTCCCTCAGCCTCACTGTTTAGGCCAGGCCCGCTCGCTTCGCACCCGCCTCCCCGACTTCCTCCTCAGGCACCTCGCCGGGTCGCCACATCAACAGCAGCATCTCCCCTCATCGCCCGCCATCTGCCTCCGCGCTGTCGCTGCCCCGCACACAATGGGTCTTCCAGTGTGGCGCGCGCCGTCCCCCGAGGCGCCCTCGCAGGCGCTCAAGGACCCCACCAGCCTGTCGCGCTCGCCCATCAGAAGGCGCCGACCCACGCGTTCTCCACGGGCGCGCGACTTCGACGTGCAGACAGCTCTGCGCTCGCGGGAGCGCCCCGCGAGGCCCTACCCACCTGCCCCCAACGTCCCCGCGCGCAATCCCCAGCGACGCGAAGAGCACGCGCCCCAAGACGATGGCTCGTCCGCGCGCTCCTACTTCAGCCTCGTCATCGACGCCGCCGAGCGTCGCACGGGGGGCCGTCGCACGCTGCCCGCACTCACCCCCAACTTTGCACCCGCCATACACGTCGAGCACCGGCGGAGCGGTCCCGTCCTGCGGCGAACTGGCCTTACCCGCTCTCACACGCTCAGACACGCCGGCGACCGCTCGCCTGTGGCCGACCAAGACGTCCCCGCAGAGGCAGACGAGGACAGCAGCGACAACGCAGTGGGCTTCCCGCCGCTGCGCCGGATGGGTCGCCGCACCATCGCAGACGGTCCTCTGCCCTCCAGCTCCTTGCGCGAGTCATGGAGTCCGGCGACGACATTCGATGGGCTGGGCGACCGCGAGCGCAGCGTGAGTCCGGTAGTCGACGACCACTGGGAGACGATGCTCACCAGCGTCGCACCCGATCCCCTGGCTCCCACGGCAGAGTCCTCTTTTGCCTCGGCCGCGGCATCGGCATCCTTCTCCACCTCACATCCCAGCTCGCGCGCCGGAAGCTCCAACTCCAACACCAACTCGGCCACTTCTTCGCGCACTCACCTGACAATTCCGTCACGGCGTCAGTCTTGGTCGGCTGACTTCCTGCGTGCATGCGACACGTCCGAAGACGATAGTGCCTCGGACACGGAAGCAGAGGACGAGGTTCTCGATTCAAATTCCATGCGCCGAAGACACACGGCGGGGACAACGTCAAATGGACCACCTCCTACGCGAGGGCCCTACTCACGCGCTATCCGTGAGCAGTCCCGGGAGTCGACAGCTTACGTACGGAGCTTCTACGGCGAAGTGCCCTTCGAGCACGCCCGTCGTATGGAGGAGCAGCTTGCAGCTGAGGAACGTGCTGCCACCGATGAAGAGATGCCACTGGACCAGGAGCTCCGCGATGCCCGAGTGCTGCTAGAGAGGCTGGCACGGAGAGAAGACGTCTCCGATGATTTTTGGGCCTCGGTAGGCCTGCGCCGCCCCGTTGCTGACCGCGTAGAGCGGATCCAGCAACGCGAGCGCCTGTAACGATACCCCATTACGACTACGATTTCAGACCCGCTGGCCGGTTTGACACGCGATTTCTTCTTGGAGCGAGACGCACCAGCTGACTGTACTGTACAGACACAGCGTTGGTGTCCCCTCCACTTTTCGATATCATCTCATGTTCACTCTATGTCTGCGTGTGGCCAGGTGACCACGACGCTTCACCCCTAATGTGTGCATTTACAAAAGCTACGGCGGTGTGGCGTTTACCCATCATGTGTGTATGCGGAGAATTTCTTTATCTTGGGACCGGGTTGGCTGTACGCGTGAATGCGGGGTCGAAGTGGATGGATGTGGATGGCTGCGTCCGATGTGACATCATACTGCTTTTTGCGAGCTTTTTCACGAGTCTATGTGTATTTCTATCTATCGGGTCTCGGACGAGCTACCCATGGTAGACGGCAGGTGTAGAGCCAAAACGAGATAAATGAATAAATAAACAAACAAATAAACAAAAGCGTTGGCAGTGATGTGATTCCATCTTTTGTTACCAAAAAATATGTTCATCTCGCGCCACGATCTATGACGTACACTTGCTCTAGAGTTTTCGCAGACCCGCGACGCTTTCAAAGCCTGGCGGACTGCTTGTTCTCAAATTGTCTATTCTTCGAATGGGAAACGCTCCACTCGCGGTGTAGGTCTTAAGGAATCGCGGATCAGACGGTCGTGGGCCCCAGCCACGTGTTGCAATGCCGCACAACTATTCACAAGAAGAGTTCTTTCCTCAACGCTAGCGTACTTTTATCTAACCTGTTGACTGGGATACTCGCTAGACTGATGAAGGATATACTTTGAGGTCACTTAATATACTCTATGCCACTTCACCTCGTAGGTTAAGGCTGCTGATCATGATTCTGTTGACGAGCCTTGGAGAAATCCCCCTTCGGTAAGGTACCACATCTTTATGATTTCTGATTAGCAGCAAGGCGCACATGCACGTAAGATGGCCGTAGAGGGCTTTTGAACCGTCAACCTTCACGTACCCATGATATGAAGTGGGATGCGATGGGGTGCGATGATCTTTCGTCTCTGAACGCAATGTGGCCGACGGTCCTTTTCATATTCTCAAAAGACCCCCCTCGAATCCATTAGCCGCATGTTTAATTTTACTTGCCCGCAAGTTTCGTTCAGTTCAACAATTGTGATCGTTGGTATGTTAGTGTAGCTTCTTTACGAAAGTAAATGTAAATCGTTCAGAAGTGAGTTGTCTTCTTTTTGGATTTACTAAGGTGTGCGACCATGAGAAACGAGGAGTTGTGGTACTCGAGGCGCATGTAAGTTCATACAGGTGCAGAGGTTGGTGGAAAGTGGCTGTTCAATCAGTGCCTAGAGTCTTTCGTTCTGCGGCAACCTATGGTACCAAAACTGTAACAACGCAAAACCATGGATGGAAGACCTCTCTTCTGTGGTGGTAAGATGATAGAAAAACAAACAGCACTACTATTAATACGCTATCACGCCGTCACGTGACCATGGTCACTCACCCAGCTTCGCGCGACCCACATCGCTGAACGAGCTGATCCGCCCACACCAGCAAAATTGCAAAAACATACAACAGCGGGGATTCCGAAATTGTCACCAACTTTCGTACTAATCCGCCGGTACCCTGCTTAAGTACAGCTGAGCGAACGGGAAGCTCTGTTTTCAGGGTCCTGTGGTCGTATGTGAAAGTCTAGACCCAAACTGGGTAAATTATAGACGCAATCTACACATAGTATTAGGAATACGCCTGTTGTCGCCATATTCAAGTTTTCCTACTCCCGTCTGCCACTTCGTCGTATATACTGAAGCATTTGCTCAAGCTCGACATCAAGTCGAGTTACTTATGTGAGCAGAGAGCGCAAAAGTCATCGCCCGCTGTTGGCTCGATTGAGAGCAATCTATTTCTGATTTTGACCACTGTGGTCACTGTGTGAAATGCTCTGTCTACTTTCATCGCAGGCCAGAAATTGATAACAGCTCGTACGAAATACGTACTACTGATCATGGTGCTGTCGCAAGGGAACCGAAAGGTGCGACGCATACATCGCTGATTGTGATGGAGAACTAAAGTGTATGATAGTTGCTATAATTGGAAGCTTGACCGGACGCATCACTGCTATGAGTGAGAACGCTGCGTTGCAAGAGTGATTGCTAACACACTCCTCGTCGTAGGAGTTGCCGCCCAATATTGTGCTTGTTTGCCCCTTCTTCCTACAGCAGTCAATATCCTAGATGCTAGGCAAGCCTCTCCGCGGCACTCACAGGTATCGCATTTAAATCCACGTTCGGGAGCTCTTATAGCAAACACTGGGGAGGTCGCGTCGTGGCTCGTGTAGTTCACTCAGTAGTAGGATTTATTTGCGAGCTGACCCATCAATGATGAAGATGGCGCTGTGATCGTTATCAGTTAGGCAGAGCAGTATTAGGTCGACCAGAGTACTGTTAAGGCCTGGATCCTCCTGCGGACTTCCTCCTGGTTGCCTCATTTTTAAGACATCCGAGGATTACAAAGTTGCGAAAATTTCGACCCTTACCATCAGGAAATCTATTCCACCGGTGCACGTGGTTTGGACTTGGTGGTGAGGAACGGTGTTGTCAGGAGGGCGAACGAAACCCTGCTGAGAAGATGTTAAGTGTCAAACGGAAGCTTTGTAAGATCTCTCTCTCTCTCGTAGTCTGTTGCTGAATTCCATCACTCGATCTTCTCAATTCACAGAGGAAATCCCCCCTTTATGTTCGAGTTGTCGACTAGTACTGTGAGCACTTTCAGAGACTATATGGGTTTAGAGCTATTTTTTGGCATGTTACAGCGTCAAGCCGCCATAGCTTCAGTCACAGTCCTGCAAAGTGTAGAAAGATTCCTGCACTGGAAGTTAGACATCTAGCCAAATAGCCCGGATTTCAGCAATAAATAATTACGTATTCGAATGGGAATCGTGCTAAGCTCATGTATCCTGCGTTTTCAGAGCCCTAATGTTCATGTTGACCGTACTTGTAAAACTCCAGCCGTGGCACTGTATGAGAGATGCCATGACCTCACTTATAATGTCCCGGCGATCCATAAAACTCGTCCCCAAAATTTCCATTCTCATAAAGTGATAGTGAGACACTCAAGTATTTTAAATTGGGAATCCGGGTCGTTGAATCGATCGGTTGTAATTTCCATTGGCAACTCCAAGATTGCAGTACGGTACGAGGGTGCTTGCGTAGAAACGTTGACATCAATCGAACGAAATTATTGGGCCTTCTTTGAAGCTATTTGTGATGGGTTGGTGCCGATCCTGCCGAACACCACGTCGTATCTGGGTCTATATTCCGAAGACACGAAGAACTCCGTCGACTGTACGTGTCTACTATTGTCCACACACCAAACCAACTCTGTGTATCCACTGACATCCTTTGTTGTCCGATACGATCTTCTTTTCTCCTCGTTAACCGGATAGATTGGCTTTTTGAGTACTTCGGTAACCAAATACCGTGAGACGACATTCTCGTCCGTTGATGCATCGTACGATACGGCTGCTGATTTCCAGATATGTGTTCCACTATCGGAGTTGGCGTTGATTTCTATGGTGTGGGTTCTTTGGGTTGTTGCTCTCCGATGCTATATATGGTGTCATGTTAGCAATCGATCATTAACCCCTCCCTCCTGAGCGCTGTCGACCGGAGACGAACCTTTGACTTAGTTCGTGGCTTTATTGGGAAACATGAGAACATTCTGCGCTTGGAGACTGGAGCGTAGCGCGCAACCTCGATAGGGTCTATGTGCGGTGTATGCGGTGAAGACGAAGAGAATCGAGTCCCGCCGCAACGACCAGGCTGTGCCAGGCTGAGAAAGTCAGCCTGACGGTAATGCAGAGAGCAAAGCTCGCATTGGCAGGTCCGGGTCAGGATCTGTGGCTATGATCAAAGGCTACCAACTCAGGCTGCAACACCGGAGGACCCGTGGCATATGGTACACAGTGCAGATCGTGCAGTGTTGCCATTGGTTCGCGCGTGCATATCAGTCTGTGCTTTGCAGGACTGATGGAGGTGCACATCGTTGTGGCTTGCGTCACATTAGATTTGATTGGTCAAAAGGAAGCCTCGTTACGCATGTTGATTCAAGTCTGCATCGTATGCTGATAAATTTCATCTCATTGGTCAGATCTGCAGTTGAAGGCGTACAGTTCAAATTTGATAGGCTGGCCTGATAGTTGCGGCTGCCCCCCCGGTGAATGCGATTGCCTTCTTACTGTGCACCAATCAGATACACCACTAACCCACCATCACAGCGTGCACTGCAATTCTTAGCCCATATGAGACGCTGACTTTATTTTCAACATGTGGGTCATCGTTGTTGGATCACGTAAGTGATCTCCAGCTGATAAACATAGCCCAAGGTAGGGAAAAGTGCCCGACCATACTGTGAATGATATCGCAAGGTCGACTTTGACTCATATTGAAGACCCCAAACTATTTTACTTATATACGTCAAGGCCACAACTCTCTGAAGACTTTCACGAAAGTCGCGGATATAAGGCTTTCTAAACCTAGGTTCGCTCTTGAAGATGATTCTCAGCCCTGTCATATTGGCCCTAGATGGCTCTGTAGACGCAGCATACATACTTAGATGCAGGCGGACGACCAATGTCATCTCAGTCCCAAAAGCTGTACACCCTCAGAATGCTTCCGGTCAAGATTACTCGGAGTCAGGTCCCCTAAGAGCACCACTTTGAACTCTTGGGGGAGATAGCCTGATGCAAGACTCTAACCGCACGATATCTTACATGTTTACTCCAACTTCATCTCTTAGTTCGTACTATACTCTGCGGCATGGATCCGACTCACGACCCACCATCCATGTTGAATGGCTATCCAATGACCCCAGTAGCAACGACCTCAAGAAACTCAAACAATGCTTCTCACGAGAAGCCGAAAGGCTATCCGATGCTGGCGGCACAGATAGAGCAACGGCCAGAAATGGCTATATTTCGTCGTTTTGGTGCACTAAACGCTGAAAACCTCCTCTATCTACAGGCAGAACTTGTCTTGCTCGAGGATGAGCTACGGAAACAACAGGCAGAGGACCACAGCAGCAGCATAGAATACAAAGCCAAATATGCACTGAATTGGTTTCACTTGCGCAACTCTCGAAGTAACGGAGACTCAAAGCAATTGGACCTGGTCCATACGATCAGGGAAACACTGTGGCAATACAGTGAGTATTGCAATTTGAGAACCACTGCAGGGCTGCTGCTAATTTACCGAATAGACGAAGCGCTTATTCAACAGTCTCGAGTACTGTCATACCCAGAGCCTGATCGTTACGATCTCGAGTATATGCAGCGTTTTCTACATAGCAAGGCGCACATGGATCTTTGCCTCCTCGGCCCCGACGCTGCAATATGGGGTTCACTTTCAAAGCCAGATTCACACAGCCCCGATCTTGCGAGCCTATGCCCAAGGAAGAAGGAGGATCCTTTCTCCAACTGGGTCGTGGATAACGCAATCACAAAACTGGTTCGTTGTGGCTGTTCTTGCTTCTTACGTTCGTCTCGAGCGGACATGCGTGGCATCATCGGTTACGAGGACATCAAAGTTATGCAGATAACATATTGGATGACGAGCGTGATTGCATCTCTGCTTCCGATAGGCTCGATTGTGATTTTATACAAGGTGCAGTCAACGGCTGCCAGATTGGGCATCATCGCGGCATTCAACGTGCTAGTGTCTCTATGTCTGAGTGCATTTACGAATGCCAAGCGCGCAGAAGTGTTTGCGATAACTGCGGCGTAAGTCATAACACTTCTTTATACGCTCGAAGCTGACGCTGGTATAGATTTGCTGCCGTTCAGGTCGTCTTCGTGAGCGCAGACAAATCTTGAAGGAACGACCATTTGCTGCGAAAAGTCATTCGCAGTCTATTGCATCAGTTCTCAAAGTCGACCCTTGCATACTTCCATGTCTACTATGATACGGTATTTGGGTAAGCCACGCGACCCAACGAGGGTCATCAGCCGGGAGTCGAAAACATGCTTCATTTACGTAATAAAATGTAACGCCTCTTTGATACATAATTGTTGTTGGTGTGCAAAGCGGCTTGCCGCTCAGGCGCCGCAATGTTGTTATCCTTGTATGTGCATGAAGGACCCCTGTTGTTGGAACGGAGCGCGAGATTATTGCTTCTGACGAAGCGGGCATGATAAGGCGCTTTTCCCCCAATGTTGCATCGATGCTTTTTACTTGTACCTCGACTCCGATTCAGCTTTTGAAAATAATCATCGAAGCTCATTGAAGAATGAGAGCTCATAGATCTGATCCTAGAACCCAAAAAAGAAATCACGTCCGGAAAGCGAGGAAAGGGCATCGCAATGTTGTTGGGGCCAGATGCACCTTCATTCTCTTACTGACAACAGATAATAGACGGCGTTGCGTAAGGTGAGTGGCCCCAATATCCAAATGTATGTACAAGAAAGGCTAACAGCTCGTGGAATCATGGCAATGATGTAACGATTCCGGCGTACGAAATGCTCTTCGACTTCGTGTGAAAGCAAAAGATGCAGGCCACACTGATGTGGCGACACACTCAGCCGATGGAACCGACCATGCGTGGAAGCAATGCGATGCTCCAGAAATATCGAAAGTGTTCCGAAGACTCTGGACTACGCGGACGTTACAATGATCGTATTCGATCACATATTGTTGCTGCCCTGGAGGCTTGATCTCATCGCCCTCGATATGACAGTTTGTCGAACTCCCGCTTCGCCTCTTCATACCTGGCAGCATACAGGTTATCGTATGCCATCCTGACGTAGTTATGCGCTTGGCCGTGCGCATAAGCGTGGCGTTGTTGCTGTGGTTGTATGTCAGCGAGGCACCTCAGTAGCCATTGGCAACGAACCTCGTACGAACTAGACTGCCCCATCAGACGATACTCGTTCTGACGTACCTGCTCAGCTGAAGCATCTCTCGAAGAGATGCTGCTGCCTATCACTACGTTAGTTACATGTCTAGGCTACGAAAAGATAATGCATACGTTCAACTTGAATTTGGCGCGTATGACAACCCATGGGAACTGCCAGGGGTATCCAGGACTCAGGCTGGAGAAGACGATGTTCTCGAATGGTCGGTTCGCCCAGTACGATGTCACAGCCGATATCGTGTTCCATGACCCAGAATTCTGCCTCCTCGAAAGTAGGATCGAAGTTCGCCCGATCTTCACAGTGCCATCTGGCCTTGACGCGTCCATTCGAATATGCCAATCCAGCTGGAGTTCGAGCGTAACATTTTCGTTCGGTCGATTCATAGACGAGAGGAGGAAAACCCTCGATCATGGAAGCGCTGATGAGATTACAGGGACTATGTATGTCGATCAATGCCCTCGCGGAGCACTTATAGATTTCGCCGTTTAACTGCGTCAGATTGAGGTCAATGGTGCGCTCAAACCGCGGCGGTGGATAAGAGCCAGCTGGCATATGTGTGGCCCGCGACAGTTGCCGATTCGACGATTGAGATAGTTTGTCGACTATACGTTGCCAAGTCGTGCGAAACCAAGCGCCTCGTCCGGGTGGGGCCAGCTTGCCCACCGCCGGAGGAGCATATGCATATGGCAAAAACAATGTGCTTGGGAGAGGGGATGCTGTGGTAGGGAGAGATATGATAGTGTGGCTCGCAGTTAGGAAGGGTTCGTCGGCGGGCTCGACGGACTGAGATGGTCCGTCTGATAAGGCAACCACAGCGAGAGTGGCTCGAGTCCCGTCGGTGCACTCTTCGGAAGGTGGCCCGAGAGAAGGTATGGAGAAGTTGGTAAATGGAGTTGTGTTGGCAGTGGGACGGCCATGCATCGTAACCAGGCTGTGTAGTCCGCTAGCCCGTATCGACGGCTCGAGCAGTACAGCAGCACCACATGGCAGACTTTGCGTAGATCGGAGATGCATTTGGGAAGCCCCCTCCAGGAAGGTACGCGCTTGCGTGTTGTCCTGAGTAGGCGAGGTTCCTTCGCCTGCGGTAAAGTTAGGCCTTTTTCATAAGAAGCTCAGAAAAAGCGACTGGCCGCCTACCGTAATCCCGAACTCCTACAGAGGCCATTTGCGCCATGTTCTCCTTTGACCGGGACGGCATCTCTGCTGGTTGCGTAGATGTCTTGTCCATGGTAGGGTTGTGTCCGCCGAATAGCAGTGGATCAACTGTTAGGGTCGATTGGGCAAGCTTCGTGGGAGCCTTCCCTGTACGTCTGGCACGAGCTTGTCTGTGAATGCTCAAGACCCGCAAGCAACAGTGCGCCGCGATTGATAGCTTATAGCCTGCGAGGTGGATATTTTCAATGATCTCCCGTGTGAGATTTCTTGTAGTGCTGCGGGAATTTTGCACGGGAGGCTCACTCGTCCTGGACTGTGGCGTAAGTTATGTGGGTGCTCGCGGTGTAGCAGCAGGTGTGCAGCTGAGTAGAGTGCGGTGCCGCAGTGGAGGATGATGAGCGTGGGGGCTGGTATTGCGGCAGTGGGTGTGAAACCGTGTGAAGTGCGATTTTGCGGGAGATGGCGAGCGTGGGCTTTTGGCGCCGGAAAGTAGACCAACGGCCTGGGTGTCGATACAAGCAACGCGGTGCTTAGATGGCTGAGCCTTAGCTGCCTTAGCAGTGGACGTTGTCTCCCGGGGCGAGCTCGCTGGAACGGCGCGAAGAGAGCTTGTTAAACGAGACCTAGCGTAACGCTGTATGCTGGCTCGATTTTCCTGGCGCCGACAATGCTCAGAAGATTATAGAAAGTGACCTGCTTGAGCTGCGCAAGATTTAGAAGATCGACAGCGATGGAGGAGTGCGGGTCTGCAGATCCACTGCCTGGTGTGTTGTATGAAGAAAATGTAGAGCCCGCCCGCAGGGTTCGGTATCAGTGCAAAGGTAGAGGTCGCTTTAATGCCGGTGCGGCGTGACCGGAATCACTGCACTAAAGTATCTGTGTGCAAATTCGCACGGCGAGAGGTGTAGCTCTAAGACGATGGCTGGCGTCCGTAGAAGCCCCAAGTCGTGTGCTGGGTCGAGGTGCAGGAGCGCCAGTGGATTGCAGAAGAGGGCAGCAAGGTGGCAGCGGGGAGGGAAGGAGGTGGAGAGTGGGTGAACACGAAGACGAGAACTTGATTCTGCCGAGACGGCAACAGTGCGCCGTACACCAAGCAAAGAGAGCGGTGTAAGGCCGACGGGAGTCAGTCCGTTTTGCAGATTGGTGTTGTGTGCTGCAGCGGGGATGGAGGAACGAGGGGGAGAGGAGCGTTCGAGCAAACGGGCGAGAGCTTGCCTCTGGCCGCACGGGCGTCAGTGCACGCACGGCCAGTCAAGGAAGCGGTGTAATGCGGTCGGGAGCAGTTCACAGGCGATAAGGAATAGGAAACCGGAGCCTTTTACTAGCCTCGAATGCAATTACCTTTATGTGGCGCGTCGGGCTTACTCGTGCTGGTAATTTGCAAATCACCGTGCCGTGGCATCTATGACCTCGTTGTCTATTGTGGCTAAGTCACCGCCTATGTGAGGCTCCGGGATACGCGCGAGGTGGACGGATCTGGCCATTAACATAACGCGTTGAGCTTCGCCTCGGTAGAACGTATGGCCTCCGAGCATTGTCGACAGCTTCGAAAACTCACGTTATCGCAGTCTTGTTAATGACCGTGGTGGCCTGAGTTGAGCATTGTAAGCTTCCATGAACTGCACAATCGTGATGTTGTAATAATCCGTGGGCTATCCACAACAGGCAGAATAGTGCTGCAAGTATTCTTCTTGTCGTGATAATTGCCAATATCGGTGGCGCAGAAAAGCCAAACCTAGCGCCCGGGCGGATTGCAGTGCAATTGGTATTCCCACAAGGTGGATTATGGTCTGTCGCTGAGTTGCCTGCTCACTCCGTTGTCACCATCCCATCGTTGACCACTTATAACGGCGTTATGCACCAGCAATGGGTGCACGAGTCGTCGTTGCAGCAGGCCAAACCCGGCCACTGGATAAAACACAGAAGTTGTGGCCGTGGTTACAGCTCAACGACCAATGAGTCCTCATTGTTTCGACGAAAGGACCGACTTCGAATCGATTCTATGTTCTTTCTAGAAGATTGTCGTGGCATCGAGACGCCTTGCCTCCAATCGCTCCGGGGCTGCGCTCGATATACGAGGGAACGACGCTGAAATCGTGATTGCAGAGGACATCACACTGTCGTCGCAAGAGCTAAAACTCAGCATGCTGTGCGCCAGCACCTCCTTGGATGTCGAACTGCCGCCGAACAGTGTGCATCAGCTCGCACTGGCATAGTTGGGCAGCAGCGTGGCGTTGCAGACCGGCATGACGCATCTAATCCGCACAGCACATATGCAGAGCGGCTAACGAAAGCTCCGATCGATACGCCGAACAGGGTGCTTCAAGTTCATGCTGTTAATTGCTAGATGTCGTCCCATAGCTATGTGAACCGAGGACTGGAAAACAGACTGTGTAGGTCGTTAGCCTTCCCAGGTGGTGCAAACAGGATTGGTACTTGCTGGCGGGACTCCCGAAGCGAGATGCACCCCAAGCACACGTGCGCAGCCTCGTGTTCAAACATGTCGACCGTAGCCTTCTTCCTCACTCACAAAGTCTTCCTCATCTTCGGGATGCTTCCCTAGGTTACTAGACTTTCCACTTGACGTTGGAATTGGATTTGGGTTAGACCCTGCCGAGGACCAAGCGCGCTGAATATGCAACAAACCGCGCGCCCCTTGCATATCCAGGTATGGCGGTTACACATGTTCTTTTCTTCTCCACGAAGGGAGACTTGCGGGCCGATCTAAAACGTGAAGGTGCGGTCGTTCTGCTGATGATGTATAGTGATACGCGTCCTTACTCTAATAGCATACTCTAGTTTGTACCAGAGCCAGCACTTCCAGCACTTATTGTGCCACGGCATGTAGCTATTCGGCGACCGTCTTATGCTCGTTGAAGCGTCGCATTCGCAGGTCATCCGAACCGATCGTTCCACGAGCATTATCGAATCGATACGCGTCCCGATAAGCACGCCAACGTGGGACCTCAGAAGGCAACGTTTCCGGAGCCATCCATCGTTCGCAGGCCGTATAATGGACGAAATGATCCCATCATACCAATAAGCCGAATGCTCCATGTTATTGTGTGGTAAATTCGTAGTTTCAATCGCAAGCGACATGGGCTAGTCTGGAGTGATGGACTGGAGGATAGATCGCGAGAACAAATCTGGCAGTATAAGTGAGCGGCATGTTATGTATCAGAGCGCTCTTCCAGGATTACACCAGACGACATGCATATACGGCTTGACCGATGTGGGGGTGGAAAGACAAACGTGGCGTGGTCAGTGAGGAGGCGAGCTGTCATTTTGGCAGCAACTGCACACGGCATCATGAGACGATGGGGCAGTACCAAGGAAGCATGGCAACGCCAGCCGACTTATGGGCAAATCTCACGCAATGAGCTTTGACTTCATGCCTGTTAGCGTACGAAGAGCTTGGGCACGACGTGGAAATTCAGGAGCTTTGGCGGCCTCGGCAAAATTTGATGATCCCACGCCGTCGCAGGCTGGCACAAGGATATATATGCTTGTGAAAAACGTACCCAAATAGGATCGCTGTCAATAATAGTCCTTTGTTCATTGGACGCACTTCAACCTCCGATTTAGAGCTTGACTCATGTTTCTTTCTTCGCGAAGGGTGCCTACAGCGTTGCCTTGAAATCCGACCAATGGCCTCTCGAAGGAATCAGCTCCGCACAAGCGTCGGCCTCTCTTCCTGCAATACAGAACATCGCATTGTGCTTCACATATCTAATGGTTGGTCTGTTGGGGATATATACAGGTCAACTAGGGAGCATTGCAATGATACACCTGTAAATGATGTCTGCCGTTCAGAGGAACTATCACTTATGTTGTTGTTGTGTTCTGACAAAAGATTTTCCACCATTGCCAGCTTTAGATCAGATCTTAAGATCATTTCGAAGCAACACACCACAGCCTCCAGCTGTCGCTTTAACCGAGCCGGCTCTTTTATATCTTGGGATACCATCTCTCAACATGCCATCATGTGCACCCACGAACAGACACATTTGCTTGGTATCTCAAATTCTGCTACATGCTCGAAGAATCACCGAACCACACAAAACAAGGGTCTCGGTGGCCTTCTGCCAACCCTCTTGTCACTCCACAGAACGTCACTGGCTGACTCTATTTCAACCCACAAAGTTCAACGCTTTAAGTTCAAGTCACAAAACTTCACTGGCAGATCCCAATCCACTAACTCGACCTAGAATGCCAACCCAGAAGGATCAAACCATACATGTCACCGAAGGCTTCTTCAGCAGGCCATGGCGATAAATCTGTTCCGTAATCTTTCATGTCTGACTTGCTCTATAACTCCGAGTTGTGACAGACGCCCCAACCGAGTGCCGGCGCGGCCAGTGAGTTGGTTTCTCAGAACTTCAATGCAGGCCCTCAATCGCATCCAGCTCGCGTTGTGTGTACCCTGCCAAGCGATATGGACCAGCTTAAAAGACCTTCCTGGCTACATCGCAACTAGCAATCGTCCTGATCCTTTCCACGTTCCTCCAATCGACCACGGCTCTGGGAATTATAGTAAAGCCCACTGTCACAACTTCTGAATCCTCAAGCCTAAACACCTCATGTACTTTACAACTCCTATTCAGCCGCTCGTGTCCTAGCCCGCACACCATGTTTACTGACCCCAGCATTCATCAAACACACTCCACCGGACCAAGAAGCGAGGAGCCACCCTTTTATCCTCATAGACTCCTCGATTCCTCAATTCGAAACTTGACCGACTGTACGGCACCTTGTGGCCAAGTCCTCGTCTTCTCGATCGCTCTACCAACGCGGTGACAGGATGGTACGCTATTCTGCCGCCGTGCCGCTCTAATGTGAACAAAATCGCTGAGCAATCACGCGTTTCGTAGTGAGCAGCATGGACATGTCAGGATCGTTTGCAGGACGACACGGTTGAGGTTATGAGGAGGGACGCTTGTTGCGAGGTGGGAGTGGACGTGGGAGGGGCCGGGCGATATCTGCTCAAACGCGATCTGACTCTGGGGTGGCAGGGGATGCACTGAGAATTTGTGTTCGCGGGAAATGCTTCATCAAAGCACGACGCGCGTGCTCGCTTATTCAATGCTATGCCTGGTACGAGCCGCAAATGTCCTAGGTTACAAACCGGTTCCATCCAACTCCATGTTCTATGCAGCCCGCCAGAATTATGGTCAGGGAAAAAAAGGAACTTGATATCAGGAGTCGCGCAACGGACTCTCATGCTCCGTGTTCGCGCAGAAGCTCCTCGTCGTACGTCATTCCGTTGATGCGCTTCTTGGTAAATTCAAACGCTGTAAAGAAAATGGCATTAACGACACACGAGCGGCTCATGGACACGCCGAGACCTGGGCATATGTTAGCGACAATTCGAGCTGCGATGACCTGGGATGGCATACCCCGATACATCCGCGCATTGAAGAAGTGTATCCTAGGTCTCTCTGCTTTCTCCCTTCCACCAACGAGGCAGTTTCGCTGGTAGATGCTCTTGGCGGTATCGATCGGGAAGATCTGTGATGCACATTAGCAGATGTGTCTTCGCGATTGCCACTGGCAGCTTACACAAGCCCAGCTCACGAGCCCACACATGCCGCCAGCTACAACGACAGCCAGTGGACTTGTAGGGGAGCTTCCACGGGCATTCGACAATATTTGCTTCACGCTCTCGTACGTCACAAAGTATATACCAGTGCCGATAGTGTCACGAACTATAGGGCATCAGTACAAGGTATGTACAGGGGTCTCTTGGTGTCACATACGTAGGTGCAAGTGGAAGCCAGAATATAGACCCATCCAGCCTCTATGCTTGACGAGATTCTGCGCTGTCCTGAATGTTCCGAGATTCTGGTAGCTTTTCCGGACGGCGTCATTCGTGCCACCACCGTCTTTCCGATCCGCCATCAAGACGGAGATTTGCGCGCTCAACTTGGTCAGCTCGAAGGGACCTGTAACGCCACATGAGTATTGCGACCTTTTCGATTTATCTATGTTTCTCACAAGCTATAGCCGTAATAGCAGCACCCGCTGTTGCTCCCGAGAGTCCAAAACATGCGACTGTGGATAGTGTAGGTAAGGCGCCCTTCGTGTTCGCGATGACAAGGGGAGAACTTCCAGTGGTTCGGAAGATCCAGTCGTCGATGGCGTACTTTGATTTCTGGTATATCGAGAATGAGACCGTCCGCACGAGCGTGATGCTTGCGAGTGGTGACCAGACGCCTATGATGCAACATCAGCTGACATTCCTCGCCGTCCGCATGAAGCGAGCATACCCCGATAGAAGCCATGGAGCCCCTCCGTCTTGTAGGTGTGGAGAACGCAGTCGGTGAAGGACTTGAATTGGTAGCTGCGATGGTCAGGTCTCGTACGGGGCGGAAGGGGCGAAGGGGACGTACGCTTGCAGGCGCGTCTTCACCGAGTCGAGAGGGTACTGGAGCTGTCAGCCGACGTCTCATGGCGTATAGTGAGTGCACGCACCGCGACGAAGGTCGAGAGCAGACTGCTGGAGCTCGCAGCGACCTCGGTGCGATACCGCTTGGTCCAGCGTTTCGCCTGCTCGCTGCGCAACACTGCTCTGGAAACATCCTGGACATCGCGGGGGCGGGCGTTCGCGCTCGAAGCATCTGTCCTATCGGGGCCGCGCTCGGGCATACTGGCTATCGCTAGCTGTGGAAGACGTGACGTCTTCCTACGGCAATCGCGATGAGGCCAGGCGCCGGGCAAGCTCCATCAAGGCGTCGCCCAAACGATCAAGCTAGGGGAGTGATGGATGGCCCGGGGGTTCCGTGCAGAGAAAGTCGTAGGGTGAACGCGTGGTCGGGCGACAATGGCAACGCAAGCAGCAACACGGGAGGTCGAGCTGGTGGTGATGAAATGGTGGGGTTAAGCTTGCGGCTTTGTGCAACGTGCAACCCCGAAACGACCTAGAGCTATCTTGGAGGGGCTGCAATTGGGCCGTCGCGGCGATCGACGCGTCCAAGTGCCCTTTTGTAGCTGCCAGCGTGCCTGATGTGCGCTCTTGATCTATCAAATGCCCGCAGCCATGCGCCCTTGCAACAGAGAGCAATTACCACCTGCAAACTAGCCGCCATGCTGTCACAAAGCTCCTTCTATGAATCGTGTATACACTGGAGAGTACCGTCGACCACAATGGGCTGTGTCGCAAATGCGGGGTCAACATTACCATGTGAAAGCTTGACAACCACCATCAGGAAGGTGTACCGAATCACATCGCGACAAGCCAATAGCTCGACACATTTCAGCTGCACCTTGGTTTGCTTGGGCTGTTGACTACGCAGCTTGTATTGCTTACAGTCTGCACGGCGAAGCTCTGACCCTCAACACGCGGGTACGCCAGATCAGGTGTAGAGCTACAGAGCACGTGGTATTCTCATCGCTACACTGCTGAAGCGCATCACCTTGCAATTCAGTTAACGCAAGTATATATTGCATCCTGCCGTGACTTGTCCAAAGACGTCAATGTTCCGTTCGCTTCTTTCGTATGCCCCATCTGGGTTGCAATTCCGGAACGCCTCCAATTGCCCATCGCGGACCAGGCCTCCACTGTACGCGATGTTGTTGTTTTGAAGTTGACCTTCAATCGTCCTTACCCATCATCTTCCGCAAGCGCTTTTCTTCAGGCGATCGCTCTGTCCTGACCTTCGGCTCTTCACTTGAGGTCAACTTCTCTTTCTTCGAGCGCGTGAAGTCGGCCTGGAGAGCTTCCTTCAGCGTACTCCGGTCACTGCCTACTCTCTCCAATTGTCCATGTCTCCTCATGCTCTCCTTATGCCAGCTGATCTGGCCACCGTCGGCCTCGCGATGTTTCTGCGCGTTCAGTTTCGCCGCTCGAATTGACGTCCTTGCGTAGACGAAGAGAAGGCCGGCCATCGTCAGCGCCGCGAGGGGAGCCATCACCGTCTGCGCACTGTGTCAGCATGCAAGCTCCAGGAAGCAGAAGTTTCTTCCATACTCGCCCATTGATGATACCCCTGCTCCGGGTCAACCGCGCGGGGGTAGGGCTGGAGGTGGGCTTCGAAGTCTCGCTCATGCCATCTGCCCCGCGGGGCATGGACAGTCTACCACCCATTGCGGTTGCTTATTTTTGCAAGGCCTCAAATTGTTGTAGTATGGCCGATGGCTGACAGGCCTGGTGAACAAGACGAGGGCGTGCACGGTCACAACGATTGTCGTGCGACGCCGGAGCCGAGCTACAATATGCGGCTGCTGTGATGTGCTCTGGCGGACATGCTTCAGCACGCCGTTCTAGTTGTCGACTGCCGTGAGATGCAACAATATCTGCGTGATGTGGAATCAGTCATGCACTGTCTGACAGAGCATGGCGTTGAGACCGCGATCGATGAGATAATCGCAAGCTTAGCTGCTCGGAAACGCCTAGCGCCATGCGGCTATATGCAGCACGAATTTCACGTTTCGTCATCACCAACCCTGAAAGCCGTCGATTCTCGATCCTCACGAACAGCATCCATTACGGAGACTTACGCTGCGAGACCGTGCACTGCTTCCTAGAGACACTGTACGGCTGCCATTCGCCGAGCATCCACTCCTTTGACAAATTCAAGCAGCTGCACCAGAGTCTACAGCTTCAACCGTCACTCGTTTGCTCAGCCTGCACAGGATTACTAACCTATTGCTTTCCACTTTCTTCTGGGCTCTGGCTGCAGTGGCGTCATCGTATAAGTACAAGCTCTTGTCCCCAAGGCTGCCTTAATGCGTAGAACGCTTGCTTTGAGACAGTTGCAAAGGCTGACTTCGAGACCCGTTTTCACTGCTCCTGCTGCTGTTGCCCCGCGCCTGCTTGCTTCGAGACGCCCCACTCTTGCAGCTGCCCCACGAGAAACGGTGGCCGCCTCGCGTTTGTCAGCTCTTTCTTCTCACTTTTCCTCATCCGCTCCCACCATGGCTCCCGTCACCCAGACAGAAGAGTGCGACTACCTTGTCATTGGTATCGGCAGTGGAGGTATCGCTTCAGCTCGTAGAGCAGCAAAGCATGGCGCCAAGGTTATTTCGATCGAGTCGAAGCGTTACGGCGGTACTTGCGTGAACGTGGGTTGCGTACCCAAGAAGATCACCTGGAATGCGGCTGCCATCGCCGAGACCTTCAAAGATGCGAGGGCCTATGGATTCGGAGGATACGACACTCCTACCTTCGACTGGCCTACTTTCAAGAAGAAGCGTGATGCGTACGTCAAAAGGTTGAACGGAATCTACGAGAACAACTTGAACAAGGATGAGATCAAGCACTACAAGGGCCGAGCCAAGTTTGTTGCGAAGGACGAGGTCGAGGTGGCACTGAACGAGGGAGGTACCCAGAGGATAAAGGGAAAGCACATCCTCATTGCAACAGGCGGGCGTCCCAAAGTACCCGACATTCCCGGAGCCGAGTTCTGCATCGACAGCGATGGTTTCTTCGATCTCGAAACCCAGCCCAAGAGCATCGCTACCAGCGGTGCAGGGTACATTGGTGTAGAGATGTCGGGCATGATGCACGCTCTAGGAACGGAGACACATTTCTTCATCCGAGGCCAGACGCTCCTGCGTACGTTTGACCCCATGATCCAGGATACGGTAACCAAGGAGTATGAGCGTCAGGGCGTCCACCTGTACAAGGGTTCGCAAATTACAAAGGTGGAAGACATTGGTAATGGAATGAAGCGAGTGACCTACCAGGAGACCGAAAGCAAGAAGGAGAGCACTCTCGAAGTCGAATGCGTCTTGTTCGCCACGGGCCGCTCCCCGGAAGTGGATGCTCTGCACATCAAGGATCTGGGTATGAAATTGAACGACAAGAACCACATCATGGTCGACGAATACCAGAACACCAACATCTCCAACATCTACGCAATTGGCGATGCATCCGATAGTGGCTTCGAGCTGACCCCTGTCGCCATTGCTGCAGGTCGCCGGCTGTCAGACCGTCTCTTTGGAGGCAAGCCTGACGCTCATCTATCGTATGAGAACATACCCTCTGTGGTGTTCGCTCACCCGGAAATCGGGTCCATCGGTCTCACCGAGCCTGCGGCCCGCGAGAAATATGGGGATAAGGTGAAGATCTATAAGACGGAATTCACGGGAATGTACTACGCGATGATGGAGCAGGGGGAGAAGGGCCCAACGGCTTACAAGATCATCTGCGTCGGCGAGGAGGAGAAGGTGGTGGGCTTGCACATCCTGGGCCAGGGTTCTTCAGAGATCCTGCAGGGCTTCGGTGTGGCGATCAAGATGGGTGCCACCAAGAAGGATTTTGACAACTGCGTGGTAAGTAGATCACTGTTCCTGTGGCTGCTTCGGGCCTACATGCACATGTGCATCAGGTGGCTGCGGCACTGTGTTATGCGGGGAAGCAGATCTGGAGTCCTAAGAGAACCTTCGCTAACGTACCGTACCAGGCTATCCACCCCGTCTCAGCAGAGGAACTGGTAAGTCAGGCTCCTCGCATCTTCCCTCGTTTGGTCCCCTGCTAACACCATTCCCAGGTTACCATGACCTAGGATCTCCCCTCACCCGGATCTTCAAATGATGCACAGTAGATAACACACTCGCAGCATAGATTAGACTATTTTCGAAGAATCAGACACGTCTTCCGTGCATCGTTCACTTCCCCTTGCGGCCACACGGACCGCACGCTCCGTGGAGCTATGGCCGCCTGATTGCAAACTAGCCGATCCTTTGCCGTGAGTCTGGGGTTGGAGAATGGGTGGCTGTATAGCAATGTCGGGCCGCGGACTTAAGCCGCGGTAGGAGATATTCTTGCGCATCCTGATCCTTGCCGCATAGCGCACAGTAGGCTGGGACGGGCAGCGGATGGTTGGCCTTACTGGGCGGGCGTCTAAACACTGTTTACGTGCTTGTTGCACAGACCGTTTGCGATAAGAGAGCATGTTTCTGTGACTGTGACGAGAGTATCATTGGACTGAGTGAATGCGAGCACGAAGCTAACACCCTCGCCTATCCACGCCGCGGCTTGCCAGCAACAGTTCGGATCACGTTCACACACGCAGCGAGGCTCTTCACCGCACCTATCCCCCGGGCTGCAAATCAGGGTCCTCGCATCCTCCATCCACACTGTAGCACAGCGCCATCGGCCTCGCATAGCGCGAACCCGGTTCCGACCCCAGATACCCACTCCACCCCATCCGGGGCTCCAGCGCCTCAGATAGAATCGCCCGTGTAACCCGATAGATTAATGCAGCGTTCGGAGCAGCTCGTTGGGAATTAGACGTGCGTAGAATTAGCATGCGGTATCACGTAAAGGCAAAAGTGAAAGTAGAAGCCGGGACTCGGAGGCGTGATGGGCCGCGGTACGACAGGAGCGTGCGTGGTGTGTTGGAGACTAATTGCATTGCGTGGAGAAGTCACACCCACTAAGTAGACTACACTGCATGGGCATGATTTGCGGAAGCGACTTTCCCAACGGTGCGTACAAAGAAGCTCAAGCAAGGCTGCCCGCCGCGCCCGCATGCACTCCAGGTTTTGGTGTCATTTGGCTGGGCATGTTTTGTGGCTTCGGGTTCGGGTAAGCGTGCAGCGAACACGAGGCATGGCATAGCAGGCCAGGACGTGACGCGACAAACTCCCGACATGACATCGCACGGTCGAAGGAAGATCAGAAGCTTTTTCTGACGGCGCAATGTACCTCGGGGGCTGGACAGCTCGGGCGGTACGGACACCCAGTCTGGCAACGCATCCCCTCGACTCGCACCCCAGGTCGCAATACGTACACATGAAGCTAGCTGACAGGGCGTAACCAGCCAGCCAGAGACAGACAAACCGCCTCGTCCTCACCAGCCGCCTAGGTACATCGATGACATACATTATGACTCGCCGCTCACGCTACAGTACACATGTACGTACCCACACCAACAGGCCAGGCGCCAGAACATCAAAGACTACCTGAAAAGCGCTTGCGATCCGTGGAGCCCTGCGACACTTGAGTGCAACTCAAGTCGGAGACTCAAGTGGGACCAGAATGGTACCTCCCGTGTCCGAGCTCGAACCCAGCGGCTCGCGCTTGGCGGGCTTGACTAGCAAAACGATAGCCGCCCCTTGTTCAAACGATAGTCGATGAGCGGGCTGGGTGGGCCAGGGCGCCTGAACGGGTCGTTCCTTTCTTGCGGTGACACCGACTTGTGTTGTTGTACGATAGTACAGTGGGCGCTAGAGGGGTGGAGTGGGATCTAATCAGATTTCTGTAGCCGGTTTCGAAGGAAAGTGGTCGGCGAAATCCCTTTTAGCGTGTAGCGGATTCGCAAGAGAGAGTGCGTTGCGTGATTGATGAGTGATCTCGGGATCGATGGGTTCCCTGCCAATCCAGCCTCACTTCACCTTGTCCAACTCAATCATCTCATCTCGGCTTCCTTGTCCCATCCTGTTTTGTCAGAGGTTTGTCAGAAGGACACAGCAGCGCTAGCTTCGGTATGCACCGCACATCCTAGCCTTCGGGAACAAACACACAGATAGATGAACTACATAGAGTACCCGCCTCGCTACCCAACCCTCCCATATTAATACAAGGTGGCACAAAGCCACGCACCGACGTCACATTAGATGCGGGCGTACCTGGTTATAATTTAGAGCGCAATGCAGCACGCAGTGGGCGACGCGGGGTGCAGGTGGTTACTCGGCGAGACGAGGCACGTTGAACCAACAGTGGGTGGGCAGAGGGCATCTCGGGTGGTGCTGGAGCGCGCGTCAATGCGATGGATGCAGTGCTTGAGTCGCACCGCACAAGAGAGCACGGCATGTGAATGAGGTTGGCGCGTTGAGGTTCCGAGATGCATCCGTGAAGGGCTGGGCAGTACCTGTGATTTACAAGTGTACACACAGCCAGGAGCTCTGCTTTAGCTTAGAAGGCGGCACTGAGCTGCACTGCGCTGTACACAAGCAAGCAGCCTCACCAAACTCAACGGTACTTTCCTCCCCTCGAAAACAAAGCCGGCTACACAACCACAGAAAAGCTACATGCACATACACGTGCAGTTCAACAAGGATCCCGCCTAAAATACCACCTCCTCCCCGCATTTTCCACGCTTACAACTACCAACCAACCCATCCCATGTTCCTTCCAGGGCTCTGACAAAACAACCCCGGACCCAGCCTGCATGTGCATATGCACGCACGCACGTACATCTGCATCCTGCTGCAGGCTGCACGTTAATGCAAGCACGGAGCTCGACCCCAATCCCAATACCAGATTTTAGAAAGCCGCAGTCGTCAGCGAGAGTGCCGGCCGTCCGCGCGAAGAAGCCGACACTGGCTTGACATGACACGCACAGGCGCCGGCGCTGGGAAGCGCAGCGCAGCGCAGCGCATGTGCGATCCGAGTCCCGGGATGCTCGCACACTCTGCTTTCGCATTCAGCACGCAGAGCAGCTAACGGACGATCTCGTATAGCACGCAAGTAAACATGCGCTGCATGGTGAGTGGGTGAGGTACGTGTGCCCGTCCTGACTTGTTCTGTCGCTGCAATCCGCACTGCACTACGCTGTCGCTGTACCACCGTTTGATGTGCACGCGCCACGCCACGCCACACCACACCACGCAGCTCGGCGCCAGGCACAGGCACGCTTTCCGCCCCTGGTGGCCCTCAGTGACTCTCAGTGAACGCCGCAGCGCGCAGCACCACGCCTGCCCTGTATTCATTGTCATTCCTTCCCCCCACAACCCTATGCCCATATTCTATCTGTCCATGAACTCGGCTACCGACCGTTTGATCTCCACGCCCAAGCCCCAAAGCCTGTACTGTCAGCCAGGCGCTGGGCCGGCTCCACTGTTCCTGAACTGATGTGCGCGCCTCTGGCCTGACGGACGGGGTGGCGATCTTAACGCTGGCTGATAAGCGGAGATTGGAGGGAGGGGTGGGCAAATATCGGGTTTTGCAAGCGATGCGTCACGGCAATCATTTCAGTTCAACTCAATGATGAAATTGCAAATATGGAATGTCTGAGGTGGTACGCAGGTGAGAGATTGCACGTGTGATGTGGTGTGATGAGCAGGTTTGAGCTTCAGACTGCGAGATTCGCAATGCAAAATGTCATGGTATTTGCCTGCTCTGCCGCGATTGAGCGAACAGCTCCCTGCTTCTCCTGCTCCGTAAAATATCGTACAATACATCGATGTCAGTGTAAGAGATGCGTAGCAATGGTGCGACGAAACAGGACCACGACGATCTCAAGCCAGCCAAAGCACGCCTCCTCTTCCAGAAACCGAAGTCAAAGATCCTAGGGCGGCTCCTTGCCGCACCCGGCTCATCCTGACATGGATGGTAAATTCGAAACTCCCCTCCAGCGCCGCGCTTGCAATCCGTACCGTTTTCCTTTTTAAGTAGAGATATATATCGCAATTAAATATGCATAAAGAAGAGAAGATAGATGATCGTGATAGACTGGATCCGATGGTGAGAGTGCGTCACTGGAAGCGACGTTACACAGACAGGCCAGAGCGTGCCCGAAGCTCTGACCAGGTGATGATGGTGTGAAGCGAGATTGGCGAGCGACAGCTTACCCGGTTTGGCCGCTCAGGAAGTAATCCAACTCCGACGGCCCTCCCCGGCTCACTTCATTCTCAGCGAGCTGTTCAAGCAGACTCAGAAACGGGTCTTTGTCGGGGTCCGTATGCACAGAGCCTCCTGATGTGCTCGTAGCTCCTGGTGTAGCCTGCTGGTCGTATGGTGTCGGCATGCTGAGCATAGGATCGAATGCACTATGTGATTGCTCGTGGGGCTGCGGCGGCGGCGGGTGAGCCTGCGTCTGACCGGGGGTTGGCGTTGGCGCCAGACTAGGTATCGGCGGCAACGGTGAGAATGTAAAATTGGGCGAAAAGGGGAGATTAAGACTGCTGCTTTGTGTGCCATTGGTGGAGTTGATTCGCGGAGGAGGCGAGAATGACGGTGCTGAAGCGGGTGATCGAGCTCGATTAGCAGCAGCGTCACTGCCGCCTTGTCGTGCATCGGAGTGCACAGGGTGTGTTGCTGACGTCGGCGTGGGAAGCGGCGCAGGAACAGCTTGTGAACCTCGAACGGAGCTCATGGTATTGGAACGACGTTTCTTGTTGGGATGTCCACTGGAATGCGTATTGCTGGACGGTACGATTGGAGACGGGTGGTATACATTCTGGTTGCCCATACCAGTGTTCATATAGAGGTTAATTCGCTGGTCAACGTTGTATGCTGGCAAGCTGCACGGGATTAGCGGAGGTGGTTGCAGGTATGGGAAGATCACACCTTTCTTGAACGATCTCTACCGGGGTGTCTGTGAAGATGACGTGCGAACCGTCAAAGACGTGGCCCGGATACCGGTCGAAGAAGTCTTCCAATTGGAAGACAGACGAAAAACGCATGGGGTTAGTCGCCAAAGACTTGACAAGTTCATTGTGACATCCGTAGAGGTTTTGTAGGGTCTCGCGCTGGTGTGTTACGCTCGCCCAGACAAATCGCAGCTCGGACAACTGGTGCATCTCTCGCGACAGAAACTCAGGGCTGACGGAGAAGACTTCACCCTCTTGTCCGCGGTAGTGCACTCCGTGGATATGGATCGTTCCAGCAGTGCAGACGCAATAGCCCACAAATGCAGGCCAGTCGATGATAGAAGAAGCCCTGCCTATCTCGACCAGTTCGGCTATGGCATTCGCATGAAGAAAGCACAGGTTGGTCGCTTCGATCTGCCATGATTGGTGTTGTGAGGATCCAGACAGCTCGGCAAGGTCCACCGGTAAAAAGGGCCGATAAATCAGGCAATGTATCAGGTGATAGACCAGTTTGCTAAGAACCAGGATCGTGCTGTCGGGTTGGCCAAAGAGTGCATCGATTGAAGTGAACGTGTCTTGTGTTTCTGAGGCCCAGATGTCGAGTTCCTGTCGGATCTTGGAGAGGTTCGAAAGGGAGTGCCAGGGAAAATGCGAGTCGCCTCGGACCCCACCGGCTGCGAGGTACCGGTTTGTTATACCCAGGATCTTTGCTATGCCGATCAGCATACCCATGCTACCCTGCCCAGCGCGACCACCAGCCATGTATTGCAGATTTGAACCATTAGGAAAATAGTCGCCCTCGAGCAGCATCCCGCCTGGATGCAGCTGCCACGATGGCAGGCGCAGAACGATGGCCTCATCTGCGATTAGCGATGGCCGTTTAGAACCCGCAGCTGCGAAGCGATCCATGAGGTAGCAAGACCAAAACAGTCGTCGTCGGCCTTCGCGTTCGCCTTGCGACACTTTCAGCGCAAGTGGCAGTTCGCGATGCAGGTCAAGCGCAAATGCCATGCTGATAGCAGAGGCTGCGACACAAGATTAGCGACAGGTAATACTCCGACGTCCGATGCATATCACATACTTAATAACATATAGGTCTTCTTGCCCTTGCCTAGCTGAAAGTTCGCTTGCGCAAGGATCATCAGGGCCTGCAGGGCTTCGATAGAGGGCTCGTCAATATCCAGCTCCATCCGCGCTCGGCGTGCATATTCATCGCTAACCCGAATGGCGTTGTTGTACCCACCGAAATGGGGCGTAAACCTGTACAAGGAGAATTAATTGGCGGTACGAGGATCATGTGATGCCAAACGTACCGTGCACTGACTGCGTAGATGGCATAGGCTAAGTAGGAGGGCAGTTGATTGGCTTGCAGCCGCTGTCTGGTCGTGGTCTCGTCCAGGATGTGGTATGGTTTTCCGTGGAGTCTGGCAAAATAGGTGTCGAGCAGTGCGTCTGGGGCTAAACTGGGAGTTTGTATGCTAGCACGCAGTTAGCTACCATTCAGAGCTACTAAAAGAGGCTTTCTATGAATACCTTGGCTCAATTGGTGACATCAACTGCTTTGCGGCGCTGGCGTTGTTCGGAGGAATCTCGAGGTTCGGGCGGGATTGCGAAGATGCCGCTGAGTATTTGCGCTCGAGCTCCCCTTCTTGGCCAGCGGGCTCGTCTTCGATGGCGCTTTCGCTCTTGCCTTCTGAATGCAAACGCTTCTCCAGGCCATCTACGCGCTTGAGAAGAGCCTCGAGCACGTCCGTTTTTGGTCCTCTCTTTTTAGGAACAGCATCTGGTGGGGCGGGTCAGACTATCACTCAAGCGAGGCCGGAGGCGAATGCCTACCGTAGATACAAGGGCAGTTGAAGACTTGACAGGCTTCGCAGGTCGGGCGTGTCCTGTTGCACTTGATCTGGTAGAGTCAGACGAGCTCTGCAGCGTTAGAAGGTGGGCGGCGCTGGTACCTTTCGCTTGCGGCAGCTCTTGCAGTTCATGGCCTCGCGCGGCTCATTGGAGACGCGGCGAGCCGGCAGGCGGTCGATGCCGATTTGTGGCCTCGACATTTGGGAGACCGGAGACTGGAGGACTTGGGTGGACATGAAGTGTGCGGGAGCAGACACTGAGGGTCAAGGCACATGTCTGGCGGTTAGTGACGCGGGCCTGGAGGTAGTCCGTCTAGAAAAGAGCGGGAAATGCAGAGCGTCAGATGGAGGTCCAAATTAAGGCCTCTGGCGTCCGCACAGGCAGTGGGGAACGGCCAGGGTGCTGCTCACGAGCGGACAGGGCTCTCTCGTTGCGGGAGTGCGGGAGCCGATACGAATCAGTAGTGTGTCCGCGACCAGGCGTGGGCGGTCGCAGGCTGGGAAAAGCTGGCACGGCCACATGACGATCTCGGTCTATCTTCATGCGGCAGTTGGGGTGCTGCGCTGGGCGGGCAGCGCTGGCGGCCCAGGATGCGGAGCGCGCAGAGGCGACACTCAACGGTGTGTGGAGGCGCCGGCCATGGGGGCAAGGGTGCGTGCTAGAGGCCAGCTAGCGTCTCCTCATGGGCGCGAGGTGGGCGCGATGGGCGCTGAGGAGCGGGCCCATCACCGCAGGCCTCGGTTAGAGCCCTGACGACAGCAGCCGCTGGCAAATTGCACATCGGGGCCTTTTAGATTGCGCTCTAACCGCGACCGCGCTGGCGCTCGGAGCTTGCCTTCTAGACGTCTTCGAATCTGGGGTAACGGCGAAGCGGGCGAATGCGGCGCCTGCGGTGCGTGCCACACAGAGCGCTGTACCGGGTACGCGCTCGACGTCCACGCGGGCGCTGTGACCTGTCGCTGAGCTCGGGTGGGCGAGGGCCGTCCCCGGTCCGCTGCCAGATCGCTACGTAGGAGAGTGCGCGCGCTGGTGTGTTGCTGTGCAGTGCGCATGCCAGGTACTGTATGTACGTTGGCCGCGGCGCGAGTAGTGTTGGGCATCCCGGCGGTGCTGCTCCCCTCACTCGCCTGACTGCCTGCCACCCGTGGGCCGCGTTTCTCCCGGCGGGCGCTGTAGACCGCCATTTGCTTCCCTCGTGGAAAGTAAAACGAGAGGGCAAAAAGCGGGCACACCTGACACCATCAAACCGATCGCCAGGGCCAAGCAAGATTGATCTGAGGTTCGTGGTCTGTGGTGTCAATGCCGTCGCCGCTGAGCTAAGCGCACGCGGTTTCCTCCAGCAGCCGAGCACCAGCAAGCAGGTGCAGCCGTGGCGCATCCGCCTCATTTCGGCAGGGGCGCCCGCTATGCTGTCCCACGCCGCTCCACGTTAGAGACATCGAGCACCAAGATGAAGGGTGTGCAGAGGACAAGTAGTTTGCAGATATTAAAACAAGCCCCTGCCCACGCCAGACGCTAGCTGGACGAAATCGTAGGGCGTATTCTGGCCCACCAGCAGCCGTATCATCTCCACCGTCGTCCATGCAGACACGTCCGCGCTCCCGTACGCCGTCCAGCCCGCTGACGTTGCTATACCCAGTGGGTCGACCTTGCGAGGCCCGCTGGCTAGGTCCACGAACACCTTGCCTGACACCTTCATCCCGTGCCCGCCGTTGCTAACGCCGTTCTTACCGTTGACCCGGTAGTGTTTCAGCAGTGGCACTACCAGCAGCGACTTCTCTGCGGGCAGCGCTGATATGATCACAAACGGCTGCTCCAGTCGCTTCATATCCTCCACCGACCGGACGGGCTCCACCTCAGCCGACAGCGAGCCCTTCGCCTTAAAGCCAATGGTATAGACGGGCCCTATACCCAGGCTCTTCAATGCAAAAATCGAAGCCGACGCGTCCGCCTCTGAATTCGCCAACAGCAATGCCGCTCGTCTACTGTACGCCGACGGCACAAAGTCGCGGCTAAGTGTTGCTCGAATACCCTTCCACGTCGCATTGTCGCCAATGAACACTTGCTGTCCGTTCTCTTGCCGCACCAAGACAGTATCCACCTGCCCAATTGCGCGCGCAGCATTCGACAAGGCCGGAAGATATGGTGCAGATGCTGCTACCAGGGGCGGGCTGATGTACGCTCCGCCAAACTTCGGTCGCCGCAGGATATATTCGATCGAGGCTTTGGGCGCACGCTCCGCGAACGTGAACTGATGCGGTAGGCTCAGTTCGTTGAAGCATTTTTCGAAGAACATGGCCTGCGATGTTGACCTGAAGCTGCCGATACCGTATATGTCTAGCTTAGGCATTTGACCCATGCTGTGAAGAGCCGAATTAATCTGGGCAGCACTTAATTGACCGGGAGCCGCGATCATTGGTAAAAGTGGGTGCGTTATCGGGGTAAATATCTTATTCAAGGTCCTGGTAAGTTGTCCGGTGGGCCCCATGTTCAGGCCGGAAAATGGTGGGTGCGGATACTTCGTTTGGATAGTTGTCCTGAAGTACTCAAGCTCCATGTTCTCTTGCATCGAGTTCACCAGCACATACATCTTAACAATGTCTCCGTACACCGCTCCCCGTTCAAACAGGGTCTGTGTCTCCGGCGCGAGCCACTTGAAATTTCCCGAGAAGTCATGGAAGGCGGAAATTATTTTGCTGCATCCTTTGCGCTCGGCCAATTTCCTTCGGATATCATCGGGAAGCCAGAGCTCGACGTCAACGTACTCGCAGCCCCATTGAATCGCACGGGTGAGGTATTTGAAGAAGAGATTAGGGTCATCCATCGGGAAGCGGCCGTTCTCCTTGGTACATCTTGTGGTGTAGATGATTGGCAGCTCGGTTCGCTGCCGCAGGAGCATGAGTTGCTCCCCTACGTACTTCAGACTGGGAACTCTGCTGACGCCCCCGTCCGGCAAAGGCTCCTCTAACAGGTCGACTCTGATCTCTATTGCGTCCGCGCCTACTGACAATATGTCTAGGTTTGGAAGCGCGGCGTGGACATCGGGAAAGGTGGTGGATATTAGTGTGGTGCGCGCTTTTTTAGTGAGGTCTCTGTGAGGACTGATCTGGCCCAGAATGAGGGACAGAAAGCGCGCCACGTCTCTTCGAAAGAAAGTCGACACAGTGTAGAGATACTCGTAGTCGCAGCTCTCGGTGATGCTGTCGTCTCGTGGGTGCGGGCCGTCTACGCAATGTGTGTTTATGAGGATGCGCGACCGGTCCCAGCTGCCCGCTTGCGACACAGCCAGGCTGCTGCGCATGCCATATATAGTTCCCCGAGGCCCTGACTTTACATCTTCAAGCGACGTCGTCGTCTCCCACGGTTGTCCCAGCACGTCCGCAAATATACCGACGATATCATCCTCGGCCTCCCCGTGTAGCAGCAACAAGGCTGGCTTGTCGCTGCTGGGTATCTCCTGGACCGCTATAGTGCCTATCTCCTTGAGCTGCGTGGTGGATACGCTCTCTGCTTGTATCATGGTCGCCATCCAAGGCGGTAACTGGGTGGTGTGGTGGTGGTGGGCGGTTTGCGCGCGGACGGTCTTAGCCGTATACGTTGAAGCCGTTGATGCGGAGCTGGATCTCAGCGAGGATGCGACGGGAGGTGTTCAGAGTGCAGCAGTCGCGGAGAGCTTGTATCATCGCCGAATACTGCGTAAGAGCCGGGGCAGGTGTGGGTATCCGGTGTCAACTAGGTAGTCGTGCGCGTCAAGCCGGCGGTAGGGGTGGGGTGGTCCAGTGACAGTGAGCAGGATATAAAACAGAACGCGATTCTGATCGGCGTATAGAAAATGGCTGCGATAGCGAAGGCGCACCGGGTTCTGCCATACGGAACGATCGCAATGTGCCGCACGAACCCGCGCAGTTACGGCGGCCAGAGGCGTCGTATGGCTGGACTCTCAAAATGCCGTCCGCGGCTCCGCCAAGGCACCCCAGAAAGATGGGGTTGTGGAATTTATCCGGGACCTCGCCATCAATTTCGCACCAATAGGGTGGTGCACAACCGCGGCTGTCCTCCACCCGCAACCGACCGTTCTCCACGCCCGCCGCCGACCGCGTGCTCTGGACGCGGGCAGTGAGCGCGCGGGGTCTTTGGATTGGTGGACATATCTATCGCGCTGTCGTTTCTGTTACCTGAGACACGAGCTGAGGCAGGCAGGAAAGCGTCCTGAGGCACTTGCCTCGGGTGCGCGACAAACCGCTGCCGAGCCTTCGTCGAATCGAGCGCAGTCGCACTTCAGAAATGGGAACAGATCGCAATGTTCGCGGGGATGGGCCCAGGGATAATGTCGATGTCGGGTTCGACTGGGCGCGCTCGATGTCTGCTAACAGCGGGGACTTGCTGCAAAAAGCAGACTGAGCATCTGGCACGCCGCTCAATGTGGATGGCCAGCCCTATTCGGCTCTCTTGGCTGCCACGTTCGGGAAAGAACCGTGGATGCGAACCAAGCCGCGGGGACTGCTCTTCCTCAACCCACTTTTTGCACTTCTCGTTGCGCCATCGAGATGATATGGTGGACCTCGCTGGGCTGTTTCCGATCCGCCTCTGCCACCTGGTGCAATGCCTAATAGCGATTTAACCGGCTGCAACGGCCACGACACTGTTCGTAGATGAAGTCGAGTGCATGCGCACGACCAGGAAGAATTTCTCAAGCCGCTCCACCGGCTTCCTGTAACCGGAAACTACATCTTGATGATGAGTTCCACTTCACCTTTTGCCTTCATCTCGGAATTTCTCACCTTCATCTGCGGCGGGAAGGATCATGCCAACATCGCTCCGCGCACAAGAGCATCAGAAGGCTGTTGGTTGTGGGGTCGGTCGCGTCCACGAGTAGCTTACATGATCCTTATCGTTCCTCCACCTCGCACATTATCATCTTGGAAAGTGAAGTGGCTTGCGAGATTCTCCGTGTACTCTGTCTGACACCAACCGCGCGGCAGGCGACTATTGTCACGTCATGTTAACAATCTACATTTTCCCGTAGCACCACGCGGTGCTAGCAGACGAGCAATTAATCCGAGTCTGTATTACGTCCACCATCGGTGCTATCGCTTGGCACTCGCACTTTGTATGAGACCTGCCGTAGGACAGAAATGCAGCCGAAACAACACGATGTCTGAAGACGTCCCAGATATTCCACAGAACGAGTACAATGTGCGTAGCCTTCCAAGGTGCTAGGTGTATTCTACCTCGCTGGCGTTGGTTGAAATTTTCCATAATCGTATGGAAGAATTGCGCCCATGATATAGCATGACAGAACTACAAGATCTTCGCTTTTCCACCGGAAGCATCGACCACACTCCCACTGATCCACTGTAGACCATCAGCACGGTGTATTGTTCACCATGGACGGTTTACTTACCCCGGCCTTCTCACTGACAAGCAGGCCGATCACACCTGCGATATCTTCGACTTCTCCGATGCGCTTTGCAACAGCTACTTCAGCCGCATCGGAAGCTTCGAGCTTGTCTCGGAACTCGGGAGGGATTTTATTATACGCCTCCGTTTTGGTGAAGCCGACGCTGACCGAATTGAAGGTCGTGCCTTCCATCCCAGGTCGGGTACCCAACTCATCCGCCCACTTCCTGTACGCAGATCAGAATGCAGCATGGCGATGCACAAAGCAAACATCGGGATGCAAGCTTGACCAGATCACCTCGCTATAGGCCACCACTCACCGCATCAAGCACTCAAGCGCAGCCTTCGACGCCGCATAGATCGCCCTGTACTCATCAGCACTATTGACCCCTTCCCTCCGGAACAAGAACTCACCCACCATCCGGCCTCCTCGCCCTCACCCCTTCGCTACTAACCGCCACCACTCTTCCTTCTCTTCTAAACGCTCTCTTTCGCAGGAATTGCTCCACCAGCATGACCGGAAACTTCACGTTGCCCGCAAAAGTCAGATCCACAACATCAGGTCGTGCGCTCCCCTCGCCCATCTTCGCGAGCGTCATCACCGCGGCATTCAAGACGACGATGTCGAGCTTGCCGGCGAAGTGCGTGGTCAGTGCTTCGCAAATGGTGGTGACTTCGCCAGTAGTGTCGGGGGCCGCGATGTTGCAGCTTAACCCTATAAACTTGGGCGGTGCAGCCGCGGGAGAAGTAGAAGAGTAGAGTGCAGTGAGTTGCTTAGCCAGGTCAGAGAAGAGCGTGGCGGAGGGTGGCGTCGAGTAGGTGCCTATGATGGAGGCGCCGCGGGTGGCAAGCTCGATGGTGATGGCGCGGCCGATGCCTTTTGTTGCGCCGCTGTGGGGATGGTCAGACGCGAACGCTGTATGGATTGGAAGGGTGTGCGGATATTATGAGGGAGCTTTACTAACGTTACCAGTGCGATTTTGCCTGCGAGATCTTGCTCTTGAAGCTTGAGGGGCTGGGAGGGAGTGGGCATGTGGATAGCGGACATGGTAGATTTTTTATCAATTCTTGATGTGTGATAGAGCGGAGGTGTAGCTATTGAGAGCGTGATCAGAACTAAGATACATATTTACTTCGCATGCCCAACTGCCATTTGCTGCGCTGCCCCTCATAGCTGTGACCCCACATAACAGACCCCACCAGGAGTGCAGCCTGCCGAAGAGATCGAATATGAATCAAATAGCCATATCACGGCATCCTTCAGGTGCCCGAGATAGTAAGCACAGAGTTGCGAGGAACCAAACATGGCAGACGTTCATTGCTTCCCGTGCGTTGGTCTATCAAAGATGCATCCTAGCCGCTAAATTATGGATTTAATATCGCTTTTAGCTCTTGAGGGCTAGTAGAGTTTATTTTCAGTGACTTGTGTGCCTTTCCAGTATCAATTGTGTTCGTACAAGGCTTTCCAGCGTCGGGTCGCTCTACTTCATCCTACCTACGTGTGAATTTCGACCTCGGGTCTAGGAAAAGAGTCGAACTACTTAGAGTCTCTCTAATCATATTCATTACAGTTTTCTAGGTCCAAGTATTAGTTGTACAATCTCTTGGAATATATTAATACGCTGTGAGCATAGTCTCTGTGGTTCTACGTCTCGGATATATCTCGGACACGCGCAAGCCGCTGTTCGCTCGAGGCTTAGTTCCACCATAGCGATGGCGTGTTCGTTAGCGCCTGCCTATCTATTGACTCATCCTGCAAGCGTCAGCACGAGTTTTTGCCTGCGCATGCTGGACGTGTTTGTGCACTTCTTTACATATGCTATATATATGCCAGCATGCGAAAATTTTGACAAATTCCATCGATATCGTAGGATCTCCTTGACGTCGGTGTGGCGCAATGGTAGCGCGTTGGACTTCTACATGCATTGCGTGAGACATCCAAAGGCTGTGGGTTCGAGCCCCACCATCGATGGGTTTGATTTCGCCACGTTTGCGAGCGTGGTAAGCTTTTTGATTTTCTTTTTAAAATATTTTTTGCGAACTTTATCTTCCAGGATCGCAACAGGGACCCCAATCCCAGTATTGAACCGATAAAGCAGAGCTGACAGTATGCCTGGGGTTTGTTATTATGTCGAAGGGTGGTGGTTTTTTTTTTGCGGTTTTGTGGGATGCGAATTTCGACTATCTGCCGTCCTCGGTCGAGGACCCGGCCATTGCAGGAAGATACTCGTGCGTAAAAACGAACTCTCTCAAGGCACGTGAGCGTTGTTGTAGATTATTTCCCATCCCGTGTGGGGAAATGCGTGGATCTAACGAAGCTGACGGCGGGGCCGGGGACGAACAACGAACCAGATGATACGCGGCGCGATTGCTTCACATTAAAGTGCGCACGTATATGTAGAAAATTGTTACTGCACGCTCCAAGCCGATCTGCGACACAGGGACTGGCATCAGGAATTACAAGGGATGAGATATTAATGGATGGACAGAACAAAGGCTCGAAGAAACAAGCGGTAGTGTAGCGCCTTCAAGACGAAGAAGGAGCTACCTCGTTACGGCTTCCATTTTAGCATTCGGGAATTACGACGTGGCACGCATGCGAGGTCTTCTGGAACCCCTTCCAAATTATTGGCACACGAGCGCACACTCTGTTCATGCCTGTACACGTTTACAGACACTACAGTTCAGAGTACCCAGTCCAAATACGACTAATCCCTTAGCCCCTATTATACTACAAACCCTACACTCACATTCAGCACGTTGCATGGCCCAGACATCACCTGTTCTGTTACTTTGCCATACCACGTAAACAAGCGCCCGAGATGGTTTCGACAGCGAGACACCGCATGAAAGCACATGACTGTGCATCCTAACGGTGCCCGTCTCTATAAGTCCGTGCAGAGGACTGTTTCGTCGATGATATTTATGCTTGACCTAAAAGCAAACTAACTTCCTCTATATCAAGTTACTCGGTGGCTACATATACATTTAGCCGTGAAGCTCTATCACTTGTGTCTTTCAAACCATGAACAACTGCCCTGTCCGTACCATCAAACACCCGGGCAAGGCCGTAAGAAGGAGAGCGCGGAGTTTCATATCTCTAATCGTGTGGAAACATTAGATTTTGGTCTTTATCAAACAAAGACAAAGGCATTGAGTGCATAGGACCGAAGAAACTGGAGAAGACGATCCTGATTAGGTACATGGCTGACGACCGACAAGAACATCTCCTTACGTTCGATGGACATGCCCTCACCGAGGTTTTTATGCGATTCGCGACAGAACTCAAGAGCTCTGGTGCTCCCGATTCTGTCAATTTCAGACATGAACACAGAACCCTTAGTACTTTGAACGCGTTTGAGAAGAAGGACAAGCAGACCGAATTTCATGTAGACATGAGCTTCACAAGGAATCGCGAGATCTGGTACCTCTGGAGTACCGAGACTGCCGCCCATCTCTACATCCTCGCCGAAATCCTCGATCAAATCTCTCCGAGTCAACGCCATCGACCACATTGAGCCCAGGTTTAGGCTCCCCTCTGACATCCCTAGGGACACCGTTCGTCTTGTCTACGAGAAGGCCAGCAATTCCCATCTTTGCGTTTTTCTTGTTCAGAGGTACGCAGAGCTGTTGAGCGACCTCGAAGATGGCAAGTCCGAGCTTGTGAAATACCCGAAAGACTTTCTGTTGGATGTCTTGAAATACGTCAGCGAGAGGCTGAAGGGCGGCATAGCATGACCAGTCTTCTAAATGTCGTCTTATCAAACAAGCAATAGACCTTCCCATCATTACTTCACACCCCATCCAAGCGCAAAGAAAGCAGCCAACGAGCAGTCCTGGGCGTTGTCGTGGTGACGTCCACTCTTCAACTCGATCATCTCGTTTGTCAATCGCGTCACCGTTCCTTCTGTTTGCACTAGCTCAGATTTTGCGCTGCCTTGCGTTAGCTCTATATCCCGTCTGCCATGTTCTCTCTTGCTGCTGCAGCCGTCAACATCCAAGCTCTCCATCGCTATCGTTTTGATATTGAATACTGACAAGCTGGACCAGCAAAATCGACAACATGACTGGGCTATACAATAGCGAGAAGCAACTTGGGGAGGTCAACACGGTCAAAATCAAGGTGGTTCAAGAGGTCCACGATGCCGACAAAGACGATATCGACAAGCGCATCGTCATGGAAAAGACATTCACAGTGTCGAAGGAGAACATCACCGCTGCATCATCGTTCTTCACCGCCACCTTCAACGGATCCTTTGATGGGTGCATCGAGCTGCACGACACCGACATCAAGACGTTTGAGGAATTCCTCGTTTGGCTCGAAGAGCGCGGGGGAAAAGAGAAGCCTAGGGTTAGTGATGCACAGAGGTGGGTGAGCAACTGAGTATTCAGTTTCATATCGGGGAACTCTGCTGACTGCCATCTTACGTATCGGATACAGCCAGAGCGACTACGCCGAACTCGGTCCAAACACCGCCAACATCGCCGTCAAGCTCTACGTCTTCGCTCATATTTACGAAGTCCCGCGTCTCCGAGACGATGCCACCGACCGCCTCTATAGCTACTTCTTACTTTGCGATCGTGCAAGCGGGGAGTTTTGCATTACGCCGAAGTCCGTTGAGCTCCTTTGCGAGCACACGCACGATTACTCGGGTATTCGTGACCTCCTGGCGGCTGGGTATCACGAGCGGTATCATCCCGTCAGCAGGCCCCTGGCAGAGCAAGATCTGAAGATGTGTTCTGCTGAGTTCCTCGCTGATGTGCTAGAAAGCGAGATCGACGGTCATGCTTCTCTGCACGGTACTCTGTGTACATATCATGGCAACGAAGGAGGCACGTCTTGGAGGGTCTAGAGTCGAATTGGTGGTTCGAGAGATGATAGGAGTATCACGGATCGAGGCATTGTGTCAAAGTACCACTGCGGTAATAAACTAACTGTGCAATTATTATGCGCAAATACAAAAGTTGCATCGATCGTATCTCTACAATCAACGTCTGGCACCGGATGACTCAGGAAAATATCCCGGCTCAGGCGTATTCTCCTGCATCATCTGCTCCGGCGCCCTAGCCTCCTGCCTCTTATTGATGCCCCTTGCTCCCGGCGTCAAGTATGTATTGTCCAAGTTGGGCAGCTCCTCGCCCTCCGGCGGCTGCCAGTTCTTGCTCTTCCTGGGGCTCACATGAAGAATGTACATTGTGTCGATCTCCTCAAGCGTCCTTCCGTGCGTTTCGCAGACAAAAAAGTACACCACCACCGCACCCATGAAACAGCACGCTGCGAAGACGTAGCCGTACTTGTAATCAATAGCACCAGTGATGTAAGGCGTGAAGAAAGAGATGAGGAAGTTCCACGTCCAGTTCGATGCGGTAGCGAGGGCCATGCACTTTGCTCGATAGCGCGAGGGGTAGATCTCGCCGACCACGGCCCAGATGATGGGACCCCATGTCATGGCGAAGCCGGCGATAAAGAAACATGCGAAGATGATCATGGCGTAGCCAACTCCAGGAGTGCTTTGCGGGTTGTCCTGGTCAAGAGCGAAGGAGCCGAGGGATGCAAAAACTATGAAGCACATGAACATCCACAGACCTCCGGTGATGAGCGCGGGGCGGCGGCCAAACTTCTCGACGATGTAAAGACCGGGGAAAGTGGTGCCGAAGTTCACGGCGCCAAGGATGATGGACGTGACATACGGGTTGGGCAGACCCACGGAGCCGAAGATGGTAGTACCATAGTAGAAGAAGAAGTTTGCGCCTGTAAGCTGTTGCAGGGCCTGGAGAGTGATGCCGAGGATGGTGCGGTACGCCATGCGCGGTCCAGTAAAGATCTCGTACCAGGGGTGCTTGCCGCCGCCTGCACGCTCAGCATTAAGTTTCATCTTGATTTCGTGTAGTTCGCGTTCGACTTCGGGGTGCTCTTCGGCTACACTGTAGCTGAGAGCGATCGTCTTGCGGGCTTCATCAATTCTGCCCTTGCGGTAGGCCCAGCGAGGTGACTCGCGCAGAGTGAGCATTCCAAAACCCATGATGACGGGCCAGATGAAGCCGATGGCCATGGGCAGTCTCCAAGCGCGAGCACTTCGCTCTTGGTTCGTTCCGAAGTTGATGCAATACGCGGTGAAGATTCCGAGTGTGATGAAGAGTTGGTAGCAAGATACGAGAGCACCGCGCACGTAGCGAGGGGCAGTCTCTGACTGGTACATAGGTGTCAACACTGAGAGGCCTCCCACTCCGAGTCCAGCGACCCATCGGCCGATGGCAATTTGGTACCACGTAGTCGTAGTAGCGACCTGGACAATGACGCCAACACAAAAAATGATGTTCCAGAAGCAGATCGAGTATTTGCGGCCGAACTTGTCTGCGACGGGCGCGGCGATGAGTGCACCGATCAAGGTTCCAATGGATAGCTATGGTCGTCAGCTATAGTTCTCGAAGAGCGATTTAGCAGCAGCAGCCTTACCAACCCAACGATGGTTCCACTTCTTCCATGTGTGAAGGCAGGATCCCCAGTTTGGGGGTCGGTCGTGTCGGAGAATCTATCCAGGAAGTCGGGCATCTCCAAGAATCCACTGATCTGTCCCGTATCGTAACCAAAGATGAAGCCACCCATTGACACGAGCACTGCCATCAAGATGATTCGTGGTCGAAAGTGATCTTTTACGCTGATATGCAGGTACTGCGGCTTCTTCTCCGGGTCTGCTGTAGAAGACACTGGCGTGGGGGTAGAACCCCGAAAGCGATCCATAATCGCCATGTTCGTAAGATACCGTACGGTGGAAAGTACAGATATCTTTTGGCTACAGGAAGAGTTGGAGCTTGCGTATGTCACGCCCACCCACGGGGACGGTCCACCCTTATAACCTCCGTACGCCACTCCTCCATCATTGATATCCACCTCCCCAGGGTCCTAATTCTTCGGCCCCGGCTTCTCCTGCTTTCCGCATCGTCAAGCTTTTCGTACCCCGACGTCATTGTAAGCGGTGGAAGGTTCGTGAGTACTTCGGGCGCTAGGAGTGGAAGAAGCTTAGCCCAAGAATATCCCGAACATCCAAACCATCCGGTTGGTACGGCCGTTGATCGGCGAGATGAGGCTCTGGTGTTAGCGTCTTGGGGGTCACGTCAAAATACATCATCCTCGCCTCTGTGGAGCTGAAACCGTTACGCGCGGTAGAAGCACGCGGGTGGCAGAGCCTGCAACGCGTGCCGTCGCCCGTTTCATGGTTCAGGATACCGGAGGAGAGAGGGAGTCGACCGATTCGCAAATTGTCGAAGGTGGAAGATTTCAACGTGGCCAGTGGAGAACGGGTACAGTGCGCAAGGCTGGCCCACTTTATGCTTCGAAACAGCTTCTGATAAGCCTGGAGAAGAACGTGGGATCGCTGCCAACGGTCTTCACATTGCTTGTTTCAATCTTGGCCTTGTTGCTGAAATGTTTTCTGCACTTTTCATCTGCATGACTCTTCGATGTTGTCTTGCCACTTTGTGCGACAATGTCTTCCGCTTGGCTCTGAGCAACTTTTGTCTTCGCGATTCACACGGACGAGCTCCTGCGGATGCCCCGGACGGAGCGTGTGTGCGAGTGGAGATTGGAGAGGATTGTGGAGGGTGCGGATGTTCCGGCCACGTGCACCTGAGATCAATGACGTAGGACTTCTAGTCCGAGCAAATGTTTGAGTGAGTTGCGGATCACAAATCAAAGGGTTTGGTAAGCCCGCTTGAGGCATCACCCGATCAATCGTTCACTGCCAAGGTTGCCGCTCGTCGGGCCCGACACTTCGCCGAGCTTTGGAGTTGCACGTGGCTGTAAACGCACACGGCTACACACCTTTCGCAATGCTTCTCCTTGGTGTCTCCTACTCTCCTTCCCCCTCTCCACTCTGTCCTACCCCACTCTCTTCCATGCCACCCCTCCTACCCTTCTTGAAACAGCTCAAGCGAGATAAGCTCAAAGTACGTCTCCTTGAAATCCTCTGGATGCTCCGCAACCCACGTCCTGCACTCAGCCTCAGACGGCCAATCCAACATTGCCCAATCGCCACAGAAAGTAATGGTGATGACCTGTGTGCACAACTCGTCATTTCCACCATCAAGCATCCACAAGCGGTAGCAAAGTAGCGGGATGTGATTGCACCAACGATGTGACCCGCCCAAACTGCCTCGCAAAATGACATTTTCCCGGCGCCAGCCACACGCTGAGCTCCTGCTTCTAACTTCCAGACTCAGGCCGTCCCCTCATAAGATCGCTTGGGGCATCCTCCTCCATGGAATACCATGCCTTTATCGCCTCCGCGTTCAGCAGCACCACCACGCACTTATACTCTGCCCCATTCGCCGCTTTTCCAAAGAATCAGGCGAACCGTTAGGAGGACATCCCTCGTTCACAGCGTCTTCGTGGAGATAACAGAGCTTACTGGGTCCTCGAGATGGCCGCGGAGCGCGACGACGCTGCAGTTTGCCGCTGTGTAGAAGGAGGTTGTGATGGTGGTGGCTCTATCAGCGGCTTCGAAGGGGTCAATTTCAGAGCACTCGCTGTCGCCGATGTCTTCGCCTCTGTAGAGCCAGCCGGACATCATTAGTATGTTTGCCCGGTGGAGGTGAAAGAACCATCGCACTACGCAGGCCACATGCCATTCCCCGCCTCAGGCAGAGGCGCAAAGTCTGCGACCAGCAACCCATTATGGAAGACGGCCTTGCTGGGTATGTGGACGCTGCGGCAGCCCGTGCTGTTCTCGCCGTACGTCTTCTGCGCGTCGACGCCGAGGTACACTTTGCCGTATGCGACCGTGGCATCTTCCGTGTCGCACTGCGCGAAGCCGCTGTTATATTGTTCTGAGGTCTGGAGTGTGTGAGTTTGGCTGCTTGCGGTGGAGGCGCTCTGGGAGGAGAGGGCAGGGAGACTGACGGAGATGAAGTCGACTTTGTCGAAGAAGTTGATGGAGTTGTAAGTCGAGATTAAGGCACACTCTGCAAGATATTTCCAGGCTAGAGCGAGCAACGCTACAAGCGCGGAAGAACGCATTGCTTGGAGTTGCGGTGTTGGACGCTGTGCCGCGGTTACAACAGTGTTGGATCCGGATAATTATGACAGTAAAAGACAGCTGCTAACTGCATTTCCAAGTACAAAAGGGACATACTAGTGAATCAAACATGCACGGTGGGGAGGCGGTGCTGCAGTGGGCTGGCAGTGGTGGGACCGCGTGCTATAGAATAGCAAGGCAGGGGGCTGGAGCCCTTCTCCCAAGCAAAGACTAGTCTCACGCGTAGGAAAAGAAGTGTGTAAGACGAGGGAAAGAAAATGGGAGGTGAGGAGCAAGTTGTACGACACGCAACTTCAGAACCGGCCAACCTCACTGTAGCCCAATCTCTTAAAAGGCCTGTTCGCAATACTACCCTCCCCGGCTCCCTCTCAAAACTCCTACCCGCAGCCCAACCCCTCTCCACTGTCTTCCTTGCTTTCGTCCCCTCGCCGGAAAAGAAAGGTAGGTTAGTAGGAATATTCATTCTCGCCCACTCGCTCGCCCGCTTCATACTTACTAGAAATCACTGCATCTCAAAGGATCAAGCAGCCTGCCCGTGTACACTGCAGCTCAACCTTTCGTTCCAGTTCCCACCGCTATTCCTATACGCCACTGCAGCGCAACATACACAGCACGACAAGATGATTAGACGCGACATGACAGACGTTCCCAACTCAACGTTCGTATTTGCTCAAGAACCTTTGATTTTCAAGTTTCAACATGACATGACAAGCAGACTCCTCGTCCGCATCAGACAGCGCCCCAAAAAGATACGTAAAAAAGATATATGTAGCCCTGGGCACTGATGCGTGCGTTTCTCTCATCGACGTGCTTTTTGTACACGATGCCGCTTCCTCCTCCTCTCCCTTCTCCGTCCTGCTGCTCGTTTCCTCGCTCGATGCGCTTACGCAGCACCGTACAACCCCCAAGCGCCCCCGTCCGTCGTCCATCACACAAACACCCTACTCCTGCCCGAATCCCACAGTCTCCTCGACAGCAATCGTAAGCTTCCCATTGAGCTGCTCAAACGACTTGTACGGCGGCAAATCAAGACGGTTGAAGCTATTTCCAGTCAGCAATTGAACATCCGACACTTTGAACACGGAATACATACCAAGTATGCGACTTGGGCAGCTGCGTCGGTTCGCCCGCCTTCTCAATCGTGAATCTCCTTGGCCCGTCGCTTCCCTGCAGATCCTTGAATCCGTTGACAGGAATGCGCGAGGTACCGGTTGCAAATTGCAACAGGCGCGACTTCTGCTCAGCATCCCAGCTGCGAATGCACTTCCAGAAATGCTGCACAACTTCGTCGTTCTCCGTGTAGCCACGGTAGTCGGTGTGCTTCTTCCAGTCCTCGACGTCGATGTCTGCGATACCGCCAATCAGCAGTTCGAGCTCACGCTCGTCGAAGACATTGACCAGGTCCGCGGGGATCAGCTCGTGGAAGCCCGAGATGAAGGCGTTGAACTGCTCCTCGACGCGCTTCTGGATGCGCCACTCGGTGATGAGACTAGGCGCGTTAGTGCTGAACTGTAAGCTGAGGCGAGCTCTACTTACTCAACATATTCCTTCTTGTTCTCGTTGGTGACTTCGATGTCCTCGCCGCCGGGCTTCAACTCGATGCTGACCGTCTCGCCGAACCGCTCGTCATCCGTGGAGAACGTGAGCTCGAGCGCATCAGTGATGTCGTTGTTACTGCGGGAGTTAGTTGGCGTCACAAGAAAAAGTGCTACAGCCACTCACAGCATCCACTCCAAGTTGCGGTGGAAATCCGCATCCACACCCTCCATATCGCCCAGCGCGACCTTTTTCCTCAGAATCATCTTGTAAAACGCTCCAATGAAGAATGCATCCAAAAAGCGGCGGTGGAAAATGGCCAAGCCGACCACGCGACCAATGAATTTGAAGTAGTTCAAATGTTCGGGGTTGATACCGGAGTGGGGATTAATCTGGAGAGTGTAGTTGTCGTGTGCGGAGTATTCGAAAAGGCAGTAGAAGGGGTTGAACATTTCGTGCGAAAGCAAGAAGAAAAATTCTCGGGAAAGACCTCCGTAATCCAGACCGTCTTCTCCATCGAACTTGATCATTAGTCTCTTCTTCAGATCAGCCGCGCTCTGCCGCATTATCTCGTGATATGAATCTTCAAAGATATGCGTTCTTCGAACCTTGACGTGGCACTGTCCACTAACAATGCGCAGTGCTGGTTGCGATCGGAAGTAAATCAACTTGCGGCGGAAATCACGCTTATACTGCGGTACGTTTTGGTCGAGCGAAGAAGGCAGTCGTGGGTCGTCCCATGTCGTAGTCTTCGTGTTGTGGTCGACAAAGTAGACGCGAGCGGTGTTGGTGAGGCGCATTTCCCATCCTGACGGCAGCGGTCCAAGTTGCGACACAGGCTGCTGTTGGATGGTGCTGTTGTTGGCATTTTGCCCGCCGTACATGCGGATGTACTGCTGGCGACGCGGGTCCACCCACGTGGTTGTACGCGTGTTATGATCAACAAAGTACGGCCGTCCTTCTGGAGTGTGTCGCTGCTCCCAGCCTGACGGAAGCTCTCCGGTTCCCGCAGTGGTTGCACCCGTAGCCATCATGCTGACAGCATTCGCGGAGGTACCTCCCGGTGAAGGCTGGCGTTCCGAAAGAGTCGGTGAGTTCGCACCAGTGCGGTCCTCGGGCAACATTCGATTCTGGTGTCGAGTTCGCTCCTGCTGGGTCTGGGCGGCCATTTGCGTCCTGTTGTCAGCCTCGTTGAAGCCAGCACCTGGCCGTATCCAGGTAGTCTGCCTGGTATTGTGGTCGACATAGTACGTCCTCCCCAAATGATCCTCTCTACGTTCCCATCCAGGCGGCAAGCGTCCCTGCGAGTCCTCGAATGCGCTGTAGCCGCGATTCTGAGCGGGCGCGGGTGCGCCGTTCATGGACGGTGGTGCGGCGGTCGGGGGCTGCGGGGTAGGCTGGCTAAGTCGCTGGGACGGCGGTTGGGAGGGCAGCGCAGGCCGCTGGCCGGGGTACATGTCGGGGTGGAGGTTCTGGGTAGACTGGTGCTGGGTGGACGCAACGGGCGGCGGGGCACCGTTGACCGAAGAGTGTGCGGAGATTGGTGGGCGGTTGGTGTTCTGGCCGCCCTGGCTGATGGGCTGGCTCAGGTTGGTCGACAAGTTGAGGATGAGTTTACCGTGGACGACCATATTGTCGTTGGACTTCTTGAGGTCGCGGGTGAGCATTTCTGTGAGCGGCGTGTCAGCATGCGTGCATCCGAGGTCACTCTCGGTGGCTCGTACCATCGCCGCCCGCGTCCAGGTCAATGACACTCCCGATGCGCACGTTGATGACGCCCAGAAAGCCCTGGTCCTTCTTCTTGAACTTCTTCTGGTCAAAGATTTGAACCGCGAGCACGCTGTCTTCGGTGACGCGCCTGCGGACTCGTTAGCGCTGTCCCCGCCGTGCTGCCCGCGCGTGCGGAGGAGCCACGTACATGTCGAAGCTCTCGTTCCAGTAGGGGTTCAGCGTCTTCTTGATCACGCTCGTCGTCCGCGTCTGTTCGCCGCTGATCGTGGCGACGGCAAATGGATCCGGGAAGCCTGATGGCATGTGAGCAGCAGACGATGCACTGGGGGCGGTGAGACGCACGGAAGACATCGCGCTTGTAGAGGCCATCTGCAGCGATAACTGGGGGGTGTCAGTGGTGTTCGTCGACGTCGGAGCGTGCATGGGCGCGGCAGACGCACTGGTAACGCGCAGGTTGGGCTGGCCGGCGCCGTCCATGGCTGGCCGAGGTCAGCGCTGGGGCTGGTCGGGGGGCGTGTTGTCGGCTCGCAGAGCTCGCGCGGAGGGGTCTCGGTGGTGTTGCTGGGTGCGGGCGGGGGTGTGGTGGCCGCCTGGAGGCACGGCGGTCGACGACGTGCAAGGTGCAGTGGAGGAGGCTGTGCTATCGGTTGCGGCCGTGCGGCACGTTACAAAGGGCGGCGCGAGTTCGGCGGGCTCCCGGCAGCGTAGTGGCCGTGCAGGGCGCAGAGGACGCTGGGCCAACCCTTAGCAATCGCTGCAAACACTGGGCCTTGGGCTCTGCACTCGCCACGGGTCGCGGGCGCTGGGGTGGTGTCGTGATGGACTGCCGACGACGTTCCAGTGCGGCGCCTGCTCTGCCTTGGCGGATACCCCGCCTGCCTCCAATGTTGGTAGTTGGCACGAACCGAACCGTTCCCCGACTGCGCTGACGGGCGTCCTGAGCCAGCGCCGAGGGGAGCACCCGCAGCACTCTGGATGCTCCAATTCACGATGGCTCTGTGCTCTCCTTATCGAACCTGTACTGCCTCATCTCCCAGACGCCGCTGGTGCCGCGTACGCCACCCGCCGCCATGATGTCAAGCCCGCTCACGCGTCCATTTCCGGACACAGCCCATGGTTTTCCGCCCGCTGCTGGTGCATGCCCAGACGAGGCCATGTGTATGGATGTCATCAGCTCAATTGGATCAAACTGTCATGGTGTTCAATGCCACAAGGTTGATTTGGATGATTAGCAGACGCGAAGGCACCAACCTAGTACAGGGCCCTCTAAGCAGCAGCTTCAGATGTGTGAAGAAAATAGGTACCAGACCCTTAGTCCACCCAGGACCCCTCAAGTGGTGCTTCTACTTTACTCTGTCCCAACGTATACTACACTACGGAGGAATGAGCCAATTCCACGACTCTGCTTCCATGGTGCTTCCATGAGACATGCCAAGTAACCTCTTTGTTTCTTTTTACATGATAGTTGCTGGCATTTATTGTGAAGTGAAGTTCAATATGATCTATAGTCCCCGCTCCTGTACATGATATGATACGCTAAATACGCTATACCACGCCTCCCATGCTCCTCCCATTGCATCAAGTTTATTTGCCCTCATATCATCTATATACACCCGTCACTCTCTCCCCTCACACCCCCACCGCCCTCATCCCTAGCTTCCACCTGCCCCAAAGCACCCACTCAAACACCCCAAGCCTCATCTCAACCCGCATGTGATTCGCCCATGCGCGCAGAAAAGCCCAAAGATTCGCTGGCCAAAACAAGCTCCTCCCCATCAGATTCTCCAACTGCTCCTCATACACGGTGCGGGAAGCGTACCGCGCGAGAATAAGGAACGTGCGCGCCGGACCTTGCCTTGTGTGCAGATTTTCGTCGAGGGACCGCGCTGTTCTCGTTAGCCATCCATCCCATACCGTACATCGAAAGAGGGAAGAGAACAGGGATTACATACTCAGATCATTTGTTTTTAAAATCAGTAGAATCACCCTCGGCACTTTGCCCAGCAGCTGAATCAAACTCTCGAGCATGCCATCCCCCAGCGCCTCGGTGATAACCTTCTTCTCCTCGTCGCTACGGCCAGAGCTGACGCCCTCCGGGCGCACAATGATGCTGTAGTCGCGACCAGTGATTGCGGACGCGAAGAGCGGGAAGTGCCGGTCGTCGATGCCCGCGACCTCGTACGCATACTTTCGCATGCGCGGCTCGTCCGCATCAAGGACCGCAAGCCATAGCTTCGCGTAGGAGCGGCGCAGGTGGAGCGGGATGTCGCGGTAGAGCCCGTGGTCATAGAGGACGACGTCGAAGTTTGAGGCGCCGCGGCGGGGGGCGGGGTTGTGCCGGATGGCGATGTTGCCGCCATGGGGGTCGCAGTGGAGCGGGGCGTTCGTGCCGAAGATCATTTCGTTGAAGATGCGGGCGAGAGCGGCGGACACTTCGTCGCGGTCGATGCCGTGGGTGTCGAGGTATTCGAGGTCGTCTGGCCGGTGCCCAGAGACGTACTGCATTACGAGGATGCGGCGCTTGGCCCAGAGGACTTCAGGGATTATGACGGGCGCGTCATGGACGTGTGAGAAGTATTCGCGCGCGCGAATGGCGTTTTGGCCTTCTTGTCTGAAGTCCAGCTCTTGGGGAAGCGACTTCTCCATCTCTTCTGATAGCCAGGTCAGGTCGTACTCTGGGAACCAGTACTTCAGAGTCTCAAAGGTGAACCTCGTGAGCGCAAGATCGAGCTTCGCCCACTCGTCCAGCGCAGGGTGCTGCACCTTGACGGCGACCTTCTGCCCCGTTTCCCTAATGACTGCCCGGTGGACCTGCGCCAGCGATGCGGCGCCAATAGGCAGCTCCTCGAACTCAGAGAAGAAGTCGGAGAGATCGGTGCCTTCGTCTTCCATGACCATATCCTTTATCGAGTCGTACGACGAGACGGGGCATTTGTCCTGCAGCGGGATGAAGGTATCGCACCACTCGCTGGGGAGCAGGTAGTTCATGCTGCTCAGATGCTGGCCCAGCTTTATGAATATGGAGCCGTTCTTCTCGAGGGTGCGGAGCGTTCGCTTCGCGCAGCGGAGGTGGCATGCCTTGAGCGTTTCTTCGTATCCATCGTCGCCGTGCTTCTTCAGGGTATTTCGGTAGCTGCCCCTATTAGCTTGCAGAGCAGGAAGGTTCGCTTGTAGGCGCTCACTCTTTGACATTGATAAACAGCGTCGAGAGCACTCTGCTGCTCCGCTGCACGGCGGTATATGCGTGTTTCGCATCGTCATTGATGGTGACCGCCGCCCCTGCAACTGCGAATCCTCCGCCTACAATCAGCAGCCTCCTCCTTCTTTTACTACTTTTCCCTGAATCTCCAGGCGGCGGTTTTGTGTTCGTCTTCGCCTTGGTCGCATACCCGTTCCGAAGCTGTGGCACCTGTCGCCGGAGACAGGCGTGACATGTCCACTGTGCCTGCGCGGACCGCCGTATTAGGGGGGAGAAGGCATTGAGCGAGTTCATCGTGGTCGCGTAACCGGAAAATAGGCGTCTGGTATTCTATCGGGGCGACATGGCGAACAGCAAGTAAGTAAAGCGGTCAGATTCGGTCCAGCGGTCTCCAAGTGGTTCGAGACTTTTCGCGATGAGGCAAACCCTTAGCGCAATCCACGGCGGAATCGCGCCGCATCCCTGTCCTCCGGCGCATGCACGTCATACCACGAGTTACACTTTGTATTTTGAACTGTTTCATGGTCATATTTCACGCTATCGCACGCTCCGTTGCACGGTAAATTCATGATATGTATTATGCGTCAACAACACGTAGAAAGTCTAAATATTATCGACTTTTGTGTGCCTTCGATCTCATGGCAAATGCCTAAGTCATGGCACACTCAGAGCGCAAGTCATTCTACACTGAAACCAGACTGCCGCCCAAAATCTATGCCAAGCCAAGACCGTGATCATTCTCCATCCCTGTGCAAAACTCCACAGATTGCCTCCCGCATTCGTTACCAAAGCCTAGCTTTTAGACACACACCCATACCCGACGCCACCGGCACCCGATTCCCTCCTTTGTCGTGAGACAGTATCGCATTAACGGGTCCTCCTATACCGCCGCGAAAGCACCTCTATCAAGCGTCGAACGTCCTACATATCGATGCTCTCATTAAATCTCAGCACCCCATTGCCTTTCAGCATCCCGTCCACGCCGTTTGGCATGAAGTCTCCAATTGGCCTTGCAACTCCAAGATTCGCTTGTGTATGGTCTTGAGCGGCGTTGTCCGAGACATCGGTAACGAGGACCAGTCCGGCCGTCTTGATCGATTCGATAATGGCGGGAGCCAGACCCTGTCGATGGTTAGCTTACAAGCTCAACTTTGACTGAACTGTAGACTTGTACGCACCAGTAGACGAGAGCTGCAGATGAGACCCATGAAGTTGTTATCACGGGCGATCTGTACAGCATCCTTAACCGAGATTTGGGTGCGTCCGCTGCTTTCCACCGTGTGCGATCCGTTCTCGGCTGAGCCCGCACCAAGCTCATTGCAGAGTAAAACGGGGTCTATACAGGCGTTAGTACCACATTTGAAAGACCGAATTCCAGTACATACAATTCGGCTGTTTCCAGTTAATGACCGTGCAGATATCCTGGTTGAAGGAGCTGAACACAACACTCCGCAAAGTACCATCGATCTCTCCTGCACCTTGCTCTCGGAGAACTCTAGCATGGTCGAAGACAACTGATAGAATCTTGTCCGCAAAGTCGTTCATGTCCTCGGTAGGTCCAAGCTTGAGGTGCTCCTCTTCTGCTCGCGATGGAAACAAAACGTGTAGCTCGACATGGATATGCGCCGGGAGCAGAGCCAAGGCGTCTTCAAGCGTTGTAAACGATGAGGCGAGAATCTGGTAAATTGTAGGAATGTCGCCAGATGTGGCACTCTGCAGGCTGGCAACTTGTGCTGCGGCCGTCGGGTTTTGTCTCGCTCCGATAGTGACGAACTGCGCATAAGTTAGGATGTTGACCGGAACGTCGAGACCTTCGTGGCTAATTTTCCATCTGGGGAACAGAACTGGAACTCCATCGGCAGTAAGCTGCACAAACAGTCGAACGTACTCGCCAGACAAGCTAGAACCGGTAATGAGGGTATGAGGTTGCGAATCCAGCTGGCTTGTGGCTTTCCAGTAGGTTGCGAAATGTGTGATTTCGAGCGGGATACCATGGAACGGCTTCACCACTTGGTAATCGAAAGAAACCTGACCAATCGCTCGCAATCTAGGATCGAAAAGTTCCAGATGCCACTGACCCGTACTTTTTCCTGAATTCGTAAAGACCTTTGATGATGCAACACCGCGTGCGATCACCTTCGATCCGATAGTCGGGTACACATCAAAATCTATTGAAAAGGACGAAATGTTTTCGATCTGGAAGGAGATGATTTTGAACTCGTCCTGAACTGGGAGGAGGACATTCCGTGGGATCAGATCGGAACTCTTTGATGAAATGGTGAGTCTAGCTGCCGGATATTTCGTCTCGTCGTAGAATCGGATTGCATCTTTGCCCAGCCTCTCGAAACTAATGACCACGAATGTTTTTGTGTCCAAGAAATTGTGGCCGTATCGCCTAAAGGGAATGATGGGTGGCGGCAGAATGAACTCTGGGATGCCCTCTGCATCGATTTCCGTTTCCATTGGACCAGGCGCAGTACCGGAGGCCGTAGGTGTTGCTATCCGTGGAGATAGTCCTCGCTGCACCCTTAGACCGACCCCGCTTCCAATGGAAGCAAGCAGCTTGATGCATTCTAAGTGACCTTCCCAAGTCGCGTAATACATTGCTGACAAGCCTTTCTCATCGACAACATCGGCGTCGACCTGGCATTCAAGAAGAGTCTTCAGGCACTCCACATGTCCTTCGCTGGCAGCGTGGAATAGAGGCGTCCACTGGTAAAGCTTGTCCGGCTGATCCAAATCTGCGCCATATTTCTTCAGCAACAAGAGCATCTGTGGGGTCTTTCCTGAGCGTGCAACGAGATGTGCGGGATAAAGACCTTCAGCATCTGGGAGCATCTCGGCATTACGCTGAAGAAGAAGCTCGACAATCTCCATAGAGCCCCATTGGCAGGCAAGGTTGAGAGGAATATGCTCCGCCGGACCGAGACGAGTAAGGTGAGCACCGCTCGCCAAAATGATCTGCACACATTCAAGCTGGGCATGTACGATCGCATGAATGAGTGGTGTGAAGCTATCCTGGTCCCGGAAGTTGACAGTGTCCGGAGCAACTCTAATGAGTTCTTGGAGAAGGTCGACGCGACCATGCATAGCAGCGTAATGCAAGGGTATCCGACCGTAAACGTCCGTCGCATGTGGATCGACACCTCCGTTCAGACCTAGCCTCAGCACCTCATGTCTTCCTCGGATAGCAGCCTTGTGAAGGCAGTTCCGCTCGTTGATCTCATCTGGCTGTTGAAGCTTTACCAGGCCGGTGTCTAATAACGACCTTAATGCCGTCTCTGGGGCGAATTCGACCGTGCTGAGGAAAGCTCTGGTGATCCGTTCTGAAGCATCGTTGAGTTTATGTAATCGAGAGAGGCAGTCGTCAATTTGAATAGTGTTGGCGGTGTTGATGGCCTGGATAATTTGGTTGTCGAGTTGAAGGTTCGCTTCGATTGATGGCTCAAATACTCTTGATTGGGTTGGCTCTTGGGGTGCTTGCATACCCTCGCCTTCAGACCAACCAGAGAAGTCGAGGAGTGCTTGGGTAGCTTGGTCTGACAAGTTGCTGATGACATCGCGATTGAAACATGGTTGGACATCGACGGCTCGGGAAAGATAGAGTTGTTTCTCTCGGGACTGGCGTGAATGTCAGCCAGCGTCGCGCTATTGCTGTGGTAGATCCGACCTTGGACGTTTTATCCCACTAGTAGAAGTTAGAATGCTTCGCAATAATGGTTGACAAGGTCACAAACCTTCTTCAGTATCTTGGAGAATGCAGTGCCATTCACGTCGACAAATTGCTAGCTATGGTTAGCTTCACCTGCATGTAGTCGCCGGAGCCAATCACCTCGAGCTTATTCAGGTCCATGCTAAACTGCTTTAGGCCTTCTTCAAGGGCGACATATCTGGAGGATGACTTGGAGACCGATTGTGGATGCTGCTGCATGACTCTCTTCTTGTCGAGAAGTGTGCTCAAGCGAAGACGTAGCTGTACCGGCGTAAGCTATAGACACGGCCATGGCAGACGATGATAGTACCTCGGCCTCTTTCTGGAGGTAGAACTTGTTGACCTTTTCTAACTCGCGTTCCTGTACATCAAATAAGAACAATGCTGGGACCAAGTGGCCGAAGAGCTCACCACTCGGAAGAAGAAGGTGGCCTTGTTGGCCTGCAGAGAGGTCTGCGGGTCGAATGTATCGAGCCCATGGTACTCTCCTTGGGCGGGTATCACTGGAGTTGTGCTCAGCTTCTTGATGAGCTAGATTGTGTTAGTCGGGGATGCATATCTGCGGTAGTACAACGATACCTTCTTGAGAGCCTTGTAGTCGACGAAGCTAGCGGCATATTCTGGAATTTCCAGCTGCCGCTTCTGTATGTGCTTCCCGAATTTCCTAGAAAAGCGCGGTGAGTCGGTGGGTTCGTCTTTCGAAGCTAGACTGGTTGACGATGCAGACTTCCTCAACACCACTATGGGGAGGGGACGGTGGTCCATTGGACTGAGACATACATGGTGGTGACAGGTAGAAGGAAATGGGCACAGCAGTCGTACGGGCCTATACGGCAACGGACTGAGTGTGCGCAAGCGAGAAACCTCCGACCAGCAGACGTGTGGATCTAACCATACAGACCAGGCTTTGACAGGTGGTGCTCGTCAGCAGGACGCTATAGGGCAGGGACAAGCGCAGAAAGAAAAACAACTGTTGGTGAGGCTGGTCAAAATGCCGAGGACGTGCGTCGGGGCAGTGTAGGGCGGGGAGTGCGCGAGGTACACCTACAGTGGTTGTGGTGATGGATCTGATCATTCCAGGCACAGATTTGCGCGGGCTTGGGGTCGCACGCAAGACTAGCAGCTGTGGCAGGTGCTAACGAGGGGCCGCCATCTGAGTGGTACTGCGGCGCTCGCTCTCAGAGGGCCACGAGACGGTGCAGATGTTGCTGGGGGGAGCGTCGCTGGACTCGACCTTCACGCTGAGCATGCAGCAGACCAATCGCAGCCCCGCAACGGCGCACGCAGTCGCGACGTCCGCGAGAGGTGGGCACCCCGGGAGCGTGCCGAGGCTTAGAAGCACGCTTAGGTAACGCGGAGCCCTCGACGATGTGGACCGCCTAGGCGCAAACACCACCATAGCAGCGTCCACTTCCCAGGCAGGTGGACCGCTGGCACCGAGTTTCCGCGACGTCTTCATGGGGATCGTGGTCACTGTCGGGGTGCTGGGCGGTCCGCTGTGACATCTGTCACCTACACGATGCCGCCTCTATATGCCGCTTCGTGCCGGCGGTTATGCATTCACTGCAAAAGCAAAACTCCCAGCAGTGACTCCCGCATCTTGAGCTCATCGGCACACCTGCTCGTCCTTTACGGCTAGCCACGTTCGGCGGAAAAGACGACACGACACCACTCGCTCACGCCGACAGCAATGTACATATGCATCGATTGTGCCTAGGATATCATGGCGAGGCTTGCAACCTCCTCCCTATATTTTGACTACGCAAGCCCCTGTCAGAACGCCTCCAAGGGATCTGTGGGTATTGATACGCAGTTGAACATCGTCTGTAGCCCAAAAGCCCTGCCGTCGAAAGAAACCTCGCGTCAACATGTGCGCCCTTCCAAAGGCGCGCGGCCATCTCCCGCCTTTTCCAACGTCATCTTTCCCCCTCATAGCCCGTATATATCCCACCCGTCGAGTCCGTCCGACTCCTTCGCCCCTGCTACTCCAGAACTTGCGTCGGCCCTATCAAACGGGGTGCGCGTTGCCGTATTCGGGTGTAGGTCTTCGTCAAGTCACAACTCATCGTCCTCCATGTCCGACGGCTTCAGCAACCCTCCGACCTTCATTGCCCGCTGTCGTTCCTCCTCCTTTGCCTTGGCGGCGGCAGCTTCCTTCTCTTCGGCGAAAAGCTCGGCGTTGTCACCGGAGAACTCCTTGAGCGAGATCAGGAAGTCTCGCAGTATCGTCTTGAAGCGCGCAAGATCGGAATTCGTAGCGAAGAGGCCGTCGATGAAGGACGCGATTTGTGCCCTGCGCAAATTAGCTTCGTATTCACATCACGGCAACGAAGGACATACGTCTGGAGGTTGGGGAAAGCGGTCGACAGCAGGTTGCCGACAAAGTTTCGCAGGAATTCGTGGTTTGACGTGCCTGCGGCCGCCATATCAGGGGTGTAGATGGGGCCGTCCAATTTGCCCGACTCTACGAGCCAGAACATCTTCGCGAGAAGCATGGACTGCGACTTGAATCCTGCCTTGTGATCGCTGTCGGTCAACACGAAGAATACGTCCTGCAGGATTGTCGAAAAGAATTGCTGGAAGAAGCCATTGCGCGTCTGCGGCTCGGTCTCGGACATATTCGAGATGAGCTCGAAGCACATGGAGAGACCTGCGCTCTCGACTTCGCGGTTATCGTGTTTGCTTGCCCACATGCACGAGTCGATGACGAACTTGAACGACCGGGCATCCAGGCGAAGCAGAGCTGGGAAGCAGCGGAGGTTGATCGTCCTCAGCAGCTTGAAGAACTCTACTCGGTGTTCTGGGTACTCTGAGAAGTCTTTGTTGATCATGTCGAGGGTGCATTCAAAGACGGCGTCCATGATGTTCATGATTTGATCTTCCATCAAGCTCTATGCACTAGTCAGCAGATGTTCGGAACCTTCCGAGCGAGGCGAACCATATGTTGCACCATGTGTTTGCTCAAGTTAGGTCGCCAACGTACATGTAGCTTATTGATGATCGTCGTCATCATGTTCAAGACTTCAGCCTCACGAGCATCAGGAACGTTGTCCCGGTAGTCAAGGAGTACAGCCTCGAGAAGTTTCGGCACAAGGTTGTTGTGGATCATTTCCAGATCGTCTGCCTTCTCAACGTACGTGTTGATCAGCTTTAGGATCTCCTTTTTGATCGTTCGTAATCCTCGGACCCTCGGCATCTTGGTCGCAATGTTACCTGGCAACGGTCAGCTACGTTTCGAATCACGACAAATCAGTACCAACCTTCGCGTTTTACAGCCTCATCAATGAGCGACGAGCTCGCACGGTACATGGTGAGCATGTCGAAATAGATGCGCCCAATTTGCGGGTAGAAGTAGGAGCCTATCGAGCTACAGGCCGCCACGTTAGTCTTCATGATGTTGCCCACAATCTTGATGACCTCGCCGTCTTGCAAAGAGGTGGGATCTTGGTTTGCCTGTGAGATGATTTGGTCCCAAGCTGCATTAGGTAGCGCCATTAGATCGTGAATGAGACGCTCCTGCATACTCTTCTGACCTTGGGCGCTGATCATGTAACCACATGCCTCGTAGAATGTGTGTACTTGCTGAGGTGACAGATCTCCTGTAATCTTGCGAAGGTTTCTAACGATCTCGTCGATGAAAGGCTCCGTCTCCCCAGGCTGAAGCGCGACGAAGTGTCGGCGGCACTTATTAGCAATCTTGATAAAGGTATCGCAAGCCATGTCTTGCACACCCTCGTGGGTCTCGTGCATGAACTCGAAGAGCTTGTTGACGACCGTCTTGAGAAATTTCCAATGAGCCTTCAAGAATCGAGGATACTGTCCGACAATGTACATGATGTTACTCGCGACGACAGCCTTGTTGTCTTTTCCTCGCTTCATCTCGGTAAGACCGAGGAGGTCCTTGATGACGGTAACGAGGAATCGCTTCTCGGTCTCCTCATTCATGGCACCTGATATTGAACCGATAGCCCAGCAGAGCGTGTTGCAGTTGGCCCACGACCATTCGGTTCCGTCCACTTGGCGCGCTAATTTCTCGGACATGATTTGCTCGGTGTCGTTAACGTCCAGATGCGTCAAGAAGACGAGACATTCGCGCGTCGACTTGTACAGCTGAATGGTGTCGCTCTCCTTGACGAACTCGCGAACGATTTCGCCCTCATCGTTCTCGACAATGAGCACCTCCTCGGGACGAACCATCTTCTCGATCATGACGGTGCGCAGGTTGGACAAGATTTCAGCGTACTTGTGCTTGCGCAACGGATAGTTCGCGAGCATAGCGGGATCTCGTGCACCGCCGTTGGTCGCGGCGATGCCCATGTTCAAAAGAGGGTTCACATCGGTGATGGGCAAAGCCTGCATCTCGTCATACAGCTCTGAGACGAGCTTGGTCCAGTATTCTAAGCAAATCTTGAAGATTTCACGGTCGTCGATCTGGCTGATGCGGATAAGGTAGAAATGACCATGCGTAAGGAAATCGCGGTTCATGAGGTTCTCGATGACGTTCAAATGCATGGTGAAGAAGTTGGTCAAAAACAAGGCAAGATTTTGTACAAACTCCTGGTCTCTGCCGTTGCTCTGTGCATACGTGCTCTTGAGATCTAATGTGAGGGGAATGATCTTTGCGATGGCGGTCAGGGTCTCGGTGAACATCTGGACGAGCTTGTCATCGTAAGCGGCTTCGGTGTGCAGGCCAGCGATTTCGGTCAGGCACTTGAGCGTGATGTTGCGGAAGTCGGGCACGTCGAGGAAGCGGCTTCGCAGCGTTTCGATCAGGCTGGAACCGCTCGGGGGAGTCTCGAAGATGTAGCCTAGCGGAATCCAGTTGAGGAAGCGGAGGAGCGTTTCGAGAGTGGCCTTGATGAGCGAGGCCTCGGTGGCCGTACGAAGGACCTCGGAGCAAAGCTGGTAGATGGACGTGAACTCGTCACACATGCTCTGCTTGAGCTCTCGTCGCTTCTGGGACGTCATCTGGTCCTCCGAATAATCAAAAACCTCCTCTGAAAGCAGCCGGAGGATTGCCATGTTGTTCTCGCAGATGGGCAGACTGCTGTGGCACGCCGAGATGATCTCGTTTATAAACGTCGGCCAGTTGTGGGGCCATTCTTGTTTCAAAACGGATACGAGGACGAGGTTGAGCTTGTTGAGGAGGGTGCGGTCGATCTGGCTTCGGTCCTCGTTGTTCGACAGCGAGATGATGAAGTTAACGACGAAGTTGCGAATGCCTGCAGACGTCAGCTCGCGAATAGCACGGGTGTCTGGCAAGCTCACCTTGACATTGATCGCGTGGCAGGACCTTCCACCGGGTCATGATCACGTTGTCAAGCACTTGCAATCCCAAGTCTGCGGTCTGTCAGCATTGCGCTCCAGCCATCCATGCCGCGGCATGCTCACATTTGGTCTGCGGGTATTGCGCCTCGGAGAGGATCTGGTCGACTAGCAGCCATGAGTCCGGGTTCTCTTTGAACTGCGCGTCGTCAGCATCTCAGGGCCCAGGCGGGCGTGGACCGCCTACCTGATTGAGCGTCGCTTGTGCCTGCTTCTGCGTCTCTCCGCGGCCCTCGTAAAAGGAACGCACGGTGGCGTCGAGCTCGGGGATGGTGCTGTGTGTACTGGTCAGCAAGTCGAACAGGCAAAGTGCCCTGGAGTGTGCATCGTGAAGGTGCTGTGCATGAGAGGGCCCAGGGGACATACGCAGACATGTTGGCTGCGCGCGGGACGAGCTCCCAGACAGCTTTCCAGGTGGTGTCCTCCCTCTCTTGGTGGCGGAGAGCAGCTGTACGCGTGCGGGTGAGGAGAGAGTGCGAGGTGCCGGCGAGGGGTCGGCGGAGCTGAGGGACGTGGTCTTGTTAGCTGCCTTGTGTCGGTGCAAAGACGATGGTGGGGCAGGACGGTGCGGCGGCGGCGGCTGCGACGGGCGGCGTCAGTGGGCACGACGTCTAGCTTGGGGCGCTTGGCGGTGAGGGTGAGGTGACAACAACGCTGCAGGTCCCGATACTGTGTGTCAAAAAGTTTGCGCGCGGACGACCAGGGCGACAAGGTCTCTATTGCTGAGATTGAAGAATGACCTGCGCTTCAAGCTCTCACACTTACCACATGTAGTAATCGACAACGCGACGCGCTAGCTGCTTTCGGCTCCGCTCCTCCTCCACCGCTCCGGCAACTCTCTCGTCATTATGCAGGGGTGGAAGCGCCGCAATCGTTATACATGTTCGAGACTTCCTTCAATACACCCATATCTGCTCTCAACACTTTCCATCTGTCCTCGCGAACAACCTTACATTGACATGATCGACATCACCGCCTCTCTGGATGTCCTAGAGCCCATCACAGCGCGCGCATGACTGTTGCGCAGCACTCCTTCGTCTGTTAGCTCTTTTGTGTAGTCTTATTTTCCTAGCTCAATGGAAAGTTGATGGGTAGCCGCCTACAGCCCTGGATGCAAGCCAGCAAGCACGTCCTTCTTGAAGTCCTGCAAACAATCATTCAGACGCACAGAATCTACATCCCCGATCCGGAGACGCGTGGGCGATTCCAAGACGTGCACAAGAATGCATTTCTGCTTTCAGTCCTGCTATGGATGGAGGAGACGCTGCTTTTTCCTATTAAAGGGGCGAGGAGGGTAGCACTGTTGGATGATATCAGGAGTCTGGACATGCTCTGGATCGAGATGACGGTGCGAGGCCCAGCGGACGTGAGTGATAAGTTAACGATGATCAAGGATGCGGGAGAGCGGTGTGCAAGGCAGCTTTTCAAAAACCAGGGCTTCGACGATGTGTGCGTTAGATTCGAGTCTGAGCAGCTACTAAAGAGGGGGATTTGGAAGCCCAAGCGGATGGAGATCTCGCGCATGTTGAGCGTTGTGACGCCGAAATTGGAAGAGTAGGGTAATTGTCACAGGGTGCGGAGGTATGGAGAAGTATCCATGTTTTGGCTAGGTTCGCAGAAGGTATGTCTGATCAATAAGGAGTCAGAGTCTATCCTGGAGGTTGAATGCATTGCGGGGGTGTTGTTGTGCGGGGGTGCAATTGGAGACATCTCCGGCTGGCCCGATACCGGTTAATCTTTTCTTAAGAGGAAGCATAGTAGTGGTAATTTGGAAATGGAAGGACTACGCGGAGGTAGGCTTAGTGATGACGAAGGGAGTGGAGCATAATCCTGTTTCTGTGGGAATGCCACGGTTGTTGATTGTTCGTGCGCAAGTTTTGCACAGTGCCAGGTGCACTGGGAAAAGGGATGAATATTGAAGTGGAATAGATTACGTGGTATTGCTCTGGGGCTATGCTGATGATTTTGTCCGGTGTGACTCCTTCCGCAAGGGCAAGTAGTTGAACGGTATTTGTAGTCGAACTTTGGAATCGTCTATTACAGTTCGACATTTCAAAGTCCTTAAAGATGAACGAGTTCATGTAGCAGAGATTCCCACCGTGTATCATCCAGTGTCTTCACCCCTGGCAGAGTACAGCGAAAGAAGAAAAGTATGAATATAGTATAGCACCCAAGGGTGGGCAGAACGGAGACTGATTACGGTGACCTGTGACTTAGTACTGTGCTATATGCGCATTTTCACTCCTCATAAACCCACTTCATCTCTCCCATCACGAAGTACAATCAAGATCCCAATTCATGTCATTGCTACCTAGATAATCCGGCCCAGCCCGTCCCGTCCAGCCCTTAGGCAGGATCAAAGATCCGAAACGTGAACACACGAACAATGAACGCCAAAAGAACCCCTCGCCCGCTAATGCAGAGTCAACACATTTCATCTGTCCCTCCATCTCTTGTATTCTTCAAAAACAGATCTTCTTTCTGAAATACCTTTTCCCCCTACAACGCTCCGCCTCCGCTAAGACTCTTTACCGCTTCTTGCTGCCGGGCCGGGGCTTGCACTCATCACCTATGATGGGGTGCAGCTTGACCTGCAGCTTCTGGCCGGGCACGGACGCAGCGTAGCCCTTGCTCCAGTCATAGCTGACGGCGTACGCGAAGATGTTACCGTCCTTATTGAAGGCAGTGGCGGTGATGGAGCCGCCGACATCAGGGTAGCCCTTGAGGCGGTGCTTGGCGTCCTTGTCCCAGAAGTGAAAGGTGCCGTCCGAGCCCGCGGTGCTGAAGGTACCGTGCTGGGGGTGGAAGGAGATGGCGTTGACTGAGTAGACGCGTGCAATGTCGCGGTTGGAGGGGTCTTGCTGGCGGTGACACTTAAAGGAGAAATTGAGGCTGGAGAGGGGTTAGCTGTTGTACTGGCAGTCATATTTGTGTGACATACCTGGTGTTGCTGTCGTCGACATACTGAATCGCGCATCGGCCCTCGATCGAGCCCACAGCGAAGCCAGAGGCGTCACTGAAGCAGCTCACCACCCGAGTCTGCCACTTCAGCGGACTTGAGATGGTTTTGTGGATCTTAGCCGGATCTTGTAGGTTGACGATGTGGATGTGGCGCTCAGCGGTCGCAATCACAAGCAATTGGTTATTCTTGACGTCCATACTGTAGACGCGCTCCTGGGTCTGCAGTACGCCCATGGGCTGCGTGGGGTCTGCTGCGCTCAGATCGAAGTATTTGACTGTCTTGTCCCATGAACCGGTGATCAGAACCTGCTTGCCTTGATATGTGAACCAACGGATTCCCTTTATGCCGAGTGAATGCGGTTGCCAGGTGGCAGTGGGGTTGAGTTCGCCGGGATTTGCGGATGCGAGGTCGTAATAGAAAATGGTACCGTCTGCTCCACCGGCTGCGATCTTTGTGCCATCCTAGACTTGGGTGAGTATCGATACGACATGAAGCTTCACGATCTACTCACATTCGACCATGCCAGACAAAGCGGGATTTCTTCCTTTCCTTGCTGCGTCTTGCACGTTCCCTTCCACTTTCCCTGGGCGCCATTGTTGTTCACTTCGTAGATGGTGATGCTCTTGTCCCAGGAAGTCATTGCGAGGAAATCGTGCGTGGGCGAGAAGCTCAGGTCAGAGATACTGTCTGTAGGCATACCATCCTTGACTTCGACATCCTTGCTGATATCACCGGTGGTGGAGGTAGCGGCGGGCGCCGAGCTGCCAAAGAGCGCCATCGCGGTCGCAACTGCGGTGGTGTTAGACGCTTGGTTTCTCGAAGGTTGCGGGCGCCCTGTGTGGTGGAGGCAATAACCTGAGCGATTGCCAAACCATACGGGGAGACCTGCTTTCTCCAACACGTAGACGTACCGGGATGATATTACGGCGCTTGTAGCTTTGCGCGCTGGGGCTGAAAGTAGAAGATATGCGTCTGGGCGATGTCGCGCTATACGGATGGTCGCAGTGGAGGAAGCCCTCGAGAAGATGTGGAGGCTCGCGGATCAGGAACAAAGTGCTACGGGCGCACCTTGTCTTTTATGCGATCTAGGAAGACGCGTGAAAGAAGCTCTCAGAGACCGCCAAGACGCAGCTTTCGCGGAGGCAGCTGCAAGGCACCAGCCGCTTCCTGCCTAGCGCCACCCGCGCCTGCTTCCGGCGAAACTGGCGGCCCGGGCTCCGAACAAAAAACTCAAGTTCGGCGCAGAACCATCTCTTCTTCAACACCCCCCGCTCGAAGAATCGCAACGAAGCACACATACAGAGCATCTCTCACCGGATGTCTCCGCTACGCATGCTTTGGGAGAAAGTCCCCGGACATCGGGTCTAATGACCCGCGCTTTCAGCAACGAACCGCCATAGAAGCGCGGCCTCCCCACATCAACATCCGCTTGGCTCCTGCGACCGTATGCACTCTTTGCTCCTTTGTTATCGAGGCTCGTGTGGAGGAGCTGGCACCTGGACGACGATACGAGTCCGCTGGTTTCCGAAGCATGCCGCCAACGGCCTGAGAAGCTAGGAGGAGGAACAGGAGTACGAGGGCGCGATGGTGGCTTGGAGGGTTCTCTCGTCCAGTTTATGGCTATGCGATTGCTCGGCCTCGCCTCCAACCTTGTGGAGATGCGGACGGGTAACTCAATGGGGCTTATTCTCGACGCGAGGGGTGTTCACCATTTTACGGATCTGAGGACAGTGACTTGCTCAGCTGCTCCGCTGCTTGGTCGAACAAGCCAGTTTCTTTCAGCCATGTTCAGGTGATGAGATCAAATGTAATAGAGTCAAGCACTGAGGCTGCCTGAATCCCTAAGCGGTAGGGCGGCCGATGGCGATTATTACTACGACGGTATCTGATGAACACTATGGCTAGCTAGTTGTGTACCTGCACATAGCATTAGTATACTTTCACCGTAAAACGTTTCATATCATCTGGTATCGGCGTGTGATGTGGTATTTAAATTTCCGAACTGCACTGTTCTGTTTTTAGTCGTTGCGCCAAACTTCTAAAGGTGCGGCCCGGTCATGCTGCTGCTGGCTGCTCAAGCATCCGCACCAACGATGAACTCCTTGACCTCCTTGTACGCCTTTTCCAAGTCATCGTTCACAATGATCTTCTCGTGCGGCGCCTCCGGACTATTGGCGAAATCCATCTCAGCCTCAGCCTGCTTGAGTCTCTTCACGATGGCCTCCTCCTTGTCCGTTCCTCGGCCTCTCAGTCTCTGCTCGAGCACCTCCTTGGACGGCGGTGAAAGGAAGAGGAACCGCGGTTTAGGGAATGAAGGGTGGTTCGCGACCTGCTTGACGCCCTACATGATTGTTAGCCCTCGACCTTCACTCCCACACATACGAACGCAGACATACTTCCATCTCAATATCCAGAATACAAACCTGTCCCTTCTCTGCAATGTCCTCTACTGCCTTGATGCTCGTGCCGTAGTGGTTCCCGCCAAACTGCGCATGCTCCACGAACCCCTTCTTCTCCACGAGATCCAAGAACTCCTCCTTGGTCACGAAGTTGTAGTCGCGGCCGTTCTGCTCACCCGCGCGTGGCGAGCGCGTCGTGTGCGAGACGCTGAAGCCGAACTTGCCCGGGTACTCGTCGAAGAGGCGCTTCAGCATTGTGGACTTGCCGGAGCCCGAGGGCCCGCTGATGACGATGGGGCGGTGCGAGGAGATCGCGGAGGTGTTGGTGGGCGCCATGGTTGGTAGGCCTGTGGAGAATGGAGCTCGTGTGGTGAAGCTTGTGGGTGATTGCTGGCTGTATTTGGGGTGGAAGGGAGAGGCCAGGGAGGCGTGAATCAGGCCGGTGTGACTGGAAGGTCGGTCGGCGAGGAGCTGGAGTCGAAGGCAGCGGCTGGGAGTGACTCTGACGGTGCGGGATATAATCAATGGCATGGGAAAAACATTTGGATTGTGGTCGTGGGGTTTCGGGTTGTGATTGGCGGTGAGGGACGCAGCAAGGGTCCACTGGGTGCGATGGCGGGGCAGCGAGAGACAGCTTGGTGGGCTGGTGACATCGCGTTTTCGCGTTTGCAGTGACGTTTACTTTTGCTTCCCGTACAACATTCACGTCATTCACTTCCAGAAATTGTCGGTTCTACATATCGCGAAAGAACTCCAAGGGTTCAAGCTCCGCAATCAGGCCCGTTGAGTGGCGGCGTCCCTCGCAATGGTAGCTCTTCCCCCAGTCAAGTATGGATGCGCAAAGCTAATTGCACACAGTCGAAACAATACCTCACACTCCACACGCTGCCGGATGCGCACCCGTCCGATGTGTTTGCTCTCGCACCTACCAATAGATCGATCCTCTCAGCAAGCGGTTCATCAACAATCCGCATCCACGACACCACACAAGCCGACTTTCCTCTTCTGCAGTCTCTCGAAGGCGTACACCCACTAGGCATCCACCATCTCGCCACTGCAAGGGAAGCACGGCGCGCCGCAAGCGCAGGCTTCGAAGGCAAAATCAAGATATGGAGTGAAGGCGAGGACGGCACGTGGAAGGCGGACGGCGAGATCAGCGGTAGGTACGCCTGAGCCTTTTTCTACACGTTAATGGCTTAGGATTGTGGGAAGTACAGATGCTGACATCTCCAGATCAGCTGAAAGCAGGTGATGTGTGGTCGATCGCGCTCAGCACTGATGGCAAATACCTCGCGAGCAGCAGCATCAATGGCAAGATCAATGTGTGGAGTCTGGCCGAGGAGGGCAACCCAAAGATTCGCGACTACGAGACGAAAGGGAGCTTCGGCATGTGCGTTGATCTGGTAGGCATTCCCATCCCTCACCAGGGCTTTTTGTTAATTAAGCAAACAGAGTCGAGACGGACGCTTCACAGCTTCCGGGCATGAGAACGGCTCGATTTACGTCTTCGACAACGACACAGGCCGCTTGACACACTCCCTCGCCGGGCTCGTCAAGCCGGTACGCAGCGTAGCGTTCTCGCCCAGCACGACATTACTGGCAGCAGCCGGCGACTCCAGAACCATCGCGCTGTACGACGTCAAGTCCGGCGAGCAGATTGCGAACCTTGCAGGCCACGGCGGGTGGGTGCTTTCGCTCGACTGGAGCGACACGGGCGAGTATCTACTCTCAGGGTGCGTGATTCATCGATGGAATCCTCCTACCTACTCTTGAACACAGCCCGACAAGGGCCCCTTGAAGACTAGCTTCACACTACGAAACTAGTACTGACTGCTCCCAGGTCCCACGATGGAAAAGCAAAGATCTGGCGCATCGAGACCCGTCAATGTGTCGCCACGCATTCGCACGGAGACAAGCCACTGTGGACGGCAAAGTGGCTGCCCAAGAGCACGCGGAGTGAGATGTTTGCGCTAGGAGGAGGAAACAATGCTATCAGCTTCTACAGGGAGGCTGCGGGTTGAGGAGGAGCATCTCAGGGATACGGCGACTGATGAGTGTTAAACGAAAGGTCTGGGTACGCTGGGGCATCTCAAACCGTGTCTTCGAGATAGCGAAGGTACGCAAGATTGTGTCTCCCGACAAGCATTAGGCGATCGACTGCCTCCTACCATGCTACCGGCTGGTGGAACGCTGGAACAAAGTAATTTAAATATCACAAGTAGCCCCCGGAAGGCACACAATCAGATAGGGTTTGAACGACGTGATAGTCCTACGTTCATACTTCTGCCTTCGTACTCCCTAGGCTTACTCCGATGCAATCCACAAATAACATAGTGACGTTCAAGCACAATGGCAAAAATTCACCAGATGTTGGTAAATGATTCAGTCTGTATACCTATACAGGCGCCGCCAGCGCACAAAACACCCGTTGCATCGCATCGGGAGACATCCCGTCTACGTTGATAAACCTCAGTTTCCGACCCCACCACCGTGAAACATGACTATACATGAAGAGTAATGTAAACTTCGCCTCGTCCCGCCACGTCACATTCAGCTGCCATTCTCAGTCCTTGGATCCAACGCGTGCACTGAATGCAAGGAGATGTGTAGACGATAGCCGTTCATTAGACAACCTTGATTTGGTGAACATAAGAAAATGTGTGCTTGGACGAAGTGAACAAGGGTCGTGACTGCACTGTGAAGCAAGTCAAGCCAGAACGCCGATTCCAGCCCGTTGGACGCCAAGAGAAGCAGGGCCGTGGCGGAGCGCACCAGAGTGCACTAGGGCAGAGGCCATATTTTGATGTCAGTCGTACATGACGAAACGAAGATAGATCGACCAAACTGTGGTAACGCTGGCTGAGATGAGCACAACTCTGGCGAGCATGGCTATCACGTGACTCACATCGCCCAATCTCGAGCACAGCCGGAGAATGACTATGCCTGAGCAGCGTCCTCCTTGTCGTCGCCCCGCTCGAAATCCTCAGCCGACGTCTCCCGGTTCAGGCTCGTCTCGCGGTGCAGGAAAGTGTTCTCCTTAACGGGGCTGCCGCTGGTGTGGCCTTTCTCCTGACCATTCTGCGTCTGGGTCTGGCCGTTCTGGCTGTTGTGCGCAGGCGGCGCGATGTGCGGGATTTTCTCGGGGACGGGGTGCTCGCGGCCGATGGACGTGACGCCGATGTCTGAGGCCTTGCCTGCCTTGGAGAGCGCGTAGTCGCCGCTGTCGAAGTACTTGCGCTCCTGCGGGGTGACTGTTAGCGAGCAGTGCTTGGGTGTCCCGGGGGTGCTGCTTACTTTCAACTTATTCTGCAGCAGGTCCTTCTTGTTGGGCAGTTTCCCGTAGAGGCGGAAGAGACGGGCCTCGTCCGGGGAGAGCTTCTGTGTCGCAATGTTAGAAGCCATTATTTCGTGCTGGGATGCAGCGTAGGAAGCAGCTGGTATAGTTGGGGTGCGCAAGGGGTGCGCGAGTGACGTACGCTGATGTCCACTTTGTTCTGCTGGTGTGGATTCATGTTGGGCGACGATCTGCTGGGAGCAGTGGGTTCGGAATGCAAATGACGTGGGTGCGGAGGGGTGTAGGAAGGTACTCGGTGCTCGAGGCAGAGGGCGCAAGGTGTGTTTATGTCCTTTCTCGGGCGTCAGGAGGAAGTTGGATTCGGCGTTTGTTGTGGTGCTCGTTGGGCTGCTGGGGTAGGAACAAGGACAGGGTGAATAATGTCTTGTCGCTATGGGCTCCGAGCGCTGCGCCGGCGTGCGATTGGCGAATGGATTTTGGCTGGTCGGGCGCGGTAGCTGCTGTTGCCTGCCAGCTCAGACTCGCGAAGGTATGACTCTTGCGTTTCAGAATTGACAGCGGCACGCGGGATAGTGGGCGACGATGTGAAGCTTGAGTGTCGTTGCTCGTGTTCGTGGACAAGGACCCCTCCACGATAAGATCCGAGGCTCCGTGTAATCGGGCCGCACCCACAGCTGTGCTAGCTGTACCGTACCGTACCGGACTTTACATGGCTACCGTTAGTTTGTGGGCTTTGCAAGAGCATTACGCAACAGGCAATACTAACTGAGAGTCGGTCTGTTGCGGGCAGAGCAAGCGTTCAAGTGGTGTGTTCTGCGTGGTTCGTTGCTGAGAATGCTGGAGGAGGGGTAATGCAGCAAATAAGTAACGAAGGAAGCAAGTGGGCCGCCGGCAGCAGCAGTTGTCACGCTATTGCTTATTCTGCGTGGTAATAATGCACTCGCAGATGCAAGAGGAGGGAGACTGCAGGACTGTGCTGGTTGCAAGCGTTTTAAGCGTCGACGGACGGCAGCTGCGGGAGTCCATGGGCGATTGTCGCAGAACTTCCGTACAAAGACACGGCTCAATCCACGCCAACGTCACGCGTCTCGTCATAATAGTCTTCGCCCGTGGATCGACTGGGCCGGCTTGGTCGTGGATGTGCTTGCGCTGGCCCATGCAGAGACGTGCCCCCACATACGAGACCTCACAGTAGCACACGAGACATGTATTCATTCACTGTTCCAGCCTTCAACACCTCTTGTACGACCCCAGATTCCTCACGGATCTGGCTGCGCGGAGCGGGTCCGGCACGCAGGACTGGCTGAGCGTCTACCGTAGTCGCGTGGCCTCAGTTGCCCTGCGCATCATTGCAGCAGTACCACCGAAGACGAGCCTGAGGTCGGGCTGCTGCAGAGGCGCCATGGTAGTCACACCCAAGAAGCTGGTCTAACCAAAACTTGCAAGCCTGCCAGAGGCGCCGGCCCTCACGCGATTGGCCAATTGCTGCACCTGACTTCTCCCTCCACATCGAGAAAAGGCACGCCAGCGCAGATTCCGCAAATCCTCTCAAATGGCAGACGTCAAGCCGCCGGGCAAGACCTTCGTGGTCGAGCACTTGGACGATGAGCTCGAGGCATGGTCCTCGCTCGAGTATGCGGCCATTGCCTCTGAATGCCACGCTACTGGAGCACAATTTTTGCTGTCTTCAGTCCCCACCTCGCTGAAGCTTCCGCCCAACCTGCAGCAAGCGAAAGGCCTGAATGTTGAAACAAGAAGCATTGAAGAAATCTACGCCGACAAAAAGGACAAAGTATGTCTACTCGACCCCGCAGCAGCCAAAGACCTTGGCCCAGAAGATGGTGACACCTTCGACATCTTCTTGTTCGGTGGCATTCTTGGTAAGTGCACAGACGCTTTTGTTTCAATTACAGCATCGCTGACTCTGAAAAGGCGATGATCCACCCCGAGGTAGGTGCTGCACTGCGTGGATAATGTGTGACCCTGTCAAGCAAGTCTGCTGACACGTATTACCTGTAGATCGGACCTCCGAGCTGCGCAAGAAGGGCTACCAAGGCCGCCGCCTAGGACCTGTTCAAATGTCGACCGACACTGCCGTGCGTGTCACGAGAATGGTGGTCCAGGATAGAAGTATGTGTCGTGCCCTCGAAGTTGCCGGATGGCTCTAACTTTTACAGTCGCTGTTGACAAAATCCCATATCTCGACCATCCTGAGCTCAAGATCAACAAGAATGAAAGCACACAGATGCCATTCCGATATGTGAAGGGCGAGAACGGAGAACCCATTATGCCGGAGGTAGGATCATGGCCTACGGGTACCAGTCTTCAAGCTGACTTACCGGGCAGGGTATGGTTGAATTGATTATCGAAGACTCGGCTAAGGGACTTAACGACCTTTTGTGAAGTTCTGTCGAACGGCACTTGCACATTCTCCCCATGCATGAAAGCACACATGTCATTGGCAAAGGCAAGGGGTTGCGCCACTGTGGCACACAGTCTTTAACGCGATATCGACAGAATACCCGTTCGGGCAGGTTCGTGGGAATGTTTTTGGTAAAGGTGTCCATGTGCGAGGAATGGGCTTCAAGCAACGTGAAGCCGTGAACAGCCACCGAGAAGGGGCGGTAACGTAAGCTAGCCCGCAGAGTGGCCGACTCAGGACAGAAGCGTACATCAGGCAGAAGCCCAATGAGCATCTCTGAGTCTAGTAGACAGCAAACAAATTCAAGCCGAGTTATCTGCCAAGCGTGGTGAGTGAATGACAGCACGCCTTCTCGCATAAGGATTTAATTGCGCATACAAAGAATCGGGGTGGGCACTGGGCAGGTGGCCGGGAAATAACTAAGATGACAGCTGGATCTGCAGGACAGGCATACGCAGCCTCAGGCTCCCAAACGATGATGAGATGTTACAGAGGCAACGCGCACCCGTGTGCTTCATGGCGGTTTGAGATGCTCGATCCAGCGTTGCAAGGCGGAGAGGCCAGCAGCCGAAAGGGCAGACCCACCTGATTGGCGGTCCAGGCGCCTCGCCGCGGACGTCTTGGAACAAGATCTCGTAATTCCCGGTGGATGTCGCTGCCCTTGTTATAACTTGATGCGCGTATGCTTCTCCTGAGCTTCCGTGCCGCATAGTTAAACCGTCCGGTGCAATCATTCCCGTGTGCAGTGTGCACCCCCCCGTCTTTTGTGGTCTCGGCACCGTTCGCGCGCCATCTCTGAGATCCCGCCTGCGCCCACGCTCCGCCTCACGCTCATCCCTGCAGCCTCGTCGTAAGCTCTCGGGGACACCTAATCCCTTTCGTGCCCGACCTCGAGATATCTCCACCATCCCTCGCAGCACTCTCCGACCTACACTATCCTTTGCACCTGCCCGCGCCGCTCGTTTGCGCTCTCCAGCACACGGTTGACGCCCCCGACCGCCCCGAGAGATCCATGCGATAGTGATCTCCTCCGCACCTGCTTGGCTAGCGCTCAGCACTCCTCATCATGGTGTTCACAACCGCGCCATCGCGCTGGCGGACAGCCCTCTTGGGCGGCCTGCTGGCCTCGCTGGCGTGGCTGCCGGGAGGCGCCGCACAGGGAAAGACGCAGGCCGACTATTTTGTTCATTCGCTGCCAGGCGCACCGGAACCGCTGCTGAAGATGCACGCAGGGTGAGACCGATCCTCGAGAGTGAACCTTTGCCAGTAGCTGACGACTCTTTAGACACATCGAAGTTGATGCAGAACACAACGGCAACCTGTTCTTCTGGCATTACGAGAACCGCCACATCGCCAATAGGCAGCGCACCGTCATCTGGCTTAACGGAGGCCCTGGCTGCAGCAGTATGGACGGCGCTCTGATGGAGATCGGCCCATACCGCGTGCGAGAAGGCGGAAAGCTGGAGTACAACAACGGTTCATGGGACGAGTTCGCAAACTTGCTCTTCGTGGACCAGCCAGTTGGTACCGGCTTCAGTTATGTGAACACGGACAGCTACTTGAGCGAGCTTGACCAGATGGCCGAACAATTCATGATTTTTCTTGAGAAGTGGTTTGCGCTCTTCCCAGAGTATGAGCACGACGACGTAGGTTTGCCACGGCTACTGCCCCCCGTACAGAAACTCACAGTATACAGCTATACATCGCCGGAGAATCATACGCCGGCCAACACATTCCATACATAGCACGCGCCATTCTCAACCGAAACAAGACCGGTCCAAAGCACCAATGGGCGCTAAAAGGCGTTCTCATCGGCAACGGCTGGATTTCGCCAGTCGACCATTACCTCTCATACCTACCTTTTGCATATCAATCAGGCCTTTTAAAGGCTGATACTCCTGAGGCTAAACGCGTCGAGAACCTCCAATCTAATTGCCTGAAAGTGTTGAACGAGGGAGCATCCGACCATGTGGACAATGCCGTGTGCGAGTCCGTCATGACCACAATTCTCCAAGAGACCAAAATCCAAGGTGGTGACCCGCGTCAGGAGTGCGTAAACATGTACGATATTCGCCTCCGAGACGACGGATCCTGCGGCATGAACTGGCCCCCGGATCTGTCTACTGTTACTCCCTGGTTGCGCCAGCCGGACGTTATTGCTGCACTTCACATCAACTCCGATAAGAAGACAGGCTGGACCGAGTGCAATGGTGCAGTCTCTTCACACTTCCGTGCCAAGAACAGCAAGCCCTCGATCCAGTTCCTTCCCGAGCTTCTATCCCAGATCAACGTTGTCCTGTTTTCCGGAGACCAGGATCTTATCTGCAATCATATCGGTACTGAGAGTCTGATCGATGGTATGACTTGGAACGGCGGAAAGGGTTTTGAAATCTCCCAGGGCGTCGTGGCACCCAAGCGCGACTGGGTGTTCGAGGGCGAGCCAGCGGGGACGTACCGGGAGGCCAGGAATTTGACCTACGTTGTCTTCTACAACTCGAGCCATATGGTCCCGTTTGATTACCCTAGGCGCACCCGCGACATGCTCGACCGATTCATTGGCGTCGACATCAGCGCCGTTGGTGGCGCTCCATCCGAAAGCCTTCTCAACGGAGAGAAGGGACCCTTGGTGAGCGTCGGCGGTCATCCCAACTCCACCAAGGCGGAGGAAGACAAAACAAAGCAGCTAAAGGAAGCTGAATGGAAAGCGTACTACCGTTCTGGAGAGGTTGCCCTGATTGTTGTGGTGATCCTTGCCGGTGCGTTCGGCTTTTTCATCTGGCGCGATCGCCGCCGACGAGCTGCGAGCGGTTACAAGGGAGTGGATGGAGATGAGGGGCGCGAGTCACTCATCATGGGCATGGGTCTCGACAACTTCCGAAGAAGGGACCGAAGTCGCGACGTTGAAGCGGCTGATTTCGATGAGCGGGAGCTTGACGACTTGGTTGAGGACTCGGAGAAGCCTCTCAATGGACGTGCCAATGGCAGGGGTGAGAAAGAGAGGATACCACAGAATGATTCTACCTTTAGTCTAGGTGGAGCCAGCAGTGACGGAGAGGCCAGTGGGAGTGAGAAGGACCGCAAACTGGTGGCGAGGGAGAAGTCCTGAAATTAAGCGGGAGCTTCAATTTGAGTACCATTTTAGTGGCGATTATGTTCAGAGCACTTTTTTTTTTTCTAGAGCGGAAATGCATCTCAGGGCGTTTGTTTATCATGGCCCGGGGCTATTGTGGGTCCATTATGCGGTCGGATATGTACGACACGCAAAGAATATTGAGTAGGATTATACAAGACGAATATGAACGCGCCTTTAGCCTACTGAGCCAGTCCGCCAGGGATCCAATGTTGCCTGTTTGCCACAACGCCTGCAGCTCGTGCCTACACGGAGTGGGGCAGGAACACGTGACTTGGCGCGTTGGTGCCTTCCGTCTCGAGCGCGCTTCGCGTCATACGCCACCAGCCATCGACTCTCACTTCCGACACGCACATGCCCGCAACTCCGTGAAGCTCTGATAATGCCTGCGTAAGCCATACGAATCAGATCTGAAATATTGTGTTCTCGGTAATTTGTCACTTCTGACACTCTGCAGTCCGGGCGACCAATATCACGGCAACGTCACGAACCCTTTCGAAGAACGCGTCGTAAACGGCTTCACCGCACTCGAAATTGCCACGCTCCAGAGTCGCCTGAACAAGCAACTTGGGCCGGAATACATATCACAAAGACCGGGTAATGGGGGTGGCAGGGTTGCATATCTAGAGGGGAACAAGGCTATAGCACTGGCGAACGAGGTGTTTGGTTTTAATGGCTGGTCTAGTTCGCTTGGGCAGGTGCAGATCGACTACGTAGGTCGGTTCATTGTGTGTGTGATACAAGGGCTGATACACGTAGGTGGACGAGAACACTCAGAACGGCAAGGTCTGCCTCGGACTATCGATCGTTGTGAGGATTACGCTCAAAGATGGAACATACCACGAGGTGAATACTTCGCTTCGGCACATGAAGAACAACCTGACACCATCTAGGACATTGGCTATGGCTCCATCGAGAACGGTAAAGGCAAGGCAGCTTCGTTTGAGAAGGCGAAGAAAGAGGCAGCTACCGATGGATTGAAGCGCGCGCTACGCACATTCGGCAACGTGCTCGGCAACTGTTTATATGACAAGACATACCTCAAGAAAGTTCAGTCGATGAAGGTTGAGCCTGTGAAGTTTCAGGAGGACAACCTACACCGGCATCCCGATTTTGCTTCAAAAGTAAAGAACGAGATGGGAATGGTCAAGAGGGAGCCGCATCAGACACCGGTTAGGACCACCCCAATGCTAAGAACGCGTACCGACCATCTGGGGGCGTCGGTATCAGGCGAGTTTGATGACGAGTTCGATGGGAACTTGTTTGACAATGTTGATCTCGCCGAAAATCCTGGAGAGGAAATCAGCTTCGATTCAGTCGCTGCCGAGTCTGTGAATGGCCTGAACAGTGCCACACCCAGCCGGAATGCACCAGCGCCAAACGGAGGTCCATCGCGACAACCCAACCCAAGAACACAAAATGCGCCGCCCGCAAGAGGTCCGAATGGTGTACAGCAACCACTCCCCCAAAACAATATGCAAAATGGTGCCAGTAGGCCGGCTATCAGTCCCCCGAACGCAAGAGCACCACAAACTCCCGTACAGCCTAACAACAACCGAGCTGACTTGAATCGACAACGGATGCAACCGCCCACCGTAGACATTCACGCTGTCCCGAAACCTCAAAATTCTAACCAGAACGCTCAACCAGCCGGCCCCACGCCACCGAACCAACCTCTCCGCCCAACACCACCGCAACCACAGCAACAACAGCAATCAAAAGCGGCAGCACAATCAGGCGCAGCACCTGCCACGAACCCTCCCTCTACTCACAAACCACCTCTCGGCTTCGTGACCTCCCGCGCCGCCGAACTCTTCCAGAACCCCGATCCCCCAGCATATCTCACAAACCTCCCCGCCTTCAATCCAAACGTCGAATCCCCAATACCGAAAGAGAAGCGCACCCCAGGCGTCGACCACATGTCCAGTAAGCCCATCAAACGCGACGCAGTAGGCGCCCCGGCACCTCCCCCACCCGCCCCCGGACCACCCGCCGGCGCTTTCAACCGGCCAGGCCCAGGACCGCGCGGAAACTCTAATTTCGTGAATCCGCATCAGGATGCGAACAGGAGGATCGGGATGCCGGGTGCGGGAATGAGTCCTGGCGGTATGAATAGGGGACAGTACAAACCGCCGCTGAAGAGGCCGCCGCTGCAGGACGTGAGCAATCAGACCGCTGGGGGTGGGAGTGGCGAGCCTGAGGCCAAGCGGCAGAGGATCGAGGCGCCGGGGGCGGAGAACAAGGGGGAGGTGGTGGGGAGTTTGTAGGTTCGGTACCGAGCCTCGCTGTTGCAGATTTGACTTGGTGTTTCCTACTGGATTCGGCGGTGGAGTCGTATCCGTTCTCGTGCGCCTTGGTGGGTAGGAACACGTCTTCTTCTTTGGGTCTCTATTGGCGAAAATAAAAGCCGATGGGGACATTGGCGTTCGGGAGTTCGGATTAGATGCTCGTTCTGAGCGCAGGCGTTACTTTCTCTACCGGTAAGGTACTTGGTCATCAATATGAACGAAGGCGAGATGCAAGATATTGAACATTATTTGAAAACGCTTTTGCATGAAGCTGAAGCGAGTGGTTCGAAATCGATGTGTCCTTTGTAGTGCAGTGTCTTGATAGGCGCATTTTTTCTATGCTACTGTATATGTCTCTTGAGCAGTCTTGGGACTGGTTGCATTCTGTCTTGCGGCTACCATTATATCCTATCGCAGCTTACATACATTATATCAAGAGCTTCATGTGTCCATCCCTAATCCTGCTATCCACGGAAGCATGACAAATTTTTGAGGATACCTTCCCCTCCAAACGCTCCCCCGACCCATCACGGCGTGTACAACCCTCGTGCGACAGACCCCGGATTACCAATCCCGTCTCGCACTCCGACTCCACCCTCTCACCCTCCCTCCGCACATATACAGCCCCCCCGTCACCGGCACGAACACCGCCGCAATACAACCCAACACCGCATTGCTCTTGCCAATTCCCAGACGCCCAAAAAAAGCCGTCGCAAACAGTGGAAAGCTAGCCCCAAACGCCGCGCGGAACAGCGCGTTGCCCGCGAACACGGACGCGGATTCGGTTGGATAGGAAAACGCAAGGTAATTGAAGACGCTGTTGAATAGTGTCACGATGCCGACGCCGAAGAGGGCGGTTCCCGAGACGGGGACGATCCAGTGCACGTCTGCGCGAGACGAGAAGCCGTACCAGAAGAGGCAGGCGGGGAAGGCGAGGCAGCCGAAGAAAGCAGGCGGTAGTAACATCTCTGGTGTAAATTTTGGGCTATTTATCCTGGGGACTATGCTTCCCCGGAGCCAAATTATGAGCAGGGGCGCAGCGATGACGGACCCTACGAATATGCCTAGGAACGCGAGACCTTGCTAGCCGACAGTGAAGTTGTAGATCCCCCCGAAGACGAGCGGGAAGGATTCAAACCAGATGAAGAGGACGCCGTAGAGGAGACCGGTGTAGAGGTCCATGAGGATGACAATGGGCTCCGTGAAGGTGAGGGTGAATGCGCGACTGAGCACATGCAGGTGGTCGCGCGGCGTGTTGGACGCGGTGTCTATCTCGGACTGGCTTTTGAAGCGTCGGCAGGAGGTGAAGCGGCGGATGCGGGCGGCGCGGGCGTGCAGGATGTGTGACGTGCTGGTTTCGGGGAGGAGGAAGAACATGGTTAGCAGAACGAGCGTGCAGAGCCAGGTGAAGATCCAGATCGTCCATGTCCAGCCTTTGACAGGGGCAATGTATCCGCCAATTATGGGACCTTTTCATTGATCAATTACTTGAAATAGATAGTTGTTGGTGTCATAAGGATCATTCTTCCCAAAAATGGGCCCGAGGACGCCCAAAGAGCTCCAGACGCAGACGTATATGAGGATCTGATCTATGGCAAACATATCGGCGATGGTCCCTGCACCCGTGGCAAGACACGGACTACCGAAGAAGCCCGTCAATGTCCGGAAGATGAGGAACGTGGCCATGTTGGGCGCGAAGCCGACGCCGAGTTGGAGGATCACGAAGATGGCGAGGGTCCAGAAGAAGATGCTGCTTCGTCCGATGACAGGGACCTCGGAGAGAGGGGACCACAGCATGGGGCCCAGTCCGTAACCACTAGGCGAATGTTATCTGTCAACGTTCTGTATATGAGTAGAGGGCAAAGGAGCAATGCTCACACCGTGTACATCGACAATCCTAGCGTAGCGACCGTCTCGCTCACACCGAACTCATACATGATGCTGGCCTCGCCAGGGACGTATATGGAACTCCCAATGTAGATGCAGAAGTTGAGGACGAACATCTGCGACAGCGTCAGGAGCTTACATTTGTAAGGCCAGTTATGCGGGTTCTGACAATTCCATTAGTACTGAAGTGTGAAATATATTGAGGGAACTCACTTCCGGGTCGTGAGGACCATACCGGCCGACTAGGAAGATATCGCCTTCGTTATTCAACGTTTGGCTTTGCCCATCTGGAATAGACGATTGAAGCGGTACTGCTCCATCTTCGCTACCTATCTTCTCATTCGGGGACGTTACAGATACTTTGGCTTGTTCAGCGAATGCTTTCCACAGAGTGGAATCGACCTCGTCGGGGTATCGAAGTAGGGAGTTCTTAGAACAAAGCCGTAGGAGCTGGCCAAACGGGGTAGTGCGGAAGAAGCCGTCCATTATGCAGTGTTAGGAGAAAGTGCAGATTGATCAGGTGGCGTCCAAGGAAACATACACTCGCCTGCTGCCGACTGATGTAGTCGCTATTGGCTTATCGCAACCAAAGGGTACTGCTTCACCTCGCATTTTGTCCCGGGGATAGCTGGATTTTGTTGAAAGGGTAATGTGAACTCTGAGTGCGTGTAGGACCCAGCCCCGGAAAGTGCAAGATCCTTGGCCAACATTTTGTACACCTGAGGGGGCAATAGTCATCTTAAGGCCGGATGTGCGTCGGAAATAACCAAAACAGAGCACTCAAATGCTGCTGGGGGGTGAGACTAACATATGCATGAACACGCAAATATTTTAGGGATCGAACAATTCATCCTGCAAATGGCAATGTGGACGAAGCAAAGGAGTTGCCCGAGATGTATACATTCACAGTAGGCGCGACACTGGTTCGCTTAGCGCCCTGCTAGACCAATGTCATTCCTAACGACTACTCACAATGGAAGCGAAGGTCTGTCTAGCTGCTTGAGCACTTGCTGGAACAAAATTATTCCTTTCAAATAGTCATTGCTAATGGAAATCGTCTACCTTCAGTGCTCTTGATCAGTCAAGTGTAGTACTTGCGTGATATATTGCGTCAGAGACGAAAGTTAGCACATACGACCATAGGACACTGAGAACTAGGCTTCCCGTCCGCTCAGCCATATATAAGCAGTGTACCGGCGAATTAGTATTGCGGTCCGTGAGGACGCGAGAATCCTCGCTGTTGTATGTTTTTACAGATTTTTTTTTGCCGGTGCGGGTCTACCGGGGTGGGTCCTTCCTATAGACTAGCACGTCATTACTGTGCTGTGAACTTCGTCGTCGATCACCGTCTAATCCGCTACGCCAGTACTATATAGTATGGACATAGATTGTGAGAAAATACATTTCTTCACTGCCATAAGGTCTAGAAATGCCACGACATTACTGTGAGGCTGCCACCAAACATCAAGGCAGCCGTATCATGAGACTTGAAAAAGATACCCACTGAGCGATATCATCTACAGAAGAGGTCAGCTAAAACGCACTTGGTGTGAGTATGTTTGTTCCTTCGGTTTACCCCTGGAGCTCTGCCCATGTGTTCGAATTGATTTCTGTTCATTGCGAAGTATGCATTGATTCAATGGATTGAAGAACCCGGGTCCTGCTGAACGCCATTCAACGTTTCTCGTCAAATTAAATCATCTCTTACAACGCTGCCTGATCGCACATACAACGCAGCTTGAAGGAGAACATGCTAGCTATATGTTGTCTTGCACAATAAAAGCAGAGCTCCGGCATCAAGGGCGCTGCGCTAGACAAACATCGAGAACAAAGTACTCACAACTTTGAGCAATTTGTCGCCCGTCCATTTCGGAGTAAACGGACTAGACGGTTGCAGCTTTTCTTCTCGGAGTTGCACGACTCGTCTTACTCGCTTAGCCTCTACTCCACATTCAGAAGGTGGGAGCCTCGGATAAGCTTCTCTCAAAGCCTACACTTATGACACATCCAGTGACACCCCGCAAATATTATTCTAGGCTTCACTGCCGTTTGCTTTGGAAGGCTTGGTGTTTGTCTTACTTATTTAGTTTGGGGGCGGAACCTCGGTGGTAAGAGAACCTGAAGTTTATCATTGCCATCTATCCAAATGTCTGACGAGGACGTTTCCGAGCGCCGCTCGTGGCGAAAGTCGAAGACTCTGGTTGTCTTCACGGCAACACTTGGACTTTTTACTGGTAAGTCATGACTTTGACTTCTAAGCGGAACTGTATCGTTCGTATGGTGCGCTAATCTACATATTGCGTCCAGAGAATTTTCTCTACGGCTTTATTGTTCCTATTCTCCCCTATATGATCGAGAAACGGCTCTGCCTGGACCCAGCGTTCACTCAGCGATTCACGACAGAGCTTCTCTTCATCTTAGGCCTCATATCGATCCCTGCAGCTCCCATCATTGGCCACTTTGCAGATAAGACGACGAGCCGGAAAATCCCACTCTTGATCTCGCTCGTGGGATGCACGGTTGGCACACTTCTGGTCGCGTTGACGCCATCAGGTAACCCAAGCACCATGATTTCAAGAACACTCATTGACTGTGTATAGTATGGGCCGTGTACGTAGGCCGAATTCTCCAAGGCATCTCGGGAACAGGCGCATGGATCGTAGGCTTTGCAATGCTGACTGACGCGGCGGGCTCCAAGCATCTAGGCAAGGCCCTGGGCTTTTCTGGATCTTTTATTACCGCAGGTGTTCTGTCAGGGCCCGTGATCTCAGGTGCGTTCTTGCAGTGGTTCGGTTACTGGGCAGCGTGGTCTGTACCTTTGGCACTCATTGCGATTTGCTTCGTTGCTCGGCTGGCGATTGTGGAAGAGAGACGACCAGACCAGTTGAAGACGTCGACTATATCAGCCGAAGCTCAAGCTCATAACGAGACATCACCACTTCTTTCGCCAGAGGGCAGTGATCAAGACGAAGCAGCGGCGAGCTCCCAAGAGGAGGCAAAGGTCCCACCTACTCGCGGCTTCTACGCTATCATGTTCAGCAAAGGGGCCACATACGCCGCTCTACTCAACGTGACAGCCTTCTCAATGATCATCTCAGGCTTCGACACTACTTTACCATTACATCTTAGGCAGGAATTTGGCTGGCGTCCCGCACCGATAGGTTCGATATTCCTCGGCATCCAGATCCCCAGTATGATCCTCGCGCCATTCGTGGGCTGGCTGCGTGACCGCATCGGGCTCCGCTGGCCGACGACATTAGGGTGGGCTTTGAGCACCCCGTTGTTCTGGTTCTTAGGCGTTCCTGGCAAAGACAATTTCTTGGGAGTCGGGGATGGGGCGAAGGGACAAGCTGCGTTTGTAGCGGCCACGATTGGAGTGGGCATTATCTGGTCGTTTGTCAGAGGCGCGGGAACGTTTCAGCTGACCAGTGAGTCTTTTTAATAGTCACTTTGATGCTAAAATACTGACCTTTACGTGCCAGCAATCATGCATGAGCTGAAAGCTCAGGACCCCAATATATTCGGGCCAGGCGGCGGGAGTTCCCGCACGTTCTCAATGACCGAGACGTCGTTCGCCATCGGGCTTGTACTCGGTCCTCTCATAACTGGTGCCTTGGCGGATGCCTTCGGGTTCTACTACGCTACGAGTGCACTCGGTAAGTACTGCCCCTTGCAGCCTACATGCTGCCAAAGCAGCTGCTAACCATGAAACACAGCGTGCGTCTCTGTCGTGGCATCGATATCGTCATGGATGTTCTTCACACACAAGGCGCCAGTGCGCGAGCCCGAAGCAGATGGTGGATTGTAACTTGCGACGTTGGAACCATTCAATGCGGAGATCTTCGCAAACGAGTCTGTTCTCATGGCCATTCCATTTGGAGAAATGCTTGCCTGGAATACTGGTGCTTAGAACCATGCATCAACGCAACTACTTTCGGGGCAATATCCTCGTTTTTTTTTTCGCACAGTATAACTAGTTCTCCCAACTAGGCGTGCAAATCCTATCGTCGCGCCTCAGGTCGGAAGCTCTGTGGGTTTCATAGGCAACCGAAGGATGGATGGCACTGCAAGGCTTTGTAGCTCATGATAAGGAAGATGGAAGTACAAACAATTCTCATCTTGTGTCGTGAAAATTTGTACTCAACCCGGACACATTCAACCTCATCCTCTATATTTCCATTCAACCTCCGACCCTCTCTTACTCGATGAAAACCATGAACTCGCCATTCAACCGACGCTCATCAAACACCACAACGCGATCCGTTCTCACAAGACAGCACGACATGGCACGCAAGGTGAGAACATAAACCCGTCAAGTTGATAACGCTAATAGTATATACATACACACACACATGGTGCCTCCCGTCAAGCCCATCCGGCAATCTAGAACCGGGCCTCAACCTTCTGCTGCGTATCCTGCAACGCCCACTCACTCCGCGCCTTCCGCGACCGCACCCTATCCACCTGCTCCCGCGTAAATCCCTTCGCCACAACGGCAGGGTTGTATCCCAGCCCGTTGATCTTGCCCACCTCCTCGCTGCTCACATCCGTCGCCGCGCTGCCGTCCGCGCGCTTGTACACCGTCACCACGACGGCGCCGCCGAGCCCGAGGTTATGCTGCAGCGCGACCTTTGTGTCTTTGACGGACCGGTTGTTGGCCCATCCGCGCATGTGCCAGACGAGTTCGGCGCATTGGGCGAGGCCGGTCGCGCCGAGCGGGTGCCCCTTGGAGATGAGGCCGCCCGAGGGGTTGATGACGACCTGGCTGTTGGGACCATATGTGATGCCGCCCTTGCGGATGAGCTCGTGGGCTTTGCCTACAGGTGCAAGACCCAGCGCCTCGATAGTCACCATCTCGTTCGCGGAGAAGCAGTCGTGCAGCTCGCACACTTTCACATCCTTGGGGTCGGTATTGGCTTCGGCCAACGCCGTCTTCGCCGCCAGTGAGCTCATGCTGAATCCCACGAGCTCGATGGCCGACTTGTTGAAGAGGTTTGGCGTGTCTGTCGCGAGGCACTGGCCTGCGATCTGGATGGCCTGTTGCTTAAGGTGGGGGCGGGCGTCGAGGAAGGCCTGGGAGACGAGGACGGCGGCGGCGGCGCCGTCCGAGGTCGGGCAGCATTGGAGCTTGGTGAGGGGCTCGTGGATCATGGGGGATTTGACGATCTGGTCGAGGGTGTATTCGTCTTGGAACTGGGAGTAGGGGTTGTTCTTGGAGTGGGCGTGGTTGATGCGGCCGATTTCGGCGAAGTCTTCGAGCTTGGAGCCATATCTGGGGTTGTCAGTATCTCACATATCCATAGGGTTGGACCATGTAGGAAGAGGGTACGCACTTCTCCATGTGCTCGCGTCCGGCGTTGCCGAACAGCTGCGCTGCGCCGGGTGCCTTTGTAATTCCACGTGTCTCCTTCATGACGAGGTTCGTGGTGCCGGTAGGGTTCGCGCGGTCCTGGAAGAAGGTCTGCAGGCTGCCGGGGAACATCTTCTCGAAGCCGATGACGAGCACGCAATCGCTCGCGCCGTGGGCAATCATGTTGCGGCCCATGTACAGACCTGTCGAGCCCGTGGAGCAGTTGTTGTTGACGTTGTACACGGGAATGCCTGTCATGCCGAACTGGTAGAAGACGCGCTGACCGCAGGTGCTGTCGCCGTAGCAGTAGCAGGCGACGCCCTGGTCCACCTCGTCGTAGTTGATCTGCGCATCGAGCATGGCCTTGACGCCGGCTTCGAAGCCCAGCTCCGGGTAGTCGACCTTGCCGCGGGGCTTGATGAACTTAGTCATGCCCACGCCGAGGACGTAGACGGGTGCTTTCTTGGAGGGCGCCATGGTGGTGTTAGGGGGTGAAATGGAGGACAGTGTCCTATTGAAAGGCTCCAAGTGTTGCTGCGAGCGACGATGCTGCAGACGAGAAATTGAAATCAGGGCGGATGTGTGGGAAGACTGCCAAACGTGCGTCGCGGAGACATTGCGGCTGCGGCTGTATAAAGGGTCGCGAGTCGGGAGCTGGGGAAGGAGGGTGTGGGGTAAGTAACCTCGGCACGATGCGGCGTGTCATGCTCGAGGCACTCGTTCGAATTGCCTTACTAGAACCGGGAAATCCTTTGCCGACTGCCTTGGAAGCACATGATATCGCCAACCACGCCGCGGACGCTTCCTAGAGGGAAGTGTCAGTGCCTGCAGTCGCTTTTCGCGACTGATCCTGATGGCGCGGGGCTTCTTGCTTCTGGCCCAGGCCGAGGAGGCGAGGAGAGGAGCCGCTGACACATGCACGTCTAGTCAGGATCCGGAGTTTGACAGTGTAATATTTTTTTTCGAAAGCATTGGTATCAGCGCGGAACATAGCAAAGCAGTGCGAACACTGAGGTATCAAAGAGCCCAAAAATCAAAAAGCCTCCCAGTCAATGCCGATCCACTCTGCCTAAGTGTCGGTATATGCAATCCGAGTGCCCATGGGTAGTCCGAGAAAATGTCCATCCAAACGCCGCGCTTACATGGTTCGTGAGATCATGCCCGTACGCCGGGAGCAAACTACCCTGTGTAGCTGCTCATGCCAAAATAGTCCTACAGCTCAACCAGCCCATCCTATCGATGGATCGTCCAGAGCTCTGGTGGGGCTCGCGTATGCTGTGTCAGGGCGGCTAAAAACTTCAGCCCTTAGATCGACAGCTTCTTCTGAATCTGACGAAGATGATATCGAAGAGCTGGATGCTGAGCTCGATGGTGAGCTCGTTTCGCTCCGGAGTGCGGGTCTCCTGGCTTGAGAGCTGTCGCGTCGAAGCTTCGCCGGGCTCGTTTTCTCGCTCGTCACCTCCTCTGTGACCGGATCACTGGATATCGAGTTACTCGAGCTGAGAAACACCGGCGTCTCGACATGCAAGCTTTCGCGGCGTTGCGAAGTCTCTTGCCGAAACGCCTGTACAGCTGGCGGCACCATTGCGTCCGGCCAGCTCCCGTGCTCCCTGTGCTCAACGCTCGGAAGCTGGTCTTTGTCTTTGCTCCACCGATGTTTGAACTTGCTCCATCTTCTGTGTTTCTCGCTCATACCCATGCTTTCTCGTCGTTCCCTCTCGATCTCTGATTCTCTTCTTGTCTGTTCATCGCGAACAGGATCTGCTATCTTACGGGCTGCTGACACAGGCCCATTGGTCCATAGAGGAAAGACCGCCCCAGCCACATACGCTGCGACAACAACGCAGTACGCGAACTGCACGTCCGTGGACTTGGCCACCGCATACATGATTGGTGGCCAGACACCTCCGCCACCAATAGCCGCCGTGAGCAACACCGCTGCATCTTTGGTGTGTTTGCCTAGCCCGCGAAGCGACTGTGCGTATATGATGGGGAAGAGAGGGCCTTCGAAAAACTTGCCCATGACAACAACAGCGGCCCAGGTCCCACCGGTACCTCCGGACATGGCAGCAGCAGCAAAGGAGATGACGCCGGCGAAGAAGAAAGCGAGCAGAAAGCGCGGTTTAATCCATATGCACAAGAACGCTGCCATGAGGCGCGAAGCGGCAAAGCCAGTGTGCTCGATGGCTTGGAAGTTTGCAGTGTCCAGCGAAGGTGCAACGCGCGTGAGGTACTCGGCGAACGAGGTCGATGTTCCTTCCTGGCCACCCACATAGCAGAACATGGAGAAGACACCCAGGGCAAGGGAAACCCAGACAACGCGCACGTTGGAAGATCCAACGGTAGCATCGCGTGGAATTGGCATCCTGGATGTCGCATTCTCGAGTTCCTCGTCCGTAGCGTCCGGTAGTGGGACGTAAAAGAAGGCGACGGCGAGCATGATTGTGAAGAAGGAGATGCCAAGATAGGCCCATTGTACATCGATCAAGCTATCGGCCGATGCTTTGAAGAGGACCTTCTTTGCGAGCAGCGGCGAGACGATTGTGCCAATAGCTTGTATGCCCTGCGACATGCTGAGCCTTGCTTCTGCGTATTCGGGCGGACCGCAGAGCGCAATGAAAGGGTTAGCACTGAGCTCTAGAGTTGAGAGGCCCATGCCGACAATGAAGTTGGAGATGAGGAAGGCAGGAAAAGACGTGAGGACCGCAGAAGGCCAGAAGACGAGCGTGCCACAAGCGTAGACCATAAGCCCGACAATGTAGCAGGCCTTGAATCCCCAGCGGCGGAACACAATCCTGCCAAACGTAAAGGGAGCGATGATGTATCCAAGATAGTAGGCGCTGTGTTGACCGACAGTTTGGCCGTCGGTCATCTGGGCCACTACCTGGAATTGGGAGTTTAGTGTATCCAAGAGTCCGTATGCGAAACCCCAGATAAAGAACAGAATGGTGACCATGGCGACGGGATACACGGCCTCCTCGTTGGTCCTTAGCGTGATGTTCTTCTTCTTCTGCATGTCTACAAAGTCGAAATATGCAGCAGAGCCTCTTCGTGCGCGGGTGGTGGTCGCATACGTTTCATTGCGGTACATCTCGGGCATCTCATTCATGTCTGGGGTGGTCAAGAAGTCCATCATGCCCATGGGTCCACCGGCGCCGCCAAGCGCAGGAGGCGGCTTCGAAGTGGTGGGCGACACTGGGGCGCTCTGTGGATTTGAACGTCTTGTTGCGGCCGTGATGTTGGTTGGGATGACCACGCTGTCGCTCGTTCTGCTACCTGACCTGTCCATGGACGTCTGATCAAGAACCCATTTCGGAAGAAAGCGTTTGACCAAGGGCTTCAATGCGGGCACACAGGCGCACATGATGCCAGTGTTAATCTCGACAGCGCTCCACATGGAGGAAAATGCCGCATACCAAGAAAAGTCACTGTCATTGCGCAAATCCGACCTAGCGCAAGATGAGCGTGTGTTTAACGTCATGGAGTGCGGTTTCACTCACGAGTGGGCCCCTCCTGCGCCGTCCGCTTTGGCACGGAGGTTGTTTCGCTGCGCATCTTGCAGATAGTAGATGCGAACCACGTCGACCACGGCGACGAAGATGCCAAAACCAAAGGTGATGACCAGTATGACCTTCTGCTTCCTGGGTAGCCGCATACCTAGGAGGACAAGTCAGTGAAGGGCACGTTGCGGTCAGCCAGCGTGACATACCAGTCAAGAGAGGCATAGGCAGGAAGAAGATGGCCAGATCAGTGATGATGTTAAGCGGCGCCGAAGAGAGGTATATGGTGACGATGTTGATACACGTGTGCGGCGGCTCAATTGGCGTATAGAAGGCTGCGGACACGGGGTCGCATTGGAAGATGTTGAGGAGAGTCAGGGCCAGGCCGCCGACGTTGACGACGACCAGGGTCGAAATGGTGGCCCATCGGAAGACCTTGTGGGTCTTGGACAAGGTGAGGTAGAAGACGAGGATGGAAGACTTGGTGGCCATCAGGGCCGGGTTCTGTTTGGGTCAGCATGTTGTTCTGCGCAGTGTTGCATGTGGGGACGTACATAGAGCACCGAGAAGGCATAAGCAGCCTTGTTCATCGGGGTCAGCTCATTCTCGGGGATGGTATCCTGGTGCCTGCCGAAGCCCTTGGTGGTGCCCCAGCAGATGGAGAAGGATGTGCCAAAGGCTAGGATCCAGGCGAGGATAATGGTGTAGTCGTCCCAGCCGGGCTTCTTGACGACGGCGAAGCGCGAGACCAGACGGAAGAAGACGAAGACGGAGCAGCAGGCGAGGGTGGCTGCGGTGACGGCGAGGACTGCGGGCGCGCGCGAGGGCTCGAGAGCCTCGTGGACCATGATGGGGGTTGTGCGCCGAGTCGCAGCAGGCGCATCGTCTCGCCGGCCGGGCTGCTACTTGCTAACGCGGTCGCGGGTTCCGTGGGCAGAACTGGGCGTCAATGTCGAACATGCTTCGCGGGTGCCGGGCGCCGCATACGAAGATGCACACGCTGCCTCCCGATCCTGCGAGGGTGACGTCGGCGGGCGGCGCGGGATATTACTATCAGGCGGCGCTGGGCAGATGAAGTCTGGGGAAGCAGCGCCTTTTGTCTGCACGGGTCGCACGCCGCTGATCTCGCGGGCTAGCAGCCAAGGGTCTTCACCGCAGCGCCCCAGGTTTGCCGTCGCGCTGGGAGCTGGCGCAGAGCCAGCGGGCAGGCGAGAGGCCATGGGCGTGCTAGACGCGACGGTGCTGGCATGCTGGGCCGACACGGGCAGCCAGAGGCGCCTAGTGACGACATACGCACGCTTCTCCACGCCCCGGACGCTCGGCTCCGCGTCCACAAATGCGCCGCCAAGTCGCCGCCCAAATCCTCCATTGCCCGCGACGGCACGCCAGGGCTCGCGGGGTGCAGCTCAACAGCAGCCGCCGCCCGTCCTGTTAGCCGCCGCCCGTCCTGTTGAGCGCCTCCCGTCGGCGGCTGTCGTTTGCCCTGCGGGACGACTGCGCAACGCTGCGAGAATTTGTCGAGTCCCCCCAGCCGCGCCGAAGATCGGCAGCTGGCATGCTCACGCGAGGTGCGCAGCATTGTGGAGAACAGCACGCCTGGTGGCGTCGGCGAGTGCTGAATTTGCGGGCGTCCAGAGCCTCCAGAGGTACCAACGGCGCGACCACCGTGTCCGCCTCCAGTTTCCCCAGGTCAGGCGCCAGCAACAAGGCCAAGCCGCCATGCGCGCTCCGGTTTGCGGCTATGAGGCTCTTGCGCACCTTTTCTCGACCTCCCAGCCGCGTCGTGCTGCAGTCGGGCCTTCTGGGCCGTTTCTCGCTCCTACAGCCATCGACCCAGACTCAGGTCCGCTCTATACGACTCTGAGCGACGCAAAGACCCTCGTCTGCTGCATCACGAGTCTGGTGGATCCCTCAGGCCATCTGGGGTAAGACAAGCTCCCCAGTCTTGGATGGTCATTGGTTGCCAATCTTTGTTCCCTCTCCCAACAGCGACCATCCCAGTTTAACAACCAAGTACTAGTTATTGCGAGTACGAGTCTTCACCGCATTTCACACTCGATGCGCATCAGACTCTACTCGTTTGTGCCTGTAAATTTCCAGAATACATCGGTGGAGCAGCTCAAGGCGAATCCCATCAGGTCTAGAGCATCGCCGTCAGAAGAGCCCCAACGTCGACAATCTCCAGAGCCTGCTTCTCGGATGCAGCATCAATCCACCAGCATCTAAATTCACACGGCGACCTCAGCTTAACCACTTTCGCAGCGACGCCCCTGAGTCAGTCCGACAAGATACCGTACACGCCTCTCATCAACAACGAATTTACCTCCCAGCATGGAGCTGATACGGCTTGCATCGGCACTGCATTTTGCGGCAGACCATGTCCCTAATGATTACCATCTTGAGTTAGGCAATCTTCACCGTGTGACAGTCCGTGAGGGTCCAACTTTCCCTATTCGACTTTTAAGACCCAATTTGTAGACCATGTCCCTAGGACCAACCATATGTGGCCAGCCAGATTGAGGCCGTTGTCACCATAGTCAGCGTAGACGCACTTTTCATCGCATAGGCCTTGGAAGAGCCTTAGGCAATCTGGCGCAGCAGAAAGAACACACTATCCAGGATCATGATCAATCTCGCTCCCAGATCCACAACGATTCCTGACTATGTGTTCGTCAACATAGACTTTGACCAGAAGCGACCTAGATGTCGCAGGCTTTACGAAATAGTCTGCTGACCCTTGACTCTTGCTCCTTCGTGGACGAAAAGTCGCTGGACAAGCTTCTTCTCAGGCCTCCAGCAACGGAATCGATGTCCAAATTACAGTAACCGCCCTCTTTCTAGTGTAAAGACCGGCCAAAAATAACCTTCTTTCAGTAGATCTCGGACCTTCGCGTGAATACGTTTCGGCACGTTCGAAATGAACTCGATGCACTTAGGATGCTACCGACTTAGCTTCACGCCTCCCCACTTCTACAGGCGAACAATTAGACGAAGTCGTCCAACCTGTCGAGCGCGATCGTTCTTGCCGACGTGCTTGGCTTTCGTAATGGCATCATTCTTCTCTTCGGGCTTTCTTAACAAGGCCAACAAGCTGGCAGCTTGACTTCACTTACAACCCTCAACAACGTGCCACCTACCTACAAAACCCAGATCTTTTTGGTAAAGGTGCGCCAAAAGCTCAATGGCAAGACTGAATGTTACATGTCAAATTCGAGATGGCTTTCTCCTGTAGATGCCAGGAACATGGTTGCTTGGACGAGCGTCTCAGACTTACTCGGCACGGTATTCATTAATAAGCCCAGGACCCTGCGCACTAGTATCGCACTAGTATACCACAGAATTGCCTTCAGTAAGAAGGCGCTTTCGACTCATTGTTCACCAACCGGCATCGATGATATACTCCGGCATAAGCAGCGCTTCTCGATACATTAGAATGTCAGAAGACGTCTGACACGACCTTTTTAGCCTTGAGAATCGAGTATCGCAGCATAGCGGCACTGTCACTCGAATTTTTGTTTCTGATCTTTCGCTCAATAGCCGTCTTCTGGATACCGTGAAGTCAAGCAATATCAGCAGATTTAAATTGAGGCTTCACTTTCCACGGACAGTGCTCCGCTGACTTGGCTTGGCCAGCGAACAGATGAGTTGCTGGGTTCCAAGCAAGCAGCCTGAATTTCCAATATATCGTCCAGGGGCTACTGCCGCAGACATCCCGGTGCCGATCGTCAGTCCGCCAATCGCGCAGCTGCAAGTTCCCGCAGCTAGTCCACTCTCGGCTGGTGTGTGGCAGGGGCACTTGGACGGCCTCCTCGCCATCTCTGCATACAGGACAGAATATGAGGACCTGGCCAGTTGTTCAGCACGAAAAGATGGCTGGATAAGCTGAGTGACACCGCTGCGTATGAGGCTGGACTTGCTGGCAAAGGGAGCGAGCCAAGTGGTGCGCGCAATGAGCTCGCTACCCAAAGTGGGAAGGGATGATAAACAACGCTGCGCACAGAGGTCAACCCACGCCCATTGCGCAGCGGGTCCAAGGACATTCTGGGGAAAAGCTCAGGGACCGGACTGCGTGCTGCATGAGAGGCGCCGCAGAAGGCTGGCGGCGGGAAATAAGTACGAGCCATAATAGTAATATCGTGCGGGTTCTGCTTTTCTTCTCCGCTCCTTCTCCCTTGCATTCCATCAACAACACCACAATCCGCTTCATTACGCCACGCCCATCACTCGTTCTGGGTCGTTATTCCGTCAATCCTTTCTTAATCCACGTTTACGTTCTATTCTGGCAAGAAAGAGGAAGGTAGAAGGAAATATGCGTTTCACAGCTGCTCTCCTCGTTGCTGGTGCCAGCGCGGCCGCCGCGGCCACCACCTCCGCCGCGGCCTCCACACCCACCGACTTCAGCATCTGCGCGCAGAAGTACGTCAACGTCCGCCTACATGCCTCCCTCTCCTTCGTCTCGCCAATTACCTACGATAACCCTCTCTCGAGAGATCGTACCAATCCCCAAACATTCTCATGCGACGGCTTACTTCGATCGCTTTTCCAGCGCTAACTCTCCCCCCCAACAGCATCGTAGACGCCTGCGTCGAGCAGTACGACAAGCAGGTCGACGCCTGCGGCGGCAACGACTATATCTGCCTGTGTGACAACTACACCAACAAGCTCACCTGCTACAACAACTGCATGGGCTCCGAGGACCGACCGCCCGTCCAGAACCAGGTCACCCAGTTCTGTCTGGCGGCTGAACCGTAAGCTACCCCTTCTCCTCTCCTTCCACGCATTTTCTCTGCCACTTTGCCACTGTAAACTCTTTTGGAGGGCTTCGTCTTGGGTGAGGGAGATTTTGTACGAGAAGGCCGAAAGAGTATAAGAGGAAGCAACGTTATCTGACAAGTCCTGAACAGCCAACGATCCGCGTCCTCGGCGTCGCTCGCCTCGGTCTGGAAGACGGCCGGCACGCCTTCGCCCGCGCCCACCACCTCTTCTGCTTCGGCCACAGGCTCCAGCGAGGCTACACAAACGTCGGCGGACGGTTTCTCAACTCAGAAGACGGGCGCAGCTGTGCCGGTGGAGATCCCCGCCTTCGGTGGTGTGGTGGCTGCTGTGTTTGGGCTGGTGGGGCTGTTGTAGAGAGCTTGGGCGACGGAAGGGGTGAGGAGGAGGAGGAGGAGGAGGAGGAGGAGGAGGTAGGGTGGACGGAAGGGCGTGTGGATACTAGTAATCATAATACCTCAATTTTGACGCTGGACTCTTGCGTGCTGTGCTTGTCGCGCGGGCGATATATGATGCGGAATCGACCTGAAGGAAACGCACTCCAAGGTCGATACTCACGGAACAAACGCCGTCGAAACTCTGTTTGGCTGGCTTGGAGACAATCCAAAGCAGGGACCACCGGCTGTATGGTATTGCTCTGTCTGGTGGTTTTTTTGTTGTGTCACCTTTCATTAAGTAGGACTGTATATTTTGGGTTATGATTTGAGACGGAAGGAATAGGTAACACCAGGGAAGTCATGTGGCAAATCAGACGGGGAGGTTGGACACCGAAGTCGGCGGAGAGGTGAACTGAACTGTTCTTTGGGTGAGTGGGAGGTTAAACGTACCATGTTCCGCACCTCTGCTCTGTGCGCGTCGGTTGGGGCTGGGGGCGGCGGAATTGTATGTAGAGGCTGCAATCAAAGATGAGGTATAGAGTTTAAACAGTGTGTGCAAGGTTGGATATGAAAGTTGAGTATGGAGGTGGGAAACTCAGGTTGAAACTGAACAGATAAGAGGGTTGGTCAAGTTACAGGGTAAATGCAAAGTGTGCATCGAAGGGCGGCACTTACTGTTCTCGAATTGAAGTGCTGTATTTGATGGGATTGAAACAACAGGGGAGTAGATGCAACAACGTTGAAGACCGTAAGGTCGGGAACAACGACGACGAAGCAGTACGGCCAGATTAACAATAATCAGGTTAAAAATGATTGAGCGGCACACGAGAAGGGTAACAACAGGCGCAGGAAAGGAAGGGAACGGAGAACTAGACATGGGATTATCAATGAATTCAAAAGCAGACGTTGAAGATGCTGTGTTTCTAGATCAAGCCCATGCCACAAAAATAACGCTAAGAGTGACTGGAAAAGAAGTACTATAGTGTAGGTTAGATTGGATATGCAGAAGCTGTCTTGACAAGCCCAGAACGGTAGAATTGCGTGTGAAAGTTAGACCCAATGGTTGGAATCAAAACCTTGAGGAACAAATCACTCAGGATGATAAGACTGAGAACGGGTCTGCACGACTGGGCTGAATGATATTCGATGTGCTGAGGCTGATATTGATGGGTCTGAATCTGACGAATTGAGATACTGCATTCCACCGCTCCTTTTCTACACACGAGACTGGTTCAATGGAGATGGAAATGAAGTGCCAGCCGACAGAGTTTTGGGTATGCATTGGAGGATGCAGACAATAAGGCGATTCACGAGGTTGGGGTGTTGAGATTGAGAATGCGCAGGCGATGAGGTTTAATTACTAGCGTGGGGTTGGGATCGGGCGAAGTGAAGAGGTTTGGCAAGGGAGGTTCGAATGCTATTTACTTGAGAGTAGGGTCGCGGTATCCACAAACAGTTAGCGTGCCAAGTTACCACGTGACGGCACGAAATCTTCATAGCGAGCTCCACCGCAGCGACTTTTCTCTCCTCATACATACATACACGGTCCTGACTTTTTTCTTGGTCGATTCTGCATATCCAGAACCAGCCTTTCCGACGGACCAAGATGGATGAACGGCTGTTCTAATTCTGGGGCTCGCTTTCGCTGGCATTTTGTGCTGGTCTCTGGAGCTCTGGTTTCGCTTTAGGCCTACATGTCCAACGCAGTTCACTGGGCAAACTTGTCTTCGCCCTGCCTGCCGTCGATGTCATGGGATTCGCGCGTGGTGACTGTACGTGCGGCTCGGATCCTCCATCGTTGAATGGTCTTTGCCCTGTTCCAGAGAGGTTGGTGTTTCACAGCACGGGCACCCCGAAACTACCCTCGAAGGCAGTCGAGCGCGATGAACGCACGACGCCTGTGGCTGTGCAGCCTAGGTCCTGACTCCCAGCAAAAACATCCGCATTGCGATCAGCACCTGCAATCTTTCGTGAATTCATTGCCAAGGTGGACAAGGCCGTTGAGCGAAAGTGGAAAATGACTCGTGATATTGCGAAGACGGACAGCCATCGGAAGTTAGTCCTTTGGCCGAGAGGGGAGTTGAGACCCTCGTCGACGGGCACTGAGCGGGCTCTAGCGCAGCGAATCTGCAACCGTCTAGTCTTATACACGCGGATGCTCACCGCCGTGCGCCCTCAGCGACTCGATTCGCAGACAGCGTAAAGGCTACAAGTTGCAGTCGGAGTGGCGTTGGGATGTGTAGTCGAGACATATAGGAGCCTAACGTGGAGACGTCACACAAAGCAATAAACGGGTTCCTACCGCGGGCAGAATGCTCGAGGCGTCGTGCTGCATTGATCGACCAGCAATCGCTCCGAAGAGTCCCCTCGAGCCTGTCCCGGTCATCGCACCACGCAGCTGAGGGTTCCCCGCAGCTGTGGTTCCGAGAGGGGACCTGGCCGGCGGTAGCGCGCCTGCGCGAAAGATGCATGCACCACGGCGCTGCCAATCCACTTCTCGTTCGTGTCACTGCGGCGTTGCGAGCACTGCTGGGGACAGATCCTTCACAGCATCGTGGAGCAGGTCCCTTTTCATGATCCGCGCAGATCTGGTACGCAATAAAGCATGCCGGATTCGTCGCTTTAGAGCTGGTGATCCCTCCCCTTTCCCGCATCCTCGAACCCGTGCACTGGGATCAGGTATCCGCTTGCGCGAGACCGGCCGCTGGCCTGACCCTGCCTCCGCCGCCATCCTGCATTATTGGCGCACGCGTCTCACAGCAGACAGGCTGAGAACTGGCGTCCCAGAGGCGGCCACCGCGTCGCGCAACGGTCAGCATCTCTCCGGTCGATCCGCGAATGAACGAGCTGATCTAGCACGAGCCAGCTTCTTTGCGTGCGCCGCGCCCTGATAACCTACTGTAGTGCCCTTCAGCCCTGCCATAGTCCTCCTGCAGCTGCGCATGACTGTGTCGTCGGCCACTGCCACTCTCAATTGTTATCTCTGCTCCCTTTCTTACCGCATTTGCGACATACAACTTCTCCATGTCTGTACGACCCTCGAGGGCATGAATGCCGGCCATGGCATCTATACGGCTTTCCCTGCTGGTCGCAGTTGCGTTCGTGTCTCGGTCTCTACAAGCAAAAGATCCCATCTCCGACTTCTGTCGACGATGGGGCCACCAAACCGCGCATGTAGACAACAAGCTCTACATCGATGGGGGCCAGGTGGTATGGAATCCGATCTCCACCAATCCCCTCAACTACACGAGTATGCATGCAACCCCACGCTCCTACACTGCGCGCGTGACAGACCTGACGCGAGATGCATAGATACCTGGCTCCTCTACAGCGACCTCAACTCGACCACGCAGGGCTTTGGTCAACCCTACCAATACGCGAACCTCACGAAGAATTCGACTGTCCCGAGCGTTTCAGGCGGCGTGCTGTGGGCGGATGATGTCAACAAGTGCTTCTACCAATTTGGCGGGGAATACCAGAGCAACCCGTCGGACTTCAGCTTCTGGACGTACGACACGCGGCTGAACCTATGGAACGAGACAGACTACAAGAGCAATGTCCAATCTCTGCAGCGGGTGGCCCACGGCGCCGGAACACAGGCTCAGGATTTTGGATTCGGGTATTATTTCGGAGGGTACATGAACAATCTGACGTCGCCGAACTGGAAGGGAGGGCAGATCGCAACGAGCAATTTGATATCCTACGACTTCACCGTGGGCCAGCTCAACAACAACAGTGGGCCACCAGACAATTATGGACGCGCGGAGGGGCAGTTGGTACATCTTCCTGCATCTGATGGAGGCCTTTTAGTATACTTTGGCGGTATCGAGGATCCGACTCGAAATGGGAGCTCTCAAGCGGTACGTCCAGCGTGAATCCTGTATCGTCTAGCATGCTAATCTCCAAATAGGCCAACATGAGTGTAAGAGACGGCTCTCTCGCCATGGTTGGATTGTACTTACGATTTACAGACCATCCATATATACGACATCTCTTCGAACAAGTGGTATACTCAGCAAGCCTCAGGCGATATTCCAGGGGCTCGACGACAATTTTGTGCTGGCGCGACCTGGGCTGATGACCAATCTTCGTACAACATGTGAGTAGTGTCTATCCGCCTTTCAATATACACAGATCTAATGAATGAAAGCTACCTGTATGGCGGTTTCGCCGCAGAAGGTCCTGGTGGATATGACGATGCTTATATCCTCTCGCTGCCGTCTTTCAAGTGGATCAACGTTTTCAGTACAGGCAATGGCACGACCCCTTTCCCGCATGGTGCCTGTTCTGCAAATGTTATCAACCGGGATCAGATGCTCATCATTGGTGGTTGGTTCACAAACTCGTCCTACACCGATTGCGACGCGCCGAACTCTCAAGGGCAGCACAACAGTAAGCTGCGCAAGCTACGTGTCCGAGAAGGGACAGGTCTAACTGTTTTATATAGTGAACCTCGGGTACAACGGAGAGAAGAACGTTCTCTGGGATAAGTGGGACCCCTCGGCAACCAAGTACTTTGTGCCCACGCCCGTTATTTCCGTCATTGGTGGCGGGTGAGTGCTTCCATTTTGCTCTGTTGAAGAAGAATCTAACGCGTTCTAGCCCAACTGGAGGTGCCACCTTGACTAAGCCCTCTAAATGGGACAATGGCGACCTCAGCGTTTACTTCGGCCGTCAGGCAACCTTTTCAGCCCGATCAGCAACTCGCATAGTCCCTAGCGGAACGGCCCTCCCGTCAGAAACCGGCAGTTCGAAGAAGACGAACGTCGGAGCTATTGCGGGTGGGGTAGTTGGAGGGCTCGCTGCGCTCATTCTGATACTCTCACTGATCCTCTTCTGCCTCCACCGGCGCAAGAAGAGTCTCAAAGCCAAGGAAGAAAAGAACCATGGCCCGTCACCCCCTCTTCCCGTCGAGCTAGCAGCAACCTCACCAGTTCACGAGATGCACTCACCGGGTGCGGGGAAGTACATGAGCTTACAGCAACAGCCCGATCCGCCTATGCAATCACACTCGCGATCATTGAGCGACGATTACCTTAATCCCAATGTCGTTTCACCATACCACCCACAGTTTCCTTCCAACTCACCAACATCAACAGCAACACACCCTTCGCCATATAATACTGAATTTTCGCACCCAAGTTACGCGCAGCAAGACCAGCATGCCGCCTACGCCCAATACCCTAATACTTACGATACCCAAAGTTACGACCCTAATTCATACCACCAGCCCCCCGGCATAGCCCTGCAGCGCGAACATTCCTACCCGACACCCACCTCGCCTTCCCATCCACACGCCTTCGTTCCGGTCACCCAACAAGTATACTACCCACCGCCGCCCGACCCATCCACCCGAACGCGCTCACACCAGTCCCATCACTCCCAGACCTCGTATTCAGATCGCGTCACCAGCCCCGAGGGTACGCAATTCAGCGGGTCCGACAGGCATACACGGTCGCCCCCGAGCACGACGCAGACGCCTGCGCAATTTTACGCGCAGCCTGTGCCGGTGAGAGGGCCGCATGTTATGAGCGGGGGAAATTTGGCGCCTGGTGGATTTGGTGATGAGGCGGGGAGTATCAATGATAGTGGGAGTGTGAGGAGCTGGGATAGTAGGAAGAGGCCGGTGAGGGGGCGGTTCGTTGAGGTTGACGATCTGTGAGCGTGACTTTGAGATGTTGGATGCGCGGCCGTTGATACCAAGACTGAGTATCGTTGGCACGAGGATTCACTCGAGGAAGCGCGTTGGGAGAAAAGGATTCATCTTTGAAACGAGCGAAGCGTTTGCATCGTCTGGCGTAAGAGCGGGTCTTCAATGTCATCACATCTTGGGAACGTGGACGGGACTATTAGGATCAGGCTGGGATGAGTGTATAGGATTTCCATCGCTCTTTATTTGTATGTAGTTTCTAGTATATACTCGAACGGAATACTCGAACGAGGTTAACGAATCAGTACAAGCCCAGGCGGCTTCATTTTTTTTTTTGCCAGCGAACCAGCGAAGTCCCTCTCCGGGCGCCAATCGTGTCCGGAAATTCAACCTGGAGGGTCAGAACATGATCTTCTCGGAAGTATACGATCGAACGGCAGGAGCTACAGAATCCACCACCGTAGACAGCATTTACGGTGGTCGGTACATCTCGGTTACAGATACCGCGAGCATGCTCCACCTCTGTTGCCTCTCTACTTTTCCTTCCTTGTGGATGTCTTCGAACACAAAAGAGCAACATCCCCAATAATACAGCCATTTTCGCGCAAATGGCCAACCCAGCGACCATCCTAAACGCGTACGATGCCTTCCCCCTCTGGGACACAGAACCAATCACGAGTGCCTTCACGCTCACCTACCCAAACAATCATGCCGTAGTGACCCAAGTCTCCCGCCCCTGGCTTTTCCATTTCGCGCCCCCACCCTCCGCCTCTAATGGTCGCGCCATCCTCGTGCTCGCCGGCGGCGGCTACACCCAGCTCATGGTTGGCCGCGAAGGCATCGCCGTCGCAGAATGGCTCTCATCTCTCGGCTTTGCTGCCTTCGTCCTCGTCCACAGATTCCCAAACGCCCAATCCGGCCCACAAGCTCCCCTTGACGATGCGCGCCGCGCACTCACTCTTATCCATGAGAAAGGCATCGCGCCGAACGGCATAGGCATCTGCGGCCTCAGCTCGGGCGGCCACCTCGCCGCTGCCCTACTCGCGGCTTACCCTGCCTCTTGGACGACACCAGCCATCGCCACGTCAGGCATCGTTCCCAGCCTCACCTTCGCAATCATAGGCTACGCACCTATCTCCACCAACGCAAAAGGCCGCACCATCGTGTCTAACAAAGCACCCTTAGACCCCCCAGAGAAACAGGCTCTCTACGACGCGCTGCAGCCTGATGTTCAACTCCTGGACCACGCCCCGCCGACGTTCATTGTGTACGCAGGAAACGACGAGGTCGTGCCAGTGGTGAATGCGTATAGGCTGGCGGAGGCGCTAGGGACGAAAGGGACGGGTGTGGAATTGCATGTCTTCGCGGATGCGCCGCATGGATTTGGGGTGGATACGGTAGGGAAGCCAGTGGAGGCGTGGCCCGGGTTGTGTGAGGGGTGGATGAGGCAGGTGGGAGTGCTGGAGTAGAGTCTGGGTCGCTGGAGGGCGCGATGAGGTGTGGCGTATTCAGGTATCTGTTCGGTCTCCATCGGCCATGTTTTGAGAGAAGAGTTTTCGCGCCGAGGAGTTGACCTCAGGTTTTACAACATGCCGAACGACGTTCGAGATCTATGACTATTGAGCTATCTGAAACCTTGGTATCGGTAAATTAGACCACAGGGGTCTTAGCGGAAGCTGATAAACCCGTTGGAGTTCACCTGAATCCGTTGTTTAGTCATTAGCTGGAATCTCTGAATAGTCTTGAGGATCTAATTTGTATCTGCAAAAGCGCATGAAGAGTCGAACAACGGAAACATAGTGAATCGGTGGGATCATGGTAAAGAGAAGTAGGATGATTATGGTACGTTTGGGCAGGCGAGGAAGCTTACAAGCGGGATAGGGGTGCGCTGGTTGAGCAATGGCATGCATCAACGGGGTAGGGCCAAAGAATAAGCGCTAAAACATAGGAACAAAGCCAGCTAATTGCACACATGAATGAAGATGAATATGTCACACGCAGAAAAATTCTGCGTGTGCTTGTATTCATAGTGATAGGTTTAAGTGTGACGAGGACGCCGTTATTTGGAGCGTACCGATACAAGCGTCCTGATGCACAGGATGAAGTACGCAACGGCTCGGACGAATCTCGAGCGCTTTGGACACCCCGCATCTCTGCAAGGTACCAGGCACCGGTGTCCCGGGCTTACACGAGGTCAAACCACGCGAGCTCGCTAGAATTGCGCGATGTGCTCCACACGGCTAAAATTCACCGTACTCGCACTTGGCGAACGTCATTAACAGCTACTTTAGGAACTTATAACTTCATAGCCCCTGCAACATTGTACCGTCCATAGCAAACATAAAACCTCTCACCTGTAAACGGGCTTGGCGATCCATGGCGGTTCGACTCAAGCTACCCATCGTGACAGATACATTGTGGCTTTCACGATCTAGACGCAGAATGTAATCCTGCGCAGTGCCGCAGGAGTGAATACATTCAAGTTTTGAGATGGTCTAAAATGACTATGCTGAGCCGCCCAGGGGGCATAGCCTCAATGGTGCATACTATAAGATGTAACACGACCTGTAAATGTGGTTTGCATCTCAGTCTCTTCGCAGAAACACAATTCGACGCTACCCACGGTTTCCCGTTGAACACTACTCAGCCAACATGAGGACCTCGCTCGCTCTTGCCGCCTACATCTCGGCTGTGCTTGCACAAGCGCCTAGTCTCACCGACCTCATCGGTTCCCAGCCTGACCTCAGCACCCTGGGCACCGCCCTCAGCAGCTTCCCCGATCTCGTAGCGGTCCTCGGCAGCCTGAGCAACATCACCATCCTTGCGCCCACCAACTCTGCATTCGAGGCTCTCCTCGCTGGAGATGCATCTCTAGAGAGCACTGCACTTAGCTCAAACAACACGGACGCTATTCAAGCACTCCTTGCGTACCACGTTCTCAACGGGACTTACGTCTCGTCTGACTTCAGCGAGACTCCCGCTTTTGCACACACTCTCCTCACGCCATCGGGCCAGAGCGACAGCTTGACCAACGTCACAGGTGGACAGAATGTCGGTCTCCAGTTGATTGGAGGAAATGCCACCATCGTGAGCGGAGAGCTGAAGGGCTCAAACGTAGTCGAAGCAGTGAGTATCCAACCTCAGCAACATTCTCAGTGTCTAATATCCCCAGGACATTCAAGCCGCCAACGGCGTCGTCGTCCACAAGATCGACTCCGTCCTCACCATACCGCGCAACGCTTCCACCACACTCACCGCCCAGTCCGACGTCGAAGTGACTTCCATCCTGAGCGCCCTTACCACCGCCAACCTCGTCGGGACCATCGACACCATCGCCGACCTCACCATCTTTGTCCCCAACGATGCCGCCTTCGCTGCCATCGCATCCACCCTCGCCAATGCCTCCGTCGAGGCCATCACCAGCATCCTGACCTACCACGCCGTCGCCGGCGCCGTCGTCTTCTCCAGCGACATCACCAACACCACCGTCAAGACCGTCAATGGCGCCGAGCTCACCCTGGCCGTCGGCACTGATGGCAACGCCTACATCGACAATGCGAAGGTCGTCCTGCCTAATATCATCCTCAGCAACGGCGTGGCCCACATCATCGACTCGTAAGTGCCCTTGATCGTGTTTGTTCAGTCATATTAGTCGTGCTAACAGTAGCAGTGTCCTCAACCCTGAGAGCGAGACCCCAACCCCCGGAAACGGTACTTCTACCAGCGCCCCTGTGCCTTCTCCCACGATGTCTGAGTTCCCCGGTGCGGCTGTTAAAGTCCAGGGCGCGATGGGCGCGGCGGTGGTTGGATTTGCCGTTGCCATGATGCTCTAGAGTAATCAATGGGAATTGATCAGGAGTGGGTGGAGGAAGTCGGGACGGTTTCTGCGCCGCAATTAATGGATTATTAGTATAGTAATGTTAATATGAGCCCGAATGCATCGAAAATGGCATGTTTTGAAACATGAAATCCACCACTTTGATCACTTCTGACAACCAGGGATATCTTGCTAGGTGTCTTCAACTTTCGGAACTGTTGCACTGAGGCAATTCCTTTTCCGCGATGGTTTCTACGGTCACTGTTGCATATTCTCGGTCCGATCGATTCGATCTTGCAAGAGCACGACCTATCTTCGCTTGGCTGAAGATAAATTGTTTTACCCTTCCACACATCTAGCCTCCTTTGTGGAATACCTTGCATGGATAGCCACAGAAGCATGGCCAAATTAACTCGTGCTCAGAATACTTCTACCGATCGCATGCGTTATAGTCTGGCTTCTTCGTGGTGATTCCCACCCAATCCTGTATAATGGGTGAGTCCCATGCGTCGTTTCCCACGGCTCTCCCAAATAATGTCAAAGCCGCATCTAACTGCAACTGCTGCTCCGTCACAGTGAGAGGAGGCGCAGCGTGAAAGACGCCCCAGAACTATGAAGTTGTAGCGAGCTGCGTCCATAACGCCTTCTCCTGTCACTTGTGCGAAAATGTATAAGCAATGTACGATGTGCATATTTGTGGAGAGCTGCCGTCGCAGGGTCCTACTTGCCTCACCCCGCTACTTCCCGACGACGAACAATAGGTTCCGATCACACGCAGGTCACCCATCGAGATAAATAGATATGTCTTTAACTACACCCAAATCTACTGCACTGGGAACCTGCTTGTGCACGTTCAGGGCAGATATTCCGGATGTTCTGCTCAGCTGCCGCGCGAAGCCCTGCGTGTACGCATGTTAACATGCGCGCTACCGCTACTCCTGCACCTCTCGTCCTACTCGTTGAGATCCGGACTAACTAAATAAAATCAATAAGTCGAGATTGCATGTCACAAACACTCATAACGTGGGACAGTATGGAAAAAAGTCGGCCTGTTACAGCCATGCAATGAATTTGATACAAGAAGTGAAGCCTCCATCGAGGAGATCGTCTGTATATGGTAGTATCTCTCGTCCAACACTCAAACGTTCCTTTCATCATCCATGTTCAAGGTCCTAAGCAAAGAAAGCACGCGCGTGCCTCCTCATCTTCTTAGACGCGGCTGAGCTGTCAGCGGAATCGGCTTCCTCGAGGAAGGCAATGAACTCGGCGATGGTGTACTTCTTCTCGGCAGCGGGGCTAGAAGGAGTAGCGGATGGAGCAGCGGCAGAACTGCTGGGGGCAGGCTCCGCGACGGCAGTGGCAGTAGCTGAAGGAATAGCCGAAGTCTGCGCGGCCGCCGAAGAGCTCGCAGGTGCGGAGCTTGCGGGAGCAGAGCTTGCAACTGGAGTAGCTGAAGCAGCGCTGGAAGCAGGCTTTGTGGCGGTGGAGGGAGCAGCGGTAGCGGCAGGGGCACCCTCAATCGAACCGAAGGTCAAGAGCTGGGGAGTAGCCTCAGTTCCGCCTTCGATGAGAGCAGGACCCGGCGCAGGGTAGCTGTCAAGAGGAGCGTGGATGTTGAACCCAAGGCCAGGGCCGGTCTTGGTGTATGCGTCCGGGAAGGTGACGGTGTCGGTCGGCTTCAATGAACCACTGCCGGTGACAGTGAGCTGGTAGCACGAAACGTAGTGCTGGGCACCTCCAGAGGCACTGGCGGCGTGCAGAGCGATTGCCTCAGCACGGAGGAGGTAGTCGCCAGGGGCGAGGTCGGCGGGGATCTTGAAGTCAAGCTTTCCACCTTAAGAATGTCAGTCACGGGCACGAATCGTCGGAAGTTCTCTTATCTTACCGTTGTAGTTCATGTCCTTGGTACCCCAGAAGTCATTGTCGCCCTGAGTCGATCCAGGTGCCTTGGCCCAAGTGTTCTGGTACACCTTGAAGAAGCCCTCTGCACCAGTCGCAGCAGCAGCATCCTCAACGGCAGCCATATAAGCAAGAACAGGGCCCCAGTGAGCACCTCCAATGCCCTCCTCCGTGCTTGAGCGGCTGTCATGTTGGTGCATCTCGATAGTGACTGTGTCACCAGCCGCAAACTCGCAGTTGCCCTCCGCATCAGCTGGGTTCACATTGCACTGCAGCGCGGTGCTAGAGTAGTCCTCGATAGGGCTGTTGGACGGAACCTTCCTAACACAGGTGCTGCCAAGGTCCTCCCCGTTCTTCCAGAGGTACTGCCATGTGGCGTGTGCGTTGGCGGCGGCAGCAAAGCCAGCAACAACAGCGAAAGTCTTCATGTTGGAGGAACGAGTGTGAAGTAAAAGAGTGACGAAAGAAACGAACGGAAGACTAGGTCAAAGTCGGTAGTGAAAGACAGTCAGCTCAGCTGCGATGTCCTTCCAAAGGATCTGGGGGTCTGCATCTTATACCACCCGCGAGCCGAAGCGCCAATGCTGTCAATTGCAATTTGGTTCCCGTGCATAGGGATGGTCGTTTCGTTTACCACCCGACAGCCGATTTCCATGCGTGGGGTCCACGAATACCTGGGATATATTGAGCCAAGAAAGCTTGGTATGGATGTTGTGTTAACGCACCCGTTTCATGGTCCTGGGGATCTGGTAACATTCGACAAGGGCCAGGACCAGCACTTTCAATTGGTGGATGAAATCGGTGGTTCTGAGTAGGATGGCATGGGCCAAGAGTTGTTCAATGTCCGTGCGAGGCTTGTGCGGAATTGGAGGGTTTCAAGTGTTTCATACTCCATGCCATCGTTCACATCTGCTACTGGCGATATGAGCTGCCAGCAAGACACGGTATCCTCGTCGTGGCTTTGTGAGTGTTCAGGCAAATAAAATGATGCATTTGGACTCCGGAAATACCAAAGCAAATCGATGCAGTTTGCCGCAACCACAAGAAGCGGAGAACGGAAAATGATATTACCGAACGATTTGATTGTGGAGCGATAGCGGACCCGCTGAAGTTTACAGACACGCGCTACCCGATGGTCTAAGATTCATGTTCGTGGAATTAGAGACCTGCAGAGGGTTTCCTTTCTGCCAACGCGCGCGGGTACATGTATAATGAAACCTGGCAGTGGGGCTCTAGTGAGCTTGATCGTCGCAGGGATCATGCCACACCAACAAAATGATGGGAATGTCTCTGAAATGACCTTAACTCGCTTGCGACAGTCCTGCAGGGAGGTTTTCCAGAACTGCTCATTGTTATAACTCTCTTCTGCCCGATGACTTAGTTCAAAGGCACGGACATTGATGACTTGATGTTGGCCAGCGAGCATCGAAAAAGAGCGCTTGGTCGCATTACCGCGTTCTCCGAACTGCTCTCTGCAGGACACTTTTGACTTCTACTTGCCACGCCGGTTAATAGAAAACATCGGCCAACCACTGGGCTGAAAAGGTGAGTTACCATGCGCAAACTACCGCAAGACCAGGAGTTCGTGGACAGTAGGGATCGTTGATAGGATTGGCCTTCGCAAATGTCATGTATAGAAGCGTTGAGCAGCACGACGGAACTTGCGCACTGTATTACAGATCGTAATAAGGGTGGCACCACATGCAAATTATCTTCTCGTAACATATGTATAGGCTTATCGTTCATAGGAAGGAACCATTCTCCACGATAGATTCGATCACAACATCGTTTGCAGTGGGGATGAAAGCTTCAATGTTTTGTATAAAGAGATACTGAGTCTGTCAACCATGCACAACGGATCAGCTCGCTCGCTTATAGTAGCTATTCTGAGAGCTCAGAGTTTAAGATTTCCTTCACTCTGTTCGCACGTTCGCTATTACTTGCACAGGAAATGTTCTGGTCAGGATGTGAGCAATTTAAGGTGCCATCGTAGGATTACTATTAATGTATAAATGCTCGAAGTATATGACTTATAATCTTGAATTTAGATACAATCGGTATCGTTCTTTCCGTCCTGCTGACAAATATGGTAGGAGCCTTCCAAACCAACGTTCTGCAGCACACTCAAAGGACTTAAACATCCTGGCTGACGGTATCAAGGATACCGCAAACAGGGGGCGAAAGACCGCTGAGGCCGAGGCTGTTGAGCAAGCCGACAACATCAGGAGAGAGATCCTCAACTAGCTAACGCTTCTTTAAATCCGAACCCAGAGTTTCAACAATCCCGCCAACGGGGGCGCGCTTCTTGAGATCCGATCCGAGAGTGTCAACGACACTACCAGCAGGAGGAGAAAGTCCACTGAGGCCAAGACGGTTTAGGAGGTCAACAACTTCAGGGAAGAGGTCGTTCAGAATCTGGCGCTTTTTGAGATCGCTTCCGAGGGTGTCGACAATGCCACCAGCAGGTGGGGAGAGGCCAGAGAGACCAAGGCGATTGAGGAGATCAACAACGTCAGGAGAGAGGACATTCAAAGTCTGACGCTTCTCCGCAACTGGGGCTCCGACGGCCAGAGCTCCGCGAGTAAATGCGTCTCCAGAAAGATCTGCGATCAAGCTTAGCTTGCAGCCATCTAGCGTCAATCAGAATGGTTTGCTGTTTCGACCGAATCTGGTACCAGGTAGGAACGGCCATCAGGACACGAAATGTGGACAGCCCAGCTATTGTCGAGGGTTTCTGAACTCAGCCTCTCTCCATAGGTCACATAGACACACTGTCGTCCGACGACAAGACATCAAACAGATGTAGTTTCAAGGGGAAGGAACATCGTTCCACAAGTCAAAGGGTCATTCGCTAGCACTTGTTAATTCGAGGTGCAAGACCAATCACGTGACATGTGCATATTGTGGTCTTGCTTGCGTGCCAAGGAATTAGTATTCTGGGTTAGCCTACCGGAAAGAACTCAGGCACTGCACTATTAGGAACTTGTCTCGTCATTTTACAGCAGTGCACATCTCCGAAGTTTGGACGTCGTGGCCGTAACAGGAGATGGAGCTCACTCGATTACCAAAAACCCCACAAGCACACGCGGACTTTGGTACGGTTGGCTGCAAGAGCGAGAATGGGTTTGGTACTGGCGGAGGCGCTCGGGAAAAAGCAAACAGAAACTCCTTACATCTAGCGGGGTGCCAGTGTGAAGATCGTATCGGTCACCCGGGAATATGACACATGCAGTCTCGTCGGTCAAAGAGAATGACTCGGCCAAAGCGCATCCGAACTTCGCATGTAAATGCGCATCTACAGTGGATTGAGTGGTCACGCCGCGAATCTCTTGCCGCTCTGTCTCAATCTGTCTCGACAGACCTTATCACCAGCACCGAGTCATGATTGCCGCATCGCACAGACGTAAGGTGCGAGAGTGTTTATTTGCTTTTGGGCCGAATGAGTTTGACCGCGCGGGGAATTAAGGAGACAAAGATGACCTAGAGATATGAATGGAAGCTCTCCCTGGCTTTTGGCTGTACAAGGTACACCAATGTTGATTTCCGCGGGTCGATGCTACAAGGGAGCTCTTGTCAAGCCCGTAGGTAGTGCGCTAGTCTCACTTCGGCGCTCGCGGCTTGGCAGAGCATCTGGTCTCCGTGTCGCATCGTCGCGCGAGTTGTACCGATATTGCCATGCAACCTCCATGAGGATACGAAAGTCCCACAGTGAAGCAGAGCCATACAGATCGTGAGGACCTCTTCGGAAGCGATATGTCGCGTCACGAAGAGTCGGAGGATGAACGCATTGAGTCTCCAGCTCCCGAGAACCACGTTGCCATCGGAGAGGTCATCGAGTTTGCTCGAATTTACAACCTAAGCCACAAGCTCGACATATTCCGAAAAGCCTCCTTGTCAATACAGGGAGACGCGCTGCTCGAGGACGTCCCTCCCATCACAGACCACGAAACTGCAGCGATTCTAGGAGAGACAAAAAGCAAATGGCGACAGCCACTACTCATGTATTTGACAGTCGTGGCCACAGCACTGGGTGCTATGGGCCAGGGCTGGGCTCAAACGAGCATGAATGGGGCGAATCTTTACTTCCCCAAAGCTTTTGATCTCGATGCCGATACTCCACGCAATAACTTGATCCTCGGATTGATCAACTCTGGTATCTATCTCAGTAACGGTCTACTCGGCGCTTGGCTTGTGGCTCCCCTTAATGGAAGGCTCGGTCGAAGGGGTGCAGTCTTCTCGGCCACCCTAGTATCTCTCCTGGCAAACATCGGTGGGGCATTGACTCAGAATTGGCAGCAGTTGCTCTTCTTCAGACTGGTTCTAGGGTGCGCGCTGGGAATCATCTCAAGCACATTAAATGTATTTGCCGCCGAATGCGTGCCGGCAGCCATACGGGGTGGCTTGGCGGTATCGTGGCAAATGTTCTGTGCCTTTGGCATCTTCGTTGGATTCGTTGCCAACGTCGCTGTGTACGATTTTGGGCCTAACACCTGGCGCCTTCAGCTGGCTGGACCGTTCCTCTCCACCATTCCGCTACTCACTATCATCTACATTTGCCCCGAATCACCAGCTTGGTATCTGAAGCACGGGAATCGCTATGATCTGGCATTCTCTTCACTCGCAAGACTGCGTAACACTGAGCTGCAAGCGGCTCGGGAAGTATACATAAATTACTTGCAGCGTCCAGAAAAAGTTAGCACACACCCGTCCTACCTCCAACAAGTCGTGCAGCTGGCCACAATTCCCCGAATACGACGAGCGACGCTAGCCGCTTATACTGTGATGATCTCTCAACAACTTTGTGGGCAAGTCTCACTGATACTAAGTGAACGTTTGCTCTAGTGAACCAGTAAAGGGTTTCTTCGTTGTCTACATGAGATAATAGAATATCCCCCTAGCTCACTGGAGAGAAGAGCGCAGTACCGTCCCCGAAGTCTCACGGCAATACACTGACTCTCGACAGGATCAACATCATTTCTTTCTATTCTTCAACCATTTTTGCCGATTCCAACTTCTCCACATTCGGAGCACTTGTGGCATCTACAGTTTTTGGATTTGTCAACTTCGTTGGTCAGTCATACCGGGTTGGGCGACGGCGACAAGTTCCATGCCTTTTTGCCACTCGCACACCACATCGTGGAACAATCACTGACCTTCCGTAGGTGCATTTCCAGCCGTATGGACCATGGATACCCTCGGTCGACGATCGTTGCTGCTCCTGACATTGCCGTTTATGGCAATAACAATGTTGGCAGCAGGCCTTTCTTTTAGCGTTCCAAACCATAACCCGGCCCATTTGTGGCTCCTAGCGACAATGATTTACCTCTTCTGCGCCGAATACTCACCCGGCATGGGTCCTGTGCCTGCTGCATACACTGCAGAGGTTTTTCCTTTGTCCCATCGCGAAATCGGGGTGAGCTCTGCTGTGGCCGTGACCAACATATGGGCAGCGGCTCTCTCCTTAACGTTCCCCGCGCTCCTGTCAACGCTTGGATCACAAGGTGCTTTCGTCCTGTATGCGCTGCTCAACTTGATTGCTCTTGGGCTCGTGTTTTTCTTTGTGCCGGAAACAAGACTGAAGACTCTCGAAGAACTCGATGAGGTTTTCTCGATCCCCACGAGGCGCTTCGTTGCATACCAGGTGACGGAGTACCTCCCTTGGTGGGTTCGACGATACGTTCTGAGGCGGAAGAAGGTCGAGCTGAAGCCTCTTGAAGGCTCTGGTGTGTACCAGGAGCTGTACCAGGATGAGGAGTAACTGTATATCACGTGGTCAATATGGAAGCTTAGCCCTTAGCTAGATTCTACCGGAACTCAACTGTTCGCAATGCACAGGTACTGTGCCGGCACGTTAGCGCCGGTTTGTGCCACGTGGCGGTGGCTGTGCTGTTAGCCTCTTCTCTGGGAACCCAACGCGTTCGTTGTTTGACCTGTCAACAAAGCTGCCATCTTTACACATGGCAGAAACCAGCGAAGACATAGGATCGCCCGAGAGGAAGCGAGACAAGTTTGGACAGTTTCTGTATGTTGGTGAACGGCCCCACTCTACCCCGCAATGAGCCATTGTGATTGGATCCGGCCCTCATCGCTCTGACCTTGGACGCAGGCAAAAGAGCTACAATAAAGGCGAAATAGCTCTCAAGCATGCCATCGGCCTGGGTGCTACTGAAAACGCAATCCCAGTCTCGCAGCCGTTTACAAATGGACCTCCACGGACGGTCGAAGTAGGATGGCATCCAGTCGGCGGATTCGCTGGCAAGTGGTTCGCTGAGAAGACGGGGTTGGGTAAGATGATCACAGAGAAAATCAACAAGTATCCAGATCCCACGCAGCATTGGGCAGTGCTCGTCGGGGAATACGCACACCAGCTATGGATGGACGAGAACTTCGACATCATATACACGAATGCCAAGGTCGACCCAATAGAATGGCAGACGTTTCCAGTGGGAGAAACGAGATTCAATGATGATGCTCTCAGGAGAACTGGTGAGCACCATTTTCTTTTCCTCGTGCCGCTGAGGATGTCATTGCCGAGGCTCGTTGCTGCTTGCTAACCATGAGTTCATAGGTGAAGCTGTCATTCATAACATTCGAGTCACGCGTCCTGGTTACAATCTCATTAGCAACAACTGTCAGACATACGTCCTACAACTACTCGACGCTATCCAGGTTTCGCAAGACAAGGAGTTTGGCACCACTCTGGCCGTCTATGAGAGGCTCTTCGGCTCCGGAAAAGTCGCCGACCTCTTCCCCGAGAACGACACAACTATGCACGAGCCCGGCCAGCTCGATTTCTCTCCACCTCATTCAGCGCTAGAATTGGGTGTGGTCGGAGGCACCGGTGGTGAAGGGCACGTGCCGTTCCACCGTCCGGAGGATGTGCTTTACAATGATCAAACCGGGTCGGGCACTGCGCCGCAGACCTCTGTAGCATTTGCACAGCAGGTGATGGATGCGAATACAACTCAGCTAGATACAGAAGAAGAATCAAAGAGACATTTGATGGAAGAGGACCATGCAGAGAAAGAAAAGGGTGGTAGCTGGGGTGAGAAGACCAGTTCGTTCTTTCGGAAGTGGAAGAAATAGTCATTTGTTCCATTTTTCAATACCATTTCATCAAGAGGCCGGTACGGTCAGATTCCGATTGTGACTTCACCGTTTGGAACGAAATTCTCGTTACTGGAGACCTCAGCGAATCCTCGAAATTAGTAAACAATTCGATACACCAATCACTTCTGTGAAACCTAAGGAAGATCCTTAAGCATATCGAGTCCCAAAATGTACCCAACTTCACTTGGATAACCTTCCAGCTTTCTCAGCCCGCTCTAACGTCTCCATAGTATGCCTCCAAATCTTCTCTTTCGTGTCAGCTTGTCGAACTTTCTCGTACATGATCCCTTTCGATGCGTCCGCTTTCTGCCCAACAGAATATGACCCACCCCCGCGTTCACCCTGGCTACTCCGTGCTACATCCTTTCCATCGCTAATCGCTCCCTGCGCAGGATATTTTGCTGTCGCAAGGTAAACCATAACTTGACCGCAAACATCTGGAGCAGTCATGTACCACGACATCAGAGGCTTCGAAACACGCCAGAGAATCTTGAACCACATTGGGGAATCAGGTCCTAGGAATGTTGGACCGTCCACCAGACCAGGGTAGATGTGAGTCAAGCGCAAGTTTCCAGCATGCTTTTTCGCAAGTTCCTCAAAGATCATGGTCTTCATGAACGAGGCGTGCTTGCGCACTGCACCTACTCCATAGGCAGCGTCTGTCGGGCATCCGACGGGGAACTGGCCTGGCTTTGTTCCGTCCTCGAATGTACCCGCATACACCGAGACTGCATGGGCTGGTAAAGGCGATGCAGTCAGAAGTGGTAAGAGCTGCAATATGAATCGGATGCGTGTGTAGTAAACCGTAGCCAGGAACGAATCCAAGCCTTCGGCAGTCGCTATTCTACTAGTCAGCTCTCTCACACACAACGAATTACGGTAAGTCTCACTAGATCGCTCTTTCAATACGGGGTAACTGTACGTCATGTACAGCAGATCCAACCTTGCCTTCCCGCCATGGAATGGCGCCTGTGTCTCCTGTCGAACAATCTCTGCACAACACCGGTCCACCTCGCTGATTAAAGCGAGGTCAGGCGTCTGTATGAACCGCCACTCTGACCCTGGACTGGTCTTGCGGCATTCAGAAAGGACGTTTTCAGCGCGGGTAGCATTGCGTCCGATTATGTACACTCGCAGTTTGTTACCGTGGTTTGCGTAGGTCGTGGCCAATGCTCGAGCAATGTAGGAGCCTATACCGGTGGTGCCTCCCGGCAGAGCTACTGTAATAGGTGGTCCTTTGTTCAGCTCGGATATTGTCGACTGGATTGTTGACAGGCTAGGCATTTGCAGCGTTTGGCCTGGATGAGAGGGCGATTAGCTCTGTTCTGGAGACGATGAGGGAATGTCACAGGTGCTGTAGATATTGCTGCACGAGATTTACTTGAGAACACTGAGACCATTGCACGGCACACGATATATAGCAATCGAGTGGGCGGTTGTTGCGCCGGTTTATTCTGAAGCGCGCCAATTCCGAGCTAGGGAATACGAAAATTGGTTAGACTGCGCAGATATGTATGCTTCTGGACTAGCGCGGTAGTGTTGGAAACCTGATACAGTGTACACTAGCTAAGACAATGAAGAGATTACGACATGATTGACCTCTATCGCAGCTTTAGTCGCTCATGTGCTCTAAGATAAGGTAAGAGCCATGCAGGCTTGAACAAAAACATGTGAAAGAGCATCACGAGTATGCTATTGCTAATAAAAAGACACGCGTTGGCACAGGTCCATGAGAGCAACATAGGAGTTGAACTTACAGTTAGGGTGAAGCTCTCAGAAAGGAGACATGTTCCGTCAGTCTCAAGTTCCTACAACAACTGCCCGTTCCATTCATGCTCCCAGTCCTGATTGTTCCTTGGTAACGCTTTGGGAGTCCAGTGTAACGCCCACTTTCAAGTTGCGATCGACCTAAGATTCGCGTTTACCACTTTGGAAGTTGTTAAGTGCTTAGTAAATATGTTTCCAATGTCGGGTTCAAGAATCTGATCAATCGATACTGTATTTACAGATCTAGCTCAGAACGCTGATTTCATCTTCATATTCAGGTACTATATACATCATGGCGGATTTCAAATCGAGCCACAACTAAGCTCAAGCCGACGAAATCTGTGCCCTTCTCTCATCATTTGTTTCGCCCGCTCTTACTCGAATGCTTGGTTTTAACGATCTCAATCTTTACTGATCTAGCTGTTTTATCGGCTGAAGAGTGAGTCGAGTGCGGCATAGTCACTTTAAGAAGCGGTGAACAGTAAAGCGCTCTCGTCGCTCGTGCAGGGGAAGGAACACCGCTTGTCCAAATTCGTGAGAGATACATCGGAACATTCCTACTGAAAGCCTAGATAAAATCTGCCTTCGCTCTTACCTACCATAGGTACGTCTGCAAGCTTTCGAAGAATGCATCGCGGATCAGCGCACTGCAGAATAGGAGGACCAAGCTGCGCTTAACATCATGTCGAATATGTACGCGTTCGACCTCTCACAGGATCATTTCTAGGCGAAATTTTGATAAATTAGCACAGGGCGCGTAAGTAGAATGGGGAACGTCCAGGTCTGGGAGGCGTTCATCGAGTGTTCGCGAAGGAAAAGGGTAGTCCTCTTCCGCGTGTTCTCTTCCCCAACAAAAGGATGCCTCCGCAAAGATAGCTACCTATCCCTAAATATTGCTTTTAATTCTTCCGTGATACCTTCCCAACTCTCAATAACCCGGTTTCCTGTGGGCTTGGCCACTAGTGCTTCCTTGATAGAGAACCATGGACCCAGGCGCAAACAGGCTTCATAACCGGCAACATGGTTAACCATGCAACAGGCCTGTGGCTCGATAAGAGACGCACACGTCCATCAACACCACGCGAAGACGAAGTGGCATGGTTTGCCGACGGATAATTTGGCTCTCTTTTTCTTTGTACTAGTATTATTGAAAGAACCAACTATATTCGCAGCATGATCTCCAGAGGACTGCGTGTGCTAACCTGGAAGTCATGGGTGTCCCGCGAGGGGTGACTATTGAAAGCTACGGAAGAAGGAAAGGCTATCACTGCTGCTGGAGGAGTGACATTCTTGCGCTAGATGTGACGCGAGGAACGTTGAACGCTGAGCTATCCGGCGGTTAATGTGCCAAGTCGATCTATAGAGCTTCGCGAAAGCTTACCGTACCGGTACCGTATCCTCCCACGTCACCTTGACCCAATCACATCGCGACGATATCTCTACACTTTGTAGTCCTCCACGACTCTGCATCTTACTTCTCCCTAGCCGCACTGTACCTGCGCTAACCTCCGTGTTCACTACTCCGCGGTGCCTAGACATTACCCAAGTCCAGGAATCTGGATGTTGCTGCAGGATAAACTCACCACGCGATGAGGTATATTTCGTCATTGACTCTGGAAAGCCGCGGAAGACGGAAAGCAATGCTTACGATGATGGCGGCGAAGTCTTCAGCATATAGCCTCATCTCACCCAACAACGCAAGCTGTAAGAACGACGTATATTATCACACCCACCGCAATGGCAGCTCTCTTCGCGACTCTCCTCGGCGCTACCGCCGTTTCCGCACAATATGTGCCTGTGCCCTGGTCCTACACACAACCTGAGCCTCCCGTCAAGATTGTCGTCAATGGCGCAGTTCGTCATCAGACCATGATGGGCGGCGGCTGCTCAGGTGCATTCGGCGTTGCATGCGACCAGACCGGCTCGCAAGGACTCTCGCCCGCAAATCAGCAACTCGTGTCCGATTACCTGTTCAACGAGAACATCGGCGGGCTGTCTATCTTGCGAAATCGCGTGGGATCGAGCCCAACGGAAGGCATCCTAGGAAGTTGTCCAACTGGACCGGGACAGAAATTCAATTACACCTCGCTCGGCGCGAACGAAAGCACTGCGGACAGCTGCCAGCTCAAACTCACGCGTCAGGCTAAGATTGCGAACCCCAATCTGTTTATTTACGCCGACGCATGGTCTGCGCCGGGTTGCTTCAAGATAGACGCAACGGACATCAATGGCGGCTTGATTTGCGGTGTGCGAGGCAGCAACTGCACGCAGGACTGGAGGCAGGGATATGCGGACTACCTGGTCCAGTACGTCAAGTTCTACGCGGACAAGGGGATCAAGGTAGATATGCTCGGCGCATACAATGAGCCTGACTTCAACCCCGTCTCGTACGCTAGCATGGAGAGTGACGGATACCAAGCTGCCGATTTCCTCAAGGTTCTGTACCCTACCGTAAAAAAATACCGCAAGGACCTGCTCGTGTCTTGCTGCGATGCAACTGGAGCAAGACAAGAGCGCGACATTCTCTATGAACTCGACTCCGCTGGTGCAGGACATATGTACGACGTCGCGACATGGCATAACTACCAATCCGAGCCGAAAGAAAAATTCAACACGCTCGGCCAGCCAAACATGCAGACTGAGTGGTCCGATGGCAGCGGAACATTCAACACAATATGGGACGTGACAGGACAGTCTGCTGAGGGGTTCTAATGGGCGCTTTACATTCATAATGCCCTCACACGCTCCTCGACCTCGGGCACCTTCACTGGTGGTGCGCGCAAAACAGCACCGGCACAATCACTGGCTCCGACGCCGTTCTCGTCCGCCTGTTCAACGATGGGATCTCTGTATCCCGACGCCTTTATGCCTTCGCTGGCTTCTTCCGCTTTGCGCGCCCCGGATCCGTGCGTCTCGATGCGAAATCCTCCGCTGAGAACCTCTACGTATCTGCGTATGAAAACAAGAATGGCACAGTTGCTGTTGTTGGAATGAATGCGGCGCATTTCGAAAGAACCGTGGAAGTAACGGTTGAGGGATGCGGAGCTTCGAATAGAACCGTCAAGGCGTATCTGGCTGATAATACCCACAACAATACGATGGTGGCAAGTTATCGGGTTCAGGCAGGTGGGTTCGAAGCGTCAATGCCGGCGAGGAGTATGGTGACTTTCTTCTTAGATTAGAGAGAATAGCGGGTCGGTACTGTAATGGAGAATGGCAAGAGTTGCTACGACCACCTTATCAAATCACATCATCTCCCACGGAAGACTTGCTGCTAGTCTTAGACCATCATCACCAGATTGCGCAGCCAGCACTACGATCGACCAAGTAGCGGTACGGGGCAGGGGTCGCACCTGCGTCGTGTATTTCCTCCACGAGTAAGAGGGGCGGCTACCCCAGGCAGCATTGCCAGCAAAGTATGGAAAAGAACAGCAGGAAGGATCCTCCCAGAGTTAGCTGACGGGCATGGTGTCGCGGCTTTTCACTGATTAGTCCTATCAGATCCACGCTACAGTTTCAGTATTCCACAGTTGCGGCGGGTCATTGCTCTTGGTCTCACAATGGGCGCAATCAATGGCCAACTCTTCGTAAGTCTATGCAGCACCCGATAACGCAGAACATTATATACCTGCGCGTGACCTCACGACTTTCTTTGCTTGGAGAAAAATATCTGAGAGTACCCCTGAAGCTTTTTTAAAAGGATGCATACACATTCAGATTCGATCTTGCATTCGCGCCCACGTGGTGGACGCGAGCCGCAGACGGCACATATCATCCAGCAGCTCGTGCGGGGTAGATGCCGGGAGCCAATAGAGGCATCATTAACCTCAGCGATCCGGCGTACGTATGAAATGGCGCTTGGTCTTGACACGGAGTACTGAAGTGTAAATGTGGCGCATCACCAAGCTGGCTTCACCACTTATTGAAATGAGCCTAGTGTGACAAGGAACAAAGCTGTACACGACAAGGGGCGGAAATGATCGTGTCGTATGAGCTATATAAAAACACAGCATCAGCTTTACAATAAACTTGGTCTGAGGCGACACACAAGTAAGGAACAGAACATGCCTACTCTATCAAATCGGTACAAGAAGTCAATACGCGACGTGCTAGGGGCGCGTGCTGTAACTCAACTCGACCGAAGATGCTACGGAAGAGCAGGATCGTACACCACAGTCCTCATTCACGAAGCTCCATTCACCGTCGCTCTCCGTTGCAACATCCGTGTCGCACTCCCTCATTGGTCCTTCAGCTTGCTCCCAAGCCTTGTCAGCCTCAATAAACCTGCTGCCTTCAGCTCCAGCCCATTCGAGCAGACTATAGCGTTGCTGCTCCTCCGGCACTACCTGACCCTCGAATTTCTCGCAGTAGCATCGAAGAAAGTAGCAAAAACACCCGCTCTCACTGCAAGGGCAGGGCATTGCGAAATTACCACAATCACCATACCCCATTTGCCAACAGCCAGACGCCTTTCTGTGCCATCGCCATGTATACTCCCCAAACCAATTGTAGTTGTGTATTCTAGGAGAAGGCGGGATCTTTAAGTTAAAACGCGCCATTTGTCGAGCTTGTGTGGGCCGTGTCAGGGCTGCACGCAGTTGCGTATGACCATACGCGGCGTAGGCATTTGTCGATAGCTTGGTAGTGAGTGGTGATCCGCAGTTTATCTGATAATCGAATCTGCCCACGCCTATTCGCGTTCGTCGAGGTGCTGCCTGAGTTCGCGTTTGAGTATCCTTGACGGCGCGCATCTCTGCGATGCGCCGTTGTGCCCAGACCGAGACTGTCTCACCCGTCTCCGTGTAGAGCTCGGAATTTTCGAACACTTCAGCATGCTTGTGGAGCACCTCATACCCAACGACACCATCCCACATGGCTGCGATGTATTGGTCGAAATCTTCTTCCAGATTCATGTCCCATATCACAAACTCTATACTGTTTTGATTCTCTGAAGACCACCAGTGCACTTTCTCCCGCCGTTGATTTGCATAGATCTCGAATCTTAGAGTTTCTTTTTTGTTCCTCTTGTTCTCCCTTCGGCAGTACGCATGTTCCCACTTCCTTCCTGCAATCCCACGTGTTCGGGGCCTAGGCTTGGATTTCTTGAAAGAGCGTTTGCGTGCGTAGGACGCAGATCGAAGGTCGCGGTATGGGTGCATGGTGGTGCGGCCTGCGGCGTTCATGTGGGATTCATCAGCGAAGTCGGCCGCGAAAAGGTCGTTTGCCTGATTCTCAGCAACGTAAAAGGACCTGGTAGACAGTGCACAGCACGGACAGCCACCCCACCAGTCGTCTTCCCAATCCAAAATTTCGCTGCATTTGGAAGACACCAGTGAATCATTATCCCAAGGATCATTCATGAGGAGCCATGGAGACATCTCGGATTCCAGTGTAACATCCATATTCAGTGTGCTCTCGCGAGTTCTGGAAAGTGTAGAACAGCCAAAGCTGCACACGCAAAGAGCAGCTGACCATGAAATTAGTGCGCCCAGTGAAGAGGACTATCTTGTTGCGATAGCGGAGAGGTCGGTGATTGCGCATGTAAATCGTCAAACAAGCCGTCACTAGATATAGGCTTTGAAATGTCACATTCTTACAGTGTTGCGCCCTAGCAGACGGATCAGTAGAGGGCTGAGGCTAAGGCAAAGGGCGGAGCGCCATGGCGCAGATCCTGAGCCCAGCCTCTCCAAACGACTGGCAAGAACATGCCAGTGACTCAGATATCGAACTGTTTGATGGGACAACCGCAGGTCAGGGTAGGAGCAGCAGAAGACGACATTGCTGCATCCCGAGGTCTTCAATGAGATGCTACAATTTAGCGTCACCCTAGACTCAGAACGGCCAAAGGGCTTGGCGCGAAATCTCTCCCATGCGCGCGTCATCACCTTGGAGGGTCTTGTTTCGGAAACCAAGTTCTACCAGGCTCCGATATTTACATCTCTGCACAATGAAGTTGCATACACTACATAATAGATGCAGCATTCCCTCACTGCCGATTGGTTTATGTACCGCTCGTTGCGACGTTGCAGTTTCTAGGCGTCTCTGCTTGTCGAAGGTTCTAACGTCTTTGCTTGCCGCCTGAGAAGGGCGGTAGTGTGCTTGTGGCCTTCGCACCGTCTTCCAGTATAGGCAAGGGCACACGATCAAATGCGTATCTTTATTCACCCTATTTGCCACTCACCTAGACATTGCTATCACTGACTTGTCACACAACCAAAGCGAGAAGGTTGAGTAAACCTACTAAATTACTGATTCATGAAGACGAGCTCCATAAGACTTTCAGGAAGCAACATGAGCTTCACGCCTATGGTGGTGCATGTCAAAATCTGCAGAAAATAGATGAAGCATAAGTTACCGGCAATACCACTCCTGGGTGCCGCCGGTAACTTATGCTTCATCTATTTTCACAATGATTTTGCACAATGTAGCCATGAGCGAAGTCTTCCGGCTCGCTTCACTGATCGTGATCTACGCAACATAACATTATTGTGACGAGTAAGCATTGATGAATGCAACAATTCCCTTGAGGGTGTTAAGACTCCACGGGTACTGAAATCGCAATAATGGACGATTCGTCGCGGACAAACCCCGCAAAATGTTTACTGTTTCCCAATTCTACCCTTGATTCTCCATGTGATTTTAGGGGTTTTGGTTATCGATGTAATTTTTTAATGTTCAAATTTGCCCATTGTAGACCTTGATTACCTGTAAGCCATACCTAATGACTATTGTGGCATGTTTGTGCGAGTATCCGACGTTACCATACTTCGCTGAACGACGAGAAGGAGGAAATATCTCCCCCGCACCAAGTTATGTGGAATCACTGTATAGAATGAAAAATTCCATGACTGCGTACCCGTTAGTTCTAGAAGAGTTCTGCAGTAGCATCATATATCTTCTTTCCACAAGATCATTCTATGTAGACGGCTCTATACCGCTTTGGTGCGATTGCAATCTCTCCATCCGTCCATCCATGTAGGTAGCACGCGCTAACAATTTGCAGATAGAATGCCGAGTCTTTGCTCCTCATGACCATAGGCATAGAACACCCGGGTACCTGGACACAATTTCGTGTTAGTGGATATATTTGAGTGACGAGAATGAATCAAATCCTCATAATTATTTCCCCTGCCGTGTTGGGAATAAACTTCGACAGTCTCGCGGAGGACTTACAAGGAAAACAACGTCCCCAGGCTCAATGTCATCATCTGCCACACCTATGTACCCGTTGTTCGTATAGAAGATACGTCTGTCTTCTTGAACGAGGCGTAGCATACGAATAATGTCGTTTAGATGAGCATCAGCTAGCACTAGTCTCCCACCTGCAAGGCGAACTTTTTGCCCCGGAGCGTACCCAGATCCCGTGAAGATTGAACTCCAATAAAAGTCACAGTCTTCTTTAGAGAGTCGACGTGCGGAGTTGGCACCCCAGCAGCTATCAGCACTGAGTGTTCTTAACCAAGCCATAAGCCAGGTTCCCCCTGTTGGATAGTCCACGTCGCTGTATACCTCATCAAGTAATATAGCTAGGAAATTTCGAATAGCATCGGTAATGTTCCCGGTCATAGGGAGCTTGACTGTGTCCTCAACTCTATCAATCGGACATGCAATGATCTCGAGAAAATATTGGTCGCGGATATGCGGTTTTTGAGAGAGGCCCGCGGTCGGATGAAAGAGATCTGCGAGCCAGTTCCATGCCCTTTTGGACGCTTTGCAATCAACAAAAGCTGTCCAATCGACGACCCAAGTCGGCATCTGCGCCTGACCGATACTAGAGCTGGCAAGATGAAGAAAGTCCAGAGAGTGTTCCTTTCCAATGTAGTCTGTACAAATCTCTGTGCAAAGACTGTCTATGGAGACTGTGTAGTCTGGTACAATAGTTGCTGGAGGGTTCGTGAGACCCAGTAAGGCATACACACAGTCCAATTCTAGTGAGGTCTGTCGACCTGAGAATTCCCTACAAAGGTGAAGAATATGTGCCCTTTCGCTCCTGCGGTCCCGGAGATCCTGTAAGGAAGAAAATTCTTGCAGAAACCCGCGAATGCGCTGACGCATGATGTAATGGCCTGGCTTTGCAGTTGTACAACAAGCTTGTTCGATATGTTCCGCATAATTTTCCATAGCTTGTGATAGGGTGTCTAAGTCCTGTAGGACCGGTCCAAAGTAAACTTTCACCGTCGCAGCTAGAACGGCCTCCTGCAGCACCCATCTTCTCAAGAACCAGGTACTATAGGACAAGCGTTCAAACACTTGCCGAACGTCGACGAAAAGTGAGTCAGTCTCATCTCTGTCGAACGGCTCGATTTTGTCAAGGTGCTGGTCATGCTGAAGGTCTTGTATCAGGCGATCAGTAACTGCAATGCTTTCGGATGGGTGTGGTGACAACGGTATCGATGCGCTGTTGTCACGGATCGACAATTCGCCTAGCCATATGGCCGTGTTCCTGCAACAAGAGTATATCCTTCGCATAAGCGGGATTTGGTGTTGTTTCTCTATCCGATCGTTCTGCGAGATGCAAAGAGCATCGGCCCAGACAATCAAGTTGCCCTGCCCTACTTCGTGTGCGTGCCACCTCAATCGACGGAGCGCCGCATAGAGGTTCGGCGTAACAGGAACTGGACAACCCTCAATGTTGACCGCAGAATGATCTGACAGTGAATTGTCTCCCCACACATATGAGAGAGCGACAAAATCCGGGCTATCCCTGAGGCTGACGACGCTGAACGTGCTCGTAAGCTCAGCCTCCCATGGGCCAAGATCGATGTTGATGAGCCGGATGTGCTCCTTTTTGTGGTCAAGCGGATACGCTGTATAAAGTTTATCCATAATAGAGTTGCGAGAAGTAAAAAAGCTGGAAGTGAATAGGCGTATACGCCGAACAGCCTTGGGTTGTGAAGACGAAAAGGCGCGCCCCGCAATGCTAGCCGCACACGTGATGCCAGGTTTCTCTACAACGGGAAGGTGTATTGACTTTCTCTCGCCTAGAACTGTTGATCTCAACGGTAAAAGGCGAGTAGTATACTGATAGCTTAAGACATCGGGTATATCTGAGTCAGGAATGTTTCCAGTCATGCTTGAGCAGTAAATGGGTAAGTTTCCTGGATCATGTGAAGTTTGTTTGTAAGCGCCCGACCAAGGCAGGTGGGGGCCAGCCCTGCCCCCTGCCCCCTGCCGAAGAGTCTAGCGCAGCGGAGTCCAAGCATTCCGTCCTCCCATCTTGCTCACTTGCAACTCAATTTAAATACTGTCTCGCATGCGCGCTTTTGTACGTACACGCGTGCGCGATGCACTCGCGCGACAGATACCAGAACCCAAGACGATCAGCCTAGCAGAATGGGGTTGGGCGCAGCCTTGCGTCGCTGTCAAGCCGGCATGGTTTCCTCGTGATGAATCTGGACTTGTCAAAGCGTATGCAAGAGCATTTCGATGTCGCACGCCTGTATCCTGCCACGATATCCCAACAGAAGGCCATTCTCCACGGTCGTTTTAAGATGTACTGCGGAACAAGTACTCAAAGAGAATGGATTGAGGATGGATTGGCTGGAGCAACGACGTTTGTCCATCTACGATTATAACGACACTCTTTCAGCGCAAGGCTTGGTTTTGAACGGCGAGAGATAAGACTTGTGTACGTCATGCCGAATATCTCCCTCTGTTGGGCGCTTTCGTCTTTACCAGCGACCAGTTCGCCGATCCCAAGTCTAGGCCTGTGCTGTACAACCTCCCTGCCGCTGCCGGGAACATGACGACAGACATCGTGACATGGCTCTCTCGCTGGTACATGTCCCAAGGATTCGTACGGAGCAACGGTCGGGTACTATGGACGCTGGACGACCGACCCCGAAAAAGGAAAGATTGGTTGAGTGGTCTGCAGACAGCCGACGAAGTACTTGCGAGCTTCATCGGCACAGTCGTCAACGCTTCTCTCCTCGTCATTACCACCCTCTAAGGGAATTAGTGGAGATTTGCGAACGCGGTACTAATGGTTCTGTCGGTCGCTGTAGAAGCACACGTCGTCCATCCGAACCGAAATGCGTTTGACATTGGAGCGAAAGTAGCGCTTGATGGTTCTAACGTTGGTGCCTAAGAAGATGAATTGTGGGTCATCCTATCCGATGCAAGAATGGTGACGATGCATGTCGCAACAGGTATCGTGTACTCGTGTTTCGTGTCCAAGCCCAACATTAAGAACAAGCACCTTTACTACAATATCCGCATCATCGGGTGGGCAGGCTTTGCCATTCAATTTGTATCGCTGGGTATGTCAGGACTAGCGACATGCTTGTAAATGTGTCCTTCATGGGCATAGCAACTGTCGCGACTCATTTCCATATTGAATGCCAGGAAGAGATCGTCGGCACTAGATTTTGTGCTGCGAAAGGAGATATCGGGTCGCACAGGTCCAGAAGAAAAGATTTTGATGCCGCGCTGGAGGTAGAGGACCACGAGGAAGAGAGCATGTTGTCATGGAATTCGATGCTACATAAAACGATTCCCGCAGCGACTAAGTGGTTGGAATTGTATAGGGAAGATAAGGGGGAGTACATGAAGAGCAGAGACAGTGGCAGCACAGTGCCACAGCACGAGAGCCTTCCAAGAAGCACGAGCTCATAGACTAAGATAGGCTCGATAGTGGATGTCAAAGCCTTACAACTACCAAAATCTGTGCGAGACTCGCAGCACCAATATGTAGCATTTGTCCTGCGCTATATCTTACTGTGCAACTCCGAATGTCGCACCGCCATCCTTCAGAAACTCTTGTTCTTGTTCTGTGTTCGTCCTACTCAAGGCACTGTTTCGGTGCGGATATCTTCCGAATAGTTCCAGTGGCTCTCTATGGCTCTTCTCTGATGTCCGAAAACCCTCGATAAGACGCTTGGTTGCTTCGTAGCCTTCCAGCTTCTCAACACTTTTTGAAACTGGCTCCACAAGATCATCAAGTATATCGTGAGCCTTGACGTCTTCAGAATGCGTCAAGGGTAGGTAAAACCACATTTTGTGCGCGAACGAGTTCTGCCATTGCGGGTGGAGGTCCGGTCGGGAAATTGGTGATGATGCGGAGAAAAGAGACTTGACAAGGTCGAAAGCCATCCGGTCATAGTGGGTGTACACCTTTTTCAGGCCTTCGTTTGTACGAAAGATGTTGCGGGGCATTTGGTCAAGTAGGATTACCATACTCAAAGCCGTCCAAGCGGCCTGTGACCCTCCATCCCCTTTATCTTCTTTATGCATGGCTTCGAGCTCATGTAGGAATGGCTTCGCGCTCGGCTCTGGCAGTCTTTCAGGACCAATGGTGTCCAAGACATGTGCAAAGTTGTCGTTGCAGATACGGTCTAGCTCAGCATCCCCGGAAAACCATTTTTTGACAATTGTGTCATCCAATCTCTTTCCGTCTACATCTGCTCCAGCAAGCCATATGTTGGTAACCTGCTTGTATAGAGTTGGGTTGAAAATATCCCTATCAAGTTGGAAGGTTGACATGTGATGGGAAAGACGAGTAGGCTGTACACCGCAACGAGAAATCGGATGCCGTAGCGCAAGTCGGTGCATTGATATGGGTGATATGCAAAGCGATGAAAGCCATGATGCTGAGGGGGAATCTGTGACAGAACAACTCCTGACGCGCTAACAACGACCGCTTTCGGGACGATGACGTAATCTGTTTCATTAATCTAACTAGACGAAGCTCGCGGCTGCCTAAGACCGTGCAAAACATGTATGTCGACTTTTAGAGCTGCGTAATTGGGACTTCACAATGTTCGTTATGCTCTAATGTCTGAGCTGCGAATCGAGATGATGGGCTGTGGCTGACGTCGGGTTTACCGGTACAAGCCGGCAGCCACAGCAGGCATTCACACAAGAGAAAAACAAACATCGACCTAAAGACTGGTAGAAGATGGCGACCAAAAAACAGGGCTGCTCGGTCTGTCAACCACCCGGTTGGTTGGCTTCGGTTCCCTGCCGACTCGCGCCATGCACAAAGACTCTATTGTGAGCCCGATTAGGAAACACCATCTCGTTATACACAATCGGGGTGCCGCAAGCTCACCAGAATCCATTCGAGGCGCCATAATTCACCCTTCACTACTGCTCGTCTTTTGCACTTCTTCCGGTGGATACAAGGCCTGATGGGGATCAAACGATCGACAGAGGACCAAGACGTTGAGCACATGGAGGACCTCGAAAGCGCATCCTTGATACCAAACAAAGACTGCCACAAGTGTTCGTCCGCCGCAAAAGGCAGTCGCACCCGTCACGTATTCAAGACTATAGTACTCATCGCTCTGGCTTACATATGCTTCCTCGAGACGAACACACGCCTGGCCGTGCAGAGCCGCGAGACCCACATACACCTTGCCAGCGGCATACCCTACTGTAAGAACAGAATGGCCTCCTGGAAGATTGTGCTCGCATAGTGGACATAAGCTAATACCGCACAAGCTCCAGCCAATGATGTTGTGCAGTACGCTCCGAGACGAATATGGCAGGACGGAGACTGGTCGCGATACGACAAGAAACCCGGACCAGAGCTAGACGCACTGTGGAATGAACTTCTCGCGGGTAGGTCAATAATGATTAACATACCAAAGTTGCAATAGTTGATCCTGGGGCGATGACACAGGCCAAATTATCCGGGTCTCAGCGGCAGAGATGAAGTTGCAAGGCGAAAATCTGACAAATCGAGTACAGCTGACCAATGGCGATTACCTGGGCACAATGTCAGTCTGGCACAGTCTCCATTGCTTGGAGAGATTGCGCAAAGTCATTCACATGGACTACTACCACGATAAAATTCCGGACTACAAGGGCGACATGGGAATATGGACCAAGGATCACTCGGGTGAGGAGTTCTTGTGTCCTTTGAGGTTTTGAATCCAAGGTACTGACTTGAATTTGAACAGATCACTGCATTGAGCGCCTACGAGACGACATAATGTGCCACCCAAACACCGCAGTCTACATTCCTGAGTGGGATGAAACCCACACTCTCCCAGATGGATTCCGCATGATATCACAGGGGCAAACTACATGCGTCAACTGGGATGCGCTGGATCAGTGGGCAAGAAAAAGGGCACTAAAGGGAGGTGAGTACACTTTGAAGCCCAATCCGTTTGGGGATAAGCATGGTGTGCATACAAACCATTGAAATCGTTCCTTCGGGTGTGTTCTTTTGGCAATTACTCAAATCGAAGCCACATAGTCGTTCCTGATGCCATGCCCGATATGCTCAAAATGTAATGCCTACAGCTACTCCAGCGACCAGAACCGGAACGATAAACCCCAAAAATGCTTTCTTAATCGTTTCCGTTCTCTCCTTTTCGCCTTTGTCGTGCTCTGTTCGATGGTTCACCCTCGGAATTGGTTTATCGGGCACCGGCTTATCCAGAAACTTGCACAGCGGCTCCCAGCCACTCCCAATCTCGTACTTCAGCCTTCGCGCCGCAGGTACAGCTCCCACTGCATGCTCGTAATACTCTTCATACCTCTGCTTCGCCACAGCATCGATGTCGGCGCGGGTTTGTACGCCGAAGAAGCTGAGGTGAATCTACATCATAGTAGACGGTGCGCGACGACTAATGATGTTCCATGTTATCCAGTTCGCCAACCAAGTGCGCGGATGCCACAGCGAATCCAAGAGTTCGGTGTTGAAACTCAGTCACCACTTGTCTGCCTTTACGATGACCACCTTGTTGTCAGGGTACGCTTCGATCAATTACGGTACAAGCATGCTTCCCAGATCCGTGCATACATCAAATGGTGCCTAGAACTCGTCCCAATCCTTGCGAGTAAACTTCTCCCGTAGCTGAGAGCCCTGAACTCCGGGCCAAGTGGCTTCTGCAGCGTGTTCGAGCTGTACCCACGGGTTGCCCTTTAGAACGTCGTCTAAACGGTGGTGCGCATTGTAGCCTAGTTCGCGATGATCCAAAACCATGGACTTGGTTGCCGTCCGGAAGAGTCCAGCATGTATGATCTGAAGACCCAAGTATGGTTCGTGGTCGTGCTTACCAGCTGCTTAGTCTATATCCATGCTTGTGCGGGGCCCTGTAACACTCACCCTGGAGAGCAGCTGGACAAAATGATCGCAATAGAGCGCTGACTGTGATGTATCGTGAGTCCTGTGCACGATGTCAAGAATAGCGAAGCGAGGTGTAAGAGCGATGGAATCCTGGGGCGGCTCGGGTTGCCTATGTAGCTTGAGTTAATTGGTTGCACCTGCCAGCTCCCAAACGCATACTTGTCGCCAATACGCGGTGCTCCTAGGATATTGATATGAGATCATTGTCTTGCTCGGACTTGAGACACCTGCTGTGCCGTGTGGGTGGCTTTTCGAAAGGCCCAACCGCCCCAGCCACGTATGAAGTGAAGCTAATTGTAGGTAATGCTTCAAACGTACGTCTTGGCTGATTACCTCGCCTTCAATGAGAACTTGCAGATATTGTACAATCCTAGAACGAGTGTGAGACTTCTTGGGAGTAAGCATCTTACTACAGGCTAGATTTCAAGAACCTGTCTACGCGCCATGCGCTACCTTTATCTTAAGTATCCGCTTTGAACAGCGTCGATGCTTGGTAGGACCCGCGATTAGCGATAGAATTATATATATAGAGAGAGAGAGAGAGAGCTGAAATACAATGATGGAGTTGGAAGGCGTACCAAAATGATAAAACAAAAGTGGCCCCTCTAACTAACATTTCAAATGACTAGTAGTAGAAGACTTTCAAAAAGCAACGATAAGTATACAAAAAGTCCCTAAAGAAATTGGTGAATTGCTTAGCACACGATAGCAACGGAGAACAGGACGTAGCTTAATAATTGACATCTAGGAAAATGCTAGGTCCTGCGCATCTACCCAATTTCCATGTAAGCCAGCCCGGAGTCTGATTGGTAGGTATATGATAGCCTGGGCTTTGGTGAAATCCTTCGTTCCAACCACGTGCAACTCGCTCAACATAGACGCGTAATTGTTGACAAGCACCACAACCCAGCCATCACCTTCCGCGACCTCCGTACCTTTGCGCAGAACGAAGATCGGTTCCTGAACCAAGTGCGTTGGGCCTGGAAAATACTTGGTCATAATCTTGGTATGATAATCCAGGTGTCCAATGGAATTATAAGGTGGGTGTCCGCCGCCCATTCTAGGCAAGATGGTGCCAAAATCAGTACCTAGGCTGGGGTCCATCAAATCGAAAAAGGCATGCGTATGTTTCCTCCCGGATACCCTATCGTCGATGCGCGGAAACTCGCAGTCGTCCGTTCCGATGACTTCATGTGGAGGAAGGTCAAGGTTGGTTGATCGAGGATTGAAGGTGAAGCGTACAAGCTGCGCAGATATCTCCTCTGGGTTCGGTGCCCTTCCTTGCGCATCTGGCCACCAGAAAAACACGTTTCTATCTGTGAGTGGAAGATCGAAGACTATGTTTCCTGCATCGTCCTCGAACGCGTTGACTGTATGTCCGGGAAAAGCATTAGGCGCGCGAAACCATTTCACGTCCGCGCCTGAAGCACCATGACGAGGAAGTACGCCAACATAGAACGGTACATCAGCATTCCATTGCCAGTGCTCACCACCTTGCTTCATGCGCTCAAGGTCACATGTTTGTGGAATGATTGGGAACAAAATCTCAACCCAACCGTCAGTTGGACACCACAAGCATTAAATGGCTGTTTAGCTTACCCAGTTTTTTGTGAATGCAAAGTCATGGATCATTGCCACGATTGGAGAAACTAGCCAAACCGTCTCGGTGAAGCGTCCAGTGGAGTCGATCGAAAAGTAACAGACATCGGGAGTCCCATCGCCCTTTGCTTCGTAACCAAAGCAGAGTAGTTCTCCAGTCTCATTGTCCAATTTCGGGTGTGCAGTGAAGGTCAAGGAGGGCAATTGGCCGTCAAAATCCTCAAGTCCTAATGTCGCTAGTGTTCTCGGATCCATTGAGTAAGGCGGGGCATCCTCTTTGCATGCTAGAAGGCGGCCATTGAAATACACAATATTGGTGTTCGCTGTTGTCCGTACCTTAAACTCCACTGCATCCGTGTACTTATTGCGGTACTTTCCAGCCAACGCTCTCTTTGCTTGTCGCTCACGCATGAACTTTTCAGTCCTAACATATCGTTGTTTGAAATGACAACGTCCGTCTTTGATCTGAAAGGCACTGACGTTGCCATCGCCGTTGAACCACTACAATTTCCTAATTAGCAGTATGTGTCTACTTTAACCAGGGGCTACCCACTGGATCATTCTCAACAAACGGCGGTAGCTGAGGATCGGGCATGACACGATAGAAAGTGCCATCGATCTCTAGGGGAATCTCGCCATAGACTTCCAGATGCTGGATCTCACCCTCAAAACGGCATGGCTTCATGAAATCGGAGAACTGGGGTAAAGCGGGGAATGATGCCGGGTTTTGGAACGCACGAAAATGGCCTGCCATATTGGATGCGTTTGAGTCCAATACGATATCGCGCCTAGGAATTTTTTCTTTATATCGTGCCACGAAATGGACATCAAACTGGGTCAGAATTGGACCGCCCTGTGCTTGCCGTTAGCGTATTGGGATATTTGCGCGGGCTTAACTCCCCGTTAGCGTCAAGGCTTCTGACTCGACCTAGCTCCATTCCGCAGGCGAAACTAGCCCTGCACCTGCATGCAACAGCTGGTGTAATACGCGGTAGGGTCCAGCCATGTTCTGAACTCAGCAAAACACAATCTGTCAGTCCCGCGACAACAAGATCATATGATCACAAAGCTCAACTTTCGCACAACAGAATATGTGTGGGGCGGCTCCAATAAGACTCGCGGTTCGCTGCAAAGCAGCTGAGGAGAAACTAACACCTGCAAATCGTCAAAGCCACTACCAGACTGTCGATGATAGCTCGCGCTTTACTAATTTACTTGAAAGTCTCAAGTCTAGACCTTAGCAGGACTGCATGAAGGGTTTGGTGGAGTAGACGCCACCCAGGCTGTGAACATTTGAAGAGCTACAGTGGGTGATAAATTACCAGACCGATAGCCTTGTCAGTTAACGCAAGAGACGGAAAGAATTTCTGGTCTACCTATGGCGTAAAAAAGGTGGCCATGGTTATTTGGATCGAAATTTAGAGATGTCAAAAGATACTGTAGGTTCCTCTTGTTTGCGAAAGTTCACTAACCCCCTAAACTGCTCTAAAGTGACTATTTTCACTCTTATTCGTGCTTCTATGCGCTGAGGTAACTTCGTTATACACTATCGCTAGGAATTTATGGATATTCTTAGGCTTGAGTGTTTTCCCTACCCCACAAAAGCTTGCAAACAAGATCGGAGGAAGAATGAGACAGACCGTACGAACAATCATTACCTATGAATGGAACCAAGATCGCTTGGCTTACAGAAGAACTAGAAGACTCTGTATTGCACGTTGATTGTAATCAAGCCTTTGATGTTGAGTTGGCTATTTCCACTGATCGTGTGAACAAGCCGCATTGTCGCAGGAACTTGAACATGATGGACAGTCATAGGTGCTGGGATGATTGAACAAGCTGTTGTGCTTAGAAGAAGTCTCTACCAACAGCGACAACCCAGACCGGCCGGATGTTTCCCGATCGACCGGAATACCCGAACCCGGTATATCGAAAGCTGCATTACGGAATCGGCTTGCGCAGATATATTACCGTCGCGATTCTCGCATTCCAGGTTTCCACTGCAAGTTTTGCTCATTATACATTTTCAAGATGCGCGTTGTGTGGTCTCGCTTGATCCGATTCATCGCCACAGACGGTCGCGTGCTCCGTGGTGATCCCATCATGCCAACGCCAGATTTTGACTTAGGTTTAACCACTGAAGAAACGGGGCTACAAGCCAGAGTCATCGAGGGAGATGATATTTATGACACATCGGGGAAAGCCAAAGTTTCGGACGAGATTGTTACGGTCGGCAAGCTTCTAGGACCACTCACCGCGCAGGACGTGGACGTCTTGCGCTGTGTTGGTCTCAACTACGCAAAGCACAGTACGTACTTTCTAAATCAACGCCATTTTCTAAACAAGTTGAGAGACATGTGCTGATGAAGGACGATATAGTACGAGAAGCAGGAAGAATCCCTCCGCCCTTCCCCTTCATTTTCTTTAAGCCGACAACTTGCCTCCACGATCACGGCGCAGACGTCGAAATTCCTCGCGTCGCGCAAGACGATCAGGCCGACTATGAGGGAGAACTGAGCATAGTCATCGGGAAGGACGCAAAGGATGTCCCTCTGGAAACAGCGCTCGACTATGTCGCAGCATACACAGTAGGGAATGACGTTTCTTCCCGTCGTCTCCAACGCGATCCCCGCCTAGCAGGCAATGTGCCACAGTGGGGCTTCTCAAAGGGCTTCGATACATTTGCTCCGCATGGGCCTGCTCTTATTGCTGCGCCACTGATTGGGAACCCGAGAGAGTTACTGCTACAGACTACCATCGATGGGGAGGTCAGACAGAAGGAATCGGTTAGCGACTTGCTGTTCGATTGCGCATATCTTATCCACTACTTGTCGCAAGGGACAACACTTCGTAAAGGATCTGTAATAATGACTGGAACGCCGGGCGGGGTAGGGGCTGGGCTTAAGCCTCCAAGGTATCTGGTGCCAGGCACTGTAATGGAGGTCTCCATAAGCAAGATTGGCACGTTGAGAAACGGCGTAACGTTCGTGTGAACAGAATATATCGTAATCAGATTCATGAACCAGGAGTAAGAAATTCGCTTTCTGAGTACGAGTATTGTTTCTTGCCACCGGTACTATGTTTTATGACCACTTTTACGAATCTAACCCATGCTTGGTCGTGCACGTCCAATTCATGTATTACTTTGGCCGTTTGACATAGAGTTCAGAGCGTCTCAATGGGATCAGAGGGCAAGGTTAGATCGACTGTAGTAGAAGATAGGGCGGGTGGTTGCTACATATTGACAGCATTGAGTTGTCAAAGTACCTATTCACTGACCAATGCTTCCACGTCTTGTCCACTACGTCGATAAAATCCGAGAGCTTTTAGCATAGGCTCATCATGAACTCTATACAGATATACAGTCTGACCATCAGACGCACGATGTTGATACTCGTGCCAAGCAGGCACGCAGAATGTATCGCCCTTTTTCCACTGATATATTTTGCCATCAATGGTGCTGCTACCCGCACCCTCAATGACATGGAATATCGATGAAGCTGTTTCTTGGATTGCCTGAGTAAAGGCGCCAGCATTCACCCGAATTGCTTCAGCACCCAGCGTGCGACTGACTGCGCAATGGTTAGATTGCAGTCGCATAATTAGGGAAGGGATGCGTACTTTCGGAACCGTTCTCTTTCAAATATCGGGAATCAGCGCAATCTCCATCGATAGCATCGAGTTGAGATTTCATCCTAGTCCATGGGAACACGATTAGGGAGGCTGAAATATCGACGTCACTAGCTGGGTAGCGGGGACTCGCGTAATGTTCAACAAAGTGAACTGGGTAGTGCACGAATTGCGGCAAGTCAAGGCCATCAATCCAGATCATAGGACCAGATCCATTTTTACCATGATCATGCCAGTTCCAGGACGGGGTCAGGATCACATCACCGCGCTGCATCTGTATACGTTTGCCATGGACTGCCGTGAACCCGCCATTGCCTTCAATGATAAAGCGACAGGCGAACGCAGTATGACGGTGAGCCGGGGCTGTTTCGTTAGGCATGACCAGTTGAAGACCGGCATAAATGGTATCGGTAGTGTAAGGAGCGTCTGGCTCGCTGTAAGCTGTCCTAAAACTGTAGGGGCGGACGGTTTAGCATACCTCGAGCCGGATTCACCAGCATCAGTACACGTCGCTCGGCTTGCTTTTCGGTGATGAGCTCTCCGGCTCGTAACAGGCTGGGTCGTATTCTGTCATACTCCCAGACGTGCGGTTGGCATTTTGGGTTTGGCAGAGGCGGGTTGAGGCGAGCCATCTGGGCCCAAAGCGGCTTGGTATGCTGCTCAGACGCGTCCTTCAACAATTCATTCGTCGCATGTTTGTTGTCCTCGAGGTCATGCGCAGGCTGCGTGGTAGTCGCAATGGTAACGGCGACAGAGCTCATGATGTTGTCGAAGTCCGATGATGTCAAATCTGTCTGCATCGATGAGACTACTGCGTCTGGCTGGGAAGTTTGGGCGTTTTCGTAGGAGGCTCAGCGGGTGGCCATCCCCGCCCGCACACAGGAAGGACATGGCCTACTGTACAGGGTGTGGATGGAAAGGCCGAACGCGATCACTGCCGTTGAGGCGCCAGCCAGGGAGTCGGGGAGTTAGGCACGGCGCGAAGGACAGGAGTTAAGACGGATCGAGGCGCTTATCGATAAGGCGCAGGTGCATCCGACCATGTCGTTCCCGTGAACCCCTTCCAGCCCATGAGGCAACCCATGATCGCTTGACATGAGCCCAACGGACTCCGCAGCCCCGGAGTCGGCAGGAGAAAGCAGTGGGCGACCGGCCAAGCGGCATAGGATCCCCGTGGCATGTACGTGGTGCAGGCAACGCAAATCACGTGTAAGCCCCCAAACTTTGTGATCGAGAAGCAGTGCACGATACAGGCTGACGGGTCGTAGTGCGATGGCACAAGGCCCAAGTGTTCAACGTGTCGCGATCATGGATATGAGTGCGAGTACTCAGACGCAGCAAATTTGACTCGTGTCTCTGCCTCTAAAGAGTTATCGGCAATCGAATCGCGCTTGGCAATCCTGGAGCGTTCCGTTGCTGGTCTCGATGGTCGGGTTTCTTGTGTAGAAGCGCTCAGCGATGGTGTGCCAGATTCCCTTGCACTCCCGCATCGCTCAGCAGAACCTTCGAACGCTGGAGGTGAAGACGTGAATTTAGAGGCGCGAGACCCCACCGATGGTATCGGATCCATGGTCTTCACGAAGGAAGAGGAAGCCGGATTTTTCGGACCCTCCTCTAACATTGCTTTCACTCGGATCATCGTTCGCTCCACCACTTCAATCTTAAAAGCGACAATGACTGCCGAAAGCCCATTGTCCCCAGAAGATGCTGCGCTACGAAGCCATATGCTTCACGTATCAAGACAGCATTCTCCTGCTAGAGACCAGTTCTCTCCCGCAAATAACTTGCCAGTTACTTTTGACCCATTTTCTCTTCCTCCAGAGAGCGAGACTAAGTCTTTAATCGAGATCTATTTTGAAACTACAGGAGTACTATTCCCTTATGTCGATAAACCCAGCTTCGTGCAGACCTACCAACAGCTCAACGCCGCCAACATACGAGCCGCGAGGAGATCATGGTTAGGACTTCTCAACATGGTATTAGCCATGGCTACAAGTGCAAGCCATGGTAGGATATTGTCAGCATCCGAGCGTGCCACAAACTCTGACGTCTTCTACCGCCGAGCCCTGGCGCTATGCGAAAAAAACATCCGCCATGGTACCAGCCTAGAGATGGGTTAGTTTCTGACCTTCATGTGCATCAGCTCCATTTGATGACCAATCTTGTAGTCCAAATGTTCCTCCTAATGAGCCAGTACCTACAAGGAACAGAACGCTCCATTGAGACGTGGAACATCCACGGACTGGCTGTCAAGGCGGCTTATCAGCTCGGATTGCACTCACCACACGCTCTCAAGCGGTACCCTCCATTAGAGCAAGAGATTCGGAAGCGAACATGGTATGGTTGTGTAATACTTGATCGGTAGGCAGTTTTTTGTTTTGTTTTTTTCATATACGTGAGTTGCCACTAATTGTCTCTAGAACTTTGAGCATGACTCTAGGTCGTCCATCTTCGATACCCCAAAACTTTGTCCGGCTAGACCTACCCTCGCCACAACCGCTCGAGGTTAATCCGAACGACTCCGAAACAGGAAAAGATAAAGCTAGTGTTGAGTTCTACTCAGCAACTATGTAAAGTTACGTATTCGCTGTGTCTCCAGTATGCTGACGTATTGGAAGATTGCTATATGCCATCACTGGCGAGATCGTGGACGTCTTGTATGATAACAACCTGGGGTGCGAAACTGCCGAGAATGTCTTCGACATTGCCTCTCAAGTGCTTCAATTCGAACAGAAGTTCCTGACCTGGCAGCACTCTTTACCTGCGACATTGGCACTGGTGGACCCTGATTTCCTGACGCTGGAGAATAGTGACCCGGACACCCTGCGATATCGTTTCGTCCTGACTGTGCGCTTCCTCAACGCTCGTATCCTTGCCCACCGTCCTGTGTTGTGCAGATATCTTGAGTTTTTCAGCAGCTCCAAGTCTGATGACCATCAACTGGCTGTCCTAATGCAAATTGGTGGAAGCAGTCTACGAATTTGCGTTCAATCGGCGTTGAAGATGATCGCTCTCATGCGGGCAGTGTTGAGTCCAGTCGAACCTCCTCGACACTTGCTGGGCGCCTGGTGGTTTTCTCTATACTATAGTAAGGTCCCTTCGCTTTTGTTTTTTCAATGCGTACGCATGCTGATGGATGTGCAGCGTTCAATGCAGCGCTGGTAGTATATTCGACGCTGTTAGTGCGGCACCAATCGCAGAGCCTGCATCACGTATCGATACTGGACGGTGTGGACTTGACTGCAAACTCTCTACATCAATCAATCGAATGCCTCTCACTGTTGTTCAAGGGGAATAGGATGACTGAGAAGTGCACACGTTACACGAGTTCGCTCGCCCAGCTTTACTATAACATATGTGAGTTCGCTCTGCTTAGCATGATACTCAAATTGACTGATCTTCCGATCTAGGTCAATCATGCTATGGTCAACCCACCGACACTGCTGGTAACCTCCAATCCGACGCCTTGAGAAATATACAAATCCCGGGTACATTGGAAGGGTCATATCACCAAGACCTTTTCGACTTTCCCGATTTGAACGATATACATATGGGAATGAGCTTGGACAATATCTTCGTCACAGGATTCGACACTGAGAGACATTCCATATGAAGCGCAACAGAGATGTAACAATATATCCGTTTGCACGAGAGAAAATACAACCTAGAGGTTGATCGCACGCTTGCCGCTACTAGCAATGAGCTGCGTCACATCTCTTGCCCAAGCCTCATCCATCTTCTCTTCTGCATCGTAGCCGTAGGCCCACCATTGCGTCACCGGGTCGCTCCATTGGTTTGCGCTGCTTGCAAAGGGTTTACCCAAGACTTCAGGGCCCATAGAAGCGTCCCGAGCCTTCTGCTCTGGGCCATCTGGGAAATGCCATATCCGACCATTGATCGTGCTCGCGTTCTGCATATCACTGCTTCTTTTGATGCGTTCTCTTTCGAAGCTTCGCAAAGCGAAAGGAAGCTCGTCCAGAGACGAAAGCTTGTTGAGCGCTACAGCGAGCGCAGCCCCGTCTTCCACCGCCATTGCTGCGCCTTGAGACATATAAGGCAGCATAGCATGCGCTGCATCGCCTAGGATGACCATTTTCGAGGACGGTGAGACCCAGGTCTTCAGAGGCCTTCCCACCTTCAATGGCCATTTCATACACTCATCTATGAGTGAAATGATCTTCGTGAGCCTGGACATGTCAGCACGAAATTGTCACAACTGTCTGGTCAAGATTACCGGATATCCCATCCCTTGAACTCTGCCTCCACATGCTCTTTCGCGAACTTCTCGCTCCAGGTATCAGGGTCGGAACGGTCCACGTGGGATAGAACCATGTTGAAAGATTCACCACCTGCTATCGTATACGACATGACGTGCTTGTTTTCACCAATCCTGTACGGCATAACCGGTTCAGTAGGGCCGCCATATGTGGTATGCATAGAGATACAGACTTACCATATGTTCATGGCTGTCTGTTCTAGGATCCACGCGATCTCCGGATCATTGTGCATTTTTTTCACATCTACTGTGGCTCGGTAAGCCGCAAAGCCGTTGAACATCGGCTCGTGGTTGCAATCAGGAAATAAGCTTTCCCGGGCTACTGACTTGATGCCTGCACGTGAGAAATCAGTGACCGTTCAGAGTAGGGCTAGAATCCCCAACTTACCATCAGCAGCTACCACAAGGCTTCCCTTGACTACTGATCCATCGCAAAGCGTAACAGAGCCCTGTTCATGGTACTGGACAACTTTGCATCCAAGCTTAACGATGACGCCAAGCCGCAATGCTTGTCGATGAAGGGCATCGTGTAAATGCGCGCGATGAGCCACGTAGTACGGTACCTCGAAGGCGTCTTTGAACACATTGTCGAGAGCAGTGTGGCCAATTACTTCACCGTTTTTCCAACGACGAAACATGATCGCTTCGGGCTGCACAGCCCATTTGTTCGACTCCTCCAATACTCCCCACCGGTGAAGCAGACGCCCGGAGTTTGGAGGGATCTGGATACCAGCTCCAACCTTGTATGGTTCAATACAAGCATACGAAACTATGTGATCTTACTCACCTCGGCAAGTACGGATGATTGTTCCAGCACTTGTACGGAGTGCCCTCTTCTCGCTAGCGCGATAGCAACCGCAAGACCGCCTAGTCCGGCGCCGACAACGACGATGTCAAATTTGAGATGCGCTTGTAAAACCGGCTCTGCCACCTTTGGATTCGTCCTGCGTGCATTCAATGACTTCAGAAACTGTAGCGACTGAGATGGATATGTCAGTGGGCTTTCATGGGAAGCCATTGCTCTGCTGGTAACACAGGGCACAAAAAAAAAATAGTGTCTTGTATACACGAGGCGTCAGGCTGTCTCGGGTCCCTTGCCTCACAAGCATATCATAATTGCATGGCGCAAATAGCGCCGTTCCACAGGGTCGGGGAGATAGGAACATTAGCTACAAAAGTCCGTGGAATACCGGAACTAAACTGCCAGCACTTAACATGCGGGCCACACGTTTCATGGCGGGACACTGAACATTGAGAAAGGGATGAAGCCCAGCAACCATTTAGGATGGAGGATCGGGCCTATTGCATACAAGAGCCAGAAAAATCATTGACCTTCCTTTCTAGCCGTTCGAGAAGTCTGCGCGAAGTGATTCCTAGGGTCGCCCGCCGTGCCCATGCACCCGCCCAATGAATCAGGAACGAAGTACATCCATGATTGTTGAGTCGCATCCTGCTTTCCTCAACTATGAGATGAGGAGCAGATACATCTGTTACATATACCCGCAGTGACTTGTCACGATACCCATTTGCTCTATTGCATACAACGCGAAATCATGTGAATTCGATCTTAACAGATGGCATGCTGCGAACCCTAAGTGTGACATGCCAGAAGGTCATCTCCATTCACGTGTTTTTCACGGGACCATAGGATGTTCTCTTGAATATGACATCGAACATGAATGGCAACCGATGCTATGACTATCTGCAAGATACTGCCTGCGACACCACGTTACGAGAATATGTTAGCAGCGTAGTGGGTTGCTAAGTCCTAGCCTATCTCCCCGGCTCAATGTTCATGCTAGCCCTGGAGTGCATTAGAACAGTTCCAAACCTTATATTTTCCCCATGTCCGGGACGATAGGTAGAGCCCCTTAGGGGTTTCCAGGATGTCGCTGGCGAATTCAAAACGCGCGGCAATAACCATGGCTGATTTATTAAGACAGGTACAACTCGGGTTGCACCGGGATTCCATCTCCTGATATTCTTTCGACCGATCACTAGTCCTCAAACCATATTCGCGGCAACACCAACACGCAGCCGAAAATGTCAATGAAGGCGGAAGCCCCTATTAGATCCGAGATGGTTGAGCGAGCCGACAGACACCACGGCTTGCCATTGCTTCCGCATCCGTCAGAAGATGAGAGGGATCCTCTCCGATGGCCTCGGGGTCTCAAATTGGCAAGCCTTATGGCAACTTCCTTCTTCAATTTCACAACGAACTTTGCTGGTGCTGGACTATCTGTCGCCACAGTGCTTCTTGAACATCAGTTCAACAAAACGCCTAACCAGGTCAACAGCCTGTTGACCGTGCGTTTCACATATCACATACGTTTATTCAATTGGCTAATGGAACAGTTCAACTTTCTCCTCCTCGGTGTGGGAAACCTGTTCTGGGTTCCCGTCGCCATCAAGTACGGGAAGCGTCCGACGCTCCTCATATCCATGGTGCTCTTGTTCGGTATCCTTATCTGGACAGCAAAGGAACCGACGTTCGCGGGGCTGTTGGCCGCCAGATGCCTTTCTGGCTTTGTCTCTGCTGCAGGAGAGGTGAGTCTACTTGCATCTTGGTAGGACTGCGTTGATGCGTATTGCAGAGTATCGTCCCTGGCGTGGTTTCGGATATATTCTTTTTGCACGAACGTGCCGCCATGATGTCAGCGTAGGTTGTCTATATCCTTCGGCAGGTTCATTGGCTGAACAAAGTTGCAGATACACCCTCCTCATATCAAGTGCAACAGCGATCGGGCCGCTACTGGCATCGTTCATTACCCAATATAGTCCGGGCTCGTGGCGTGACTATGTGTGGGTATGTGCGGCGTTGGCTGGAGCTAACGCGCTGGTCATATACCTCGTGTGCCCCGAATCTAACTATAACCGTGAAATAATGACACCAACCCATATATCTTTGCTGAATACACGATACGCAGAGGATATTAGCGAAGCTGGAGAAATTGTCCGCATGGACACGACCTCTTGGCACCATGTCAACGTCGTGAAAAAACCTTGGACTGAGATATGGACATCTTTCATCACTGTCGACCATAAAGTCAATCTTCTCGTGGCATTCTGGCGTCCAGTCCAGATGCTGTCTCGACCAGCTGTTTTGTTCGCTATCTTCCTTTATGGAACCCACCTGGCAGCTCAGATCATTCTTATGTACGTGGATGCAAGTTTTTGGGGACACTTATTTAGCATTCCGCTCACAGTGACACAGATTTGCGTTCCCGAGCCTACTTATGTCTCCGCCTTATCTGTTCTCTGGGATTCAAGTTGGTTTAATGCAGGTTGCCGCTCTTGTAGGACTTGCCATCGGGTGCTTCGCCGGAGGCTACGCTGCCGACTTGATCACAGCTGAAGCCATAGCCCGACAACGTGGTGATGTGTACCCAGAGCAACGGCTCATTGCTCTTCTACCAGGCTGCATTGTCGCTCCGATCGGGTGTATCGTGATTGCTTTTGCCTGCGCACAGAAGCTGCACTGGGTGGCTATTGCGTTCGGTTTCGGAATGTGTAAGTGCCATCGTAATTTAGATGTCCGGCCCATGTTCTAATTGACTGACAGTGTCTTTCGGAACGATATACGCTCCAAACATCGCGATCACGTATGTGGTGGAATGCTTTCCTTCAAGCGCATCCGAATGCCTGGTTACTATCAACGTGTTTAAGAATCTTGTCGCGTTTTTGTTCCTATATACCGCGGTGGACTGGGTAGCCTCGCAAGGATGGGTCCAAGTCTATATGGTCATGTTCATGTTGGTGACGCTTAGCATCTTTCTCGCAGTCTTGTTCTACTTCTTCGGAAGGAGATGGAGGATTAGGAGTGACAACACCATATAAGTAATGCAGATATCACGTGAATTGGTCTAGACGAAGATATAAAAGCAAGACTTCTTCGATTAATAGAGTTACATAACATCAAAGCGGAGCTACCAGGCTTAAGCAGATCATCGCCACTGCGCATGAAGTCCTCCCTACAGGGTCTCAGCTACGATCATTGGCAAGGCAACTTTATCCCTCTTCTCCCTGCCCGCAAGAGCCTCTACAATCGTGAGCGCAAAAAGGAGTGCAGTTCCTGGCCTGCGAGGCGTTAGCACGATGTCATGATTTTCCGTTAACAATTACACCCACCCTCTACTCGTGATGAGGTTCCTATCGATTACAACTCTCTCTTCGCTATACTCCCACCCGCCCTTTGTTTCCACTTCCGCTCTTACACTAGGGTGGCTTGTAACCCTGCCTTTCTCCCCCCCATGCTTCTTCTGAGCTGCCACCAGTGCCGTAGTTCCAGCACAGATCGCAGCCACATATTTTCCCGCATCCCGGAAGGCGTTAATCAAGTCCAGCACAGGAGCAGAAGTTGCGAATGTTTTCGCCCCCGGGCCACCGCCGGGGAGGACGAGTATATCGTGCTGTTCGTGCAATGCCTGCTGTCCAAGGCTAAGGAGCGAGGGAAAGTCTGGAATGATACGGATGTTACGAGTCATACTACGTATGTCAGATCTCTCGCTGCTCCCAAGCTGAGACTGGGCGTGTAGACCTACTGGGCATAGTTCTCTTTGAGTTCCACGCCTGCGGACACAACCTCGAAGCCGGCACGAGTGAAGACTAGTGAATTTTTAATCTCTCTACTCAACCTGCACCGGGACGCTGGATCATACCGTCGTAGGGCGTCACGAATTCGATTTCTTCCGAGCCATCAGCTACCAGGATTAGCACTTTCGGCATTGCGTTCGCTCTGGATTAATGAAGTTGCGTTTTTGCAGGTTGTTAAAAAGGTTTCACTCTTGGACACCTGTACTGATGTTGGAGCGTGCCCACGTGTGTGGAGTGACCGGAGAGATGACGTTGGCGGGGATAGGCCGCTCATTCCCGAACTGGCGGGGTCCGCGACATACACAGTAGGTACACGAGGCTAGTAAGAGCTGTTTACGCAACACAGACATGCAATCACACACGTCAACACACATACATGACTGAATCAAAATTGGAATGTTGTGCTCATGAACGAGTACTTGAAGTAGATACATTGATGGCGCATAATCAGGATCGAAAATGTGTAAAGATTAATTCTGTCTAAACCTCACGTTCACGCTCGCAAATTTGTCCCAGGATATCAAACTCCCCACTCTTCTATAGACACGCGCTGTAAAAGAAATGCCAATTCGCTGCGCAAGACATCATCTCCGCTGTTAAATGTGCCCCCCAGCCGATCGTCATTAGAACGCCAAAGCATTAACATGCGCATTGCAACCGCCCATTGCGCAACAGGAAATCATGTGCTCATACAGCTGTGAACAACCGACCGGATCGATAAGGCGCTATGAAGCGGAGGAAGGCCCTATTACGCCCGCATCATCGTGGTATTACACTAGGGTGTGCAGCTCGATGGAGCGCCTGCCTCCTCCATCTGCCTCACAACCAAGTCTGTCGTCGCCAAGGTGTACAGTACTTGTGGACTCATAGGCCAGGCAGAGTATGCAAAAGAACAATCATAGGTATCAAAGTGAACAAAAGAGTCGTGAGTTGATAAAGGAACAGTCGTGTGGAAAGCGCCCAAGACCTTAGCTTGTCCGTTCAAACGCCGGGTATATGATGTTGGAGGGATGGGATGCCAGGACAGGTGGTTGAGCAGTGTGGAGTGTACCAGTCGTCCGTATGAAGTCGATATTTCTCGAACGAGGAGCCCAGTACATCAGAGAGACATAGTGAGCCACTCCCATTCCTGGGGCCCGGAAGCCGACGAAAGGCCTTGTCCCATGGCGCCCATGGGGAGACTGCCGAGATTCTGGTTTGGTATCATGTGCGGAGTAACCACAGACTCCTTTTTCCGAACACCGGAGGGTGCCTTTCCACTTGTGTCGTCTGCATCTGCCATTTCAAACTCCTGCGAGCCACTCTTGCTCTGACCTCGAGCTCGCTTCGGAGCCACGTTAGCGCCACGCCCCTGCGTTGCGCTGGATAAGCTGTTCGGAGGTAATTTGGGAGGGCCGGGAGCAATGGGAACCACACCGCCAGGCTTCGCGGGCGAGACGGCCATGTTTACACTGTTTCCTAAACCTCCGTGCCCAGCTGAGCCAGTCGATTTTGGTGATTCTGAATCTGTGCCTTTGACGGACGTTGGCGTTGACACAGGAGTCTGCGCAAGGGAATTTTTCCGCGATGATTTTTTAGACGCTCGCGACGAAGACCCTGCCACAGGGGCCGTCCCGCTGCCACGGTTGCGCTTCTTGATCACATCCGTCTTGAGTGATAGAGGTCGCACAACCCCATGTAACTTGAGAAACAATCCACATGCATTACAAAGAGGATGGCCTTCAGGATTACGCCGCCAGAGCGGCGTTGTTTGGGTGAAGCAGTTGGTGCACGTTGTCGGGGCGCTGCCTTGTTCACCCTGCTTGGTGCCCCCGGGACTGGCTGGCCGCGAGGGTGCTGCAGAGCTCAGGCCAGACTCTGGCGGAGTGTGGGGCGATGACTGTGAATGGCCATGCATTCCCTGAAGAGCCAAAGCGGCGGCATTAGGTGTCGAGCTTGTGCGGGGTATCTTCTGACGCCGAGGATCGTTTCCGCGGTTTCGAATCTCGCTGACGGACGCTGCTGAGCCATGGGTGCGACCCAAGCTGCTGCTGGCACCCCAGTGATCCTGTGGCGACGGCATCATCTCCGTTGGACCGATAGTCACGGTCTTCCGTGGCGGACCTGCAGGGAAGCGAGCGGGTATAGGGTTAAACTGGTTGGACAGATCAGTCTCCCATTGAAAGCCAGCATTGAAGTCGACTGAGCCCTCTTCCATGGGTGATGAATAGTCTGCTTGGTTTGGTATCGTTCGGTCTGCGAAGGCACCCTCGTCGTCCTCGTTGTCTGAATCTGCGCCAAAAGTGAACATGTTCTCGTTCCGCGAATACGGCATGTGCTCTTGTCGATAGGGGAGGGTGTTGTGTAGGACTTGGGTGGGATCGACGTGGCTGGATTGGTCAAACGAAGATGCCGAGTATGGCGCAGAGGAGGGGGCGCTTGTAATGGCACTGAACATGGAGTCGCCCATGCTACTTGGGTTGAAAATGTACTGAGGCTGCATCGAGTTGGAGAGCTGGGACGGCCGGTGGGGTCCAAAGCTGTGGCCAGCATTGTTGCCGCGGATGTCCATGCCGTTACGGTCGAAGTACATCTGGCCCTCGTCTTGGAGGGGCTGCGGCGTCGATACCGTGGAGTGGAAGGCGGAGCTGGGTGGAGAATAGTAGTCGGTGGAGTTGAGCGAGGACGCCATGGAGGTGCCGTTGAAGAGGTTGGAGTACGAGGCATTCTGAGACATGAGCGGCGACCCCACGGGCGAGAAGCCGAACTGCTGCTGAAAGGGGCCTGCGGAGCTTATGATGGGGTCCTCGGACATGTGGAAGTTGGAGGTGTCGATGTTGAAGGGCACATGGGGCTGCGGGGTACTGAATGAGGGCGGCTGCAGCGACGACTGGTCGAGCGAGTAGTGGTGGAGGGCAGCTTCTTCGTCCGGATTGCTCGGAATCATGGTACTGTTGACGGGAGGCACCTGGGGAGAAGCTTCTGCTCGTCGCTTGGGCGGCTGATAAGGCGCATGTTAGCATGGTGGAGCCGGGGTGTGGCATAGATAAGGACTCACTCGTCGCTCGTCAATCGACGTCTTGCGCACTCGGCGCTGCACATAGCCAAATTCTGTGTCGCGGTCACGGTGGAGGGCAGGCGGCACCGACGGCGCGGACGCATGGGCGAGCGAGAGGTCCTGCTCGTGGTGCTGGTGGGCTTTCCGGATTGGAATGGCTGTTTGGGGGGTAGCGGCGGAGGCGCGCATGTCCTGCGAGGGCGACGGCGACGGCGGCAGGCCCGCAGGGGATCCCACCGACGACGGCTGGATGAAGTCGTCGAGGTTCATGGCATTTGGGTCGGGGGGCGGCGGGGCGTGCGCCTGCTGGTCGACCGAGCGCCGCAGCTGTTGCGCAATGCCGCTCGGGGCTGTATTCAGCATCGGGCGGGGAGGTGCTGCCATTGGCGCGGGTCTCATCTGTTCGCGCTGGCTGCGCAAAGGAGCATCGTCAGCAATGTTAACGTCCACGTTCGGGGGTGGGTGCGGCGGAGGCCCGCTCAAGTGCACATGGCGGCATTCGTACCCTCGATTGCGCTCGTGCTCGGCACGCCGCATGCTCATGGCCATCATCCGCCATGTCAAGTTCTCCATGCGCTCCGCATTGGGGAGCTGCGTCCTGGTCTTGCTGTACAGCTTCCAGATCTGGGTGCCCAGCGGGTCGTTGCGCTGCATCTCCTCAGGCGACTCCATATGCGCGCTGTAAGCATCGTTCTTGAGGGCTGGGAAAATGGGATCGGCCAGGACGCCCTGGCGCGCGGCCGCAGCCCGCGGCGAGAGCGGCAGCGAGCCCTCCAGGATGGCGTCGTGGTCGGGCGAGGGCTGGAGGGGGCTGCCCAGCGAAGACCACGCCGCCGACATGTGTGGTGGTGGTTGCGTTGTTGGGGTGCTGGTGCGGGTGCGGGTGCGGGTGCGGGCTCTGGAGACGTGGATATGGATCAATGCGGAACGAGGTACCTATGGTGTGGTATGCTCGTACCGCAGATGCGCCTCGGGCACGGCAGCACGCACAAAGTACGCTCTTGCTCAGGCGTTGCGCGGTGGCATTCAACTTGTCGAGATCAACAACGGCGACGCCAGGTGGACGACGGCCGGGGCAGCAGTGAATGGGGAGGGTGCAATTTCCAACGACTAGCAGCTGGATACTTGCACCGGCAGCAACGCGGGCAGCGAGCTATGCGCTTGGCGACAGGTTAGGCGGCGGCAGCAGACGTGCGGTGACGCTGGCTTCGGAGCGAAAGCACGCAGCCCTTGGTGGCATTTGACCCTACGACGACAGTATGCTAGTCACTGGAGAGTGCTGAGGGGACGCCGGGACGCGTGCAGCGTGGGGGCATCGGTCGCATACGGGCTAATCACACGAGCGCCGTGGCTGTTTGCATGAGGCGGGCGGATGCTGCCCTGCCAGCACAAAAATCTGGACTCGTCGCTGGCATGCACGGTGGCCGCCCGCGAGCTCAACCGTGAGTCCGCCGCCAGCCCAGCGCAGGCAAGAGACGGCGCCGGCGTCGCGCTGCTGGCTTCTTCAGTGCGCTTTCGGTCGACTGTCGCCGTTGAGCGTTGGGCGCAGCAACTCGACGAGACGGCGCCCAGCTGTCCCGCTTGTTAGCGCGCGAGGCCGCTGGCTCCCTGTCAGCGTCGAAGACGCCTGCTCCGTGCGACCCCGGGTCCAATTTGCATTCCGGGCCTGGACGAAGCTTTGGCTCGGCGTTGGGTGGCGGCTGCAGCGTGGAGAGAAGCGTGGAGGTGCGGCCTGCCCATGTGCTCGCTGACGCTCCCCCGCCCTCTGTCCAGTTCACTGCACAACTCGACCCGCGCAGAAGCATCGCCTGCAGCGACAATCCTGCCGGCCGCGTCGCCAGCTCCAAAGACGACACGCGACAAACGCCACGGCTCACGTCCGCCGTTCCTGCACGGCAAGCGTCCCTTCGAGGGTTGAAGGCTCCACCACGACGCCCCGGCTCCAACTCGCGGTTCAGGGCTCAGCGGGATACCGTCGCACCCATTGGCCGTCGACGGCAGTGCTTCGCTCCACTTTCCTCGCCGATCGCGGTGCTGCGCTGCGACATCCTGATGAGCATCCAAACTGAATACCTTGGGATGCTGCAGAAATGTCGTGTCTGTCTACAGCTTTGGCAAGCTGACGGCACACGCAGGCCCTGTCTTCACCCCCCCAAAAGGACAGGTAAGAACCGCACGGAGCGGCATCCCACACTGTGTGTGTCTCTCAGCAATGACGCACGCCGCCAGCAAGGCTGCGCGCCACATCGAATTATTTTAGTACAAGATGCTAGCGTACGCGCACTCCCAAGCTCTTCCGACTTCGCCCTGCTTCAACTTCGCTCCCTACATTTCCCGTGCCTCCAACCATTACAGGATCCACTCTTTATTGCTTCCTGGCCCACCGCACGCGAGCATGCTTGCAAAACATGGGCTCAACTGCTGACGAACGTCGCATTACTGACGATAGCCCTGCATCAAAGCTAGAAGCCCATCCGAACAAGGTACGAAACCCCGAAGCCGGGCGGAGACCGCATAGGCCTTCAATAGACGGCCTGGTCTCATGCGACCGTGTTACGCCTGCGGTCCGCTGCAGCCCTTGTAAAGGGTTCACCTTAGATGTCCACTTAGTATCAGCACCATAGCGCATCTCGCAAAGGCAAAAGCGGGTATAGCTCATGTACAGATGGACTATTACAGTGGAGCTTATCGTGTGTTACGCGTATTATACAGTACACATGGTGTTCCTCCTACAAGCGCCTGCTGCCGTAGGAATGTCTACATGTTGTTGCACCGAGATGCACGCCCATTCACGTGCGCAATTGGCCGCGAACAAAAATTCGATCTACACAAGGTCCACGCTTGTGTAACAATCGAGCCTATTCGAGCTATATTCCCATGGAGGAAACAATCGTACGTACATGGTCGGCTCATCTCATCTAATTTACCAGGCGGACCGATGGCCGCAACATGGGCCTTTAGCCGTTTCGAGATACACGTCCAGCGGGCGCCGCCACATCGACTCTGATTCATAAGGTGCCGGGTTCATTGGTCCAACCAGGTTGGGGCATTGACTTGGATGCACGTTTCTATTGCTGAGGAAGGTGAAGGACCTTATTCATGTTGGGTTCCATTGCACCGATCCCTGAATCTACAGCACGGACGTGGCGCATTCATGTCGCGTGCGGCTAACCCACCAGCGTTAGCGATCAGCCGGTCCCTATTCTAGCTTTCAAGCGTCGCGTGGACTTTCACATGCTACCGGACACTAATGCATACAAATCCCTTTCTTCGGTGCTGCGATATATCGACCCTCGATCGAGGATCTTGCACCATGGAGATGCGTGTCGCGCAACAGCAACTGTGTATGCAACGCAGGTTATCTCCTTGAAACTGCTGTAATTCGTCGATCTTTCGGGTGCATTGCGGCGTGGGGGTGACAAGGCATCCCTGCCGCCCCCTTGCGCTGACTTGCAGAAAGCTCAGGGATGTGCGGTCGAAGCGTTAAGCGGCAGGCCGATGGAAACCGCCTAGGTGATGACGAACTCGAAGGGTCTGTCTGGAGAGGGATGCATAGTATGCAACCGCCAGAGGTGCTGTGGTGTTGCTGGTTCAGCAAGAATTAATTTTGTTTTTCGAGCGCAGATATAGTGCTTCGGCTGTGCTTGTCCCTGTGCTCAGCGGAGTCAAGATGTCCGGAAGTCTACCAAAACAACTTCGGCCGCTGACACTTCGCTCTAGACCGACGGGTACGGGCGCTTGAACACCAGCTTGGGTTCGTTCCCGCGTGACAACAGCGGATATCGAGCAATTGTTCCGGCCTGTTACAGAGACTTGCTGCTCGCCTAAACCCCGATCAGGGTCGTGGGATGGTGGGGTTACCGTCTTGGCCCGTGGGGTGTGGCAACGTCGAAAAGATATCCTCACCCGATCAGCACATTTGATTTGATGGCGAAATCATATGTGCGAAGCGCGACCGACCCTTGCAACGACGGCATACCCCTTGGTCGCGTGCTGCGTGACCGCTCATCCCTCCATTTTCACAAGGGCAACACACTCGACACTAAGATCTACCTGTAGCTGCAGTCCATCTAATCACAGTGAAATTGTTGTATTCGCGTCAGGTGTGAAGACTCGACAACATTGTTGTTCTTTCCACACTGGTATGTATGTGACAGGAGATTGGCCCCACAAGCTACAAGGTTGAGCCACAAGACAGACCTACCCTTTGAAAGTGGTGTCGTCTGCCAAAGCCTGTTGGACGCATCATGGTCGATCGTATTGGTTCCGTACGCGTGGGCGTCTGTGTGTATGCAGGTGGGCTCGCGGGTGCTGTATCGCAACCAGTAGTAGAAGCGGGAGGTGTTTTGACGATTAGGCCGGACGTTGAGACGTGTTCGATGAAACCGAGTATACTGAAAGCCCCTTGCCATCCTCAAGCATCCACCAAAGTTCAAGTAACATTTTTCTCTCCCTCGCCCAATTACTTCCTAAATCGATGTCGAGGCTTGGCGTGTTGCTGCAGGTACTGGAGAGCAGCGGAGCGGCGGCAAGGGCGAGCGGAAGCGGTAACCGAGACCACGAAAGCCTCTGCGGCATCTTTGGTAGAGACGGGCGCGACGATTAATTTATACGCAAAGCGCAAGGCCTGGGGAAGGGAGAGATGTTGCACGGCCCCGCGATCACGTCTTATCTTTGCGAAATTGATACATGATAACGCCATCCCAGCCAAGCATATGCCAATAGGGACAGTCCAGGGCTCACAGTCTCCCCGGATAGGCTCTGTGTTTGATGCAAAACACGCGTGGTGGGACAGGGTTGACGATCATGTCACCGCTCGTTGGCCTGAGCTGCCTATCTTGGGACGTTATCTACATGCGGTGAGAGTGTCTTGCAGCTGTATACTCGGGCTAGCTAGTTTGGATCCTGTGTGATGTGTTCTGCCGAGATAAGAGATGCGACAACTGCTGGATTCTTGGTCTTGTCGCCGGAGAAGCATAACTTAGTTATCTGTGCATTGGCTGAGATGCCATGGGTAACAATGGCACGGATGGCCGACGGCAAGAGGTTGCAAATATTGCTCATTGAACAGTAACAGTGCGCAAACAAGCACTGCACGCTCCGACCCGGGCCGTTGAACAGCATGGTCGCAATTGCGCCACGTTCACAAGCTGGCTTCACATCTGCCTTCCACGCCTGGCCATATCCTAAGGGCACGGTTCTTCCAATCTCTCACTTGGACGCTCGATCCTTTCTCCTGCTCCAGAACACGCCTGTGCCATGGTGTTTCCTTGATGTGGTCATCGCTTCCCGACCGGCGTGTGCGTGTTCGGCCACCGTCCCTTGATACGGCCTCGCGTGCGTGTCTGCGTGATTAGATACGTATCTCCCTCTCGTATCTCCTTCACTTGTCCTGATCCCCACGCTTAGGAGATTCATCGGATCCCTTCACCGTCTCTTCACCCAAGACTTTGCTCGCCGACATGAACCTAGACAGCCACGCATTAGCACCAGCACCGGGCACAGATGTTCCTGTTTAGACCGACTGACATTGCTCCTGCATATCCGCCCAATCCGCGCATGTCTTGCGCCTGTCTGGCGGTCATTCCCACCAAGCTCTCCAAATCCGCCATGTTGGCCGTCAATTGCGCGAGCTGTGCCTGCAGGTGCGATATCTGGCGGGGCTTTTGAGAGGGAACGGTGCTGAGGCGGGAAGACGAAGAATTCTGGGAGCGCGGAAGGTTGGACATGTCTGGAGGCTACGGTTGGGCTGCTGTGCGTGGAATTGTCGTACGTTGTTGTGTGTTGTTTGGGGAGCAGGTGGGGGGACATAAACGCGGCAGGAAGCCGCGGTGGAGAAGACTTGGCAGGAACGCGACCTTGTCCGCCCAGACCAATTTTACGCTCCAGCACGACGCGCTCATCACTGAGACTGGACCTCGCGCCTTCACCGGGCATTCAGCGCATCCGCAACTGCAATCATGGCCGCACCGCAGACTGTTCAGGCTGTTCGACGATGGATCCTTACTGGCTCCGTAGCTGCCATCACCGTCACTGGCGCCCTTTACGGAGCCGACTTGAAGAGCAGCTATGAGAAGACCCAGGTAAGTTCTCATTGTCATCCGGCCCAATGATATCGCCCACTCATCACCAATCTATTGTCCACATATAGCTGACGCACTGCTATAGGCACAAAAGCGAATCGCGACCATCTCGGCCGATGAAAAGATTGCGCACTACCAATCACTCATCGAAGAATGGGAACGCACAAAGAAGGAGCTGGAACGCAAATTGGAAAACTTCCAGGCGAAGAAGAGGGGTGAGCAGGTTGGTGAAAACAACCGTCGGAGCTCGCCGCGATAGTGCTCAAACGCATCCGCAAAGAGCAAGCTGCACACCACGGGGTTCTACGTCGCCGAAGCGCACCTTGTCCTTGTGGCGAAGACACACCGTCTTGGAAATGAATCTGGTTCGGTCAACATCCGGTTCCACCGCTGATGCGACCATTCTCTCCAGCAAAGGTGCGCGGAGCACCTCTTTGAACTACGAAATTTCGGTACAAGCTCGGCATCTCCCCCCAGCGAAGTATTGCTCGTACCGGCCGTTGATCTACCGGAAAGGATCTAGAAGGAGACATTGAAGTCGGTCACGCTATGCTCCTTTGGCCCACCTCCAGACGGCTACCACGTGCTCATAGTTCGATGCTGCCGCCTAGCACGCCAACCGGCCCGATTGCTCATATCACATGTCGCGCCAGAACATCCCTCGATATCCGCGTACATACCGGGAGCTGTCCGGGCGAACTTACTGGACGCTACATTCCGGGCATGAACATCCATTCCGGCAAAGACAGCCACCGCAACCAAAGCCTTCGGCGTTTTAAGCTATGAGTCTCGCAAGACGATTCGACGGTCATACCTCGCTGGACGATATGCTCTGCAGGTCGCTCGCTGTCTGACAGAGCAACAAGAGCAAGAGCTACTCCCATAATGCAGGCTGTGCTCGGATCTCACATGCAGACTCGCTGTCTATCGAACTTTGGTTACAGACAGCGGCCAGCGAGGTGCGAATATGGTCTCTCCTCGGCACATCAACGTACTTTGGGTTATGACTCCCTGGCATCAGTGGTAGTGATGTTGTCAAGTTGGAACTTGTTGGTATATGCGTACAAACCTATGACACAGTGAAAGGAACGGCGACGCCACAGTTTCGATTTGACTTTGAATTGGAAATGATGCAAGTGCCCCAAGGCCATCGTTCTAAGTGTCATCTCGGCATGCGTCTTGTCTGGAGGGGTAGTCTGTAAAGATGACCATCCCGTGGAAGGGCCATCGTCTTTGCGTTTTGCTTTTGAACATTCTCAGTCTGTGCTGCTACAGACTCATCGAGCCGATGAACAGGTCGAGTTCATTCAAGAAAACCAGCGTCAACTCAGTCGAGGTACTGCTTAAGTTTATCTTGCAGGGAATTTGGATCAATTGCCCATTTTTCGCCGGTCTATGGGACTTGCAAGTCGACGCAAAGTACGCTGCGACTCTGAACGAGAAGAAGCGCTTGTGTTCCAGAGTACACATCGTCAGACCGGGATGACCTATCATCATAGTCGATTCTTCCAGGCAGTGGAAACCTACTGCAGCCGTGCCTGGATTGCCCAAGAACTGGCGGTAGTGCGGCGTGTAGTCCTACTCTTGGGAACGGCTGAGCTAGATCTCAATCAGCTTGCTGAAGAAGATCGACTTCGAGCTACTCGAGAAAGGTTCGAGCTCGGCTGGTATCCTAGCACATGGCCAAAAATATTCCTCTATCGGATCTGAGCTTTAGCAAACGATTATAGGTGGGAAGGCAGGCGTCATTGGGCTAGGGTACATAGCCGCCTATGCCTTCTTCACCTGGTGTCGCAACACTGTGGCAAGCAATGCCCCCGTGAACGGGATCGAATTTATTCCTTAAGGATCTTTGTATTGAGGGACACGATCTATATTGATCGAGTATGATATACCGTCAATGGACTTGTTATTCCGCATAATCCAGATCTCGCAACGATCACTATGCTTTTGCGCAGCTCTCGCACTGGTTGGAGCACTGGGGCAAGATGAAGACATGGGAAATTGGACTTACGTATATCTGGCCGTCAAGCTCCGCAGCGCTCATCAACCAACCCGACACAGCACCCCATCAGACGTTGATCCACAAATTCTCTGCGCAGGATCTGCTCAGGGACGTATGGTGAGATGGCGTTAAACCTCATCAAGGAAACTTTCGAGTCTCCCAGGTCTTGGCCATTATCATGTTTGGGTCGAGGACAGTGTGTCCTTCGTGCGCTTCTGAAGCATGAATATCGGTCTTGAAAATTTAACCTTAGGGCCGCCCTACAAGATTACATCTTGGGCGATATATAGAACATCTTGCAGCTCTTAACCATGTTCGGACTCGTGCGCCTTCCCACGGCGCAGTGCCTCTCCGAATCCCTTGTGTACAACTACACCAGACACAGTGGCTGACACAAAGAAACTGGATTTCTAGAGTACAGATGCTTGTGAGAACTCGGTGTATAACACAGTCAAAAGAACATTATTCCATGGTCGATCCCAATATCTCCTAGCAAACCGAAATATAGTTCAGATTGTCAGCCACTACGAGACCTAACGATAACTTACTCACCCTAGTCGCGCAGAAGCTATGAGAGGATGTCTTGATTGGCAATATATCCGCGACGAGCAGCCACCCACGTCCAACCCACGACCCCGGCAACCTGTGGACGTGCATCCTCACCACAAATACATGTCACCGTCCCCGGGGGTTGCAGCAGGATGGGTGCGGTGAGGACAGTGGAACAAATGTCGCGCTCTTGACTGATTGCGACCAAAACAATATCACCGTGTGGTTTGGCCGAATGTATACAACTCTGGGAAGCCTGTAACCATAGCGTCCACATGTCCGGCAACAAAAAGCGAATTATGTACGCGCGCCATACTAGGGTGTTCCAAAGCAGGTGAGACGAAGCCGCTTTGTCCAAATTTAGTTTTGTTTTACTTGAGCTATAACTTTATGTGCGTTCAGGTCGTGCTGGATGATCATCACGATTCTTCAAATCGCCTATGTGTTCGACTGTTTAGGAACAGACAGGTTCCTCTTCGGAACTCAATGCCAAGAAGTTTCAAAAGGAGTACACTCAAGTCCGACTAGTGCACTTGCGATACGCGACCTCCGTCGCGATCCCAAGTAACATCCGCGGTTTGGTATCTGTATTGTAGATATAATATGTAGCAATGAACCAGGCATTCATTGCCTTCAGACGAAGATTCTCCAAGCAGCACCAGCGGGTAAACATCGCTACCGATGACGAAGGCTTAAATTATGCAGAGCCCCATCTTGAGGTCGCTGACTTCGCCCGAGAGGCACGGGCAATAGAAACATCGGACTGTGTGGGTAAGCGTATGCCTTCTGACTGGTTCAAGCCGAAAGAGTGCGACAACTGAGGTCCGCTGTACATGCGCCATCCATCTAACAATAAATTGGACCTTTGTGTCGGTGATTGACACTTTCTTTCGCAGCCTCAAGCCACTGCTGCGCTTTCGCGCGAAGTACAAAGGTGGAGATCAGCAACAAGCCTGTCAAAGCCAATTTCGTGATAGTGTTTGATGGTTATCAAGGAGTGGAAAACGCCGGAGGCCTCAACGAGGCTGGCGCTTCCTTTCACAGCGTTCAGTAACCGCAACCACACTAGCCCGTCCGATCTTAAAATACGAGCGCCCAGCGATCCCTCTCTCACGAAACATGCGAGACGTACGACACGCTCCGCACCAATGGCCCGATACCTCATGGGACTTTCGTGTATCGCTAGTCCGCACTTGGGGCGGAAAGCTGGGATGCTAAAATGCTCAATGCGGAACACCCGTGAGGCTTAGAAGCTCAGCCGCAGGGATCGCGCACGAAGGATTACACGGCGTGCGATCAGCTGCGAGCATGCGCGCACGTAAGTGTGGATACTTGTCCCCTCACTTTTCTCGAGGCTCTCTCTTCGAGGTTTCTGAGCTTACAACGTTGACGTTGTCGATTTGAATTCATCGTGAGCCTTGGGGACCGAATATGTGCTGCGAAAGATGAGCCACTGGACATGTTACACGGACCCTGCCACCTGTTTGGAAGTATCAGGCGCAGTGCCGACGTCTGGTGCTGACACTGAGCCAACGGATGTGTTCTTCCCTAATCCGACAAATGGTGCCGGCGACGAGGGCAAACCGAAGACTACGAAGACGACGCGCACCGCTGACGACGGAAAGCCAGTGCAGACAGACGACAACACGAAGCCAGAGGCAACCAAGCCACTAGAGTCAAGCTCGATACGACACGTAACTGTTCTAGCTACCACAGTATCTGGGTCGACCGCCGAACCAACCATCGCAGTCGAGACGAGTGTACCAAGTGTTGCTGCAGGTACAGCAAATGGAAACAATGGATCAGGTGGGGGAGGAGGTATGTCTCCAGGAGCTGTAGCAGGCATTGCAGTCGCGACAGCCATTGTCGGTGCTGCCATTGCATTCTTTGCTGCCTTCGTGCTGTTCAAGCGCCGAAGACCGTCGCGGCACGGACACAGCGAGTCGTCCACGAATTTCATATCAAAGGGAGAACAACCTTCGTACGTCCAGATCTCACAAGTTGGCCCCCCGCCTGTCCTCGCGGCCGCCATTCTCCCGACAAATCGCGGTGTCGATCTCTCTGATTTATCGCATTCTTCGGACTTCCTAGCTGCCGTGCTGCCACCAGCTGCAGACGAACAGGCAGTCAAAAGCAGAGTCACCGCAGTATTTGGTCAGATTCTCCAACACGTAAACGATTTCTACCGCAATGTACATGCTACATTGACGCCGAGCATGGGAAATGATCTCAAGAAATTCTGCGATTCGTCCGTGAATCTTGCTGAAGAGCTGGAGCACTCGTCCATGCCTACGATAGCGATTAAGCACGCTCTCGTTGGCTATCTTTTGAGTATCATAGCGCCGGAAGCGGAGCAACAGTCCACTCTGTTCCCCGCCGAGGTTGCAGGTCTAAGGCAGGACGAACGCTCTTTCGAATCACCCGGTCAGATCACTCCGTATCGCACCCAGCATTTCCTTTACTGACATGCAAGTGAAACAGATGACCAAGCCGCCTACATCCTCTACAAACGCCTCGCTGCGCATTTGTACGCACCTCCCATCTCTTCCCTCCAATCCCGCCAATCCGACATCCGCGAAGCAGCCGAGCACTTCGCGCTCACTTTCTTCCCCTGGGCAAATCCCGCCTATGCCGACCAAGACAAGGACGAGAATCTAGTAGACGTTATAAACAATGCTTTAGATCTGAGTTTGTGGCTCTTCGGACAACCGTACCTGTATGAGTGGGTGTGGGAGGACGTGGGCAGAAGGGGAATGGTGGTCAGTCCAGGGCTGGTGAGGGTAACAGATGAAAGAGGCAAGATGTTAGATAGGCCGAGAAAAGTGGTAGACGCTGTCGTCGCAACCAGCTGAGTATGGACACGGAATTGAATCTTCACGGTTGTGCATATCCATAATTGAGCGTTGCGAGCGATAACGTGATGGCGTGTCGAGTCCGGTATCTTCGTTGCATCATGCTGTCACCCAAGCTCCTTCCTCCAGCCAATGCCGGACTTCCAAATACTACTTACAAAACCCAGCTACTCTACGACCACGCACATACACATGTGATATGTTGCGGTCGTCACCAGACATGACGTACTTCTCAAAGATTGTGCGGACCGAATCGCCCTCCTCGCGCGGTGTCATTGCAGATTGCAACCCCGTCGTGGTCGTGATCCACGATGCATCGAACTGTTTGCCGACCTTGAAATTCCCAATCTGGTCATCAAGACACAGTACCTGCGCACCTCCCAAAGTGGCAAGATAAAAAACCTCCTCCAACGTAAGCCCTCTGTCCGCACCCTGAGACATGACCTCTTGGGCGTTCGAAGCAATCATGGTCTGCCGGATGACAGACAGCATCTGCGACGCCCATCCACCACCACTGTCCGTACCAAGCCCAACCTTGATCCCGCGCCGCATAAAGTCCCGTACAGGAGCAACCATAAAGCCACCCCCGACTGTCATGTTCGCGATCGGGCAATGGGCAACACCGCACTCCAGCGCCTTCAACCGCTCTTTGTCGTAGTCGGTCATGATGGTGCAGTGTGCGAGAATGGATCTTCGCCCCAGAAGGTCGAAGCTTTCATATAGATCAGCCTCGCTTCTCGCGGCAAGATCTGGGAACAATTCTCTGGTTGCGTCGATCTCCTGTTGGGCCTCGTTGAAGTGTGTCTGCATGGCAAGGTCGGTGTCGGCGTTCATCATGTCGCCCAGGCCTCTGAGCAATTTGGGTGTACAGCATATTGCAAATCGAGGAGTCAGAACGGGTTTTACCAGTGCATACTCTGGGTCACTGCATCCCGGTAGTTGTCGAATATGCGCGACGCAGTCCCAAGTCTCGCGCAGGGAAACTTCAGCACTTTGCTCGCATATGTACTCGGGTGCATTGCGGTCCATGTTACATCTAGGCACAACTTAACAAGCGTTATGGACAGGGAATAATTGAGCCCAATTTATTTTGTTCCACTTACTTGCCGACGAACGCCCGCTGCCCCTTCTCAAGACATATCTCAGCCAAGATGCGCGTTGCCTCAGCATGCCGCGAGCCATAGTACGAAGCGGTCGTGATACCTTGCCTTAAGAAGTCGGAGACAGTGTTCTCATACGTCTTGCGGGCATATTCGGCATCCGCGAAACGTGCTTCCACGGGAAAGGTGACTTGATCCAGCCATTCGAGGATGTGTAGGCCTTGTCCTAGACCACGCATTGGCCATTGCGGCGCGTGGTTGTGCGTATCGACGAAGCCGGGAATCAGGATTTCTCCGGGCGCCAGATGGTATACTTCGGCACCGGGGATGGACACAGCCTCGTCGCAGGACTTCTCGAGTGCGACTATCACGCCGTCCGCATCCACGATAAGCGTGCCATTCTCGATGACCTCGAGTTCACCCAGGCTGATGGAATGGACGATCGCACCGTGGAAAACCTTCGATGTCATGTTCAATGACAAGATTGCCAGGTGGGGTGCCTATGGGCGCAGAAAATTGCATTCATTTGACGTTACGATGGGAAATCCCGTAAGCTATAGAGGTAGGAGCGATCGCGGACTAGTTCGGCCGCTAGTTGCCCCGCCATGAAGCTCACTCCAGGACATGCGTTTGCAGTTGTCTACCTACTGCACTGTTCTTATCGAAAAGCTACCTCTACTAGAAGGAGCCGAAATCATTTCTTTACGTTTGGCCTTCTCGTATCGGCCTCTGCATCGATCTGTAATTTCAATACCGGCGCTGCCGATTGCCAACTCGGTCTTGGCCTATGGAGAGAACGCATTGATGAGCCGACAATCGTTATTTGTCTACCTTTTTACTGGACACCACTTCGTGGATATTTACATGTCAACAATCAGAAAGCTCATGGAAAGAGTACCGACGCTCACATATATGTTATATCACGCCTTCCCCCAAGGCCTTTTTATTCCACTGGCGCCACAATGCATTTATATTCTGCTCCAGTATCATAGCTTTAAAAAGAGGGGTCACTACCTCCCGCATACACTACGCCGGCTTTTCGACAGGTCTCCCGGAAGATGCAGTACATATTTGATACTTTTGGCGATTCTACCACTTCTTCATGGTCTATTGGCATCCTCCACAACTGGATTACCATATGTCATTGCGGACTCGGAGTGGAAAACATGATACAGCAGAGTTGTGTGGGACGTGATCTCGATTGTACTTGCTTACTGGCCCTCAAGCCCGAAAAGTGAGTCGAAAGGCAGGGGGCTCGTTGAAGCCCTCGCAGTTGACGCGAATTCGCACGAGCGAGAGCTGACTAAGAGTTGTGATCTGGTAGCAAAGCGCGAGTGCTACATTGAAGCCTTCCACCGCGTGTAAGAGCAAGCCATTCTTCATATTCGCTTACCTATACATAAGCGGCTATCATTTGACCCGGTCTCAAGGCGGGAGAGCGACACCATTTTCCCGGTTACGAAACATGGCTGTGTAAAACTAGGGTAGTTTTCATTTAGCCACGGAAAAATTTGCACCCGACTTCGAAATGTTCTATACGGTGACCAATGCCAGTCTTCATGATCTGAAAGTCATCAAGTTGCTAGCTGAACTAGGGATTAATGGCTGAGTGGTACTGTAGATCACTATCAGAATATTATAGTATGTAACACCTGTATACTGCGGGCCATTGGTGGTAATGTTACGAGAAGACATCCTGAACCCTTCTGGTGCGGCTCCCATGCCGGCGTCAAGCAGCCATCGCGATATATATTGCTTTTGAATAGTGAATCATTTGGAGAGCGTTTGTCTATAATAAAGCAAAAGCCGAACGTAGGGAGAGCCAGGACGTTCCCTCTGAACCTACACCGAATCCATCTAGTCGTCATCATGCGCTGGCAAAGCACTTTCGTGACACTTGTTGCCATCTCGTCCACAGCTCTGGCTCACTGTACGTACACGAATACAACTTTTTGCTTGACGTTGATTGACCGTTCGTCTGGTAGGGAACTACGAATCGGTCCTACTCAACGGCAAAGACACTGGAGCCTATCAATATGTACGATCCACAAAGAATAGCAACAGCCCAGTGCAGGACATCTCTTCCAAGGACATGGTGTGTAACGTGGGCGGCAATGACGCCGATGTCATCGCCAAGACCAAAACGCTCAGTGTGAAGGCTGGAGATCAGATTGGCTTCCGCATCAACAGCGTCTTCGGTCATCCTGGCATCCAGCAGGTGTACATGAGCAAAGCTCCCAGCACTGCAGCGACCTACCAGGGTGACGGCGATTGGTTCAAGGTTTACTCTCTCACGACCTCGAACCTGACCAACGATCCAATCTTCTGGGCCCCATTCCCAAACAACGTCGGCATCTCAGACTTTAGCTTTACGCTCCCTACCAGCCTCCCCAATGGTCAGTATCTCATGCGCGCAGAGGGTCTCGCGCTGCACGGCGCTTCAACAGTCGGCGGCGCGCAGTTCTACATCGGCTGTGCGCAACTTGATGTCACAGGCGGCGCGAGTAGTGGCACTCCTGGTCCAATCATCAAGTTCCCAGGCGGCTACTCGACGAGCGACGCGGGCATTCTCGTCAATATGTACTGGCCTCCGCTACGGAGCTACACTCCACCTGGACCAGCGACGTGGCCTAATAAGTGTGAGGATCATTCGCCTAATCTCCTTGGAAAGACTAGCGACGGAGACTGCACACCCCTAGCCAAGGGAGCAACAGGTTGATATTGGACTCTTATATTTTAGTCATCATCTGAAGGAGTATTCATAAAATCGGCTTGTAGCAACTGGCGCAGTGTGTGAGTGACTGCTCAAAACGCCATACATGTATGATTCACGGTTTGCCTCGCAAAAAGTGTGTATTGCTCTACCAAGCTAAGGAAGATATGCTGCCCTGAGCATTTGCTTCCATGATCTTGGACTTCCTATGTATTCAGAAAAGCCGATGCACCATTCCTTGTCGTCATAGCCAGCCACTCACCACCAAAGAATACTCAACCGGAAGCACAACCTTTGGTAGACAATCTTCGTAATCGCAAACACGTCGAACCTCGACTGGTGGCCCTGGTGCAGAGCTAACCAAGCAAGGCGCAGTGGTTGTCGGCCCACTGTCCATCAAGCGAGGCGCAAGCCGCCTGCTTGACGTCGAGTGTGGCCTGGCCAGCCTGAGACAAGTTGAGAGTGCAATTGCCGTTGACAAAGCTGCCATGAACCTGGGTGCATAGCTGCTCCGGGGTGTCGATGCCCGTGACGTGCTGGAGAAAGTTCTCGGAGTGTGAGAGGTCGATGGTGCAAATGGGCATAGTGTCGGCCTTGTAGTTGCCCTGGAGCATCTCGCAGAGATGGTCAGGCAGGGTGACCGCAGTTACGTCGTCGTACATCTTGTGGACTCTTGAGCTCGTTAGAATTTACAATCATGTTGCCTCGGCACCGTAGACCTGTTCGGGTGCCTGGTGAGAGAGACTTACTCGTCGATGGAGATCTTGGGCTGCTCATCCTGAGAGTCCTCGTACCGGCAGAAGTAGCAGGTGCCGATGGGGAATGCCAGACACATGATCTACAACGAGCGAAGTTAGCTCAGACATCTGCTTCCTTCTTTTTGCAATATCTACATACATAGCAAAGAACACAGCGGCTGCTACACTTGCTGTCAGAGACCTGTGAGGCCAACGACATCTTGGACAAGTATTGGTGACTACTTGATGATGAAGGTTGAGGTAGACTGTCGCTGTGACGGCGTCGTAGTAGTTTCGGGTCTCGGAGAACTTGATCAAGGGGGGAGAGGGCGTGGTATTGAAATTTGTGGAGGTTCGAATGGATTTGTGTGCGAGTATCGAGTCTTTGGGAAAGGCTAGGTGATGCACGGTCACAATCACCGCTGGAATCAACCCGTCAAACGGCCAGTGCGAGTGCGAGAGCCCGTTTGCTGCGCATGGTGGACGGCCGGTACTAAAGCCAGTCCAGATAATGCCTTTTTTAATTGCCCTCAGCGAGCATCAACTTTAGTGGATGTAGTCTTGCAGATTCATGTCATACGACGCTCAAAAACCAAGGGGGAATAAGTAGGCCATAGAACCTTCAGCTTCGCCATATCTATTGCAATTGGCTCTTCTGTAGAGTCTTGATAGCAGTCCGTGAGAGAGGTTCTGTAGCCGTTCACAGCTCTTTGCGTGGAGTATGATCTATCGAGTAAGAGACTCAGTGCATGTGCGACAACATTACCTGGAGGAATGGGCATGGTGAATCACCGAGCTTTAGCGGCTTTCTGGTCCTATATCAGGGGAAAACTAAATTAAATCGAGAAGGTTGTGAGAGCTGTGAAAGAAATTCGACTTCAAAAGAATGCTGGTCATTTGCTGATAGCGCGAGTTCAAAAAGTATTTGATAGGTTCTTGAACAATATATGTCCTCTCTCAAGAAGAGGGTGCCTCTTTCCACGCATTGAAAAGGCCGTAACAATAAGGTCACGATAGTTTCACAACAAGTTCTGGAACACTCGTCTAGTTGAGACCAACTTGCGACTAGTGCGTGAATTAGTGATGTGTCTTGTGTCGCTGCGTCTTTCAGACCGTGCCTTGCGGACATTATGTGAGGCTACTGAGATCGCAGTAGCTGACATCAAGAAGGGGAATACATGCTGGGCGCGGACCTTCTCTTGAACTTAACTCAGTCTAATGGACGCATATAGACTTATCGCGGGATAAACAATCGTGGATATTTACAGTTTGATTTGCCCCAAGCTTTACTAAATTTACTGTCGGTCATGGTGGATGTTCCATTACAAACCGAAGAGCACGTGGTGTGGCGGGGCAATGCAATGGTGGTGCTTACTTGCCATGATCGGCATCCTCCTCTTCATAATGATAAGCACCTTTCATTGTTCCACGCGACTCGACGATATGCTCTTTTAGTCCTCGAGCGCCTTTTCAAAATGCTTCACTTTTATCCCAAGCGATTCGAGGTCAGTAATTTTGAAGCACACCGTGACTAGCATTATACGTTCGACAGCTTGTTGACGAAGGCGTTTTGCGCAGATCGATGTCCACGTGGAGGACCTCGAGCTTCTCCATAAGAAGCTACAGTTTGCACGCCTCCCAATTGGGGATTCGGAAAGTACCTGGGGAGAGGATAATGGTATCACTGTCGCTTTCATGCGAAGCTTGATCGAGTATTGGCTCCAAGAGTACGATTGGGCGTCCGAGAAACGTAAAATCAACGAACTTCCACAGTTCAACGTCAAAATTGAGCTTGGAGACTGGGGAATCTTCGATATCCATTTTGTTCACGCACCCTGTGAAAAGAAGACTGGGATACCGCTGTTATATTTGCACGGATGGCCGGGAAATTTCACCGAAGTGCAAAACATACTGGAACCACTCCGATCTGCTGGGTATCATGTCGTGGCTCCTTCTCTTCCAGGGTTCGGCTTTTCGTCATACGCTACTAAGCAAGGGTTCAAGAACTGGCATTCTGCAGAGCTGGTGCATCGACTCATGATCGGACTTGGTTATGAACGATATGTTGTAGCAGGTGGTGACTGGGGAGCGATGATAGCATCATCAATGGTGCGACTGTATCCGGAATTTATTCAGGCTCTTCATCTTACTAATGTAAGCCTTTCTTCACCTCGTCGGTCAGCAGCCACTCAATACATAACACTGCATAGGTTTTCGTCAAGCCACCTGAGAACAGTAGCGCGTTGGAGTACTCCAAGTTCGAGCAGCATTCTCTGAGCAAAATGGTATGGTTCCAGCAGGGACAAGCCGGCTATGGCCAGATTCAAAGCACGAAACCACGCACCCTTGGCTTTGCCATGCACGATTCTCCAGTGGGCATGCTTGCCTGGATGGCCGATAAGCTCCTGATGTGGCGGGACGACTATCAATGGACCAAGGACGAGATCATCACGTGGACGTTATTGCATTACTTCCCCGGTCCCTCGACCGCCTTCCAAATGTACTTTGAGAATCTGTCGCTGGCTACTTCGGGTGAAATTCCGCCGGGAACTGAAAGATACGTCAAAGTGCCCACCGCAGTAAGTGCTTTCGCAGAAGAGGTCTTCATGGTGCCGCGAAGCTGGGCTGAGAAGGATTTCAACATCGTAGAATGGCAGGAGCATCCAAAAGGTGGTCATTTTCCGGGCTATGAGCAGCCCAAGGAGCTGAGTACGGACCTTGACAAGTTCTTCAAAGCGCAGTGGAAGCGCTAAGAGCCCCCCAGCCACGGCTTTCAGTCTGTCTAGAGATCGATCTCTCGTTACCTTGCGGGAGTCGACGTATAGCGGTTACCTGCACATATGATGTTGCAGAGTGTTGTTGTAGCCAGTCATGTATTTGCGCATTGACTTACCATCATGCCCACAAACCTTATCCTCTCCAACGCGTTTGTATACAGAAGCGTGCCTTCAAGGTTGTAACTCGTAGTGTTGAAAGGGAAAGCGAACGTGTGCAGAAGTAGCTAGGTGAGTGCTGCCATGCTTGTGATTTTCCTACAGAGAACTACCACGTGCACATCTTCCGGGTGCGGAGCGCTTAGGCTGTGCTCCTACCGGCTGATTGTCCCTGTCGCGGTCCGGATGCCCGACCACGACATCCTGGCACATCGCGCAGAGAACTTCCGCGCAATATCATCGAGTTCAACGAAGCTCTCGCAGATGGAGCAGAAATGCTAGTTAATGCGGCTGAAGATCGCGCATTCGAGAATACAAGCCAGCCTAAGGTACAACTCAAGTATAGAAATCTACATCCTCTCCAAATACACCTGCCGCGGACAACTACACTATGCACTTCGCCGCTCAACACTATATATGTGCAGCCAGCCACGCCTTTAGACGCTGCACATTATAGTGCCCTGGCGTAGAGAGCTCGCTAACGCCACCACTGGAAGAAGCTGCATCCGCTTTGCGCGAGTTTGACCTATCATATATTCGCCTACAATTTATCCCGTGCACCTCCACCGCGACGCGCCCGAAGATTTCCAATCGGCACAGACGATGCCTGGAAAGCTTGATTCTCGTCTAATCAACATCAATATACGCAAAATGTGTCGTCTTAGTTCGATTACTTGGTACTCTTACCAGCCGCGAAGACTTGTGATAGCACGAGTGGTCCGCGAGACGCGAGGCAGTCTTCTGGAACCGCGAATTGATTGCGGACGAGGGACAGGATATGACCGAGTGACTGGGTAGAGCCGGCGCAGTGTCTCTTATACGGCTAGAAGAGCTGCGTGTTCCTTCTTCCCTGGATGATGTCTGCTCGGTTTTCTGTCGCTCTTCTTGACCACCGCTGTCGCTATCATCATGCCAAGCGCTCGTCGTGGACGCACCGGGAGGTCGCGTCTGTGTCGGACACTGTGTTGTGCCACATATTTACATCTTACTGTGGCAATGGCGCAAACAGGTGAGTGCCTTTCCTAGCGTTCCACAGCTGCGTTTCACGATGTCTCTGTCAAGGCTCTTCGCTAACATCAGATGTAGTCGTAGCTAGCCAGACGGATGTGACGGCTGTAGCGGCAGAAATGTTAGCAGCCAGTGGCGTTGATTTGATACCATCGGATCATCGTATGTAGCCCTTATGCCGCTATCGTTCCTACAAGCATGGGTCCTGATTAGGCGTTACGTGTACTAGGAATCGCTTTTATAGCTTCTGCGCTCAAGACTTCGACGAAGTTTCCCACGGGTCTCATACCTTCAGCTCCTCGAACTTCATCCATTGTGCCATCGGAGATTGAGGAGCGCTTCTTTCCCACGGGCCTCATACCGTCGGCACCTCGGTCTTCAAGTACAGTACCAGCGCCTATTACCACGATTTCTGAGGGCACTCCAACACCAGCACATACGGCGCTGATACCTTCCGCACCAGTCTCCTCAATACCAGAGCCGACCACTTTAAGTACAATTACTTTTCCCACACTTACTCTTCCCGCCCCCACCAACGGTACAGTCCCGGTTGGCACCACCAATGTCATCCCCACGTTCTCGCCAACGGGTATGACATCCACACAAGAAGGTCTCCACCCCATACCAGCACCGAGTACCAATCCTGGTGATCCAGATGGTCACCACGAAGTTCCAGAGCCCAACTTCACAATCACAGTCCCATGTCGCGGGTGTTCACCTGTTGTCGAGATCACAGCTACAGGTTGGGGAACTGTGCCCACATTCCCAATCAAAATCCCGCCTGCACAAGAGGTAGAGACAAAAGCGAGCAGCTCTCCAGTCATAACCCTTTCCGTTGGCCCATCCAATGTGGTGATCAAACCCAACCCATCGGGCAGCGACTTCGTCATTGGCGATTCCACAACCATAAAACCCGGCCAAACCGTCACAGTAGGCGGCTCCCCCGTCGCAGTCCACACCTCCAATGGCCACACCGACGTGATCATCGGTGGCACGCAGACTATGCCTCTACAGCCGCCCACCAACCCACCCGTCGCCACAGTAACAGTAGGCGGCAGCCCTATCGCCATCAAACCAGCGCCCTCCAGCGGCGCCTTCCTCATCGGCGACTCCACCGTCGCCCCCGGCCAAACCCTGACCCTCTCGAACACTCCTATTGCCATCCACACCTCGGGTGCCCTCACACAAATCGTCGCAGGCACCCAGACCATCCCTCTCGCCCCAGCGGACGCACAGATTACAGACGCCCCCGTCCCCATCCCTATCGCCCTCCCAAACGGCGCCACACTGACACCGCTCCCGATAGGAGCAGATGGCTCGAGTCCCCAGGGTTACATCCTCGCCTCGCAAACCCTCCTCCCCGGCGGCGCCCCCATCGTCGTTTCGGGGACCACCTACGCCCTCGCACTGGGCGCCACCGCGCTCGCGATAAACGGGCAAACAACCACCCTACGCCCGTCTTACGGCGCGCTCCTGACCACCGTGGCTGCTCCGCCATTGACGCTCTTCGGCACGGTGTATACGGCGAATCGCGCGGGGTACTATGCCCTCGCGCCGGGGACAACGCTGGTGCCTGGCGGTCCGGCCGTGACGGTGAGTGGGACGGTGATTAGCCTTGTGCCGGAGGGAACGGCGGCGGTTATCCAGGGGAGCACGAGTGCGATGCAGCCGCTCACTGCGGTGGTTACCGTTGTAACGAGTGGGGATGGAGTTGGGCAGACGGGGAGCATGGAGGGCGCGCCGCTGCCGACGGTGGGGAAGCATAGTGCTGGGATGAATATGAAGAGGGGAGGGGCGTGGATTGACGAGGTGCTCGTGCTGGGGATGCTCGTTGTGGCGTGGTTGGGGATTCGGTTGTGAGGGCTATGGGGTGGCGTTGCATGGGTGGAGTTACGGACTGTTTGACATCAGGTTCGACTTCTTTCCTCGACCAGCTTGGACGTGTATCGGGCAAGTACAAAACATGCGCAGGACGGGATCCCTCGCATGAAATCGAGCGGAGATACAGTACCATGCCTATATTCTAAATATTCTTAGTGGCCCCAGTTTCCCTAGGGTTAACTATTAAGAATCTAAAGCTGAATAGAAGCTTTTATCTGGTCTTCAATTTTCCATGAGAGGGGACCACAATCGACACTTCAAGGTTTTGAACACTGATTCTTTGGTTCTGTCAGATCTACCAACCCAAGTAAAACGTTGCGTCGCAACAGCCATCGAGTGTGTGCCTATATACACAAGTGTACCACCAACTCCAAATTCCCGTGCCAAATCCAGATGAAGCCCTACCGTTCAAATGCTCGTACATAGATACAAGAATGCCTCGCGCCGCACTCTTTTCTTATTTCCTTCTTTCCCCTTTTCGCTCTCGTTACTCGCACTGCGTCTACATCCCCTCCTCCATGCCGACATTCCGCCACCACGGCTTATCCATCAGCATCTCCTCGGCATCGCCCACCTGCCGCCTCTCACTGACTTCCATGCCTACTTGTCCGCTCAGCTTCAGCCGCATGCTCCGATTACCCTGTGCCCGTCCTCGAGAGGACCGGATCATCTCTAGTTCCGAGGATGTCCACTCGTCTCTCCGGACTGGTAATTGCTATTGCAGCGGCTCCGACGAGGAGCTCAGGCGGTTGAGGTGAAGGTAGACGTCGGTGCCGTAGCTGCAGAGGTGTTAGCTAGCTGTTGGAGTCATTGTGCATGAGTGCTGGGGGAACTCACCCCTCCATGCTAATCAACTTCAGGTCGCCGCCGAAATAGCGCGCGTAGAGCCGCGAGATAGGTAGCCCGTAGCCGAAGCCTGCCATGGGCGCCTTGAAGTCGCTCTTGTTGAAGTCCGGATCGAGGCTGGGCGTCTGATCGACCGTCGTGTACATGTACGTCCACACCAGCGGAATCGCAGAGCGCGGGATGCCGCCGCCCTCGTCGGTGATCTTGATGGTGATGTCCTCCTGGCCTTCGGCAACTATGACCTTTGTCACGGGGAAGTCCTCTTTGTCCTGGCCCCTCGTCTCGACGACAGCGCGTAACGAGTTCTTGAGCGTCTCGAAGAGCATGTGCGAGAGGTGGCCGGGGACGTACATGAAGCTGATGTCTGGGTTGCAGACGAGCTGGACCTTTGGCGCCTCGAACAAGCCGTAGTGGTCTTCGCAGACGAAGCGCGCGTTCTCAATGGCCTCCTGCGCGAGCTCGCGCACGTTGGTCTTGGTGCAGATGATGCCGACGTAGTTGGGGTCGGAGCGCTGGCGCTGGTCGGTGAGGGCAATGTGCTGGCCGATGAGCATGCGGATGCCGATGCGGCTCATGTAGAAGCGGTCGAGGAAGGCCTGGATGTTGTGGTCGATCTGCATGCGCTGCTTCTTGCGCTTCCATTCTAGGATGCCCTGTGCGACGGTCGTGACGACGCTGTCGTGCCGCCGCTTGATCTTCTCCAGCGCCTCGGCGAACTTTGTGTTGTAGGCGGCCAACTCGACCGGCCACTCCTGCCCGTCGTCGGCGGCAGCGTAGTATCTCCGCGCGGTCGCGGCGCCCTTGACTTCCCTGCCGTGGCCGTTGCCATTGCCGTTGGCCGTCTCGGGCAACGACCGGTACTGGCCTGGCTTGATGCTCGGGTTCTGCGAGCCCTTGGACGTCAATTCGGTTTTCTTCGCCGGCCTCAAGAGGCGGTTCTTGACCTCGGAGGAGATGTTTGGCCGGGAGAGGTTGGTAAGCTCCTGTGATAGATGAGTCAAAAGCGCCGCAACGAGGCAGCGCAGCACCTACGTCGAATGACTGTGCATACCAGTCCCGCACCCTGCATATCGAGGGCATCTCATTGAGGCCATCGGGCAGCTCGTGGAGCTCTTGCACGCGGTGGGCCAGTCGTATGGGGAGCTCTTCGGAGAGGAATTGCGATGCGCGGAACAGTGTGCCTGTAGATGGTTTCTCGCCGAACTGGACCATCTGCCGGAGAGATACACCTATCACAGGTTAGCAAAGGGCGTAGCCGTGGCTGCGATGCACGCACTGGTCGCCGGGAAGTTGCTGTAGTGCTGCTGCCGTTAGCACATGGCACTTGGGACTTGGGAAGAGCACCCGGGTCGCACTTTGATGGTGTCCATCAGCCGCTCTGAGCGTTTCCACGACATGATGGCAAATTAAAAAGGCCACCCGGCCTGCTGCGCTGCGTCGTCGCCAAGGTGTCGTTGGAGTTCAATCGATGTATCAAAGACGCATGCGACCGACGCACGAGCGGTCTGCGTCTGCACTTCCGCCGCCCCGCCTATGACGCTTGACTCGATGAGATGCTGGGCCGAGGTACACCACAGTCGCGAACGGCCGGCGACGAAGTGCTATGGACGGGCAGACAGTGAGAGGAAACGAGCACAAGAGTAACGCGTACAAAGTGTGGTGTTGGTGACGCGCACGGCAATTGGACGTCGTCTGCCGGCGGAGACGGATCGAGGCCAGCCCAAGCTCCCCACCCTTTGAGCCTCTCTCCCGCGGCGAAGCTCTTTCACGTGGAGAGAAAAAGCACCGGATGCGCGCGTGATGCCGTAAAATCCCGCGCGGCTGACGCGACGCCGTCTCGTAATGTATTTGGGGCAGTACAGTTCGTCTTCTATCATGTCAATTGCTGTCGCCCACGCAGCGTTCCAGCAGCAGGGATGCATTCGGCAAGCGACCGGAGCAGCTCATCCTCGGGAATCAACCCTCTGTCAACACAACTTCCACAGCTCCGAGATGCCCGCGTGCGCACCATTGGCCGCGCACATCACTATCCCTGGTGCATCACCACAAGAGCCCACTCAAGCCCCAAATCAAAACTGCCGTGCACGTCATTACGAAGATACTTGGCGTGTACATCACGATGACGCTTCTGTCGGGAGAGGAGGAGATGGTATTTCGAGTGCGGCCAAGTCCTAGACCAGTCCCTATGCTGCAGCTGTAAAAGCAACCGTCTTGCGCGAGACACCACACATATATTACATGTATACAAGACAAACAACTGCGTCGCACCTCGGCCCTAATCGTACGTCTATCATATCTGCTGATGCTACAAGTCGGAACAAAAAGGGTTTTGACTGGAGAATTCAAGGAATCATGTCGGAGGAAGAATCGAAAGAGAACACGAGTGCACGCCGCGGGACGTTTACTTGGTCTCGTTCTGGAGGAAGGTGATGAGGTCGTTTCGGTCCTTGGGCTTCTTGAGACCGCCAAAGGCCATCTTGGTACCGGGAATGTACTTCTTGGGGTTCTCGAGGTACTCGAACTGAGAAGAGTCAGCTGTGATCCGTCCAGGCGCAAGGCGTACGTAGACGCACCAGGGTGTCGTTGTTCCACTCGCAGCCCTTCTGCTTGTTGGCGTCGGTGTATGAGAAACCCTCGACCTGGCCAGACTTGCGGCCAAAGAGACCGTGCAGGTTGGGGCCGATCTTGTTACCCTCACCCTCCTTCAGGGTATGGCACTGAGCGCATCGGGTCTGTTGCTCGTCAGAATCGGAACGTCACGGCCGGGGTCGCGGCGAGGCCATTGAGCGCGGTTTGGTGTCTGCCGTACCTTGAAGAGGTTCGCACCCTTCTTAGCATCGCCTATAGAGATGGGTCAGCAGCGTTCATGATGAGATAAGAGCTGTAGCAGCCGGCGTGTCCGATGCGCCTGTCTCTGCCGGACATTGAGCGCAAAGTCGCCACAAGGTGATAGGCACCCCAGGAGTCGTCGAGAAGGCCTTTGGAATGATTCCCAGGCTGTGCTCGCTCCTCGGCACACAATCCGATGCGATGCAATGGCTCAATGTCTGGAGCAGAAGCGTGGCGACGCAGGCAGCGGGACGGCGTTGGCGACAGCTGTGCCGACGTACCCTGTTCGAAACCCATTGTGATTATAGAGGAGAAGCTGAAGTTGCTTTTGGGATGAGGTGGTAATGGAGTGGATGGGTGGACGGCGAGTGGTTCGGCTTGCGAGATGAGAAGTAAAAAAGCTGATGCTGGGAAAGCAGGAGAGAGTTTTTGAGCGTCACCGGCTTGGCACTAAAAGGGCTCGAGCGGGTCTGGCAGCAACCAATCAGCGCGCGCCTGAAAGAAATCGCAAAAGGACGCTCGGGCGAACCCGGGCATGCCTCGCCGCGCTCCCTCAAGCGGAACCAACCCCCGTTGCCCCGTCGCCGTCCTCCGCGGTGGCATGCTGTGGTTTGCTTTGTGCCTCATCGGAGTAGTCTGGCAATCGCTTCACTGTTGTCTCGAGCAAGCATCCAGCCAACATACTATGCGCCGCCTATGCAGCAGACCGCACAACCAGCTGCGCAAACCTTGGAACCTGCCCACGGCAGCCTCGGAGCAGTGTCGCCCTTGGTACTAACCTGCCCCATCAGCGTCGCCGCCTTCCGCTCTGGTCCTCCTGTTCTCGTGACCTCGTCATTCTACACATTGTGACGTTGGCGATGCTGCTGGCCGCAACCAGTTGCTGAGCACCTTTGCATTCGGCTAGCCACCGCCCACGACGACCTCCAGCCCAGGCCTAAGTACCGTATCCCACGTACCTCCAACCTCGGTCTGCAGCGCACGCTCGCTGCACCCGCCTCCTGCGCCACCCACGCTTCGCGGTCATGAATCAGATCCCGGACGTGCTCTACGCAGATCGCGATTCCACCACATGGCTCATCCTCGGTGCGAGCAGAGGCATCGGCCTCGAGTTTGTGCGCCAGCTGCTCCAGCGCGGCGAGCGAATCATAGCCACGGTCCGCGAGCCCTACGCATCCCATGCCTCCGCGCTGTGGGGGCAGGCCGGCAGCGACCATGGCCGCTGCCAGATGTATATATGTGACGTCCTAAGTGAAGATAGCATCATCGTACGTCTCGTCTGGCGAGTTGCGCCAACATCCTCCGCAGGCATGGCACGCGTGCTCTTTGTTTGACGACGTCAGAGGCGCCGTGCGCTTCCAGTCTGGTTCCTGGGTTGATTGAGAAATTGCGACTGACCAGCGCCACTGCAGAAATTCGTCAGCCAGCTCATGGGCATCCGCAACCTCAAGATAGATTATGTAGTCATAAACGCAGGTGTCCTGCGATATCCCAATGTAAGAGAGACGCGCGCTTAACCATGCGAGGGCTGCGCTGATCAGGGTAGAGAGCGACTGAGCTGTATGTTCCCTGCACTCTTCGCATGTCCAGCAACATCGCATCATGTGCTTTGATCTGAGAACCGCATCCACCCGTCTATTAAACAGATGGTTGAGCCTGCACCACTACTGACGCGCTCCCAGCTCCTTCGACGAGTTCGCCTTCCACCTGCACACCAACACCATCGGCCCGATCATCTGCGCCCAGAAACTCCTCCAAACAAACATCCCCATCGGCACCATAACCTTCATGTCGTCTGACTCGGGCTCCCATGGCAACTTCCGCGAGATGGAAGATGGCTTCGCCGCCTACGCTGCCTCCAAAGCCGCCCTCAACATGGCGATACGGCACATGGCCGCCGAGCTAAAGCGCAAGGACGACGATACGATAATACTAGCCATGCATCCTGGAGAGGTTGCGACGTAAGTTCAAACGCTGCTCGTATAGAGGAGGTGGGAGGTGGCTGGCACTGACTTGAGAGGTTAGGGACATGGCAAACATCAACGTCAGCTGGGAGGTGCAGGGAATCATCACGGCAGAGGAGAGCGTTACCAAGATGGTCGATGTGATTCAGAGCAAGGGCATCCAGCACAGCGGGACCTTTTGGACGTACGAGAACAAGCCGTATGTTTGGTGAGTAGGGCACTGGAAACAGTTGTGCTTATACCCACGTGGCGCAAGAACACTTTCTGCGAGATCAAAAAGAAACATTACATGTTGACAAACCACTTTTGTTGCCGCAGACTGCATGGTGCAGAGTCTTGCCTCGCGACGCGCTGCACTGTTCCGTGCGACGTCATGCTTCGATTCTCGAACTTTGAGCTCAGGTATTGCATTGAGACCAAGCCAGCATCGGGTGCATCAAAGATACTGATGCCGGCTACTCATCCTGCCATGCTACTCAAGTTTCGATCCTCATCTTGCTGCCTTCCGTGACGCATCCCCATGGCAGGGATACTCAGTATTCCAACCCCCCACCCCCCAGAAGCTAGCGGACAATATTTCAGTTTACAATAAGGGTTGTGCCTGAGACGATGAACATGGATTGCCGGTGGCAGAGTGACCTTCTCTCCTGGCACGAGCTCGTGCAAATACTTGCATATCTGCGCACTGCCGTCTGGGCGGGGGTTAGGGCGGCAGTGACCTTTGTGGTACCAGAAGAAACAGATACCAAGTCGTTTGAGAGGCGCATGCTTGGCTAGAGAAAGTGTTGATGACGCTCCACGGTGAGAACCCATCTGGGGGTCCGGGTGTTGATACGTGTTGCGATCGGCGAGCGGTACTTGGGGTGCTTTTGATTGCGCATCGGGCGCTGGATCAGTTGCCGGGCTTTGCAGTACTGTGTCCAGGCCCATTGGCTGAGCGTATCTGATGCGATCAGTGAGAGGATTGGCCACGGGCTTTGCAAGAGGGCCATGCTCCTGCTCAATCAAAGCCTTTTCAGTTGCCACCCAAAAATCTTGGATCCACTTATTGGAGGGATACTTTGATTTGGATGCTTCGCGTACTGTTGCAAGTCGCTTGGCACGGTACATAATGTCATGGCTATCGCCATCGGGACTTCGTAACTTTCGCTCGAGCGCATGCATACCAGCTTGAGGAACAGTGATCGGTGGTGTAAGAGGAGCGGTATCCGGTTGTGGAGGCAGGTCATGCGTTTTTGGGGACACGTCTCGTTCAACCACCATCTCCAGACGCTGACGCTTGGTCGGAACACCATTTTCCTGGCGAAGTAGTCTTACGCTTGCTTCCCTGTGTGTCGGCATGGCTGATGGAAGTTGAAGGAAGAGACGTATGAGGCGGACCTGGTGGCGGGAGGGTTGGTGAAGAACTTAATATTGCGACAGTTCCAGTGTTAGCAAGCTGCGGCATCACGAGCGCACTGCTATCCACAGTGGTGCTGGCGATTGCTGTTGGGAGAGGGACTAGCACTTCCTCCTCCGGAGCGCTACCCATCTTTTGAGCCTCCGCCGAGGTCCTCAGATGCACGCGCTGCTTCTTGCCAGGCTTCTTCTTGCTCCCTGCCTTCCTCTCCATTTGTGAACCGGCATCAACTTCCAAACGAGCGTCGAGACGATCTTCATCGGCGGACGTGCTCGCAGGACCAGCTTCATAGTGCTCGTTGTTGCTGCCTTCTGCATCAGGACGCTTAGTATCCCCTTCACGGTTGATTTCTTCCGCATACTCAACTACAGAGCCCACGTCAAGTTGCTCTTCATCAGGTTGAGTACTTGTTTGATCTGGCTGCCGAGCGCTTCTTAGCTTCCCGGTCCGACGCCTCTTATGTGTCTTCTTGTACTTCTTCTGCCGCTCCGGATGTACTTCAAAATGAGCGTTCGGATGATCGCCGTTCGTGGGCGTGCTCGCAGAATCAATCTCACGTTCCAAAGCGGTGTCTTCCGCATCAAGATGTTCGGCATGTGGCGAGAGATGCTCTTCGAGATTGACGACTTTTGGCGGACCTAGCGGTGCAGCTTGAACAGAAGGGGCCTGGCTCTGCAGGCCATCGCTCAAACGAGCCGATGTAATGTCAGGCACGGATCCCTCGTTTATAGCATCGTTCTTCTTCTCCTTGCTATTCGATTGAGAGTTAAAGCCGATCCAGCCATCATCCGTCTCGTCGCCGTTAGGTTTGTCATTCTGATCACCTAATGTCATAGATGTTTGCTTCGCTTCTTCGTCCTTCACGTCCAACTCTTTCAGGATCTCATCAACACGTAGACCATGTGGATAATACTGCTGCATGAAATCCTCCAGGTCCGTACGGAACGGGCAAAATTGGAGGTTACACCGCCGATGGCCTTTGTGTGAGTATCCATGCGGTCGAAAGATTGGCCAGTTGTGGTTCAGCTCGTGCTCAAAGGGACAGTCTGCACCGTGACGACAGTTGCCGTGGTACCAGAAAATGCAGGTTTCTTTCAGCTCGCGGCTAGGTTGCGCGTGAGGCTCTGCAGTGGACATTGGATGGAGGCGCGGGGTGTGCGCGTACTTCGACATGTTCGCGCGCATCACGACTTCCGTTGCTGCACCTAGTGGCAAAGGCGCGTGTCGTTGATGTGAAGTGTTACCTGTTTGCGGGCAACCAGAGCTCAAATGGTCCGAGGGTTGATCTGGAAGTGACGGTTCGACGTTCTTTAGGTCGGTGCAAAGACCCCAGAACTGTGGACAGCCGCACACGTTACCGTGGCGGTCGAAGAGAAGGCTAGTGTTGAGGTCTACGTCAGAGCGACCGTAATTTGCTTGGTCGAGCGGCAAAATCGAGGCCATGGCTATGGATAAACGTTTGTAGGGGCCCACGAGATTGTTTACCACGATGGGGTCGCTGTAGCCGAGCAGGTGGAGGAACCTGGATATGAGCACGGCTTTATAAAGACCTGGTGGTGACCCGCGAGAGACCATAAACGACAGTGAAGGCAATTGGGAAAGTATGGCCCGTGTACCTGTACGTGAGCACGAGCATAGAACGAATCCTTGGTCAAAGCAAGATATCGACTTAGTGATATATACTTATTCGGCACCCATGTGTTCCTACAATCTGCTATATCTACACTTGATAAAAGAAGGTCATTGTATGAAAGTGAGAGAGACACATGTTCGAATGAACTAACTACAGTATAGTCTTCACCAAGCTCGACGCAACCCTGATTCCCGCATACGCCCCAATCGCCACAACACCAAAGAAAATGCCCAAGGCCCTCAAATTTCTCATCTCTACGCCCGAGCTCTTTAGCTTGATTTCCCTTGGCTTGCCCATATCAGTGACGGTATCATACTCCGGGACGTACTTGAACTCAAATGTAGTCTCGATACCGGCAAGACCGTACTTGGCGTTCACGATCACGTTGTAGAATATCCGCTTGAGTCGTTCGACATGGCCATGGTCAAGACTGGGTATAGCACGGTAGAAGTAGCAGACACCCATGAAGAAGAGACACTGGCCAGCCATGAGCGCCCAATAGTAATATGAGACACGAGGGAGGCCTAGTTCATCGGCCAGCTCGTTGCCTAGACGCGCAGGTATGAAGTCAGTATGGTTCGAACAAGGCAGGCGAAAGGTACATACCATTGAGCCATCGTGCGCTAGCGACTAACATGTCTGGGGAAACGAAGGTAGGTGGCTGGCCCTCAAGAGAATGGATGATGTTATTCGCAAGGACCTTCGACATATCAGAGGGATGAACCTCATTCCAGAGAAGTGATTCCATAATAGCTTTTGCCTTTTCAGGTGTCTCAAAGTGTTCGTGAGGCGTGCCCATAATGTAACCAATGTATCTCCAGAGAGCGACGTAATCTTTCTTCTCCTGTTCGCGGAGGAAGATGCCTTGGCGTGGGAAGCTCAACCAAATCAAAGTAGCACAAAACGTTCCGATAGTTGCTATCTGGTCGAGGTCGTTCACTGGAACGCCCCATTCTTCTAAGTTGAAGTAACTAGGTCGCTCCTTCGCAAGCTTCGTGATGCGCTGACGCACAGCGGCATGGAGAAGTCGAACTCGGATGGACGAGGCCCAGCCTTCACCTCCTGGCTGGATGGATTCCAAAGACTTTGTACATTGGAGAATGTGTTGTGTCGTCTCGAAAAGTCGTCGTCGTGCTACTTTTGTCGAGAACCCTCCCGTCCTCGCCAGTGTCTCGACAACTCTCGCGGCGCCCATTCCACCTAAGAGAGACTGGTATGTGAGTCCAGTCAGGGCCGGTCCTCCGTATCGGTAGAATACATCTTGTCCTCTTTGTATCTGTGCCCAATCCACCCAGTCTGGAACCGTATTTACTTCGTCCCAGAGTTCATGAAGCTTTGGATCGGCTTCATGATTATCTCTTAGCAAAATGTATAGGTCTCTTTGTGGGTGCGGAAGTTTTTCCTTCTTTTCTTCGTCTGTGGCTGTCGCTGCAGCTGGTGCTGGATCTTCCCTCCGCGGAAGTGCTCCGCTGCTCGGTGGCGAAATCTCATTGAGACGATCAAGGCATTGCTCCGCAAGTACATCATACGACTGTTTGAGGACTTTGGCTTTTCCCTCTGTGAGATGGCCTTCTGTCCATTCGAACTCATAGCCCCAGCAGCTAGAAGCGATCAGTAAGGCGCCCCATTGTCATGACTCGCTAGACTTTACTATCTTGTGTTCTCTGTTCGACTTCTGAAAGGGTTGAACAACGCCATAACAGTATTCACTCAAGCAGAAAAGAGTCAGAATCAAGAAAGAATTTCATGAGCGAAAGAAGTGTATTGAAACAGAACCTGCGACTGAAGTGCAACAATATCGGCGCTTTGAATCTAACCGTCACCAGTCAGGTGCTACCGAGGAGCCCGATCCAAATGTGGAGTTAGGCAACGCCAAGGGCAGCGTCTCTCCCGACATGGACAGTATCTACTCATAACTTCAAGGTCAATATCTGAGGGGTCAGAAATATTGAGTGCTGCCTCAAGCCACGCGCTGAATGTGAAAGTCCCAAGGTGCAGCGCTGTGACGTCATTGAATCGAAGTGTGGCTTGCAGCTTCCACATCCTGTGGCGCAGCGTTGCACCTTCTCCGGCGATCTCCCGAAACTTTTCCTTCCCTCTCCTTTCCAGTGCCCATGTCAACCATGAACTGTCACACCTGTTCACGGAGGTCTCTTGGCTTATTATTTCGCTCCGTCTTCGATCTCGAGTCCGCCATCCTACCCACTACGATATCCGGTCGTCACCCTGCGTTCTCACGATTCTTCTCTACCGCGCGCCGCCAATCACAGTTGGAGAAAGCCCCTACAAATAGTGCAAAGCCTCTGGAGAGTCAGAAGATCCCAGAATCAAGCGATGCAGCCGAAGCAGAGAAAGAGCGTCCGGCGTGGATGGTCGAGAAAGAAGCCGTGAAAAGGAAGCTGAATGGGGAGGCCTGGAATCCCCGCAAGAAGCTCTCGCCGGACACCATGGAAGGCATTCGACATCTGCACAAGACGCAGCCGACCAGGTTCACGACTCCTGTTCTCGCGCAACACTTTCAGGTCTCACCAGAGGCTATCAAGCGCATCTTGAAGAGCAAGTGGCGGCCCTCGGACGAGGAACAGGAGGACAGAATACGGAGATGGGACAAGCGCGGTGAACAGATTTGGACAAATCTTGTCGAGCTGGGCGTGAAACCGCCGAAGAAGTGGAGAGAGATGGGTGTAGGTCGGGCACAGAATGGGAAGAAGCCCAGGTGGAAGACTGGGTCTAGAAACGCCGTAGTCGTGAAGGACAGCGTCAGCGGTGGCGACTTTGGCTGGGCAGAGGAAGATTTGATACCAATTGTAGACGGAAAGTCCGGGGCACCGTCGTCTCGCAAGGCGCACATGCCCTTTTCGGATCGGATGGGTGTGTGACATCCCAAAGAGCCGAATACCAACGCGCGAAGTCTACCAAAGCACGGAGGATGCCTGCTGGTGCCTGACCTGTCCATGACAGGAACAAGCTGTCCAAGACGCGATTGATCGCTCCACTGTGTAGGATTACCGATTGTGCTTGCGGACCAAATGGGCAAGCGAAGTCTTTGAGCTTGCTTAAGTCCTACACAAAAGCAGTGTAGAGGTCAGCACCTCTAGCGCAAGATCATCCGTCGGCAACAGTTCCAAGGTGGTCAAAGTTGCTGTATGAAGGTCGTATCTTCGGTAAGCCCTCAGGAGACGAGTGGCTCGCAGCGACAAGAAATCAGAGAGGCAATCACCGCTCGAAGCGAACGAAAGCGAAGCCCATAAGCAGAAGCCTGGAAACGTCCAATTGTCTAAAGAAATACAATGTACAATGCTTCTAGATCCGAAGACTCTCATCCTGACAGACGTCGATCACCACCACAAGCATTGCCTCCCTGCTTACTACATCCATGTATGTGTTGTAGCTTGGAAAACATCATCTTGTCGCCACTTCGTGACTGAGGTGCAGGATGACTTGCATTTATCTTAGATCGTCCCGTATGTAACGTATCACCAAAAAGTAGACCGTCGCTCTTGTCGAAGACTTGAAGGTGCCTTCATCGCAGCACGTGTGGCGGATTCCGCGGGCGCTCAAAACCTTGGAATCGTGGGGTATCTCTGATCGAAGGTGTCCCGAGACTCCGTATGCGCGCGGATACCGATTGGATTTGGACTCTTTTCGCGAGCTGTGGTAGGTTCAAGTGGCAGGTAGACCCTGCGCAACTAGGTCAGCCCTAGCACACATATCCCGCTGTGGGAACCCCTCAGGCAGAACGAAAACGTAAACCGTCCGCTTAAGACGAAGCGCCTGTGAGCGGGGAAGCACGGCAGACAGCCGACAGAACGGTTTGCCGATGCGCCGCTGCAACTTCGATCTAGAGCTTGCTTATTTAATTCAGTCTAACGTGTCTTCGTGTTCGTCTTGTGGGAGTGCCACTATCCATAGCTTCTTCCCTGTCGGTGCTGCGACTCTGCAGCCGACGGCCGTCTTAGGAAAGGGGTGGGCGGTCAGCTTATTGCTTTACAGGGTGGAGTCCAAGCTGTGAAAAGACCTCGAGGCCTTCGCCACTCTAGTCTCCGGAACCTCTTTGTCGGTCGTGTGGAGAGGCGGACATGCACTGGGCATTTGGCATCGGCGATGAAGCATATGCTTGTGAGCTCGGCACTGTCATCGTGCGCCGGCCTGCACGAAAGTCATGAGTAGGGCGTAGCGTGGCATCAGTGCGAGCAGGAGCAGCAGTACGAGTATAGCACGCTCGTAGTCATGAACAGAGAGTTGGGAGTCGTGCCACTTTTTCCTGGATGATGTTGTTCAAGCCCTACAATTCGGCACTTATTTGTGGATATCGATCAAGAACGCGGGCTGCCACATGGTGGATCGTGCTGAGACGATGGAATGGCAGCGCATGGCAGCAAAGGATTCACCGCCTCCAAAGCCTTGCAGTCATGGTCTTGAACCTTGCGATACTTGGCTTCGTATACGAAAGATCGCCACATGCACCATGCAACAAACACCTACTTTGAATGCCACGTGCTGCGGGGAAATGCTGCCGGTCGACCAACCAGCTGTCCTTGCTCTTTGGCTATAATTCCTAGTATGCTGGATTGGGGCGGTGCGGAGACGTCGAGCAAGCTGGTCGTGGGCACTCGTAAACTACCATAGGTAACACTTGCCTGTAGCCCGGCTTCAACGTGTGTTTTGGCGGTGGATGCGGCCGCGCTCTGGTTGGTTGTCCGGCGCTACTCCCGGGGAAGGTACTCATTGGACGCAACGGCGCCCGATGACGTCGCGTTGCCGTTCCTGAGGTACACAAGAATGCTCGAATTCGATGCCTCTCGACCTGCGCAATGCATGTCCAAAGTGGTACAGTGTATCTGGAACTTTATCCTGGCACTACGAGTGCTGATCGAGTTGGATCTGATATGTACATGTCGCACAATACGTCATCTGCTGGTCTACGCGTATAGACACAAGATCCTTGGGACTTTGAGGATTGTGGACTGTGGTGTATGATGCCCGAAGGCGCGGCAACGGGAAGAGCCTCGGTGGCGGTAGTAGGCGTCGCCCTTGCACCAGTGCCACCTGTCATATCTACAAACCCGAGAAGACAGAGAAAACGCTGCGCCGGTGCGACATTGAAAGCCTCCAGCGGCGTTGAAGTTGCAAACAAATTGGTGTGCAATTGGCCACGGTAAGAACGCCCGGATACTGACGAGTGGGTGGGTCATCGCTCATAATACCAGCATCCTTTCTAGCGAACAGAGAAGGCTCAGCAGCCGCCTCCGAGCGTTGTTTATGCAGATATCGTCATTAAACCGCAGCGTCGCTCTGGATCCGTCCGCCATCGCGCTGCACTCCACGCCTGATTCTGTTCAGCTGAGCCCTCCAGCGCGCTGCTGTCGCGACGTGGCGTACTTATCCGGACTCCATGAACCCCACCCCAGTCTCGTCTACGAGGCTTCGATACCCCGAGAGCCGTCGCGACTATGTCCTCCAGCGCACCGGGCCCCTCAGGCAGGAAGGTCGCGATACCTCGCCTCCAACGAACGAACCAGTCACAACCCTCTAAGGAGCGGAGAAGAGTCGGTCGTGCGTGCACGGCCTGCCGCTCCCACAAGATCAAATGCACTGGCGACGTCCCCCAATGCAAGCATTGCGAAACCACCGGGCGTGAATGTGTGTACATCATGCCTCGCAAGGACCGCCTCAAGACGTTGGTGCACCCTCCTCCCTCGATAGGGACATGTGGTTTGTTGACCTCCATCTGACAAAGCAAGTGTAACCGAACGAAGCGGGCAGATGATCGGGTTGCTGAAGAAACTGCGAGCCTTTGCCAACGACGATGATGGCGCCCGGATAGCAGAGCTACTAGAAGCCGTATGAATCCCTCTGTCAGCGTCAGCATCAATTTGTGCCAATGTCCGAGAGCGATTGTTCCATTAGGATACGCAACGCAGCGGCCGGAAGCCCTCGAGCTGTGGGTCGCTATTTGCTTTGTTTTGCTAACACATGTCAGGCTGAAGAAGACATGTTCGAAACACGTCATACTCCGACCATCTCGAACCCCGACACCAACGAGGACGAACTGCACAGACCCGGGGGGCTGTTCGAAGCCAACATGGGCAAACTTCTGGAGCGATTGAACACCGAATCGTTGGACCTTGTTGACGAAAACCTGCACGAGACCGACCAGGCGCGAGCTACAGGTTTTGTAGGTCCAGGTTCGGAGGTCCAGTGGCTTCGAAGCTTTTTGCTGTTAGAACGGGGCGATAGCGACGCAGCGACTTCCAAACGAGGCTCATCCGCGAACACCACGAACAACGAGCAGGTGAGCACTATCACCTTCTATCTCGATAACAAGAACGTGGATCCGGAGTTCCCTGTCGAACCCTACGAGCTTCCAACGGCCGATGTGGCTGAACAACTATTGAACATATACTTGGAGAAAGTGCATGACTCTTTCCCCATTCTTCCGCGGAAGCTGTTCCAAGATCAGTGCCAGAAATATTTCGAAGCATTAAACCATGGATCGGCTCTGAGACTGAGTGCGAAATGGCAAGCAATCCTTAACTTGGTGTTTGCTATCGGCGCAAAGTACTCCCATCTCGTTAAAGCCAATTGGCAGGCAGATGAGCGAGACCATCTTATTTACCAAGCAAGGGCAAGTGCTTTTGCGTGGAACGAGAACACGCTCGGACAGCATCCTGACTTGCCGCAAATCCAAGTGGCTGGCCTGCTAGCCTTCTATCATCTGTCCGTTGGGCAGGTTAGCCGGTAGGTATATTGCCGTGAAAACAAACAGTCAAGCTGATTATGATAGAGCATGGGTAGTCATTGGAGTGGCGCTTCGCTTTGCAACTGCTCTCGGTTTACATGTTCGAAACGAAGATCCTTCGGCTTCCGGAGCCAAGCGGGAGGTATTGGTTCGTGTCTGGTGGAGTCTGTACTACCTCGAACGGCAGCTCAGCATCATTACGGGTCGACCTAGTGCGGTGGTTGATTCGCATTGTTCAGTGCCACTACCAGTTCCGTTTTCTGAACAGCAGATTCTAGAAAACATCAACATCGTAGATTCGTTGCGGAGGTCCAGTGTGACTGCGATCTCCCCAATCGCACACAGCCACTCGTTCTCTGAGCCTCATCCTACGAGCGGTGGACATTCCAGTAGATCGCCTCCATACTTTGGCCTGGCGGATGCCAATTCTGGCTCTTACTTCAAAGCGGTCGTGCAGTTGTGTACCATCTCACAAAGCATCCTGACGTCGCTCTACTCTGCCGGAACGATGGTTCGTTCTCCGAGCGATCTCCAACAAGACATTCTTCAGATTGGTAAACGAATCGATGATTGGGCCGCCAATCTCCCTGTCAATTTCAACTTCCAAACTCCTTTCGAAAATTTGACCACGCCGGACAACTCCACCTTCCGCCAACGCACGATGTTGGCTTTCCAACTCTGCAGCGCAAAGATACTGCTCACGCGACCTTGTTTGAACAGTCTGGCAAAATCGGATGGAGAGAATAAAGAAGGATCTTCGGCAAGCTTTCTTCGAAGGATGGCGATCGCCTGTGTAGAGGCAGCGAAGATGGAGGTGGACTTGTTACCGGACCAGCCCCAACCGCGATTCGTATACGAATTCGGACCGTGGTGGATACTTGTGCATCATTTAATGCAAGCACTTGCTGTGTTCCTGCTAGCTCTCTCTTATTCGTCGACGATGCATCAAAACAACGAGGTCCTCGCGGGGTACTGCGCCAAGATTATCCGCTGGTTGCGCGCCATGGGAGACTCGCAAGCTGAGCGGGCCCACCAGGTGGCTGTTGGTTGCTATGATGTCATCGCAGTCCGACTCTCGTTGCCTTCAACCAAACTGTGGATAGACCCTCAGGTACCGGATTCCGGCATTAGGCAGGATGATGCAGCACGAGCGGCGTTCTCTGCATATCATCATCCTATAGCTGCTGAGATGGGTTACGGTTCTGATCTCGCAATGCCGGCTTATCCAGGAATCGCAGGCGATTCGGCTCCTTTTCTTTACGCACCTGATCCATCATCGTACTACCCTCAGCAAAACCGAAACTTGTGTGATGGGAATTACTTTCATCAACTCCCATAGACCAGCGTTTGCTTTGACGTAGGCGGCTCATGACTTTCGGCTATCTTGTCGACGAAAGCCTGCGCACGTTGCCGTGTCCAGAAGGGCAAATACAAAAACGTATCGCATTTAATCTTTGGTTGTGAAGGGCTCTATTTTCGCGAGAATGGGAACGATATATTCGGACGACCTGCCACGGTGGGGAAGAAATTGAAGGCCAATGCCAATGGTAATTGACGAGAAAGGTCGGCACAAGTCCGTTATAACTGCGGTGGACCCGAATGAAGTAGGGGTTTTGTAATGAATTCCCCGCGGAGGCCGCGGAGCGCACGGACGTACCTTTCGTATGGGGACGTTCAGTATATATATATGCGGGAAACTGCGCGGGAATGCGCATGGCGATCATGGCTCGACTTCATGTGCACCTCCATCGAACCGCGCCAATCAAGGGTAGGCGTCGCACACTAGTCGGGGTGTGCTACACACGCGGTCTTAGCCATAGATACGGCAATGAACCACATTTTGGTCGTCGCGCTTACGCTCAGTTCTATTCCATAAATTTGCGAAAGCGAACACTAGCCGTGGGAAATCATCGTCTCCATTGACTCGGTGTCATTCGGGAGCTTCGACTGATGAATGGCAGTCACTAATCGCGACAGAAGGCCTGACAAATGGCTTGAGAGGGTGAGTATATCTCTCAACAGTTTACAACCTCCGTTCTCAGTCACGCGCGTTGTTCGTAACTTCAGAGTCATCGGAAAGAATTGCCGGCTGCCCAATGCAAGCCACTGAGTACGAGGGGGGGCTCTGTGGTGCACAGCTCGCTGTGACCGCCTTTGGTAATGAACAACACATCGCCGATGGGTCGCACCTATGGGGTCCCGCGTCCGCTAGACTGTTCCGGCTCGTTGATCGCCATCTCACTTGCTCTAGGTTTGTGCTTGGCGACAGAAGGTAGGCTCCCGCAGTGAACGAAGAAGAAGTCAGGTCTCATATCGTACGTATGGTTTGAACGGACTGCGTGGCCAAGTGTTGCCAGTTTATTTGTACCTGTCTCACTCCGCGGACGACCCCCTATACAGACGAGGGCCATTCTTGCGTACATTACTTCACTTCTTGATACCATTGAACACGTGCAAGTGAAGACAAAAATGTAGCCAACAACTCGAATCTCCTTGCAGAGTAGATATGAGAAAGAGTCGATACGAAAAGCACACGAATGCTTTCATGTCATCGTCATGTGGCGCTAGCCTCTCACGGTGCTTAGGCATCGCAGTGCGCAGGAGCGTCGCGACTCGCTTTAACGATCGAAAATTTGGAGATACCACAGACTCATATCGATGTTATAGCCGCCATCATCGTTGCTGAGCTGCACTGTGGTTCATTACTGTTCATGTCCGGCAGTGCATTCCTTTCCCGAAGTTTCGTCGCGCAGAGGCGCCCCTGCCACCGTAACCAGTGACAACCTTGACAGCGAGTGCCCCTGCTTCACAACCTCCCATTACCTCAGCACTGTCCCCCAAGGCCCTTCCATCGATGGCAAACAGAGGTAATGAGAACTTCAATTCAGGGTGGTGGACTAGAGCAGTGACATGCTAACCTGTGCGACGACTTCACCACGTATGGCGGCCACGGCGGTAGACACACCCTCTAGATCACCGTCCGACACAGCTTATCCACAAGCCACGCGAGAACGTCCAGAAACCACCCTCGAGCTACGAAGCCGTGCACGCGCCGTGCCACCGATCGAGCATAGAAGCTACCTCCTTATCCTGGCACGCTTGCTCGATGAATGCACGATCAATACCTATACCGCGCTGCGAAGCACAAGAAGCTGTAGCTCACGCCACGCACTTGCTGAAGCGTACGCACCTGCTGAAGCGTACGCACCTGCTGAAGGGCCTGCAACTGCTGAAGCAACTGCTGAAGCAACTGCTGAAGCAACTGCTAACGCGTAGACTGAGAGCTGGATGAATTAAGCTGCTCTCGTGTGTACCTTGTACAGAGCGTGTCAGTCGTTCGCGTCGTCGCTCGGTATCTTGCGATAGTTGCGGCGCTCGCATCCATAAGCAGTTCAGATAAGTAGTTGTAGAGACCTCACGACCATCGCATACAGCCATGGAGGATAACAGGATGTGATGTGCATACAAATCCTGCTCTAAAACTTCTCGGGTGTGATGAAATCGCCTTGAAGGCTAAGACGCCTTCGAGGCTTCCAGAATATCGACCGCAAGAACAGGCATACTTTATTACATAGGCACATTAAATTTGTACATGTCATCAAAATGCAGCAAGTCGTTCGCTATAGCAACATCATCGCGAGATCAGCCTGCAAGTCCTTTCAAAGTGGGGTCACAGTGATACATGCCTGTTTGCCTCCGCCTAAAACTCGTTACGGAACTTCGAATCGAGTTTTCTTGGCTAGGAACGATCCATCACCGACAATGTTCATGCATCCAACCTCACCCGATCACTACAGAAACATGGCATCAGTAAGCCACGCAACGCGTTGGAATATACTCTTATATCATACATTCAATTCGAGTTTTCCCCGCAACACAAACACATATCGATTGGTCCCCGAATTACTTTGCCTACACGAGTGGCAAGTGGCTGGTCACATTGCGAGGCAGAGACCTTCTCATTTTTGCGATTCCGATCAAATACTTACTTTGTGTCTACTGATGCTCCAGCCAGATCGATCCACATTGCGCATCGTCGAAAAAGTTGCCATCGCACATCCTCTCGTAACGCGAACCCGGCGGTCGTCCGCCAAACATAACCCGCCACCCCCCGATTATTGGCCTCGCGGACTCTCAAGAATACGTCTACAAGCATCACCAGTGACAGACTGCTTCTTTTCTGATTTCCCGTAGAACAAGTGTATCCCCGGCCGCAAATCGGCCGATCATCATGGATCACTCATAGAGTTCACGAGTCACAGAAGCGATTTATACACAGTCTTGAGATGTCCCAGCATCTCTTTGCACTATTTCCGTGCGTCAAGGAAATTTTGATTCCTTCACAATTCGGCACCATGGGGGGCAAACGCGGTACTGGCAACCTGGAGCATCTCTGGGGTTTCCCCTCTTATGAGCTCGCATGCCGTGGAGCATAGGACAAGGGACCATGTTAGCCCATGTAGAGCCTTGCATAAATTCTTGTGCCATAGTCGTAGCTCCAAGCTCAAAATGCGGGATGGGGAATTGTCACAATGGTGTATTGCAAACAATTCACTACGTGAGGACTAGTGCGCCTCTAGAGGAGCTTGTGAAAGCGGCTATGGAATGCTTCACACCTTTCTGAGTAGCCTATTGTACATTGAGAAGCTTGCTAACTCGTGGGTATAACCCGATTGCCGTGCTGGTAGTGTGGCAAGCCGACACGTCCACGTCGAAGTACATCAATTATCGATTCAATTGCAAGTCAATACAAGTAAGATATTCAGCACAGTGATGACTTTCCCCGGAGTTCTATTGAGGGCTTCGACGACGTTCAGGTCAGGGTATCCGCGGACGTGATGGGGCAGCCCCGCACATCAGTGCAGCAGATAGGAAGACCTAGGGCGTCAAGTCCGTGCATCTGATCATCCGGACATGGCCTACGACACCCATGCCACAGCATCTATCGGTCCGTAAGATCATGCAGTAGTCTCGCGGTTTGGAAGCCGTGTGGCAAAATGAACTATATCCGTCGGCATGCATGTTCAGCCCTCGTGCCCGACTGGGGTTGCATGCGAACAGCATCTTTATCGGCCGCGCGGAGACGGTTCATGGGTCTATCGTATGAAGTACAGACGTGTTCCATACTCATTCGTCTCCATCGCGCATTTGCCTAGTGCTAGCAACGTTTAAGTATCGATTTGCGTCAGCGAACGAAAGTATGCTCACATGCATTAGGTCGAACTAAATGTGATCGTCAGTTCATGGTGTGGCGTGTTCCCGTATCTAGCGTGGTAGTTATTTGTCATGGAGGGATCAAGGAAAGCTTCACGCTTAGTTTGCAGTCATCGGCATAGAGAGCTCCCTGTTTCTATGCATGCATGCATGTTTGCCTGGGATTATTGCAGTCGCAATGCCCAGCAATTAAGCTGACACGTATAACAAGGCATCAGGGATAATGGCGTACCCTGCTCGGGCTATATGAGCTGATGTTTCACTACAGGGGCGTGGGATGTTTCGTGCCATAGTTGCTCGATGATTTACACAGAGGGGCAACGGCAGTCATTCTGGATGCAGGTCTCAAGGGAATACGGAGATACTCGAAGGAGGTCATTAGATCACTAGGGTGGTTCCGAGATAGTCCGAGGTGGAGGCTACGATTAGACCCATGAGAACTAGGTAGAAAAAGTATCAATGGCACCATCTAAGTGGGTCTGCTGCCATATCTGATGTCGGTACTCACACGGGCAGACCTTACGATCGATTGCTAGTAGGACAGAGAGACCCTATGATGTACCTATACCTTTTATACCAAGAAGAATCAAGATCGAGTATATTCTTTTCCATGCTTTTGGATGCTTCGAGTGTATGGGGAAAGCTCTACTACATTGCGTATTTGACTTCGCAACTGGGACCTATTGCCAATCTGTATGTATCAGTAATTTCGTCATAAGGACCATGTTAATGATGTTAGATCCCTGGGAAGCCACCAAGAGACACTAGCACACCTTGGCTGGTGAATGCTCTATCACCAAATCAATCCACACTGCCATCACTTGAAGCCTTAGTACAAGTACTTGTGTATGCAATGGCACATAGAGGGCAAGTTCTTGTGTCCTCATGTGTGCGAGAAACGCCTAATGTCCCTCTATATACAGATATGGGTCTTTCCAAGAGGTACCAAGTAGAATAGTAGCCTTAGAATTGTCACACGAGGCCATGGCTGACCTTCTCAAATCTACAGTCCAGATAGAGCAACTTTCATAACACGTCAATTGAACTACAAGACAATGCATTACAGCTTAAGCTTATAAAAGAAGTAAATTCTAATCCTAGCAGTCGACCCGCAGACATCTTCCTAGCACAAATAGCCTAAGTGAAGCTCAAACAGGCAATATATCATGATAGATAGGTTTTAAAAGGTAGTCTATTGCCTGTGGTAGCATGAAACTGTGCGCTCTACCACTGTGCGGAAGATATTATAGGAACGTCACTGATCTTCTGTCATTGAGCATTAATTCAAGGATGATCTGAATACTAGGTGGGCCTATATGTAGTAGATGCAGCGTACGCTTTTACGAACTCCGGATGTTCCACGCATTGTCGACTTAGAATCGAGGCATACTGGTGACGGTTGGTGGTGTTGAGCATTATTCGATGCTGTTGTGTCCCAAGCAATTTGACGTCTTGGGAGAATGTACAACTACCACAACTAGCATATTGAAGCGTTCGTATGCGGTTCTTCTGTCGATACTAGACATCGTACGTTGGAGGAAGGTAACTTCATAAGATATTGGCACATGGGTTTGGAAATCCACGTGGTCACCTTTTGTAGGACGGCGGCGGGAAATATGAATGCCATTGGCGGGGCCTACAAAAAGCCCGTGAAAACTCATGGGCGACATGAAAACCACGTCAAAGTATCGAAATCTATGAAGGCTACAAGGGTAACTGTCTCTCGTTTCACCTTGTCGCGTGTAACTGTAAACTCTTTTGACAATCGTCATACTTGATTATATTCATCGGTATACCATAACTTCTGTAAAATGATTGCATTCTTCATGCGGTGTATCATACTCCACTCTCTATCTCTCATCATGTCACCACCAAAAGAGGCTGGACTCCAGTGAGTGTCGACTCGATGGAACAGGCCCTGCGTGTCCATGTGCAAGGCCCATCTCCAGCACTGTCTTCACGATGAAGCAAGTTCAGGTTCTCGGGAAATGCCACGGTACAACTTGAGTCATCGTTATCGTGGAAATTATATCAAGAAAGGCTCGGGCGAAAGCGGCAAATCTCCTTAGGATAATAGGGTCGACCAAGAGCTCTGGACTCTGCTCGAGCATCAATTATAAGTCTCGTCGCCATTGAGTGGCAAACCCAACCGGTGATGTACTATGCGCCAAGGCGGTGCCTTATGATAGCTCCACCGCTGCTTTAATCGCACATTATCCCCCTTGTTGATGCAAGATGAGTCAAGCACACTGTGGAGTGCGTGTAGCATCCTGAAGGATGTTGGATCACGATCGTGTGAACGTTGTTCATTCGATAGAGGCGCGACTACCGCAAGAGCGATACCCAATCGCGTGAACTAACACGCAGAGCTTAGCTTGGATTCATTGGCCTCAGGCGTGGTGAATCGTAACGGTGCCAGCGTAACTAGGCGGCCCGCAGCCCCCACCGAAAACCCCTCATTCTTACACATGAACTTCGACTACCCCGCTGGCTTATTATCAAATTGCCATGCAGTCTGTTTTGACTACTAGCTAAGCTTTCGGGAGCTAGAAAGGCGAACCACTGTGTCGTACATATTCACCGATGGTACACATGAAGACCCCACGATCCGAGTAACCTAGGAGCGACGGGAGAGCGCCGAAATGGTGTTATGAGGTACTTCCGACAATATTTCCCCCCTGTGCTATGTGGTAGAGCATCGGAGGGCAATTCCGACCAATCGTCGTATCTCTACTGCGTAGATATAACTATACCGAAAGAGGCTTGGTGTGCCGCGCAACTCTGCGTTGATGGTGTGTTGCGGTAGGGCTCGTGGAGCATATTGAAGTTGCGTTATCTGGGCGTTGAGCCCTCTTTAGACACTCTGTCCGATCGTTTTCGTCTGAAGCCTTGCCAACGAGGGGAGGTTCACGGCAACGTCCGCTCCATTAATCTCCATCTAGACTGTGGATGGAATTTGCAATGTTGCATGCACTTTGCGATCCTGCCGGGCCGGATACAAGTCCGAACCTATAATGAAGGGGGAAAGGAGCAGGCCATGTGACAGCACATGTACCTCGGCTTGCGGAGCACTCTCGTGCGACACAGTAAGTATTTTCCGTAAATGGTTGGAGGTGCGAACCGATTTGCTTGGCTCATTCGTGAGATTAGCAAAGAGTGCGGCTCAAAACTCTCAAGCAGAGGTATCCTGGAGCCGACAGGGTCTATGTCATAAAGCGAGCTGACCTTTTAGGCTATGCTTCAGTCGAACCTTCTATCGGACCGGTGCCCGCATTCTGGAGGTGGGCAGTGGTTACACAGCAGGTTTGTCGCCTCAACGATCCCACGACACGTACAACAACAGCTCAAGGTGGGGAATTACGGCGACTTGCATGCCATGCAATACGCCATATGCAATGGCCAAACTTTATGCTCGCTTTGGCGGGGTTTGCGTGAGCGAGCGTGATTGTACACGTAGGTTCTCTTGCCTCAACGCAATCTATCCTAACCAAGACATGCTTTGAGTACGGTCAGGCGTAAATTTGCGGACTATCTGGGCGGTAGGGCTGAAGTCTGACATGCTTGCTCCAGCTCCACCGGCCGTATGCTAGGCCAGGATGCTCCGCAGACAATGTATCACACATCATAGCAGCCTCGTATCGGTGAAGCTTACCGTAATTAGACGCAGCGCCAACTTTGTGCAGCTCCTAGACTAAACCATGGGACATAAGTCTGCCTTCCCTACCAGCCATGATTTTTGGTGCAAGGGTTCTGGATTGGTAAAGTGCTGAAGCTACGTCCAAGAAAGACTTAGCCGACGAATATTGTTCTCCAGATCACTTTCAGAGGTGGCGTGACCAAGAGGCGCAGCGGTTCGTCTTTCCGTTCTGGAGTAAACGACCCGGAAAAGTAGTCCCGCGCCGCAAAATGCTGTTCCTAGCCATACTTCAAGGACTGGAAACGGTGGGGCTCCGTTGAGGGACGAGCAGCAGTGGTCGTGTCAGTATCAATGGGAAACGTTACGGATTCAGTGTAAGCTAGAGACGAGTCAGATCCTGAACAGACAAGGGCTACTTCATCCTTGACATCGCCGCAACTCCATGTTGAGTCGCGGCAATGCCGAATGATGCAACGCACCCGATAGATCCTTCCAGACGAGATACCGCAGCGAATGCCAAGCGGCAAGTGACTCCACGTCTTCACCGATCACTGCACGTGAGGCGGGACACCATGTCTTTTGACCGGACAATGAGGCGACATGCTTAACTTTTACTGAACTCCCAGGTCTTGCTCTATCCTGATGCATATAGTGTCGATAGCACAGGCGGTGAACGATGGTGCGGCGGCCGGACTTGTGAGAGAGGCAAGCAAAGCGTGTGAGTTGTTGCGCGCGCGTGCATACCGTTAGCGCACGACCCTGTTGCGTACTCTTGCCCCTCAATGGTACAAACTTAATAATCAGCCCCATGCAGACCTAAACGGCCACGATGTGAGACAGCTGGGGAAACAAGCCTTCTTTGGTGTTGCAGGCCGGGATGTGGGCTGTTCACTCAGTCTTTAGTCAAGCACCCTGCATGCGTGAACCTCAGGCCCACATGTCTGCATATTAGGAGCGAGCTCTTCCAAACTAGTACTTCCGAGCAGACCAACACTTGATGCTAAGATACTGGCCAGATTGGTGTTGTGAAATAGACCCCGCATGGTATCCTTATCCTGATAGCAGGGATTGTATGTTCCCCATAAAAAAGTTCAAATTGGTCTGATGGTCAAGTGGTTCGATATGGGCGGAAAGTCAGATGCTCGTGGAGCCGACGAGCTTTTGCGCCCTTCGGCCAAGCATTTGCACGCAACTGTTCCACGTATCAAATACGACGACTCTGGTCCCGTAACGGGCGGGAGTGTATGCAGGTCGAAGTCGCCATCGCTAGATTTACGTGAGCAAGGCTGTTGGTGCCACTGCGAGAAGGATCTTCCGATCGCTAATGGCGGTACCTGCAAAGCATGCTTGGGGACTGGTTGTAAGCGACGTGTTACGCCCCAATTCGCTTGGCATGACTCTCGCTGCCTGATTTGAACTAAAGGCCATTTCGCTTTTGGAATCTCGGGAATAGCGTGTAGAGCGTGGGAGTCAAATGAGATGATTCAAGGTGTTAGAGCCAACACCTGACACCGAGTCATGGTGTCTTAGGTAGGCAATTTGCGCTTCACCCTGCTTCCTGCAAGCTGCTGCTGGCCAAGCCATGACCCGATGTATACGTGACCAGGGTGCGATGCATACCTGCTGAATCTTCCGCTTTAAACGCTGCTACCATTGAATCCCGAAGTTGTGGGCTGATTGGTGGCTGGCGCATCGCGTACCGATCGAGCTGGTTGCGGGCAAAAGACCAAGGACCAACAGTAAGATGCTGTCCGTCCCTCCCGGCGGCGAGCGCACCGGTCCGCGCCATAAGTACCTTTCTGAGTTTGGCATAGTTGTGAGACGAATTCACATCGTCAGCACCTTGTTTGGGTTGCTGTGGGTCGCCGCGCGAAGCGCTTTTCGCTGCGGCGTAGCTTCATCAAAGCCTGGGAACCCGATATTCGAAATTTCACCAAGCTAAGAGCGGTAACAACCCCTGTTCCTCATGCGCAGCGCGCTAATGCTGAGATATGCATTGTGCTGAAGGCGGCAAGGCATTCACTTGACCTCTCATGATCGACCTTCGGTCGTCGGAAGGACCTGGCGTGCGACTCTCCGCCGTAGTAGACACACAGGTCTTAGCGGGCGATAATGGTAAGCTCGGAACAGGGCTGCTCTAGCCTCGTGAATTCGCTTGCTGCAAAGAGGCCTCCGTCATATGAGGATGCGGACAGTCACAGAGTTGTAGCAGTGCTGAGGATGCTCTGCAGCATGACTGCTTCGTTACCTGCACATCCAAAACGCGGTGGCAAGCGAACTGATCGCTAGAATTCTTCCTGAGTGCTTCAACAATGCACTGTGGTTAAGTGAGGATGCCTCCCTAGACAGTAGTGGGCCCCACGTGGGATGGACAACACGGGGACAGTGGATGGTCCAGGAGCACATCAATCGTGGCGCGATAGCAGCCGCACAAAGCAGCGAACATTTAATATTAAACGCAAGACTCGAACTGCTGCTGGCAGAGTACCCTGTCAAGCTGATGAACGTTTGCAGGGTATTCCGGTTGACGACAGTGGTGGCGCAAGGTTTGGTGCGGAGCTGATGCTGCGGGGTGAACATAGAAGCATAAATGTAGTATGATCATCCAGCCAGGGCTTCATGCAGTCAGACTCATAGGGCTGAGGATGAGCGGGTGATCGCGATCGTGGGAGTATTCCTCGATGCAATGCACACTCAATACGTTTGAGAGTGCTGCTCGGTCTGGGCAGTGCAGGTGAACTGCTAGTGAATCCTTAGGATGGGGCCAAGTAATCTGCATGGTTCTTTGTTCACGCGGCAAAGCTGAGGTGGCCATACGGTAGGCGCATGTTGGCCTTGTGGAACACACTTCACGGCACTCCCGCTTGCGCTACAGCGTTAAAGCGGCGTAGTGACCGCCGAGCGATTGACGAACATCCATAACCGCCCATGTGGCAAAGCATGGAATTGGAATATGTCAAGTCTAGTCTTCGAGCGCGATTCTGGACCCGCTCTCAAGGCGCATTGTCGTTGGAGGATTAGTTCGCATGGTTCTGCAAGCTGACAATAATACGTTCGAATTGAATGCGACCAACGAATAGGAGCAGTGATCCTCTTGCCAGCCTCGCATGCTATCGCCTCCGGGAGACTTGCCCGAGATTATAAGCGTTGGCGCTCTATAATTCACCCTAGCATTGAATAGCGAACCTCGTTGTATCTGTGTCGCTCAGTCAGCTCTGCTGTGAGGCGTCCGGCGCAGCCTCGCTATTATAGGCGTCCGATGCAAGAACCTTCCTGGCCCTGTGCATATAAAGGCCCATACCCGGGTGCCTGAGACCTGCATCACCATCTCCACAGCTGCCTCAATATCTCAACGATTTCACACAGAATTCAAAACAACACAGCTAACTCACCGTCAGCCACTACCAGCAATACTCAAATTTAACCAGCCGATATTCACGATGTCAGTCTCGAGCTTGAGTGCCAAATCTTCAGCGGAGTCTCTGCGGAGCATTTCATCATTCGGCTCAGCACCGGACAAGCTCGCGCCTTCCGTAGAAGGTTCCATGGTCTGGAAGAACTCAGAACTCGACCCGACCAAGTATGTCGTCAATCTCAGTGCCGCCGAAGTCTCTGAAGTTCGATCTGCTGTCATCTCGATAAAATGTAAGGAAACAACGACCTCTTTTGCGTGTTGACCATTTCTGACAATAATTTAGTGCAGAAAAGTGCGCCCGAGCAAATCAGCAAAGATAATTTCCCTCTGAGCAAAGACTTTTCTGCAAAGCTGGCTGCTGTTAGCAAGCAAATCCACGAGGGCTTCGGCGTTGCTGTTATCCGTGGCCTTGATGCAGCTAGGTTCAACGATGAGGAAGCTGTCATCGCCTTCGTCGGCATTTGTGCACACACCTGCCCTTTGCGTGCTACAGACTCATATGCGAACCAGACGTTGAGTATGTCCCCTTTTATTTGTAAAGTGGACTTCGGAACTGACAGGACATAGGCCACGTCCTTGACGCAACACACCGCAAGGTTCCGCATTGGGCCAAAGATATCGGTCTTGCTGGCTCGAAAATCACGGCAAAGATGGATTTCCACAACGATCGATTCTCTGGCGATGTCCTCGCTATGCATGTGCGGGATGATGGCGGCGCTGGCAATGGCGGCGAGCAATACCTAGCTTCCTTCTGGAGCATCTACAACGAACTGTTGGAAAAGGACCCGGCCGTGCTTGAGACGATGGCCGAGGCTCGGTGGCCTTTCGAGCTTAAACAAAAGTGAGTGTGTCGGCCTAATAACCAATTTGTCTGCTGAAAATATTATAGAGACGCGGCTCCGTACCTGGAGCTTGGTCCCACACTTCTCTTCTCGAAGGGTAAGCCTATATGTCAACTTGTCAAGGCGCCACTCCTAGGTGGCCTTCATATTCCTCGCGATCCGAGCATGCCGGACCTTTCAAAGGAGCAAATGCATGCCATCCACGCAGTGGAGGAGGTGGCTCAGAAGGTCTGCACCAAGCTTGATCGCCAGCAAGGCGATATCCAGTTCATCAACAACCTGAGCGTCATGCACGCTCGTGCAGCATATGGCAAGACGGATGAGCCTAGCACACGACACCTTCTGCGAATGTTCCTTCGCGATCCCCAGAACGCTTGGGATAAGCCTGATGCCTGGAAGCACAACTTCGACGATCCTTTCACGCCTGGTCGTCGTCAGGAGATCCCGATCCGTGACCTCGACCCCTGGCGCAAGATCAGTGGTCGCGAGAGCCACGGCTAAATGCTCTTTTATCACCTGTCTCTCTTGCTGTCTCCAGGTGGCTTTGTCTTTCAGAATGGCGTAGCAATACTCGCTGGGAAGGGCAATTTGATCTTTGCTTGTACTTATTGGGGGAATATTCAGTATCTTGAGCGCGATGCCGATGTATCGTGTATAACATACTAATATACCAAATTGCTGAAACACTTGCTGCCACAGATGCATAGGACATATTGAGCCTGCCCTAATCCAATTTTCCGTTTGCTCCGTAGCTATGAGTAAGAATAAAAGACGAATGAGAATCATTTCAGTAGAAAGAGAGACGGCTAAAGGAACAAAACAGTGGCTAAGCCCCAGATGTTTCCAGAAGCCTCCTGATCCACTTGCTTGACAAAGAATTGTGTGTGGATCGGAGGCCTGTATGAGGTGCCGTGGACTGACCTAAAATGGTAGTTTAGCATTGCACCAGCAAGTCGTTTGATTGCACGTACCAATTTCTCCGATTCGGTCAATGATACTCACCAACTCCATCACATAGTCGAAACCCTGAGCATCCAGGTGGCCCTTCTTGCGCAACTCTTCGGGGTTCTCCCTCGCTACTTTGAAAGGGACGTAATCGCGGATGGCGGTCTTCCAATAAGTCAGAAGTACCTCGAAAGAATACTCCCACTTCTCAATTTGACGACTGACAACGTTGTTGACATGGCTTTCAACGGTCTGGTTCCGTTAGCCGCAGACTACATATCACAAGCTGTCTTAGGGTGCTTACTGTTCCATTCTTAGACTGGATGTAGGTCTCCGCGCTTCGATGAATGTATTCCAGGTTCCAGAAAATGACGTACAAAGCAAGGAACAGTTCGTACCACGGTTTGATTTTCGGCTTGAATATTTTGTTATTCACCAACTTGTGGCAGGCTGTCTCCAGTTTCTTCAGAAGTTTCAAAGCCGCGACATCGACTTGCTGGTTAATGGCTCCTGGCAGCGGCCGGTCGCGAGAACTTCTGTCATAAGCCTCATACTGGCTACGACCTAACTTGCTGTAATCATATTCCTGAATACCAGGCACGTCGTTAGACCAAACAGTGCCGTAACCCTGCGACACAACCGAGAGACACTGAATTCTCATACAAAGGTCGAGAAGATTTTGTGAACCCGGAGGTAGTCTGGCTCTCAGGCGAACGACTTCTTGGTACGTGAGGAGTGCTATTTCATCATGGGAGACCCGGGAGAAGATCCATCGTTCAACAGCGGGCTGCAAGTTCGTAATGTATCGTTCCAAAAGGGGGACCAGACTGTGTGTATCATAAACAGCGTATGGCGGCTGTTCAACAACTACTCGACCTTGGTTGGTACTCCACTCATTCGTTGCCGCATCCAGAAAAGGTCGTTTCGGACGATATTGCCCAATCGTGATACGCATTGGTTGAACTTGGATAGGCCCTGTCCCTGGAAGGTTCCAGATGATATCCATGTTGAGAAGATTCCAATTTGGGAGCCACTCATAACCTATGAATTCACCCTCATCTTGGTTAGATCGACCATTGCCTGCGCTGTATTAGTGTCGTTGTCTGTGGAGAGAATTCAATCTACTTACAGTGGCGGACCAGCATAGCTTCTTCGAGACGAATCCTGCAGCAGGGCATATTGAATGATCTAGCCCCGCCCGCAACTTTCTGGCACTTCTGACATGGATCACCGTGATCGCACTGGTATGTGATCAGCCAAAAGCTTCTTCCAACAGTAGTGGAAACGTACACCAGACTTGTAGAATCTGCAGCGGATGCAGGCAGACTTTTGTTTGCGCATTTCATGTGTCTTCCGCCGAGCTTGTTCATCCAGAGGACCTTTCCTCTTCGACACCTTGGACTTTAGCGATCTCGCGACAAAAGCTGCCGGGACTTTCGCTACTGTATTCTTAACGAGTGATCGCTTTCCACGAGGAGTATTGATTTCGGGGAGCGCTGGATTTGTGAGGATGTGCTGTTGATGCGCATAGTCCTGAGGAGCTGGCTCCGCTGGCCACAACGGGGCCGTGTTTGGCAGCTGCTCATACACAGCTGGCGTTGTAGCGCTTGGAGCAGCAGTGGCCATAGCCCAGGTTGTGTCTGGTAGTTGCGCCTGGCTGCCCAACACCATGCCTTGGGGAAGAGCACGGCTGTGTTGGACAAAAGCATGCTGGGGAGCGATAGGAGAGGTGTTGGAATGAGGCTCTTGCGCCCAAGTTACAGCCGCTTGCGTCGATGCATGTGTAGGAGACACATGCATGTCTGAGTTGGCATAGTTCAACAAGGGAGCTAAGGTGCGGGTATCTGATGCGAATGGCGGGGCATTCGGGACTACAGCAGCATCCTTGCGTGGCGTCAGTCGAGACTTACAGAGATCGACGTCTGCACTCACAGCAGTTAGATGAGGCTGGCGGGAGTTATCTTGAGGCCGACATTCGTGGGCCGAGTTGTTCAGAGGGACGGTGGGAGCGGTCTCGTACTGGCGCGACGGCTGGGGATCGGCAAGCGGCACAGGCTGCTGTCGACCATCAGCCTCGCTGTAGGACAGCGACTGCGAGCTGAGGGAGCTCTCGTTGAAGTCGGGATTCCATTCCTGAGGAGCTGCACGGGCGTATGCTGCCGACCATGGAGGTAGGCTGAGGTTGGGATTGATAGGATCGCTGGACCCGCCGTAGTCGAGATAGTGGGCGGGCGGGCGCTGGGCCGGGGAGCTAAAGCGCTGGAGTAGGGCCGAAGGAGCGGGAGCCCGCAAGAAGCCTCCATGAGGGCCCTGCCACGATGTTGCTAGGTCGGCGTACAGGTGTTCGTGGTTGCCAGGCAGAGCCTGGTAGTGCGAGTGGGGAGCGATAGCGCCTCTGTGGTACTGCGAACTGGCAGCCATGAGGGCAAAGAGCGATGTGCGGCTGACAGCGTGCGACGGTTGCGGGGCAGGGCCTCAGGCTTCTCAGCTGGGCTACTGAATCCAGTGAGTCGCAGAGCGTGGGCATGGGGCAGCCGCAGCGACGGGTGGGGTGTAGTATGAGAGAATCAGCGGCAGCAAGCTATAGCATCACCAGGTCTTGCGGGAGACGAGCGCTTGGGAATGCGCCCGTGGCCTGGCCTAGCTCCCGTGCACCCATGGTGGACTGAGTGGGTCCTCTCACAGGGCTGCAGCAGTCCGTCAGCACGTCCCTTGTCCGGCTGGTTTGTCTCGGCCTGCCGACCACATTGGTGGACACAGCGCCTGTAAGCATCTGCCCCCGGGGCGTGGCCTCGCTGACAGGTCCAGGCGCTGTCATTAAACGTCCGCACTTCACACCGCTTCGCCTAGGCTTCGCTCCTTCGGTGCTGCGCTCATCCCACGATCTATCCCCAACCCGGCCTCTGCGCATCCCCAGCTGCATGTACCGAGATGGTAATCGCAGTCGTTGGCCTAGTCGATGTAGCCGCCAGCCCAATCGTAGGGCGTCTGGTGTGACGCCTTATCCATTAGCAGATGAATTAGGCACTCGTTTCTCTCTTCTGACCGGTGTAGCGGACGGCCACCCATAAGGCTGAAGAATTCGACGAATAGTGGGACAGGTAGCCCGTAGAGTCTAGTCCTGCGTAGGTACTTTACTTACACGTCGTGGATCCCATCACTTTGCGTGGTGGGACGTCAGACCCCCAAGTTTGAGCTCTTGATCTCTGAACCCACCGTCTGCTTTGAATTTTCCTTTTCACTCGTGTCTTGCTTGTCCTAACCATTCGATGACAGCCGTTCCACGTGCGCACAGCGCCATGGCGTCGGTATCTTCCATGCCCTCGTTGGATGGCGTACGGCTGGCTACCCCGGAAGATTTGGCCAGAATTGCAACTGTTGCAGCGGCGGGCTTCTTTCACTCGCCAACATTTCATTACCAGCGTGTCCATTATGCTGCCTATCCTGACGATACACTTCTGTAAGCGATCCGTAACGCCCCTTCGTGCTTCCGCTGCCAGCTCCTCAACATATAGAAGTCAATGGAAGAGTGCTTCTGTGGTAAGCCTGTTGCGAGGCGTTTGTAATTGGCTCGGCTCAGCCGACGTCATGAAGAGTGCGGTGCTAATCTTGGCCCGCAAGGGTGCAGTTCGTACTGGAGCGAGTACGACCGAGCCATCAGAGACGGCACGAGCGTCGTGCTCGTGGCGGAGGACACTTTGGATGAGACCGAAGGGAACGATGTGTACCCGGCACTGAGGGATGCTACCGCTTACACCCCCGGTGCTAGCACTTCGGGGTCGAAGTTAGTGGTAGGCGTAGCCAGTGTCGACATCAAACCAGGTTCTTCGTATATAGGCATGTTCCAACCTCCGCGTGAGCTCATTAACCTGCCAGAAGGTCTTGATCAGAAGCTGACTGGTCGAAGGCTCCACAGACCAGACGGATGGCCGTGATCTTCCCGCCAACGCCCAGCGTGACCTCTGTGAAGAGCGAGTTCGCGCGTATAAGGAAGCCACCACCCCAGCAAAGATTCGGTACGTGGATACAAAATGAGTCTTGGTTGAGGCTAATCGCGATGTAGATATCTCCAAGGCCAAATGAGATTGAGCACTCTGGCCGTGCATCCGTACGTCGTGAACCGATCTGAGCAACACGATGGCAGGTCACAACTAACCTTTTCAGTGCGTACTGGAATCGTGGACATGCTACGCGTCTTGTTGGCTACATTACTCGTCTGGCAGATCTCGATGGTGTGCCACTGGTAAGATTGGTTCCTGATGGCGGCCGGTCTAGAATCCTTGATTGAAACCCAAACAGGGAATATCTGCCGTGCCCCAAGGAGCGATCGTCGCAGCAAGGGCCGGTTTCGAAGAACGGGAACTTGTCCGCGTGAAGCAGGCGTGTGTGCATAAGGAAACTAACGTGGCAGAGGTCGAGCTGTGGGTTGCAATTCGCCGCCCGTCGGGAACCCCAGTCTCGGGAGAAAGCTTGGGCGACAATGCCATGAGCCCGGAGTCCCAGTAGCAGGTGAACTGTCGCGCTGATCGGTGAAGAGCTTGGATCGTTTAATGTTCATGGTGTCTCTAGCGGTAGGATTAGGCCTTCGGGAATACGCCGCGCGTCGCTCCTTCCTTGCCGTGCGCTCGAGGCAGTCTTGACGCACGGAATGAGCAACCGTTTGTTCTCCAGGAGCGAGGTATACCAAAGCTTATTTGGGGACCGGGCGATTGGCAATACTTTCCAAAGACGCGTTTGGACCTTGGAATAATACACGGCTGCTTCGGGATCGTCGATCTAGCACTGGATGACAACAATCATCTGCGCCCGAGACAGCTCTGGAACTATACAATGCATCATCTTTGCTAAATCTCCAGGATGACTCACCACATCCACAGCAGTTCCAGAATGACGCTGTTTGTTCAATATTTTTTGAGCCCAGGCCCTGAAATCTATATGGATTACTCAAGCATCGAGCATCACACGGTCTGTATGGGAGATCGAGACCGGATGTAGGCCGTTTCGCTGGCTTAACAGCTGACCCTAGGGCTACCACAGTCAATCAGATGCCTTAGCAGACTAGTGTTGCAATTTGTGTAAAGCCTTTGAGAGCGAGGTTGACAACAGAGCTTCTAGTCATAACACGAACTCCGATGCTGCTTTGCACGAATGCCTATGCAACTCGCCATTCTAAGAGTACTAAGGATGAATTAGATTCTAGCCTAGGAAGACCTACGCTAATGTTCAACAATTCCACAAGATCAAGACCTCTCCTGGACGCATCTACTTCTTCGCCTTCTTCTTCTCCTTCTCCCCACCCTCTTCTCCGTAATCTTTCCTCTTCCCCGCGTTCCTCTCACTCTTCCTCGTCCCCTCCGCCGGCTTCTTCTCTTCTTTCATCTTGCTATTAGCATTCTCCTTCTTCTCAGCACCCTCCTTCTTCGGTCGACTCCCCGTCTTCTTTGCTGCCGCAGGCTTTGCAGGCTTCGCTTTCTTCGCCGTGTTAGCCTTATGCTTCGCGCCCTCATCCTCCTCCGCATCCTCTTGTACGTCTTCCTTTGCATCTTCCTCCGCGTCCTCCTCTACTTGCTCCTCGTCATCGAGCGAAGCCGCATCATCTCCCTGGGCCTTGTTCTCCTCCTTCTGTTTCTTGCCACCAGACTTAGGCTGCGGTGCCCCCTTCTTCGGCTCGTTCTTACTTCCGGCCTCGTTCTCGTAGTCGCCGCCGCGCTTCTCGTATTCCTTGGAGAGTTTGGAGGCCTACCCAGCAAGTAAAGTAAGCACATGACATCCAGACGCGATTGCATACACCAAAATGACGAGCAACCACCTTCCAGACGTTCCAGCGACACGAGGTCGGGAACACTTTACATAAGACCGAAAATCAAGCGATCAATGTTCGTCTGGCTGACCGTCCACCGCGCTTGCACAACCTGGCCGGCCCTCTGCATACGCGTCCACTTCTGAAAGAATAAGACTAGGATGGCTTACCTTCCAAGCACTCCACTGCCCCTTCCCGCCCCCATCCTTATTCGTCTCATTCTTCACCTCCTCCTTAACCTTCTCCCTCAGCTTCGGATCCGTCGGTTTTCCCTTGCTAGACGGCATCGTCGCGTCCTGGTCCCTTTGCTGACTTTTCCACAGAGCCCGTAAGCTTCTTATATCTTCTTATCTTCGTTCGACTTCACTTGGCGACGAGAACTCCAGAGGACCGGGGGAGGATGGTTTGTTTGCGCTACGTAGAATTGCAGTGATAGTTAACAGTCCTCTCCGCGCACGTCTCACAGCTCAGTTATGTACCGTACCTTTCTCGCGTGCGCGCTAGCCCACCAACGTATGTACGTGCGCCCGTGAAACAATGACATCACGACTAGCCTCAAAGCTACCAGCCTTCCTTCTTCTCAGCCGGGCAAATGACAATCAAATAATGGGCGGAATGCCGCGCTAGGACCGTATACCACGCGCTTGGGCTTGTACGTCATCGATACAAGCCATTGAGCGCACTCGTTGTGGAAAGCGCGCTAACAATCAGCGCCCAAGGAGAGAAGCACACACGCATACGCACAAATCAACATCACAACGTCAAACTCTTGTCAAGCTCAAGTCTCATCATCAATTCTTGTATAAACCATACATCGCTAATTCACATCAATCCGCCCACTGCATGCCACTATGCGCTGGAACGTCCCGTCTTGTCTCTCCCATCTAATGCGGCGTGCTTTTGCTGAACTGAATCAAGCGCTTCACACCAACCTGTAACTGTCAGCCTGGGACGCACATGTAAATTGCGCATCGAGACTTACCATCCAGTTGCTACCCTCGTCGCTCTTGTTCGTCATCAGATCCGTAAACAACGCGATTGCTTCGTCGTACTGTCTGGCCTGCATATGTCCTGCAAGCTCAATCATAAGCTGGATAGTGTCCGCCTTGAGTAGATCCTCGTTATTCAGGTGGTCGAACAGAATGTTGAGCCGCTTTTCGGTATCTGCAACGTGTGCCTTGAAGTTGGCAGGAGCCTTGGCCTTCACGCGTTGCATGTCTGCGTTGAGGATCTCGTAGATGGGACGAGATGCATCAGGGATGTGAGACCGGTCGCCGGCGGCTGTGGTTCTGTTAGCAAAGACGTTCCAAGTGATATTTATATTGAAGACATACGGTGCTTGGGTGCAGCGGGGGCCGCTCGTTGTGAGGAAGCGGTCCCCGGACGCGAGTCTGGCCTTGGAGGACCTGTCTGGAATAAACCGCCCGGTGGAGGGCCGGCTCTCGGTGGGCCTTGTGGCGGACCTCCTGGGGGCGGTGCCGCTGCCTGAGGTGGTGCCTGCGCTCCCGGTGCTGGAGCGTAAGAGGACGGCGCTGGGGAGTAGGGCGAGGCACCTCCAAATTGAGTTGGCGGTGGCGCGACCTGTCGTTGAGGTGGCATACCCGCTGGCGGTCCTGAAGGCGTCGACCCGGGTGCAGGAGCATAGCGGTTGGACGGCGGGGCGGACGATGGGGGAGGGTTGTAAGGCGAAGTACCGCGGGGAACAGGAGGTTGCTGCGGGGGAGCAAAGCTCGATGGCGGCGGGGTGTACGCATTCGAAGGGGCCGACGGAGCGTATGGGCTGGGAGCAGCATTCGCAGATGTCGGTGGTGACGAGATACGAGGTGGGCCTTGCGGCGGTCCCTTTGGTGGCGGTGGGGGAGTTGGCCTTGACTGTGGAGGATACGTCGGCGAAGGGCCCCCGAAAGGTTGAGGGGGACCCTGCTGGGCAGCGAATGGTGAGTTTACAGCATTGAGAGGAGTGGCGCGACGTGACGCTGGCTTTGGCGGCGCAATAAAGCCTTCTGGCATATCATTCCAATTAGGAATGTTCTTCTGGGTAGCTGCGGGTGCTACTGAAGGAGAGCTAGAGAAGTTACGCGGAGGTGGTGCAAGAGGGTTTGCTTGAGGTTGCTGGTATCCACCATATTGAGGCACAGACGGGGCGCTTGGCTGGTATCCTGCAGGAGTATAGGCATTCCGGCTAGGTGCTGGAGTGTAGGATGGTGCAGGCTTCTGTGCTTGAGGTGCGAGGGGGTTAGGTGGGGCATACTGAGAGCCAGGCTGCTGCAATGGAGCGGCAACTGGGATCGCTGACACAGGCGTTTGGGCTGGGTAGGTAGGTACCACTCGGGAGGCACGTTGAGCGGAAGCAGCTGGGGTCTGTCGTTGAGCTGCTTGTGGTGCTGCCTTTCTTGTCGCCTTCTTGACCCTGTCCCTTGCCACATCTGCAGCAGGGTACTTTTCGGGTAGGAGATCCAGGTATTTCTCAGCGATGGACAGCTTGCCGTGTGCAGAGGCGATATCGGCGTACTCAACATACTTAGCGTATAGCGGGCCGAGCTTCCAATCTGCCTCCTTAGTCTGCTCCTGATCCTGAAACTGGGTGACTTGTCGGAAGACGGTGACCTTTTCAATGAAATCCTGCAGAGACTTTGCGTGGATGGAGAAGCTGTTGTCGCCGGTAGAGTTCTCAACGCTTGCAGCCTCGTTCTCCTGCAGCTCTTGTGCCCAGTTGACGACAACCTTTTCAAGTTTCGCACCTGCCAGGTAGCAGAAAGAGGCGTCTTTTCGGTAAGACTCTGTCTCCTCAGTAATGGCTTCCTCCAGCCGGTCACCGAGGGCTTCACAGAGGTCGGGGAACTCGGTCTTATCAGCGTATGTGCAGAGAGTGACCATGACTTCCTTCCAATCCTTCAGATCAGCATTGTACACCACGTCCCAAAGGTTGTTTCCGACAATCGAAGCTAAAAGACGAGTGTACTTGGGGCCGTCTGTTTGCTTCTTAAAGTATGCTGCTCGAGCCTTCGCAATACACTTGTCTCCTCCGCAAATGGCGATCATGAATGCATCAGAAAGCCTGTTCTCCTTCAAAGCAACGTCCACGGCTGTCTCGAAAGAACCTTGCATGAGTGCTTGAGTGATCTTCTTGTCGGCATCGGATTCGGAGCCGGAGTAGATCGAAAACGGGTTGTTTGTCTTTGCGCCTTTGGATGCCGCGAGGTCAGAGAGAAAGTTGCCTCCTTCATCCGATTGGTCGAAGAAAGAAGCCCCTTCCTCCTCTGCACCATCGGTTCCTGCAGACTCCTTCTTTTCCTCGACCTCTTCATCCTGTTCAACACCTGAGAAGCCCAAGTATTCTATAAGGTGGTTACGGGGGCTGTCCGATATGAGCGTCTCGATGACCTTCCAATCAGCCTTCTCTTCATCTGTGCTCGCTTTCGCGATCTTCGATTCGCAGATAGCGGCAAGATCACCTTGCTCCAGAGTCTTGGCGAACTCCTCACTTGCTGCGCCAATATCGGAGTCCACTTCGAAGGTGGATATGCTGACCTTCGATTTACCTTCTGCAATGCCAAAGCGGACCAACTTGCCACCGAACCCAAACGACACACCGGCGCGCCGTCTGAGCCACTTTGGCGGTGCCTTCAAGGAGAAAGAAGCGCCCTGTGGTTCAACGTGTGTCTTCGAGAAGAAGTCTTCGCCATCCAATGCCTGTGCGGTCGACTTCGTTTGCTCGGCTCCAGCGCCGGTGTTTTGGAGAGACTGGACGGCGATTTTGCCGTCGAAGGACGCAGTGGCGAGCAAGTTTGGGTTCGAGGGGTTGAAAGCCGTCTGAAACGTCCAGTTAGTCACGACGGGGAACTCTCCAAGATATTCGCCCGTGTGCGGGTTCCACGCGATCGTTCGGTTGTCTTTGCCAGCGGACAGCAGGATGTCGCTGTCCTGCACACACCATGAAATTGAAAGCACGCCCTGGTCGTGGGCTTGGAGCGTTTTCTCCGGAGCATTCGAGTTTCGGAGATCCCACACCAGTACCAGTGGGTTCTGATCTGTGGGGATGGCTGTGACCAGCCTCGTGGGAACCTCGGGGTCCCATGATACTGAGCTCACTGTTTTCCTGCCATAATTGTTCAATGTGAGGTTCTCCTTCTTCTGCTTCACATCCCACACGGTGACGAAGCCTCCGCTGCTGCCAGTTGCGAGGATGTGTGCCACCTTCTTGTTCCAGTCCAACGAGGTATATTCGTCTGGGTTCGCGCCCGCCTTGCCCAGGCGGAATGACTTGGACTGATCGTCGAGATCGTGGACGTAGAGCTCGCCCTTAGCGCCTGCGGTGGCGAGGATGTTGGGTCGGAAGGGGTTGAACTGGATGGCCTGAATGGGGCCGGTGTGTTTGTCGATCTGCTCTATAAGCGCATCGCTATGGACTGTTAGCATCCATGCCGTTGTATGGTCAGAGAGCGAAATCGCGACCTTTCTCCCTTCTGCAGCTTTTCCGCATCCCAGAGCACCAATGCCCCGCTATCCAATGCGCCCGCTATTATTCCTCGAGGGTACGACTCGCTCGGCTGACTCCAGGCAATGCCATTGAATCTGTATTTGCTTAGCCTATGCCCCATGCAGTTCCTGTGCCCTTACCTCGATTCTACGTTCACAGTAGCGACGGGCTGCAGCTCAATGCCCTGCTCCGCGCTGTCCAAGTTGAGCTCCCAGAGCTCCAACGTGGTATCATTTGAGAAGTCTGCGTCGACGGCGCCCGCCTTCGTTCCCGTAGCAATCAATGGCTGCCTCGGCCCAGGCGACCACGCGAAGGTGGCCGTTCTGGGTATTTCTCGGAGACGGACCATGGCGGCGGTCGCTCGCAGCTGTCAGACCAGACGAACAAGACGCTGGTGTGCAAAATTCGGGGGCTGCAACTCGGGAAGTTGAAGGAAGAAATAGGGGAGAAGACGAGTGGAGGCGACAGGCGGAATGTATCTGGACACGGGGCGAGATTCTTAGGCAGCTTCACCATCAACACACCTGTCCTTCCTGCCATCATCGCGGACTTGGCAAGCACGACCCCCGTATTTGTGGGTCGGTCACGTGGTGTTTTCGCGAGCGCCTGTCCCAGTTCACCAATGAAGAGCCCGCATCGCGCGACTACTCCATCACATTCAATCGATTCGAGCGTATCATGGCGGCAGACAGCTCACGACTAAAGGCCACCGTGTTTGTCGGTGGCCTCGACCATGCTGTCACGCAACAAACCCTATATCACGCTTTCCTGCCGTTCGGCGATATCGTAGAAGTCAACCTGCCAAAACCGGATGCGCCGTCCTCGAGTGATCCGCACCGAGGCTTCGGCTACGTGGAGTTCGAGACGGCCGGGGATGCTGCAGATGCCATCGACAACATGGACAGGAGTGAGCTCTTCGGTCAGGTCATTAAGGTTGCTGCTGCCAAGCCGCAGAAAGACGCAAATGAGGGTTTGGGTAGTAAGACGGCAATTTGGGAGCAGGTATGTTGTTTTCTTCACAAGATATAATAGGCACGTACTGACTCGAGTATAGGAGGGCTGGATTGCAAAGCATGCTGTGAGCGAGGAAGATCGCCAAGCGGCGCAACAGGCGCCAGAAGCTGCAGACGATGGCCCAATGGATCCCATGCAAGGACTCGAGGGACTCGACGAGGCTGGTCCAAAACCAGCTTGAACCTTGGACTTTCCAACTTTGACTTACAGCAGTCGACTATTTGTATATCTGGAAAAGGATAGGCGCAACGGGTGCGGGGAATTCGGTTTATGATACCATGGTTTTTTCCACTGCATGACAGACTGTATGTAACATAGCTCAATGTAACGAGTTGTGTTCTGGATCCAATCGCTACTCTACGGGTTGTCAAGTGTCACGGTCTTCCAAGATATCACACCATACCAACATCTTTCACAGCATCACATTCCGGAGGCAAAGACCTGACGTATAATGTATGCCAGACAAATGAAATTGACCTTTGAGTTTCTGACGATGGCTTCTCGACCTGTTCCTAACTTTGTACAGAGGGCCTTTTCCTTCCCCCGACCCAACTACCCCGCCTGCAATATTCCTTGCATCTGTCCATCGTGTCTAGTGTCCAGACTGCCTCTTGAGGCGGAGCGTCTTGTCGACGACAAGCTTCCGGCCGAGCGAGAAGATGGCAGCGAAGACGGCAATCCTAGAAGGTATTAGCCACTCCATCCGTGGTAACCGAGGGTGGAACGCTTACGCAAGGACGATACCTGCATTGGATTAATTATTGTTCTGCCATTACATGGTGGAGGGGGAAACGTACCGAGGGGGATCAACTCAGCGGGGATCTTCTTGAGCTGGCGCAGACGTTGGGAGACGCCGTGAGCTGCACATGTCCAAATCAGATCCGATCTTCATGTGTCTCTCCCTCCCAGATCTCGCTCTAGCGGGCCAATGGCTTACCGGACTGCTCTTCCTTCTGCACACAGTCAGTAGCGATACCAGAGAAAGCGGCGGCTAGCTCGCTCAACATACAGGGACGGGCTTCATCATGCGCGCCGTTTGCCGCATGTACATGGGAGCGCTCCGGCGCATGAACATCATCCGGGTGGGCTGCATGGCCCTGAGGGCGGTGGGCTTGAACATGTCTGCGGTGGTCGCGGGTGTAGAGTGGAGAGTCCGGAGTGCGTGTGCGGTGGTGGGAGTGCAGAAGTGTGGTCTCGTCAAACGTCACGTCGTTTGAGATGCATGGGCAGAGCTCAGGGCGCCGCCGAGCCGCTAGCCGACAAAGCGCCATCGAACCACTCCTCACTGGCGACCTCACATCGCCCTCGTCACCACTCTGCCTGCAGCCATTGCCCTCCACCCGCAACCTAGAACCTTCCGCTATACACCGCCAACATGTCCGACGAGGAGACCGAGACCAAGCCCTTCAAGTTCGTCACTGGTACGCGCCCGCCCGCCCGCACACGGACAGAGCACTGCTAACCTGCCACACAGCCGGTACGCCACCCACCGAGAGAGCTCCCGCGAAGCTCCAGGCCGCCTCCGCCGCGCTGCGCAGGCCCGCGCGATAAGCTGGAGAGCCTGTGTGGATGGAGTCGCTAACGCATTGGCCCAGGCTTTGACGCCCGCTTCCCCAACCAGAACCAGACCAAGCACTGCTGGCAGAATTACGTCGACTACCACAAGTGCATCACCGCCAAGGGCGAGGACTTTGCGCCCTGCCGCCAGGTACGCACCTCCCGGGCATGCCACGGCGTGCACCGAGGCTAATCCCGACGCAGTTCCTCCTGGCCTACCGATCGCTCTGCCCCAGCGGCTGGACTTCGCGATGGGACGACCAGCGTGAGAAGGGCATCTTCCCGTGCAGGCTCGACCAGTAGACAAGCCGCAAATCAAGCTGCGCGCATCGGACGGAACTTTTCTTAAGCCGGAACCCGTGGGTCGTGGATCGCAAACTGGACATCACATAGAGTCTCCCTGTATCATAACGCTCGAGAAGGTAGCAGCAACCAGTTTGGATTCATCACTTACCGCAGACCGTCGTGACCTCACATTGCGTCGTGTAAATACTCATCACAACCGTAAATCCGCTCTAAGCACTTGTTTGTCCTCGCCCTCAAAATGTTCGCGTGGGAGGGGCAACCTCGATGTATCGTGTGCCACAGACATCCAGATCCAGATACCGCAGCCATCCCAGCCAGTTCCAGGTTCAGCAACGAGCCACCCATAGAATCCAAGCATTCAACTCCACTGTGTGAACTATGTCCCCACTCCGAGCTATCCGGGCCCGCGACAGCACATCCAGCACCATCGGCAATCATCATGACCAGACCACCACCTACCCTCACACATCACCACTCCACACGCCACCCCACCCCCACAGCACCGTCACCATCACCACCTCACTCGCCTTACGCTTCACTCATCCGCGCCCGAAGTAGTCATCGCACGCATTTCATTATTTCGTAACCCTTAATCACCACCCAGCCCGCTCACACATGTACATGCACGCTACCATCCCATCCCATCTCATCATGATGAACATACCCAACCCAATCCCGAATCCCGACCCAAGCCCATGCTGTTCCAGACGTGCGAAAAGGTATCATATCATGCAAACAAACCACAAGCCAGCGCAGCCCAACTCAGCTCAACTCAAGCTCAGCCGAACCCCTAGGAACTCGGCTGCAAAACACGCGTAGCACGCAAGCGATACATGCATGCCAAACTTCTCCTCCTCCGCACGTCTCGACGAAGAGCACAACAAGACACCCGGCCTCCCCCATCCTCGGAATCCCCTCTCCTACCCCCTCACCCCACCTTCTCACATCCAGCCTCCCACCCCCTCTAAATGCGCATATAATTCGTGCCCTCGGTCTGGTAGTCTTGCACAGGCGGCAAGTGCGGGATGGGTAGGGAGAGTCGCGCTGCGGAACAACACCTCTTAGTGCACGCTCTATTCTAAACATTCATATCTTACAGTGCAGAAAGGCGACGGTAAGGTTAAGAACAAAAACAAGCGAGGCAAAGAAGACCTCTGTCGTCTAGAAAAAGATGCAATGTAACGTAAAGCAGAAGATAAGATAGAAGGTGGGTATAGATAGAACAAGCGCGAGTCAACACGAGTGCACGGCGCAGCACAGCACAGGGCGTGATGGATGCAGTGCGACTGGTGGAATCGAGAGCTTGAACGTGGTACAGGTGTAGAGCTGAGCAATGTACAACAGAGCAGAGAACTTCGCAGAAGTGATGCAACGTAAGGTAAGAATGGAGGCACTAACGCTCTCGCCACCAGCTGGCAAATTTCTTTTTCTCGCCTGCGCCTGCGGCCTCCAGGCTAAGACTGCGGTCGTAGAGATCCTGCCATCGTCGTTAGTTTCCTGTTCATCATCCAAGACGGGGAGAAGCGCAAACATACCTCCTCGTCCTTCATGATCTTGATGTCGAGGATGAGGTTCTTGATCTCGTCGTTCTGCCGCCACGTCGGGTACGGTGTTCCCTGTGCTCGTTGAACTCTCACAATCACGTCGCCCATGAGCTCGAACTTTTTCCAGTTGATGCGCTCTTTACCAGTGACGCCCCCGGGAGGCGCTTCTCGAGAGTTCCGGTTCCCGGCCGCGCCGAGAGATACGCTGGTTCCAGGATGGGCGCCGAATACTTCTGGCTGCTTGGTCTTGTCGGTCACAAATGTTGCGTTGCCTTCCGATGCTGTTACCAAGTCTCGTCGGTGTAATGGTAAATATGGGAGGCGCTCCCTTGCGCTGTTGTCCCATGCTAGTCGGTAGCACTTGTACGATTGCGATTGCCCCATGAGGATCTCTAGCTTCATGAAGTCGAGATTGGCCTGTTGGGGAACAAGTTCTCTGGTGGCTGCGAGGCGATGCACTGCTGTACTATTTATGCCAGCCAGCACGGCCCCGAGAGAGTTGTAGTTGTTCAGTTTCCGCAGCTCGCGCGCTACTTTCATCCACTTCTCGAGCATGAGAGCACGATGTCGGTGCTTGTCTCGCATGAGTATGTAGTGCTGTACGAGGAAGTGGACATGGTTAAAATGATCCGTCATCCGCGTTACGTTCTCTAAGCTCTTGAACCTCTTCTTCTCTTCCGGGCTCATGCTCACATGACGAATCAAGTCGCGAGGCCGGATTGATGAAAACATGATCCAGTCCATCCTCGTCAATTCTTTGGCTATGGCTTCTTCTGGTTCTTCCATAAATTGGCGCCATTGAAGCTTTGTCAGAGGCTTGATCGGGTTTGGAACCAGGTGCCTCGCTAATCGTTCATTCAGCTCGACCTGGTGAAGGAGGGTTTGCGTGGAGCTGTTTGTTCCTGTGGTCCCTTGTGTTGATCGTGAATGCCCTGTCATACTGCTCCGGGCGATCGACAAACGTTGCTCTGACGACATAGACATGTGGCCAAGTGCTTTGGTGAAATCGTCGTCATCCGAGTCCTCATCCAGGACTGTGTGGAATGTTGGGATCTGCTCATTCTGAGCCCGAAGGCGATCGCTGCACGCCCAATCCGTATCATCGTCGTCCGTGATAGCCTCGTAATCGTGAAGAATCTCTGCCGCTGCAACAGCGAATTCGCGGTTACCGGCAAGGGCCGTGGCGAACCTGCGTAGAGTGCGTCTTGTGGAGGGATAGGCAAAGTCGCCTGGATAGTGGCTCGTCCATTGTTGCATAATGGTAAGATACCGCATTTGCGCAATGATGCGTAGAACTGGGGGTGACCTTCTCTTGAGTGCTTCGAATCGCTTCAATATAGCCTCGAGCAGTTGTCCTGGTGTTGCAAATTTCCTATAAAGCGCAAGGAACATGTGACCAAATTTGGTGTCCTTTTTATCTGTGGGTTGGGCTAAAAGTCGATCCACGAGCTGGTCAAAAGTATAGCCATTCTCGTCTGAGGGCAGATTACAGGCCAAAGCATCTCCGTCGTCTGCTTGACCGTCAGATTCATTAGATTCGTACGTAGGTGATTCTTCTTCAAAGTTGAAGAAAGTCTTGTTCGTTTCGCTTGCTTTGTATCGATGGCCTTTGACCTCAGCAGAGCTTGGTCGCAACCGTGCCGAGAATTCAGAATTGGCGCGCTCGTGTTTACGATCCCATGGGTCTCGCGCAGTACTAGACCTCACTGCCGAGGAGTTTGCTCGCCGGCGAGCCATCGATGCTTGTGACCGAGCTGGCTCAGCTGTCAGTAGTGTACACAGATCGCATTGGGTATATCGAAAACTGAAAGTGACTGTGTCAAAATGCACATGACGACGGTATCTGCAGAAACAGCGTGGCATGTGAAATCAGTTTTACACTCACGTCGCTTAGATGAGATGACCGCACGCGTAATCACGGACAAGCAGCCTCGGTACGCATCAGGCGAGGCCTCGGATGTCTGGAAGGTATTCACTTCGCCCAAGAAAGTTTTTGCTTTCTTCTCCACCACTGCAGGGTCGACTTTACGGTGGGCGGGGTGGTGGTCGCACTTGCACCCCACGAGTACAAATGGTAGCCCCGATCGGGATAGTAGGCCTAACACGAGCCTTTAGCATATTGCGTCGTAGGGTCGGAAATGGTGCAGCGTCTGACCTAATATCTCTGGCACTCGTGCCAGGCTCTGCTCGCTGGTGACATCATAGATGGTGATGGCGCCGTCAATCCGTGGTGTTGCGAGATCTTCGAGGGTGTCTGGCCACTTGACGCAGTTTTGGTCCCGCACCTGCACGTCGTTGATGGACATCTCGAGGAAGCGCACCACATATAGTCCGCCGTCTATGGTCATCTTGCGCGTGCGGACTGCGCCCGGCGCTGCAGTGGGCAGATTGAGGGCGTGGCGTATGAAGGTGGACTTGCCCGAGCCACGGGCGCCCAGGACGGCAATGTTGATGTCCTGCATGGCCGAGGAGTCGCTGATGCCGGACTACACAGCTGCGTTAGTGCTGCAGCTACGCGAGTTTCGAGGCCCCAGAAGCAACTTACGCTTATAGACGGCGCGGGCGACCGCGGGCTGGGGGGTGCGCGGATGTCCATCTGCAGCGGATGGCGGCCCTTGAGGCTTGTAGGGGAGAGGGGCCCCTCGGTGTCGGAGGACGAGTCGACCTCGCTGGAGGAGATCTCGAGCTTGGTGGGCTGGACGGCCTCGGGGAAGTGGTAGCGCTGGAAGAACTCGTCGCCAGCAATCTCCCAGTCCTCGGTGCCCTCGCCCAGGCTGGCGGTGCCATCGTCGTCGTCGGACGCGTCGTGGTGGCTCTTGGGTACCATGGGCGCCGAGTGGGCGCGATGCTTGAGGCTGGGAGGTCGCAGGCCCGTCGCACCGGCACCGGCACCGGCGTGGGCAGACTGGGCCGACTCCTTGCGCGGCGACTCCATTTGGTGGGCGCTCTTTCTGGCGGTGCTCCTCTGCTCGGTCGGCGCTGGCCTGGCACCCCGAGCCTGCCCAGCAGCACTCGGCGGCCTCGCTGACGGCGGCATCGGTGGCACGGGTGCTCAGCAGCAGGCGGGCCTAGAGCCTGGAGGGCGGCGGCGCGCGTCGTGCAACTGCGTGGCGGCCGTGGAGAGCGGGTGACAGCGAACCGCTGGGCGCGTCTAGTTGCGGGAGGCGGGGTCGACTGCCTGCGGACATTGGAAGCTGTGTGGCAGCGGGGGGCTCTGGGCGACAGCCTGCGGAGGGTGCATGCAATCGACGAGCAAACAGCGCGGCGGGCAGGGCAGGGCAGGGCGTGGGCGGCGTGGAATGGGTGCCGGGGGGGAGGGGAGTAGCGACTCGATGCTATGGCGAACAGAACGCTTCGTAGTCGCCAGCCGTTTCCTCGACGGTGCAGTGCAGCTGCAGCACAGACGCATGGCAACCGGCAGAGGAAACCCTGCACGACTCACACGCGAGTGCTCCGTTCATGTTCGGCGTATATTGTGTGGATTTCGGCACAGAGGCACGCCCTCCTTGTCGCAGCACTCCGCATGCTGTGCCCACGGCGTCTGGCAGCTCACCGAGACGGGGCCCCGTGCTGGCTCCGCATCTGGCCTCTCATCACAGCTCGCGAGGCCGCGCGCCCGACGGCGAGTCCATCACATGACGCTAGAGCATGTCGATCTGAGGCTGGTCAACGCCGACGGCCACATCCGTCGTCGTGCGTGCAGCGTGTGCACGACACCTCCAACATGGCTACGCCGGGCGATCCCAACCCGAGCACCACCTAGCGTCGCGGTCCACACGTGGCTGTCGTCTCACGCTCGGACAATTGCAAGCAGGGTCCTGATTCCCCACATCCCGTACCGTCCCATGCGGCCATGTCCATCCCACCGTCCACACTGCGAACCCGCGGACTGGCCAGCCACTACTGTATCGTATGCAATCGCAACTCCGTGGCTTGCTATCGCTATCGACGTATCACGCCCATCTCGCTTCCCACGCGCAGACTACCCAGACACCACTGACACTAACTTGCCACCTCCGAATCCCACGCCCTCCCTTCCCCTGCTTCGTAGACCCCGGTGCGGCACAGTCGGTGTATTTGTATGCACGCGCGGCTGAACCCTCTTCCTTCCGAGGTGCGGCCTTTCCAGCCATGCGAACGGCTGGTGTCGATCCGCTGAGCACGGGGCATGCATGTGCTATTGGTGATGTGCAACGGGCAACTCGGGTCGTGAGAGCATGAGCTGAGCTCTTCACCGCCTCGATAGTGTGAGGCTGAACGGGATGCATCCAGGGTTGCGAGCACAACATGGTGAGGCGAACTCGCTTAGGAACGTATCGTCATGGGCCCTCCAGTAATCGGTCAACAGGTATCGCGTGTCCGAAGCATGGCAGGTGCTCTTGGTGAGGCGCTTTGGTGGCAGTCGTTCAGAGTCGGGAACAGCGCATTGCCGGTTTGGGAGCCTCTGTCTGTGTAGATGCTGCAAAGACTTGTCATCTTCGGCAGGGCAAAAGAGACTCGTGGTCAGCATACGAGATATACACTAGTCCGCTCGTAAAAGAGCCGTGAGCTCTGTTTGGTTCATGCAATTTCGGGGTATTCGTCATGCCAATCCATCCAAACAGCCTGCTTCTATCCACCAGAGCATATGTACAAACGCCTACTTCCCCAATCATTGTGCGTCTAATGCGTGTTCGTCCATGCCCACGTCCAATATACCGAAGAAGGTTCAAATCATTAAGCCTTCCCAAACAACCCGCAAATGAATCCCCTCGACTTCGCCTTCTTTCTTTTCTGCTCCTCCTCGACCAACTCCCGTTCCTTCTTCTCTTCGAGCTCATTCGCCCGCCGCACTCTCTCCTTGATCTTTTCCCGTGCGACTTGCCTCTCTGTTTCTTCCCTGGAATATCTCCTGGACCCGTTACGGCTGTCTGGTGTAGCTGGCCCTCTCTTGTCGGGGTTCTCGCGATAGATGATGTCGTTCGAATCCGTGACCTTTTGTACGTGCACAGAAGATGCTCGTGATTGTGACGCGCTGCCGGAGCGAGGACGCTGGCGTGAAGCGACGGACTTGGGCGATGCTGGAACTGAATGCGCGTACGTCGTTTGAGTCACCAGCTGCGACCCAAGGAAAGCGTGGGACAGTGGTGGAGGCAGGCTGGTCTCGAGATTTGCCTGCGTAAGCGCAGGGCCGCAGTCGTTACTGCCCATGGTACGCGTGACAGGGTTTTGCCGCAGGGGATGATCCACAAGCCTAGTGTACGTGAATGATGACGATCGCTGGGTCGGCTTGGTCGTGCTTGAAGAGACACTGGACTTGGTCGATGACGAGCGTGTCGAGTTGGACGAAGTCTGCAAGGAACTGGATGAACGGGGCTCTACCAGTTGCCGTTCGGCCAGAGCAGAACCCAGAAGAGAAGTCGATGACACTGAACGTATGGCTGTGACCGCTGTTCTGTTTGCTGGTTCTCTGTGAGAGGTCCAATGTCGGTCAGACGTCGCGGAAACACTCCTTCGCAATCCAGACGTTTGGGGACTGCTGCCAGCATTTCCCGGGTCCATGTCCAGGAATAACCGTCCATCGATGATAGTGCCGTTGACCTGTCTCCCATTTCTCCCGCGGCTGTTCCGGCGAACACTATTGGCACCTGCAGGTTGACTGAGCGATGGCAGTTGCGAGTAGTAGCGGGATTGTTGGGCGATGAGATCATCGCGGCTGGCTGGCAGAGGTGAGACGGTCGGTAAAGCCGCGGAACTTCCTATGGCAAGGCTAAGATGCTCTTTCGTACGTCGAGCATTTGCCTCCATGAGTGCTTGCTCACGTCTAATGAGGTCTCTTTTCCGGCGTGCATTCCATCCCCCTCCTTGTTGATCTGTTCCACGAGATGGGCCATCGGACTGCTGTCTGCCTGACCGACTGCGGCTCGGAGCTGATCCAAGCAAGTCATCTGGTATCGGCTGTCTCGACAATTCTCCTTCAGCGACCGGAGATAAGGAACGACCTCGCGTTTCGAACGAGGTAGGCATAGAACGGCGCCTGGGATTATTCCTTGAGCTGCCTTGTTGGTTGTTGAGGGCTGTGCCTGAGCGTTGCAGTGTAGAAACACCGGATGAACTTATCGATCGCTCAGAAAATCCGGTGCAGTCACGTTGGCTCGCCAATCCCTGGACTGGCAGGCTACGCCGACGACTGTTCCTGGAATGCTTTAATCCCAAGTTTCCTGGACTGTCATGGGTGATAACGTCATTTCTCGACCATGATGAGGAGCCTGTGGAACCTTGCGTAGTCGCGTGGTGAGGGGCCAACTCGCTGATAGTCTGAAGCGTTTTCCGTCGTTGGTTTTTGATCTGCTTGTCTGCTCGAACCTTCTGGTCAGCAACGCGTCGAGACTTTGGAGGCGGCTTTTGCAAAGGCATTCTCAGTGAATATCGAATCGTAAAAGCAATGTGAACAAACTGTCCACAGGTGCTGGAGTCAAGAAGGTTGTTGCAGAGCAAGGGTACCTCGGATCGAGATGGACCCTGAACAAGGGTCGCAGCGGAAAGAAGCTCGAAATTTGGACGAAATTCTGCAGTGGTGGAAATGTGGTGCCAGTCTCTTGGGAATTTGGGAGGGAGGACGAAGGCAGGGATGGAATTCGTACTTACCGCTGGCTGGGACGTTCTTCAATCCGAGTCGCGGGATGTCCGTGGACGACACCGCCAAAGGGGCGCGCGCGTGGTCATTCGGAATCGGAAGCATGTCTACGTGTTTGTGGTTTCGATGTCACAGTCCTTGCATGCAATAGTCTCTGCACGTCCAATGGAGGTCCCCCGAAACCTGGCACAACTGATTGCGTATCACACAGCCATGAACACGCACATGAGGCTCGAAGTAAGGAGCTGAGTCGGGCCGTTCAGATGCGCACGCTCGAGCGTGCGCCGTGTGCGGTCTTCGAGGTGTCTCAATACGCCCAGAGGGATAGAGAGAGACTGTCACTTGTGAAATCGAGGATCCCGGGTGGCTGCATACAGGTTCCTCCAGCCACAAAAGCTTGACTTTCAGCTCTCACATGCGTGCACCTGGCCAAACTTAAGAAGCCTGGTCCTTGGAAACGCTGTTGAGTGGCTAGTTGCTTTGTTACGGGTGCAAGTGTCTTTCTGCTATCAAGCGTCCTGCAAGGCAAGAGGTCGTTGACACGCGTTCATGCACGTTCTCTCAGTTGCACCCAATCGGCCTGTCTCCCCTCTTGTGTTGGAATATTTTAGCACGGGTCCGCCTCTTCTGAGACAAACGCTAGATGACGATAGCATTAGCCTTGGATATGTGGGTATGAGGGCACATCAAATCAACAGCGGCTATTGCTACAGCCTTGCAGCGAAGCTAGTGCATCTTGAGCATTGAAGGGAAGTAGAGCCAGGGCGACGCCCGTCGCGAACAAATACGCGAATGAGCTGAAAGTCGAGGCGGCACGTTCATCAACGCGATCTATGGTGGCGTTTGGATCCCGCTCCGAGTGGGTGGACAACCCGTAACTGTGCGGGTAATGATCGCAGAACTCCGTCTGCATCTCAGATCCTGTGATGACGCGCCTCAAAAGATGACGCTAATGCGACGCAGGGAAATGAGGTACCACGGAGTTTGCCCCGGTGCTCCTGATCTTAGATGTCGGTGAGGGGAATGTCGCAAAGGCGTTCTTGCTTTCTCCACCTGAAATTATCTCCAACCTCGCTTATCGAGACCGATGGCGCTAGACAGCCGCCCGACAGATGGATGCTATCTAAGCCCCGAACCTTATTTAGTAGTTGATGAGAAGTTGGTGTTAATCTTTTCAACACGAATCGACGCACTCCGTGCCTTGCATGAACTCTGCATAAAAGCCTTCGCCACAGCTGAGCAACTACCACTTCTCGACCAGACTTGAGAGATGGCCAGCTAACGCAATAGGTAGAGGTTCCAAATATCGCCTGAGCTACTTCAAATTGATCTAATTACGAAACAATAAGTCGTGTAGAAGCGGCTCATGAGAAAATGCACTTAATCTTGGATGGATCCCAAATGCTGTCGGTAGTACCATTCGTTCAATGAGAAAATCCACGGAATGCTGCAGATACATCTTCTCCGAGGAGGTTCGGATGCGTAAACAGCGTGGTTATTGTAGTCGGATCACTTCATGATCTTTTATAATTCGAGAACCACCACGCGCTAAAGGGTACTCACCTGAACCTCCTGGGATGGTGTACATCTTTCAGATGATTGATTCAACTATGGACTGATGAGCCTACCTGTAGGTCTACCTGGTGGGTTGTTTAAGATCGTCTCGTGCTGTTTGGGATGAGGACAAACCGGCAGTACAGGGTATTCAATCCCGGCTCATACAGCGCCGCAGGCCTTAGGCCGTAGAAGTACCGTTCAGATCTATCAAATGACTGAGCTCAGTTAGGCAGAGCAATTGGTTACCGGCTCTAGTACGCCTTCTGTGGTACGCTTCCAGACGAAGGTGTGCGAGCCGAGGCGGGAAACCTCTGTATGTACGGCGCTGAAACCTCCACTCCAATGCTATCTCAGCAGCGGGGTGATGGTGTCATGAGTCGAAAACCCTCCAAGCCGTGTGGTCGTACCAAGCGGTAGTCGCCGACTCTGGCCTTGGACTCAATCCAGCCACCGCTAACCTCTAGGTACTGTACCCGGGACATCCCTGATACACTTAGTAACGTCTATTGTAAAGGTGGCGAATCTACTTACTATGATCACAGATGAAGGGTCCCATGGATGGCAATTGTGACCGTAATGTTGGCAGTACCGTAACAGAGAAGTGCATCTGGCGAAGACGACATTATCCAGAGGTGAATTCACGATTATAGAAATCACTGCCCAGTGCCCATGCATATGCCCAAGTTCTCAATGCCAGTCGCTGGCCCAACATCACTGTCTCGTCAAATCACAGCATCCCCACAGCGCTGCCTAAGAGTAGTCCGTCCAACGCCATTCATCATCCAAAAAGAAAAGAGCATTCATCCTCAACTCCACCTACAACGATCCATCATCCGCAACACACTGATAGTACCAGTCATTCTGCCAAATACACTTCGCCCCCTTGACGCATACCTCACACCCCGTCCACGGCTTCCCATCATGATACCCTCCGCATTGGTAGTACAGTGGCACAGGACACCTCGTGCTACTCGGGCCCACTTCCTCCGTTTGCGTTTTTGTCGGTTGTGAGGGCGAAGAAGTCTGTGCGTTTGTGCTTAGTACCGTACTGACATCACGGAGGACCGCACGGCAACCAGACCTATCTTGGATCGGGGGTAATGATGATTAGGGAGATAACGAACCTTCGTAGGTTCCTTCGTACTACTCGTTGTCTTCTTTGAAGTAGTAGTGGTTCTGAGCGTTGTCTTGGGTGGCGCTGTGGTGGGGGCAGGGGCATCGGAGCAGCGGGGGCCGAGGCAAATTGTGGTAAAGATGATAGAGCCGTCCCCTTGTCGGGGTGCAAGCCTATCTGCTTGTACCTAGAACTTTTTGTTAAAAGGTGTCTAGCGTGCAGGAGAGGAAGGGGACACGACGGACTGCGAGGCATCCTGCGGATAACGCGGATAAAAGGGCTAGTTCGTTGAAGAGCATGTTGAGTGTCGGGGAACAAGAGACACGAGGTAGAAGGAGAATATCGATGTGGAGTTGGTTTGATGCTGTTGTGATGGTCACAGGTTATATAGGACAAGATATACCAATCGTGGTGTGGGTTCCAGAGTCTGCAAAGGCCCATTGTGAGGGCATCAGCTCGTGTCCCAACCACGCCCAGGCAGACATAGATTGCTTAGGTTGACACACATCTCGTATATGTATGTCCTACAGCTCAGAGAGGTCTGGTCAGCGTCTCTGAGCTGCGCGGAGGGACAGTCCCGAGGACGAGGAGACCCAGAACTTGCCAGTCGGCGTGGGCCGAGTGACGCGAGGAATGGGGAGCGGCCCGACGCAGGTGAGCGCAATATCGAACCGCGGATGTTATACTTGATGACATGCAGGGCTTACAACCGTGGCTACGGGCCAGAAGTGAATATCGTGAAGCTAGGCGTCCTCTGGCCTAAGTACTGCACTGTCGACAGATATGTACATGCTCTGTGCCTCAGTCGCAGTGGATATGTTGATTCATGGTGACGAACTCAGCGCTGAAATGGCTTGAGCCATTGCTGCAAATCTGGTTAGCGAGACCTATTCTTGGTGTTGTGTCGTCGATTGGTACCAGTTTACCCGCAAATTGATCTCACGCTAGCGAGTCGAACAACGTGGATACCGGTAAGACTAGAACGACCGTGTTCCGTAACGATGGATTCAATGGTGCTGAATCGGAAAATACTGGTTCGTATCCGGTCGAAGGGAGCGCGGCCGGTGGATGTGTCGGTAGACGTGTTTGTTGCAGGTGCGGGCGCCGAGGCAATAACAAAGGACGTAGATACGTGAAAAGGTACAGAGGTGATGCTGTGGACAAGATCTAGCCATTGAGGTACTTCATTTGAGCATCTAGAACTGACATGGGTATAAAGTAGACACGTGCAAAATATCTAATCCCGATCCGACAACAAGGAGCCTGGAGGCAATGAGCCTAAGGGCCACCGTGCACGTCGTGTCCCTATTTGGGAAACAGGGGTCGCCGCAGCATAGTCTGGCTCATAGTATTTGCTAGACATGCGGTGGTCCGAAGGGAAGTGCCTGCTTCTCGTCAAAGCCTGGAGAAATTCTAGGCGGCACCCGGATGTATTCCGGCACTCGCGGGGGGGCTTCGTAGACGTTCTCCATGTGATGTTGTCTGTACATATGCGACCGGTGCGGAACCATGCCGAGACCTCTTCACCTATCCACGACGCTCACGGCGTCTGGGTGTGCTAGTAAATCGGCAACGCCAATCCATTTGCGAACGAGAATCGCGCCTTGAGGCTTGAGCTTGTGATAATAAGCATCTTCCTTCCCGACGATATCAAAGCCCCTCTTCTTGTACCATTCCAGCCCTTCCTCATTGGCTTCCCATACGTGAGCTGTGACACATCTAACACCGTGCAGTTCTACGGCCTCAGCTGCTACCTTCTGCAGGAGATGTGTAGCGATTCCATGCGAGCGGTATGGGGCCAGCAGGCTGATTGTGGATATGTAGAGGTTCGCGGACGGCAGAATGCGACATCGAATGGCACCAACCAGACGTGGCTCCTGGGCGATTGAACTATGGGCGCCGCCGTTCACCGGAGCCGGATGCCACAAAGCCATGAGCGTGATGCTGTGGAAGGGCTCGTCCATCGACTCGGTGAAGAAGACAGCTGGATACGACACGGGAAGCGTCAGGCTGAGAATGCGCTTGAAGGAGGGGATGAGCTCATGCGTGAGCGGCGCGAACTCGACATTCTCGGGGAGTGGAGGCGTGGAAAATAAAGGAGCAGGAGGCCGTTTTGGTGCGGGCTCACTGGCGCGTCCTTGGGTGGGCGCGTGGTTGTGCTCAGAGAGTGATGCGGGAGGTTGCACCCGCCGTGCGAGTGGCATCGGAGGGGGGGCTGCAGCTGGAGTTGGTTGGTCAGCTTTCACAACAGTCGCTGGCTTCTTCAGCCATGCTGTTATGGAAGATTGAAGCATGGTGCTCTTGCCAGTTGCGACTAAAGATCAATCTATTCGTCGCAGTGACACCGTGAGGCCGGGGCGATGTTAGTGGCAGCTACAAGAGAGACGATTTCATGCACCGATTCACTTGACTCATACCGTGAGGTTTGGCTGTCGTGAAAGCGTGGGAGGCGAGGGCCCGCGGAGGGGTCAACCACGGCCCGATTTCGATGCGCGTTGCGACTAGGCTACTTGCGTCATAGCGGCATTTCGCACTTGGCAGCCGTATGGGAGTTTCGACGGCTGGCTCAGCAACTACGCACCAGGCATTGCGCATCGTCGAACATCACCATGGGCGCCGAGAACTCGAAACCCTCCAGCGATGTCTCGCAACACGTCTTCTCCTCGTATGTCGCTGTCCCCGCACGAATTGACTTGTTGGATCACCTCCCATGCTGATAATCCTTTCCTTCGCAGAGACACCCCCGTCAGATTCTCCAATGGCCTAGTTGATTCGCTGCAGAAGAACACACAGGTGAGAAGAGTTTCTCTGAACATTGACAGGTCGTGAGTTGACGCATTGGCGACGCAGACCGACTCCACCCGGTCCAAACAGCAAGAGCTCCAGTACCAGCAGCGCCTGACCGCGGAGCTCGAGAAGCTGCGCGAGAAGGAGGCCCAGAACCTTTCCGACCTTTCCAAAACCCTCCATGTCGAAGAGCCATCCGAGCCCACCTCGCTCACCGACAGGCTCTCCGACGTCACCGAGAAGATTAGCGATGCAACCTCAAGCTCCGCTACCCTCGCCGAGAAGCGCAGGCAGCAAGACATGAGCAACTCCAGCGTCACCAAGGAGATCGAGGCCCTGAGGAAGAAGCTGGACGCGCGGAAAAAGCTCGAGCAGGCCGACCCGCAGGTCAACAAGGCGAAAGATGACGTGGTCGCGTGCTTGCGCCTGCACGACCGACGGCCGCTCGACTGCTGGAAAGAGGTCGAGATCTTCAAGAAGGAAGTAGGCCGGCTGGAGAGGGATTTCGTGGAGAAGACGATACGATGAGCACCCTCAGATACCCGTCCAAACAAACATCCATGCAGGGACCTTTCTGAGGACTCCTGACCTTGTACAGATAAAATCCATGTTACCAGTATTACTCCAGATCCTCAGTCTCGAGCAGCCGTTTCCTCAATCATCGTCAATCCATACTGAATTTGCTTTTCTCAGCGTTGTTCTAAAAGTACCTCCCTGTGCATGACATACTTGGCGACGCACCTTCCCGAACCGTTCGCTTCCCAAAGGTTTCCCATTCGTTACCTCTCACCTTCTCCTTCACCTCGGATGATTACTCGCTTACCGTTTGCAACGAGGCAGGAGCGGCCTTTCGCCTATCACCTGCGCGGCCTAGCGCACAGTGTTCCTTATACCACAAGCCCTGCTTCGAGCGCAGCTTTCACCTTGCTCTCGTCACGTTTCTCTAAACTCCTCTTCCCGATTCCCCTTACCGCGAGTCGCGGGTTCGGGTCACCATGGCGCCGCAGTCTCACCGCGACATTGAGGATTACGTCGTCTGTAATCCGTCCGATGATGAGATTGAAGTCCAACACTTTGGTGAGTAGCAGTTGACAACGACGCTGTAGACTGTTGGTCTAACGCCAGATTCTGTAGGTCGAGATGACGAGAATGAGGATGACGAGCGTCGTATCAACGACCGAGAGTACCTCTTCATCGACGACGATGAGGAAAGTCCCGGCAGTCGCGCGAAATCGCCACTTCAAGAGGACGTCTTCCCAGAATCTGTCGAAGTGCCCTCTTATCGATTGGAGAATGGCAGCATTATCCGCCCAGGAGACACCGTGGAGCTGATTGACCGAACTGAGAGGAACCCAGACCTTACCCTTAGCGGAGATTTTCTGAGAATTACTGCGATTGTTGAAGATCTGAAGACGCATGAATCCAAGCTGAATGGCTACCGACTACGAAGATGCAGCTATCTTCGCCCTCTATTCGATGGTAAGTGCTCACACTTTCCGAGGACCGCAGGATCTGCCACAACAGACCTTGCATTTTGTCAGCCTTCGCAATGAATAGGAAACCCTCATAGGGAAGCAAGGCTGGAATGTGTATTGACAGGGGCAGGAAAGCTCAACGAGTTGTTCATGCTCATCGAAGCCTCAGAAGATGATCATCGTCCGACCATGGTACAAGGACTGCAATCTATACCTCTTACTGAAGTCCTTAAGAAACGGAACTGCGAATTCACGGACAAATGTTATGATGCATATGACGTACGTATGGCCAATCGCTGGGCACCCGCGGGCCTGAAAACGTCAATGGAGATCAAAGACTGGATCTTTCGCCATGGTACTCTGATTTGCCGTTATGTTCACACCGTCGTCTTCGATCACAACTCGGTATCTTACAGCGGAGAAGTACGCAAACTCTACCGTCGCGAAACCGGGCATACTATAAAGACGCCTTCCCCTCCCATTTGTACCTCGTCCCAGTACAGTTCGACTTCCTCACAGTCCAGCTCGACAGGTTTTCACTCCAGGAAACGCCGACCATCGATTGAGCAGATCGATGGTGCGTCCTCGAAGCGACGTTCACCGCCGGCCAAAGCGGCCCGCTACACTTTTGGGGATGCGTTTTGTGGCATCGGGGGTGCTTCCGAAGGAGCGGGCCAAGCAGACCTGTTCGTCAAATGGGGCCTCGAGAAAGATGCACTTGCGATGCATGGTTACGCAGCGAATTTCCCTTCAGCGGAATCCTTACGCATGGACGCACATGACTTTTCCGCGATCGCAAAACGCTGCGAACATGGCGTCGATATTCTGCACATGTCATGCCCGTGTTGTTATTGGTCAGAGGCTCACACCAATGAGGGAAAGAACGACCAAGAAAACATGGACACTCTGCTCACAGTAGGACCGTTCCTCAGGGCCGTGAAGCCCCGTTACGCAACCTTAGAGCAAGCACCCGGTCTCTTAAAGCTGAAAAAACACCGACTTTGGTTCCGAAAGCTAGTTAACGAAATCATTTCAATGAAATACAACGTCCGCTGGCGCGTAACTGATCAGTCCGAGTACGGACTGCCACAGCGTCGTCGTCGTTTGGTCTTCCTGTGTGCCAAGCAAGGCTTGCCTCTTCCAGCATTTCCAAAACCCCTTTATGGGCCCAAAGATAGTGGTCTGCCCTACTGGGTGACAGTGGGCGATGCACTTGATGCCCTTGAGCGCCGCGGAGCACGCGCAGATATGCACGACGAATACCACCAGCCTGCGGAAGAGAGGATTCTTGCTCGACCCCGCGAGCCTGTGGACCCGCGGACGATTCTTGCGAAGTGCATCACGACAAGCGGCGGAGCAAACATCCATCCATCTGGCCTCCGGAAATACACGCCTAGAGAGATTGCGCAATTGCAGGGTTTTCCTCTTGACTACATGTTCACTGGGTCTCGAGGCGAAGCAACGAAGCAAGCCGGCAACGCTTGGGCACCCGTTGCCAATACCAAATACTTCTTGCTTCTTGCTCAGTTCCTTGAGGCCTGGGACATGGGGTACATTGAGGCTGACGATGACGTGGAGGACCTTTACAACTATATCGAAGATAAAGGCATTCGCGTTCCCAGCACCACTCGTTACCTCAAGAAACTATCCAAGCCCATCGTGTCCAGGAAGAAACACCCGTTGTGGGGATCCACTTACCAAGTCGACCGTGCGCCGCGGCAACGTGCTCCACGGATCGCACCACCCGCACTACCGTCCAGAGAACAACGGCAGGTTCGAGACGCTGCGGAAATTGCTAGACAACGAGGTGAACTGATCGATGTTGACTGAAGCACAAGCATCATGTGCAAAACATAACGGAAAGTCGCAACTTGAATCCGACATCTACCAAGAATGCGACCCACAAGGCGAGAGAACTCTGCCGTTATGCATACCAGCTGTACAACTGCGGCTAGTCTGCGCGAACGTTATATGCTCATTTGGGCCGCAAGCCTGAGGATCTGTATGCAAATGACGACACAATTTCGATGTTTGAGCTTTCTGGGAAGCACTGCGGGTATTTCGGCTGATGAACCGGCACAATTAACACAGTGGCCACGGTAGACAAGCACCTGAAGCACTGACAAGCTTCCATACTAAGACCGTTCTGTCGGAGCCAGATCGCCCTCCAATCATCCGCTCCCCCAGTTTCTGTCTTATGCATGCGGCCCGAAGTACACAAGCCCGTTTCAAACGCTCAGCGCATACTAGTCGATCACCTGGTCACATACAAGCGCCTCTTCATTACATGCCCATGTATTTGAGACAAGCACTATAGATGTATACAATACCGTTCTCCGAGGAAAGATGAATATAAGTTGTCTTTACTCCGCTCCGTCTCTTACCCTCCACCCTGCAATTTTCTTGATCCCTTGCCCATCATGAAAGCCTCTCTCTTCGCCCTTACGTCCCTCGCGACCTTCGCAGTGTCTTCCCCCACTCCCCGGGCGAACAAAGTCCAATATGCAGGCGTCAACATCGCAGGCTTCGATTTTGGCTGCACAATCGACGGTAAGACGACCAAGACCGCGTCAAATATCTACTAACAACAGCACAGGTACCTGCTCCCTGACCGGCACCAACAAGCCCTATGACATCGTCTCAGGCGCCAATGCCGTCGGACAGATGAACCACTTTGTCAAGGATGATTCCCTGAACGCTTTCCGCCTCCCAGTCGGCTGGCAGTTCCTCGTCAACGGGCAGCTCGGCGGACAGCTCAACTCCAACAATGCCGGCCAATACGACCGTCTCGTGCAGGGCTGCCTCAACTCCGGCGCCGCCCTATGTATCCTTGGTATGCCTCCTTGTAGCGCGAAGTGCTATGTCTTAGACGTAGCTACTTCATGGTTCGCCTCACTGTTCTGACCCAACTGACTTCATACAGACATCCACAACTACGCCCGCTGGAACGGCCAAATCGTGGGCCAAGGCGGTCCCTCCAACGCCCAGCTCGCCGACGTGTGGAAGCAGCTCGCCACAAAGTACGGCAAGCAGTCCAAGATCGCCTTCGGCGTCATGAACGAGCCACACGACATCCCGGACATCAAAGCCTGGGCCGCCACCGTACAAGCCGTCGTCACCGCGATCCGTAACGCAGGCGCCTCAAACAACCTCATCCTCCTCCCCGGAAACGGATTCACCTCTGCAGAATCGTTCGTTTCGTCCGGCAGCGCGGCTGCCCTAGCTGCCGTCACCAACCCGGATGGCTCAATCAACAATCTGATCATGGACGTGCACAAGTATCTCGACAGCGACAACTCGGGAACCCACACCGAGTGCGTGAAAGACAACATCAGCAACGCGTTCCAGCCGCTCGCAGACTGGCTGAGGAGCAACAAGCGACAGGCGATTCTAACGGAGACGGGCGGCGGCAACACGCAAAGCTGCCAGCAGTATCTTTGCAGCCAGCTCAAGTACCTGAACCAAAACGCCGATGTGTACATTGGGTACACTGGATGGGCGGCAGGCGGGTTCGCGAGCAGCTACGAGTTGAATGAGACGCCGACGCAGAACGGGAACAGCTGGAGCGACACAAGTCTTGTGAAGAGCTGCATTGTGGGTGTGTGGAAGGGGCAGTGAGTTGCAATTGTCCAGCAAGGATTGGCATACCCATTCAGTGCCTACTTTCACCTGTATATACATTATTAGTTGTCCACTACCACACCCACGCGCATGCCACGGCCTTCTCCATCCTCATCTCTATCTAGCACCCCATTCTCCTCCAGTCCGTCCCTACGTCTTCCTCCTCTCCTCCTCCTTTTCCACCACATCCACCACAAATGCACCCCCCAGCAAAATCGCCGGCTCCTCCACCCTGTGGTGCTCATAACTCAGCGTCCCCACCCCGCCCGCCTCAAGTATCAAACTCGGGTTATCCTTCAATTCTTTGCCGACCCAGCGCGCCGCAAACGCCCTCAGTATATGCCCATGTGCCACAATAAGCACATCGTTCGGTCCGCTCTTATCCTCGCCCTTCCACCCGGCGCCGCTCCCGAACCTGCCGACGTGGAAGCGCGCGCGGAGATCGGATATGAGGGCGTCGAGTCGGCGGGTCACGTCCGAGGGCGACTCGCCCCCGGGACACCCGTCGCGCCAGATGTCCCAGTCCTCGGGCAGCCCTTGTTCCTTCCGCAGCTCTCGTATCCGCTTGCTCGTCAGCCCTTCGTAGTCTCCATAATCCCACTCCCGAATCCCTTCCACAATCTCAATCGGCGCGTGCGTGCGCACCTCCTCGTCCGTCTTCTCCTCGGCGTCCGCCTTCCACGGGTATCGTTCCCTGCACCCGAGGTCTAGCAGTTCGAGGGTGCGCTGCGCGCGGCGTCGCGGCGAGACGTAGATGTGCGCGAGGTTGCCGGGGACAATGAGGCGGTCTGCGCCGACGAGCGCTTTGCCCGTGGCGCGGATGCGTGACTCGCCGTTGGGCGTAAGCGGGAGCTCTGTTGTGCCTGTGTGTCGGCCGTTGAGGGACCATTCGGTTTCGCCGTGGCGTATTATGAAGACGCGCGGGTCGGGCATTGCGTTTGCAGGTGTATAGGTGGCTCTTTCGAGAGCTGCAGAGCGAAAGGACGGTGCAAGGCAGTACGTGAGGGAGGATTTGGCTCGCGGGACAATTGGGGGTCTTGAAAGCTGTGAAGTGAAGAAGTTCGGAGGTGTTCGGGAATTAAATGCTTATGACGGCTTGAGACATAATTATGGGACGGGTGGAGGGGTAGCTAGAGCTGTGCCCCACCATGCATCTGTCAGTGCCCTAAGCTGTCTTGTCAGCTTTATTCAGCTGTTTAGAGCATGCACACACATACAAGGCACCATTGGAGATCATAGGGGTCGATTGGTCGAAGGCAAACAGCGGGGAAATGTTAAATGATTACCCCTCGACAGCACACTCGCTCCGTAAGCCACCTGAGTCCAATACAGCTGGAGTCGTAACTTGCCTTCTTCGAATCCTCACTTCATTACGTTTCCAACCGTGTATGCCTTTCCTGCTTTGGCTGCCTGACGTTGATCCTCCTACGGCGCTGTCCGTTCATTTCCGGTTCCCTTAAGACTTCCAACAACCTAGATGTCGACAAAGTATTTGTAGACGCGGGCGTTCTCAGTCATCACAAGTCACTGCCGAGTAGGATTGAGCAACCCATACTCGCGTACTTTGTCCCTCACATACCTCACGAATTTCTCGTTGTGCTTGATGGAGAACAGAGCAAGCTCCCGCACAGCAAAGGCGTCTTGTAGGCAGTCACGTCCAAAATAGTCGGTTGGGAGACGCTTTTCAAGAAGATCGCGCAAAAGGGCCTCAAGATGGAGCTGCCCTTTCGACAACGGGCGATTCTCTGCGGCTTTCTCGATAACCTTGATCAGATCGACGCACCGTCCATGCCTGATTCGGAGCGCATCAAGATCGCCACGCAAATTGCAACCGAGGAAGATCGTATTTTGATCAACGAATTTGCCCAGTGCAGCGCGAGCCGCCGTCCACCCTTTGAGGATCTTGAACTTCTGAGCGCGAGCAGCTTCAAAATCTTGGAAGCTCGAGAGACCGGTAAGTGATGCGCGCCAGTCTCGGACCTTCTCTGTAGCGCTCGTGCAGACGAGATAACTCATCAGTGGACGACCGGTGAGAACGTCCACTGCAGCTATCTTGGCTACTTCCTCGCATTGGTTCTCCAACAAGACCTTACTGCAGCACAGCACGATGACATTGACGCTTCCGTCCCAGGGATCAGGAAGTTGTTCGAATTCTGAGCCCAGGTAGTCGCCGACGGACTCTCCTTGAAAGGCTATAGGACGCGTGACGTGCTGCCTTGCTTGACCTTGCTTGCTAAGCCTCTTCAGATGTACAAGCTCATCAAACCTGCTCGCGACCTCGTTCTGTCTGTCAACGCTAATCCGGGTCCATTCTACGCCATCATAGACAAATTTACCATCATGGTGGATGGCGATGTCCGCAGTGATGAGCATGCGCATGATCTTGTCATGAATATCATTCGCTTGGTCGAGATCGGCTGGCGATCCAATAGGGAGGCCATTCGGGGCATCGGCTGGCGGCAACGGCACATGTACTGGGTTCCGCGAAGGTTGTCGTGCAGCGATCGGTGCCTGGACGTGCCTAGCCACACCCACAATGGACGGAGGAACATCATGACGGTTTCCACGTGATGGTTTCGGAGCAGGTCCTAAAGGACGACAAACCCCGAGATTTTGAAGCTGGTTGCGTGAAGACTGAGGAAGCATCCAAGAGTCCCTTCCTTGCAAGTCCAAGCCTCGACCACCCACGCTGTGACTGTCGATCTTATGCTGCTTCAAACCTGCTTCTGATCTGAAGACCCTCGAACAGTTGTTTATACCGCATACGAAACCGCCGCTGACAGCATTTTGAGGAGCGCCCACCGAGGGCGATGCTACAGGCGCCTGGGCACGTGCGGCACGGATAGGTGCAACCGGTGCCGTTGGCGCTGGACGCGACTGAATGAATTGAGAAACGGGAGGGGATTGACCACTGACAGCACGACTATTCATTTTGGGCTCGCCCAGTTCCGCTTGAGATCGGAAAGGCTTTAAACATCCAGCCGCATCGCATAGGAAGGTGTGATTTGCCTCCCTATGCTGGTCAAGGGCGGTTTGAGACTGGAATTTGCTTCCGCAGCCATCTACGCCACATGCCAACTGGTCATGAGCGTCCCTCTGGTGTTTTTCCAGCGCAGCTTCAGACATGAAAGACCTGCGGCAGCTACCCAAGCGGCAGGCTAACATGCTTGCTGGGTTTGTGGTAGTTCCGTGCGAGTCCTGGCGGGACGGCACTGGACGCGCGGCTGCTCGAGCAGTAGTGTCTCCAATTTCGACGGCAGTCCGATTCTGAACTGTGCATGAGAGACAGTGTCGATTGTATAAAGCCATGGACGTGAAAGTGCGCTTGCAATCGTGGCAATAGACGCCGGATACATCGCTTGGGGTCGGGGAGCGACTAGGTGCGTCTCGCGAACTATCATACCGCAGCACTAATGTACTATGAGCGATATTTCTGAAGAATTCTCTCCGTAGCACTTACCCACCGGAGCTTCCGCCGAAAACGACGTGTCCAGATCAATGTAGCCTGCCTGTCCATAGGTCTGAGTTGGGTTTGTTACTGCGGCCTCTCTAGTCTGGGACAGGAACGTGTCGCGCATAGAACGTGTACGAGATGTGTCCGCATAACAAGGCGAGGGGAACTGGGTGTGCTGCTTGAATTTCGATTGCGTCGGGAAAACGCTGCCGCACTTATCGCAAGTGTATTTCTCGCCACTGTGTCCAGTCTGGGCTTTGTGTGTCTCGAGCGCGTAAGAGTCGCTAAACGTGAACGAGCACACTGGGCACGGCCATTGGGTCTTCCCAGGTTCTTCGTGGTTCGCCAGGTGTTGATTGTATCTGTAGTGCTACTTAGCAAGCGCGAAACACAATCATGAGCGCGGGAAACTTACGCGGCCTTGGACGCGAATCCGTTTGAGCACAACGCGCAGTGATGCATTTTCTCGCGACGGCCAACCATGGCAAGGGACTTACTTGTTCTACTGGCTATTTAGTATGCCTGAGAGGGTTCCACGATACCACGTACCTTGTCCGGTGCTGAGTGGGCTGGTATCAGTGGAGAAGAGGAGGAACGCTCGCGTTGCGAATCTTTTTATAGGGACTGTTAGGGGGGTAGCCGCCGTTGCCAGGAAAGTTCTCTGAGGTCGGCGGGGGTTCGAAACGTAGAATTGGAGAGATTAAGTCGAGCCCGCGCGTAGCGTAGCGCGGGCTGCCGTGAATGAGCGTCGCGATTCCTCGGCCAAGTGAGGAAGTCGCGACAGAGTTGTTGGGGAAACCTCTACGGCAACAACATTTGAACAACCCAAGGCATCTGTTTGCTCCATAGCGACGTGGACCCGAAGACAGTGCTATATGTGAGAGCATGCTCGAATTTGAAGATTTGAGAGATGAGTGCAGGGCTTGTTTGCAGTTACTGCCGCACTTGGGATGCGTTTGCATGCTCCGTCAGCTGCCTTTACGTCCATCGGATTGAGAGTGTCTATTCGTCCTCTTACTTCACGCTCGCATACTCTAGCTCTTGAAAGAGGGACTATAAAGGTCTACGCTAGAGTATGGACTCTACTTTCAAGTATATCTGATGTATTGTTTCTCATTAAACTGAATGCAGGGGGGCTCCCTTTCAATTTCATTGCCAATTCCAGTCCGAGTCTGCATGCGATCTCGAAAAAAGCTTTGAACTCTGCATACACCAACTGTTGCAATGAACTGGCAGGAAGTGATGGCAGCAAGTTTACAGTGTTATACAACGCTCGCTGTCGTCGGATGTCGAGGCGGAATTGTGGGGCCCAATGATCGGCGGCTCGACAACAACAAGCCGAGGGGCTTTCGGCTACAGTCACGTGGGTCCGCATGAACATGGGCATTGAGCTTGGACTGGGGAAACCGTTGAGAACTGCCGGAGTATGTGTACATATACCTATGCTCCCTTGTCCTCTGTCGGAGGTACTCTCCATAATCTATAGCTCTCCTTCTTGTCTATAATTACGTTTCCTCTGAGCACGAGCTATCGATACCCTTGGAAGCGGCTATGGCTCTCCCGATCCGTGAGCTGGAGTCTCTCCGCATTGCACTCGCATACTGACCACGACTCCTAGTCCCCGTCGCAGGCGCAATCGCAGGCCTTACAACTGCTGCTGCCTACCTCGATGCCAAATTCCACATCCGCAAGGATCTCAGAGCTCTGCGAGGATTGAATTCGGCACAACGCGACTTCGACGCTGCATGTACGTTGGCCCCACCCTGGACCCTTGTCCGCCTCTATCGGAGAACTGGGCTAACACAGGCGCATCAGGCAAGAAGAACGGCCGAAGTCTCTGGTATTTCTTCGAAGCGCAAGCACATCAGCAACCCGAGTCGAGCGAGGCCATTTGGTCGCGAACAGCATGTTACACCTGGGGCGAGACGTACGCAAACGCATGCCGATATGCACAGTTTTTCCTACAGAATGGCGTGAAGCCTGGAGAACTAGTCTCGCTCTACCTCACGAACCAGCCTGAGTTCATTTTCGCACATCTGGGTTCGTGGGCTGTAGGCTCAGCACCGGCTCTCATAAACCACCATCTGGCAGGAGATGCTCTGGTACACTGTTTGAAGGTGGCGGGCGGTAAACTGCTGCTCGTCGACGAGGAGTCCGAGGCGCAGGCACGCATTGAGGCCGTTCGTGACAGGATCGAGGGGGAGCTCGGCATGACCATCAGAATATTGGACAAGCATACAAAGGGCGAGATTCTGCGCATGGAGCCAAAGAGACCCGAGGACGAATATCGCGCTGGCGTGATGGGCACTTCCCCTATATTCCTATTCTACACAAGGTTCGTCTACAAGCAGTCTGGCTCGCTGCTCAAGTGCTAATCATGGCAGCGGCACGACAGGACATCCGAAAGCATGCCCGTTTGAAACGCAGAGAGCCGGCGTTCTTGCTGTAGGACGGACGAGGGACTTAGGCATGAAGCCTGGGCCAGACGGCGATAGGTGGTACGTTCCCATGCCTCTATACCACGGCACTGGTGGCACAACAGCGTTGTCTTGTATGCTTTCTGGCGTGACACTCTGCATTGGAAAGAAGTTCTCGACATCCAAATTCTGGACCGACATCCGCGATTCCAGATCGACCGCATTCGTATACGTCGGAGAAACCGCGCGATATCTCCTCGCGAACCCCCCAAGTCCTCTGGACAAGCAACACAACGTCAAGACTATGTTTGGAAACGGCATGCGTCCGGATGTATGGCATCGTTTCGTGGAGCGATTTGGCATAGAACAGGTGGCCGAGTTCTTCAACAGTACAGAAGGTGTTCTGGCTCTGATGAACGTTTGTCGCGGTCCATTCCAGGCCACCGCCGTCGGCCATCAAGGTGCCATTATGCGCTGGAAGACGCACGACCTCTACATTCCGGTGGAAATAGACTTTGAGACAAACGACATCGCCCGAGATCCGAAGACGGGATTCGCCAAGAGGAAACCCTACGAAGAGGGTGGTGAAATTCTGGTAAGGTTGCCACACGAGTCGGCCTTTGTCGGATACTACAAGAACCCAGAAGCCACAAACAAGATGTTTGTACGGAACGTGTTCAAGAAAGGCGACCTCTTCTATCGCACAGGAGATGCATTACGACGAGACGAGCACGGCCGCTGGTTCTTCCTCGACCGACTAGGCGATACCTTCCGCTGGAAGTCCGAAAACGTCAGCACTGCGGAGGTCAGTGAAGTCCTAGGCCACTTCCCAGGCATTGTAGAAGCGAACGTCTACGGGGTCCAAGTACCTGGACATGACGGACGCGCCGGTTGCGCAGCGATTTATATTGACCCTGCTTTGCTGCCCAAGTTCGACTTCAACGCACTGCTCGAGCATGCGCGTGCGAAACTACCAAAATATGCCGTTCCAGTCTTCCTTCGCGTGCTTAACGACATCACCACCATGCACAACAACAAGCAGAACAAGGTGCCGCTCCGGAACGACGGTATCGACCTGAGGAAACTACAAGAGAGGAAAGACACAGAGAGTGCGAAAGCCGGACTAGCGACGGATAGCATTAAGTACGATACTATCTACTGGAATCCATCTGCGTTGAACAACGTGAAAGGAGCAGGCGGTGATAACGATGGGTTCGTTGTGTATACCATGGAAGATTGGGACAACCTTAACAGGACACTTCCGAAAATTTAGTGGGCGCGGGGACATGACACGATTTTGTTTGATATATAGCACTCTTGGTAGTTTTCAAAGGATTGAAGGTTTAGCTGTAGCTGGTGGACACGCGCTATCTGCCTTTTGCTTCGCCGTCACCTCCGAGGGTTCCTAGAACCACTGTTCGAATTCTTAACGCTTCGGACCTCACTTGCGATTCCACGTAAGCGATATGTGCAGTGGCTTGTGCTGCGAGCAAGTTCACGCTGGTGGCTGTGCCGTTTCAAAGCAAGCAATAGTGACCAAACCATCTCGAACGACAAGAGCAGGATACTAGTTCAACATGAATTTCGTGTGTGAACATCAGTTCAACAAAACGGTCGGAAGGCATCCCAAACGTTGCGGCCACAGCACAAGGCTCATGGGACGACGATGTCTCATTCACTTGAGGCGTTATGTTTCCATTGGTTGACCGTTCTTTCCCGTTTCATCTTGTTCTATGTCATTCTCTTTGCGTTGAGTAAGCGCTCAACTTGATGTTTCCTGCGAACAGGACCGAAATATGAATCCGCACGCTGGAAGCCCTCAAGTCGCCTTCTCCACCCATCGCACAGGACAAGGATATCTACTTTGAGCGAGGCTAGTACATGCTCAGGAATCGTGGAGACAGTGATATGTACTTCTCCTTCGCTCAACGTAACGAAGCAGAGGTTCTGTATTTCAGCAAGGATCGCTATGTTGATCTCCCTAGAAAGTGTGTGGGAGTTGAATTGTTGCGCGAAGCACGGCTTCCAACGACATACAACTGGAATTACATCGTAATCCAATGCGCAGAGCAATGTACCATAGGTACTGATCTTCGCAGACCACTTTACAACCACTCTCCAGAAGCAGCGTCAACAGAAGTACAATAAAGTAGCAAAAGGCGCAAACAAGGCTACCCGAAAGTCTCGTCAGGTGCCCGATGGTTCTTGACAGACTTTAATCACGCTTTCCAGGACGGAGGGAGGTATTTCAAAGGCTATCGAGCAGGACATGGACAAGTTCAGCGCTGGCGAAGTACTGGACTAAGAGCGCGCCTACTGCAAGGTACGCAATCAAGCGTACGACTACATTAGTTGCTAACATATGCCCGCAGAATGAGCTGAAATACTTCGTCGCCTGAGTCTGCAAAGAGTACATCGAGCGCCAAGTCGTTGAGCCGCTTCCTGATATTGTTTTCTCTCCTCTGGTCGTTGCCGACGTGTCAGAGGAGGAGATCGCCTTCCTTGTCGCAGAACCACCTGAGATCACGCAGCAGCGCACTCACTTGATGTCTCGCATGGCCGTGCTGGAGAAGGGTCTTAAGATTTCCACGAGGCCATGGGTGGTCTGAAGCGTCGCTCGCCGCATCTGGCGGCGTAGATGGGCAGGGAAGTACATATCACGTCCTTGTTCGGTTTTTCGTTTCGCAGTAACGAATATGCTGACTGTTGATGATGGATAAAGTGGTCTCCTGGAGTTGTTCGAGACAGTTGAGACTATGGGCCCAGGGACGTGTCACTCGGCTAGGTTAGTGCAAGCCTGCCATAGAATGAGATGAATGTTTTCAAAATGACCTCCTATGAATCCATGTCATCTTCGACAAGCGTGCATGCATATGCTCAAAGTGCTCGAACCGATTGACGTGATATATGAAGCACCTTCTTGGTGGGGCTTGGATAAGCGCCACGGCGCTTTGCTAGATCTGCCTCGGCCTGCGCGACGGCGTCATTCCGTCTCAGATCCCACTTCCGGCCCACATGACCGCGATAGCCTCCAGACTCATTCTCGTATGCCGCAATCATGGCATTCTGCCGTCCTCTCCCCCGCGCTGGCCGAATTGACCACCGCCCACCATGAGCTTCCTCGTTGATCATGCGCGCAATGCGTACAACAACAAGCAGACGCACGTCGTCATCTTCTCGTCCACGGCCATTGCCCTCTATGGCTACGACCAGGGAATGATGTCTCTGAGTATGTACAAACCCCTCAAAAAGCAGATTGTACATAGCTTTTGAGCTGTGATCAAAATGCGCAAACGCACGGCGGAATGCATCCGCGATAATCGTCAAAGAATAACTATGCTGACTGCATTGTTTTCCTGCAGTTAACACGAATTATGACTACCTCCATACGATGGGCATTGGCGAATCTTCGCCTATCGTCGGAGTCATCGTCGCCATCTACTATCTCGGATGCGCTGTCGGTGCGGTTCTCTTCTCGAAAATGTCGGACAAGATTGGACGCAAACGCTCGATCTTCTTCAGTCTCGCAACCGCCTCTCTGGGAAACCTTTTGATGTTTCTCTCTGGATTTGGATATACAAAAGGCGCTCTGGGGGTCATGTTGACAGGAAGGGTGGTCATGGGCTTGGGTGTGGGTGGGATTGACTGCGTCATTCCTACCTACAGTTCGGAGTTGTCTAATGACGACGCTCGTGGGAAAGCGCTTGCTCAAGAGTTCCAGAGCAACATCTTCGGACTGCTCATGGCATTTGGGTAGGCGTCACTTGAACCCTGGGCAAATTTGGGACTGACATTGTGCAGTCTCAACCTTGGTGTCACTGTTTATCTAGGAAAGTGGAACCAATGGGCGTGGAGAATCCCGATCATTGCTATGCAGATATACCCGGTGTTGCTGATGGCGTTCGTGGAAAGGCTTCCAGAGTCTCCCAGATGGTTCATCTACAATGGTCGACAGACCGACGCTCAAGCAGCCTTGAATGACATATACGGAAATGAGGGTGACAGCAAGCTTGATGAGCTGCTAGATGCCCACGAGAAGGAGAAAGACCAGGAAATTGGCTACCTAGATATGATTAACCCTTCGCATCCGCAGTTCCACCCCACAGTGGTTACTGTTATGGGACAGATCAACCAAGCTTTGACTGGTTATGGTGCGGTGTCTGTCTATGGTCCTCAGATCTTCGAGGTACGAATATTCCAACACCTACCATTGGGCAGTGTCTAACATACCGCAGCTGCTAGGATTCGCCGTCCGAGACGCTGAGTATCTTACCCTCGGAAACTACACGTCCTACTTCCTCCTCATGACCGTTGCTTGGCTCCTGATCGATGCCCTCGGCCGCCGCAAGCTTCTCATTCAAGGTTCATTCATCCTCTGTGTGTCCTTCCTTCTCCTCGCCCTCTTCGGCGGCCTCGCAGAAAATTCCTCCAAGTTCGACATTCCGGTCATTGTCCCTGGCATCCTCGGCACCATCGTGCTCTTCATTGCCACGGGCGCGTTCGGCATCGGCTGGCTCTCAACCGTCTGGCTGATCCCCACGGAGATCTATCCCACGGCCGCCCGCTCCCAGGGCACCGCGATCTCCGTCATCGTATGGGGCTTCGCCAACTTCGCCATCACCTTCCTCACGCCCGTCATGTTCAACAATCTCTCGTACTTCATCTTCGCCGTCTTCGCGGCATCGAACGCGCTCGCGGGCGTGTGGACGTGGCTCTATTTGCCGGAAACGGGAGGCCGCACATTCGAAGAGAACCAGACATTCTTCACGGACGCGCAGGAGGCGGGCACTTGGAGGGTAAGCAAGGTCGCCGGAGGCGAGTATGCGGTGTTCAAGTACCCGGACCCTGAGGGCGAGGGCGTCGTGGATGCGGAGAGAGTGCCGTTATTGCAGAGGGTAGAGGATCAAGTGCCCAGTGTGGAGTAGGATGCGAGTGGCTTGCCTTTGGATAAGATTGTACACCCCGGTTCAACTTACTTTTGGTTCGCTGTCATCCGGGAGGTTCGGGAGTTAGCGTGTCAAAGCTCACAAGCCACCGAGTGGTTTGTTATTGCAGAAGGAAAGTCGCTGCGAAGGATTGGGGTTAGTCTCCCGATCTTCTGGTTGACAGTTACTAGACTTTAACCATTTCTCTTGCTGGGTTCGATACCCGGTCTCTCCGTTGTGAGATTGCGGTTGCATGCGTCCACAATCCGATGTAAAGCAGGTCCTTGTCTCGCTGTTTCTGATCCTTTCCACCCCATCGTGTCCATTTTACACCTTCCAGGAAATATGAGTGCCTATCACCTCCGGATTTTCTTTGTAAAAGACCCCTCAAAGGACCGGTCCCCCAAGACGCGCTAGGCACCCTTACTTCCTGGGAAGGTGCATTCATCGTGCGATGCGAAATGCGGTTGCATACGCCCACGATTCGTCTCGATGCGTGTCCATATCTGGCTGTTTCTTTGTCTTTGCACCTCCATCGTATTCATTGTGTCCAACGTGCGATGCCTTCAGACTTTTTTTGTTCCTAGCTAGGTGATTTATAGCAATGTCCGCGATGCAGCTGTCTGTCAACAAGGACCTTCCTTGCGACCCCCGGCCCCCTTTGTTCACAAGTTTGTGCGCATCGCTTTCCTGGCTAGCGCATTGCTATCTAGCGCTTGTGGATCATGCGAGCATCCTCCGTATTCCTCAGACTTGTGCATCTCGCTTCCCCGGGTGGACGTTCCTAATCCGCGGTGTGGAGAACGCGGAAATTGGACGCGAAGTGCCGAATGAAATTCTTATGGGAAATGATAAACTTCGGTCACAATCACGGGCATGCTCGGGATCAGTCATGGGCATGGTCCAAGACGGGTTCTAGAGAATTAGATACAAGGTAGTTGCGGCTCGTCCATTGTTCACAAGCAGAGCTCAGTGTCTAAGCTTATCTTTCGTCGAGATTTCAGCGGAAACCCACACCCACAAAAAAGACCCTCTTTCGAAAGGCGCTACCGTCAAGATTTTTGGGCCATGGAATTAAGTCTAATGTGCGGCTTCATCTTTTAGACCTACTTTCAAACCAGGTGGTCCATGTTTCGGCCGCTTACCTACTCCACCGATCATGGTTAATTATCTGGTGTCGCAACACCGAAACAAACGCTGCCTCTCGTCAGCACTTTCAGTAGTCAGCTCGGCCTTACGCCCGATGTCTTGAACTGTCTTGTTGCCTCGTGGTGCACCGCGACGGCGGGAGAGGCGCGGCTTTCGCCCGCGGTACTTCCTGCGGCGTAGGAGCCCCTACACTGCCGAGAACTGCGGGAAACGCCCAGCGCTCCCGCAGGATATCCCACAGCTAGCTTAGGAGCTTCATTCTGGAGTGTGATGGCCGTGTCTCTCACCTGAAAGAAATCTGCCCAACGGTACAGGCCTCGAGATGAATGGAAGCCTCGCGGCACAGCGGTATGCAGTGTGATGGACACAGATGTGGTCCCCTCATATAGTATATATCTGTGAACGTTCACCGATGAGCATCTTCACAACCTTCAGTCCTATTCACTCAAGCATCTCATCACTCGACTCTATTTCGGACCAACACTACCAAGCCTATATCATCAACAACAATGTCTGGAACAGGTGCTTCGGGCGGTCCTTATCCCACATACCAATGCATGTACGCCCATGTGGTGGAAGGCCACAGTCAAGCATTCGTGTTCTACTCTCCAGGCGAAAAGTGTGAGGCATGCCGTGTAAGACTTCCCCCTGAGGATCCCGAGCCTCTACTGAACACTCGATAGCTCGCAGGACGATAGCCGACATCCTGCATGGGGAACACCATTTCGTCATGCGCGTTTTCGATGGGTGTGATTGGCACAACCATCCATAGACAGCTTGGGCAATGGAAACCGTTCGGCGTCTTATCATTTCACAAATTGGCGGCAATCGATTTTGACTTAGCGACGGACGGATTTTGCTCGGAGTGTTTTATCGTTTTCCAGACTTCTTTGTAGATTTCTCCAATCCAGATTATTACTGCTTCACTGCAAACCCCTACCTAATCAAGGTACGACGTCGAGCTCATGCTCCGAGTGCGTCAGCACCATCGCTGGCAGCCTACGTTTACAAGTAAAGCGCTAGAGGCTCGACTAAAGGGCGGCGTTCAAAGTGCTGGCAAGAGCGCTCAGCACGGCCGGACACGGAAAGCATGACGTGACAAGCCGCACTTGACTATCGCACTACACCACCTTCCTACTCCAACCTCTCATCACAACGATGGCGGCATCATGCTCACATCTATCAAATTACACTCAATGACACCAACCCTTCCCTACGAGATGGCCCTTCCCTGCAGCCGTCAACAGAAGCCTTCGAAGGTCCACCCAAATCAGCCTGTCCGGCGCGCTACGCTCAGGGTCTGCTTGCAGACAGAGACGGTCCCGCGCCGACCTCGTTCTCTTTAAGATGTACGCTCATCACACAACGACTGCTACGATACGCGCTCCCATCCCGTTGGCATCCGGAAGTGCTCGTAGCAAGGATAACAAAGCTTGGTGGAACCCGCAAGCCGCTTTGAGGGCAGCATCATCCAATGCATGTCGATGCTACGTATGTACGCCACATTGGTGCGTTCCCCTCGCAACGCGCATCCGCACCGTATAGAAGAGGATCCTCTATGCATGGGATACTCCTTCAGCTCCGCACACAAGGGTCGCTATCATCCAGCAAGCGTGCCGACATGACGGCTAGTCTTCATTGCAGAAGATGGCCCACTGCTGAAGCGTTACCACAAAGCATAGAAGGCCAAACAATTGGTCGTACATCTAATTAAGTGCACTGCCAACATCACCATAACGTAGCGACAACTGTGACAAGTATGACCGACTATAATCTTCCGCCTTGGATGCTGCAGCAGACTTCATAGCTTGATGACCGTCCATGCGTACCACCATTAGGGGACCAAGCCGGAGGAACTTCGCGTCAATCTCTGTGGCGGCGGCCAGTCGTTCGATTCAACACCCGACCGCACTCGCCAGCGCACTTCTGAGATTTGCATCCAGTCTCCTTCCAATTACCGCGATGGAACGCTGGGTCGAATGACACTATCTGAGACAGCAATGGGAATGATCCGGCCAAATGACCTGATCATCCTTTGTCCACTTACGCGAGGCCGTCTTGGTGTACAATAAGGCCAATACGAAAGACATCAAAGGGTTCTCTTGGCTGCATGGATCTATCACGAGATGTTTAGCTCGGATCGTGGTGGCAGGAGCGCTTACATAGGCTCCAAAGCGGGCACGTATCTGATGCTTTGACCACGCGTCCATATCGGTCAGCCTTGCGACCCAACGCTACTGAGGTCGTAGGCGCCCAAGCCGGCTTCGCAGCGCGACCGTCAACATCAGACCAAGTTTTATGGTCGAGCAAGAAGCGCGCTCCACGGTTAATCGAGACCATATCCGAAGCTCACGACTACGGACAAGTGTGTGGGATGTGGCCTTGTGAAGAGGCACAACAGCACATCGGGCTATACTCAGATTCTATGCTCTTATTTCAATGAAGTCGACGTTACTATGCGGAAGCGGATCTGCATCTAGCCACCACTAACCTAGGGCAATACGTACGGCGGCAGCACTACTTACACTTTAGCTCAGTTTCATGCGTATGAGTGCCGGCCGGCCGCTTTTATGTGCGGATGTCCAACTGCTTCCAATTTAGCCACTGACCCGAAAATCATCGCTCATCTTAGGTCATTAAGGTCTCCAGAAAGACATTCGTGTGCAATCGGCCGAGACGATTAGCTCCTTGCTGTCAACACGAAAAGTTTATTTTTTGGTGCCGTGATGAACCGTCGCAACCAAAACACTTGGTCATCTTGCTTCTGGGTTTTTGGTTCTCAAAAGCATCCACTTGACCGACACCAGCAATACCCAAATCCATCAGTACACTATTCCAAGCGTCGCAGTCCGCATTGACCGCATGCATCCAGTGGCACACCATGCAGGCTATTTCCCCGATGTTCTCTCTGGCCACCCTACGGCTCTCGGTAAAAATCTAAACATTTTCCGAAAAGTCGGGAAAGAGCTACAGCATTTAGGGCAAAGCGCAGATAGTCCTGACGATCACCCCGGTAGACGAGTTGTTAAGCGCCCGTACGGCTCTCGCCGCTACGGCGGTGTTGCGACCAGAACGCCTTGAGCAGGGCGGTGCACTCATGCCCACAGAACGTCCGAAGACTACTGCATCCACAATGCTCATAAAGACGGATTGCAATCGACATGCGCCGGTGTTACAGTATTCAGAATATCTTTGGTGGTGCGGATACGCAAGTGCCAACAAAGTTCCAAAAGCCGCAAGGCTGCATAATGCTGCATAGTGGGATGCACGATTACGACCGCGCACAGCGATCGCTGCCCTGGATGGCTGAAGATCCTAAGCCATGACTTTGGTGCTGGCCGTGCATATGCATAGTCACATGACTGAAACCGGCTGCGTCCAACCGAGATCATGCGAGTGCCTTGGCCTGAACCCGGTCCTGGCTTGCGCGTTGTGTGCGTTAATCCAACGTTCGTTCTGTCAACTTGCAACCATCATATGTGGTACGAGGCATACGATATACTACGTCTCTGCGCGATCATCGTAGCACACCGACTATTTACGCATACCCAAAACAGTGTCGAGGCACTTCCGCCCTGTGCTGCCTACGACATGAACACAAAGAAATGTCAGATGCAATGTCCACTGAGATGGTCTGAAGCCATCTTCCATACCTACCTGCTGACCCATTATCATATAGTTCAGCCAATCTTGACGCTGATGCGTTGTCTCGGCTGCACTCAAGCCACACTTTCCGTGCCGCAGCGCAAGGCCACGGTGGTTTACCTTTCCAATGATCAGTGGACCGTCTCTGCGGCACAGTATTCGTTTTTTCCCTAGCCCCAGATGATGGCGCTATCCAGGGTAGCCCTATCTGCCTCGACCTGTAACTGTGCGTAGCGATGCGCCACGCTCAGCTTGTGGCAAATATGCCCAATGGACCAGGCCCTCGTATCGTGACACAAAATTTGAACAGAGGATAAGAGATCTGACCACCTTTGAGGGGGGGAAAATTTGAATCAATCCAATCGGCGACAATTTAGAATGACCATTTAAAGAAGCTTCCGACGTCATGGTGCATGGTAGCGATTTTCCACAGAACTACAATGTCAGAAACCTTAGTCGCACGGCGGCCCGTGGAGACCCAACCCATGCAATACGTTACCGGAATTCAACGCTGGGGAATACCCATTCTCGGCGTCTTACTCTACGGACCCCAGCTTCTGGAAGTCTTAGCGACAATGAGACACTGGCCCCACAGGGGATACCTCAACCAATTTGCAAACCGCAGACTACATCGCATGACGGAATCGGACGAGGAGACTCCCAAGAAGCTAGGGTAAGTATTCCTGGTTTTGCTCTATCAGCCTTTGATTCCACCTGCACCTCTTCTATCAAGAGGGCGGCGACATGGGTTTGGCTTACCCGACTACAATAGCGGTCTAGGGTGCAGCATGCTGCCTGGACCGCCCTCGTGCCCACCACGTTCGCACTCCGCAGGTGGGGCCATCGTACAGTGTCTTGGACTCAGTCGAGGCTCACTGGCCCACTACAGAACTTAGCTAAGACTGATGAAGGCAGGATCTCTTGTTCAGTGGGTCTCTCAGGCAGATATATCCGATGCTTGAAGGGATGGAAGCAATCAATTTGACGTGCCGCACTGGACCTGTCATCGTGACGGGCTTCCCGCACGGGACGGAATACCGCCCGCTGTCTCGCCGCAATATACAACGCATCTCACCAGATTGAAAGAAGTCATACCGTCGCTAGAGGCTAGCACCGTTATCACTATTGGGGGCGACTCCAACACAGAGGCATGCTTGATCAAGCTTTCCCATAGGCGCCAACGGCGGCACCGCGGCTATATCACATCTCGCTTGAAGCTGCACTACGCTACGAGCCGTCGCCGTCGCCCATGCCATGTTGGGCCGCCCTCGATATACAGGGTTCGCAGGGTTCTAGTGTGACTCTATCGTCACATTCATTCAACAATGTCGACGGCGCCACCGCGGCTATCACACGGGCCGGGCGTCCTCGCTACCTTCCAGGCCACAGCGGGACTTCCTCATCGGCGAAGGATGCCGCTGGCGCAGGCACTCCTCGCGGGGCGTTGCGGTAGCGGGCGGCGCCGCAAAGCGCGGTGCGTACGGTATACTTGCTGAGACGGCACGACAAAACGTGTATGTATGGAAAGTATGAACGTGTAAACTATTGTTACAAACATGTACTTCGTAAGCTCACCGTATTGAATCGGGTGCATGCAAAAAGCCATCGTCAATCATGCCCCTCAAGAATCATAAATCAAAGTCGAATATGCCCAGGTCAATGGCAACTTCAAGCACCGAGCTGACCACCAAGCCAGTAAATGATATCTGCCAATTAGCCATCTAAGTTCCGGTTTCTAGTCAAGAAGTCAGTGTCCATGGTCACGTAAGAGCAAAATGGGTGAGATAGCACGTACCGGTCTCCACACCCGGTTGTCTGCCATTGAGGTCGCCTGTGACCTTGTTCTTCAGTTTCTGAACCCCCAGCTTCGCCTGGTCTTTTGCAAACTTTGCATTGCGAGCAGGCTTCCACTGCATCATGCCGCGCTGCTTGCGCTCTTCGGTGCGCTTGTTCTGCTTGTTGATGTCTTTGCTTGACTGCGACGAATAGCTTGAAGAAGCCGTGGTGTCGGTGCGCGACGTGGACTGCGATATGCGCGGCGCCGTGGGCGACAAGTCAGTTGCCTGGTGCTTGATGCCGCCATTCGGCTCGTTGCCGTTGCTGCTCTGGTTCTGCTTGGTCTCTGCGTCCTCGATGCCCAGATCGGACGACGTATCAGAATACGAGCCCTCATCATCGTCGTTGTCCTCGTCATCAGACGGATGGAAGGGGTCATGCAGCGGCTCATCTCTACCAGGCTCCCTCCGCTTCTTGCCCTTGGTATCGAGGTACGCTTTTGGATCCTGACCGAAGGCGCCGGACCAGTCGACGCCGTCCTTCGCGAGCCACTTCTTCTTCTCTTCCGGGTCCGCATTCTTGAGGATGTCGCGGCCCTCGGTGAGTGACTCGTTGTGCAGCTGCTGGATGCGGTCGGGAAGCTCCTTCTCGACCTTGCGCGTGCGCACGCCCTCAGTGAGACACGCCTCCCACGTCTCATACGTCTCGCGCGTGGGGTTGTCGACAATAAAGTGCTCGTGTGACTCGTCCATGCCGGCCTTGAAGCGCCCACGGAACTGCAGACGGCCGACTTCTTCGAGGTCCTCAAGGCCCGGCTCGTTCTTGCAGTTGTCCTCGGTGATGTAGTTCTGGGTGAGGCGCGCGGGGCTGGATGTCGTCCAGATGGGGATGTTGATGTCGGCGTCCTCATTGTCGATGAAGTGCTGCAGCCAGATGACGGCGTACGCGACTGCCTTGCGCTTGTTCGCGATGTGGAATTCGAAGACAATGGGGGACCTGTAGCGGTGCTTGACCGGCAAGCGAACATTGTTCTTACCATTGTCCGCTTTAAGGTCCCAGTAGTAGCCGTCGCCTTCGTCAAGTTTCTGAGCCCCACTTCGACCGATCTTACCGGTGCTTCCGCCTGTTCGTAACTTTAGCTTGGCGGCTTGACTGTAGCCGATAGCGAGGATACGATCAGACGCGAACTCGAAGCTGCCGACGTCCCAGCCGAGCATAGTCGGTGGGAGCCGGGTCTCGATGCTACGGAAGAGTAGAGAGATGCGGACACGGCCGAAGCCAATACCTCCATCGAGCGGGTACCATCGCGTGACCTGTGAAGACGTCTCGAGAACGTCGGAGAGTTTCAAGGGAACCACACCAAGTATGGGGTCGTGTTCACGATTACGCGAATCACGAACGGTGACAGTGACAATGCCGGACCGCCAGTCGCGCATGAATCGCTCCGTACCGGCATTGAAGATAGGCTGCGAGGAGACAGCCTTCGAGCGTGTCTTGTAAACTAGCTCGTCGTTGTACAGGATGGTGCAGTAGCTGGTGGGCAGGTCGCCTCCCGTCTCCTCAGTAGCTTCTCCATATGGCTTCGCCGGCTCAAACTCGCGGCCCTTACGAGAGCCACTCGTGCCCTTGACGTTATCAAGTTCGAGGTTCACGATCTGATGGATGATGACGCTGCAGATACCACTTGGCCAAAGCGGATCCGGAGGCGTGTGCATGACTGCATCATCCGTCTCGCTGTTGATTACGCCCTTCTCATCTTGTAGAGATGATTCGTTTTTGAGCTCTTCTGGAAGGCCGCGGTTTTTACCATCAGTCCTGAGAGCGGGCCGGAACTTGGGTTTGCCAAAGTAACCCACTTCCCAGTGGAGCTCGCCAGGCATTTCGCTATCCGCATCCATGCCTGCAAGCTTTGAGGTCTGAGGGTACATCTTTCCGGGGTGCTGAATCATCTTCTGCAACGACAGTTCGACCTTGCCCACAATATCATCAGCGGTATGCCTATCCGAGTCCCATAATTCAACGCTGAGATATTCGTTTGCCTTGATTAGTTCAGGTGTAACGAGAAGTGCCGTGGTTTCCTCCCAGATAGGGTTGAGATCGTCGGTAATGACGCGTGTGCAGTACATCGGCTTGCCGTATTTGCTGAAGGCCAGTGTAATGTAAGGGTCGCTTCCACCGTGCTTCGAGCCACGTCGATCTTGCTTGCTCAGGCCAACTGCGCGATGAATTCGAATCCATAGAACACCCAGAGCCTCACTGTCCTTCTGAATAGAGTCTCCCTGGAGGATGGCGCGCATGTCAATAGACATTGACTTCGGGGCAATGTACACTATTAGGAATGTCAACGCAGCTCTAAATACGCGGACGAGAAAAACTTACTGCTCGCTGCAGCTTTGATCGCGTAGTTGACAAAGTTGCTGATCAAAGGTAGATTGAGGATATTGACACCCTTTTCGACCATTGGAATACAACCTGCCTCAACTTGTGGAGCGCCCATCAGCGTGAAAGTCAAAGTCTTCAAAAATGGAGGTTCGGGGGTCATGGCCATTCGCAATCGCACGGTGCCAACGAGACCTTGCAGCTCAACAAAAATTGGGAGCGGAACACCGAAGAGACCCTTAATCCCAAGGTAGAATACCAACTGCATGTGCATGTTGCGCGCCTTGTCGGACGCTCGCTTGCCGCTCGGCTGAGCGTGGTATGCGAACGATACCTCCAAGTTGTAGTAATCACCTCCCTCCTCATCTGCGGCAGCTTCTTGGGGGTCTTTAGTCTTCTTATTTTCTTCGTGGATGGCTTGTTTCATCTCAGACATGTGGGTATCTGGAAGAGCCCGCAAGCTGAGAATCCGCAGTGGGTTGCTTCCTTGGTTGATCTCTGCGACTCGAACGTTTTCGATTATACCAGGAACCGAGGCTTGCATGACATCCTCAAGCATATCAGCCACACCTACAAACATGTCCGGGTTGATCAATCCCCACACTATGCCTAGCATGGTGTTCAGCCATTCGACAGATTCGGGGAGCAGATTTGCAGTTGCCTGTATATGTCAGCATGAATACAAATTGTGTGCAATAGACGTACCATTTGCCCACGCGTCTTTTCGCTGTCCCACTCAACCTCCCTTCCACTGCGGATTACCTCTTTCACCCACAAAAATACGCCTGATGAAAGACACAAGCCGAGAGGGACAAGGCCCAGAAGTGCTCCACCAAACAATTTGCCGACTACAACAGTGGCGACCAGTATTCCGACGCATAATACGGTTGCGCGTTTTTCTAGGGCGACGAATGTTGGCTCGTAACTAACAGACGGTGTGGGGTGGAAGAGGATATTGGTTTTCTCGCCGTGAATAGGCACATCGGAAGTTGTGCCCTCGGCAACTGGATCGGGAGGCGCGGTAACATCTTGGTTGTGTTTGTAGTCGGCAAGCGAATCGCTTGGATCGGTCTTTATAGGCTGGGACACGTAAGCTCATCACTTTCTTCGCGTTGTAGAGCATGAACATACCGTAGGCTTCTGTAGATTTGCATTAGGTACCGATAGCATAGGGTTTTCAACCTGGTCCATCATAGACTTGTTGACGTCCTCAATGGTGACTTCCCTGCCAGTGGTGGGATCTGTGACCACCTTCTGTGTGCCCTCGATGCCAGCCTTGTGTACTTGGTGGGGTGTCGCCTCTCCAGTCGCAGCCTTCTGCTTTCTCTCCTTTTGCTGCTCATCCAGCTTGCGATCCCTTTCCGCCTTGTCCTTATCGAGATTCTCAATGAATTTCTTGACAGTCGGGACTGGGTTGGCACCCGAATAGTGGCCGCCCGGCTTGTGCTGCTGCTGCTGTTCCATGATGCCGCAATTCCTCAAGGACTCCGCGGGTGAACAAAGAGACAGGCCCTGCTCTGGAGTTGAGCTGTTGGGCAGATTAGTATGATATGCGGAGGGGCAGAGGTGAGGTAAGAGACGGAGGTAGATCCGATTACATCAAAGCGCTGAAACCCTCGAGGTCAGTGCCACGCAAAAGCAGGGCAGCAGCCGCGATGGCGCGTCAAAGAAGTGGCTACAGCAGAATCTCGTCAACAGTGATGTCATCACGAGCCACAGCACACGCGCAGGCTTGCGCCGACACAGCTAGCTGCCGCCTTCACTATGCCTCAAATCGCCAGCAAGCGCACTTGTCAGAAGCCGCACCCAGGCTACGCACAATCGAGTGGCTGGGCTCGTCCACAATTCCTCGGGGAGGATCCCATATCGCATCGTGCCTATATCTGTGACGAAAGCGGGGAGCTGCCAGGGCCAATCGACACGTGTGAAAAAGCGGGGCAGATCGCCTAGCCCTGCTGCGATCCCATGGACGATCGCCCCGCGCCGTGCCCGCACGACTCAGGCTCTCGGTTCGTTCCATCCCGCCTTCATGAGATTGTAACGTGATCCCTGCCATGTCGGGCTGGTTCACCCTCTTCACGAACGCGCGCTATGTGCTCGATGGCGAGCTCGTAGAAGACCACCTGGTCATCTCCGACGAGACTGGCTGCATCTTAAAGCGAGAGGGCTACATCGGCGGCGACGTTGTAGACCTGGACGATAACATCATTGCGCCTGGATTTCTAGAATTGCACACCAATGGCGCCAATGGTTTCCATTTCACGCACTTCGAGGATGAAAGGAGCTATGCGCAGAATATGGATAAGATTGCCCGGTACTATGCCACACAGGGCGTCACGGGATTCTGGGCAACCATTCCAACTGTCAAGGCCGTCGAGTTTCAGAAGGTGTGTTGGGCCATTCTGACCTGGTCTGAGATAGACGGCGTCTGACTCTGGCCAGATCTTGCCTTCCCTCGCGCCGCGCGACATCCCGACCTCAGCGTCTCTTCTCGGTGCACATACCGAAGGCCCATACCTCCACCCCGACAAGAAAGGCGCACACAACTCCTCGCTCTTCCAGATATGTGAGACATCGCCATCTATCATATATGGTGCCTCCAACCTCTCCTCTTCCGTCAAGCTGGTGACAGTCGCCCCCGAGCTCCCCAACTCCGCACACCTAATCAAAACCCTCACATCCAGCGGCATTAAAGTCTCCATGGGCCACTCCACCGCCTCCTATGCAGAGGGCCTAGCAGGTCTAGATGCCGGAGCAACGTGCCTCACCCACACACTAAACGCCATGCCACCGTTCGCGTCCCGCATCCCAGGTCTAGCAGGCCTGACATCGCTGCCATCCACGCATAAACCACTCGCACCGTGGTACACCATCATCCCAGATGGCGAGCACCTCCACCCAGCCACAGTCTCTCTCCTCTACAAGACTAACCCCAAACGCTCGATCCTCATCACCGACTCCATCGAGCTTGCCTCTCTGCCAGACGGCACGTACCCCGGCCACTCGCAAATCCCGTTCGAGCAAACAAAATCCGGAACGAGGGCCACAATCGCGGGTACCGACACGCTTATCGGTGGTTGCATTCCGTTGCAAGAGGGCGTGCGCAATTTGATGTCGTGGTCGGGCTGCGGCATTGCCGAGGCCGTTGGTACTGTCACGGAGAATGTGGCTGCGTTCATGGGAATCGATGGAATTGGTGGGAGGGGAGTGCTCAGGGAAGGAAGAAGAGCTGATCTCTGCGTTTTGAATGAGAATGGTGAAGTGTTGCAGACTTGGGTCGCGGGACATAAAGTGTGGGACAAGGAAGAGGAGGTGGGACGGAGGGAGGCTGATGGGGAGGCGAGGGGGTAGAAGGACCTATGGTATACTGATATAGAATGAGCGTTCACCTGAAGGAGCATTGTAACTTTGGATCGGAGATAGAGGTTTGTTGTTATAGAAACATCTTATATTTCTTCATATTCAGAGTATTACATTGGAGCCGCTGAATAGCTAGAGGATAACGTATTCTCCATATAATCCTGCGCTACATCCTTCGCTGACTCCCTTCACTTTCATCCTTCGCATACTGCTCCAACATAAGTGCCCTCAAACGCCATCTCAGGCACCCTCTTAGACACACGCATCTCCATGTTCAAATGTTGCGCAAACCTTGATCCGGGCCACTTCGCACATTCCTTTCGTGAACCACCCTGGGATGGGGTCGCACGAGCCTGCCAGTCGGGAAGAGTTGGGTCTTGGGGGATTAATCTTCGTTAGGTGACATCGGAGGATTGTGAATGTCCCAGGGCTGGATCAGGACATCCCCTAGGTGTGCCAGAGAATGGAGATTAGAAACATAAATAGGTTGCATACTGGTGCTGAGGAGCATGCTTGCGACCAGGTCCGCGAGTCCGAGGAGGAACAGGGTGATAATGTACGTCTTGGCAGTATAAAGCATGGGGTGGGTAGGCGCGAGATGATTGGTGCGAACCTGGCTCGATGTGGTTATCGCTGTGATTATGGATCGCAGGTTTGCTACGATGATGCAAAGTTATACACTAAATTGAAAAAGCTTTGGCATAAGCATGATATGGTCATGAGAAGGAATCAGCAACACTTCCCAAAACCAAGCTGAATATTCAAGATTAGTACCACTGCCCATTTGTGATTCTTACTTCCATCGGTGTAGACTTCCCAGTCACATTTCATCTTGTTAGCAGCACCCTGAGAAAGCCTGCACAGACCCTAGCTCTCCGCGAACCACGTAACAATTTCAAAGTATCTGAAAGCTTAGCAAAGAGTTTATCCGAAGGCTGCATGATGCTTTATTGATTTTCTAGGTGAGAGTCAGGAGGTCTCCATACATCAGCAGATCAATGAATGTATGCCTCAGTGGAAGCGGTGTAGAAAGCGGAAATCACATCAAGACACTGAGCAATAACCAAATCATTATCCTTTCCCCCATGTCTTCACTGACACCAATTGATTGGCGGGTAGGTCTTTATCTACGATAGATCAGGCAGTGGATCTGCGGCAGCCATTGCGTATGATATATATATGATCGTCGAACCTATGAAGTCTAAATTGCTACTGTCGACGCGATCGAATGATGGGGAGGGGACGTACCTGCCGGAGGCGTCCCCACGAGGGGCAGACATCATGCACAGCCTGGAGCGCTGAAGTGACGAGAGGAAATAAGGGTGCGCGGATATCTATGATACCAACACTTCATCACATGCTATGAATGGACCCATGGTTCTTAGCATTGCACAGGGTCCAGGGATATGATTTTCTGGGACGCAGAGGTTATGCCATAGTAAACAAACAATTTCATAATTACTATAGTGGTGCTAATTGCCTGTCTAAACAAGACAGCTGATATTCTACAATCTCTTATTTTCTGTTTCATTGTTTTGAGGGTAGATAGCACCGCCCGCTAGATTTGTTTACGTCGTGCCTTCCTTTTTCAAACCGTACCTGCCTTCACTCAGATCTCTCACTCACCCGCCCGCGCTCAACCGCCACCTTCACTTTACACTTTATGAGCCAATATTGGTGTATATTTAGAGCATATCTCCACAAAACACACGTTCTCAGCTTGGTGCTGCGGAGATGGCCTAGTGGCAGGAGCACGTTCACCGTGCCTCACAAGATAGGTTACTCATCTCCATCCAGACCAACCTGAGAGCGTGTGTCCGATTCCCACAATCAGTAAACTCCACTAAGATGGGCGGTTTCTGAATGTCGCCGGCCACTTCGGGTGGAGGCGTTTCTTTTGCTGTTCCATGTGCTTGGTATAAACGATTTCATTCTTTTTGTTTTCCTTTTGTGAGGGTGCAGATGGCTTATAGGTGATCCAATGTCTTGCATAAGGTGCAGGAACGAAGGTTTTCAGTTGAGATGAGACTAGCTGAGCGAAAAAGACATTATATTTTGCTAAGCCAAGACGTAAATTAGGATCCCGTTCAAAACCGTCGCGTCTAACAAAGTGAATTTGATATGCAAAGAAGAATCCCTTGGGGACCGATGCAAGTTTGGTTACTGTAACGAGCATTCATGAGTGCTTTATCTGATTGTGGAGTTGGTTGCTCCCGCAAGAGCTGCATTGGCTGAGCGTAGTCGGTGAGCAATAGCGATTCGAAAACATGCGTTCACAATTCCTTACCTTATCTTAATTCGCACTGACTTTTGCTCTGCACCTCGCGGGGACACGGGGTGGGCATGTGTATAGAGAGGGCACTTCCATTCGAAGGAACCCTAGGTGGGTCTTCTGGTCGACTGCAGTTCGACGCATCTACCTCTCTGCTGGCTGGGGCAGCGATGACATCACCTGGAGTAATTCAGTCCTTATCTCTGCCAGGCTCTGCCTGCTAGGCATTATTATTCAAATCTGTCGCCATTGTTGTGTATACAATCATAAGTCTGCCCACCGTTGTTTGTTGGTGCGAACCTTGGGGAAGCGCACGGAAGACTACATTGGGCGAAAATGTAGCCTCTGTTAGCTTACATTGCTTTGCAGACAATTTATAGAGCCTTAGACTTATTGTATTCTTGCCTATGGTGGTGGCAGATCTGATGACTGACCGACACGACGAATCACAGTTCCCGTATAGCGGACAAAGTGTGCTCTATATGCCGGAAGCTATACCTATATCCACGGCGAGCTCATACACGCTCACCTATGTTCTGGCCAGGGCCGAGGCTCAGTGATCCTCATCTACGGCATCCTCGAGGAGCTGGCCAGCCTCCAAGTACTTCTCTCTAGCTTGCATTGCCTTCTAAATCCTGTCCTTCAAGCCCTTGTTTTCTTCCTCAAGTGCAGAGATAATGAGGATGTTGTTCCGAGCCAGACCTTGGCCCTCCCATACCTTCTGCTCCAGATGCCTCACTTGCTCTGCCAAACTTATCAGCAGGCGACGCAGTGACTGCAAAGATGTATGATAAACTTCCTTACCTCGCAAGCTCTCGAGCTCTGCCATATCACCCGTTTTGACTCGAGCTTGGTACATCATTGCTTCGCTTTCTGGACGTTCGCTTCCAAAGTTGCGTTCTTGCCGAATAAAATATCGAGCTCGTTGGCCTGCAGTCCGCAAGGTTGAGACTCACCCGTACGCCAAACACGTATGATAGTGCGCAGTCTCTTCTCGGGACTCTTGTTCTCAAATTCAGGCCTTCTCCTTGAGCGCCTTGTTTTCTTCCTCAAGCTTATTGTTCGATTTCTTGTATCGTTTTTCATTGGGCTGGCAGAAGCCCCCTCGGACATGGGAGAACGGTTCTCAGACTTCAAGATGAGGTTCTGGGTTCTCATCCTGCCGACTTCGGCTTCCGGCTCAGATGACCTTTTGCTCATAGCCTACAGTTATCCTGCTAGGCCTGCTTTCTCTTCGATGACTCGCTGGCCCTCGTTCGTCTTCGAAGAATTGTCAGTGCTGTATCAGGGCGGAGTGTTGAGCATACTTGACTTACAATGCTGCGCAGCTTGTCAACCGACGTCAACTGTGGGACGGGCGAGGTTCGAGAAGGCATGGTATCTCCAGCGCAATCCATGGACTTGTTTTGAGTCGGCCGAGGTCAAAGTGTCGTTTTCGTCGGCAAAAGAATCCTTCAATATATCCTCGGTGTAGGAACTCGGGGGGGTTCGCACTTACTTGCCTGACTGGAAGGCATAGTATGATACATGTGTGATTCCAGATGGCGGAAGTAGTCTTTGATCTGCTGGTCACTCCAGGATACAACTGAAGCAATTGATAAGTAATATAGAAGGTAGAAGCCCAAAAAAGTTCACGTTGCTTTTATGCAATATTAGGAGTGAGGCGAAATATCCTTTCGCAACACATCGAGAGACATGGGAGTTTGACAGTCAGTGGTGTAGGACGTATCATGACACATGATTTGGAAGGTGAGAGGGCAGTAATGGTGCAAACGGTATAATACGTAGAGATCTGTCCATCTATGTGCATTAAAAGTCCTGACCTTATCGAGGGAGCGGGAAAATGTGGCGGGCAATTGCCTTCAATGTCGAGCGTATCTTACAGTCGCCCCTGCGAAGGACCCCTAAGTTTGTGCACTTTGAAGGCCATTTAAAAATGGACCAATTTGGTTTTGGTTACGAACCCCAAGTTTCTTACAACGGTTAGATATTCAGAATAGTGCGTAAAATACAGTAAGAACAGGGTAAGTGCGTGCTCCTTTGCCAATGTTGATGGGAAAGGGAAAATCCTCTCCCTAATACCCTCAAGGGGAGTCTCTCTGACTTGGCCAACAACGTCATGCTTGCGCCTATTCGTGAATTCAGAGCAGCGTCTGGGAGTCTTTGTGGGAGGAATGGTCCTGCGGGACGCTCGCCATGCCATGCATTTCTCCGTACGCGTCTCCCAAAAGAAGTTGCTGGCAATGCTGTTGAGGCCGTCGAACGCAAGCATGCTCTCACTCGACGTCCAGCCATGTCCCTGGAAGAAGGTAGTCCTTCCTTCTAGATCACTGGCTAGGAGATTTCAATCCTGCCACGCGTAACTTTTGCCTTCTATCTGTGAGTATTTGGCCCTCCTGCATGACTACGGTCCAATCGAACGCAAACCCCTGAGCACTCATTCTCGGCGCACTGGACCTGTTCCTGGCATACTGCAGGATCATCACCTTCTCTTCGAAGACCAACAGATCCGATGCCATCATCCCGTGCCAAGATTGTACCACATATACTCGAAGGTCGCTTCTACGGGCAGCTCCGATCTCCATGCCACTGTCATGTCGTCCTAATTGCCATGTTTTGAGAAGTACGGAACCGTGATACAGCTCATTTTTTCGCGTTTCTCTGCATGAGAACAGGGACTCCATCAGGCATGGTTCTCCACATCCTTGCGCACATCTCTACCTGCCCCTTCTCGTCGCAATCCCGTGCTTGCGTATTCGACGTTTGACACCTGCATGGATCTGTCGGCACCTCTGGCAGTACCTCGCATGAAGACTCATACAAATATCATTCTGACAATATGTCGCGGCCTGCAGACGATCTGACAGCCCCGAAGCCATCATGCCGCTCGAATTCCCCATCGCACTACATCTCCGCGATGCAGGTTCCGACATCGTGTTCGCATGCATTGATGATTCCTGACCCATGCTCTGCCAATTCTTCGCCCGGCTCTGCAGTATGTTCCTCAATGAGACGCATAGCCGCTCACGCATACTTGCCGACCTGAAGCGAGACGCACCGCGAAGATGCGTGCGAAGCCGATCACTCGGTTGGAAGCGCAGCTACCCACTTTGCATGCGCGTCGCTTCCCAACACCAAAACGACCGTCTTCTCGATCCTCTCACCCCCACATGGCTCTATTTCTCAAGTTTCCAATATCTGACGCCTTATCTTCGTCTTCTGAGTGCATGATGACCCATTCGAGATCAATGACCTCACTCACCGATAAGCCAACAAGCCGCGGCCGGCGATACGACCGGACAGGCCAGCCAGCCGCAGACCCGTCCCCAACCGCGTGCTCCCGCCGCGAACCTTCGATGAGCCTTGGAGTGCTGTGCAGCTTACCCCACGAGACGTCGATGGCGTCCTGGTGAGAGCGGAGGTGCAGGGCAGGCAGCCAGGGCGTCCAGTCCGTCGAGTGTGACTACGCCCACCCTGCATGCAGCGAGCCGTCGAGCACGCTATCGTGAAGCTCCAGAGGTTCGATAGCGTACATCTGGAGCACAGCAATGCCAAGCGCCACGAGTATGAGGCACGGCGTACAGTTGTCTCCTCGCCGAACAAAGCGCCGTATGCCTGCCTGCTGTTGTTCTGATGCGGCAGGGCGGAGACGTGTCGACGCCTGCCACAGCTCACATGCGCCTGCGGTGGTTCCAGTGTCCACGTCGAGCAGCACAACACCACAACACACCCTTGGACGCTCTAGAACCGCGCTGGAATCTTCAACAGGCACACCCGCGGCATCTACGTGCCGTACGCATCCTGGCAGGGCCCTGATCGTCGCTCACAGCACCACAGCACGCGCTCAAGCCGCGATCAGCGATGGGTCGACTCGGCTCCTCCATCGCAACCCCGCCCATCTTTCCTTCGGTGAACGACACTTGAATGACCTGCGCACTAGCGACTGAGTGCAGCATCTCAAACCTTCCATCCCAGCACCGTCCTGCATCGAACGCATCGAACATTCGGCTGCCCGGAGATATTCCTCTTCTGGACCTAGCAGGTGTGCACGACAGTTGAAAGCGCCAAGCACAGCGTTAGCGCGAGCGGGCTGGCACGAACGACGCCGTGCCTGCGACGCCATGCATATGTAGAGCGGGCTAGAGCCGTTGCGCTTAGCTGTACTTGACTGAATAGCTTGCGCACGTTGCTCCATCACGACAGCTGGCAGCAGAGCGGTGAGCGAGCATCGTGAGCCAGCAGGCAGACTGGTGGGAGGACAGGACCCGGCCGGAGCTTAGGCTGCTTAGCCTGTACAGCATCACAATCATGCATCGAAGCGATTCCTTCGTCAAGTGCCTACCGGCTTGGTTGCGGGGCACACCGTGTCGTGAGAGCCTAGCGGACCTCGTCGTGGATCGCCGGAAAGACACTGACCAACCGCCCGTCCCACTCTCTAGTTTACACAATCCTGAATCTTCCGGTGCGCGAGTCGCCCAACCTCTACAGTCGCTACACGAGGATGCCGCTAGCTTGAGCTTGAGAAGATTGGAGGCGTACTTGACAGACTTGCACCAACACAGCCACCATGCGCGAGCCTGGAGGATCGTGAAGGCCACAAGATCTGCAAGACGAAAAACTTGAGAGCAGGCGGATCCCGTCAAAGGCAGACAGACACATATCATACATACATTTTCATACAGTTCTGTCTGGCGAAGGATCCACCTCCGACGCCAATGTACAATTCCGAGCTCCCACTCAAAGACTCACAGCCCGATACCAGCGACCTTGCAATACCGAAGAAGCACATGATAATAACATGGTGACATTCGCACACTCAGTCATCAGCCTCTTCCTCCTTGTAGCTCACCCGCTGAGACACTCGCCCCGACCTCTTCCTAGCCGGAGCGGGCGCCGCACGCTTGTTCGGCGGCGCGCCTCCACCCTCATCGCCGTCGTCGTCCTCGCCTAGGCTACTAAGCGGGTCACTACCTTCATCAGACGGAGAAGGCGCCGGGATTGTCTTTCCAGGCCCCTTCTGCTTGGTGGTTGCACGTTTTGGAGCGGGCTTCTTCACGGACCTTTTCTTCTCCGCAGATGTATCGCCATTGATGGACGGCACGTCATCTGTGTTGGCTGCACCAGCTGCAGTTTTCCTCTTCTTCTTCGCAGGCGTAGCAGCACCATCTGCATCGTCCTTTTTCTTGATGATGCGCTTGACTGGCCGCAGCCAATCTTCCATGCCTGGCGGCCAGTATACTCTGCGATCTGGGCCTCCCATACCAACCTCTTCCTCGGGAACAACGGGCGGAGGCTTCTCCTCCGCCTCTTCTTCCACTTTGGCATCGAGCTCTTCTAGCCCCTCTGCCTTCTTCTTGCTTTTCTTTGCCGCTTTCTTCGGCTTTGGCTTCCACGGCCTGTTCTCGTCTTGTCGAACGTGCGGGATGACATCGTTGAAGAAATCGAAACCCGGCAGCTTGAACGTCCGCATGAGCTCGAAGACAGCCTGTTCCTTGTCCTTTGCCTCGATCATGAGATCCATGGTGTCCGGACACGGCGGGAGCGTCATCACACGTGGGGAATGCTTTCTCCTGGTCCGCGCGGTGACTGCTTCTGGACACGGTTCCGAGTAGTGCATTTTCGGTGTGATGTTTTTCTTCTTCCATGTCTCAAGGATACGAGGAAATAAGTCAACAATGTCCTTGGTGCCTTCACGAATCTGAGTGGAGTCGAAGAGGATGTTGTGATGATGAAAATCAAGGACCATGGGGATATTGAGTTCTTCACAAAGAGGCAAGATCTCGTGGACCGACCAGACTACATCATCGTTCTCAAGAACAAGACGGTTCTTGACGCTTTGAGGAAGCTGAGAGTAGTTCTCTTTGAAGCGTTCAATAGCAGCAGGCTTGTCACCATAGGCACCCCCAAGATGCAAGATCATGACAGCATCTCTATCTTCCTGGGGCGGCAGCTTGAGAAGCGACAGCATCTCATCATGATAGGCAAGATCACGGATGGCATTGTCAATGACTTGTTTGCGCGGCGATCCAAGCTGCGTAAACTGGCCTGGATGCGTAGTCACTCTGTGGCCGAGCTCAGCAATGACCTTACCCGCCTCGGCGAGGGTGTCTGCCGCGAAAGGAGTGAGCTTGTAGCCGTATTCATCATGGCTGGCAAAGGGGAACATCTCACTACTCAGGCGCATGAACTTTATGCCGTACTTGTCATTCCAGCGAACCATCTTGATGACATCGCGGGCGTTGGCGAGACCGAACTCCTCAACGTAACGTTGTCCTCTTGCAACGTCGGCGGGCTGATCTCGGGCAGGGCGGTTCTTAGTGGCATGCTCAGGCTGCGACGGGTCCTTGAGAGGGTGTCGATGCTCGAGGATGCTGGCTATCCGGCACGTCCGTGAGCTAAAGACGGGCGGATTAGCGTTGCGCAAGTATGTATTCAGACAGGCCTATCGATGCTATGTTAGCGTACGCTCCAAGGTGAGGGTAACATGGCAGCCTCATACGTATCCAATACGGCCCTTCCACGGCAGAGGCAGATAGTCAGAGTTGACGGGCGGCGGCCTGGACAAAGCTTCCTTGATCTCGTCTTCGCTCTCGGCAGCATCTTCGTCAGCTTCAGGATCAACAGTGACCCCCACGTCTTTCTCAACGGCAGGCCCTGAGGAGGCTGTGGTAGCTGTTGTGGATCCAGCGTCGGTGGTACCATTGGCAGCCGCACTGTCCACCTTCACATGCTCCTTCGCATTGGCACCCCTCTTTCGTTTGTTCTTGCCGGGGGGTTGCTCAGGGACACCAGCCGCAGCTGTCTCAGGTGCTGGCGCACTCCCGTTCTTAGGCCTCCTGGAGCGCGCACCTCGTGACTGTCCGTGCGCCTCTGCAGGTACATCAATGGAGCTATGCTCCGTGAGTGCATTCGGCGCTGCAGGTGTGGCGTCAGTGGGTTGGCGAGGAATTTCCCTGTCGGGTTTCAGATCGTCTGCAATACTCGCAAGCTCCACGTTGTCCGGTGAAGCCCGCAGCGCAGTAATACCATCAACAACATCTGGATTGGTATTGGGGTTCGTGCTTGCGTGGGATGAGATGTTGCGTGATGACTGGCGGCGCGCCGGGGCCGGTGTAGGATGAGGCTCTGCATCGTGGAGATGGGCGACGTTTGCGGGAAAAGGGACCTTGGTCTGCTGACGGGATCGGGAAGGGCCGTCACTCGAGGATGTGGTGGCCGCGGCTACTCCTGATGACTGCCTACGCCTGGCCATTGTGAGTAAACAGGCGGGAGTGCTCTGCGCGAGCCGTGGCGCAAAGGAGGCTCGGAGTGCAACTGGGTGGCTGATGGAGAGAACAAAGCGTCTCATAAATGTCCGGAGGTGACTGATGCGTGTCGCAAACTGCTGGTAGTGCTGGTGACAAGCTCGAGGCTTGCGAGAGCAATTGTTGCAGCCGTGCCATCGTCACGGTGGATGACTAACGCGAAAAACAGACTGCGCGACGCGACTACGTCACGACAAATCGATGGTGGACGCGCCTGTGATCGTGGTGTTGAGAAGCGCCACACAAATCGGCCCTAGCGCCATCGACGAAATGGAGATTGGCAGATCTAGCGCCGGGGCCAGCCTTGTGTTGCCACGATGCGTGCCTGAGGCATCCAGGCACTCGCGCACGTCGCTCCTCGGCAAGCAAGCAAGCGCAGCCGGCACGCTATGGCCGGCACGTTGCATCGCTCGCTCGCCGGGAAGACTTGACAAGCCACACGCGGAGATGACGAATGCCGGCCAGGAACGCCCCAAGCCACTGCCGCCTATTCCTGCTGCTGCTGCACATCGCAAGCCACCCCCTCCTCTAATCGCTTTTACGTACAAGCAACCGTTCCACTGCATCACACGGATCACAACACAAGTGTTGTGATCCTTCAACTCTTCGTTGCTGTGCGGAGCAATTAGCCGCCAGTCTTGCCCAGGTATAGCATCCTGCCATGCTCATGGGTCATGATACACTCCGGAGCTACAACACAGCCGGTTTCTCTCGTAGGCGGTACCTACATATGCAGACGCTGTGCAAATGCAGCCCAGGTGCGTCGGAAACGCCCGTGGACAGTGCTTCAGACTATCTTAGCAAAGCGGCCATCTATCTTGCCGCTTCTCGTCCGTCAAGCTTGCTATTCTTGTTGCGCCTGAACAATAGCCATCGCTGTCGCACGCGATTGGATCCATGGATATGAACAACTAAACCTTGTCAGGTATTGGATGGCAGTCTGCGACAGATGATCCCGTTATAGCTCCCTACAGAGCATGCAACCACGGAGATGAACTCGCTACTCTACACACTCGCGTCTGTAGACATCTCTTTGGTTCTCAAATGCATCATGGGACCGCATATCAGATGCTCGTGCGGACGGCGTGGGGTACATGACTCTGTACAACGTCGACAATTTCTCCTTAGCCCGCCAGCCATCTCGTATCGACAGTCTCCACAGGCCATCTGACGGACGCGCAGCCTAAAGGCCTCGTACCGTAGATACCGCAACTTGGCGCAACAGGCAGAGAAAGCCTTACCCGTCCCCGCACTCGCACTGCAGCTAGGCGCACTTTCGTAGCGCGGCTCAAGCTGCTCCGTCCACCTCTCCAGCAAGCATGTCACTTGGAAGCTGGAGCCAAACTTCACCTCCGCTGCAGGATGAACCCGGCTGCGATCTCGCTGATCCCTTCTGCTTCCCGTTATCAATAGCTGCGAGCTGCGCTGTACCCGTGCGCGTGTCGGTCGTTCGTCTCGTCCTAAGATAGCTCTGGTTCATCGTCTGCCCAGTCAAACGCAGCCGCACACCAAAAAGCAACGCGACTATCGCCCGCTAAGTCTACACATCTGCCTCCCCAGGCCTCCCGCAAAGCTACGGGGTGGAGCACCGACGAGACGAACCACGATACGAGCCTCACAGCCATGCGGCGTCGCCGAAACAGGACAAGGAGCCAACAAGACCCCGCGTTAGCACCGTAACGGCTGCGCAGCCAATCACGTAGTGTGCATTCGCCTCGGCGCGCTCTTGCATACGGCCGTTTTCGCGCTCGTCCTGGACTTTCGATGTCCCGAACGCTCGCCGTGGCCGGCTCCGGTACGGCCGCGCGCGCGCGGGAAGATCAGCACGCAGGCAGGCGTGAGCGAGAGAGGGTCTGCATGCTTGGGGGCCGGATTCCTGCTCGCCGTGCTTAGACCGCATAGCGTGGGACTGGCGCTCGTCGCCGTTGGTATCCACCGTACTCCCCATGAGTGACCGAGGTGAGACACGCACAACATGTCCTGGTCCGCACGGTGTGTTGGACAGTGTGAACGGACCACCCGTGATAGCGGGTGCGTCTCCTATCCTATCCCGTGCTGTATGATATCCCATGTGAAAGTGAAGGGAAGACGAGGCGTCCAGAGGGCGCGGATGGCGTTTGCCATCGTGCAGTGTGTGCAGATCTGTGCGCTGATCTGGAAGTAGGTGGTGTGTGTTCGCTGGTCGGGGATGGCGATGGCGATGGCGATGGCGATGGGTGGATGAGGAGGGCGGCCGGCACGACAGCTCACCGGCGCGCATAGACGTAGGCACAGATAGCTTGACAGGACGTCAGCCGCGCATGCTGTGCTGCCACACCTTGCGCGCTGCGTGAGAGTGAGAGGCCGCCCGGCGGTGCCGTCGTATATGGGTCAGCCACATGATGGTGAAAAAGCCGGATCAGATGCCGGTTGTCACGAACGGTGATTGACCATGGAAGTAAAGAGCAGTTGAGGTCGTAAAAGCGCGCACATGCGCCTGCTATTCGTGTGTGCCATGTCATGTCATGTCATGCCATGCCATCGTGAAAGTCGTACATACAAGACTGCCAAAGCAAAGTTCCACTCCGGTCCCATCCCAGCACGCCGGGAGACCATCCGTTGCCCATGCCCATAACGCAGCGGAAATATAGATACAATTCAAGGAAACCAGCAAACGTATAATGACAAAACGGATTACCCCGGGAGATCCAAGGATGCACCCCATACGAACATGCAGAGAGCCTCATTAGCCATTACCATCCCTTTTGCCTACCCGACCAATAAATGCACCGCGGGGAGTGCGAAATGACATACTTTTCTGCGACAGCCAATCGGGCGGAGAGGAGGAGAGTAAAGTAGAGCAGGCCAGATTAGATCATGATGTACTCGCCGTCGACACGGTCCATGGCCTTCCTCCAGCGAAACGCCTGCGGCGGTTTCGCGAAGGAAGTCGTAGGCGTCGCCCAGCCCTCGCCCTCTCCGTCGGGCAGCTGCTCGCCGTCGACGGAGTCCTCCTGCCACACCTTCTCGAGGACCTCCAGCCCAGAGAGATTGTTGAAGAAGCCGCTCTCGCGCTGGATCTCGACGCAGCGCTGGCGCACGACGGCGCGGTGCTCGTTCTGTACGCACTCGGTGCCGATGAGGAAGAGGGGCCAGAGCAGGAATTTGTTGACGCAAGATGTGATGCCGATTTGCGAGATGTGAAAGAGGCCCTGGGAGACGAGTGACTGGAAGTTGAGAGCCGCCGAGGAGAGGGTGGGGTGCGCGAGGCGCTCTGTGTACAGCAGTGCGGCGTACCGGAAGCTTTCGCTCATGTGCAGCATCGCTGTGTCGGCGGGGGAGAGCATGCCTGAAGGTGCGTGTCCGAGCGGGTGCTCGAACTCCCACTCCTGGAGCCGCACGCGGACGTCGTGCCACTCCTCCCAGAAGTCTGTGCGGTGGTCCTCGGTCCCGGAGCCGGGGCTGGTGGCCTCCGGCTGCACCGTCGAAGGCCGCCAGCCGTTGCCGTCGATGCTATTGAACGCAAACGCATACGTGTCTCTGCGTTTCAGGCGGGGCGAAGCCCTCGGAGTGGTGTCATTTTCGCGCACAGGACGGTTTTGGCTCAGCAGATTCAGTCTACCAAGTCTAGCAATGAGTTTGAACAAACGCCCCTCGCACCCGGAAAGGTGCTCCGCCGCTCCCAAGTTCGCCGTGAGATTCATCATGCCCAGGGACTCGCCCTGGACCTCCATTTCCCGATCATTCACCGCGCTCGTGAGGACGTCAAACCACGTAAAGAAAAATTCAATCCAATCAATGAAATCTGAGCGCACTGTTCGGTCGCGCATGCTCAGCAGTTTCTGCACGCCTGCCAGCTGCGTTCTGAACTTTGTGAAGCCAGAGTCGCAGACGTGGAAGAGGCAGAGGATGAGGAGAGTTGCAAGGACGCTGTCGTCCTGCGCGCCCAGGGGGTCGACCAGCTTCTGGTTGAGGTGGGTGATCGACTGGGCTTTGTAATGTTTTTCCTCATCGGAGGGCTCGCCGTGCATCTCGCGCAGTTCCCAGGTTGTCATCTGGGAAAAGGCATGCTCAGGTAAAAGCCCGTAGTCTTGAGCGTAGCTTAATCGCCTTCCCTCAATACCACCACGCATACGCAGGTTGTTGGTGGCCAGCGCAGCAATGGCATTTCGGAGACCCTCACTCCTCATGGCAAGGGGCATTACGTGCATCCGGTACGGATTGGTTGGGCCATCACCAGCCACGAGAACCCGGGATATAAACTTGTCGTAGTAGTCCAGCAGGTATAGCATCCGCGGGGAAAGGTGGGAAACGGTGGTAAGACTCTGAGGAATGAAAGTGGTGAGCGCGAGTTCGTCAATTGACAGGGGGCCAGAACCATAGGAAGACGTACCCTCCGAGGGGAGATAATGGAAACCATGCTGAGACAATCCGCCAAGACTTGAACTCATTTCTCCCTCAATGAAAATGTCCGGAAAAGCCGGTGGGCCCATGTTCTGCTGAGCAGAGCTGACCTCGTTGAAATCCTGCACGCTCTGATCGGAGCTAATACTGGAGCTTAGATCGTCAGCCATGGGCAGCTGATGCTGATTCGAGTGATATCGGATGTGATCCATGGCATGTATGGGTTGCTGGTCGTGGTACGAGACATTTGAAAACCGCGGCATGGAGGAGGAGTCCATGAAGGGGTACTCCTCAGCAGGGGTGCGTGGGTATTCGCCAGGAGAAGGGAAGTCGCTCTCGCCGTAGCTGCCAAGCGAAGCTGATGACGCAGAGAGGCCATTATCTTCGTAAGGAATAGCAAGGGATGTGTGGAGTCTCTGCAGAGGACCCTGGTTCAGATGAGGTCGGCGCAATTTGGATGAATGCGGATGAAATGGATCCACGTGCTCCCCGTAACCCGGAAGTGCAAAACCCATTGGCGTGGAGGGAGAGGGAATTGGAATAGGGCTCGTAGGGCCAAAGTAGTGATACTCTTGGGGCCCAGAGAAGCTATGTGGGCTCGCGGGGCTCGTTGGAGAATGCACACCGTAGTCAATGCTTCCACGGGGCTCTATTCTGGTGGGACTCTGCTGTGCAGCAGTCACGGTTTGGTTGGTAACCGTGGCGGCGGTGGTAGTCTGGGTTTTCGAATCGCGAGTGGTGCTAGCGTTCTGCGTGGATGATTTGGCTACGGGTAAAGACATGCCTCGCAGCTTTCCGCGGCTGGCGACGCCGACACCCCAGGTCAAGGTCGTTCGATATCCAGAGCATTCTTTGCCGAGCTCGATGCATTGGCCGCAGTAGGGCCGTCGGCGATCGCACTTGACTCCTCGTTTCCGGCAGGCAAAGCAGTCTTCACTGGCACCGGTAGCAGGCGCTCTTCTTCTCCGCTTCCTGGGTGCGGCGGCGGCGGCGGTGTTGGTGGTGTTGGTGGTGGTGGTATCTGCTTTCTGGGCCTCTTGGGCCTGGATGGCGTTTGTCGACATAGCCATGGTAGAGGTATAAAGCTGCAGACGTCTACACTGTAGAGCTGCAAGGTGGTTGGACAGTGTATAAAGTAGGTGCAAGAAGAATAAACAAACGACGAGGGTGAATGCTCAATAGAGGCAAGAAGGCGCGTCCCGTGGGTACTATTTAGTCTGAAGGGCGCTTGGTCCCAGATTTGATAAGAAGATCAGGACGGGAGACAGGGCAGGCCGCCAAGTGGTTGCATGTTCAAGATGACCGCTGTATCCTAGCGTGCATCCTTTGCCGCGGTCTATGGAGAGACTGGGGGGTCGAAGGAGTGCTTGAGCTTGCACCTGGCGAAGCTTGGGCTCCGGTAGGGGCCTCCTGCAGCGACCAGGGCGTGCTCGCTCGCCACACCCCACACATGGCGGCGAATGATCGATTTTTGGCATGATGTTACATCGTTTGGCAACCCTTGAAGATGCACGACGGAGAAGTGGCACAATCCACCAATGGCATACTGGGCAGGGCGATCTTGCGGAGGCTAGCTCAGACGGTGCTGGTGGCCCAAGCCACCGAAACGGCCTGTTCTGAGTTCCGTGGACCGGGGTCTTGATAGGCTTGCTCGGTGTCGACGTCTGCAGGCAGGCAAAGCCAACTCCTGATGGCGCGCTCGCAGGGACGAATGGCGCGGATTTTGGGCATCGGGACCGACCGCTTTGGCGATAGGGTTGCTGGCGGGCGGGCGCCTACTGGCCGCGCAGCCGTTGCCTGGAGGCTGCATCGAACCTGTGTGGAAACGGTTCCCACATTCTAGCTGTGCGCCAGCGCAGCAGCCGTGGCTACTGTACAAGCATCGGAGTCCATGCAAGAGCCGCCTGCACGTCGCGCGCGCACGCTTGACCCTGTGCCAAGCGACGGACTGCGGCCAGGAAAAGGAACAGGCGCTCTGAACACCCCGCAGAGCGCAGAGCGCAGCGCATCAGGCGCGTGGTGCACCGGCGAGCGAGGCTGGCAACCGCGGATGACGCTCGGCGGGCGCCGGTCGTGGGCGAGGTGCAGGAGAGGGTGCGCAGGAGCGCGAGGGTTGCGCGCAGAGGGCCCCGTGGTGATGCCTCGCGATGACATCGTGGTGTCGTGAGGTGTGCAGCCAGCCGTCGGCGGCGGCAGGCGAGCCGTGCCATGGTGCGCATGCTGCTGCGAGGTCGACGTCGAGAGTGCGCAGCCTGCGCTTGGCACGTCCAACCGCCCGGAACTGCAGCGAGGATAACGATGAGTGAGCGATATGACCGCCAGCAGGGCGAATTGCACCCCCACGCGCGACAACACCGCTGCGTGCGCGCGCGCTCGCAATGGCCGCGCTGCCTGCGAACAGCCGCGAGCACGGCGTCGCCGCGTCTCCATGGCACTGCCTGCGCTGCGCTGCGATGCGGCCGCAACGACGACGGCCGCCCGGTGCCTCGCGCACTCTGCCCGCGGAACCGCTCCGCCCACCAGCCGCCAGCGGAGCGCGCACGTGAGCAGCAGTGAGACCGCGTCGGCCAGCGAGCCTGTTTGGGCCAGCCGCGCGCGGTGGGGCGCATCGCTCGCTCGCCAGCGCGCTAGGCCGGCCATCACGCCGCCCATGCCCCTCGCTCGTGCTAGACCCAGCCGTTGTACCTGAACGAACCCTCGCCTCGTACCTTGCGGGGTAATCTAAAGGCTTAGATGCCGACAGGGTCAATGGTCCTTTGCAATACGAAAGATGCTGCTGGCTGATGCTCGCCAGCTGGTGTTTCGACACTGTGTGCATTGCTCGCATTTTCTGCTATTTGGAGTGGTGATGCGCTCACGCGCTTGCTTGCGTCCGCTCCGTCGTCGTTGCTAGCCTCCCGTAGCCTTGCTGATCCCGCCTGACTCGTTATCAGAGCCAAACGCTCGAGCCAGAGCCTCCAGCCCAGCAACGCGGGGACGACTGGAGCCCGTCGGCTGATACGCTCCCTCTAGTCCACGAGCGCTGCTTCCCAGTCCTAGTCCCTGATAGCAAAAGCGCCCTGCTGGCCTGAAGTTTCCCACACTGTGGTTTGGCTACTGCTTTTCTCCAACATGCGTCCATGAGCCACGGCCTGCGCTGCATCGTCGCGCGCGAAGCACATCATCCGCTTGTTCCTGTCTGGTCATGCTCCGGCCTCGCTGTCGGTCGCTTGCTCTAGATGCTGTCGGTCGACTTGCAATCTGCACGGTATCTAAGCGAGCGGGCCCGGCATCTCAAAAAAGCCTCTGCACCGGAATAATTCATGGGCGTGCAATATACTCCAGCCCAATGTCAGTGTTCCCGTATTTCCATCGGGTGCTTCTGACTTCGTCTTCATGTGTTTGATAGTCGCGCGCCGCTGGTCCTGAATTGAGATTTGGCCCGGCGTCCTCCTCCTCCTAGAGTGCCTTGGTGCCGTGGCGCTCAAGACTTCGGCAATCCCCAGCAAACTGTCGTTGCTCCGAGTGGCTCCCAGCACTCCCCCGCAAATAACGAAACGATGCGAGGCCATGCGCCAGGGGAAACCGCCTGAATGCAAGAGCGGTGAAGGCCACCGTTTAGTGCCTCGCCTATCGTGACCTTTAGTCATAGTCGTAGTTCCGTCCGTTGCGCACTTCATGGTCCAAATGTTGTCATTGTCGACGTGCCCCTTTGCGCACGTGCAAAACATTCATTCATGACCGGCCGTGGCAGGCTTCCCCAGTCCAACCATGTCGGCCCGACACTAGTCCCATCTCTTCGCTTCGGCTTACATTCCTGAACATTCAGAGGTCCGGTATTATCCTCTGGGAAGAGGTTGTGACTTCATTTACCAAGCGTGAGATGAATACGAGCGATAAGGTTCAAGACCGAGGTTGTGCGTTAGCTTGCTGCAAGCCGCAAAAAGAAGACGCATCCTTATCGTCAACAGGGGCACTCTGCAGGCGTCGCTGTCCTCAAGGTAGGGGGTCGCTAGATTGAAACCTGGAGGCGTTGACGGCGTCGTTGGCGTTGTTGGAGGAGGGCCGGAGGTGTTGGCGCACTGAGGAAGGTGCGGAGCGTCGCAGGAGAGTGTGGGTGAACATGATGACGCGGACTGCGACGAAGCGTGCTGCACGGGACGGTGTGGTTGTTTTCCGACGTGGCCTGGTCCAGAGCGATAGATTGGGGTAGAAAGCGCGAGCACATGTGGGAGCGTCTGGGTGGGTGGGTGAACGCCTCAGTGTTGTGAGGCAAGAGTGCGACGGGAGCGGGTTGCGATGTTGCGGAAAGGGCGACACGGTATGGTCACGGTCGGTCAGAACGCGGAGAGCATCAAGTCGATCAAAGTATGGGACGCCATGTTCTTATATCTATCAGGAATGCTACAGTATGTAGGTCCAACCCAGCGCAATACGATTGTTAGCCCAACCTCAGGTCTGAGGAGAAACCCCAAGACGCGTCATGAGGCTAGCCCGATTGAGTCACTCCTCCCGCCTTGCTAGATACAAACAGCATCACTCCGACTTAGGATCTCTACACACGCTCTAGTAAAAGCCACTGGCCTCTGTCGTCACGTCAGTAGACACATCGCGGCTGACAGGGCGCCGATTATCGGAGGGCGCGAATGTCGCGACAATGGATTAGAGCACAACATCTCCCATTGACCAGTGAGTCATGTAATACGAGTTGTACTGAGACTGTCGCGGCACTGTTCTTGACGTACCTACTTTACTATTAACAGTTTCTGGGCGCCGCCCAAGGTCAGGAGGGTGCGATTAAACAACGGATGGAGATGACTTCAAGAGTTGGATCCCCTGCGAGGAGTAACGCCGTCCAGGCGACCTGCATCACCGCCCGCGACAGTCTAAACAGAAAAAACTACACTCGCTGATCGAGATGGGCGCTCCAATCACAGCATCGCATGCTGCGAAGCACATTTGGTGCTCTCGTTACGACTGGTTTGCCGACGTTAAGTTTGGTGAATAAATATATATCCCAGTCAGTCGATATAACGAGATTGATCGGGGGCGAAAGGCTGATGTCAAACAGGGTGCGGTACGACTGGTATCGTTCTCATGGGGAACGAGTTGTTTTGGTTGGTGGAAATCATCATCAGGGCTGTAGACATCCGCTGTCTTATCAACAACCAGCAGTGCCACATCGCAGGTTCTTCACCAGCAAATGCAATCGAACCCACAACATGGAGAGTTGCGATTAGACACGGAGATGATCGTCAGTAGGTTGTATTCAGGCAGTGCAAGTCTCGGTTCGCCAATTGAGCAGTACCAGAAGCATCATGGGCCTGGTTAGGGTCCCGTATCCCGTGCTCCTGGTGGCGAACAAGGCACCTACAAATGCAACAGCGAGTTCTCCAAGATCGGTGTAGCTAATTGGCGAACCATGAGGATCCTGGAGCTCGTCTGAGAGCAGCATGGCAACATTGGCATACCTTAACCCATGGAAATCACGATTTGATGAGCAACAGGGCATCGCTTGGCAACGACAGCAATCTTCGCTTGTGTGTCTGGAAGTTTTGATGTCTCTCACAACTGTAACTGTTCTTTCTTGAACAAGTCCTGCTTATTTGTAATTTGCTTCGGGCGCTTTTTCCCGTCTAGAAAGACTAATTGGACGCATCGGGAGCGAAGCCTAGCACCACCTCGTCACTCGGCGATGGTTGGAAAGCGCTTTCCAATTGTCTGATGTGCACGGTGTCTATGAGTTTGTGTGCTTGCTTTTCTGTTAGCAAGTCTTACATCACCTTGGAGTCGTCCCATGCAACTTTTCTACAAACAGATCCTAGTCTTGATCTACGGCATCAGAGCCTGGGAATTCATCCCTCCACCATGACAGGCACTTGACTCTTATGAATGTGCAGAATCTAACGTCTGCTCTGAAATACAATTGCTTCTTTCAACATGTTTTGCGCTATCACGAGTGAATTTGTCGAAGTCAGATTTATCACAAGTGGATTATCACAAGTGGTTTTTCTATCCAATGTTGTTTGACGGGACCTTCGGCGCCCCGGCTGGGTTTGCGGAGTTTTCTTTGTCAGTCTGGAAAACTGCATGAAACTGCCCATGATAACGTCAGACTAGTGAAAGGTAAAGAACAAACCTCCCTACGACAGAAAAAACCTTTGGTAGTGTTTGACGGTTTTTACAGCGCGCAAACAATGCGGCTAAAGCTTGAATTTTTCGATACGGGAAACTGCATGAAACCACTTGTGATAAAGATATCTGTGATAAAACTACTTGCGAAGATACCACAATTGAAATCCTCTATGAGATCTATATATTACTGTACTCTTGCATGGAGGCCATCGATCAATCACGCTATCATACTCCACTGACTGCGTATCCGACTACCAACCCTCCTTTTCATCTATTCACAAAAGCACCATCAACCTATGAATATGTCGGCCCACAAGGTACCCCAATGGCCTCCTGAGCTCAATTATGGTCCAAACCCACCGCGACCCCGCACCGCCACAACCTCAGTGGCTCAGTTGGATGCGACTCATAACCAAGAAGCTACTAAAGAGGCTGTACCGCAAAAGAGGACAGCGGAGGAGCTACTTGAGCAAAAGCGGAGCAAGCTGCAAAAGCAGGTATGCATGGAAGACGATTGACCTCATAGCATAGCTAATCTTCTATAGCATGAGAACTTGAACGCATACTTCAACGCGGAGAAAGAAGAATACAAGCAAATCAGCACATTGTTGCAGCAAGAGAAACTCACGTCGTTCAACACCATCAAGCACTTGGAGCAAGAGAAGGATCAACTTCGAAGCGAGTTGGATTCCAAGACCAAACTCACTACATCTCTAGACACTGATCTCCAACGGGTCATGAAAGATCTCAAGTCCTGGAAAGAAGAGTGCGAAACGAGAGATGCGGAGATGAAGGAGGCGAACGCCAAGATGGATCGACTTGAGGGTGACAACTACCAGCTCAAGCAAGACCTGGCGAAGAACAAGAAGGCACTTGAGGCGCGGAAGAGCTTCTGCGATAAGAAAGAGGCGATTATTAGAGACATGACGGACAACGCCAACAACTGTCGCCAAGTCCTGGCCGCGAAGGAGAAAGAAATGCAGGAGAAGGAGAGCGACAAAGTGCATCTCAAAGAGAGACTCCGAAACAGCGATCTGGCTCTGGAAAGCAGAAACAAGGAAATCCGCCAGAAGAACGAGGAGATTGCGGGCTTAAGCGCAATTAGAGACAGCATTCTGAAGGTCGCAGCAGAGGCCCAGAAGACGACAGCAGGGCGAGCAGAGAAGTCCGCACCAGCACTTCCTCCTGCACGAACGGTCACTTTACCATCAACTCGTGCCGCTAATTCTGCTCACAGCCGCAAGTGAGACTCCGGCTTATAAGCTATCAGAGCGTCGAGACAAGGATTAGAGTTTGGTTCTCTACACATGCAATGCATCTTTGACGCATCGTCAACGTAAAAGAGATCGAAGCGTTAATCGACAAGTGACGTCGCAGCCTAGTCTTTGTGATATATATTTAACTCGAGGAACTCACGCCCGCAGCGCAGAGAACAACTTACTATGATGAGTGTTTCGAGCGCTGGTCCTTCATGGTTGGTATCGCTGTCTCTTCCTGTTGCCGACTTGATTTTGAGTTTGGCAATAAGGTACAAGTCTCAGGTAAAATTCGATTGCCTCCGAGGAATTACCTTGGACCTCTTATCCATATAATGCAAGGTTAGCTACCTCACTTTCGTCCCTCTTTTGCCTTTTGCACGGACCGCACAACAAGGCGTCCCATTCTTCCCCATCTGACTCAATCATGGCGTCCAAGGCGAACGGGGTCAAAGCCACCAAGCAGAGATCCTCGATCAGTACCCTCGATAGCGAAATGGCGAAGAGGGCCAAGTCTGTGGTTAGCCAAAAGTAGTTTATGGGTTTATGGGGCTGATTGAACTGAGACGGATGTTTGAACGCGAGATCAAGGGTACAGGAAACGAGTGGAGGTCCATGAAAAACGGTGTTCGGAGCCTCTTAGTTACTGTCGAGAAGCTATCCCAAGAGAGCAACGCATTGATTCAGGTGGCTCGGATTGCGGAAAACAACAACTCAGCGATACAGAAGACGATCGATATTAAAGACGCAAATATTCAATTGCCAAGCAAGAGGCCGCTGCAATCCGTGAGAGGGAAGCAGGCTTGAGGAAGACCCTCGAAGCCAAGAAGGGAATATCAATTTGCTTAAGCAAGAGGCTGTTATACTACGCGACGAGTTCACCGAGGAACCAAAAAGTCCGAAGGACTCGCCAGAGTTCATCATGTTCTGATCCAACAAATATCATGCAGAGGTGGAACGCCGCAAAAACGATATCAAGGACAAAGATGAGATCGTTACGGACCTCAAGGCCAAACTCAGCACTTACGATACGATCGAAAAACTCGTCAAAAAGGGTGCCCGGGCCAACCAGGGCTCAGTATCGGCGATGTCAAAGAAAAATGGTCTCAGCAAGGACACGACCAAAGTCTAAGAAGCGATAAAGGCAGGTTTGCAGATATCTAAACTCACAGTACAGGCCTTAGTCTTCTAAGCTTTTGGCACACTTTTGGCAGCTGCGTTGAGGTTGATACTGTGATTTGACGATGAATATTGTTGAGGTACAGGTGCCTCGCAAAGCAAAACGGAAAGCAAAAGCAGCGTCTCATGGCCAAATTTGAGATGCTCCAAACAACAGAAGCGATATCGAATTAACAAAAAAGTCACAAATTCGCGGTTGAGCTGGCGGAGCTTGTGGTGACTACCACGCGTGAGCGAAAGGAGAAGGAGAGCTGGGCGATGAGCTCAAGGAGCTTAAAAATGCGACCATGCAAATGCTGAACGAGAAAGAGCGTCTTGAGAAAGAAAATTCAGAACTCAAAGGCTACAAATTAATAACCACGAATGTTGAAACAGAAAATCCATCGACTCGCCAACGAGCTCGCAAAGCTCAAAGACACCGTGAGAAATTAGCGAGTATGATCAAGGCAAGAGACACAAGTATACAAAACTTGAAAGAGTACCGCCAGGAACAGACAGCTACAATCAAAATTAATGACGAAACAGTCAAGTGGCAGGATGATGCGATCAAGAGGAAGGACGAGGACCTTGAGACTCAGGACAGAACGGCCAAGAGGCAGGACGGGATTATGGAGACTCATGAAGAAATGATCAAGAGGAACAAGCACAGGATCAAGGACCTGAAAGAGACGCGGTCGTTGGAGCTCTAAGAAACAAATAATTAGTTTCAGAGCAGCGGAAAACTGAGGCAGATTATCAGAGCAAAGGATGCGCGGCCGCTAAAAAGACGATCGAGACATTCGCAGCGCGGGCCGTTTCCAGACGTAGCTATGGCCAAAAACCCAGCAAAAAAGCCATTTCACCTGCAGGCCCCGGCTCAAACTTGCGTTTTGATTCGGCTTCGAACCGGTGCACTGTCAACGTTGACTTAGCACCTGAATTCAGGCACTAAGCAACTCTATGTGTCGGTCGAAGGTTGAGGGAAACCAAATTAAAAATACATATAGAGCGCAATATGACGGGAGGTAGTGTTGTCGGGAGTGTCTGGTATGGGCTTGGTGGTGAGGTGAGAGGTGAGGTGTAAACAAAGGCTGCTGAATGTGGAAGGGGCGAGAGGCTCGTAGTCCGGTTCTCTGGCCTTTACTGAAGCTCCAATATCGTGGGCTCACTTGAGAGCTGGCTACAGTATGACCTTTGCGCAAACGAATTTTGAGCTTGTCCGTCTTTGCAGCTGGATCTCAGCACCGTCCGACCTATACCTATCCGCTTCGTTGACCAGCCATTCATCCTCCAGCTCAACCCAGCCACGCTAAACACTCTGCGAACATGCACCGTTCCGATATTCCCGAGGGCGAATTGCCGCAAGGGCATGGCCCTTCAGCTTCGGGACATTTGACGCGGCCATACGGGGTGCCTATGTTTGTGCTCGAATCTTGTTCGCGCACGCATACAGGCGACAGTACAAACAGAGAGAAGAATTCATATACGCTTGATCAATTGAATGAAGCAAACCACTCGGCGCATACAGTTGGAAAGCGCTGGTTTGGCGAAGCATCGAAGACGGATCACCAGAAGAAGTGACCAAATCCACCTGCCGCCACAGGCGCTCGCCCGAACAAGCGGCAATCAATGGTATGGCAGACCGAACACCATTCGCTCAAACATACTAACATGCATAGATGCGCAAGTTGGGCGACATGCTGGACGCAGAAGAAGCTTCGTGGGCTCAAGAGAAGGCCTCTCTACAGACACGCGTCAAGAAAGTTGTGCAAGAGTGCGATGCCCTGAAGAATAGGAACGATGAGCTAGAGAAAGAGGGGGAAGGCAACGACGAGGAGATTGAAAGGCTGAAAGAGGAGGCGAGGAGGCGAGGGTGAAGGGGAGGAGAAGGGGAAAGGATGTTGAGAGGGTTCAGAGAATGGCGGCAGAACTTGAGCACAAAGAAGGACCAAGCTCACAGAGCGGGCTGGATACCTGAGAAATAAGGCACTCTCTGATGTTAAGTTTATCTCCCTTCCAATGATACGTGGGTTGCGGACTCCCTTTTGCATTGGCCATCGTTCTTCCTAGAAATGGATTGCCCGTACTAGGTGAGAGGTATTCGCAGCCCGGAATGCTTCACATAGCGGTGGCTTCACTCACCTTCACGGCAGCTTCGAGCATTGCATGAACACGAAGGAGAGCGGCGCCTCGGGTATCTACTTATGGAATAAACATTGACCTTGCCTGAACAACAACCTCACACGCCCCAACCACCAGAGCGTTATTCCAAGGTCTAAACTGCCTGGTGATGATCTTATTCGTCCCAAAAACGTAACCTGGCCTCAATTGCTGACCTATCACGTGCCGCTCTCCCAGTGGGTCGTCGCTTTGCGGATGGATCAAATCAAGCTCAAGACGCTGGAGCGACCTTCTTGGCCCCGAGAGCAGGTCGACAAGCGTCCGATATCAATGCCATCCAACGCAGCGCCCGCCGCAGCACCCACCTTGATACCGACTTCAGCAATGTCCTCCGACGAAAACACACCGGCTCAAGGCCGCAGCGTGAGGACAGGCAGTGCCAAGCGTTCCGCCGAAGACAATCCTGACAAGCTCGCAGAACTGAAGAAAAAAGGACGGTACGACATCTTCTCCACCATCACCAACGAGTTCGAGGACGTGCAGAAGTGGATCCGGGCACGGCGCAAAGAGAAGGACAAACATATCGCAAAGCTGCGGAACGAGGGACAGGCAAGATCAGGTGCGAGTCAAGGACGAGAAGATCGCAGTGTTGGAGAAGGTGGAAGGAGAGAGGAGGAAGAGGAATGAGGTGACGGTGGAGGAGGCGGCAGAGCTTGTAGGAAGTTGAAGGAAGATTGGGGACGGTGGTGCCACCGGCGCTTGAGCAGGTGAATGGGCACTGAGGCAGTTTCGGCTGAGGTCTTAATGCCTTAGGTCTCTCATCTAGTGCCCTCGTAGCTTTTTGCGTAGAGACCCAAACTCCTATGGTATCTTGCACTGAATATCCCACAGGCTTACTCACTGACTCCACCTCATGAACCCAAACGCAGCATTGAGCACCACCCCCATAACGACTGCGACCTGCCTCCTCCGCGCCCACACCCCCTCCTCCCTGAACCCCCAATGAAACGCGGCCAACGGCCAAAAGAACCCCGTCAAGTACCCCCAAAGCATATCATCCAGCCCGCCTTCCTCAACAGCAAACCCCGCACCCCATCCCGTCTCGCCGCCCTCCCCCGCCAGCGCCGCCGACGGGTCCGTCGCCGTGCTGTCCAGCCACCGGTCCTCCAGCGCGCGCATCTCGGCCGCCGAGGGCATGCTATCCGGCGTGTGCGTGTAAGACAGGTTGGTCTGGAACTGCGAGCGCAGGGTGGCGACCTCCTGCGGCGTGAAGCCCGAGGAGAGCAGCCGGTCGAAGCCCTGCGGTGCGGCAGGCGTATTTGTTGCGGTGCTGGAGCGCCGGCGGGGGCCATGGTCGCTGGCGCTGTGGATGGAGGCACGGCTGGCGCGGCGCCCGGAGGCGAGCGACGTGTGCTGCGACTCGAGCGAGGCTTCGGTCGTCTGGGCGAGGGAGGCTTCGGAGGCAAGCTCGGCGTCGCTGAGCGCGTCGCCCAGGGAGCAGTGGATGTAGTAGCGTTTCGCGTCGGGGGGTATGTCGGCGGTGTCTAGCATGTGGAGGACGTCTCGGACGGGCTCTTTGCCTTTGCCCTTGCCGTCTGAGCCGTGTTCCGAGTGCGCCTCATCTCTTCGGGGAGGTGGCGGCGGAGGCGGCGGGATTCGTAACGAGCTCGAGAGCGGCGTGGTGTCTGCGAGCACCTTTCCTGCATAGATGAGGCGCAGGCGCGAGGCAGCATTGCTGAAGGGCAGGTGAGGTCGGATGAGCTGTTTCAGAGAAAGAGTCGTCGTGGTCCTCGGCGAGCGCACAGCAAGAGGGAGATCGGGAATCGATGAGGCGAACCGTATGATCAGGTAGACGAGCTGCTCGGGGAGGTCCATCGCGGCCGTCATGGTGGTGGTTGGGGCGGTTGAGATTGAAGGTCAGACGATCATCGAGGTGTGATGATATAGCTGCTGTGATTGCTGCTAGCTACTGGCATGTTGCTTCGTGAAGCAGCTCGTTTCTGCGCTTGTTCTTGAAAGCTATGCGATCACCCTCTGTGAAGTGTAGTCGCGACACGCGGAAGCCTTTCCGAGGTAGCGTGATGACCTCCGCGCTAATGTCGGAGCAACGAAAGCACTACGTACCAAGGCGCTGAGTCGAACGTCAGTCCCAAGATGAAGTCCTCGTACCAAAGTCGCATATTCACCCAGAGGCTCTACTGAATCCTGGTCTCAGATGAAAGCTAGTTCGTACGCTCGACCGTAAAGTTGGTGTTATTTCCTTATACGGATGGTCGACGGGAGAAACCTTGGCATTTACTCGTCATAAGTAATGAGGAAGTCGCTCACAACCAACTTGTAAACTGCCCACATCCCTTTTCAAAGTTCATAGTCCTGTTTCACTATGGCTATCATTCACTTGGTGTTCTTCGCCTGGAAATCAGACGTCTCAAAGGAAACAATTACAGATGTATGCTTAATTAATCCGAGAATCATAAGTCACTGCAGCTATTATTAATCTAACGTCTACAGGCCCTAGAACGTCTGCAAGCGTTGGAGCTAGACTGCGTCCACCCGATCTCGAAGAAGCCATACATCAAGTCGCTCAAAGCCGGCGCTAATAACTCCCCGGAGGGCGTTTCGGTGTGTATCATTGACCCCGCTTGTCGTTTCTACGCAGCCTGACCTTTGTCCAGGACCCTTATACACATGGTTTCGTGGTCGAGTTCGAGAGCGCCGAGGACAGAGACTACTACGTCGACCAGGATCCAGCGCACACCGACTTCAAGAGTTTTGCCGGGCCACATCTAGCAGGTGTGAAGGTGGTGGACTTCGAGCCTGGAAAGTTTTGAGAAGAGTTCTTCGACCAATTCTATGTCCGATATGCCAGTTGTAACGCCGGGTATGCTATGCGGTGCCTAGTAATGCCGAAGACGAAATAATTCTACAATGATGTATGCAACAACTCGTGGTATGAAGTGGATGTCTATCCCACGCTGAATGACTCGCCGCATCCGCATTGTTCAGCTAGTCTTGGGTTAGCCACTGCTGCAAGTGTCTCATAAAGATTGACTCACTGATATTTGGGTTCTTGAACACGAAGCGCTGGTTAAGCTTGTCCTCAAGCCAGTCCATTTCACTCCCAATGATATTCAACAATGCTTTGTTATCAATCAAAACTCTGACACCATCTTGCTCCACTTGTTCGTCAAGCGGCGAAGGCTTGTCCACGTATTCCAGATGGTATGCTAGACCGGAGCAGCCCTTTGCCCTGGTGCCAATGCGTATAAGTTTCGGTTCTGGTTGCTCGAGTAGCTCTCTGAGATGCGAGACTGCTGAAGCAGAGAGCTTCATGACGGCCTTGCGCTTGCCGAAATTGTACTTTCGAGCTCTGAGCGGCTTGCTTGGCGCGGGTTGGCTTTTCTGCGCTTCCCCATCAGGTATGCTCAAGGTAGGCTGCTCCTGTGTAGCAGCTGTGTTCCGCTGCTCTTGTGCCGCTGTCCGGGGCGGCAACGACTTGTGAAGTTCTGGCTTTCCCCCAGCTATCGAGGTATCTGGGACGCCGAAGTTGCGGGGTGGGAGCTCGGGCTGTAAACTCGACGGGTGATATACACTAGCGGTTTGCAACTGTCGCTTCGAAGATGTCCGGTACGGCGCGGCGACGGAGAATGTGCGGAAGCATTGAGGGCATCGGCGCGCAGCTAATGACGGAGAGGCGAATTTCGCGAAAGTGGAGGTCGACGAGCGAGCGAACGCTCGGGTTGTCCCCGGAAGAGACATTATCGCAAAGGCAGCGTAGCCTAGTTTACTGCAAATAGAGGAGAGGCGTAGGGTGTAGGTTGAGGCGTGGTGTTGGATTGTCGGTGTTGAGGATCAAAGACCTCGCGTGGCTGCTATGTCATCCGCGCGGGTTGTTCCGGCAGAGACGAGAGCGCGGCAAAGTAATCGCCGAGCACCCTATTGGCCAGCGAAGTATCGGAAGAGTTCACGCGCTCAGCATTCACTGCGTCGGCCACAAGATGGGTCAGAGCACAGTAATTGTATCACATAGTTCCAGGAAGCTTGATAGATTCTGAAAAATAACGCCAAAAGCAAGTGAAGCTTCATGGAACATCTGCAGCCCCGCGATGCACGGGCCATGGGCTAGCGCCAAGATTGCACAAAAAATGTAGGCGGGGCAAAAAGTACACGAGTGTGACCCAGTTCCAGGAAAAGACACAAGATCAAGGTGGCTCTTCCGTACAGATTCAAGGCCGGTGGCAGCGGAAATATGGCGCCTATCGCGACGCAGCACCACCATCGGAGCACTACGAAGCAGCCGCAGAAAGGCTTCAAATCCCGCCATGCCTCCAAGGGTGCGCTGAAGGAGCAGTCCAAAGGTAGACTCTCGAACTGCTCTACTATTCTGCAAAATGTATAGCTAATTCAAAAATCAATTGCAGGCAAAGTCGAAAGCCTCGAAAAAGGCAGCCGCAAGACTCCCCACCAGCAAGTCTTGTCTAAATTCGACCGTCGCAACCGAGCGAAGCAGATGCGCATAAACAAGGACCACGAACACGCAAAGGCGACAAATGTTTTTAACGGAAAGGATGGCGCACCAAGAGTCGTAGCGATCATACCCCTTTGCTCGGACGTGTCTGCGGCTGGCGCAGTCCAGAGCTTGAACGCAAGCTTGGACATCAACGAGGAAGTGCCTGACGCTGGCTGGACGCGCGTCAACGTCGACCGTTTCAAGCAAAAGATACAATATCTCGTGGTTCAGCGCGATTTATTAGCCTCGCTCGATGCTTGCCGAGTTGCCGACTTCGTGGTTTTCATTCTCTCAGGGCAAGAAGAGGTTGACGAGGAGGGTGAAATCATACTCAAGGCGGTGGAAAGCCAAGGTATTTCAAATTGCTTCACTGTGGTGCAGGCCCTCGACAAGATCGAGCCCGCGAAGCGGAGACCGCAGGTTGTGTCTTCATTGAAATCGTACATCACCCACTGGCTACCGACGACCGAACGCGTCTTCTCCCTCGATAACCTCCAGGAGTCTTCGAATTTAGTCCGATCGATATGCACGACCACGACTAAAGGTGTCAAATGGCGCGACCAGAGGAGTTATATGTTCTTGGAGGACGTTGTATGGCCTGGGGCCAAGTCAGCCGCCGTTGAGGATGGCACCGGCGAGGTCATCCTGACAGGTGTAGTCAGGGGACAAGGTCTTAAGGCGGATAGACTGGTGCAGGTTGGCGATTGGGGCGACTTCCAGATTGAAAAGATCGTTGCTGCTCCGCTGGAAACGCGAAAAAAGGCGAAGGGCGATGCCATGGCAGTTGATTCGGAACCCGGCGAGGAAGTTCTAGACCGTGCTGGTGAAGACCAGGACGATTTAGCCGACCTAGCACCGGAGGAGACGATCATGGACGACGTAACCAACTATGCCGCGTCAGTTGCACCAACCGAACGAAAAGGTGTGCTTTTGGACGACCACCATTACTTTTCAGATGAGGAGGAGGTAGATGCACCAAAGCGTCCGCGAAGGCTGCCAAAGGGCACCAGTGCTTACCAGGCTGCGTGGTATCTTGACGATTGTTCCGATTCTGGGTCAGATCTGGAAGATTTCGACATGGAAGATGCTGAGCCGACCGAAGACGGCGCGCGCGCTCATCCCGCAGACGGCATCGAGGGCATGGACATAGACGGCAAGGCAATGACTGAAGCTGGTCCTTCAGAATATCCTCAATCCGAGATGTTCTTAGATCCTGCTCCAGAGGATGAAGCGGCCCAGATCGAAGCTTACAGGAAGTCGCGAAAGAATGACGCAGAAGAAGACCTGGAATTCCCGGACGAGATCGAACTTCATCCCAACGTCGACGCTCGAGAGCGCCTCATCCGATACCGAGGACTGAAAAGCCTAAGGGAAAGTGTCTGGGAGAAGGACGAGGACAAGCCATACGAACCCGTGGAGTGGCCCCGATTATTGGAGATCTCGGACTACAAGAGAACCGCAACAAAGTTCATGCGAGAAGCCTGGGCTGGTGGTGTCAAGCCTGGCACCAGAGTCAACGTTCATATTCGCGGTGTGCCCCTCTCGCTGCAAAGCTCAAGACCGATGGCACTGTACTCTCTGCTTCGTCACGAGCACAAACGCACGGCGTGCAACTATAGCATTCTGCTCAGCTCCGACTACGAAGCTCCCATCGCGTCTAAGACGGAGATAATTGCACAATGCGGACCGCGACGGATGATCATCAATCCAGTAAGTTTGTTCGCTTCAATGCTATCCACATGACATGAAAAACGGCTAACCTATTGTAGCTTTTCTCCCAGGCTGGCAACACACCCAATGACGTCCACAAGTTCGACCGGTTCCTCCACCCCGGCCGCTCAGCAATCGCATCCTTCATCGGACCCATTACCTGGGGCAACGTCCCCGTCCTATACTTCCAGCGCCCCACAACCCCCGCCCCCGAAGGCGACTCCAACGCCCAGCCGACCGCTACTGAGCCCTCCACCTCGCCTCTCAAACTCATCGCCACCGGCACGTCCCTTCCACCCTCCCTAAACCGCGTCATCGCCAAGCGCATCATCCTGACCGGCCACCCCTATAAAATCAACAAGAGCATCGTCACCGTGCGCTACATGTTCTTCAACGACCGAGACGTCAAGTGGTTCAAGAGTTTACCGTTGTGGACGCGCCGTGGCCGCAGCGGATTCATCAAGGAGAGCTTGGGTACGCATGGGTACTTCAAGGCAACGTTTGATGGGAAGATTAACCCGATGGATGCGGTGGCGGTCAGTTTGTATAAGAGGATGTGGCCGAGAACGGCGAAGATGTGGCAGCCGTAGATGGCAGCAGGGAGTGAGTTGTTGACGACGGAATGACATGATTTGATACCAACATAGAGAATGAACCTTGTTTTGCGGTCCAGGACGCTTGGTTACTGATTCATTTGAATGCCAAGCACCGTCGGCCAGATGACCGCTGGTCTCATGAACCGATGACCTTGAGGTAGCTAACAACCAACGTCAGGACCTGGCATTGGGTGGAACAGCGGAGGAAGGAGCGAATGAGTCTGCTCAGTTGCTCGTGTTGTTTCTTGCACCTGCCGTACCAGGTATACGTCATCCTGGACATCGTATCATCTTAAATATCCCGTTTTCTAGTTGGACTAGACATTGCTCCTCCTTTACGCCTCCGATGTCCCCGCTCACGAACACGACCAGAACAGCGGCATACGCAGCGGTCGCAGCGAACACCTCAGCTCTTCTTGCATTCGTTAAGAGAGCGACACTGACAGCGAATAGGAACGTATACATTGCGACCAATCCGAGCTTGGCTTTTGGATTCGAGACACTGTAGAGACTAATGATGGCCACGATGAGCAGGATCGCTGCAAGAGTCATACTGATGGCAGCTACTGTTCGCACCACATGGTGGTGTTTGTAGATTGTCGTCCGGTCGAATGGATCATCTGTCTTCCGCTCTTGGAACATCCAATGATGTTGCAAGAGTCTTGAAAGCTGGTCTTCCTCTTCACCTCTCCGCAAGGCGACCAAGTCGAATTTGTCTTCTAAGAAATGTTTCGCACGACCACTGATGAGGCGCATGGGAGCTATTGAGTCCTCTGTTGGTGCGGACGATGCATCATGCTTAAACGCCCTGCCATCGACGTAATCCCGGAACGTCTCAAGAACTCTTCCGCTGGGTCCTTTCAGGTTGGTTATCTGAGACTGTCGAAGGATCGTCTCATCTACTTTCGGTAAGGATACATTTTCAAGCATACGATTGACTTTTCTTACAGTATTCTTCCAGCAAACCCTTGAGCTCGTCTAGCATTGCAAGTCGCTTATTCTCCGGCCTCGCCGTGTCCTTTGAAGAGGTTATCAATGTTTCCCATCTTCGCAGCGACTGTTTTGACTCATCGTCGCCTTTCGTTCGCGTCTCTTCATCTAAGCAATCGATTTCATGCTCAAGCGCGATGAGGCGGCATTGCAGGTGCAGGATGTTGCGCGCAGCCAATCGATCGAATTTGCGGAACACGAACGCCTCGCCATCCGGGTCGCGGGCGATCCAGGCTGCCAGCGCAGGATAGCCATCTCGCACACGACCTAGCTCGATGTCCGATATGTTGGGTGGTGGGTTCATGGCAGGTACAGCCTTTCGTGTCTGTACTGATACATCTCGCACTGAAGGCGACTTCGTTCGAAGCTGATCATTCTTTTGAATTGTGGTAAGGATCCGAGACGTGGTTTTCATGTCTGCCTCGCTTGACGCTCAACGCTTGGCTTTGTACTTGATACGCTGCGAGACCCCTCACCGGTGAACACGTTGCCGACAGCACCCAGCATAGCCACACCGTCAGATCTTTTCTTTCGGCCACCGGCCTGCGCTTTATCTATCCTTCCCTCATCTAATATCAGAGACGTGAGCCACTTGAGAATTGCGAGACAATCATAGTGATCGAATGATCCAAGAAACGCCCGTGAAGATCACTTCTGATACAGCAAGGCTGCTGATATTCGATTACACACGGCTTTCTTCGGCTCTACGTAAAAAGTCTTTACAAGATTCCATCAGCTTCAAAAATTTCACAGGTGACTCAAACAAGTTCTCGAACATTTGATCCTGCTGACCAACTTGCATTATAGAGATCCGTGGCTTTGCGGGCCATATAAAACACCAAAAATTTACTCGACAACACCTTCACGAATAATCAATCAAGTGATTTCGCATACCCCAGGATACGTGGAAATTCTTCTACGGCATATGTCTCGCACTTTCCCGGGGATCGTAGTGGAGAAGGACGTGACATTTTGTACGGACGCCAGTAGCGGTCTAAAGACCCTGCCAGCAACAATACAATGATGCAGAGAATCCTAGACTCGCCCCAACAGGACCGTACTGTCTATGTGGGCAATCTTTCGTATGATTTCGAGTCGTATGATCTCGAGTCGCATGACTACGAAGTCTTTATGAGACGGTTAGGTAAGGTCTCGTTCGCAGACGTACTTCTGCTCCCAAATGGAACGTCAGAGGGCGAGGGCATTGTGGAATATGCAACTCAGGAGCAAGCGCAGAACGCAGTGGCGAAGCTCAGCAATAAGAATTTGATGGGACGTGGCCTAAACTTTCTAGACGCCGTTGATGGACGCGTCATTACACCAAGAAAACGACTTGAATTATCTAAATCATCGGAAATATCGAAGCACCCGGAGCCCATCTACAGTCCCAAAAGTCTCGCGCATGGAGAGAGCAGAGTGTACGAAATACCAAGCGTGCTTGCAGGCAATCGGTTCACGGAAGCACTGGGTGACTCAGGAGCCAGACATAATTTCATGAAAGAAGGGTTTGCAAAGCGATCCGGATTCTCCATCAATCGAAGTGTCACGATAGACGTCAAAGTCGGGAGTGGAAAGAAAGTTGCAACAACAGGAACGATTGAGACTTCGTATCAGTTCTTAGGTGAGAGCGAAAAACATAGGCTGGTCTTTCATCTTCTTCCTACGTGCGTGCACGATGTTATTCTTGGTAATCCCTTTCTCAAATTTACCAAGACACTCACGAGGAACCTCTCACGCATCAAAGAGAAGATCGTGAAAGGGTTTGTTGACCGCCACTTTCTATACCTCGGCAACTCAGCACCACGCTTCTCCGGACTTCTCAATGGCACTCCACAGGAAGTACTCGCTGATTCAGGGGCCAAAGTTATGGTCATGGATGAAAAGCATGCACAGAACCTGGGTATAACGATCATGAGGGATAAAGAGTACCGAACGAGGCTTCGGTTTGCTGACGGCTCGACGGCGAAAACCTCGGGAATGGCCCATGGGGTAGAATGGCAATTCGGACCCGGTGGTATTGACCAAAAGTACCAACTGGATTTCCATGTCCTGAAAAACGCTCCAGCCAAGGTCATTCTTAATGACAGCTTTCTATTTGACACGAAAGCATTCTTGAACTATGACTGTTATCTGACAGATGATGAGGATGAGGATGAAGATGCTTATTTCTTCGTCATTAATGTAGATACACGGTATCAGCGCAATGGTCCGTTTAATCACAGCCAACCCCCAGTAAATCAATGTTGCTAACATGGCCTTAGACGTATTAGATATGAGCTCTTCGGCTAATAGAGCTCATACTGAGCTTATTCGGCGTGCAGAGGAAGAGGATCGAATTGAGAACCTGCCTCTTGACGAACAAGACGATGCATGGATTCTTGAACGTGAGAGACGAACTCAATGGCGAAGGCAACAAAACTTGGTGCAGAATGGCTCAACGTCACCCTTGCACAGTTCTTCAAACCCAGCTACCAGCTCCCAAAGCATTCAAATGCAACAAGGCGCCGTTGCTCCGAACACAAGATGGCGCACGCGATGACAGCTAAAGCTGAAACGGACGAAGCGTGCGTAAATTTCCTTGCTAGAGCGTCATACTTACAAAAGGCTTTCAAATCGGGCTGCATCCGCAATAGCTTCACGAAGTAATCACAAAGCGAGTAGGTACTCCTCGAGTATATATCGATGACGACCATCTCCCACTTGGTCCAGTCTGTTGCCGGCATCAAGAATTCGCTTACCAACCAGCTTTCAGATCTACAGAGACGGAGACAGATGACATTCGCTCCCAATCCATGTCTCAGCTTGTTGTTCTGAGGTATGCAACGCCAAACGATCGCTATGCTCGTCGGAGGGATAGCTCCCTGATGGCATGCCATCTCCGATAATAGGAGCTATAACAGACGAGGTCCAGCAGACAGGCAGTGCGAGTGTGTGTCTTCGCGGGACTATGGGACACGCCGCCGATGCGCGTTCCCTGCAATGTCGATTGTCGAAGTAAGCCGATCGCCTCTTCGAAGATCGAGCAACGCCCGCGCCGAGAGTGAAAGAGTGCACAAGCGTGGCGAAAAGCTGCAAGGTAATCTTGTAGAGCGCGATGGAGGTCAAGGAGAATAAGTGGGGATCGCTGCTTGAAATTGTTGATAGTACGTATTGGTCTGTTGCTATCGCAAGGTAGCCGTGGCGAACAATTTGTTCTCGGGTTGGGAGGGGCTTTCCTTTAGCATATACGGCTTATCTCAATGCAATACCCAACATTGCGGACATTCGCAGATCCATGCCCCCCGAAGTGTATCTAATACTGTGGACGGGCTCGTTCCTTTTGTATAGCTGCGTGATAACGCGCATAGGGTTTGACGAGTAAAATGAACTCTTGAGATGCCAGCATTTTTTATGTCTGATATGCCTGAAGAAGACTGTACCACTATACAGCCATGTCTACAGAAGCGATCAAACTGGATACCCCCTAGACTTCAGGACGAGTGCCAAGCAGTGAATCACGTGAAGTTTCGTATGCTCAGTGCCGCATGTACCCAGGCGCTCGCATCGAGATCTAGAGAGACGCCTCAGAATGGTACGCGAAGGTAATCTCTGTGAAGCACTTATAATCGCAGACTCTTTGGATTTTGGTGACAACGAAGCTCCGACTCTTGCCACAATGTCAGGGAATGCTGTGAATATCATAGCGATTAAGATCCAATTGTCAGTCTTACAAATCGTATAATATCCGAAAGCGATACAGAATACGAAATACATTTGCTATCGGCAAGCCCGAGCGAGCGCCATCCGCCTTCTGCTGCGGATGCCAATCTCTTCTCTTCTGGCGTAGCCTCCTGATTTGACGTTGGGCCTGCAGGATGCTTGAAGTCGGCGACCACAATGGACGCGCAACCGAAACCGAGCTTACTAGCTGCAACAGGTAACGACTGCCCGTACATCGTCATTGCGCGCAAGGAAACGTTCCAGAAAGGCTGAACGGTGATCTCTGGTAAACTGGTAAGCGATGGAATGGGTTCATATCTCTTTCGGTTGCAGTGTTGGATGTGGAGATCATTTTTCTGGCCTGGCCTTTTGGCGAGGAAGCAAACGCGTCCCAAGTGCAAGGTTTCCTACACACAATGACAGCTTTCTTGCACAACGTGTGGAAAAGGCTGGGCCGCAATACGTCCGGTGCGCTCCTGCTGTAATCCTGATCAAAGGACGTCGGCGAACTTTGCGACAGCAAGACGGCGAAGACTCGCAATGTCACACACCGCCTTGAAACACGAATCATCCGCAAACAGCATGCAATGAACGCATACACGAGCTGTTGCGTGCTCGCTAGACGCGCTTCCCAACGATAATGCAAACATCAGGCGCGGGAAAGGCATCAAAAGACACGCACTGAAAGCCCGCTGCCAAGGTCTTAAGGGTATCGCGTGGGAGCCACGTTAGCGCTAGCCCGATCGGGGTACACCCATCAAGGCTCCAATGGTGGAGAACTTGGACGCCACAAGTTCAGCTCAAGCTCCGTGAAGTCCATTGCCGTACCCCGGCTAACGCATAGGGATTTGCGTTTATTTGGTGAGCGGGGGCTTGTGAACCCTGACCAGCCTCCGACCTAGTCACGATGGCGCTTGTCAAAATGTCACTGTGTTGTGTCGTCCCTCTCGGTTTCCTGTCTGGAAGAGGCTCTCGCCCAACTCCCCTTGGACTCAAGAACATACTGGCGGGACATTGTAGCATGTGCTTGTCGTTGGTTCTTTGAAAGTCTGTGATCGGCCCGACACCATGTTTACACCCGTGGAAACCACCATCGGAGCGTTCCTGCTCCACCAGGCTACGAGCATCCTCCTCCATAACAATGGAACCATTCTGGGAGCATCCGAGTACATGCGACGGGTGGTTTCGAAGCCTACGTTCGGAGTCGCAGCATTCTTCGCTGGCATGATAGCAAGCTTCCCGTTGTTACGACTCACGCTCCCTGAACTTCTCACGAGATACCCTCCGTCGCCGTCGACGTCGGGATCAGCTGTGATGACTGTTGCGATGGGTCTTTTGGTAGGATGGGGAACAAAAGTGAGCCTTCCAGGATAGTCCACCGACTAAAAAAGACACACTGACTCTCGCAGGCGGCCCACGGATGCACTTCTGGACACATGCTATGCGGACTCTCGCGACTGAGTGGTCGCTCTGCTCTCGCTGTAGCAATCTTCTTCCCGGTGGCTCTTACCACGCATCACCTCGTACATCCGTCTCTCATGACTTCTGTCTGCACGAGCGATGTCCCTTGCTACACCGCAACATATCCAACACAGGCCGCTACGACTTCACTGATCGCGCTCGCTGCCGTGACTATCGCATCGGGTCGACTGATTCCTCGAATTGTCGCGAGACTGACCAAAAATACGAAGAATGCGGGGGACAAAAGCGACGATACCTCCCTAGCGCGCCACGCAACCGAACTCTTCGCGGGCCTAGAATTCGGCCTTGGACTACACATCTCGCAAATGTCGAATCCTGCCAAAGTGGCTGCTTTCCTGTCTTTCCCCCGGCTCGAAGTCTGGGACCCCTCGATGATGCTTGTGATCGCTTTTGGCATCCTCCCGAGTCTGCTCGAGAACCTATCAAAGGGCTTCAGCAAATCGCCACGGTTCACCACGAAATATGAGCTTGGGAATAAGACGTTTGCGGATACCGACTGGAAGATGGTTCTAGGGGCAGCAGCGTTTGGTGTTGGCTGGGGCATGTCGGGGACTTGCCCTGGGCCTGCGGTTTTGAGGAGTATTGCGCAGCCGGCTTGGGGTTTGCTGTGGATGGGAGGGTTCTGGCTTGGTGGTATGTTTCTATCAGAAGAACCAGAAGGGGGCATGTGTGGTTAGATGTCGATAGTAATGTGTAATGCTCTATCTCCGGACCCAGGCAAGCCATCAAAAGCTTCAAGCATCCAGCGCATACGAGGGCTTTCTACAAGATGCCTGTCACAGTTCACGACATCGTCGTTCTCCGAGAAGCCTCAATACTCCTTTGATGACGTACACCCGGAAAGGGGCGAATGTGACAATACATTTGGAGACCAGAACAAGTAGACTTAGAAGCATGCCGCTCGAACTGGATGGATCTTGTTGAGAACCTCGACGATGAGGCGGTCTATCGATTGCTGACGGTCAGCATGTGTCTTTAGGAACTCTGATAAGGTGCGCGTGTGGCATATCTCTGGAGAGTGCGGCAATATAAGGTATATACAAGAACGTTGTACGATATGTCGTCATGTCCGGCCTATTTCCGTGCTTCCACCCCCACTATGGAAATGCGATACCGATAGAGAAATCGTCCACAAGCCTCGCTATCTCAACTATTGACTTGGGATTTCTGATTCGCAGAATAGCGTAAACCGTGAAAGATGCCTTCCGTGACACAAGCTCAAGCACTTGAGCAGCCCAAAGCTCGGTCTGTGAAACTTCAAGACGTGGGCGCAGTTACTAATGCCATTGTAGAGCACCGCTGCTTGAGGAACGATTCGCGGTCTTGAAGAAGTCACTAGTCAAGCCAGAGAACAAGCAGAAGGTAATTGAGTCGTACGACCGCCTGATCAAAATACTCGAGAACGAAGCCAACTTCATCGCGAAGAATGGCCCGTCTATGGTACCCGCGATCGACTTCAACGAGGTCAGAATGAATGGTCAGTCTTATCGCCCTACATTGAATGAATACTTAAGAGCTACCTAGGTGGCACCCTCCCCCCAGACTTCGCAAAACTAGTGCGAGAGCGAGGCTGCGTCATCCTGCGCAACGTCGTGCCAGAAGAGCAGGCGGTAAAGTGGGAGCAAGACCTGGTCGACTACACGAACCGCCACAAGAACAGTGGCACCCCGAAGTTCTGGAGTCTGTACTGGACGCCTCCGCAGGTCCAGATCCGGAGCCACCCCAAGGTTATGGAAGCGATGAACTGCATCAGCCAGCTATGGACAGTAACTGATCCTTCAATACCGATCGACTTGACAAGTCAGGTCGTATATCCAGATCGATTCCGCATCCGCCTCCCTTCGAAAGAGGCGGAATACGTGCTACCGGCCCACCTAGACAGCGGCGCGACGGAAAGATGGGAAGACGAAGCTAACCGGTCCAACTACGCTGCCATCTTTGAAGGCAACTGGCAAGAGTGGGATGGCTGGGTGGCCGATAAGCGCATCGATGCCTCGAGCGACTTGTATCACAAGGGGAGTTCCTGCTCGTGCTGGCGCTCGATGCAGGCCTGGATCTCGCTGTCGCACTGCAATACGGGCGAAGGGACGCTACGTTTGCTGCCCAGTCTCAAAGCATCCGTCGCTTACATGATGCTCCGGCCGCTCTTTGAGAACGACGTTTATGACGACACACAACCTACGTTTCCTGGGGCGACGCCTGGACTCACGCAGTTCAAGCCCACTACCGAACTCCACCCGCATCTGCTTATGGAGAAGTCTATTGTAGGCATACCGCCCGTCAGACCAGGTGACTACGCATTCTGGCACTGCGACCTCGTCCACGAGGTGGACAAGTACCATCCAGGCAAGAACTACTCGACGGCCGTGTATCACCCCTGCGTTCCATTGACTCCCTACAACATTGATAATTTGGTTCATGTCCGAGATGCATTCAGTGCTTGCGATGTTCCCCGAGACTTTTCTGGGTCACAGTCGTTCAACGGGAATGAGAAAGAGCACGCTGATCATGGGGCACGACGCGAGAATATTTTGAGCAACGAGGGGCTTAGGGCGATAGGGTTGAAGCCGTTTGATGTGGAGCAGGCGGGGTTGACGGAGGGTCAGAGAGCGGTGAGACAACTTGCCAATGAGAAGCTTGGGTTTGCATAGACATGTGGGGGTTGCTGATTCCGAAGAAGATGATGGAGCTTGCATCGAGGTTTGTATTCATGCAGAATCGATCACCAGCGTCGGCTCACAGCATCTCAATGTCTATTGTAAGCTCTTCACGAGTTCATAGCCTTACAGTTAGACGTAACCCACTCAGACTTCTCAAATACCCCAAGACCAGCAATTCCAATAGAGATATCGAAATGATCTCATCCAACTTCCCCAAGCACGCGGTGCTCAGAGAAGAAGTTCGTTTCCACCGCACCCACTCGCACCCATCTACCGCCAATTTGTCACCCCGACAAGATGATTCTCATTCCCTGGCACCGATTTCCACCCTGCCCTCGTCAGCTCAACTACCCACCAGAGAACATCTCACTCACCAGCAGTATCCTGCCTATCATTCCTGCTACAATTATCCAGCACCCATATCACGGCCTGTCCCACCTCTCCACTGCTCCCATGTCAGCACGGTACACCCTCTACCTTGCCCACTCCTGCGCAATCAAGAATCAAAATGATTCAAACGCACTCACCAGGTCGCACTCTGACTCTTATTCGTCCCACTCCAGCTCTTGACCACGGCCGCGGGCTCCCCGCCGTCCATAATCATGCAGTGGTACACGCCCGGTCCATCGAGGCGATCCGAGCAGGGACATCTCCAGTGCGGTATCTCACTGACGAGCGATATTGCGCACTGTCGCACGGCGTCGAGGGCACTGTAGGCATCGCCTGGCCCGCAAGCGCCGTTGGGCCAGGAGCGGTTGGAGGCTTCGGTGATGAGGCGGGTGCCGGTCCAGGGGTCCGGAGGCAGGTTGGAGGCTTCGATTCGGGACGCGAAGAGAAGCCCTGGGACGCCAGGTGGGTTAGGGAAATTGGGGGAGGGCAGAGCGGAAGAGGAAGTGAGGAGTAGCAGCACGGAGAACAACATGTTTGGTGACTTGGTGGGAAGGCTGGCGTTCATACGCAAGAACGGTGGAGGGAAAGATGTAAGCCGGGCCGCGAGGGCAGAAATAGCATTGTGCATCAAGATGTGGTTCTGGTACACCAGCTGTACAGGTGCACCCTGCGCAATCGAACAGCGTGACACGGCAATGCTCGGGGTCCCGCATTGGACAGCCAGCGTGTTCGTCCTCCTATTGCGGGTATCACCGTATATTGAGGAATACACCGAGATAGGCTTTCCCTCTGGCGAGACGTCATAGGTGCGTCTCCGAGCCAGTACATAGCATCCTGTTTCTTAGCCCGAGGAACACCCACAGGTACAGAACACCTCTGAGTCCGATTGTCAAGATGATACCTGAGACAAACCTTGCCATGTCAGCCATTGCTGATACATCTCCAGTCTGCGCTCTAGATCGAGAGATAGTAAGTGGTTTGAATGCTGCTCTTCCTTCCTTGCTTTCCCCTCTCTACCTGTACCCCACAGTTGACAATGATTTCCTTCTTGTATCGCTTGCCCCACACATGGTACTAAGCAGAGCCAATTCTCTTTCTTCTCAACTATAGCTGAGCTCAAACTATGATAGTATCTTATACTGGGTTCTGCTGAACGTGTTTGACGTGGCGGATACACCCATTGTAGTTGAGGGCTTCTTGTGCAGCTGGTTACTCCATCACAGTATCACAAAGTGGAGCCAGTCGTGAAGTACACGCAAATCTGAAAGAAATACAGACAGACAGACAGCTGTGTTTTCCGCAATCAGGAACAGAGACGGAGAAGTCGGAGCGGTGAGCGTGGAATGTCAATTCAATGAACTTGAGCGATGTGGTGGGCGGGAGGAAGGAATTGAATTTGCGCGGTGCGTGCCGGGAGCTTGAGTATGGATTAGTGCAATCAGGGCCGCTGGTCGGCACGGTGATCTGCCTTGCTGGGTTTTCGTGCTGCTGCCATGCTGCTGGATCCAACACATGGTTGCTCTCCATTTGTTCATAACGCCTCGCCACAAGACCTCTTCACAGCACCCGACACCACTGAAACGCGGACACGGTATCCCAGTAGTATGTTATTTCCACATTTAACTTCATACCACTCGCTACCGCTCATCCTTCAACGCCTTTGCATCCTCCACCACCACCCTTGCCACCCTCTTCAGCACCCCCTTCCACTCCGCCTCCCTGTACCTCTCCCACCTTTCCAGCCCCTCCCCAGCCTCAATACTCAGCGTCTCGTACCCCTGCTTAATCACACTGCTGACCTCTTTCGGGCTCAGATTCTTTTTACCACTCCCACCTCCACTCGCTCCTTTCCCCTCCAATAACGCATGATAGTGCCCGCTAACATTCACTAACGTCTGCATAGAAGAAGAGGAAGAGAGGTCAAAAGCGTCTCGAAATTTGGTCAGAATGTCGCCAGTCTCGACGAGCTTGTAGAAGAGGTCGTCGTAGGCGGCGGGATCGGGGAGGAAGTTCTCGCCGCTGGAGAGCGCGAAGGCGAGGAGGGAGGTTAGGGCGTTAACCATCTCGGTTGACCGGTGCAGGGCCCGAATGTCAGACACGTACGTGGTCAGGAAGCGGAAGAAGGAGAGGAGGGAGCGCCAGAGCTCGGACCAGTGGTAGGATATGCGTACTTTGGCGCGGGAGAGGTAGGTGAGGAGGCGGAGGAGGATGCCGAGGGAGAGGCTGGATTGGCTAGTTAGACGAGGTAGAGGGGAAAGGGGCGAGGGGCGAGGGCTTACGTGTAGAAGTTGATATCGAGTTTGCGGCGGAGGTTGTGGTTGATGCCGTCGATGATGAGGTCGATGATGACGGACGCGGCGGTGCGGTCGCCCCGGACGAGGGGGAGGTAGGGTTGCCGTTGCCGGCAGAGGCGCACGGAGAGCTTGCTTTCTTCGCTGCATAGCCGCTTCACGAGCGACTGGTCCTCGACCAGGATCTGCAGTACAAAGAGGCTGAGGTAGGTGTAGAGTGCCGCTCGCTGGGAGCGATGCGCATGCTGGAACAGATACGAGGTGAGCGAGAGGAAAGCACTCATGGGTGATGTGTCGCCCTTGTTCGCTGGTTCAGCGGAGACGAGGGTAAAGCAGAAGACTTTGTTTGCATTGGCGAAATCGTACGTTGATAGGAGCACGCCGATTTCTGGCCCAGGGCTGGAGAAGCAGTGAGCGAGCATGTTACATGTTGCGCGAGTTGTACATACAGTGTTGCAAACAAAGACTTGCTCTCTTCAGCACTCGGCGTCGGTGTAGCCGGCCGTGACGCGGGCGCCAGCAGTCCCAGTGAGAAGTAGTTCAGCGTCGAGCCCAGCGACCAGCCCTCGGGCATGTCATCCTGGACCGCGACGTAGGCGTCTCTCAGCGTGACGCACGTCTCTCCAAAGCTGACAACGATCTTCTGTATTATTGCGTCGTTTACAAAATCGTCGAGCCGCAACCTATACGGATTCTGGAACTCGAACTTGTTGTAGTTGACGAGCAGGCCCAGCAGGTAGAAGGCAGGCAGCGCTTGGTTGTGATCTCCGCCATCCTGGATGTACTTCATGAGCGAGGGAAACAGGTCGCGGTGGGTGAAGTACGAGGGCAGGACGGTGAGGAAGCCGGCGGCGGTAATGGAGAGCGTGGTTCGCACGGCCTTGAGTCGCAGCGGTACTGTCTGCGTCAGCGCCACGTCGTGCACATCGCATCCCCATACAAGCTTACTGTTCCTCCCATTCCGTATGACCATGTCCAGCGCGCCCACAAACTCGGCCATGACCGCGTCGGCATCGTGCAGGCCTGCCAGCACCGAGATGATGTCGGAGCTCGGGTTCGTGTACTTCTTGCTCAGGGCAGCGTCTAGGAACACGGTCAAGGTCTGGCCGGTAAGCCAGCGCATACACTGTGGGCGGGCGGTCGCGTACCTCGAGCGCAATCTCATCCGAGGGTGCAGAGCCCGCCTTGATTCGCGCGATGGCGCGCCGAAACAGCGCCTGCGAATGCTCCTGCAGGTGCAGCATCTCGTCGGGCGGGATCCGGCCCAGCACGCGCTTGAACCCCGCATGGTCGGGTCGGTGGAGGAAGAACTCTTCCCAGAAGCCTTCGGAGAGCTCCACGTCCTCGTCCTCTTCCTGTGCTAGCTTTCAGTACAGCGCGCGTCCGTCGGCGGGGGGATACGCACGCGAAAGAGGGTTTCGTAGAGGTGGATGATCTTGGGCTGGAACGACTGCTGCGACACCTGCGTGAGAGGCGACGGCTCCATGGCGGCTTGTGGCGTGCAACTGCTCGCAATTGTCGTGTTGCGACGGAGCGCTGGAGCTGCGCTGTCGTGTTGTCGGCCGCTGATGTTGCGACCATGTGCGCCAGAAATAAGTGGCCCCTAGGGCCAGATCGCGACCGGGGGGGACGTGACAGACAACCACTTTTATTCTTTTCCCAATGCAGCCGAAGGATTGGTTCGTTTGGACGGGCGGACAATAGCACACGTTGGGCTGGTTTATTTCAAGCAGTCACTCCCAACAAGACTGCGGTTTGCTTGCCGGTATCCCATTGAGAGCGGGGCACTCAAAGTAGCTTCGAGTAGACTATCAAAACTCCAAGAACACCGCAATCCAAGGGTCGATCCACACGGAATTCAAGTGCCACCCACAATGCCCGACCCCATCCTCCTCCTCGGCATCTCCGGCCCCTCCTCCTCGGGCAAAACCACCCTCTCCCGCCTCCTCCGCGACGCCTTCCCCCCCAACCAACTCACCATCCTGCACCTCGACGACTTCTACCTCACCGACGCCGAAATTCCCGTCAAGAACGGCATCCAGGACTGGGACTGCATAGATTCGCTCAATCTCCCCCAGCTGCAGCAGACGCTCGCCTACATCAAAGAGCACGGCAGGTCACCCCCGGATTTCGTGTCCAAGGAAGACCAGAACAGCGTAGGCGAGCACGGCGTTGGTCCGGACGCTGTGGAGAATGCAAAGGTGAGGATAGAAAAAGTGGTCAAGGAGGTGAGCTGGAAGAGGCGGATCTGTGTGGTGGATGGGTTCCTGCTGTTCAGCGACGACATGAAGGCAGTGCGGGAGCTGTTTGATGTCAGGATGTTTCTGAGGACGAGCTACGCAACTGCGAAGAGGAGGCGCGAGGCGAGAAGTGGCTACGTCACGCTCGAGGGGTTCTGGGAGGACCCTCCGGGCTATGTGGATACCATCGTGTGGCCGAACTATGTGCATGATCACAAGTTCCTGTTCGTTGATGAAGACGTCGAGAAGGAGCTGGACGAAAGCGTGTGCCGGAGGATAGGGCTCGAGGGAATGCCACGAGACGCAGAGGAGAACATGGAGAGGTGCTTGGAGTGGGCAGTAGGCGTGCTCGAGAAAGTCATTAGAGGCGAGGGTCCCAAGTCGTGAGAGGATGCATATGATGATGTCGCGGGGAGTGTTACGTGTAGATAGAGGATTAGAACTAAGGTCATTTCTTTCTGTTCTGCTGCCCACCCCCAAATGCTCCGCAGAATGCAATACCTTAACCTGTTGAGCTTACCGAACCTTGTTCACCGAAGCGCCTTGAATTGAAAAGATAATGATACAAATGTGCCCCACGGAGGTGCGAAATGTATGTCAGCATGACAGGTAGTCAGAGGAGTCGCTGAGGATTTCTCAACCCCCTACATGATAAATGTGTCGGTGTGTCAGTGTACAAGTGCGAGGTCTAGGTACTAGTCTTGACCTTCTCGATGTACGCCGATCCGGGGCTTTCGTAGACTGATTGGAAAAAGTTGGTGACTTGGGGCTCCTTCTGGAGCCAATGCGTCATGGCGCCAAGCTCCTGTCGTAGTCGGTTGACAGCCTGGACATCCATGTTTGTCTGCGCAATGAGCTCCGGCATTGAAACTTGGTCGTGTCAGTATCGGAGTGCGAACGTGCGGTAACTGCGGCTTACCAAATAGACGGAGCAGGTGCTCGCCACCGTAGATGTCTGCCACAGCCTTCCCAGCAAGGTCGCCAGTGGGCTGGGTGATTTGTGAGTAGATGTCGAAGAACTGCTCCCGCTCAAACCGGTAGAGAAGAAGGCGGCCGAGTGCCTTGTTGAAGTACTCCTTCAGGCCGTGGATGACCTCCTGGAGGATGTCGATCTCGGCACTGGTGCGCATGCCTGAGCCTGTCGCATGCGCGAAATACTCATCGAGAATGACGCTGGCGGGAAACTTGGCAGGGAGTGACACAAGCTGCAGTTGCTTGGTGACGTTTTCCCAGTCGTCGACGAGAATGCTCTTTAGCCTGTCAGGCATGAGAATCCTCACGGCGCGCCGAGTAGTGAACGCCTCCTCCTGGAAAAGGTCAGCAAGAGTCGCATAGGTCGCACTGACCTTGTTAAAATTAGACTCACCTTTTCAAGGTCTTGATCCCGCATCCTCTTCTGGCCCCGAGGTGGGGCAGTCTGGACTGGCGTCTGTCGCTCTTCGCTACCACGCGTTGAGGATTGCGTCTTCTTTTTCACAGGCGCGGCTTGAGCGCGCTGAGCGCGCTGTTGCTCGAGGACTGCGTGCCGGAGCGAGTTGGCCAGCTCCCGGTTCTCGGGTGTTAGTTTGCGAAGCCGATCTTCCTCAACCCAATCGTCCCAGCTGCAGTAGGTTAGTCGAGACCGCTTCGACCAAGAGATAGACTGCAAAGTGCGCTGATGGGTCAACTTGATGAATGTTGCCCAGGTGGCAGGTGCGCACTGCTGCAGTGGTCGCAAGGTCGAGGTAGGTGTGAGGGGCAGCGCAGGCATAGAAGTTACGGAAAGCGGGCAAACGCAGCGACAGACAGGTAAAGGTGACTTACGTGTTCTTCCATCCCTTGTAGTGGACCTTGTACTGGTAGCCGTTCTTCTTCTCGGCCTCCTCTTTCGACGAGACCTCTATGATTTTAGCCTCGTACATCAGCTCATGATGGAAGCAGAGCGCCTTCTCGTCCTTCTTGAACTGCGCCTCTACAGTGGGCGCGGGAGCCATGCCTGCGAAAAGTTGTTGATGTTGAAACAAGAAGCAGTGAAGGGTAGTCGGGGCAGTCAAGTCGAGCCTAGGGGCTGTTGGTCCTCGCTCCCACGCAGCACGTAATCGGCTGCACGGCGGATGTACAGCAAGTCAATCGAACAGGCTAATCACTCTGGTCTGACTTATGGAGCCGGTTTTCGTCGATGGCCTCGGTCGGTGAGGGTCACAAACGTGATGGCTGCGGCAACAACGGCGTTCTGAGAGTTCTCGAATCAATGTCTCGCACGGACCGCGTTGACAACGCGACGCGCCTGCTTTCATCAGCCCTGCGAGCTTCTCCCCACCAAAGAACGCGCCACCAATGTTTGCGCATCCTCAGAGCGTCGAGATACGTGCCTCGTAGCAATCGGTACAGCCCGGCCTACGGCTAGCCCACGCAATGCCTTCCACTGAGGCCAAACTGCTGTCCGACTTCCTCGTCGCGCCCGCGTCGTTGCGCGACTTCATGACACTGCGCCAGTTCACCGACATCTTCCCCAAGGGCCACCGCTCCAACCCCGCCGTCAAGGAGCTGCACCGCGAGCTGTGCACGCTTCGTGAGCGAGACATCGACGCCGTGCGACAAGACATTGCGCTCGAGGTCAAGCGATCCAAGCAGCTAAGGCGCGACTATGCCCGCGAGCGCCGCCAGGTCGACGAAGCCAACGTAGTTGGTCTGGATCCCGTCGCACTTCGGATGGAACAAGAGGTACGTTGGCTCTCCAAGTTCACGGGCCACCTTCTGATGATGGCTAGCTTTCGGGCGCTCATGGCAGGAAGCCGCACACGCTCCAGACCGTCCATGCAAGCATTGAAGAAGCCTGCGAAGCTCTTGAAGCACAAATCGCCGACATTGAGCAGGAGAATCGCGCTGCCTTGCTTGAGGTCGAGGACACCATCAGCGCACTCAGTGACCTGCGGAAAGGGAGCTTCCCGCAGACGGCGAGCGGAGAAGACATCGGCCAGGAAGTGCTCGCCACACTGAAGAGGCTTGAGGCCGTGTGTCTAGAGCCAGCAGGATGAGACGATAACTCCAACATAACACATCATATCTATAAGGTATCTTCAAGCCTACCCAAGAGCACACCCCATATCCTCTACCGGAACAGTTGGACGCACTGCGCAGACCACATCAGCAGCAGGATAGCCGGGCTATGTTTTCTGACGTTATTTGGGCGATGAGACTTGAGAGCGTCGAACGTGTTGGACTGCAAGAGAAGGTCCACTTGGAATGGGAAGCGGACCTGTCCCTCAGCGACCCTTTTCCATGAGTATGGATTGTTGTGCGAGCTTGAAGACTCCTGAACAGCGATCATTTCGCTGTTCTTAGGAAACAACGGGTTCTCCGCAGGGGGATAAAACTGGTGCCTGCTCACGTTCAGGCCTATCCGCACTCCCGCAACACACCGTTGGTTACGAAGCTTTGGTTTTAGCGCACACTCCGGGTCGGACGAGTGCACGATTACATAGGAATATGTGTGTCGCTTTCCGAAACGGAATGGGCTACAAGGTAACTGTTCCGCGAATGAGAATCATCCGGTCCGCACCAACCGTGATATTAGCCTGCATGCCTTGGCGAACCGTGAATCTCTATCGTCCACCAACACGTTCATCGTTTGGTCTGCATTTTCCATGAATATGTTGTAATCCTTTCTTCGTCGCATGAAAGCACTGTGTCGGAGGCCACAATATGGTTCCGCTCCCCAGGTGGACAAGGGTCACTGCATCGAACCTTCGGCGGACGCCTATTGGTCAGGGGCGGGTCCAATTAATCTATGTGAACAGCCTCAATATACGATGCATAGCGATCAGTTCTTAACGGTCACCAGGAACATGTGGCTATAGGGCACCGTCTATACGTGGCCAGAAGGGATCGTCGCGCGTTATAACAGCATGGCCTTCTGGAAGATCCCTGGAAGGTCTCCGTCGTCTTCGCACTTCAAATCACAAACATGCGTTTTCCGGGAGCGTTAGGGTCGCTGCTATCGCTGGCAGGACTGACAAGTGTTGCTCTGGCTGATCTAAGAATCGCGGCGGACAATCATTCCTTTGGCGGCGTCAATTTTCCTCAACTTCAGTTTCTCGAACCTTCGTACCGCGAAGAAGTTATTCGAGCTATCGTCAAGACGAATGCCAGGGTGATTCGGTTGTTCAGTAAGCCATCAGGAGTATGTTTCGCTCAAGGCAACGGGCTAATTGTATCCAGTTCGCGGAGATGAGCACCACGGAGACGTGAGTTAGGCCTTGGGAAATTACAGCTTGTGGATACTAAACGTGGCCAGCCTGAACCAGAAGTCGGCGAGTTTGATCGAGCTTTGCTAAACCAATTCGATGACACATTGGCGGCCATTCATCGCATTTCTGAAGGTACGTCCGATGGCCTGCATCATCATGCACATGCTCACGTGACCAAGGCAAAACAAAAGTCATAATCGCACCACATGACGCTCATGCGCTTCGAGGTTCAAACAATGTACCTTGTGATGGCTACTGCAAAAAACTTGATGGTGCTTTCCTGGACTTCTACAGTCAAGAGGAGTGTAAGTGAAGAGACCATGAAGTCTGCAATCCAACACTAACCTAATTCAGACCGAACATACTACAAGACACGTCTGGAGGTCTTCTTTAGGCACTATGCTTCCAAAAACTTTGGCGGGAGACCGTGGAGCGAGCTGAGTGAAGTCATTCTGGTACACCGACTAATCGCTATTTCGTAATGTTCGTCGAAGCTGACAACAGCCAGGGAGTCGATGTTCAGAACGAACCATGGTCTGGTATATGGCCTATTCCGGCGGGGGAAGCCTGGCTCTGCGATATTGCGACGCATCTCAAAGATGTGATAGGTCTCGGTGACAATAACATTGCCGTCATCACAGGTGGAATATCCGGACCGCAGACAGTGGATGGCATTCAGAACACCCCGGACTCTGCCTGGAATTGCCCGGCTGTTGATGTGATCGGTATTCACGGCTACTTTGCGCAAGGGGAAGAGGAAACCGCAGGCACTCCATGGACGAAAATGTTTCTTCCTGGGAACACCTTAACTGGACGCGCTACTGATAAAAAACTGCTCCTCGTGGAAGAGTGGTCATATATGAACACCGACCTTGGTCTGAACTATAAGAAGCAAGCAATCTTTGACCAAGGTAACGCTCTCAACTATCGCGGCATTCCCTGGGTAAGCTTTCAACCCATTGCGCTTGAATCATGCAAGTTCTAACTACGGACAGATATACTCACACCTCACGTTCAAAGATGAAGGGACTTCACCTAAAATCAGCATCACCAGGGAGTCCAATTATGCCATCGGTGCTCTGTCAGACGTCCTTACGCGTGCGTCCAGGTCGCGATCCAATTTCAACTGGTCCAAGTACCTCCCAGCCCCATCAGGAGGTCTATCCAATCTGACCACGCTGCCTCTGAACCTCTACATCCCCGAACAAGCCTCCTGCACTTTCGGCTGCGAAGGCCATCTCTGCGACGCCGCCGACGGCTGCCGTCCCTCCCTCATCTGCAAAAACAGCATCTGCCAGCAACCCTCAGACTCACAGCCCGGCAAAATAGGCGACGCTTGCAATAGCAAGAAGCCCTGCCTGTCGCACCTCAAATGCGCCTCAGGCTCCTGCCAAACCTGCAACGCCCGCGCCACCATCCAGCCCTGGGACCGCCGCCCAGACAATTCGTACAACTCGCACAACCCCTTCCGCCGCGACCCCATCGCCGCAAACTCCCCCGCCGCACAATGCCACCCCGACACGGCCAACGCCTTTCTTGTCCCGCCCCGGCCCATCTGCTCCTCACCCGCCTCGCGCGAGAACCCCTGCACCAACGCCCAACACTGCAACGCAGACCAGTACTGCGACTGGGGGCTCTGCAAAGCATGCACAGAAGGCTGCCTGGGAATGAAGTGCCGCAGTAACAATAAGTGTAAGACGGGGTTCTGCAATACGCACGGGCGGTGTGATTATGCCGGGCAGAAGAAGGTCTTGGCGGGGCCCGGTGGGCAGGGGAGAAGTACAACGAGGAATAGAAAAGGCGCGGGATATAACTTGGGTGCGCCGAAGGGACAGGGGAGCGGGCCGAATAAGGTTTGGGATGTGCCGATGAAGGTCAATATCCCGAAGGAGGAGGTTGTTGCTACTGGGGCGGCGACGGCTTGAAGGGTGGAGGGGTGGGACCAGGCGTTAAGTGAGTAGGGTCTTTGTTCGGGTTTTCTCAGGGAGGTATGGACACTGCAGAGAAGTTATAGGAATCGATGCATTCGCATTGGTATGGACGTGGGCGTGTGAAGTAAAGTGAATTGTCTAGGAAATGTCTATATGCTCATTTATCGTACAACAGGCTCGAGCTATCGTACACTTGCTTTTCTGTCTCGAGGGATTGTTCATCTCAACTGATCTACCGACTATCTCTTACATTCAGACTGGAGAGCTTTTGTCCGGCTTCTTTGGTCTCGCCATCATCCTGACCTTCGGGAGCCGAGTATAATTCGTAGGATGCTCGTTATGCACCCATGGCGTCCGATGTGAACGTAGCCCTCGATGGGAACTCAAATCAGCTTCTAATCGATTAGCGCAAAATCACGCAGAAGCAGTAGATAGAGGCGACCATACCGGATGGTTCGTGTTTAAGCAACAAGCGTGTAATTATGTCTTGCTTTCTTGCCACCATCCCGGGGTTGAGGCTCTTTAGAGGACATGGTAATAGCCAATGAGGTGTTGCGACTGGTCAGCGGAACCGAATTCGCGATTCGTTGGGTGTCACGCTTTTGCTTGAAGGGATAGACTTTTCATCTTGGATGCTGTTGTCTCGGATTTAATATCTACATTGCGTTTATGATGCTGCCTATGATACTTCCGCTTCTACGCATCTCGACTCATTTCGACATCTGCGCAACTGGATGTTTGCGATGTTGGAGAGGTAGCTCATCGCACATTTGTGCTTCCCAACACGCTGTGTGCCTCAGGCAAAAAGGCAAATGCGACAGGGTTCGAAACAAAGATACATGCGCCACAGCTGGGATGGGGCGCTGACGTCTCGTATCATTAACCGAAAGGTGATGGATTGGTTGCGAGCAATGCGTTCTACAGGACCCTTAACAGTCTGGCGCCCAGCCTATAGATCGCCCAAACTAACAACTCGAGAGCCGTACATCCTACGTTGCAACTGTTGCCGCACAGAACCTGACCGATTTTTTGCACAATCTTACTTTTTTTTCAGTTGCAACCTCAATGAATGGGCGACTGGACGCTGCCGGCCCCTGTACACTGTTGAGGCTTGGCCATTGACCGGTCGTTCCATTTCGAAAGCTGCAACGTATCAAAGGCGCGCTCGTTCACTGAACGGTGTTCGTCCAGGAGCGCAATCGGCTGCACCTACCTTTTACCACCATATCGTACACTGGCACCATTTGACAACTCGAAAACGACAGGGTCGCTTAATCCAAGCTGCGAACTGCCAGGCTGCACCGCCACTCCACCGCACATTTGTGCTGTGTTGGAGAGCATGGCCTGCATGCTCAGCCCAGCCTTGTCCGTCAAACCAGCCATGAACTGCTCCACCGCCACGTATGGCGGCAGCCTGCTTTTGCTTTAAGGTCCGGCGGTTCGCCTGCGTCCTTTGATACGCGAATTTGCTGTTTTCCTAAGGCCACGGCTGCTACGACCCACTATGTACATTGAGCGAGAAAGTCTGGCGGAGCACCCAGTTGCTCATGCTACGGCCGAAAGCGAGCGCATCGCACAAAAGACATCATGGGAATTCAGGCTTGAGCAATCCGCCAAACGCCGAAACAGCTCGTCGCCTACAGAGTCGCGCCAGCTTACGTATGTCAAAGTGAGCAAGGAGCATCTTGCCATCGATACTCTGCTGTACTACGATATCCCGTATGAGGTCGATGCCGTCGACCCTAACTACATCTGCATCCAGCGCAAAATGGATCCCGCCGAGACCGAAGTGTTGTTCGAACACACGCGCCATCTTCGATCGCGCCTCTTCTTAGAAGAGCGCTGCGAGGAGAAGGTTCCACGAACATTGCGCCAGTCCAAATCCGATACCACAGGAACCGTTGCAGCAGATCCATCCCTCACATTTGATGTGATGAAGTACATCCAAAAGACGCGAGAAGCTAGGAAGGCCTTCCAATCGATATCCTTGGACCACAGCACGGCACCGAAGCCTACACATGAGCACAAGCTTCACACCCACCCACTCTTCAAACGTAACACTTCACGGCCTCCCGCACCTACGCCGGACCTTCTAACAAGATCATCGACGCTGAGCCTGCGGGGCAAACGAAGAGATCACGGGCCGAAAGCTGTGGTTGATAAATCGCCCCTTGGCGACCGCCAGAAACCATATTTGATGGAGCTTCTGCCTGACATTTCAGAAAGAAAGGCAACGAACACCGATGGAATTCCTCAAAGGCCTACATCGGTAGAGAGTGTCTTCTTCCGCTCACTATACAACATGCTCGAAGATCAGAGCATCCAACATCTGATTTCGTGGTCGAGCACAAACGATGCTTTCGTTCTCTCTCCATCGAGTGAATTCGCCAAGGCTCTGCTTTCGCACTTCCACCACACCAGCATTTCTTCGTTCATCAGACAGTTGAACATGTATGGCTTCCATAAAGTACGCGATGCATTTCCGAATGGCTCTCCCGAGTCGCCGCAATGGGTGTTTAAACACGCTGATGGCATGTTTCAGAGAGATGGTCCAGGTGCTGCGCTCGCAGCAATCGAATCCCAGCAGTGCAAAGAAGATGATTTACGTGAAGTAGATCCAGAGACACTTCAAAGCCGCCGGGAAGTTTCATCCCCGGAGGAATACGCCTTGCCAAATCTCGGCAGCCTAATTGCGGGATGGCAAGCAACTCTCCCTCATAATCAAGCAGAAAGGGATTCTGGCTTCCACGAGGGCGATATGGTCGATGTACCACAGTCTTGGACCCGCGGAATTGAGGGTGACGATATCGATTCGACTGATGATCTGCACTCAGCACGCTCATCGGGATCGTCTCCCATCGGCAACCCCAAGCTGCCAGCGACGGTGGAAAATGCAATTCAAAGATTAATCCTACCCGAGCTGATTGTCCTAAATGACGAGCAGCGGATACATGGGGATCATTCCGTGATAGACAACACTGAGGAAAACGTCGTGGAGAGCCGGCAGACAGCCATGGGAGCGCAGCCTATCGTGGACCATGATCAACTGCGTCAAAACTCAAATACCCGAAATTCCCAAAATCACAGAACTGAAGTACCGAGTGGGTCAGCTTCTATACTAAACGGAATTTACGAGCGAGCTTTGGTAGGCAAAGCAACTTCCAGTGAGAGCAGCAAAGTAGGCGCAGTAGCCAACAGTGGCAATAGTTCCCCTCCGCAAAGTCATCCCAGTCCACTCAGGCACCTCCGTCAGTCCCCATTCCGCTTTGATCAGATCTTAAGGTCTTTTTCCGCACATAATGCGAACGGGAGTCGAGAGAGCTTGTTGAGCAGCCATGATGAATCCGAATGTGCCTCCGACACCTCCTCGGCGTCTCACCGCGATGTTGACATTCATAACGCCCTAGATTCGGCAATGAGCGTAGTGAAAGGTGTAATGCTCCAGAAGTTGGTTGGGCAAGCTCTGTCTGAAGCTACGGAGATGAGCGGAGCTTCAAATAGGGCTTCTGGAGATGCGAACGCCTTTGAGTCCTTTCAGCCTTCGCGATCCACTACAACCAATAATGGCGGCAAGCGAGCCCGAGGTGGAGGACGTGATCCTGACGACGAAGGAGACGACGACTCAGACCAAGAAGACGATAATCGACCCAGAAAGAAAGGTCCAACCCAAAGGATTCCTCAACGGAGACTAAAATGCCCCTTTTATTTGCGCCAACCAGAAAAGTACACCAAGGCAGCTTGCCGGGGTGAAGGTTTTGCCGAGATGGGGAAGCTCAAGGACCATTTAAAGCGTGTGCACATGCACCCTTTGCGTTGCCACAGATGCCACGAAGAGATGTCCGAAGAAGAGCTGGAAGCGCATATGATCATGGATAATGCATGTGCAATAAGGCCAGCACCCCAGGACGATCGCATCGCGCCTCAGAAACTCTGGAGGCTAGACTTCAAAAGAGCACCGTTCGTGAATGCCAGAAGTACGGAGGAGAAGTGGAAGATGCTGTACAAGATGCTGTTCCCTGCGGACGCAGAGGAAACCATCCCTTCGCCTTGTTAGTCTCCATGAGGTTGTTACCAAGAGATACCTGGCTAATACCGGCATTAGATACCCGCAACGCACTGTCCCCAGACCTTGCTCGCGCTCTTTCAGAAGCGCTCGAAGAGGAGCTCAACAAAGAGCTCGCACTGTTCATGGAGCCGGTCATTAGTCGAATCAAGGAGCGCATACCTGCTATCATTGAACGTTGTCGGACGACTCTGGCTACACGAGCCATTAATACAATCGAAGAGACCAACGCGAAGACTCCTTTACCGGAAACAAGTCAGAGTCCACTTGTTACGAACCAATCAGGGAGGCTACGAGAGAAGTTGAACTCTTCGGCTCAAATACTCAATGATGGTTCCAGGCTGTACTCACAGCCGAGGTTGAGAGTTAGGGCAGTGAGAAGGAGACAACCACAATATTCGCCAGTTCCTCAGATGACGCCGTCCAGAAGCAGTGAAGGAAGTGAAGAGACATCAACAGTTTCTGCGTCGGCCAGTACAGACAATATCGCTCATATGAATACTTTGAGAAGTATACAATACCCTGAGTCCAGCGCAAACATCACTGGCGTAGGCGATTGGAATACATACGACTCTATTTCCGCTCCAATGCAACCTGGTCCGGACACAACTATACTGGGCTTCGGCGTTCCACCGCTCTATCCGCCCTGCCAAGGGGTTGAGGAGCAAAATCCTGCGTCGCGTCCGTACCACAACAATCCATATCTCTATGGCGGTGCTGCTTTTGGTGACAATGGCGTGCAGGATTGGAGCACCATGGCAAACATGGACAGGAAAAGCTTGCAAGCATACCCGCCTGCTCCAGAACAGCTGCTTAACGAAGATTATCTCTCGATGCAGTGCACACACTGGCAAGTTCCACCGCACGATCATCTCCCATGACGGGGGCCTGGTCGAAGGTGAAGTGGATGATGTGACGTCTATAGCTCGGTTTCATTAAACAATACATAATATACACCTCGATAGAGTTGACTATACACATGTACACATACCCAAGACCATGAGTCCGAATGTTCCAGCCATATCGCATGGCGTGACTATTCATCTGCGCATCACAACACCACATGCACCGTCATCCCCATGCTAGGCGTGCCTTTCGCCGACAGGACGAACAGGTAGTAGAACCCTGGCAGCAGGATGCCCGAGTCGGTAGGCAGCTTCACGCTGACGGTCTTCCCATTTCGCGTGACATTGTTCAGCGGCACGCGGCGCTGGTCGCTGTTGACAGAGTGCGTGACACTGCCCATCCTCACCAACGAGGCGGACCCAAACTCGCTCGCGGTAAACGTCAGCGTCGCGCCCACCTTGACGGGTTTCTGCGTGAGGTTCGACACCACGGGGCGCGTGGCGGGGGTTCCGTCGGCGTTGAACAGGAACGGCGGGCTGAAGTACTCGCCATCTGCGTGGTCGACGGTTTTGTCGCAGCCGGCGGTGGAGCCCTTGATCTTGTTCACGTAGCACAACCCGCCGCCGCCGATGAAGACGCGGCTGTCTGGCAGCAGGATGCTGATGGAGTGGTAGTTGCGCGGCACGGCGTGGGGCGCGAGCTGTGTCCATGTCTTGGTCTTGGGGTTGAAGAGCTCCGGGATGAGGACGCTGTCGGTGTTGGTGAAGACGAGGGACTTGCGCTGGCCGCCTGTGACGAGGACGCTGCCGTCAGGCAACACGACGGCGTTGGAGAAGCCTCGCGGGAACGCAAGGTCCGGGATGCGCTCGACGGTAGACGGCTTGTACGGCTCGCCGATGGTGGTGATGTGCGCGTGGGCCGTTGCCGCGCTGTTGGTGTAGTCCTGGGCACCTGCCGCGGACAGAATCTTCCCCGCGATGGCATCGTACATGACGAAGATGCCGCACATGGCGTCCATGGTGTCGCGGGTGGCGGCTTTGGTGATGGATCCTTTGCCCTCCGTGCCGAACCAATGCTGATCCTTGCCCGGGCCAGCTTGGAAGACGCTGCCCTTCTTCCAGCCGAAGAGCCATGCGTGGTTGTCTTCGCGCCAGATGCCTTCGTGGTCTTTTGTGAGTATTGGCTTGGCCTCTGTGCCGGGGAGGTACGTCCAGGCCTGGATCTTTGGGTCGTAGATCTCGCCGTTCTTAGCCTCGCGGGGACCAGAGTAGGCGCCGCCGATGGTGAATACTTTGCCATTGGATAGGATTGTTGACGTCTGGTAGCCACGCGCGACCTTCATGTCTGCGGCGCGGGTGAAGGCGTTGGTGGACGGGTCGTAGATGCTGACGGCTTCGGCATTGGACCCGCCCTGTACGAGTATGCGTCCGTCTGCGAGCTGGCTGATGGCAGGGCAGAACATGTCGTGGTGTGTGTTTGCAACTTGTCGCGCAGCAATTTTGCCGGTAGCAAAATTGAGGTCGCCGAATTGAGTCATGCCCGATGCGCCTCCGAATGCATCTGTTCCCCACGAGGAGAAGAACATGAGCCTATCAGCCTGGGGAAACTGGGGGACCACGTAGGCTGCTACAGGGATGAGCGGGAGCCTGACAAGATCGGACCATTGGCCAGCTTGTGCGGGCTTAAGTTGCTTCGGCAGTGTTATTGTCGTGAATTGCTGGTTCTTAACCCAGAAAAGACTCGTCGCAGGCTCGGCACCCTTGATGTGGCAGACGTTGTTCTTGGTATCGAACACTGCCTTGTTGCAGCCAGTGGTAGTTCCGCAAAGGTCAGCACATGCGTTAACCGTGGTTACCTGCTTGACGATCTTTACACTTGCTCCGACATAGTCAGTGTTCCGACAGACGTTGTAAGTCGAGCCACGGGATGTGCGGTAGTCGATTTGCGGGAACGGGCAGCGCGCGAGGAAGGCACCTTCAGCTAGCTGAACGGTATCGATTCGGATGGTATCGAAGTTGGCGTAAGCCTCCCAGGGCATCCTCACTCCGCTCTTTGGGTCCTTGACGTGACATATCCGTTTTCCTTTGTCGTAAACAGCCTTCGAGCAGCGGGTATCTGTCGCACAGATTTTGGCACAGGCTGTGGTGGAGGCCACATTTTGGACTACTTGTAAACTTCTGCCGCCCAATTGGTAGTCAGTGTTGGGGCAGATGAGGTAGGTGGGCCCGTTTCCGGAACTCCATGAAGTCTCAGCGACGGGACAGGCGGTCAGTGCTGCTGAGACGGATTGCAGCCAAAGAGAGGCGATAGCGAGTGTGGTGGTGATGGTGCTCATCTTGATGCAAGGAAAGAGAGTGTATACGGTATTATCGTTACTTGGTGAACAAGTGGTAATAGAAATTAGACAATTATTGATAGAGAACGTACGGCATGTAGGCCAGAATGAGAGTGTTCCCGTAGGAGACGAGCGAACGGCCAGGAAAGAATCCCCAAGGACACCTCAAAGTCCTGCATTGAGTCTCTTCATGTAGTTCTCTCAATTTCATCGTAGCGGCGTGCATGAACAAGCCAAGCATTGCGTCCGAAACTAAGCGAGTAGTGTCCGTTCCAATAGACCGTGACGGTAGACCATACTTTTCCTAGTGCACGTTTCAGCACCACCGTTATGGGCGAAACAATACTCTGGGCGCGGGCGCAGGCTCACGGTCGCAAATATATACGGAATAGGCAGTCTTGGACTGTGGCTTGCTATCACTCCACTCGAGGGCCCCTTTGACGGTAAGGGTCCACGGTTCGGCTCGCATACGGCACTGCTGCCATCCTGGGGGGGCGCTACGACAAAGAGGATCCCACGCGCCTGGTGAAAGGGATGGCGCAAGACGAGTTGTCTTGGAAACTTTCTGGAAATCCGGACTTCGACTGCGGTTCGGGCGTTTCGGCGAGCAAAGAGCAAGTCGTGCCGAATCATGCGCGTGCCTTGCTCGATTGTCAATGACTTGTTGTCGCTTGATTGAGAGCTTATCTTAACAGCTACCAGTGATATTAAGGGTTTTAATATATGCATCGCATGGATGTCAACGACAGGTTGTCGCGCGCCTAGAATCCCTAAAGTATCTTAAGCATTGAATCGGTACAAACCAACATCTTGCCCTCACTTCACTCAGGACGCAAATCAGGCCAGGCTTTTGAAGCTGGCAGCACCTGCATAATTGCGCAGGCGTGCTCTTGCACAGTCAACAGGTAAACCATCTTACCAGCCACGATGCATTCTCATTGTTTCGCGAAGCGTCCTGTGTTTTTTTATCATGGTAAGACTCTGCAGACTCTGCAAATGCAGTGGAGCTTTGGTGTCATGACTACGATCCTTGGCCAATACTGAGGATCGGTATCACCTGGGCAATACTGTCAAGATCGCACAGGGTCTCTTCGAGAATATCTCTTTCGAATCGAATATCTCGCAACGATGCCCTCAGTCGCAAGATGATCGATCACCATCTGTGTATTGCCTAAGCAGACCGCTCAACGGCGTCTGGCGGTGTTGTTCAAACCCGTTCTCAAGTGCGCATGCTTGCATGTGCGTACACACAAAACTGTATGGAGACTCCATTTGTTGCACATCCAGATCTAGAAAAGTAGACGCGGGATGAGATACGGTGAAGAAGAAGTGTAGATGGAGTATGTAGAGAAGGGATGTTGCACGGTCCGAGGCATCGGGATTGCCTAGTGACGCAAGTCGCTCCCAACCTCGGCGCCCAGATTGGGCGCATCACGTGGCCTCCTCGCGGTGCGGGCCGAGGTATGTCTCGTCAACAATTGAGCTCACTTGAAACGAATAAACTAAACCGTTTTGGTTGATATTGGTGTGTAGCAAAAGCTCAAAAGACCGACTACGTAGATCTGGACCTGCTTTGATAAGTCGCTGCCTAGTTTTTATCACAGGCGTCAACAGAGGGGCCGAACACTTCGCCGAAGTCCAAAGCAGTCAATTGGAACAGATTTGACGATGTTAATTTATACAGTATACACAAGATATAAGACAGTAATATATACAAGCCCCTATCCACCTCCCGCCAATGAAGAACCGCAACGAGCGTCTCAAAATGCATGTGCTATCATGTGCCTTGTGTCTCGTATGACATATGAACCCTCTTCACATGCCAGCCCCAATCCGCACCAGCCCCCTCTTTCTTTACACAATCCACGCTCCCATAACCGAACAACCCGACAGCCCGGATCGACCTCGGCACACGTAGATCTCGGTCCACGCGTGGTGACTTGCTCATAGCTTCGCAGCAGCGGTAGGAGGCTGAGTCTATGGTGGAAGAGAAACATCAGCTTAGGTTCGCATGTGGCACAGTAATCAATTTGAACGCTTTTGTTTTATTTGCTTACAGGACCGTATTGGCTAGAGAGCCGATGGTCATAGTAACTTTACAGGAAAAAATGGAAATTTAGAGCTTGGAAGCGCCCCGTGGAGGACCTACGTTTGTGATTTCGTTGTAGAGGAGGCTGTACGGGATTAGTGTTGGCCATACAGAGTGCTATGGGGGTGGGCGTTACTTACGAGGTAAGGAATTCGTCGTATTGCTCGCCCGTCACCTGAGTCTCGAAGTACTTCGCTGCGAGGCTGAACTTATTGCCCTTGGGCGCCTTCTCGCTCAGCTTCTGCGTCTGCTCACGGAGCAGCCGCAGCGTGTAGTCCTTGGTGACCTTCTGGCCCTCGGCGGTGCTGACGTTGTGCCTGGCCCATTGCCACAGCTGACTCCGCGATACCTCGGCCGTCGCCGCATCTTCCATGAGATAGTTGATGGGTACGCAGCCGAGGCCCCGCAGCCAGGCCTCCATGTAGCTGAGGCCGATATCAAGGTTCTTACGGATACCCGCTTCGGTGATCGAGCCGGGAACGTTCATATTGAGCAGGTCGTTGGCAGTGATGTTGACGTCCTCACGACGGACGTGCATCTGGTTGGGCGTCGGCATGTGCTTGTTGAAGACTTCAGCGGCAATGGCTGCAAGCGCCGGGTGAGCGACCCAAGTGCCGTCGTGTCCGGCGCGCACTTCGCGAAGCTTGTCAGCTCGGACCTTTTCCATAGCGGCCTCGTTTGCGGCAGGGTCGTTTTTGATGGGGATCTGGGCGGCCATGCCACCCATAGCGTGGACTCCTCGCCTGTGGCAGGTCTTTATCAAGAGCTTGACATAGGCGTCCATGAAGGGGACTGTCATGGTCACCGAGTCGCGGTCTGGAAGCACGAAGTTCGGGTTCTGACGGAAGCGCTTAATTGTGTTGAAGATGTAGTCCCATCGGCCGCAGTTGAGGCCGGAGGAGTGGTCGCGAAGCTCGTAGATGATCTAATATTACGTTAGTTTATCGCTGCGAATGTTAGACCTTGGAAACTCACCTCGTCCATCTCAAAGGCAGCGGTGATGGTCTCAATCAGCACAGTACCACGGATGGTACCTCGTCGCATGCCAATGTAGTCTTGTGCCAGGTTGAAAACGTCGTTCCATAGCCTCGCCTCCAAGTGTGACTCCATCTTCGGGAGGTAGAAGTATGGCCCGAATCCTCGCTTAACAAGTTCGTGCGCGTTGAGGAAGAAGTAGATGCCAAAGTCGAACAAGCTGCCTGAAATCGGCTCGCCGTCAACTGTGAAATGCTTCTCCTCCAGGTGCCATCCTCGGGCGCGAGCGATGAGTGTAGGAAGAGTGCGGTCGGTGCGAAGCTTGTACTCCTTCTCGCCCTGCTTGAAGTCGACCTGCCTGCGAATAGCGTCATAGAGATTCAATTGGCCGTTGATCATGTTATCCCAAGTCGGTGCACTCGAGTCTACACCAGTCAGCATACGTTCAAGATAGTCGCAATCATCAGTTCCTACCCTCAAAGTCGGCCATGTATGTCCAGACGTCCGCATTCAAGGCGTTGACGACCATCTTGCGATCGGTCGGTCCTGTGATCTCCAAGCGCCTGTCTACGAGCCCAGGAGCGGGCGGTGCACCCTTCCAGGCATCGTTCTCGCGGATATGCCTGGTCTCTGGGAGGAAGTCGAGCAAGTTGCCCTTGTCGAGCTCCGCTTGTCGAATCACACGTCGCTGGAGGAGCTCTTTCCGACGCTCGTTGAATGTGCGGTGGAGAAGAGCTAGGAAGACAGCTACATCCTTGCTCAAGATGTGCTTGGTTTGGTCGTTCAACGCGCCGAGGATATTAACCTCGCGCAGCAGGCTTTCGGAGCTAGCCATTGTGTATCAATGGTGGTGTACGGAGGTTATGCGTTTGTCTGTTATTCAAGCTGGATGCTTAAAGATAACAGAGGGGAAGGTACAAACGGGTAGGATGTGATGATGTAGACGTGCGTGCGGAGAGCGGCAGAGGCCGGGCACATATATTTCGGACGCAAGATGTCACGCATCATGACATGGACCGAGGGTCTTTGTCTAGCATGGCCGGCCGCGCGCTGTGAGTGGAAGATAGTCGCGGCCCAGCGGCGAGCTTGTGATCGCTGCCTGCCAAGCCGTTTCTGGATGCGGGGTGGACAACACCATCATCTCAAACCAGCATTCCGATTCCACTAACCTTTCCATTCGAGCTTCGAAACGGGTGCAATCGCGTTGTATGTGGCAAGCAATTATCGTAGTGCCTACAACGCTGCGGGCTGTTGCAGGATGGTGGCGGAAAGTGACGGAAGCTGTGATGGAGCTATGACCACCACTGAACTAGAGTTCTGGGGAGTACCTCCATTGCTCCACCATAGACCCCTAGCCGCAGACTTGCCACTGACTTTTCACCGGCTATTGAAGGGAGCACTGATAAGATTATGGATCTACTTCAATTGTCTTCACTGCGGACAAGGTAGTTGAGCAAATAATAGACCCAGACACGTGTACATGGATCCGGCATTAAACCGGCCAGAAACAAAATCATCGCAAGCCGCAATTGTGGATATTTTCCTACACATCAGTTGCGATTTTAACATACAGGGACAGATAAACACCGAAGCTGATACAGATATCCAGTCGAAACCATTGCATCAACATCAAAAGAAACAACACCCCCATGGCAGTACATCCACAGCTAGCCGACCTCCCCGGATACCACCACCCACCATCCGCGCTACTAACACACTGTTACGTATCTAGTTGAGCGGGAGCCCGAGACTTCTCTTCTGTCTGCGGGCAGCCATCGCGTCCGGGCAAGCGTACACCCAGTACTGAGCTTCGTAATCGACCTGGACGACGGCACCTGCAGCCTGTCCGGCGCAAGTGGCGGGTGCTACGCCGCCTTTAGTGTTGAGTCGGTAGATGCTCCTTACTGCAGTGTTCGTGTTCGTAGCATCAAGCTTGAGCCACGGGACATCGGTAGCGGCATTGGGGGCGGGGTCAGCCTCGGCCTTCTTGAGCTGTGTGTTACCAAGCCCAATAATGTCGAATTCGGGAGTGGTATTGTCGACGAAGAAGTGCTGGCCAACAGCATTGGCGTCCTCCGCTACGGACCCAAGAGAAGTCTTTTGAGAGACGGCACAAGAAGCGTTGAAGAGGTTGGCCACGGCACCAATGGAAGCTGGAATTGCAGTTTCGTTGGTGCAGGTGTAGTTTTGTGTTCCTTGGCCGAGCGCGATGAGTACCAGTTGGTTGTGGTCGCCAGGAGGCGTGAGTTTGCTCGGAGGCTGTTGGACAGTGGAGAGACCGCACGTATCGTTGAGCTGGCGACGGAACACACTTTCTGGGAGACGGTATGGGGCTGGAGCAGCCAAAGCGAGAGGGAGGGCAACTGCCGCGATAATGAGGGTTGAGAACATGGTGGATAATTGGTCTCTTGTTAATCGCAGATTTGTAAGGGATATCTGTACAGCGAAAGTAGAGAGCTACCAGAGCTCGAAGAAGCGAATGAGTAATGGAAAAGAAGGAAGAAAGAACGGTGGACTGGAAGCTGCGAATAGTAGTGAGAGCGTGCCTTGAAAGTAAGGCGAAGCGGGCGGGTTAATATATAATTCATTCAAGCACTCTCGCATCCCAACATGGACACTTCGGTAGGTAATCTGAGCCGAGAACATACCAAGGGGGCTGCAAATCCCAAACATCGCATACGTCCTCGCATAGTGTTAGCGTATGATAGTGTACGCAGGAAACAGCCCGTCCGACGCCGTTGTGCCTCCCGTATGCTGACAGGAGGTGCGATTCACCGAATGTTCCGCCGTGTTGGGCTTGAAAAGGCAATGCTTTGGGCTGCGATTGAAACGCGGGATCCGGAACCTTGGGAATCTTTAACAGATGTTACTCCTAGCGCAATTGTAAAGGTGGCACGGGTCTCACAAACCCCCGTGGGCCGTCAGTGGCGGGTGCGACTGTCACGACTCATGCGTGAACTATTACCTCCACCGCACGGTGCAATATGCACAGCGAAAATGGTGGTTGGGAGGCGAAACGGTACCTGCAGATTTCGCGTTGGAGGATCAAACACGGCTGCTCGTCCAATAAGCAATTGAGGGCAATTGCGCCGCAACACAGAGGATTGCCTCACCATTCGCGAAACAGCCGCTGTTCACGCCAAATTACCTGGATAGTCGAATGCCATCCTTCGATTTACGACAGCTTTTTGCGGCTGTTGTTGCGACATCGACAGCTCATGTTGCAAGTGACGGGCCCACGCATCGACGGTAAATGTCGTGTGGTAGGTCTGGAACACAATGCGCTTCTCGAAAAGATTATCTTGCAGATACTTCGGGACAGTATGAAACAGCGAAGGCAAGTCGCAGTGTTATGCTAGCATGTTTGGAGTCCGTGTGCTGTGTGGAGGATGCCCCTGCGTTCGTCCGGCTGGCGCACGTTGCGCATGCGGCCCGTCGGTTCTCCAGAAGATACCGTCCTGCATCTAGTAAACGTCTCAGGTATATTGGGCATTACACGTGGTGACGACGCGGAAAGCAGGCTAGCGTAGAAAGGCTTGAGAAGGAACAGTAACGATCACGTTGATGTGGCTGTGGCATGGCAATCGACGGGGCACCGAGTCGTGCGCTAAGGCGGAAAACGGCATGGATAGAGCGCTGTACAATCCAACAGCAACTCAGCCACCAAAAACGCGTGCTCTTTCTTTCGCTGCAGCTGTGACGTTGTCGTTAAGAAATGACAGCGCCCGTATGACAATGTCGCTGAGGCTTCTCTGTTCGAACCTCGCCAGGCAACATGACCGTAAAACGCCGCCTCCAGGACGTCATCCGGGATGTTGGCATTCATCCGGTTTCTGATCGTCAGCCTCCTCTTCCCGCCCCAACTCAGCCTGCAATCAACGCCAGTGAGGAGGATCACACACTAGCTCGCCAGTTGTTAGTCGAGCAGAGAGTGAAAGATCCAGACTACCGGGATCCCGGCAAAAAATTGAAGAGCGTGTTCAGAAGCTCGGAGAAGAAGAAAAAGGACCAGGACACGAGTCAATGGCTATTTACGCAGGATGAGCTTGACCGCGCGCTATCAGCAGCCGTTGAGAACCCTGCTACAAGCGCGGGCCTCATTCAAGCGTATCTTCATCTGGGAGCCAAAGTGAACTTCGTCGAAGTTACGGACCAAAAGAGCAAGGCAAACAAGAAGTCTGCCATTGCAGATCGGAGGCGAAGCACGGTGCTGCAAAGAGCTGCAACTGTACGGCGAGCCGACACCCTGGGTCTGTTGGCGGCTTCTGGTGCAGACCAGACCACTCTGGACGAAGGACTCAAAGCTGCTCTTGCGGCCAACAACCACCCCTGCGTCCAGGAGTTATTACGGCACGGTGCGGATCTGAACAAAAATCCAAACGCATTAGCGGACGCTGTTAGATCAAACGATCAAAATTTCGTGCGGCTTCTCCTACGAGCTCCAAAGGCTCTTCGCCCTGACATCATCTCTTCATGTCTTCCAGCAGCTGTTCAGCAAAACTCCCAGCCGGTGATCTCGCTGCTAATAGCTCATGGCGCTGATCCAAACTTCGACAACGCCAGTGCTATTACTACTTCCATTGCGCGATGCGAGTATCGCACTTCTGTCGCACTCGTGGCAGGTCCGATCCCCCTGAGTTTAACGTCATTGCAGGCCGCATTTGAAACTGTAATGAGGATGACTAGCGCCCAGGATCTGTATCAATTCTTGGAACTTCTGTTCTGTTGCGGCCTACCTCCAGCGAATCCTCGACTAGGTAGTCTGCTAACAGCCGCGTCTCAGCGTAATGATCTTCGTATGGCAGAGATGTTGATCGCGTATGGGGTGCCCACGACTGTCAATCATGCTGAATGCTTGAAAGATGCCGTTGTTAGGTCTCATTGGCAATTGGCAGATGTCATCATCGGGACACCGATATCGCCGGCTCATGCATCCATGGCACTAGATGCTGTGCCAGACGATGCGCCAAAGCCAGAGAGACTGCACGTGATAAGCGCTCTTGTAGCCAAAGGTGGTAGCGGACGTTCACTCGAGCGCTGGCTAGTTCGTGCAGTTGAGGATGGTGATGCTGATCTAATGGATTTGCTTCTAAACGCAGGTCAAGCCCTTGGAACTGGCAATGACAGGGCTATCCAGGCTGCTGTGGCTCGGAAGAATATTCGTAGCCTTCGGTCACTACTGGCTTCCCGACCATCGCCTCAGTCGCTTTCGCAAGTATTCCCCCTTATACGGTCTGGATACACGGCACCCGAGCGACTCGAAACTGTACATTTACTCTTGGAACACGGTGCTCGTGGACCTCAAGTAGACCAATCCCTGGTTGACGCAATCGCAGACACATCGAGCACAAGGGACGTTGCTCTGATTACTGAACTCGTTCGCCACGGAGCATCTATCGACCACGATGATGGCAAAGCGGTCAAACTTGCTGTTTCTCAGGCCAACCTGCCAATTTTGCGCTTACTTTGTGGAGCGGAGGTCTCTACTCACAGTAAATCAGCCTCGTTACCACTCGTCTTTGACACCAATGGAGCCAGACAGTCAACGACCTTTGCAATGCTCGAGCTACTTCTAGCGGGTGGCGTTGAAGAAGTCCCGGCTACGCATGCCCTTGAAATCGCTGTTAAAGGCGGTGCAAACAATCTGGACATAGTCGAACGCCTGATAGCTGCCGACGCTAGATTGATCTCATGTGCGTTCCAAACTGCTATTTCGCTCAGCAGTGTGTCGCAGAAAGAAGCTATCCTGAAAGTCTTACTCGACAAAGGCATCTCACAGGAAACCCTTGACCAAGCTCTCATCACCGAGATCCAGCATTTCAGGGACACGAGCGATCCAACAATCGCGCAGATGCTTCTTCAACACGGTGCATCAATCAACTACAACGGAGGCGATGCATTCGTAGCATCAGCTGCTACGGGCAACAGTTCGCTCGTCAAGCTGTTGCTCAGTGGAAAGGACACTCCCTGGCAACCCACGGTTACGGCAGCTTTTCGCGCACTGTTTGATCCCGCCAACCTCCGAGGACTGGATCGTACCGTGCCGGGACCTGCCTCCGTTGACAGAACAGTCCATGCATTGGGTCGAAAAGATCTGACAATAACTACGCTCGGCAATGGACCTGCGTCTGGCGGTTATGTTGAAGTTGCAGACCAGCTCCTCCCGCTGGGAGTTGACCGGAATGCCATTGACATAGCTTTGAGAGCCGTTCTTGACCCAGAAAATGGCTTTGATGCGATCAACCCAATAGTTGACCGTCTCTTAGCCCATCACGCAGACGTCAATGCCGCCAATGGCGTGTGTTTCGTTTTTGCAGCGAAGCGTAGTCCGAAACTTTTCGCAATGCTTCTGAAGTATCAGCCAAACTTTGCGACTCTCTTGCCATCTCTGATCGACTCGGACTTAGAGGAAGATATTCTCCTGAGTTTGATGGACGAATGCTTCAGCCATGGATGCACAGCCGATGACTTAGATTTGAGCCACCCTGCATCTTTGGTCTTGGTAATCCAGAAATACCCTAGGAGTGAAGCACTCGTCAAGACGCTGCTTACGCATGGCTGCAATCCGGAAGCTTCATTGTCGGGTGTTATGAACTCTGCAGCAGGCGAAGAGGCCATCCCAGCACTGTTGTGGGCCCTGGCACAACCTCAGAAACGGGTTTCGACCTCAGTGATAATCGCTCTGCTGGAGGCCGGAGCATCACCAACCCGCGTTGCTCCAGTGTCGGAAGTGGCGCCGATATCTCTTGCTGCTCGAGAGGGTCGCTCAGATATTGTCGAAGTCTTACTGAAGCATGGGGCCGACGCCTCGATCCGCGATAAGTGGGACCGCTCAGCGCTCTTCTACGCAAGTAGTTCATCAGGCACATCAGTGGTGGAAAAACTGGCACCGCATGCTCTTAAGAACGACGGTAGTCTGCACGAGGCTGCCCGCAGCTTACAGCTCGATGCCGTGGCATTACTCCTCAAGGCTGCCCACGATCCAAACTTCCCTTCTCGACACCATGGGGGACGAAATGCACTAGGAGAACTCTGCCTGAACGTGGAGATCACCAACAGTAGCCAGCGCTCCCGGGCTCGCCAAGTCCTCCGACTCCTGCTCGACAGCGGAGCAAACCCCAGTTTTAAAGCCCGCAACGAAAGATCGGCCGTCATCCTTGCGCTCGATAATGCCCATGATCCTCTAAAGATCACAGAGACCCTTCTCGAGACCGAAGTATGGGAGCAGCTCAACGATGAGAAACACCTGTTCCGCGACGGTCAAGGTCTCTGGTACTCGCCTTACTCCTACGTAGAACGTATCCCCTCGCCTGCGCGAACCGCACAGAAGCAGCACTTACTCGGTATGTCCCCCCTCCCAAAAGTAAAAAGTCCAATGCCCCAAACCGATCCTAATCACCATCCAGACCTCCTTCGCGACAAGGGTGTCACGCCCACCTTCTACTCCGAGACCGAAGACCAGCCCCAAGGCGCAACTGGCATGCCTGCCTCCATTGCACGCCTGGCCGACCGCAAGAAAGAACACCAGCTCTCCCTCCGCCTCGCCAAAGAAGCCGCCGAGCACGCCCGCCACCTTGAAGAAACCGCGCACCTGGACCTCCTTCGCCGGAAAAAGGAGCAGCAAGATGCGGAGCTCGCGGCGGCGAGTGCAGCAGCGGCGCACGCAGCGCAGCTCGAGCAGAGACAACACGAGAACGCGATGCAGAAGGTGCGCGAGGCGGAGCGCATGAAGCGCGCGGAGAAGGTGGCGTGGCACAGCCTCCTGACGCAACAGGAGGGGGAGAGCGCGGCGCAGCGCGCACAAATCGAGGAGCGGAAGAATAGCCAGGCGCTGGAGGCGGAAAGGCGGATGATTGAGGCGAGGAGGGGGGAGGTGGAGCATCGCGCAGGGCTGGAGCGCAGGGCGCTCAAGGAGAAGGACGAGCATATGAGTCGGAATCTGGCGGTTCAGATGCAGATCCAGGACCGCGTGGATGAGAGTGCGAAACTGCATGCTGGGCTGAATGGGAGGAAGCAGCTAGAGTGGGGGACGGTGGATTGAGGAAGTGTACGTTGCGCATACAAAAGGGGTTGGAATGGGATGGAACGGGGTGGACTGCATACACTGTGATGCCTTACGAATTCTATATACCGAAGGTCTATCTAGGTGATAGGAGTTTCGGTCGATGCTGAAACCACCACATACACAAAAGTAGTGGAACAGAACAGTTGCCTCTCGTTACCCCAGCTGTACCCGCGCTCTAGCATCGGCGCCATTCTAATACGAAAACGCGCGCGCCTTGTACATCTTATTCTCCTCGGGTCTCGGCGCAACCGGCTGCTGTAAAAAGTCCTTGTACAGATACCACGCAAGATCCTTCTTCTCCAGCTCATTCGCACTCCACCCGTTGCCCAGCCACTTGAGGCGATTCGCCCGTCTCCGCTTCGGATTCTTCTCTCGGACCAGCATGCTATCAATCCTCTTCCGCTTCCCCTCCGCATCAGCATCGCCCGCCTCGCCCTCCACGACCGCATTCGCGCTCTGCTCCGCGAGCTCTTCTGCCGTCGGGAGTTCATCCCTATAGATGTAATGGTAATCCTCCCACCGCGGACTCCTCATCGCCTCCACACAATGCAGCGTACTCCCGGGCCACAGCCCCACAATCTTCCCATCCTTCTTACTCTTGTACCAACTGTTACACTCCTCGGCAAACACCGTGCCCTGGAAATACGCATCCACATACTCGGTAAAGTCCTCTTCCCGCTCGCTCCTGACGCTCATGGCGGCAATGTCTTCCTTCTGGATCTTGCGGATCGCTTTGATGACGTAGTCGCCGACGTTTTCGATCATGCAGGTTAGGCTGCCGGAGCCGATGGCGGAGTTGGCGCCGAGCATAGTGAACAGGTTGGGAAAGGAGGATATGGAGTGCGAGAGGTAGTTTGTGGGGCGGGCGGACCACTTCTCCCTTAGTGTGAGACCGTTTGACCCGATGACGGGGAACGGAGGGAAAGTGTTTGCGTGGAAGCCGGTGGCGCAGACGAGGGCGTCGACTTCGTGTGCTGAGCCGTCGGCGGTATGTATGGCGTTTGGCGAGATTTTGGTAATGTTGGACGTGATGAATGCGACATTGGGCTGAGTGAGAGCCTCGAGGTAGCCTGGCCCGGGGGTGAGGCGCCTGCAGCCGGGAGAGAAGGACGGGAGGAGCGCGTCGAGGATGTGCGGGGCGCTTGCGAGGCGCTGCTTCATGTGCTCGGTGAACATCTGCTTGCCGCCGAGCTGGAGGGGCGTGCCTTTGATGGTCACGGCGTGGATGCCGTTGCCGTCTTCTTCTACTGAGAGCCTGAACTTTTCGTAGTACTCAGGGTCTTCTGCGAAGCGCTTGCGGAGGTCTGGTGGGATGGTGAAGCCTTCGAAGCCGTGCTTCTCCCAGAGGTGGTGGCCGAAGGATGGTGAGATCCAGGTTTTGCTGCGGACGAAGGTGGAGACATGTGTTCCGGAGATGCGTTGGAGGGAGGGGACGATCTGGATGGAGGAGGAGCCGGCGCCGATGACGCCTATGCGCTTGTTGGTGAAGTCGTATCTAGAAAAGGTCAGTGCATCGTTCCAAGGTAAAGCATAGCGATGTATCTTACTCTTCGTTCCATCTCGCAGAGTGCATCACCTCGCCCTTGAACGTTTCGAAGCCCTCTATACTCGGCCATGCAGGGGTGTTCAAGTTGCCTCGCGCACTAATCAGCACATCCGACTGATCGTGTGTTGTCTCGCCAGTAGCGAGATCCTTGACTGTCACATTCCACTTTGCGATTGCGTCGTCCCATCTGCATTCCACAACTTCATGTGAGAGTTTAATGAACCGATCGGCGGAGTATTTCTTCGCAGTGCGCTCGAGGTAGGCTTGAATTTCGTGTGCGGGGGCATACAGCGATGACCAGTCGTGATTGGGTTCAAATGTGTACTGGTACGAATGCGCTGACACGTGAGTTAGAAAGAGCTCCCAAATAAATTAACCGTAAAAGCAAACATACAAGGAATATCGCAAGCGCAACCCAAATACCGATTTTCATACCATGTCCCTCCCACTCCAGCGTTTTTCTCGTACACCACCAACTCTACATTGCGCAGCCGCTCTGGTATCCGTATCGCATGATATATGCCTGAATATCCAGCTCCGATCACAATGACCTTCATAGGCCGGAAATTCTCCACCGGCCCATCGTGCAGCTTAAACCCCTCGGTAGCACCATTCGCGAGGTCATGGGTGGCTCCATTTGTTGCGACTCCGTTGGTGGTGGTTTCGTCCTTTGTGATTAAAGGAGTGTCCTCGGGTAGGGAAGGCACAGCAGACATTGTCCGTGGGAAGCGACAGGTGGGTCTGAATATGATTTATCCTAATACAAGCTGATGTTGAAGCGGCGATATATACAATGCAGGTACAGGCATTGAAAGCAGGGCGCTGTCTACAAAACGAGCAGCAAGGGGTATTGGAGGTTTTTGGGTTGTAGACAAAACACGACACCGCGGAGCCGAAAGCCGCTTATACTTCCCGCCCTCTTGGGGTACATTCCCCCGCGTCATGCTTTCCTCGTGTACAAGTGCCGAAGCGCTCTAGCAGAGCGCCGTGTGCTTGTCGGCGCGACGGGGATACGCATGGCCGTGGGGTGCACCGGCCAATCATAGGCTGGACCCCCCTTCCCCACATTCTACCCCAAACGCCACACGCGCCCGCTGCCAGTCGCACATGATGAGGTTTCCACGGTGGGCGGAACGCCTCCGAAGCATTCATGTAGTGGCACTGTGGCCTTCTTCCGCGCCTCTCGTGGCATTGCATCCTCTGTGTTCTAATCTTGGACGTTGTTGTCCACTCAGGAATAAATATTCCAGTAGGCGGAGCTCCCGCACCGGAACGGGTAGGATCGATGACCAGTACTCGGGTGCGTCCTGGGATTCGTCTTCTTGCAAGGCTTGATTTCAGTTTCTGCGACCAAATGCTACCTGGTCACTGGGATAATTGCAATCTATGATTGCAATCCAGGATGGTCAGTTTTACTGGAAACGATTACTGGGGACGTGGGATCAAAGCAACTTACCTGGTTACCGAGGGCGACAGACAATCTCGAGCTGTCCGGATCCCATCCTAGGCTGAACTCGCCATCCACTCCAGGGTTCCACTTGTCCATGCCCCATTCACGAGTGCGACAAGTTGCGATTGGCACGTCTCTCCTGTCCACATCCCATATGGTGACCGCATCAGGACCTGCTGCGGCCAATAAGTTGCCATCGGGGGAGAATGCGATTTTGAAAGTTTCCCTCTGGTCGGTGGTAGGAAGTGTCTTGAGGCACCTGGTTGGTGCATTGGCATCCCATATGCGAACGGGCCCGGTCATCGAGGACGTAGTCAGCAGCACTGTTGAATCCGAGGTTGCGCCGGGTGAGGAGAGACCTACGCCGCCAGTATCGGTGCGTTTGCGGAAGTCGAGATCTGTAGCGTACTGGTCTGGGTATTGGTGTGTCTGTAAATCGTGTGGGCTGCGCGGATTGATATAGCCCAGAACACTGGTGTCCCTTTCAACGGTGCCGAGCGCGGCAATGATGCCCGAGCACGGTTCGAACTTGAGCGTCTCCCACTGAACCCTGGTATCGAGTGTCCGTTGAACCTTCAAAATTTCGTCAATCTCGTAAATCTTGAAAAGCTCAATGCCGCACACTACAAAGGCCGAGTCACTAATCCAAAGCGCATCAAATATCACCGTGTCGGTGAACTCAGCCCAGGCCGGGATAGAGTCGTCGTGGTTTTTCCAGATCTTAATGGATCCACGCTCTCCATCGGTCGATATGCTTAGCAGCATCTCCTTCTTTCTGTTCCATCTCAAGGTATTAACGAGTCCGGCAGTCGACGAGATTACTTGGTAATCATCTCCCGCCTCTGTGATCTTGACAAGCTTGTCTATCATCATCTTCTCGCCTGTCTCGTTGGCTATTTCTTCGCGAGCGGATACAGCGATGTCCTCGCCTGAGATCCAGCACAATGCAGTCACAGTGTATTTGTCCATGGGAAACTTGAGAGCGAGAGGCGGGACGGCGGTTGCAGTGATGTTATCGGCATCTCGCGGAATGACCTGGATGTTGAGAAGCGATTTGCCAGCAGTGAGCAGCACAGGGGCATCCGGAGGTCCCCACGAGGTATGTTCTACGACTCTCTCTGCGTCCTCGAGGTTGGGAATGAAGATGGTGTCGGGCGCAAGATCCGTGATGACCTCGGTCTGCACGTCAGTACTCTGGCCGATGCTGAGAGTCGAGATGGGAATTTCAGCGACCGTCGGAGAGTCGGCCTCTGAAGCTACCGCTTCGGACTCGGCCCGCACGCTGTTCACGCTGGGAGCGACGTGGTTGGCGCCATTGGCGTCGATGTCCATGGCATCGCCATTGACCTGCTCAGGAGCGCGCGGCTCCGGCGCAACGCCATTCGGCTTTGCTTTCCTCCTGCTTTTCACGCTCTTCTTGGGCGGCGGTTCCTGGACAGCGCCATTGGCCTGCTCGGCGAGCTCGTGGGCGGGGATGCCTTGGTCGAGGGTGAGGAGGGCGCCGTTGCGCACCGAGTAGGGCTGGCCGTGGTCGCGGCCAAAGTGGTAGCGTTGGTCAACCTGATGGCGTCAGTGTGGGCGCGTCGGATGCAGCGGTGCACGTACGTTGGCAGCCTCGGCCTGCAGCTTGTCGAACCACAGGCCGTCCTGCAGCAGATTGACGAGCGTGTGCGGCTGGACGTCGCGCGCGAAGGGCAGCGTCTGGGGGTCGCGGATCCAGCAGCGCGAGAGATGCAGGGCGGCGTTGCCGTAGCCGGCCTCCTGCAGATATCGCCAGACGAGATAGTTGACTACATTGGATGAGAGCGGCTCGACCGTCATGGCGCATGTCGCGGCGCGGCGCGCAGAGAAGGTGCAGGGCGCGTCCGGCCGAAGAGCTGCGAGGAAGCGTCGCGGTGGGTGGCGGGTGCGAGGGTGCCGTTGGCGCTGCGGTTGGCGTCGCCGTTGTGCGTCTCGGTGCCTGGGGAGTGTGGGTGGTGTTTAGCGGACGCCGTGGTGGATCGGTGCAGCAAGGATCGACATCAAGCTTGCGCACTACCGAACCGCTATAGCCCGCCAGCTTGCAGCTTGGCCGGGACGTCGCCCTGGCCGAAGCCCTGGGAACGCGACCTTGCCAGTGCCAGGAAACCACGAAACACGCCCGACCGACCGTCCGCACCCTCGTCGCGCGCTCCCGCAGCGCACCGCCTCTCGCAACCCGCCGCCATGGCCCGCATCAACCTGCCGCCCTTGACCCGCGGCCTGCTCGCATCCCTCGTGCTCTTCACGCTGCTCAACTTTGCCCTCCGCCCTGCATCTAGCTGGACCGAGCGCGCTGCGAAGCCCGTGACCGCCGTGGGCAATGGCGTGCCCTACCTCTCCATCGTGCCGGGCGTCTCCGTCGTCTATCCGTGGGTGTTCCTGCTGGCGACCACCGTCGAGCAGAACGTGCTGGGGCTGGTGACAACGGGCCTCACTGTCTTCTACGGGGGGCGCTACCTGGAGCGCGCCTGGGGGTCCACCGAGTTTGCAAAGTTCATTCTTTTCGTGTCCATGGTGCCCAACCTGCTGAGCTTCCTGCTCTATGTCGTCGGCTATGTCCTCTCCAAGAACGAGCGCACGCTGTAAGTCAGGCCACGCGAGCGCCTGTCTCGACACTAACAACGCATGCAGCACCACTACGATATCCGGCGGTATCGCCATCCAGGCCGGCTTCCTCGTCTCCTTCAAGCAGCTCGTCCCCGAGCACACCGTCGCAATCGCAAAGGGTGTCATACGTATGCGTGTGAAACACTTCCCCGCCATATTCCTCCTTGCCAACACCATATCCGGCATAGCCCTCGGCACAGAGACGGCCATGTTCCTGGCCTGGTTCGGCTTCCTGACCGCCTGGATCTACCTTCGCTTTTACCGCATCAGCCCCTCGTTGTCCTCTGCGGCCACGGGCGATGGTTCCGTCATCAAAGGTGATGCTTCGGACACGTTCGCCTTTGCCCACTTCTTCCCCGAGCCCCTGCAGACGCCCATTGGAACAGTCGCCGATCAAGTGTACACCACCATGGTATCATTGAAAGTGTGCACGCCGTTTTCAGCCGAGGACATCGACGCAGGGAACGAGCAGGCAAGTGCACGAGTTGAAGGCGGCTTGCCCAGCATCATGAACCCCAACAGCCGCGGCGGCAAGGGTGGCCAGACGCGCGCTGAGGCAGAGCGAAGACGCGCACTGGCATTGAAGGCGCTCGACCAAAGGCTACACGCTGCCACGGCTCGGCCTACACCAGCCCCTGCCCAACCCGCGCCAGCTGTACTAAGCACACCTGCAGGGTCAAGCTCTGAGCCAGCAACATAGTACGACTTGTGGTCTCGGCCGCCTTTCCCTCACGACTTCTTTTTGGTCTTTGGACAGTCATAGCGCACGGCGTTGCTCCATGATATTGCTCGTTTTGGGTTATGTTAGGAACAAGCCACGGATATACCACTGTAGAAATGTGCTGTACGACTGCTGTACTTGCTATTATTTCATGAATCCACGCCTCATACTCAGTAAGGGATTTCCATCCCCAGCTAAGTTCATCGCTCGTTCTTTCGACCAAGCGTGATTTTCTATTCACCAACTACTGCCGCTTGTCACCACGTTTGGCACGGCAACGAGCATGTTGGCGTGTCACAAGGACTGGACGCAACAGAAGACGGTCAGTTTCGAATGCCAAACATGAATCGCGTTGATGCTTTTGAAGATTGCGCTTTCCAATCACTACTCACGACAGCGTGAAGAAGCAGGCACGATCAACAACCTCTTTAATCTCTTCCCAAACATCGTCTATAAATCCATACCGCAGAACACTACCTCCGGTTTCCAAGATGCGCCACACTCGCACAGCATCATTAGCCGCGTGGCGTGTGCATCGCCCCGTGTAACTCACCTCGCGACTCCCTACCCCATCCCGCCTAGTCCCACTAACCCACACCCTGGTCATACCTGCAATCAACACAACACAGCTTCGAATCTTACCTCTGGTGATTTCGCCCGGTCCGCCTTACATTGGCGAGCAGATCTGCATGGGTATAAGAAGGGCCGACTGTATGGAGTGACATGCAGTGACATTCTTCACCAGCCTCCGTCCATCAAAGTGACAACCTTTTTTCTACACTATACTAGAGGTTCACACACATTGTCTGTTACTCCACCCTTCTTGATTCATTTCTGGCATTTGAGGATACCCTATACTCGACCGCCGTATCTTACCCACACACTACCACCTCTACGATGCTTATTCCCACGATTCTCACGTTCCTCACCCTCTTTACCACCGCCCTCGCACGTCCCACAGCAGAACTCGCAAATGTAACTCTGCCTCCGTCCTCCCCTCTCCAACTCTTGTATGAAAACAACATCTAATAGCTACGTCTAGGTGTACGTATGCGAGCACATAAACTGGGGCGGCGCATGCGTCAACGTCCTCTACGCCATCGACTCGGGCGACTGCGTCTCGCTCGACGGAACAGCAAGCTCAATACGCCCGGACAAGGGGTTTAGCTGCACGTTTTACAAGTACGGTTGCGCCTCTTTCCCTTCCTTGTCCCCATCTACGAATCCCACATTTCTTCCTCCCACAAAGTTTACTTTGCACGAACGATGCAACTGTAGCCAGACTTACAAGTTTTAGGAATGGCTCCTGCCGCACTTTCGACGGCAGCGCCTCGCTCAAGCTGCAGGACCCAGGGAGCGCGGATCTGACGAAAGAGGCTGGCGAGTGGAACGATGCGGCCAGGGGGTTTCAGTGTTTTAGGTTGTGAGACCCACGAATGGATGGGGAAAAGGATGAATTATCGTAATGTAATGTAATGGGATGTTGGGTTGGGTTGGGTTGGGAGGCGTGGTGAGTGTGGTTCCTGGGGCCACGGGAAGCTTGGGGGAGATTGTTGGTGCGGCGAGGCGATTCAAAGTAATGTTTTCATTCAATAGTCAGTGAACAGCGAGACAAAGCACCTGGGCAAGTGATATTTGCTTATGCTGTCTCGAGTTCGGTTGCTCAGAATATAGCCTGAGGTGGCTCGATGCACTTTGCGATGCCTCCTAACTGTCTTCATGCCAAGTACTGTGTTTGCATCATAGCTGCCGTATTTTGTATCCAAAGAGCGCATGTCGCGGATTGCTGGTACTCTATGCTGCAGAGCTTCGCACAAGGGCTGTATGGGTAACAGCTGTTGTTCGACCCCGCCCACAGTCCTACGAAATCTACCTTAGGTGTATAGGCAAGCTGTTGATGTGATGGGGTTGCTTTTGGATATTAAGCATCAGAGAAGCGCTTCTGACTGCTTGATCTCCGTTCAAAGCCATCAAGATACTATCCGTCAAAGCCTTCGCCCTGCTAACTTAGGCACTGGAATTTGTTGTTCTCCAAATCTCTTTCAGCGATAATTGTGAGCGTGGGCAATGGACTGGTATCCAGAAGATTGTTGCCTTGCGAAGGCTAAAACCCTAAACTAGAATGGCAATACAGTGTACTCTGGCTACTTTAGAGACTCGATTATGTCAAGTTACCAAGAATAGAGCATCACAAGTCTGATCATCGTTCATCGTCGTTCTTGAATCACAAGCCAGAAAGCGGAGCTGGAGCTATCTCGATCGAGTTAGGCGGTTTGTGGGGATCAGAACGGGCCGAGGCTTTGGACCTGGGGAGGCAGCGGGCATCACATGCGGCTCAGATGCGCATCACCGATTGAACATCGGCCAGCTATGCACCAAGCTCCCGGCGGCTGAGCAGCCTCATCACCACCCAAACGCTGTCCAACTCACGACCCATTGCACCCATCGGAACAACCCACAGCACCATCCACCCCGAATGACGTCCCCACGATAGCCATGGCTGTGCTCTCCAAGTTCGCCCACGCGCGAACCCACCTCAGCGCCTCCTCGCTGAAATCCCTCGTCAACGACTTCACGCGCATCTATCTGCAGCACCGAACCAAGATCTCGCGCGCCGTCTACCTCACGCTCTTCGTCGCCCTCATCAACCGCATCCGCAGCGCCATCGCCGAGCAGAAAGCCGCGGCTCTGCGCGCCAAAGCCCTCCGCAAGACTTCCACCGCGCCGTCCGAGGGCGAAGCCACGGGCAGGAAGAAGGTCGAGCTCAATCGCGAGTTCTTCAAGAATCTGCTTAGGCTGCTGAAGATCTGCATTCCGGGATGGCGGAGCAAGGAGTTTCGGCTGTTGATCAGCCATAGTGTGTTTCTAGTGCTGAGGACTATGATTAGTCTGTATGTGGCTGAGTTAGACGGACGGCTGGTCAGTAGTTTGGTTAGGGGGAAGGGGAAAGACTTTCTGTGGGGATTGGTGTGGTGGATGACGGTGGCGGTGCCGGCGACATTTACGAATTCTATGGTATGTGTAGCCTTGGGAGAAGAGAGGAGTGTACAATTGGAGGCTAAAATAAGCAGCTTTCATACCACCAGTGCAAGTTGTCGCTACAATACCGCACGAGACTCACCAACTACGTCCACAGCAAGTACCTCTCGCATATGACCTTCTATACGCTCTCGGCGCTCGACGACCGGATCAAGAACGCGGACCAGCTTATTACCGTGGATGTCGCCAAGTTTGCCAACAGCTTAGCGGAACTGTACTCCAACCTTGCAAAACCTGTGCTTGACATGGTCGTCTACAACTACTCGCTATCCCGCAGCGTGGGCGGCGAAGGCCTATTCTTCATGTCCCTCCTCGTACAGCTTTCGGCGAACGTCATGCGCGCGCTCACTCCACCATTCGGCAAATACGTTGCTGATGAGGCCCGACTGGAAGGCGAGTTCCGCTTCCAACACTCGCGGTTGATTGATTATAGCGAAGAGGTGGCGTTGTACCATGGGCACGAAGCAGAGAAGGATACACTCGACAAGGGATATTTCACGTTGATCAAGCATGTGAACAGGATACTGAGAAGGAGGTTCTATCATGGTGTCATGGAGGACTTTGTTATCAAGTATTTCTGGGGAGCGTTGGGGTTGTTGCTGTGCAGTGTGCCCGTTTTCTTCAAGGTCCCAGGGACTGGAATAAACATGGGTGATCGGACAGAAAGTGAGTACTTTCAAGAACAACATACGAAAGATATGTTGACGAAAGATGACAGGCTTTGTGACCAATCGCCGCATGCTCCTCATGTCCTCAGACGCCTTCGGCCGCGTCATGTTCTCCTACAAGGAAATAACCGAGCTCGCTGGCTACACTTCGCGCGTAGCTACCCTTCTCGATGTCATCGACGACATCCAAGCCGGCCACTTCGAAAAGAAACTCGTTTCCTCCGCAGACACCGAAGAAAACGCAGCTGTTCTACGCGGTCGTGGCGAAGTAACCGAGGGCGAAGACATCATGTTCAAGGATGTCCCCATCGTGAGCCCCAACGGCGACGTCCTCGTCCGCAAACTGAGCTTCGCTGTCAAACCTGGTGACCATCTGCTCATCGTTGGACCCAATGGCTGCGGCAAGTCCAGTCTTTTCCGTATTCTGGGCGGTCTGTGGCCTGTCTACGGCGGTACCGTACGGAAACCACCGTTCGAAGCTATCTTCTACATCCCGCAACGACCCTATCTCTCCCGAGGCACGCTCCGCCAGCAGATCATCTACCCTGACAGCTTGCGCGAGATGCGTGATAAAGGCATCACGGACGCGGATCTTCTTGCTATCCTGGAAGTTGTCGAAATCGAGGGTATCGTCGATCGACCCGGCGGCTGGGACGCGGAGCAAGAGTGGACCGATGTGTTGAGTGGTGGGCTACAGCAGAGGGTCGCAATGGCGAGATTGTTCTACCATCGCCCGCGGTATGCCATCCTGGACGAGTGCACGAGTAGTGTTACCCTCGAGATCGAGCGGGTGATGTATGAAGAGGCGAAGAGGTGAGCTTCCTGACCTTAGCCCTATAACTGGAAGTGCTAACGAGAGCAGGTTGGGTATCACACTCATGACAGTCAGCCATAGGAGAAGCCTGTGGAAGTACCATGAGAAGATTCTGCAGTTTGATGGGCAGGGGGGGTTCGTCTTCACCAAGCTGGATGCTGAGAGGAGATTAGAGTTGGAAGAGTAAGTCATGTCTGCTTCTCACGGTCTGTGTCTTTACTAATACGTCTTTGCAGTGAAAAAGATGAAATCGACTTGCAGCTTCGTGCTGTGCCCGACATCGAGGAGAGGATCAAGGAGCTGGAATTGACGTCGCAATAATGGCCTCGCGGGTAATGCGGTGCTACGGTGTATTGGTGTTTTCTAGGGGTTGGAGCATGGAGTGTACATGTATGATCTATGTTGCTTGTAGGTCGGCAAAACTTAGTGCGATGCATCTTGTGAACATTGGAGTGGCTAGGTATAGAGTAGATGTAGAAGCTCAGAAATATAGTGCTCTGAGTCACGTCAACAGTCTTGCTAAATGTTTTGGGAATCTTTAGTTGTTTACAAGTGAGAGAGACGCGTCAGCTATCTGTCGGAGTTGCCGCAGTTTCTGGCACCTACCGAGGCCGAATCTCTGAGTACTCTACTCATATCTATCGTCTATCTTAGGAGCGTATGATTTATGCGTATCTCGTCGCGCTATCACGTGTACGAGCTGTTCCAAAACGGCTTGGCGCATCTGCACGAGCTTGGACGCGTTGTTTAACAAGGGACCCTCCAACATCCCGTCATCCTCCCCAACTCCACCCGTAATCATGGCTCCAGCTTTGGATCTGAAAGCTGGCCAGGTCGTGGAGGTCCGACTCCAAAAGCCAGAGCCTATCACCCACCGCGGGACGATTCGATACATTGGCGAGGTCAATGTGCCTGGCCAGGAGGGCATTGAGTTTGTCGGCATCGAGCTCTCCTCTGCAACCGGAAAGAACGACGGCTCGGTTCAGGGCGAACGCTATTTCCAATGCCCTCCCATGCATGGACTGTTTGCGGCTCGCGACAAAGTCACCAAGATCATACAACAAGCGCGCCCCGTCGCACCCAAAGTCGCACCTCCGAAACCAGCAACACCCGGCGCAAGGCCTCGCCCGTCCAGCGTTGGCGCCTCCCAGACAACAGCACGGCCTGCTAGGCTTTCGTCTGTGGGCGGTGCGAAGCCGACGACGCTCCAACAACGCCTCGCCGCCGCTGCGAAGCCGTCTTCGCCTGTAAAGGGAGCTCCCGCACGGCCGCCTTCGACGACCCGACCGCCGTCTGCTACTTCGAGAGCATCCATAACACCATCCGCACAATCGAGACGAGTGTCGACTGTCGGCTCATCGCAACCTCCTACAACTCGGCCCACTCGCAAACCTTCCCTCTCCTCCGCTACCGCTTCCGGCACACGCTCTACAGCTCCACGAGAGACCGCGCCCCCTCCAACGAAAGCGCCTACCGAGCGCACAAGACAGATTCCAGAGGCTGAATACCGACGTCTGCAGAAGCAACAGGAGGACACCTCTCAGCTGGAAGCCGATGTGCTGAAGCTGCGGACAGAAAATGAGCGGTACAAAGAGGCCATCTTCCCCAAATTGAATGAGAAGGTTCAAAAATATGGAAACGAAAATGCTAGTATCAAAGAGGAGATCGCCCTGCTCAAAGCGGAGAATGACAAGCTGGAAAAGGCCTTACAAGAGCGCGATACAATAGTCGAGCTGGCTACCATCGACCGGGAAATGGCAGAAGAGCAGAAGGAGCAGCTCGAAGCTGAGCTGGAGAACGAGCGCGCCGTCATCGAGGAGCTCCGACTTGAATTGGAGATCAAACAGGAAGAAGCATCGTTCATTGACGATGATATGCCCGAGGATGAAAAGCAACTTGCTATGCTGCGTCAGGCCCAGAACGAGAGGGACCGGTATCGGGAGGGTATCGTAAAGCTCCGTGACATGACAAGAGAGCAGATCAAGGAGCTTGAGGCCCGCAATCGCGAACTTGAGGCTCAAGTCGCTCATACCGAGACAATAGAAGCCGATTATGCCGCCGCAAAAGACGAGATTGTGACACTGCAAGGATATGTCTCGGACTTACGGGAACGCGTCGACACGAACAATGAGATGGAAGAAATGAACGAAGAACTCATAGACAAGATCGCGACCCTCGAGGATTCCATCTCACGTCTCCGGCTTGAGCGGAAAGAGCTTTCCACTATGGTCGAGGTCAGCAACGAAACCGTCAATGACTATGCGGAACACGCGGACGATCTGGAAGCAGAGCTTGAGACTAGGGATGCTCAGCTTGCCGATGTCTCCCGTGAACGCGATGCGGTTGAAAAGGACAACGCTGAACTGCAAGATCGTCTGTCCAAATACCAAACAGTCGCCATGGAATTGCAATCCCAGGTCCAAGAACTGCGTGCAGACAAGGCAACGACTGAAGAGGAGGTGAAGGATGTTACTGGACGCTTCAATGAAGTCATGGAACTTCAGCGGCGACTCCGCACCGCAGGTGTCAAGGACACGAACCGCCAGATCGATACATCGCTGCAGCATCTGGCAGCGAAAGAGGCACAGGAACAGCGCGATATGATCAGGCACTATCTGACAGAGTCCGCGTACGCCGACTTCAACGGCTCATCTGTGCAAGCGTACTTCAGGGCGAAGTCGATCAGCTTCAAGGCTAATCTGACCGCATCGGTCATCCGAACATCCACAACCGATCAGTTCGGCGGCGAGAAAGGCCCTGAACAAGTCTTGGACGCTCTCATGCGCCATGATGTCGTCGGCCACTTCGACTACATTCACACGTATACCGAGCAGATATGGACGGCTATGGCATCTTGCACACTAGACGAGTTTGTAAAGGCCGGTCACTTGTTCCAGGATTTTGAGAGCGTGGTGCGCACTGTCGAGGGGTGCATGAGCAGTCTAAAACGAGACGAACTGAATTTGAAAGATTCTTTAGAGTCTGCGCGTGGCTCTTACAATGTTCTGGGAGCAATGTACCGCTCCAACACTTACCTCTCCAACGCTCGACCGGATAGTACCATCATTCTTCATGTATCTGTCATCCGAGCCAGTCTTGAACGCATTCGATCAGTTTTCGATGCCCTCAAGACCTTTGTTTCGCGCGTTGAACCGGTCTACGAAAATGTCGAGGACCATGTGGATCTCGGTGCATTTACAGAACCAACACAGACAACTACTGAGACTCTTAACGTAGTCACCAAGTTCAGTGCTGCTTTGAAAGCACTACAGAAGGATAGCCTCTACCCCAGCCTACCGGACGGCATCGAAGCTCTTGTGAGCATGAACGAATCCCTCGACCGCTTCGCAAACAAAGCGCAAGACAATGCGGTAGCGTTCATTCGCAATGTACTGAGCAAGCTTGCGAAAGAGCCCGAGGGCGTTGATGCGACGATGATGACTGCCGAGCTCGATACTCTCTTCAAGAAAAATCTATTGCACGAACTCCACTCATCTGTTTCCGATGCTAAATTGCGCATCGGACAATGGAACGAATATGCTTCGATCCTAAATAACTGCCTTGAAGTCCAGCTGCAGCCGGCACCCTGGGTTGTCAAGGCCCAACAGATCGAAGCGGAGAAGAAACAATCCATCGAGTCCGAGAAAAAACTCCAACTCATCAGCACCGAGCTTCACGCAGCATTGCTGCAAGTGCGCGAACGTCAAGAAACTATCGACACCAAGGAACTCGAGATCGAGCACCTCAAAGCCCGCGCCCAGGAAGCTGCTGTGAAGGCAGGCACCATCGAAACCCTTCAGGCCGACCTAGATAAGGCCCGCTCCGAGCGTGAAACCTACCGCTCCGAGGCCGAGACTTTGCAAGCGCAGATCGCCCGTCTTGAGCGCGAAGGCGTCTCCCGACCAGACGACATCTCAAATGCCGTCCCCGCCACGCCCCAGCCGACCCGCGAGCGTCCCGAGCCCGTCGAGGCACCCCAAGCCACCGTATCCAGCTCGTTCGCGACTCTCGTCAAGGCACTCAGGGAAGAGAATCAATACCTCCGCCAGCGCGAGAACGCAGATATCCTCAGCCACGACCTCGACGCTGTCTTCGCCAAGGCCCGCACCGAGCGTGCGGCGCGTGCTAAAGCGGATGCGAGACACAAGCAGGCGCTCGCGGCGGAGATGCTTGATATGGCGTTTACGTCGCAGCTTATGGGTATGCAGGGGTCTGTGGTGCGGCCGTTGGAGTTGTGGGGTGGTGAGCTTACTGCGGAAGGGGGCGAGAAGGAGGGACATGCAGTGCCATGGCAGCAGACGCAGAAACAGAAAGGTGGTCCAAGTTTCCCGCTTATGCTACAGACGGGGAAGATGGCGAGTCCGCTGGCGTATGTGGATGATCTGAGCTTTGTGGATTTGTCGCCTGCGGCGGAGGCGTTTGAGGTGATGGGGAACTGGCCGTGAGGGGTTGAATGGGATGGATGTTCCTGGCGGACTTGATTTTGGCTGTGTAAGTTCGTGGCAGTGTGTGCGTGTGTCATTCAAGCATAGCGTGGAGTACTGTACCCTTTTTCATAGTTTGTGAGATACCCCTGGGCGGTTCAGCTTCGCTGCTAAGGTGCGAGACGGCGGTGCTGGCGAGGCGATTGATAAATAATCGATATTATTTCTGAGGAGTGACAGTTGCTGCTGTGTGGTGTTATGTGTATTGTGAACAGGAGCGATGAGTAATATGTTCATATTGCGTATGGCGAGTAGATGGGACGATTCGGATGTGACGCTTTCGTAAATCGTGACGGACTAGGATGGGACATCTGCGAGAGAAGCAACGCTGCCATTGGGTTGCATCAAGCCACGATGCGCCTGCCTGCTATGCAGTACGACAGATATAGCGGACAATTGCACGTACAGGGGGGCAGGCTTTGAAGCACACCTCCACTGGTCCCGTTCTGGATGTCGCAATATCTATACGTCAGAGAAAGAGAAGCGCAGAGTCCAAATTCCGCTGCAGGACTGTATGGTGAACAAATATTGGCCGTTGAGTTTTCTTATCCTCGTTATCAGCATTGGAAGGCCGTGGTCTAGGCGTAGTATAGTGTTGTCCTGGGGAGTGTGGCTGATAGTGGGGTATCCCGGGATTCTAGCTCCCTTTACTTTGCGGGCAGGACGTAGTAGTATATCCCTACCAAGTCGGTTTGCGTTATTCTGCGCCCGCTGAACGGCAGCAAAACAGAAGAGGTATCGGGATGCCCAATGGATGGAAGTATGCTGAGAGGTCGGGTTGACTGGCCGCGTAATGGTGTGACAGTCGGACAGATTGCGACTGTGCCTGTTCCTATTGTCCTAGTTGGGAGTGAAGGTGCTTGAGTCTTGGATACGTGATATGTTGGGCTCGGATTTGTGATTAGATTGCTTCAGTAGTCCGTTTTCCGTGTAAAGCCTGAAGTTTGCCACGCATAGGTAATTTTGGGTGGACGAGGGTATATCAAGTCCACCTGCATTGATGGAAACTAGGTAGTGTGATGGCAGGCGGCTGTTGTTACCATTCAGGCATATTGACCCGTGGAAGAGCGCAATTAAACACACTTACGATCTTTACCGTGGTTGTGGTCGTGGTCGTACTGTAGATCGGACATAGGTGTAGACGTATCTCCATATAGAACCAGCTCGATGTTGGTGGACGAACGTTGGATGGTCATTTCGTCTGCCTGACAGAAGACCAGAACAGTCCTCAAGCCTTGCGGAGACGTTCTTTGAAATGGACTCTCTCTGGCCGTAGCTGAACTGCCTTTGAGTATTTAGCTTCATCATGGAGATCCTATGAACTGAATTGTCAAGCTCAGGTGAACACGAAGATACTCATCTAAACCTTGTCTGTTCGTCAAGTACAACCATGGAGCTAGGATGAAATAATCAGCGGGCTGATAAACTCTATCCATTACGTGGTCCGCGTGGCTATACCAAGTCGATTCCAAACTTTGCGATTGGGAGTTGCCATGACCCCGAACTTGTTCGCATTGAACTCCTTTGAAACCACACCCCGAGGATGTCTGCAATAGTTTGATCACTGGTGCCCTCTGCCGATACCGCGATGGCAAACAGAGACGCTGATCCAACAAAACGGTACTTCGAAGAATGATCACAGCCATTCAAAGGATCAGGAACTGGCCGGACTACCAATGCAGACGAAGAGATTCCGAATCCCTTGATGCCGACAATCCTGTCTCCCGTTTCGATTCTACAAGCTCCCCAGCCCAGATAGCGAATCGTAACTGATGCTGTATTTTCATCTTCTGTGTGCCTGGCTGGTCCTGTGCAATCACCAAACACTTCCGTCAAGAATGCCGTTCGTTCGGGTGGGGGTTCTAGTTGACGGACCTCTTCATACATAAATCTCTGAGATCGCTCCCAGTGATCTGGAGACTCCCAAAAGTCCTTGTGAAACTTCTCTTCGTAATCTAGATTAATGTCCATTCCATCAAATCGGAACCAGCTCCGCTTAGATTTGTTGCCAAAGTCAAGTAAATAAAAACAAAGCTCTCCGCCCCTCAACTCTTCGAAGGTCACTGATTTTGCTATTTGTGCATGAGCACTACCCAGACTTTCATCCATGAACGTTGTCAGGTAAGCTTTTCTGGTGCTCTGATCGAGCCCGTCGGGGAGTGAAGTCTGATGCGTGACTGTTGCAATATGTCCGCTAGAGTTTCGGTCCGTGGCAGTAAAATCGAGCAGCATCGAAGTGATCTCCACTTCCAAGATACGATCATTGATTCCTTTAACAGCAATTTGAGTAATAGGATAACGGCCGTCGACTTGGCGATAGGAGGCAAGCCAATTTGGTACCCAGCTGGGAAGATCGAGGCCGCCCGCTCGAGAATCTCGCCCCATAGCTTGCTGTAGTATTTCGTGCGAATGGCCTCTCGAGATTGCAGCAGCGGCTAAGTTCATGTAGCACTGTTCTGTACTTTGAGAATAGTCAGGTTCGAATTTTGTCTTCCTTGGCGTAGCTGCGATAGTCGACGGCTTGATTCCCGCCAATGCACCTAGAGCGTATATCATGTCTTTTGGATCGGAACATTTGTACTCGTCGAACGAGACGAGATAAGATAGCAAAGAACCTTCAGTATCGTCCATGGAGCGGTTAGAGTTGCCTCTCCGTCGGACTAAGTCTTTGCTGGATGACATGAAGGACCAGGTCTGCCACAAATCAAACACCCTCATAACAGAGTGGACTTCTGTAGATATGTCCTTCCAAAAGAGTTGTGTCTTAATTGTCGTCATGAAGCGGAACCAGGATATTTGGTGACTCCCGTAATGTAGATAACTCTCAGCATTCAAGACAATTTCTTGTATGATCCATCGCCGACGAAACCATGGAAGTTGAAAGAAGCGTTTTAACACAGCCTGTTGTTGCCGTCGTTCTGAACTATCAATCTCAAGTGAAGTCAGCGACTCATAACCGAGAGGCAAAGATGGCCAAGCTTCCAAGACCGCATGGTAACCGACTTGGTTCCTAGAGAGAGATTGTATGAGAGGTATAGCTCCGTCTTCGATGCCGCCTTCTCCCAGCCAAGCAAGGACCTTGGAAGCGAATCGATAGATTTGACCCATCAAAGGAATCTGTGTACTTTTTTCTTGGTGGTCTTGCTGATTTATGCAAACTGCATCAACCCAGAGGACTCTAGTTCGATATTCGTCGCGAAAACGTCGTAGAAAAGTATCCACATTCTTGGTGATGTGGAGCTCAGAGTTGTCATCGATGCAACGCAGTCTGCAACTAAGATTTGGCCCACCCCATGTGTAAGAAACCGCCTCATAAGAAGCTATAGCATCTGACAAACACTTCTGCCGAATGCTACACTCAAGCGGCTGATCAGACTCTGAGGCTGGCAGAAGATGCAGGAGACGAGTGTGCCTCAGTGACTCCAGCGGACGATATGCATATTGCCTGATTGGTCTGAGATCTCGTTCACTGAGGCGAACAGGTATATCTGGCGTTCCGTGCGCAACGGTAGAAGAAGAAGAGACCATGGACGGCATCGTTGCAAAAGTGGAAAAAGAACAGAAGAAGTACCTATGTTTCAAGGAAGGCTGACGGCAACAGCTATGCAGCTGCGATTGCCCGCCCAGATGGGGCTAGTCTACTTCGGGCTGAAGCCTGCAGCACACGCTGTCAATCATACGAACTCTTAGCCAATCCCTGAGCCGAGGAGAATGTCGATTGACCAATCATTATAGTATGATAGAGGATCAAGGACACGCGTGCTCACGCAGTCAGCGTCTTGCTCGTGGATGTATTGCATACACGTAGAATGTACATCTGCTTGCTTGACGCATTCCTAAGAACCATACGCGGTATGACACGCATCCCTGAGCGGATCTGTATCGCCTTTCCTCTCCAAGCACCTATTCAAGCTTGAGGGCGCAGCCTCATCGTACAATTTTGTGTACAATTCCGTCTCAATTACAAATGCAACGAACGCCAGTAGATGCACCCAACTCTTTACAGTTCCATATCATACATGGCTCGGTTCTTTCTCTACTTCCTCCATCATTCCATAAGTCAAGCCTTCCATCCGGATTCATCCTCAGTCTTTACAACTCCACCTGCTCCGCCCTTTTCTCAACATAGTACCCCTTATCCGGCCGTCGCGCAGCGCGCATCTCTTCTTTCGACATGGGCTTTTCAACCTCCTTGACGTCCACCAGCTCCTTGATGCGCATTATCTGACCCGCGACGGATTGGCTGACGGGATAGTATACGGTTGTCATGCGCTTCTTCAGTCCGAGGGCGTGGAGGACGCCCTGTACCTTCTTGGGCATGCCGATGCCCGATCGCATGAGCGTTATGCGGAAGTAGGCCATTGTGCGGGGGTTTGGGGGTTGGTGTCCTGGGTAGCTTGCGCTGAGGTGTGTGCGGTAGGTTGGCGTATGACGCAAGGTACCTGGGCGGAGGTCAATCAAACGGAATCGAGGGTTTCGATTCTTCACATACGTCTTGGAGATGCAGTGCGGGTGCGCTGGTGCTCGCGCGATGTTGCCGTCGTCAACTTTTCGAGATTCGGAGCGCGGAAGGAGAAGACGCTCTATTCCTGATCAAGCAAGCGCCATCCACTGGCAAGAAGTCGCGCCCGATGTCACGTGCCGCGACCTCCCTCTTAGAGCTCGATCTCATCACAGTGAGCGACATCCTACTGTCTATCCAACCAAGTTCCCGGAGAAAGTAGCGGTGAGCAACCAGTTGACCTGAAGTGATGTGGCCTCCAAATCGGAATGTCAGCACCCGTCCGCGCCCATATTGATGGCTGCACCCATCCTCGGACCGGACCCAAGAAGCCTCGGAACCCCGAAGGCATCAGGAGACGAGAAGTAAAAGAGTTGTCCGTCCTTTTACTTTTCGGGGCGTGGGCATGCTGCGTGTAGCCGGTTTGTACAACACCCGTTAGCGAGGCAAACAGTTTGGCCCCTGCGATACGACACAGCTTCGGACTGACAAGGAAGGCCCCCTTCCTCGTAAAGCCGGTACTCAGAGTCTTTAAAAATCTTCTTCTAGCCGATTGCTCGAATCCCAAACGCGCAAAACAGTGGCTGGTACGGGAGTCGTATCTCCCGTAGCGAACAGCGTTAGGATCATTTGGAGCTACCCGCGAATCCTCGACCATGGGATCTTCCTGAGTCTCATCTGTTTCCTTTCTTTAATGTCATGACTCTGCGATCCTTTCTACCCCTTTTTCGTTCTCACTGTCATGTTCTCTCATTATTCTCATTTCCATTTGACAATACCCTTGGGAATCGCAGTTGATGTGCCAAGCTGCCAGCTGAATGCATTCTACGCTGAAAGACTGTCGCCCGTGAAAGGACACGAGCGCCTGACATAATATCACGGTGTGTTGCTTCTGCGTACGTTGACCGTTTTGTATGCAGCCATTTCATGCAGGCAAGGACCACAAAGCCCGGCCTGTGGCAGCTTCTGGCACAGACAAGCTTGGTTATCCCTGTGAGCCTCAATGCATGTCGAACGGATAGCAACGCCCGTGGTGCTACTCCAGCTTTGCAGGACCGGCCCCCACGCACATTCCCGAAGATTGTAAGGTCCGTGTCCCGGATCGTCTCAAAGGCAGATAGCTGTCTTTTACGAGCTGTTACTTGCATTCCGTCGCCTCGATGCATCGTCTCCTACTTTCCATTTCTATCGCCTCTCCTGTCTCGGAAGCGCGCGTTTGGTCCGTCTACATGCCGACGGCTAGTGGAGCACTCAGATGGGTGTAGGCATGCCTGCCTACATTGACACAAGGGACACGACATGACGGCCTTGTCTGGCAGAGCCATAAAAAGCCATTTGAACAGCACCCTTCACCGCCAGTTTTTAATATGTATACATAAGAGTCTCAATGGATGGATTCTACTGACCTAGTCTTCACGATCTCTGCACTCTCAAACTACACCAGCAGACAACAAACTTTCGATAGCTTCCTTTACGTACATCATCCCGCACTTCCTACTACGGTAACTCCTTCTGTCCTTTGCTCACCGCGAGCATCTGCGTAATACAACCCAAGTTCATCTCACCTTGCCTATCAACCACTATGTCAAGTAAGCCATACATCACCCACCACCTACTCCTTTTAATTCGCCGTAGCACTATCCTCCCCTCGCGCAGCCCAATACCACCAGCCTACTACCCACCCCCAGTCCACCCCCTCCGACCCCTCTGTCCATCCCTCCTCTATTCCCCCCTTCGTCTACCGCGTCCACCGTGCACGCTCCCAAACCGCCTACGACTTCAGCACCGGCTTCCGCGCCAAAAACCAGACCACCATCATCAACCAACTCTCCCACCTCTCGCGTTTCGGTCTCGCCCACCTCAACCAGCAAACCAACATTTCGTCCCCCTTCATCAGCGTGTATCGCAGCCAGGTCCACGCAGAGGAGGTTGCACGCTACTTTGCGCGGCTATACGACGAGGATACGTGGGTGGTGACGATCGATACGAATCACTTGAGCAGGGGCCCGGTGTTCTGGGCGGGGAACTTGCTCGAGGGACAGGAGATGACGGCGAGCCAGACGTGGTTGCATGAGGGGGAGTATCTCTGTTTGTATCGGATTAGTCCCCAGGCTATTCGGGATCAGACGAGAGTTGTGAGGAAGGAGGCGAGGAGCTATGGTGTTATTGGGGGACGGTGCTGAGGCGGAGATCGCTTCGGAGACAATATGGGGTGGAAGGGATGCAAAGGACAGACATTTGATTGGATGGTCGCTCTGTACTGCTGACAGCATTGATCATGTATGGTTTTATTTCTCACGGCACGTTTTTTTTTCCTTTCTTCTCGCCCTTGTGGGGGCCTTTTGGATTATCCTAACGCGCATGTCTTTCGTTTTCATCACTGTTTCCATTCTGCATGGTGCGGGATATCACCAGGAGCTGCACACTACGCTATTCCACCACGTCGTACTTCCCATTGCCACTAGCAATGGCGAATCCTTCCGAAGTCCTTGTACAACAGAAAAACCCAACACAATTGTTCAGCTGCTTTGCTATGCTGCCAGTGCGGTGACTTCCTACGGCAACGAACAAACGCACCGCTTTACATCCATCTTTTACCCTCCCCGTCCATCGAACCCTCCCATTCCCTCACTGTTCCCCTATTCCCTCGTCAAGCCCACAGAGAGCCTCCATCCTGCCCTCCACTACCCCCTCCAAATGTCCCACCGTCCTCACAACCTCAACCCCAAACTTCTTACACACTAGCTCCACGTTCCCCCTCTTCCAAAAACCCTCCTCACAGCACACCACCATCTTCTCGCCATACAGTGCCGCATACATGCCCAGCTCCATCAGGCTGATCGGACACAAACTGCCAGCCTTGAAGCAAACTACAATCAAGCTGACCTGGGCCGGGTGATGCATTTCCCAGTCCACCTGCTCTTTCCACGGCGCACAGGAGGGCAGTTCCACCCAAGAGGAATCCCAGTCGTCGCGGCGAGGATTCAGGATCTGGATGGGGAGGTCGGAAACGTGGTCGGCGAGATCGGTGGCCCAGTTGGAAGTGGGCGAGGCCTCGATTGTGCCGAAGAGAATGAGGGAGGGTTTTGTCAACGTCGGATATGCGGGTGGGAAGTGGATTGTTGCTCGTTGGGCATTTGAAGAGGACATTTTGTTTGAGTCCTGCAGGATCTAATCGGAGTGCGTGTTGATGTTGTGATTGAGAGAGGCGCAAGGCTGGAGGCTGGTGTAAGCGGCGATGCGAGCTAGCTAGTACGGACACGGCGGGTGGGGCGAGGAAGGTGCATACAGCCTCGCCATGGAGCTTGCAGCCTCTCTTCTTTAGTCTGACCATGTATAGTATATAAACTGGTGAGCTGTGGTTTCAGGCCATTTGGCTGCGATACTCATGTGATGCGGCCTGGCCTCACAGAAAACCAACCCACCTATTCTAGGTGTGCGTCGACGACCGGAAGCTTCTGCTATACCAGCATAACAACATGGTCACCAGCACTGTCGCATGTTTGCCCATATGGCTATTGTCGAGAAACATTGCATCAGGCCGATGCTTAGCAAGTGCAATATTCGATGTCTTACTTTGAAGTACACATACCCGCTTTCTACTCCGATATTTACACTTTGCTCACCATCATACCACTACTCCCCCACTTAGAGTCTGCCAGTCTTCCTCGTAGTTCAGTACGTGTCTTCAGACTTCATGTTTCCATTGAACAAACGTAGCTCTGCTCTATTCTGCGCTCGCAGTTGCATTGCTTCTTGTCTTACCTTACCAGTCTTTGCCAGTTCCTCTGTGACAAATTGAGATCGCACTTCTTTCGGAAAAGGCACATCGCCAAACTTCATATTGTAGAGTCTCTCTGCACACCCGACATGCATGTGCGGTAGCGGGTCACTTTGTAGAACTTCAAAATGCACCCACGCTCCATAGAATAGCAACCGTGACCCTCGCTCTCAAGTCAGACCGACTCAAGTGCCTGACAGAAGGGTAGCTTAGATAGTGATGTAGTGAATTACTTGCTACTACAGATCTTCCGCTGTCTGGTGACCAAGCCGTCTATTTGATATCCTACAGCTCTCCAAGCTCGCGCCGCACGCTTTTCAAATGCCCATCAACGCCTTACGCCATGCCCCCAAAAGACCACAAGATCTATACCAACTTAGCCAACTCTTATACACATTATCTAAACCGATCACTCCACCTGCCACCGCCCGCCTTGACGCCTGCCTTCCTCTCGCTTCCAGAGAACTTCTCTTCCTGGTCTTCCCAATCCTTCCTCTCATTCCTTCTCCTCGCCGAAAACGCCCGCGCGAACCGCCACGCTTCAGTGTCCGCCAAACTCCAGTCTTCCACTTCCTTGACTTTGCCACGCACGGGATCGTCCTTCTTCGCCTTGTGAGATTGCGACAGTACTTCTCGCGCCTTCTTCAGCCTCTCCTCTTCCTTCCTGATCCAGCGCTCTTCCTGCTCTCCCACACCCTCGATGGCCTTGGGCTCGGCGGGGCGTGGGAAGATGATGAGTTCGGAATCCTTGGAAGGGGAGCTGGGTTCCTTGTTAGGGGAAGCGGACTGCGGGAGATTGAAGCCGAAGATCCATTCAAGGTCTGCTTGGGTGGTGCGCTCTGCGGTGAGCCAGAGCGAATGCGAGGCTTTTCGGAGGGAGGCGACCTCTTCTTTGAAAAAGAGAACACGGTAGAGCGCACTGTGGCCGGGGCCGAGGAGTTCCTTGGTGAGAGCTGTGAGCCAGAGGTCGCGTTCTGCCTCATCGGTGAGGAACTTCGCGTCGATGTCTTCGCGTGTGTAGTGCAGCGAGGCTAGGGTGTACGGGTGGGGTACACTGCCGATGGAGTATTGCTTGGTGGCGTTCTTGAAACCAGGAACAAGCTTGAAGGGGAAGGGCTTGTTCGGGTCGCACGGCTTGCACTTCTGGCGGTTTGGCGGGCAGGACTGGGGCATCGGAGAGCTCGGGCATTGGGTGAGGTTACGCCCAATCTCAATAGCCGTGTACGTCAGGGCGGTCGTGTGTTCCGGAAGCGGTTTGACGATGGCGATGCCATCCGGATGTGTTTCCTGGAAAGTCAGGTGCAAGTGCGAGTTGATCAGGTCAGCAAGTAGCTCGAGGCCTTCCACCTGGGTAGTGTTTGAGAGTTTATCCCGGACGGTCTTGTACTTGTTGTTAACAACGTCCTGGTTGTAGTATGCCAATCCATTTGCTTTCTTGTCCACCGCAACGTCAGCCGAAAGTAGGTTGACTACCATGCCTCCATCTTGTACAGCCAACTTCGCAATCTTGTCCTTGTTCGCTGGAACATCCTGGAGAAGTTTGTTGTTGATGGCTTGTTGGATCGCTTCGTCAACAGCAGCAGAATCGCCGAAGAAGATACCGTTTTGCAGTGACTCCACGCGAGACAGTTTTGGAAATTCATTGCGCCTGAGGAAGCTGATCATGGGATTGTCGAATTGCGCCATTGGCAAGGTCAACCAATTGGCGAGGATGCCGCCGCCCTGCTTCGCCCACGCAAGCCATCGAAAGAGCTCCAGCTCCATGCTCGGTTCGAGCTTCATGCGCTGCACCATTTCATATTGCGGCCCCATGGCGTCTTTGTGGTTGAGCACGATTGGCTTGAAGCCCTGCGCCCACCATGCCCGTCGCCATGCCAGAATCAGTCTGTTCTCTGCCTCTGTCACCTTCTTGTCCTGCTTCGACTTGGGCTCGTAGTAGGTGTATATGGGTGGGCGATTCGCAAGCGGCGGAAGCACGACGCGGCTCTCGTCGAGAGCAACTTCTTTGGAGAAGAAAGTGTGCCACTTGAAGTCGGTGAGCCACTTGATGGCACCGTAGGAGCTGGACGCAGTGCTGTTCGCTTGTTCCGGCGGCTTGTGAGCAGGCGGGCTGAAGATGTCTGGGACCGGTAGGTCGCCAATGTTGGGGAGTTTTGGAAGCTGCGGCAGCTCGGTGGGCAGCTTTGGAATGTGGTCCTTGATGTCGGAAAGATCGGGCAGATCAGGCAAATGCGGGTCTTTGACGGCGTCTTTGACTTGCTCGTATGTAGGGATGCGGTCTGCAGAAGGCGCGCCAAATGCGTATATGGTGGCTATGAACAGGATGACGAAGACGACGAGCAACTGGAAGCGGCGCGGAGGCAGGCGCAGCGCAAGCGGCTGGCCGAAGAGAGTTCGTTGGACAGGCATGGCGGCCGGGGACGGCGCAGAAAGGACAGACAGCGGACAGGCAGTTATCGCGACATGGGACCGGGCGGTGGCACCGTGTCGTGGACGTGTGCGTCTGTACGAGGCCGCTTCCAGGGCGGTGTTGCAAGCCCCTAAGCTACGCGTACGTACGGATAACGGCAGCGGCGCGCCGTGCTTTTTAGCGCGAAGGAGCGATTGGCAAGAGGTCGGCGGACACGGAGTGACCAGACTTGTGAAGCGACGCCGTGTCAGCCCGCAGGACAATGAGCGGACGCAGATAGAATCGCACGACGCCCCTCACGCCGCCCCTCTCCTCTGCATGGGTGGCTGTCTAGGGTCCTGTCGTTGGTAGGGCTGAGGCGGGCCGGCGAAACACCGACCCCAGGATTCTGGCGCGCGGGAGTGCCCACTCAGTTGATTCCGATGTCGCATGGGTCGCTAAATTTCTCGAGGTCCCGCACCGCGTCATTCTCGTGCCCAATGCTCCTCGGGTGCACGCGCGGTCGGAGTCATACCTCCAGTTGCCAACTTGTGTCCACAGACTCTTGCAACTTGACCATTCCTGCATCACTCACGTTGCAGTGCCGGCGCTTCCTCTGAGCGTCTTGAGCTCCCCGCGGACACGCGACCCCTCCACCCCACCAGTCACCAAGGCGGCACACTGCCATTGAGCGCAACCATGAGCTCAGTGACCAAGGGCGAGATCCCGGATCCCACGGCGGACCTGCATTGGTCCGACTTCAAGGGGCCAATCCACGACATCTTTGCTGCGAACGCCCGGCGGCATCCCGACCGGCCCTGCGTTGTTGAGACGGCCACCAGCAAGACGCCCGAGCGCAGCTTCACGTACAAGCACATCTCCGAGGCCACGGCGATACTGGCACACCACTTTGTGCACAATGGCATACAGCGCGGCGACGTCGTCATGATCTTCGCCCACCGCGGCGTGGATCTGGTCGTCGCCATCATGGCGGTTCTCGCTGCCGGAGCCACTTTCTCTGTCCTGGATCCTCTGTAGGCGAGCGTGCTCAATGGCCTGGGACTGCCACTAACAAATCGACAGATACCCTCCGGACCGCCAATGCATCTATCTTGAAGTCTCCCAGCCCCGTGCTCTCGTCGTAATCGATAAAGCAATTCAGGAGGCCGGCCCTCTTTCCGACCAGGTGCGCAGTTACATCGCTGAAAACCTCGATCTTCGGACCGAAGTCCCAGGACTGCAACTTCGGGACGACGGGACGCTAGTCGGTGGCCAGAAAGACGGCAAGGATGTGCTGGACGGCCAACAACAGCTCAAGGCGGAATTGCCAGGTGTCTTGGTTGGTCCTGATTCGACCCCTACCTTGTCCTTCACATCGGGTTCTGAGGGCAAGCCGAAGGGCGTCAAAGGACGTCACTTCTCCCTGACACACTACTTCCCCTGGATGGCTGAGACCTTCGGGCTGTCAGAAAACGACAAGTTTACCATGTTGTCGGGTATTGCCCACGACCCGATCCAGCGCGATATCTTCACGCCTCTTTTCCTAGGCGCTCAGCTACTGGTACCTAGCAAAGAAGATATCCAGCATGAGAAGCTCGCAGAATGGATGCGCAAGTACGGCGCAACAGTGAGCCACCTGACCCCAGCCATGGGCCAGATTTTGGTTGGAGGTGCTTCGGCTATCTTCCCAAGCCTGCATCACTCATTCTTTGTCGGCGACTTGTTGATCAGGAGAGATTGCAGAAGGTTACAGAATCTCGCCCCCAACGTCCGCATCGTGAACATGTACGGAACCACCGAGACCCAAAGAGCTGTGAGCTACTACGAGTTACCCAGCGCGACCGAGGCACCCGAATTTTTGGACACCCTCGGCGAGGTCATCCCAGCCGGACGCGGAATGAACAATGTCCAACTATTGGTCGTAGACCGAGAGGACAGGAACAAGATCTGTGAGCCAGGAAAAAGCGGCGAGATTTACGTACGTGCTGGTGGCCTGGCAGAAGAGTACTTGGGCCTTCCTGATCAGACGTCTACAAAATTCGTGGATAACTGGTTTGTGGATCCTAGCAGATGGGTTCAGGAAGACAAGAAGAAAGTAGAAGCCCAAGGTACGGCAGAGCCCTGGCGGGAGTTTTACAAGGGACCGCGAGACAGATTATACCGCTCTGGCGATCTGGGTCATTACGGACCAGATGGTAACGTCCATTGTACGGGACGTGTCGACAACCAGGTCAAGATCCGAGGTTTCCGTATCGAGCTTGGAGAGATTGATTCTCACCTTGCCGCGCATCCGTTGGTTCGTGAGAACGTCACCCTGCTGAAGCGTGACGCTTACGAGGAACCAACGCTCGTCAGTAAGTTGCAAATACCAACCACACAGACAGCCCTTCTAACATTGTAGGCTACATCGTTCCCGAGATGAAGCGATGGTATGACTGGCTTGAAGAGCGAGGTGTGACCGAGAGCTCCAGCGATGAAACGGACATGGTGGCGCTGCTGAAGCGGTTCAAATACCTTCGGGACGACGTGCGAGAGCACCTTAAGAAGAAGCTTCCTGCATATGCCGTTCCCTCTACAGTTGTTCCTCTCATTCGATTCCCGCTCAACCCCAACGGCAAAATCGATCGACCCGCCCTTCCGTTCCCAGAACCAGCACAGCTCGCTGCCGCTGGCGCGAGGAGACCTTCTCAACTCGGCACGGCTCTGACCCCGACTGAGAAGCTCATGGCCGGGATCTGGGCTGACCTCCTCAGCGACCGTGGTGTTACTGCCGACACCATCAGTGGCAGCGATTCATTCTTCGATCTCGGAGGCCACAGTATCGTTGCACAGCAACTGTTCTTCAGAATCCGACAACAATGGAAAGACATCGATGTTCCTATGAGCACCATCTTCCAGTACCCAACACTTCGTGGCTTCTCGTCGAGTATCGACCAAGCGCAAGATCCCATCGGTCTCCGTCTCGACACGGCGGAGGCGATTGAGGATGAGCCTGAAGATGAAGATTACTCTGCTGATGCTAGAGATCTAGCTAAGCAACTAAGTGATTTCAAGACCAAGGAGCCTCTGAAACCTGGGCAAGAGATCCATACCTTCCTTACGGGCGGCACTGGGTTCTTGGGTGCATACATTTTGAGAGATCTGTTATCGCGTCCAGGAAAAGTTACTGTGCTTGTACGAGCGAAAGATGCAGATGCTGCACTCGGTCGCATACAACAGACATGCCAAGCATACGGCATCTGGGACGCCTCATGGCAATCGCGCATCACAGCACTCGTCGGCAACCTTGAGTCATCAAACTTCGGCCTTGCGCCGGACGTCTGGAACCAGCTTGCTGATTCAATTGACGTCGTCATCCACAACGGTGCGCTTGTGCACTGGGTATTGCCATACTCCAGGTTGCGCGCCCCTAATGTCGAAAGTACCATGACTGCATTGTCGCTCTGTGCGGTTGGCAAAGCCAAGAACTTCGCCCTGGTCAGCTCCACCTCAGTCTTGGATTCCGACTACTATGTCAAATTCTCAGAAAAGAGCCTTGCCGAGGGCGGCGCTGGTGTCCTCGAAGAAGACGACATGGAAGGCTCGCGCAAAGGTCTTGGAACGGGTTACGGTCAGAGCAAGTGGGCTGCTGAGTACTTGACCAGGCAAGCAGGCAAGAGGGGACTCAACGGAACCGTCATCCGCCCTGGATACGTGACAGGAGACCCCGAGACGGGCACCACCATCACCGACGACTTCCTCGTCCGCTTGTTGAAGGGCTGCGTCCAGCTCAAGTCTCGACCAGACATCAACAACACCATCAACATGGTGCCAGTAACGCATGTTGCGCGCGTGGTCGTCGCATCATCACTCAGTCCGCCTGCATCGCCCATCGGCGTCGCGCAGATCACCTCGCATCCGCGCATTACGATCAACACGTTTGTCGGCGTCCTCGAGAAATACGGTTACCACGTCCCTCAAGTGTCGTATGCCGAGTGGAAGAAGAACATGGAAGCGTACTGCGCGGACCAAAGCGGCGCAAAGGAGGAGCACGCTCTTCTCCCGCTTTATCACTTCGTGACGGGTGACCTGCCCGCGGACACCAAGGCGCCCGAGCTTGACGATCGCAACGCAGCTCAGGCGTTGAAGAAGGATGCCGAGTGGACGAGCCAGGACTGGAGCGCCGGTGGCGCCGTGACTGAGGACACGGTTGGTGTGTACGTGAGCTACCTCATTGAGCTTGGGTTTATGCCGAAGCCGGAGGCTAAGGGTGCGTTGGAGCTGCCCCAGGCGAGGCTGACGGAGAGTATGAAGGAGGGTATGGCGAAGGTTGGAGGACGCAGGGGCGTGTAGCTGGGTTGCGAGTCTTCAAGTAAAATAGTATCATGTGTGACGAATAGCTAAGCGCTTGGATAGATAAAAGGGCGGATCAGTATTTGGTAAGACTAGATAAATTGTCTTGTTTCTCACGCACAACAATGATCCGCTGGATGTATGGTGGCGTCAACGCGCTTACTCGCTATTCTGCCGCGGCTGTTGAAACAATTGTCGGTCCCCACTCGAGTTGTAGCAATTCACGCGCGGTGAGCTATCTCGAAGAATTCTGCGTCGAACTTCGGTCCCATCCAGTGCAATTGAAAGACAGGATAGCCGTCGCTCTGTAATGTCTCTCTTGAAAGCTTAATGAATTATTCTACCTACATTGCAAAGACAATAAAATACCAGAATGACAACTCTATGTGCCGGCGTTTCTTCGGCGCATACAAATTGCCGCCACGTTCGCCGCGCTCGCCGCGTTCGACGGGCTTTGTAGATGCCGTTCGTGGAAGGTTGGCTGAGTAATGCGCGGCCCAACGACGTCGTCACTGCCGCGGCCAAAACTTCAGCGGGCCCGCGAAGCCGCCGTCGCATACCTACAATAACCACCCTCGTCCTAGATCACCACCAGAGAACTGCACAATGGCAACACCCTCAATCTCACGATCCGCGCTGCGCGCAGTAGTCCGCGCGACTCCGTCACTCCGACCACAGAGCACACGAGCTGCATCCCGCTGTCTGCACCAACGCGCCACACCCATCTCATCCTCGCCGCTGCACCAAAGACCGCGAGTCCAGCAATGGAGCCCCAGCGCGCCCCTCGCCGGCACCCGCCAAGAAAAGCGCACAATGTTCATCCAGACTGAATCCACTCCCAATCCCGATGTCCGTCCACCTCCCCGTCCATTTCTCTCCTACCGCCCGCTAATCCTCACCAGGCCCTCAAATTCAACCCCAACCAGCGCGTCCTCCCCGACACCATCTCCTCGGGCTCCCTCGAATACCTCTCCCCGCGCTCCACCCTTGCGCCGCCCCACCCCTCCCCCCTCGCCGCCCAGCTCCTCAACATCGACGGTGTAACCTCCGTCTTCTTCGGCGTCGACTACATCACCGTGACCAAAGACTCTGCGACCCCCTGGGCGCATGTCAAGCCCGAGGCTTTCGCCATCATAAACGAGTACATGGTCTCAGGCCAGCCCACCGTCAACACCGTCGAAGACCGCGCCGGGGAAGCCGGACAAGGCGGCACGGAGACCGACTCCCTCGCATACAGCGAAGATGACGACGAAGTCGTCGGCATGATCAAAGAGCTATTGGAAACCAGGATCCGCCCCGCGATCCAGGAAGATGGCGGGGACATTGAGTTTCGCGGGTTCACCGACGGGCAGGTGCTGCTGAAGCTGCGGGGCGCCTGTCGCACGTGCGACAGCAGCACCGTGACGCTGAAGAACGGGATCGAGAGCATGCTGATGCACTATATAGAGGAGGTGCAGGGCGTGCAGCAGATTATGGACGAGGAGGAGGAGGTGGCGTTGAAGGAGTTTGCCAAGTTTGAGGAGAAGCTCAAACAGCAGAAGGGGCCGGATGCGGTCAAGGGGACCGTGGGGAAGGGGAGTTTGGACTTTGTCGAGTAGGAGGATGAGGAGGTTCATTGAATAGAAGGAAGGTGCGTTGGGTACGGGGTTCTTTCTCGATGAGATTGAAGAGATGATCCATCTACGTCTGCAATCATTTGGCGTGAGCAGGAGCTGGATTCCTCTGCAGCAGCCTTCGCTCCTAGTCCAATCTGTAATATATACACCAGCATGCATATACAAGATAATGAAGCTATGAGCCACACCTGTTCCGCTCCTTCCCTTCGACTGTCCAGTGCCCCAACCCTGTATCCGCATGGGCAAAAAGAAGGCAGTTTAGAGAGGGGGCACGCCAGGAATCGAACCTAGATCTCGTCCCACCAGGCAGCGGGTCTTACGACAGCCGCTGGTATAAGTACACGCCCAGCCACTGGACCACCACGAACCCTTAGCTTGTTGATGATGGCCATTACGTGCCGGTCATCATACATATGGGAGTCGTACTCTGCTCCAGGCGCTTTTCTCGCGCCCGTTCTTGTGACAGCCTCTTGAACTGTGCGTACAAACAGACGGGCAAACGACTGGAAAAGGGGGGTTCCAGACCGGAGAAAAGGATAGCCTTGCAGTTTTGGGAGGCTACGCAGTGGTAGGAGCGGAGCGAGGGAATCTAGCGTACCTGCCGTCTTTCCCGTTGCTCCTTGACCGAGCGAGGAGTGTGCGAGCGTTGCATTTGGAGACTTTGGTCGAGTCTCTAGGCGCGAGGTTTGCTGCCGTGGCTGGAGGGGAGCGACGCAGGAACGTGACGCGTGAAGTGGGCTCCCGTACCTGAGTAGATGGGGAGGAGCGGACTTTGCAGCAACATGTGATTTTTTTTATTGTTATTATTATTTTTCTTCTTCTTGATTGTTTTTTTTTTTTTTTTGGATTCGCAACGTGTGCGTTATGAGATCACGCACGCGAAAGACAGGCACTATCTATACCACTGACAGGTTAGTCATGTAGAGAGCCGCGGCGAAGATGGATGACAGTTGGTGGTCAGTTGGGAAGGAAAGGTTATACAGTAACGGTGGACTTTATTTCCGGTAAGTATAACTGGATGGGAGGGTGCGTTGGAGATTGCATCCGGGGATGTTATTGGATGGAGACAAGTGGTAAGATGCACATGGCTGTATGCATGTCCTGGTGAAGACTAATCCTGCCTTGAATCTTTGCGATGGATCCCAATTGACTGCAGCAGAATTGGATCGTGGTATATGAGTGTTGGTGATTGCGCTTTATAGCATGACATCACAATTAGTCGGGCCTCGTGTTCACGATATTAAATTTACGAAAGAAGCTTATTTGCTGTTTTGGGACCGAATGGACTCGAGCATCGAATAGGACTGTACAATTCCTGTGAGCGGTGAATGAAAGCTTCAGTCGCCAAAGTATAGGAATAATTCTGACCAAGACATTAGATCAGGAACAAAAAGATGTATATTACGAGAGTGAACGGCGCGGGCTTGGTGTGAGAAATTGAGGTAGCAACCAGGGTTGAACCTGCTGTTAGGTGTAAGTGTGTTGGATCGCTGAGGTTGATGGCACGGCCTCGATATGGCTAGTGCGCTCTTTCAACCCTTCATCAACGGAGTGCTGTGCTCTGCTAGTTCTCGGTTATGCGCAAGTATAGCAGACATGTCGAGGTGCAAGTTCTTAGCAGTTCCGGTCAACACGTCCATTGGAGCGCTCGCCTCAATAGGCATGCCCCGCTCAGCCTCAATCTTGCATCCACGACAACCAAAACCCCACAGGAACCTCACGTTTCTTCCGATCCACTCATTTTACCCCCTCCCCTGTTACTCTGAAGATGACAACTCTCCCGCCTCCTAACGGCTACACAAAACTCGCCTCACTCCTAGGCAGTCATCCTGACCTCGCCATCTTCCGCCGCTTCGGCAGCCTCAACGCCAAAAATCTGCTCTACATGCAGGCCGAACTCGTCAATTTAGAAGGTAAATTGCAGCGCGCTATTGAAGCGGATACTGCGTCTGGACATGTAGACCGCGTAATCTACGATCGTGATTGGCAGTCCCTTGCGGAGAGTGGTGGCGCGCCCGATGGATGTGGGGAGCAGTGGGAGGTGGTGTTGAGGATCAGGGAGAAGTTGAAGGAGTATAATGAGGCGCTATTGCTCCAGACCATGCTTGCGAAACAGAGTGGCCCGCTTGACCGCGATATGCAGTTCTTGCAAGAGTGGATCAAGCGACCTTCTATGGGATATGTTTACTTGCTGGGCGCCGACGCGGATGTATGGGAGAAGCCGGATCTGGCAGATCTGGTAGTACTGAAGCGTCCCGAGCGGCAAAGCACAGCATCACGCGTGGTTGGAGACTTCGTGGTGCTGTGGTGGAACAGGATCTTTAGAAAAAAGAAGCAGGTAGAGAACTTCTGGGGCTTTGACTTTCTAGACGCTCTACTGACCGTTTGTAGCCCGTAACGGACAGTAACTACACAAATACCGTCATTTATTCGGACAGCACGTTGGCAAAGGCCAGTGCCGTCGTGGGCTCTGCATGTGCTTCGACACTGCCAGTGCTGGCAATTATTATTTTATACACGGTGAAAAGCATGTCGAGACGTTTGGCGGTCATCACCCTGTTGACACCGTTGTTCTCTGCTGCTCTAGGGATCTTTTCTAGTGGACGGGCAATCGAAAACTTTGCAGCCACAGCCGCGTAAGTAATGAAGATTACCATCAAGCTATGCTGGACTAATGAGAACTAGATTCGCTGCTGTACAGGTGGTGTTTGTTGGTGCAACATCATGAGTACGACCGGACAAATGGAATCTCTCATTGTGCATTATATCCCTTTGTCATACGCATAGCGTAGCAGAACTCGTATCGCTGGTCTGTGAGATAGAACTTCATGCGTTTTCAAAACGAGCTCTTGAGGAATGACTATCTCGATTGCCTGGTTCAATATTGAATCCGCTGTATCAAATCATGTGATGAACACATGAGAATTCTTGCACGATGATGTGGTGTAGCATCTTTTGAATCTGTGCTAATATGGTATCATTCAGGATACTACGGCGGTTTGGTACCCAAATTTGATGTAGATGTGGCTTGGGCTTGTCGACGCTGTTCCAAAGCCGCTTGCTCCCGGCGACGTTGGTCCTCTGCTGATTGTTGAGACGTCATTTCACCTGCTAAACTATCAGCGTATGAAACGAAAGTCGCCGTTTTTGCAGACGTACGTACTCTGGCTGGGACCGCCATATGACAACAGAGGGTATAGGTTACTCAGGTTAAAGTCTTGGAGAATCCCTTTTTCCTTGAGATAACTGTGCCCTAGAATCACGTCTGCATGCCCCGGATCGTTTCTTGGGAGAACATAGCATTGACAGTCATTGTAACGACTTCCTCCTGGCAGTTTGAAGGATATTTGTACCATCTGTGAGCTATTTATGGGCCCATCGGCTGAACTTACTGCGACTGGCGTTGTTTGAATCGGCTGAATTCGTAACCTTCCGAGCAAGTTCTGTGAAATCCAATTGTGCTGATCAGAGCCTGTGTCGAACACAGCGACAGCTCGTACGGGCGTACTTGCATGGTGTACCGCGATGTCAATATCCTGCCTATTTGACTAGTTGCCTTGTTATAAGAGAATCTATCTTAGAATGATTTCGCTTCCATACCTGAGAAGTGTTCGCAGGAGCCGAGTAGGACCGGGAAGGGTGCTCTGGACGGGGCGCATCGGGGGTGTATGTAGGCGGCGGGCTCGAATATTGCGCTGAGCCAGATGTCGGTGTGGGGCTGGAGTATTGCGGAGCTGACTGTGTAGTCGGGGCTGTGCTGTCCCTTCCCCATGTGTATCTCGCAACGCTTCCGTCCGCTGGCCGGAAATCGTTAGTTGAGGGAGTGGCTTCGTAACAAACCGGGTTCCACTCACCATCGTAGACAGCTTTATACCAGTCTCGATGATCCTGCGACCAGGCCCAGGCCGATTCAATTTCCTGAGTAGTCACCTGCGGAGTGGGGTTTGTGGTTTCACGTGCCCATACGTATCTTACAAGACTACCATCCGCTGGCCGAAAAACATGAGTCATTGGTATAACTAGCAGACCAGATCATACTTACCATTATATACAGCTTTATAATAGTCTTGATGCTCCACTGACCAGAACCAGTCAGAGTCCCGGGACATTGTAAACACAGAACGCTATTGATAGCCCAAACCCTGCCGGCTTGTGTACTACTTGACTCGCATATCCGGACACTGCAGATAGCAATGCTTGCAGCCCTGACCAGAAAATGGTCCCAAGGCGACACGGCGCGCAAAATCGACAAAGTCGAGGATTGAGAAGCAGGCGGTTTGCGGGGTAGCTTACTTGCCCTCGCGGCTCAGCCTTTTGGGGGCCGGCCGAGGAACAACTAGAAGTTCCGATGGTCAGATGATTCATGTCGCACGAGTTCAGCCTTGCAGGTACGAGACGCACGGTGATTGCCAGCCGAACACATCGACAGAGGAAGGTATCAAAACTATTAGCATCGCATATACACAAATGCCACAATGTGTTGGACATGCCTCAAAATGCTCACAGAAGGCGCCGCTGCGAGTACTAAGGATTGACTTCCAACACAATACCAGCGGAGGCGAATTGCATCTCACGTCGCCTACAGTCTTGCAAGGCCAACATTTGGACGAATGCATGGTCGGTTACGCGAGATTAGACTCAGTACCGTCCTGAATAACTGACTATACACTTACTGAGGGAAAATGAACGACTGCCATAGGTAATCGTCACCTACCCATTTCTTAACAACACACCAAGGATTACCTACAGTACCATGCATATATGCACCGGAAGAGCTCCACGTCCGAGTCATCATTCTAGGTTCGCATAGTTCCTAACAAAGATTGTGCTTTGTGTTGAACAACGATGTGTTTTGACTGGATCTCATCGACATCCTAATTCCATATGCATGGATAGCAGAATACAACGTGATGCTCTCGTAACCTTGTGAAGTGTCGCCGGATATCCTGCAAGGTATAAATTCTGCCCATCTAAATAAGATAATTGGAAAGTCGTCTATGTTCTCAAGAATACAAATGCCCCTTCAAGATACAACCCTAATGCAGTTTTCTGGAGAGCACATCGTTAAAGACCTGTATCACTGACTGATACAGGTGCGCACTTCACGCAAGCCTCACGACCATCACTAATCAGACAAATACAGCCTCATCACGATGTATCACTCACTTACCTATCTCAAGCCATTTTCTCGAGGACGCTCTCAAAGCTCACACCCGCAGCACCGCACCTGCGCTCACGGAGAGACCTCTCCCGATGTATCCTCCACTGTGTCACCACAACTCCACTCTACACCGCGGCGAATATATCGGTGGCGAAACGTCCCGCGGCGTAGGGCCTCGGCAGAGGAGGACGAACGCAGCTACTATGGGTAAGTTTCAGGAAAACGACGGGGAGAAAGGGAGAAAAAGAAAGATATGGTGGCGCTGTTCTTCCGCATATTCGTATAATTTCAATTCGGGGATACGCGCATGTAGGAGTAATGTATGTGACACTTCTCGCAGCGTGAACTGAACGACGAATGCACTGCGACGCAATACAATGACATCACCCCCACCCCCATCTCGCACGCATATCTTCGCATAAAGGGGTCGCCAAAACCAGCACCCCCATCCTCCCACGTCGCGCAGCCCGATCGACCGTGTCACCGCCTAGCCTCAGCGCCCAAGCCCAGCCCAATACACCACCCGCCATGCCCATTGTCATCCCTATAATCCCCTCATGCGCACCGCTCCCAACGGAGCCGTCGTGTTACCAAGCCATAACCGCGTGCTAACGACATACTTCCCCATTCTGCGACGCCCGTGCCTGGCGCTGGCGTGGCTGCAAACCGCTACGCTCAGACCACCTGAGTACCTGCTCGCGGAAAGACAGACAGACGAGAACATGCGTGCGTGAGCGTGCCAGTGCGCACATCCATGTCACTGTGCTGCCAATGCCGCCTTCTAGACTTTTCGCGCGGCCCGGCGGCCTGGTTGGGTGCGAGTGAAGGATGGATCAGGATGCCAGGCACGTAGGAACACCGCGCTATCGAGGCGGCCATGTACGAGGCTTATTGTTAGAATAAATAGAAGAGGGAGAGCATGGCATGAGTGCCGTGCCTCCGGCGAATGCATGCAACGCAAGGGAGGCAAACAGGCCAGCGAGCCTACGCTGCGGCCACTAACGCACCTGTCCTGTTCCGGTGGGCGAGCCGCTGCCATAACGAGAGGGCATGCAGAATCCAATCGGTCTCGAGCAGACGGTGCGACCCCAGATCGCAGACCGCGAGACCTTCCAGAAGCAAGTCTGGTGCAGGCAGCTCCCTTCCCGTCGGTCGCACGTCGTCACACCTGTCCCGGTGATGCGCCGATTGCGCAAAGCGCGCATCGTTGACGCTGTGAAACCTCCATCTCGCATGTGGTCTTGCTTGGGCCACGCCATGTGAATTGGACGCGGATCCTTAGCTGTTACCCCCATTACATGGATGGTCACGGCATGGCTTGCCGGAGATTGACGTACAGGGCGGCGTTGACTCCATACCCACACAGTGTCCTTTTCGGGGTTTGATCGCAGTGCTGGTGGATGAGGTGATCCACCGAAAGCGACGGTTTTGGGCTAATAGTGAAAGATGACAACGCTCGTGTGATGAGCAAATGGTCGCTGGACGTCTGACGCGATGTTAGAAGGCAATGGTTACCTGAGGTTCGAGGCCAAGCGGTGAGCAAAAAGTGCCGAAATGCGTATACGCACACGCGCACCCATCAAGTAGGTACTCTATCCAAGCACCTCCTGTAAACGAATCTGCAAGATCTTAAAGAGGAGACTGGTTAGCTGAAGGGGCAGTTGCATTGAATCAGCTCCATGAAAAGAAAGCTTGGTGCGACTCTCTCCTGTCAGATCTGCCCAGGTAGTCCCAGCCCGCGGAATCGGTACAGTGCGTGCCGCGAGCGTTGGGTCGGCCCGTGGCCGTAGCCGGATGAACGCGGAGATGAGGGAAAGGATTGCTGTTCGCCAGACCGCGTAAGACGGCTGATCGACACCATTACGCTTTCAACACCGAAGCAGGTTAATCCATGGCTATAACTCACTATTTGGTAAGGGCTCGTAATTTCAGTCCGCATTTAGGATCCTGTTTCGTGACCCAAGACGGATGAGGAGCCATCCTCCAGACCAGAATGTGCAGTGTCTTGCTCACCCAAGATCCAGCTAGTGGAAGGTGGTCGACTAAGTGATTATTTGTGCCACCGAAGGGCATATCGAAAGGAAAATCGAAAAAGCATCTCTGAACTTTCTTAGGACAGCACCGAGGCCTTCCGATGTCCGTGCTGGCGGCTTAAGCAGGTGGCACAGCATCTTCCCCTAGTACCCAAAGCTGAGTTCGGTGAATTATTCACTATCAACTTAGCATGACAAGGAAGGTATCAGTTTGCATGAGGAATTGGACAATCAATAAACGACAGGGCAACAACGATCTTACCTACACGTTCCCTACCAATGATGCCTTTAGCTTGAAGCGCACGAACACCCTTCAGCCACCCGATTCCGATTCCTTCGAGGCCCGAGCAGCGTCAGTGTTCCACTCACCTCAGCCTCAGCAAAAAACAAATGACTGTGCCAAGAATTAGGCGGAAGCGGGGAGGACCGCTGTGCCCTAAAACCTCACGCGCCCCATAATTCCAGAGCCTGGTTGTCCCTTTCCCAGAAGCCGGTGCGGAGGTCAGCGTCGCGTCATCGTATTGAATATGAGTATCCGGATAAACGCAACTGTGAACGAAGCTCGTGCAGCCGCAGGACACTCCAAAGAACAGTGGGATCGATTTTATGTGAGGCTCTGAGCAGAGCGACATAATTCGTGTGGCGAGCTGACGGGCGAAAGTTCATAACTAAGGATGAGGCTAAGCAACTTTCCGAAGCGCATCCAGACTGGACAAGATGGATCCTCATCCCCGCCAACGAGAAGGACATGATGCTGCAGCGCATCAATGGTCGATTGACTGCAGAGGGCATACCGCCGGTCGAGATGATCATTCTGAAGTGGAGAGTTTCCCAGCTCTTGCGGGACATTCAGCGAAAATATGGTACGTCGTGCGTATCCCCGCCTTTATATGTGCTGAGCTGTCGCTTGCATATGCGCATGCAACCGAACATAGCTAATCATGTTGAACGCTTAGCCGAAGGCAGCATGATTTCCGGGATGGGAAGTTCGACTTCTAGTTCGCAGGCGCAAGCCGAGAGTAGCACGCAGCAAGCGCAAAGTCCCCAGCGATCCGAGTCCTTACCGAGTGAAACGAGACCTTATGATCCTATCCGCGATGTATAAACGAAGAAGGAACCAAGAGATACGGAAGGATACTTGCCACGTCTTCGCTCAGCGTCGCAGCTCGAAGAGCGAAGTACCAGCTTTGCACCTAGGACGCGTGTATTTGTACGGCAAGAGAATTGAGGCTGATGCGACACCTGGAAAGACACGCGCGACATGCAACAAAGAAAGATGAAACCGGTCTTTTCGCACCGCTTCCGTGGAGAACGCCAGAGAACAAGCGGCCAAAGACATAGCCCGTGTCTTTGAGGATGGTGTGAAGGAGTGGATAAGCAAGAGCCGCAGACGACACCACGGCTTGGTCACACCAGTAGTGCTGGTTAAGGTGGTCGTTGTACAAAGAGCCCCGGTGCGTAGCCGGAGGCTGGAACCCAATGTTTGGTACCCCGTAATTCTCAACCTGCCATCCTCTCTTCAGCCTCAATGTCACCCTTTATCTTTTTTGTTATTGGAAGGTTTCAATCGGGGCTCGAGGTTCGTGGGTGTGAACATTGATACCCTGGACGAAGCGATTTCGCGCCAACGTTCTTAGCAAACAGCTCACCATTGTCTTAGATTTCCCTAGAAATCGCAATCTAAGTCATTGCATTCCCGTATTCCTAACCGTTGTAGCCCCCGGTATTTCTTTGGATTCCCAGACCCTGTGTATCGGTATGCAAGTGCGGACATGAACAAGAGTTGCAGCATACACTTGAAAACCTTTGGTGGGGCTCGTCGATGGAAGCCGAAGGCGCCAGCAGGCCGAAGAGGCTGTGCTCAAGGCGGAAGCATTGGCGGCTGCGTTGTCTCAAGGCCTCAGCGGGCTGTTCGGCGGCAGGAGAATCCTACGCATTTCGAAATGACAGGCGTCGGAAAAGAGGTCAAGATAAGACAGTCAACACGCGGGAACTAGGCGGTTAGTCCCTAGGATGATGGCAGGAACTAACCGTCGGTACCAAACTTTACGATCCGGAAGCCTCATCCCTGCCGAAAGTCATCGAGTCATTCCTGCCACGTGGTGGACCTCCTTCCAGACTCGCAGCCATGTCTGGCCGCAGCCATTGGCAGAAGATGTGCAGCTGGTGGGCATGGAACATAGCCCGTCCTTCTGGGGGTATGCCTCAGGCACGCTGAAAGTGCACCGCCGGATACTCTTGTGCAGCCGCGGAGGATGGTACACCACTCCTGATTACTTAGAAGGCAAATGCATACACTCGAGCACGTATTTCAAACCGCAAGGGGCACGCTGGGCTTGGTATGTTTTCTGCTACAACAGGAGACTGTACGAATGGTCTCTTAAGCCTTTTTCTTCACGTGAATCACTGTGACATGTGCATATAACGGGATGCCAAGATCCCCATTATTTCACAGTGTTTAGACTGATACTGTATAATCCGTGCAGAGACCGGTAAGGACATGTGATCGATATCATCAATTCGTGCTTTTCTATTATTCGTGTCACGTCGCCTATGCTGCCATGCCAAAGCCGGCCTCGATGCCTGCCGCTTTGAAGGCCTTTGCCTTGCGTGCTTCCGACGCCTTCTTTTGGTTTCTCTGAGCATTTGCCAGCTCTCTCACCTCCTCTTCAGGCGCGAATTTTACGCCTTTGGGTTCGTCTTCCCGGTCGAGGTCGACGGTTGCACAGATGGTTACGTTTTCACCGCGGATGGTCATGAGGCCGGGAAGTTTGACGTCGCAAATGAGCCACTTCGGAGTTGGGGTGTCGGTTGATGCTTCGGGGTTACGGGCTGCTATCCTTTCGGAGCATTCGGTCAGGACAAGATTTGCTGCTTCTGTCAGGAAAGTAACGCCAGGGCTGTGACTGACACACCGAATTGATCGTAAGACCGTAGAATGCCTATGTATTCCTTCTCGTCTCGGAGTAGTACGTCGACCTTTTCTGCCTGGTGTCAATATCATCGCGGTTCGCAGTGCGTGAAGAGGTCCGTACTGTCGACCATGTCCAAGAGCATCGATGATGTCAGGAAGGCTTGCGGGGGGAGATCGACGGGTAGTATGGGCTGGGAAGAGGGTGCTCGTGCGCCGCCTAGTGCATTCGGTGGGAGCTGCTGAGGTGGTGGTGTAGCATTGTATACACCTCGATAGCCTGGTACACCCGTCAACAGCTGCGTCGCAAAGTCTGGGGAGGGCGCAGATCGCACCAATGGCTGGCGCAGGATGCCCAGGAGCTTCGACTGGAGCCTCCTGCGGCCTCTGGTCCTGTTGCGAGCGCTGCAGCATCTGATTGAAGCTGATGTTCATGTTTGGCTGGGCTCCGGCGGGGCCACCCTGCGGGTGAATTGGGTCGTAGGACATGGTGGGCGGCGCTCCGAAGTCGCGGGGAGCGTATGGTCGGAGGGAGGTCACTGGGGTCTGGAAGTAGGTGAAAACGGAGCCAGCATGGCGATACGTCCAAGAAACGCCTTCCTTTACTTTTGCAAGTGCCTTCTGGCGGGTGCTTGCTGGACGCCCGCTGCGACCGAGTGCGCGTTGCGCTAATGACTAAGAGCTTGGCAAGCACACTCTCGAGATCGCGACTTCGTCGCCCTATCTATAGGGTCAATTGATTCATCAGACAGATTCTAAGTTTTCCTTTCACATTCCATCACCAAACATGTCTCCTTCTGCTGTCCATGTGGTGTTTGTGCGTGACGAGCCCCCGCCCTGCTAGTCTGGCTCGAAATACGTCACACGCAGGCACCTCGTTAGTTGGGAAGGAGCAACTGGAATCCCTACAGCAGGTCTCGTTTTATTCCGCATGATTAACCAACTCGCTTCACTGATATACGTGGATCTAACTTTGAAGCCTCCCCACACATCCGCACATCCCTTCGACTTACCACTACCCCGCGGCGCAGCAACAGACTCCCACCGGCTCTCACTGACTACGCTAGCTCTAGCCAACCTCCGTTGTATGGTTTTTCTGATTTAATACTTACAATTCCAAAGGCGTGTTTTCAAACGCACAAGATCCCCTTTACCAAGAATTACAGACGTACTCACAGCGACAACGACGAGGAGCTTTGGAATTCCGGCACCATGGGTCTCCTCAATCCCTCACCCCACGACAACACCAGAACGGCTGGATTCGTACGAGCTTTCCGGCATAGGTGGATTGCGCCACCTCAGGAGACAACCGAATCGTATGAAGGCCGGATTGTCATCGTCACTGGTGCATCGTCAGGTATCGGTCGGGAAGCCGCTGCCAAGTTCGCGCAGCTTGGTGCTTCTAAGGTCATACTCACTGCTCGAGATTTGAAGAAAGGCGAGAAGGCCAAGGAGGACATTATGACCCGAATCGGTCAGACGGATCGGCTGGAGGTGTGGGAGCTGGATATGGACTCGTACGACTCCATCACTGCTTTCGCGCAGAAAGCCAACAATCTCGATCACCTGGATGTTGTTGTTCTCAACGCGGGCATCCATCGGGGCAAGTTCGAACCCACACGATATGGGTGGGAGGAAGACCTGCAGGTCAACTCGCTGTCTTCTACCTTGCTCGCCATTTTGCTATTGCCTAAGTTGAAAGCACCCCGCCATCCCTCGAGGAAGATCCCGATACTCGAGTTTGTCAATTCTGGAGCTCATCAATTTGCTATTGTTAGTAAAGAGGTTCAAGAGCAAGACAGTGTCCTCGAGTGCTACAACAAGACCGAACAGTTTAACGCCTGGCGCCAATACAGTGTCACCAAACTCTTTCAAATGTACGCGATGACCATGCTGGCCGAACGGGTGTCCTCTGGAGATGTTATCATAACTTCGGTGTGTCCAGGTCCGGTGAGTTCTGACATTGGCCGGGACTATACTGCCAAGTATCCTACCATCTCGGCTTTCTTCATGTTCATCTTGGGGTATCTCTTCTTTCACATACCCTCGACGGGCGCGAATCCAGTATTAAGCGGAACAACCCAGGGCGAGGCATTGCATGGCAGGTTCTGGAAGTATGATACCATCATGCCTGTCGCACCGACTCTGAAGGGGGAAGAAAACAAGCAACTGAGGCAGCGGGTCTGTGAAGAGATGCTGCAGGCTTTGGAGAAAGACGGCGTCCGCGTCAGAGAAGCACTGGAAGCTATACCAAGAGCTGGACGCGAACAGTAAGCCCCTTCAAAGACACGATTTGTGGGTCAAGTCATAGGACAGAATGCGGTCTCCTGTTCAACACAAAACCTTGCGAACTTGGCGCGACGCAGTGGTGTACTATCTGTCTGAACTGCATTACCGTTGGGCCCAGTTTATCTGCTTGCCTCGTAGCTCACTTCTTGGCTTGGTGGTGGGACGTGCACACTTTTCTCAAATGAATACCAGTGCCGCATCGTGCAGGTGTACCTGTCTCACAGAACTCCATGTATATGAATGGGATTCGCACCGATGCTATTTCCAGAAGTGGATGATTCGCGGGGAGCTGAGGGTCGGGACCGTGCGCTGAACATGGGAAATGACGTTGTGCTAATGCGACCTCGACCATGCAAGCTTTGGATCTCCGCTCTGCATTCCCACCTGCAATATCCCCATAAGACGAGGTACCGCCCCAGGCACCCGGCTGGATGCCCAAGCCCTTCCGCCGCAAGCCTTCCGCCTACGGAACGTCATCACTCCTTCGCTACCTGTTTCCCCACACGAGCCAACGCGCACGCGCTCAACTGTCCAAGTTCCGCCACGAGACCCTGCCCACGTTCAAGCACCGCACGCAGTCCCGCATATACAAATACATAGTCTATAGGCAGTCCCGCAAGCTGATCAAGCCGGGCATACTCCAGCGACTGCGCGGCCACACCAGGAAGCTCGTAGGCAACAATTACCTCGAACATGAAGCGCGGCTGCGGCGCCAGAAGCTGACCAAGACTGCTACAAGCGGAGAGTCTCAGGGTAAGGCGATGAGTTACCAAGACAGTTATGCGCCGCGGGAGCCGGGCCAGCGAAGGAAGAAGCTCGCAGGATACCTCAAGGCGGCGAATGAGCTGCGCCAGACGTATCAGCAACAGTATGCGCCGAGCTGGACCCGGTCCGAGGGAACGTACGAGTACGAAGATGACACGCCAGGGGCCTTCCCCGACGCTGCTATCGTGCGCAGCGGCGACGAGGAGATGATACTGTTTCCCAGCTATGCACGGAAGCACGTGAAGAAGAAGGTAAGGCACTCTGAGTGTTGATAGAGCTATTCGCTGACCCCTACAGCCCGAAGCAGAACCGGGAACGATACAAGAAACCCCGGGTGATGGCCGCGACGTGCGAGATACAACAGGCGCCGGCGATGCCGAGTTCTGGAAGCAGCAATGGGATAACTACGAGGACGACAACGCCATCGTTGATGTGGACGTGAGAGGGTGGATATACTCGCCGCACAAAGGGCACATGTCTCGGAAACAACGCCTCTTTGTTGGACTTGCGCGACAGCTTGTAGGGATATCAGCTCCAGCCGCTGGCACGCAATCCTCCAGCGCGTCCGTAAGCCCACGCCCCAGCAGGGAGCCAAGTCCGGGCCGGCTCACCCACCACGAGCGGGCGCAGATGAAGCAAGCACAACAGGACGAACAACTTGCCGCAAAGGAAGCAGAGGAGCTCTTACGGAGAGGCGAACGAGAAGCTGAGGCGGCAGCCAAAGGAGCCTACAGCGAGAAGCCCAGCGACGATGCAGACAGTATAAGAGATGTCCGCACAAACAATCTCTCTCACAGAACATCAAACAACTCACTGAACAGCTTGGACAACATTAAGCCGCTGCAAAAACGGGTGTCGTGGAACCAGCCATCCGAAATGAGTCCCGCAGAAGCTGCAGAAGCACATGCGCGCCTCATGGCTCGCCTTCGCCACTTCCTCGCCATACCCATGGCTAACACACCCATCAGTGTCTTCTTCTACAATGAGCAGATCTCGAAACAAAGGACCGTCTACACGAATCCATCCGGCCACTTCAGTGTGAGCGCAGCCTTGGACTTCGTGCCCACCCATGTTCGTATCCTTGCATCCGAGCAACTGTCTGCGACGGAGAAGGTTATCATTACGGAGTCCCAGGGTGTCAGTGTAATTAGTGACATTGATGACACCATCAAGCACTCTGCGATTAGCAGTGGAGCCCGCGAAATCTTCCGAAATGCATTCATTCGAGAGTTAGGCGACCTCACCATCGATGGCGTTCGCGAATGGTACAACAAGATGGCGGATATGGGAGTAAAATTCCATTACGTTTCCAATTCGCCTTGGCAGCTGTATCCTGTCATATCCAAATATTTTTCGCTGGCTGGATTGCCGAACGGTTCGTTCCATTTGAAGCAGTACAGCGGCATGTTGCAGGGCATCTTTGAGCCGGTCGCGGAGAGGAAGAAGGGCACGCTTGATAAAATCGCACGAGACTTCCCGGAGAGAAAGTTCATCTTGGTCGGCGACAGCGGAGAGGCTGACCTTGAGGTGTACACCGACTTTGTGTTGGAGAACCCCGGAAGAGTAATTGCTGTCTTCATACGAGATGTGACATCGTCTGATGGTGGAGGGTTCTTTGACCCTTCCGTTGATCCCATGTCCCGCGGCAGTCTGACACGGTCGTCTGAACAGGGCAATGGGAACCCATCAAGCAGGTCGCAGGCGTCTTCCGAGGACAATGATCCGGAGTACAGAGCAGCCATTGCAGCTTCACTACGCGAGATGGAAAAGGAAGAAGAAAGAAAATCGCGATCGCTATTTCCTCCACTGGAAGAGGATCACCCAGCGTTACGACCTCAGTTACCACCTCGGAGATCCGATCCCGAAGCTGCGTCGCCACCACCCATGCAGAATCTCATCGATCTTGAATCGGATGATGAGCCGAAGATGAAGCCTACCATCCGACGCGTGCAAACCGATGGTCCAGGCCAGACTGAGGACCATCGTGTAAGCATGTCGCCCAGAGCAAGTGCAAAATCGGTTCCAGTACCACCAAGGAAACCTGTGAGTTTGCGCAGCAATTCCGGTGGCGCGACCTCACAATCACTGTCGTCGAAAACACCACCTCCGCCTAAGCCGCGCAAGCCATCCTCCAATGTACAGCAGTTAGGTCGGTTATCACAACAATCCTCCAACGCATCCACAGGAAAGCCACCTATCGCTCCAAATCCAAACCTCCAGTCTCAGCAAAGCTACGCTGGCATGGCCCGCGATAAATTGTACTCGGTGTACAACAATCTACCAGCCGCGTCATCGTACCTACAATCGAACTCGTCAGAGTCTGATGATACTGCCAGTACTAAGAAAGCCCCTCCCCCTCCCCCTCCCCCCCGCCGCGGCTTAACAGCTTCCCCAGCCGCAGCCGCGGGCTACGTCGGCACTAAAGCGCACGCCGCATGGCAACACGCACCGCCCATTCCGCACCACAGCACCCGGCCCAACGCGTCTACCACTCAACCCTTTTCGACCAATGCAACAAACCAGCTGCCGCACCGAACGAACACTGGATCCACGCTGGGAGCCAACGGGTACGGCGAGGCGGGTAGGGTGGTCGACAAGAGAGAGATGCTGTGGCGGCAGAGGTGGGCGAGGGCAGAGCAAGTGCTTGGGGAGCAGGGCGTTGTATTGAGGAGTTGGAGGGTTGGCAGTGATGTCGAGGGGATAGCGGAGAAGGTTGTCAAGGAGGCAGCAGAAAGGGAGAAGAGGGAGGGCAGTGGGAGTGCGGAAAGGAGTAGGTAGATACGAAGACGGATGCAGCTGTGCATACAATATCACCGACGTACATTTTGTACGTTTCCAATGCTGAACCCGTCTTTTTAATTGCGTTTGGACAACATACTCAAAGATGCTAATCAAACTCGCAAACGATGCAAAACAGCAGTCTGTATACAAGCACGTGGTGGCGTTACAGCATATGCGACATGAAATCTGAGCGTGGCAACAAGTCTACCGGACGACTCCGCCTTTACCCGCCATAGCAGCCTCCCTCTCTTTTTGCTCCTGTGCAAGTTGCTCTTCAGTCCGCTTGTTGCCCTTAGCAATCACTGTGTACGTGTGTCAGCGCGGCTAGCCCTCATACACATCACCTTGGTATACCGCGCCTCAAGGCTTCGACAAAGTGCTGTAGAAAAGGAGAGTACATAGGATGGGCTGCGGAGGAGGTCAAACTCACATCTATCGATCAAGCCTCCCTTCTTGTGCTCCCCGACTTTGTCCGCCTCTTCAAACTCCTTCAGATACGCCTCGCGCTCTTCGAGCGGCAGCGCCGCGAGCTCCTCGTCGAAGCTTTCGCGTTGGACTACGCATCCACATTAGCAATCGTCTAAACTCAACCTACGCTAACCAACCAACCAAGTGTGCAAGATGCAGCACAACACCAAGGCCGATTTTCTCGCCCAAATAGAATCTCTCATGCAACGAGGCACACAGATACAAACACTCTCCCCCCACTCGAAAGAAATGACGTACCATCGCTAGCGTGCGACCCGCTCGGAAACGCGGCCTCCTCCGACTGTGACTTGCGGCGGATGTGCAGCTTGTCCTTGAGCTTGTCCATAGTTGACGACATGATTTGCGTAGATATCGATTGATGTATTACCAGAGAGATAGAGATGTTGTGGTGTATAAAGTAGCGGGGAAGCCAGTGGCTGAGGTGGAGGTGGAGGGGCTCAGCGTTAGTGGATACGTCATTGACGTGTGTGGCGCTTACGTGACTGTGGGTGTTGTAATGGGATGTGGGTTGGAGGAGTTAGTTGAAAAGTTGTGGATAGGGTGGATACGTGTGTGCGACGTGGTGGAAGTGGGGATGTGGTGTTCAGATGGGGATGAGTCCATGGGAGAATCACGTGATGATGTCTTTCCCTGAGATCTCTCGCACAAATGCAGGGTCCGGAGTACGAAATCATTGGATCGGATAAGTGTTTTTTGGAGCTTTAGTTAAATCGCCTTTCAGGGGTGTGTGGTATGTAGTTACAACTGTTCAGAGTAGCGAGTCGTTTGTGCCCGCAGCGGTATGGGCGATCGTAAAGCAGTAGTAATAGCACTAATGTCCCAGATGTTTACGAATCGTGTAAAGCCATGCGAGAGTAGTACATGTCCGTGGTATATTAAGCCAACCGTCTCCGCTATACATGGGTATAAAGCCCCAAAGCCATCCATCTGTCTACCCATCCCAAACGCCGCGCTAAATGCAAGTCATATTAAATCCACCAAGACTCAACACGTCCTTCACAGTAGCATCACCAGCCAGCTCGCCACCCCCAAGACGCATCCCTCAAGCCAAACATCCAGTCCCCCTTTTCGCACGGATCTTGCACTCCCTTTGCTCGAAGAACCCGCCGCCGACGTCTCCACGAACTTCCCCCCAGCCGTGATCTCCGCCGATGCCGTCGGCGTCGCAAAATTACTCGCTGGGACGCTCGATCTCGCCACGGTGCTCGTCTGCCCGTTGATTACCAAGGCTGTGTTCAGCGCGTCGAGAGAGTACGTCGTCCCCGAAATAGTGACTACATCCCCCGGTCGCAGCGTCGTACCCTGGTCAAGCACGTACTCAGTGGTGCCGTCCCGGACTGTGGCTGTGTATGTGCGGCCGGCGAGGGTGATCTCTGGAGCCGGTATGAGTGGTGCAATGCCGAGGGTTGAGATTACGCCGTTGATGACAATGACTGAGGGTGATGCATCAGAGGGTAAATAATATGTTGTTCCTGAGATTGTGAGGGTGGTCCCTGGGAGCAGTGTTTGTCCGTGCCCGAGGATAAACGCGATGGTTCCATCTATGAGTGTTGCGGGATAGGTCTGGTCGCCGACTGTCAGCACAGGTGCGCCGGTTACGAGCGGGCTACCTCCGAGTGTTTGCGTGACGCCGTTTATGACTACTAAGCTTCCTTCCGGGTTTAGACTCAGGTTGTAGCCGTTGACTGTAATTATGGGGCCACCAGGGGTGAGTGTTTGCGTTCCGATCACGTATAGGCCGTGTGAATTCGGCATCAGAATAGCGTCTCCGACTGAGATGACAGGTGATCCAGTGGGCAAAACGTGGTATAAATTTGTGCCGACGACGACAACGCGTCCACCTCCTTCTGTGGGAACAGCGACTATGACGTTATCAATGGTAGTTGTGGCACCAGGGTTCAGTGTAACCGTGCCCACGACCACACCTTGGCCCAAATTAGAGCCTTGTCCTTGATTCGATGGCGTTGCGGGATGGATATCATAAGTCTTAGTTCCGATCGAGACGACTTGGCCGCCTCCTGGGCGATTGGGCTTTGCTGGGTTTGGCGAGCCTCTGTCAGCATCTCCTGGCGAATTCTGTACGAGGGTCTGTTTTGGGGTTGTAGTATAAGATATGTCGCCTCTCAAGGGGCCATGGACCGAAGAATAGGAAGTCACACTCTGATAAGTAGTCTGTATGTATGTTTGCGATTTACTTGGTCCAGTCGCGAAAGAAGGCTTGATCGGAATTACCCCTTCAGATGACGGGTGTGGAGCCGAATAGTAGGGGGCCGTTGAAAACTGTATCCCGCCACCTATCGTTGATTCATGGATGGGCGTACATGAAAATAGATTGATACCGTGGAAAGAACTTCTGATTCCAGGGTCACGATTAAAATAGCCTAAGAGGGGAGAGGGAAGTGGTAACGGTGTTATCACACCTGGGTCTGGCAGCGTGCCGGTAACAGAATGATAGAAAGATCGCCAGTCTGCTGTCCGCGTCGGCATGGCATCCTCAAACGTTTTTACATCTGCAGCACACGTCGGATAGCCTCCAACTTCTTGTAGTCGAAAAAGAGCGTGACCTGGAGCTGTAGGCGCAGGATAAGGCGGAAGGTAAATCGCAGTTTCAGGGTTCTGAGGTCTACCAGGATAAGTCGTGAGTTGATTGAGTCCACCAAAGATCTTGTCGTAGAAAATATAGGTGCCTGAGGGCAACTCTAGTGTAACGCCTGGTGTGGGCTCAACGGTCAAGACCGGTGTTGTGTAAGTGATAATCTGATGAGATGCATCCGTGAATATTGTGTGCTGAGTCAACGTCTCTATTTCTGTCACAACGGTCTGTAAGGCAGATGGCGTTCCCGTATAATGGCTGATATATCTGGTAAGGCATTTCACTTGTTGAACAACACTGGTCCAGGAGGACAATTCTTCCTGGGCAAGAGATACTGTGAGCGGAGCCAGCGCCTGGACAACACATCCTGAACATCCATATCCTGGTGGCGGCGGAGGCAGTTGTGTCGTAGTCGTTGCTATTGAAGTGTTGTCTAACTTGTTAGCGTGAGCCAGAGGCATACTTCACAACGTGCTTACAATCTATGGCTAGTCAGTACGCGCTTAGAAGCCGGAAAGAAGGTTACTGCTACTTACATCTCCTCTGATATGGCGTAGTTTGTGCTAATGTTACCCAAAGAGCAACATCGAGCAATACGGAACGCCGCATCATCGATACAATGGCATCAACGGGCGACCACGAAAAGAATGTGTAGGCACCTCAAGGAACGCGTGCAAAGGAAGGATTACGAACGACCGATGGGCTGCACGTTCCGCTAGATTGCCGGGGCTTGGATGACTCTAAGGAGAGTAAGCAGTTGCAGCTCGCGTCCCTGCCTTGATCGAGGCGCACGTTCGCGTGCTTGGTCGCACGCATAACCATCCAATAAAGCTTGCTGGCACCGGGGCGGAACCACGGCTGAACGACGTATTCGGAATGTGGCGCGAACCTCTCATGAAGTTTTTGTGAAGAGGCCAACGAACTTCGCGTGCTGCCTATCAGAATACATAGTCGTTCCTCGACAGCCGTTTTCCGAGGAACCCTTGCGTCTCCCAACGTTGAATACACTTATTGGAGGTGAGGCTGAGGCGCCAAGATAGCATCCATGTTCAAAATTCTCCAGGGACTGACCAATTCCAGCAGGTCCAAAGATACTTGGGATCAGGGTCTAGTGGGCTAAATGACTCGGGTCCAACGTCTTGGCCGGTGAAGGATCTAAGCGTATTGGGGGCTTCTAGTGGCTTCCCGCGGCAAAGAAGATCGAACTGGATAACATTCGAAGATGCGCGTACGGGAAAGAATCACGATCCAATAAATCGAGGTGGACGTAGTGACATTGTTGTCGGCGGCGGTAAAGTGGAGGAACGAGACACGAATCTGCTGATTGGACGGAACGAGACGCTAGCCACAAGCGTTGCTCCAGGCGTTCGAGCTCCAGCCTGCAACCTCGTATTGACCTTGGCTTGCAGTGAATCAGGGCTTGGCCAGCATCTGATCCCCGTTCCATGGCTAATCAAAGATGGATTTATTGAATCTGACAAGGCTCTAGCAGACCCTTGTGTAGCATAACTCAGGTCCAGGTGAGACCTCTAAGCCAGCTTCGACTTCACATCCTACTCAGTCGTGGATATGACTTTGTGGATGCGTTGTCCTCAAACGCAAATGCGCTCTCAGCCATGAGTTGGCGACCGCCATACTGTTCGCTCGCTCAGCACGTACACGATATTACACGCCCCCGGTAATCGTCTAGCAAGATGAACGTCGTCTCCAGAGAGGCGCCGAGATCCATCCCCGAGCCATACGAAGTACCGCCTTCGCAGGAGTGGGATGGTAATGACGGCAGCTGGAGCACATTCAAGCTCACTATTGGGGCGCCCCCTCAAGAGTTCCGCGTTCTCGCCTCAACGCAGAGCGGGCAGACGATCATCGTGGTGCCCGATGGCTGCATTGCTGGCCATGACCCTTCTGATTGCGCCGAGTCGCGCGGCGCACAAATCTTCAACAGCGCACAAAGCCCTGGCTTCCTCACTAATACGTCGTCTACATGGGACCTGATTGGGCAATATAATATAGATCTCGAAGAAAGACTCGGACTCAACACTACTCCCGGAATCTTTGGATATGACATGGTTGGTCTAGGAGCATCAGGAAGCAATAGTGTTATTTCGGTCAACAGTTCCTTAGTAGGTGGAGTTGCAAACATGGTCTACTACATGGGACATATACCGCTCGGTGTCACGAAGTCCAAGTTCGGGAGCCAGAGCCAGGCAGTTGACCCGTTGATCCAGCAGCTGCGTAAAAGCACTCAAATCCCCTCAATTTCCTTCTCCTATACAGCTGGTGCAAAGTACCGCCTCAAATCCGTGACTGGACAACTTATCTTCGGAGGCTACGATCCTACGCGTTTTGAACCAAACACGAACGAATTCTCGTTTTCGTTCTCCGCAGACCCCTCGCGCTTGCTCACCGTGGGCGTCGACTCAGTCATAGCAACGAACTCATTAAAAGGCACATACTCGCTGTCCACCAGCACCCACTTCTCCCTCATTGATAGCACCACCTCCATGCTCTGGCTGCCCCGCGACGTCTGCGACGCCTTTGAGGAATCTTTCGGCCTGACGTACGACCCCACGACCGACCTGTACCTAATCAACACCACAATGCGCGACCAACTCCGCGCACGAAACCCCTCCGTAACCTTCAAACTCATCGACTCGCTTGAGGGTGCAGCAACGAACTTTACCAGCATCCTGCTCCCGTATTCTGCTTTCGACCTACAGGCCTCATATCCCTACTACGAGAATGCAACAAACTACTTCCCCATCCGCCGCGCTTCAAACGAATCGCAATATACCCTCGGACGCACCCTTCTCCAAGAAGCCTACCTCATCGTCGATTACGAGCGCGCAAACTTCACACTTGCCCAAGCCGCATTTCCTAGTCCCCTGCCCCGCGCCTCCATCGTCGCGATACCTCCTCCGGACACTCAAGCCACCGCATCTCCCAGCCCATCTCTCAGCGCAGGTGCGAAAGCAGGAATAGCGATCGGCAGTCTCACCCTTGTATCCTTCCTCGCTGCGCTAGCATTCTGGTTTTTCCGCGGCCGTCGCCGCCTCCACTCAACCCCAGACTCAGACTCACAACCCTCGTCCCCTGAACTCGGCGGCACAGCCGTCTCGGAGCTCTCCATTTCCAGCCCACACCCGCACAAGATCCACGGCGGTACGCAAGAGCTGGCCGGGACGCCGCGCTCCGAGCTCGCGGGCCTACAGCCGGGCGAAAAGCCATGCGTGAGGGTGAATGAGATTCCGGCCGAGCTGGAGACGCCGGTTTCGACGCTGCGGCCGAGGTTTGAGCAAGTTTCGGCTGGAGAGTACAATTCGTACCGGTCGAGTCGGGTGGAGGATGATGGAGTGGAGAGTCAGAGTGCGCTGGGGACGCAGGAAAGTAGGGGCAATAGTGGTGATGGATTGATGGGGTTGGTGAGCCCATTGGAGGAGAGATTTCCCAACCGGCAATCGATTGGTGTGCTGTCTGAGGTGCAGAGGCCGGAGTCACTGGTTAGTCCGATACGGGGAAAGTTTCATGAGCGGATGCCCTGAGGGCTTGGGATGAGCAACTTGGTGGTAACAAGGCGAGCGTGCATAGCGGACGACAAGTCATGCATTAATGCCAATAATCATACACGAGGAAGGATGCCGTCTAGATTGAAGCATGACCAGACGAGAAAGGACTCGCTCATCGGCAATATAATACACACAAACCTGGCATATCAACCAAACTCCAGTATCAAAGAACACAGCCACCTTCACGATATCCATACGCCAGGCATCTACTACTTACATCACAACCAACACGAACATATCACTCAGTCCCCAAACCCCTCTGAGAATTTGATCAAACTTGTAAAGCTCTGCGGGCTCTCCTCCACCCCCATTATCCCCCTCGCCCTCCTATCCTCTACCCAACTCATGGGCACCAAAGCCATCCTCCCTGTCTTGTTCCTTACCAGCTTTGTCCTCTCCCTCTGCTTGAGTTTTGTGTGAGGCAGACTTACTGGTGCCGTAATATCTGTGATGCCGTCTTTGCGCTTATGCCGATGCTCTAGGATATCGACGTCAACAGTATGCAGTGCGGCGAAGTGGTAGACGCGGACGTGCTTGTCCTGGCCGTATCGGCGGGACCGTGCGATCGCTTGCTCCATGGCGGCGTCGTATTCATACTGGCTTTTCACGAGTACGGGGGCAACGAAGAGAATGTGGTTTGCATTGAAGAGATTCCTGTTGTGAGAATTAATGGTGTTTGAGGCAGACTGGACTGGGGAAAGACTTACACCCCTGCTGCGGTCTCGCTGGTGAGGTCGAGGATGAGGGCTTTCACGTTGGGGTTTTTCTTGAAGGCTTGGATAGCCTTAGCGGGATTCTTCTCGTTGGGTGCCAGTTGTGAGATGTTGTGGTGATCACAAAGCTCCTTGAGGTAGCTGGTCGTACGGTTGTCTGGAGCGAAGACGAGACACTGGTCGCACTCTGGGAGTTCTGCGATTAGTTTCGCGACGGCGTCCAGCTTACGGCCGAAGCTTCGTCCAGATTCAATCTCCTTTTGGGATCCAAGGTGCGTGGCTTTGACGAGGTTCATGGTCTGGACAGTAGTGTTGCAGCTGGGTACCACGCAAACTTCGTTGTCAGTCCTGTCTGCAAGGCAACGCTCACAAGACAGATGACCACAGCTCGAGGTCAGATACAGATCGGCGATGGTCGCGCTGCCTTGACACTCTGGGGCATCGCAGTGTCTCGTGAGATTCGAGCTTTCGCACAATGGCTGAAGCAGGCTCTGCACGTTGGAGATAAAGCGTGCAGACCTAATCCGGAAAGCGAGCTGGTTTGCAGTAGTGCGAAGCTTCGATAAAGCCTTCTTTATGTTCTTGACCTTCTCATCTATCCTATTCCCCTCGATGATGAGTTCTGTACAATCCGGGTTGGCTTCAGCATCCTTCACTAAGGCACGGATCTTCCTAGTTGCCTTGTCATCGCCAAGCCAGTTGTCGATGCAGACGTCCTTCCCGAAGTACATGTAGAGCTGAGAGATACACCCCTCCTCTTGTAAGCTCTTCTGTAATCCCTCGAAATTCCTCTTGCGTTGACCTTCGAAGCCACGCAATAGTCTCTTCAGGTCAGCCACCGTCTCTTGATACTCTCTCGATCTTGTCTGCAAGAGCGCTCGGAGACCCGATCCGCCGTCGTTAGAATCGTAAAGCATGGCACACTTTAGTAACGCGTCTTCTCCAGTACTAGATCCGTTCAGACTTGCGTTCAATCTATTAGTCCGATCCGCGCCTTCTGTGTTCTTCATGCGTTTCAGAGCCATCCGCTGTGAGATCAAGTGCTGTGAGAGTTCCAGATAGACAGCGTGATGCGCGACATCGAGGTCGATGGTTCGGAGGGACTCAGAGCAACTAATGTGCTCAAGAGACGGTTCATTCTGTCGTACGAAATTGTCCAGGAAGTCTTGCGCGAGTTGATGACGGGCTTGGTGCCAATGTGAGGACATGGTCTCTTTTTGCGCTAGAAACCTCTCCACCTTGGTCTGGGCCTCACTCTGCATATCCTCAATCTGCGTCTGTTTTCCGATATTAGATCGAGGCGAGTACTTTCCGAGTTGGATGCCCAAGAATGATGCAATGTTATCAACATCGGCAAAGGATCCAAGGGCAGGAGTGCCTGAAAGCACCCATCGCTTATGCGCCGCTATTGCCTTGATACCGACGGAGGAGACGAGATTATCGTGGATTTTCTTTTGATCTTTCTGGTGTACATTGAGATAATGGTATTCGTCGACCACGATCCTGTTGAAGCAGAACAGATGCAGGAGAGGCACAGAAAATATGCGGGTCTTTCCTTTCTTCGAGTTGGCTTTTGCCTCGGATATCTTCTTGCCAGCTTGAGTGACATTGTAGGGCTGATATTGGCTGCCTTGTCGCAATTGCAGCGGCAAGACCATATTGAACTCGTCTCGGCTCAGTCGCTCTCGTAGCAAGCTCTCTGTGTTTGCGCTGAAGTCGGCAGGATCCATATGTTGTTGCTTCGTGAGCTGGGCAGGAAGTTCTTGGCTGACACGTTCCATCCACGCATTAAAAGCACGACGGTTGGGCGCACCTTTGGTGGAAGCAGTAGCTGGTTCAGGCATTGCGGAAAACCCGGCGAGGTAGGCGATGTATTCGGGATCAGATAGGATTGCCCAAGAGACGATGACAACCCTGCTATTCTGCATGTCTTCGAATGTCAAGCTATGGAGCTCCGCAAAAGTCTTAATCGAGACAATGCTATAGAGCTCGTACAACTTGGTGTCAAGAAACTTCTCGAACTCCTCTTGCCACTGGTCGACAAGATGTGGAGGACAGACAATGAGGGTAGCCGCTGTATCTATCAGGGCAAGCTTCTGCTTATCAATCAACCTGTTCTTATTGATCACAGAGGCGCCCTCTCTGCATTCTTCAAATTCGCTTTCAATGAGGGCAATAGTGATGACGGTCTTGCCAAAACTCGGTCGATCTGCAAGTACTCCACCACGTACTACAGTTTTTGCCTGAGCTCGAGCCTCAGCCCGCCACCCCAACTTTATATGAACAGCTTCTTCGACTTCAGTGATAGTAAAAGAAATACCGCGTTCTTGGGCCCGCATCCATTCAAGCGCTCGAGGTTGGGCTCCACGTAACTCATACGCTATCCTGAGTCTCTTTGAGAACGGCTTGTCGGTGGCATTGCTCTGCAAGCGAAATTCTGGGAATCGAACGGAAGCTACGCGTCTTTGGTCGGTCAAAAGCCTCCAAGACACATTTACAGGCTCTGCAGGCGCCAATCCCCTCGTTCGAAGAAGAGTTCTGGCAGCGCGATGCGCTAAAGAGTTTATGTTCACGCCGAATTTGATACGAGTTGTCTTATTGACAATCTCTGACTCGATGTGGAAAATTTGGCAGCGGGTCTTGATGGCGCGCTCGCGTGTTGCGGCCGCTTTTGGATTTTCATACGCGGTAGCGACTCCAGCCTTGTCGACGCTCCACAGAAGCCCTGGAAACGGTGGCGCACACGTACAGTCAGCATCTGAGCTTGTACCAAACGGTTGCCAACTTGGAGAAGATGGTGCTGAAGAAACATTGTCTAACGCCCATAAATAGGCATCCAAATTTTTGGTGGGCAGGACTTCGAGTGCCTCCACCTCCAATACGCTCATGGCGTTCGTGCATGCACGTTTCTCCTCAATAAAAAAGTTGGGCTTTGTCAGCACTTTTGCGCTCAACGAGAGCAGGTCTGAGGCTAGGTCTATGGTACCGACGTCTGCACGTTCCCATGATCCGAAGGAAATTGCTTCGACAAAATTGTCGTTTGTATCCGCATGATTCTCGGGCCGCCAAGATGGTCTCAGATGGGCGACAGACTGGCGGTGATCGCCCGAGCGCAATCTCTCACAATCGAAGCTGAAGTAAAAGGAATCGTCTTTCCCGCGGCCGAGGGGATCTGGGTCGAGGAAAAGGTAGAGTGCTGGGTGAGATGATCTTTTGTACAATGAATGGCTTGCAGTGCCACAGTGTGGGAGGTGTTCGTATTCTCCAGTGAAATCAATCCAATCATCGGGCAGGTCGACCGGTCGATTATCATCAACACGGATGTGGAGCGTTGCAGGTATAGTCTCTGTCTGGAAATCACGGAGCGCCAGTCTGTTTTTGAATGACTTGGAAGTCTCGGATGAACCACGAATGTGCAGAGGAATGTTATAGACTGAAGGAACGTAGATATCCCACTCGGCTGACAGCAGGGAATCTTTCACTGAGCCTCTGGCAACTGGTGTTCTCAGTAGTGCCCTCAAAGCACTGTCACCAGGTAGCTCGGACGGAGACTGGACGTATAGTAGCCACTGAAGTTTCTTGCCAATGTAGAGTTCCAAGTAAGCTTGATCTGCCTTATACAACACCTTCCAAAAGCCGGGGTGCCTTGTGAACCCTCCGATGTAAAACTGTTTTGATTCAATGTCGACGTCATGCACTCGTTGCTGGAACTCTTCAGTGAGTTCGTCTCGAGGAAGTCGAGCTTGGAGTGTAGTGGAAAAGCTGAATCCCGAGAAGTTCTTGAAGCTTACACGCGAGGGCAGCTTGGGTCTCCACTCGCTTATGAAAGTGTACGGATTCTGCAGATGCGTCGTTCTCTCAACCGTGTCTATATAGACATGTTTTGGATTGCCGGCGTGTAACGCACATGCGGTATGCCCGCAGGCGGCACATGCCTGTATGACTGCCTCGCATATTCTCTCATCGCACTCACGACTACAAAGTTGTGAGCTGTACCGTGCGTGCTGAGCAAGTACCTTAACATTGATGGTTTGGGGCTCCACAATGTTCGGTGCATATGCCGTAAGCTGTCCAGATCTAACAAGCGTATTGGTTGAAGGCGCGAGTTTATCCATGCGTTGTTGCTGGGCTGATGAGGAACCTTTGAGGAATTGGGATGCGCAGATGATGGCCGCAATTTGAGAAGCAGCAATGACTGTCGTACTCATTGCATTTCCAGCCAAATCTTGTAACTCCGCCGCGCTTTCGCGAGCCAAGTGAATCTTGTCCAGGGGCAGTCCTTGGTATCCCAACAGCTCCATACCGCTTAGTGGTCGTTGCCAGTTGGTTGAGAATAGTTGTCCCTTCGGAGTGATGCAACCTATCAGCCCAAGGTTCTCGTGGAATCGGTCTGGATTCTGGCTAACATCCCATATTATCTCTTTGTACAATGCATCAATGCCATTGATCACGGCTGCTCGGAGGTAAGCAACCTCAATGGCTTCCCATTCTCGTGAGGACCTCGCGGTAAACCAATCATGGTCAGCATGTTCGAATGGCCTATGTGATCAGATTAGTACAAACCAATAATTCAAAATAATGACGCATTATTTGGGACAATATTCGAAGCTTTGAGCTTTCCGGAAAGCATCAACTTACTGTTTCGTACCATTCTCACTCCATCTTGTGCATGGACGTTTGACACCCAAACCTAGCTCCGACCGCATGTGGTCATATCGCAGCTTGCATAACTCCCATGCCCATTCAGAAGTTAGCGGGCTGTAATCAACAGAACCACGCGGGAAATTGGCAAGAAACGTTTCGTAAGAGCTACTACATGGTCGCTCTAGTTTGCGCATCGTCTGCTTCCAATTCTCGACGGCTTGGGAAGCCTTCTTGCCAGATCCTCTTCGGTCAATTGCGATCATGTACATTCGCTCGCGCGTCTGTGGGTAGTAGTACCGCTTCGTGTCGCAGTACAGCCATCCTGCTTCATAGTCGATGTCAGACCACTGGGACACAACATCATCCCAAGTTGAGGCTTTGCTTTTGACATTCTCCAATAGTACAACGCTCGGCCGAAATCGCCTTGAGTATTCGTAGACCGCCGTCCATGTTTCACCTGACTCTCCGTTGTCTTTGAGGGTTTTCTGATGATTGTTTTGCCTAGAGAGATTCTTGCAGGAGAATCCCGCCACAAGGACGTCCACGCCGGCGGGTATCTTCGCTATGGCGCCATAGGCTGTAGTCGCAGCAGTTGCTCCCTCTGCAATGAACTCTCGAATGTCTCTGAAGAGAAGTTCTGGTGCCCAATTGCGCTCGATGAAAGCCTGTTTGAAAGGCTCAATTTCGGCACTGAAAACATGTCGAAACCGGAGGGGTGGCTGATTATTGTTCTCCAGCGCTGCTGTTGACGCGATCAAACCAAATAGAGGTGACTCGGTGCCAGAGCACATCGTAGCAACGTTGATAGCGCGATCGATTTTTTTCAACGCATCTGCGAGCCCCAGGTCGACTGCACGGGAAGTAAGATCTGCAAAGATTGTTTCGTTATCGTGCATTGGTGGGAGACTGAGATCGATTCCCTTGCGAGCGGGTCTTGAAGACATAGCTGGTTTGGTCCTGGCTTTCATGGGTTCTGCGAGGGCTTCAGGCTCAACGTCCAGGTCCGACAACATGTTTTCCCCAAGATTATCTTCGCCAGACAAAAGCTCGTCGGCGGAAGAGGCTTCAACTTCTTCCTCATCATCGGACCCGGCCTCTTCGTCGCCATCATTTCCTTCGTACGAACTGAACTCTTCTGTCGACTGGTTGTCTGACAGATCCAGAGGCGGCGGAGTATACCTTGCACTGTAGTTCGCGGTGCTATGACGCGCACGCGAATTCACACGTTCGGGCTCAGAATTTCGGTGCTGTCGTTGCTCCGCAGAAGAATGTTTGTCTGATGGACCTGAGTTGGCTGGATACGTAGGTTCATCCATCTCAATGTACTTAGAATACGCAAGCGCCGCCATTGTGTCCTCCGTTTCGGATTCGGTTGAAGGAGGCGAAGGGAGCGCAGCTCCACCTGCCTCTGTTAGTAGTTTATGAGCTGCAGCATCAGAGTCATCAGGGATGACGTCCAAGTTAAAGATGGGAGGCGTTTCCTCTGCTGAATCTTCCGGTGTCCATGTGCCCTGTTGTAAGACACGTCTCTTTTTGACGGCTGATAGTGTAGCAGTAAGACTTGATCTGGTCGCTGTTGATATGATGACTCGTGCGCTATTCAGCATAGTTGCATGGTCTTCAGATGATTCGATATGCGTTCCTTTCCTCGAGATACCTGTTGTTGCTTCCGCGCCGATATCTATCGTGCTCGCGCCGGTGCCCGATCGTCTCCCTCGCGAGCTCGAAGGTACTGTGGCATACTCTGACATTGATGCCTGTCTTTGTTGATCTGCATCGATAAGAGTGTCTCCTCCGGAGGTCTTCTGCGACCCAGACTCTGTTGACTCATGCGATGGATCCGCATTCTGCTCTTGTGACTGGGATCCGCCAAAAGTAATTTGCAGGAAAGCCCGGGTGTTGGAGTTTGCTATGCGACGCACAGGTGCGCCACACCTTTTGTTTCTCCTTATGCACACATCACAAGAGATGCCACCGTTTCCTTTTTGCCAAGGCCTCCCATCTGGATAACGACATCGCGCATGCCCGCGGCTCTTGCATTGAGGACATCGAGCGTCCAGTGCTGCCTTCTCTGCGGTTGTCGCCTCTCTGCACCTCTTCTTCTCTTTGACGCACCTTGTGCACTTGTCACTCCCTTCCTCGAAGATGCAAGTGAAGGCATAGAGGCCGCCGCGCCTACGACATACGAAGCAAGTCTGAAGGGGAGGAGGGTCGTCATGCGTTGGTACTAGGGCTGATGTTTGCGCAAGTTCGGCGGTATTTGGACTTGCTGACACTACAAACAATTAGCTGCGACACGTGTGACAAGCACTGACATGTCTTACCCTCGATTCGGACGGAGACGCGCCTGGGTGTCGACCGGCCGGGTGTTGAGCTCTCCACCGCTCTACGCTTGTTTGACGGCGTCAAACGCGGCATGGCGCGCCTGCTGCTCTCCTCGTGTTCCAGGGTACGAATACTCGGGCTACGTGCACGTTTTCGAGACGATGTGCGGGTCGTCGGCATGTTGCAGGGCGTCGTCAACATGGAAAGAATGTGACGAGAACTCGGAAATAATCGCGGCTGCTGAGGAGCATTGCGGAGCCATCACTGCGGGCAACCACGCGTGGTAGAGTTTCGTTTGCCGTGGCATCTGTGGTGAGATATCTAGGCCGAATAGGAAGGGACGACCGGCCTACGCGACGCGACTGCCCACCTTGCATCATCCTCTCTTGCAATCACTGTCCCCCTGGGCCTGAGAGCGAACTCATTACTCGATCCTCGATTTCTCCTTTCCAAGCTGAAATGTATGCCGTCTCAGGATGCGCTGGGCCCTAAAGCGTTGGCAGGGTATCTCGAGGTCGGCAATCTGCTCTATATATCTCTATCAATTCGAGTATGACAGCCCACACGCCGCCATGATACTGTCCATATAGGACAGTATACTCTGCGTCGTAGTCAGAGAGCACGTGTTGTTTTCGAGTCTTCCCGCTTGGATGTCTAAAGCAACAGCATCTGCCTCGAAATGAAATCCCCTCCCTTCAACAGGGAAATCGATCTTCTTCTCCTCGCCATCCTTTGTTTTCACGATTAGAAATCCCGGCTTCGACGCTGCGACTCCTCCGACCGAAATTGACCCTTTTGACCCTTCGATGCGCGCAAAGATCTCTGGTGTCTTGTACAGCAGCGACGCAGTGCAGATCGCCTGCGCCCTTTGCTCCGGATACCGCAGTATGACCGCAGTCTGCTCGTCCACCCTGTCGTTCGGGTCCTCATGGTCAGAGAACACCATGTTGGCACTGATATCTGGGGATGCGCTCGATGCAGTGCCAAATATCAGCGACGCCCACGTCAGCGAATAGATCCCAAGGTCGAGGAGCGCGCCGGCACCCAGCTTCTTCGACGCTGTCCTGGAGCCCGGATCCTTGCTTTGGATAGGCGTGTAGATACCAAAATCCACCCAGGCAACCGAAATGTCGCCAATGGCCTTCTCTTCGTGCACCAAACGCTGCAGCTCTTTGGTGACTGGGAAAAAGCGCGTCCACACAGCCTCCATCAAAAACACGCCCTTCTTGCGCGCGGCAACGACCATTTCTTGTCCTTCTTGCGCATTCATCGCCATCGGCTTTTCGCATAAAACATGTTTGCCCGCTGCTATAGCATCCAAAACATTCTTGTGGTGCAGAGGGTGAGGGGTGCCAATGTAGACAACGTCGACATTCGGATCATTGTAGACACCTGAATACGAGTCGTACACGGCGGGAGACTGTGAAGGGCAATTCTTGGAGGCGAATTTGTTGCCCTTCTCCAAGGAGGAAGAACCGATGGCAGTGATCGTGTGGTTTGCGGCAGCTTCTGAGCGCGATAACACAAGGTCACTGACGAACCATGTAGAGATGAGGCCGCATCCAACAATGCCCCAGCGTAAGACGGGGAGCTCTATGTCCGTCATTTGGTGATATTTGTGAGTGCAAGTTTCATTGGAGTTGGTTCCTCATCAATGCGATGGAATAAAAGCAGTGGGAGCAAGCGCATGTATTGACATCGTCTATACATCGCTATTTATGTAACTCGCAGTGAATTTGTTCCGATTCCACCCTTGTGGCTTCACTCGGGTCTTTAACCGTCTAAGCCGGCGGTGCTGCACCTCGCTTGCCCCAATGTGGTCCAAGCAGGCGCTTTGCGACCCCTCCGTTGAAAATCGGCACTCCGCGGACAAGCACGTGGGTTACTCAACGTCCATGGAAGCCTAGCTTGTGTATAGGAACTTTCCAACGCGCCATTTTGGTCTCTTTTCGCAAGAGTTTCTTTTCAGGAACACAGATCAAGCATAGGTCTTGCAACGTCTAATATCGAGCTGAAATCAATTTGGCAGATTGTGCAAAGAAAGGTTGACGCTAACAGGAACTCTAGACCGCTCAGCTATCGTAGAAATGCTTCATCGCCATGCCAAACACTTCCAAGTCCTGCAGCGCATCCTGCGCCGTCGTCTTCACTGACCGTCCCTCAACTACCAGCCCCCACAGCTTCTTCATTTCTTGCGTGTACGGATCTTCGTACGACTTCCGCACCATAGTCTCCTTGTAGGCGCCGTCGACGTTCTCAGAAATGTGCAGCGTGACCGGCAGACCCTTGACATACGGAGTATCATACTGCAGCTTTACCGACTTAGTGGCTCCGTATACTTCTATATGCGCGTCAAATCGAGGTATGTTGTCGATTCCGGACTCGTAGGACACTGTGAAGTCTGGGTATCTGAAGAGAACGCTGAAGAAACATGAGTATTGGCATTACGCTGTGCGGGAGACGGCTTCTACTTACTTCCAGAAAGGGAAGCCTAGCGACGACCCAATGACCTTCTCGGGCAAACCGAGCACTTCTCTCATCACAGACAGATCGTGCGAACCTAGGCCACCGAACAACCTCCACATCTGGGTGCTCTCTGGCGTGACGGTAATCCCTCCAATTTCGCCTTCAAGTGCTGTTTTAACCATCTCTTTAGCTCTTTCATCCTTGTCGCGAGCGTCCTCCGGTGTAAAGTCTGTGAACTTCTTTGGAAACGTAGCGCTCTGTCCTACGAATGCAGAGTTGGGCCCAATGATATCTGCGCTGTCAGTAACCCATCACTAGATACAACAGGAGGCACCGTACCTCTCACTCTCACATACAGAATCTTATCAATTCCGCCAATCTCCTTGACAGCATCCTCGAACGGAGCCGCATACCGCCACATATATCCCACCATCACACTCCCCTTACTCGTCTTCTCTGCCTCAATAATAGATTCAACATCCCGCTTCGTCAACGCAAGCGGCTTTTCCACCAAAACATATTTATCGTGTTGCAGCGCAAGAATTGCATGGTCTGCATGGTATTCATCGGAATTCGCTACCAACACGACATCGACGTCCTCCGCCGCGCAAAGTTCTCCGGGATTCTGCGTGGTCTGGTGCTTGTTCGGGAGACTTTGCGAGCAATGTTGCAAGGCAGAAGCGGAAACGTCGCAGAGGTAGGTAATGCGAAACGAGTCGCGCATGAAGAGGAGCGTGGGGATGTGGATGACCTGCGCGACTTCGCCGCAGCCGATTAGGCCTATGTTCACGATCTTTTTTTGCGATGATGACATGGTATTGGGCGCTAGGTAGCTAAAAGGATGCGAAGTGTTACGGAATCGTGTCTCCGACGCATCTCGTTATCGATATCTCGCTCCGCTGTTCAGAGTGCAAATCACGTTGCACTCTGCAGGCGGGTCGTTGTGGGTGTCCCCCGCTTTCTTTACTAGAGTGGTTGCGCTAGCGTTAGCTACATGAGGTGGCTTCGCGGAGTGCCGGAGGAGCGACCCGGCTTTCCGCGTGCTGTTGGATGTACGCACTTGGACAGCAACGGTGTTGACTACAGGTGCTGGTGAGATGCCGGAATGATGGATTGAGCCAAATGAGGTAGGCCACAACCATCCCTATCAACACTTCCATTCAACGAGCAACTTCTAAATTGGGATGGATCCTTTGCCAGCATCGCTCTCGTCTAGCTGATACAGTACCACTTGGGCCCTCTACTGTATCAGAACAGATTCGCTTCAGTGAATAAAAAGGTACGGTATATGCTCCAGATGCCCTCTGTGCATCTTCGATCAATTGTTGCCCTTCAATGTCTGTATCATGAAATCCATAATCCGCCCACAGCGCCGATTTTAAAGCATCGAACGTATACTGGCGCAACAGGCGCTGAAAAAAAGCATTTGCCAAAGGCGACGATATGTAGTCACAGAGTCCATATTACTTAGAAGTAGATGAGAGCTAACAGAACGTCAGAGCTTGCAGTCTTCGCCAGCGCTATATTCACTTCGGCGGACCTGCTGGCAGGCTGGAATCACATCGTTGCGACTGCTGTAGAAAAGTTGCGTTTCACAGGAGCTGAAAGGCCTGAAGTGGTCTCGCGTGTTATTGAGGTCATTGATACTGCTCTGCATGCGCATACGAATTCTGCGAGGTCAACTGAATCGGTGATATGAGTTGGTCCGATCAGGTATGCCTAAACAAAGGCATCCACAAAACCACCTCAACATTGAAGGGAGGCTTCCTGGGCTGCTGCGGTTGGATATGATCCCCAGTTCTCTCAAAGCGATAGGCCTTCACGTCTGGGAGGGCGTAGATGTACTGATAGCGCAGAAATGGCCGAAGGAGTAAGCCGGGATGAACGAAGGCGGAGTGGGTACATCGGAGATCACGTTCCACATCATCCTCCTCCTCCTACTCATCATTCAAAGTTTACGGACGAGAAGGACATACATAGCTTCTGTCGCGATGGACTCCTTGGTCCTAAGTTAAACGCCCCGATGGTTACCCGTAGGTACCTAATCTTGAGTAGGCGCGTGGTCCTTCGGTCGCGATGGACATCTGGGCCTACCTAGGTATTCATCCTCCGTCCATCACGAGGCTGGGGAAGATCCACACACTCATGTAAGCAGGCAATTCCGCAGAGCCTCACTACTTGAAGTCCGGTCGGCGTTGTTTCCCTCGTTCCCAAAGTTGACTAGCGCTATTCGCGACAAGTCAATCTTGACGAGTCTCGTCAGCGTAGCGTGGTAGTCCTGCGCCCACGAAAGCACCCGTGAGGAGGACAGCCAAGTGCGCTGCCGACCTGTGGCGTCAACATTTTCTAGGTCGGACATCGGGCGATGGTTAGTACTGATGGAGACGTTAGAGCGATCGCTTCGGGGATGTACACGTTGCTGGGCTGTGCTCGTAAGGGATCCCGAAGGCGCGGTCGCGCACCCAAACATCTCGGCCAGTAATTGGCAAGAAATCTTGGATCTGTAGTGTATTCCCTAGGGCACGATGTTAGGGCTATTTTGGGTTGAGGGTGTGCATAGTGGTCCTCGTGAGGCTGCGTGTAGATGGCATCGCATCTCACACGGGAGAAGCGAACACATAGGACGATCTTCTGGAAGGCAACGACTTTTCACCCGGCTGTGAGCGTGACGCTTGTGTGTGCTCCCGAAGTCCTTTCGCTAATGTCACGCAGATGCTGAATTCCATCATCACACGGCCTGCCTATGCTATTCCAGCAAGGTGCCGGACGTGGGAACAGTGGTCCTCTTACGGGCCTTCGCCCTCCAAACGATGCACCAATCATGCAGCTTGAAACGAACGTCGGTTCTGAAACACCTTCCGTATCCTAGTCTTCGGACTGGTGGTACAAGGATAGCGTGGGATCGCAGCCCCCAATTTGGTGGATGACAGGGGTGTTGCCACGCAGCAGCGGATGGCGCTAGGGAACTCAGCACCTGCAAGTCCGAAGGAAAGGCAGGAAGTCAGGTACGACGCTCGACAAATTCCGAGCTATATGATTATGTGCCCGCCTGGCCTGCTTCCACGTTCCTACTGTTTGGTCGTTAGGTTGCATGTTAATCGAGGTGAATGGTATCATGACGCGATAAAGAGAGCTTTATAACATGAACATGGATCCTGATTCAGCACCGCCATTACCACCACCCAAAGACGAGAATTCCGAACAAGAGCACACCATTGCTTTTCCCGAAATCGCCCATCACGCAGTCTCGAGACCAGAGCACAAAGTCCCACCAACACCACCATCGAAAACATCTTCGCCTTCGCCAGGCCCATCGCCAGCACTCAAGCCTGTGACTTATTCTGCATTCCCACAATCGCGAAATGGCAGCCCCGCTCCCGGATCGTCGAGACATGGGACGCCAACACCCGAGCCAACCGGAGCTGCACAGTTCATAGCGAATCTGTCCGAAAAACAACGAGCACACCTGCAGTTCGCAGTGCCCAAAGCAGAATCAGATCGCCTTTCGCATTTCTTGGAAGAACCACCTCGAAAAACTCCAGTACCCGACCGATTTACTTTCGAAGCTCTCGACTCCGAAGCACGGAGTGGACGAGAGCTTAATTCAAAAGTCCGCCGAGGCGACACGAAGAAGAGCTTATACAGTTACAAGAGCACTAAAAGTAATGGAAATAGAAGTAATAGAAGCAGCAAGAGCAGCAGAAGCGCATCTGGTAGCCGAAATGGCCGCGACGAGAGCAGGAGCGCGGGAAGAAGAACGCCAGGGACGCCAAGTACCAGCCGAGGCGTGAGCTTCGAAAGCATCCCGAAGAGCAGACCGCAGTTGAAGAAGGAGGTCCGCCATTTCAAAGGAGTTGCGCTGGAGGTTGATTGGCGATTCTATGCCACCGGCATTTGTTTGGCGTTGGTCAACCTCGTGATGGCGTGGGATGCAACTGCGATTTCGATTGCTTTGCCGGTACGTCCACTGGAATCGGCATCTAAGAAACTTCTCGCTAATGGCCGCTAGACGATCGCAGTCGCACTCCACGGACCGTCTGTAAACACGTTCTGGTTGGGCATCTCCTTTCTGGTAGCGGCTACAGCCGTTATCCCAATGTTCTCCGCATTTGCCGAGATCTTTGGTCGCAAAGCGATGCTACTGACAGGACTAACACTCTTCATCATTGGCTCGCTCGTAACAGCTATCGCTGGGGATATGGGTACAGCATTGTTTGGACGTACTGTACAGGGTGTTGGTGCAGGTGGTGTATTCGTACTCTCAGATCTCATCATCACGGACCTTGTGTCGCCTTTGGACAAGCGGCGATGGTCAGCTGTCCTCGGCTTGGTGTAAGTGTGATCATATCTATTCGTAACTTAACTGACATTCTCACAGTTGGGCCGTTGGCGCATTGACCGGTCCCGCAGTTGGCGAGGCTCTCGCTGAACAATCGCAATGGCGTTGGATTTTCTGGTTAAATCTCCCGTTCTGCATTAGCTCGCTATTGGTTCTCGCGTTCTTTGCAAAGTTGAAGTCTACAAAGTATGGTTCGAAAGTTTATGAACTAAAGCAGATCGATTGGGTGGGATTCATACTCATGACAGGTTCGCTTGTCGCAATGCTCTTGGGCATCAGCTGGGTAAGTGCAAGCTCAAGCATCCTTCAATTGGGTTACGTGCTCGAATATTGGACCACAATCTGATAGCTAGAACAGGGAGGCACTACGTACGCGTGGTCCAGCCCGCGAACGCTCATACCTATCCAATTCGGCCTAATTGGAATCGTCTTGTATTGCGTCTGGTCCTGGTTCGCACCCTTCCAGTCCATGATCTCTATTGATGGCTTCATGAACTGCACGAGCATCGGGATGTATATCGGCACGACGGTACAAGGTTGCATCATCGGCGCCTATGTTTTCTTCATGGTAATTTCAAGCCTTTCTCCACAATACTGCAATAAATGCTGAAAATCTCAAAGCCTCTGTACTTCGGCGTCGCCGAAGCCGGCATGAAAGATGTACCTGCCGGAGTACGCTGGTTTCCCTGGACCATTCCGCTGGCCATCATCATCCTCGTGACGTTCGTCGTAATCAGCAAATGGAACGCCTGGATCTACGCTATTTGGCTGGGCTGGCTCCTCGTCTTGTTCGGCGTCGCGATGACCACATTCTACACGCGTACCTCAGCAGATGGGAAATGGATATCCATTGCTATCGTCTCTGGCACCGGGATTGGCATCTTGTTCCCGAGTTTGCACACTGCGTCCGAGCTTATCGCCAGTCGCGAGAGAGACGACGAGCGACAACGGCGGGCAGTTACGAATTCTTCCTACTTCCATTATCTTGGCAAAGCCTTTGGTGTCGGGCTGGCTACTTGTGTATTCCAGAATAGGCTGCTGCACCAGTTGGACGCCAGCGAGATATATCACAACTTCGCAAAGGAGTACGTGGTTGAATCCGTCTCCCTCCTCGTCCGCATCCGAGCCACGCCTGGCGGACCGGGCTCGGCCAAAATCCAGATCGCGGACATGTATGTACAGTCATTGAAGAGCGTGTGGATTTTGATGGCAGTCCTAGCAGGTGTCGCACTGTTAGCCAGTTGCTTCATGATGCCTAAGATCCCGAAGGAGGAGAAGGAAGCCGAGATGAAGAATCTAGACGGAAGCTACGTGGTGTAATTGAATGACTTAATTACCGCGTAATTCGGAGGCTTGAATGTTGCTGGAGTTTTGTTTTGGTTTGGCGGTCGTGTTCGGAAGCATTTACAGGCGCGTCGGATATACCCTTCCTTTATTATACCGTTCTCTGAAGGTGCGAAACAGCGCTTGTTTATGCTACTACGCAAGGGTGTTAGTCAAAAGTATACGTCAATTGATGAAAGCTAGATCTGTGAAGTAGAAGTGCGAAAATCATTTGTTCGATGGGTGCCCTTCGGGGAAGCTGAGCTGTTGAGGACTCTATCACGAGACTGAAAAGGGTGGAGTGGGGCAATGAAAACTGTCACGTGAGTCAATCACTCATTCCCGAGGAGGTCCAATCGATTTGGATGATGTGGGCATGACTTATTATCGCTGGTTTCATAGCTGCCGTAGGGTTGTCCCACACAACTTCAGTATACCTTAAAGATTTGGATGATCAGCTTCAATTACGTACAATGGAAGACCCGTAACGTTCAAATCCGAAATGAGGTCACGTGTCTTTGCCTTCACCTCTACTCCTTAGCACGCTTCAATCAATTGCTTCTTTGTAACTAAAGTTCCGCCGTATACATGTTAAGTTCCGAATGAACAACATTGTCTATCAGAACTGCGGGCCCTCCTGGATTAGGAATACCGAGAAAGGAACTGATCTTGTTAGGGACTTCCTGGAAAATTTCTACTGCATGCAACTCAACTTTCTTACGACGAAGTCTCAGCAAAGTAGCGTATTACCCTAGGCATCATCTTTCTACCTCCATAACACGGCCTTTGCGGACATTAGAATGCCGGCTTTAACGGATATTAGGATCAACAAGGCCTCTGAGACATCATATGACGTTGTATTTAAATTATTACTTAACCGCCTAGATGCTGCTATCTTGTCCTAAATAACTTTGAAAGTTCTCCAACTTACATCTATATTGCTTTCGTCCGTCAAATATTGTTCCTTAGGGCGTGCTTTACTTTGCATCCAGGCGCATAATCATCATGGAAGACAAGACCATTGTCCTCATAACTGGAGCGAACAGCGGGATTGGATACGCCGCTTCAAAGATCATATCGTCAGCCTCTTCGAATTATCGCATCCTTATGGCTGGCCGTTCGCTGCCCAAAGTCGAAGCCGCGATCAAATCGCTAAAATCAGAAGCCAACATCAAGGGCGAGCTGACGCCGCTAGAGCTCGATGTCACTTCCGAGGCCAGCATCGCTGCCGCAGCCAAGAAGGTCGAGCGAGAGTTCGGCCATGTCGACGTGCTCATCAACAACGCCGGCGTCGCGCAATCGTCCGAGCCGAGCTACAAAGCGCAGATTAACGCCATAACCGAAACCAACATCACCGGTCCGCTGCTGGTGTGTGAGCAATTTATGCCGCTCGTGCTAAAGAGCAAGAATCCCTACTCCATCTTCGTCAGCAGCAGCCTGGCCAGTCTCGGTTTGGCAACTACGCCCGGAAGTCACTACGACAGCGACATGTGGCAGGTGTACCGCATGACGAAATCAGCGCTCAACATGATCGCCGTCACTGAGCAGCACAAGTGGGCTTCGAAAGGCGTCAAGGTGTTCCCAATGTGTCCTGGACTCGTCAGGAGCAACTTGAGGGGGACCGAGGAGGAGAATGTCAGTGCCGGCGGCCGAGCAGGCAGCGCAGACGTCAGTGGAGAGACAATGCTCAGTATCATAGAAGGGAAGAGAGATGCCGATGTGGGCAAGTTCGTACACAAAGATGGTGTTCACGCGTGGTGAACACATGTATCCCGGTTGACTTAGAGAGGTTTAGTATCCTTGAAACGTCTGTGGTAAAATTGTGGAGAGGTCTGGGGACTGCCTCGCAATAAGACAGCAACAATTAAGTCTTTAGGTCTTATCAAATCTTATTATCTTTGGAATATACATCTAAAAGGTACGCGAGGATAAGTACTGACTGCCTAGGCGTCGATGCACTAGAACGACTTGGGAAGCACATAATTTCAGCCACATTTGTGTGACCTCAGAAGTTCTGTTGGCACCAGGACGATATGCTTGTATGTTCTGGGACGAGTTATCATCTTTACCGAAGCTGCCGGACCCTTGTTCACGCTGCCTGTCGCCTTCACAACAACAGCTCCATGCCGAATCGGGCTTAGCTCCACGTCGGTTTGCTCTTTCTCTTTCTCTTGCTCCTACAGCCCCACTTTGACTCTTAGTTCTCACGGAAAGTAATCTTTTGACGCCATACGATTTTGTCAGCTTTAATAGTCAAGATTTGCACCCTTGTGCGTGCCATAGGCATCCTGCATCGACATGTCTAGCCCTGACATCGGGCAAGGACAAGGCGATGTCGAGAAGTATGAGGCTTGGTCCCAGGCTGGTTCGGACTCTTCAGACGACGGCAGAGACGTCTAAATTCTTATACTTGACGACTTCAGTAGGATTGGCTGCCCAAAGACTGTGCCGACAAACATGACAACAACGTACAAGTCAGACTGGACCCCACTGATAGTTTTCGGAAGGTCTTTCAAAAATGGTAAGTGCTCATACTTCGGACAGTCTCGAAGCTTGTATCTTAAACTTGTGATAGTCATTGGGAACAAGATTCGCCACTTAGACCTCGATTGGGCCCACGGGTTCCCTGGCACTCACATTTTCTATCGAACTCGCAACCAACCGCACTCTGGTATTGCTCTTCTAAAACCGCAGATAAACATTGCAGAGAGCAGTGTGAGCAGAAAGCGTCCTAGGGACAATAGAAATTCCTTGCGTGCTCTTTGGCCGAAGAGAGGAAGGCATGAAGTCTAACGGAGGAGCAGTCAAGCCCGGATGTAGCTCGACTGGTACTGGGATGAAAAACCTTGTGTATGTCCATTGCCATATTTGGAGGAAAGACTTGCAAGAAACACTTGATGATAACAAGGCCAACGAGGGAATGGGCGACGACACGAGGGGTGTTCACTTCTTGGGTGAGCTAAAGTTGATTAGTATGAGGTAAGGTCACCATAAAAGCGGTATGAATCGGTAGTCCGTGAACCATCACCCTTGACACTCTCCACACGGAGCCTCGCCCATGGTCTAAGAGCTGTACTCCGTTGTACATGTGTACTACGAACTTTGCGCCAGGCAACCGTACTACCGAGTTGAGCTTACAAGATACGCTCACTAAAGACATCTCATTTCCTGCTAGGTCGGGTTTTTCAAAAGTCTCGCCAGCGGATCTCCACGTCAGAGACCTAGATGTTGGCATAGGCACATGGTGCATATCGCTAGCTCGATAGCTTGACATTTTACACAACAATTTCGTAGGATGCTAATTCTATCACAGTCCATACCCGCCAAACTCTATCCGGTGCAGTTCCTGTACCATCAGGTCCTTTGCTCCACAGATTATTCTCCGACACCTCAACCACCACCCCTCATCAATTCATTTCGTCTCCCAGAAAACGGGAGCTTAATCACACGAGCGAACAAATCTCCGGGGTGGACTTGTCCACATAATAGAATTTACTCATCAGCGTCCTACACAATGGAAACGATCGCCTCGCCTGTATAAGAAGAAATTCTACGAACATGCTCCGACAAATGCATAAGATCCGCGCCCTAGAAGACTAACCCCTTTCCGTGGGAGTATGCACCTAGCAGAATTCCTCACATCAGCCGATCTCATAGCATCTATACAAGATCCCGATAGAAGATCTGCCGTATCAAGTAGACACGCTGTCCCCTTTCCCGTCTCACACGAGGAGCACATCAAACACACCGAGACAGCCAAAGTAGAAGTAAAACCCATTCGAGTATGTATCTATCTACTGCCGCCACCAAAATGATGAGAGAAGAAAATACACACGCACACGGCGCACATTCTCCTCTGAGCCGTGCCCAGCCTAGCCAAACACGCCAGCACACAATCCAGAATCCAGGCCTGCACTCCCTTCATCCATCATCCATGCTCGTACACCGGACTAAGGTCAGCCACCGCCCGAATTTCCCATCCCTAATTCCATTTTCGGTCCGTTCCGCACCTACGCCCCCCACTATACTTATACAGCGAACATGACCGGCGAGACCACATCCAACCCAATGCAGAGTACTCGTTTCGTGAACCCCAATGCCCGCTCCGTGTAAAAGACGCCCTGCAATGCATAGCTATATCCATGGTGCTAACGAGATGTACAGTCTGAAAGAAAGGAATATGTAACCGATCATCGCATTTATGCGAAGCCGAAGTACTCGCCACCAGCCGTCATGGCCGTGTAGAGAGCCTTCTTGAGGGATTCGTAGTCGTCGTATTCGGGAAGATCGAGTTCTGGGAGTAAGTTAGTATGTGGTTTAGAACCTCAGTAGTGAATCAACTTACGGTTAAAGCAAGTATGGCTAGACGGGAGGCGATCTTTGCTGCCATAATCACGATGGATGTTGAATTTGGAGAAGCCGTTCATGCCCTCAAGCTCCTTGAATCCGTTGAGCGGCACCTTGCTCGTTCCCGTGACGAACTGAAGCAATTTCGCCTGCTCTTCCTTATCAAAGCTTCGGACAGCGCGCCAGAACCAATGAATCTGAGGCGAGTTCTGAGTGTAATTCGAATATTCTGTGTTGGCTTTCCAATCCTCGATATTGATGTCAGGTAGCCCGGAGATAAGCAGCTCGAGCTCCTGCTCGCTAAAGATGGAAACCAAGTCCGAAGGGATGATGTCGTGGAAACCCTTGAGGAAGTGCTCTAGCTGTTCTTGGACAGCACCTGTCAGACGATACTCGGTCACCAGGCGCACATAATCATGCTTATTCTCCTCGGAGAGCGGGATGTTGCGCCCGTTCTCCATGAGATCCACGATCTCGGTTTCTCCAAAGCGTTCAGTCTCCACTGAGAAGGTTTCGGGAATGACATCGGTGGGGTCATTGTTGAGTATCCAAAGAAGAGACTTGTAGTATTCCTCATCGAGAGATTCCATGTCCTTGACATTGACAGGCCGGCTCAGGATCCGCTTGTAGACAGCTCGACTAAAGTGGCAGTCAAGCACGCGGCCTTCGTAGAGGGCTTTTCCAATGACGCGTCCAATGAACTTGAAGAACATCAAGTGCTCCGGATTGATACCGCTCAGGCGGTTCGGATGGAATGTCGTACGATCCGAAGCCACAGGAATGAAAAGCGCATAGTCTGGGTTGAACATCTGTCGGGCAATGACTTGGAACCATTCACGGGTAACACCCCCAGCATCGACACCCTCCTCACCATGGAAGCGGATGCTAAGCTTACCATACTTCATTTCATCCGCAGTCTTGAAGTACAATGACTTGAAACTGTCTAGGAAGACTTGGTCACGGCGGACTGCAAGCTGAAGCGGCGGGTGTTGCTGGCGATCAGGGGTCCGAGCATGCAGTTTACGGGAGAAGTAATTGCGCTTGTTGTCGAACTCCAGTACCTTGGAGTTCTTCACAAGCAGCGAGAAAGTACCGCTCATGAGCTTCGGGTTCTGCCGCACCAGGTCATTCAGGATCTTTCGATGGTCTTCGGTAAAGTTGAAGAACAGGTTCTCCATCTTGCTCTCCGGGGGCGGGCTCGAAAGCGCGAACTCTTTATTGGCCAACCTTCCAAGTGGTGCATCCTTGAGGGTGGTGTTCTTGCAGACAACCATGAGAGTCTCGATAAGCGGTAACAAGGTGGTAGCGATGTTAAGCATGTTACCCCGTTGGCGGATCACAGTCAGAAACTCGCTAAGCTTATTCCACAACGGAGCAAATGCGGAATCCTCGTACAAAGACATAAGGATATCGTCCTTCTGTGCGGGCTCGAGTGCAACCGCGCCGCTCTGTTCCTTGTTGTCTCGCGTAGGATCGAAGAGATAGTCCAATGCTGTAAGAGCCCGCAGAAGTTTGGTTTGATCGGAGCTGGCGGGTGAGAACTTCGAAAGAGCCAAGCCTTGAACATCCGTCGGTGACTCAGCATTTGTGACTTGAACAGTCAAATCGCTGAGGTCACGAAGGATAGATCGCGCCAATTCTTGTGCGATACCAAGCAATTCCTGTCCGAAGACCTCCTTGGCCCCAGGTATAGGCGAGAGGTTGCTAATAACACTCAAAGTCTCTTGGAACACCTTGCCGCTGCATTCTCGAGCTGCCAAAATCTTTGCAACCAGACGCAGGTTGTTTTCGGGTATCTCGGGTGGTGTAAGACTCCGATGCTTCTTCTTGTCTTCCTCGGTCTTTGATGCTTCGGGTTTAGAGGAGCTGTCCCCGCCGTCCGTGGCTGCTTCAGCGGCAGTCTCGTTTTGGGAAGCAGTCGGCATCTCAACATCCTCAGCCTGTTGCTGCCCAGTCGCAAGCTGCTCACGGTTCTGGTCAGCCTCGGCAGTAGGTGAGTGTTCGGCAGCAGACGTTTCGTCCTTCTTCTCGGCTTCAGTCCCAGCCTTCTCCTTCTCCTTCTTTAAGTGTTGAAGAGGAACAGTGATTATGCGCAGTAGGGTTGTGAGTTGTTCCATGATGGACGAGCTCTCGATGATGAGCTTCCGATCCAGCAAGCTCAACAAGGCGTTGACAGGGTATTTGGTCGCCTTGGTCTCTTTCGCTTTACCCTTGCGGTTGGCTCGGCTCTTGAAGCCAACGCCTGTTTCATGCTCTGTCAGGAAGAAAGTCCAGACTGCAGGATTCTTTTCGGTGAGTTGAGTAAGCGTGTTCAGGCATTGCTGGACGACCATAAGCGGTGAAACATCGGAATTGATGGAGAAGGCCCCGTTCTTCTTGGATATTTTCGGAGTCTTCTCGCTAGGCTGTTGCTGAGTCTGCTTTGCACGCAGTGAGAGCTGAGCGAAACTACGCTCAACAGCGTTCACATCGGCACTGCCATCCTGCAGAATTGACAACAGGATGCTGATAACCTCGGCCCGGTTTTGACGATTCTCACAAACGTACCGTAGAATCTGGGTCAAGCTGGCCTTGGCACTGCCTTGTTGAGGGATGAACATGAGGCGGAGCAATGTTGCTACACCGGCCTTGTCAAGCATCTGTGCACATGGCCGAGCTTTCCGCTTCTGGAGTTGAACGTCACGATCAGCGCCGCGATGCGTGGTCTGGCGGAAACCAGAAGGAAGATAGTCGAATTGGTTTAGACGACGATCACCACCGTACGAGCGGGCCTCGGCCGAGATCTCAGGCGGCAGTTGTCGTAACATGTCCTCGTCCTGGTCCATTAGAACGGCTTGTCGCAAAGCGGGATCCAATGAAGCTAAAAAGCTCGCCGGGTCAATGTCCTCAGCTTGTGCCGGGGCATTTGCTTGACTCCGTCGTCGTTGCTCTTCTCGTTCTTGTCGTCGACGCTCTTGAGCCTCATGCTGGAGCAGTTCGTTCCGGATCTCGACTGGCAATGCAGCCAAGAAATCATCGTCAATACCGGCAGCTTGTTCGCTGGTCGATTGGGCTTGGTTATCGCCCTGGGCTTGTTGTGTGGCATTGCGATCCTCTCGTGCTCGACGTTCATTAGCGCGCTGTTGTGCACGGTGCTCCTGAATCTGCGATAGCAAAACTTCCTCCCGCAGATCCTCAGGGAGGGCCTCTAGGTATTCTAGATCAATACCAAGATCAGTAATATCGTAGTCGTGGCCACGAATATTCACCGTGACCCGTTGTTGAGGCTCCACCGGTTGCGCAGGCTGCGCAGCCTCTACACCTTCCATTTCTTGAGATTCAGGCTGGGTGGTGTCTGTGCCTTCCGTGGGCACTACTTCTCCGACAGTTTCACCAGCTTGCGCGGCAGCCTCAGCAGCTACTCGCTCGGCTTCCAGACGCTCACGCTCCTGGCGTTCTTTCTCTTCTCGTTCCTCACGTTCCTTGGCCTCCCTGCGCTCTTGTTCTTCTTTTCGCCTCCGCTCGAGCTCGGCTTCCTTCTCCGCTTGCCGCTTCTTTTGAGCCTCTATAGCGGGCGGAACCATGAGTTTTAATATTGAGTTGACGACACGCTGGCTCTTCTCTATTGCGCTCGGGCCATATAGTACGCGCGCCTCTTCCTGCCAACGCTGGTGAGTGTAAGCCTTGAGGAACGCTACAGAAGATTGTGGATCCTCTCGTGCTGAGCGACCTAGAGGATTATCGCGTGTACGAATGTCGCGGCGGAAAGTCGGATCGAATGGCGGGGAGAATCCATGAGGACCCAAGGGTAGATTGTTGAAGGACAGGTGTACGGTGCCGTTCTGCGTGTGCAGCGTCCCTTGGCTCATCGCGTTGAGCAGATTGCTGATGAAGGAGACCGGGCTAGTGTCTGAAGGGAGTAGCCGTGGACCGCGACCTTCGATAGCATGAACCCAATCGCTATTATTTGCAGAGGAAGGATCACCGTGGCGTCCAGCTGAACGACCAGACCGTTGTAGAAGTGGGTTAACGCCATCATCTGCCATGCGCGGCCCTGCACCAGGGCGATGTGACCGATATGCTGGCACGAGAACTCTATTGTCGGGCCCGCCGGGAAACATCCAAGGACTCAGGCGGTGCAAGTGACGTGATGGCGGAGCAGGCTCGTTCCAGTCCCAACCCATCTCATGCATGCCTTCATCATCATCTTCCATTCCTGGATCGTAGACGATGTCCTCTTCGTCAAAATCTTCTTCTTCCTCATCATCTGCGAAAGTTAGCTTCGTCAATCAACCTGCAGTCATTGAGACTTGCCTTCGTCTTCCTGCATCTCATCATCAATGAAATCATCCAGATCGCCCTGACGAATCTGGTCAAGAAGCTGCTGCGGTCGATCGAGCACAAAGTTGAGCGCAGAACCTCCCTCCGGGTAGGCACCATCACCGCTCCAACTGTCCTCGCGGTCATCAGCAAGGCTAGCGTTTTCATCATCGCCCGTAATCTCCTCCATATCCTCCATGTCCTCGATCTCCTCGAGGTCGTCCATGTCGTCATCCTCGTCGCCATCATCCTCGTCTTCCTCGTCATCTTCGCTATCGTCGTCATCGTCGCTCTGAGATTCGTCCTGGGAGCCCATGCCCTCGCCATCATCGTCAAGCTCGATTTCGACGTCTACATCGCCGGGAAGTCCTTCAATGGGGCCGATGTCACCGAGTTCCATTTCCATCTCCTCATCTTCGGAAATGACCTCGTCGTTATCACCAAGCTCTTCGTCAAAGTCCATGTCGTCGGCATAGGCTTCACCATACATGTCTTCATCTTCTTCACCCTCATCTTCATCCTCGTCGGTCTCTGACTCGTTACCAGGGTCAAACATGCCCAGCGTCGAGTTACGGAAAAGATCTGGTGTCTCTTCACGTGTTGTGTCCATAAGATCATCGTCTGAGGCAGAAGAGATCTCATACTCGTCTGTCGAATCGGGAGAGGAAGATGTGTCGTAGCGAGTGCTCAAGTCCATGCCAACATACGTCAGCCATTTAAGTGGCTTGAGGATGTACTTGACAACCCGCTTTGCATTGGGAAAATTGAGGTCAATGTCGGCAATGGCGGTCGTCAAGATTGTGATGAAGTTCTTTTCATACATGATTTTGGCCATTTGTTTGAGCGTCGGAGTGAGATCGGCGTTTTGATTCAGCATCTCCCCATTAGGGCGTTGAGAGACCAGTTTGGAGAAAATGTCGGCTACACCAAGTAGACGAGAGTACTTCATGTCGAGAACTTCGTCAGAAGCGCAGGCGTCTTTAAATGCCTTGAGACAATGCTCTAGAACGAACTTGCGAACAAACAAGAGCTCAGACTCGGTCTCAACATAAGGCGATTCGTTAGGACTTGGCCTAGAAACACCCTGCTCTCCGGTTTTGGCGCATAGCGATACGATCACATCGATAGCGCAGCTAGACGTAGCCAATTTCTTCTTGAAAGCGAGGTCACCTTCGTGGTTCAGACTACCAACAGGCACCAGGACGTTAAGAAGATAGTTCAGTACGCCAGATCGAGGCTTGGACGGAGTAGTAACATATGGATCTGCCTTCCTAGAGAAGTTGATGAACTCGATCTTAGTGCGATTGTAGCTTTGGAGGAGCTCTGCAAGACACTTCAGGATGAAGCATCGATAGATGTAAATAGGGTGGTTCTCCGCCTTAAACTCGACCTTTTCCGACTTCGTTTGCTCGGTGCTCGGATTCGCCGTTTCTGAGGTAGCTGTCGATGCTGCGTTGGTGGTCGACTGCTGCGGGGCTTCTTCGTCCTTCTCGGATACTTTGGGGGGTGTCGGCTTGTCTTCAACCTCTTTGTAGGCGAGCAATTCACACAAGAGGTAGTGGATGATGCCGTCGGGGTTCTCAACCACTGGCAATTTGAGATCGGAAGTCTTGGTCCTCTCGAGACTGGGCTGCTTAGGAGCCTCGCTGGTCTCTTTGAGCCGATCGTTCTCTGGGACCTCGTTCGATGTGCCAGAAGTATGCAAGTCTTCGCCTTCTATAGCGGGCTCATCCTTTTTAAGTATCAGAGTCTGCGGACGTTGATTAGGATCAAAGCGGGCAAGCTGGAGTTTCTCGTTGGTGACTTCGACGAAAATCTCAGGGGCGCGGATAGCCAGATAGTACATTTGGCGTGTGTATCCCGTGGTGTCTGTCTGTCTACGATCTCGGGAGTCGAACATTTGTTGTATTTCGCTGCGCATTATATGACGTATCATGGTATCGTCTTCGATGATGTGGCGTAGAGCAATCATGAAGGCGCTCCGAAGACCGTCATTTGTGATACCTGCAAGCTGCCGTACCATGAGGAAGAGGCGCTGGATATTGCGCTTCTCGGCCAAACGCTGCGCGATCTTGCGGGTGCGTGTAAGCATCACCATAACGCGCATGACCGACAAGGCCAATGATTCATCCTTGCCGATATGTGGCAGGATCTCGATCAAAGAATCGAATAGCTGGTTCTTTTCATCTAGACCGACAATGGGCTCGGGTGGCAGTTGGACAGGTGTTTCCGCATTGTCGGATTCGGTTGGCGGAGTCCAGGATATCTGGGTGGGGAGCTGGTCTTCCGCGAGCAGACGTTCGAGAATAACAAGAACATGGCCAATCCATGACGAGGATTCCTCAGCTGCCTGATTGGGAAATATCTTGATGAACTGAAGGAACAACGCAAAGTTTTCCTTCAGCTCTTCCACTACAGCCTCGTAGAAATCCTTGTCTTGAATGATGAGGGCCAGCAAATGAGCAGAAGCTGCGATTTTCTTCCCTTGATCGCGGAAATCATCTTCCATTTGCAAAGAGATGAGTGACTGGATCAAAGTAGATCCTATCTCGCTACGCAGTGCACCCGGCTCAGTTGCCTTGGCGACTGCAGCAGAGATCAGATCCGCCAACTCAAAGGTGACATCGTTGTGAGAGTTTAGAATGTCGAGCGATCGGTCCACAAGGTTCTCGCGGATGTTGGCGCGTTCTTTGTCCAAGTCATCCACGGCAACAGGTTCTGCCAGATTGCCGGTCACCATACGCTTCTGATAAGCGAGGCCACCCTGCAAAGCTACGGATGTTTCTGCTGCTGATGATTGTTCTAGCACAGGCGCTTCAGATGGATGCTCCTGAACATTTTGGGAAACTTCGGCATCTTCCATATCCACAGACTGCGAGTCTTGGGCCGTCCAGCCGTCATGTTCGTCGGCGTCCTCACTTGCCGAATTACTGGCCGTCTCTGCAGGCTCGGGCACTACCACCTCTGTTCGGCTCGGCGAAGCATTCGGGGCACGACGAGCTTCGATCTCGTACTGGGGAATCGGGTTTCGAGAAGCCCGCACGTCACGGACCTGGTTCTGACAATACTCTCGAGCAGTATTGAAATTATCACAGCACCGGAAGAGAGCTTCTTCTACCAAGCTCTCCGGGTACTGACTACCTTCCATAAGACGTTGAATGTGCTCGGCACTCCTAGGCTTCCAGGGTTTGATCACGGGCTTGCTCCGATGAGGAATTTTATCCACGCTCTTGGGGGCTGCATTCTCGCCTTCACCGTCTAGTACAGTCTTCAAGATGTTGATGGAAGTCTTTACAATGGACGTTGTCGCCTTGTCGATGAGATCGGAGTTCCATATGTTCTGGACTGGCTTCGTCACAGCATGGCGCAACTCAACGATAAACTGAGGCGCCTGGAAGTAATCGGGACGTTCACGTTCGCGATCGGGGCGCGTCTGCATCGAGGCAGTCTGGGTGGCTTCGTTGATCACCTTTGCATTGATGATTTGAGCATAGAACGCGAGTATAATCTTGACGCCGCCAAGCGATAGGTTCAGCGATCGCTGATACTCCTCGGAGGGCTGTTCTCCTTGGGTTTGGATAACATCTTTGGCCGACTCATAGAAAGTGTTAAGGATGTCTGCTAGTACAGCTAAGCCACCAAGGTTCCTGAAAGATACAAGAATAAGAGTCAGGGCTTGCGGGCTCATGCGATCCAGGTTATTGTCGATCATTAGCTGTGAAAGTGATGTCAATATCACGATCCAGTACGCATATCGATCTTCAGCAGAAGCGAATGCTTTGGGGGCCTCGAAGCGCAACTGATCGATAGCGGCCTGTGCTAATTGATCCCCGACGATGGTTGCGCCCTGTTTCTGGTACGGCTCCAATGTGCGTCGGAAAAGGAGGAGTTTACCTAGAGACTGGAAGAATGGGGCAATGCCAGGCGGGATCTTGCTTAACAAGTGTCGCAGGATTTGAGTGTTTTTGAAGCGGGCACTATTTTGACTTGGAGTTGGGACATCACCTGAGGACCCAGAAGCAGAGCCGGCGGTCTCGTCATTGCTCGGCCCGGCCGTTGGTTCGGTGGGCCTATCGTTGTTACCGAGGTTGAAGACACTGTCAGCCTCGATTGCTCCGAAACCCGAGCTCTTGACGCGTGTCTCCTTCTCCCATTCTGTGGGCATATTTTTCTGCAGCAGTATTTCTTCCCAGACGCAGCTCCGATGAAGGCGACCCAGACTATCGACTAGTCGAGCATACATATCAGAAAGATTGACCTGGCTCGAGACGTTGTGTGAGGAACGAGTATTGAACATCTGGCCTTGGAAGGTCGTTGTCAGAGCTGATACCAATGTATGTACCGCAAGAAGAGACTTGACATATTGGGTGCCTTGGTCTCGAATCTTCCGTTGTTCAGGATCAGGGTCCGGTGCCACGCCCGTGAACGACGCAAAGAACCCTTTACCATCGTTGTAGTTGTGATGCATCAAAGGCTCCAGACGATCCAACGCAAACTGGGTGCGCTTCAACAACGCAGGTACTGCAATGTGAGGTTTCTGCTCTACGAGAACCTGGACCACCCGCGCAAATTCCTCGCTGGTCGTCTGTGTTTCATTGAATCTAGCATCGAGACAAGGCAGCGTGGCGAGATCGAGTATCGTCTCGACACCATCTGCCTCTATGTAGGCAGCGCACATTACGTTGTTGGTGAAAAAACCACCGAGGAACCGACATACGACACTGATGTATTGGCTTGTGGAGGGTCCTGCTGAACGATCTTCGATCTCGATAACATCACTGAGAGCAATAGGCTCCAGAGGGTTCGATGATGTGTCATGCGCGTCTGCCATGAGAACATCACCCTCAGAGCTAGCTCGCTGCGAGAGTTGCTTATGTATCAAGCCTTCTAGACCTGAGAGTGCAGGCCGGCCACCGCAAACATAGATCTTTTCGTCTTTGTCGTTCTCATAGTACAACTTGGTGCCGGCCCCTTCCTTTTCTGCCTTGTCAAAACATATGCGAACAACCCGGGCGACCATTTCGCTTAGGGATGCCAAAACTGGGTTCTTCAGCGGAGGGTGGTGGCGAACCAGCTCATCAAAAGCATTGCCAATGATGGTAGGAATTTCAGGATCCATATCCAAAGCTTTGACGTGAGCTGGGCTCTCGAAAATCTCAAAGAAGTGCTTCATGGCCGCCGACGACCGGAAAAGCTTCATACCAGCCTCTGCAAGGCAAATAGCACCAAATGCAGGCGGTATGGTCGAAATCGCTTCTGCAACAGGCAAAATGCCAGAAGCAAGGGTAACGTCCGGGTCGCGTGGCGGATACACGCGTGCAGGGCGTGGAGGTGAAGAGTTCTGGCCCGCAGATGCTGAGTCGGCTGATGAAACCGTGTTTCCGTCTGTAGCATCGGTGGAGGTCTCGGATATTTTCTCGCCAGAGACGGTCTCAAGCAGTGCAGTGCTGAGACCGGCGTCATTAATTACTGCATAGCTTGTTGGTTCATTGTGAATGAACGTGGTCAAGATGTTCACTCCCATGCTCCACACAGTTGACCCGAAAACATTGGCGTTGGACAACACGATCTCTAACCCTTGTTGGAGGGGTGTCGAGTCGATCAGATTTCTCATTTGGCGATCAAAATTGCCACCTCCAGTGTGAGACATCATATGGTTCATGAACTTGAACAGCCAGCGGAGTGTTTGCTGGTTATAGAAAGGAATCTGATAGTCGGTGAGTTGTGTCTTGTACTCCTTGGAAATTCCATTGCCTGCCTCGGCGAGCTGCTGCGAGGTGGTCACCTCGTAGAATACGAGGTCCGCAATGATGTCCAGTCCTTTAGCGTCGACTAAAGCTTGGAATGCCTCCCGAAGGTTGTGAACGAAGGTGTCAAGGAAGTTGAGGATCTTCGGGTGATTCCGTTCTGCTTTGGTTGTTCGAAGCTTGAGTACATCGACCAAGATCTCTATGAGTCCAGCAGAAACCATGCCGTCTCCAGTTCGTGCTTGTGAGGTTGGCAACGTGTTGAGTAGCGAGAACAAGGCCTCTCGCCAGTCTTCTTGTTGGAAGTCAACTTCAGAACCGTCTTCGACAGCCAACTCAGCGACGAGCTTGCGAACTATGTAAAAGAGGACACCATGATTGACGTTGACACTGAGAGCTGTACATATATCCGAAGACTTCGACTTGTGTTTCGCCAAAGCTTCAAGAGCGCTGAGAGCGTAAGTCTGTAACTCAAGCGACACAGCACCAGCGCCACTGCTAGGCGGATGCACAAGTTCGGACAATTGGTGGGCCCATTGTAAGCGACGAGGCTCCTCGGCGTCCTGTTGACCGAGTTTCGCATGGAAATCCTTCTCGCCGTAGACATACGCCAAGTTGGCGATGGCAAGCATACGGATCCCAGCAGCATCTTCGCGGCCACTCTGACCATCAACTAAAGTCTTGGCTGATCGTACTTTGTGGAGAAGTTCGTAGTGCACATTTTCAGGCAGTTCTTTGAGGCCCTGCTGGACGAGCTCGTGTATGCCGGAGCTGGACAAGGTTTCTGGCGACTTTTCGAAGGACTTGGCTCCGGTAGGTCGACCAGTGCCGAAGTCCCCAGGTGTGAACGCAGGCGTTATAGGAGACTCGGTCGATGGTCCATCGCGGGATTGACGAGGGGTCTGCTGTGGGTTCATGTTGGAGGTCCGACGTACTGGCGTAGGAGTCGTGGGCGCGGCTGTTCCTGACGCGTCCGTAGAAGATGACTGGATCTCCTCAGAGGTTGAAGATGCTTCGTAGTAGGAAATCGAAACACCGCCAAATTCCTGCCTCAAGGCCCCCTCGGGAAGCGTAAAAAGACCGACCATATCGGCAGCGTACACCCTATCATTATCACTACGACGGTCCCCAAGCGCTCTATCCTTGCCCTTCCCTGCGGGGGTGGCAAAAAGCGGTGGTGCAAGCGACGGCCCTTTCGGAAAGGGTGCGGCCAACTTTTGCATCTTCTCGAGATTGATGTTGTAATGGCTGGCTAGCAAGGTCGGGTGTAATGTCGCAGGTGCGAGCCGCATACGAGCGGAATAATAGCGCTGGGAAAGGCGCAAGCTCAAGCGGAGCGTAGCTTTCACTAGAGACACACATGTAGAATTCAATAGCTTGTCCAAGTGACCGCTGCTGGAATAGAGACTCCGATTGCCGCAATTCTCAAGCAGAAGCCGAGTAAAATTGAGTATTTGCTCAACGAGCTCGCGATCGCCATCCGGAGCGGTGTGTAGTTTGTCCAAGATGTCGGCTGTTGCTGGCTCTGCTGTCTTGCCTTCCTCGGCATCACCTTGCTGCAAGAGAAGGCGCTGGAATGGTTGCGTCTGAGGGCCGTTTTCCAGGCCATAGATGCGAACAAACAGCTCGAGTATGCGATCGAAGCGGTTCAGCACTGGGATCCAGTGGTATGTGTCGCCTCGCGGAAACGGCCATAACTTGGGGAACGACGCAAGGTGGGCGGGTATCTGGTAGAGGGGAATCGACTCGGTCGCTTTGACGAAATCTGCTATCATCGGAGACTGGTAGCGTTAGCATGCGGCGGAATCGGGAACGGGCAGCTTTCTCACCAGAGTGGACTCATGCCGCGATGTAGCCTGCTTCTTGATCTTCATGGCTACTCCGGGCGCTCGGAAGCCGAGCCTCCCACATGTACGATCTGTCCAGGCAAGGGTGTCGTGACTCTAGTACGTGCAAGAACACCAGATAGAGAGTGTTGATTGGCCGGCGGGGTTAAAGCTCTGTTCCCTCAGTGGTGCTGATTGCTATGGTCGAGGTGCAGACTTGCGCGCAGAGTTAGCAGCTACGGTTTGGGGGCAATCGACTGCAAATCCAGGTGCAGCTGGGCAAAGGCGGGGTCCAAAGCTTACTTACGCTGCACGTTCGAGCTTCTTCGTCGAGGCGTGGAGAGGCTCGTGCAACCTTGCAAGATTTCGCGGTGCAGGCGCGGATCTTGCTGTTTCGTAGGTGCTAGTTTGGCAACGCGTGTGTGCCAAAAGCGCAGGTTGACGGGCGTTAATGGGGCGCGGTGCCGGGTGGAGGTGTCGCAAGTGAGAGAGCTCAAGATGTTCGGCTGCGAGACGTAACTGGCGGCGTACTTTCGGAAGGCGCAACCCAGTATGTGGCACGTGCGTGTGCTTAGGTAATGCTCTCCATGTACCTATGCTCACGGACACACGCGGAGACCGTTGAACGCGGTCTGTGCAAGAAGTACGAACCTAGGAGGGTCGGTTCCGTTACGGTTCATACTGCACTGGTGTTTTCAGAACCTGTAAGCTTTGTTGCGTCGCCAACGCGCCTTCCACCCCGCGACAAATACCAGGTTGTGCCGCTCGTCCACCTCGATGATACCATCGGGCGCCCATGGATGACTGGACCTGCAAAAGTCACCTACAAACAGGTGCCGACGGTGCTACCAACCTCAAGTCTCCAGATTCGATTCTTTCTCTCACCGTACTAGCTCTTGTGCTTAGGTGCACAGTCACAGCTACTCTACATCTCTTACCCCACCAGTGGAGTGTTCAAAAACGCCCGTCCTCCAGCTTCGTCTATCGCATACGAAGGCATCATCACGACTTGCTCTATCCCGTTGTACCGCTCGCAGAGTCAGGTACATTCTCTCCATCAACCAAGCGCAGCGTTTCCTCTAGCACCAGCAGATCCCTTTCCAGCATCTCGGCCCAGTTCTGAATGTCTCCGATTTCATTGAGTTTCTTCGTGCTTGTGTCCGCCAATTTCTGCCACTGCGCACTCTCCTTTGCCAACGCGTTCGTCGCCTTGGCCAAGTCTTTCTCCTGCTTTGCAATTGCCTCGCAGTTCTTGTGCAAATCTGCCGCTCGAGTACGCATCTCGTTGTCGACAGATCCTCCAACGGCTGCGAGCGAGGCTACCACAGCCGCGCGAGCCTCTGCTGTCCGGCGTGCCGACTCCGCATCTGTGGACATGTTGCTTTGTGGAGGGCAAAGTATGGTCGTTCGTATAGCCCTTTGAGGGGGATGAGTATGAAGCTTTGTGGATGTGTGTAAGATGATCGATCAATTGTCAAAGCCGGGCATCACATGTGCATCTAGTCAAGCGTGGCTTCGCGCGCTACCGCTGCCGAAAGCTTCAAGGTCGCCGCAAGCCAACCTGCTCAGTTGGGTGCGTGATGGAGTACGGAAAGCTGATGTGAGTGGTCAAACTGAGCGACTCGCGTCTTGAAACTGCAGATACCCATTATCATCACCACAAGACTACGCTATAGATTACCCCGCCCTGTTCTAGCTTAGATCTATACTTTGCAACGAGGCTGAGCTGTGATATCCAAGCATTTAGAATTGGACGTGGAAGACGAGCTGGCAGTGTCTTTTCAGGGCAACTTCGGGGCTTCAATGGGGCGCGCGACAGCAAGTCATCGCCGGAGCCATGATCGACATCGGAGGCAGGATTATGGATGTGAGCAACGGTCCTAGACCGTAAGCCAATCGCAGCTAGCGCGGCGATGTACAGAATAGAGCTGGAGAACGACCATAAGCAAGAGAACGACACCCACCAGTAGTCCTGACACGAAACCCAACAGTATAATGCATGGAGACACCTCGCAGTGGGTACCATGCTGTCGCACAGTCCCATTCCATTTATACTGTAATAGGGGCCTACTACGCGGCTTTGTATTCCTCCGTCGTTCTTCCAACGTGGTGCTTGCCCCAACGGTTGGCCAGTTCTTGCCTTCGCCCCTGTCCAGAAGGGTAAGGGCAATCAGGGTAGGGTAAGCACAACTGCGCGCAAACTTGAGCCTAGAGACAGTCTGGACAGAACCGTGGACACGCTTGTGTGGCACAGTTGAGCCTAATCTGCAGCCGCTCTTTGCCACGACCATGCACTGTTCCAATACATGCACGTCCGCGCTTTCGCGTTCCCTTGCGTTCGCGCTCCGCACTCCACTATTTGCCCGATGTGGAGGGCCGTCGCACGATAGCCATAGCTAGGTGGCTCACGAGCCACGAAAAGCGTCAGGCGCCGCAAACTAAGACGGATGATAGCATTGTGCTCGATTTGAGTGTGCCCGGGTTCATGGAGACAGCGCGCACGAGCCCTTGTGTTGGACAGCAGCGGGGATTTGGGGGCCGAACCACGCCACGCGCGAGAAGCACGGAGGCGCGGCCAGAGCTGAGAATGGGCGGCACGAAAGATGCTGCCAAACGCCCAGGCGCATCTGCGAGCCTTGTTCTTAGGGCCAATATCTGCATCCTGCCTCGCGGCTTTTTTGGGTCCTTTTCCTCTTCGACTGCCTTGAATCGCATACGAAATCGAGCTGCCCCGTCCCTTCGCTGCTGAGCCCCGTGCGTTCGTTCGCCAGCATCGGACCGCCGGCGTCGTACCAAACGCATACAAAGACGAATACGGACAGTGCTGCCTGAGGTGGAGGGCTGAAACCTCAGGCGACAAAGTCCGTCAGCCTTACCGTGAAAATGGCCGACCACCGGCCGCTGATCCACGACGACTCCACACCAGACCCTGCTGAAACTACGAACACGCCTGCGTTGCCATCGCTAGGCTTCAATAACACCTCGAGCTCTCTCGGATTCACACCAATCGCGTCGTCGCCGCCACTGAGCCCGCGCTTCTCGCGACCTGGATATACGCGCTTGGCTAGCGATGCGACTGCAGTCGGGACACCTCCAACTGTGGTCGAAGAGGACGAGGATATCGTGGACAGCTTTAGTCGAAGATCAACGGGTGGATTAGGGATAGAAAGTACACCAGCGCAAAAACCTGCGCCCAATCGCAGAGTGTCGGTACAATCGATACCACGACGACCTGTTGGAAGCGTGCGCAGTCCCTCGATCAAGAGTCCTGCGCTCACCTCACCGCCCAACACAGGCGACCCTTTCCTAGGCGGGTTTCCGCGTTCGGCTGCAAGTACGCCTGATCTCAGACGCGAGAGATTCAGTCCCAAGCACGATGGTGGGGAGTATGAGTCGTTCAGGCCAGACGGTCTGCATCATACCGGTGGAAGCAACACCAGTCTGAACAACGATTATCAACAATTCTTACATGCCAGCAAGGGAGATGCGCCCTCTATAAAGTCAGCCTACCAAACAAACTTCCATCCAGTTCACGAATGCGCGACAGAGAAACCCTTCTACCACTCGCGATTTACGTGGGTTTCTGTCAGCATCGTAACGATATGTCTTTTCTCAACCGTATTCTCTGGCATTTTTCTAGGCCTTGCATTGAGGTCACCTCGATACGGAAGATCCATCTCCAGCCAAGGCTCTTTCCAGCCCTCCGACGCCATTCTCCTTACGACCGTCTTCGCAAAATTAATCGAACTTTCATTTGTCACTTCATTCGTTGCTTTTCTTGGCCAAGTCCTCAGTAGAAGAGCATTCATGAAAGACCATGGTCGCGGCGTTACACTCTCTGAGCTGAGCATGTGGAGATGGGTTGTGCAACCTGGCACTCTCATTACCCATTGGGAGACCGCGAAGTATGCGGGTCTATCAATTCTTGGCTTTCTGAGCCTGCTAAGTGCAATCTTGGCTACTCTTTACTCGACCGCAGCTACCGCTTTGGGTATGTGACAAATCGTGATGGCAATAGAACTATTACTCACGTCACCAGTACAACCGATGCTCAAAGACGGAGGGCACTACACCCCAATGGTATATGCCGGCCGTGTGAAGACGGGCTTCACGAACGTCAACTATGTGAAATCCATCTGCGAAACCCCGATAACGGAGAATATGGACCCAGCGTCTGGCAGTACCTGCTTGCAACTTGAGCATGCCGGTCAGGGATACCACAACTATCAACGCTATCTTTCCGCTTGGAAATCATGGAACCGTTATGGTAATGGCTCTTCGGATCAGCACATTCGACCACCAGGCTTCGGATTATTGCATGAAAATACTACCGTCACTGGACAGTGGATCGATATAATCAACACTACTAAGGAGTCCAAGAAGTACGGGCGAGCCGTCAATCAGGTTAGCCTGGCAATGCCCCATGCCGGAGTTTTTTCGGCAGCTCGTTACGGCGAGAACGACATCATGCAGCCCGAAGAGTTGAATTCAGAAGGCACATACAGTCTTCGAGCCAGCGTTCCCAGCCCGGTAATGCATGTCTTATGTGCAAACGTGAACGAAACAGAATTGGCACCCATCGTGTATGATGTGTGGCCGAACAACGAGACTGTTACAATCACAAATTGGGTCTCAGAGGGGGTTCAGGCCAATGCTACTACGAAGAACACCACGGTTCTAGACGAACTGTTCGGCTGGACAAAGAAGGACAACAAGACGTTCAATGACTACCCACCTGTGTTCCCTAAGTTGCCATTGCCTTTCAACACTGTCATGAACCATACGACACCTGTATGGGGCAGAGAATCAATCTACCTCCTCGGTGCGGGTGCCAATGCCTTAAATGGTACGTACATGGTATGCAAAATCCATGTAACGTTGACGCCCAATTGCTCCACACAGTACAACGCTACGGGATCCGGAGGCAGCATGGAAGCCTTGTGTGAAGACAGAGATCCACACATGGCCTACACTTATAGTAACTCGAGTGAAAAGAGTGTGCCTTTACCGGATTGGAGAGATATCGGCTTCGATTGGTCAAATTCGATGTCACTCAACGCGGGTATCACGGATGGCCAAGCGGCCAACGCTCGACTGCTCACAGAGTTGATGCTTCAAGCAGGCACGGACGGCAACTTCGACCTCAACCCATTTTTGCCCAGTCCGGCTGAAGCACTCGCTGTGATGGCTGGGTGTAAGTACTTACGTATACACGCTCTATATATCATACTGACGCGGCCTCCAGGCACGCTCCTCATGAGCGCCATCGACGCGCCATACGTCATGTTCTGGAACTACACCACTGAGGCGCCCCTCCTTGAAGACTATACCCGCCAATACTTCAACGGGTCCGTAAAAGCGCAGCAATACGCATCCGGTGGTGTGGACGACGCCTCGAAAGCCTGGATGCTCATCCTATTCCTCGTCTTCCTCATGAACATCCTCGTGCTCGCGTACTTCCTCTTCCACAAGGGGCTCGTCACCGACTTCTCGGAGCCACCAAATCTCTTCGCGCTCGCGGTCAACTCGCCGCCTTCCCACCTCTTCGCTGGCTCGTGTGGAGGCGGTCCTGGCGGGAAGCAGTACGTCGTGAACTGGTTCGTCAACTCCGAGGGCGACCACTTGTACATGGAGCCCGGGCAAAAGGCGGCGCACGCGCACATCGAGCACGCGCATCCGCACGTACATGCGCCACCACCGCCTCCGCCAGTCAACATGAAGCCTAGCTCTGGCTTCTTTTCCGGCGCCGTAGCAGGCTTTCAGAGACTGCGGGAACGGGGGATGGGCTTGGGCAAGATGCAGCGGCCAAATCAAGAGCGTATGCGCCCAGCGAGTGTGGCGCAGACGCATCGGAATGTAGAGCTTGAAGATGCGGCGACGAGGACGCAGAGGGATTATCACAAGTTGAGCAAGAGGACGAGTGTGCTGTAGATCAGATGTAGAATTCCTTAGGGCGGCTGTTATCGTTTAATGTAGTAATGATAATTACATTGAGCTGACTTCTCATCCGTCAAGATTGACGGTGTGGAGATGTTTGCAAATGCGGTTTGATCATTCTGGCTCCGCGAACTGACAAAACAAAAGAGAGTGTAATGGTAAAGAGCTTTCGCGCCAAGTGTAGAAGTTCAAAGTGAGTACCGACGGAAATACGAACTAGAACAACGTATATGTATGCATCTCAAGTCCGATTAGCTGCGCTGTCAGATAGGCTCTTGTGCACTTGTCCGGAGAAGCGCAACACACCAGTGTTCGAAGCTTCTCACGTATCATGTGGATAGATAGTATTCGGGCCCTGGGCTGTCTCTCTGCTGCCTCCATCTCCTGGCGAAGGGCCATCCACTTGCACCTTTGGTTTCGACATGATGCGCTTTACTCTACGCCAAATAAGCGACCATCAAATGTTTTCTCGCTGTACGGGGTTACTTACGTTGATGCAATACTCAGCTCAATCCGATTCAGAAGGAATAAATCTTCGGTGAGGGCGATTACAATGGAGAACGGGAAGACTACTCGGCAGGCAGGTACGCACGCACAACAAGTGGGTTTTATACAATGCGATACCCAAAGGGTATAGAGGGATCGCGGACCACAAGGCTGAGTGCCAAGCCTGGTGCACCGGGGAGTTGACCGGTTTAGTGGGACCCTCCACCCTCTCCACCTCTCCACAGCACTGCAATTCTTAGCTCGGACGAGGAGCTTAAGTGGATACAGGGCGGGGTGTTAATAGGTAGATGGATGAGAATCAGACTGTGCGCTAGCCTGGGTATGCGGCTGACCGGTCGTGTGAAGCATGGTGCCTAGAGAGTGCATGGGGCTCACCGGTTGTTCCCAGACTCTGGGGGTGAACATTGCAATCTTTAGCCCTTTTGAGAAGGTCAGATCAGCTTGTTCTGGAAGCTGCACACATAGGAATGAAGGAAAGTCGGTGGGGGGAATAAGTGCGACTGTTGCTCACCGGTTTCTCTGCAAGAGCTTCAGTTTGTGACTGGGACGAATTCTGCAATACACTGCAGAACTGAATCGGTTTGCTTACGGCCGAAAGAGTCGAGATGATGTCGATTCGAAGTCTTGTTCCGACAGATTCAGGAGCTGCATGCGTGCGACGATATTGGATACTCCATTGACTTCATGCCATCTGTGCCAGACTACAATCCGGCTTAAAATAGATGGTAGGGTGTCTTCCACGAACATCAAACTCTCTCCCTCATACCGTATAAGGATCGTGTCCATTATCATAGCTCATGAAATGCAAATATTATTGCACCGTTCAAACAAGAATTGTCTCGCCTAGATGAGCAACTGTTCACTCCTCCGTCGCATACAGCTGCTCGGGCTGGATGTCCCGCCGGAGCAAATACCTCTTGAAGAAACACGGTATCTGTCGGAGAACATACGCCGCGCGTACGCTCGTGGGCACGCTAAATATCTGATCTAGCTCTTCGAGGGTTTCGCCCTTGGTTTCCTGCAAGACAGCATCAGCGAGACCCGCTGACAGCATGCATATCACAACGCAACTTGCGGGCATGAATAGTAGCACCAGGACCCACCCGATGATATTCCGCGCAGCGTACCAGCCGAACGCTCCCTGCGGCTTGAACGCCCGCTGCAGACTCGGCCACGTGATACTTAGCAGCCCATTGAAGAACCACATTGTCGTGGTGGCGAGACTAATCCCGATCGTCCGCATGTAGAAAGGACACGGCTCAGCGGAGTATGTGAACGGCACAGGTCCTTATACAGGGCTGTAGACAACACCAAATAGGTAAATTCCCAGTGCAATACAAGCCACACGCGCATTTGCGGAGGGTACCCACAACGAGAAGCCCGTAAAGAGCAGGAAGAGCGCCATGAATGGGAAGATGCTGAGGAGGAGGCTGCGACGACCGAATGTGTCGATTGTGTACATTGCTGGGATGGCAAAAAAGAAGTTAATGACGCCAAAGCCAAGGGAGGCGGCGAGCGCGGATTGGTCTGAGAAGCCCGAGTCGGAGAAGATTCTGCTTGAGTAGTACGCGATGACGTTTACTCCGCAGAACTGGGGTCACGTAAGGCTCGGGATCGTTGATAGGGGGAATCGCGAACCTGTTGCATGAACATTACGATCTCGCTGGCAAGCATGGCTCTTCTGTTTCTCGGGACAGTCCACAGCTCTTTGATCTTACTCTATCCAATCTTCATGTTCTCTTCTGCTCGCAGAAGCTCAGCCATGCAGAAGATGTCTCTTGCAGCTTGGATTTTGTTGAAACCCAGCCTGCAAATGGTGTGATAAGCTTGGGCATGTCGACCTTTTGGCATGAACCAACGGGGTGACTCCGGGCAGAGGAGTGTCTCCGGGCAGAGGAACACGAAGCAGCAGACAATTATAGCTGGCAACATTGCAGATCCCATCATTAAGCGCCAGTTCAGTCCTGTGGTGTTCGGTTTGTCGGGCACACTGTAGAACGCGAGGTCGGATGCGTAACCTAGCATTATACCAAAAGCCGCCCACATCTGCCACTGCCTGGTGGAGTACATTCGGCTGCGTAGATAGGGGCCGTTGCATTCTTTGGACCGATTCCAAGACCCAGCATAAAGCGAGCAATGAACATATGCCACCACGTCTGGTTCTCGTCAGTCAGTACTATATGCTACACAGACACGAGGAGACTTGCATCAACGAATCCTTGCCAAAAGCATGTCAGCGCGCTGATCAAGCAAGTGATGAAGATAGTTCGACCGAACCAATTGTTGAATGGTGTTGTGAGCCAACAAATACGAACGCGCAGCAAACGTATGGCGCGGAATTTACGAGGCCGACTTGCCAAGTCGATCTGCAATCATCACTCCGGATACCAAACTGACTGGCGTAGAAAAGTTGTGCTCCGTTGACGACGGTTTCGTCCATGCCCTGCACCGCAGCGCTTGTGGAACACAAACCCCAAGGCTGTGCCCATCGATGCGACAACTCATGCTCGAGCAAAGACAATTCCTCGTCTGTAACCCCAAGACTTGTCGCGTGCCTCGGTCTTGTTGAGATCGAAATTGGCAGTCCGATGCAACGGCCGCTTCTTGCGTCCGATGTTCTGACGAGGCTGGCTGGCAACAACCGTGACGATCCCAACATCCGCAGTTAGAGCCAATTACACCCGGCGCTACGGATCCACTCTCCACGGCCCAAATTCTCTCCACCAGTTCGCCTGACTCGAGGGAGCAAAGACACCCTGGCTGGCCAGGCATCCTCCTTTTCGGGCGCATTGATATATTAGTCTTCGTCACGATGGCCGACGGGAATAGTGAGGTCCTGGAGGGTATTTTCGGTAAGCCCACATTCGCATTTCCGGCTCAAGATCACGTGCTCAAGCATCGCCCGTGGACTCTCGGAACCACAATCACTAATAATCCCAGCCTTATTCAAACCCTCCGGCATCACCTCCGGTCAAGCCCTCCTGCACCTCCAATCCATTTTCTCAAGATCCACCCTCTTCGCCCCGCTCCTCGCCTCAACCCGCCTAAACCGAGCGCACCAAGCATCCCTCCTCCCTTCCGGCCAGAAAAACAAAGCCGAGGATGAAGAAGCCAATGGCCGCTTCTTCCGTATGGGCCACGGCGGGACACTCGACCCACTCGCCTCCGGGATCCTGATCGTGGGCATCGGCCGCGGGACGAAGGCGCTGCAGAACTTCCTTGGCTGCACGAAGACGTACGAGACTGTTGTGTTGTTTGGGAAGAGCACGGACACACATGATGTTGATGGGGTAGTTGTTGCGGTGAAAGATTGCGCGCATGTGAGTGAGGAGTTGGTGAGTGCGAAGTTGGCGATGTTTAGGGGGACGTTTCGGCAGGTGCCGCCGGTGTACTCGGCGCTTAAGATCAACGGGATGAAGGCTTGCGAGTATATGCGGGCAGGGAAGGAGTTGCCGAAGGAGTTGGAGGATAGAGAGGTTTGTGTGGATGAGTGTGAGATGATTGAGTGGTGGGATGGGGGAAAGCATGAGTTCAAATGGCCGGGAGACAACGTTGCAGCCGCCGCACCTGCTGTAAGAGTACGTCTCACTGTGAGCTCGGGATTCTATGTCAGAAGCTTTGCGTCCGATCTAGGAATCGCGTGTGGGAGTCTGGCGACGATGGCGGAGCTGGTGAGGACAAGGCAGGCGGATTTCACCACCGAGGAGCGGGTGGATGGACAGACGTTGGAAGCTGTCACATACGCGGACCTCGATTCTAGTGAAGATACTTGGGGACCGAAGGTTGCACGACAACTCAGGGCGTGGGTTCAGCAGAATCCACCGCCCGCAGAGTACACACACGTTGACGGGCGAGACCCAAACACAAAGAAAAGGTTAAACGAAGAAGAGAAGACCAAGGTGCGGCAAAGGTTTCGGGGCGACTGGGCCGGCGTCTCACGCAAAGAGCGCAGACGACAGCAAAAGGCAGCAAAGGAGGGCATGAATGGACAAAAGGCGTCAAACGAGAGTATCAATGGACACAAGGATACTACGTCGTAGTTCTCGCCCTACTTCGAAGCCGGCCTCAACCAAACCTGGTCTGCCTTGTTCACCTTCAGTTCATCATGGGGTTCCCAGGTAACTGGGTCAGCCCTTCGGTACAGTTAGCAAGAACGGAAACTAGGAACGACACGTCACAAAGATCACTTACAACCATCGACGTCCTCCTTCACAGTCTTGGGAATCTTGCACTGCTTCGCCACCGAGATGTCTTGACTGACCTGCTTCCCACATGTCGCGCTGAAGCATCCATTATCATCCATAGCCCGCTGGAGCGCGTCTCCCTTCCAGCCGAAGACGTCTGTCATTCATTAGCATGAATCTACCAAAACAACGATGGGATATCCAACACACAGTCGCCGTGCTGGCCATACCCAGTGTTGTCACCGGTGGAGAGATAGAAAGGCTGCGACCCATCCGCCGGCCAGTCAGCCTTGTTATTGAAAGCCGTCGTATCCCAAACAATCTACACACACATCAGCACCCCACACACCACCAATTGCACCAACTTACCTCCAGCATAAGCTGCGGAATCTTGATCGGATGACTCGCCGGGCAGTCTCCCGTCGACAAGAAGTTTGCTGGCCCCTTCGTCGGGTATGCCACGTGATCTTGATGATTTGGGCTATCCAAGTCCTTCCCATTCCAGCACGTCGGATACAAAATATTCGAGCGAATCCCACCGGGGCACGGCTGCGGTGGGAACCCCTCGAAGTCGAGCTTCGCATCCGAGCACGGCGCGGCGTTGTCGCCGCCGAAGTTAGGGCCCGAGTAGCAACGGAAGCAGGACTGCATCTTGTACTTTTTGGTGCGGCGCATGGGGTCACCTACGAGCACTGCAGCAAAAGCCAGGTCAGCGTCTGGATTCCAGCGACAGCACCAAATATTTTCTCAGCCAACCAGCATCACTTACTGCGGAAGCCGGGCTTGAAGGCGGTGACGACATTCTTCTTGGGCGCGATATAGTACACTGTGACGCCGCCGTCTGTTTGTGTGGTGAACTTGTCGTTGAAGAGGAAGCGGTTTGGGATTTGGGGGACGCGCTTGAAAGTGCCGTTTCGGGCTTTGAAGTACACGTTCGCGGTCCAGCTGTTTCCTCGTTAGCCATCGTACCTCGACGTTCCCGTACAGAGCAAGCAAGAAGACGTACTAGTTGCTCCTATCATCCGCAGGCCCACACGTCGTGCACGTCGCAAGGCTACTCACATCCGTGCTCGCGATCGTGGCGTTGAAAGCATTCCCACCGATGATCTGGTGCGTGTGTGGCGTCCCAATCATCCCCGGATTCACTAGCGGATCAAGTCGCTCAATTGTAAGCTGCGAGCAGCCAAACCTCAAATGATTCAGTCCCTGGCTGAACTGCGCGTACACACCTCCCACACCCACACAAAGGAACACGCGCCACAACATGTCGATTTCAGAGTTTGCACGAACCGTAATAAATTGTTTGGGAAGTTGGCAAAGATTGTTCAGAGAAAGACGAAGAGAGTGGTAATGATGTTGTGTTCATCAGTGGTGTTGTAGTGGTAGGTGCTGTTTCGGTAGTGAGTCGCCCGCATTGCCGGCCCATGCCGTCCAAGATCGCATGCAATATAGATTGATTGGACAGCAGCGCGCACCCGTCGGGGCTCCATGGGGTCGAACACATGGCAGAGTGTATAGCTTCGGCGACATAGTGCCGTTGGAGAATTTGGGTCGGGCTCAAGGGGATGGCCTCGTGGCGACGACGCATGCCTAGCAGATAACGCTATGGGAGACTTGGCGAACATGAGGAGAGATCTCGGTAGTAGATATCAAGCTGGATGGCTTGGTCCTCGCGTGAAGGGAAGCATTTTGATGGTGTTGTTCGGTAGGGTGTGTTGCAAGGCATTGGTGAGACGCTATGACTAGAACTCCCAAGATATCACCTACAATGTATATTGTGTCTCCCTCTGCCGCAGCGACAGACTCTCAAACGTCATTCGCGTCGTCACTGCCATCCTACCAGCGCTCAAATCGGCTGGACACCTATGAACCTCTTTCCAACCCCTCAATCTCCGCCTCCATCCTTGTGATCTCCCCCAAAAGCACGCCCTTCCTCCCCGCCAAATCCCTCATCCCTCTCTCCCCGGCTCTACTATACAAATCCAAAGTCCTCCTCGCCAGACCCTCCCTATCTTTCAATTTCCCCTCACTGCTCCCCTGCTGCGCCCTGAAGTTCTTCAGCGCTCGGACGAACTCTGCCGGTGGCGGGTGGGTATGCGTATGGATTTTCGCCTGGAGGCCGAGGAGCGTAGCGCGCGCGGCAATGTGGTCTGCGCGCGTGGAGTTGGCGCGTGCGAGAGCGCCGTGCTGTGTGCGCTCGAGAATGAGGATGCTGGTTTGGAGGAGGGAGAGGTGGAGGATTAGAAGGGTGTGGGCGGTGTTAGCGAGGTGGACCTTTTCGTCGGCCAACTCCTTGGGTAGGTCGAGAGTTGCCGAGGATCGAATTTCTTCTGCTTTTAAGTGCACCTCATCTATTGAAGGCGGTCGCTTTGAGTCTGCGATCTTGCAGAGAAGGGTAGCGGCGGTGGTGAGTTGGTCTGATAGTGCGGATGAAATGATGTCGATATTTGAGAGGAAGAACTGCGTGTCAGCGGCTAGGACATCGCGGTCCGAGGGCGGAAACTGCCCGGTAAGTTGGGCTGTGACAAGTTCAACCGGGGAATGTAGATCCTGTGGTAGTGTAGGTGATCGGGAAGGAAGAGTGGACAGTGTTCGCGTGAGGATCTGGGAGGTGTGGAGGTTTGTGCGGTATGTCGCTAGGCTCTGTGATAGAATAAGCACTTGAATTCGTATACTGCTATCCCCTATGGCTGCTGATACCGTTGCGTCTTCTAACACTAACATGTGATAGGGGAAATGTATTGGTTGTTCGGCGTGGTGGAAACCAAAATTAGAATATGCGAGGATCCGCACACAGGACGGTTACCGTGCAAGAAGAGAATTTCGAGAATTTCATGTCCTCTAGCTCACCTTTCTTATCTCCCCATGTATCCTCTGCTTCTTCACATCCCGTGTCGAGCCATCCGGGTTCAACTTTCTCGCACATAGATCCTTGTATAGCACATCGAATTTTGGATTCCGCTCTAAAATAGAGCTATTCACCGGCGGCAACATAATTATTGGCAAGGCTTCCTGGTTGGTCCTGGTGTGTGTTATCTGCGATGTACAGCACGGTGAACGTTTGTTGTGTTTGGTTTGACTATCCTCCATTTGGTGACGCTAGTCTAGTGGCTTGGCATTGCTGACTTCTGCAATGGGCGGTTTGCCAGAGGGTGTCTCTCCTATACACTTCTTTGCATTTGCGACGTTGATGCTACATTTCAACATGATGTATCGAGAGATTTTTGATATATTTACAGCTGCAAGGGATGCGACGTTTGAATAATCCTCAAATTGGTTCATAAACGATCTCTGGAAAGTCCACACGCTCTTCTTGCACTCCGATCTCTCTATAACTGTCGACGTCTATGCCTCAACACAAGAAAAGTACTGCGCCCAAACCGCCCAGTCCTGCTCGGAATCCTGCGTCGGGACATTCCAGCTATTCCACTGCTGCTTGCTGATTTGATTCTCTGCCAAAATGTTTGCAAGCGTCGGCACGCCGGTCTTATCCGTGTACTCAAACTTCGAGCAGTTGGCCACAATCCCCGGCATCACCGGCACAGGAATCTCCTCGGGCGTCCAGATGTCACCACCTTTGACGGGGCCCGGGTATGTGTAGCCTGGCACACCGATGCACACGGGGACGTAGGCTCGCAGACCGAAGCATTCTTTGCCGATCTCGGGATTCCAGGCGAGCAGGTCGTGGGCGGTGAAGTTGTTGTATTGGGAGACGATGGTACCGCAGTTGTCGCCGGATTGGACGAGGTAGTTTGCCACGCCTGGGGAGTGTGTTAGTGATCTGTCTCGTGGAAATGTGAGTGTAGCGGCGCACAATTGGTAGGACGGCGGATGCAAACGCAGCCCGCAGAGACGCTGCAGTAGTCTGAGCACTCGTCTGGTAGAGTAGCTTGTCTTGCGACCAGGCTTTGCGTAGGGATAGCGGCGGCGGCGGAGACGAGCAGGGCAATACCCGCAGTAAGTGTAAAAGAGACCATGGTTACGGAATTAGGCTTAGACAAAGGTTTGGTATTCAAACGAATGAAGGATCGACTGGATGTGTAGTGATTGTAACGAGCGGTGATCGATACCTCATCTACATCGCGCCATTGGGGCTCACTTTTATATCATTTCTCGATTACTCTAATCTCGCAACGTCGTCTCCATCCGCTGTCAAAAATCTTGACCCAGATCGTCAGGGGAGTACACTGGTGTCTCTAGTGCGATGGAGGCCTATTAGCCGAAATGAATATTGAGAACCAGCGGGGATGAGAATCCATCGCGACTCTATATATGGATGGTGGTTCAACGAACTTGGAATCGGCCTCATGCTGTCGCCTGCGCACGGCCAGTGTTGCCTCCAGTGGTACGTACGAACCGTGCTTGGAGGAGGGACGGTGACGTGTAGGGCTAGCGTGCGGGTACGATGGGAAAACGGCCCCAGACGCCCCTGAAAGCTTGAACCTTAACCTTGGACCAACAATTCTCCGTAGGCAGCGTCGCTCGAAAAGGGTTGTTAGCACGCAGTGACATCAACATTGACAGGTCATCGAAATTAGAATGTCAGCGTTATGACCAGCCGGTTACTGGCTGCGGGAAAAGCCTTCCATCTCTTCCCACTGCGACGGATCCGCTTGGTGCGGGAATCTAAATTTCTCAGAGAATTATAATGTTCCGGCGACTGACAGCCCTCGCAAAGTATTTTCCTCGGCATCTTTCGGGGGATTCGTGCGATCGAGCGCTAGCAATCTCATCGTGCCGTCCCGAGGTGGGCGTTTCATCACCGCACCCTGGAACAAAACCCATGCGCCACACGTCTCCGGTCATCCCAGCTCTGAACACCACTCGTTTCTGGTGTTCTTTTCTTTTGAGAGTGTACGATCCATTTCTGTTCGATTCAAAGCAAGTAGGCACAGAAGGTGATGGAAACCTTGGAAAATCGAACCAGCCGATGAACTACCAATCTTACTATGTCAACAAACGTAAAAGTCATATACCAGGAGTTCATAATCGCATACTAATAGAAAAAAACTTTCCACACCCCTGTCGTACTCGTTCCCATATCATGTCAACCTCTAAGCCGTCATCCCCACCGCAACTTTCGCCATCTTCTTAGCCAACCCACCCACTTCCCGCTTCGCAGCCACCTCCGCCCTCTTTGCCTTCTTCGCCGCCATCGCCGCCTGCGCCTTCTGCACCAAGAACGCTGCTCCCTCATCCGCATTCGCACCATACGACAAGTGCGGCGCCAAAATCACCAAGCTCCCCGTACACACTAGATCGCCCGGCGCGCAGATGATCTTCGTCTTCGCAGTGTCAAACCCAGGAATCTGTCCCTTATCCTGCGTCTTCTGCGTGTCGCCGTAGAGGATGACGCCGGCGATCTGGTTCTGCACGGCGGGGTCGAGAGATTCAATGGCGCGGTGGGACACGGCGGCGCCCTGGGAGTAGCCGCCAGCGAGGATGACGCTGTCGGGGCACTGGGTGGCCATCTTATTGAGGATGGTGGCCATGGCTTGCTTAGACTTTGCGTCGGTGCCGCCGGGGAGGGCGTTTGGTGCCAGGGCGGCGGCGTATTCGATTCCCTCTGTTGCTACATTGCCAGCTCCAAATGCGGCTTTGATGCCATCTGAGGTCTGCGGACCGCAAATGGTACCCTGGGCTTGTCAGTGTGAGATTTCCGAGCAAGGTGTAGTAACCGCACCATGTTGCCGATCTCGGTAGAACCACGAGCGAACGCGAACATGACATCTTTGCAGCCGCCCTGGGTAAATTCGTTGGCGGTCGATCCAGTCGCACGCTTTTCGATGGGGGTGGCAGCAGCCAGGGCCGTCAAGGCCAGCGTGAGAAAGGCCTGGGTGTACATGTTGAAATATAAAGGTATGACTGTCAATAATTGTGGGAATGAATGTGATAAGAGAATGATGGAGAATGCAAGAATGTGCCTAAGGAGATAGGTGAAGGTGGCCAGTTGCTGATCATCATGGGGTTACGGATGTGTATACTTATAAGCTCACTAAGTTGTGATGCCAAATATCATGCCTCGGTAGTTGGAGCGCCACTATGAGAAGTCACTCGCCAACCCATAGCCAAGACCGTACTATAGCAGTTCAGACGGTATGATGTACTACATCAAAGACCACATCATGCAGAGGGGAGCGTTTTCTGCCACCTGAGATAGAGGTGTAGGGACACCCTGGGCACAAGACTCGTTGAGCCGAGGAAGGCTGAAGAGACGACAGGCGGAGAGTTCTTGAGAGCACCGTTCCAAAATACGACATCAGGTGGAGTCCACGCATTGACGCCTGATCGACGTTGGTGTTTGGTATCTTGGGGTCGTCTGTAACACCGCCTCAGTGGTTACCCATGTATGATGCTGTTTAGGCCCAGCTTGGCAATTCTTTTGCAGCATCCGCACCAATATCGCGTTTCACCTTTATAGATTAGATCGAGTGCAATGGTGGTTCTCGGGATCTTGACCACCAAGAGAGAAGCTGGAGACGTGAGAAGGACCAACTACCGGCGGGTAGCGCGCATTAGTGCCCGTCATCTGCTTTGAATAAGGTTGTGCTGGATTGCTGTCACAAGTGACATCTGCATGGTCGTAATGTCGTGTAGTTGAGACAAGCCACACTTGTTCGCCGGCCGTGATGTTTCCAGCGATCGCCAGAGCTAGTTTCCAATGTTGGGAGTCAAGCTAAAAATGGATCCCGTACCGGAAACTCGGATGACAGGGGTGCCCATGGACGACTAAACAAAGGTAGAGAACCCCAAACACTGGAGAGTCTGGAGTCAGAGAGGCTCGAACTAATGATGCGCTGCATCAAAAAGAGAAAGAGTATGATTCTCACAATGGTCGATGCATGTCCTTTGCTTGCAGGTCTTCGCAATTGCCGGAAACAAATGTTTGTACGCTCACAGTGTTTCAGGTCCGCACAGATAGGCTCTTCTTGACACAACAGGTCTCTGGCTTAACCAATTTCAGGAATGTTCTGATTCTGTCGCACAGAGTTTCAGACGAGATTGACACTTGGACCTCGGCAATCGATTCATGGTATGAGCGTATCGTACAATTCCAAAAGATCTGACATGTTTTGAAAAGGTGCTCCATGAGCCTTGCCGGAGTTTGACACCCTCAAGAACTCTCGAAACCAAATGAGCGTAGAGCCTGGACATAGAAAAGACTCCGCCTCTGACGTGCTGCTTCCCCATCTCCTTCATTGCTGTACATCCATCATCGAGGACTGCGGCTCAGGAGCAGGCTCCGTGGTATGTGTCCCGCCGCAAGACGAACAAGGAAAACCCTGAGCCAGGAAAACTTTATGATAGTACCGTTTAGATAACGGTCCATGGTCCTTCACCCCGCAATTCGGGCAGGCTCGTCCCATACCCGCGCCATTTCTCGACTCGATATATGCGCAATCGCGCGGCCCAGCATGCACGTATTGGCATTTGTCGCACATGAAAAGGTGCTCGGAGGTGTCTCTTGTCTTGGGCCTAGCTAGCAGCAGGTCCGTTGCCAGATCTGCATTCGAGCGGAGGATGTCGACCATGGTGTCTTTCTCCAGAATCGTTGTTAACATGTCTGGACGGCTCAAGACCGAATTGATCACCAGACTTCGTAATTCTGAATGAGTCGTCAATTCCAAAGTTGTGTAGTCGTAAATTAGGGCAGCGATGTCGATCCAGTCGTCGCTCTTCACTGACGGTACCTGTTTTGCGAAGGAGGCACTGGCCAGCTTGTAAAGGGACGGACAATCGTATTTGTCCGCGACGACTGCGACTTGTGCATGGAGTAGGGTTCCGGGCGTGCTGTACTTGGATGTGTCGTAGCCTGCCTCGTAGAAGTATGACACCATGCAGTCTAGTGCATCCGCCATCTCACCGTCATCCTCTAAGGTTATCACGTTGGTCTCTGTCTCCTACATTGAAGCTTCTGTCAAAAACCTGTATTGATTCACAAGTACAGGTACTCACTTTGAACCCAATTGTCATGACGTTGTGAAACCATTTTGAATGGCAGCATGCAATAGCTTTATGAATCTTCCAGGTCCTCTCGCCAAATTGCAATGTGAGGTCTGAGAAATTGCCCGCAGTCAGATAGCTAGGGAGTGTTACTAATAGTAGACATTGCAGGATATCATAAGGAGCAAGCATGTCATGACTGCACTCACGCATCTCTTGGCTTAGATACCCCTCGGGGCGTAATTTACTGACGTTGATATGTCGCGTATGAAGTTTTCCGCCGCCATGGCTGACGAGGTCGCTGGTCGCGTGCGTGTTGTGAGGAGGGAATGAGGTACACTCTACATGTAAGCACAAGGCGTATCTTTCCTGGGGGCCGTGTCTTGTACTCAGCTGCCCAGAAACATGGCTCGTGACGAGGATGATGAAGCTGGGCGAAAGCGAACCGAACGGCAATGCGGCAACATGTCACTTGGAAGCAGGTCTGCAATCGTGATACCACGCCACCTTCCGAGGTTGGGAACCCACCCATTCAATAGCGCCACTCCCAAAATCCCGCATTTCGCCCGTGTCCCCCTCCACCCCACCATCGGCATTCATCTTCCTTCGCGCGCACCATTCTCCACACCACCACCCTCAATATCCCCGCGCGCGACATAGTTGTCTACTATTGTACGGGTTGGCTTCGTGGTTGCTGTCGACAATCAGAAAGCTTACGCAACGGATATCCACTGACGCGACACACTACCTACAATGCTCTCTTTGACCGCAACCTACGCCGCCTCCTCCACACCCTCGTCGGAGCCCCCATTCACCCACGAGCTCCCACCCCTCCCCGCCGCCAACGACACACCCGCCCGCACCGCGTACCTCGCCGCGCTCACGTCGGCCACAAAAGCGCTGCAAGACGACATCAACGCGTTTCTGACGCAGAAAATGGCCGACGACAAGAGCGCTGCGGATGCGAAGGAGGAGGAGAACTACGGCGAGGAGGTTGTGGACGAGGCCTGAGGGCATCGAGGAGTACCGCACTCGTGCAAAGAAAGATGCGTAGAGGAGAAACATGGCCGTCTTAGCGTCAGATACCGACGCAGAGCGGCATGCCGCTGCCTCGTCACCCCGTCGCCCGTGGCAAGCGACCAGCAATTGTGCAGATTCGCAGCGCATGCCGGGCCGACCCAGCCTCGCTCGCACCGTCCTCCCGATCCGCTTCCTCGGGGCGCGCGGCTTCCCACACCATCTCCCAGCCATGACCCGCTCCATACCTCACGCCATGCCTTAAAACACCTTGGATACACCCCGCGATCGCGTCGTTATCTGCATAGCGTACCGCAAAGCTGCGGGCAACGCCGCTCCTTCGCTGCGGTCCATGGACACCCTCGACTATGGTATTCCGTCTGAGTGCGAGGGAAGCGCCGTTGAGACCAGCACTTCGGGCAGGTGGAGGGAGTGCGTCTTGTGGCAGCATGAAGCGGAAGAGCGGGAGCAGGCTAGGACAGTAGGAAGGAGCGGGGCGATCCAGGGCTGCAGACCGGAGTGGGCTGTACTTAGCTGGGCTGGGCTGGACAGCGGATGTGGGACGGCATACCAGGCTCACGACTCGAGCCAACGTCGCTAGAGCGGGCCTGGGAGCAAGCCAAAGCAACAGCCATAGCGACATAGCACAGTAAAAAGCTAGATATACTTCCCCACAAGCAAGCTACGGGTATCATGCCATGCCATCCCATCTCTCTCCCTATCTCCACCCCACACTCTCCCTCTGCGTCCCTTTCCTCCCCACACTCCCCCTCAAACACCCACTGTGCACAACCCCACCATCTGCATAAACCCTAATAGCGCTTCCCCCAAACCGCTTATGACAAACCGCACAATGTCTCTCCTCGGTGATGACTACCCTGCGATTCAAACCCCCAGGCTTTCCCTTACCCTTTCCATCCGCACCTCCCTCGCCTAATAGTACAGCAGCCTCGACATCAACCTTCTCCACGCCCCTCAGCCGCGCAACTATCCTCTCGCTGTTAAGCAGGGAGTTCGCACTCCTTATGCGTCCCTTGAAGTAGCTCTCTAGATCTTTGACAGGCAGGGAGGGCGGCACGAGGTCCAGCGTAGTATTCGCCGGCAAGCGGGCGCCATGGCGGGAGAGGAGGGCGAGGGCGGGAGGCCAATTGGCGGCGTGCGGGTGCGGCGGAGAGAGGTAGAGTGATAGGAGGGTATGGTAGATGGAGGGTTCGTCTCCGTCCACCAGGGGCTGTGGTGCGGGCGCAGGTGTGGAGGAGGGGTGGAAGGAGGAGCTGTGGATTGGGGAGGCGGGGACCGTGGAGAGGTACGTTGCATTGCAGTATCTATCCCAAGATGTTAGCTAGATGGTAGAGGGGAGGGGAGGAAGAGGGCGGCTTACTCCTCTGCTTTGTCATAATCCTTCATGTCGAAGACATAGATCTGAAGTGCTTGCTTGTGGTTTCCCATCTTGCTGAGCACGACGGCACGCGCTTCGTAGTAGTCTGCGTCGTCGGCGGGCAGCTGTCTGAATACGCGCATGGTGTTGTAGTTTGTGCTTGTCTTGAGGAAGGTCTGTAGTCTTACTCTCCAGCGTTGCTTTTCCTCGTCGTCTGAGAAGTCGTGGGTTCTGAGCCTTTCTAGGAAGAGGTCGACAAGCTTTTGGTGGAAATCTGGCGTCAGATCATTGAGCTCCTCAATGATGTGTTCGAGATACTTCACGGCGAGCTTCGCGTCGATTTTTTCTAGAAATTCTACCACTCGGTGACGAGGCAGTGTTTCCGCATTCTCGGTATCCGCGAGGAACACTTCCATGCCGAGCTTGGGGTCGGTGCGCAACGGCCACTCTGCAAATTCGAGGATGAGGTCTATCATCTCAGGTGGGAGCTGTTGCAGATAGCCGACAGTTCGCTGGGGGCCTTGGAGCGCGGACGAAACTTCCTCTTCTGCATCGTTTTTCCCGAATTTTGCGAGGAGCTCCAACGCCTGACGGTGCAGTCTCTTGCCGTGGAGGAAGTCGATTAGATCGGCGTACCGACCCGTCTCGTAGAGCTTTTCTTGCACCACACCCGGCTCGCAAAAGTTGGGGAGACGAAATAACGGACCAGCGAGACCTGGGCTGGCCAGCATGTATGCACGGAAAAGGGTAGTGTCGACGAGCTGGGCAGCTTTCAGAAGCTCGGCAGCCCAGTCCACATGCGCAAGCGGCGTTGTCTTTTGTATGAAGCAGTGAAACGGTGGCTTATATTCTTCTGCCTGGCTTTCGCTTTGCTGGGGCAGCGCCTCTTTCAGTGTGCCATCAATATCGATGTAGCGCTTGATCTGGACACGACACTGTGCCAGGTATGACTGCAGCGCGTGCACCGCGAGCTTCAAGTCTTTGCCTTCGAGGGTCTTGTCCGGTAGAATGGTCTCCGACGTCTTTCCTTTGATGCTAGCAGCGTCGGTCGTATCTTCCTTTGAGGTGTTCATTGATGATCTGATGGATGCAGTATCCGAGTCCACCTTCTTATGGCCCACCAGTCTGCCCATCATCGAACGTCCGATTGTGTTTGCCGCCGTCGAGAGCGCTTCCTTGCTTTCAGCGGGAGCCCTGTCTCCGTTCGTTGTCTCCTCTTCATCGACGACACTCTCATCATCTTTCACACTTTCCACCGAAGAATAGTTGCCTGCGATGGACTTGGGGTATAGCGCAATGACACGCTCCGGGGGCGCTTTCGCATCCGTGAACAGATCCATGGCCTCGCGAAATTTGCGTAGCTCAAACAATGCCCCTGCCTTGAGCATCATGATCTCTCGTGTTCTATCTTCCTTGTCGAGGAGAAGAGTGTCTTCCAGCATATTTAGCAGACTGAGTGCCTCATCGAAACGACCGTTGGCCACAAGCTCATCAATCTGCGACTCGTAGCTCTGCGCGCCCATTCTCCAGATGCATCGATCGCTGCCTACGAGGAAGCCTTTCCCAGCATGAGCTAAGCTGATGTTTGGCTGCGGGACATGAAGGAAGTTTGCGTTTGGTAAGGCGATGGTCTGCAGCAGGTTGAGCGTATCCGGGTTTCTGATTTCCAGTCCTCCCTTGGCCGGCGGCTGTAGCGACAGCATGTACGGATAGGAGTATGCGAGGCTCTCCGGCGCCGATGGCCAGGGTACCTGTCGCTTGTCGAGGGCATTCCCGTCGCTGTCGATGAACAAGCTGTTCACGTCCTTCGCCAGCAGCATCTCGCCCTCTTGCAGTCTTGTTGCCAGAGGCTTTGGCACCCAGCTTCCCATGCCCATATAGCCCATGCCCGATGAAGAGACGGCGCCGAATCTAGTACTACCTGGCCCACCAGCCTCGCCCAAGGGATTCGGCTTGACGATGTCCTGGATTTCTTGGCTCTCGACGTTGACCATGACGAACCCAGGGTCCATGCCAGCGACAATTTTGGTGCCCGTCGCCCACGTCAGGCTCTTGACCGAAGCAACGAGGGTGATCTCGGCAGCATCGCCGCTCAGCTCCATGTCCTGCCAGGTCCACAATATGATCTTCCGCTTGACGGCGACGGCCAGCCTGCTCATGATGGTGGGTATACCCGTGTCGGGGTCCTTGACGATGTTGCTCGTCACGGCGAAGGTTGAGGCGCCGCGGGTCTGCTCCAGCTTCTCCTGCAGCGCATATGTCTGCAGGTCGTAGACAGAGACATGGTTGTCCGACAGCGACAGGAGGATGTTGGCCTCCTTGATGATGGCCAGCTGCTGCACGGGGCGGCGCGAGAACTTGTCCTCCTCGCGCAGCAGGTCTACCGGCTTGACCCTGGGCGCCTGCGGCTCGGCCCCGTCGCTGCCGTTGTGCTCGCCATTCTGCGCGGGCTGCTCGTCGTCTTCGGTGGTCTCGTTGACGCGGTAGATGCGCAGGGAGCCCGTGTTGAGGCCCACGAGCACCCTGTTGCCTGCGCGCCGTCAGTGAGCGTCTCGCTGGCAGACGGCTGGGGCAGCGGCATACCATAGGCGAGGATGGATTCGATCTTGGACTTGTCGCGCGGCTTCAGCTCGATGATCGGCCGGGCTGTGAAAGCGGACAGCATGGTGAGGGCGGCAGGGCGGGGCGACGCATTACGCTGCGGGCATGGTGCTGTGTGTGCGGCGACGTTGGTGCTGTCGTGAGCTCCATAGCTGTGTGCATGCCGCGGCCGCCATCGTCATGGGCGTGAGGCTTGGCCCGTGCACGACGTGCATGGCCGTTTCACAGGATTTGGCAAGCACGCAACGCAGCATGAATGGCTTGTGTGGGGGAACGCGTTTGTAACTTGCTGCTCATTTTCATGTGATTCTATGCCAGCTCAGTCTTCACGTATCAAGTAAGAATAGTCATCCGCTTCATGGTATGGAAAGGAGCTTTTGGGGGTATCTGAGGGGTGAGAAACTATTGTACATGTTGGATTGCTGATAAAGCTGCCGCGAGCTTCTCCAAGGCGCCTTAGAGACGCAGACGCATACGGGCCGGTGAGAAGGCTTGATGAAAAAGTGTCGCCTTGTGGCCTTGAACGCCATGATCGCCACGAAATGTGCCGCTCCATATCCAACGAAGAAAGAAAACCATGGCAAGGGGCATTGGGGTATCGCAGAACCAGAGAAACCATTTGGAAGCTTACCACGAGCCGTGGCCAACCGAGAAGTAAGAAAAAATTCGTGGGGAAGCGAAATTGGAAAGGCAAAGAAATCCAACCAAGCCGTGAGCAGACACGCCAAACTCATCACCGCCATACCCACTACAACACCAGCGTACACTCCGCATACACACCGATCGCCGTCCGCCAAACGAACTTAGGTGGCAGGTAGTAGCACATGTCATCGTTTGGGTATCCTATGTTTAGGGGTCGTCGAGGTTGGGGTTTGTGGTCAGAAATCGAAGCGTGGGGCAAGCGAAGAATGAATGCTTGATATGGTTGCCGGTAGTTGCGCAGGTAAACGGTGGGCGTCCTAGAGAGACTCGTCGAGCGCGTCGAGGAGTTCCTGGTTGAGAAGTTGCGGGATGTCTCCCTCTTCGATCTCGTCGACGGGGAGGTAAATGTCCTCCATAGTGGGGATGCACTGCACTTGGTCAAGCGGATATTGCTCGATCACCTGGGAGGTGGTTAGATTATTCAATGGCAAATGAGAGCGCCAGTAGTACTGACCTGGAGCTGGCCCCACGGAATTCCCGGTGCGCCTTCCTCACGAGGGAGAGGGAGGAAGCGACCGCAAGCTGTCTTAGCCCGGTCATCGCCTTCCCACTTCATCTCCGGGAGAGTTGGCCAGTCAGCGACCTCATCCTTGCCGTTCTTCCAGTCTTTGCACCAGATCGTCTTCATGCCGAGGACACGGGAGAGGTTGCCTTCCATGCATAGGTTGGACTCAGGAATGAGCTTGGCTGGTTGCTATTAGCTGCCCGGCTGTTCCAACCCTGCCGAAAGGACACTTACAAATGGAAAAATCCCGCTTAGGGTCAGGCTGAATTGCCCCGACAGCACGCTCGATTTCCTTCTGCTTCAGAGCACGGTCTAGTGCAGCTTTCTTCGAGGCGAGAATACCCTCCTTGTGGGCCGTGTAGTCTTGTAGCTTCCACTTCGCGACTTCGCTGTTCTTGAAGAGGCGACGCATGGCGTTGCGTATGATGACGAACTCCTGGTGGAGCTGAGCTTCGGAAGACACCCAGGTACGCGAGCTGCGGTATCCGTTGCCGGCGAAAGGGTTTGCGGGGTGTCCATGTCCATAACCATTTCCATATCCATTGCGTGGTCTCAGCGGACGCAAGTCTCGAGGTGCCAGTGGGCTAGAGTGCTCAGGACCGGCGTTGGAACTTGGGGTGAAGTGGCCGCCAGCTTTCCAAAAGCGGGAGCTGGTGATTGCGGAGAGATCGCCACCATCCATCGGTGAGCTGAAAGGAGATGTCACACTCGGAGAGTCACCAGATGGCTGCACGCTACCAGGGCTATCACCCTGGAGCGTTTGGCTGCCTTCCGAAGAGGATGATGATGACGACGATATATTCTCCTGTAGCTCAACGCCACCGCCTTCGGGCCTCTCTCCACCTACACTGTTGTTCTGAGAAGCCATTCAAAGCTGAACTATCCGCTAGACAGAAAGCGGGGGTCAACGACCGGAATCAATAGTGTAGGAGGGTGTAGGTAGCGAGAGAAGATGTATGGAGCTCGGGGGCTATCGCAATGGGTGATTCCAAGCTGAGAAGCGGTAGATGCTGCGTGCTCTTCAAGATCGCTGTTAGTGATGACCGAAAACGATGGTGGGGTGCTTTGCTGAAGCTTCTGCCATGCGACCGAAGATATTTACTGCAGTAGTTGACCGGTGAAATAAGCAAGCAGACAGTCATTCGTCAAATGGTCAGTGTCCAGAAGGGCCATTGACAAATGAAATCGGAAGGGGTGACGCGTAGGCAAACGCTGCTGGAGGCTTGTGCTACATCCAAAATGCAGATCCAATCTGAATGTGTCTTCACGACTGCTGTTGGGGAAGGCGTTGGACGCGCTGGTGTACAAACTTTTGCGGACATGGATCAGAAAACAGACGAATTTACGTACCGACACCACCTCGTCGTCCCGTAGCAGTGGGTATCTGTGCTCTAGAGCTCGAAGTGGCGGTTTAGGGAAGAAACGATACCTAAAGGAGGTTAATATAATAACTTAAGAGCCCCGCTCAGGATAAGCTAAAGCGACAATGAGAGGGTACAGTAAGATGCCGCTGACGTCCCTCATTGAGCACAATAGCAGCTCTCACAAGGCGTAGGTGAGAGGCTTACTAGACTAATCAGGCTGCAACTCGTAGTAGCCACACGGCCTACTCCGCTGATTCTGCGAATAGCCCTAGACTATGGTAGCCAACGACAGACTTCTTGTCTATATCCAAAACGAGGCGACGGCCGGGAGTGAGTAGAGACAAACGTTGTGTGCAAGCGCACAAAAGGGACGCGGGCTAGATCGGGCGACGAGAATACAGCGAAGAAGTGTGCGTTGAACTTTGGCACCTGGGCGCGTAGGACACAGACAAAGAGCGTGGAGCAACTTCGCGGCGAGGGCGATCGGCTTACACGAGGCGCACCGCGATGCGAAGTTGGAGATCCAGAGGCAGACGCCCAAAAGAGTAGCCAGGTGAAGCCTCCACAACCTTGGGCACGGTGTCCGCAACGACCACCCGCAAATAAGCGTTGGACCCTGCACGCCGGAGTAACCACAGGACATACGTCCGGAGCACACAAAAGATGCATTCGTGAAAATCCGATTTTCCCAACTCAGGCGCCCTCGTCTCCGACGTCCACATAGGGCGTCTCCAGGTAGGAATCAGCTTACACTCCGCCGCCCTTGACATGGGGACAGCAGAATCCGGGAAGGACGACCACGAGAGCTACACCTGCTAGCGACCTTTTCCAGATACGCATTAACTGGAGAGGTGTTGACGACGGCGATAGACCTACAGGTAGCCAAGCGGATTCGGCCAAAGAGAAATAGCAAACAACCGAAGACGATATCAACCACGATACGGCCGGGTCTACATCAGATGGCTGTGCCTGGGCTTTGTTCCGCTACTTCCATAACTCTTTTGAGGGAGGTCGCCATTGTGCCTCTTGGACAGTAGATGTGTTAGAGCATGATCGTCAAGGTTCAAGAAAAGGGAAGAGAGACACGAACCAAGAAGCGCTCTAGGAGGGATGGAGATAACACCGAGATGAATGTGGAGGGCGAGAGGGTCTCTCCATTTCTGGGCATAGAGAGCACTTGCGGGATATGAACAGACTCGAAAAGGAAAGAAAAACTGCGATACTTGCGTGGACTGGGCGCACATTCACAGGATCTTGACATGTGGTTCTCCAGCCATTGACGGTCGATACACAATTCTAATTTGCAAATCTGCAGAACAACAACTGAACTCAAGGCACGCGGTGTAGATGGCCTCCTGGCATCGTTGAATATGGCATTCACGTGTTGTCTATGACACCTCATCACAACGCAGGCATGTCCACCGACCGGTCAAGGTTTCATCAGCGATGGCTTTGCCGGTGTGTTTGAATTTAGAAAAGGAAAATAGAGCTGTAAATGAAGCTTGCGCAAAGACAGCGTGGACATGCACATGATGGAGTGGCACGTCGTCCGAAGTAGCTTGTTTTGAAGTTGGGCTTGGTCAGCGACTGATTGGCCGTCGCTTCTCCAGGTCGCGCCTGCCATAGCTCGGCGCTACGCCGCATCCTTGCGCGGCAGCCGAGGGCATCACCAGCGGCTCGAAAGTGGGTCGCTCGGGCGCTCTCTGTCGCTCTCGCGGAGCCCAAGCAGAGCCTCGGAGCGCGAGGCAGGGCCCAGCTCCGTCGCGATGAGGACATGCAGCACTTTGTGTAGAATGTCAAGCACGTAGACAGAGCTGGAGGCGAAGGCAGCTAAGACACGACGATGACGTCGAGCCCAGAAACAGGGAAGCGCAATGCCAGTTAGCGCATGCGGGTGCCGTACATACAAAACCACGCCGCCCGCCATGTCGTGCAGGTTGAGCCTCCTCTGCCTGCGACCGAACGACCCCAGAGGCGGTATCCCTTGCGCTCGCTCGACGACAACCCGCCTGCTACACCTGGCACGTCACGGAGCCACTCGCCTCCGCCCCGCGCCAGGGCAGCCAGTGGGCGCAAGCCAGTGAACAAAGGACGCCCGCCCAGACGACGCGCGACAACCACTCGAGCACCGGGGAGCTCGAAATAACATTCGCCTCCTCGCGAGACGGCTCCAGCGCGTTGTTTGGGCCTTCTCCAGCCCGACCACCTGCCACGCAAATGACTGGTCGCTAGGCCCTTGTTCCACCGCCGTGGGCGCCTATCTGGGCCGCTCACCTAACCGCATCTCGCCAGATCCACAACAGAGCCGCAACGAACTGGATGCGCTGTTGAACGTCGAGGTCGAAGCACCCCGCTGCCTGCGCTGCCATTGGCGCTTGCAGCCGGCCTGTGCTCCGTCCTGCGCTTCCTCGCGGTACGTACTACATTTTGTTTCAGTCACCAGTGCGGTGAATGCCCTAAAGAGTGTCACGCTCCCCACTTCTCTTCCATACTAAGCTTTCACTTTCGCCTTCACCACTTTTCTTTGTTGCATTGTGCGGAGCGTTTGGGTCTATTCTTGTGCTCTTTCTCTATTGTCTCTTTCTGCCTCATAATATCGTCTCCAATCCTCTTTTTCTTGCCGCATCTCTGGAAGACATCGTGCACCTTTGTACCATCTTTCTACGATTACCACGAACCTCAGCGACACAGCCTGGTGCTGTGCCTTCACCCAACACCTCTAATATCCTGCCCAGACCTCGCGTCCGCATCCATCCACATTCGTCATGGCTTCCACGGCGAACCAACAGCAAAACTTCCCGGCTGTACCTCCACACCTGTCCGCTGGCGATTATGAGATGCGAGGCAGCTACGCAACTCAAGAATCACCACGACCTCCTCTAAACCAGACACCATACCTCAAACCATACCTCGGCCTTCGAGCTAGGCTCTCACAGATATGGATCAACCGCTGGACGATCCTTCTTCTCCTCGTCCTCATCCGCCTCCTCTTCGCCATCGCGAGCACTGACTCAAGCCTTGCGTCAGCTCGTAGGGAGGCACTCAGCGCATGCACCCAAGTCGAAAGCATGGGTAGCTCCATGGCTTCCATGCCCCACTTCATGGCCGATGGCATCAACGAAATGACCGCCGCCGGCGTCGAAAAGGCCGTCAACGGACTGATGAAGATGATGGAACTCAGTGTCACCGGAGTGGAAGAGATTGTCATCTTTGTCATCCACATGATGACGAGTACCTATCTCTGCCTCATCACCCTTGCCGTCAGTGGCAGTCTTCATGCAGCAGTCGAGATCGGAGAAGCAATTTCAAAGAATCTGAACGAGACTATTGAAGACGTCACTAACGGCATTGGGGATGCCACCAAGAAAGTCACCGATGGCATCAACTCCATCCTCGACAAGGTCAACTTTCCATTCGGACCCGATTTTGACAAGCCGTCGATCAATTTGGACGATCAAATCAACAAGCTCAAGTCGCTCGAAGCGCCTCCTGAAATGGAGCAAGGTCTTCAGAAGCTTAATCAGTCCATTCCGAACTTTGAAGAGGTCCAAAATTTCACCGACAACCTTATTCGACTCCCATTTGAAGAGGTCAAGAAGCTGATCCAGGGCATGGACAACTTTACCTTCGACCGGGGACTTCTCCCTGTACCACAGAAGGAGCAGCTCGACTTCTGCTCCGACGGCAACTCGATCGGCAAGTTCTTTGATGACCTTGTCGTCATGGTTTACTCGGCCAAGAAGATCGCCCTCGGTGTCCTCATCGCCCTGGCTATACTCGCCATTGTCCCTATGGCCTACATGGAAATCCGCCGGCATCGTCGCATGCAAGAACGTTCACAATTGTTCCAAGATGTTGCCTACGAGCCGATGGATGTTGTTTACCTCGCTTCCCGTCCGACTTCCTCTACCATTGGTCTGTGGTTCGGCCGCCGCTTCGGTTCCGCCCGTCGCCAAGCAGTTGCGCGATGGGCGTGGGCCTATGCCACTTCTGTTCCGATGCTGTTCCTACTGTCACTAGCGATTGCAGGTTTCTTTTCCTGTTTCTGTCAATACCTGCTTGTGAGGGGCATGCAACAGAAAGTTCCAGAACTCACAGACCAGGTTGCCGGCTTCGCCGAGAAGGTCGTCGACTCGTTGAACAATGCCTCGATGTCATGGGCTGGCGGCGTCAATGGCGCCGTCGACAAGCTTGACTCCACAATCAACGACGATATGCTCGGCTGGGTGAACACAACCACGGTCGCGATCAACAGCACGCTCAACGGCTTTGTCGACAAGATGTCCGGTGTGCTCAATGACACTTTCGGTGGCACGGTGCTCTATGACCCGATCAAAGAAGTGCTCAACTGCCTGATCGGCCTCAAAATCGCCGGTGTCCAGAAGGGCCTTACCTGGGTTCAGGATCACGCCCACGTCAACTTCCCTGGAGTGAGAAACGACACGATGTCCCTCGGTGCGCTCGCGAAAGTGAGCGACTCAAGCTCTGCTGCCGAACTCCTTGCCAATCCCAACGGAAAGGCAAGGGACGAAGTTACGGAAGCTGTCAACTATGTCGTCGAGAAGCTTCTCAGCGGCATCCGAACCGAGGCTCTCATCTCCACTGCCCTTCTCCTCATCTGGCTTGCCATCGCGCTTGGTGGTCTCGTCTACGCTGCTACTCATATGGCGCGTCGCGATACCCCAGCTGGCACAGCCTATGTCATTGACCCAGCTACCGACAACGCACCCCAGACCCGCGACTACCCCGGGGACGCGGCGCCACCGTACGAGTATCCCGTCAACAAGGCGGCACCCTATACGCTGCAGCCCCGACCCTTCCAAGTCTTCGGCCCGAATGACAACGCCCTTGACGCGGAAAAGGTTGGCCAAGTGGAAGCCCGCACGATTAACGACTCCGCCCGCCCCGGCCACCTGCGCACGAGTAGCTACGGACAATTCACCGACCCCTCTCCTCTCGATGAAAAGCAAAACCCATTCGCTGATTCGCAACGACGCGAGAAGACCCCGTTCGCCGACCGCTAATCCATTTGCCGATAACCCTTGCTCTTCCCTGACCTTTTCGCCTGCGTTCTGAGTCTAGAGGTAGCTCGGGTTGCCCCTCGGCCTGCGACGAGCCGTAATCGCTCAGGTTACGTACCTTGGACCTTGAGGTCCCTTTCTCTGATGATGCTTTGCTCTCGAGAAATATATCTGCGGTTGACGGAACTTACTGCTCCTCGCCGCCAGACGAACTAAAACTGGTGTTTCTTTTACAATGCATCTCTCTCAATCTCCCGCAACCCCGCCGCACACCGTGTTGACGTGCTTGCACTCCGCGAGCGGCGGGTCGTTGCTCTCATGTATTTTTTCTTGGTTTAGACGCGCTGCGTCGTGCTCTGCTCTTGTTTTTGGCGTTGGATCGATATCCCCTCGTTGTTCTCTTTTCTTCCTTCTCTCTCTTCACTTTGGAGCGTTCACTTTGGATGATACCCCATGTCAAGTCCACAATTTCTTTGTCTCGAAAGAGACTGATCTCATACTGTCCATCCGTTCCTCCTCTGTGAAGAAGAGAACTGTCAAGAAGAGCTAAAAAAGACGAGGTAGTGCATATCTCCTTGAGCTTGTCTGTCCCCGAGGCCCTTTCCATCCCGCCCTCTCCCGCAGCCTGCACCACCGTCCCTTTTCCCCGCTGGCATTCACCGCACGCGCGCTCACCGCCTCCCCGCGGCTTGCCCGGTTGGCCGCGAGCCCCCGTGCGGTGTCACGCAGATGGACGCAATTGGCGCGCTTTGGTGCCGGCGCTGCGGCAATGGCCGGACATACTGGGTATAATCGCTCTATTTCGCGCCGTCTCTTCCGCGGCTGCCATCCCCGTCTGCCCTTCTTCGGATGCATCTTCGGACCCGGCTGTTGGCTTGCGGTGGACCCGCGATGCAAGATGTGCTGCTGATTGGTAACGAGCGTTGGTTTCCTTCCCTCCTGTGCTTTTCCCCTCTTCTTCTTTCTTGGACGGATGGAAGAGGGGTTGTTTCGAAGTGCAGTCGAGCTGGGAGGCGACACGTGTGCGCTTGTGTGCGCTGGTTTTGAAGTGGTCCCCGTCCTCTGGATGTGGGGTTGGTTATCACTGTTTCCCTACTTTGGTTGCCCTTTTGCGCCGCTTGTGTTGATCCCGTGCTTTTGCCGGGGCTGTTTGTACCCCTGGTGGGTGAGGAGGAAGAGGTGGTGGAATGAAGGTGGAACGGCTGGTATGGTGGGCGTGTATGGCTGACCTGAGTCGCTCTTTTGGAGGGGTCTACTTTTTTTTTTTTGGGAGGCTAGATGGCACTCTCCAGATCGTGTACTTAGGGAGGCTGTCGATGTCAAATTGAATATGTCCTCTCATAATTGGTACATGCAATCCGTGATGCATGACGTGAGGGCTGGGTGGGCTGAGATTAGGAGGTGAGTATGAGATGCAGGAGCGAGAGTGCACATGGTATGAGGAGTGAACGGGAGGAAGTGGGAGGTAGGGCAAGTATCAAGTATACCCGGGCTCACAGATGGCAAATTGCATTACCCACAAGGTGTAGTATCAAGTGTCAACACAGAGGTATGGAGTGAAGCTGTAGGTTGAAGTGCAGAACAGCCATTGTGTAATTGCAGGCTCCCATATACAAGAGGCAAAAATAGATTCTAGACCAAACACAAAGTGCGCCCAGGTAGCTTCATGAATAGAGAAATTTGTAAATCAGACCAGAGACCGATTGTACCCAAGTACTTATCTATACCTCGACAATTCAAAAATGAGAACAAGCACCAAGTTTACCCAAGCCCCCTGTGAAAAGAAAAAAAGAGACATGTAAGGCGCCCATCCTATAGTCTAGCACCAGCCAGACACCCACCACATGTAAGGTTCCCACCCTAGCTTCTCTAGAAGCTAGGGTGGACCCAGGACCCCAAACTTCCACATTCCTGAGAATTCGTACTAATTCCAGACTTCACACATACATCGTCCAACTTGTAGTTTCTGGACCCACTCTCCCGCCCCAAACCACCACATAGTATAGACCTCCTTATGTTTCTGGACCCAATTTATCACCTCTCCAACTCCATCCCACCCAACTTTTCCATGAGGCACTCCTCCCTCAACTTTCCCATCACCACCTCCTTCTCTCTCCTCCTCACCACTGACTGCCACGCATCCTTCTTCCTCCGCCTAACATCCCCAGCACTCTCCCTCTCCCCCGCAATCGCGCTCGAGCGCCGATGTCCCCTGTCATTCGCAACACCAAGTCGCTTCAGCGGAGGAACCTTGTTCTGGTTCCGGAGGTTGCCATTGAAACTGCCAAAGGGAGAACTTGCTGAGGGCTGAACGCCCTTCTCCAACTCCATGATAATGGCGACATCGCACGTGTCATTGCCGACAAGGACGCAGTGATACGGCGCGCCCTTGACCACAGCTGCAGCTCTGGACGCCCTCATGCCCACCGTCCCGCAAAGTGCGCATGAGAAGTTGCCGGAGATAAGGTCCTTCGGAGGGGCGAGCGTCTTGTCCTGGGCATCCCAGACCTTGGACAGGATCTCCGCGTGGGCGGCGAACTTGGCTTGCGCAAGGGCGTCGCCGGCGTCGACGAGGAACTCTACGTGAGACTGCAGAATGCGGAGGGTGGATGCGCGCACAAGGTTGATGGGTGCTGCGTAGGGGGCGGGAAGGGCAGAGGAGGTGCTCGAGATCATGCACATTGGCGGTTTGCAATTGGCGGCGCAGGGCTCGGCGTCTCGGGCCACGACCTGGAGATTCAGAGTCAGCTGAGGAAAGAAGGGAGGTGGTGCGGGAGGGTTAGAAAGACTTACGACCGTATGACCACAGTCCAGCTTGTGGACGCGGGAGCCGGTGTAGAAGCAGGTGCGCGTTTCCATGTTCTGGTTTGATGGGAGAGGGCTCCATGGCATGGCGGGCGGTTGCATAAGAGTGATGCTGAGGCACTTCTTGTCCTCCTTCTTGTGGAGGATGTGGCGGTGCATCGTCTGGGGGGAAGGAATGCCGGAGAAGGGACATGGCGGGTTGCGCATGACCCTATGACCATGACTGTAGCCACTGGTAAACTTGGGGCCGGTGGGAGCGCGGAGAGGCGCATTGGCGTCAGACGGACCAGCCTGGGACTGCACCTCGTGCGAGGCAGCAGAGGAGATGTCGGCCAGATTAGAGTTGAATTCTGAGACGTCGATGAGATCGTGAGTGGTCGGGGAAGACATAATCATCGGCAATTGTGGTTTTGAAGAAAAGATATATAGACAAGTGATGGCCGATGATTCCAAAGCTAGCTCTTTCTATGCAGTGTTGTGAGGAAAGAAAGAAGCAGGGTAGAGCGACAGAAGCCTCCTTTTATGCATCCAGACTGCAAACGCTCAGCTTCCAGGCAGAGCCGCGTCGGAGATGTAGAAAGTGCGAGACGGGTCGATTCGTTTGCATTCGCACACATGCGAGGTCAGGCTCACCGATATGTCGATCATAATGCAAACAGCTTGGGCGTAACTGCTTTGTTTCGTGTAGTCTCGTGTCGATATGCTGCTATTCGGATATGACCATGTGTTGTACAGTCAACGCCTGCAGCATGGGCTGGATAAGCTGAGCCTGCCGAAGCTGTATAAGCGGTGAATTACTAAGGGGGAAGCACTCCCTCGCACCGTTTGCATGAGGTCGACCGCGCAAGTTGCGAACGAGACGACGCACCGTGACGATGTTCGCGGAAAGAGCACCCGAACAGGCCATGGTAGGCAGGGAGTAATTCAGTCTGCTAGGAGCATCACATTGTAGTAGCATGCCGTCGTGTGGGGATTCGGCTCGACGAAATACAACGGACACGCACGACAATGTAAACAAGGTGGTCAAACTTGAGTCTTTCTTGGCAGTCCTCCAATTTCGCCCGTAACAAGAGCATGCTGCAGCGAGGTCCGGGATCACTCAATCTCCCTCCTCGCAATACACGCAGCCTTCCTCAGCCCAACACCAGGCCTCACGTCCCAGTCGATCTCCTGTCTTGCCCTCGCAAACGCCTGCTCAACTTCCTCAATGCCCTTCTGATCACCTTGCTCGCCCAACAGCCCCACCGCCCTTTCCAAATCCCCCGCGGCAAACAGACACTCACCCACCGCCAGATGCGTGAGCCCAAGCACGTACCAGCTTCGACCGCGCTCATTGTCGGTGAACCATTCTGATTTGTTTGGTGGAATGAGCTCAGGTGGAAGGGAGCGGAACCACGGGTTTGATGCCGGTGAGGGAGAGTCAGTGGACAGGCTGAGCGCATGTGAAGCTGCTGTTTCGGCGGCAAGGAGGTCGATCGCGATCTGCTTCTGAGCTGCTGTAGGTGTAGAAGCTGACACAAGTCTCGAAGTGGAGGAAATTGCCGCCGCGTGTCTAGAGTGCAGCGCCGTCGCGAGTGCGAGTTCGGTGCGCCAGCGCAAACGCTGGATTTCCTTGTTGAAACCTTCGGCCTGCGAATGCAGTGTTTCTGCGCGCGTGAGGTATGCGTAGGTCAATGATATCGTGGCTGCCTGGCACTGCTGGGCTGCAGAGTCGTAGTCCTTCTTGTCGAGTGCTTGTTCAGCTCGATCTGTCATCTCAGTCACCGCTTTCAGCCATGTATCCGCTTCGAAGGCCGCCGCCATCATGCTCCGCTGCAGCGCCTCCGCGTAGCCCGCCAACAGATCCTTCCCTTTGACTTCCACCCTGCCAACATTGCTCAGCAGGCGGAACAGCTCCAGCAAGTCACCCTGTACTCTCGCCTTCTCCAATTTGTACACATTCACCACAGACAAGATAAGCGAATGATTCGGAGCCCACGATCCTGATGCCTTGCAGGCCTGCTCCATGAAATTGACCAGGCGGGGCAGATACTGCGCAGGAAACAACACGCTCGCTCTCTTCACCGCGCTGTCCTTCTCCACGATCTTTAGCTCCATCGCATGCATCGTGCACCCCTCCACCGACCCCGGTCTCGCGACTGAGAAAAGCACTCCCGAGTCCTCCAGCATGGTTTTTGCATGCCTCGCATCAGCAGAATAGACCTCGAACTTGACGAAGAGGTTCGTGGAGTAGAAGTAGTTGCGCGCTTCTTTTGAGAGTTGCTTGTTGGTGTAGAAAAGCGCGGTGTGGACAGGGAAGGGGGGGCGAGAGGCGGCAAAGTGGAGTGTGGAGTCCTTGATTGTGTGCGTGTAGGAGACATTGGGTTGGTCGATGTTGACGAGCTCGGTATCGAGGAGGTGGGCGTAGATTTTGTTCCGGACGGATGCTGGGAGGGTGGTGAGGTTTGGTGGATGCTTCTTGCTTGGTGTTGATGCTTGCGATGAGGAATGGAGATGCGTTTCTTCCAGCTTCGAGGCTACATCTGTAGCGGCATCCATAGAATCGCGCTTTCCGTTTGATTCCATTGCGGTCTTTTTGAGGTAACTAGTATGTGAGGTGGTGAAGATGAAGAGCCGGTTTGCGGTGTGGTGTTCCAGTTCACAACGAAATGTCGTCTCGGACCTCGACGGCTGAAAAGGACAAGGGCTAGTAAAGCAATTGTTACTGCAAGGTCTCTCGAGGGCGACAGCAAATTGATGAGGTACCTCCCAATCTCACGGCGTGGGGTTATATATGTAGCTGCGGCGTTGCGTGCGGGGAAGCTTGCAGCCTCCACATCACCCCTGCGCGTACACGCGGATCCGGTACTAGCATGCAGACCCCTCGCGCAGGGATCCAGTATTGATTTCTTGTAACGTGGTTGGCTTCAACTGTGGTACCTTTCCACACCTGCTTTCTACAAATACAAGTACAAGTCTTCGCGGCGCGATTTACTCCACGTAAGCAGTGTAGATCTGCAGGTCCTTGGTAGCCTTGAACTCCATATCGACATCGTGCGCAACAAAGTATGTGTACCCCTGGCTAAGCTTATGCTCTTTTCCGTCCGCCTTGAACGATCCCTCGCCATCAGTCACGATGAACATGGACGGGCCGCCAATCGCACTGATCATCTCCTCCTCGCCATCCTTCAGCTCAGTAGCTAGCATGCTAAACTCGCTCAGCGGCGGCGCGTAGACCTGTGTTTTTCCGTTCTTCGAGTGCTCCGACGTTTTTGGCTTAAGCATGCAGTCATCCGGGGAATGCGGCGTGAACGTTAAGCACGAGGTAAACATGTCCACCGAGTCGCGGTCCGCGCGGGGACAGAATCCGGTGTTGAGGACGTTGTTGGAGCGCGCCATACACTCGATGATGTCACCGGACAGATAGGCATGGATGCCGTCAGCAGGGATGTAAATGCTGTCGCCCTTTTTGAGCTTGAGGTAATTCATTGTGATGAGTGCGACGACGGTACCGTTATCAGTCTTGTCGTATTGCTTAGAGAGACGAAGAATTAGCTCCGGGATGTAGGAGTCCTCGCCAAATTGCTCTTTGGGGAGGCCGCGCAGAGCATCGTTGGTCTTCTTGATAGCTTCATCGGAGGCTGTGAGCATGGCCTTGACGATGTGTTTCAGGGTCTGGTCGTCAAAGTTGGGCTTCTTGACGGACGGCATGAACGGTTGGAGGGGCGCGAGTTTCATTAAGCGCTCGATATCTTCCAGAGGCTTGAAGCCGCAGAACGCTTCGAAGTCGCCTAAGGCCAGTGCGATTTCTGGCTTGTGGTTTGGGTCCGTGAATTGGTCAGGGTTGCGCTGATGAAGCTGGGAGGCTAGCTCCTTGTTCTGAAAAGCATCAGCAATTGAACATTTGTTAAGTTGGTGATGTAATACGTACGGGATGTAGCTGCAGGGGGAGAGCCTTTGCTATTGACAGGACCTTCGGAAGATAAGGAATCTTTGAATGGTTGAACTTTTTGATGGTATTCCTGCCGACGAGCTCTTCTGCATTCTTGTCCAGTACATCTTGCAGGTCCTCACCACTCTCGAGAACGTACGAGGGTAGCTCGGGATAGGTTCCCAACCACCTGTTACGTATTAGCATTGCGGGAGCTCGGAAAGTAAGGTTGGAAGTGCATGATCTCTCACATCTCGGAGTAAGGAGTATTTTCGTCAATCTTGAAGTCAGTGCCTGGTGTTTTGGAACAGAGTGTGGCAGCGAGGGAATTTGAACCCTGCTTGCCCCAGGGATACTGGTTGCATTGGCATTTCAGTTGGTAGACTTTCTGGACCATGTTGATGGACTCGATGAAGCAGTAATCTAGATGGGTTTGGATGATGAATTATTGAGATTATTTCTGCGGCACGAAGGGTTTGTTCAGCAGCATATGCATTAGGATATCAGATACTTATCGCATTGTAAGGTATATTCGTGACAGGGAGTTGACGTCATTGCGGGTACTGCAGCAAAGTCGCTCTTGAACCTTCACCGAATTCTCGGCGTGGTTCTTCCACTTAAACCCACTGCAAGTCCAATCCGTACCAATGATCATTTCGAAAGGTGGTGTCGGCGCGACCATGTGAGGTGAGCGCAATGGAGACGGCACTCCCGCCTACCATTTACCGAGCTACCGTAATGGTTAGGGTCACTTGTCCATGTCTAAAGTCTAAGATCACCACCGCCACATTTTCTCAGTTGAATTGGACCGCTGCCGAAGCAGATACTGGCATTTTTCTGCGACGGTCTTAGCCACTGACCCAAGCCGGACTAACCTCATGCCCGTGTCCAAGGCCTATATGCCCTAGAGACTTTCTGACGAGCAGCGCATCAGGATTGAGGACTACGAAAGCTGAAAGATTAAATTGTAGCAAAGGCTGCACGACTGGGTGTAGCGATTCCACCAGAGCAGAACTCTGCAACTCGTAAGAGCTTGGAAAAACACATCTCATTGTCATAGGCCTATAGCACTTTGGAGCACAATTGGCCTAACTAGGTTTCGGCAGCAAAGCGAAATCAATATCAGACAGTTCACAGCCCATTGCATTCCCTCAAGATCGGTGTTGCCCCGCAAAACTCCCCACCCGTCTGCATGCATCCATAGGACACTTGAAGTCGCATGCACGCTGTCCGACCAGGCTGTCTGGTGCTCATCGGACGCCGTTGCGCGGAAGAGGGTTGCCAATGGAAGGACGCAAAGACACGGTGCTGCCGGTGGCATCGCATGGGCGGCGCATCCTGGCCATGTGCAGACTCAGACGTCGTGTCGTATCGAGTATCAAGATCCCCTGCGGCGCCTGCTTCAGGCCGCCCAGCAAGCAAGGGTCCAGCCGTTGCGGGAAGACGGGCAGGGATGCTGGTCTTGGCGGGCTGGTCGCAGGCAGAGCGCGATAACGACACTAAATTTCCAGCTCATGTTGGCTTCTCCACAGGCCCGCCCGCCTCACGCGCGTCCCCAGAGCATTGTCACTCCCCTTCCCGAGCCCCAAGCTGCTGCCCCAGCTATGACCGTGCCATAAGCGCATCGCCCAGACTCCCGCCGTCGTCTCCGACCCCCATCCCTCGTTCTGCATCCACGGCCGTGCCTCTGATCTGGCCTCCCTGGCCGACTCCCATCTCCGAACCTCGCAATGCACTTCGCCATGCCGCCGCGCAAGACGTCGCGCCCGCCGCCCTACGCCGCACGCAACCAAAGCTCCCTGCCCATACCGCCCGCGCTGAAGAACCTGCTCCGGGGGGGGAAGCTGCGGACGACCGTGGTGGGGATACTGGGCTTCCTTACTCTGATCTGGCTGCTCCGGAGGACAGGCGGCGATGCGGGCGCAAACATCCCCAAGGTCGCCGTCGGCTCCGGCCCGCCTGTGGTCATCGTCACCACCATCGACCCCAGGGCGGATGCGGCGTGGGCGGCCAAGATCAGGAAGAACAGAGAGGACTACGCCAAGAAGCATGGTGCGTTCGCTGCGCGCGCAAGCCCCAGACGCACGTCTTCGTACTGACGCACTGCAGGCTACCTGACATTCTTTCCCGAAAACGATAAATACCCGCTCAACAAGTCTCCCCACACGTGGGCCAAGGTGCCCGCGCTTCGACACGCCATGACACTGTACCCAGGCTCCACCTTCTTTTGGTTCCTTGACAGCGCCGCCCTGATCATGAACCCCTCGATCGACCTTCAATCCCACATACTCAAGCCGTCCCGCCTTGAGGAGCTCATGATCACGAATGAGCCCGTCGTCCCGCCAGACAGCGTCATCAAGACGTTTGGCAACTTGAAAGGCGACAGGATAGACTTTATCGTGACACAGGACAAGGAAGGCCTGGTGCCTACCAGCATCATCGTGCGAAACGGCGACTGGGCCAAGTACTTCCTGGATGCGTGGTTCGATCCCATCTACAGGAGCTACAACTTCCAGAAGGCCGAGTCGCATGCGCTGGAGCACATTGTCCAGTGAGTTTACAACAGTACAATTTCCAGCAGACAACCACTAACCCCCGTCAGATGGCACGGCACCATCCTCGCAAAGCTCGCCCTGGTCCCTCAGAACCTCCTCAACTCGTACGCCACCGGCCCCTTCAATCCCAAATTCGGAAAATACAAGGAAGGCGACCTCGTCGCCAACTTCCCCGGCTGCGCGCGCGAAAAGCCCGACTGCGCTGCCGAGCAACAGGCCTTTTTCGACATCCTCGACAAGGGTGATGACTAAACGCATTCCGAATGACGACGGACAGCGCCGCGGCGCGGCCACGAGCCAGCCTCGTGCGCAGGGCCATGCAAGGCACGCTACCCTCGCGATAGGGTCAGCAAAGGACGAAGGGAAAGGCACATCCACAAAAATGTGCTGGCGTACCGGCGTTGATGGACGACGCTTGTAGATTCATAGCTTCGCATTTATACCAGCAGGGTTCCTAAATGTACCGGATGGATGATGTTTTGATATGAGACGGATGGGGATTGCTAGAGCATCGGTCCAATCTGGCGAGCACGGCAGATCAAAGAGGCATCATGTATGTGTGTATTTTGGTTTTGATGGTATGGAGTTATACGGTACCCACGCTATATACAGGTTAATCTACAAAGCTTCCCGGGCGGCTTACAAGGCTGACTTTGAGTCTGGCGGTTTGTTCTACATGTGTGCAAAGTAATGCGATGCTATGCTATGCGCCGCCGTGGTATCGTATCGTATCGTACAGCGAACGTAGTCTATGGTGTTGTTACAAGACGGGCAGGACAGGCCTCAGGGTATGACATCTCCTCGCTCTCCTCTTTTCCCGTCTACTTCTCCGCGGGCTTCCTCTGCGCCTTCACACTCTTCATACTCCTCCTCGGCCTCGCACTCCTCTCCCTCGAACTAATCAGCTTCGGCCCCAACACCACACTCGCACACATAGGCATCCTTTGCCCCACAAACTTGCCCAGCGGACTAAACACCTCGACCTCCGGGAACTCGATCACGTCCTCCACATCTTCGGCTTCTTCCCTAGGCTTCACCCACACTTCCCCGCGCATCTTGGCCTCGCGCTTGAGCCGCAGCTCCTCAGCTTCTTTCTTTTGCGCAGCGACCTTGGCAGCGCGTGCAGCGTTGGGATCTTTCTTCACCATGCCGGGTGCTTTCCAGCCCGAAGGTCGCCGCACCTGCGCGCTGACTTCGACCCAGCCCACGCCCTCAACCAGAATGTCCGTCCCAAACACGCGGAAGGGAAGGTTCTCGGGCCGCATTTTGGCCGCGACCGGCGAGGTTAGGGGCCCGGCGAGCTTCTTGGTGACGTCCCAGCGCAGCTTGAAGCGGCCCGCTGAACGCATCTTGGGGCCTGCGTCGGGCGCGAGGATGGATTCTACGTGCCTATCCGAAACCTGCTCTTGCAAGGCAGAGGCCTTGTCGGTGCGCGTGACGTGCGGATCTATGGGGACGAAGGGATGTATTATGAAAATAAGATCCGACGTCACGGGCGTGATGCGAATGAGTCCGCCGCCCAGAATCAGACTCTGTCCCGGCTTGAGCACGTGGCGGGAGGCGGTGATGCGGTTTTTCATGACGAGATCGTCCTGTGCCGGGCGCTGGACGAAGGTTTCCAGCCCGGGGGCGGTGCGTGCGAGCCCGGGCATGTCGATAAGCTCGCCGCGGTTGCGGCCGAAGGGGATGCGGATGGGCGAGGCGGTGGTGCCGGGGAGGGAGGAGGCGACGGGGAGGACGGGGTAGAGGGTGAATGGCTGGGCGGGGGGAAGGAGCGCGTCTGGGTCGAGGTCTGCGTCTTCTTCGTCGATTTGCTCGTCTTCCGGCGCGGTGGGGGGTTTGTGTTGGTGTTCCCTCTCCTTTCCGTCGGGATTCTGGTTCTGGCGCTCTATCTCGGCGTCTTCCTCTGCGAGTTGTTTCTGCACGGAAGCGAGCTCCTCGATTGAGTGTGCAGCCGCCAGCATGGCTTCGCGCTCGGCGGCAGACCGGATCTTGCGCACGTCCTTGTAGTCTGCACCGCGGCCTTTGGGGAAGACGACCTCGAAGAGGTTGGATTTGCCCACGTTGACTTTGCCGACCATCCAGCCCGCGCCGCCGCGCTCCCAGATCTCTTCTTTGACGACCTTTGTCCACCAGCCGCGTTTGGCGCTGACGAGGCGCACATTACCCAGGCGGGCGTCGCGGTTTGTGCGGCCGAGGGCGTCGCGGAGGACGTTTTGGACGTACGGCATAAGGGCGTCTACGTCTTCCTTTTTCCGCGCCAAAAGGTCCGATCGCGTGATTATGAAGCTGACTTCTGCGATGCGGTCGTTGGCGACCCAGCCCTTGTGCTTTGCTCTGCGGTTCTTGGTCCGGAGTTTGGGTATCCGCAGCGACGACTGGAGCGTAGGTATGAGCGACATCGGGAAGTCAGCGGCGTCGATGACATGGTATATGTGGTTGCGACGGTGCGGAGATTCGGCGATGGTCTGCTGTATGGCCTCGACTGAGGGATGGTATATCGGTACTCCCTTCCGATGGTTGGTGATGTCGTGGCAGCGGTCGCATACGGGTGTTTTGGGAGCACCAGCATCGATTTCGCGGCCTTCTTGTAAAACATTGGGTTCAAGACCAATCTCCTCCAAGACACTGGGGTCCATCTGCTTGAGCGCCTTTGTATAGACATCGTCCTCCTTCTGTGACGCTTTTGCTTCAGGGTCGTATTCGAGGTACTGCGCAACGGCGTTCCTGGTAAGGCGGTAGAAGCCTGCCTCCTTCTTGTCGTAGATCTGGGTGGGCGCGCCGCATCCTGGGCAGGCACGAGGAAGTGGACGGCGGATGCGGTTGGGAGACTGTGTCGATTCGGAAAGATCTGGAGTTGCGGCAAAATCTCGAGTAGTAGCTGTTACAGCCTCTTGTGATAGTGGGCAGTAGGTCGAGAACCTCCTTGATGACGGCAGGTCTTGTATACGCCGTGGTGCATGAGCTACCGGGGATCTATAAAGCGTAGGGCAAAGGAAAGCTGGTATCGATGTTTGGAGTGCAGGTCGGTCGTTCAGAAGCCTCCTGGTCTGCCGGAGGGCAGGGCGCATGTCGGTAGGAGGCAATGCTCGAGGAATTCTTGGTCAACTGTCGTGTTCTAGATGCGGGATGTCGTATAACAAAAGAGTGTGCCGACAAATGTTAATCTAATCCTCTACGTACATCTCTCCAAGAAGTCAAAAGTTTCCGCATACGCGCTCGCGTTCCGACGGCGCTAGGACGCTCGCAGCATAGCGGCGGATCCGCGGCAGACCGAATGTGGCTCGGGCGGGAGAGGAGCTTTGGCCAGGGTGACTCCCACGCTTCACTAAAAACATAACGTGGAGCGACATTCTGGGGAACCTCAGGTCATCATCGCCTCCGACTCACCGTACTTCCTCCGCCTCACTCCTCCCTTCCCCATCAACACCACAACCTACATCCCACAGCACATCCACCATGCTCGCCTCAACGCGAACCGCGCTGCGTCAAGCTGCGTCCAAGCAGCTCACTGTCAAGGCCGGCGCCAGGTCCGTCTCGGCCTGGTCGCAAGTGCCTCAGGGCCCTCCAGTGAGTCAAACACCTTGTAGCGGTATCAATTGATGTGACCAAAAGCTAATTGACGCCTAGGATGTAAGTTTCGGTACTCCCACAGCTGTGTAGAAGTCACTTACTCACCGCTCCCTTCGTTCAGGCTATTCTGGGTGAGTATAGCTGCTCTAGCCCAACCAGCATCACCATTGACTTTGTGCAGGTATCACCGAAGCTTTCAAGGCCGACAGCAACCCCGAGAAGATCAACTTGGGTATGTTTGGCGCCCACTAGCGAACCGTGGCGCTGGTAACTGACGTTCCCAGGTGTCGGCGCCTACCGTGACGATAAGGGCAAGCCGTTCGTGCTGCCGTCCGTCAAGCAGGCCGAGCAGAAGATTGTACAGGCGAACTTGGACAAGGAGTATGCTGGCATCACCGGTGTGCCTGCCTTCACCAAGGCTGCTCTCGAGCTCGCCTACGGCCCCGACTCTGCGCCCATCAAGGAAGGCCGCGTCGTCATCACCCAGTCCATCTCCGGTACTGGAGCTCTGCGCATTGGTGGCGCCTTCCTCGAGCGCTTCTACCCGGGCGCAAAGACCATCTACATCCCTAACCCGTCGTGGGCGAATCACAACGCTGTGTTCAAGGACTCTGGCCTGAAGGTTGAGAAGTACCGATACTACAACAAGGACACCATCGGCCTTGACTTCGAGGGCATGCTTGCTGACTTGAAGTCGATACCCAAGGGCAGCATTGTCCTGCTCCACGCCTGCGCTCACAATCCCACTGGTGTCGACCCTACTGAGGACCAGTGGAAGCAGATCGCCACCGCCGTCAAGGAGGGCGAGCACTTTCCTTTCTTCGACATGGCTTACCAGGGCTTCGCCAGTGGCAACACTGACAAGGACGCCTTCGCTCTGCGTCACTTCATCAAGGAGGGTCTCCGCCCTGTGCTCGCTCAGAGCTTCGCCAAGAACATGGTAGGGTCAAAAGAACTCGCTGAGGCAGCAACATCACTGACAGCGCTTAGGGTCTCTACGGCGAGCGTGTCGGAGCCTTCTCTGTTGTATGCGAGACTGCCGAAGAGAAGAAGCGCGTTGATTCGCAGATCAAGATCCTCGTGCGACCGCTCTACTCCAACCCCCCGGTTCACGGTGCTCGCATCGCATCCGAGATTCTGAACGATCCCGCGCTGAACAAGCAGTGGTTGGGTGAGGTCAAGGACATGGCCGACCGCATCATTACCATGCGTGCGCTCCTCAAGGAGAACTTGGAAAAGCTGGGCAGCAAGCACGACTGGAGCCACATCACCTCCCAGATCGGCATGTTCGCCTACACTGGTCTGAAGCCCGAGCAGATGGAGGCCCTTGCTAAGGAGGTGAGTTTTGTCAACGACCCCAAGCCATGCATATGCTAATCCTGCCCGCAGCACTCCGTCTATGCTACGAAGGACGGCAGGATTTCCGTCGCTGGTATCACCTCTGGCAACGTCAAACGCCTTGCTGAGTCGATCTACAAGGTCACTGGGTAAAGAGAAGCGGCAACCGGCGATGATAACGTCCGGTTCATCGTTCGGTGCGGCATATAGCACGGCGTAGTGTGCACTGTACTTTTATGTTCTAGTTCCACGTACAGCGGCTAGACTGTACATTGTCCGGCTAAAATGAATTCTTCTACCACAACTCTCGACCCACACTGTGCTACACCTGACCTTCAAAAAGCAGCCTTTGATGCTGTATTTCCGCAAACCCTGCGTTAACTCTCGCGGCATACGCGATTGGCCAAGCCGCCTACATCGCTTAGAAGGTTGATCATTGCTTCTTTGGGAACCGTACCCTGCTCGTGTAGGCAGGTCGCGTGTTGCTTGCAACACTGGGACCGAGCTTTCGCGAGAAACCCTACTTGCAGATTCAATCGTAAGCTGTTGTAAGTTCACTTCATGCGGTGCTTCTAGTAGCGTGCAGGGCAAGTAGACAGGTTCTTTGTCCTCTCGAATCCATCGCTCCCTGCGTACAGTCTGCTGTCCGTAATCAGCTACCGCGGCCCATCTCAGTTGCCGAGTGCCGAACGCTTCGTAATTGCGCATGTTCATGATAGTCCCTACCCCACCCAAAAGCAAAGGATCCCGATCCGCGGAGAAGCCTTCTTCCCTGGATAGATCCCGGGAATCTACGAGCAGGCGACGTTTCAGGGAAAGAAGAGCGCTCGGAGGAGGCCGGATGAACACCAACCTGCAGGCCGTTTCTGCAGGTGGACCCTCGTAGCTTACTTTCTCAAAGTTTCCACGACCGGCGTGGAGATAATCGGGCAAGGCAGGCCGGTCTTCACAGCGCTTGTAGGTGCTACGGGGACAGGAGAGAACGTGTTTGAATTCATGGACCCTTCGTCAAGGGGTGTGGTGAGTCAGCCGTCTCCCTTTGCAAAACGCAGGGTGTACAAGCCAACCCGCGTATCTGGTACCAATGCGGTCATATGCGAGGTGACGAAAAAGAGTTGCGCCATTGACGTAAGCGTGGATCCCTGCAGCCACGGTGCAAATCACCCATTCAAAACCACGCTCGATCCAAAAAGAGGGTCACCATGGACCGTGTTGTCTTACCTTTTCAACGTCCAGCAGCGGGAGCAGCGTGTTCGAACGCTTCCAGACCTTCTTGGCGTCTCCTTTAGCCACGCCCATCACAGGTCGACTGTACCCCGAGCACGTTTCTTTCTGTGGGGACAAAGCGACGCTGCTGTCATGGTCAGCCGCGCAGCAGAACCGAGGGAGTCCCGTCGTCCTGCACGGTGGGAGGCAGATTGGGCGCTGCGGTTATTGATGTAGTCCGGCGGTGGTAGGCGGTTCCGTGGGCATTGGTCAGTGTCGTCGCCATATAATGATGGGATTAAAGGCTGGGAGGGCTTGATGCTTCGCCCGGCGCCCGCGATTGACGTCGATAGACCCCGCCCACAGCATCATTGCCCTCTTCCATGTAGGCTAGCACCCCTCACCTCATGCTGTTACCTCTATCAGGATGGGGTGGTGCTTAACCAGATGCACGGTACATGCGAGAGCGGATCCCCGTGACAATCACTGCCCACAATTACTTCGTCTGAGCCATCCTCACCGACAGAGCCAGGCTTGCTAGACACTTTGCGGGAGAGCCCAAAGCTTGCCCGGCCGGAGAGCGGTGCCGAGTGCCAGCGGGCGGCTGCACACGCTGAAGCCACCCCAGCGGGGTCATTTTTTAAAATAGACGTACCGGCACTTTCTCCCAATTTCCTCCTTGACTCCCACACCGTTCTAGTCTCATTCGTAACCCGCCTCCTTTCGATCTCGATTGACCAGCAGCACCTTGGCTAAGGCTTCGGCAGCGGCGCTCCCAGGACCACCACGTCGGCATCTCACGCGGGCCGAGCCTCGATTTCGTCATCTCCAAGTAGGCTGCAGGGCGACGCGCGCACCAGTGAAGGTCGCTCGGGTCTTTAGCAGACTACCCAAGCGACAAATTTCGGCGGGGCCGTCTTTTTGCGCTACCCACGACTCCAGACATCTCTTCAGCACTCGCACGCGGCGGCTGCACGAAGCGCAGCGCGAGACAGAGTGTTGCGCAAAGCAATTTTACTGCAGAGGTTCCTCAGCTTCGCGTGGCACGGATCATATAATATGGCTAGAGCAGATTCGGCCAAAGATGATGCGGGCGACAGGGTTGGTTCTTGCCCCTCCTTCTGACACCCAAACTTGCACCTGCGTACCGGGCAGCTCCCCTCGTGCTCGCACCGCCGCTGCGCAAGCACGTGTTGCGTCGTTGCACGCCTGCTCTTTTTGCATCCACCCTCTTCTCCTGGTGCTACTGCAGTGCGCCCGACTGAACAGCGGCTAACCCGCCTCAAGAGCGACCACGAGGACCACGGCGGCGACATCATGAAGATCCCGGGCGCCAAAGACAGCATCGACGAGGCCACCTTTGAGCAGATCCTCGAGATGGACGACGACGAGGACGAGCGCGAGTTCTCCAAGAGTATAGTCTACGACTTCTTCACCCAGGCCGAGAGCACCTTTGAGAAGATGGACTCCAATCTGTAAGTGCGCCCTGCCTGATTTCTCTCCTCGCGCCCTGGCTGACGCAGCGCAGTGAGAAGAAGGACCTCAAGACCCTGTCCGAGCTGGGCCACTTCCTCAAGGGCTCGTCCGCCACGCTCGGCCTCAGCAAAGTGAAGGACTCTTGCGAAAAGATCCAAAATTACGGCCAGAAGAAGGACGAGAAGGGCGAAAAGGACATCACCGAGGAGGAGGGCCTGAAGAAGCTTGAGACGACCATCAAGCAGGCCAAGCAGGAGTTCCACGACGTGGAAAAGGTTCTTCGCAAGTTCTACAACGACGAGCAATGAGGGAACAGTACGACCGACACGACACTCTACGACGCTTAGACTTTGGTATCGCACGGCGGGCGACAGGGGCAATGCAGCGGGGCAGCAGCGCACGCATGCATGTATGACGGCCGGCGCACGCGCTCTGCAGCCGTCGCACCCTCTGGCTGACCAGCAAAAGCATCTTCTTCACGCTTCACGCATTCCTGTTTCTTTCACTCTTCCGTGGATACCTGATATCAAGGGGTTGGATAGCGCGCACGTCGTTCCCGTGTTCGGGGCCGCCGTCTGTCTTCTGCATTGCTTGCGAGGAAGTTGGGGTATCCTGTAACGATCACGTCCGCCCTCTTCGTATGCCATGCCATAGATTCCTTCCCTAACCTGTACTCTCGCTTCCTGAGACCTTTTGGAAGACAGAATAGTGAGAAGACTCTCTTCAATCCTAGTGCTAGCATCACCTTTCGGTTCTTGCCGACAAGGCGCCAGCGTGCCAGTGAGATCCCCAGGGCTGTTGTTGGCACTGACGTCATTGGCCTGGCGTGCCCAAGTCGTGGCATGATTGGATAATCTACCTTGCTACACCAGCACTGTATCGTGAATATGCGCAGTTCTTGTTAGACTCTCGGTGCTGTCTGCGCACCATTGGTACTTCATTTTCGCCTCGTGTTGTTGCGGCGGCCATCTCGATCGCACTTTCCAAGTTTTCATGCGAGCCGGACTCCGGGCGTGCTGCAGCCCTATGCTCACCGGCCCATCTACTTGTGGAGCTGCCATCGAACGATCCTGCAGTACCCTAACGAACCCTGCTCCCCTAACGCCACAACGCAATCGCAACTCAAACGTTCGAGAACGATCTTCAAGAGCTTTTGAAATCCCCGCTACTACACCACATCCCTGCCCTGCCCATCGCATTCACACGACATCTCGCAACATGGGCAAGAGAAATAAGACTGAATACAACGACTTCCTGGATGGCGAGAAGCTGCGCGACAACAATGAAATCCGGACCACGTTACAAGGAACAAAATCCCTCGAGCGCAATGTATCACCGCCCTCAACACGGCGCTACAACACGGCCAGAGGCAAGAAAAGCAAAGGCGGGCCAAAGAAGCCGCAATTGACACACTTCCTCTGCATCCCTCTCGTGAACCCCCACACCCGACCACAGCTCGAAGCCCAATTATCAAAGTTGAAGGGGGAGCTCGGGCAGACGGGATTCCTGCCCGTCAAAGCAGTCAGGCCGCCCGGCACGCTGCATCTCACGCTGGGGGTCATGTCGCTCGACGATGAGCAACTCTCCATCGCAACACGGTATCTAGCCGCGCTAGACGTACAGAAAATCCTACAGAACGTCACGGCGCAGAGCATGGCCGAGTCCGCCGCCGCCAGCGGCACCGTCAGTGAGAATCTGAATGCGGCGGCGATGCCGGACTGGGAGGCGCTGAGTATCGACCTCAAGGGCCTGGTGCCGATGCAGGTGCCGCATAAGACGAGCATTCTGTATGCGGAGCCCGTGGATGCGAGTGGGAGGTTGCAGGCGTTTGGGGAGAAATTGAGGGGGGAATTTACGAGGGAGGGGTGGCTGGTGGAGGATAAGAGGACGCTGAGGTTGCACGCTACGGTGGTTAATACGATATATGCGAAGGGAAAAGGGCAACGGGTTACGAAGGCGCCGAGAATTAAGGGTGGAGAGGATGCGGATGCTGTGGATGGCAAGGAGGATCATGACGATGGTGTATCGACGGCTGGCTCCGCGATAGAAGACCACGACGAAGTCATTACTGCGCCGCCTGACCCTTCGACGACTGAGACGAAAGTACCGAAGCTGGATGGGTCGACAGGCCACGGGCCAGACGCGAAGAGCTGGCTGCGCTTCGATGCCAGGGAACTGATCGAGCGGTACAGCGATGTCGTGTGGGCGGAGAATGTAAGCATCGACCGGGTCCAAATATGCAAGATGGGCGCGAAGAAGATGCGGAACGAGTCGGGTGAAGTTGTGGCGGAGGAGTACGAGGTTATTGCCGAGAAGGTGATTGGGGCGTGATAGAATCGTGGGAGCAGGTCATTAGACTGGGCCACATTATCGTTCCTCACACTGTTACCTTGGACATTCCAAGCGCATGGCTAAACACTTGAACGTCATAATACGCTGTGGAGCCTCGAGATGGAAAGTGGAATTACCATTGCAACCCTCAAGAGTTAGTATTGTCCTGTTGAAGAATCAATCAAGTGTTCCGCTTTCCACCATCAACTTCCCCACGTACAGTCATCATTAGACTGGGCCAGAAAATTCGCACTGTACCGATGCGAGTACGGCCTGAGGCCCCGATAGGAGAGCAGATTCACCATCCCTGGTTGGCCATTTGGAAAACCTTATGAATTATCATCCGCTGAGTTCCAGCGCTGCATTTCGTCACTGTTTTCGAAAGCAGAAATACGTCCTCGGGAACACTTTCGAAATAAAGCGGAATACGGAGTGACATATTGCTCTCGGTTTTTTTTGTCGAGACGGCCAAGCTCCCATCTACCTGGCAAGGCGCAATATAACATTCTCAGAGAATCCGAACGTCATATCCAGAGCCTCGCATACTAACAGGCAGACGACGCCAGAATGAGCAGTGTTTCCTTTGTGTCGGGGCGTAGATAGGATGCTAACGGTATAGAGCAAGCTAAGTTTCTGCTAACGGAATGTACCTCGCGGAAGTTGTCCAAGAATGCATTCAGCATATAGCATGCAGTTTGTTACCACACCAAATTCCTTGGTCATCGCAAGGAATTTGAACATGCCGAAGCTGTGATGCAGTGTTCAAGTGTGTCTTCGGCAAGCCAATTCACATTGTTCTTCACAAACTCGAGCAGTGAGCGTGTGTAATGATGTTTGATAGAAGACTGAGAACAGACTGGTATTTGAGGAGCTGAGTAGAGTGGGTTTTTCCTGCTAAGTGACCCCGAGTTATGCTTCCGAGACTTTGCCCAGGTCCCCGATTTCTATCCAGCTCCGATCATCCTCCGGGACGTCCGAAGCCGGATAGGAAATCCGACACCAATTTGCGAGGCCAGATAGGGCGGCAAGCATGGCTGCGATAATAGGCTGTAAGACTCTCCAGAGAAGGATGAGGTTCGTTGTGTCGCTTAGGGAGATGGTGAGGTTCCAGTATGTGCGTAAAATGTCGAGCGACGTGAAGAAGGCTGCAAGGAGAAGCATCGCAGACATTACCGCCATTTGGCGCTTGCCGTGTTGCGTGTGGGATGTGGGCATGATGGCGAGAGGGAAGAGGATCACTAGGAATGCTCAGTCGCTGTATGAAGTCTGGATTTCGGAGCACTGTGGTCAAAAGTGGGACGGTGGACGAAGACGACGTATGTGGAAACGAAGACTTACGCAGAGCAAAATCCACCAAGTTCAAAACACACCATGTTGTCAACAGTCTCGTCGCAGCCGCCTCTCCCATACTCTGACACGCTTCTACAACATGTAAGCTTAATGACATATTATTTCAGCGAACAAAGAAGGTACTTCCCTAAATCACCAACTCTCCCAGGGCTCCCGCATACCCAGAATACAGAGAGAAAGATAATGCCAAAGAACAACGCGGTAAGACTCGAAATGATGAACCAGATGTTTCTTGCAGCTCTCCTCTCGCAAATCATACGCCAGTAAATTGTCAGAAACGTCGCCTTCGACGAATAGATGATGAGCCAGAAGAACACCGTGCACGCGACTTCTGTCTTGAACGCTCTTTCAATGCGATTTAAAGAAGGTAGCGAAGACTCCCAGCCGACGGAGTACGCTTGCATTTCGTACTGGACTTGGTCATCGATTAGGGTGCCAATGGTGTAGGGGATGACGAGGAAAGCTGCTGTTGCGCTAAAGAGGGAGTCGAGGTGGAAGCGGTGGGAGGTGCGCCAGGTGAGAACGAGACGGGTGAGTGTAAGGAGGAGGGCTAAGAGGGCAAAGGTGACTGCGATGCCCTGGGGGTGGTTAGTAGACTTTTTGCTAGTACATGTGACCAAGACGAGAGGAAGAGGAGGGGCGTACTTGGAGCGCTGGCATGGATATTATGCGTGGATATTCATCCATTGTAGTGTCGACCAAACCGGCCTCTGGCGACGCGATATCGCGTATCCGCAATTCAATGTGGTGTTTCGCGCCGCGACAAATTGCTAGCGTGTTGCCTTCTTAAGTATATCGTGAACGTCCTTGGGGCCAAGAATCAGCCCTACCTGGTCTGCAGCCGCATCGCAACAAGGGGGCAGGGATCGTAGTCCTCGGGAAAGATCAACGGCGACTCTAATTGGATCCAAGCATTGGCTGAAGAGGGGTAAGATCGGCTCGACTTCTGACGGTGTGACCATACCAATCAAGCTGTTGTAGTGTGCATATTGTATCTAGGTGAATTTGATACAATATTCGTCTGTATATGAGTAGCTGTATCAACTCATTGTTCATGGGTTTCCAGGATTTCGCAGAGCGTCGCTGTTTGTGCGTCTCATGAACGCATAGAATGTTGTTTTGGCCCCCGACACCATAGGGATTTGATGAACGCCACATATCCCGAAAATATGCGACTGGCCATCCGCCGCGTTTCATTATCGCGCCTGAGATTGTTTTCCGTCTGAGGCTACCCTTTTCATCTTAGCGGAGCGGCGGAGTTCTGATCGAACAAGTGCACATGGTGGTCAGCTTGGAGCCTAGCATGCCAAGTCGCTTGGCGAAGGACGCGCATATGCTCTTCGGAGAGTTTTCACCGCTGTGTGCCCATATTGGAAATGAAATTGAAGAGGCAATTGTTGTGAAATAATCGGTGTGAGCTGTGAAGCGCAGTTCGGCCGGAAGGCACGGTACATGCGGAGGGAAAGAGCTTCATTCCCTTCTCGACTAGGGTGCATGGGAGATGTCGGCAGTGCTTTTGCGGTAGACGCTCGTGGCGACAAAATTTGGTGGCGGGGTTCAAGAGACAGGAAATGGACGAATATTGAGGAGAAGGTAAAGCAGGCATACAAATTCGAGTACGTGCAAGCGAAGAAGGTGAAAGGTGGACCACAAAACAGGATTGGGTGGGAAGGCAAGAAAAGGTGAAGCGGAAACGCATGTGATGGACAGAGCGAAGATGTTGCAGATACTCGATACTAGAGGGCCCAACAACATGTCCGGAGTCGTGAAGGCGCAAGGGTGACTTCCGAAGTAGATTTCTTGAGACTCGTCAGATAGCCGTGAGATTACTTTGTCGTGACACCGACGCAGCACATCTGGAAGACAAGATACTTTTACACCTGCAGACCAGGAGAGCCACGCATAGACCCACAGAATCTTCATGCTTGGAGTCTAGTCTTAAAGACTGCACACATTAGATCCCAGGGTTACTTCTCCCTGTCGGGCGCGACTTCCACGTAGAATAGTAGATGTGCCGCAGACCACGATCGGCCAAGGTCGTTGAGGAACAACGTCACCATGGGTATCCATCTCTCACCAAGCTGCGCTTTGTGCCGGATCAGAAACCATGCAAAGACCGCGCCATTGGCCGAACCTGGCGTATTAGTATTTCATGCCTCAAGATGTGGATCCAAAGTTTCAGTCATTGCAGCTCACCAAGTATAGCCTTCTCAGCGTCGGAATCCATATTGAAGGTGACGCCCGGCCATTTGGATATCGTTTTGCCGGCTTCGCTCAGCGCTCGAGCCATGATTTTTGCGGTGTCCTCGTTCGCGATGTCCACCATCCAGAAGTAGCAGATATTTGCAACGGCTGGATTATCGCGAACCCAGTATCCCCAGAAGATGTCGGAAAGCCGTTGGAGCTTGGGAAGTTCATCGCCGGTGGGCTTCTGATTCCAGAGATGTTTAGCCGCCGATGCCGGGCTTTTAAGGAACTGCCGATGATGACAATTCACGTGTTAGAATGCTTCCAGAAAGATAGCCAAAATGGGGAGAAATCTAGCCGGGTGCCTTGGGAAAGTACTCACCACCGTCAATGGGGTTCACTGTAAAGAGATGTCGCGCTTGGGTGGCCTGAGACGTTTAGCGTTCGCTGGACCGCAAAAGACTGAAGCCGTGCCCGATACTCCTTGCCATCCACCTTGTATGTCTGATATTTGGGCTCAATTGGATACCCCTTCTGGTCTTTGGCGTCGTCATTCCAATGTCAGACTCCGTACGGGATGTTATTGCCGCCGGCCCTTTGGGACTTCCCATTCATTCCCAGCGCCTCCACTACCGACGTGACGTCCAAGTAATCCATATCAGCGTACACATCTCCCACATACTCTTCGTGCCAGCCCCAGGTCTTCAGCTCCTCTGGACCTCCCTGTGAGCATTTCGCACCTAAGGTAGCCAGGTGCAACTCACGTTTGAGATCGCCCTGCCACTCGCTCTGTGCCGACGGCGGGTTGTTGCCCTTGGTGCTTTCAATTTTTGGGCCTGCCGCTTTGTCGGAACTGGGCATAAGTTCAACCAGCCTATCACCTCTGCAGCTCGCAGCTTTCCAGTCTTTGTTGCTGGCGAGTATATCGGCATTGAAGTGTCTAGTAAGGCGGTGCGTGGGCTTGGGTAGCGTTCCGTTCGGGCGAGAATGAGCATGAGAACGCGCAAGGGCTAGGCAAGCCGTGAAGGCATAGCTGACGACGATAGAGAGTTTCATGCCTGCCGGTGTGAGTGGTGGAATGGAAAGGCAGGGCTTGTTCTCGGCCGGACTTGGGTGTTTTGCAGGTTCAAAGTTGGCATGCGAGAGCTACTCGATCGGGAAGAGAATCGCACCGTGAGTGATCACACGCTCTCTTTTATTTTGAATTAAAGCAGTGACAGTAGTTGGAACGTGTGACAACTGGACCAAGTGGCTGCGTGAATGTCAACAATTGTGGCAGGAGTGTCCCTGCCAGGCGCTCCTGCGATGAACGCAAGTGGGCAAGTGGATACGTGCAAACGGCCATAGGTCTCTAGCTGTTATTCATCAAGTTGAAGGCGCTTCTAAGCAGGTGACGGCCTCGTTTAGATTCAAAACAGCATCTGAAACATGGTCCAGGTAAAGCAAATATTGAATCTTTTGTTCACTGTATGTCTGGCCGAAGGCTACGTTTGAAATTCTCACCACTATATCTACAAGCCTCCATGAGTCATTGCAGGATGCTGCGTATAAAGCTGTGTACCTATGCTTGAACGCTATCTCACTCTTATTTGGATTGTCAGTAATTTCATCACGAGATGCTACAGCTCCGGTATGGCTGATTCACGGCACAATCTCCATCGCAAAGAAGAGTAGTTGTGTAGTTGTCCTGCAAGCTTATGGAAGTAAGGCTTCCGCTGTTGGATCGGTTATCCTCGAGTATATCGGTTATGGCAGTCATCTTCGAAAGCCCCCTTCCTTTGATAATGTCTTTACTCTCCATATATAACATCATTCACGATTTCGTAAAGGGCCCAGTGAGCGCCCGAGACTTGTCGAATCCGCGCAGGGAGCAGGGGAAGTATGATGGCGATCGTAACTATGAAGAGTAAGTCCTTTCATTATGATCTCTAAGTGCAATACATTGCTTTGTAGGGCCAAATCGATTGAGCCGGCATTGACCATCTGGGTCATAGGTTGAGGGTGTTGTTCAACGACCGCGGCTGTCGGAAACTCGGAAACCCGGCACGCCAAGCCCGATGCGCCGCTAGGCAACCTTGGATTCTTTGAGTTCGACCTTCCACTGTCTTCCATTACGACGTTCGCGCTTCTGACACCGTGTCACTTCCAACGAGCGCTCGACCTCCAGAGTGGCGGGAAGATCGGATATGTTTCACCTTCCTTCTTAAGCAAGGCAGTCTGGCGATGCCGCAATTGACCCGCGACCTCTTCTCTGTCATGCACCCCAGTAAGAACCGCATTAACCCAATCAAAGCCAAACACCCGTAGCAGCGTTCCATTCATTATGTCCTCTACATCCGGATTCGAGCGTGAACCAGGATGGACATGGCCAGAAGACATCCTGAGAGAGGATGAACCAGAGAGACCCTCTTCAGCAAGGCAACGGTCGCCGCCGCAGAGCTCGTCGACAGCTAGCGGCTCCGCTCCGCAGGATGCGCCTGGCGCGAATTCATCAAAACAAAGACATTGGCGGCCACGCCAATGTCGCATATGTCTCGACACTGTCCAGCCTACCTTCGATGTGCCGTCAGAGAATCTCCCCAGTTTCCTGCAATCCACCGGCAACGTCAAGTACGAGGACGAAAACGGACGACTAATTCGTCCGTGTATGTGCAAAGGGTCAGCCAAGTACGTTCATGAGGGCTGCTTGCAAGCCTGGCGTCATGCAGACCCAAGTTATGGGCGACGCAACTACTGGCAGTGTCCGACGTGCAAATTCAAGTACCGGCTCGCGAGATTGGGAGCCGGTAAAGTTGTGGGGAGCATTGGTAAGTCGAAGGTTCAACATGGAGCGCATTCCATACTGACTATTCCCAGCTGCTCAGATCGTGTTGACAATCGGGATCCTTGTTACTGTTGTGTTCATCTTAGGCTTCTTCGCGGACCCTATCATCAACTTGTATGTTGATCCCTGGGGTTTTCTGTCACCTTGGTCATCACCGTACGATGATCACTATTATGAGGACGAACCCGCAACTTGGTCTGAACATTTTGCCAAAGGGCTTGCATCCATGGGTGTTCTTGGCTTCCTGAAAGCACTTCTGGCCAGCCCTCTACAACTGTTCCGTATTGGCGGTGGCAGAGGTCGGAACACAGCACGAGACAGGTACGAGCAAGTGAGTTGGGTCATTATCGTGATAGGAGTTGGGACCTTCCTTCTTGTGAGTGGATATATACACACCGGCCATAAAGTTATTCTAACAGCCCATAGGCTATCTACAAAGGTGTGCGTGCATGGAGTCGCCGCACCCTTGAGAAAGCTGGAGAACGAGTCATGGACGTTCAAGGGGACGACGACGATGACGAGGAATAGCTCCTTTCTGCAACGAATCCAAGTACTATTACCGCTTGGTATCCTCGATGCATGTTCCTGCATTTACCTTCTCCTCTATCGCACACTCTTAAGCTGCCTCGGTTTCTTCCCCTGTACCGTTGCAGCTAGTCTGTTTGCGAAGATCGATCCGCTTGCGAACGCCGTCTCAGCTCGTACGTTTTGTGCAAGCTGGCTATGACGGACCGCGTGGCTCTCGCCTTCGGCAATTCTACTCCAGGCTGGTCTGCTCTTCGGAGCGCAATCACTCGGCCTGGCTGGAATTCTGCTGTTGGCACATTTTCTCAAAGCTAGATCCCAGAGCTGAAAGCAGGTTTTACCTGACACTGCAGCACACCCTGGCTCTTACTAGAACATTGTTCACTTCTGTGTGCTCTCCGTATTCGTCGCCAAACTTCTCCAGGCACGGGAAAACACAGAAGGCAAAGACGCGGTCTACGACCACGTCGCCATCATCATCTACATACTCATCAAGCTCATTGATAGGCTCCATGCGCTGATCGTCGAAGCTCGGGTTGATGCCGCCCTGTTCCCGAAAAAAGTCTACTCTGTACCGTGCTCTTTGTAGCAAAAGCGTATTTTGGAACTCCACTGTCGTGCTCAGAATAGTCTCGAGTGCAGACCGAGCTTCTGACGGCAGGGCTACAGACGTGACAGCGTGCAAGTGATGCAATATTTCGGATGCCAAGCGATCTATCTGTCGGGCTCTTTCCTCGTTGACTGTCGCTTTCGTATCGCTCTCCCGGAGACAGCGGATCGTGGAGTGTCGCCAATTTTGGTATCCATCCGTCTTTTGGACTAGGCTCGCTATTTGTCGGAGAGTGGCGAACGGCCCCGTCTCTGGGAGGCCTATGAACAAGGACTCCTCGAAAATGTGCATCAACGTATTGGACACAATATTTTGGAATAGGGCCAGTCGGTTGGTTGGATCGATGGTCATGTATGATGGGAATGTAGCCTGCAGAACTTGGACAGTGTCTTGCGGGAGATCGATGAAATTCAGCTTTGCCCGGCGATAGTTGCTGATGACCCATTCGCGGACGCGGTTGGAAAGCTGAGAGAAGGTCTCTGAGAGCTCGCTGTCTGTCACTTGCGATTCGACACGTGTGAGAGACGAGAAGGCAGTCTTCAGAGACAGTAATTGCTGCAACCGTTCACCAGATTCTTTTTCAGTCAAATGGAGCCGTGCAGTCAATTCATCCCACTCAGCTTCCGCTCGCGATCTCCGATGTTCCAACAGGGACTGATATGTGCCCTCTTGCGTCATGAGCTGCTCTTGCAACTGTGCGACCTTGGTACGGAGGTGATCGTTCTGCTCCGACAGATCCTCACGCGGCGGATTCACCAATCTTCGTGGCGCGCTATCGTCACTGTACGAGTTCGAGCGGGCTGATGCGGGTCGTGGGTCGTGTTGGAAGGCTGCGGGTGGGCTTTGGACGTACGTGCTTGCCAGTGTTCGCCGATACTCTTCGATCGTCTCTCGGTACACCTGTACGTGTTCTCTAAGCTTCGCCAGTTCTTCTTTCATGGTATTTTGTTCCTCCAAGGCGGTCGCCAGCGCTTGTTCCAGCTCTGCGACCCTCTTCGCGCCTGGATCCGAGGGCCCATCTTCGCTCGGCACGTCCCCCTCGCTCAGCGCAGCCACCGTGGCTTCGGTCCGTGTTGCAGCACTGTCTGATACCCTTCTGGCTCGCTCACGCTCCTTGGAGGACCGAGGATGCAGCATGTCATTGATTCGCCTTGCGGTGGCCAGAGCTGCTTTCGGCGGGGCGTTGATTGGCGGGTCGGACGTCTTTGAGGGTTTGGCGGTCGTTGTCTTCGACCGTCTAACGCCGAGGCGGGATGAAATATCTGTGGAGTCAACAAAGTGGTCAGCTAGGAGCTATGGGGACGAGAAGCACAGCGCATACCGGATCCCTTCTGCCCAGTCATGGGGCTGGCTTGGTTTGCAATCGTTGATGGCGGAAGGTTGATTGTGACGTCCGCATATCTGAGCGGAACTTCGAGAAGAAACGATGAAGGACCAAAATATGTATTCAGCGCGGACGCAGCATCACTCGGAGCAACTTAGCTGGAAATAGTGTGGTGTAGCTGTGACGCCAGCAGCGGTCCCAAAGTTTATGGGCCCGTAGCGCGATGCGGGGCTCCAACCGCGCTCAGCCACCGCCAGGACAAGCACGTTCATGCGGATCGCTGCCGCCAGGCTTCAATGTTTACGTTAAGCGTGTTATGCGCCTGACTATCGCGATGGCTTCCAGGCACCCATTGTCTTGATCTCCAATGTCCTTGCGACCGCCCACATTCGCTTCCTGCTCCTGCAATTTAACAATTGCTCTCCAAGCTAGCTCTGGAGATCCCGGCCGCTTGTTGCTGACCCCACGCGTTTCCGAGTCCATGTAGCACTCCCCACCGCTCTTTGACCGTACCTCAGTAGGAAGGAGATGGAGAGGAAACCCAGCATGGCCAGCGCATTCAGCGCCAGGTCGGGCAATATCCCAGTCGCGTTCGACCCCAACACAAACCACCGTTCTGCGCCAGGCCTCAGTGGCCTGCCGAGGGCGAATCCAGCGCAGGACAGGCTGATCGTGGGTGTCGACTTCGGGACAACGTATAGTGGTGCGTTGAACATTGTATTTGAGCACTGTATCCGATGACAAAATTGACCATGCAACAGGCGTAGCCGCCGTATACAGCGCAAGTCCAGAAGAAATTGACATCGTCAAAAGCTGGCCTGGCGGCAATGGTACACACCCACACCCCACTGTTGCATTCTATGTGCTCATGTAGTCCCACAGGCATCACCTCTGACAAAGTGCCCACCGAAATCGCATACTTTACGCCCTCCGACCCCTCGAAACCGAACGTAAAATGGGGCTTCCAGTTCAAGCCCGAAGAGACGCGCCTACGTTGCATAAAGCTCTTCCTCGACCGAAACCATAAGCTCCCGCACTTCGTCTCGCCACTCGAAACCGCTGCACAGTTACGCAAATATGAAAAGACGGTTGCGGAGGCTGTGTCCGACTATCTAGCGCAGATATACAAGCACACCATGGAGACGCTGACAAGAAGATATGGAGAGACTTTCATGTCAATGACCAAGGTGCAGTTTGTACTCACAGTACCAGCGGTATGGTCAGACAGTGCAAAAGACGCGACGTTGAAGGCAGCGGAGAAGGCGGGCATGGGGAGTGGGAAAGACCTAAAGTTAATCAGTGAGCCCGAAGCAGCAGCTGTATACACACTGAAGGCCATCCAACCCAACAACTTGAAAATTGGGGACAACTTCATCGTTTGCGACGCAGGTGGCGGCACGGTCGACCTCATCGCTTACAAGATCACGCAGCTTAATCCGCTCCGCGTCGAAGAGTCCGCTGTGGGCACAGGAGGGTTATGTGGCTCCGCTTTCCTCAACTACCGCTTCGAAGACCACGTAAAGAGCCGCATAGGCGCAGAGCGCTACACGATGATGCGCGAGAAGAAGGCAAAAACATGGAACATGGGCCTTAAGTACTTCGAAGAATTCGTAAAGCGCAACTTCAATGAGGACGAGCACGCCGAGGTCAACGTCCCGTTCCCCGGTCTCCCGGACGATGAAGAGGCAGGACTAGACTCCGGCTTCCTCGTCATGAGCACCGAGCAAGTCAAGGAGATCTTCGATCCGGTGATCTCAGAGGTTATTTCGCTGGTGGAGGGGCAGGTGCAGACCATTCGGGCGAAGGGAGGGCTGGTGTGCGGGATTGTGCTTGTCGGGGGGTTTGGCCAGTCGAATTATTTATATGGGAGGATGAAACAGCATTTTAACAGTGCGCCGCCGCCGCCGTATACGGAGAGGCCCACGCATGCGGTTGCGTTGAGTGCGGTGCCGTCTGTGGAGATTTTTCATCCGATACATGCTTGGACGGCGGTGAGTTGCTCGAGTTCTGAACCTATATGAAGGGCGTTTGCTAATAGGCTTAGGTGGTGAGAGGCGCCGTGCTGAGAGGATTAGAGGGCTCCATGGTCGTCAGTCGGCGGAGTCGATGGCATTACGGGACGAGCTATGCGACTGTCTTCGACGAGGCGAAACACCCAATCGAAGACCGATATTGGTCGCCGCTATGGGAGCGATGGATGGTCTCCGACCGGATGCAATGGCACATCGCAAAGGTACATGCCACCACCACCCATGTCAACGCTTCTCCTACTAACCCCTCTGCAGGGCGCCCAAGTCTCCGAATCCTCTCCAATATCCTTCCATTACACGCGCAACTTCCGGCCGGGCCAATCCCTCGTCGTCGAAGACGACCTCATCGCTTGCGACGCGGATACGGCACCAGACTCGTTCCGCAAGGGCCTCATCAGTGTGTGCACGCTGACGACGGATTTGAACACCGTGCCGAAGAGTTTGTTTACGAGATTGACCACGACGAAGGGGGTGGAGTTTGATAATCTGGATTTCACGCTAGATATGCGGATTGAAAGTGCCGGGTTGGTGTTTGAGCTTATGGTGGATGGGGTGAGGTATGGGGGGGTTAGTGCGAAGTTCCACTGAGGGGAGGGGTTTTGGCTGTTGGTGGAACTGGTGGAATCCTGTGCGGGTAGATATCCTGTTGATATGTTGATACACATGGGGCGCCGAGAGGGCGCGATACAACGTTTGGAAATTATGGTATAAGTCGATCATACTCTTACCGCACGATATATCAACCACTCCCTTGCGAACCATTTCTAGAGTTCGTTGATATGTATATTCTTAGACAGTTTCGCCCAATACATCTTCATATCTTTCTTAGGTCCGTATGTTGGGTTGTGGCGCGTACGGATAGGCTTCCGCTTTTGGAGACGACCTACGTCAAGGAACGCGCGCTCGCTCCCAAACATCAATCAACACGCGCCGCCGACGCGCCAGTTCAGCAACCCCGCACCCTGCCATGGTGAGTGTCAACGATGTGACTGAATTGGATGCAACTAATTCAATCGCAGGCGCCCACGCGCTCGGGCACCGGAAAACCCGCGAAACCACGAGGCCGACCTCCGATTGCAAGCAATGCCAAGGTGACGAAACATCGAGATCGGCCGCCGGGCAGTCACAACTCCCTACCTATGACCAAGCGAGGACCCAAACCCAACGCTGCAAAGGTAGCTTCCAATCAGAAGCGCAAGACGGTTACCCAAGAGGTAGCACCCCAGTCAGGCACAAAGAGGAAGACGGCTGCAGGCGAGGAGCAGGAGGGCAAGCGTTCAGCTGGAGGGAAGAAACGGGAACGGCCAGAACAAGTGAGCAATACAGGAGCCGAGGAGGAGGAGGAGGAAGCGGATGAACTTTCATTCACTCAGGCGGAGGCCGTCCCAACGACGGTGCGAGGTCACAAACAGGCACGAAAGGAGCAGGCAAGCTCGTTAAAGAAACGTGCTCGACCCTCGCGGAACCGCAAAGACGAATCGCTCGTCCGTGACGCAGATGAAGCATCTGCGCAACAGAACAAAGCGCAAGACTACGCGCAGCTAGCACCGCGCACAAGGAGGATTGCGCGCGAAGTGATAGAGACCTGGCCGCGTGTCTCACCACAAATATTGGATCAGATTCTCGAGACATTGCGGGACGCAAAGAAGGACATTGTCAATACACAGCGGGACGAGCAGAGAGCCGTTGCTGCAGATGAAACATTGAATTCTATTATACGAATGCTTGCGCGCCAGTTGTCGGGTTCACGGATTCCTCCCCAAGCCAAAGACATCCACTTCAACATCGACAAACTCACTGAGCGATACGCACATCTCTTCCGAGAGTTGGCCACAGCGCGCCATTCACAACAGCTGCTTACCGAGCAGGTGAAGGTAGCTCAGCACTTGCTCAAGAAGGATGAAGAAAGCCTGGAGCAGCTGAGGAAGAACGCACGAGATTGGAAGACGACGTGGAAGCAACAGGAAAAGCATGGTCGGGTAAGATATTGACTCCGTTTTCAACGAGGCTAAGTATGCGACTAACGTACTGTAGATGCATCCGCTGTTGAAGGACTTGGAAAATGAGATCATAGATGATGGGCCTGACGATATTGGTTGGAAGCAGTGCAAGGCAATGGATGTTTCGATGCTCAATACCCCTGATTCCGACCTCGCACCGCAGCTGGAGCAACTCCAGAGGAGCCTAGAGTCAATGCAGGGTAATCACGAGCAAGTGGCCGGCATCGACGTTGGCATGAGGAATGCGCAGGTGGCGCTGGACGATGTGCTTTTCAAACACGCCAGCGCAGAGCAGTATGCAGCGCTATGAAGTATTGACATGCAGGATCGGTTCAGCGTTCAGGGGAGTGTTTTCCTGTCCTAGAGGGTCTGCATGGCTTGGCTACGGGATTTGATGCATGGAGTAACGTGGGACGCGGTACTGGGACTGTCTTCTACGTTGTTGTCAAGCTTCTGGGGACACGAAGGCGCTTTTTCGATATTCTAGGCCAGGGCCCAGCAGTGGAATCCCAGATACGGGGATACGCACGACGATGACAGCATGACTGGGAGTTCCGGCGGACAGAGCGATGCGCAGATGGGGGACAGAGTCGTGGGCGAGTGTCATGGCAGTCTGCCGAATATAGAATTCAGCGATCCAGCAACATGGTTCTCGGAGCCATGCATGCGCTAGACCCGCTTTGGACACTTTCTCGGTCAGCTCGAAGGCGGACCCCCGCGTCCACGGCCAAGGCTGCCAAAAGATGAGTTCCTGCACACTGTGCGATGCCCAGCATGCCGTTCCCTCTAGCTAGCATCAAAGGAGGCAAGATCTTTCCACGTAGAATGGCGCGATGCTCCTACCGGTGCGGACCGGTGGAGACCTCGGCTAGCGCCCGACCTTGTGAGGCGCAACAAACTCCAGCCTCAGCACTCGCGTGCCGATGAAACATCGCTCCACCATCCAGCATTCGTCGCCACAGAGCTCCCTGTGCCACCGTCCAACGTGCTGAGGCGACCGCCCTGCTTGATTTGCTTTTTCCTGTGCGCCCGCCCGAGCGCGACCTCTGTAGAACCCGTGCGCAGCCCGGGGCATCTCCCAGCGCTGAAAACACGTGCAGCGCCAACGTTGATGACCGACGAGACACAGAAGTCCAATGGCTCCGCTGCGGCCAGCGCGACAGCATCTAAAAGCACGGACCATGGCAAGAATACCGACAGATCAACGGTAGCCAAGAGCGCATCCCCATCCAAAGACAGGGGCACATCTGCACCCGGCTCCGACATCCCGACGAAAACTCCAAAGAAGCGTAGAAAGGTCAATCATGGTAAGGCCGTCATGCTGTGCGCCCACGATAGTGTCAATGACTTCGCTGACCCTCGATGCTCACTCTAGCGTGCATATACTGCAGACGTTCGGTGAGCCGCAGGCCCTTCTGATTTCCGATACATTTTGTTTTGCAGCATCCAAGACATTTGACACAGTCTGCTAACCCCTAGTCATCAGCATATGACCTGTGACCTTGTAAGTGCAACCGCTGTGTTGGTTCCTGCATCTGTCCTGACCACCTCGACTGAACAGGAACGACCATGCACGCGGTGTATCAAGAGAAATATTGGACACCTCTGTCACGATGAGCCACGCGAAGGGGTCAAGAAGTCCAAAACAGACCCGGAGAGCTCGAATGGCGACAATTCCAGCTCCAAGCACGAGGCAACGCCAGCCGATGGCGCTGTGAATCCCATGGCCCAACAGACCACTGCTCCAGATGCAGGCCTGACCCTTGCGCCGCCTCCTCCTCCTGTGCCTCCTCCAGACAGAGGTGCCAACGCAGCAGCGCTCGCCCAGCCTGTGCCCGTGTCTGCGCCACAGCTGCCAGCGCTGACCTCTCAGAGCCCGTCTCGTAAGTTACACATTTGTTCAGCGCTCAGCAGACTCAATACTGAACGGACCGTCAAGTGCTTAACTACAATGACTGGAACGCACCGTCCAACAATAGCTTTCAAGACATGCATCAGTTCCATCCTTCATATAATTTTGGCGCATCCGAGATCAGTAACGAGTTCAATCTACTCAACGACTTCCTCAATAGTAACCTCATGGAGGACGGCAACATGTATGGAAGTGGTGATTTCCACCAATTATTCTCCGATGCTTCTTTGATGAACCCTATGGGAACCCTTACCAACAACACGCCTTTCAATCCAAGTGCGTCCAGTAGTTCACAACTGCTACCGCCACCGGCTCAGACGGCTTCCGGTAACTCAATGCAAAAACCAACGAGCGCCTTTCCGCTGGAGAAAGCGCGAGAAAAGTATTACATGACAGCAGCCGACCCTGCGGGTACGGACAGTCCTGAGGAACGTATGAACAAGCTACTCAAAGCCAAGATGGATGCCGGTCTGCTAAAGCCGTTCAACTATGTTAAGGGCTACGCACGGCTCAACCAGTACATGGAGCAGAACCTTCAATCGATATCACGTGTGCGCATACTGCGACAACTCGACAGATTCAGGCCAAAGTTCCGCGAGCGCGTACAGTCTTCTACCGACGTGGATCTTGTGCGTATCGAAATCTGGTTCGATAGAAGCTTGATGGAATACGACCGCGTTTTCGCCAGTATGGCTATCCCGGCGTGTTGCTGGCGGAGGACGGGAGAGATTTATCGCGGGAACAAGGAAATGGCGAACCTGATACACGTTCCCATGTCCAGGTTGAGAGACGTGAGTAGCAAACCTGCCTCCAGTCGAATTATGCTAAGACAAATGATAGGGCAATATCGCTCTGCATGAGATCCTCGCCGAGCCCTCGCTAGTGTCATACTGGGAGAAGTTTGGCGCGATTGCGTTTGACAACAACCAGAAGGCGATATTGACGAGCTGCTCGCTCAAAAATCCGGACCCGAATTCGAAAGACCCTGAAATTCGGTGCTGCTTCTCTTTCACGGTGAAGCGCGATACGCTCAACATGTGAGTTGTACTACCTGGATGTTCACCAGCCACAACTGACACTTGTGTAGCCCATCTCTGATTGTAGGCAACTTCCTGCCTATGCTGGAACCTAATCCGCCGCCGACTACATGATGTCCCCAGCAATTGTACGATTGAACGAGTCCTCGGATACGGACGGTAGCTTGCATTCAGATCGAGCTGCACGGCACAAGACGGGTAATCGTAATTCTGTCACTTCCTTGTAATAAGTCGTTCTTCATACTCCATGATTGCATAGTCGGCGCGCGGGCGTCAGAATCATCATGTCCTGCTTTGGGATACTGCACTCAGTGTTCTTCGGACTGGTCTGGATTTTAGGTCTTCTTCAGGCTGTTTCTGTTGTTAGTTTTCTCGCCAAAATTTACATGCAGGGCACCAGATCATGGGACAGATGAGACCAAGGGTTCGTAATGCATTGCAAGGGGTAACACGGAAATTGGGATAATTTCTATGTATTCTATTGCTTGATCATCTCTGCTTTTATGATACCTGCTTCCACGATCTACTTGAAGCTTTTCTACATTTGGCTGTTCGTGACTGCCTCGATTGAGTGAGACCGATAGGGAAGTCGCGACAGCCGCCACTTCGACACCCGGGTCCCTTACGTCCGACTCCATGTTCCTCCCAAGCACCCTCACGACTCTTATGGCTCATAAAAATGGCACCTTCTCACCCAACAGCACGCTCAGAACGCGAGACGAAGGTCAAGTCGGTCTGCGGTTCGCAATCTCCTCTACACCTTCCTCTGGAGACATTCTAACATCAGGCAGCTTTCGCATGCACCCTCGCAGACCGCCTCGACAATTCGCACGACGCGAAGCTCACGGAAGACCTTCAAGCTCAGGTTTGCAACCTACCGCTCCCAGCAATCTCCGCCCTGATCGCGAAACAAGACGAACTCGAGAATTTCGGGACTGAGCTCTGGAACGTTTCGACTCGCTTGCGACGGGACCTACTGCACACCAATGGCAAGATTACTGAGGAATCCGCCAGGAGAAACCGTGAAGCCGGGCTCTTGCGTGTCTTCTCTTTCTTACTCCTGGACTCGGCGGGCAGCCAGGCGGTCAAGGGCCGGGAACGCAAAAACTGCATTCGGCTGATGAAGGTTGCGCTGAAGGCTGCGAAATGGTGCGTTGAGAACAAAGAGGTGGACAATGCGACGAAGGTGCTTGAGCGCGCAGCTGAGTATCAGGAGATACTGGGCGATGAGGCCGGGGGTGAGAGGGGCGAGGCTGAGTTGGGAGAGAGACTACGCGTTGAGTACTACGCTCTGCGAACGGCGCTGGTAGTTCATGTCTTATCTTTGTGGGCCAACCACTGATTCGTGTAGGCGTGGAGATCGGACCGTCTGGATACTGCGGAGCACATGTTCATGAAGTGCCAACAGCTGTCGCGCTTTCTCACATCGTCGCTAGCAGAGAGCGTTGCCGACCTGCTCTACGAGATTGGCAAGGACATGCTCAGCAAAAAGGAGTACGAAGCTGCGATACGATGGCTTGAGAGAGCTTACGACATTCTCGGGGACCAGAGCCCCGAGATGCTCAGCGCCGAAGCTGGGGAACTAAAGCTGAGCATCATGCAGAGTATTGGTATGTGGACGTATACGGCCTCGAACGCTGCATCTCACTGCAAGATAGTGCAAGCGTACATGAAGCTCAAGACTCCGGATGCTCGCACCAAAGCATGGCATATGCTCCAGCTACTTGAAGCAGTGGGTACTGATCGACCGTTTCAGGAACGATGCTAAATCTGTTAGGATCACAAGGGCAAGATGTCTATATCATTACTACGCCTCGAATTGTTGTACTCGGAGGACAAGGTGGATCCTGAACAGGTCTACTTGGGTAAGTGCTAAGATGTAGAGCAAGCAGGCTCTATTGTTTACATACATCTGGAGCATTCGCTAATATCCCAAGTCTTACACCGAATGATCCACTTCGTGGTGCTCAACGACAGAAATTTCAAGACGTACGTCGAGCGTCTGGCAGCGTAGTCATCGCTAATAACGAGATCTTAGTATCATGCATTACGTCCACAAGCTGAAGGACCAGAGGTGAGGGCAGTGCACGGTCGATGCCTCTTTTGCTAATCATACAGTGCCGCTACCGCTTGCAAAGCCCTTGACGAAGTGATCAGCACCCGCTTGTTCCGAGAGGAGAAAGAAGCTTGGATCGATAAGGCCGTCATCACTAGAGTATGGATCACTTGTACCTCGTTCGTTGTAGAAGGAACGTTGAACCAACTTCGGGAATTCTTCGACGATGTTCTCCGAAATGCGAAAGCCCCCCTTTCTGCTCACGCAACTCACGCGGCACAGACTGTACGTATCTGGGGTCCTCCCTTCCTTGCGTATGCTGATTGAATCCATATAGCTGCTCTGGAAACAGGTGGAAGCTACCTCGAGCCGTGGCCAGCATAAAGAAGCCGAAGCATGGTGTGGGATTTGCCTTCATGCGTTGTTCAACCTGGCTGGTGAGATCAACAAAACTAAGATTGCGAGGTGCTTCTTCTGAAGTGAATGTATGCAGTTTTTGTACTGAAATCCAACAGGAAGATAATCATGTGCGCTCTGGCCCGACATGACTATGCAGCTGCACGGGGGATCTTCTCCAAGATGTCCGGTCCTGGTCAGGAAGATCGCATGACCCGGTACCTAATGTACAAAGTTGCGTTGCACGGCAACGATCCAGGTCTCGGTACGAATACTGGCCCACACATGCCACGAAAGCTAACCGATCCCTGCAGCTGCCGAATGCCTTGATTCAGTATGCCGACAGTCATCGAAGGACACTTCCCTGCTTTATGCATGTGTGATCGAGGCCCAGCAATCAGGAAATAAGCGAGAGGGTATAGCAGCGCTAGAGAAGCTGCTCGAGAAGTACAGTGACCATGCACCTGCTGGTGTAAATCTGCCGGCGCTGTTGCGGTAAGCATTTTCTGATAACGCTAGGCTAGGATAGATCGCTGATGAACACAGGATGACCGTTCGCCTTCTCACGTCGGAGCTAGTTAAGGACGCCGTTTTGCAGAAAGATGTATTCGAGCAGATTTGTAGAACCTTTGATGAAGGTGCGATTTTAATCTCGTCGACTGAGCATGGCTGATCATGAATAGCATCGATACATGCGAAGGTTTCGCGACGACGACCCAGAAATTCTGGCAGAGAGGAATTCAACAATTGGGAGATTGAATGGCTTTCGAAGAATTCATACAACCTAGCTGTCAAATACTGCGCCGAAGTCCCTCCAAATAGTCTTGTGCGACTGTTAAGTGCATGCATCGAGGTACGTGTTCATGCTCCTTCTCCGCGGCTTAGACTGAATCGTAGAAGCTTATCAAGATCCTCAAAGATCACCACCATGCCCAAGACACAGCTGACGACATATGTCTCCGATTGATGTTCTGCCATTACTTGTTAGTCTGCACCTTCACCACACTGGCTCGAGCGGAAGACAGTATGCAAGACTGTGTACGTCATCTCCACTGCACCAGGTACTCAGTTGCTGAAGACAATAGATCCAACACTACGTTCAAGTCGCCAAGCACGGACGGGAGTTCCGCGTTCTTGGTGCTAACCTTATCGACAAGTTAAGCTTGTCGTCAAAAGCCGACATGGTCGCAAAGCATCTACAAGTTGTCAAGCTGGAGCTTGAAGCCTCCCTAAAACGTGAACAATGGGACGATTTAGAGAGCCTTTTCAGCGAGTGTTGGAAATATGGGGGTCCAACGCACTACGACACACTTGCCGATCTTGTGCTCATCATATACTCTTCCATGGCGAAGGACAAGGTGGACAGCAAGTACCAGACCAGTAAGTGCGCTTCGACGTACTTTTGGTGAAGTAATTGGAGCTGATGGTCAGTTCAGAGGTTCTTTCAGCGCTTCAGAAGATCATTAATGCAAGTGGGAAAGGCGCAAGCTTTGACATCGTCAAGATGTCCCGGTGGATCCGTTGTCTCTTCCAACTTGCGCTTACTTACGATGAGACTGTCAGCTTGAAGTGTCTTGATCATGCAATACGCATCGCATCTATGCGCAAAGGAGTAAGTTCCATGTTCATACCATCCACCGAATATCCTATTGAGCACTAATACAGACATCTCCCAACCTACCCAAGACCCCACCTCCGACATCGCCCGCATCAATGGATCTTGATAGACCGATGACTGATGAGCATGTCAAGGAACCCTACCACTATCCCGCTACCGAGCTGGAGTGGCTTGCCACGACGGCCTTTAATCATGCAGTCGATTACTACGTTCAGGAAAAGGACGACAAGTGCAAGCTGTGGGCGGAGAAGGCGCTTATGCTGACTGAGTGGGCGGAGAAAGGGAGTGGGTTGAGGGGCGCGCTGATTGAGAAGTATTCAGGGCTTACCTGGGAGGAAGGGGGTTGAAGGATGCGGGCAAAGGAATGTCTTTCTGCTGATAAAACCGAGAGAAGAGGGTCGGTGGCGATGTGTTAGTTGATAAAAAGTCAACGACGCTTGTGCTAATGTATTGATAACGTTCAACTACATCGTACACAAAGTCCTCCCTCTGCACTCTGGTGTTTTCATCATCACAAAAACTCATCCCAAAGAATACCACTATCATCGTCTATTTTAAGAAGGAACCTTCTCAAACAGCATGTTCGTTCGGCTGAGTGCCGGGTATACCTCGATGTCAACGCTGTTCACTACCACAAAAAGCACTGGCACGATCTCTGAGCTCTCAAGCGCGAGAAATACATGGGTACTACCACCGAGGCCACTCCAAATGGGCACCCGGACAAGACAGTCGTTGCGTCGGACAGGTCGAAATATGTCCAGGGAAACGTTGACGATGCAGTCTGGAGGGCTCGCGCTTGCCTCGAAAGGATTCATACACAGTCTGCGTACATCAGTGTTCTTGCGACGGTCTTGAGAGAGTACCGCATTGTGCCCGGCGGCGGTCCGGATGCGAAACTAGTGAAGCAGGAAACTGACAATCCGGCAGCGGGCACGGCCACTCTAGCTCCGGTCCTATCTGTCGAGCTGGCGCTGAAGAAGCAGACTGACGTCGGCACTGGCTAGACAGCTCATTGGGGCTTTTTCTCATTGCTTTATCGAAATACCTACAAGTTTACCTGCTTGAATAGTTGAGTACCATCCTAAAGACCTACGTGGGGTGCAAGCAGTTTGAGACCTACATCTGTCTTTACCAATAACTCCGGGCTTAATTTGGCAATGCTGTTCTCGCCGCTTTTGAAGTAAAGAGCCATCTTTTACATGTTAGCATTGAGAGGTCATAGCGTGTCGAAGATCTAGCAGCTATGCAAGTCACCTTATTGGGGGGCTGCATGCAATGTGAAGGTTTACCATCTACGGATATTAGAGGAAGAAGGTCGAGGGAGTGATGTTGCACGCCATGAGCACGCAGTCTGCACTTCTGCGATGTCCCACGTGCCGCCCTCGCCATACTGCCACCTGCATGAGTAGCTTACTCACCAATACCCATTCTTTCCATCATGGCCAATAACACATTGCTCAATAACACACGACAGAGCCAAGCGCGATCTCTACCGCGGCCTCCCCTTTCGAGGCATCGTTCGTGCGAGACCCAGTGCGGGGCCAGCGTGAGCATGCCCAGCAAAGCAGCAAGGCTGGCGGTGCTGCTGGCGTAAGCTGCATTGCATACTTTACACAAGCGAGGCGAACCCGGTAGATGGTCACAGGCACGAAGTCGCATATGACATGCGTTTCGCAAACTCGCGCTTCTCAAGTATCTCGAAAGAACATGTGGGAAGCCACAATGACGCTTCACGTGCCCTGCGAGATCAGCATCCCAGCCTGCGCAGCCCTACTCCTGCACGCCGTGGTCCTCAGACGCTTTGAGGTAGATCACTTTACGCTTCGACTCTGCGTTACATCGCTCGCGGTTCATATCGCATTCGCCTTCGCCTTCGGCCTCACAACAGCGACAACCACAGCAGCGTCGTTCTTCGGCACGCTCACAGCAGTTATACTCATTTACCGCGCGTTCTTGCACCCTCTCCGGCAGTTCCCAGGACCTTTTGCAGCCAGGCTGTCGAAGTGGTGGACCGTCGGGCAAATCCTGCGGAGCGACTTCCGATATCATAAGAGCGTTGTGCCGCGGCTTGGGAGGAAATACGGCGACTACGTCCGCACCGGGCCAAGGGAGCTCCTCGTTTTTGATGTGGCTGCGGTGAATGCTGTCCTGGGATTCGGCTCGAGGGCGGGCAAGGGGCCCTTTTATGACTCGTTTGAGCGGAGTTTACACCTGACAAGAGATAGAACGTGGCATAGGCAGCGGAGGAAGGTGTGGGATACCGGGCTGAAGCAGCTGCTTGCTGATTTTGAGCCGCGGCTTAGAACTTTTGCTGAGGAGCTTGTGGAGAAGATACGGCGCGTGGGGGCTGAGCCCGTCCCGCTGAACGAATACTGCATGTACTTCGCGTACGACGTGATGGCGACGCTGGCGTTTGGGACGCCTATGGGGTTCAACGCCGGCGTTGCCAGTGAAGAAGGCAAGCGCGTGCTCGCGGCGCTGGCGCCCGTGCCGTGGTTCCTGAATACCGTTGCGGGCGCAACGCAAGAACTTGGCCCGCTCGCGCAGTGGACGGCGTGGAATCGGGCACGCCTCGTCGAGCGGCAAGTCATGCAGAACCCGAAGCCTGATCTCATGCAGTACCTCCTTGACGTGACACCGAGGGGCCCGGCAGGCGATCTAGATCTTCTGGGGGAGTGTCGTCTGATTATCGGCGCGGGGAGCGAGACGAGCGCCAGCACTCTAGTGTTCATCCTTGTGCTGCTCGGTGTGCATGTGGAGTACCAGACCGCGCTGAGAGAGGAACTCGATGCGACGGAAGCGTTCTCAGCCCGGAACGCTCACCCGCTGCTCGACGCCGTCATCACCGAGACGCTGCGGCTCTGGCCGGCGCTACTTTGGGCGACACAGCGCGTCGCGCCGCCCGAGGGCTTGCGCATGAACAACATCTTCATACCCAGCGGCACCATCGTTGCGATCCCCGGGTGGTCCCTTGCACGGGATGAGCGCAACTTTGTGCGGCCTGAGGAGTGGATTCCTGAGCGGTGGACGAGCCGGCCGGAGCTTTGCGTCAATAGAGCAGCGTCGATGCCGTTTTCGACGGGGCCGTATTCTTGCGCAGGGAGGCAGCTGGCTATGCTGCAGATTCGTAGCGTAGTTGCGCGGATTGTGAGGGAGTTCGAGGTTGTGCTACCGGAGGGGTTTGACGAGAGGGCATTTTTTGATGGCGTACAGGATCGCATCACGGCTGCTGTGCCGAAGGTGCAGATCAAGTTCGTTCCATTGGACGTTTAGTGACTTTGTATGTGTGGCGGGATACTATCATTCAAAATTTCCCTTCCCCTAGCCTGTGGTGAGCCAAGGCAACAAGGCGTTTCTTTTCCCAGTGTTCTGAATCCAGCGAATATGAACATCATGCTAGAATGAGACCGTGGGCGGCGCTTCACAGGTGAACAATAACAGGGGTATTACAATGTCGAGTCGAAGGTAGCTAGACCGTTACAAAAGGTCTGGAGGCATGACGTTTCGACGAGGAAAGCTATTGGAGATTTATTCCAGTCGGGACCCAATTGGAGTGCATGTACAAAGTTGTACGTGCATAAGGTATTCTCTCTCCTTATAACTCGTAATGAAGTATTCCGTTATCGAGGGTAGCTATTGAGATGTGTAGTTAGAGTGTCGCGCTCGCTTTGTGTTGAGGTACTTGCTTCTGTTGTGCATGTAAAGTTGAAAAAGTCCTGAGAAACACGCTCTGACACTATAATTATAGTCAACTGGTGGTATGTCCGTTTTGAGACCAAGCCTTTTTGTTTCGTGTTTGTTGAAAGGCTGGATATTCGCGCTGTGTAGCTAATCCGTCAAACTAAAGCCGGAGGGAAGTTGCGAAGGGAGAAACTACATTAGTCATGAATACATTCTTAGAGTGACAGGCTAGAACGCAGAAGATGTCATAACGTCGCAGAGGAAAAATGGCACGAGTGCTACTGCGATGTTCTGTAACGAGATATTCCAGGTACGCGAACGGGAGGCGCACAGGTCAGCATGCCCGATCGAGTGCGCTAGGCATGGGTGTACACAGTACCAAGTACATCGGAGCTCGGGCACCGTTACTGAAGGCTGAGCAACGTCAGCCTCGGGGGCCTGTTGTACCTTGTTCCTAGCAGGCTGCATAATAGGCCTCTTCCTTCATACACATGGCGTCTTTCAAGTCTCTTCGATATTCCTCGGTTGCAGAGGACTTTTCAGGAAGCGGTGACGGAGGGGTGCAGGGATTGAGATTGAGATTCATGCGATACAGGCGACCCCCTGGACAGGCACTCCAGCAGACGGGCTCGTGGTTGCGTCTCGAACATGGGGCGTATGCCAGGGTAGCTGCTCACAGTTCGTACGTGACTTTGCAAACCCGCGGTGTGCTGACTGCCACAGTCCGTAGAGGCCAAGTCCCGCGGGCATGGGAGACCAACTCCAAGGTAAGACGGTGGCAGTCGCAGCAGGTCGGGCAACTGGAAGGGGTAATATCACCAAGCCAGTGCGAGCAGTTGCACAGTGTGAAGAGACACTGCCGGAGACAGCCGCGGCGGTTGGAGGCAGGGTGAATGCGCGCTCCCTTGCGTGACGCTGGATTTGGGCGAGCGTGCTGGGTGCGGAATTCACATCGCGCCGTGATGAACAAGGACAGCCGCGTCGCGGCCCATTCGGTGCTAGCTCGTGAAGTGGGTGGGCGAGGCGAGGCCCTGGGATGTGTGGGGAGCAATAGCTGGCGAACGAGCTGTTGGCTGCGTGTGCCTGGCCATTGTTTCAGTGTTTCAGACGGAGGATGCGCCCACGAAGCAGCCGATGCGCAGGCCCGCTCGACGACTGCATGCGGGCTGCGGCCAGGCGGACGCGGGTGGCCAGTCAGGGCGCGCAGAAGGGCTGTCGAGTGTATACTAAGCCGCGCCGGAGTTTGCTGCGGTGGAGGTGGAGGCCCGCCGGGTGGCTGCTCTTGCCTAGTGGCCCTGGCGTCGAACTAGACTGTGTATTCACGGGCAAAGCTAGTCCCTCCAGCAACAACCCCCGACCACGCCCCGATGCCTGGTTAATTGACGAACAGGCCCACCGACTTCAAGAGTCCATTCTCTCCTTTCGACAGTCCACGCACCGGCACCCACCTTCCTCGCATGCACGCCGCACCGAGCGCCACCTTTGTACCTGCATCCTAACTTGACAAGTTGACAGCTGCACCCGCCTGCCACCACCCCCAAACCATGGAAGACCCAAAGCCCACCGCCCGGCCAGAGAGCTCGCACAGCTCTAACGGGGACGCCGTGAGTATCCCCCCGCAGTATGCATTCGCCTCGGCAGCGGTCGCTGACGTGGTGTTGCCCGCAGGACTCATTCGAAGATGCCACCGAAACCACTCCCCGACCGACGTCTGCCTCGCGCTCGCGGTCGCTGCTCAGCCGGCGCGAGTCGTCGGCGTCGGCAGACCAGACGCCAGACGCAGACGTGCCCGAAGTGCCTGGCATTCCCCACGTCGACGGGGCGCTCGAGGAGAAGGAGCCCGTCCCCGTGGCCGACGAGCAGAAGACACATGGCATACCGCCCGCGGAGACGGCCGCTCAGCCCTCCGGCGACGACGCTCCCAAATCTCCAAGCCTCACGTCGCATAGGATATCGGTGACATCCATGGACGATGTCTCGCTCGAAGAAGGTAATTTTGCCCTCTGAACACTGGCTGCGACCAAGGGAATGGCTGCGAGCGTTGCACGAGCATGCTCGACCGCGAATCACGCGACCTCCCTCCCTTGCAATCCCATCTGCGCCGCCATACTCTCCCAGCACAGTAGATCGATTCCTTTGGATTTGGTGGACTGACAATCTGCAGAAGCCGTACAAAGCACCGACCTCGGGGGTCCGCCCACGCTCCCGCCCCGCGATTCCACAAGCAGCCTTCAGGGACTGTCTGGCAAGATGTCACCAGTTAAATTCCCCCCGCCGCCACCACCACCGGCTTCCGAAAAGCACACCTCGCTGCCGCCGCCGCCAGCAGCGCCAACGCGCAAGCTCACAAGCCCGTTTTCGTGGCTTTCGCGGAATAGCTCCAGCAAGAAACAGCCAGAGTCCCCACCGCTCGCTACTGCCGACAGGAGGAACACTACTTCTTCCCTTGCAACCATCGGCAGCAACACTGAGCTCGGCAGGATTGAAGATGAGGACACGATCAAGGGCAACCGCTCAAGCCAGGGCAGCCTGCGCGATCGCTTCAAGTTTCTGCGAATGAGGGAAGAGGCTGGTATCACCATAGACGAGGCCGGTGAGCCCGGACAAGGAGGAGCCCCAACTGGCCTGGGCATTGGCCTCTCCAGCCCTTCAAGTGCACACGGCGATGAACCGACCAGCCCCCTACCTGGCGCCCTTGCGAAGCAGCCCACTGTCAACCCTAACCTCGCCCCTGGTACTGCTGCCGGTTTCGCTGCTGGTCCTGCGGAGGCCGCCGAACCGGTTGACTGGGATCTGTGGCAGAATGTTGTCAACGAAGGCCCTGCTGCCGTCGCACGAACTAGCGCAGAGGAGCTCAACCGAGCTATTGCGAGCGGTATTCCTCAGGCCATCCGTGGTGTCATCTGGCAGGTTCTGGCGCAGAGCAAGAACGATGACCTCGAGATTCTGTACAAAGAGCTGGTCGCCCGCGGTACAGATAAGGAGACGACCAAGGTCAAGACCCCGCAGCTTCCAAATGGATCAGACAGTAAGGAGAAGGATTCGATAGCGTCGTCCTCGTCCTCAATCCACTCCGACTACTCAACTCCCGCTACGACGACCGGCAGTGCGCCCATGGGATCGCCTTCTCTTCCATCTGACAATCATGATGACATGGCAAAGCTTCAGTTGAAGCTTGCTGCCGAGAAGCAGAAGAGCACCAAGCAGGAGATTGCCGCAATCCAGAAGCTTGAGAAAACAATTAAGCGCGACCTTGGCGCACGAACAAGCTATTCCAAGTACCTCATGGCTGCAGGTCTGCAAGATGGGCTTTTCGGCATTTGCAAGGCATACGCCTTGTACGATGAAGCTGTTGGGTACGCGCAAGGTATGAACTTCGTCGCCATGCCACTGCTCTTCAACATGCCCGAAGAGGAGGCTTTCAGCTTGTTCGTGACCCTCATGAACAAGTATGGCCTCCGAGATCTATTTGTTGCAGACATGCCTGGGCTGCATCTGCACCTCTACCAATTTGAGCGTCTCCTCGAAGATCTTGAGCCTGCTCTGTACTGTCACCTCCGAAGAAAGGATGTTAAGCCCCAGCTCTATGCTACCCAGTGGTTCTTGACCCTTTTTGCATACCGCTTCCCGCTCCAGCTGGTGCTCCGCATCTACGACCTTATCCTCAGCGAAAGTCTCGAGACCGCCATTCTCCGATTCGGCATTGTCCTTATGCAAAAGAACGCGGAGGCTTTGATGGGCATGAAAGATATGGCTACCCTTACGACGTTCCTGAAGGAGAAGATCTTCGATGTTTACATCGACAAGGCACCCTCGGCCTCTTCTATCCTCGAAAGTGGCTTTTTTGGATCTACTGGCGGCATCGACAAAGAGGTCTACCGTGCCGATGTACTCGTCAAGGATGCCGTTGCGGTCAAGCTCACGCCGGAGATGGTAAAGCAATATACCACCGAATGGAAGGAGCAGCAACGGGTTGAGAAGGAGCGAGAGACCGAGTTGCAAGGCCTGAAGGACAAGACGGCTATGCTTGAGACTAAAGTTCGCACTTTGGAACGACGTGCCGAGCAGTCCGATACGGAGCACGTCCAAGTAGCATCCGAACTGATCAAAACAAAGGTAGAGAACGACACGCTAGCGGAAGAGAATGAAACACTCAAGACCAAGGTCGAGGAGCTGCAAAAGATCGTGGACACGCAACCCGCGGAAGTGGAGGAGAGGATGCGGACAGAGATGGACACCGTCATGCAGAAGAACATCAGCGTCCACAACGAGAACCGCATGCTGGAGGAGAACATGGCCGAGATGGAGAAGGACCTCGTTGATACTAAGATGAAGTATGCGGATGTAAGTGTTATCGTCTCGCTCTGGCTTTCCAGTACTTACAACCTCTCTAGATCAACCAGCAGTACGAGCAGCTTAAGCAGAAGTGGAACAACGTCACGCAGATGATGACGCAGTAACCGGCTTACGGCCATGCATCTGTTTGTACACTTCAGCGACCCTAGCATTTGATCCGGCGCAAACCTGCATATCAACGTTGCAACGCGTCAAATACGTATTCCTCCAAGCGACGACCGCCCCTTACTCTGGTTTCTCATGTCCATATTACCGCTAGACCCGCCCTGTCGGGAGAAGCACCCCATTTTCTCACTTTACTGCACCCTCATGGACGACGCTCGATTTGTATCCCACACGCATCTCATCATATACCCACGGCCGAATGAGGAGAGACCCTCCCTTGGTGTTTTGTCTCTTCTCTTTGCGCTTCTGCGCTGTTTCTTTGGATAATGTTTGCATCATTGGCTGGCTTGGATGGCGCAAACGGGGCTCTGCTCTTGGGAAGAGATAAAGGCAAACCATAGTTTCGGGGGGACTCATGGGCTGTCCGTAGTCATAGTTTTCTAGTTTGTAGTTCTAGTCAAGTCATGGAGATAGATCTGCATCGATTTCTTATTTCACGGCTGAAGTCAGATACAAGGTGATTCTCTATGTGCGATGCTATCTTACAGAACTCAGAGAATGGTGTTGTGTTCTCTTAGCCAAGACTGATGAAGTGTCCAAAGCGTCTCTTGCGACGTAGTAAATGACACCGTAGCGACGCCGATATGATAGAGAACGAAACGTTACTGGCTACAAAGTGAAGCGCAAGCATTACCTTCAGTTGAATGCGCCACATTTTCCTCGGGTGCATGAATTGGTTAGGTTCATTCAAGTAGGCAAGTGTTGAGCCCGCAAGCGGTGCTTGATCACGTGCGACACTAGCACCTTCTCAGCTAGCTTCTCGCTCTCCACCTTTCTTAGCCCTCGCCTGCCTTTCTCTTTCTTCGCGACGCACGACAGAGACTCACAGCGCCCAAAGCCAACCACCCGCCCGCGCGAGCTGTCTCAACTTCTTCTGACTCTTGTTGACCCGTGCGATTCTCATTGCATTAGAGTACTGAACCTAGCTGCAAAAGTCGCGCACGCCATGGCGACACCCGACATCAACGCCATCCTGGCGGCGCTTGGTATGCAGCAGCTCTCTCTGTGCACTTGACCGACCGACTAACACTTCCGCAGCCGCCCGCCCCGCGACGACGACCCCCTCACAGACGCCGCTGCAGGCCGCGCCGCAGATGCCCCCTCTACAAGGCCTTCCCCCCGGCTTTCCGGGCGCGCTGCCAACTGCGACGCCGCCCACTAACTACGGCTTCCCCCCTCCGACAAACCAAGGACAAATTGATCTGAGCGCCATTAAACCTAGTAGCTCAGGCTCTGTCAGCATTCAGGATGCGCTCGCAAAGGCGCGCGGGTTCGCGGCGCAAAAGGGCCTGAGCTACGAGCCGCGTCCAGGTAGCTTCGACATGCATCATTCTGCAACGCCTCCATCGACTTACGCAGTCCCAGCTCATCAAGATGATCCTCGTTTGCGCGGTCGTGACTTCCGAGACCGGTCTCGCTCCCGGTCGCCGCAGCGTGATAACATGCGTGATAGTTACAACCCGTACCGAGAGGAGCGACGGGGTCATGGTTATCGTGAGCGCTCTCGTTCACCCCCTAGACGCAATCAATTCTCCCCTCAACCTCGCGGATATGGCGGTCGTGATCGCACTCCACCTCAGAATGACAATTCCGAAGTGATTCTCATTGATTCGTCTTTGGTTGGTCTCGTGATCGGACGTCAGGGCGAAAGCCTGCGTCGCATCGAACAGGAGTCAGGTACTAGGATCCAGTTCATCAACGGCCCCAACACCGGGCCCACCCGTGAGTGCCGCATTACTGGTGGCCCAGGTGCTCGTATCACTGCGAAACGCGAAATCAACCGCATCATTGAAGAGAACGGTGGTAATCCTGCCCGTGAAACTGGCCGTAATGCGCGCCCCGGCGCTGCTGTGAAAGCTGCTTCCAATCAACCTGCTTTGCGCGATGGCGAGGAGCAGTCCCAAATCATGGTCCCTGATCGAACAGTCGGTCTGATCATTGGTCGTGGAGGTGAGACTATCCGTGATCTCCAAGAACGAAGTGGCTGTCATGTCAACATTGTTGGTGAAAACAAGAGCGTGAACGGATTGCGCCCTGTGAACCTCATCGGTAGTGCCACCGCTGCCGCCAAAGCTAGGGAACTCATCATGGAGATTGTCGACAGTGATACCCGGGGTAATGATGGGCCTCCCGCGGCGGCCCAGCAACAGCAGCCCAATAGGCGTGAAAACTTCGACCCGTACAGTGGAGGTGCTGGCAAGATCAATGACAGCGTCACTGTCCCTTCAGATGCCGTTGGCATGATCATCGGCAAAGGTAAATTTCATGTGCACACTTTAAAGAACGCTTTTCTAATCCTCACCCAGGGGGCGAGACTATCAAAGATATGCAAGCCACTACAGGATGCAAGATCAACGTCTCTCAAGCCAGCGGAGCCGACATCGAGCGTGAGATTGGACTCGTCGGTACCCGCCAAGCCATCGACGATGCGAAACGCGCCATCTGGGAGAAAGTAGAACAAGTCGTAAGTTATTCCCCTGCTCTGCACATTACATCCCTAATGCCACATAGAAAGAAAAGAACGCCGGTAGACGTGGTGGTGGTGGTGGTGGTGGCGGCGGTGGCGGTGGCGGTCGTGACAACGGCGGCTACAATGACTACTCACAGCAGCAGCCCTCCTACGGACAGCCCGCCGCTCAAGCAAGTGCGCCTCAACAAGCCGCCCAAGGTGATGCCGCAACTGTTGATCCATATGCCGCGTATGGCGGCTACCAAAACTACCTGAACCTGTGGTACTCATCATTAGGTTACCAAGCACAACAGCAGCCCGGTCAAGCGCCTCCCGGTGCATAGAAGACTCGATTCATCGTGATTCTTGCACATGCTACTGAGAGACTGTCGAATTATGCTTGCATGACCTGTCCAGGAATCACCTCTCGTGCGACATGACTACTCGGCACTGTTTTCTCTCTCGGATGTGCGTGCCTTGCTTGCCTACTTCATGGCTAGAGCCTACGTCTTGCTTATCGAACACATGGACATGACTTATCTCGTCGACCACCTGCTTGTCGCGCCCGCCGGAAAACGCCTAATCTGGCGCTTGTGAGACATGCTATGTCTAGGCTCCCCACTGTTTTGGATTGCAGTCTCTGTACGATGTCTGAACTTCGCGACTACGACTGATCATTTCCCGGACCCGATATTCTCAAACTTCATGGAAAATCACCAGTTATACGTTTCTTCTTCCTGGGCGGCTTGCTCACGTCCCCATTGTATTGTCTAAACAAGGAGTGCAATGCGTACTTTACACTGGCGTTGACGGTACTCTCGGCTTCGGTGCATCTCTCTGTCCAACAATTGCGCAATATTCACTGGGTTGTGAAAGGGACAATTCTCGTTCGCCAGTCCTTGAATGCATCAGGCAGGTGGTTCTTGGGTTTCGCTCTCGCTGGATGGGAGAGCGAGCTTTTTCGCACATCCACCCGCGACGTTCCTGGTCCGATGTAGCAATAGTTCTTTATTTACGTTTGGTTTTGCGCTTGGGTCTTGATTGGGCTCGGAGGGAGGCAGGAGGTATTCGATTAATGCAATGCAAGGCTGTTCGTCACTGAAATGAGTTTCTGCGTGACCTCAGCTGTACTATACTATACTTTACTTTGCTACATTATACTATCCCACGCGGAAAGAACACCGTTGCCAAGGTTGGGGTGACCTGGGTATAGTGCGATCTGCAATAACATCTCCGCTCGAACATGACGTTCACAACGTGTGGTGGGTTTACCCCGCAAACTAGGGGCAAACACCGCACGACACGCGAGCTCGTGGGAGACGGATGACTGGATTCGGTATGTCGTGTTACCGAAACTCGGTGTCTATTATAACCAGTCTATCTCCGTGTTTTTTTCTTTTCTTTATTTCTGGCAGACCTCTGAGATATCTTGGTACGCGGCCAATCCTTGAACTTGTATATGTGAATTTGAAAGTCTCGGGTGATTGACACAACGAGCAAGACAAGAACAATCGGAAGGTATGACAGCATCAGAGAAACAAGATGCAGTCGAGCACCTCGAGCACGGGAAAGAAGCACGTCTACCGGGTACAGAAGGAGAGATAGGTAAATTGGATAGCGAAGCCGTGGACGCAGACTTTGATGTGAACGACGAAAAAGCCAACAAGCGGCTCAACCGCCGCCTCGACATACGCATCATCCCGCTTTGCTGCTGGGTCTATCTGCTCAACTTTCTGGACAGAGGTACGTCTACTTTCCTAACCCGTCCCCTTTTCCATCACGAGCACCCCAGACACAGCTAACATTGGACGTCAATAAGGCAACATTGGCAACTCCAAAGTCCTCAACGCCGAGACGGGCGATGACTTACTCCAACAAACCAGCATGGGAACAGGCGGGTACGCGCTCACCGTCACGCTGTTCAGCATCGCCTATGCGCTGTTCGAGGTCCCGAGTAATTATGTAATGAAGCATTGGGTACGGCCGAGTCTGTGGTTGGGATTTTTGCTTGCGGCGTGGGGGGTGTTGACTATAGGGTAAGGTATGGTCAAGATGGGAGTGCGACATGCTGGCTGACGAGCTGCAGATTCGCAGGCGTGCAGAACTTCGCGGCTGTCGTGGTGCTGAGATTTCTCATTGGGGTATTCGAGGCAGGATTCTTTCCTGGTGCATACTTCTCCCTTCTCCCTTCTCACTTATTGCTACTATGCATTGAAGCAGCCAAGATGCTGACGAGAGCTGGCCAGGCATCGTCTATCTCATTACTATCTGGTACCGCCACGACGAGCGCGCCGTGCGCATCGCACTCGTCATCGCGTTCTGCAATCTCGCTGGCGCCTTTGGTGGCGCGATCGCGTATGGTGTTGGCCATGTGAATGGAGCTGCTGGGCTAGAGGGGTTTAGGTGGTTGTTTATCATCGAGGTGCGTACCTAACTCTCCATCCCAGGTCGTTTTAATTTCTTTGTACTCCTCGAAAGGAAGGGGGAGTGATGGGACAACTGGGACTTTGCTGATGAATGATGCAATATGGTAGGGCATCATAACCGTCCTCTCCGCCTTCCTGGTCTGGTTCTTCCTCCCAGACTACCCAACGCGCGCACACTGGCTGTCCGCAACAGAGAAAAAGCTGTCTATCGAGCGCGTCGCTGCCCGCGGCGGTGGTTACCACCAATCCTCCGCCTCCCGCCACGAAGTCCTCGCCACCTGCTTCCACCCCCGCATGCTCCTCCACTACACCGCCTACATCCTCGACGTCGTCCCGCAGGGCTCCTTCACATTTTTCACCCCTACAATCGTCACCGGCCTCGGCTACACCTCCATCCACGCGCAGCTCCTCACCGTGCCCCCCTGGTGCGTCGGCTTCGTCGTCGCCATCACGGCGTCTTACCTCTCTGACCGGTTTAACGCGCGCGGCGCTATTATCGTTATTCTTTCTACGCTTGGCGGAGTGGGCTGGTTGACGGCCGGTCTGCTCCCTGCGACGTCGTACGTTGCGAGGTATGGATGTCTGTGTCTCGCGGCGGTGGGCGCGTTCCCTGCGGCGCCGTCACTGACAAATTGGGTCACGTGCAACACGCCGTCCTTCCTCACCATACCCTTGGCTATTGCGTTGAACAATAGCTGCGCTGGCTTGGGGCAGATTATCGCGCAGTGGATCTGGCGCGCGGACGAGGTGGGGACGGGGTATCCGACGGGGAATTTTGTGTGTGCGGGGTGTAGTTTTGCGGTAGCGGTGATTGCAGTCGTGCTGAGTGTGTGGTATGGTAGGATGAACAAGCTAGGACAGCTTGATGCGGGATTGGCGGAGAGGGCGTGGGCTTATTAGGAGGATGGGCGAAGAAGAGGAACAGTGAGATGTGTGGACTTGGAAGGAAAAGGAGAAAGCGGAAGAGGGCTTAATAGAGCTGCTACGCTAGGAGGCGAAAAGTACACCATCGACCAGTTATGATTGTATCTGCAGGCTGATAACCTACGAGATGAGCGGTGTCGCGCTCAAGTACAGCGTCATCAATTTCTGCACTGCACATCTTAAGGAGCTGCGACTACGTGCTTTCCGGTTGTTTCCTTCTTGGAGCAGCAGTGGACGGAGCGGTTGAAGGTACTAGAGAGATGCAAAAATTTGGTGACCCCAGGATTGTTGGCTGAGCTCTTCCAACGATATCCCCAATTTCACGAGCTGATGAACCACTGAATCAACGTGGTATCGAGCATCCAGGATGCACAGTAGTCCTCCATGTTCGCCGAGAAGGGTTCCATCGTGATTCGCCGCGAATCTGTCCGCGAGCTCCTACGAATCTTGTCAAAGCACCCTCGATTTTAAGAAGCCGTATCTGAGGAAAGAACGCCATCTTGGACATTCAGCGAGGGAGTGTTGGACAGTGAGATTGGCAGAGTTAATGAAATCCGTTCTTGCTGAAATGTGACAGCCGCACGCAGGAGCCTGTAGATGAGCGAGACTTAAGCCCACCAAACTTCGTGGCGAAGGTGAAATTGGAATTCATCTACTCACCGCAAGCGAGCGGCATTCTCACTCACCCGCCGCAACTTGGCTTCAGCTCAACAGGATTTCCTCTCAACCACCACCCACCACCATCACACGTCTTCCTTCCGCTCTCTGGTGACCGCTTTTACCCACTCAACCTTGCAGCAGTAACCTCGCAATCCTCGGTGTTGTCCCCAATTTCCCTGCCGCCGCGGTGAATCGCATGTACCCTTTCCTTGGTGACGGTCCGGAAACGCCTCCTCCTGGCGGTCCATTTGCCGCGAGGATCATCTCTGCTTTCTTCACAGGCATCATGAACTGTATCATCAATTCCATCGCCTACCTCTCGAGCATCCTCTACAAGTACATGGTCGATGAACCCTTCTGGTTCGCGTTCGACATCATTACTTCGGCACTGGTCTTCATCCCAGGGGCATGCGCGGGAGCCGTGCTGCGAGCGTTCGGCTTCATGCGGGTCGGACCAGCCACTAGAAACTGGGCAGCGCGTATGATGTCCAAGATCAATCCTGTCATTGCGCGCGGATGGTATCCAACCTGCCAGTCTGCTCAGGTAAGCTGTGGATGGTGAGCACGTCACTTGTCGACGACTTGACTGATGCAGTGCAGATGGGAGGATACGGCGTTGCCATCGTGAAGCGGAGATATTCAGGGGCATTGTCGTCGTGCTATAGGGGATCGGCTATGTGTTGAGATTTAAGGATCACGAGTGGAACTTTCATCTCCATAATTAAAAGCCGAGGGAATGAAAGAAGTATTTGCTGGCATCGGGTGAAGTATATAATCAGAAGATTGCTCTAGCTTGTCACCTCTTACCTACGGCGCAGTTCCTGGTCTCTACGAAATGACTCAGGTGGGGTATCTGTATGTATGTGTGTGCGCGGCTTGCAATGCCTACAACCTATGTATGCTTCCGCTCTTTCGTATCCTGCTGTCTGAACCAAGAAAACCATGCTATCAGAAATGCTACAATCAGGACCACTGCTGCTGTTGTCAGCCCAACAAAAGAACCATATGTGCTGCCGGAGAGTCAGAGCGACTGTTCGGGCTTCTTGTCACCGAGAGCTGGTAATTGCTGGGTCAGATAGGCTTCAAGATGGTCGAGCTCTTCCTCGTCAGCGGAGTGGACCAGGCCCCTAGAGATGAATTAGCACAGAAGGTTGAGGGTCCCAAATGCAACCTACTTGTATGTCCGGAAGTCGACGTTGTAGCCCATCTCGGTGAGGGCGTCTGAGCTCATCTTTCCGTACTTGTATGCCACTACCTGGTCGCTGTCGCCGTGACCCATGAAGATGGGCGTCTTCTGGTTCGGGCTGCTCTCGGGGATCAGATCCTTGATCCGCTTCTGCAGGAGCAGGTAGCAGCTCAGGCCGAAGATACCGCCCAGCTGTTCCTTATAGGTGGTTCCGGAGAACAGAGCCATGGCACCGCCCTGGGAGAAACCGCCGACGACTACGCGATGTGCGGGGATGCCTTTGGCGACTTCGGCGTCGATGAGGGAGTGGAAGTAGTCTCGCGACTTGAGAATGCCCGCTTCGTCCTCCTCGCGGTCTTGGAGGGTGCTGAGCGACTTGATGTCGTACCATCCGGGCATATGCATGCCCATGTTCTACTATCGAGTCAGTTCTGGGTGCTGTCTGGTCGCCTGCTCGACGCGTACCAGGGTAATGGGAATGTTGGGCGCATTCGGGAAGACGAATGCGACTTCCTCGAGCACAGATCGTCGACGGTAGTTCTCGGCGAGGAACAACCTAGGGGCCGTTCATTAGTACTGGAGCAGTTCCTCGTCCCTGAGTAACCCACCAACCTGCCCCGCTATCACCGAGGCCATGGGCGACGATGACAGTCGCGGTGTGGCGCTTCAGCGCGGGGACAACAATCGGGGCTCGGCCTGCCATCTTCGAGTCCAGAGGCAAGGTTGAACGAGGTCTGGGGTGTAGAGGGTAACGGTTGAAGTGCGCAACGAAACGCGCTGCTGGAGCGTTATGTGGGGGCGTCGCAACCTCGGAGGAAGAACGGTCCAAGCGCCACTTATGTCCCTGCATCAGGCCGGGGTCCAAGCGCCAATCAGATCACAGACGTCATTCATTCACCTCGTCAATCGCAAGGGCCCGTGGCTCTTACTGCATCTTTCATAGACGTTTGCAAGTTTCCTTCGCTCGCTCACCTTCCAATTCACCGTTTGTAGCATCAGGCGGATAGTGCCTTCCTCGCTTGTGCCTTACTTTGCACCGTCTATAGCCCAAGGTGTCGCTGCCAATCCTTCTTCGACCCTCTTTCCTTCCCTGTTCCAGACTTTTGGTGTTCACAGGTCGAGTCTTTATGAAAAGAGTAACTAGAGGCTCAGCGGCCAAGGAGCACACAGCTCAGTCGCCTGCAATCGCCACCGAACATGATGCACAGTTATCGAGTGTTCCCGCTACACCTGACAAGCTGCCTGTCAAGACCTCGAAGCCAGTTTCTACACGCAAGAAGACCTCCGTTTCCAAAGCTTTGCCGATCACTCCCAACAGCACACGAAAGCGGTCACGTGGACCTATCAAGGATGAAGAGGACATCAATGAGCTCCCGCACAACCTAGGCAAAATTCCCCAGCTATCGCACAGCAATGAGACCCTCGATAGCGAGCCAGCATCGAAAAAGCCTCGAAAGAGTGCCCCGAAGAAGACGGTCGCGCCAAAGAAGGAGAGTGCGCAAGATGTGGTCGATAAGGCAACAGGCATTGCAGATTCTCCCACAAAGGAATCGAAAAAGAACAACAATTACGGCGTGGTTCCAGGCACAACTCCGTATCCCGATTGGCCTCATCCGACTCACGAGGAGTGCGAACAGGTCAACCGTCTTCTTTCGAGCGCTCATGGAGAGGTCAAAGCTCCCGAGGTCGTGCCTCCCCCTTCCCTCGAGGTTACAGGTTGTGGCGAAGTGCCGTCTGTTCTCGATGCACTTATTCGGACCCTTCTGTCCGCCGCGACATCCGGTGCGAATTCCAGGCGCGCTTTCCAAGGCCTCGTCAAACAGTTCGGTATTCTCGAAGAAGGGATTGGAAAGGGCAGCGTCGATTGGAACAAAGTTCGCCTAGCTAGTCAGAAAGAAGTTTTCGAAGCTATCAAGAGTGGCGGTCTAGCTGACAGCAAGAGCAAATATATGAAGGGGATCTTGCAGATGGTCTGGGAGGAGAATCAGAACCGAAAAGCGAAGCTTGCTGCATCGTCAGACTCTATTCCTGGGTCGAAGAACGAGCTACAAGAGGAAATGGACGAAGAGATATCAAAAGCTGAGAATGACATCCTGTCTCTCGATCATTACCATCTTCTCTCGACCGACGAGGCTTTCAAAGAGTTGACCAAATTTCCTGGTATCGGTGCGAAGACCGCTTCCTGTGTCACCCTGCTTTGTCTGCAGCGCCCATCGTTCGCCGTTGACACCCACGTTTTTCGCCTCTGCCAATGGCTTGGCTGGGTTCCGCCGCCTGGCCACCCAGCTCTTCTCCCACCCGGCAAGAAAGGCAAGCCCGGCCAACCGACGCGCGATAGGACCTACGCCCACTGCGAGGTCAGAATTCCTGACCATCTCAAGTATCCTCTGCATCAGCTGTTCATCAAGCATGGAAAGACGTGTCCGAGGTGCCGCGCCAATACTAGCGAGACTTACGGAGACTGGAAGAAGGGTTGCGTGATCGATCATCTCGTGAAGAGAACCGGCGTCAGAAAGGGTGGCGATGCCATTCCGGGAAAGACCACAGAAGGCATGAAAGCACGGAGGCAAGCGAAGCAGAAGGTTTGGGAGCATGAGAACGAGTCCGAGAGCAGCGACCTCTCCGATCTTGGAAGCGACGACGAAGAGGCCTCACTTTTAGCCGAAGAAGACGAAGATCTTGAATGATTGACCGGGGCCAATCTCAGCACGAAGATTCTCGAGATTAGCTGTCAGAACGTGGGCGGTTTCGCGCAGAGTGTACGAAGGGCGAATCTTCCCATCCGCAACAGTGCTATTGTTATGTGCTATGCGCCAACCTTTCTGTCTTGTTTACGACTGGCATGCGGATATCTCTCGGACCTGGTCGGTCCTCTGTTATGTTCACGATACCTCACATACTGTCATATAGTCTACTATCTGTTTTATACTCACCTTGGCGCGCTATTTCTGCTTTTTGCCACTCTGGTCTTCCTTATCTTCACAACCCTTACTTATCGTCGATTTTCTTCTCCACATTCAAGATTCTCTGGACTCGACATGTTGCGCATGTGGGGCCACGTTTTCTACTTTCTAGAAGGCCCCGGCGGAATGGACACGCGCCAGTAATATCCACTACCGTACACTAGGGCCGTGAATGTGGCCAGCGCAAAGCTTCGTTCGACGTCGTACTATGTCTCATACCATACAAACGGCATTCGATCTACACTCTCCGACCATTGCATTGGAGGAAGATATATATTATCCACCCTCCCTGTGTTCTTCAATTGACCAGATTCACAACCCGACGCTCCAGCACGACTGACCCCGGCTATACTAACCCCACATTATACAACTACAGCCATTAAACTCACAGCTTCTATATCGAGCAATTTACCCAAGATACGCACGTGCGGTTATCCCCCCATATAAACAACCGTGGCTCCATCAAGGCATGTAGACATTCGACAGACGCGATCGTTATCTCCGCCACCCACCTCCACCATGGTCACCAAACGATTACTCGTCGCGCTCTTCGCCCTCCTTCCCCCAACGCAAGCCCTTCTCCGCTTCTCCTGCTCGCAACTAGTAGTCGAGCGCCTCGACCCCCTCGTCAACCCCGGCCTCTCGCAATCGCCCCACCTACATCAAATCATCGGCGGAAATGCGTTCAATATCTCCATGGACCCTACCGTCGCGCCGCCGGACATAGCGACTTGCACGACGTGCACCTTTGCAGAGGACTTTAGCAACTACTGGACTGCGACACTGTATTACAGGGCGAAGAACGGGACGTTTAAGAGGGTGCCACAGAAAGGGAATGTGAATTTCGAGAGCAGTAATGGCGGGATGACGGTGTATTATATTCCGAAGAACGTTAATGGGGCGACGCCGGGGGCGGTGACGGCGTTCAAGAAGGGGTTTAGGATGATTGTTGGTGTGTTCGCTCTTGCTCTCCCCATCCTCAAAGTCCCGGTTTCGCAATGTCCTCGTACAGACAACATCCTTCACAAGCGATTTTTCAGGTGGAAGCGATGCTGATGTGAACTGTGTAGGAAATCCAACCTACCGCACCGAAGCCCAAGCAAAGCAGTTCCGCCAGCTCACCTACACATGTCTGCAAGACTCGATGACGCGGACTGGCGAAACACTCTACTTCCCCAAGAAGCCGTGTCCGGCGGGAATAATGGTGAATGTGCGGTTTCCGACGTGTTGGGATGGCGTCAATCTGGATAGCCCGGATCATATGAGCCATGTCGCGTATCGTACGTTTCGTCCCCGTCTTTTCTTCATCACGCCACTCTGGACAAGGACAGGGGGAAGCAAGAAAACGAGGGTATGATCGAGAGGCTAAGTGACAGCAGCTTCCTCGGGCACCTTCGAATCCAACGGGCCTTGCCCGTCCACCCACCCCGTCAAACTGCCCCAACTCTTCTACGAGGTGATATTCGACACGACCAAATTCAACGACAAATCGCTCTGGCCCGACGACGGGAGCCAGCCCTTTGTGTGGTCGTTCGGGGATAAGTACGTACCTACTTTTCTCTTCTCGTGGAGTGCACATACTGATGGGCTGTAGGACTGGCTACGGCAACCATGGTGATTACGTGTTTGGGTGGAAGGGCGACGCGCTGCAGAAGGCTATGGACACGAACTGCAATATCAACTGTCCGCAGTTGAAAACACAGAGCATTGCGCAGGCGAACAAGTGCGTGCAGAGTCAGAAGGTGAAGGAGGATGTGGATGGGTGGCTCAGTGAGTTGCCCGGGGGTATGCCCGTTGGGTAGAGGAAAATAGTGTAGCTGTGAATGTCGTGTGGCATTGCGCTGGGTTGACTTGCCGTTATGTTGCTAAGCAATGCTTGCTACCTTGAAATGCGTAATGCCTGTGAGGTCGACTTGGAGCTTCTGATAGAAAGGAATCATTGCCTGAGTCTCAACCCCGGGATGATGGTGTAAGAATGTAAGATTTGTAGATTCGCAACTACAACACCGTAGTGCCAAGAACCAATATTCTAACCCTTCAGAAACAAACTATACACTTAACGCTCTCCTCCCACCTCATCTCCTCTACCCTCCTCTACCCTACCTCTACGATCGACTAGCCGCCAATAAAACATCGATCCCACTCGCATGGCTCGCCGCATTCGCATTCCCACTCCCATCAAACAAATCCTCAATCACGCCGTCTCCATTCCTTGCCTTCTCCCACACCGAATCCGCATTCGTCTTGAAAAACGCCGCAAAGTCTGCCTGTGGCTCGTTCGCGTGCAGGGTCAGGAGTCCAGCGATAAAGGCGCCCTTGAACATGGAGCCTTGCTCGTCGAGAGGGGAGGGGAAGGGCTCGGCCAGGATCGAGTTGGTGGTTAGTTTGGATAGTGAGGCTCGGGCGAGGGTGTAGGCGTGCTTGAGGTGTGTGAGTGAATTTTTCCTAAGGAGGAAAGGTGGAAAGCGAGGGGAACTTACGTCGATGAAACCACCATCCGAGAACGCTTTTGCGAGCTCGGATAGCCCGGCGAGGACGACACCCTGGTTGTACGTGTAGATGGGCTTTCCGTTGTTCTTGCACGTCCCCATGTCCACGCCGTCATTGATGAGGTTGTCCCCGTTGATAACCCCGCTGTTCCAGATGAAATCCCACTCCTGGTGCGCCCAGTTCTTGTAATTCTCCTTCTCCCCATCACCCACACGATTAGCCAGATGCGCAGCAACCGACAGAAATAGCTCGTTAGAAATCGACGCTATCCCCGTCGCAGCCTTGCTCCAGAAGATACCCCCGCACGGCGTGTGATACCCGCCTGTCATGTCCTCAAACAGGTCCTTAGCGGTATCAAGGTATTTTGAGTCGCCGGTGAGGTCATAGGCAGCAATCCAGCCCTGCGCCCACCAGCCCATGTCGTCGTAGTAGTCGTTGTGCCAGTTGGTGTAGCCGATCTGGTCACCGGACTTGGCGTACGTGTTGGCGACGATGTCGATGGCGGTCTGCTTGTAGGACTCGTCTGCGATGCCGAAGCGCGCGACCGTTTCTAAGATGTGCCCGGATTGCCACCAGAGGTCACCTGTCGCCCCTTTCCAGAGGCCAGTGTCGACATTGTAGAACTTGTCTTGGAGGAGTTGGATGGCTGTGTGGGTGTTTTCTGTATAGTCTGCTACAGCGGGGCTGATGTATAGCAGAGGAAGCAGAAATGAGTATCGAGGTTTCATGATGAATAGGGTATTACGCGCAAGTGCGCTTGAAATGCTATGAAGGGTATCACGACTGTGGAATGAACAGAGCTCAAATAAGGGAAAAGAGTGACTGTATAAGAGTGTAGCAAACGAAACAGCCCAAATGAGGCCGGACGGTCCAGTCTATGCTAATAAGGGCAGGCATCCGGCCGGTGTTGTGGAGTTGGTGGGCTGTGCAAAGGCGCTACATGCAGGAAATCAAGCTCAAAACACCACCGAACTCCTGTTCTACTCGCGCGACAGAACGAACTGGCCAAATTTGGACGACGAAGAGTTTGCGCGCCATCAATAAGTCATCTGCTGGAATAGTCATGCTGACGATCACCTTCCGAGGCTATGGCGGGACATCCTCAGTTTACTGCATAGCTCTGAGTATTTTGTTGGTACTATCGTGGTCATGTTTGAGCAAACACGGCGGCGCTCGCTGGTCTCGGCGTTCGCATATAGGAGATTTGATCAATCGCCCTATCGTGCGAGATGCAGCGCAAGATCGAAACATGGGCATCTGAAACATTCGCAAATTCTACAGCACGCCCATTGGTTCACGTGGCATAGGCCATGGGGCCAAAAAGTCCGGAAAATTGTTAAGCCTAGACCAGGCCTAAAGCTTGAGCGAGTTGCGCATTACGGGCTACAGTGCTTAGTCGCGGCCCGCCTCAGGCACATACCAATCGTCTGGGTGCTAAATCTAGATCGACTAGCACGTAGTTCTTACTCTTCAAGGAAAGTGGTAACGTTGGCTTCTGTCGGAAGTTTGGTTGGCACGATGCTCTGGAGCTCTGTGCCAATCTTCTGAGAGCAGCGTATCAGCGAGCAGGGTCTCAGATTGGCCCACGGCTGCGCCGACATCTGTTGACACCTCGTTAGGCCTTAAAGAAGGTTCACTGCCAAGAAAGCCTTTTCCAGTACTGTGGCCTGGCAGCATCAAACAGAACTCTAGGTTGCAGCTCGGAAGTGATCCCATAGACTGGTATCGAACGTTCAGCTCTTGTACATACAGTCGGACTTCTCAGGCAGCCTTATCTTGAACGTGCAAATGGTAGCGCTCGTAGATGGCGCTGTGAGTTCAACGAGAGATTGACGGTAACGGTCTCAGTACAAGTACTCGCTACGGTGTCCTGATGATTCAGAAGTACATATAGTACCGAAACCGAATGAGGCAGTTCCTAATGAATAGGCAGATATCTATCTATTGAATGCGGAGATGTTGAGGCGTTATTGCTGACGCTTGAGTGGATACCGCTGAAGTTACGCGGTACACTGCAACCTTCCGCCTCACCGAATGACACGCACATCTCAGCCTGGGCAGCGCCCACAGGCGGCATACGCGGAATTGCAGCCGAGGCGGCGAGCATCGTCGATCAATTCCACAAGCGGACTGAGTGCGCAGACGTAGCGTTGTTTGGTGGAGAGAGGAGAGGGGTGCGGTGGCGTTACTTCTTCACGCCCGTCGTTGCGAGCTCGGAGCGAGCATGAAGTGGGTAGCGATAAGCAAGGGAATGAGCGCATTATTGTGGCCCATGGACGGATTTCCACTGTTTATCTTGATCTGCCTTGTTGTTGTCGCACGACACGTCGCGACTGCCCCTCCACGGCGCGTCGCACGTGCGTGACGCGGGGTGTGACGTCAGTCGCGGGGTGCTCTTGGTGGTAGATGCATGGCGCAATGGAATTTCAGGCAGTTTCCCATTCCCAAGCGCGACATTAGCATCTGCGATTTTCCTGATCGACCAATAGCGCAGTCCTGCTCCGTACGCTTGCACGCGCTTACTTGGCTGCCTCCAGACTCTCAGACTTGCCCAGGTGCGGCCATTCACTTGTGACTGCCGCACAGCAACCACCATGACGTGCGGATGACGGTCCACTGTTTGCAGGCACGCCTGCCTAGCTGCTGTGCCACTACCCCTCTGCCTGTATATAAGCACTCTTCCGCCGCTTAGAGACCTGCCCTTTATCACACTCATCCGCTCTCATCGCCTCAACAACAAACACTTCCCCAACAACAACAACCAACCACCCCCACCAACAAACAACATGTCTGATTTCGGGTATGCATCACTTTGTTACCTACCATCAACTCTGTTCCTAACACTTTACAGTCGCAAGGGTCTCGGCGAGCAGGCCAAGGAGAAGGTCACCCCCGACTCCCAGAAGTCTACTCTTGACAAGGCCGGCGAGACTGTCTCCGGACTTGGAGACAAGGCTGCTTCTGCCGTCCAGCCCGGTACGTTCCACCCCACCACCACACACTGAATATCTCACTAACAATCAAGCAGAGGGCAACAAGTCCGCAACCCAGAAAGTCGGAGACGCCACCCGCTCCGGCGGTGACAGCGCCCAGAATCAGGGCCAGGGCATGCTCGCCAATGCCCAGGAGACTCTCGGCAACGCCGCCCAGTCCGTCTCGGACGCCGTCTCTGGCAACAAGAAGTAGGCGCCTTCGCTTGATGCGGGTGCTCTGAGTCTTTGACTTCACTTCGACAATGACACGAACATTATGGCATGAGTTTGGGGCTTCCACTTTTTCTCCTGTGGCCGAATTTGTATCCGATACCCTATAGCCTAAGCTTCGATGAATGAGAATCCATGAATACAAACCTTGATTCTGGTACACTTGTGATGCTTCAGGTTGTCATATGCAACAAATCTTGTTGACACGTCCCGAAGGGAATATGCCTGGTCTAAACTTGTCGTGAGAATAATCTTTGCTCCTCCCATGCACCAGGTAGTCTTGTCTGTGATCTTATTTGTCACACTTTACTACTTGCGCACGTCGTTTTGATGATGGTGAAAAGCCGGTACTGCTTGTGTGTCTCACTCTCGTAACCCGCCACATTCATTGCTTTGCCACATTGGCACGGTATTCTCGGTGTATGGAAATAACAAGTATCTTTATTCGGTCCTGGGTATCATAGTTCAATAGTCTCCCTCATCTTCCACCTCCTCAATCTCAACGTGTCGTAGCTTGTTCTCAGCCACTCTGCTTTCACCCTCTAGATTCTTTATCTCGCCTTGATTCTCGGCTGCCATCATCTCGTATTCTGCCTCGTGTACTGCAGCTTCTGCAGCGCCTTCCGCAGCGTTTCTGATCTCTTGTGTTCGCAAGAACTGCTCGAGCTCTGGGTCTGCCTCACCTTCAGCCTTAGCCTCGGTAGTCTCAGCCTTGTCTTCACCTTCCTTCGCCGTATTCATGTATCCCTCTTGCTGTAGCTTGTCGAACTCGTCGGGCTCCAAGAGTCTTCCCTCTCCCTTCGCCAGCTTCAACTTCTGCGCCACAGCCGCAGGCATAAATCGCGACGTGACCTCCTTCTTGAAATCGCGCACCTGGGGCGCAGCTTCGTACACGAGTGTGGGCTTCTTTTCCTCCGCCGGCGCATCACCTCCATAACGCTTCGGTATCGGTGGCGGTGTATCTCTCGGCATCGGAATTCGCCTCACATCCGCATCCGTATCGCTGCTGTCGTCCGCATTTCCCTTCCTCCCCCCATCCCTCGACCTCTTCCCCAGCACACCACCCCTTCCTCCCCGTCCACCCCCACCATCCCTCTGATCCCTCTGGTCCCTCTCCGGCTTGAACTGCGGCGCCTTGTCCCCCAGCGCCGCGCGCGCCTTATTCACAGCAGCAAGGTCCTTTTCGAGCTCATTGAGGCGCGTGCGCTCGTGGGGGCGAAGCGCCCCAGTCTGCTCGGCTTCTTTGAGGGCGTCGATGTCGCGCTGAATGCGTGCGGGGTTGCGGCGGGCGAGTTTCTCAGTGCGCTGGGTCTGGAGCTGGGCCTTTTGCTTTTTGAGGGTTTTGGCTTTTTCGGCTTTCTTGGCGGCTTGCACGGGATTAAAGTTCTTTTCTTTGGGCATTGTGGTGGTTTTGCGTGTACGTTTTGTGTGAGAGGAGGTGTGGAGGAAATTGGTGCGCGTGTTAAGGTACAGGTGGTGGTGATGTCAAGGTTGGAAGCGCCAAGACTGACACGGAAATAAAGTGGGCCTGCAACGTGACTTCGCGTTAAGCACTCCAGATGTGGAGCGTAACGTCCGACACGTGAACTCTAGTTGAACTGCGCCTATCGAACTCATTATCACCAGACCCTAATGGGCAAGTCATACTCCGAAAATGTTCGTTCCCCGCGCTCTCCGGCTCAAGGGCGTCAAGGAGGCACAAAAGCGAAAGCCAAACCAGCCCCAACGTCCAGACTCTATCGAAGTTTCAAGTGATGATGGGCTTGTGCAGGCTATGCAGAATGCAAGCACCGATTCCGCCGCACCGTCTCCTGCAGCTCAAATGGAAGGAGTAATCGAGACGGCAAAAGACACGAAGAGTGCCAAGCCGAGTACCACGACAGCAAATTCGGAGTATCTTGCCCAGTTGGTTTCTGGAATAGAGTTAATATTCACGGACTATGCACATCAAGATAAATTGGGGGCAAAATGGCTCGACGAGCGGTATAGGACAGTCGACGAAGGAGAGAAATATATCCATCTCACAGCCATCCTCGAACACCACAACATCTCAACCTTGAAGCCGCAAGCAACTCAAGCTCTCCTCCGGCAGGCCCTCCAAAACGTCTCCAGCCCAAGCCTGGATATCTCTCCCTCAGGTTTCTACGTCCGCCGCCGCCCCTCCACCTATCCTGCTCGTTTCGTCCCGCCAAAGTCCTTCTCTACCGTCGACGACTCAGGCCTCAGCTTCTGGGACCAACGCACAATCTACGTCGAACCGCACATTCGGCACCTATGCAAGACGCCCGCCAAAGTCGCGCACTGGCTCAAAGAACACGGACAGCTAAGAGCGAAGTGGCTGCCCGTGCAGGCGGTGCATATGCTGTATAATAGCTGTGCGTTCGTGGTGCTGAGCGGAAATGTCATGCATGAGGATCAGTGGAGCAAGTGGAGGGCAAGTGGAAAGCCGGAAAATTGGAAGGTCATGACGAAGGTGGAGAATATGCGGAGGACCGAGGAGTATGAGAAGATGGTGAGGGAGAGTAGGGCAGAGGCGGGGAAGCAGAGGAGAGAAAGCAAAGGGAATGAGCAGGACGACAGCCGGAGCGGTGTGCAGGAAGCGTATGGCACTGGTATTGAAGGCAGTTGTGAACAGGTCGCGATCAAGACAAAGAAGAAGAAGCGCAAGAGAGGAAAGAACACTACAAGCGCGGCGGATGATGAAGCAGACGCAGAGGCAACTCCCGAGACAGACGGAGACCGCAGGAACAAGCGGAGAGCCTAAGAGAGACATTGCTCTCAGACGAATACTGACAACACGCGCGACCTGGGTCCTGACCTTATATGACCAGAATGTGTCTTCTTCGCGGTTGAAGTATCTGATTGGTAGACTTGCCAGTCAAGTATTGGTCGGCGGCAGCGACTGAGAATCGCTCAAACCTGATCGATGCTTAGTGCACATCACGAGGCAATCTTTGGGTACGGTTGTTCTTGCATTCAGTAATCGCGTGGAAAATTGGCGTTGTTCGAAGCGGCGAGAATGGGTGAGCAAGAAACGTACCTTGTTCAGACATTTAGAATGCCCGATGACATCAAATGCGATCGTGAGATTCACCTGCCCAAGCTGTACGATCTCCGATATCCTCTCCAACATATTGATTGGCCAAGCGCTGTTCACACCAGGATCGCGGTGCTTCCGTCGCTAATCTCTTGCACGCTAGGGACGCGCTGCTTGCTGAGTGACCCAAACTTTTCGATCGTACAAAGTCACTTTCCCACCCTGGCGTTTGTCCCGCTCGGACACACAACAAAGTCCGGAAATTCGTACATAAGGCCTGCGAGCCCTGGATGATTATTTCGCTGGAAGTAAGGTTTACACTATGTAGATTGCAGGTCTGCATATCGTACATCCCAATCGAGCAGGAAACGCGCGTTCACTAAAACATGCATCTAAGAAAGAAATGGACGAGGTTGAGGCACGGCATGTATGACTACTTATGATCAACGTGTTTCGCCAACAAAATGTTTCGTCGCAATCCTCCAACGGCCCGCTCCGCCAAAATTGAATATGCGACCCAATGTTGCGTTGACGATCGCTGCCGGGTTTTCCACAGCCGCGGCAGTGACGCTGGAAGAGCTGTGCACAACCTCCTACGCTGCGTCTAAGTTGCCTGCTACCGGCACATACCAAGGCATCACGATCGATGAGAACTCCGTCATCACCACTTTGACCTCAAACTCTGCTCTCAAGGACAACACGTTCTACCCCGATGCCGCAGTCTCGTACTGCAACATTACGTTCTCCTACACCCACGATGGTCGCGGCGACCTCGTGCACGTCGCGTATTTCGCTCCCGACCCGTCAACCTTTCAAAACCGCTTCTTGGCCACTGGCGGAGGAGGTCTAGCTATCAACTCTGGTGCCTCGTCGGTCTCAGGCGGTGTGAGCATTGGCGCGATAGCAGGGTTGACAGACGGAGGATTCGGCAGCTTCAATACGCAGGCTGACGCGCATTTTCTGCTGGCGAATGGAACAGTGAACTGGGAGAACGTGTACATGTTTGGGTACCAGGCGATCCACGAGATGACAGTTTTGGGAAAGGCCTTTACGAAGAATTTGATGGCTGTCGAGAATGGCACGAAGATGTATGCGTACTACCAAGGTTGTTCGGAAGGTAGGTACACTCCAAATGCTCCAATGATACGGCGTCCTAACGGCTTCAAGGCGGCCGCGAAGGCTGGTCGCAAGTCCAACGATTCGAAGAACTCGACGGCGCAAGTATAGGAGCACCCGCATTCCGCTACGCGCACCAGCAGATCCAGCACCTCTACAGCAACGTTGTCGAGAAGACTCTGAACTACTTCCCTCCGCCATGCGAACTCCAAGCCATCGTAAACGCGACCATCAAATTCTGCGATCCCCTCGACGGAAAGACAGACGGCGTCGTTGCGCGCTCCGACTTATGCAAGCTCAAATTCAACATCAATTCCACAATTGGTACGCCATACTACTGCGCTGCCTCCACTGGAGGGGGCGGCGGGTTCGGGCCCGGCGCAGGACAACCCACGCCCGAGCAAAAAGGAAACGTCAGCGCGAAAGCTGTCGCAGTCGCTTCGACCATCCTCTCCGGCCTGCACGACCTCCAAGGCCGCCAGGCCTACTTCTCCTACCAGCCCGCTGCGACCTTCGCAGACGCACGGACAAAGTACAACAACGCAAGTGGCAAGTGGGAGCTTAGCATCAGCGGGCTGGGCGGGGAGTTCGTGACGCGGTATCTCTGGCTGCAAGACACGTCGACGCTGACGAGTCTGGAGGGCGTGACGTACGACACCATGGTGGACTGGATATACGGCTTGTGGCAGCTGTACGAGGACTCGCTGCAGACGACGTGGCCGGATCTGTCGCGGTTCCAGGCATCGGGTAAGTCACTGCTACCACCACAGAAACCTTCCTGGCAGTGCATTATATTGACGTGATTCCTGTAGGCGCCAAAATCCTCCACTTCCATGGCGAATCCGACGACTCCATCCCCGCGGCCTCAAGCGTGCACTACTGGGACTCCGTCCGCACAACCCTCCATCCCACGCTCTCGTACAACGACTCAACCACTGCTCTCCAATCCTTTTACCGCCTCTTCCTAGTCCCCGGGGCCGGCCACTGCGGCGCAAACACTGGGCAGCCGAACGGCGGGTGGCCCCAGACGAGCATGCAGCAGCTGATCGCATGGGTGGAGGGTGGTGTCGCGCCGGAGATGCTCAATGCAACGGTGGCGCTGGGGGCAAATAAGGGGCAAAGTCAGAGGATTTGTATGTGGCCGCTGAGGCCGGTGTACAGTGGGAATGCGACGGTGCCGGATTGCGTGTGGGATGAGAAGAGTGTAGAGACGTGGCGATACGAGTTGGACGCGTTCAAATTGCCAGTGTACTAATTGAATAATCTATCTTCCATGCGTTATGTTATATACATGTATTGTAATAACATTGCTGCAGAAAAAAAAAAAAAAGCCTAACGTTAACACGTACGACATTTCACAATTGTGTGTTCGTTGGCCAGTGTCGTTCGTTGTATGTACAGGTTACTCACCACTGGCCGCCCACACACGCTCCCCATGCTGGGGGCGGGTGGAAAAAAATGTCGCTTCTGTGGATCGAACACAGTACCTCCAGATATTCGAGTTGAACCGAAGTTTGCCGACCAGTGAGGGAAGGATTGCTTCAGTCTGGCGCTCTCCCAAGTGAGCTAAAGCGACTGCTTTACTATTGATGATAAACACGAAGAATAGCATTATTATATCGTCAATGAGAATGTGCGAAAGAGGCGGGATACTTTGGATCGTGAAAATATATCGGAGTGGGGAAAAACTAGGCTATGCGTAAAATTCGCAGATGAAAGTGGGCTCGCTTATACTAGTGAGTCAATGGCGTCACCTCGCTTTCCCTCCTAGTCTTGAAAACGTTATGTACTGTAAAATGAGTTCACCACTACGATTTGACCTTCGTACCCATAAACCCCTTAGCTGGTTACCGTAAGCGCAACAGTCTGAAGTGCTTCGCCAAAGCACAAGCACAGGGCCATGGGAAGGGCAGACAATCATCGAAGTCAATTGTACTCAAAGTCTTCCTTTGGTGCTCTCTGTCAAAAAGACGAACGCTACACCAGAAACCCAGCGCTAAAGTACGCCATCAACGCTTTAATATTCATGTCATCCGCATCCTCATCGACAGCTCTCTTTGCCATTGTCACCACCTTGTTAGTAGCCATTGTCTTCCCCCTCCCAGGCCCCTTCCTCATCCCCGTCCTCTTCATCCGTGTTCTCTCGCAGCAGATTCTGCGAATCCTCCTCCGGGTACAATTCCTGGTCGAGTCTTAGCCCCGGCCGTCGCGCTTGCGTAGGCTGTGTAGTCTGTACAGTTTGCGTAGTCTGCGTAGTTTGTGCATGCCGATTGGCCTGTTTATCTTGTGCGTGCTGCTTGGCCTGTCTAGCCTGCATTTCCCGTACTGTACACTCGACCAGTGCAGCCACAGTATTCTGCTCGACCGTCGAATTCTGCGGAACAGCTGGCACCGTTGGTTTCTCCAACTGACCCGCCACAGTCCTTCCATTACCTGCGGTACGAACCGCCTCGATAACCCTTTGGTTGCCGCCCTCATCAAGCCGTGCAAATGCCTCGGGAACCGGAAGCTGAGACACCAGAACCGGACTCGCAACCGTGCTTCCCATCTGTTTTGCAGCTATTTCTTCTAGGGTATTCGAGATACCACCGCGAGATGCAATTTGATCTTTGTTCTGACGAGCAAGCTCCTGTGCCAATTCCTCCTTCATTTCACGGGTGCTCTTCGGATTCTCGAACTTCTAGGTAGGCACCGTCCGGACACCCGTGATCATCCGCACGTATCCAAAAGGCAGCGTATGCAGAAGCTTAGGGTGAGATCGTATCTCCCACGATGGCACATCGTACACCTGAAGTTGCTCGTCGCCCTGGGATCGCCTCCTGATGACAACTGGACCTTCGTCTTGCGCGGCTCGTTTGACCAGTTCCGTGAACTCTCCAAATTCGCGAGTGCGTAGGCAAGATACAAAACCATCGAACGTGAGTGTGAGGACGGCGCCGAACCACGCGAGGGGATATAGAAAGATGTTGGGTACGCCATAGGAAAAGTGCTCACGTAATCTACATGCGGCCATGACTTGGGGAATGACGAAAAAGACATTACCGAGCATCATCAAGAGCATGCCTGCCCGACGATCTTGGAGTTCGATAATGGCAAACCCGTCGGAAGTCTCCATTGTGCTCTCCATTATTTTGCGGGCGAGTTCATCGTCAAAGTGGTGAAATGAACAGTTGAAGAGTCTGAAGACACGCCTCCTGTCTGTGTTGTTGCTACACGACGTCAGTCGGAGACCTTACTAGGAAGATATCACTCACTGTTCATTCGGCTGCTTGTTGAGAGCTAAGCCCAGGCTCATGGCTTTTGGAGGCGGGCTGATCGCATTGACAGGATCATACTCAAGACTAAGCCATTCGGAGGTTCCCATCAGTCCATCCCAGGCCTCTCGATTCGGGTAAAGATCAGACATCGTAAAGCGAATCGGAGGTTCTTTCATGTTCACGCGATGCTGATTGATCAGTCTCTCGAACGTTGGTGTGGGCCCACTACTCCCAGCACAAAATTCGTAGATCTCCAAATTGCGTTCCGGATCTTTGTCGCACACTTCGCGAATGACAGACTCAAGTCTTTTAGCCGCCGTCAACGCCGGAGGTGCAGGCTGAAGGAAAGTGAAAAGAGGGACATGTCTCGTCCATTCTCTTGCGAGCACGTCCTGGCAGGTTCTTCGGATAATGTCAGGGGTTGATGGAAAATCGCATATCTCGTAAAATCGGAACGACCTGCGCCATACTATCGGGTCAAACTTCTCGAATATGGCACAGATGAATCGAAGTGCCCTGTGGAGTTTTCCGGGTGCCGGACTATCAAAGGGTGACGCAACGGCACTAAGCAAGCGAGTTAGTGCATGCTACTGCTGCATGTAGTCAAAACCATGCGCAGAGCCAACCTAGGAACAAGTGTCCATAGTATACTGAAACTTCTGGCCAGGGACTACAGCTTATTTCGTAATGGAACGTACCAGGGAGTTGTGTGCTGTTGCTCTGCTTGACCAGTCATTTCTTCTGCACTATCTTCCGGTCGAAGAAGAGGTTCTGTTTCTGTCGCATCGCCTGCTGCCCCCTTCTCTTCCGGTGTCCCCAGCTTCGAACCCTTCGCTTTCGCGTCTGATACCTCTTTCGGATCGACAATGCTCTCCCTGGCCTCCCTTTCTTTCCTCTGCTCATCTCTAAAGATAGATTCTTTGCGGAACTGCGGCTCCGAGACCACAGCACCCTCGTCATCTCCCCCATCTCGTTCCCGACGACTCGACGCCGACGATTCTCCAACAATATCGGTGGATCCGCTCGAGCCCTCCGATGCCCTCACCAAATCATTAGCCGGTGTCAATGGCCTCAATTCCATCGTACCCAAACCCGCCGAATCATGCCTTCCATCATCCTTCTCTTTATGAATGCTTCCCACGGATCCCGCCGAGCTCGTTCTTTTCCGCCGAAAGTCCTGCGTCGGCTTGTCTATAGCCTCGACAGGGTCTCTATGCCTAACTTTCTGTGCCAGCTTCGAGTTAGCTGCAGCATCGGCAAGCGCCTGCGTTGCGTCTTCGAAGGTCTTTTCGTGCTTGCTATGGTGAACTATCTCTGTGGTGTCGTCAGAGGTGGTCAGATTGTTCTTCGGATCGGAGCCGGGAGACGAAGACGCGCCCGAGTCTGCGCCCGGAGAGGTGTATGAAATGTGACCCGACGCCATGGGGAGCGTTCGACTAGTTAGCGAGCGGCCTCAGTAAGATGCACCTTCAAGCAGTAGTGGCAGAATCATATGCGTTGCGAACGAATGCTGCGCGGTGCGTGATGTAGCGGGGAGGGAGGTCACCAAAACCACAGCAGAAGACAGGCACGCGCAGACATGGTGGGTCAGTGGTTCCTGCACTGAAATCGAGGTAGCTGCCCAACATCACAATCATCGTGTCGCTGTGACGTCGTCGCACTTACCCGGAAGGGACTAGCGCAGTGCTCAAACGCGCCTTCGCGATTTGTCTGCAGGGTCTTTTGCACGTGGCTTTAGCATATTTGTGAGCGCCTTTCATATTCTCCGTATGCTGGCGTTCTTTGATAACTTATCTGGGCTCTCGGTTGACTTGCTGTTTCGCTGGGAACCGTGCTCGTGCGTGAACGTCGGCCGAGAACGCGGTCGCTACAGTATCAAGTGTAAGTTCACCACACTTAAAATACCTTGAGTCATCACAGGGTCAAGTATCGCGCTAGCCTTTCAAACAATTGAAGGCCTAAGTGCATGTCCGGTCTTCACGTTGCTCCAAGACGCAGGTCATACACATAATGCATACACTTCAATCAAGACAGCCTCATGATAATATAATTCCATAACCCTGTCCATACCAATACCAAAACGCTATCAAACGCCGTCGTCCCCTTCTCCAGTCCTACGCCTTATACAACGTATCCAAAAACCCCTTCGCCAGATCTACGACCACACTCTTATTCGGCAGACTCCCCGCAACCCCATACAACGCCGCGGTATCCCCCTTGACCGCACCCTTCGCCCCCTTCCCCTCCGCAATCCTCTTCCTCTCCTCATCCTTCACGCCCTCCACCACCTCGACAAGATCAGCCACAAGCTTATCCGCAACCGCGACAATCGGCAGCGTGACAGCGATATGAATGGCGGGTGGAGACTGCAAGGCATTGAGATGCCAGCCCTTTGCGTTCATACCGTCGGCGATGTCGTAGATGTCGAGCGTTGGGCTAAGGAACGCGACGACGGAGACGAGCGGGCGGCCGATAACCTTCAAATCGGCGGAAAGCTCGGGGCGCTCGCGGATCGCGGACTCGATTTGCTTCATGCTGCCGACGATCTTGTGGCAGGCGTCGATGTAGCCGTTTTGGCCTTGCTTGACGAGGGACGCCCAGCACCCTGCGATGAGGGCGCCGGGACGGGAACCCGCGATCGAGGGAGACGCGTAAACGCCGCCGGACCAGTCGGGGCTGATGAAGTACTGGTACTTGCGGTAGACGTCGGAGCGGTAGAGGACGGTGCTGTTGCCCTTGGGTGCGAAGCCGTACTTGTGCGTGTCGCAGGAGATGCTGGTTACGCCTTTAAGCTTAAAGTCGAACGGCTCAAAGTCGAAGCCGGCCTTGGGGAGCATGGGGATGATGAAGGAGCCGAGGCAGCAGTCGACGTGCAGCGGGAGCTTCTTCTTGTGCGCCAGCCGTGAGAGTCCCGAGATGTCGTCGATGATGCCGTGGGGGAAGTTAGGGGCAGAGCCGACAAGTAGAATCGTGTTAGGGTTGATGAGGCGCGAGACAGCACGCAGGTCGACCTTGTATGAGGGCGCTTTGCATGCTACCAAGTGCATCTTGATCTTGAAGTATTCACACGCTTTACGGAAAGCCGTGTGTGCCGTCTCCGGTAGGATCATCTCGGGCTCGGTAACGCTGCGCTCGTGATATGCCTTGTTGCGTGCAGACAGGCATGCCATGAGGATGGACTCTGTGCCGCCGCTAGTGGTGACTCCGCAGGCACCCTCAGGCGCATTGAAGAGCGACAGTACCATGGCCACAATCTCTGCCTCCATCTTCCTCACCCCGGGGAACACGTCCGGATGGATCGGGTTCGCAACTGTAAACTTGCCAAACGCCTCAGTCTGCAGGCGCATCAGCTCGTCACCACCGTGGTATACCGCTCCGCTGACTCTTCCGTCCTCCCACCTCGTGTGCTCCATCTGTGCAAGCTCATCCAGCTTCTTCCGTACATCCTCTTCGCTCCATCCTTCAGCCGGTAGTGATGTGATGCGCTCAACGCCGGGGCCAGAAGGCACCAGCTTGCGCTCAAGCTTCAGAATCGACTCGGCCACCTGCGTCGCGACCTTTGTGCGGACGCCCGGGAGTTGCAGGAAGACGCCATAGAGGGTGCGGCGGGTCGAGGTATACACGTCGACAATGGATCCGGTGATTCCACGACCTTTAAGCTGGTAGAAGAGCTTGCGCGTCCATCGTAGAACGAAGAGCAGGAAAACAATGTTCCGCAGCCTGTGGGAGATCAAATTAGCATGCGCGCATCGCCATTTGATCCATCGAGACATACAAGTCCACGTTCAGCGCCGCCAACTGCTGGCCCCTAACCGAGCGAGTGCGCGCGTTGAAAGTCTCGCGGAGACTGACGGGGAGGCGCGATGATCCAGGCATGTTGCGCAGTCAATTGTGGTCGCGCGATGTTCCACTCTATGCCAACGATGGCATTATACGTGTAGGAGGTCAGACGGTAGGCAGTCGTGCGATAACGGTGGTTTGTTGGATAGTTGCTACGTCAAGGTGCGTCTACATAAGAGGTTCACATGCAGTAGTGGCGGACCCAGGCGCCGTGGGCACTTGCCGAGGCTGCTCGAAGTGGTTTGGGCGGCTTCTCCCGCATTCTCGAAAGCCAATGGAAGCTGGCGCGCACCTCTCGGCTGCCGACAACTGTAGTCAACACCACAGGAAGTAGTCTTCAATCAAGGAAGATCTCTATGCTACGGTCTTATTGTACACTTATACCCCCGAGTTAAAGAGTGAAAGTCTTCGTGGCGAGGCTTAGTTACCCCGGTATATTGCCAAGGTAGGATAGGCTTGCGAGACCCCTGGTCCCCGAGCAATCTACGACACCTAAAAGGTGCAAGAGTCGCAGCAGACACCACAGGTCACGATGGCAACTCCGACTTAAGTCTCCAAGGCGCAGTCGAGCATCACTACTTTTTGTAAAGAAAGAAAAACCATGACTCAATTCTCCTGTTCCAAAATTAGGCGTAGGGGCCACGCGGAAGCTACGCAAGCGAACAGCTGTCGCTGACCCCACGCCACAAGAGGCGTCCCTTACACTATCGATAGTAAAGCTGGCTAGCATGCATCTGTAAAATCTAAATTGTAGAGGCATCGACCCCGGAGCGGAGTGGAGTGGAGTGGGTATCCTAATATCTTTTATCGAATCGATACTGCAATGGCTGGAAGACTATGAATCGGAGTGCCATCGCGCATGCGCGCCCATGGCAAAGAGGGGCATCACCGCGCCACACTCGTCGCAAGCGTACCTATCCTCGTCTAGCATTTCTTCGTCTTCTGACTCCCAGTGATCTTGCGTGGCAATGGTGGCCTCTTGGGATGGAGTAGGGAGGTCTTCCGAGCCCCCTCTAGCATTCTTCAGGTCGTGTACATTCGTATCGACGACTCCGGTCTGGTCACTATAGACTGCGGTGTTCATCACCTCATACGCTGCTCTTGACATAACCGGAACGACATCATCCGAATCCGTGACCTTGAAGCCTTTCAATACTTGGTCTTGACGCTTGAACATTTTGCTGATGTCGCGCCCCACGCCTCCCTTTTCACTTGCTGCGTCTACCATATTTGTTGCTGCAACATTGACCAAGCTAAGGTTCCAACCGCTCCTTTCTGGGTGCAGTCTCCGAAACAGCGGTAAGAGGGCCTCTGCAACTAAGCGCTCGGCTATTGTATCGACGTCGTCCTTCAAGGTGAAGACGAAGTTAGGCATTGGTCCTGAACGAGATATACGGGCAAACGAGCGGTTGTGACTGCCGTCTGGGTTCTTTGGAGGACGTGGCCTAGTCGTAAGCCGCAGTGTCTTTGGAAAGGCCATCCAGCGCTTCGTAGGAGTTTCCGTCGGTTCTGCAGAGTCAGTAATCGTCCTGGCCGAAGCAAGTGCATCTTCGTCTTCCTCTAAGAGGTCAGCATGCATCCGCCGCAGCAGGCTCTTTGACAGCAGTAGCAGCTCTTTCTTTACTTCAGAAATAGTATCGAGGCGGATGTAGCTGTCTTCCAGGCTGATCTGAGTAGGCACGTCACGGGCCTGTCCAACTTCACTGTCATCAATTCCAAAGAGTAAGCCGTATACTTTAGCGCCGATACCATGTGGTGCGCCCGTGCCTCCGAGAATCTGCTCAAGCGCTTCTGGTCCAATATCAGGGACCTTTCTCACGTCACCAACGAGCACCTTCTCTTTGGTGCCACCGTAAACTAAACCTTGATCAAACTTTGCTGGTCTCTGCAGCACAAGCGCGCGCAAATTCAATGCGGTTTTGAAGCCAATGCCAGGGATCTTCCCGACTTCGTGGCTATCTATAAACGAGGTGACGTTATCCTGACCGTCTTCAGAGTTGTAGGGCGGAAACAGAGTAGTCTGATCATTAGGCTTATGTACGTTTCCCACTAGCTTTGAAAGAAGCTTGTTTGTCGAGATGCCGGCGGTGCAGGTGTGATCTTTCTCTGACGCAAGTCGTTCACGGAGATAATGGGCAAGATGACTGCCAAGTATAAGACGCATGCGCAATAAATTTGACGGGCCATCTGCGATACGTTAGCGCTCTGATGAGACAACGGCCGCCCCGCAATCTGCAACCACGGAGACTGGCCTAAGGCGTACGGCCGCTGCGAGGCTTGTAGAGTTGTTTCCGCGAGTGCGGATCTCGCACGGCGCTTATTTTGCATCTCGACCCCACCTTATCCGCGCCAGCGGCAATGCGTGTTGGGCTCTGAGTCAAGAATTATATGACCTGGTCAATGCGATTGGGTCACTCGCTTTCATGCCGTATCGAGAGCAGTGTCCACGTGAACGGTGTAGCCGTCCTAGCTCTTGCGGCGTGGTAAGGCTGATGATGTGCGGGTTTAAACGAACACCACAACCGAGCGCAGGATTGGAGGCTTCGGACTGTCTCCTTGGAACATTCAAAACAGAATGTTCTGCGAAGAGCATAACCCACGCAGCAGCTGAGCTGTGCCGTGCGAAGCTTTTGTATACGCAGTGTCGGGCAGGGTAGATGATGCAATTATTGAGTACTCGGCTCCTGGAACAAAGACTCGAAATGGAATTCGACCGCTCTTACCTGGTGAGGTATCCACTTGTACCGGATATGTCTGGCCAGCCACCTTTGAGGCATCGAAAGTAAAACCGATCGATGGGTCGGATTTGGAGAGACAGAAAAAGGAAGACGTCAAATCCGTCGGGTTCAAGAGTTCCAGATTATAATTTACCATATCGGTCACGTCCATCCAAACCTTTGGGACACATGTTAGTATTCGCTTATCCTGGTGCCGTGCGGACCTGGACGAGGATAGTCGTGCAGTACGGACGAGAGCGCGGGGAATTCAAAATGGCGGCGCCGAGCGCAGGAAGCTTACGGATTGTTCCGTAGAAATGCGCCTACCTCGTCGAAGCCCAACCTCTCGCAACGGGAATTCCACGAAAAGGACCGAAGAAAGGCATAGAGCTCCTTTGAGGCGTTGCGAAACTGCGTCAGGTCCTCGCCGAGCACGATGACGACGTCTGGACACAATTTCTTTGCTTCTTTGATGAGCTGCAGTTTGTACAAGCCCTGAAAAGGTCAGCGGCTGACTCGCGTAAAGAATACGGAGCGATGGTAACGAGGGAGCACACAATGGGCGTTCGCTTGGATAGCCCGAAGTGGCACACGTAGGCTGGAAGGATCGCGAGTCGGCCTTGCTACGATCCGAAGTTTGCAATTCGCGCAGTTGGCTGACGCGACAGGGGTGGTACGAAGGAAGTCATACTCTCCGGCGTGCCTCGTAGTTGCAAGTGACGACGATTTGTTTCTGCTGTATCGCCAGCGGCCGCGTTCGCAGCGAGGGCGTTTCAGCCTCGATGACGCTGGCGTAGAAGGCGTCCTACCTCGGCATGAGTAAGCTAGGCCGGACTGGGTGCGCCTCGTGAATGGCAGCAGTGCATACATAGTCCTGTCGAGGCGCCAGAGGTGGTTAGCAAGCTCGGCTCGTTCAGAAGGTAGGGCCGGCCGGCGTCGCGATTACGACGATGCGTGAGGCTCGGGGCTTTTGGCGTATCATCAGCTGGCATGCACTGCGAGGACAGGCAGTGCAGCTGGGGTCTGTGCTTACAAAGTGGATGATGATGGAGTCGAGGGGCCGCTTGAGCCTCTTCCTTCGCTGCGGGTGCCGCTGGCGGGAGTCCATGGCGGGCGGGCGAGGTCCACAGGGCAGCCCGGCGAGGGCAAAGGCGAGGGCAGGCGGGTTGATGCTGGGACGCAGACACGCGTCGCGCTGTCGAGACGTGCGCGCTGGAACAGAAGCGCCCTCGAAATGCGAAACGCAGCGGGCGCCAAGCAGTGGGTGCAGCGGGCGCGCGTCGCTATTGGCAATAACGCACGCCAGGCTGCTCGCTGCCAGTCGCTGTGATCTGCGCTACGGCGGGCGGGCCAAGCACGAGCGGCCCACCTTTGCCACAGCGATTCCAAAATAGCACTGCCGTCGTTTATTCTTGGAGCGCCCGTTGGTATGGTGGGCCCCCGGCGAATGTCACTGCGCGCCTGCGCTCCACCAGCCCGCACGCCGGGCTGCGTCTGCATGTGCGCTGGAGCACGCAAGCCCCCGCGTCGTCTTGCCCTGCACCGTGTTATAAACGACGCTGCCCGCCGGCCTCGATCCATCAAGACTGCCCCTCGCGTCCCGCTACCACACCCCGGCATCAGCAGCCAGCTATACGAACCCTAAGCAGAACACGAGGTGCCCCCGGCAGCCACCCGACCCTCTCAGCGCTGACGCCTCTCCCTACCTCTCTTATCTGCGCCATCGCGATCTGCTCGCATGATGCTGTCGACTATATCACACTCCATGGCGCCCACCCTCAGTTCACGAGACCCGCCCGCCCACATCATGACCACCACCACCACCCAGCTGCCCATATTAACCCCGCGGCAGCCCGCTCTCTCCCAGCGACCCTCTCTCCGCCTCGACACCCAGCAAATCCGCACCTTTGGAAAGGGCTCCAGTCTGCGTCTCGACACACTCAGTGCTGTCTCGCCCACCGCCCGCAACACCTTCTCCAACGCCTATGCACCCCCGGCCTCTGCAGCACCGGCCACTGGTCGCCCATCCAAACTGCGCCTGTCCATAGACAGCAGCTGCAACGCACCTAGCAGCGCATCCACGCCTAGCTCAGCATCCACCCTCTCGTCCGCCCTCACCTCCGCCTCTACCGACTCGTCTGCACTCATCATTCCCTACAAGCAGCCGCACAACGTCCGCTCCATCCTCTCCAACGGCCCAGCCCCGCGTAAGATGGCATCCGCACGGCCGCTGTTCCCGGCCGAGAAACGCGTGTCTTTCCGCACGCCTCTGGAAGAGGAGATCAAGACAGTAAAATACACACTGGCGCATTCGGACATTGCCTCCTCCGTCTCAACCATAGCCTCCCTGGCAACCACCTCTTCAGAAGAGTCGGAAGAAACCACCACTCTCCCAATCAACACGCAGTCCGCTTCAACCGCTTCACTCACGCTATCCATTCCATCATCTTCATCCAGCTCTTCCTTCGCCTCGCTGCAAACCTCGCCCCGTCCCAGAGGCCCACGCACGGGCGACAAGCGCGACTCTTCCGAGTCAGACAGCGACTCCTGCCCCGAGACACCCGTTGCAGGGCGGCGGAAACGCAGGCGAGACTGGCGATGGACGCTGGGCCCGCTTCCGTCTGACGGGTCGGCCTCGACTTCAGCGTCGACGAGCGAGGCGACAAGCGAAGACAGCACCTAAGCATAGCATCATGAAACGAAACGGACGGCGTTTGGAGACACGCAGCATCACTACACGGCACGAGCTCGGGCTCACACACAGCACAGGCTTCGGCGTTTTTCATCATTTTTGCACACTTATCCCCAGGGGACTATTCATGAGCATTTTACGGTGTTGCGTCTTTCCATGATACCACATCTGCATGGCTGGCTAGCATACTACAGCGCGGCAGCGAAGCGCGCAAGCATTACCTTACATACTACTACCTACTTAATTTTGTAAATACACATGCCTTTCAAGACCGACATCATCCCAATCGTATCCCATCCATCTTGATTATGTTTCTTGTGTCCGGTAGCGTCTTGTCCTGCTCGTCTTAATTTGCTCACCACGCTCACCCTCTCCATGCTCATGTCACAATCTCCGAACATACCCCTTCCTCATCGATCGCCACTTAGGCTCTGATCACGATCGCACCGCTCGCACGCGACGTCCCCTTCAGCCATCTGACAGGCGCGCGTGGGCCTGCCTCCCGTTTTCCCACATGACGATCAGCGCCTTGGCCGATCTTGCCCGGCGTCCGATCCGCACACCATGTAACCCAACGCGGTGCTTATACGTGCACGACCCATGGTATAACACGCGGCAAACTAACCTTCTCCCCACTAAGTACACCAAGTCTATATTGCTGGTGAATGGTGTATACTAAGAGGCGAATACGGGGATAATTTCGGGAGATGGAGGAGTAGAGTAAGGTAAGCGTCGGACGTGATGTCAGAGGCGAGCGTGGCAGCGAGCGTGGCGCTGGAGCTGAATGCTCGACTTGGAGAGTGGACGCGAGACGCATTGAGCGGCGGAAGTTAGGCAGTCCACCATGACATAAGCTTGGAAGACGCGACTCAACACGCGCGCCGATAGTCGATGCGTATCGCCTCGCATTAATCTTGGGAATTGTAGCCTGGCCCGCCTGGTGCGTGCGGACATTCCACGTGTGCGTGGCCCAGGAGTAGCGGGAGTGGAGCAGAAAACAGCTCCCAGACCATGCGTGCCTCAGGCACACAGATCAGTTCCTCGCCATGGCTCCGCGCCGTTTCGTCCCGCCAGTCCAGGTCCAATCCAGACCACGCTTCACCCACTGGGGCGAAACTAAACATGCCACCCCCCGTCCCATGATCCCCATCGATTCGATCGCCGTTGCGTTTCACGGGCTGGTTTCGTTTGGGCACTCGAGACACGGCATGTGTTCTGGAACGCCAACGCGGCAACGCAGCAACCCCTCGTTCCTCGTTTTCGTTTCGAAGTCCCACAGACGTTCAGACGAAGTTCAAACGCAACGGCAGCAGACATTCTTCCTCGACACACGCACGTCGTAGGCGTGCTGTCTCGCTACACCTACCTATTAATAGCGTCCCAGATTCCGAGGCTGTATGACACGTGGTGGATGTAAGGCAAAGCGAAGTGAAGTCAAGCCATGTAGATTTGATTTGTTGGCTGATGCGTTTGGTAATGCAATGCAAAATACGTGCTGGCGAGTTAGGGGTGAGGCGTGCTGTGCCATGAAGTAGTGATTTCGGTGTGTGCTGGTTGGGGTTAGAGTAGGGGGATGCGGATGTGATTGGTTAGGGACGGAGATGGGTAATCTTGAGTGTGGCGGTGCTGGGTGTGTGGCGCAGGTGGACCTAAGGAGCCCCGGAAAATTGTCGACTTTCCCCTTCAATTCAACTTTCACATTTTCCTTTGTAACATTCAAGCGAAAACTCAAAACCCATCCGAACACCGCCAGTGAGCTCCTATCATAATGGGACATACGTTGTGGAAATTCCTGTGGAACAAAGGAACACCGGTCCAAATGTAGCTGCTTCATTATTAATTTGTTACTATGGGCATCATTGTTAGGTTTTACCAGATGCTCATTATTTATGCGAGAATCGCAACACACAATAGTCTCGCTCTGCCCTCCAATCAGGCACCCGATTTCGACGTCAGCTCAGCCGCGCCCTCGCCATAAGCCATTCCACATGCCACAAGCCCTCCATCACTCCACCACATCCTTCCAACGTCGCATTTAATATGGGCGATCCATTCTCTATCGCTGGGAGCGCTGTAGGTGTTATTTCTCTTGGAATCGTTGCATGCCAAAAGCTGTACTATGTTATCGACGATATTAGAACTGCTGCGGACAAGGCTGAAGCGATACGCGCCGGGCTGGATCGTTTGGAAAACGGCCTCGAACAGCTCGAGACTGTCCTTGGGAAACTCGGTCCGACAAGTTCTGTTGCTGCAGCAGATGTAAGCGTGACGGCGTGTGCAAATGTCCTCAGCAGACTCAGAGATGAGCTGCCATATGATGCGAATCCTACCAAGCAAGGTGTTCATCAGCTGTTCCGGGCTCTCAGGTGCCGTCTCTCGTACCCATTGAAAAAGGGCGAGCTTAATTACCTGCGGACTTTGATCAAGGATACGCACCAGAACTTACATACTGCACAACTAACGGTGATTATGTATGTGGATCAACATTCATCTGGGTTGGACTGACCATCACCAGGGAGCAAGGCCAGCTTAACACTTCAAGCCTCGGGGCTTGTATATCCCTGGAATCACAACTGATGCAGCGCGCTTTGACAGATCAGCACTGCGCCCTTCAAGGTTCTATTCAATCGGACATCTCAAAATATACTCAGTCCGTACAAAGTGGCTTCCAGAGCTTGGATCTTGAAACTTCGTTGGTCCGTAGAGATGTAAATGAAGTCTATTCGATGCTACAACCGCTCGCAGGCAGCCTTTCACAGCTTTCGCTATTGCATGCAAGCCTAACTAGACTAGTAACGTTATACCTATCAAAGTGGGTGATTTGATCAGTTTGTTGACGTTTATTAGGAGACCAAGGTTGATGCCTTCAACCCGAAGGAATTTGTACTGCGAGCTAGGCAGGGCGACGTGTCTGCCGCTCCAGGTCTCACTCGGACTTTGAGGACCTTTCAAAACAGAAACGCCAAGATTCGACGTAATGTGCCATTGTGTGCTTGCAGGGCACAGAGTAGCAGCTCTACATGTTACTGGTGGCAAGCTGTTCTCTCAAGCAGTGTGACAAAACCTCATACCTCCGAATGCCTTTATAGTGCGTTTGACGATAAAATTACAGAAATAGACTTGAGAGTATCTCTATGCTCCAGTCTCCTGCGGCGGAAGTATACGCTGGCCATGGGTTTTTCTCACAGCTTGGCCAAGGGATTCGGTATACGAGCAGGGCTTCGAACATTCGCCATAGTGGATCATGATTCAGAGGCTTTCTCACTGATCAGAAGGTTTGCTTCGCGTGAGAACTATGAATTGTCCAGACCCGATTCTTGGCAGAACGTCGCTGCGGAGCTTCAGAGACTCTTTGAAAGTCGTCGAGCATCACCTCACGATCGACTGAGTGATGGATCTACACTTTTGCATGTATGATACTATCTTCCTCCCTAGTCCTGGTTGCCTTGGTATTGAGAATCTCTACAGCAACTTTGCTCCGGCCAATACGAAATTCGGAAACGGTCGGTGCGGAACACGGCCGAAATGTATACCGCTGTAGTGGACAACTTTAGATGTCTTGCTGGGTATCTTCTGAAACACACCAACGCTACCGCACGGGAGAAGGATCTCCGCAGAAAGTAAGTTCCACACTTTCGTATACTAAGACCCGCAGCCGATAGAGTAGTTGAGATTCATGTTTCATTGGTCAATCCTGTATTAGATTGGTGCCTGACGGAGAAACTCGGTCTCTCGAAGCATCAGACCTCTTCGGCCTGACTTTTCAAGATTGACATGCACGATACTCACGAAATCTAGTACATGCCTAGAAGTTTGTGATCATGATCTAGTCTGGTCACCTTTCCTTGCGCAGCTGCTTGAACACGATGTGCCGATTTCCATAAATATGTTCAAATTTCCGCCTGGTGACGGACCTACATGGTTACAGCAAAGCATCCTCTTGGAACACCAACTCGAGCTCCCTGAAGCGTTTATTGCCATCGTTTTGAAAGATGACATACGGTTATCTGCACTTCTGGCCAGCGAACAATCAGACCACAATGTCAGTGTGGAGCTCCCGGGCCTGTATGAAATGACTGCCATCATGTCATGGCCAGAAGGATGCGAAATACTGATGAAAAATGGGCTGAAGCTTGCACCACGTCACTATAAACATTTCTGGTGGGTTATGAACGCCAGTGATTCAGACATGTTGCGATTTTGGTTAGATATCCGACCATATCTGGACGTATCTGACCTTCAGAACCTTGGGAGCCTGGAATACGCTTTTGACTGTATCGAGTACGACTGGCACACCTATCCGATATTCGACAGGGTCGACGCAATCATCGCCGCTATTGCCAAGCAGCGACACGATCTGGGAGTTTTTGCAGCGAAGAACTTATACGAAGCAGACTACTCTCCGAAGCATGATAGACTTCTCGATGTGCAGGCCCACGAAGTTTGCAATATGCTCGAAAATCGGGGTATCTTCGTGCCTAGTGCGCTCGTTCCTTCCAGGATGTGCATATATCACTCTGTACCTGCAATAGGCGGAAAAATAAGCACTTACGTTTTGGATGCTTTGTACAAAGCTGGTTTCAGAGATCTTTCTCAGAATGACCAGTCAAATGGCGTGAACGGATTTGTGACACCTCTTTTATTTTATTTGGGGCGTTCTGTATGGTTGTGGCAGCCATGGGAAAACATACTGGCAACACTGACTTGGTTCCTTGCTAAAGGCTCAGACCTCCATGAGCCTTGGCCTTACTCTGCAAGCAGAGGAACTCACCTTCTTGCATGGCGAATAGGTTGGTCCCTATATCAAGAAGAACTAGGTCGATTGAACTACATTCATGGCTTCTGGAATTGGATTATTCTCCGAACCACATCATCCGAGGAAGATCCAGACGCTACAGAGGAAGGCGGGATAGGGTTTGCATCGACTCAAAAAGCTTGGCAGTGCATCCAGGATGCTTTAGAAGATAAGAAACCTGACGAATGCGAATGCCATTGTAGCCCGTCCGGCTGCATACCTATGACCCTTCTTTGCAGACCTTTTGCAGCAGAATTGCGGCAGCTTCCTGGTAATGGAATAGAGAAATTGGGTATTGATTCCAACAGAGCCTCGGCTCATTTCATATTTGCTAACGTGTTGACAGATCTCACTATCCAAACTGTAGCAGAACGTGTCTCACCAATCCTACTTACAGAGTCGAGTGACCGGCGCAACTACACGATTATGATCCGGATGCTCACTTTCTGGAAGTTGGAGATCAGACATACTTGCTGCGATCTGTATGGGTTCACTTATAGCTTGAAATGCGAACCAAACGCTCTTGCCGCATGCAGACCTGCTGCACTTCACTCACCAGAAGATACCCGTAGAATTCACAATGAAGACCGACACCTTATCGAAGTCCTCGAAAACCTGGTCCCAGAACTTGATCAAGCATACGATGACATCGGCCAACCATTCCAGGTATTCCTGAAGTCATTCATGCTACCCAGAATCAACAAGGTGCTAGAGCAACTAGCGAAGAAAGATCATGAGGATTTTGCAGAAGGACGCAGGGCCTTAGGTGTGGTTATGCAGCCAATGCCTGGTTACGTATGATGAAGATGTTGAAGGCAGCGACACTAATGAGTGAGAACAAAAATACGAGATTAGCGAGAAAGATCTCCTCGATGCCGAGATGGGAGGAACAAAAAACCCAGCTCTTATGTTGATATCGTTGTTAAACTATTTCTCTGGCCGCAAAATCAATCGTACAGCACCTCTTGGATCGTTACCATAACCTTGGACAATCGCAGACCCTCGCCCTTTGGAGATGACGCGCGGACACGACGCGCGCGGTGAAAATGCAATTGTGTCTTCATAATTTTCAAGCTATTATTACAAGTTGCCAAACCTGGGCACACCGATATCTACCAGGGGTGTCCAATCTCGAACCAGGCTTGTCACAACACAGAGAATGATATTGTTCATGCACGATCTGTGCTAGACACAAGTCATTATTTCCACGTTTACTGTAGGATCAACCCATTGGTCTTACTTCCCAACCAGGAACTTCTCGCGTCTGCTTATTGGATCTAGGAACATGATTTCTCTTTCTCCTAGTGGCTGGCGGTATCTCGTAATCCTGCATTGTACGCGAATAGGCTGGCTACAATAGCCACAGTCGCAATTCCGGTAGATGCCGCAAATGAGTATCTGATACCGTCATAGTATATCAATCGCGCCTTCAACTGTATGTCGGGAGGTAGGCTGCGCAGCGCAATGACTGAATGTCGGATACTGTCTATGATGTCTTGCTTGTTCGGGATTCCTTCCAGAGCACCTGGGAGCCTCCTATTCAGAGTGTTTTGAACGATTGCAGCACTGATGGCTACACCCCACACGGTCCCTAAGGATCTGATCAAATAGACAGTAGATGCAGACACGGCGTGATCTGCGGCTGTCAGCGGATCCCAGCCCTATACATGAGGCCTCGAAGCTTACCTGAATGATCGAACGAGGCCAGTGTTGTGAAGAGAGTGGCTGGGTAGATGATCCCTTGGCCCAAATTGGCTGGGAAGATAAACACCATGTACTTCCACGTCGTGTCTTGGAACGAAAACGATGTCACCATGGCGTTACCTACAGCCAAGAGAAGAGCTCCTACTCGTACCAAAGGGATCAATCTCCCCCAGCGCGACATGACAATGCCTGCAATGAGGCCACCTACAGGGGTAGCAAGCGAGGGTATCGCAAGCCGTGCGCCAGCTTTGGTGGCAGTGTCCAGAAGGACGACCTGGAAGAAAAGGGGCAGCATGAAAAGATACGCATACGCAGCTGTTCCAGCGCAGATGTTAGCGGTCTGGATTGCGATAGGATTCCTTCCGCGTAATTGACGCAGAGGAATGACGGGAATCGCAGTGGTCCGAGACTCGACCCAGATGAACCCCCCGAGTAACACAAAACTGCCAACCAGTGAACTGATGACCCATGCATTGCTCCACGGTAGTTCGTTGCCACCTAGACTTAGGCCTAAGAGCTGTACCGAAATACCTGTCACCAGCAGCAGAGCCCCAAAGAAGTCGACTTTTTCTCGCATCTCCTTCCAGCTGGGATGAAGCTCAATGGGGTTCTTGACAACGATCCAGCCAAGGACAAGCGCGATGATGGAGATGGGCACTTGGACGAGGAAGCACCAGCGCCAGCCAATAGAGTCTGCGATGGAACCTCCGAATGAAGCACCGCATATCGACCCGAATCCAAAGATTCCGTTCTGCAGCGCTTGATACATGCCACGCTTTCGGAAAGGAATCATGTCCGAATTTACAATAGTCGCTATATCGTTTAGTCAATCACGTGTCGGGTCCCAGTTGCACGGCCAGCCCTTACCCATCGTCATCAATCCTCCACCTCCGAACCCCGTCAATGCACGCATCAGGTTCGTGACAAGCATACTGTTCGCAAGACCGCAACCCAGACATCCAGCTGCAAACGTGATAGTCGACACAAAGAAGCAGACGCGCCGCCCAAAAATGTCGCTGAACCGGCCATAGAGTGGCTGAAACGCCGTGCTGGTAATGAGATACGATGTTGTTAGCCACGATGATGTATTCGCGGCGTCAAATTCCGAGCTGATGACAGCATATGTTGCCGCCGTGATGGTACTGTCGAAGCCATACAGGAAGACATTTGCAAAAATCGCTAATTCGACCCAGAAGAACCCTCGCGGCGGCTTCCAATTTTCTTCCTCCGGCGGCCTTAGCAAGAGAGGCGTGTTCTCATCGGGTTCCTGGCTAGCCTCTTCAGCGTTACGCGGCGACATGGTTTTGCAGCATCATGGCGAGCCGCAGTGGGAGAATTTTGTCCGTCCTTTCTCGGCTAGGATATTGCGACATCCCACGGGTTCTGAGGCAAGCGCTACCGGGCCTGCACGCTGACGTGTGGTTTTAGTCGAGCGCTTCATGCCGCGCAGCACAAAGCTTTGGATGGATATCACTAGCATAGTTTCATTCCTCAATATGCAAGCGAATATACATCGAATACCTGACACCGGCGTAGACCACTACCTATTTCCTCATCTGCAGCTCCCTACGAACCCTGCCTCGCATCCCCAGGCCGGCCCATGTGAACATCGCTACTCCTCCCGTTTGTATGTGATTTGTCAAAAGCTTTCATCGACAGAAGTCGCCTTCACTCTCTAGTAAAGGACCTCGAATCGCATAGTATATAATCTGCTACTGATTTGTGAAGGTCATAAGTGTATGACTTTTACACGTCTCAGACTAGGCAAAGCATGCGAATTGACCATAGAGGCATTCACATCATAAAAATGGACTTGTTTTATGATCAGCACATCGTACGCAGTATCTCAAGTTCAGTTTGTACATGATCATTGTAGATGCATCAAATCAATTGACACTAGCACGAAAGCGGAAGGTGAAGGAATCCGTGGACACCACTTTCTCTTCAACTAATCCACGCTAATTTGCATCGAAAAACATGAATTGAGTGCGAACTGGATCCACGGCCCTGGTCAAAGATGCACAGTAGCAATGTATATAAAGTATTCCTAGGACGATTCGCGACATACAATTTTATTCAAGAAACTGAGTACTCGTCCCAGCTTATACCCAAACCGGAAGGTACAACTGTTATCGTGCAGATACGGACATGCCTGGATGTACTTGCCTCGAAGGAAGCTGGGCATCTGCCTATGCTGTCACGCGTAATTGTGGTATCCATGGATCTTTGAATCATGATCGAACAGATCATTTATTCTAGAGGTTGTCTACGGCTTGTATGGACCTAGTTCCAGGGTGTCGTCCTTTTACTAGGTAGCCCTTTAGATCTGTATATTTACTTCTCTTGAGCTTTTTACACACGATAACTTTGCATATGACGTTCGAACACTAGTGGGGCAGCTCAAGAGGACTCAAAGCTCTCGTGCGTAGTGGCGTAGATGCAGGGCGCTTAGCGAAAGTTGGTCGGGGTTGCTACATACCATACATACCATGCGCAGCCTTTATAAGGGGAAGGTCCCCCTGCACCCACTCTTCTATTGCTATCGCACTCTAGACGACCTTGAATGATGGCAGACAACCGAGATCCCGCCCTCACGACTTTTAGCGACGAAGAGAAGTTCAAAGACTTCTCCGAAGTAGACTCAGAAGATCATGAGATCGGCCAATACCCATCGAGAACGCGGTCATGGCGAACAGTACTTCTGATTGTGTCTTCCGTCATAGTCGCCATCCTGATTGCCATCGTCGCAATGTCTTGGACGAAATCATCGCATCTGAAGTACGACCACTGCGGTACAAACGCGAACGAGGCTCGCGCAAGAGGATGCGTGTTTGAAACAACCGGATTTACCTGGCTTGCACCTGAGTGTGCCGACCCTGCCACTGAAGCCGAGTTCCTCGAGTACATCGCGAAGAACGAATTCAAGTACTATCGCACCGAGAACTACACAGAAGAAGTGAGCGTCGAAGAGATCAGAAAAGGCAACGGACCGGGTTTCTTCGTGCGCGAGAAGTACCATTTAACGCACTGTTTGTTCTTGATGAAGAAGTTGCATCGGATGAGGGACAAGGGGGCAATGATTGACGGCCAGATCATGCCGCTCCACCATACAGAGCATTGCATGGGACAGAACCTTAAGGCGCTCGCGGATACAGGGTTCAGGAAGCATGACGTTCAGTTTTCCTACACCAAGTTCCCATATTGTGGAAAGCCTGGCGGGTACAATCTGGAATGGCCAGAGCAAGGTACATGGACAGAGTCTTGAAGTGTTTTGAGATAAACAATGAGATTGGAATTTATTGGCGCTGTCGCGTACAAAAGTGTGGTTGTGACTCGTGGCTTTCTGATGTACACGAACGTCATGAGGGGAAGGCAGCCGTAAGTATGCCATTACAGAGACGACTGACGCTCAGCCCAATGTTTATAGATACCCCTACATCACGTCTTCTGCACAAGTACTGCAACGCAGAAAGTTGGAAAACATCCCGCCACTCGAAAGAACCTGGTATAGTTCAAAAGCCCTCACGGGGTCAATGTACCCTTCCTGCAAAATGTCGAATGCGAAAATTTCAGACCACAGCAGTGCCATTCCAGATCATGAAGCATGTTATAGCCATAGCAATTGCCCTGCAGTCGCGTCCGCCGACTGGCAGTACAAGTCACGCCCCGACCTAGCACCTCCTCGCTTGAACATCACGATTCCAGCTGCCAAGAATGTCGAAAAGGGACATCTCTTTGTTGCTCTCTTTGCCGGACATCCTAAAACAACGACCGAGCAGCATGATCCTAGACAAGCACGTCCGTACATTTTCCGAGATGATAGCGATCTTGTTTGGTCTGGTTACGGAATCTATTCAACTTGGGCGACCAGAGTTCAGGCCGCAAAGTGGAAAGGCCAATATGTATTGTTTAGTTTTGAAATTGACCACAATGCGGGCTATGGGCATGACCACGGGCACACCACGTGAGCTTAGAGGCTGAACAGGCTCAGGAGACCAACTTCGACTAACTTTGCACAGCATCCTAGATCAGCACTACGAGACCATTCGCGAGTTGCGCGCTGGCAATCACAAGTTGACCGATAAACACAAGTTCCATGTCGTCAGCGATAACACTGCGGTCATTCAGATCTACCAGCCCACTCCACAGTATCCGACGGCTTACGGCCCAAGCGAGGAGCAGCAGTGGATCGTGGACACTATATTCCAGGAGCTTGACATCACCACTAGAGATTTTCTCTTTGAGTGGTCTAGTCTTGATCATGTCACTCCCGAGGATAAGTGAACCCAGCACTAGTCAATTCGTCCATCTAATCTTGAACAGAAGCCATTTTGCCGATCAAATCGGGCCAGGCTGGCGCAGGCTACAACTCTCCGACGCTTGGGATTACTTCCACATCAATAGTGTTGACAAGAACTCTGAGGGCGAGTGTATAATATCTGCGCGAGATGCATGCTCGGTCCACAAGATCAATGGCATAAATGGTTCTATCTGGCGACTGGACGGGAAACGCTCTTCGTTCACTTTGGGGAAGAACGTTACATTTTGCTTTCAACACCATGCTCGGTTCCATCAACAGTTGAAGGGCGAAGAGGAGGGAACAAACATTGAGTATAAGTCTCTATACGATAACTATGCTCATGGCACTAAGATAGACGTGGCAAAGAGGTTGCGACCGCTCCAACCAGTAGCGGAAAGATCATCAAGCTAGACACTGAAGCTTGGACTGCTGAGCTTGTCGAAGGTTTCTATCCGCCTGAAAGTCTTCGTTCGAAGTCCCAGGGTTCAAGGCAGTTTCTACCAAACGGAAATGTCATTGTTAATTGGGGCTCTGAGGGCGCTTTGACTGAATACGATGCGAAGGGTAGAATACTCCTCTATACTTATATGGATTCTGGCTACCTCGGTCTCGGTGTTGAGAACTACCGTGGGTTCCGCTGCAGTTGGACGGCTCTACCCAATAAAGAGCCTGCAATCATTTCTCTCCTGAACGATGAGGGTACGGCTGTTTATGTCTCGTGGAACGGCGACACGGAAACGGAGACATGGCGGTATTATGCTGTAGCTAGCGGGTATGGTCGGAAGCATTTCCTGGGAGAGAATTCCCGCAAGTCTTTCGAGACATGCTTCCACATTCCCGGAAAGCAGGTTCACCACGTTGTTGCGGAAGCTGTAGACGCTAGGGGCCGGGTCCTAAGAACCACCAGTGTGGCCAAGCTGCAGCCCGAGATCTCGCCCGCGAAGAAAAGCCAGGCAATTCCGCCAATGAGGATTCAGGCCCAGGATCAGGCCTGGATGGAGCTATTATGAGGCTCAAGATCCTGACTCGAGGCTCCTCAGCTGCGTGGACGACTTTTCCTGTCGCATATGTGTCTCAACGACATGATGGATGTTGATGATGGCTACAAGGCTGACGATCTTTTGCTTGGAACATTTGAACCAAGAGTCATCAATACCCGTACACACTATCGCTCATTTGTCTTTGACAGTCGTTATTGTATACAGTAGCCATGCTTTTAGCGCTGAGCCCCCAGAAATTCTAGAAGAGCGTTGCCGTAAGCCCTAAAATGATCTCCATCGGGCTAGACATCATGTCGATGAAATCGGGAACCATCCCAATCACAGCAATGCACCCTTCCTAGACCTCACATCCATTCTTCCATCTCGCTCCAACCCTCATTCTATCACCATTCATCCCAGAAACCGGGGTTCCGACAGACCTCGGCTCGGCGCATTAGCTGATCGGTGCATCCTATCCCGGTCGCCCACTCCTTAGCCATTAACATTCTGCCGCGGAGCGACACGGCCCGGGAAAATCCACCAATTCGACCACTTCGCGACTGTGGAGTCCCCGCAGCAACTGAGTTACGACATGGTCATATTCCGCTAGTACCTGCATTGTAATTTGGATCGGAGTATAGCTCCGCATTGGGGTGCCGTGAAGTTGCACAACAAAATGGCGTTCACAGCCAGTCTTGAATCGTTGCGCGATCGCGACAATGAAGCTCCTCAGTGGCATTACAGCTTTGGCTGTCCTGGACTCGTTCGTGTCTTCTAGTGCATCTGCGCAAGCAAATACACCAAGTCAATACCCGCTTCACGACAATGGCCTGAACAAGGTAGTCCAATGGGACCACTATAGCTTCAAAGTCAACGGCCAGCGACTGTTTGTTTATTCAGGCGAATTGCATTACTGGAGGATTCCCGTGCCTGAAGTTTGGGATGATCTTCTAGAGAAGATAAAAGCAGCGGGTTTCACAGCTTGTGAGTGTGCGTGATCGCAACTATTGCTATCGTCTAATGTCTTGAAAGTTGCTTTCTACGGCAATTGGGCCTGGCATAGCGCTACTAACCAGACTCTGGACTTCGAAACCGGTGCTCACAATTTCGAGCGACTACTCGAGACTGCGAAGCGTGTCGGCCTGTACGTTATTGTCCGCCCCGGACCGTACGTTAATGCTGAAGCCAATGCGGGTGGTTTCCCGCTTTGGCTGACCACTGGAGCATACGGAGAACTTCGCGACGACGATCCCCGTTACACAGCTGCCTGGAAGCCATACTTCTCCAAGTTCTCCGAAATTACCAGCAAACACCTGGTCACGAACGGTGGGAATGCCATCGTGTACCAGATCGAGAACGAATACGGCGAACAATGGGACAACGTCAATACGAAAATCCCGAATGCTGCAGCCGGCCGTTATATGCAGTCGCTCGAAGACACTGCACGCGAGAATGGAATTGACGTGCCTCTCATTGCGAACGATCCCAACATGAACACGAAGAGTTGGTCCGAGGACTTTGCTCCAAATGCAACTGGAAATGTTGACGTCGCAGGCCTAGACAGCTACCCATCATGCTGGAGCTGCAACTTGGATGAATGTACGGGGACCAACGGCAAATACGTTCCATACCAAGTGATCAATTACTACGACCACTTTCAGGAGGTCAGCCCGACGCAGCCAAGCTTCTTCCCCGAGTTCCAAGGAGGATCTTACAATCCTTGGGGTGGTCCCGAAGGTGGATGCCCGGCTGATATCGGGGCAGACTTTGCCAATTTGTAACTTACGATTCTTAACATGCAGTAATGACATGCACTGACCGGGTACTAGGTTCTACCGCAATTTGATATCTCAACGCGTCACAGCCATTTCGCTCTATATGATGTACGGAGGAACCAACTGGGGCGCTTTCGCGTGCCCCGTTGTTGCTACCAGCTACGACTACTCCAGCCCAATAAGCGAGAACCGCAAAATTGACAGCAAGTACTATGAGACGAAGAGTCTCGCTTTGTTCACTCGGGTCGCCAAAGATCTTACAGTGACCAACCGAGTGGCCAACAGCACTGCTTACTCTGATAATGCAGCGATTGCGACTAGTGAGCTTCGCAACCCTAACACAAACGCTGCTTTCTACGTGACTATCCACTCAACGTCGTCTTCAGGCACCCGGGAGGCGTTCAAGCTCAACGTCAACACATCTATTGGAGAATTGACGATTCCGCAGCACGCTGGATCGATCGTGCTAAATGGGCATCAGTCTAAAATCATCGTTACGGACTTCAGCATCGGCAAGCAAAAGCTGACATACTCTACTGCGGAGGTACTCACATACGCGGTGATTGACGGAAACCCCACCGTTGTTCTATGGGTTCCTGCTGGAGAATCAGCGGAGTTCCATGTGAAAGGTGCGCGCAAGGGCTCGGTTGAGAGTGCGAGCGGGTCGAAGGCAAAATTCTACACAGATCGCCAGGGTGTCACCGCAAGCTTCAACGCAGTGAGCGGCAAGAGCGTTTTGCAGTTCGATAACGATGTCAAGGTCGTTGTCGTTGATAGGCCGACCGCATACCTCTTTTGGGCTCCTAACCTCTCTGATGACCCGATCGGGCCTGTCGACAAGTCTGGTAAGATCCTATCGCCTTTTCGGTGATATGGGTTCTAGCTGACACCACCATAGTTCTCGTGCAGGGCCCGTATCTGGTCCGAGATGTGACCTCTGATGGCAGCACACTTAAACTCACAGGTGACGAGTCCAACGCAACCGCGATCGAAGTCTTCGCTTCGAAGCGTTACCAATCAGTTACCTGGAACGGAAAGAAAGTCAAACTTTCGAAGACCTCGTATGGCAGTCTCAAGGGAAGCGTTGGCGTTTCAAAGACCACCATCAAGCTGCCGTCTTTGGCTTCCTGGAAAGTCCGCGACAGTCTTCCCGAGAAGCAGGCGAGCTACAACGATTCCGGTCCAGCTTGGGTGGATGCAGCCCACCAGACCACGCCGAATCCTACCAAGCCTGTGACGCTTCCTGTGCTCTACGTCGATGACTATGGTTTCCACAACAGCTTCCACCTCTTCCGTGGCTACTTTGATGGATCTGCTACAGGTGTAAACCTTACCCTGCAGGGTGGTATGGCTTTCGGCTTCTCTGCATGGTTGAATGGTGAACTCGTCGGCTCTTACATCGGCAACTCCACGGTCGGTAAGACTAGTCTCGTCGTCTCCTTCGCCAACGGAACGCTCAACAAGAATGGTGCCAACGTCCTCCTTGTGGCGCAAGACAACACTGGACACGACCTTCGCGGTGGCGCGACTGACCCGCGAGGCATTCTTGGAGCATCACTCCAAGGCGGTGCATCCTTCAAAAAGTGGAAGATCGCAGGTGAAGTCAATGGCGAAAGACAACTGATCGACCCTGTGCGCGGCCCACTGAGCGAAGGTGGTCTCACCGCTGAACGTCTAGGCTGGCACCTTCCTGGCTTCGACGACTCTGCTTGGAACTCCAGCTCACCTTCCACGGGCTTCTCAGGAGCGGGCATCCACTTCTACCGCACTGTTGTCCCGCTCAATGTACCCAAGGGTGTAGACGCCGCGTTCTCGTTTGTCTTAAACGCTCCGGCATCGAAGGCTATCCGTGTGCAGCTTTTCGTCAATGGTTACCAGTACGGTCGATTCAATCCATCCGTCGGGAACGAAGTGCGCTTCCCGGTGCCGCCAGGTATACTTAATTATTCGGGTGATAATACTATCGGCGTTAGTGTTTGGGCACAGACAGAGGAGGGTGGAAAGTTGGATGTGAAGCTCGAGCAAGACTATGTCTTGGAGAGCAGCTGGAGCCCGAGGTTTGATGGAGACTATCTGCGACCCGGGTGGACAGAGGAGCGGTTGAAGTACGCTTAGATGGCTCGATCTGCCAAGAACATGATAATATACACATTCATGCTACCTGGTTATGCAACACACATCGTTTACGTTGAGTTGATATTGTTTTTGAGCTGGCTGCTCTCTCCACTGCCCTACAGCTTGCAGCTGACCTTCCGCATTGAGACCAAGTCTTCCCACATAAACAAAACCATGGAAGAAAGTAACAAACCCTCGATCGAGCTTCCTTACGCACCGTTTATACCCTTGATGACCCATGTTTGCCGAGAGAAGCCCGTAACGGTCCACATGACCAGTCGATCAGAAGGTGAACGCCCTGTTGAGTACATATATACAGTGTACAGAAGATTTAGGACGATGAGCAGTATTGGCCCCTTGCCATCATTACCAGTTCAGTCGACAGAGTACAAAGTACTCAATGTTTCGTGGCGCTCTGTGTGTTCCCAGGTAGAGCAGTACAACTGTGCATTCTTAGGCCCGACGCGATATTGGCAGAATTGGTTCGCTAGTCGCTGCGGGTAAAGTATGCATGCACATCCACGACTATTTCTCGTGAGATTACAGCAACTTCCGCGTAGCTCTGCCTAACCGCAGGTGCACAGAAACTCGGAAGGAAAACTTATAAAGGGCGTAAAGGAGCTTCCAAGTACGTTTTTGGCACCGATGCTGCCAGAGCAGCTCGTATTCTGCCTGCTGCTTGACTGCATTCATCCGCTCCTTGGTGAAGGTGTAGGAGTGTCGATTTTTGAGCTCAAATTTGGTCCCGTACACATCCATGAAGAGACCTTGCAGATCACAGAAACGACTGCATTGCTGCAAACGGTGTATGATGATCGTGGAGACCTCGCTCTCACCAGCGTGTTGGGCTAACAATACTGCCTTGCCTAGTAGTTGGCAATGGTCCTCGGTTTTCGGACCTCTGGTGCCGACGACTTTTGCCAATATAGCGCGCGCCGACGAGCATGGTCGCAAGTGAGGCTGACGTCGAACCGCAGTTTGGATGTAGGGTTCTAGCGAGATATTCTTGAGGTTGCTCTTTAACAAAGGGTGGATAATTTCGAACATCGCACGATCGACCGTGATGGCAAACTTGAGAATGTCGTGGGTGAACGCATGTCTCCATTGCTCTGACACACTTATCGAGACCAAGGCCCGTACCTTTTCCGTCATGAAAGGGACTCCGGTTGACCAGCATTGCTGGAGAAGGTATAGTGCCAAAGATATCGTGACATCCGAATATATGTTTTGGAATAGCTGGTCATACTTTCGAAGCCACTTTCGCAGAGGTCGGAAGAATACCCATTGATCGTGGTAGAAACGTCGATTGAAGATCCTTAGGTCTACTTGGTCCACGAGCTCGCGTAGCACGTTTTCTCGTGCCACTACACTCACTTCGTCGGTGGCGGTCCGGGAAATGTTGCGCTTCATCAATTCGAGTCTACGAACACGATACACGAAAGTAAAAAACACCGACGCACGGCCTCGGGCGTGTTCGTCCGCAACGAAGTGCAAGTATATAAGCTTGATACGAGCGGAAAGGGCTCCGAAGGCTTTGTCCTGTGTTCTAATTACGCGGCTTATACATCCGCAGCGAATGGCCACGCGGGCAACTTGGTCGTCGAAGAGTTCCGTAATCACATTTAGCAATAGTCCTCCGTCACCCGAAGCGGCACTCACTACTAACCAGTCGCAGACGAAAAAGATCCTTTAGCGACCAAGAACGCGCAGCGCTTTCCAATATCAAAAAGGTAACCTCGTGCGGGAGTGACTTGGAGGTCGCCATGGTGCGCCCGAACACCTGCGTAATAAAGGGTGCTGCGTGTTTTTGGCGCTCTGTTGAATGTATATTGGGGCTAAGATGAGGATATTGAGATCATCGACGTATGTCAGTGTTTGCAGGAATGAACTGGAAGCTTTAGCCAAGCTTTCAGTTCCCGAGCTCTCTGCCCCGATACCAAAGCTGCCTGTGAACCTTAAAGACGCCACATATTACTAAACAACCTGCAGTGTAAGCTTACATTCAATTCAGGTTTTCAGAACTTTCATGATTGCCATACTTTGTTGAACTGTTTTTTCATTGAACAAGCAAGATTGAGAGAAAATTTATCTCCTCCAGCCAAGCTTTTAACTTCAACAAAATGCTGTCATGTGGAAGACTCGGGGGCTTGTCGTGCTTGGTGCTATCTTTCTGCGTTAATGTTATTGCAGGTTTATTTAGATGTATGGGTAAAGAGGGTCGTGAATGTGCACACTATGGAGCTAGGCGATTAGTAATGATTAATACATGAACGGTTGTTTCGCACTAATGTGGTTAATGGTGTTCTACATAAGACCCAGTGATGATATACCATCGACTACTCGACTTTCACATATTTTAGTTCCATGTTAAACGACATTCCAGACTCCAAACATGAGTTTCGGCAGCAAAGAAAATGCGTAGGCATCTATCCCATAGAAACCGTCTGGACGTGTATTGTATCAAAGCATCTCGCCTGTATTTGCACACAGAATCACTAGGTGCTCTCAACAAGCTTTCTCAACTATTGTTAGAAACCTTACAAAAAACTTGCACTGGCTCGTGTGGTACACCGACCGGAAGGCTCGACGAGCCTGGTGATCTACAACTGCTCGATAAGCATACCCACAAATGTTGAAATGCAGCCCCGCAGTCGAGCAGCATCTGAAACACATCTCAGGTCATTCGAGTCGCTTATCTCGCATTAGACGCGTAGCGCCAGGATTATATGTCTTACATTCTGCAGGGCGCGGCTAACGCGATCGGTGCTAACTGCGCCTCCTGCGAGCGCACGGCGGGATATAAATAGCGCCCGCGGATGCTCAACTTAGATTGTAAGAATCGAGGACACTTTGTACGGTGGAGTGAGGCTGCTATTTCGAGATGTGAAGAATGTGAGAGAGGAGTGTCTGGAGAATAGTTTTCTCTGTGGACGCTTATAAGGATGTCATCCCAAGACTTTGCTATGGGCTCGAAATATCAGCAGCAGCAATGGACAGACTACCGGATTACTCAAATGTGTACTTTCCTCCTCCGCCCAGCTCATCAGGGACAAGTACCAATCCCTCGGCTATCTACTACCCGCCTCCGCCAGAACGCGCCCAGCCGTCATCGACATCTAGAACAAACCCTGGACCACCAGCAGGGTCAACTCATACGCCCAGTTCATCTATATCATACCTTCCCGTCAATATCAGCACACCGCCACAGATTCCTCTCCGCCAACGCGCACCATCGAGTCCCTACCAACCGCACGCATCGGTGTATCAAGGCTCCCCCCTACCATCGCCCTCTCTCCTACCCCCGGCACAACATGTATCCCGACCCGCATCTCCAGCCTTCCGCACACGCTTCGCTGCTGTATCCCTCCACGCCGCCGACCGCCTCCAATTTCTCCGCTTCCCACCCGCCCTCTACTCCCTCCTCCGCGCCACAATCCAAGCCGTCTGGACTCGCGGCATCCAGCTCGAAAAGATCTCCACGCAGCTCCTCGAACTCCAACTCAAAGGCAACCCCTGGGGCGTGCATCGAGACAATCCCGACGGACTCGGCATCGGCGCCCTGCGCAATGTCCTTGATCGCGACTCAGAGGGCCAGGCGATACACGCGCAGAGGTTGGTCTGCGCGCTGCTACGGGCGTTACATAGCGAGGGTTGGGTCCTCATGCAGAGCACCGATGTGAGCCAGGTGCTGTGGGACGCTGACACGCTGCTTTTCCGGCACCAGATGCCCGCACCTGCGCCGCAGGAGTGGTTCAGCGTCGTGTTCCAGCACAACCGGTTCCGATTTGTGGATGCGCCGCGGGGCCTCTGTCTGCGTGTCCTCGAACACCTCTCTAGCCAGAGGCTGGAGATGAAGTTCAAGGACCATGAGAAGGTGGAGGGGTGCTGCGAGGTCAAATTCACGGGGATGATGAGGAGGGGGTCGCCGTACTTGGATCCGGTGATCAATGCGGGGACTTTGAAGACGAGGATGATGTTTTTAGATTTGTTGGGGGTGGTGGAGGAGAGTGGATGGACATTGTATGCGAGCGTGGAGCAGAATATGAGAGGGGATGGTGAGGGAATGACGGACACGTGGTATTGCTGCAGGCCGGTAGGGTGGGCTGAGGGAAATCCGGTGTATCATAGTTGAGTGTGGGGGCAGACTGGGCTGATGGGACAGAAGATGACGATCGGTATGAACAGTACTAAATTGTAATACTTACGCGCGACGAAGAAAGTATGGGCGGGGGAAGGGGATCCTAGAATTGAAGGTAAATTGGGAATATCTTGAGCTTACTCCACAACCTCAGGCCATCCGGAAGAAAAGTCGAGCCAGTTGAACCCGAACCGGAAGTCGTTGTATGTCCCATCCGCTTTGTTCACTACGCTATGTTAGCTCTCACCCACGTCTCTTCTGCTTCCGATCATCACTCACCATACATGTAATACAGCGCAACCCGATCGGCATCCGGATCATGTGCCAACCCTTGGCCCCCCGGCGCATACACATCACCATGACTACCCAGCACCAACGATCCCCCATTCTCCGTCAAACAATTCCTTCCATCCTTATCAGTGAAAGGACCCGTAACACTCTCACCCCTGCACACCATGATCTTGTACTCGTCGCCAGGCGCCTCGAGACCTTCTTCGCTTTGGGGTGTATTGCAGCACGCGCCGGAGGAAAAGAACAGGTAGAAGTACTTGTGTCCGTTGACGTTGGGCAACCACCACATGAATGCGCCCTCCATGATGGAGGGATACGTCTGCGGCACGGATGGAAATGAAGTGTTTCGCGCGATGTGGACGGGCGCCTCGCCGCTCCACTTCAATAAATCGGACGTCAGCGTCGTCTGAAAGAGATGTTCCCAAGCGGAACCGAAGTTCAGGTACGGCGTGCAGGTGTCACATTCCCGGAAGAAGTTTGCGTCGATGCGGTTGTAGCGGGTGTCGGCCGGCAACCCGATGCTGCCGTGGTCCGTCCAGTTGCCCGGCTCGCCAGTGACGCTCGTCGCGACGCCGATAGCAGAGTTTTGCGAGCCGATGGTCGAGACGCTGTAGTGGCAGTAGAACTGGCCATTGCTGAAGAATACGTTGGGTGCCCATAATCGCTGGTCGGGGTCGAGATCGATTATGGAGCCTCCGGGGAGCATGGCACCCGCTTCGCCGGTGTTGCTGGTCCAGGGACCGCTGATGGATGGAGCGGTTGCGATGCGCAGGTTGCCTTCGGTGGTGAAGCGAAGCCATGTGCCATCGTCGCGACGGAGGACTGCGGGGTCACGAATTGTGCCTGTGCAGAGGCCGGAGCAGATAGGATCAGGGACGGCAACTGTCGAGGTTCCCAGCGCAAGGAGGAATAGGATGGTGGTAGGAAGGCGGTTCATGTTGGATGTCTTGAGCCCGATCATATCTGCCCATATGGATCGCAGCCGCACAAGCAGGGCGTCATCTAGTGCGTTAAGTACATAGTATACGAATTCTGAGTCAGGCCATATATGGTCAGCGATTTGGTCGCTCTGATACTCCACTTTTCTATTAATGTCAGGGCCGGAGGGGCTGAAAGAACGCCGTTGCGTTCGGCTTACCCTGCGATTTTCCTAATGCAGTTATTGATTTGCACATCCCAGTCACACGAGCTTTGGGCTTAAGCCTTAGGCCAATGTAAGATGCCTGAACGGGTAGTGAAGTCGCACCAATGTCGTTATAGTTACAAGTCATCAGAAAGGCCCGCCTTGAAACGTTTGGACTGCGTACGGTATCGTGCGGCCGTAGATTCTCCGATGGTGTGGCGGCAAAACGCCCGACGGACAGTCATGTGGGGGCCACAGCAAGTGCGCAAAGCACCAGTGATACTGCACAAGTCTCTCATGGCTGGAAGAGAAATCTTCGCGCAGTCACGTCCTAAACCCTTATGGTCGGTCGTACCTTCGTCTTGTGACCGCGGAGGGGACCCATCTACTAAATCAGTTCATGCTTAGGTAGCGCGCAAAACATAGAGTCCTCGGAGCGTAAACTTCGGTTTTTGCATTGCTACTAAACACGTGTTGGGTTGTTTCTTTGCTACTGACCATGGACAAACCTTTCCACGTCAATTACTGTCGCTCTCGTTCTCAGCTTCCCAATCCGTCAAATTCTTCACCTGGACCCCTGCGCAACGTCAGCGTTTCACTCCACATAGCTTCGAACTCCACTTACCCCAGCCTTTCAATTCCGTGATTGCCTTGGCCTTATCTTCGGCCGAAATGCTCTCCGTCGCATCCTCAATCAGAATGACCTCGTAGCCGAGTTTAATCCCATCAATAGACGTCCCCCGCACGCATGCGCTCGTGATCAACCCGGTAATCACTATCGTACTAATGCTGTGCAGCGAGAGTTCAGAGTTGAGCGTCGTGAAGCGGTGGTATTGATTATCTGCGAACGCGGAGTACGAGTCCACGCTATGGTCTTGCGCTTTCTTGATGTAGTGGACAGGCGCGCGGTAACCTTCGAGATCCCACAATCGAGACTGGATTCCGGTCTCGAGCTGTGCACCCCATGTACCTGGTACGCAGTGATCTGCGTAAAGGCTTTGGTTTTCTGTCTTCAACGGCGTCTCGACGAACTGGACTTGCACACTGCCCCCGGGCTGCGACCCGGGATGGGCCGAGGCAAAGGACACGTGACCTTTGGGGTGCCAGTCTTGCGATGCTACGATAAATGGCCATTCGTGGTCGTCAAGTAGCTTGTACACCCTGGGTAAGATGGCTGGAGCACGGGGGTTATTGAGCGAGCCATTGATGAAGTCGTTCTGGATGTCAATGAGGACCAAGGCGGTGCCCGTGTGCAGGCTGGGCGAGTACTGCCACGTGCAATTGATCAGTACAAAGGATCTTGGAAGTGATGCTCAGCAAGGGTGTACGTACCGGGACAGCGTGCACTAGCGACGCACCGAACAGCAAGGTCGCAGTAGCGGCGAAATTCATGAATTTGGCCCCCATCTTCGACGAAAACTTTGTCTTCTTCCACGTCAAATGTTCCACGCAGCGCAACTGTTGTGTGAGCCGTGGGAAGGAAGTGAGAAGATTCTCAGTCTGTGGAGACGCGGTGACGAACTCATAGGCCGATCTTGTGGCTGGCGCAGCTGGCGCAGCTGGCGCTAAGCTTATCGCAGGGCGAACTATTACATCCGTGCATGGACAGGGGTCTTCGCCTCGTATCTCCTCTTCTGCGGTTCCTTTCCAGTATCGGGGCTGTCTGCCGGTACCGGATAGCCCTTTAGCGGACCATGGTCCTGGTCCTAGACTTCATCTCAAATAATGATAGCGATCAAACTAGGCAACCACTTAGGTAGTCCCAATGCATTGTGTAAAGTGGGGGTCATACCAACTTCGTGTGCATGCTGAACAGGTGTAGCAACTCGGCTCTACTATCTCTACCCCGCGCCTTACATCGAAGTAGTATGAAATGGTGTTCTAGCATCTTCCTCTTGCGAGAGTCCCCCTGAGAAGAATCTGAGGATTGCTCTCGGAATCTTCAATTTGAGCAAATCTTAGAAGCATGCCGAATTCTCACTTGACTGCCACAACATTCGAGTCTACACTTTCACGTCCCCTTGCAAACCGAATCATTTTCGCTAAACAACCACATGACTACACAATTCACCTTCTCTTAGACCGCCCACTCATTCTCACCCCTGACAGACAGTCAGCGATCCTCTCGGCTACCTTCCGTCTACTAAAACCTACAGCCTCGCCACCTACACCCTCAACAACCGCTCGCCCCACTCACTCTTTTCAAACACTACAACTCCCTAATTCTACTACCGCCATGTCCCACCCCCGCCGCAGCGCCAGCCAACCCTCACACCACCTAAGCCAGTACCACCCGCGACCCACACCCACCGTACCAGAAACTAAGACCCTCGAATGGCACAAGCAAAACTTCTACAACCAACAGCAAGCATGGCGCATGCAAACAGCCATCGAAGCTGCCTCGTCTCCTTCAGGACAGGCAAATAGGAAGCCGCCACTGGGTCTGAACAAGCCGCCTCCAGTTCGAGGCATGGTGACGGATGCTCGGAGGACGCTTCGGGTGGTTAATGCAGATAGGACATCCACACCTACGCCAGACCCTGAGAGTTTGCGGATTCGATTAGCGGCGCTCCGAGATAGCGATGTCGTGGCCGTCGCTCCCCTTTCGACGCCGAGCAGCGCGGGTAGTAGCATCTGTCGGACGCCCCTGGCTAAGACGAGCCGCGAAGAGGTATCTTCTGCCAACTCTGCTGCCGCAGGGCGCCCTGCTCGCTCCCAACCAGGAAGTCCACCTCACGCAAAGACTGCCGCTTCATCGATCCCAGGACAAAATACAGGAGAGCACGCACATACCTCGCGTTTGCCGAGCGAGGTCGGTAGTCCCGGTTTGCTAGACGTCCCCTTGAGCGTGTACGGCTTTAGAAGCACGCTCCCGGCAGAGCTGCAGCCCAAGGAGCCGCCGCTGCGCTGGGACGATGAGCCTGCGCCCCAGATCCCTCCCATCGCCTCTGATGCAGCGCGGGATTTGTACGAGGATGCAGAGTTGATGGAGTTCATGACGGCTAACAAGTCGTACCTTGAGCCATTCTTGGAGATGATGCCCGTGGCCACGACCATCGTGAAGGGCAAGCTAGATGAGGTTGTCGAAACGTAGCTGTCTTCAGATGGTTGGATCGCGGTGGGCTTGGCACACTCTGTATTGGTTTCGTGTTGCCTGTCAGATGTTTGGGGCTGCATTCCTGTCTGAGACATACTTGGGGACCGCGTTATAAAGATAGCACTGCGTCCGATAACGTTAGGCACCAACATCCACCCACGGCCACACCCTCAACTTCAAATCATGAATATATCAATACAAACACTTCTCAAGTCTAAACCCCGCTTTAATAACCGCATCACCAACATGATCTGGAGCAAACCTTGGAACACGGAGAACAAGACGAACTAGACACACAATGATACTAGGAAATCCTTGAGTAAGGGTGCAAAAGTTGCGGCCATCGTAAGCGCGCCGGGCGGTGCCGTATTTGGCTGGCCCATCGCTCTTGGATTGGCCGGCTGGGGTGCTGGAGGGGTTCTTGGAGGTACATATTACTATTCCCGTTCTTCAAGACGCCTTTTACATAATCAATAGGCAGTTTTGCCGCGGGAATTCAGGCCTGTATCGGGAATATTGTTGTTGGATCGGCCTTTGCCCTTGCTCAGAGCGCTTCTATGGGAGTGCGGTTACTGGGACGGTGAATGCAGCTATCGTAGGCGCTGGGGCTGGGGCGGCCGCGGTGATTGCCGCACGCAATGAGACTAAAGAAGATGAAATCTATGACAAAATCCAGAGTCTTTAGAGACCAGTCACGGCCTCAAGGTTTGGAGTCACTGACGACAGCAGAGTGCTACTGATACAGAGACTGCAGGCAAGAAGAACAACCGGACGGAAAAGGAGGCGATCAAAATGAACGCTACGGACACTGACGGGACTGGAAGGATTGAACCTGAGGAGACTACGATGGAAAGTTGTAAAACTGAAGAGAGAAACACTGAACAGGTTTAGGCCAGAAATAATGGTGCTTGTTGACGAATTTCGTAGAGAGGTAGGTCTCCATATTCGTGGGCAGGTTTGCTGTGGGTACCCAATCATATGGAAGCGCTATCTGGGAAGCTGCTTTCGAAGGTTGGTATCGCGAGTTGGGTCTTCATTTTGCTGTGTAGCCGTTGGGCATATCAGCTACATTCGCGATATATATGAAGTCAGTACGGACTTTGTTCCCACAGGAATATAAACACAGGTCCTGCCCCACTGCTGATTTGCAGATATCAGCTCGAGTATCACTATGATCACCATGTCAATAATACTCAGGGACCTCTCAACGGCCGGACATTCCCAAGGCCTGGCTAAGATATGCTTTTTATCCTGAACATTCCGGCTGTGCTATAACCAGAATGAACACATTCACATGCGGCGGTGGCACGAACAATATGTGGTATGACCTTGAAGCGACCATTCCTGAATGTAAGCATATTCTCTCCAATTTGGACGTCTGCAGAAGCAACCAGGATTTGTTGACCGCAAGCTATGCTAAACAGACAGCGGAAAATCGCAACAAAGATTCTGGAGAGCCAGAGCCAAACAATCGTATCGACATAGTGCATTCTTTGCAGCGTTTCGAGAGATCTTCGCTCAAGCCTCATGCGTCGTGGATCAAGAGAGGATGTGTGTGGTCAAGAAACATAGTGGAAGAGAGCGTTGGATTGCAATTGCCGACAATGTGCGCGCCTCGGTGTCGCAGCACCCCGATACAGCCGCGCAGCCTCTATCTTGCATTATCTCCAATGAGCTGAGGAATATGGTTTTCGCGACTGGCCTTTGCTCATTAGCATGGTGTCCTCTTCTCCAGAGACAAAGACAGTTTGAATGACGTCCAGACACCCAAAACGCATATTTATCTTTCGCAGACTTGATGGCTGTGGGTGGGTTTTCTACATCATGTGATTCGAAATACCCATCTCGGCAACATTCTTCGAGACATGCAGGATGCGAAAGTTGGCGGGAAGTATCTGGACATGGTCCGGGACTACCTGCCAAATACGACTGCATCTAAGATGTGCAAGAATGCCGTAGTGAGGTTCATCATGTATTTGTAGAATGAGGTGGGTATGTCTGACCTGGGAAAAGCTAGGAATTCCTCGTTGACGATTAACAGTTGCCGGATGTTCACCGTATGGCGTTGACATTCTGATGGCTAAATGGACTTTTGTTGAGAACGGTGTCGAAATCGAATCTGTCTTTTCCTGTCTGCCTCTGTCGTATATGGTGATGTCCGCGAAGGGGTCCTCCGAATGTCTCATCTTTCCGATGGACAGGTACCGTTCTGATGGCCATAGCCGCCTTTTGGTCGTGGAAGCGCTCGCTTATGGCGGTTGTGGCAGAGGCGCGCGGCAAAGTGAGTCGGCAGGTCAGACATGAGGGTCTCGACCACAGAGAATGGACTGAGGCTGAATCATGTCGCACAGGGCTCGTCGACTTGAGCGCGCAGATGTCATTCCGGGGCTTGTCGGATGGTGGAGGCCCAGACTCATCGCTGAGGGTTTCGGATCTGTTGGCCTACTTCTCCTTGCAGCCGCAACAGGGCCCGGGGGTGTCTAACGTTTGTCAGAATATTGGTGGAGGCGGCCCCTAGACGCTGAGCGGGCGCAGCGGTGTTCTTATTTCGAGGGTCTGGAGACGGCGGTCCAGCCTTGCAGTCTAGATTCCGGGGATGGCACCGTGGTGGTGCGAAGTCGAACCGACTCATCAGAAGAATGGCACGGTGTCGTAAACAGGCAAAGACCCTAGCCTAGCATGACTCGGTCGGCGGTGCCGAACGGAGGGGGGTTCGCGTCCACGGCGTTGCTTTTTCGCCCGGGGTGGCTCGTTGATTCCAGCGTCGCCCGCAGCAGGGTGGAGCTGGCGGCCGTGGTGCGCAGTGGATGCAGCTTGGGTGGTGCACCGGCGTGTGGCAGACGTCAGGCGGCGGGTGTCGGTCGCTGAGTAACGGCCGTTTGCTCGCGGGGTGCTAAGCAACGGGCGCTGACAGGGAACGGCGGGTCGGACAAGCGAGCGCGACGATCCTGTTCCTTTGGGACGGCGGCTGTGAAACGGCGCGGCGGGGGTCTCGAAGGCGGGCGGGCACACGTGCGGTAGGACTCGAGGCGGGCGCAGGTTACCGCGACACAGGCGATATTGTGGGTGACCACTTCAATGCATGCAGTGTCCGGCGCGGCGGGCGGTGCATTGTTTGAGCGGACGGCGGCGCGGTGGAGTCGCTAGTGCAGATCCTGGGGAAGCTGATAGCTGCTAGCTGCCTCTCCGCTCTTAGATACGACCTCGTCGCCCGCTGCATGCCAGCCGCCCGCTGCAAACACGCCCGCAACCCCGCGCTGCACGCCCTGCACGCCCTCTCTGCCTGCCCGGATGCTGGGCACGCGCATGGCCCGCTCTCGAGTCGCCAGCCATGGCAGACACCATCACCGTCAAGTCGCCGCCGCTCTTTCTCCCGCCCAGCGATAAGAGCCCGGTTCGCGGGTCGAAGCCGGCGCACGCCCGCCATCCGCAGGCCCCGCTGGGCAAGGAGCCTCTGAAAGCAGCAGCGGCCGATCCCAACGGCGTGGTCAAGCGCAAGCAGACCAAGAGCCGCAACGGTGCGTATCTGTGGTGCCCTCGTGTGCGTCTACCGCCTGCTGATGCGCGCCCCAGGCTGCATAACGTGCAAGGCGAAGCGGCTCAAGTGCGACGAGACGAAGCCGACCTGCCAGCAGTGCTCCCGCCGCAGCGTCGCGTGCGGCGGCTACAAGAAGGACTTCAAGTGGCGCCCCTTCGAAGACACGACCTTTGCGACAAAGACCACCGGCAAGCCCAAGAAGACCTCTCCGCCCCAGCATGTCTCTGCACGGGACGCACCCTTCGCGTGCCATGTCCCGCCCACCTACAACACCCAACCCACCATCTTCTACGCTCCGACCCAAGCTCCGCCCGCACTCCGTCCCATGTATGGGCTGCCCAGTTTCCCGGAGCCTTCGCAGGCGCTCATGACCGCCATGTTTGCGGTCCCGCAGCACCAGCCGTACATGATAGCGCCGCCGGCCATGTCGCCCGTGGAGAGCTTCCACCCGGGCTCCGAAAGCACAAACAGCGTGTTCGAGGCAGAAAGTGCTGACACGCGACCGAGTACGACGACCCTTGCGTCGAGTGTCTCGTCAGGCCAGTCGCCACGCTTGGTAGATCTTCTGCTTCCCGGCACAGATCTGAACGATCTGCCGGAAGAGTACATGTCCTTCCGTGAGCAGCACGGGGCCTTTTATCAGCCTACCGGGCTCACGCCTCCGGACGATGCCATGGACAAAGACATCGAGGAAATACCGCGCGACTTCGACCAACACGACTGGACGCTGCGACTTCCCTCGCCTGCGCAGTCAGATCCCTCAACGTCGTCGACAGACTCGCTGGACATGACGCTCTTCGCCCGACCACGCCTCTCCATGACGTCGCCCGAGATGCTGACGCGGCGGTTTGACCAGGAGACGTGCGGCATCCTATCAGTCAAAGACGGGCCTACGGAAAATCCATGGCGCACCCTCATATGGCCGTTGGCGCACGACTCGCCCGCCTTGTACCACGCAATGCTGTCCATGACTTCGTTCCACCAATCCAGGGACTCACCCGCGCTACGCATCGAAGGGATAGACCACATGCGCACCGCCGTTCATGCACTAGCATCCGGCATAGAAAACATGCGTGTCGATGCCGCCATATCCACCACCATTGCGCTCGCTTTCTCTGAGTCGTGGGATCAGCACATAAGCACCGGCATCAACCACATCAAGGGCGCCAGGGTGCTCATCGATCGCGCCCTTGTGCAACACAGCCGCAACCCCGTGCGCGGCGACGAACTGACCCGCCTGAAGTTCCTCTGCAACCAATGGGTCTACATCGACGTCATTGCCCGCCTGACCTCAGCCGATCCCGACGAGTCGAGTGACTATGACAGTGTGTTGGACAGTCTTCACATGGGAGAGAGCGATGCGTGCCAACTCGATCCGCTCATGGGCTGCGCACAGACGCTATTTCCCATTATCGGCCGTGTAGCAAACCTGGTGAGGAAGGTGCGACAAATGGACAACAACAGCCCCACCATCATCTCCCAGGCTATGGAGTTGAAGCGACATCTCGAGGACTGGATGCCACCCTCGTACATTGAGAACCCCGAGGACGAGACCACTAGTCCTCACGATGCCATCAAGACAGCCACGGCCTATCAGTACGCAACCCTGTTGTATCTGCACCAAGCCGTTCCCGAGATACCCTCGCTCCCTTCTGCAGTCCTTGCCCAGAAGGTCGTACGGGAGCTTGCCACGGTTGATCATCGTTCACGGCATTCAATCGTGCACATTTATCCCTTGACGGCTGCAGGCTGCGAGCTGGTAGATCCCGTCGACCGAGAGTGGATATGTGACCGCTGGGACAAGACAGCAGCCAGGATGAAGATTGGCATCATAGAACGTTGTTTGGAAGTCACCAAGGAGGTCTGGAGTCGCCGCGATACATATGCAGCGGAAGCCGCCCTCGACCAAGACATCAGTGGCAGCATCTACTCTGCGACACCTTCACTGAAACGTCACTTCAGCCACTCGTCCGATGATTTCGAGACCGCGGGAGACTTTTGCTGGCTCGAGCCACCGGCGAAGGCCAGGGCAGTGGAATCGGTCTCGTCATTCGATGCCGAAGGAGACTTCTGCTGGCTCGACCCTGCGCCTCGCGAATCACCCCGTCGCGTGCCCGTGCAGTCGGCGATGAGTGGCGGCATGCGGCGATCGGAGGTCATGGGCACGGAGACTCTACCTTATGACTTCACTGTCAAAGGACGCCTGCACTGGCTGGGCGTGATGAAAGACTGGAATTGGGAAGGTTAGTTTTCGCATCCATCTTCACCTGACCGTGCTAACGTTTCCAGTTTTACTGGGATGAGCACTTCATCCAGACACTATTGAGAATGCTCAGATCAACCTTACATTCGTATCGCGTTTCTGTTGAAGGCGTTCGTTCGCTGGTGCTTTGACTGACTCACCACTATACCACGGCGTTGGTACCACCCGGTGTTCTCTGAGCGGGGTCGTTTTTCTTTGCTAATTCTCCTTGGCGTTTTCCTCTTTCGCTTTCGCAGCGCTGTTTTTGCTACGCGTATATTCTGGAAATCACGATGGACATAGGCTGGGACAAAGGCTGCATGGAACACTGGTGTACCTTGTTTTGGACTGGATATCAGGTTGGGTTTTGGATACTGGGGTTTGGGATACGGAACACGGGATATGGGCTACTGGACTGGACCGGAGTATACAGGCACGGCACTACAGTACGATATAGCGACTACCATCTACACTGCGCTTTGAGCGAGAAAATTTGCGACTGCTCGTTCTCAGCGGGCATTCTCCTTCGAGACACATCTTTCATTGTGTAATTGTATAGCATTCCCTGCACGCACACAACATGACCCCTCTCTGACGACACGACTGCGAAGCCCGGCGTTGTGGAACGTTGTAGCGCGTGTCGTTTGCTGCATACGCATGCTACAGTGGCGGTGGGCTGCAAGCCACCTGCACACTGGCACATGCCAGCTGTGTCATTGTCTACTTGAAACGAACAAAGTGCAGCAAACAGACTGACAAAGACTGCAAGCGTATCTCTGGACACCGGGAGGAAACACGGGAGGGGCTGCAGCCTCTTTTTGTCCAAAGGCACTATCGTATTGTCCCGTTGCAGGACGAGCGAGTCCTCAGCTGCAGCGGAAGCGTATGCCCTACCATATCCTTTTTTTTTGTCGCTTGTTCTCCAACGCAATAGCATGATTAGTTGCAATGAGAGCATCATATTGGTCTCTTCTCATCTCACCTCGTCGAGGTGCATGCGAACAAGATCATCTGGGAAGAGCCTGTTATGCAGTGGTGGTACTGTGCGCACCTCTTCTTCTTTGTCTTTGTCTGGATCGGCCTGGATGTACGCTGCTGTGCCGTGGATCGGCAGATACCTCGCTCTGTGGCGAAGTATCTGCCTGGTAGAGCACAGCACATCCGGGGAGCCTCGAGGCGTGGGCTGCGATGAGTCACGTTGTTGGCGCTGGATTAGGAGTGTAATAGTGTGAAGGTCAATGGCCGGGATGGGTACCTGCGTGCATTGTGCGACGCAATGGGCAGGTGCTGCTGTGGAACGCACAGCCATCGCGGTCAACTTCAGGTGGTATCGCTGGGTTTGATGGGTCGGGGGTGGGTGGACGCAGCCGGTCTGCCGCTGTGTCAGGATTGGAACGGACTGTTTGCTTCTTCGGACGATGCGCAGACTGATGGTACCGAGTATTTCGGTCGGTGACCTTGAAGTCGGAATTCCGCTATTGTACACCTGTCCACTCTACAACGTCAACACCTCACCCTGCAACGCTCAACAACATCGCAATGACACATTGGTGGCGTTCTCTCGCAACATGCATCTACTTGCGCCACTCGCTCAGCACCCTTCCTCGCACAGCATCCGCGGGTGCAGCTGTGGATCAGCGTCGTGACTGTATCCCTATGTATCACCATCCTGCACGTTCCCGTCCCTCATGCACGAGCGTCCAGCGCAACACGAACACCCATCAATTCCACAACACAGCTCCACCCCACCTCAAGGCAGCACCTCCTTGCCCTCCCAATCCCAGCACTTTCCCCTCCCCTCGACCCCCACCCCCATTACCACCTCCACCAACCTCTCCGCCACAAACTCCTTCTCGAACAATTTCCCCTGCTTGACCCCGCCCCAGAACTCTTTACTGAACTCCGTCTTCACCGTCCCCGGATGCAGCGCCACGCTTATCGCTCTGTCTCCTGAAGAGGTGCGAAGATGGTTATCGAATGTCTTGACGACCTGATTGACGCCGGCCTTGGAGGCGCGGTACGAGTACCACCCGCCAAGCGCATTGTCAGAGATGCTGCCTACGCGGGCGGACATGAGGGCCATAGCAGCTGTAGGAGGGAGGCCCTGGAGGTCGTGCTCTTCGGGCTGGATGGCTTTCTTTTTGGGGAGGAAGGGAGAGAAGTGCTTGACCATGAGCATGGGGCCGAGGGTGTTGGTGCGGAAGGTGAGAAGCGCGGAGGAGGCGTCGATTTGGGCGGGGGACTTTTCGGGGTGGAGCATGCCGGGGACTATGAAGGCCAATTGTAGTTGATTGATTGGAGTCGGGAATCTTTCTTTGCATGCCGCAGCGGCATTGGATATTGTATCCTCATCTAGCGCGGAGGTTAGTTCTTATGGGTGCGTATGGTAAGGCATTGGGGAACTACCTAGAACATCAACCTCAAGCATCGTCAGTCTATTCTCGTCCACATCTAAGCCATCTAGGAGTTTATGTTTTGTGCCGGCGAGGTCTTTGCGTGCTGTGGCTACCAGGGGTGCGTTTGTGGTCTGGAGAATTCGCCTAGCGATGGCAAAGCCAATGCCTCGTGAGGCGGGGGATACGAGGGACCATGGGACCATGTTTCTTGTCCTGGAGGATTGATGTTTTTGTGTGGAGGCATGTTGAAGATTGATTTCTTCAATGTGGGAGGTACTTGATGGTCTGATTGCGACGCGATCGATGATGACATCGCGTCTGGTAAGAATCGGCTAGGATAGAAAGGGTTAGCGTGCCGTCTCCACTAGGTACCTTGGATTGTTTTTCTGGATGACCCAATTTCCTCTTCTCGCAAGAAAGTTGAAATTTGGCCACAAGCATAGATGCGGCAGTGTTGATTCACTGGCTCCCGCTGCATTGACGAGATAGCTCAAAGAGGATGTTTTAGCGCCGTACAGCCTCAACGAAGCCTCAGCCTTGTTGCTGCCTCCCCCGTTACACAATGCTGGGCGCGTAGCGGGGTTTATCTTTACACTTACGCCTCGCACAGTTTCCCATCCCAAACTTTCCTCATATCCATTCGAGTCTGACTTACATTCCTACGCTCACTCGCAAGCCGTTCCATGCGTCTTTCTTTCCTGCCGTGCTTTATCCTTCTCGCATCAACCACTCCTCAGCCTTACGCGATGTCTTTCATCCCTAAATCAGCGAAGAATGTGACTCGGGTCGCCGTAGGCGCAAAGGACTGGGTTGTCAATAACCCCAAGACTGCGGCGGGTGTTGCAGCCGCGCCGGTTGTCGGGGTCGTAGCTGCGCCGTTGGCTCTTGGTGTTGCAGGTTTCACGGCGGGGGGCGTTGCCGCTGGTACATCCCTTTTTTATTCTCTGGTGGAATGTATTTATGTTGCTGATGATAATTAGGAAGTATGGCCGCCGGCATACAAGCTGGCATCGGAAACGTCGCGGCAGGGAGCATCTTCGCGGGACTAATGAGTGCGGGAGCTGGAGGTGCAGCGTTGGCGGTTGTACAGGGCATTGCGGGCGGTGCGGCGGCCGCAGTGGCGGGAGGCACAGCGTATGTGATGAAGAAGGGGAAGGTTCAGGATGAGGATATCAGAAATAGTGAGGGTGGAAAGGGGAATGGAAAAGGACCTGCGGCTAAGCTATGAGGCGACCAGATAACTTGAAGGAGAGGGCAGCTATGTCTTGGGGAACTACCTAGTTGAGTTCGTTTGGTGAACGCAATGCATCAAGCGAACTAGTTGTCACGTGTACGCTATTGGCACATCGCTAATCTAGACCATATTTGTTCAAGACAGGTTGCAAATCTCTGGCTGATGATGAACTCTGCACTGATCGCGCAGATAATTTTGGATTTGTCGCAACTCATAACAATACACATAATCACATAATGACAGATACAGATACAATGAATCACTCTAGAGAACATGTCTGTTGACATGAATGTACTAAGTATCAGAAGATTTGAACTTGCTTCATGAAGAGCCAGCTTCCCGAGCGACTGTTACTTCCTATTTTCTTGAACATAGTACCGACCGAGATAGCTTAATTCGCTCTTGCTTGTGGGTAACTTCCGTTACTAATCACCTTGGAGATCATAGACCCTTACGATGTTCAGGATTTCTCAACTCTTGCTCCCACCCGCGGTTCCTTGATTCTTATCGCCCAGCTACTGAGGTGCTGGCGAGATATCATTTCGATCATTTCGTCGATCTCGACGAGGGTAGTCTGCAAAGGCTGCACTACAGTACTAGTTGCCGTGGTTTGACTGCCGGTAGCTCGGAGAGACTGGTTATGGGTAGGTCGAATAGACAGGTTGGTATTCAGCTGAATTTTCTGGCCACCACTAATTTTGGTATGTTGATCGCCAGAAAGATGAGGAGCAGATCGAATCGCCAGAGTCATTGGGTAGCCCGCGCCAGCAACCGTCTGTCCGCGCCCAGCATTACGAGCAATAATCTTTAATCCCAATTTGCTCCAGGGTGATGTTCAGGGTTCTAGTACACTCTTCGACCGGAAGCAAGATCACATCTGCAACGCGCACTGCGCAACATGCGGAAAAGCCAGGATCAGAGCTCGGTTGGGGACAGAAGTACGGAACGCCGTATGAGTGCGCGTGAAAGCGAGCCTCGGAGCAGGCTGCACGTCGAATGGACTTCTTCTTGTGGCCGCAGCTGTAGTAGATGATTCGAATCTGGCACACTGTTGCTGTACGTCCATTCCATCGATGTGGTTCTGGGGGAAGGGAGTTGAGTCTCCGTTGAAGTCAGAGTGAAAAGATCCAGTGCGTATGACTTATGGTGAGAAGAACTTTTTAATGGTGCAGCTGGTCCAGTGAATGTAATCATGAAAGCTCTTTTAAGTACTCGGGTATTCTTTCATCGAGTTCGCCTTGTGAAAGACGACCTCACGTGCATTCTGAATTGTTTACTGATGACCTGCGGTTTTATCTCGTATCAATCAGTTAGTCCCTACCAGGAAATTCAGAAACACTTAGGTGGAACTAGAGACAAGCTCTATTATTGAAGACCTTCCCTTCTTGCATCACGTACTTTTGTCGCAAACTTCGTAGGAAAAATCCACTCTTAACACATACATATTTGGACGGGAAAGAACAAATGAATGAAGACTCAAGCGTTTCTTTGAAAGCTTTGCACTGTACTTGGAAACGGTTGAAGTCAACTTCGCAATGCATCAAAGAGACAGCGTCTGCCTCATAAAATGTAGCCAAGCTCAAGGCCAACGTCGATCTTATAGCCATACTTCGCAAATTGAGCATCGCGTTGTTCCTTGGACCACCGCTCAAACATGTGCATAAGGCCTCTCGTCATGAGCTCCATTTAAGTCAGAGTCGGATCTATCAACGAACCGGATATGAGCAGCGGATAGCCTCAACGCTTGAGCAATTTGGAGACGTTGCTGGAAGACAACCCTGCACCCAGTGTAATCACGGCGTGCCGCACGAGCGAGTGCAAACGCTCTCCAGCTTCTGCGTTCATTTCTAAGGAGTAGTCAAATCAGATGTTGGAGGGTTGCTTCTTGAAAGGTTGACGCTCTTGACCAGTATGGATGACATAATAATATATTTGCCATCTCAGTGCGGCGGTAGCGGACTTACAATGGATCCTCACAAATCCGTAGATCATACTAGTCAATGGCGTCTGGCTCCACAATGATTGGTCCGACTCACGAAATTGATAGCACGCGAACGCCTTAGATGGGAGAGGTTCTCCTTTCATGTTACAAACCGCGGACGTCGGGATGGTCCAAAATGGCAATATCTATAAAAAAGGCACGTTCGTCCAAAATGGTCGAAGTCTCCTGCCTATCGTTTGGTTGAAGATTGGGAAGTTTGTAACCGCGGGCTTGACTATGAACCAAAGTCCTACTTCTGGTATCTGGTGGAGAAGCGTTCAGCGTCCCGATGCACCGACATAGAAGACAGGATGTATTCACTCTTAGCTCTCTCGGAAGGTGCAGTCAAATGTAGGTCTCGACCGTTCACCGTCGACTATAGCGAATATATCGTGCCATCAACCATAGAGAGTATGCCCTTGCCTCTAGTAGTAAGTAAACATACTGGCCGTATCAAGGTCGATAACTAAGATAGTAAGTAGATTCTGATTTGCATCATTTCTAGGTCCCGAATTACTTAAAACAGTTGACTTTTCGAATTTCCATACACAAGCTCACCTATGTGGGTTGTACCCTGATCCTCGATCGTCACATCCCCATTCCACCACAGCAGGAGCACTAATTGTCAACGTAAAGCAAGCAAGTAACACTTCGAGACATACTTTTCCGCATTTAAAATTTAGCGATATTTTTACACACCATCACCTTCCCGAGATCCCGCCCATTTCCGCTCACGCCGCACAACCCGGCGCGCTCGGCATCAGCCCACACAACGCGCCCACCAGCTCCTCCAGCACAATCTCTCCACTATCATACCCTGCCTTAGCATTCAGCGCATGATTGACAATCTCCACAACAACATGCTGACTTTCAACCTCCACGAAGCTCTTCGGCGCCCCATCCCCATACCACACAGAACTCAAAATATGGACACCCTTCTCCCCCTCAGATAAACCCGCCTCGGGGCCTACGATGTCCTTCAGCGCGATATCTACCACGCCAAACACAGCGGAAGACCCGTCGCGAAGGATCTTGTCACTCGCGACCTTAATCGGGAAATCGCTCAGCTCCGGCAGATACTCGAACTGGCTGCGATCCGTTGTGGCGAGTGTAAAATGCGTCGTCACGCCTCCCCAGCCCTCAAGAATCTCCTGCTTGAGCAGCCCGTCGTCGCGGTTGATGTAGTGCTCCGCATTGATCTTCTGGTAGCTTTTCTCTGCGTAGGAGGAAAGATAGTATGCTGCGAAGCTCACGGAATTGATGCCGGGGACAACGGCGACGACGTCTGCGTTTGCCGAGACGTGGGAAGTGCCGGTGGAGTTGGCGACAACAGCGTGCCAGGTTGTGTCTGCGCCTCTAATGTCTTTATCGAAAAGGGACAGAAATTCTTCAGGGGTGTAAGAAGCTTTGAGGGCGCGCAGAGTGGTGAGGCAGTTTTCGTCATCGGAGGGAGGAGCGCCAAGTTTGGAGAGCGCGGTGTGGCAGAAGCTGAGCTCATATTCGTCCTTTGTGGCGGCATGTGTGGGTCCCGAGTGGTAGAACTTGTAACCGTTTATATCCTCGACGATGTCGTGGGCGGCGTGGGAGAGGGCTGCCAAGCCGAGCGCGGGAAGAAGTGTCTTCACAAACATGTTGATGGGATGACGGAGGTGGGAGTATTGAGATTGAGCTGGGCTTGTTTGCTAGCTGAGAGGGAGCACAGCTCCCAAATGCCAAAGGAGGGCTTTATAAAGGGTAGAATTGAGATTGAGTATTCCTTCGGTGACGCACGTGTATCCCTAGTTCTAGTGCGAGGATGGCAAGATCCATGCTACGGGTACACTGCACTCGGCGTCTGAATCCTTTCGGGGCTACTTCGTGCGTACATATCCGTATTATAGCCCAACACCTGCCTGTCCTGGAAACCCCAGGTACGTCCGTAACTATTTCAGCTCTTTCCATAACTGTGTAGCGTGGCCCCCAAACCACGCGTTGCCAAGGGCCGGAGTATAACGCGAGTGTCTATGGGCCCGCCTCTTTACTACATTGAATGCACGCATGACTCGTCGAGCATATGTGGGCAGGAGTGCCGGAGATTCGCGCTCTAGTCCTGTTGGAATGGGGGCGGTGCGATGGCACGGTTTTATGTAATGATCCTGCTCAAAAATCATCTTGCGGTGTACTGCTGTGAACGGACTCCATTGCATTCAAGGGTATCTGTGCGCGCTTGCAATGCAAATAGACGGGTATGATCATTCTAATCGCGCTGGCCAGCAGACAATGATCCACTGAGATTCCGGTTCAGGACCAGCGAGTGGACGTCTGCGAATATAGCCATGCTACTCATCATACATAGCCACCGCAGTACCAGCTAATTATACCCTTTCCAGAACGGTCACAAAGCAAAACGCCAAATCCATCATATCGTACAATGCTAATGCATAACACGCACGTGTCTGCAAGAGGTGGAGACAAATATGCTCGGGATTTCCAAACAGAGGGGTATAAGAAAGCCCAGGCCAAAGTGGCATCACATCACCACGCAGTTCTCCTCCTGTTGCTTCTGATTCGTGCGGCTCAACCGCTCGCGCTTCATCTGGACCTTGGATCCGCCCTTCTTAAGCTCTTCAAGTCGTTCCTGCGCTTTGGGGAATTTGTATGCTAGGTGCGTTTAGCTTGTGCTTTCATCAATGTCATAGGAATCAACTTACCAGCAGCTCTGCCATACCACCTCTTCGCCTCATCCAAGCTCCGCGGGCATCCGATCCCGACTTCCGTGAAGTAGCCCATAGCAAAGAGCGCCTTCGGCAGCGGTGGCTCTGCGCATGCCGCCTTGCGCGCCCAGAGGTAAGCCTCGGTGTCGCTCTGTCCTAGTATGCCCTCCACACCCGTCAAATACCAGCCTGACAATGCGAGCTCGGACTGATGCTCCTCCTGCGCAGCTGCCCTCGTGTACCACCCAATGCTCAAGCGCGCATCGACCGGACAGCCCAGTAGTCCATACTCAAACGCCTGCCCTAACCGGAACTGCGAAAACTTATACCCAAGCTCAGCGGCCTGCTTGAAGAGCGAGAATGCGTAGGGTTCGTCGCGCATGATCCGCTCACTGCCAGTCTGCGCCTCGTAAAGCAAGCCGAGCTCGTGCAGCGCATGTGGGTTGTCCTCATCGGCGTGATCAGCAGCTCGCTTGAGCATGTTCACTGCTTCGCCTAAATGTCTTTGCTGCCCGAGCAAGCCCTTCAGCAAGATCATGCCCATCTTGTACATGGCAGGCGGGTCACCCAAAGCAGCGGCTCGTCGATACCATTGTACAGCCTTCAAAGGGTCCTTCTTCGTTCCTCCACCCTCTTCGTGGCCCATTTCGCAACAAACGGCTGTCCGGTATGCCGCAGCAGGATGACCGGCCTTTGCAGCGGATTGGTACAACGTGAAGGCCTCTTTAGTGTCGACCTGGAGACCGAGCAGCCCTTGCCCATAGCAGTCGGCGAGGTAGAACATAGCATCTGGCGAGCCGGCGGAACATAGCTTTTTGACAATCTTGTACGCTTCGTTGATGAACCTTTCACGATTCTTGTTCTTTGTACGATTGTCAGCAGTCCCACCTTCGTCTGCGAGCACAGTGGCTGCCTCCACAAGCTTCTTCGCCAGCAGAAGCCCATTTTTAGGGTCCTGTAGATTGCCGCCCCAAGTCTTCTTCAACCGGTTGAGTTCGTCGTGTGTTACAGGGTGTTTTACAGAGCCACTTCGTTGGATTTGAGCAGAGCCACCCAGCTGAATATTATATTCATTTGGTGCTGGCTCAGAGTTGTACTGTCGCACAGGTGGCGGTTTCGCCGCTTGGGCTGACGGTGTTTGAGAGTTCTGCTGTTGCATCAGGCCGGGGCGGAACGGGGCCGGGTGCGCCGGCAACGCATCAGGATTGGTAGGCTGGGTCGTTCCTGGTCGGCGACCTAGCGGATCGCTGGGAACCCTACCAGGCGCAGGAGCTGCCGTTCCAGGTCGTTGAATCGGATTCCCAGGTCCCATCGGCGAGGCGTTTCTCATAACGTTCGGTGGAGGCTCAGAGTAGGTTGTCTCGTCGGAGTACACGCGCTGCGGTCCCGGGGGTGGCCTTCCATATCTAGAATCAAAATTTGATGGGTGCTCTGGGCCATAGCCAGGACCGGGTGCTGCTCTGTCCATGGTCATGCCTCTAGGAGGAGGGCCTCTACCACGCGGTCCACTCGGCAACCCATTGGGCTGATATGGGACGTGTTCTGAGGGCATACCGGGCATACCGGGCATTGGAGGGGCGTCTGCCGCCATTGCGTGAGCGTTGTACTGGCCATGCAAATCTGGCTGGGAACGGCTTGTTGCTGCTTGCTGGTAGAAGTTGTTCGCTTGTGTATACCCACCACCTGCTGATCGCGTCATGCTATGAGCAGGTGGTCCGGTGGTAGGAGAAAGATGATTGTCCAGGGAATCACCTCGCCGATGCCCGTTGGTCGGCTGTTGAATCGCATCGAAATCAGGCATGTCAATCGAAGCTTTACTCTGACGATCTTCGCCATAGTAGTCGTCATAAACAGTGTCCAGTGAAGCTTCGTGGGAGTATCTTGATTGGTCGTTGGGCTGGAACTGTGGCTGCTGCTGTTGCTGGGGCGCTTGCGGCATTGGAGGCCTCTGATCGAAGCCTTGCTGCGATCCATAGTTGTTCGACTTGGTCCCACCAGCAGTCGTAGGACGCGGGGGTATGTAGGTTGGCGAATCTGGCCCTTGATATCCAGCTGCGGCCCCAGGCTCTGCCCACTGTTGATGGGGGTCCTCGTAGCGTCTTTGATTCCCAGGCCCAGGCATGTTCTGAGGCATCGTCGCCGACCGTTGGACAGGCGCGAACCCTTGCTGGGGAGGCGGCGGTCCTCGGTTGGAAGGCATGCGGTTGGGAGGCGGTCGCTGGCCTCGGCTAGAGCCCTCATGGTGTCCCGAATCGTGTCGCTGCATGTCCGATTGCCCACCTCTTCCCATTGGTGGTGCCCGCTGCTGCATTGGAGGAGGGCCCCGGCCTCGGCCTGGAGGCGGTCCCATTCCTCTGCCTTGACCTAGATTGTCCGGACCAAGATTCATCAACGCCATGGCTTCGTCCATAGAGCCGGCCTTTGGACGCGGCTTTGCTTTTTGCGAAGGGAAGCTCGGGAATGGGTTATCTTGGGGAATGGTCGTGGGTGACGGTGGCGCCATGCGCGGGCGTTCTCTCGCTGGTTCAGTCAGACGTGTTCAAGCGCAGCGTATTTGGCCTCCCTGCAGTCACTGGGTAGAAGGTGGGCCATGCTACAACTTACCAGCTGGAGGAGGCCGCATGCCACCCCGACCCTGCATGGGAGCGGGGGGGCCGCCTCCTCGGCCCATTGGCGCTCGCGGCTCTCGTTGTTGTTGTTGTTGGGGCGGCGGCGGCGGCTGGCGGTACTGCGGGTCATAACCGTCCTGCGAAGGTCCTCGCTGCCTCGGCTGCTGGCTCACATCACCATATCCGCGCTGCTGGCCATGGTCCCAGCCACCGCCTTGGTTGTAATATCCGTCATCCCATTGCTCGTACTGTCCCTGGTCGTAGCCGTAGTCGTCGTATTGCTGGTCGTACTGGGCAGCGTAGCCCGCGGGCTGTCGCGCCTGCTGCGGGGCACCCTGGTGGTAGTACTGCTGCTGTCGCGGCGGCTGCTGGTACTCGTCGTACTGCTGCCGCTGCTGTTGTTGGTAGGCCATTGGCGCAGGCACGTGGTGGCCGCTGGAAGACGTGCCGACGTCAAGAACGCGCGCGGGGATGGTAGGCACAAAGCACACTCGATTCCCTAGAGGATGCCCGCGGTCGGGTGGTCACTGGAACGAAGAAGTAGCGCCAGCAAGTGTCAGTGGGAACAGTGTCAGTCACTGGCTTGCAGTGATGGTGTTGTAGTTCCAGGTGTGGCGGGGAGAAGCGCGTTGTTCGGAGACGGCATGTCCAGTCAGCTAACCAGCAGGGGTGAGCTTTAATTATAAACGAACAGAAATACGAATGTGACCAGCACACCGTACTAGGGGTTCAAATGAGCGTTATAGTCCAGGTTGTGACCTGGCGTGGGCAGTAAGCTTTTCGAGCACTGGCAGTGAGAGGTTTCAGACGCCACAGGGAAGCTGGGATTGTCGGCATGCCGACCCCGGAGAACGACGCTGGTTTCATGATGCAGCAAATCAGCGCCCACAAATGCCCGCCCTTGAAGCATTCTAACTGCGGCCTCGCCTACCCGCCTTGTGTCCCTGGGAATAAGCCAGCGACTCTGTCGACGAATTCATTTAAAGCATCCACACGGCGGCCAAGCCAGGCGTGCATTCGAGGTGACGAGACTGTGTCACTGTAACCAGCTTGACTCCTGAACACACCTTGCTCCCGACGTCTTGTGGCCGTGCCCTGCCAGACTCCAAGGAGTTTCAGTTCTGCGCGTCGTTGTACGCTTTTGCTTGCGTCAGGCACCTTCTGCACGAGAGCCTCTGACGATCGTACAACGACCCAATGACAGCGGCTTCCCCGAACCGTTGGATCCCTGATGATCCCTTTGGCACCCCGTGCATTCCCCACTAATGCCGTCACATGCCGTAGCCACAAAAGTACTATCGCACGTAGGGTCACGTGCGAGCAGCTGCGCCATAAGGTGGCTGAGCCTATCTAACCGTAAGAAGCTTAACATCCAAATTGTCGGAACATCTCATGCTCATCCATCCACACCATCGCCATCGACTGCCGTCCATCAAGATTCCATTCCAGCTCACTACACCCTGCGATTCTGCTCAGCCACAGCGCAATTGCGTATCCACTGTCACCAATCAGCCACTCGGTTCATCGTTCGCCATGCCGGGCGCAGGGACGTACATCAAGGCCATCGGAGCGTGCGCAACCCTTGACACCCTTCGGATGTTCGGCAGTTAACAGTCGACAGCGGCGCCGCTCTAGTCATAGGTGGACCAGCACTCGTCTGGTACGTGACACCAACAGAGGAGGAGATCTTCAAGGTGGGTTTCCGAGATTATCCCCAGTTCGCCACGCGCATCAACGTTGCAGACGCTGTGGAAAAACAAACGATCATTACTCTGACGTTCCTTCCCTCTAGAAATACAACCCAGACCTCCAGAAGCGAGCCCTAGCTCAGCGTGAGTCCCGACAGCAAGACTTTGAGGATTTCGTCACGCACTTGAAGGAGGCGGCAAAGTCAGACAAACCCAGTAAGTCTACATACTCTCGAACTGAATCACAGCACTAATCACGATTTACAGTTTGGATTGCACAGAAGGAGATGGACCAAAAGCGCGCTCTTGAGAAGAACCAGCGCATGAGAGACGAACAGGCCAGCTTCCTCGCGGAGGCAGAGAGGCGACGAGCAGAGATCCGGTCGAGCTCGCAGTAACAGAGTCGATCTGTCCATGTTGTCGTTCAAATCTGTATAATGGTGTACATCAATTCTGTGCTTCTTCGCTCTTGTTCTTGGTCTCTTTGCCTGTTCTTGGCTCTTGCTGACTGAGTGTGCTGGTGGTCGTTTTCGCCTATCTTGTGTCGACTAACACAGCATTCCCGCAGCTGATGCGGGCTGCTCTCGAATGTCTTCGTGGACAATGAAAGAACCTTACAGAATTAACAAGTACGCTGGGATATTGATCCAATGCGTGAAAGCAGTGGCGGGAAAGGACCTCTTTAGATCCCACCCATCAGACTATCAGCGCCTGTCGCTTTCCGGTGTACTTGCCTCCAAGAGCCGCGTCCTTGCACAAATACTACATAGTCTCCGTAATCAACGCTCTACAGAAGTCTCAAAATGCGTGCCTCTCACCTCCACTTATCCCGCCTTGTCAGTACATTCACCTCCGTCACCCTGTCACTGCGCATCAACCGCCTCCACAAACTCAAAGCCCTTGCCCACCCACTCAACACCCAATACTCGATACCACAGACTCATCTCAACCCACCATGTGCAAATTCACCGAACTGACCTTCGCCTGCGGCCACACACAGCTTTCCTTTTCCTCTCGCTGCAAGCTGGCCTCCCCCCGTTCCTCGACACCCTCGCGTCTCCCCCAGCTTTCTGCCGTGACCACGATGGCGTGAAAAACGAGCACAACCCCACCTCCCTCGAACCATGCACCCCGTCCTGCCGCCGCTTCGAAACCCTCTCCACGCTCCCCTACCAGTATGCACTTGCCCGCGCTGCGATCCCGAGACTGGTTGAGCGCGCACAAAGGGTCGAGGCCTGCCTAGCGAAAATGAATGTTAGAATCTTAATCGAGAAACTGTTTGCGAAGTCAGCAACGATGGGCTGAGACGCAGGAATAGAGAGGCGCTGGGTGAGCTGCCTGAGCTATTGGCTGAGGTACCCGACGCGACAGCGACGAGTTATCGGGATCTGGACGAGGCGCATGAAGCGGCGAAGGCGATCGTTAAAGATTACCGGTATCAACTCCAAGTTATAGTTGGGGATGATGGGCACGCCGAGCCCGAGACGGAAACTCGGGAAATCGTGGCCAACGATGCCTCTGAGCTTATTGTCGCGCGGGATGGCGGGTATCTGTATGAGGTCGTGTGTGAGATTGAGCGGCGGGCTAGTCAAAGCTGCTTGTAGATATTGGGGTGGAAGGTTCGCGGGAGAGTGGGGTGCAGACGGGGTTTTTGGATGTGGGTGCGTGGAAGAGCTTTGTTAGTGGCACTGGGGGGAGGAGATCGAGGGTGGTTTATATCAAATAGACATGTTGGTTCGTTGAAGAACAAACATGAACGACGTAGTCTACGCGACTTCACAAATCAGACGCTGGCTCTTCGCCTATAGTTTTCGCAGGAGAAGAGCAGGCAATTGAACGAGCCAGTCTAATCTGAGTGTTGTGCGAGATTTTCATTTTCGGTCGGCTTTTGGATCGCTTTTCAAGTTTTATTAACACGGCCTTGAATTCATGTCCATATTGAGTGAATCAAAATGCCATCGTACCGAGTCGACACGCAAGCGAATATGAGCACAATGTCAGCAGCGAGTCCATCAGAACGTGTCTGTTATCAATCTTGTCCTGATGGAACCTGAATAAACACACGTCATTGCTCAGAGTGACCAATAACGCTACAGCATGATCCGGCTTCGAAGAATTCTGCAAACGCCATTTCTGTCTTTTATTGGTGGGACATGCCTACGGCGAAGATTGACCTCACCCAGACCAAGTCACTTCCGCTCTTCACCCGCACACTTTCTTCCTCACTCTCACCATGCCTTTTCACTCGTATTGTGGTCTCGACATAATAGAGGCTCCCAGCCTCCTGCTTCCGACCTCTGTGCTCCCGCACGTATATTTAAATTCAAATTTTCCGCTTTCGACGTCGCTCATACTCTTCCTTCACTTTGTCAACCCATCTTCTTTGCACAGAGACTTTCTCGGACTTTGTTCCTCTTCTGAGACCCTCCACATATTGAACCTCGTTCAATCAACCCACGCACCATCAGCACTTCGTATCAATGGCGCAACCCACCACCTTCCAAGCTGAGCGGGAGGCTCCGCCTGCCCGAGAGGACACGCCCGCTCAGGCCAGCCCCGCTGGAGATCTTATGCAGGGCAAACAGAATACAACTACTTTCGACCTGACCGGTATTCCAGAGATCTGCCCGTCTTTCGAGATTCCTCCAGAGCCTACAACTTCTGACTTCGAGGACGACACAGTTGCTTCCAGCGCAAGCAACGTCGACATCCAAGCCGCTGTTGTTCAAGTTATTAAGCCTGAGATGGAGGTCGCAGACGCGCATTGGTCACCATTGGCGTCCCCTGCAGAGACGATCGCGTTCGAATACGGCACTCCCAGCTTTGGCCTCTACCTCACCCTCACGAACCCACCCGTCCCAGCAGTCACGTACCGCGTTCAACTAAACACATCCCTCGCTCAGGCACAGAGTGACATGAAGCTCCTCGTCACCAACGAACTCATGAAAGCCCAGGCCCATGGCATCGCAGAGGACCTGAAGTTCGACATTGACGTCCGCAAGATCGACATCGTCAACGAGAAGGGTGCCATCCTGAGCTACGAGATTCTCCAGGGCACTTTCACCGAGGGAGGCTTCACCAGCATCATGGAGCGTGATGGGCGTGTGATCGATGGCGAGAGCTACACGCGGAAGATGTTCGAGAAGGCGGCCCAGGAGACCTCCTCGATCAAGTCACCCCAGGATAATTCAACAGAACTGGATGCTCCCTCCACCCCAGCTTCGGACTCTCCCCGCGCAAACCGTATCGAGAGTTACCACAAGACCCCTGAGCAGCAGACACCCACCCCAGTCGCCCTCTATTCCCCGATCAAGAAGCGTGAACCGGATGCTGATGACACCACCTCGCCGCCATCAAAGAAGCTTCGTCCAACTCCGCCCGAGTCTACGCAGGAGCCTGCAGGCCAAGAGGAGATCTTCTGCCGTTGCAAGCAGCCGGACGACGGTACGGACATGCTGGGCTGTGACGGCGACGCCTGCGTCAACGGTGGCTGGGTCCACAAGGACTGCTTTCTGGAGATCGACTCCCCGCCTGTTGCTGATGGCGGCGAGTCCAAGTGGTACTGTCCGGATTGCGATCCCGCGGCGTTCGAGCCATCCACGGGCAAGAGAAAGGGCGACAAGAAGGGCAAGGCGGTGAAGAAAGGTGGTGTGGAGAAGAAGAAGGGTAAAGGCGGTGCGGCGAACAGAAGGAATATGTCACGCTAAGCGGGATGGGGACGATGAGCGTTGATGAGGTAGGATGGTATCGGGATGAAGGAGACTAGGGAGACTGGAGAGTATTTTGGCATTGCAGAGTTGGGTTTGGCTAATCGTCGGTTACTCCGATTTGGGGTTGTAGAAGCATTGTAATAGCAGAGCACACTAGGACGGCTTCAGTTGAGATATATACAAAAACCAGCCATATCTTGTGTAGTTGTGATGTTATGTTGATGTGTGGAGTTCTCCGCGCCTAACAACACCGCTTGGGTCGCGATACCGTCCCACCTAACACCACATCCTCGTACGCCTCTACCGCAGCGCCGCGTTTCATCCACCCCACAACAACAAGACCACCCCCATAAATAAACAACCTATTCCGCGGCCCACATAATCCCTCCTGCATCTCATTTACCTATGGCATATTTGCGCGCCGCGGCGATAAGCCTTGACGATGCTTCCCAGCAGTAGCGCGGAACCAATAGCCACAAGCCCCGTGTGACGGTCGGAAGAACGGTCGCAGGGAGAAGTCTCAGCCAGCACATCCAGTGTTACTGCAGGCGGGATATGCATCTGCGTCCGGACGCGGAACGTTGCCAGACAACGCAGCGCATACATATCCACCTGTTCGGCTCCGCTCTCCCTCGCGCATGTTGTTGATATAACATCGTCGCGGAGTCTGCTTGTTCCTTCTTCATCATTGTTTGCTGTTGTCGTTTTTCATAGGAGTACTGCTAGTTCCTGTTGCTTGTTACTTGGTAGAGGAAGGAAAGACAAACGATGTCGATGAAGGCAACCCTCGCGATGTTTTTTGCGAATGAAGTGTGGGCGGTGTATGGGATTGGTGTCCAAGGGGACGCATGCGTCGTACGTTTTCCACTCTGATTTCGATAACCAGGAGACGATATTGACCGAACCAGGGATGCCAGGCAGAACCCATGGGTCAAGCTGTGAAGCGCGAAGAAACACCAGTAGTGTCCAGCTCCCGGGCACCCTCGTCCAGTCCAACAAACTCGGTCTCACCCACTACAACAGAACTAGTGACAGATACCGACCAGCTCTCTGCCACAGAAACGGTACCCTTCAACACACCCTCCCCGACCGGCGCCCACCCATCACCAACTATTCCCCTTGCCACCTCCTCACCATCAACAGAATCCCCAAATCAACTTGAAACCGGCGTGAAGATAGGCATAGCCGTCCTGGCCGCCATCCTATCCCTCGCGCTTCTCGCCTTCCTCCTCGAATCATGCTATCTTCGTCCTCGCCGCCGAGAACAAGCAATGCAGCGCGCTGTACAAGAGGTCGAGAATGGGGAGCGAGCGGAACGGGCGCTAGCGGAGCTCAAAAGCAGTCAAGAGATTGTGGTGTTGGAGAGTAGGGTGTCAATTCACTTCGACGATGGGGATGAGGGGTATGAAGGGGAGGAGAGCGAGGGTGAGGAGTGGGAGAGAGGAAGGACGGACGGGAGGAACGGGATGAGTTTAGCGAGGAGAGAGTACTGAAAGCAAGGTGGACTGTCCGGAATACGTGGGGGTTTCTCATGCGGAGGGGACAAGTTTGCGGCTGGAGACGATGGTCACCATGATGAGTGGTGGTAGAATGTGTAAGTTTCAGTGTTTCAATGTGTATGCGCAAGTTTCCGTAGCGTATTTGCGATTCGAACAGAGCAAGTTAATCACCTGTCGCATGTTAATTTGCTTTACTAAAGTAGCTCCGTCTGATGCTGTTAAAACAAGTCGGCGCGCCTGCCATTCGTGACGTTTCGTTGTTTACCTCAGTTGAGCGTCAACATAACTCACCTCTACAACTCACCACGATCTTCGTGTTCTCAGAAACCGCAATGAATTTGTTCTTCAGAGCAAGACTTATCTTCATCGAAGTAATTCTCCTCTAAATCAAAAGAACTAGTCCTCACCTCCTTGATTTCCTCCATGATGTCCTACTGCCCTCACCGGCTCCGAGCCGCATGCTACAACCGGCCACACAAAGGAGCCCCTCATCGACACCCGCCAGCCACGCACCGACAAAGAAGCCGCCTCGCGCGTCGTCCACGCCCTACTCGGCGCAGAGAAAGCCGGTCCCCACTTCAAGCGCACCCGCGTCGACATCGTCAGCTCTTGTGGTTGGACCGAGAAGGTCGCAGAATGGGTTCTCACAAAGCTTGAGGTCACCCTCCACGACTCTGAGAATCTGCAGGGCCCGGCCAAGGAAGTCTGCGATAAAGCATGCTCGGCCGCGCTCACAGTCGAGGGCTTCGTCAAGGAGCATTCGATGTTTATGACGGTCATCGCGCTCTGGGTGCTGGTGGCCCTTGGGTTCGCTGAGCTTGGACCTGTGGAAGGTACACACCTTCAACCGTTTCCCCAAACATCGTCATCCCGTTTGGTATGACATGACTAACGCGAATAGATACCAGGTTCTTTTGCGGCGGCATGGCAGTCCCGCTACGCTGGTTCTGTGCCCAAGGGGTCGTTGTTTTCCTTGTTCCAGCACTTGGGCATGGTGTGGCATTGAGCGCGTCTCCTGCACGACTCGATCAGGTGCGACGCCCGTCGGTTCCCCTGAGGCGGTGAAGGCATCAAGCTGCTTATCTAGATCAAAGGGCCCTGATTTTCTGCTTTTAGATGCTGGGATCGTGTCGGACTCGGGGCAGGGTAGGGTAGATCAGGGCGCGCCTAGTATGACATCATATGTTTATGCGCTCGCCAACACCGCGACGGTCCTGCGAAGGCCTGCGGCGGGACATGCCGCGCCAGGCAGCCAGCGAAAATAGGAATACAGAGAATGAGAGGATGTTCACGAATCGATATATTGGCCGATGCATCGGTCCGATACCCTGGGCGATCTCCATCCTCCGATGTATCTGAATGGAAGGTGCTCGTCAACGTTGGGTTGGCGGCCGTGCTCCAACGGGTGCCCCACAGCGACGCAACTGACCGAGCCTTCGGCCCTTTCGGCCCAGCCCTACCCTGAATTGCTTCCCGACGCCTAACTTGTACTCGTCAATTCTTGAATGGCATGGATGAGCTGTACGTTTTTGGTTACGGGTACAATCAACAGTTTCCGAAGACGCTAAGGCAGGACGCCCAGAAGGCGGAGTATCTCGATGTGAAATCGGTTTCGACGCCGACGTGCGTTTTGAGCGCGGAAGAAATTGTGATAGTGTGGGCGTCGTGGTGCGATCTGATAAGTATGTCACGTATACGATTTCGATCGAGTGATGCTTTTCACGCTCGTGTTCCAGAAACTAACAAGCGCAACTCCATTCAGAGCCCTACTGACCTTCCACAGTAATTATCAGCGACACATACCGGTACACCGGGACCTCCCTTCTCCCCGCGCAAATCACTGCCATCACCACCCTCCCCGCCTCCTTAGCCCAGACGCCCGTCTTCTTCGGCCGCCCCGACACCTCTGGCGTCCTAGGCTTCATAACCCCCTCACGCTCTACTCTCACCATCTTCTCCACGCCCCACGAAATTGCCCAAGGCGCACCACCAACCCAAACAACATCCTTCGCATCATCCCCACGGCTCATCCTAGCTATCCACTTCACCGCCAGCGACGCGGTCATCGTGCATAGCGCACATCGAGCCACCAACCAAATCACTGTTGTCGAACTTCCATCCCTCCAGCATGTCCACGACTTCATCGCAAACCCTAACGCAGAATACATCACGAGAACGGACTTCCCTTTGGTACAAGTCACAACAAACATTGCAACACTGACCGCCGTCTCCCAATTCGGCACCACTCACACCCTTGCCACAGACCGCCGCTTCGCCCGCGCCGCAGGCCGCGATCCGGACTCCAGCACCGAGACAGCACAGCCTGTCCCCTTCCTGGAGCAAACCTGGATTACAAGAGTCGCGGCTGGAGGCCTGTACACGGCAGCTTTAGCCGAGGATGGAGAGCTGTTCCTGTGGGGCCAAGCGATGGCGGGTACGCCGGGGGAGCTGCGATGTTTAGCGAATAAGAGTGACGATGACGACGAGTATGTGAGGACGGTGGATCTGGGAGAGGGCGCCAGCGTCGTAGATTTGGCTGTCGGGGCTGGGCATGTGCTTGTTGCTGTGGAGCGTGGAGAGAGCAGGGAGGTGTGGGCAGCAGGGGATAATCGGAATCATGCTCTGGGGCTAGGGATGGAGATGAAAGGGAGAGATTTTGTGAACGAGTTTGTGGCGATTGAAGGTTTGAAGGGAGAATGGGTCAAGCAAATGGTTTGCGCGGGCATGTCAAGCTACGTGGTGGTCAAGGCTGATAGTATGAGAGGAAATGACGAGTGATGTGAGGATGGTAAAGCGTGCATTGACATGATCTTATTTGAGCGGGTAGCTGGTGTCTTGTTCGGAGGGTTACGACTATCGACCAGAGTTCTGCCGCAAGCGATATGCTCACCACGAGGTGTGCATATGCTGCAAGAAGCCTTGGAACCCGCGAGGGAAGTGTGCACTGTATTCAATGAAGCCAGGTGATAACCTGAGTTTTAAAGCAGTGTCGAAGTCTAGCATCGGAAGATAATTGCAGATAAAAAGAGGCCGATCAGGGCGGCATCAGGATCAGAACAAGCAGGACAAGCGGCGACCTGAAACAGGCTGACTTCGTTCGACTTCGAACTTGGGGCCGATAGGCTCAACATTCGCATCATCGTGGATGATGATACCTAGAGGTCGGCTGCGTGTCTCAGTCGAGTTTGGGTGGACAAGGATGTTGGTTGTCTTTTGAATTCTCTGGCTTGTGTTTTGGCTAGACATAGATGTGTTCCGGCGAATGCGTGTCAGTTGTCTTGGGATCATCTTTTCGAATACTGGACGTAGGAGCGGACAACAAGCAAGTATGATGGCTGTGCTGAGCTGTGCGTACATCCAAGCCATAGCAGCAGCGAGGTCGTCAGTCATGTCTCCGCGGAAATTAACCCGGACAATTGAAATGATGCGAAAGACAGCCACTAGAATGTTGCTGCGAAGAGGTCAGTCTTACTTGCATGCATAGACGGCGGGTACATTGATCCTCGCACAGTAGACCTAGAGCGAAAATGCACGAGATGGCGATCTTGTGCGCGCGTCGAAGTTGGAGCTGCCAAACCACGAAATGTGGAAGCGACCAGATGACAGCGTCAATAATCATGCCCCATGCGACCTTAACAATCTCAAACGGCTTCACCGTTTTTGCGTAGCAATACCTCGGGTCCTCGAACGGATATGTCCAGATATACCGAAGTGGTCGACAATGCAGGAGATAGACAAGAAGGACAGTGACCAACTAAGCCATACTGAAGCCAAGACAGCTGTACGCTATTGGAGTCAGCTTCTTCAGAATGGTTGTCACGATGCAGAAGCGGGAGATGCTGTGGCCACTGTACCCGTTGATCGCAGACGAGACAAGGTGACTCGGGTTAAGAAGCACCGGATGAGGAAAACAATAAGGGCCCATCTGACCAGTGTCAAGGCAACGGCATGCGGGAACTGGCATATCCAAAAAACCTAGTCAAGTCAGTCTTGAGTATGGTGGCGTGTAACAGCACAGACCATAGCCGTGACCTCCAGCTGCGAGTTCGTCAAAGCGTACGCGTGCTCGCCAGCATTTCCTAGCGTGATCGCTGGCAAGCTCCATCAGAATGACATGTTCCAAGAGCCACGGTACATAGACATACCCAAGATTGCGCCAGCGAAGAGCGTATACATGAGCAGCTGCAGAGGTTGAGTCGCCTTGGACTCTGGAAGCCCCTTGGAGAGCACTTACTAAGGCGGCTGCCAACAAGGCGTCGTCACTTGTGAGGTTGATTTGATTGGCTGTGATGCACTTTGCAGCGAAGCGGGCTACCACGAACGCTGTAGCCAGTACGGTCAGGAACACATGGATGGCAACATAGGTGTGATGTGTCGTCATAGTATGCCGAGCAGGGTATATACTGAGAGGTTCCAAGAAGAAAGAAGGCGTGATCTATACTTCAGCAGAGGTATACATGGATGCGAATGAAGGGGGCGCAGTTGGTGGCGATGGAGGAGAGGCCTAATCGTGTAAGCCGTAGGTAGACGGGGTGAAGTCAACTGGTGCTCGGAAAGGTATGCCAAAGAGTGTCAGCGTGAAGCGAGTTGAGGTTGACGGAGGCAAGTGTCCTGAGCGACCCGGCAGCGAGGAAGCCGCGATGGTCAAGCTCATTCGGTGCGCAGTTGACGCGGTGTTGGCGACTGATGGTTATCGAGCTATCGATAGAAAATAGTCTCTGCCATGGTTCGGAGTCCTCTAGCAGACGAGCGAACGTGCGCTTTGTGCTGAGCCCAGCGGTCCGGAGCTTCCGCTAGCATCCACTTCCATCCAGCATCACCGTCTAAAGTTGGCGCAGAATTCAGGCACTACAACGAGGCCTCAACCCAACTCGTGGCAATGCGCGGTATTGACTCTTCAAAAGACCGCGATCGGGCCAGGTGTCGTCTCCTTTCTTGCATTGGGCCGCGGCAGCCTGGGGAGGTGCCGGCGATGGCGGATGCAGCAGCACATGGCACCTTGTGAGAGCGTGCCTGGTTCTCACCAGCACAGGAATACATGACCGGAGCATCCTGGCGGTTTCTCGGCACAAGCCACAGACTCGTCCGCCACGCCTGAACCGGGACCCTTCTCCGCACGAACCGCAGGCATTGTGGCCGTGAATTTGGCCGGCACCCTCGAGCACAGCCAACCCAACGTGGTTCGACGGCACACAAAGCAAGCGCCAACGCCAACGCCAACGCCTCCTTTCCTGCTGCACCGGCCCGCACTCGCTTTCTGCCCGTCGGTGGAGAGAGCTGATTCGTCCAGGCGGCATCTTGCTATGCATTGGCGTTGAAATCCGCCAGCTTCGTGGTGGAGCACACGCACGCTCCGGTGGCCGTATCTGCGCGATGAGGCGATTTGGACATTGCCATCTCAACCTTGCGCATGACGAGGTTGTGCTCCGTGGGCTGCCAGATGGCTTCAGGGCAGCCGACGACCGCGCAGCGCAGGAGCCGTTGGCCGTGCGGGCACTGAAATTTTAGGCTGTCACCATTCGCCCACGCAGGGCAGCCCGAGTGCAGGCCCCATCGTCATATGGACGCAGTGACAGGGTCGATCACCCATGGAGAAACACGGACACTCGCACACTGTCGATGATCTTGTGGCGATCTCCACCATCTCAGCCCTCTGAGCTCGCGTGCTGATACACTCCATGACTGCTCCTCCACCCAGGCCGGCGGTTCCACTGTGCTGACGCTGCTAGCAGTCGCCATCGGTCGATGGCAGTAGCACCAGCGCTGCGTTGCGCAAAACATCTCGCCACGGCGTTTACAAGAGAAACGCTGCAAAGCCGGATCTAGGGTCGCTCGCCGTCGCCATTGGCTGCCAACTTCACGGCACTGTCCTGGCGCGGGCGAGCCGGGGTCGCGAACTGATCGAGCCGAGCTCATGCACCCCTGATGGCGCCCTTGTCCAAGGCACCACCGAAGACTTGGGTTGGTAGTCTCGTTAACGTCATGTGCTCTTGTTTAGCTGCCCGCCCTGCAAAACCACCATGCTATTTTAGATCTCACGCCGGCATAATGACCCACCTTGGGCAGATCCGTTTGGACCGGCCTTTTTTCTTCTGAATGCCTTCGAGCAGGCTTCCTTCTCTTGTTCTGCCACCATTGTTTCTCTGTTTCCATTCCTTTCGACCCCGTGTAACAAGGCGGAGGGCCGACTGTTGATCGCAATTAGATCTGTCCGTTCTTTTACGTCCTGCAAGACCGATCTGGAAACACCCACGCTCGTACCCCGCGGTCATGCTATATACTGATTGAAGCCGCCAATCCCGGAACTGGACACAAAATGGACAAGCGACACTCCTCACCCTCTTCTCGCGCCAGAAGCCCCCGCCCTAGGACCTACAGAAAAAGGAGCAATTCGTTCCCCATCTCGGAAGCTTTGGGATGCTCCACGCCCGAAGCCGAACTCATCCTAGCTGAGGGGAGAGCTGCACTACGCAGCCGTCTGGCGGACCGGCAACGCGGTCGTTCAAGAAGAAACGACAACCATCCCTTCAACCCAAAAGACCATATTGGCTACCTTACGCAACGCTCCGGGGTCTCGGAAGTTGCTGATAGGCACTCACTGTCGCCATCCGGGCCCAAACCTCCGAGACACGTGCGGATACCGTCTGATGCTACGGATCGAAGTACGTCCACAATTGTTGCACCCAACCAACTGGCCGTACAAGAAGCATCCATCGACTCCAATCAGGCTGCCAGCCCGCTTGGAGACTACTCGGCTCAGCTCGCCAAATTTATCCAATCGCAGCTCAACTCAATACCGGCGTATACGTCTGGCGACAACTCAATTTCTCCACGGTCATGCCCCGATCTGACCTTCGCGCGGAGTGCTTCGCCTGTAAAGAGTCTAAAGAGCCCTGCTCTACCACATGCCAAGCCGGTGTCGATGAAGCGCCCTATCGGTGCGCCTAGTCTCATCCAGATACCTAGCATCCGTCCACCCGAGAGGAGTGCATTCTCCGAGTGGAGCTCGACAGATGACGAGACCGACGACGAGGCACCGCCACTGCCTGACACCGAGATTGCGCAACCAGTGCCAAAAGCCGACTCGTACACACCGCCAGTGTTGCGCTACTATGAGCAACCAAACGACTCTACGTTCCTTTTTACATCCACTCCCGTGGCCGACGACGAAGATGAGCCACACACTGCGAAGGGCTTCTCATTCCCATCGATTCCTTCGCCACCAGGAAACCATGCTGAACGCTCCTCCACACGCGATGAGGACTATCCATCATCGGACTCTAGACTATCACTCCTGTCATCATCTTCGGCGCCTTCCTTATCCTCCATATCACCCGGGTCCTATTTCGAACATAATATGCCTACATCCCAGGTGTCCGATTTGAGGAAACGGCTCCTAGCTGCGGTGACACCGCCGCCTGGGAAAATTATACCGGCCATATCGCCGTTCGAAGGGGCTGACCTGGCCAACGTTCACGACATACTGGTGCAGTCCCAGCGAAGCGTTCTTGTTGACGGCATGTCATTCGACATGGTCCGAGACTTCGCTGCACCCAACGAGGGCATGCGACCATATCAAACACAGTGCTAATTGCGTCCGACAGCACCTCACTCCCTTGTATACTACCAACGGTTTCTTTCCTTTCCTTCTTGCCAACGCCATTGGAATGGATCAGCAGGCCTGCTCCATTTCCGCATCGTCTACTCGATTTCAGCGTTCTGCCTCTGCCTCTGTACCCGCATATACTGTTTTGTAATCTGTTTATACACGTAGACTGCACCGTTTCTCAAGGCCTCCCGATTCGTTTCGGCGCCTTTCCTCACCTGTACCAACTCTTTCAGATATCCCGAACACGACTTTCATGACGCATATGACGCGGTCTTCTAGCTTTTCTTTTGGAGGTACAGCAGGTGGATGGGTTGAACAGCGTGCAGATAGTTCAGCTTATATAATTGGGAGACAGACACGGATCAGATCCAGACTCGAAGAAAATAAACCACATCTATCAAACAATTGTGCATAAAGCCAGCAACGAGCCTGAGGTGAAGGGTGTTCCGATTTGCACCAGTCAGGCCAAGGTGGACGGGATGAGGATCAGCGTCCCTGCATATCTGGCAGGCGGGGAGAATCCCGCAGGTGCGGTCCACTAGTTGCGTCAGCCTAGGTTGTTTGCTTCCAAAAGTCCACGGTTGCACCACGTCGACTCTTCATCCACCAAAACATTGTTCTCTCGCTCAATTGTTCGTTGTGCCAAGTTTCGAGCACGGCGCCTTTGACTATCGCGCATTCCTAGCCTGTTTCTTGCAGGCACCCCACCTGGCGCACCGCCCATGGAGGAGCCCAGCCTATGGGCGCGCGTCCTCGGGCAAGCTGCCCATCAGTTCACCCAGATCCAGCCCATGATCCCGACATACGCGCATCTGATCGCATCGGCGCTCTTCCCCATCTACGCTGGCGCGCATGCCTCGCTCACCCGACCGTCGTCCGCCGCGAAACCCACGAAGCGCACGAGCAAACTTGACGGCCAAGACCCCGACGATGACGATGAAGAGGAGGAAGAGCACAAGATGGAGGGCCTCTCACCCACAGATGCCATCATGATGCCTCTCTTCGCGGGATGCGCACTCGCGGGGCTCTACTTCCTGCTGAAATGGCTCAAAGACCCTCACTACCTGAACCTCGTCCTCAACTGGTACTTTGCGCTCTTCGGTGTTTTCGCAGTCTCTCGCCTCGTCACAGACGCCCTCGACATTGGTCATTCGCTCGTGTACCCACGCCGATTCGCACGCGGCGGTGCGCTATACCATGTGGACCAGACGCATCAGGCAGCTGTGCCAGTGGCCGGCGACATCAAGGACAAGAACCAATTGCTCTCGCCTCTGCCAGGATTTCTGTCCTACATTCCGCTTACCGACGGCTTCAGGAAGCTTCTCTGGTCTGATCGGGCGATGCCTGGCAACAAATGGACGCTCCGTCTATACATACATCGCCTCTTCGCTGGCAAGCTTCTCCTTGGGCCTCATGGCATGGTCGGTGCTGTCGTCTCTGTCGCTGTCTGGGGCTACTTTAACTTCGTGGACAAGCCGTGGTACCTGACCAACCTCATCGGGTTTGGCTTCTCATATGCTGCATTGCAGCTCATGTCTCCCACAACTTTTGCGACCGGAAGTCTGATCTTGAGCGCGCTCTTCTTCTACGACATTTATTTTGTCTTCTTCACGTGAGTGGCTCGTTGCGATCAAGATAGACATGTGCTAACGTTGCAGACCTATGATGGTCACAGTCGCTAAGAGCATTGATGCCCCGATCAAGCTTGTATTCCCTAGGCCGGACTCAGCCGTTTCCGACAAGCCCCAATACGCAATGTTGGGCCTCGGCGACGTCGTGCTACCGGGCATCATGATTGGCCTTGCCCTTCGTTTCGACCTTTGGATCTATTACCTCCGCCGCCAACGGCGTGTGCAAGCCACAGATGATTCTAGCGAGTTAGTGGAGAAGCCAAAGTACTTTTCCCTCGCTGGACGATGGAGCGATCACTTCTGGAGCCACTCTTTCTTCGGTCGGCCCTTGTGGATGCACGCAGACAAGCCCGAGCCGCCCTTTACTTTCCCCAAGACATACTTCAAAGCGAGTCTGACTGGCTACATCTTGGGCATGTTTGCTACCCTCGCCGTTATGCACGTTTGGGGTCATGCACAGCCCGCGCTACTGTACCTCGTTCCTGGTGTTCTAGGGAGCTTGTGGCTGACGGCTCTCGTCCGGGGCGAGCTGAAACTGATGTGGAACTTCAGTGAAGAGGATGAGGAAGAAGCGGAAGGCAAGGAGAAGACCGATGAGAAGGACTCTTCTGGGAATAAGACACCACGCGAACGTGAAAGCATGTTCTCAATGTCGGACAAGAAGGCTGAAGCCCGCGAAGAGCGCATGAAAAAGGCAATCGGCAAACACCTCGTTGTGGATTCCGAGGATGAGGGTAATGATATGGAGACTACCAAAGACAAGGTCAAGGCTGTGGCCGGTCACAGATCGCGCCGCGAGGTGTTCTCCTTCTCCATCGAAGCCCCGCATGACCTCAACCACCCGAGATCGTTGATGGACAGCAAGAAAGATAGAGCGAACGAGGAAACGAACAAGACGACCCAGCATGAACCGAGATCCGCGCCGACGCTGACCGGTAAGGCCGATGAGGGCCACGCCGGCAAACGTGTGCGGCTGACTTAGGAAGAAGCATTTGCATACGGCAATATCGGCTTTCGGATCTGGATGCTCATCGTAGGATTCTACGGGCTGTGGAAGTCATATCAGCACTATCGAGCCCTTGGAGATTGGAAAGCCGAATAGGCGGACATCGACGCGCTGTTGGCGGAAATCTCCAAACGATTAGAACAGATGAAGAGAAAGAAGGAAACTATGACATGGGTCCTGCACCGGAAGGGAATTGCTCGGACGACATAAAGGGAATAGTAGTCCTTCCAGACCGGTTAGTATAGTGGGCATGGCTTGGTTTGGCTGGTACGGCGTTGTGCATAGCGAAGGCGTTTGTGGGCTATCATTCCGGGTTTACTGGCGTAGATAGAATGGGATTGCTTGCATCCTGATATGGCTCCGAGATAGACAGTATCCATAATGAACGTGGCAGGATTCGCAGTGGCCCAGAGCTACACGTTCGAACTTCTTCTGTGGAAGGTATACTATCTACAATGAATGACTGAATATCCAGCTCTAGAGCACATGCTGGTGGTGTGAGTGTGACTGGTTGGGGCATTAGTGAGGCTGGACATGGATCCGTTGGCTCCAGTTTCGACTGCAACGTCGGAGCTTCGGGAAGAGTTTGGCGCCTCCAATTCTTTCATAGACGGGAGAGGGCATATTTGAATAGCGTGCTGGTAAGCCGACAGCGCGTTGGGCTGGGCCGCGAGGTGAAGGTGGATAATGCATCGCTTAGGTGGTACACCAATGAAGATAATGAGGTAGGACGGATAGTTAGATGTCATGTACTACGTATTGAAATCGGTGTTTACGCTAGGATATCGATTTGTGTGTGAGAGTGGTGGGGAATATAGTTATCCATAATTACATGGTAAAGTGATTAGGGAAAGCAGCAGTAAGAGGGCAAGCTAACAAGTGGTAATGCGAAACGCTGGGAGTTGAAAGGACCGAAAGGAAACATGCTCAAGTGTGTTCTGTTCTTGCAACGACATTATCGTGGCTATCGTGTCCTCGCCCTGGCCTCATGCTTAAATGGGCCAGACGCAGCCGCGCGAGGTTTCGGCTCCTCCAGCCGCTTCATGTCTTGAAGTGACTTCGGTCGCCATTACTTAAAGATGGCCACGCTCAACATCTTGTAATAACCGAATGGTGGTGGAGGCAGCGCTGGTTCCCGGACCACTTGTCTTTTCCTATCGCGAAAGCGCGTACCCATACTGACTAGACAGCAACTGTCAGCTATCAGCATCTCGGCCATCGAGCGACAAAACACAGGATGTGCATACTTGCTTCCGATCCCACAGTCGAATCATAGGACTCTATCAGGGTGTTTTGATCCGTAGGAACTTCTTTTTCGTGCTGGCGGCCATAAGGCGAGATGGTTTGACAATCTGATGGAAGATTTGGGAAGCAGGCTGATAAAAAGGAAAGAGCTTGGGTGGACGATGGCGTCCTGCATGCATGCGACAGCAGTTGCAGTGCATCCAGGTGACTTGCAGCAGCCAGTAGTATGCACACTCAGTGACGCACGATTTCATCCCATCAGCAAAACCCCCACATATTCCAGTGAGGATCTATGACCGTTGAGAATATCAACGTCTCAAAAGGGCCGATGAATCATCCACCCTTCCACGTTCGAGTAGTCCACCTAGTGCTTGAAGAGTCGGCCTCCGAATCGTAAAGGTTTAGCAATTTTTGATAATGTGTCATGGAGACCTTTGCGAACGATCTTTCTGATTTCTGGACGATATCTGAACCTGCTTGCCAGATAGTCGCGTCGCCCAGAACCGTCAACACTGTTCCGGAATCTCTATTAAATCAATGATGTTGAGTGTCCTAGGCTATGTGCGTCCATGCGGCGCTCAAAAACAATCTTCAGCGCAATCCTGAGCTACATTTATGAACATTCAATTGAATTTTGATAGAAAACGCAATACCTCCAAGAGATCCACATCGAACACTATGTACAGAGCCGGACCAATGACGTCAAAATCTGACAAACAACTGTGTGGGAATTTGACGACTGGTCGGATGGTAGTTATCAGTGTGACGTACGCAGTTCTCCCAGAATTGGTCGGGTACTCCCATCGGGCCTTCGTCATGTACAAAGTACATTGCAGATGTTTTCAGGGCATTTCAAGAATATGGTAAGGACAACAAAAACGTAAAGTGCCCTTAGAAGGGAGTATTGCCTCCTGCACAGTCCAAATACGCCGCCACCACAACGACAAGATGACTGACTTGAGAGCAGCACCTGCAGGGGCGGGGTCTCCCATGTCTGGTAGATCATATTATTCATCTGTTGTGCAGCCCAAAAGCTGCAAGGCCTGTTCTACCGCCCGCGATGGTGTGAGGCCCAGGGATCCTATCCAGATAGGCGCATTGATCACCCTGCCTGCATATCCGTCGCATCATACCGACCTGTTGCATTTTATCATCGTAATCCACTTAGTTGATACAGATAGCATCAATCGAGAGACAGCGTTCATTTTGAGCCTGTCCGAGGCGTTTGATTGCGTCGCAAAGAGTTGAGGAAATCTCAACCCATCGTTTATTTATCCTTATGGTCCGGGTAGCAAATTCGGCATAATCATCATCCATCCATGCATACTAGAGCGTCTCAGACGACAAAGCTGTGTCCTTCAGACTCCTGACTTGAAAACATCCCTCCATAGGTCTTCGTTCTGCCAGCTTGAAGATTGAAGCACGAGAGGCGGAATTTCGTGAGGGAGTTACTCAGCGATGGGAGACAGAGGAATGTTGAGAAGTTTTAGTGTTAATGATTCAATATCAATCTTTAAGAGAGTGGGCTGATTAGTACGGAGCAGGGCTAATGTGTCGCGTGTGTACCACGTTCCAGAGGGGCATAGTCACCTGAACCCAATGGGGATAGCGCCAAAAGAGGACAGGGTACATTAATAATCCGCACCATCCTCATACTAGAACGTGTATTCTCACATCTCCCAAAGTTATTGCGACACTTAACAATCGCCAAATCCCTCATGATTCGACAATGGTTTCCCAGCAGAAAACACCGGACCAGGGGCGATGGGCCTTCGTCACGACGTCGCCCACCACCCGTTGCCCTACGGCAGCTCAAAGAACGTTGATGCGAAAGCATATAATGAAAGACATAGGATACTCGAGACGAGCATGCCATTACTCCTCACGATCAAGTTCTGTATCGGGCGCTGGAGGCATCCCTGGGCAGACAGATGGGGCTCCAGAAGTAATCAAGCCCACAGCGATCCCAAGGGCCTTCCCTTCAACAGCCACCGCGCTAGTGACAGTCAATGATGACGCTCGCTGTGTGTTACATTACGGTACTGCGCGACGATCCCCGCATGAAGACATCTGTCTAACATGAGGTCAGTGTTCTCCGATGCACTTCCCAGCTACATTCGTGTGTACAGAGAGAAATGGTATCCAGTCTGCGTACAAGATAATGCAGCCTTTCACCAAATGCTTGCATGTTGTGCTACTCACCTATATCGGTGGCAGCCAGAAAAGCATCACAGATTGAAACGAGTAGCGATCAGCGAACATGCACAAGCGCTCACCATAGCTAGAGAGCACTTGAGAGGCGTGACTCATTTGGTTTCCGAAGACTATCTTGTTGTTATCCTTATGTTCGCATGCTACGCGCATATGCTCAATGACTTGGCAACATTTAAGATGCACATGGCCGCCATTCGAAACATCGTTTCGTTCCGAACGAGTGACATCAGCGAAGAATTTATGCGTTTATATCAATCGTGCGTATCTCGGTTGGTTGGAAGTTCTAAAACCATCTGCTAACTGGGGACAGCATTGACTCTATCGGGTCATATGCCTTCGGAATCACTCCATCATCCCTGATACCTACAACAATGACATTACCGACTCTCACTCACTCGACCCTTGGGAAGCCTCTTTCAGTCCTCATCAGCTCATTGGATCTGAAATACCGTCTGACGATGCTACAAGCATATCAATCGCTTCAAAACCTGGACCATTATCTGGCACTCGTCCATGTCAACCCAGGATCGTCACTACTGGACGAACCTTACAAGTTGGACCTACTCGTGGAGCCGGTCTCGCGATGCTTTTTGTCCCTTAGAATACCGACGGACATGCCAGCGAAGGACTCTGCACCTCTCACGTACTTGTGTGCGGGAGGATTGCTCTACTTAGCAGAACTGCGTAGGCGATCTGGTATCAGTCCCGTCATGACCACATTCCATGTCGATAAACTCAAGCAATCTCTCGAGAGCATGGCGCACTACCTCAACATAGATCCATCGATACACCTTTGGGTTCTTACAGTGGGTGCTCTCGAAAGTACTAGTCTGGACGACCAATATTACTTCTGCTCGCAAATCAAGCAGCTTAGGACGAATGAAGGAATCGAGACCATGAAACAATACGAGGAGCACCTACACTGGGTCGTCTGGTTTGACCCTCTATACCAAACACGACTCTCAGCTCTGTTCCCAATGACATAGAGAATCCAACTCATGCATCATACATTGTGAACTCCTATCTAGACATACTCCTCGCTGTCGCAAGCAGTTTGTTCAGATTTTCCTAGCGTTCTCTGCCGCTTCAGCACTACCAGCAGTAGAGCAACACCAAGCCCCAAGCCGGCCAAGCCCACGGATGTCCATTGCGCTGCCCGATATCCTTGAAGTATTGATTTATTCGAAGTACCTCTGACCACCTGGTATTCGACTGTACCCGCGATGCCCAGCCCGATAGCGATCGAATAGTTGATGATGGTGTTAACAAGTGACGCCGAGATACCCTGATGCTCGATCGAAACGGAGTCGCTCAGGAAGAGCGTCGACGCGGGAAAGGAGACATCCATCCTACAGGCACCGTCAGTACTGCAGGAAGCGTGCATAAGGGACGGCAACCACCTCACCCCCATGCCATGATAACAAAAGACCAAAACACGTTGAACCAGTACTTCTGTTCCACTGGGGCGGTCGCCAACAATACGGTGCCCATCAAGAACGCTGATGACGAAATGACCATGAGCCAAGGCGCGGGAACTTTTCCTACTGACCAGGCCACGAACAACGGCGCTACCATGCCAGAGATGGCTCCGGGACCGAACTGTAGTGCAGACTCAAGGCTCGATAGGCCTCGAACATGCTGAAGGAACTGGAAGATGTAGTAGAACCAGATGCCGAAGCTCGTCCAGCTGAGGCCAGTGGTGAGCAAGATACCCATCACGCGTCCGTTGAAGATGGAAACATCCATGATAGGATGCTCAGCTCGTCTCTCCTGCAAAGCGAACATGCCGAGGAAGATGAGCCCTACAATCAAGAGAACGTACACGTACGGGGTCGACCATCCGTCAATGGGTGCCTGGTTCCAAGAGATGTTAAGTAGAATCAATCCACCGACGCCAAAGAATGATCCGATCCAGTCGAATGTAATAACTTTAGGCGAGATCTCGTCTCGGTCTTGAGGCACCACGAGATACGCGATAGCAGCGACCATGAAGCATCCGATCCCGGAGATCCAAGTAATCCAGGGCCACCACACATACTGCGCCAGTGCGGACCCTGCCAGACCACCGATGATGCCGCCCAGCGGAGCGCACATAGCGATGAGTGAAAACACAACGCTCCTCCTCCGCCCAGGTGCGTAGGTCCGCCCGGCAATAGCCAGCGCATTTGGAAGCAACAGCGAAGGTCCGATACCCTGGAAAGCTCTGCTCACGTCAAAGAAGATTGCTGAGTGTGTGAACGCGCTACAGCCCGCAATGATAGACCACGCTGCGAACCATATCCAGCCGAAGACGAGGACATTCTTTGAGCCGTAGATATCCCCAAGGCGACCAGATACCAGGATAAAGGATCCTATGGTTAGACTATATGCTGCAGCGTGCCAGTTCATCTCGGCGGCCTGCTCGTAACCATCTTGGTGGAAGGTTTTGCTTATCAGGCTGAGCGGAATGATAACGTAGCCGAGTGCGATTTGGCAGAAGAGCTGTGTTGAACAGAGGACGAAAATGAAGACATACTCCCGCCATCCGTGGGGGCGATGAAGGTATCCGCGAGTGAGTGGAGTTTCCATCTTTGCGCACGAAGGAAACTGTGTACGTTAAGCAGCAGGCTGCGAATCGATCCTAGAGAGTGTGCCATCGTTTTATAAAGGTAAACTCCCAATATCCTGTCATTGAGAATGACAACAAATGAGGATTTCTCAGCGATCCACGTCCCTCAACATCGTCGACAGGGACCTGCAACCGCTTTGGGCTGGGTCATTTGGGCGGAAACCTTCGTCTTTTTGACACCACAGAGGGAAATTCCCACCGTAAAGACCCCCGGAAAGGGGCCGCCGACAATTGACGAATTCAAACTCATGATCCGACCTGGCCGCTAATGTCTGATGCAATATCTCCACGGGTGAGGATGGGCAATCCCTCAAAGGTGGCGTGAAGTTTAGCTGCTCCACTAGCGCCCGTTTCCTAGCGAAACGACAAGGGACCTGTGACCTTTTATGGTTAGCGTAATCCCCACGATCCGGAAGCGATACCACCAGCAGCGTAGCGCGTTAAGTATTCCACCTACAATCATGAGATGAGCTTCAGGTTGATTCCTCAAACTCTGCTATATGTGCCGAACGTGTTCGTGCTAACAGTGTTAAGCCGGAGTTGATCAGGCCGCTTGGCAAGAAGACATACTTGTGCGTCCGAGATCTCATCTTTCGACCTTTTCCGTAAGATGAAAATGCTGCCTTAGTTTGCTGGCATATCAGGGAGCAGCAGTCTAAGTCATGTTTCGATTGAACATAAACCAGCTTCGGATCCCTAGCGATTATCTGTCGCGATGGTCGCCTCATATGGGTGAAGTAGAGAGTTTGGTACACATGATCGAATGTGCGGATACTTCATTGCGAAAGGTGTTTTCTTGATGTTTCAACTTCATCCAGCTTCTCAAAGCATGCCAAAGTACTTGTTGTTTGTATCTGCTTCGAAATAAATTCTCAGTTAATATAGGTCACCGCCCTGGTCTTGGCGCAAACGAGCGCCTTCCGTCGTACTCTACCTGCAAACGCACTCACACTCACTCAAATAAATCTACCTCGAAACATTCTCCACAGGGACACAGAAACGCTTCCAACATGTCGGCTTCCTCCCGCGCAGCGCGAGATGCTGCCGAGAAACGTGCCACTTGTTCCTTTGAATCAACCACTCCATTCGGTTCCACCGCTCCCCTCAATCCCGTTAATCCGTTTGAGACAGCGACTCCCTTCGACGTAGTTTCTCCCTTCGATTGCACTTCGCCCAGGAAGCGTTGGGCTCCGCCTGGCTGGGAACTCAACACCACCATCACCTCGCATGGCCTCAAAGCGTCCGAGATTGTCCTTGTGGACAATTGCCGCTGCCAAGACCACAGGCAGCGCTACCCCGAGGTCGAGGCCATCATCCAGATGTTCTTCCGTGTTTGTGCCATCATCCTCAACGTTATTGTCCTGATAATCGTCCGCATCTTGGACACCGATCTCCAGACTCTCTTGCAGGTCAACAGGCTGTACGGTGGAGTATGTCGCATATCCAACATGCGGTGCTTGAACTAACGGGCTGCCAGATCGCGTTCTCGTTCTTGCTCAATACGATAGAACTCCTAACCCTCAGCAATCCGCAATCCACGCTGCTCATCCACTTGTTCCCGTCACTCTTACCCGCGATCCCATCGAAGTCGTCTCCGGAACTGCAGCCGCGCTTTCCCCGTCTGCCATCCCTGGCTCTCTGCATCTGCGAGCTCGCCGCCATGACCGGCAGCTTCTGTAGCGCGATAACGTTCCTCAACCCGAAGGTTGAGGGCGATGCGCTGAGGAACGGATGTCCGGTGGTGACGTGCGTGACGCCGGAGGAGCATGACATGATTTACGGGTACATGATTGAGGCGGTGATTGGACTGGTACATTGTGGATTCTTCTCCATGGCCTTTGTGCACTATGCAAAGAGGAAGGGGCCTGGCTGGTTGGAAAGGTTGGAGAGGTAGGCAAGGGTCGTATTACGCTAGAATGGTCTCAGCGGACACGTTGTCGTGAATCGATAGCCAGCAAGGGAGAAGAGTGAGCACGGAAAACAGAAGCTCGGATGGAGACGGATAGATGTCAAAATCGGCGCCCCGCTCTTCCAACCTCCCGGGCTAGCATTGTAGATCCGGTCTCTCATGATGGTAGCGTAAACCTCAAGCAGTCTCTTGGATCGGTATCCCGAGCCAGACGTGAAGGAAGGAAGACCAATGGCGCTCAAATACATCCCGCACCTCGTATGCTTTTCCATGCTCTCATTCTTGGTCACAACCCACCCATCAAGCAGGCTTCCTCCCCAGCACAAATGTCCTATCATAGTTATCGTCCCACACCCCGCCCCCACCCAGCACCCCCATCAGCGTCCTCCCCAACCCCAACCTCACCTTCGCTTTCGTCGCGTCAAACGCCACAGACGCCACCTCCAAGCCCATTAAAGTCGTGAGATCCGTTAATTTCTCGTACCTATTCTCGTACAGTCCACGCGTGATCCTGCCACTCGATTACTTTTCGCTCAAACAAGTGGACGTAGGTTGCGGAGAGGCTTAGGATAGATTCAATCACGAGACCGCGGGTTGAGTGGATCAAGAGCCCCGATCAATTTGAGCGATCGTATGTGATATGTTTGTCTATAGGTATTGCACCACAGTTTTATTTTCCCTCGCATTTGATCATCCCTAGTGCTAAAATGGCCACTTTGCGCCTCCCCACGGCGTTCAAGTGTCGGTACGCATCTGCACTATAATTGCCAGGCAATTGGCTTATCAATACGACATCTGTACTGTCTTAATTCCATTGTAACATGAGGTGACTCGATACTTACTATCAGAAGCGGATGCGTGCTTCTATGATAGAGCATTGCAGCCGTGTGCAGCGCACATTCCATGCACTTGGTATTGCACACAACGTCATACCCATCTGGGGCGGCAGCAGGTATTTTGGCAACCGTCCATGCAGCGAAGGCTGAAGCTCCAGGAGGTGCTCGATACATGGTCACTTCTTTTCCATGGACGTTCTGGATTTGAAAATCGATGCGTTCTCGAGTCGCTCGATCTCTGCGAAAGGTATTGGGGCGATGGTCGCATGTGACCAGTCCGTGATGTTCTAGTACCTCGTTGGCAGTGTAAGTGGGCAAAACGTGGAGGATTCGGCCTTGAGAGTTGGTGATCTGGAAGGAAGCACTGAGCATTTTTGTCGATTCCTCCAACAATAAAGACGATCTTTCGAAATCTAATTCTTCGGGCGCAATCCTACCATCTTCGTTGATCCATTCAAAGTCCGCGTGTTCCACATACATATCTTGTATCCGTGAGTACGGCGTGTCACGCCACAAGATTTGCCCAGGAACGATGCGAATCTGTGCAAGCGTAATTCCAGTATCGTTGCGAACCGAAAGATTATCGAGAATCATCCTATAGGCACATATACCATTCTCAACGAACGCGCAGCCGCTGTCGTGATCGATCTCATCCTCGTGGCTGCTGAAAAGCCCAAGGGCGCTATCTACCATCGATCGGACTCTGTGGTCGACTGAATAGAGAATCTCGTGCCCTCGTTCAGGTTCGATTACCCAGTCGATTGACTTTACGGGTGTTTCTCTAGGTTCCGCTCTGGCGTCAGTTTGCCTGTCGTATAATCGCTCAAATCCGCTCCTCTTTGGAGTTAGGCCGCGCTCAACGATAGCATTGGACAAGATGAGCCCTGCTTTCAAGATGGTCTCAACCACAACAACTGCACACCACCCTGTTCTGGGCCTATCACGAACTCCAGGAGTGCACCAAGCACACTTGCACGACCTCGCAAGTAGTGTCATACACAAACCGTATTTTTTGCGCGCCTCCTGGTGAACTGCCTCGGCGGCGCCTTCGTCCATTGCGGCTTTGAAAATGCGCAGCTCCGGGAAACGGCTGATGAGATGCTGCACAAAGCCAAACCCACTCCCAGCATCTGTATAATAGATCCAATTTCTGCGAGTTTCGATATCGATCCCCGGTTCGGCTGTTGCGACAGCTTTGAAGATCCTTGCCGCATAACCTAACGTCTTGCCAAAGACGTTGTCCATATTCTTTAGTTGCGCGTACGTGTTGCCGAACACATCTGATAAACAACGATCCCATTCAAGCCGACCGGCTGCGACATTCTCGATATTTGCATTCTCTTTGTTTGCCCAAAGTACATCCGAGACGTCTTTCAGATAGATCACTTTCCTGGTGTACTGGAACAGATCTAGCTCCATCTTTTCAGGCGATGACGTGGCTGTTCGATCCCGGTAAACAAAGCGCACTTGAATCGGTGCCCCGGACATGGCCTTAGGATAGATCGGGGGCGTGCCATCGCTTTCGTAAATAGCAATATTCATGTCAAAGAGCCACTCGGCGACGGCAGCAAGGAACCCTATGTCTCCACCGCCAACAATAGTCACGGACTCCATCTCTTTGCGAGATATCTCGCCGAGAGTGACCAGTGCCTTTGCGATATCTCGAGACTTTGAGCGGCTCCTCCAGCTGTCGTGGAATTCGGCAGCTGTAGCACTGGGCAGGGATGTCTCCGTAGGATGCTTCTTCATTAAGTCTTCGGCTAGGACACCAAAACCTGTCGTTGCCAACGCTCCAGCGCAAGCCCTAACTATCTTGAGCCAACTTTGTAGCAAAGGCGTAGCTTCGCGCTGCAAATCCAGGATGAAGAGGATTTCCTTGAGTACCGTTGCAGCTACGCTTTCGTTGTACACTTCCGTTAGTGCAGCCGATATTGCTAGGAGGGCGAGACCGTCGACATGCGCGAAGGTTTGAACAATACTTGTGGGACCGTAACCAAACGTAAGTTTGTCGCCGATGCTACGATACGCCTTCAAGTTGGCGACAGCAGCGCTTACACGCTCCTCTCCTTGGCGACCAAGAGGGAGCTTTCGTCCCATTGAGACCCCTAATAACAGCGTGTATGGTTCAACATTGTAGTTAGCTACGCGGGCTAAAAAGGACATCGCGTACGCGCCCATTCTGACCAGATCAAACTTTCCCGTTTGAGGGAAATTAGTGAGCGGGCCCGAACTCATTGTGACCTAGTTGTTCTGTCTTGGTCTGTGTGCAGTCAACGTCATGAAAGCGAACGTTCGTAGACTGCCTGCGATTTGACCAGTCGTCGGCAACTAAAGTGTCGATGCCAGGATCTCGATCCTGTGCGTGAAAGCAGTGATCAAAAGAAATGGACTGGGTGTCTGAATGTAATAAAGTAGACGCGAAAAATCAAGTATGACAAGGCAGAGACCGCAGATGGCAGGGAGGAATGAACTAAAAGCCCGAAGAAGAGAGAAGACTGAGAAGGGACAACAAGCACGTTATGTTGTCATAGCAGTCACAACTGTGCCGCAATGCGCACGGACCTTGCAGGCTGCTACACGCATTGCACCCCGCACCGGTGTATATTCCTTACCCCTAAAAACAATTGTGATCACCAGGACGCCTTGCGGACTTGGGGGGGTGGCGTCGGCCTAGGTGCTCATTCCGCAGACCGTGTTAATTGGCTTCATTGTGGGGAGAATAGGCAATGAGGCTGCTACTATACCTGGCTATGTCAATGTCCTCAGCCAGGCTGGTGGTGTCAAATTTGAAGTGATTTGAATGATTCCTGATGGTGTAAATGGTATATATACATTAGAAGCCTAGTCGCTTGTCAGCAAACTTCTCTACTCATCACTCGGGAACAACTTACCAGATTCTGTGTTTCCTTCGCCCATACTCCTGCTTCCACTGCTACCGCTCTGTATTGAGCCAAGAATGCCATCGATGTATCCTGCTCCGCTCCATTTTTGATGCGTGAGTACGTCGCAGCCGATCTCCTTTTCGCGCGCTTGTACGAGGTTGACGTAGGCAAGCATGCCCTGGTCTTTGAAAGCGCGGGAGAGCTCGCAGGTGATTGTTGCGGTCGAATGCAGGCCCGCGAGGGAGATGAGCTGGAGAACGAACCTGCGAAACAATTAGCATGCCGTGGTGAGAATGCTTGATATGGTCTGACGTACCCATGCTTTGCGAGATCCCACACGAAACTCTTCAGCGATTCTTCTGAGAAACCCTGGCCGAGCCAATTGAAGCTGGGGGAGAGGTTGTACACAAATTTCTTGCCGGGATACTTCTCTCTAATCTCGCCGGCAAACTTCCCAGCGTCCTCGACGTTGGGGCTTCCGGTCTCGACCCACAGAAGATCGGCGTAGGGCGCGAATTCCTTCGCGCGCTTGGTGGCTGCGGCCATGCCGGCCTTGTAGTGGTAATGGCCTTCGCGCGTGCGGGGAATGTCCCAGTTGAAGAATACGGGTGATTTGGTGTACTTGGCTGCGACTTGGCGACGCTTGAGGAGCGATAGGTCAGGGTTGGCCCTGACTTCTTCAAGGTAGGCATCCGCGGGGGACCCTTCCTTCGCGAGGTGCTGTTGTACGGCTTCGTCGAAGGTGACGAGCTTGTGCTTCTTGACCCAGGCCGCCTCATACGCATCGATCTCGCTTCCGGGAGCACCAGCAGCTTCCATGTTCTGCAAAGTCTCTGATAGGGGCTCCGTATCTTCTGTCACGCCTTTGATGAATTCGTGGTCTCGTACGTCCACCGCGCTCGAGATTAGCTTGCCGCTCTCGGAGTCTGTTCGCGCGATGACGAGATTCTCGCAGCCCATCATGTCCCATTGGAAACGTGCAGCTACAAGGCGGTTGATGTGGTCGCCAACTGGTACAAGCACCTTTCCGGCCAAATGACCGCACTTCTTGCCGCCGTGAAGCTGATCCTCGAAGTGAACAGCAGCGGCTCCGTTCTCTGCAAAGAGCTTCGCGAGTTTTATGACCGCTGACAGTCCGCCATGGCCAGTGTCTCCGTCTGCAATGATGGGGCGCATGTAGTCGAGATATGGTGTCTTGGCTCTCTCCTCAGGTGTCATCTTCCTCCTGTTGTCCCAGTTTTTGCGATCATGGAGCTGTTGTGCCTTGAAGAGTCGCTGCACCTGGTTCGGAACGGTGTTGTATGGGTAATCGCCGAAATCAGCAGACACCTCGTGCGTAGTAGTCAATACAGAGGAGCATGCCCAGCCGGAAATGTATAGGACTTCCTGGTTCGGCGCTTGTTGGGTCATTTGTATGGGATCAATAGCGCCCACTATAGGTTGAGAGTTCCGAATCAGCCGTTGCATTTACTAGAGGGGACAGACCTAACGCACTTGTGTGGACAGGCTCGCCCGTCGCAGCTCGTTCCTCGAACAGATTGAAGAGCTTCCGCGCCATCAACGAGCTGGGGTATGTCTGTTGCAATGTGCCCCTCTTGCTAACGACGTCCTCGGCCGAGTATGGCCTCTTGATACCCTTGTATCGCGGTGATGCCCACCAGTCCTTGACCTGCTGCACCTGCTCTTCGAAGAGCGCATCTTCCGCCTGGCCAGCCTTCGCCGCCTCCGGGAGCAGCTGGAACGAGTCGCCTGGGAGGGCTGAAGAGACGGGTGGATCTACCGGCGCGAGCGGCGAGCTCGACATACGGCACATCGTGGTGGAGAGGGGTCGCAGGAGCTTTGGTGTTCGGTGTGCTGGTTTCAGAGACCGGCTCTGGCGCGCTGCGGATCGTGCAACTGTTCGTAACATTGCGGAGAAAATACACTGTTTATGGTAGAGAAACAAGTCTCTTATTCTTCTGGTGTTCTCGAGCAGCGGCGAGTTTGGTAAGCTCGGAGAGCTACCGAGAGCGAATCTCGCGGTCAAAAGCGATGAAGAGCGGAAAACGCGGAAAAAGCGGCAAGAGGCACGCAATTGGCCAGGGCCACCCTACGAAAAATGATTCACAGGTTGCGTCGCACGCGGAGAAGAATATGTCCAGCAGGCAGTGCGTCACTTGCTCGGCGACGCGGAGCCCCAGGTTGTTTTGGGTGGGATAACGTCACGCGAACGGGCCGAGGATAGCCAGCAGCGCTAACCCCATGCGTGCTTTACCGAGGGGCAGCTCACCGTCCGCCGCATCAGCGGGACTTGGGGTGCCTTGTGAAAGGTTAACGCCGAGCGTTGCCGCGAATCCTCTGCGGCAGCTCTTTATAGCTTCCTCTGCCCACCTCCTCGTTGACCGGTTTCGCTGTTTGTCGAGAGCTGAAGCGCGAAGTCTGCCTGCATTTCCCCGCAACAGCACACCCCTGCTCACCCCTCATCAAAGCTACAGCTATGGCGTTGAGCGCACGTACAGCTTCGCGAGCTCTGCGAGCCGTCAAGGTGAGCTCCGGAATCCCCAATTGACCGGAGAGAAGCTGATTGAATTCTGCGCAGCCTTCGGCGGCTCGTCCTTTTGCTTCAGGTGAGCAATTGACCCCGCAGACATCCTCTCCACACCACGCTAATTGATCCTGCCCACAGTGCAATCATGCAGCTACTCTTCGTCCTCGGAGCCGGATCTCAAGGAAACTTTCAAGAAGGTTCTACCTGCCAAGCGGGAACTCCTCAAGAAGGTCAAGGCACATGCCGACAAGGAGCTCGGCGTTGTCAAGGTGGAGAACACCTTGGGTGGAATGAGGTGCGTGTGCCTTCATGCGTTTTTGACTTGCTCTGACATTTCGAAAGAGGGCTGAAAGCCATGGTTTGGGAGGGCTCAGTGCTTGACGCAAATGAGGGTATCCGGTTCCATGGCAAGACCATCAAGGACTGCCAGAAGGAGCTCCCAAAGGGCACTTCCGGCACCGAGATGCTTCCGGAAGCAATGTTCTGGCTTTTGCTTACCGGTGAGGTCCCCACCGTGTCCCAGACCCGGGTGCTCTCACGAGAGCTTGCCGAAAAGGCAGGCATTCCCAAATTTGTGGAGAAGATGCTTGACGACTTTCCCAAGGATCTGCACCCAATGACGCAGTTCGCTTGCGCGGTCTCAGCCTTGAACTACGAGTCTAAATTTGCGAAAGCATATGAGAAGGGTATCAACAAGGCCGACTACTGGGAGCCGACGTTCGATGACTGCATTAGTCTGCTTGCGAAGCTGCCCACGATCGCTGCGAAGATCTACCAGAACGCCTACCGCGGCGGAGGTGCACTGCCTGCCGAGGTCGACCTCAACCAGGATTGGGCGTACAACTTTGCTGCTATGCTCGGCAAGGCCGGAAAGGAGAATGAGGGTTTCCAGGATCTCCTCCGTCTGTATCTCGCTCTTCACGGCGACCACGAGGGAGGTAACGTCTCCGCTCACGCCACGCATTTGGTCGGCAGTGCGCTCAGCGATCCTTTCCTGTCGTACAGCGCTGGTCTCCAGGGTCTTGCTGGACCACTTCACGGTCTGGCCGCTCAGGAAGTGCTTCGCTTCATTCTGGATATGCAGAAGACGGTCGGAACCAGCTTCACCGAGGGCGATGTGACAGACTTCCTCTGGAGTGTCCTCAAGTCAGGACGTGTGATTCCAGGATACGGCCACGCGGTTCTGCGGAAGCCTGACCCCCGGTTCGAAGCTCTCATGGACTTTGCCAACGCGCGCCCCGACATTGCGAAGAACCCCGTCTACCAGCTCGTCAAGAAGAATTCTGAGGTCGCACCTGGCGTCCTCACCGAGCACGGCAAGGTACGATTAGCATACACTACTGTTGACGATATACTTACCGGCGAAACAGACCAAGAACCCGTACCCCAACGTCGATTCGTCCTCGGGTGTGCTCTTCCACCACTACGGCTTCCACGAGACGCTGTACTACACAGCAACCTTCGGTGTCAGCCGCGGTCTCGGCCCGCTCGCACAACTCATTTGGGACAGGGCTCTGGGTCTGCCCATCGAGCGTCCCAAGAGCATCAACCTCGAGGGCATCCTAAAGCAGGTCGGCGCATAGAGCGGGGGTTTCGACCCACAAAAAGCGAATCGCGGAGCTGGGTAATCTATCTGTATATATCAGCCGCAGAAAGGCGTTTGGGTCATGTTAGAAACGCCTGCGCCACGAATTGAGATGCAATGTTCACGTTCTAAAGGCTTTATGGATGATGATTTGACTTCGAGATCAGACTTGCAAGTGCATTGATTGGTTGGATATCGCTTCTGCCCACTAGACAGTCTTTAGCCTGAGCGTGGCACAGGCGTGATGGGTCGCATTTTCACCGCGATGCCACCTGCAGGTTTCACCTAGAGAAAGTTATAACTGTCAACGTTGCATGCAGAAGACCGGGGAGTCTTGAATGTGACTCACCACGACGATGCCAATCTGCTTCGGCTCGTGCTTTTGCGCAGACGTCCACTTGAACCCCGCCACCAGCGCATCAACTACCCTCCGCATCTCAGCCTTGGCGAGCCTCTCCTCGGTGCATCCCTTCGGTCCCTTGGGGAACTTCGGCATCCCGCACTGATGACGTCCCAAGCTTCCACCGTGCTCGTTGAGTGTGCCGTGGCGTGAGCGGATCTCATCGGCTTCCACTACTACAAGCTTTCCGGCTATCGAAGTGGGAGATGAGGCTGCTGGCGATGGTGCTTTGCAGCTTGACCAGGGGGAACGATCCATCGATAAGGATCGAATTTGGATGGTGACCGACCCCATATCGCCTGTGATCGTCCCATGGCGTAGGGCGATATTACGACGTAGGTACCAGCTTTGACGGCGTGTGATCCAACTGTTGTGTCGCGGACCGTTTTGCGTAACGTGAGCGGCAATGGTGGCTCGAGCCGCATCGTCTCATAGTATTGCATTTAGCATTGTCATCCTCTCGTACTTTGCCTTGGGTAATGAGCGATCTTGACCCGCGCGGAGGCTGAACGCTGCCAGCTCTTCTCGCAAGGTGGTTTGGAGAGACGGATGTTAGCTGAGGAGGTTAATGGTCATTGCTATGTGTGCTGCGGCGCATTCGTGGCTGGATACGGATCCGTGTCAGTAATTATCGGAGGAAGATATAATGTATCTACTGGAAGGAGACCTACGCCGCTGCCATGAGGATGACCAGGTCATCCGCACGCTCCTGAGCATCACACTTCTCCGGACGAACACCCTCAGTGAGAAAGTCCTGAGGCGCTTCTTCACCCTTCACTATTAGACTCATGCGTCTCTCAACGGCACTGAGTGTGAGGTCTCGAATAACACAACCCGCTTCATCCATCTCTTTATCAAGCTTATGCGGAAACATCCTACTCAACCAGTCAGGCGCAGAATTATGCCACGCGTAGTGTCCCATCTTCTCATTCAAATCAGCAAAAATAATCGTACATGCTTCCAAGAACGGATGAACGTCCCACTCTCAATCAAACCAAAAGCTTCTCCAAAGCCAACAACGCACGCAATATCCGGCGTAAACCCAGTCGCCCAGTCGCATATATCGGCGACCACCTCGCCACCCCTCACGTGACTTTGCAATACACTTCCCAAGCGCTGCGACCTCGCACACAGCAATGATTGAAGCCCATCCACGTTCCTCGCCTGAAATGCAGGCCCCACCGCCCTCCTCCTTACCTGATGCGCCTCGCCCTCCTGCACCACGAGTCCTACCGCCAGAATTCGCTTTGCATACCGCCTAAACCCGCGCGTCTTCTCACAGTTGTAGGCGTGGGCAAACAGGACGTCGCGCAGACCTTCTGCGGCGGTCACCACGAGATCCTCAGATCCTAGCACGCCGCGAAAGTAGAGGAGTCCGGCGTTAGGAATGGAGTCCATCCACTCCGTGATTTGGCGGCCGAGGGGGCTGCTGAAGGAGGCGGTAAGGTGGACGGCGAGGGGGTTGGGCGGCTTGAAGATTAGATCAGGTATGTTGCGTGAACGATTGCGCGTTAGGGGGAGAAAAGGACGTCCTGGCGGCTGTGGGAGGCCGCGGGGAGTGCTGAAGCGTGGCCTGAGACGACATCGCCAGGGGGTACATAGCACTCACAACCTCTTGGTATCAGCGCTGGACCTTTTCGGGTTGATGTTACCTATTTGAATGTATTCAGGTGTGATGGCGTTCTGCATGATCAGGATTCGAAAGCCTGTATGATGACTACAAGCGCAGATAGTTTCGAGGTATGGCGGGCTAAATTCTGGACTTTCAGGGGCTGTTTCTTGTGTAGATGTCAGCCTCCGTTCATATATGTTCGACCCCAAGGCACATCTCCAACTTTCATCAGTTTATCCCAACGCTTTTGGCACTGAAGACGCCCTTATCATGGCGTCCACCTTCCTTCACGCCGTATTTCTCACACTCACACACCCAGCTATCCTCTTTCTTGCACTGAATTTGCCTTCTCTATCCTACCATAGCAATTTTACAAGAGCATTCTCACGGTAGCCGTGAGTGCAATGCACATCATATAGATAGGAAAGTTGCAAGCGCCCCACTAACTTTCATGACCGGCCTGCTGGAAGGCTGGATCGTTATTTGGGCTGTTGTTCTGCTGGTTCGACACAATGTTTTCACTGATGCTCGGTGGAGGCGTTGTTCCAACACTGTACGATACGACGGCGAGTTTGAAGAGCAAGGGGCTGTCCGGCAGAGGTATTCGAGGCGTGATCGCGTGGCTAGATTGGCTTGGAGCTTGGATTTGCTGATTAGTTTTCGGGGCGTTGGATGGCACTCTGGGGAAGGTGGTGAGCGAAACATTCCTGCGGCTCCGTAATTGATGGTATACAAATCTGGTTGACCCACAGGGACTCCAGATAAGAGCAAGGCTAGAAAATCCTCTAACGATGGTCCTTCGTCTAAAACTGTTAGAGAGTCCGGCATCTTCAGTCTCTTGCGAGATATCCCAGTATTCCAGATGGTCTTGTGGACCTCATCGCAACTTCAAGCTGGCGTAGCAAAGTCGCCCTGGCAGCTTCAAGCCTTGAATACTGTGACTTGGGTCGGCACCAGTGGGCCGTTCATCAATTTCTGCCACTCCGCGTGGTCAGTCGTCGGTGAAACAAATAATTTGATGAGCTCTTCGAAGTCCTTTCTTCCACAGCGATACGACCCAAGTCCATGGGGTCCAGCAGGTGCAGTGATTGAGCATGGGCTTGCAGGTGCGCAGACTTATCCCACCCCTCACAAGGTCTAGCTGTCTAGAAACTCACATGAACCCTACAGATATTCTAAGAAAAGAATCTTCGAAGTATACCAGAGGTGTATGCGATGTCGATCAATGTTGGAGTGTTGAAGTGCTGCCAATGTGGCGGAGCATTCACGGTGCCGCAAAGCTAAGCTTAAAACAGCTAAGCTTCCCCATCTGAGCCTCAAGAATATATGACAGGTGCGGTCGCAGGCCTTCCCCATTTGCTCCACATACCACTTCCCACACATCCACTATCAAGCCAAGCGTTCTATATGTATTCTTCTTGCGTCGCCGATCTCATTGTTGTAGTCTGGAGAGATCAGCTCTTATCTACCGGTATCCAGTGCGCGACTTTCAAGGTTCTAATGTTCTAAGAATAGCCGCTGACTGTGCTCCAAACGAACGATCATTTGCGCTGTATACAAGAGAGAACATGCACCTATTGTATGTTGAAAATAAATGATATGTATTGGGTGGCACAGCACGTCACTCCCCAGTGATGAGGATAATTTTTAGCGGTGTGATCGACCGACCGAGAATTTCATCTCTACGATAAGAAGGGACTGCAAACCATAATGCTGTGATGCATAGTCACAGACTCTCGATGAGAATACTTGAACGATCGCGGTCTCGCTAGATTCTCACAATTTTGCCTCGAAACCGTCTCGATGGCCTATCAGCCACTGAATCTGCAGCATAGCATTGCAGTAGAGCCCATCAGCGATGAAATCACATCTACCTCGACCCCTCGCCAGCATAATCCCTTCCAGGACGGCTTCCAGGACATGCAATTCGATAGAGCATCCGATGCTGCCGCGACTGGTCACGGGAGCAAACATGCACCGCATTGGAGTTCGTCTACCAATACGACAGTCGTCACGTCAGAGGATTCCGGCCTCAAGTCCAAGCGCAAAGTCAACTTGACTCACGCAGACACCTGGACGCCGGAGATAGTGACCCTGCTGGTCGGGGTGGCAGCTGTTTCCGCGATTATCGGGGTCATTGCTCGATACAATGGACGCGCGTTGCCTGAATGGCCCCACCAGATCACGCTGAATGCTCTCATTGCATTGCTAGCTACCATCGCAAACGCGACCATGTCCATCACCTTATCGAGTGGAATTTCTCAATCGAAATGGATTCGCTTCAAGCAGGCAGAGACACCGTTATCCGACGTCGAGGTCTTCGACGAAGCTAGCCGGGGCTCTTGGGGTGCTCTGAAGCTGCTCATGGAAAGGAGAGGCGGGTATGTAACATGGGAGATAGATTGGTGCACTATTGACATAGATTCGCAGGTTCCTCAGCTCGCTCGGGGCACTGATTGGCATCCTTTCCCTCGCCCTTGGTCCATTCGCTCAACAGATTGCCACTTACAAGACCCGAAATGTAGAAAGCGATTTAGGAGCGGTCATTCCTCGAGCTCTGAACTACAATGGCGCCTTGAAGGGCAACACAAGCTCAAGTCAGTAACTCAACAGAGTTCCTCATTGGCATTGAGCATTGGCTGACACGCTCTTAGCGGGCTACGTTCCTATACTCCCACTGAAAGCGGCAGTGTACAATGGCCTGTTCGCGGAAAACAATAGGCCTGCTGCCTCGCTTCCCTTCACGTGCCAAAGCGGAAACTGTGCTTGGGAACCCTTCGAAACACTAGCAGTCTGTCACGAATGCATCGACATCAGCGCGCTTGCCACGCGGTACTGTCCCTCCGAGTTTGGCCCCAACCCAAACGTCTCCACGTGCGGGTGGCAAGTGCCTCAAGGAGCCCGCCTAAACACCAGCTCAGACGTGTTCAGCATGACCTCCTTCATCCCGTCTGCATACGGCGATATGCCGCACTCGACATTGATTCGAATCATTTTCATGGGCACGGAGCTCCACAGCGTACCAGACGCGGTAAACGTCTGGGCCAAGCAATGCAGTCTGCAAGCTTGCGTGCAGACGCTCTCGTCTTCAATCGTGAACGGCACACTTCAGGAGAAGGTCACGCAGACAACCAACAACCATAGCGTTGTCGATATGAGCTCGCCTGACTCAGAGTCAGAGTACGACGTGTACATCAAAGGCGCGGACGAGCTCTATCTCCTGGGCATGGGTGCGCTTCTGAGCATCCGTGGCTGGTTCGGGGCAATCTTCACCAATGGATCAGCTACCAGGACAGCGACAGACTTCACCCGCAGCGTCACGGATGCAGATCGCGCTGTGGTAGTAAACCTTACCGTGGGCATATCCTCGGGTGAAACGTTCTTCGACACGGATATCATCACTGCATTCTACTGGAACTACTACGAGTACGCGGACGGTCTGAACATGCTGATGAGCGATCTTGCAGTGTCAATGACGACTGCCTTCCGCGGCTTCATGGGCGCGGTGCCCGTGAGCGGGAAGTCGACATCGATGGAGTCGTACGTACATGTGAGGTGGGGCTTTTCGATTCTTCCCGTTGCCGTCGTTCTGGCGACGGTTCTATTCTTGATAGCAGGGATGGTGTTGACGCGCAGGTCGCAGACGAAGCTGTGGAAGAGCAGTGCGTTGGCGGCGTTGTTCCACGGTCTGGACCACGACACCCGAGCACTGTTTGATGCGGAGGATGATCTGGAACAGAAGAAGACGCAGGCGAAGCGGGTCAAGGTGAGATTGCAGCAGGATGCTTCGGATGGGACTTTGCTGAGAGCTGGGAAGACGGAGGTGTCGGCGTAACGTCGTTGCTTTTCCGGGGATTGGACGTAAAATTGAGCGAGCAAAAGACAGTACTCCTTAAGCGGCTTCAAGCCTTTTGATCTTCTCCGGAGGGCTGGGCTGATGCAATACTAAGGTGGCTCGCGTCGCAAACAACTCGCGGTGAATGTTGCGACATGGTTGTGCATGCAGGGCGGAGCGCAGTGATTGGTGGGGACTCGAAGCGAAGCGGGCCGGGATCAGGGATTCAGGGTCCCGCAGCGCGTTAACTCGCATGAGAGGCAACGCTGACCACGACCTGCGGTACGACATCATTCCGCGCGCTGCGTCGTTTTGTATTACTTCCTTCCCGTCGTTTCTGGGGCGCCCGTCTTGCTTTGGTACTTCGATCCGTGACATCAAACAACCTCATGCCGCACCGTTGGCACGCTATTTAAGGCTCGCGGTGCCGCCGTTTCGATACCCAAGCTCACTCGCCGCGCGAGCTCCCTCCGCTGTCCACAGCCGTTCCCCCCAGCCCGCGAGCATGGCGCCCCTGGAGTTCCACGAGCTCCGCCGCGGCAAGTACGCCAAACTCGACGCCCCCGTCGACGACGAATCCCCCTCGCGCCTGTCCTTCGCTTCCGACGCCTCGTCCTTCGAAGACCTCGAAGAGTACGACCCGCTCAACTACGATGCGGGCACCCTCAAGCGCAAGAAGAGCACTGGCGACCTGCGCACGCGCAAGCCCTCGTTCAAGAAAGAAGCCGACGGGTTTGCGCTCAGACCGAAGCCCGGCAGGAGCTGTGGGATTCGGCAGTGGTGCTGCTGGCTGCTGATCTTCGTGACGTCGGTTGTTCTGCTGTTTACCGCGGGGGGTCTGTGGGCGTACAGGAGGACGCTGGTCAAGGATGGCATGAGCCCACCGTGGTACCCCACGCCCAAAGGAGGCGCGGATGCAGCTTGGCAACAAAGCTACAGCAAGGCAGCCGACATGGTGCGCCAGATGACGCTTGTGGAGAAGGTCAACATCACGACGGGCGTGGGGTGGAGCATGGGCATGTGCGTGGGCAACACGGGGCCTGTACAGCGGCTGAAGTTCCCCTCGCTGTGCCTCCAGGACGGCCCGCTCGGGATACGGTTCGCCGACAACATCACGGCCTTCCCCGCAGGCATCACAGTGGGCGCGACGTGGAACAAGGAGTTGATGTACTTGAGGGGCAAGGCACACGGAGAGGAGGCGCGATTAAAGGGTGTCAACGTGCTACTCGGACCTGCGATGGGACCTCTGGGACGAATGCCGGCAGGTGGGCGCAATTGGGAAGGATTCGGCTCAGATCCAGTCCTGCAGGGCGTCGCAGCCGCGCAGACGATCAAGGGCATTCAGGACGCGGGCGTCATAGCTACGGCGAAACACTTTATCCTCAACGAGCAGGAGCACTTCCGGCAGGCGTGGGAATGGGGTCTTCCAAATGCCATCTCGAGTAACATCGACGATCGGGCGTTGCACGAGATCTACGCGTGGCCCTTCGCTGAGTCTGTCAAGGCTGGTGTGGGTTCCGTCATGTGCTCGTATAATCAGGTTGCTATCACCCCGTATGACGTGAAGTGCTATGCTGATTCGAAACAGGTTAACAACAGCTACGCTTGCCAGAACAGCAAGCTCATGAACGGCATTCTCAAAGACGAACTTGGCTTCCAAGGCTTCGTCCAGAGCGACTGGCTTGCTCAGCGATCGGGTGTCGCAGCCGCCCTTGCTGGCTTAGACATGTCCATGCCTGGCGATGGCCTCAAGTGGGCTGACGGTGACAGCTTGTGGGGTGCTCAGCTCACAAAGGCCGTTCTGAACGGAAGCGTACCCATCGATCGTGTGGATGACATGGTGACCCGCATAGTCGCTGCGTGGTACCAGGTTGGCCAGGACAAGTGGCCTGAGGACGGTCCCAACTTCTCTTCTTGGACGAACGATGAGATTGGCAAGATTTACGAAGGAAGTCCTTCGGATGACACCAAGGGGGTCGTTAACAAGTTCGTTAATGCTCAAGGCGAAGGCGAAGACTTCCATGGAAACCTCGTCCGAAAAGTTGCCGCAGAGGGCACGGTGCTTCTCAAGAACGAAGGCCACTTGCTACCCCTGAGTCGCGATGGGTGGCAAGAGCATGAGAAGAAGACCGACAAATACCGGGTTGGGATCTTTGGCGAGGATGCGCGTCTCAGCCGCGACGGTATCAACAGTTGCCCCGATCAAAGCTGTAACGATGGCACGTTGGCTTCTGGCTGGGGCAGTGGTGCTGTCGATTATCCTTACCTTGTCGATCCTCTCTCGGCGTTGCGCAAGGCGTTCAATAACGAGTCTGTGTACGTGACGGACTGGCCAGAGAACACGCTGCCGAAGGAGAAGGAGATCGTTGAAGATCAAGATCTCTGCATTGTGTTTGCCAACGCTCACGGAGGAGAGGGATACTTGAAGTGGTCAGGTAAGCTCAGAGCACCTAAGCACAGCTCCAACAGAAACGGATTCCTCACTGACGCACAATAGATGTTCATGGTGACCGCAATGACCTTAATCTCCAGAAGGGCGGCGACAAACTCATCCAGGACGTCGCCAAAGACTGTGGGAAGGGCAAAGGAGACGTCATCGTAGTCATCCACGCCATCGGCCCTGTCATCATGGAGAAGTTCATCTCCCTCCCCTCGGTCAAAGCCGTCGTCCTCGCCAACCTCCCCGGCCAAGAATCCGGCAACGCCCTCGTAGACGTCCTCTTCGGCGATGTGAACCCCTCCGGCCGTCTCCCCTACACTATCGCCAAAAAAGAAGAAGACTACGGTCCAGGCAGCAGGATCAAATACCTGCCCAACCCCGTCGAAGGCCTCACGCCCCAACAGAATTTCTCTGAGGGGCTATATATTGACTACCGCCACTTCGACAAGTACGACATCGCGCCCCGCTACGAATTCGGGCATGGCCTATCCTATACCACGTTCCACCTCTCCTCGCTCCTCATCTCCAGCCACGGGGGGAGATCGCCCTACCCGGCCCCACGTCCAGACCCGACCATCGTACCGCCTACATACCCGACCACTATCCCGGATCCCAGCTCCGCACTCTTACCACCCGGCTTCCACAAGATCGAGAAGTACATCTACCCGTACATCTCCTCGACCTCGTCCGTTCAAAAATCGCAACCAAAGATTCTGGCAAATCAACTCCAGTCTCCCTTATCTCCGGCCGGCGGCGGCCCCGGCGGTAATCCGGATCTCTACAGTGTGCTCTTCACCGTCTCCTGCGTGCTGACCAACATCGGCCTGCTACCCGGGTCCGCAGTCGTTCAGCTGTACCTTTCCTTCCCCGCCGACTCTAAACACCCCGAGACGGGCGAGAAGGTCGACTTCCCTGTCCGCGTACTCCGCGGCTTTGAAAAAGTGTTTGTGGATGTGGAGAAGGGGGGGGTGGTGAAGGGGGTCAAGGGGAGTACGCATGGCGGGAAGGGCGGCAATAGGGTTAAAGTGGAGTTTGAGGTCACGAGGAAGGATGTCAGTTATTGGGATGTGCAGGCACAGAATTGGGTCATCCCCGAGGGCACGTTCGGGGTGGGGGTGGGGTGGAGCAGTAGGGATCTGCCGCTGAAGGGGACGTGGTAGGGTGAAGGGTGACAGGACGAATGCATAGGAAGGCGTTTTGGTGTTTTCTTTTTCTTTTGTCGAGCCTAGAGACGTATACCACTACACTTTTTTTTTTACATCCTTTTCTGTTGCGGGCGAAGGTGGAGGGGAGTTGGAGGTCTACACACATGTACAACCGCCTTGATATAGAGACAATACTGCGAAGTCGTTACGCACGGTCTACTTTGCCATGTGGCCGTCTTGCGACAAGGAGCAATGCATCCGCAGAAGGTGGGAAGCCGTTGAGGATGCAGAGAAGTGGAGAGATGAAATGCACCGGGGCGGAGACTGAGAACAAGTGCCGTTCCGATGCGGCGCCAGGTCGATGCGAAGACGAGAGTGATTGTCAACGGCGAGGAGTGTGCTCTTGCATCTGGCGATACGACGGGCAGCTGCGACGGCATTTCCAAGCTTATTCAAGTGACGCCAACACCATTGTTTCCAGCACTCGTGGCACATGCTGTGAGGTAGAACGTGGAGCAGCGCTACGACTGCGAGATCCCGAACCAAGTGTGCCGTTCGAGCCCTCCGTGGCTGATATGAACAAGGACGAGGCATTGGAATAATATAACGACATTCTAAGAGCCTTCGTGCTACCCTCTGGTCCTACCAGGGGAACATCATACTATGGCTAAGTTTGGGCGCCTGGTCGTCTGGTATATGGTGCGGTATGAAGACTCGAGGCGACAGTACGACAAGGCAAAAAGAAGCACGGAAAGACTAGAATACTTGCTGGGACAGTCGTAAGGAGACAACCTCAAGTTAGGGTTTCGTCTGTAATCCGACGTGTTCATGAGGGGAAAACTGTAACCCCAAGGCAATTGGCGCACGCAGTGGCCCAGGCAGCCGACGAGCAAGAAGTACGACCTAGGCTCGGGTGTTGGCCAGGAACTGCATAAACATGGGTATACACGTCCCGATTGTAGCTTGAAAGTCATGAAAGGCAGGGGAGTTCATTTGAGACAACTCGCACGAAGGGTGTGCCCGCATTCGTCCGATGGTATATGTCAACGACGATCTGCCGATCGAGCTCAAGATGCAAATATCCCATTCCATTTTCCTATCCCATGGAAGCTACCATGCCCCATCCATGTCTATTCTATATCACCCATTCCCATGCGCACATCTCCCACTCCTCATGCCAGATCCATATACCCAATCCAATGCTCATGCTCAAAGAATTCATTTGATGCCAGTCATAATCGTAAGTCGAGCCAATAAGATAATCCGAGACAGATAGCCTCCATGCCAAAGACAAAGTCAACTTCCAACTAATGCCGCCAAACGCCAAGCGCTTTTGCTCACACACACACACACTCTCTCTCTCTCTCTCTCATCTGCCAAGCAGAAACCCGCCCGCTTGGCACCGCCACCCTCGTCACCTGTGCCGCTCCCGCCCCGTTACTGCCGTTTTCGCCTTCGATGCCTTTGCCGCAGGCGCTGGCGAGAGAGAGTAAGCGCGGGCGACACAAGGAAGCGGCGCCGCACCACGAGATCAGGTATTAGCCCGCCTTGCCCGGCGCAATAATAGGGCTCGGCGCGCTGCCATCGACCTCCTGATGCTCGGCCTTTGTACCCTTACCTCTCCATGTGCTGACTGCCGGGATGTCCGCCTTGAGTCTTTCTTCCTGCGTCGAGTACGCCTTCGGCGTGAGCTTAATCAGCGTGTGCAGCGGGACCTCCATCCAGGGGCTCTGCTCTTGCGGCACGTTCATGAAATAGGCGTAGATGCATCGGAGGATGGCTTGGTGCGTGACGATCAAGATGTTCTCGCTGCGCTCCAGTTCCATGATGATGGGCTCCAGGCGTATGACGACATCGCGATATGATTCGCCGCCTAGATATCGATAGTTGTACTTGTCCTCGTCGCGCTGCGCAAAATCTTCCGGGTATTTTTGTTCTATCTCAGCGTATGTGAGGCCGTCGCACACGCCGGAATCGAGTTCGTCAAGTGCCTTCCATTCCAGCTTCTCGAAAGTCAGGAATCGCGCGGTCTGGATGGTGCGTTTCAAGGTCGACGTCCACACTGTTAACCTGCGCCCATCTCCGACGGACTTCGCAACGAGGCCAGGCAGAGCGTGCGCGTACGCATCACCGCGGTCGGAAAGGTCGGCGTCTCCGCCAATCTGGCCGGTTAAGTTGTATTTGGATTCACCGTGCTGCAGAGGTTAGCACGAATTAGTTATATCAACGACAAGCATAGCTACCCTTGAAAGCCAAATCGAGCGAGGTTTGATGTGGAGGTTCATCAAGTAATACACTACTCGACTTTGGAGGTAGTCCTGGATCTGATTGATAATGACCTGCTTGCCGACGTCGATCAACTTGACATACGTGAGATCCCGCTCGTCTTCGTCAATTGTCTCGTACACCTTCTCATAATTCCGAATGCGGTTGCGGAAATCAGCCGCGGCTTCTTCAGGATCTTGCCCGACGTAGTCTGGTGACGTAGTCTTGACTTCCAATATGTTGCTCATGATCAAGTCCTCATCATCGCATTTTGATTCGACGAACAGAGTCTCGATGTTCTCCTGGGAGCAGCGCTCCTGGATCCAACGGCGGCGACTCTTGGTGGAGTTTGTCGCGTCAAGGATCGCGATTAGACCCCGCCCCTCAGCAAACCACTTGCACATGTCGTCGACGGCAGCTTGGGCGGCGGCTTTGCGCAAGCGCTCTCCTTCTGGGTTCGAAGTGTCGAAGAACTCGGCGGACGGGTTCGGCGTGGCGGTACGGCGGTATTGGCCAACATTGAACGTCTTGGCTTTGATAGAAAGCCAATGGAGGTAACGGACCACTACACGGGGGAACGTCAGCGCGACTTTCCTACCGCGGACATGTCAATATTACCCTTTTGTGCAATCAAACTCTTTCCCCTCGCGGGTAGTCCCACCATGACGACGCATATCCGCGTGTCCTCGGCCTGCACACCAGCTCCGTTAGTCTTTCTGCTCGGTTTCACAAATTCTCCTGCCGGCACAGCGCGCATGTTAGGCGCGTATACGCCATTGGTCCCCGTCATGGTGCGCAAAAAGAATCCCGACCTCTGGCAGACCTTGTGGGAGCGCTGTAGCTTTTACGGCGACGGCGGGCAAGGGATCGACGAGAACTGCGGGTCGGAACTCGGCCAAGGCGTTCCGAGCTGCGGCAGCGGGTATGGGAGGCGTGGCGGAATATGGATATCGTCAATGGACGAGGCAAGGTACTTGGGCGTTTATCGAGTGTTGGGACGGGTGTGGCAGGGAGGGGAGTGAGGTCGCAGGGCTGTGACGAGATGGGGTCGGCTTTCGAGAAGCGAGAGAATGTGAAGCTTAGGTTTGAAGATTCCCCGCATTTGGACCGCGCTTTGTATTAGAGCATCCGAGTAGGCCAGGACGGCGTGTCAGAAGACTACAGCAATTGCAGTGCGTCGTCAACCGGCGGGCGCGTGTTGGTTCGTTTGTCGGGAGCGTGCCAGTTGCTCGGTATGGGTGCAGCTTGCGGGTGGGCGGATCTGGCAGCTCAGGAACAGCCAAACCTAGCTAGATGCTGACGATGCAGAGGATTCCATGAGCTAGAGCTGCAAAATGGCGCAATGAACCAGACGGGGCGGCGCGGGCCCGAAGGTTCTGCGCGCTCGTGTGCTCGTGTGCCTTCGTGACGTCCCTCTATTGCCGTAAATTGCGTTGAGCCGGCGTTTTCCTGGTCGTCGTGTCGTTGCAGCCACACAGCCAGCGTCCTGGTGCCTCTTCTCGCCGATTGCCGGGTCCGTATGGAGGCCAGACCAGGCCTTCGTCTCGAGCGCCGCGGGTCCATCGCAAACACCAGGGCGAGTAGATGAATCAAGTGCACTTACCGTCGAGATGGAGTAGTTTCTGACCCGTGCCATTTTGCTGCCCTCCGCGAACAGACTTTGAACAGCTGTCGGTGCTTGCGCTCGCTGTATCTCCGCCGGGCGATTACGGCCTGCGGGGTGGTGGGGGTGACGATGCTCAGTGCAAGGCCAGCGATTGTGCAACAAGGAACTACACGAGCTGCAAATGCGATTGCTGTGTCTGCAATCTGCTAGACGAAAGGAGGGCTACGTTTACGGAAGGAAGCAGTGGAGGGAGTCGCGCTTGCTCGATGCGCCGAGCGCGACTTCGGCTGTTACAACCTGGCGATGCCTTATCAGTGCACCACATGGGAAAGCACCGTTTGAATTGCTAAGCTAACCGCAATCCCTACCGTTTTGTTGTCACGTCAGAGCATCACGCAAGCTGCCAGACACTGTTGTCATTTGTCCTCTTAGCTGCCTAATATTATCTACCTTTGAAAGGTGTATGTTGCGCAATGCGGCCGTGGTCGTGAAACGGTGGGTATGGGTATATAGCACTACCAAAACAAACGCTGCCATGGAGAATGAGAACGCAAATCCAAGCCCGCATAGCCAAAGTCTGAATCACTCGCCTACATTACCTTTCAAATTATGAGCCGACAGCAAAGTCATCGGTTCAAGCGGACAACTTCGTCATGCCATTCACCGCTCTGAACGCGTCGTCTCCACCACTCTTCAACGACAAGAGTGCAGCGCTTGCATCTAAGCGCCTTTTCAATGCCGCTGCTGTCCTTTCCTGTCCACGGCCTCCCAGGCCTTCGTCCACCCAGCGGATCTTGTTGATTGTGAAACTCAGCCCGTCGTGATTGGAGCTCTTGCGGCTGGTGATGCCGTATTCAGTCGTCCCTGCAAATTCCTCAAGCTTAGGGAGTATCAAAAGCTCGATTTGCAGATCCATATCAGCAGGTGGTATAATGGGAGCTGCCGGAATCTGTTCCAGCGTGTCTTGGGCGTCGCTCGGATCGTTTGCCTGGGACAGTCGGGAATCCAACATCTTCACGTCCACCGTCTCGTCCCATTCGCCACGAATCCATCCAGAGTGGATCGCAGCAGCTATTGGGTCCGAATCGTCACGATAAACACGTGCGCCCCATAGATGACGCTGCAGCACAATCTGTTGCCTTTGTCGCGGCTTCAAGTAGAAGCGAGGGACTCGGATGGTATATGTGCAATTGATGGGGTTGATGGAGAAGCGTGGTAATTCTTTTGGCCTTGAAGCATAGCCAAATTGATCGTCCAAAGAGGAGTTAGGTTTAGGTAATTCGGTCGTTGTGGCATAGAGCTGGCTTCCTAGATGCTTGCGGGGATTTTGTGCGGCCTCGTCCAGGATGGGTTGTATGTTGTGAACTTTCAGAGGTGGAGGGGGTGACGGTACAGACGGCTGGAAAGGTCTTGGAGCGTGATGGTGGTGGTGTGGTGCTCCGTGGTAATGGTGGTGGTGGTGAGGAGGGCCGTTGGAGTTTCCGTTAGTCGCTGGTAGGCCTTCTTCGTCTCCCTTATGGTGGTGGTGATGGCTACTGGTTGGTCAGCTGACATCTTCCAACAGCATTACTAAACACTTACTGGTGAGCATGCGCGTGGTGATGGTGATGATGAGAGTGCTTGTTGCGCTTGTTGCCTCGCATGCCAAGGGGCGTGTTCCGTCCATCGTTGTCGTCTTCGTCAAAGACCTCCTCATCCTTGACACGTTTCGGCTTCCGTCCATTTTGCGAGCTAACTCGCTGAAGACGGAGATGTTCATTGATATCTGTCCCAGGAGGAAGCGAGTCATGTGCACCTTGCGGCATCGGACTGCCTCTCGATGGCGTTGAACTTCCCAAGCCACCGAGGCCCGAAAACATTCGCCCGAATTCACTCTTAACGTGTGGGTCCTTTCCGACTGAGAGCGGCTGTGCTTGTGCGCCCTGCACGGCTTGTGGAAGCGGAGACGCTCGACCGGTGCGGCGGTTGGCGTCAGGTCCAAACGCCAAGAATGGCCTGTTTTGATCGTACATATAGCGGCCTCCAGAGGATAAGGAACGAGATAATTGCTCCGACTTGTGTCGGTCGGTCGACGTAGGATCAGAGGTTGGAGGCGCGTGGTACTGTTCCACAACTCGATGGCTCAAGTGGTCCAGACTTCGTCCTCGAACCATGTCTTCAGGGCCAGGACCACCGTAAGGTGATGGGCCTTGTGGTGGTGCCGAATAGCCACCGTAGCCGCGGAAGATTCCATGTGGCTCCTCCCTTCGCGGTTCAGGTTCTCGGGTGGGTTCTTCTGGTAGAGGATGACGCCACAAACTGCGCGGGGGCTGTGGTCCAATTGCCCCTCGGGACACATTGGGAGGCCCAAAAGCGGATTGCGAAACTGGCTGAACGGTGGACGGACGGTCGCGGTCCGATGCAGACTCTGAGGCACCGCCGAGTCCAAGCTCTGAAGCACTGGGTCGTGAATGATGACTCTCTCCTAATGTCCGGCGCCTCTCTTCAGGTGGCCCATTTGGCGGACGTCTCTGCCCAAAGATATCGTAGCTTGCCCTGCTTTCCTGTTCCGGAAGCCCAGGGCCACTTGGCTGACTGTTAGGTCGAGGCGGAACGCTTGCGGCAGCCTGCCGTTGGTCCCTTGCATGTAGATCGCTCAAAGGAGATGGATAGGGGCGCTGCGCTTGGAAGACCATTGGTTTGTAGGGCTGCGATGAATGCGGGAGGGTGGAGCGGCCCTGATCAGGGGACCCTTGAGCGTGGTTGTACGCCCGAGAGGGTGAGCCAGCGGAGTAAGTGTGCCCCTCGGGAGCTCGCGGGGCGCTATTGCTGTACGGGTGTCTCTCTGGGGATGGATGGCGACGGAAGGCCGGCAAGTCTGGTCTAGGTCCCGACGAAGGGCCACGCCTTGGCGAAGGGGGTTGCATGCTGTGACTGCTGGTGGATGGCGCGTTTGTAGGAGGTGACGGGTGTGATTGTGACGCTTGGTGGGGCGCACCGGTCTCACCGCCCCCGATGAGGGACGAGATGGACATGCTGCTCCCTGGTCGGTGATGCGCCTGGCCTAGCCCAGGAAGCTCCCGGTTTCCACCAAAAGCCGAAGCGTATGGCGCGCGTTGGGACTGCGACGCATGATTGTGTTGCTGAAGCTGCTGCTGGGGCGACGACGGAGGGGGCATGTGCGGTCGCGCAAAGGATGGCGGTGGAGGCGGTGGTTCATGCGATGGGCCTGCCGAGGGTTAGCTGGTGTCGAGTACAAGCAAACAAGGTGATGTGCAGTCTCACCTCCATAGCGGGACGGGGGGCTCGCGCCGCCTAGGGAGCGTCTGCGCGACGCATCATAGGGATACGACTGGTTTGGCGTACCGTGCGAGGAGCTCATTGACGGCGGTGGAGGAGGGCCGCTGTGCAGCTGGGAGGCTTCGACCGCATTGTGAGGACGCGCTAAGTGATCGTCAGAGTAGGTCCGATGCGGTTAGGGGACGAGCAGTCGAGCAGGGGGGTTTCGCTTAGCGTGCCAGCAATGATGCATGAGTGTTTTTTGCGCATCGCCAGCTCCAAGACAGGCAGCCTTGAGGAGCGCGGCCTGCAGCGCCACAGCCATGGACGAGTACTGCACGTCCTGCCGCTCGGTTCGCACTGCAGCTCACGACGCAGCTGCACGGCGCAGTAGCATCGCAGGTGCGCTGTAGCGCTGCCGCGTCGCCGGTCTCGCGGCCACGCGACTTGTGCAGAATGCCTCTGAGACCGGGCGGCACCGTCCAAGACCGCTGAGCTCTGGCTCGCGTGTTGCCCCAAAGCGCAGAGTCCACAAGGAGAGGCGCGTCGTACCTGAATTGCCCCATCCCATCTGTCTTTCGCCCGGTGGCGCGTTGTCAGGGCCCAGCGCCCCGTAGCTGCCGCGGCGGGCATCTTGTGTGTTCGCAGGAGGGTAGAACGGGTCGCGGCGAGCGGAGGCATACGGGTCGGCGGCGAAGGGAATATGGACGGGCGGCTGCGGCTGCGAGGCCGGAGGATAGCCCCCGCGAGGAGCCTGCGGCGGCGGCTGGTGGTGGTTTGACTGGTTCGGGTTGTGGTTTGGGTTGTGCATGTGAGCGTACGGGCTCGGGTGCGTCTGGCGAGCGTCCATGGTCGAGGTTTGTGGGCCGGCAGCTGCTCGAGTGCTCGGGGGGGAGGATGCTCAACAGGCGGTGAACTAGTGGTATAAACAGAGGTATGCGGCGGTCATGGTGGTGGCAGAAACTGGCGCGGTGCCAACGGGACGTCCGTCTCTCCTGGGAGGAAACCAGAGCGACGAGGCGACGAGGCGACGAGAACCCACAGCTGCAGCGTGCATTGCATTTGGGTCATAGCGTCGCGGTAGTGGCCACCGCTCCCCGCAATTCCACACGCGCGGGCGGCTCGATCCCGCCGGGCCAGCTGCTCGAACAAAGCCCAGGTGACGCACTGCACTCGACGCAGAGGCGGAGCGAGTGTGCGATAGGGTGCTGTCTACTCTGCGTGCCAGACGGCGCGCGGATGCTGTCTGTGTCGCGCCCTGCAGATGATGTGCTGTTGCAGCCGGGGTTCCCTACACGCACCCTTTGTTTGGGGCCCACCGCCTTTTCGTCCCGAACAGTGTGCGCGGCACGCTTCCGATCAGCCTCATCCTGGATCAATGCAGGTCCCGGTGCCCCGACTTCACCGATCTATCCGCGTCCGTGCGCTTGCAGCCTGCCTATCGCCGTCAACCGTCACGCCTCGCACCTCACGCGCGCACCTGTAGGCGGCTGCACGTATATCGCATGAGGACAGCGCCCGTCTGCCACTCTGCCCATGCCTCTCCCGATGCCTGGCTCTACCTCGAGGGAGCTGTATTGGGCCCGCATCAAGGCCGTCTTCCACGGTGCTGATCCCCGTGTGTGTGCTGCCTTCTGGCTCTTTGGTACGTTTGATGTGGTCGCAGACGAAAATCTCGTAGTGATGCTTATTACGACATGCAGGCTTGATCAACAACGTATGTCATAGGCCATGTCCAAGTCCGTCGCATGTCCAGGCCTACCGTCGGCAGCGCAACAATGCTGCCCACGCGAAAAGCTAGCACTGAAGACTCCTTGAACAGCTGTCACTAATCTCTTCACCCCCAGGTCCTCTATGTCATCATTCTCTCTTCTGCACTCGATCTCGTAGGCCCCAATGTGCCCAAAGGCGTTGTCCTCCTCGCAGATGTGATCCCATCGTTCCTCACTAAGCTGTGCGCGCCCTACTTCATCCACAAGATACCCTACAACCTCCGGATACTTATATTCTGCGCCCTGTCAGCATGTGGGATGCTCGTGATTGCGCTTACACCGCAGCTTCAAGATGCTAAAACCATCACGATCAAGATGTGTGGCGTCATGCTAGCCAGTCTGAGCAGCGGAGGAGGAGAGCTCAGTTTTCTAGGCTTGACGCATTACTATGGACATTTTGCTCTTGCAAGCTGGGGCAGCGGTACTGGAGGGTAAGCACTCTCAATGCCCATCGTGGAATCACCTTGTTCACGTCAAACTGTTCTCAGACTAATCCGTTGTTTTCCTTACGCAGAGCCGGTCTCGTTGGTGCTGGAGCCTATGCTGTCCTTACAACAAGCCTGCAGATTTCTCCTCGAAACGCCTTGCTTGCATTTTCCTTCTTGCCGGTGATCATGCTCGTCAGCTTTTTCGTTATACTTCCCCTGGGACCTCTTCGAGCATCGCCAAGCCACCAAGCAGGCTATGAAGCTGTCGAGGACGATGATACGCTTGATGAAAATGACGAGCTGGAGTCTCATCCCGAGAACTCCAGCCTGCTAGCATCCTCCATGCACTCAGCCTCTGGTCGCAGCTTCGCCTCAGCTAGAAGTAACGGACTGCCATCGACCTTGCTAGGTTTCAAGGCCAACCTCCGACGTGCGAGAGGCCTATTCTTTCCTTAGTATGTGGTACCTTGAGTAGCGAGGTGACTAAGCTAATGCATCTTTCTCAAGTATGTTGCCGCTACTGCTTGTATACATCGCAGAGTACACCATCAACCAGGGTGTCGCGCCAACTCTGCTTTTCCCGCTATCATCCAGTCCCTTCGACGAATATCGGTCATTTTACTCCACATATGGCGCCATCTACCAAGTGGGCGTCTTCATCTCACGATCTTCGACGCCTTTCATCAGAATTCACCACCTCTACTTTCCATCCTTTTTACAGGTTGCGAATTTGGTGCTACTGACATCACACGGTAAGTACCTCTCCATTGCGAAGACTCCGAGGCCATCTTGATCTGACGTCGCGTGCAGCAATGTTCGATTTCCTCCCTAACTTCTACGTAGTGTGCGTGATCATCTTCTGGGAAGGGCTCCTGGGTGGTCTAGTCTATGTCTCGACATTTGCAGAGATTACGGACAACGTGCCCAAGGAAGACCGCGAGTTCAGTCTGGGAGCAACTAGTGTAAGCGACTCGGGCGGGATATGTATCGCGGGTTTTGTGAGCATGGTGTTCGAGGTCTGGCTGTGCAAGTGGCAGGTACAGCACGGTCGCAAGTACTGTAAGCTACAATAATAGACTAACAGCCCATTTTCCGGGTTGAAGACTATTTATGGAAGGTGCGGGTCTCTGGGTGAAGTGTGCTTGCTCTCTTTGTTGGCCAACGTGCTGTAGGTAATCAAAGTTCAGAAGGTTACCCGCAGCACACAACATTTTAAACCTTTTGCTCTATTTTTCCATCGAGACACTACCCCTCATCTCAAGAAAAAGCAACAGCAAAGAAAGCACAACTACCGTTTCCGCGGGCTGCTGCATTGCTGCAGATAGCATCACGCCTCGTCAGCTTGCTCAGACGCTGGGGTTACTATACATCACCAAGCCACGATCTGGTCTTTCCTTGCTCGTCCCCCAGACACCATCATCCTGGATCAGTCTCCTACACCTCGCTGCCATGTCTGGCAACGTGTGAGGTGCCAGCTCCGACTCGTCGGCACCAAGAAGAGGTGAAAACCCTTCAGACGTGAGCTTGCGGCATTCCTCACCTCTGAGTTCACTGGATCCAGAATACCATGTCATCATCACGCAGCTCGCCGCTCTCGCTGCCCGCGTGCCCAATCTATGCGATTTCCAGAAACGACTCCTGTCAGCCCGAACTGAACGTCACAGGCAACAACTCGTCTCCAATATTTGCGAGCCGCTACAGAAGGATTATATTTGGTTCGCCATCAAACAGCTTGATCGAGAGAGGGTCGAGACCCAATACGGTCGGACTACCGAGACTCTGAGCGATTTGAGTCTGCCGTGCATCCTAAACTCTTCGATTTCGACGCCCCAGTCCGATACCGTCGTCCAACGTCGTGATGCATCTTACTCATATGGCCCACGTGCGTTATATCGTGCGGGAGACTATCCAAATGTAAGCTTGTGCTGTTCTTGTGGAATTTAGGATATTGTTCATTGCTCACCACAACAATAGCCGACCAATTTGCCCCCGCGATCACCCCTTTCTTCCGTATCGCCAGAAGTGCGATACAAAACCTTGCCGGAAAAATCGCACATATTCACTCAACCTTTCTTACACTCATACTCGGTCCAACGGCAACAGAATCCACATCCAACTCGAAGCGATATGCGGCAATATCATCCGCGCGATGTTGCATCAATTCAGTCTGTGAGAGGCGGCCACTCGATACAAGAAGATGAGGGATATGTGGAACAGGCAGTGCTTTCCAGGCAAGATTTGACTACGCGCACTGAAATTTCATCAAAGGCTGTCTGCGAAGCAGCTTCTAACGACCGCGATGAGAACAGTTCCTTGGAAGTTCATATCGATCGCAATGCTAACAGACCTGATAACTTGTTGCATTATGGTAGCATGCCTGTCCAACACGATCAGGGATACTCTGATACTTCTGTAAGTGACTCGCAAAGCAATCCTCTATAACACTAGATTACAGGCCTGTTCCCTAGTCTGGGCAGCACGTACTACTCAACGTTAATTACTGACGGTGCGCATGCTTACACTAAGTCCAGGATTCAGAGCCTCTGATAAATCAAATGCGGAAGAAAGGTGGCGATCATCCCTATCCGCTTTCCCACGTTCCGAGTGTCAGACCGACCTTTAGGAAGCGCCAGCGCCATCTCAGCTGCGATTCACACAGTATTTCGGTCCCAAAGACCAGACGTGGGAAGAAGGCAACACCCTCTACAAAGAGGAACCATGCTCGACGATCCCAGCGAACCTCCAGCTACTCCCCTGATAGTGAAGAAGAGGTTGAAGACGTCACGACATCTTCGCCAGACGCGTGCTACTAGTGGATTTAAAAAGGGTGCTTACCACTGAGATTTCTTTGACAAACCGGAGGCTTGGCATGTAAAGAATCCGGACCCCGTCAGGTTCGAGGTAGAGAATCTTCCAAGACTAGATGTTACGCTTCTGCACTTTCCAGTCGAAGTGATATGTTCAATCAGAGCTGCTATGACATGAGTGGACACTTACAAATCGTAGAGGGACAACAAATGGGAATATGTGGAATGCGTAGATGCCGGTGCATTGCTCGCTTTGAAGGAGAAGCATCGTATGAAGAGCGCCGTTAAAGAAACCAAGGTCACCCCAAAAGACGAATTCGACGCTCATTTCCAAGATGCTGGTTCCCCAATAGCGGTGGTGAGAGCCACCGTGACTGCTTTGCCTGTTGAGAAAGAGGGTAAGGCAACGAAAGCTACATGTGACCCCAAATCACTACATCGGCCCATAAACTCCACAACGAAATTGTAGCAAGCGTGGATGATACATATGAGAGAATGCAGTTCACAATTAAAGAAGAGGCTTCTAGTAGATGTGCAACTGCTAGTCGCTCTTGCCACAAGAGCCTTGAGTCGCAGTCGTAACGATGGCAGGAGCAAGAACTACCGGCGACCTTCGCACATCAAATGCAGGACTCAATGGGAACATATCATAACGAAATCAAGCGACAGACCGAGTCATCGGCCGGCAATAACAAGACGGAAAGGTTTGATGATGACTTGGGCTCCAAGTCGACGATCTCAATATCTGCAGATCAGGACCCGGTAGCGAACAATCGCAGACCTGATCGCCGCCGCCGCGCCGACTCTTTCAGCCTCACTGGAGTTCCGAGCTCTGAGTCAGACAACCCTGACGTCGCTAACCCTGCCTGCAACCCCTCGCTCGTCAATCCACGAGACTCAACCGTCGTCGCATCGTCTCCGCCAAAGCTCGCAAGTCGGAGCGCTTCCATCGTTGCCCCTCCCTCCCCGAGATCGCTCCAGAACGCCCGCTGCATTTTCTGCAAACAGCCATCCAATAATCCAAATCTCACTTCCTGCGCTCATATCGTCTGTTGTTACTGCGTCGGGGATGAGTTGGATAGAATGTATGAGCACAAGCGGCATCATACGTGCCCTGCATGCTGGTTTGAAATTAGGAAAGTGACTCTGCTGCGGTGTTTGTGAAGATGGGTCTTGGACGTATTCAGATGATATGATGATTGAGTTGGTGATGAATATGCGGGGGGTGTCTCTGAGGAATGTACGGTGTGGAAGCTGTCGGGGTCAGTGCGGTATGTTCTGGGGAGGTCGGTCCGAGGTTTTTGGGATTGTTACCATGGTGCGATCTCTCTCGATTTCTGACTTGCAGTATGTATTGACATTCTGGGTCGGGGATATGGGTCAGTCTTCCATGTCTTCATTCGGCGAAGCATTTCGTTGGCGGCATTGGAGTCTGGCATTTCAGCATGGGTAGCATGGGTAGCATGGCTCAAGGTTTTCTTATAGAAACAGTCCAAAATCTTTTACACACAGTGCTCAATATCCGTTTCCGTTGTGTTGTAAGACGGATATCAAATTTGCGATCACTGTTCGAGATAGTGAGTTGCATGCGACCTCCTGGGTTGGACGGAGCCGAGGAACTCAGCAAAACCTTTGTTCACTGCCGGTGGTGCTGTAAGGTAAGGTTCACGCAGTCCAATTACTCTTCTGTGAGTTTGCATGAAACTGTGGACGACGTGGATGATGCTCATCCAGGTCCAAGCACGAAGCTCAGACCGCCCCATCCCGCATCGGCCCTAGCGCCACTCGCCGAGCCCGGAAAGTCCTCTCTCCAGCACCACCACGACCATCTCGAGCTCCCACCCGCATCAGCCCGCCATCTCCGCTCACCCTCTCACCATGTTCTCCAGCCGGGCCCTCACCAGCGCCGCGCGCATCGCCGCCCCGCGCCCCCAAATCGCCGCCCGCGTCGTCGCAACCCGCGCCTACGCGGCCGCTGCTGCCCCCAGCACCGGCGCCGCAAACAAGCCCCCCGTCGCCCTCTTTGGCATCGACGGCACATATGCCTCCGCCCTGGTACGTCTCCCGCGGGCCGCCTGGCGGTCAATTGGCCCTGCAGGTGGCCGCAATCGCACTCCCGAGGTCACAATGGCTGCTCTGCCAGCTTGGCTAACAATTTTTGCCCTGCGTCTAGTACACCGCGGCAGCGAAGACCAACGCGCTCGACAGCGCCGCCAAGTCGCTCGACAGCCTCGCTGCCGTTTTCAAGAAGGACGCCAAGCTCGCCACCATCCTGACCGCGCCCACGCTCTCCGTCTCCGACAAGCAGCAGATCGTCGCCGAGCTCCAGAAGCACCTCGGCAACGACAAGGACGGCATCGTCAAGAACCTGCTCGACACCTTGGCCCAGAACAACCGGCTCGGCGCGCTTGAGGGCGTCGTCGACAAGTTCGGCCAGCTCATGAGCGCCTACCGCGGCGAGGTCGAGCTGACCGTCACCTCCGCGGCGCCTCTTGACAACCGCACGCTGTCCCGCCTCGAATCCGCAGTCTCAAAGTCGTCGTACGTCTCATCGGGCCAGAAGCTCAAGGTCGTGCCCAAGGTCAACCCAGACATCCGCGGCGGGCTCATCGTCGAGATCGGCGACCGCACCATCGATCTCTCCGTCTCCGCCAAGATGGCTAGGATGAACAAGCTGCTCAAGGACACTTTGTAAATAAAATGCATGGCATTGCTGGTGTGGCAGGAGGGTGGAAGAGTGGAAACGTGTATTCTAGCTAGACAAGGCATTGTGCGCAAAATCTGATCTACTTTGTCCATTGAGCGCTTATTCAATCCATCGTGGGTTCTTATATGGAACAATGACGCTGAGCTGCCAGACTTAGTCGCAAGGCTAGGTTAACCAATACTTGTAAGATTTGAGCATATCACGGGCGTGTGCTCGCAAGACTTATCATTGCGCAGCCAAACGTGATCGTTGCAACGTCTGGTGTACCCTCCAATCTTGCGGGAGATGTCGAATCGAAGAGTATATGCGGAAGTCGCGTTACTTCACATACCACTGCTCCAGTCCTTTTTTTCCTCAGGCCGCCGCAGAATCACAATCCCTTCGACTACACGGCCCCTCAGCGCCCACCCCTCTTGCACATCTCAAACGCCTCCGCCAGTCCCCGCTTCAAGTGGTACCTCCTCAACCGCTCCTCGCCAATATCCGTCGGACTCGCATTTCCAGGACCTCCATCGAAGGCGATGCTGATATCGTAGGGATCAGGCTCAGCGCGGTCGTCGTAGGCATCGCCATCGAAGAGGACACGCAGGTGGATCCAAGTGGGGAGACGGTGTTGGTTCTGGTGCGGGGATTCAAAGAGCGTAGTGACGAGGTGCGTGTGCAGGCGTGTGACTTATCCTCCGTCAGCGAATGAACAAACGCTACCACCTACACCACGTTGATTCCAAGAAGAGTAGCTTACCGTAAGCAGCCCACTCATCGCCCTCCCTCTTTCCCAGCCCCTTCGCAGCTCCTTTGACGCCATCCTCCATCTCAAAAACGACATCTAGTTGTTCCAGGTTGTCATACGCATCTTTGAGGGAGGCGTAGCCTCCGGCAAGAAGCCAACGAAGCGCATACAAAGCGCGCACGCGGATGCTGAGATGGCGCACTCGACGCGCGCAGCCGCGTGGGAAGAGCGGGATCTTGAAGTCGGGCGGAGGAGAGCGTTCGAGGGCTGGGCAGATGATTTCGAAGGTATTGGAGCCGTACCTGAGCACTGTCAATACCATGTATTCCACTCATCCTCCATCCCTCTTGGGGGCAATGAAAGGAAGGATTCGACTCACAGCACACGCCTCGCCTCCCGCGCAACCTCCTTACACACCCTCAGCACCCCAACATTCCCTCCCAGCCGTGCGAACCTCGTCTTGAAGCCTCCGACCACGAGCTGCGGCAGTGCGTACGCGATGCCTGGGAGTAGCTGGCGTTCCTCGGCGTAGAGAAAAGCCTTCTCCTCGTTGTGGTAGGACGTGTGGTTCTGCCGGACGCAGATTAGACCCGGCACGGTGAGGAGGTGGATGTAGATGCGCTTCCGGATCGAGAGTGGAAGTTTCATGAAAGGGAACGACGATTTTGAGAAGAGGGCTTCCGCATCGCTCAGTGCATCATCGTCGATCTCGACGAATACCTCCTCACGGGAGACTGGGGTACGAGGCTCGAGGCAGGCGGGAGAGTCGTTGGGCGAAGCCGGAGCCGAAGAAGTTGGAGATTCGTCCGAGATGGAGACATCGCTGAGATCGCTGAGGTCGTCCAGCTCGGCATACTCGGCCAGTGCGTGCTCATCCTTGCTCTTGTGGTCGAAGCGGTGGCGTTTGTTCGCCGTTGGTGATCCGCGCTGCTCGAGGAATCTCACAGTCTTGCGCGCATCAACTGTGGATGGAGGAGTCAGGAGCTGACCGGCAGAATTGGCGCCCCTCTTCTGAAGTGTAGCGGGTAGCCTGCCGGCGGTTGAAGGCGGAGTGAGCTGGCTTTGCTCGGGTCCTCCGGCCGGAGGAGGCGTCTGCGGTCTGCTCGTTGACGGAATCATGTTACTCGACGGAGGCACCCAAAAGATGCTGCAGAGGGGTTGGGTCCGGCGACGAAGTAGCTGGCGTTGCAGGGGAGTGTGAAGAGAGTGAGCGTCGATTGCGCTATATATCTCTACGGGGCAAGTGAAGGTGAAGAGAGTAAAGTATGTAACTTAAGCTATGATCTCTTGTCACTAAGAGTGCGAGTGTTGAGTCTGTCATGTGGAGGTGAAGCAAGATCGTTTGCTTGCGAGCTGTACTGAGGGACAGATGTCGAATGTACTGATATCGTCTGTAGCCCTACAAATATTGATCACACTCAGCTTTTCCTGAGTCTGGGATTCAGCATTGCTAGCATACTAGCCACGCAACGACACAAGTCCTGGAATTACTCGCACGTAGCCTCATGGAATGTATGACATGGCGCAGTTATATCACTTGCTCGAATTTACGCATCATCACTAGTATTGACAGGTGGATGGATAGCTAGCTGGGGTAAAGGTGACATGGACATGTGGCATTGATACAGCGGAAGACTATTTTCGATTGTGTCAGTGCATCCAGCATCTAGGATCATGTCTAAGGCGGGCGGTCGGTGATCATTTGGGAAAGAGCTGGGTGTGGTCCCAGAACCCTACAAAAATTGCGGAAACTAATCTCCACTATCAAAGTCCAATAAAACAAAATCTGCCTAGAAAGCGCGAATGTGCCTTATGAAAAAAACTCTCACGTGGTTTATCACCATGAAATGATGGGACGTGTGGTTAGGAATGCGATACTCGATGATAGAATTGAAGATCACCGTAGCCGGCAGCTGGCACGTCACTTGAATTGAAGAACCCATGATTCATAAGCTCGTGGTATCTAGAAGCGGCATCTCATGCCATATCCATTCGGAGCACTATGCAGACCAGATACGTAAAACCATTTTGACCGGACCGATGCACCGAATAATCCCCAAAGACAATCCTCTACTTCCTGAGGAGACGCTGGTAGAAAGCAAGCTCCTCGCCCTCGAGGATGTAGCCGTCGCAGCGGCCGCTCTGGCCGGGGCGCGACGACACAGCGGCGAAGACACGACCAGCCTCGAACTGCTTCTCAAGAGCGTTCTCAACCTTGCCGGAGGCCTTGAAGCGATCGGCCTGCTTCTTCTGAACGCTGTTTGACTTCTTCTCCTCCTCCTTCTCGCCGGCCTTGGCCTGGCGCCTTCGGCCAAGGGCCTGGCCGTAGTGGGCCTCGAACCATTGTCGGAAGGGAGCGGCATCGATCTGAACGATGGCGGACTTGGTGAGGGTGTTGGTGCGGACAAGCTCGTTGTTGGAAGGGTGGTAGACGACACCGATCACACGGGTCTTCTTAGCGACGCCCTCAGAGCCCCACGAGAAGTTGCCGGAGTCGAGACGCAGAGCACGGAACTTGCGGTTTCCGCCGCGGGTGCGGACAAGATGGATACGCTTAGCGCCAATACGGGTGTTGGCAGGCTGGCGACCCTTCTCGAAAGCCCTGCAGCCATGTTAGACATGACTTTAGAAGCGATCGGTTTATGCATACCTCTTCTTGCGGTAGTATGCGCGCTTCGCACCGGACGCGGAGCGCTTGTGACGGGAGTCGCGAGAGATACTGGGAGCGGTCAGCGTGTGGCGTTGGCATGAATGCGGAGAGTAGATACCCCATGATTGCGGTTGTTCAGAAGTGCTGACGAGAAAGTTAGCCAGCGGTCCAAAATTGTGTTCCAGCGCAGCGAGCTCGCCCAGTCTCCCCCAATGATCGTCCACTGACGCGCCTCGTGACCGCCTGCTACTATGCATTGTACAGAGATTGTCGGAGGTTGTGGTGTTTTTCTGTGCAGGGTCGCGTGTGGTCGGGCCGGCGAGGTGCGCAGGGTGGAATCGATCGAGACATCGAGAGGGCGAGCTGTCGAAACGTGCGAGTGATTGAAAACATACCTAATGTCGAGCCTTCTGAGTGCAACGGTTGTCGTGTCGGCGTGGGGTTGTCGATTGAAAGTGAAGTTAGGCCTGGGAGGTTTTCGCTGTGCGTGGAGCTAGATGGAGCTAAGCGAGCGCTTGGCGGACTGCCCGGAACAAGTTTGATCCCTGCACCTTTCCTCTCCTGGGATAGGCAGGGACGGCTGAAAATACCTGGGTATGGAGAGAATCGCGAATACGTTGCTGCAGGGCAGGGCCTCGTTCTTTAGACGCGATGGCTGTGTTCCGATGGATATTTCCAATACAAAATCTCACTGACGCAATGTATGGACTAGCTAGCCATCTCACATATTTCACACGGGGTGTTGCAAGCTTCCATCTTAGAACAATGATTTCCTTTCAGCTACATTTCCAAAATTAAATCGTTGATACTATGCTTTGGGACAATCGACGACATAGTGGTGGCAAAATGCTCATGGTTGTCTGGCAGAGCCATCCACGAGAACTGATGGTTTGCGGCATTGCTAAAGTCAAGTCTATCGCAGAGCCTAGTCATACGCCATCAGCGCCAGACGTGGCCATCTCCACTCTCTTCAACATTTAGCTATCACAGCTGTATCAGACTTGCGCTGATCGCTCAGTGCTCTGGCAGTTGCTGGGATCTATATCCTCGAGATACTTACGCTTCGGACAGTCAATCCTGTCCCATGTAATCCTACGAGCGCTGGCGTTTTTCGTAACACAGTCACTGTTTGAAAGTAAGAATACATATAACAACCATACCCTATCCAGAATTCCCATCCTCCACCATATGAAAATGGGTAGTGCGGTCTATGCTCGGGTTCGGGCAACCCTCTCGTCCGGACCGGGGACCAGGGTGCATACGAGCAACGCCGAAAATATGCATAAACTCAGCTCGGTAACCAAGGAACGTTAGGGGAAAAGACACTAGACTATTGAGAGGATGTTGGAATCCGACGCAGCTCAAAACGGCAAGAGATGAGCTGAGAGAATCTAGACCAGAGTAAGTAGAATGGGCTGATTATAGATTATCAGCCTCACCATCCCACCAGCGATTAATTCCGTCGAGGATCTCCTTGGGTCAGATACACAATGCCGTGCCGTGTCACATGAACAAGATAATTCGTATAAGGCAGTGTCAAATATGAGCCCTCCCCCTCGCCACTCTACCTCATCCATCCCATACAAACTCATCATGCACGAACACTCGCGAACCCCGCAAGAAGCAGTCTTTTCCATTCCCGAACTCCTGGAACAGATCCTTCTCTTCACAGACGTCTCCCCCATAACGCTCCTCCGCGCACGCCTCATAAACCGCACCGCAAATGCGACCATCCTCTCCGCGCGGGCCTTGCGTCGCGCGCTGTTCCTCGATGCTACTACACCCTCCCAGTCCCACCAGCCCACAGGAGGAGTCGAAATGAACCCGCTACTTGAGAGAATGTTCCCACCTTTCATGCAGACCCAGTTCAAGCGCCTACGGCGCCGCGGGGAAGCCGAGACTGCGGCCGCGCTCGGGTATTTCAACTTCGAAGCCAGCGAGGACGAGGCCTCCGACACTACCTTCCCGCTGTCCTGCTTCACAGCCAGCACCGTCCTCCCCACTCTCGAGCGGGCCGAGCGCTGCAGAGGTCGTGACCTCAAGTGGGCGTGTTTGGGCAGTTCGTATGCGGGGCCGTGTCTGCACCTCCCTGTGGTCGAGCGGTGCAGGGGCGAAGAGCATCTAAGGGAGGTTGAGGGGGGCATTTGGCGCGCAATGTATGCGAGTAGGCCAAGCGTGGCGGTGCATGTGGTTGAGGTGGGGGCGTGTGGAATCGTGGAGCATGTGAGAGAGGTTGGGACGGGGATGAACATGGGCGAGGTTATGGATGTATTGGTGTTTAGGAGGGAAAATTTGAGTTGCAGGGGTAAGAAGGAAGTGGAGGGTGTGCCGGTAGAGGAAGTATGTGCCCAAGTGGTTGAGTGTACAGGGCGAAGAGCCAAACTTAAGTTGTAACGAATAGAGGTGTTGGTCAGTATCATGATATATAGATAGGAAGCGGATCTACATAAATATGTCAGCTTTTCCCGTCAACAGCCTGGGCTGGCATGCACAATGCCGGCAGTCAACCCCAAGTTTCCCAGTCCAATGATATCTCCCGCTGAACGTCGGTCAAAGCACCTAAGAGAAGTCCTCCTCCTTGCTCTCAACAGCGCTCTTAATCCGCAAGAGCAAGGTCGTCTTCCACTTGTCTAGCTTGCTGAGCTGGTCATACTGGAACAATTTATCAGCGAACACCTCCTGGTCCCCGTCCTTGACCGCCTGCAGCAGATCCACCAACAGCTGGTGCTCCCTCTGCTGAGTAAAGCTAGGGTCAAGCTCACGATACCTCTCGAACGCAGTCGCCGCGCCAACCTCGTCGCCAGTGCACAGCTGGCAAATACCCGCTTTGAGCAAATACTCCTTGACGGACCAGCGCATAAGGTTGTTGTTGATGGACGACTTCGCTACCTTTTCGTAGAGACTGATGGCGTGGTAGTAATCTTTCCCTTCGAGAGCGACGAGGTCGGCGGTTTTAAGCCAGAGCTTGTTGGAGAGGGCCTGTTTAGAGATATTTATGTTAGATATACTCTGGGGAGCGGGGAAAAGGGTCATCAGAGGACTGGGATTATTTACTTCAGCATTGTCCTACAAAATCGTCAGTTAATTGGTCCACGCACATCGATGCACTATTGTGGACGTACAGACTCGTACCAGCCGGCAGCCTCCTCGTATGCCGCAGCCGCACGCGCATTGTCGCCTAGCTCAACTTCGAAAAGCTCGCCCAGGTTCTGCTTGTGGGTTGCTGCGCGGCGGAAGTTGCCTTTGCTGCAGTAGTGTGCAATGGCTCTGTCGAGACACCGTGCTGCCGCCTCAGGGTCGTCTTTCCGGTACGCCTCTGCTCAACGTCAGCCTCACGTGACCCTTTCAATCAAAGGCTTCAGCGTACTAAAGGCCTCGGTGAGTGTGTTCGCTTCGTCGTCGGGCTCGTTCAAGTTCTGCTTCTGGACTTGCGCCGCTTTCTCGAATGCTTCGCCGGCCTCCTTGCCTAGATGGTGCGTCAGAGTCTAGCACATAATCCCGGCCGTCTGTTACACAGAAGTGTAGATGTCGAGTTTCCATCGTCTTTCTTACCCATTTTCTGCATTCTGAAAGCGTTCGCTGCAGCGATGAACTGATCAGCTGCTGCCTCATCTATCACCCCAGTCAGCCTCGTGCACGTCTTTCTCTTTCGGCAATGGCCATACACTTCTCTTGCCGCCCGCCAAAGAAACTGAATCCTCCGCCCGCCTTCGAGAGGCTCTGTTCTGCCTACTCTGTTATCAGTCCTGTTATCTAGCATTGTGGCGGTGTTTCAGAGCTCCCCCACCTGTCGTAGCAGTGCTCGCGGATCGCCAGCCATATGGAATGATTTCTAGTGGTTCTGGGATCAGAAGGGTCTTTTGAATGCAGGTGAGTGAGTTCTGGCGTTATCTCGGGGATTGGGCGCCAGCGCTGGAGTGTGGTAGAGACAGGTGACTGTCGCATCACGTCGAAGATGACGCTCGTTGGAGGGCCCGTGCGGCGGGCTGATGGCGGCGGAAGCCTCGGCGGCCTGATTGGGTAAAGCGGGTCCTCGACTTCACGTCTCCACGAGTGAAGGCTGGAGCTTCGAACTTGACATTCGTGCCTCTACCGAAGGGGGTCAGTCTTCAAGATGATCCTGCGACGCGCTCTTCTCTTCTCGCGAAGCATACCGCGACATGTCCCGCGACCAGTAGTGCCTCTCCGCACCATCTCCGGAATCGCGCAAGCACCAAACGCGAATGACAGCCTCCCGTCTGCATCGGCGTCGATGGGCTTTGAAGATATCCAAATTGCTCTTGAATCCGACCCGACTTGGTCCGTTGAGTCGTTGCTCCCTCCCGCAAACAAAGCGCCTAACGCCCCGGAAATCTCCTCGCAGCAGCTCCACCACCTCCTTCGTCTCTCCGCCCTGCCGCTTCCCAACTCTCAAGAAGACGAGGAAAAGATGTTGTCGACGCTTGCAGACCAGCTTCACTTTGTGGGCAAGATACAGCAGGTCGATACGACAGGCGTGAAGCCTCTGAGAGCGATACGGAACGAGACTGCTGCTGCCGAAGTGGAGCAGACCGTCACACTCGAGACGCTGAAGGATGCTCTCGCGAAGGAGAAGGTCATCGGCAAGCACTACAAGCGCATACAGAGGGCTACTACACCTGTAGATGCCTCGGATGTAGAGAGTTGGGATGTACTTGGCTCGGCGGAGCGAAAGCAAGGAAAATATTTCGTCGTGGAGAGCGAACGCCCGCAAGAGTAGCTCGTCTTAAAACCTAAGCAGCATGGTACGAGCGATAGCAGCGACACGTCTGATGGACCTGGGACGAATGTGGTATGCGTGATTTCTACTTTGCAGCCTCCAGTTTCAACACCACCCCAGAAGACCTCAGGCTAACCTCATGTCCAGAATATTGCTCTAACAATCCATATCAAGCACAACGCTATCGTACACCATATTGGCGTATTCTCAGATCCCAAACGCCAGCAAAAAAAACACCAAGCCAAGAGGGTTCTCTGGCATGAAGGCCAAAGAAACGCAGAAGAACTAGCATCAGCCCCTCCAACTATCCAACTCGCAGCCGCAGCGTGCGCAGTACTTCACGATCTGCGCACCCGTGCAGCAATTGCACAACGGTCTTTCGTCAAGATCCTCCAGCTCTGGCGTTGGTAGCCGTGCAATCCTTGGTGTTGGCGGTGGAGTCGCTAGACCAATGGCGACGTCCCTCTTTCTAAAGTCGACCGCGACTGAGACAGATCCCTGCACGATGACGACCTGACTTCTGGCCTTGGTCTTCGGTGAAGACCTTGGCGTCACGTGACCGTATTGGTTAGGCAGTGAAGGAGTGGATGTGGATTGATGTTGAGATTGTTGAGAAGAGATTTTATGACTTCGTGAAGACGATGAGGTTTGATTCTTCGGTGATAGTGGTGCAAGAGCGTGGACCTCTTGGGCGGACATTGACATAGAGGTCACGGGTGCGCGCCGACGAGACTCAACAACCTGGATGGCTTTTCCATTCTGATAATCGGTCTGTCGATACACTGACGGATGCCTTGCAGATGGAAAGTACGTTGTGTGTCTCTGCCTAGCGTACGACGACGGCGAGGACATGGCTCAGAGCACGGCAGCAGGACGACAGCAACAGCAAGATATAACGACGTCAAGGGCCGAGTCTCAAGATATATCGGAATCGTGTTGGAACCGACCAGGGGTAATGGCGCGGCTGGATGTGCTGGACTGGTGCGAGTGAGAGTAGGAGTGGGGAGTAAGAGTGAGGGGGACGTGGGAGGGCGCGCGCAGCTATATGTGTGGTCGGGCCCGCCAAGCCCACCTCGCACCCTGCCGCACCAGGGCTCCTATTTGTCCTGTACGCGGACCCGAGGGCGTCTGCATATGTCTCGAGCGACTGTTCTGATCACGCTGCAGTCAGAAAGACCAGTTTTACCGCGAAAGACATGGATTTGCATGACTTCTGGAGTTGCAGTGCACTTGATGGTCGCTTGGGGCTCGAGCATGGGCGGCCTCAGGCAGACCCAGAATGGTACTGCGCAACGGACTTGTCGCATGCTCTGAACATTCTTCTGACCTATTATATGCCTCTGCTCGCTCGATGCATCAGATGTGCGCAAGTGTCACTCGTCGACGTCGTCCTCGCCGACTGATTGTCCACTGCCACCTTCCCCATTCATAGCATTTCTCCTAGACAGCTCGAATGAATTTCCGACTATGAATAAAGCTTATTCGCGCAATTTCAGCGCCTTACACGTTGTGGTGCACGAGTACTGTGGTGCCGGTGCTCGACGAGATGCTGAGTTGATGTTGATCCTGCCCGGATCTGCTTACATAAATGTAAAGGCTCATCTGATGTCACGTGAATATGCCTCTCCAGGTTGGTGGGTACTAAGCTCCTCCCAAGCGCACTATTGGGATCGACAGAAACGCGAATGGTCTAGCTTCTCACCGGACTGCATTCACTCGCACATGAGGATAGCGAATAGTATAGAATCGAAAGGGGTAGAAATTCAAGTCGGGCTACCAAATAGTAGGGTATCAATACAGTCCAGGGCTCAATAGCCTCCCATATCGCTTGAACGTCATCCAAGACCCACAAAGCGCATCATGCCACCACCATCCCAAATCTCACATCTCCTCACCGTCACCATCGTCATACTCCTCACGCGTGTCCTCCCGTGCCACCACTGGACGGCGACGACCATAGATTCCCGCTCTATCCTCAGAATTCCAGAGGCTCTACCTATGCGGATCCTTCCCCTTGCTGTGCACGGGCTCGCCTTTGGGGAGACCGAGCATAATATTCTGGAAGTGCTGGCGGGTTTGGGCGACGCTCTAGGGGTTGTTAGATTATTATATAGTTGGAAGGCCACGGGGCGTGAGATAGAACAGGGCGTATGTGAAATGTTGTTGATGAATCTATGCTATGGTATGAATCAAAGCGGAGATGCCTGAGGCGTGCTGATGCCGGGGTATAACGCGTGTGGAATTCAGGACGTGACGATGCGCGCGGATACAATGCGTGCTTGCGCAGAAAGTGAAGTCTTCCCATAGCTGCTCTGCACGCGTGATCAATGCTACGCTGAAAGAGCTGGTGATGCAGACATGTAAACGCCAAATGCCGCCAAAGTAAAGAAAATGCAAAACAAATAAGATCAACGAACCTCGTTCCGTGCATTCGAATGCCATACTAGCAACTCCACGCTCTCGAGAATCTGCGCCGCCTGCTCGCGCTTCGCGCGTGCTTCGTAGGGCTCGCCCGCGGCCTTGGTTGCATAGGACTTCCCGCGGGCTTGCTGAGAGCGCTGCGCGTCGGTGAATTGCGCAGGGGAGTTTGAATTCAGCATTGTCTTGAAGTACTGCTGGTTGTGGGGCATAATTCGGAAGATGGGACTAGGCGGAGGACCGGCTTTTCCCCGAATTTGATGACCAAGCGGGGGCACCGTGGGATGACGACAAAGGACGGCTCCTCTGGCTCGTCGTTTGGAGAAGGCACCTCAAGGGTAGTGGTGGCGGTGCTGGGAGCAGGCGCGACGACGTTGGAAGTGTTGTCGTTCGGAGCAGGCGCTGCGATGGTGCTGCGGTTCCCGATTGGTGAGAGGCGTTCCTTACGTGAGCCGAAAGGGACCGTCGCCTTCCTCGCCCGCTTCCCACGACGAAGCTCATCGCCGTTGCTCTGAGCTATCGGGGCTATGTCTGCTTTTCTCGCGGCCCGCTTGTGCTTCTTCGGCATGGGAGCCGGGCTGGGAGTCGGACTTGCGGTCAAGGTTGCATCGCTGTCGGTGGAAGAAACAATGGTCCCGCCCGCGATAGCCACCAGAGCATCGGCTGCCTCGACCTCCTCTTCAAAGCGCTCTGCAACATCATCACACTCTTCATGCAGGGCCATGGCCTCTATATACCCTTCCATCTTCGCCTTCTTCCACTCATCGTGCTTCTGCTTCAGCCGAAACACGTTCTTGGCGAGGTACCACTCCCCCGTCCAATCTTTAAGCGGTCTCATATCCTGGAACTTTCTCTCTCCTGACTGCTGCACCGGATGCTTCTTCCTCGGAACAGGCAGCATATGAGAGAGCCCGGCCCAATTGCCCTCCAAAGCGCACTTCATCTCCCAGTCCTCCAGGTAGGGGATGGTAGCGTAATCATCGTCATGGTCGTAGTTACGACGATGATTACTCTTCCAATTAATAAAAACATTTTCATAATTCGTCTTGTTGTTGAACCTCGCCCCAGAGCTGTAGTCGACCTCCACGTCTTGAAGAGCTTTAGGGCTAGGGGCCTTGAGCGGATTCCAAAAGCGTCCCCAATTATTGACATTGACATCTGGCTCCGTGAGCATGGGCTGCTCCATCCAGCTGTGCTTAGTACCTTCGCGGTACTTGAAGGTCCAGTCCGTAGCCTTTGGAGAAGACTTGCGTCCGGCATCCTCTTTGCCTTCAAGTCGAAAGGCCATCTTCACATCGTTTGCGTGTTGGAAGCGCGACTCGAAGGTAAGGGTGTAGACTCCGAGGGTGAGGGGATTCGGGTTCTTGGGGTTATGCTCTTCCATGGTAGAAAAGCTGGTCGTGGTGTGGGAAGTCTGGCTCTGAGAGCCAGACATGGTGGTGGAAGAGCGGGCTGAGGGGAGGAGAGATAGGCTGGTCGAAGTCTAGATGGCGGCGATTTTGAAACGAGAACAGGTAGCTGAGGCCGGGTTGTCCAAAAGGCTTGTGATGTGTGGAATCGTGGTGGAAATGCTGCAAGCTTCGCTGGGCCAAATGCTAATACTGAAAAGGACTTGCTAAACAGTGTCGTTATCGGTAATGTCAGAGTTGAGGACGAGCTGGGCTGACAATAAACAGCGGGAAGCAACGCTTTTATGTGTAGGCGGAAAACAGAATTGTGCGTGGAAAAAGCTCGACTGCACCACCATACCATGGTACGAAATGCTGTAACGACCAATTTGGAGATCCAGTCACTCTCCTGGACCAAATTGGCTCCTCTCAAAACTTGCTCCTCTGTTAGTGAATCGCTACCTGGTGTATAATGCCGATCACTGCCACACGAGACGACGGCCCATTTGAGAGATGTGGTTGTGTTGGGGCCAGAGTAGGTGAATCCTGCGATACCGTCCTTTTGGGTCGCCACCATGCACCAGCTACCTCAATATTAGGCGTCGAGGCCCCTCAAGAAACTATACGTATAAGAAGCGATGCTCCTCGGCTCCTACAATATGAAGCCTACGACGAGATCTTGAGTCCTCCCAGGCTATCTTACCATCATACACGCACAATGTACTTGCACAGCAGGTCCTGGACAGGAAAACTGCGCCATCTTCCCATCAATGGATCGCACCACACTTGCCTAAAACCGCTACCACAAGTGACCAACCATGACTCTGCAACTGCTAATATGGCAACAGGCTTGATTCCTCTTAGGATGCGTTCAAGAGATGTCCAAATCAACAGGGGCATCATCAGAGCCTGAGACTCTTCAAAATTTTAGGGCCATCGTGAGACCCTGAGTACCTATAGTATTCCTCATACATGTGCACTCGGCATCGCCTCACGCGGCGGGTTGGTGCATCACTAGGACCTATGTTCTTAGTACGCTCCACGCGCTCAACACTCATCCCAACCCAAACCATCCTATCGGTGTTTCACTCGATTTCATTCTCTCCACAGCCCTCGCGTCCGACGCGATTAGCCCTGCACGCCACGCAGAAACTCATCCCACTCCTTACATCACCACACCCAATTTTCCCCTTCCCCTTCCCCGTCCTCGTCTCCGCACTGCACGTCAACACCCCATGCAGCGATCCATCCTCTTCGCCTGGCCGAACAGCTGTACACTCCAATAACTTTAATCTTAAGCATGACCAAAAGTATCCCACGTAGCTGCAGCTAGACCTAGCGCTAGCCCGCTCACCCAACACCCCACGTGCACGCGCCCTCGCAGCCGCCTCAACGTCTCCACTGGCGCCGTGTGAAGAGGCCATGTGCGGAAAGTTCGATAGGCACGCGGCGGACGCACTTTTGTGCTCGGAGACGCGAGACTACTAAGGGGACAAGATGATAGAGCGCGACATTGGCTTTACACCTGCGACTGTATTGGTAACTGAAGAGGTCTCGGTCGCTGGTGGTTGCGAGGCTGTGTCTTAGAATTAGCTAGAAACACGGTATGGACGTGTGCAATTGGCATTGCCACTACTGGTCGGTCAGTGTTGCCGTTGCTATTCCTCCCTGTCTACCCTCCTGCGAATCTCCTCCACGACTTTGCTATTCTACTGATTACAACCACTCAAATTCCAATTCGAGCCGTTCGCAATCGCAACCACTACACGCGCACACAGCTGGAAGACAGACACTAGACAAATAAACAGATGGGAATAAAATGATCCTTGTGTATATTAGTGCTGATGCGTAGTCTTAGAATTCACCACAATCATGTATATGCGCTCAAACTGCAGACGCTGGAAATGCATGTATCAAGCCGCCGCTTTGGCACCACCCTCGCCCTCCTCCCCCTTCTCCTTCGCCCGCTTCTCCAACTCCACCATCTTCTCCGCCTCCGTCTTCTCCTTCCGCCCGCTGCCCCACAGCGAGCCTACATTCATCTTCTCCATCATCCAGTCCATCGTGCTCGCCTCGTTCTTCTTCTCGATATCTCTCTCTAATTGCGCCTTCTCCTCATCCTCATCCGTAACCTTACCCTCCTTCTCCTTAGCCGCCTTCTTCTCCGCCGCGGCCACAGCTTTCAACTCGTCTTCTTCGCGCTGGACTTCCGCAACGTCAATGTCCTCAAAGCCGATCTTCTTGAGAATACTGCCCGTGAGATAGCGGTACTCGAGATGCCCCCCAACCATCTCAGAGACATCCACATTCTGCACGCCGTGGATGCCAAGCACTGGCTGCAACCCTGCGACACCGAGCTGGATGCTCGACGTGCGGTACAAGAACGCGAGGATATAGTCGTTTGTCGAGAAAACGTTGACGACGCGGCCAGCAACCACGCTGCGGAGCGCGCGCCAATCCTCTGCGTCGGACGGGCAGGGCGAGCCGAGCAGGACCACGTTCTCGATCAGCCCGAAGACTTTGCGCTTCGCGAGGGTTTGGAGGCACGAGAAGATGAGGCGCGCGCCGAGGGAGTAGCCGATGAGAGTTACGGGGCGCTCGCCTTGGACTTTGTTGATGAGGGCGTCCGCGAGGACTTCACCTGCGCGGTCAGCGCGGTATTTGGCGACGGAGAAGGGGTTGTCGAGGAGGGACGATAGCTTCAGGAGACTGAGAGGCCAGAGACCGGCAGCTAGCGCGCCGAAGACGGTACGCTTGATGATCTGGCCTTTGGCGTAGGACCAGGCGGCGCTCTTGACAAAGCTGTCCATCGAGTTGCCGAGCTTGAGGAGCGACTCGAGTTCCCAGCGCAGCGCAAAGCCTTCGATGGACTGCTCGACGTAGCGCCAGGGCACGACGACTTCTTCTTTGCTAGTGAGCCAGCCGGAGATGGCGATTGCGACGCGCAGACGGCGGTACTCCTTCTCGATTTTGCGCGGGCGGTGAAAGTTGTGGATAGGAATGAAGCCGAAGTCCTCGACTTCGCGCGCGTACTCGTCCATGGCTTTGCTGGTCATTTTGGCACCGTAGGCACCGAAGAGACCGCCGACGAGGACGGAGGACGAGGCGAGGGTGCCTAGGTATCCTGCTGCGGCTGTAGCTCCGAGACCCAGTCCGCCCATCACGCTGCCTATACCTGCAGCTAGAAGTGGTGCGGCGAGACCGCCCGTGACTCCAATTAGGGCTGCGCCGGCGACGCCTGCAAGGCCGACCTTCCATTTCCGCGCTGTGCTTGAGGACTCTGCGGCTTTCTTAGTCTCGGCATCGGCGTTGAGCTGCTTTGATGCAGCTTCGAGAAGGCCGCGCGCGACGGTCTCCTCGTCGTTCTTCATGACCGAGAGCTTGAGCTGCAGCGAGGAGGTAAGGTAGAGCAGTAGCACGCGTGAGTGCGCCGAGTATGTCTCCAGGCTGAGCAATATCAGCACAAAAGAATGCAGCACCAGCTTCCTCTTCTCCAGATCCAGCTGCATCAGCGCTGTATCCACGGCCGGATACAGCTCCTTGAACACCGCGTCCTCGTCCTCGCCTTCATCGTCGATGCCGCCGAGACTTTTCATCCCGGTGTCGCTCCTCTTGACCTTCTTCTCCACATCCCCCTCCTTGACTTGACTGCTCTGCTGCTGCGCCTCCTTCCGCGAGTTCACCACCTCGCCCACCCTCCCCACCACCCTGCCGCGCCATTCATCAAAATTCTTCAGCATCTCCTTCTTAAGATCCTGCACCTCTGGCTTCGCGAGCTCCTTCTTGGCTTCTTCCTGTCTTTTTTCCCTGTCCTTCTTAACCTGCTCCTGCTTCTTCCTCCGCTTGTCTTCCGTCTCGATATCCGCGTTCTCGAGGTCTGTAGGCGCAGCAGCCAGCGCTGCTTCTTCCGACATTGCAGTCTTCGCCTCTACAGGCGTTTCTTCGGGGGCAAACGTGTCGAGTAGCGATTTCCGCATCGTCATTGTGATGGTGGCGATCAGGAACGTAAGGTCGGCGCATTGATCTGCGGTGAGCAGCGTCGTGAGCGAGCCATCTTGCTCTCCAGATTGCGACGGCGATTTCGAGCGCGAGTGCCCAAAAGGCAACTTGCTCGCGAAACCCTCCATGGTGAATTCCAATGGGACGACGTACTCCTACGCTGCTTGGGTAGGGTTTGATGGCAAGGCCAGAATGGACATTGACTGATGTGCTGCCAGGATGACGTAGAGTGGGGCGAGACCCCTGTCAGACTTCAGCCCTACGAGCCCACCCGCGGCTCGACCCGCGTTCACGCGACACTGCCAGCTCACTCTTCCTAAACGCTTTGAATCGGATGAGTTTCAAGTCAGAATCCATGGGAGGGGACATTATGCCTCAGCCTTCGATGTTTGATGATTTGCTTGCCTGCCTGGGCGATCACGGTAAGATAGGTCATGACAAGGCATTGCCGGGCGAGCGTGCAAGTTCTTCTCTACATGCGAACCCAAGCAGGATGATTATGCCGTACCAATGGCCATTCCTTCGTGGCGTGCTCAATTCACAGGGCTATTGCCATTGGTGGGCAATCATCCGCCGTCTTCGATACTTCTATGATTGTCTTCCTCTCTGGGCAGTTACAACGGGATGAATCGCAGTTCAACCAGAGGCACTGGCAGCGCGGATATGAAAGCCGGTACCAGTGCTGGCGCCAGCTCTGTTGCGACGTGCTGCGATGAGGTCCTGCCGCGCGAATGAAGACCGGCCTTGGCACGCTGAACAACAAACAGCACGGCAACAACATCCGAATAGGTGGAGATGGTAGGTGGTGTGATTCTTGTTGTAATTATATACTAGCCGCCCGCCCTCCCGAGTGGAGCTGGATTTCTACCGCCGGCTGGGAAGTTCCTTGCGCTCAAAAAGACACCCTTTACTGCGCGTATGTCGTTTTTGAGCACCTCCATCTGGTCGTCTTTCCCATCGCCCGTCTTGGGCAGCCCATACGTGCCGCCATAGAAGCCGCCCGAACTGGAGTAGTATTGGTTCTGGTAGCTCATGTCGCTTAGGTACGTCTGAAGATCTGACAACTGGGTCTTCAGCGAATCCGAAGAAGCTGTGTCGTTGGATCGAGTGGACTGAAGTTCGCGGAGATGCGATGTGATAATCTTAAGGCGGTTTTCGTGAGCTTTGACCACGCTTTCGTCTTCAGTCGCGTCGGAGGATTTTGAATCTCTGCGTGAGAGGGTGGGTGTCGTTTGCGTGCCAAAGTCGCGGTGGTACAGCTCTGTGGGATCGGAGTCGGTCTCGGATATGTCGTCGGCCGCATCGGAGGCACTTGGTTTTTGTTTAGTTGCCGGATCTATTGACGCAGAGTCTCGTAGGCGCTCGTTCAGTTTGTCGAGATGTTCCTGTGCGTGGCTCGCAAAGTCGTGCCGTGACTCGGTAAGATTCTGGGTCATGGGGCCTATTATGTACTTGGACAATCCGTATACTGTTGCAACAAGGCCTCCAGCCATGTATGCAGTGTTGAAAAGACGTTTCGTGGTTACGAGCGGTGGCTTTTCCGTAGGCTGTGCGAGAAATTCGGGGTACGTGACGATGGGTGGGATGTCGCGTGGTTCTGACTGAGGTGCGGGCACTCGGGGGGCTGTCGATGCTGCTTTCGACGACCACGCCCGTTCACCAGCTTGCGCGAGGTCTTCCGCTACATCTCGTGGGGTGTCCCTCGACAGCAGCTCGTCAATGTCTCCCGCCTTCACGCCCTTTGACTGCAGGAATTCGATTTTCTTCTCGCGCGGCGCATCGCGAATGGCGGGGTCGTCGAGGAACTTGGATGCCTGGTCTAGTAATGACGCGTCGCCGGTGGCAGTGTCCTGTGTGGCGTCTCCATCTGCTTCCTCTGCGCGTGATGGAGCCGCTGGGGTGCTCTCCGGTTGCTGTTCCGATGCCGGCTGCGCGTCTCCTTCTGCAGGCGTAGAGGCTGGAGCCTGCACGCGCTGCCACGATGGTATGCCCGGTTTGCCCGACATGTTGCGACACGCTGAATGTGCAAAGCAAGCGTGTGTACTGTACAGAGATGTCAGAAGCAAAGCAGAGGCGACGGCGGAAGGCACGACGGGCTGGAGCCGAGGTCTGGGGAAAGCGCGCCTTGCCTGTTCGGGCGCGCAACACCGCATCTCCAACGCTGCGTCGGCGAACCAGCTTGCGCGCTCCGCTTGGCCCAGCATCTCGTCTTCTATCGCAGCTATCCATCACCGCATCGCTACCTATATGACCAGCATGGCCGATCGCCCCGCCAAGCGCGCACGGCGGCCCAGCACCGACCACGACGAGTCCGAGGGCGCTGGCCATTGGAAGGACTCCGGCGCTCACACAAACGCGACCAGGTGAGTGGCTTGCACGCCTCGACTGCAGCTTCCCTTCCTAGCGGCGGTGCGACGTGGGAAGGCAGACGCTCGCCAAACCCAACGTGAACTTGGATACGCGCGCAGGCAATCCCTCCGCCGCCAGACGCCCTCCGCCCACCTCACCACACATGCCCGCCGTGCCGCCCGTAATCCCTGCCTGCCTGTGCCCTAGAGACGCGCCGGCGGGTGTCTGTTGATCCTGCGCCCTTTCATCCGTCTGCCTGCCTCTGCCTCTGCCTCTGCCTCTGCCTCAGTCCAACACCACCACGCCGACGCCATGCCTCGCCTCCGGTCCCGCGCCCCTCTGACTGCGACCAGTGCTCCTCCCCCCACAGCCTCCTCCTCGCGCCCGCGGCGCAACACCACCAACAAGGCCCCGCCTGCTGCCGTCATCCAGCGAACGTCCCCGGAAGACTCGCGCCACTCCCTGAATCTCACAGTCAAAGCATCTCCAGGCAGACTGCGCGAGGCTACTGGCGGCAGGACCTCCACCGCTGTCAACTCCCGTAACATCGTCGCGGGAAAGCGCGCCTCGCGGAACAGTAGGGTTATCCGTGAGCTCGACAGCGATGACGAGGAAGACGAAGACGAAGACGAAGAAGACGACGACGACGACGCCGAGGAGGTGGATGCCATGGATGTAGACGAGCCCGAAGACGACGACGCCGAAGGCGAAGAGGACGACGACATGGACGCCGAGGGCGAGGAGGACGACGACGCCGAAGTCACCCCAGCCCCTCGAATTGTCGTACCGAGCAACAAGAGCGCACCCGTCAAGCAGAAAGTCGCCCAAGACTCCGTAGAAGCGAAAGAGATTGCTCTGGACGACGATGACGAAGAGCTGTCCGAGCTCGATTCAGAACTAGAAGGAGAAGACGAGGACGCCGAGGGCGAAGACGATGATGCCGAAGGTGAGGAAGACGATGAGATCGCCGTCCCCAACGACGATGAAGACATGGACAGCGACGAAGACATGAGCCGCGACCAGACGCCCGATCTGAGCAAGATGACGCGCCGCCAGCAGGCCATGGTCGTGCAGGGCGCCGATGAATCGCTCATGGCGCTGTCCAACGAGGCGCAAAAGAAGAAGCATCTCACCGCCGAGGAAATCACTTCGCGGAGAGCGGAAATGGCGCGGCGCCGCAAGAACCTCAGCGAGAAGCGCAACGAGGAGGAGAAGGTAAGATTCCCCCGCAGACCCCTCACCTCAAACATGCATGCTTATTGTGATCCAAGGCCGACACCATCAACCGCCTCCTCAAAAAGCAGCCCCCCAAGCGCGGCCGCAAATCCATGCTCGCAGAGAACGCGGAAGAAGGCCAGGAAGAAGACGACAAGAAGCCCGAGAAAGCGAATCCACTCTTCGTGCGCTATCGACAGACGGTTCAGGGGACGACGCTGGCAATCCCGGAGGAGTGGCTGGAGGCGCCTGCGGGCAGTCTTTTCAGCGGCGCAGTGGAGAAGCCGATAGCGAAACCGTGGGGCGGACGGATGGTTGAGGAGGTTTCGTGACGTGGCCAAGGTTTTGTACGATAGAGGGATTGAGTGCATTTGTCGGCGTATGAGGTTATAGCACCGGACTACCGACTGATAGCTCTCAGTGCAGTCAAAGGGGACAGGTTGATCAGTCGGTTTGGCCTTGATCGAGAAAGCTTGACTTGACTGAGTAATAAACATCGACGTAAGTTCTATCGATATGGACAAATAAGCACGCTTGTAGGTGCTGTGCTTCCTGAAGAGTATCATAAACCCCTCGCACCCTTGCCCCTCTGTCTTCCTCTGCTTCGGTCTACCGCGCCATTTGATCTTGTACACCACTGACACCTTACTCCTTTATCACCACAACCACGCGATTCCTCCGCTCTCTCTGAATTCACTCTCAGAGCAATCACCCGAAAGCCCGCTTGGACACAGCGCCTTCTCAATATCTCTCTTTCAAATTGAACAAGTCATCAACGGGGACGTCATATCAGGGCATGGAGTGTTGTATCGCTTCGTTGAGGAAGTTTCTCGCTGGCACTTTGGTTCTCGAAACTCGTTCTGCCCTCGGTAAAGCTTGTTCATAATCATAACCCGGGTCCTTCGGATGTGTCTCTGAAAACCTTGAAATTCCGTCCGGGGGATATTCTTTTTTACAGACAGAGTGTTCTCATATTCACGTCTGGTGATGCGATTGTGTACCTGCAGCAACGTGCGCCGTTCTCTTTGTGAATATCTTGCATGCTCAACTCAAGTGAGCCATTGCAAGCGAATGTAAATTCAGCCTTATACCAGATAAATTGATGCACGTATCTAAATTGCTGGAGAAGATAGGATAACCAAACTGGCAAAACGAGGCCCATAGTCGAAGAGAAGCTTAATCTTGTTCCTTTGCGATGAGTACAAAGCCGAAAGACCACAGAAACCTCGGTTCTACAAAGCTCTCAAAAACTGCGGTATCATTGACTTGTCATCTAGACGACTGCTACGACCTACGTCTTACTGTTTCGCACTCTTTCAGGACTTTGGCGACAGCGTAGACACCTGGAGCTGTAAACAGGCCCACTTCTCTCCATGACATCTTCGCATCCATGTTTCGGGACAAGCACAAGCCCTTCTGCACCATCGTTTGGACCGAAATGGCTGTCATCCTCGCTCTCATGGTTCTTACTATGTGCGCATCTTTGTATGATAGTATATGAAAACGGCGTGTATCCGTCATACCAGGATGGTCTATGAACACGTGCAGTGAGCGTGAGCCTGCGGACGTTTCAGCCACAGTATTGTCGAGAGTATCCGTCCTATGGTATTCCATGCCGTAGTTCGAATTTTGGTCGGGATGAGGTGAAATGGGAGCGCAGATGAGCTTGCTCCGGATCTGTAAAGAGGCAGGCTCATGAATGGCCTGGTCGTCCTCATAGCGCATCTTGACCTAACACAATTCTTCCAAGAGACGGTTGTACCATATCCCAGCGACAAGCCGATCGCCAAGTGCATGACCGGTCTGTTTCACTACACCCTAAATCGCTACCAGAGTGTCCTATTCATTGGTGATCGCGCACTAACTGTAGTGTATCCGGAATGTCGCCCAGGAAAAGTAGAGTCCTTCGACAGATGGGGATTGTATATCTGAGATCGTGACTTTACTACAAGCTCCAAAGTCCTGCGAAGATGTCCCGGCCTCCTGAGTCTAAGCTTATGAAGATCCCGCTTTAGTTTCGATGTGTTACTGACCAACTTGGAAGTACCCATGCTGGCAGACCGCTGGGATAATTCTCACTTGCGATGTCTCGGTGACATCGCCAAAACGGTTGTGTGGGACTGAAGTGCATGATTCGGGTGGATAGATGTCGCTTCTAACATACCCACGCTTTCCAATTCAATGGCGCGCGCTCGATGGCTAATTTCTGAAGTATCGCACCAGTATGAGCCAGCAAGCATGCTTTCGAAATCCGTGCATTAGGGTCTGGAGACCAAGATGCTTCTGCATGCCGCGGCTGTAGTAACTTGATTACTCTTTCGAGGAAAAAAAAAAAGACCGATCGCTGTGCTCAGCAGCTGATGCTGCAATTGTGCAGGCTGCTTGGCTGTATATGTCGTTCATGCGGCCGGATTCGAAGGACCAGTCAACTTTGCTGTCTTGCATGATATATCTAGCAAAGGTGAGTATAAGTTGGAATTTTCAAGTGACAGTATAGTTACAGTAAGTCGATCCATAGATGTCGCATTCCGAGCAAGCGAACCATAAAACCTGCATCCTAAGACGTCTTCGGTAAGTACGACAGAAGTATACCATCATATAGGATTGATTTGGTCTCATTGTTCAACGAAAAAGGTTGCTCCTGGCCCCCGCAATGAGACAGACAAGCATAAGATACTCTTTCGTCGATTCCTGCAGTATCAAGCACGCAGATAGTATCCCATGATTAATCTATATCGATGAGTCTGGAAGAACACAATGCCGTGGGAGAACTCTGAAGCCAGCAGCCAGCAGCCAGCATTTCTATCACGATATTCGCGGTATTTGCTAAGGAGGAAATTTAGAGTCGATGTAGATCGAGTACTGCGCGAAAGAACGGGCGGAAGCTAGCAATCGGCCATATCTACGAGTGTTTGATCACTGTCAGTTAAAGCTACAGCTGCTTGGGCGAATCACCTTTCCATGGCACAAGAATAACCTTCTCCGATCTGAGCCCATTCGAAAAGTAGAATTCTTGAAGCTTATTGAAGTCTGATGAGAGGATTTTTGCCACAATCCCATGCGACGTGTCTCCCGACCAAGTCGGCGGATATCCTTTCCACTTCCAAGCGAGCGAGCAGATGAAACACGGCAGTTCAAGCGCCTTGTGCAAAGAATAGGTATCAGTGTGGTGGATGAACATAAAAGATGCCTTGGCAGGGGCAACAAGCTCGAGGTCCCTGCAAAGAAGCCTTTGGATGGCTCGCAATCCTATTCACCAACCATATCCGCGAAAGTGAGATGATTTTTCAGGGGTGTTGTGACATGCTTTTAGGCTTCAAGTGCAACAGCGTACCGCTCGCATGATGCAAGTGCCTCTCCAAAGAGGTTCGTTACGCGACAGGGCACAAGTTGAGGCCTTGCGCGAGCCAATTGTAAATACACATGTCCGACGAATTCGTCTGCGTGTGCGAAGATGCCTATCTGGTTTGAGATCACATACGCCTACCCCCACGATACTAGAGCTATACCCTATTGGCGATTTAATGTTAGTGACCTGGCCGGTTTGTCAAACGTGAAAGGCATAATCTCAGCTATGGAATTCAATCAAATTGCAGAATAAAGAATACAACTAAGGCGATTATTTAACCCACGGTGAACGTGAGATAATTGGAGACAACTTCCCACTGATTGTAGTAAGCTCCCATTGTAAGACAGATCGCTGCATGTATTCGAGGGCTTGAACTTGCGTAGAAAGGTTGCTCCGCATTGAGGGGACGGGCACCTCCGCGCAGCATCTGGAAAGATCCATACTGCTAGATGTACTCTGTATAGAGCTGACCTGATAAGGTGTTTATGAATGATCTAATTTGCCATCAGAATACCGGGGCATGACTCAGGCATGTAGAAATGAGGTGGGGTGTGAAAGTCATGATTGATATTGGTCTTCAAAGTAAATGGATATTCCGTCCTGAAAGGGTGCTAGAAAACAAGATCCAAGACTGCTTGCGAGAATGGTAGAAGACCTACTTTCACGTGACCCCTTGTGGTGGCTTAAGCCACCATCACGACCTGCCTTTTACGGAGCCTCGGCAATCATAAACAGGGTATATGAGCCAATCACCTATCTCGGGCCACAAGTCGCTATCTTGGACGCATATAATAAGTATAGCCATGTGGCTGCTGTGGCAAAATTGCTATTTCGCCTTCGTATCTTGACATTTGCCCACCTGGCAGAATTACACAACACCTGGGAAACGTCTTGACTCTAGCGCTCCGAACCACGGCCCAAACTTTTTGACAGAATGGAGCTTTCTGTGCTGCCAGTGAGTGCTTGTCGTGAGATCCGCAGAGCTAGGGGTATATCTACTCACACGTGTTGCCAACCAGCAGCCAGCAGCGCCTCGTCCATCTCGTGAAAGCGCGGTTGCGCGCGATCCTCCTCCTGCGTACTTAGCAGAGCACGAGCCTCTTCCACCGACTTACGAAGATGTTTCTCAGCCAAGAAAAAAGGCCTCTCGACGTTGTAGCATGTTGCGAAACAGAACTTTCTTGGCCGTGGCGTTGACGCTTGTGACGGCGGGTATCATAGCGAGCCTGGCTGCCGTATTCACCATTCAGGCCAAGAATCGAGTAAGAAAAGCCCAAAATCTTATAAATGCGCCACGTTAGATGATATTGATTGGGGGTATAGAAGCACGAGTCTATGCCTACGTCTATGTCGTAAGATCGACGTGTAAAGATGGACCGCGGTCTCTGTGTCTATTGCGCCCGTTCAGCTCGACACCTCCATATTGTCTTCTCGCCGAACCAATGAGTTTGTGATAGTCATTTTGTCGGCATCATGTGCAAATGAGCCGGAAAAGGGAATGTCGCAGAGTCAACAACCTGCCACTGCTTATAAAGGTACTGTAGGCAGGACCCACTATTGAGCCTGCCCGCTCACGTCTCAACGCCCAAAAGCTGCTAAGGACCACCATACCGCCACAGAGTCAGCTCGAGGAAGGGAATTAGACATCTTTATAGCGACCTATCATGGCCTCCACGGCCAGCATCTACCGCGCATAATCCGGGGTGAAGACGCAGTAGTTTACAACCAACCGTCGCACAAAAATCTCTCCTTGTATAAGCACACGATGCAGAACCTGCTCTGCTTATAAGAGAACAAGCAAAACCACCAGGCAACATTGCGTACTTCGCGGCAAGAATGGGCTCAAAACATCCTCGCTGTCGGAAGGATGGAAACGAAACCGAAGCGCAGCAGGTTGAAAACAAGGTGATGTCGAAGAATGCGGATGAAGGCTGCAAGGTAATGCAGTGGAATGTCGATGTGGAGAATGTGGACTCCTTCGGTGATCCCTGTTCGCCTATAAAGGAGGTTCGCATCTCAGCGTTAGCATACAAGTCCGAGCATAGTGGGTTACCCCAGGGCGCGGGCGATAAGTAGGCTGACGATGTCTCAGTACTATATCGTAATAGGGCACGTTCAAATGAACAAATCGCAGCCAGAACACGTCTTTGAAGTTCCACACCACGTGGTGATGTGCCGAACGTGCAGCTATTGTGCTTCATGAAGGCTCTCCGCTTCTTTCCCTGGGTTCGGGTTCAGTGCCGTAACCACTCATATCCCATCTCGCTTCCTGTACATTGTATTCAGTAGACTTGATTATATCCCCCGGATTGCATGGGACCCTGACTTACATCGTCGACGAAACGTCCCTTGTGCTTTTTCAACCGCATATTGTCTAGGAGATACGGTAAATCGCACGTTGTATGGAACATAATCAACCATCTAATATAGCACACTTTGCCGCACCAGTCGGACAGCATGGAGAGGTAGCTTGCGACCAACGATGTCGGCAGAAGCGACCGTAGTGCGGTCTTCTCGATCTGCACTGGACAGTTCCAACATCTTAGGAAAGCGCAGAGTTGGAGGACGAGGATGGGGATCCGGAGAGAGTGTGTCGGGCGCTCGAGGTACGTTAGTTTGATGAGGTCTGGGGGGCCAAAGTATATCACGGGTAGCTGTAAGATTGATGTAATAGGCGGACGACCGGGATAGGTAGCTGGATGATCAGGAGAGGTAGTCGCAGAATTGTGAAGAAGAAGCCGATGAAGACTTGCGGCGGTATGAGCATCACCAATTTCTCCCAAAAATCCATTGCCGTTGATATTGAGGTGCAGCAGTATAAGAGATGACCCGTGGCCATTAAGTATGAAGTCGTCAAAGTATTGTCGTGCGCTAGGGGCTTGCAACCATGGAACTCAAGCAGCCCCTACCCTTCATGCTAACCGCCGCGCCTATCGAATACCCAAACGATCCACGGTATCACCTATAGCAATTGCCCACCATTCTTCAACCCCATGAAAACACATTTTTGGCGTTGTGCAATGTGGTCTGATTTGACGTTTTTCCACTGAGACCAGGGCGTAAAATATCTACAAGAACGAGCTACGGAGCCAATCTCTCTCCTCAGACCCACCCAACGGGCACTACTTCTCAACAGATCCAGCCGCCTGCACCATACACCCCCTACGAGCACTGTCCCCAGCTCTTTTGGCACCAGTTCGCCGCGCCACAGAAATCCGTTCCCTTTCCGCAGAAGTTGCTACCAGAGCAGCACAGCCCACTGCCACACTTCTTGTTCACGATCGGCCCACAGGTCTCACCCTCGCCCGAAACACCCGGCACACCCGTCGGCTTCGCAGGCTTGTTCTCAGAATCGCACTTTCCAAACCCGGCCTGGCATCCCGTTCCACAGTACAGATTCTGGTCCTGGATATCGTTCTTGGGCCCGCAGTGGCCAGCCGACGAGCAGCAGCGGTAGAAGTACCCGCCGAGTCCGGCGCCAGGACAGGATACGCCACCCTGAGCGTGGCCGCAAACGTCGATGACGGGGATTTTGGAGGCGTAGGGGGCAGAGGTGGAGGAGGCCTTAGCGGAGGTCTTGAGGGTGGTGGTGGTGCCGGTGGCGCAGGAGGAGCCTTTGCCTGAGAAGGCCTTCAGGCAGGTCTTGGGGTCGCAGTAGGCGGCGCCTGTGTCGCACCAGCCGTATTGGCTACCTGGAGAGGTCAGTTTTTTGGTAGGCGAGGTGGGAGTGATAGGGAGAAGACGTACAGCATTTTCCGGCAGCGCAGACGGCGTTGCTGTATTTGGGGCCGCAGTTCTGGGCCACGGCGACAGTGGCCAGCGAGAGCAGAGCGAGGGCGAAGGCGCGCATTATGATTATAAAGTATAGTAGTATTAATACGATGAAGATGTTCGTAGACTGAGGACGTAAAGCGAGTGAATAGTCTGAAGATGATGGACAACAACGACAAGTCTTCGAAGCAGAGAAAAGCCTTCCTCCGCACTGGTCAAGCTCCTCTTTAACCCCCAGCAGTCCCACCCACTGTCGTGCTAGTTCTATTGACGAGAGCCACACCCCCGCCCCCTACCAGAGGTTCCCCTGGAGTCGCGCCAACAACGACACTCAAGCGCGGGGCTAGCAGCTGCACCAGCCCCAGCAGCCATCTAGCTTCCGCTAGCGAAGCTGTATTTCAGCCTTCGGTGCCGGGTGGCGCCCCATTCGAGCTGCGGTGGGCGGGGAGCTGCGGTGCAGTGTTCAAATTTTGGAGAAATGGTGTCGCTCGAACAGGGATGGCGCCGTTAGCACGCTCGTATAAAGTCTAAGCGCGCCCCTTTAATTGTCAGAATAGGAAATGGCGAGGTAAACTAGCGCTAGGTTTCCTCCCACCACTCCCCAAATAAACATGTCGTCTTCCGGGTATCCATGTGGAGACGACGTTGCGACATCTAGATCCCCAGCCTATCCATACAATCGGTACCGGTATATGGTGGTAGTCACCCACGTCGACCACGAGCACGCGGTGCCTCATCGTACAATTGATCATTCTTACCGCCTCGCGCGCGCCGTTCAATTGACATGCACCACGTGCGTGCGGCGCGGCACGCATCGTTGCGCCGAGTTGCCACTCGGCTCCGCGATGTGGATTTTGCTGCAGGGTGGGACCTAGTTGACACGAGCGTTTTTGACAAGATCGCAGCAGGGATTCCAGGCATTCGACAGATTTTCTGGAACGAGCGGATCGGGGAGTGTGAGTATGGGATTGAATTTACAGAAGATGCATTCAATGAGCTTGTCGGTAATGAGGGTGACTGCGATTGTCCATGCAGATCACTAGTTTGGTTCGCACATGTAGAACTGCGGCTGGAGATGTAAGCGAACGTTGCATTGTTCGACGCTATTGAAGTATCCCGGTTGATGTGGTGAAACGATAACACGACGAAACGATATTGTAGGGACTGGTATTATGTGAGGCAGTATGCCGTGTTCATTGCTCGTAAATCGTCATATACGCTCTTTAGCTCGTTCATACGAGCCGTCGCTATAGTAAAGTCGTGCCTTTGTGACACATGTGAATCAAACTTCTTCGGAAAATAGCAACGCAGAGTTGCTCTTGAAATCAGTCTACGTCTACTGTCCAGCCTGGATCAGGTAGTCGCCATCGACAGGGATTGTCTGCAAGAAGCATGTCAGCTGTCAATTGCGTAGTTTCGAAACGATTATTACCTGTCCGTTGAGGTACTGGCAGCTGGCACAGAAGAGCACTGCAGCAGCCATATCGCGATCGTTTCCGGGCGGCCTGACGGCAATCCCTCCTTGTGCTCCTTTGGTATCTCGCTTTTCTGGTTGTCATTTCTGCTCTCTCCGGTAGTCATCTCACTGGGAAACACATCAGGTGCGATGCTGTTCACACAAATCTTGAAACCCATCTGCGCAATCTCAGACGACAGCATCCGGTTCAGATGGATCTGTGCTGTCTTGCTGGCGTTGTAGCTGTAGTGGTCTTGTGAGATCTTGACGAGCCCTGAGATGCTGGTGATGTTGATGACGGTACCGCTGTAGCCATGCTGGTGCTCAGAAGAGTTGATTGTGTGAGTAACGCGCATAAAATTGATTCTATGGAGGTGGGCGTGTATATATACACGCCCGCAGACACTATCTGCAAGTAGGGTAGGAATGCAGTAGTCATCATGAAAGGTCCGACGACGTGGGTGGTGTATACTGAAGTCCACTCGTCGACTGATGTGGGGTCTAGAAGGTGCTCGCGCATCGCTTCAGGAGTGTCGTGCTTTGTCTCAGTCTTGCCGGGTGCAATTCCGGCATTGTTGACGAGGATGTCGAGGTACTTTTCGCGCGACTCAACCTCCCTGACAAATTTTCTACACAAGTCAGCACACTATACACTGGCATTACTCGCACAAACTTACCGTACGCCTTCCTTGCTCGCAGCATCGCCCTGAAGCGGAATGATTTCGCCAGCAATGTCTTTGCCATGCACCTCTGCGACCTTCTCCAGCTTCTCTTCAGTCCTGCCGACAATATACACTTTAGCACCGTTCACAGCCAGTGCCTGCGTGATCATCAGGCCAATGCCAGATCCGCCGCCAGTCACAAGGGCGACCTTGTCCTTGACATTGAAGACCTGTCCAAGCTGCAGATCAGCATTGTTGGACATGCTGAAATATGAGCGTTTGAGTTGAGTATGAGCTGGATTGTGTGTTATTCGTATGTTTGCGAGTATAGCTTTCTTTGGTGAGGGGTTTGTGGGCGTTGATATATACATGCGTCTTGCGTGACGAGTGGCTAACGTCAGGCAGATGCGCTGCAGCGAGGGAGCAGACGAACGTGTCAGACGAAAAGTATTAAAGAGGAGCACCATTATGGATCTATAAGTTAGCGGGTTACCAGAGGATGCTGTATGGAGAAAACTCCCGTCGCATGTAAACCATGACCATGATATATTAAGCGGAGAACAACAGTGGACTGGCGGCACAAGGCTTGCTGTACGTGAGCGTTACGTCATTGCTCTCCCAATACACCACGTTACGCGTTGCCTCGAATGGACTCAATGCAGTATGCTGAGTGTTTGTTGCTTAGTTGATCAGGCATGAGGATTCCAGCTGGAACCCAGGAGAACGCGCTGTCACGTGTGAGCATTAGCGCTAGCTAGATTTGGATCTGGATCTGGATGAGCCCAAATGGGAGACTTTGATGTAACTTCAAGTGAAAATTCTTCTAAAATGCACGATACTTGGATAACGCTATGGCATTACACGGCCATAGTCCTTACTGAGTTGGCTTTGCAAATATGGTGGAAATCACACTGCTCGGAGAGCACTTCGCGCTAGGAAGCCATTCCGAGTTCGTACTTTAGACCAGAGTAGGAGGCCGGTCATATGTGAGAGCACAGGTCAGTTTAAATTCATGTGTCGGTGGAAATACGGCGAGTAGTTCGTAGTCCGTGCAATGCCATTGTTTGAACCGGGTGGCGGGAGGACGTTGCAATCGCGGTTCAAAGCCGAGCCGAAAGTGTGGCTTATGTGTAGAATTGAAGGACATACGTGTAAAGGGTCGATTGGGCAGATGATGACTGTTCGTGGGTGTCCGTTCGTCGGCCTAGGAGTCCGAGAAGCTTTCCGGTGAGCTCGAGGAGGGCTAACAGGTGATGCAGAAGAACAAATGCACCCTGGATATGCGGTGGCACCGAGAAGCTCTCGACCTTACCGATGGGCGCTCAAATAGGAAAGCCGATGTCGAGTTGACGGAGCGTGTGACTTGTCCCCACAGGAGCTGGACACTTGGCAGCCATGCAAAGATATTGCTCGTCTGTAGTTGATCATGTTCGAACTTAGTCATAGGGTGAAGGTCCGTCATTGTACATAGTACCGAGCAGATGTTCGGAGAGTCGCGCGAGGCGTCTGAAGTCGCATGTATTGAGGCACTCCTCGGATCTGGCACAAAGTGCCTGTACTGTTGACCTACCGCTCGTACACGTTCTGTTGAGTTGGGCAGCCATGCATTTCACTGCGAATTGGAATCAGTGCACTGAAGAGGTTATGCGATCAATGGCATCGGCTAGCCTTCATTCTGCGAGTTGATGTCTCGACTTCGGTATGCTGAAAACCTACACACATGCCTGCCCTCTAATAGTCGAGCACAGCCTCCGACGCCCATTGTGCAAATCAAAACCCATCCCTTGTCTATGACCTCTGACTTTTAGTGAACCTGTGTCGCATGCATTACATGAATAGAAAAATCGGCCGCCCAACGAAATGGATGCATCTCCGTGCGGTTGAGGAAACCACCCGTGGTACTAACATCGAGCACCGACTCCTTCTCCTACCGGTGCATCGTACATCGATCGAGCGCGTCAAGCAACTCGGGCCTGTCCGCCAAGGCCTGTCGGGCCTGCTGGTAGGTAAACCACTGTCGCGAGCGCTTGTGCATCTCTGGCCACTGGGCCTCTTGCCTCTCGACGGTCGCTTCGAAGAAATGATATGAGGCCTTGGGGGCCTGAGCGGTGAGCTGGTCGGGTCTCCGCCGCTCGGCGATAAGACCCAGGTCGTAGTTCACTTTGACGATGATGCCGGCCTCCTCCCAGGCTTCGCGTTTGGCGGCATCCTGGGCGGTGGCTTCGTCTGTCTCCCAGCCGCCCTTGGGGAGAACCCAGCCGCCGCGCCGGGTGGACTGGATGAGAAGCACGTAGTATTTGTCGGAAGAAAGCGGAACAATGCCGGCGACGAGCCGCTCGCCTTGGGAGCCGTACCCTGGAGGTCGGTCAGGATTTCGAATTTGGAGGTGGTGCCAAATCTCCGCCGGCCATTCGGCGAGGGAAGATGCGACAAGAGAGAGACTCACGCTGATTCGTGCGGCCGGTGCGTGACTGCATGGAGAGCTGCTGGGCGGTCGCCATATTGGCCGAGGTACCTCAAGAAACCTAACGAGCGACGCAGGTGGCCGGCCGCGAGCTCAGGGCAGCACCACTAGGCGAGGCAGCAGCGACGTGCAAAGGAGAGACGGGGCCCCGCAGTGAATGGGGCGTGAGCGAGCACAGCACAGCACAGCACGGCACAGCAAGAGGGCGGGCAGGAAGGCAGTGGCTGTAGCTGGGCGCCGTGTGCGTGGTGAAGGGTGAGTCAACGGAGGGAACAAGGCTGCGCTCAGTCCCGCGGGGGACGGGGCTGAGGATGCTGGAGAGACCTGCGCAGGGAGAAGAGGGCGAGCATCGTGGATTGTGTATGTGTTTTAGGTGATTCGGTCAGGGTCCGTAGTAAAAAAATGTGGGAGACTAGGGCGCGCGGTAGCCCATCACCGCTCGTCACAGCACGCCCGCCCGACTGGTCCGCTGCCGCCAAGCGGACGGCCGACAGGGGCTTCTACACGGAGAGAGACAAAGAGGGATACGGGCGAGCCCTCTTGCTCTGGAGCGCTAGAAGCTCTGCGCGCTGCAGCGTGCAGTCGGCGCGGGGCACGCGAGGCACTGTCGCGGCGGGCAGCGCCTGCCATGACGTGGGCCCTGCTGGCCATGGGTATTTGAACCTTCGCGGGCGCCCAGTAGCAGGCGCATCTGCGGCCTCGTGAAGACGCTGATCGGATCGCTGGAGCTGCGTGGCATCCGCGGCACGAAAACGACGCCCAGGGCTGCATCTCCAACGTCGTCGGCGTTGGGCCTCGTCGCCGCGCACCTCCTCCCCGCGCCAGTCATTCACCTCTGTCACGGCGGGACGAGACGAGTCGAGCGCCATCACCTCCGCCGCCAGACGCCGCGTAGCACACGACACTCGCGGTGCCGCCCGGCCTGCCTCGCGCAACGGCTCCAGCGCGCGTCGACCGTCTGCAATCCCTCCACCGCCAACCGCCCGAGCTGCCCCCACCGCCGCGCCCGCTCCCACGCTTATGCTGCCCTCATGCAGTCCCTTGTGACGCCCTTCGGTACGTTCTGCTCCAACCACCGGGCTCGTCCGAGGCTCGTGCCCCTCTGCCGTGCCCTGGCTGGCTTCCTGGACGCTCCATGCTTCGCCGCTGGCACTGCTCGACACGGTGCTGATTTATGTTCCACCGCTAGGCTACAGCGCTGAGTCCTGCGGATACTGCAAAGATGCCTCCACGGGCCACCGCACCCCGAATTCTCGTAAGTCAACATTTCCCGGCCGCTGCCGTGGGCTGTCCGCCGCAGTGCCCAATGTCGGACACATGGCATTGGTGCGGAGCATTTGGCTGCGAAGCCCAGCGACACCTTCGCATTCATTCCGTGTCAGTCCACGATGAATGTTCCCACCCACGTGCAGCACCCGCACCACCCCACCAAAGACTCAAGCCAGCCGTACATCAGGCTATCCCGGTCCGAAGCAAAGCGGTCGCCAAGCGCGCCATCTGCCGACCGCTACCCATCCATCGTGTAGCTGCTGGATACGCTGTCAATCCCCTTCGCGAGACGTCACTTCTTCCATCTCCATGCTAGCCTGTTCGCCCGCGGGTCAAGTCGGAAGGCGGCAAAAATCATACCATGTAATTACTGACTGTTATTACATAATCAGGAGCAAGCTACTACTTCTCCTCCAAATCCTTGACCGTCGACGTCTATCAAGGACTGGTGGATCGCGGTTGGAGACGGTAAGCCCAGCAACGCCTGCACAACATCCCGCCGTCAAGCTTTGCTTTTGCTGAACGATCCACAGATCCGGGACTGTCTTCTACAAGCCGGACGTACTGCGTCACTGCTGCCCTCACTATACTATACGGTCGGTTTGCAGTCTTCCCTGCCCTTCGCGTCTGACTTTCTTCAGACTGCCCGTGGCATCTTTTGCACCCACCAGAGACCATCGACAAGTCATCAACCGCTGGAACAGGTTCGTGCTTGGAGACGAGTACTCGAAAGAGGCCGCCAAGCTATACCCTAAATCGAAAGCGTGAGTCCACCAGTACATGAGATGGTCATGTTCTCATCAATGGCCAGGGACAAGGCCAAGCAACGTAACGGCTTCGACCTACCTGGCGCGGTACACGAGAGTGAGTATGGCAACATCAAGCGGCCGCCGGAACCTGCACATCGCTTCGAGGTGACACTCGAAGAAGACAAGTTCACAAAGGAGAAGTATGAACTCTTTTCAAACTACCAGCAGCACGTGCACCACGAGAAGCCCTCGGAGATATCACAAAGCGGCTTCAAGCGCTTCCTCTGCGAATCACCGTTGCAGCGACGAACGGCACAAGTGAACGGAAAGATGCAGCAGCTTGGGTCGTACCACCAATGCTATCGACTTGACGGCCGTCTCGTTGCAATGGGCGTCTTAGACCTGCTGCCCCACTGCGTCAGCGGTGTCTACTTCCTCTACCATTCAGACTTTGAAAAGTGGAGCTTCGGTAAGCTGAGCGCTCTTCGCGAGGCAACGCTAGCTTTAGAAGGTGGATACCAGTACTACTATATGGGTTACTACATTCATTCATGCGTCAAGATGAGATACAAGGGCGAATATCGGCCTCAATATGTGTTGGATCCAGAATCTCTGACCTGGGATCCTTTGGAGGGCGAACTCCGCGCACTTCTCGACAAGAAACGTTATGTCTCTCTGTCGAGAGAGCGACGGCTGAAGGAAGCAGTCCAAGGCACCGGTGATGATGCTGTAGAGCCCTCGCAGAACGAGACAGAGCCTGACCCTTGTTCCGATTTCCCGTATCCCACCGCAAAGGAAGCCAGTGACGCGGTGAGCGATGGCGTCTCACTGTTCGACTTGAAAATACCCGGTGTGATGACCGAAGACGAGATCAAGCAGCATCCGCTGGGAGAGCAACGTATCTCAGGCCGGAATCAGATATTCGTAGCAGAGGTGAGTTTCTAGAATGATTCTGGTCGTGCTGTGCCTGACGTCTGCAGGATCTCATGGCTTGGGAAGGTGGTGATATCCGCGACAGGTCTTTCAAAGGCATCACGGCTGAGGTCGTTGCGGTCCTGGGCCCAGATGTTGCGAAGCAAGTCATCATAGGCTTCGGATAGAGATAGACCGTGATCTCATCACTCCAGAATTAAGATGTCACAAACAGCCTGCGGTCGTCTGCACATTGTTTTCTTGATCAGACCATTCATACCAATCTATGCAACAGAGACTGGCCTCGGTATGCTGCGGAACGGTGTATAGCGTGGTCAAGTGGGCTAGCTGCATGCGGGATGGCCTGCCAAGCACGACGTCTGCTCCTCCCTCGGTGCGCTTTATTTGTTGTGCCGCACCACCGCATGCTCCCGATATACCAACATGTCTGAAATCACCCTCGTCGTGCGCCCTCGTGGTATGTATGGTAGCCGGAGGATCCAATACTCTCGCAGCTGACTTCATGCAGGCCGCCCGATCAAAAATCTCCCGGACACGATCACAGTGCAGGCAGACGGAGTGGCCAGCCAGATTCACCAGAAGATCGCAGACGCCTCCAAATTCTCCATTCACCGCTTGAGGGTCACGAAGGGCAGCGATGGCTCGCCAATCCCCAACACCAAGGAGGCAACGGTCCATGAAACGGGCTTGAGGAATAAGAGCGCTATTGACGTGAAGGACCTGGGTGCGTGACACCAATTGTGCCTCGCTTACCCGCTAACATCAACGGCAGGCCCCCAGATCTCATGGCGGACCGTCTTCATTATCGAATACCTCGGACCTCTCCTCATTCACCCGCTCGTGTACTACGGGCGCCCTCTGATCTATGGCAGCTCGGAGGCCCCGTCAGAACTCCAGAAGATCACCATGGTCATGTGTGTACTGCACTTCTTGAAGCGCGAGTACGAGACCTTGTTCGTGCACCGCTTCTCAGCCGCCACGATGCCCGCACGCAACATCTTCAAGAACAGCGCACACTACTGGATCTTATCTGGCATCAATCTGGCCTACTGGGCCTACGCTCCGTGGGCGCCCACCGCCGGCAAATCGAACCCGCTCATCACTTACGCCGGTATCACCCTCTTTGCCGTCGGCGAGGTGCTCAACTTCTACACGCACATTGTGCTTAAGAACCTGCGGCGTCCTGGCACCACCGAGCGGGGCATTCCCAGAGGCATCGGTTTCAGTCTGGTCACATGCCCAAACTACTTCTTCGAGATTATGGCGTGGATTGGCGTATCGCTTGTGAGCTGGAGTCTCAGCACCGTGTTGTTCCTCGTGATTGCGGGCGCGCAGATGGGTGCCTGGGGCAAGAAGAAGGAGCGCAGGTACCGTAGTGAGTTCGGCGACAAGTACAAGAAGAAGCGATATGCGATCTTCCCCGGTATCTTCTGAGCTATTCCCTCGGTCCTCGGCAGTGGGCAGCTGCGTCCCACAGCTGGAAGATGTCTTTGAAGGACGCAATGCGATTGGAGGACTACATATCGATGAATGGTAGTCGGGAGGCAAGGCTGATCCATAGGCTGCACAGCAGACGTAAGATTGGTGGCATGTTCGCATGAGCAGGTCCACCGCCATGCATGCGCCATCCGTTCATGGACCATGTCTGGCGGTATGTAATTAGCAGCCACGTCGCACAAGATCGACGACACTGCCCACACAGCACGTAGACATTATTGAAGGCGCGTCCATCATTCCTCCCATCCGCACATCGTTGGTCGCATCTCTGCGCTCGGCGCCATAGAGAAGGCGACCTTGCAGATACGAGCCGCACAGGGCTGGCGGTCAACATCACCCCACCCCCAAAATGCTGAAGCCACTGCCTTTCACACCGAACTTGGTCCGTTTCTCAGCCGCCGTCGCCTTCTTTCAGGCACGCGATCCGGCTTGCCAGGCATCGTTGCCGTCGCGCCGCGCTTCGCTGCTGCATCCAAACCGTGCTTCGCCGAGACCTGGCTGGGTATCGCTTCACCCGCATCCGGCCAACGTCTGGCAAGTTGGGATGGCGCGAGCACAAGAGCAGCTGCAAGTTCGCGCGCCAGTAACGCGGCCTGCGGTCTTCCAGCTAATCCCGCGACCATGATTGGCCGCCGTGGCGAGCCGAGGGCCCCTCTTGAACTGGTGGTGGGGACGCGGTCTGCGTCCCTCAGCTGGCGGGCTGAGGTACAGGGTCTGGAGGCTGAATCGGCGGAGGCAGTCAGCCACGGCACACGGTTTCTGGCTAGGCTGGACCGCGGAAGGGACCGCGGAGGAGGTGTATAAGAGATGGGTGTGCCTGAGCTTGGGGTGAGGCGTTGACTTGCTGTGCTGTGCTGGTTGTTGCGATTGTGCATTTCTAGCGAGCGAGCGAGCACGATACCCCTGTCCAATCCATCGATCGATCGTTGTGCTTTTTATATCAGCCTTGCGGAGTTCGCTGCACGTCTGTCAGTCAGCTTGGGACGTCATTGAGTATCGTCGGACGTTGTGCGAAGAAGTGAGCTTACACTCTAGCTTGGTCTGAGAACTCGACTATTTGATACTTGCATTCGTGAGGTCGATTTTGAAGGTATGTTAGCTTTTGTATACCCCTCATTTCGAGCATTGTCCTATGGGGAGGAATCTCGATTTATATGCCACAGTAGTGCCGTTTTTGGTGTTACCGGTACTTCCGTTTCTTTCGTCCGGCCTTGTTTGGAAGGGAAGGTCAGGAACGTTATAACCCATTTCCGTCCAGAGCTTGTGCTCGAGTTCGAACACGTCAATATATGACGAATGGCCAGAACGATACTAACTCTGTAAAACTCTCAGGCGCATACATAACTCCCATCTACTGCCACCATGTCTTTGAATACATATCAGAGCCACGTCGACACGCGACCTGGCACTACGCCACCTAAACCAGACGAGCTCTCTGAACTCGATAAGTTGGCAAAGAAGGTCGGCGGCCCGTTCAAGAAATTCGCCAGCGTCGTAGGTGCATCTCTGGCGGCCGTGCCTACTGGGACAGGAGACGGCTCCAAGCTGCAGCCCGAGCCTACCGATGAGAGCGAGGCATTGAAGAGAATTCAAGGCAATTTGCGAGACTTATCGCATTTGGGCATCACGGATTACAAGACGCTTCTGGACATTGGACTAACAAAGGCTACTGGCACACCGCAAGATGACAAAGACTACATTATGGAAGCTCTCATCCGCACAGCCGCGGACCTGCCGGACGGCTCGAGGTTGAGGGACAGGCTGACCGGAGAATTCCTAACGCAGCTCTGGAACGATCTCGAGCACCCTCCTCTTTCGTATCTTGGAGCACAGTACCAGTACCGTTCTGCAGACGGTTCGTTCAACAGCCTCGTACACCCACAGCTCGGCGCCGCAGGTACGCCGTACGCCAGAACCGTCAAGCCCAGCATGATGCAGACGCCGTGCCGTCCAGATGCCGGCGTCGTCTTCGACAGCGTCATGACGCGCAAGCATGCGGAGAGGCACCCCAACGAGATCTCCAGCGTGTTGTTCTACCTCGCCTCTATCATCATCCACGACTGCTTCCGAACCGACCACAGGGACTACGCCAACTCGCTCACGTCTTCGTATCTTGATTTGTCGCCGCTCTACGGAAGCAATCAGGACGAGCAGAACCTGATGCGTACATTTGCTGATGGCAAGCTTAAGCCCGATGCTTTCTCCGAGCAGCGACTGCTTTCCTTCCCACCTGGCGTGGCTTGCCTCCTCGTCATGTTCAACCGCTTCCACAACAATGTTGTTACGAATCTTGCCCTCATTAACGAGGGGAATCGTTTTCCCAAGCCCGTGGCCCCGGAAGACGCCAAAGACGAGAAAAAAGCAGAGGCTTACAAGGCACAACTGAAGAAGTACGACAACGATCTCTTCCAAACGGGACGCCTCGTCACATGCGGGCTCTACGTCAATATCATCCTCATCGACTACGTCCGCACCATACTCAATTTGAACAGAACGGATAGCAACTGGCAGCTGAACCCGCGAGCAGATATTAAAGATCTACCGATCGGAGTGGGCAACCAGGTCTCTGCCGAGTTCAACCTGGTATACCGCTGGCACTCGACGCTGTCCACGCGTGACGAAGCGTGGACACAGGACCTCTGGGACGGCATGTTCGGCAAGGGGCGCGACCCCAAGACCGTCAGCAACAGAGAGTTTCTCATGAAGCTCAATGAGGAGTACCAGAAGTCCGAGAAAGACCCGGGGAAGCGCACATTCGCGGGTATCAAGCGCAATGCAGACGGCAGTCTCCCGGACCAGGCCCTCGTCGATATCTTAGTGTCCAGTGTGGAGGACTGCGCGAATAGTTTTGGGCCTAACCGCGTGCCCGCAGTCATGCGCGCGATCGAGGTACTTGGCATCGAACAGAGCCGCGCGTGGAATCTGGGGTCGTTGAACGAGTTCAGGAAGTACTTTGGGCTCGAGCCGCATACCAGCTTCGAGGACATCACAAGCGACAAGTACGTCGCGGAGCAGCTGAAGCATCTGTATGACCACCCGGACAAAGTCGAAATTTATCCTGGGATTGTCGTCGAGGATGCGAAGAAGGCCATGGCTCCGGGGTCTGGGTTGACGCCATCGTACACGGTGTCTAGAGCAGTACTGTCCGATGCCGTGGCTCTGGTCAGGGGTGACCGTTTCTACACGCGCGACTACAACCCGCGCACTCTGACGAACTGGGGTTACGCGCAGGCTGACTCTGACCTTGCCGTCGACAATGGCTGTGTATTTTACAAGCTCTTCCTGACTGCATTCCCTCAGCACTTTTCAAACAACAGCGTATACGCACACTACCCCCTTACCGTGCCGTCGGCGATGAAAGTCGCCCTCGAGGACCCAACCATCAACAAAGCCAACCTTTACGACTTCTCCAGGCCAGTCTACACACCTAAGCCCCTCCCCATCTCCTCCTACGCCGCTGCCTCCACCATCTTGAGAGACCAGGACACGTACAAGGTAACTTGGGGCAAAGCAATGACGTACCTCATGGGCGCGCCAGCCCAGGACTTCATGCTCGCCGGCGATGGCCCCAAGAACAGTATCTCTCGCAGCCTGATGAGTAAAGCTTTGTACGTTGACGGCTGGGAGAAAGAAGTCCGGTCATACTACGCATCTAAAACGGTAAGCCTGCTCAAGTCGCGCAGCGCGAAAATCGCGGATTTCCACCAGGTCGATATCATCCGCGACATCGGAAACCTCGCACATGTACATTTTGCGAGTGAGCTGTTCCAGCTGCCCCTTAAGACGGTCGACGATCCGCATGGCATCTTCACTGAGGCGGAAATGTATCTCCTCATGAGCGGCGTCTTCGCGCTAATCTTCTTCGACGCGGATCCCGTCGCCTCGTTTCCCTTGCACCTCAAGTCCAAGAACGCGGTCAAAGTGCTCGGCGAGTTCGTCGAGAAGAACGTCGAGTTCGTAGCGAAGTTCGGCAAGCTGTCTGAGCTCGCGCACAAGGTGTGGCCAAGAGAGACGAAGCTGAAGAGTTATGGTTTGCATTTTATACAGAGGCTCCTGGAAAGCGGAATGGAGCCCAAGCAGCTTGTGTGGGGCCAGATGCTGGGTACTGCGGGGGGCATGGTAAGCAATCAGGGGTCACTCTTCGCGCAAATCATCGAGTACTTTCTCCTTGGCGACGGGAAGAAACACTGGCCCGAAGTCCAAGCCCTTGCGGCGAAGGAGGACGATGCAAGTTTCGAAAAGCTTTCAAAGTACGTGCTCGAAGCTGGCCGTATCGCAGGTGAAACCGCCGTCCTGCGCGAGGCCGCCAAGGACGCTTCGCTCACGGACGGCGAGATGACGGTAAGCGTGAAGAAGGGCGATAGACTCTTTGTCAACCTGCATGCTGCGTCCCTCGACCCCGCCAAGTTCCCCAACCCCCAGACGCTTGATACCTCGCACACGGCAGAATCCTACATCCACCTTGGCGCGGGACCGCACGCGTGTCTGGGTGCGCCACTGGCGAAGGTAGCGCTCACGGCTATGCTGAAGGAGGTAGCGAAGTTAAAGGGCCTAAGGCCTGCGGCGGGGGCGCAGGGGAAAGTGCATAGTGTCAAGAAAACTGTTGGAGAGGGAGAGGTCTTCCATGGGTATCTGACGGAGGTGTGGGATGGCTACTGGCCGTTTCCTTGTGGTGAGTACTTCCCTATTCAATTGAGAGAGGGCGTATGCTGACGCTTTGCAGCACTGAAGGTCAACTGGGATGAGTGAGGCGAATTATTGCGGGAAGTGTGAGGAACAGTGCAGTAGGTGAGACGTTAGGAGCTTAGAAAGAGATATGGCACGTAGAGACAACGGATTCGTTTCGTTGGTGTTGTTTTTCCGTATGAGCCAAGTAGCTGATTCACACAATGGCACCCCAGTGGTTAAAATTGGTGAAAGTCTAGTGTGGTTGAACAAGCTTCCAATGCATGACAGGCTGGTAGCTACGCTTCCCAATGGCTTACTACTCTGTTGCTCGAGCGTGAGAGTCAGCCCTTGCTTGTTATTTCAAGCTCCTCTATCATCTGTTTGTAATCGAATCAACAACACCACTCAAAGCATTCAAGACTAGTTTGGACCTCTTTGATTTCGATGATTTGCATCCGCCCATACTCGCGTAGCTGTTGTTTCAATTTGTTCGTAATCAACCTTATAATAAGCTGGTCTGGCCGCAACAACAATGTAAGTAGCTGTGATAATCCGCAGCACAAGATCCGCTCACCCAGCACACAAAAATGGTTTTCGAGCAGCCAACGCCCCAGGAGGACTGATGTGCAGCGCGAGAGAAGAGGATATAAATACCGGCAACCCCGGTTTTACGGGCGAAGGGTTGAGCCGCGGGCAGGGATCCGCTGGCGGAGGGAGGAAACTTGGAAACGCTGATGACTGTCTCGTTCTCTGAATATTTCGCATTGGTTGTCACGGTTTCAAATAGCTTTTCTGCCCTTTTATTGGAGCAAGGCTCGTGATAATCAATCTTTCGTTTGCAAAGTTTGTGAGGTACTTGGGTTGAGCCGGGCCCATGATTCCAGTCCAGACACCACTATTTAATAACAGGTCCTTGTGGATTCACTGCATATTCAGAGGCTTTCCTATCCTCAGCATTTGTAAATTGGTACATGATGCACCGAAGAAAGAGCCCGCACAGGAGGTCGCTTGGAAAAGATCACAAATGCCGGTTTGATTCCTCGTTCGCTTCCATCATCTCATCAGATTAGCTAATCATATGCAGGGGACTGAGGATCATTTTATCACATCATTTCATGTGCATGCCGGCTAGACAATATGAATGGTATGTACACCGTCCTGGTGTTTAAGGCTGGACAGGTTTTGCTTTCATAATCTCCTTTCCCTGCGCCAGCAGCAGTGGTGTCTTGTCCACTTGGTGCGGAATCACTACTTCATTTACCACACCAATTCTCTTAAAGATCCCGCTCTCCGGATCTACGATACGCAGCTTCAATGCTTCTGCCATAAAGTCTTCGTGGTTTGCTGTTGGCATGTAATGAAGACGGCCTTTAGCATTGTCGTAAGGGAAGTGTCCAGCGTCGGATGTAGGAACCTCAATGCTGGCATATAACTCCGCTTGCTCTGGGGTACAGCTCCGGATTGTCACTGGATTAGTGAATTTCGTTCGGTCGACGTGTAATTGCCATGACCCAACTCCAAGCTCCCTTACGTCTCGCTCGTCGCAAGACACAGGCACTGGCATCAGCCGTCCTCTTACCTCCAACCAACCGCCTTTGACACGATCCATAATTTCATCTGTCTCATATTGAAGGACCACATCCATGATGCCGAAGAACACCATAATGTTCTTAAATGTATCAGAGTTCATCCACATGATAGTGCCGTCGACCACTGCCCAGGACCATGTAGGGTTCAATAGACAAAGAGACAAGGTCTTTCAGCATATCTGATACGGGGAACTTATCGATGTTTTGCTATAGAAGATTTCTCTCTAGATGAATACGCCACATTCCTGCAATGTACTTATTTTCCGTGAAAATGGACATATGTTTCGCGATGCCGGCCAACGCAACAAGTTTATCGAGAGGGTTCGTGAGATAACTAGTAGAATAAACTTCCATTGCTATTAACCAGGCATTGTGCACCTTGTCTATGCTGGCCTGCTATAGCGCGAAATGTATATTGTTCCTACCGCTCGTGATCACCAAGAAGTACTTTGAATTGATTGAGAGATCCGTCGCCATTGTGCCCAGGCCAATCATGAAGATAAATTTGTCGCGCTGGATAACTCTCGCCGGCTCTGAGATCTCGACATCCCCCGAATATCTGACTGGGGCCAAAATATAGGACCCGCGATGAAAGCAGCCTCTACTTAGAGGCCCAGCTGCGCGTATTGAGATCGCACCCGGCCACGTTCTCCCTCCACAGCTGATCACGTCTGATCGTGCATTCTGCAACTTTAGTATCAGCGTTGAAGCATTCAATACGAACCTTGACTGTGGGACCGTATAGACGCGAGGGATCTGGGTGAGGAAGCCTGAAAGTCCTCCTGCAGCAGAAGCAGAGGGAGAGACAGGGGAGAGGAGAGGCAGAGGTAGGTTGATAAGTGATCGTGAGTACACTTGATGCATGAAACATGCCTCATGTAGCCCACTCGGAGAGATCATCCGCGTCTTGTGTGATACAGAGCGAATCGAGCCATAAAAAGCGGATGCTAAGGCGCAAGGTTACAAAAATTGCATCCGCGAAAGTCGGCGGCAGCTCGTAAATTACACTATTTCGCGACAATGCATTTAGGTTATTTTGCGTGAGTTTTATGAAATTTCTATCACTCCAATCATGGCTCAGAGAGGCTACGGCCCGTTTGGCTGTTCATGCGCCGTGTCTATCATGCGGATGTTAGTACGGTCATGCTCAACGGATTCGAGATACAATAAACGCGGCTGTTCCCTCAACGTAGATCGTAGCAGTCATGAATATATGTCGAGAGCGAGTGATTCAGCGCCACTTTAACCAGACACATCACACCTTTTGATTCGTGTGATGTTTTCTTCCTAGGTATATACAAAACAAATCTCTCTCACGTTCGGGGAAGTTGCCGCCACAGGACGAGACACACATAGCAGTCTTGTTTTGACGAGACCTTGACAGTAACTGGAGTTTGATGGTAACCAAAGAATAGCCAATCGTTCAAGTCTGGCACGGGGGGCTCCCCTTCCGCTGGTACTTCGTTCCGCTGGAACTGGAGCACGCCTAAGCAGATATCGCACGGGAGCGGCGCCATGGCGAATGGAATGGAAACTAGAAAACAAGTGACGTGGGGGTGTCTCCTCGACGACTTCTTCCAGAGTACAAGTAGACGAAGAAGATAGAGTAGCGAGCAGGGTGATTATAGGCTCTGGCCAGATAACAGGCAGCAGAAGAAGCTTTCATGATCCGGGAGTCCAGAAGAAGGTTATCATCATCTGCATCTTATTTTGTACAGACCGCGTTCGATCTCGGTCGTTTCAGATGTGGTCAATCGTCTGTGTCGCGAAAAAAGCTACATCAACCAAGGTTGCCGTCGGGTGGGGGCTGATTGGCATGACTAAGGAAACCCCGCCCTTGGAACCAGGAGATTGGGCTTGGCGTCTGAGCTTCCAGAACCTTGCGCGGCTTCCATGACGGGCCTCATCTCGTTTACGATGGGCGAACAGCCACCTCGTCAGCGCATGCACCCAGGCGCGTTTGAAACGAAGGCTCCTGGATGCATGTCGAAAGGCTAGAGGCGAATGCCCGATCCAAGAGGCGTAGATGGACGTGGCTCCTGCAGCTATGGAATGGCGCGTGTCGTGGATGCGCATGTGAGGGCAGCGATAGGTCGTCGTGCGCGTGGGTCAACGATAGGCGGGATGCGTGACAGGGAACTGCTCCGCCCGCCGTGGGCGTGTTCCAGGCGTCAAGGATGGCTGCCCTGTTTGATCGATCCCGCCCAGGGCATTGACGAGACATGGCCTGTTAATTTGTTGACGCTGCCAGGGACGCGCCATCGACCAGTATCCCTCGCCAGCATGCGTCACGCCTTCTCCCTACTCAACCCAGCAAACTCACCATGCCGCTGCGCAAACGCCTGAAGAGCGTAGCTGCCGATGGCCAAGTAGCAAAGGGAGACGAGAAGAAGAGCAAGCGGGAAAGGCTTGTAGCTTTCTTCAAGTCGAGAAAGCAAAGAAAAGCAGCAGACAGCGACAAGGAGGCTGCTGCCGCACCTGTACGCCCACCATTTGCCTGCACCCACCCCGTTATGTGAACACAGAAGCTAATGGCGCCCTTCGTCTCAAAGATACCCGTTGCTGTCAAGAAAGATGGCCCCGCGAAACCGCCGCGAGACTCCAAGATCGCCGAATCTACCAGACCTGCGAAGTCGAGCAGCTCAATCGACGTTCAACGCGCTGAGGCCGAGGCGGAAGACGTACCGCTGCCCACGCCTTCGGCAGAACCAACAGAGCCGGCAGAACCAGAAAGGAAAGAGCAACAGACCGTAGAGAAGCTCAGCGAGGAACATGTACATGCGCTTTTCTCCGGTGCACCCAACTTCTTCGTGCACAAAACGGAAAAGCGTGCTGTTCCCAGGGTGTCCTTCCCTTGGGACGCCGAGCTACATATAAAAGATGTGTCGGATTCCGTGCAACTCGCGGAGCCCGCCTACTCTGCTGCGACGCTTCACAGACACCTGCCCTCGCTGCAGCAATCTTCAGATCAGGACAAGCCATACCAAGGCTATGACTTGGACGTGGTAGAGGCGCCGAGCATGCTCAGCGCTCAGGGTCTAGAGTCGGTAAGCATACACCCGTCCCTAAGCTTACTTCCGACAAGTCTAATCGCGTGCTTGTTCTTAGGGGACCATTGGGTTTGCGCACTTCCTCGAGCTGCCACAGTCCGACCACCTTGTCACAGACCTCCAACAGTCACAGACCAGCAACGCGTATTTGGAGGGCATGAGGAACAAGCAGCTGCTGCAGCAGAACCCGGAGAGACTTGGCGTTAGAGCCGTCGATATGGCAATGGTGCATGATCGGCTCATTGAGCTCGGCGACTTGGTGGAGGCATTCCACGACAGCCCCGAGCGAATGACAATTCTCAATAATCAGGCGCCCGGAGACCTCTATGCCAACCTGTTCGGCAAGTTTCTTACACCACCAGGATACGACAGCACTGCTGATGATCCTACTGGCATGAAGGTCCAGATCGATACATTGCTCAAGATTCTGCGGCTGAGGGGAGTGTGGTTCGACTTTAGTTTAGTCGAATGGCGGATACGACTTGGCCAAATTCTCTGGGGCGAGGCCGAGGCAGAAGTGGTCTCTGACACACAACCGCTGTGGACAGATCGAGACATCCTGCTTCTGCAGATCACTTTAGCCTGTGAACTTCTGCTTCGTCTGGACGCTATATCAAGCATGGAGGTTGATGACGTCAAACGCCAGTTGCATGTGAGTCCCCAGGACTTCCAAGGGTTCCTGAAACTGAAAACGCGAAAAACGGACTGGGATCTTGTCTTGGCGCGACGATTCCTCGAGAACATTCTGGTTGTCAAAGAATACAACACGAGCCCTTCTGTACCAGATTCAAAACTCAATGGCCTATTTTCCCTTCTCGGATCGAGTGCGCCAAAAGATGAAGTCAGGTCTGATCTCGTTTTGCTACCTCAGCATCAAGCCCGACAGCTTTCTGGACTCTTGCATTTTGCCAAAACGATACAATGGCCTGGCATTGATTTGATAGTGGCCGAGCTGGCCCAGAAGATCACCGTCCCAGAGGTCCTCTATACACCGGAACAGGCGTCGCCGCCTACTGAGAGATTCCTAGACCCGAGCACTCCCGCATCTATCAGCGTCTATGGCACACCTTTGGCAACGCCGCGCTCAAATACTGTACTAGACAGCTACTTTGGCAACTTGCAAAAACCACCGCTGGACCGTAATGATTCCCGCGCGCTGCAGGTCCCGCTAACAACAACACTGCTTGCACAAGCCGATAGCCCGGATCACGCGCTCAATGTCGGAGGCTGGCTCAGCCGCTCCTACTTGACCGGTCTGATCCTGCCCGGAGAAGGCATCTCGCATTTTCTCATCTCCACCCTACTAGAGAACGATAGGTTGGCCATTGCGGCACTTGGTGATTCCGCTAACCTGTACGGTGGCTTCATCTATGCCAACAGGACATGGTGGAGCAAGGCTTCGATTGTTGCTCGCGTAATGGGCTGCGTCGAGGGCGCTGTCGAATGCATGGGTTGGGTTGGCTTTTCAGAGCTTCCGGCTGACTCTGCTGACGGTTGGTATGCTGTCACAAGCACTCAATTGCGTCCCGAGGGGCCATCTCTCACCACAACCGAAGAGGACCCGATCATGTTGCGATCCGCTGTCATACCGAATCTTGACGAATCAAATGTCAAAGCCGAGGATCTCACCATGCCTCGCGATGGCGCAACCCCCCCTATTCCTTCTATGGAGTTCTCGTGCTGGAACTTGACTCCAGCCAACGCAGGTCCGCAAGAGAGCGATGCTCTCTCCACCCCCACTGCAGAGACGGAGTCTCATGTGGCCTCTGTCACCTTTGCTTCATTGGCTCGCAGCATGCATACCCTATCGTTAATCCACGACGTTCAATTCGTCACTTCCTGGCCCTGTACTCCGCCCACAGCGTCGCCCGCTCCGAATGTTCCTCGCATGCTCAAACGCTCGCAAACCTCATCGCTTTCTCGCACATCGTCCAAACGCAGCATCCACAGCAATCGGACCGGCAGCAACAGATCCTCGCAACTCATCCGTCGCAATTCGCATGGGTTTGAGCCGTTGCTTTCACATCCACCGGATTCGCCAAGCATCGCGCCAACGCGCATGTACCTGCCCGTCTCAGACGAGGATCCCAGTGCAGCTCTGTCGCCGAAGTTGGAGCCGTTGAATGCGCACCCGCTACACACCTCTCACAAGTACAAAATTGTGTCCGCGACGGATGTGTTGGACGCGAACTTTGTCCTGCCTTTCACGCCGCACGTATATACTATACCCGCATCATCACCACAGACCTCACCCCGAGAGGAAAGGGAAGATGTCAATCCGACTGGCGAAGAGGGAGCTGTCCTCGTCCTCGACGCCCGGGCCTCCAAAGACCTCGAACTCCTTGCGCGCTCGTGGTGCGCGGAGAAAGGCTTCCACGCCGTAATCGGTCGCGTTGGGCGCACCTGTCTCGCGTGCTGCATCCGCGAGGCAAAAGCGCTAGGCGTCAATACAGTCATCAGAATCTGATTCCGCGTGGTTGACGGTGCTGCGCATCCTGCTCCTTGAGATCGTCGTTCCTGAATCCTCCCGCCCCACAATGTTCATGATGTTAATATGCTTTTTTGGCGCACGCACATATACCCAGTGGTACTTTTTGGCTTGCCAGTCATTGCTTGCTCGTTTCTGTCCGCTAGATACCCAGCATACATACATACATGCACACATGTATCCACTGCAGAACGTTAAATAGCCAAATGTTGGATTGTTCTGTTCACATTGCGATGTTGATTTTCAGGGCGCGAGTGTTCCTTTGGTCGTCAGGCGTGCAACTGCGAGGCTGAGGCTCCAAGGCGCCCGCGATCGCCCCGTGGCTGTGGGGCCAAAGCCTCCACCCCGACTCCGTCAACAATGTAACGTCCGGCAGGAGCCAGCTGTTTCGCGTGTCGGCGGTGTGCGACTGTGTGGTGGAGTGCGGCGTGGGCGAGAGGCCTGCAGTTGCTTGCGGCGGGGCGCTCCCGTAGACGGGTTGGCTTATAGGTACAGGCAGTGTCGCGCTGCGTACACTATCCTTTTCTATATTCTTGCCTCTGTCGTTTTCCGAGCTTGCGAGTATAATAGCACTTGATCCACAAGCACATATCCTTTATTGATCTGCATCCGCATATCTCTCTTGATCGCTATCCTATCATCACCAACGCACGCAACTTTTCAAAAGGGCCAAAAAGAAGAGACGCACGATGCCAGAAATGCAGTACATCCCCGGCGGCGACAGCACCTCCGACTTCTCCTCCAACGAAGACGCGAACCGCAGCTGCTGGGCGGCGTGCAACGGGCTGTGGGCCGTGGACCTAGCCAACGCGTGCATGGTGGGGTGTTGGGCGGCGGTCGTGGGCGCGTGTAGCAGTTGCAATGGGTGTAATTGCTGAGGGGTGTAGAACAGCGAAGGGAAGGGGAGGATCGGACAAGGTCGCACGGTTGGAGTTCTGATGGTGACATTGCGACACTTGGTGGCCTAGAAGCCTGCAGCTGGAACGACACCAGTTGAGGGACGCGCGACCTGCCAGAATGGTCTTTCGTGCAAAAAAGACTTCATCCCAGGACTACAGCGTTACTCAAGACATGTATAGGATGTCGACGCAAATGCACTACCACGCGTCCGACTTTTTGGTGCTGCCAGAGGACAACAAGCAAGGACGATCATAGGTCTCCTGCATATCGAAGGTTTTGCGCGGTTCCTCATAGTGGCCCAACGACCGCCGGGCGATCTGCATCTGCTGGTACCGACGAGTGGGCAGTCCGGGGCGTATGGGTGGACTACTGGATGAAACCGCCACGTTGCGAGGAGAGATACGGCGCATGGTAGTCACTGACGGTACTGGAGCTGGTCCGCTGTGCGTACCACAGCATTCTTATCTATCCAGCCGTACGCTGGGCGTCGTCGCTTCCTCGTTGGCGCGATGAGATCCAGGGAAGAACGCAACGATGGGATGGCTCCACTCAACACCTTCCTCGGAACCAGGGCACAGTAACATCACACATGGAGAATCGATAAGCACACCGCATACCGCCCGCAAACTCTTGTTCTTCTTCCACCGACTCCCATCGTTTCGGTCGCGGCATCGTCACATCTGCTATCCCATCGCTGGCATGTCGACCCCAAACCCTCCCACAATGGCCGACACGCCCTCCAACAACACCGGTCCTGCAAATACAACGTCTGCAGATGCCAGCCCCTCCACCGAAAGCAACCCTGCTGAACGCTACTCCGTGGCCAGCATGAATTCCGCAGCCATCAAATCGGTCCGCTCCCTTCCTGGCGGCGAAGCACGCAACCGCCACAAAGGCCTGAACCCTTACAATAACCCCAACTACCGTTACCAACCTTACGAGCTCCCGGCTGCGTCTGCCTCTGCATCTACCTCTGCCGCCTCCGCCGTCACCGACGAACCCGAAATCGAGCTGCCGATGCAGTACCGCTTCCCCGCGCGCACGCCCGTAGCCGGCCCGTACACGGCGCCGCCGCCGTGGCACGCAGGGATTTGCACATGGGCGCGGTGGAAGCCGGCTGTCGTGTCCTGTTTGACGTGCCAAGGGTGCCGGGAGGATCAAGGGTGTTGTGCGCCCGATGGGTTCTGTGAGGCGTGTGACTGGAGGTGCTGTCTGAGCTGCTGGTGTCCGTGGTGTAAGTCTTCCGTGTTGTGGGTGAGCGAGGCAGAGCTGACGTGAACAGGGTTCGGTGGCCCGGACCATGTGTTTTTGGGATTGAGTGGGAATGGACCCAGGACGCGCCGCCGTGAGGAGTAGGGTTGGTAGAACGTGAACAAAGGTCGGTGGAGATGATTACATTATCATTTCGGGGTTGGATGAAATAAGGCCTGGAAACGGTGGTACCTCTATATGCTGCAGATTGCTAACATGGAACTGCTGCATATTGTTTCGGGCATGAAGAAAAGGCCTGATTTTGCACTGTGTTGGGTCTGAGCGAGTTTTGATTGAATCACTGCACATTACCGTTCAGTCTTACAATCCTTCCATTCTCTTGCTGCAACAGAAGCTGTATTGTACACTTCCAACGGTCAAAATCCAAGAATACGTCGCCCTATTTGCACGAATGTCCGTTACGTCGGCTCTGCACATAGCGTCTTCCCCCCGTGTCTCGGTCCTCGCCCCAGACTCATCCAGAGGCATTGAATCCCACAATCTTGCCTCTACGACTTGATGACCTTCTCCACCTTTGCCTGCACATCCTTGGCCACCTCCTTAATCTCCTCCTTCATCTCCTTTCCCTCAGCCTCGGCCTGACCCTCGGCGCCTTTCAAGCTGCGCTGGTACATCAGTATCCTGGTCGTTTGCGTGGCACCCGTGAGGAATAGGAAGAAGTTGACGGTCGCGAGGAAGATGTTCTGCGGCCGGATGACGAAGCACCAGCGGGTCCAGATGAGGCCGGTGGTCATGAGGGCGGCGTTTGTGTTGAGGGAGAGCTGCGAGGCGGGGCGGGTGAGGTCCGAGGCGCCGGCGATGACGAGGCCCCATTTCATGATGGGCGCCCTGGGTTCTTGTCAGCTCGTGGTTCTCGACACTTTGGGTGTCTGCTGCGAGGGCTTGTGTCGGGGCCGGAGTTGACGAAGGGAGCGATGGCAATGCATATGTCGCGTGCCGCAGTATCGTGCTTTGCATGCATATTTCGCATGGCTGAGGGACATGTGGACGCACCAGAAATGCACCGTCTTAGGCCCGACGGGACTGTGCCATAGCTTCGCAAAGCCGGACTGCTCGGGCGCAGCGGTGGACTGGTTGCGCTGCTGGCGGAAGAAGGGCCGGAAGGCGCTGAAGATGCGGGACCCCGGGCGGAACGACATGGTGCTTTTCTCTGTCTGGGGGTGCGCGGGACGTTGCGCAGGCAGAGGGTGCAATTGGGGGTGTCTGGCGTGGGCGACGGTGACTGTCGATGCAGAGGCAGGCGTTTCCGCTGTCGGGCGCCGGCGAGTTTGCGCGGCGCGGAAATCGGGACCACGTCGGCGGGCGCGCTGATTGGGCGGCACGCGCAGGCGGAGCTTGGGCTTGACTTCGACATTCACGTCGCTCGAGACAACGACACCCGCCCATTGCGCCGCGACACGACACCATGGCGTCCAAGTACGGCTTTGCGAAGCAGCTCAAGGAGCTGCGCTTTCTCTTCTGCCAGACGAGCGAGCACAGCGCCGCGACGAGGTATGCGCCCGCCGCCAACTCGTGCGAGCGATGCGAGACAACCACGCCCACCAAGACTGCGCGACCGCATTGTGTGCAGCGAGAGCAACGGCTGACCGACACCAGGAGCTTTCTCACCAAATCGTACCCCACCATGAAGAAGCACAACCCCTACACGCCCATCCTCATCCGGGAAGCGAGCGGCACCGAGCCCAGGCTCTATGCGCGATACGGTGCGTAGCCCTGCCTGGAAGTCGCGTTGGAATGTACAAGCATTGGACGTCCCTTCGGCGTGGATTCCGCACTCTGTGAAATCTCGTGGGCGAGCAATGCGAATCGAGGGCTGACATGTGGCGCAGAATTCGGCAAGGAGAAGTCCGTACCATTGAAGGGTAAGACGCCTGCGATGGGAGCTCCGGTGGAAAGAACCATGTCTGACGTATCTACAGGGCTGGACGACAAGGCGATCGAGCAAAAGGTTACCGAGCTGGTTAAGGCTTCGATATAGGAGGCCGGACGGGTGGCGCCTGCATAGAAACGTACATGTCCAATCTCAGTCCAGCAACCCAAACAACAAATGTACATTGTATCATGGCGAATGCCAATCCATTGCGGGAACAGTCTCCTACCGCCTCAATGGTTCTCCTGACCTCTCAGCATTGTGATCAAACCATGCGACCGTACACAACGACTGACAACCCGGAATTACCGACAACCGGGTCTTTTCACAATGTTACGTCTGCTCACAACGTGGAGTTTTTGGTCCTATGTAATCACCAAGTTCCGCTTCTCTTCAAATCCAAACACGTCGCACATCACGGCCCATGATGTGGAAGCGGCTCCGTAACGGCAGCTCTCGCTCTTCTTCGAGCTCATTAGTCTCGGTGGCTGACGCGCAACTCCGCGTTGCGCCTACCCCGACGCCAGTGGCCCATGTGCGCTCCTCACAGAGCTCCCAATCTAGCCAGCAATCTGGCGAAGACCTACATGAACTCCTTGCCTTCCACAAGTCTCTTGTGCAAGGCCTCGGCGAAGATCTCCAGAAACGTTGCGCCGAACTTGACAAGGTTAAGAGTCAGATCGATGAACAACGAATTGTAATCGGACATCTCTCGTCTCGGAAAACTGACTACAAGCGTAGGGTTGCCGAGCTCGAGACGCAGGTCAAGGAAGACAAAACACGGATCGATGAGCTTATCAAGAGCGTCAATAATCTGCGCAAGTTTGATGCTCAAACACAGGCTTCGGATCACATGGTGCCGCTGGGCGGCATCGTCAAAAACGCACTGATTGAGCAGCTCGAGAGCGACGTGGAGCGTCTCACGCAGCAGGTCTTCGATCATGACCACGAGATGCAAGCCTTGGCCACTTCGCACGAGCACGAGGTGAGCGAGCTCCACGCGCACATGGAAAGGCTTCGCAGCGAACTAAAGCACGAGCGGAGCGTTGTGGCAAAGTACACGTGGGACCTCCCTGAGATGACTCGGAAAGGGCAGACTTCTGAAATTGAGTTGCAGCAGCGGGTTCTCGAAGAGGCGCTGAACGAGCAAGGTAGGTTCGGCGATGCAACTACGCGGGACGAGAAGCTTGCGCAGGCGCTGTCGTATACGAAGGAGCTCCGCAAGAGCGGTCGCTTGCTTCAAGACGGCAAGGAGGTCGAGCTGCATCATCTGCAAACCCTCTGCGGTCTGGCGCAAGCACAGGCAGGGGACATCGTGCGTCTGCGCGCTGCGAATGCCGACCTTTTGGTCACCAACACAGGGCTGCAGGACAAAATGGATTCTATCACACAGGCAAAGCCCTCAGGTGCCGACGTCTTTGCACCCTCGCATCGCCGCAACGTCACCTGGGACTTGCCTCTGCGCAACAACGAGACTCTTGCTCATGCTGAATCTCACGTCCCATCGAAGCTGCGGAAGCACTTTGCCATTCACCTTCCCTCCCCGCGTCGAGATACTGCCCATCGCACAGCGCCCCTATTTTCCCCCATTAATCCTCACATCCCAGCTCTAGCAACGCCGACTACACCCTTCACGCCCTCCCTCGCCCACACGATTGCGAATTTGACACGCAGGCTCGACCACCTTCGCACCCAACTCGCAGCCGCCCAGTTGTCCCCTCAACGTTCAAATCCCAAGGACACGATTGTTCTGCAGCGCGAATTCGCTGCCATCCATGCACGCTTGTTGTCTTCTGTGGGCGACATCAACGGCACCCTAGGTATGACTAGCGAGCAGATTGCTCAGGTGGTAGATCAGGTGCTGCAGCGTTTTACTGCGGTGCGCCATGGCGACTTGGGCGAGCCGAAGGAGGATATGGCTACGCTTGAGATTTGGGCAGAAGAGGAGCTGCAGCGTGCGAGGGAGAAGAAGGAGACCACCAAGGCCTGTGATGTCCTGAGCATGAATAGCGAGCAGATTGCCCCGACGGCCAAACAGGTGCAGAAGCGGTATGACGCGATGCGGCGGAAAAGCGACTTGGATGACCCAAAGCAGGCGCCTGAGAAGGTTCTGTCTTCACCAACCCGTACTTCGGGGTTCATTCGAGATGGTAGGATCGACATTGCAGCGGTGGCGGACAGCATAGTGGAACAGTATCGTGCGGTGCGGGACAATGGTTCCTCCTGGGGTACAGGGGTTGCGGAGAGTCTAAGCAGCCCGGAGGAGGGGCGTGTGCGTTCCGCTGAGCATGTGCAGGCGGAGTCGTATCTGTTTGGCGACATCCCGATGGTCTTTAGCGCCGTGGGATAAGAGAGTGAGAGTCGTGCATGCTAATCTACATGCCAGAGCAGCATCTTTTTACCAGCGAAGATGCCGCGTCGGACAAGATTGCGAAGCATAATGCCAGTGTAGTGGTGAGGCTAGAGGCAGTTGACAGCTTGGTCGAAGTATTGCAAAGGTTCTTGAACCTGGAAATGTCTTGGGCTTTCAGTTTTAACATTCCGGTGCAAGGGGCAATTTAAATCAGCAATTCAATTAAATTGACATTTTTGCTAGTCTTGATGCTCTTCCTATTCTACGAATAGCATCAACCTCGAACCTCAAATGATCGGCATAGGGCACATTTTTTAGAAGCATTTTTAAAAGGCTAGGTCATCGCGGCGGTGACCGGATGCTTGCAACTTCCCTTCCATATGCTCAAGATGCAGGCGTTTATTTTGGGTCCACGGATAGCACTGATAGATAATTCGACTTACCGTGATACTGTACTTGCCCATGATGTTCCGAGTGGTCTCCGGACGCGCACTAGAGAGCACGTAAGATTTGACGCTAGACATGGTTGCTAGTGTGCAGAAGATCTAGCAGCAGCTGGCGTATCTTTAACGCACCTCGAAGCCCAAGTCCCGGGCTGTGTGCCAATTCGGCCCAAACAAAACTGTGCCAAAACGGCTTCCTCGTACGGTCATAGTCATAACTTGGCAACAACCACAGATCTGAAAGAGATCATGCCTGATGTATCCAAACAAGTATTGGATCTTACCCACAGTGCGCCAAGACAACACTTGCTGCTTCAAACTAGCCCTTGCAACACTTGAATCAGTATCAACGCTAAGAAGATCCTTGCGTAGGAAGATGGATGTTTGCAATAGAGTGGACCTATATTGCACCACCGAAGGACCAAATATACTGAGTCGCGCGTTGGACGAAGTCTAGCTGAAAGTCTTCCGTCCAAGCCATCGCCCTAATTTCCTTGTAAGCCAGGTGTGAACGCAGCAATGACCGTGCGAGCTATAACGGAGTTGACAAGTTTTTTCGAAAGTGTCGTAAAGGTGCTGGATGAGGACCAATGATCTCGGGTCTTAGATGGAGCTGCTATTTGGAAAGCAGAGCCATGTATACGCAACGAGACCACAATTCATTGTTTCCCGAGTTTTGTGAAGATCGAGCAACAGGCTCAATGTGTGCGAACGTGCTGGCTTTTTCCTTCGTGTCCGCGACCAGCTCCCAGATCTCAATTTTTGTGGTCGTTCCATATGGGAGCCATTGTGAATTGCGTCGTGGGGTAGGGACTGCACGTGCAAAGTGAAAGTAGTGAGGCGAACGCCTGAGCAGAGGGGTCTAGAGAGTGATTCGTAAATACGGAGGTGAGAACGAGCTGTACACCATCAATCCGATGCACGAGAGACTGTGCTGCGGCTTGAAAAAATCACATGAAAGGTTCAAGTCTGATCGTGGATAGGCCAATGATGAGATCGCCAAACGTAACAACCGTACTCGTAGTCGCACTCAAACTCGCACTCGCACTCGCACTGGTGGGCGGGGTCCAGTATGCCCGGGCTATCATTGGTTGAAAGTACGCTATACGATAATACGAACACGAGGCGTATCACATCACACGTCGTCCCACCTAAAGTTTTATATTAACGTCTACCTGATGACGTAGTTAAGCCTAGAGATTAGGTAGCAAGCCTAGAGAACCGTTGATCGACAGGTCGGAGTATATCTTCGGGTGCGGGTATGCCGCCCGCATCCGCTGCATCCCCAATTTTAAGTAGGTGTGTAAGGCGAATATAACATAATTAGACATTTTAGAGTTAGGCTTGCGATCCAGTGTGAATACAGTAATTGATCTGAAACATGCGTCCTACTATATTGCGCACGCAGGGCTCATCAACAAATCGTGTACTTAAATGGAACAAGTCCTCAAAGTGGACTACGACTGCTGTTCAAAATCATTTAGCCAGCACTTATTGAACAATCCAACTTTCTTGAAGAATCTGTCATCCATATCACGCTATGAAGATTAGCACAGTATTCACGTCGCAGCTAGTGGCTCTCTCGACTGCGAACTCTCACTTCGCTCGCCAGTATCAGACTGGATCTCCGCACGACTGGATCCCAGCGGGCCCTGACGACTGTATGGCTCACCAGTCATTCTGTCTCACTCCTAGGACTGACTAGATCTATAGTTCGAGGGCCCTGCCCGATGTTGAACACCTTATCGAACCATGGCTATTTTCCTCGTTCTGGTAGAAACAGTATGTCGCTCAACGCCTTCACTCAAAACCAAATCTTACTCACTGTCCATCACAGTCACGAAAGCCAACGCCGTCAAAGGTCTAACCACCGGCCTCAACTTCAACGCCTCCCTCGCCGAACTCATGTGGGAACAAGCCATCATTGCGAACCCGGCCCCAAACGCAACCTTCTTCACTCTCGACCAGCTCAACGTGCACAACGTCCTCGAGCACGACGCATCCCTCTCCCGAACCGACGCCGCATTTGGCAACAATCACGTCTTCAACGAGACAGTCTTCAACACGTCCCGCGCGTTCTGGACTGCGGACACTGTCACGGCGGAAATGCTCGCGAACTCGAAACTGTACCGCCAGATTGAGAGCAGGGCGTTCAATCCCGATTATCGGTTTACTGAAGTAACCGAAGCATTTAGTCTGGGGGAGGTCGCGGCGCCGATTATCGCGTTCGGGGATATCGAGGAGTTCACTGTGCCGAAGAACTTACTGGAATACTTCTTCTTGAACGAACGGCTGCCAGAGGAGTTGGGCTGGTCGAAGAAGGAACATGTAATGAGTTTGGAGGATATCATGAAGGTTTCTCAGGCTATTGGGAAAGCGACGAGCTTACTTACCGGTGGGGACAAGGCTGGTGCGAAGTTGAGACGTGGGGACTTCCATGCTGGGATGTTCTGAACGTCTGGGAAGTGTGTTGTGAGAATGATCCTGGTATATGAATAGACTATCAAGATCACTACTCTATACGAACGCAGACATGCCATAGCACATGGATACCATGTGTACCAAAATTAGTTATGCCCAACCTTCCATATCCAAGCCTTCATGCCGATGTAACAATGTTTTATTCCGGGCTAGACTCGAGTTCTCTTAAAGAGCAGACTGTAAATGTCGCCTTACGTAGTCTCCAAAGTATGAAATTGCCATGCTGACTCGGCTGCTGCATCTCGCATCCCACCCTCCAACCTCCATTTACTACATATTCATCGCCGTCAGCCTATTCAGAATCTTCGTCCTCCGCGCCTCAGGCTCCTCCCCCACCGTTCCGGTCTCCACCTTTTCATTCTGCGCCTGTTGGGCCTCCTTGTCAGCCTTTTCGGTCCCCTTCGCGACCTTAGCATCCTCCTTCTCAAACCTGCGCCTCCATATCCCCACATAGTTCACCCGCGCTTGCCGGACCCATCACATATCCTTCACCCAATTCACGAGCACCTTATCGCTCGAGCTGCTGTCGCTCCAGCACATATTGAAGGTCTTATCGCGCGGTGAGCGGGCGAGGACGGGTGTCCCAGTGATGGGGTCGAATAGTGTCTACATGGCGAGGCAGTCGAGTTTTGCGGCGGGCGACATGTTATTGGCAGGTGGGCGAGCTACAAAGAAGAGAGGCGGATCGCGAGGGAGGTGCTGTGTGTGGATGGGCGTCAAGAGGACTGATCGGAGATCTTCTATTGGGGAAGCGGTCGTTGGGGTCGAAGGCTTGATGTCCGTGACACAGGTAGGCGGTGTATGCGGAGGTGTTACTGGACGCGAGAAAATGAGGTCGCTCGAAGCGTCGAACATCAAGCTGGGAGGGTCCGAAGCGCACGCGGTATCTCCTTGAGCTGGAACAACTGGCATTAGTGGCGGTGTCCCTGAGGCTGCGCCTTGGACCACTATGGTATGTAGAGGGATCTCGTCGCTCCAGCCATCTTGTCCTTCGGAGATAGCCTCCATGAGTAGCTGCTGGAGACGATGTTCCTCAATTGTTTCAATGATTCGCAAGCTTCGTATAGTACTCTTTAGTGATTGCTGAGAACAGCGTGAAAACTTTCTCGCGCATGGCAACCCTCGTCTGCTTGCGCCACCTGTGAAGTGGGATTTCTTGGTCAGGAAGACGATATTCGGGATACGCTGCGGTAACCACTCGAAGACGAAAGCCAACCACGGCCCAGAGCGGTCCTCGAGATGGCCGCGATGCTTGCCCTCGTCGAGACATGCTGCGTAGTGCGACGGGTCAAATACCCAGCTTAGAGTGAAGCGTCTATTTCAGACACCGATAAATCCTGTGGGAGCATAAAATTTTACTTACTTTCTTCCGTAGCAGCGAAACACGCAAGCAAGAAGCGTGTGTCCAGCCCTAAGATCCTGAGCGCGTCCGTAGGTTGCTTCGTAGCGAAAACCAAACTCCCAGGGAATTGGTTGCCTCCATTTCTTCTACGCGGATGTGGAAACCCGTCGGGCTGATCTTCAAGCCGAGTGGCTTGATCGAGGAGCCCAGCATCTTCAGCCCACTTGCATGGAGCAGCTGAAACTGCATCCAGGCAAACGCGTCCTCGCCATCGGCATTGCATACCTTGATGTCGATCTGGATCCAGTGTTCGCCATTCGGGTGAGGGACTGTAAGAAATGATTGTAAGAAATGATTGTAAGATATATCACATCAGGGTTAAAATGGCCTTGTTTACCGTGCCGGGTGCCTAGCGCGTCTCTACTGCTTGCGACCTTGCGCCGCCAGTTCAAGGACGTGCCAGGAGGCTCGGGCAGGAAGCCGGAGACGAGAAAGTCGACATCGCCGTAATGGGGTTTTCCGGGCATTTCTGTAAGGACAGCGACATTGTTTAAAAAGCGAGCGCAAGACCTGGGCATGCTCAGCACATCAATGAGAGACGGATTTATAGGATGGAACACACCTTGGTGGTCTGCTCACGGGTCTTGAAGTATACGTCTGGCATTATTCAAGGGCAGGCAAGGTGTCGGAATGCGTGTCCACCCATGATAAATAGGCTTTTCTCTTCCTTGATGTTGTAGGCTGGTGTTGGAAGACAGAGTCCAGGTTCGAAGATTAACAAAGGCAGAGGGTTTTGAGAGCTGTAGGTCCTCTCAAGCAAGAAGATATGAGAGATCAAAGTGAGAGATCAGTCCTGGGAAGGACGATATGTAAAGCACCGCGTGATTCTCCGACATGGGTCATGCAAGTCATGGCATGGGGTTACGGAGGAATAGTATAAAACGGTAGTTCTGATGAGCGCCAGGCTCATACGCAGACCGTTGAGGCAGGTTGTGCGTCAAGCAATATCAGAACTCACTGGTAGTAATGAGTCAAAGACTTAAAGAACCTTCAGTCGAAAGAGCTGGAAGTGAAACAGAGGAGGTGATATAAGGCAAGTCAGATAGGGGAAGTGAGACAGGGGATATTGCGATTGACGGGACAAGACCAGCACAATCGCAAACCGCAACCACTCTGCGCTTGTAAGAGGCAATAGCGGGGCATACCAAGTGTTTCTGGGTACATAGAGAATTGAAAACACTACTCAAAACAGCCGATTGTACATTTACAGTGGATGTTGTAAGGATACTGAATGGTAAAAGACACTGGACGTAAGAATGATAGTATGGATCTGGACGGAGAAAACAAGAGCGAAGCGGGAAGTCAGGTGTGAGAGGTAAAGACATACATCTAGAAGATGCCATGTACGAATCTTTCGTCGTTGCCTTCATCCTGCCCAAACTCGATTGCTATATCGCGAAGGCTTGGCACAGTATCTACAAGCAAGAATGCGCCAGAGACACTTGCACCTCACATGACGTCCAGATTCGTCGACTGTTGAATGACAGTCTTTCGGACATTTGGCTTGTACATTCGATGAGTGGTAATCCCCTCATAGCATGGTTTTCGCGAAGTGCAGCCCCTCGGCCCAATGCCACAGCCTAGCGTCCACCCTCTTGCCCTCCTGGTCGTACTGGATTAATCGATCATACAGCTCCTCTAGCGGGACTACTAGCCGCTCGATGAATTCGCCGTCATCCAGCGCCTGGTCCGGCTCTTTGTCGCCCTCCTTCAGCTGCACCTCAACCGTCGCCAGCTGCATATTCGCTGTGCTCATGCCGGGGTCGCTGAAGATAGTAGGGCTCATCGAGGTCACCTCGCCCTTGTATCCCGTCTCCTCATGCAGCTCGCGTATGCTTGCCTCCTTGGGCGTCTCCTTCTCGTCGACGAGGCCCGCAGGAAACTCGACACAGACGGCGTCAACGGGTGGGCGGTACTGCAGGATGATGATGGTGGAGGGCGGGTTTTTCGGGTGCCGGATTACGGTGGCGATGGCGACAGCATCAACGCCAGACTTGCCGCGCGTCTTGCGCGAGGCGGCTTCCCACACGCGTGATTTGCCGGTTTGGTCGGACCACGAGATCTTCTGGAATTCGATCCTGGAAAGAGACGAGAGATTAACAAAAGAACGGCCGAGTAAACATACTTTATCTTACGTACCACTTGGCCTCATCGGCCGGGAGCGCGTCCACGGATGTGATTTTGGGTGCTTGCGGCATGTTGTAGGCGGCGAGGAACGGGCGTTTAGTGCTAAACAGGCGGGTGATCGGGGTTTTAGAGACGCTAGAGCGGGAGCTTAGCAGGCTGCGTCTAACTAGTGTGTACGAGTGGCTCAGATGCATTGGGTGGGATACTTTACATCGTAGCTGCGTGGTGGTTGCGCGGTGGTGGTGAGCGAACGACTTCCCCGCTGTCGTCATCATTGTACTAGCGCGTTTGCGCGCGTCGTCACATGACGTTAAGTCGCCTTGAAATGGACATTGCCTGGATACGCGGGCCCATCTCGTGAAATTTTTATTCTATCAAGATCTAATGAAGTTCGCGATGTTACTACGCAACGCTGAAGCTTTACAGTGGTGCGCTAACGCGATTCAGTATGTAATACCGTCTCAAGTTGTGCGGATTTCGTTATCTTGTACGCCACACCGCGACATCCTCTTCATGATTGTCAACATGGCACACGTACACACGTACATTATACCTTACCGTGTTTCTCTCTATCTATGCTTAGTGCAATTCAGTCTTTATCTTTTGACTTTATCTTTTGGCGCCAACTGTGCACCTTCGTTTACCAGCGGGAATGCATCTGGTTACAACGCACGTGTTGACTGGGCTCAAGCAAGCATCGAGCGATATCGATGCCTCTTTCTCCGCAAGTAACGTGGATCAGAGGCAATTCAGATGGGTTCCTATACAACATAGTCTACCAAACTATCACGTACCGCAATGTCATCTGCACCTAGTACTGTTTGGCTCTGAGGAATGCAATGATGTACGCAACGCTGACATGTCAACAATTGGGGCTAACCATCGGTAATATTGCTGGGGTCACGGTATTGAGCACGGAACACTATGCTGGTGGCACAAATATCTCACTCCCAGGCCTTGTGTCTTTGTGCGCCACTGCAGCGGGCGACAACTCAGATACCGCCAGTACAGGCCTCTGTTGTGCGATTGTCACTGTGGCAACGAGAAAATCTAGTACGGACCGCATTGAGGCATGGCTGGCTCTCTGACAATTGGAACGGCCGATTTCTTGCGACTAGTAATGGTGGCACCGGCGGCTATATCGACTACACGAACCTTGCACACGGCGTCAGTCTCGGCGTTGCAACCTTTGGCACTAAAGCAGGTCAATATGGGCAGGCAGAGTATGAGTTATTTCTCAAAAAGCCTGAAAATATCAACAACTTAGGTTATCGAGCCATCCATGTGGAAGCGGGAGTTGGAAAGCAAGTGGTCTCGCGTACTACGAATAGAATGCAAGCTACAATTACTACACTAGCTGAAGCACTGGCGGTCGACAAGGCTTCGAGGAGGCAATCCTCTATCATGAAGATTTCGATGGCATCCAGGGACCTATGGGTGTGGACTGGTTGCATGTCGTTGCCTACAAAGATATTCTGGCGCGTCGGCAGGGGTGGCCTGATCTCGAGTCCCTCGGCTACATCACCGCAGCCCATTGGTCTGCTATCGTTGCCGCTCAAATCAAATTATTTGATCCTCACGGTGGCTTTACCGACGGCACGATCGACAATATGAGTCTTCACAATCTGGAGCCTTCGATGTTCGCTTGCAGCACTGGTATACTCAATGATTCCACCTGTCTCGCCGCAGCGCAAGTCAACACCGTGCGCAAGATCTACCAGCCGCTTGCCGACTCCTCAGGCTCCTCAGGTAAGATTGTTTATCCTGCGTTCGGGCTCGGTGCTAGCACGTCGGTGTTCTTAGTGAATATCAAGGTCATCAACGGCACCACGGTTCCTGCAATGGTCTACACACTTGTGGAAGACCACTGGCGAGGCGCGGTGTACAACTCCAGCACTTGGAAATCTAGAAATTTTTCAACCACAGACATGGATCTTGCTGTGTGTTTGCACCCTGGCACCATCAACATTGCAGGAGGCACATCCCACAACGTGTCTACGTACCATGGCTACGGCGAGAAATTGCTTGCATAACACGGTCATGCGGATCTAACGGTGACTTCTGCGCTCGCATCACGAACCTTCCGGCGTACCGTTGCAGCAGTGAATCTCAACCTTGAGGAAATGCACGATTTCTTTCGATTATTCTACATCCCGGGGATAGGTCACTGATCTGGTGGAGAAGGACAATGGTCGATCGGGAAGCCTGGAGTCAACCGCCCAATGTGAGCACAGTTCATTGGCAGTGAAATAAGTGTATTGCTGGCGCTAATAACCTGGGTTGAGCAGGCGCGCGCCAGCTACACTCATTGGAACGTAGTTTGTCGATGATGAGTTGGACGGCGGAGCGATCCAAAGTCAGAGGCCATTGTGTGTAGCCTAACACAAGTCACTGGGTTCGAATTGGAGATGTAAAAGATGCGGGAGGTTAAGCATGCCAATTGGACATTGCTAGCTAATACATTGAAATTAACCTCTTACACGACGCACTTGCTGGAACCTGCATTCCATAGCCACTGCATTTGTCTAGGTCTATCCGACTGGTCTTCCATTCAAGTGACAAATTGCGTATAAAAAAAATCGCGATTGATAATTTGAGTTTTATGCCAGTTAGGATGCATAGTTGCGTAATCCAAACCTCTGCTGAGCTTGAATGTCACCGACATCACTGGACCCGACTATCTTGAATGCGATTTCGCGCTTGGCTGGAGCTTGGCACTGATTGATAAACGGATGCATACTCTGCCTCCTCTCACTCGACCGCTCGCGCTGTTGACGTTCATTCTTGATCTCCCCTCCCCAGTCGAACGTTCTGGGGATCATCGGCTGTCAACATGCATCGCGAATTGGTGTATCACAAGACATGAAACCATGACTCTGTTATGGGTATGCCGCGCGGGCCCGGCACTGCCTGAAAGGCTATCTCGGCGAGGAAGTTTATTGTCAAAGTTATTGTGATGGACCCACACACACCTTGCCGAATTCACGATTTGTTCATGATTATGTATGCCAAATTCCGTGGCGGAAAGCAATGCAGAGTAGTGCAAGAAAGGGTTCATACTTGTGTGCAAGTAAAATTTGGGAGCCAAGGAGGCGTCTTTCACCACGGAGAAAATGTTGGCGAAATATACACCGAATGAGAAAGGGTGGAGCTTCAACAGCGCAATTAGTGCAATATGGACTATGATATATATATGTACAACAATTAGGTCGACCGCCGCCACGACCGAAACATTCGCATGCATGTTATCCCACCCTCACTCAATGCGCACCCGGCGCCCTCTTGCCTGTCCATACTCTCGGCTGATGAGCCTGAGTCCCTTCATACCCTCTCGCTGCCGCCACTTCGCCGCTCACGCTACGATCGTCCCGGTTCTCATAAGTAACCTGTACGCTTCGCTCAAACTGAATAGCCTCCTCGCTGTCGCTGTCTCTAACTAGAGCCTTCGCATTCGTCGATACGTGCCCCACATGCTTGTCCATCTCATCGATCGACGACAGTGGTATACCGCCGTCGTCGTTCTTTGTGTTCATAAGCGTGTCTAAGGTGCGTTTTGCGCCACCGCTGCCAAAAGTTCGCTGTCCGTGGTTGCGCGAAAAGCCGCGCGAGTGGGGCTTGCTGTTGCTGCCTGACGAGTATTCGCCAATCAGTCGAGGCGCGAAGTGCTTAAAGAAACGACGAAGGGTGGAGAGACAGCAGCACATGATCAAGAGGTTAGCTTCCACAAAACTGTCAAATAGGTTAGCGTCGCAATTCAAAGGTGGCGGTTTGGGGAGCCTTACATCCACATAAAGCCCTCGCCGATGACCCAAGTCTGATCCGCAGTAGTCAGAGAGGGTAAGAGAATGATCAGGCGAACTATGGAGGTAACAATCGTGCTGGGACATGTCAATACATCATCAAGAAGATGGCGAGAGTAAACTGACATTGATCCGACACCAAAGATGCCAACCAAGCCAAGCTTCTGCTTGTTAGGCATCTGAAGCTTCAGCACTGTAGGTACCGGCAGCGCGAGTAGTAGAACATCGGTGACAATCCCGATAACGGCTTGTGCGAGGTAAATGCCACCGCGATTGAGGCAGATTGTTGTCGGAAGAGCGGCAAGCAAAGGATCCCAGCTCGCCGCTACAGGCTTGCATGCGAAGAGCAAACTGAAGAATATAGAGGTATAGGCAGACAGGCAGACAAAGAGGGTAAAATAGACAAAGCCTTGGAAGACTTTGTTAGGGTTCAACCTTCGATAGAAGAGGGCCAGGGACACTTTTGCTGCGCAAGTGCCAATTGCATAGAGAAGTGGTGCTGCAAGAATGATCTGTCCGCATGTCAGGGATGTTCTGGTAGGTCATGCAAATGAAAATGGCTTCATACCCTCGAGTAGAAGGTATACTTCTCAAGGCTGATTTCCCATGCGTGTCGTCCGATGGCCCCATGCGCCAGTCCCATGAGCCCGCAAATTTGTGTGCCCATGCAGAAGAACCAAGCAAAAATCACCACACCTGTTGAGCAGAGTTGGTAAGCCGTACATCTTCAGCAAATGAGTAGTAACGTACCGTCTTCCAGTTGGAAACTCTTCATGATAACAGTCTTCGTATACAATCGCTGTATCAAAAAGAGGAAGCCTAGTGTCATCTCGACGGCGACAATTGCGTATGACTCCACCACATACTGCATTTGCGGATTGTCAAAGTCGACGACATAGCCTTCTGGAGGTTCAAGGACAGTTACTGTCCCGTTGACAATCGGCATTGTGAAGTTTGTCGTTCAGTGGGGTCCCAACTGTCCACGCTTATAGACACAGCAGAACAGCAGGGCCTTACGCCATTTGAACAGACTTCTAGCACCCTGCAGCGGCCGTCAGAAAGGGAACTAAAGCGACGGGTACCCATCAAGTTGAAAACTACTTGCAGATCTATGCTTTGTTTTCGCAAATATGTGACCCGCCCGTTTTCGATCAACATCAGAACCCGTTCAGGTCCCTGGATGTCACTGGGATGGGCCGGGTTCGCCTGAGCATTCCTGCGTCTTGTTCACATCTCGACAGGTAACGAATTCCATTGCCTGGTACTTGTGCATGAAACTGCACAACGGAAAGGAGCTCCACTTTGTGACAGATGCAGGAAAAGGTCAGTGACGGTGGGCTGTGCTGATAATCCTTACTAGGGCAAGTAGAGCGCGTGTATTCCGAGAGTCTGTCCAAGCTTCAGGATCCCCTGGAAGGACCCTCAAGGCATGTTGCAATGGTTCTGAGCCCAAGTACGGTACCAAGCTATACCTTGCTAGCCATGATCTCTTTCATCCCGCGAAGCACGCAAGCATGTCGTGTACATTGACCTGAGTATGAAGTAGAATCCGTCTCTGCCATCTTTTGATCTTTCGATAACGAGAACTGGTGCGATTACCTGGGTACTGTGTTGCTGCCCAAGCCTGGCGGGACACGCGAACCTGCGGTGAAACTCCAGCGATGGTTCTTGATTTCGTAACGAATGACAATTAACAGGGATCTCTCTACCGATTCGACGGGTGCGGGATGTTGCCAAGCTGTCGCGCCCTGCTAACGACCGATAGACGGACCGGCCTCGGACGGATGCATGTAGGCGTACCGTTGAAACCTGAGGTTAAGATCGTCGTCACCATCGTATGTTCCTTCGACCCACTGACGAAGGCAGCGCAAGGCATCCCAGCGATAGAGGCCCATAAGTATTCGTGCGGAAGGGGTTAAAGTCGCATTGCAATGCCGCACTTAAGGTCACGTCAAGTCCAAAAACAAGGGACTTGCGCACTGCCAGAAACAGTCAGCCCAAACGCTACAATATGCGTAAAGCATTACGATGTTCGTTCTTCTGTGATTCCAAACGGACGGTGCCTCGTCAGAAAGCCACGCACGTTGTCCGGCATATATGATTGCGTCTTAATGAGCTAGGATTCCGTCGCAACCAGATGCAATTTGTAGATGTGGGTAGTCTGTCGGAGAAAAAACGGGGCCCGGTACTGCCCGCCCCTGCCTCGTGCCGGTGCGTACTTTTGTAAGCTTGGGCGTTGGAGAGGATCAAAACCCCAGGCCGGGGATACGCGCACGCCTTCCGCATATCCACCATGTGCATGCCGTTCGCTCAGTCGCTTAGTCGGGGTACCCAAGTTAGCGCCGCCTCACGATGTGTTGCACCTCTTGCCTGTTTCTACACAGCTCGCATCCTTCGTCGGCGCAACTGTGGAGCACCGTGGACTGGTCAATATTTTCTTCGTGCTCAAGAGCTCGTCAGAATAGAGCATATATGTGCCATAGGTATAGGCCGACCAGAAGTGTGATACTAAGGAAATGGCACACCCTTCTGCGCGCTCGCCTACCTGTTTACTTAGAACAATGCTTGCGCGTCTTCTATAACTTGTCAAAGTTGGCATGAGGAATTGTATTGGTCGAGCGGGGTGGTGGGGCGCGCACATTTCTTCAGGTAAGACATGAGACGATCCCTACCTCGATAGCCCATTCCGCTGGACATCTTATTCATGTCGTTGAACTTGTCCCTTTCGAAGACTCTGAATGGTCAGGTCGACTGTACCTGGAAGGAGCGGCGATGAATCGAGTCAGGTAAGGAACAACCCGCACACTTATATTCGAGGAAGTGTCTCGAGATTGTGCAATCCTTCAACCGTGCTGCCTCGCAACTGGTTCTCCCACTCTTTACGGCCCGAAATCCGAAACATGTTGAAGCTCGCTGCCATACTGCTGGGCCTGCCTGCCGTCTTGGCTCAGAACAGTACCTGCGTAAGCCTCTTTCTTCCACGTGCTTGATTGAAGCCCAATTCAAGCTCCGACACTGACCCGATATCCAGTGTCAAGCTCTCCAAAATGCCGGCCTAGCCCACGTGTTGTACCCCAACACGACGGAGTATGCCAACCGTACTGTGTCATACTGGTCTGTCAGCGCGCAACTGAGCCCGTACTGCATAGTTCAGCCTACATGCACCTCGGAGGTCGTCAAGGTGGTGAACACTCTCATAAGAGGTGAAAGCTGTTCCTCGACAAAGTTCGCTGTTCGCTCTGGGGGACACACAGTATGGGCTGGTTCAAACAACATCAATGACGGTGTGACTGTTGACCTCGGGCTTATGAAGGATGTCACTCTGGACAAGAATGCTTCTGTTGCCTCAATCGGCCCGGGTGCGAGGTGGTTGAATGTGTATGCCGCATTGGATCCTGATGGCTGGACAGTTCCTGGTGGAAGGGCAGGCAGTGTTGGCGTTGCTGGTTTCTTGACCGGTGGAGGAAACTCATTTTTCACTGCGCGAAAAGGGTTCGCATGCGACAACGTGAAGAACTTCGAGTTGGTCACTGCAAGCGGGTAGGTTGCCATTTGACTTGTTTGCCATTTGAACTGTTCTCGTATCAGTAGACACTAATAATGTTTCAGAGAGGTCGTAAATGCGAACGCAGATGAGAACCCAGATCTGTGGCAAGCCCTCAAGGGTGGCTCCGCCGCGAACTTTGGCATTGTCACTAGATTTGACATGTTCGCTTTCCAGACTGGAAACTTATGGGGTGGTACGGCGACCTACAACAAGTCAGCCACTGCGGACCAGATTGCTGCGTACGTCAAATGGACCGACAATGTCAGCAACTATCCAGACGGGAGCTCCATCATCTTCTGGAGTTATCTGCCAGTCATGTCGGACATTGTGATCCTCGCCGCCTACGAGGACACTCAGGGCAATGAAGCGCCAGTTGGTTTCGATGACTTCATGGCCATCCCACGTATCGCTGATACTCTGAGGATAGACAGCCACAAAGCGCTCACAGATGAGCTTGAGCAGGCAACAGGATACCGGTTTGGACCCCTACCCCACATCGTAATGCAACACTAACACGTGTTAGTGACGTCTGGTTTACTATGACCTTTGCTAACAACGCTGAAATCTTCACCAAAATCGTCGAACTTAACGAAGCCTTTGTCAACGAGTGGAAATCTCAGACGAATGACCCTGACTTCATCACACAATGCATGTTTCAGGCTATCCCGACTGTCTTCTCAGTGCACAGTGTCGAGAGAGGCGGCAACGTCATGGGTCTTGACTCGGAAGACCGGAACGGGATCATGCTTCTATTCGACATTGCTGTCAAGACAGCCGAGGAAGAAGCTATCGCACGCCCTCTGCTGCGCTCCTACGGTGAACAGATGCAGGAATTTGCTACCAGCAGGGACGGGTTAATTTCGTGGAAGTTCCTAAACTACGCCGACTCGTATCAGAATCCTCTGGCCAGTTATGGATCGGCGAATGTCGAGAAGATCCGGGCGGCTGCCAAAAAGTTCGATCCCGAGGGTGTGTTCCAGACGAAAGCCCCTGGCGGCTTCAAGATCTCGAAGGTGGGAACCGAAGAGTCTGGAGTGGAGACCGACAAGTTGTTTGGTAGTGTAGGGGAGGAGACGAAGACTCTTGCCAACTTGAGCGATGCGTAGTTTTCGTCCAAGGAAGGTAGCCGCTATGTCCTCCTCTGGTAGGCTTCGTGATACTATTCATATTGCATTTCTATATGTTCATGACTATATACGGAATCCAATGCATATTCATTCTCAATTGCTCTCTAGTATAATTTTGTCACGTCAGACCACCTAGGTGTTAAATCCACAAGGGTAGCTAGTCCTAAAGGGTTAGGGTTGGTTCTCGGGCAAGACAACAGAGGGGAAGGGAAGGGATGTTATTAATACAATAGTATCTTGCGAAGTATAATAAGTTAATAATATAGCCTAAGTGTAATCTAAATAATAGATTGATAAACAGGTTAAATATAACGTAGGTGGCAAGCGAGCGCCGCACCCCACCAAACTTGCCCACCTTTGCAGACGCATGTTAAATCCAGAAAGGTAGCTAGTCCTAAAGGGTTAAGGTTGGTTTTTGGGCAAGACAACTAAGGGGAAGGGAAGGGGTCTTGTTGATACGGTAGTATCCTTGTCAGATATGAGGGCTTATACTAAGTATCTCGGTGTTGTACTATAATCGATAGTACAATATATTAGATGGCTGGGGCAGAGGCCAGAGGCAGGATATCGAGACTTGACCGAAAACGGCTAGTATAGATTATCTGCCAAGACTCACACACGAAAGGGCGCCCTAGATAGAACCTCGGCCAACACACCGAACAATCAACCCATCTCATCTCTAGATTACCGACATTCATCAAATCACTATGTAAATCTAACAATCCTACGAAATATAACGAGTTAACAATATGGCCTATATAAGGTCTAGCTATAGGTAATAGTATTTACTTTACGCTAGGATAGATAGTGAAAGGATGACTTAATGGCATTAAGTAAATAATACTTAACTTCCCTAAAGCCGGTGTGCGGCGTGGGGTATACACAGCCAACTCGCTTGGCACACTAGGACTCTATTAGGCCTTAGTACCATATGCTATAACACTATAATGAACTTCGCAATCTACTCGTTATAGAATCTCCCCCTCTAGCTATAGTCCCTAGCAGTATACTATAGCCTTAATAAAAACCTCACCCTATAGGAAAGGAAAAGAGTGTCTATAGTAGTGCTTTTTACCTACACTATAATGGCGTATTATCTATATATAGTGCCTACCGCAATTACGTATTATATATTATTATGGTAAAGACTCTATGCCTTCTATTTACTATAGCCTTAGTAATAATAAATA